CGTCATTATTGCCTGACACGTCGCGACAGCATTGCAGTCGCCCTGGAGCATGACCTTGCTCTTGACGTTCCCATCTGGCGTCGCCATGATGTTGACGTCCTCATACTCAGGTAAGACGCGAATCTGCTCATAGTGATCTTTCCCGTCTAGAATTGACCAATATTTTGCAGCAGCAACGCGACGCAAGATCGCATTCTGGTCCGGGAGCGGGGACGACAACTTGCGCGTGTTGTCGTTGCGCTCACGCAAGTCCACGACGGTACGTAGCTTCGTCTTCTCGCGTTGATTCTTCGCGATGAGAAGCATCGGCACCGTGTTCGTGGCGGTGGTGAATTCCCACCGCCCCGAGCGCATATATGCGTCGCGTTTCTCATTCCATTGCTCACGAAAGATTGCAGGGCAATTCGAGCGACGGAACGGGTACCGACGGTCGGGGTCTATGATGGGAATCGTGTGATTAATCGCACGCAAGGGCGGGAGCTCAGTCTCCGCGATGGTCTTGCACAAAGGTAAGGCCATTTCGACTAGATGCTTCCGAATAGCTTCTAACTCGTCCGAGCCAGGCTCGGGCTCTACGTTTGCCATGAACAAGTCGTCGACGTGTGGCCCCTCAAGCGGCAGCGCCTCAACGCTCCCAATGAGGATCTTCGGCGGGTTGATGGAGAACGAGATGGAATGCTGGTACAGGAACGGAGTCCCGAGGACAACGTCGTAAGTCGCGAGGTTCAAGACGTCAAAGACGCGCTGCTCGTGTATAGCTGACCATTCAAAATCTACAGACGTATGAAAATTACATTTCGAGCGCGACCCGCTCACTGCCATCGTCATGGACACCTGGCCATTGTGCTCAATGAGCGGAAGGCGCAGTTGAGTAGCGAGAGCCGAGCTCACGAGATCTACTGACGAACCAGAGTCTACTAACGCCTTGCAGGGATGCCCGCTTACACGAACGACGAGGACGATGGGCCTCGGGATGCGGCGGCCGCTCCCCCGCGGGAAGACGGCTGTTCGTTGCGCAACGCGTGCGGACGAGGACGCCAACGGCGCGGAGCGCCCCTTCGATACTGCGAAGACCGTCAGCTGACGCCATGGAAGACGCGAAGCTGGGAAACGTACCGGCACGTTGGACGCCATGCGCACCATCGTTGCCCACGCCTGTGCGAACACGCCGGACTCAATCAGGTCCTCCGCGGGCTCGCGAAACCAACGCGCGGGGAACGCGCCGTCGGGCTGCGTGAAGACGTCGAAGCTTCGACGCGCTGCGGCCTCAGCAGGCGACTCGAACCAGCGCGACATATAGCGCTTCGGGTGAGCCGTGTTCTGATGCCCACCCACGAAGTAGCGCATGCGCTGATACATGTACCAGTACCAGACGTTGATACCGGCGTCAATGTCCTTGAGACGAAGACCCCACGACACGCCCAGGAGCGTGTCGCACACGAGGATGACCGGCGACCCAGAGTACGGCCGGAAGGCGTAGAAGCGGGAGAGGTCAGCGCGACGCTGCTCCTCGCCGACTACGCGTCTGACTGCCCAGTTGAGGGCGTAAGCGACGCTCTCAGGCACGAGATCCCCGAGGGTAGTGCCCGTGGAGTAGAGGTACGCCATACGACGAGCCTGTGAGGTGTCCATCCCGAAGTCGACGCATATCTGACGCGCAACGTAGTCCTCCATCGAGAAGCCTTCGCGGATGAAGAACGCATTCGGGATGCGAAGCGGAGCCAGTTCGCGACGCCCAGCTTCGGCCTCAACAGTCTCGAAGAGGGAGACACAACCGTCCTGGGTCTGGACTGGCAGGAAACGGACGGGCGCGCCATCGCGAAGATACGAGAGCGGCGCGAGGTCGTGGAACATCGCATCGCGCAGCTTCTCGCCGTCGCCAGGCCAAGCGCGCACGGCGTTCAGCGCGAAAGCACCACGCACACGCCACTGCCCCAAGTCGCCAACGTACGAAGGGTCGCAGGCGCGACCAATAAAGTCGGCATACTCGGGTGTCTCGCAGAGGGCGAGCAAGTCGTCGCCCGAGCAAAACTTGGGAGGCTCGCGCCTCGCGCGCAGCGCAATTCGCGTGTAGTAGTCGAAGAGCGGCTGCACGTAGAGGTGGGGGCGTCCGGGAACGTCACCACAGACAAGCGGACAGTCCGCGAGGACGTGTGTTGCCCACGGCGGTGAGCACGTCGTGCAGCGTGTACTGTCCGGGTTGGACCCAGGTGAGTCGTGCGAGGGTTCGAACTGAACCATATTGACTGACAATGTAGTCGTGTTAGTGACGCCAGCACGTCTCTGGTCGAGCAGACGTGCCTGTTCGATTGCCACCGAGTGAATCGCGAGACCAGGAGGTCCAGAAGACGTCGAAGGTACGTGGTTCGCTTCGGGACAGTTTCGGCTTATATGGTCCTTAGACTCACAGCGGAAGCAGCGCCCCTCTTCACGGAGGCGCTTCAGGAGCTCAGGAGATTTTCCTGGCTTGCGGTTAGGAGGGGCGCGAGCGTTCGCGCTCCTTCCATTCGGCGCGGAGGTACGTTGTGACCCCCTTGCCTGTCCACTGAATTTACCTCCAATGGTCCTCGAGCGGTCATTAGAGTTCGAGGTGCGCGTTCCAGCGGCAGCAGACGCGTTCGCTGGCGGCCTAGAGGAGGGAGCAGAAGAGCTCCCGCCTCCAGAACGTCGGGACGATGCAGATGCGCCACCTGTACCGCTTCCGCGGTTGGGGGGCGATCCACCATGGTCGTCAGGGCGCCTGCCCTTCGCTTGGGCTCGGGCAGCGTAGCTAGCCTGCCAGAGCTGCAGAGCACGTCGGTACGTAGGCTCTAACTCATCAACTTCTTTGCTGAAGCCGTCCTCCATCAGGCGCTTCACGAGCCAGGAGTCAAGACCTTCCCAAAACTTCAAGACCCGGTTTCGGCTGGTCTCCTCAGTCAGCACCACCCAGAAGCGCTCTAGATCGTGCATGTAGTCGCGGAGATCGCGATTGTCTTGGGTACAGGACTTGTACTGGGTACGACATTTGTCCTTGTAGTTTAGACTGAAACAGTGATCAAATAAATCTCTGAAAAAGTCGTCTAGATTCGCGCTTCGAGAAGCACTAAGCATGTAGTTCTGCTTGTAGAACCTTCTGGCCTTGCCAGTGAGCCAACGAGAGACAACGTCGGCCTGCCGAGTGGCTGCCACTCGACCATCAGTAACATACTGAAGAGAATCAATGACGAAGGTCCAGAAGGCCTCATCGTCCTCCCGGCCATCGTAGGACTCAGGAGGCTGCGGCTTAAGGCGGCTGGCCTTACCCGCGCTGTCAAACTGTCCGTCGTCATCCGAGTCTGAGCTCGGAAGGCCGACTACACGGCTTCTGATCATAGCCATGTACTTGTCCCAGTAGGACTCGCCCCCAGCTACATAGCTCGGACGAAGCTTGTCTTCGGGACTAGAAGCCTTCGAAGGACGTTCACGAGGCACCGCGGGGGGCACAGAGGCCTCCGCGGTCTCGCGCTTGATTGCGCTCAGGTCACGTGCCGGTTGAACTTCGTTCGGCACCGACCGCTCACGTGCGACGCTCGCAGCGCGCGAGCGTGCGGCGCCAGACCCATCCGTGAGGAGTTCGACGAGATTGTCGTATCTCTCACTGAGCTGGCTGACCTGTCTCGCCAGTTTGGCATTGAGGGCGGCATAGTCCGCGGCCTCAACAGTCTTGAGGTGGAGCGCATCGAATAGGTCAGCGATCTGCTTATTTTCAGTGGCGCGGGGTTCCAGATTTGCCAAGGACACCCTCGGCCCCTGATTGGGCACTTGAGCCCGCGATCCCCGAGCTCGATTTGCGGCATCCAGGATGTCCCGCTGAATCTCGGGATCGTGTTCGACCTCGTCGAAGTCGAGATTACCGAAATTGCGTAGATCCGGGCCTTTACCCTTATCCATCCGGTCCCTACTGTTTCCGGGGATAGAGCTCTCAGGTACGTTCACGCTTTCGGACTCGCGAGCCTCGTGCTCGCGGTTCTCATCATACTGAGGGTAAATTTTATTCGTAGTATTATCTACTTCCGTGGACTCTGGCGCGATAGCGCGACTGCCCACAGCACCCGGTGCACGCGACTGAGCACCAGCTTCAGGCACGAGGCCGTCGGCGGCATGCGCGTGGGTCGGGGACTGAGCAGCGGCATCGGCCGACCACTCGCCCTCTCCAGGGTCTGCTCCGTCGAGAGCAGACACCTGGCGGGATACCCCCACCGTCGTGGCGGAAGCACCCGACGACGGCACAACGTCGTGTTGCACCGTCGCATGCTCGATGACCTGGTCATCGGCGGTGGCAGGCGGCGCATCTTGAGCGCCCGCCGTGCCCGAGTCGGACTCGTTGTCCGAGAGTGCACTAGTGAAGGAGTCGTCAGTACCACGCCACGCGGTCTGAGACTCACCGGTGTCAACCGACGCTGCGCGAGGGCGGAAACGTCCGCTGGAATCGCGCAGAGGTTGAGCTTTTGGCGCCATTGAGATTGTCGACAAGGAAGAAAGGGTAATTAAGCCGCGAAGGGTGCCGGGTTGATCAAGTCCGTTGCCTTAGCGGGGGGAATAGGGGTAGGTAGTGAAAACTTTGCTGGTTGCTGGTTGTCGAAGTCGAAGTCGATGTTTCTATCGAGGACGTCGAGCGAGAGAGTAAAAATATGAGGCGAGTACGGTGACGCGGAGAGCGGGCCGGGCTCGGCTCACGGAGATGATGAAGAAGATTCCCACGAGGTTACTCTGTAACGAAGTCTCGATTGAAAACCTTGCCCTCCTCCCTTGGAGGAGGGCCCTTTTATACCTACAGCTGTAAGTAGTCATAACTAGTCACGGAGTATATATACGAGTCATTAGAAACCAGGAGAACCTCAAGGAACTCCAAAGGAAAATACCCCCGCGAGAGGTGAAGGTAGAGCACGTGGCGTCGGCTAAGGCCGAGGCGTCACAACTCGGCACCGAGGCGGAGCTAACCGCTACATGCGGCATTTCACACTTTTTTCTCACCATTACCCATCGTCTATGCAGGCACAATGACTGGTGACACCAATATGATTGAACAATACGCTTCAGAGATCTCACAGCTCGAGGAAAAATGTCGGCGCCTCGAAGACGAGTTAGCACGATATGAAGTGAGCCGAAAGATCTCGAGCGCCACTGTCAACAATCTAATCACTCCTCTCAGTTCGCATACGGACCTCTGGGCGATATTGTCGAGCCTCATTCCCCTGTGGATGCTCATTACGGATATGCGCATCTACCAGCGGAGGTCTTGTCCATCATCTTTGACTGGGCTATGGAGCCATCCTTCCTGATTAGACCTACCTTCGCGACCATCCCCAGTGATGCGTGGGCGATCTGCATGCGCACCAAACATTCGCTCACCCTCGTTTGTCGCTCGTGGAACGCGGTCGCTCTCGAATATCTGTACCGCGACATCGGCTTCACCAGCATCGGACAAATCGCCGCCTTCCAAGAGACTCTGTCAAAGTCGAAAGGCGACCTTGCATCGTCAGTGCGCACGATCACGGTAGCCTGCTATGTGGCGTCTTACCACAGACACGTCTACTACGAGGATTTGTGCGCGATCTTGCTCATGTGCCGGCGCCTACACAGCTTCTCTACGTGTATCCGCGAGTCCTTGGACCCGTTCGACCACCGCTTTCAGTCGTACCTTTGTCCGATATCCCTGCCGCGCAGCGTAGTTAACCTATCTCTCAACGACGAGCCGCATCTGACGGTGGCGGAGGTCCTGCCACTCGCGAAGAGCACGAGTTGTCGCCTGCAATCCCTTCACCTCACGCTCACTGATTCTACCGAAGATGACATGTTTGAGCGAAACCTCGTATTCGAGTGTCTGACGACATTCAGCCTTGACTGCCGTCGTGTCGACATTCTTCATATGGTCTCTCGATGGTCGACGCCGCGTCTCAAATATCTCACCATCTCCTCCGTGAACCTGCCGGACGCAGAAAATTCATTCCTCGTATTTCTGATGAGCAAAGGGCGTGAAATCGAGTATCTCCACCTACGCGATGGATGGTCCACGATCAACGGGTCAAACCAACAGGGCGTTCAGCAGTACTGCCCCAAGCTGCAACACCTTGTCATGTCCTTCAGGATGCGATGGACGGTCTCCCATCCCTCCGTGCGCTGGGTCGATATCTGGGAACCGCCAGAGTATACAGGCGGCGCACGGGAGATACCGTCGTTCCGCGGGTATGTTCGCCGCTTGCCAACAGTCTTCCCCGCCCTACGAGGCATTCGCACGCTTGACTACGGCCTCTTCTTTATGCCGGACCTCCCCCGTATCTTGCGACCTACCGAGGACATTCGCGACGTCGCCGTCTTCGAGCACCCCGGGATCTGCGTTAAGCAAAGCGCAGGTCGACTGTGGCGCGCCGACATGAAGTACACCGATATCGACGACGGCGACAACGATGACAACGATCTCGTGCGAGGGGCAGACGAGAGCATTACTGCCGGTGTCGTGCATCGGCAAAACAACTTGGAGGGACTCGAAGCATCTCGGAGCCCCAAGGACGTAGTGGAAACGGCGTCGGAGGGACGCTCAGAGGTCATGTCCGACGAAGGAGGCAGCGAGAGTTCAGGAGACGACGATAACGCGGATGACCCTTGGGAGCTTCCATTGTCTTCTGACGGTACAGAGTCGATCGCGGAGGATGAAGACGCGCCGAAGTCTCCCTCTCCTCTCGAGGACGACTTTCCGCAACGCACGCGATGGACACACGAAGAGGTTCTGCAGGCTTTCCGGCGTGCATCACCACGGTAGGTCGGTACTTCAACTTGGCCTGCATCCAAGCTGGTTGATATTGATTACCGTAGCATGTAGGAAGCAGGCGCACCTTCGAGCCCTCCACCAGCGCCGGGGGAAACGGGCATATTCGAACAGGGCAAGGTGGTACTCAGACTGGGAAAGGGCCTCGCAAAAGGGGGCGCGGGAAAAGAGCGGGCTGAGGAAGATCCAAGCTTCAAAAATCATATGTGAGCGGACAGAGTCGCAACGGTCTGTTCCGACCACTCGTGAATTGTTGTCGTCCGCAGAGCACTGAGAGTAGTCTGTCGCTGATGTGGACGCCGAGGATGTCTTCTCTTTCTGCGTATGGACGTATTGGTGCCGACCCCTTGATGTAAGCGTGGCACACCTGGAAGGTACCCTGTACGTTACAGAATATATTTCTCTTCCTGCCACTCTCATGTTCGCCGTGGACGCACCTCGTTCGTCGACTTTCCTATATTGTGGCAACGTTGCCTCCAGCTATCATCATCGTCCCACTCAACAGTCGTCATCCCTTCCCTCCAGATAGCCACCGCTCCTACGCTGGCAAGGAATGAATCCTACGTGTCAAGCTGCCAAGTTTCGCAGGGTGAGCCCAACCCCGCTGGCGATGCTGCACACAAGTGATGCCAGGCGGGGATACGCCGCGAGACATCTCCCCACAGGGCACCGTACGGTGAAAGATGCGTAATCGCCCGACATCGCCAATGAAGAGCAGCAGTGCGAGCAGCCTGTTGCAAGGCTGGAACACGCATATCCGAATTGGGGTGAACACTCTATTCAGGACCCGAGATAGAAGCCAAGCTCCCACCCTTCGACGTGCAGCCATGAGAACGCGCACGCTTCATTCGGCTGCCATCGGGAATTGCCTCAGCGGCCAGCTGGCAGGAAGTCAGCGTATATAAGGGCGACGGGTGGCATTAGATGAAGAGCTATACGCACCTGCCACCCGCCGCCTCAGCCGCCCAACGACCATGCACTACCTCTACGCACCGCAGACCCCTGGGCCAGAGACGTCATTATTCGACGACGTCAAGCAGCGGCCGGACCGGCGCCGTCGTCATTCCCGCTCATCGCTGTCAACACGAGTCGCCAGCACATCCACGAGTCCATCTAGGCGATTGCCGGCCGCAGACGATGATGAGTTCAGCTACGCCCTGGCTTCTGCTCTTGCATCCGCCATGACCATCGCAAAGGCTGAGACTATTTTGGAGGTCAGTGGACGTAGTTTAGCAAGTGAATAAAGGGCTCTAATCACGATCTACCTATCCAGGAGTCATTCTCCAACGCATTCGAGTTGCCTCCACCCAAACGCCCCGCCCGCGCTTCGGCGAGGACCAACACATCTGACGCACCTTCTCCCGCCTTCGTTCAGGTCGCTGCTGCGCCCCCGGCCGAGGACAATGCCACAGACGAGTGGCAGGCGGAGTATGAGGCGCACCTGAGGACCTGGAAAGCGCAGTCCGCTCAGGCTAGGGAGAGAGCAGAGAAGGAGCGGAAAAGGTGGGAGGCTATCCGCGCCGCTGAGAGGGCTCGGGGAGGGCGCCCAAGGGAGCCCTCGCATACACGCGCCGTCGCGTATCCCCCAGCGTCAGGCGTGCCTTCTCCCAGCCCTGCGGATGCACGCGACCTGGTGAGGGGAGAGCCCCAGAAACGCGTACGTGTGGTGCACCAACGTGTTATGATCGATCTGACTATATGCCTTCAGTAATGAGCGTCTGTATCAACGATGATCTTCCGCATAGATTGATACCATTGTACCACCATACACCCAGCTCTCCAGTTATGCAGACTGCGTCCTGAACGCGAACCATCCCACGATAGATCTGAAGGCAGCCATTTCATCGACATCAGGTCGCACTTGCCATTCGAGTCTGTTGTACACCAGATGTTTGACAAAATGGGGCACGCGTCGTTCCGTTGTTTCCTTGCTCGCTTCTGGATATTCACAGCGCACGGTCGATAATTGCTCCTTATTTACGACGGAAGAGATAGTGCCCAACACCCCATCGCTGTCCGTCGTCCATGGCAAACAGCTCCGCGCACGCCATGTAGAACACGCGGAACCTGAAGTCATGAGATGGTCAAGGTCTGCAAGGTGAGATCATGTTCGAAGCAGACTTACCTGTTGAAGGTCTTGTCTCCTTCATTTTGGTCGCGCCCCTGAGCGATGGCGGCCCGGCGCAGAGCAGCGAGACCCTCTGTGTCCCGCCTTGAGCTTCTACTCATCGCGTCGATCTGAATGCCCACCTTCCTTCTTGGAATCCTGCAATTTCAGCCAGTCCTCGAGCGTCCGCGCGTAGTGCGTGCCAGATAGGTACCAGCTGCGTTCTAGTGCAATGTGCGTTTGAAAGTATAGCTGGCAAGAATGTCAATAATGGTGGGGAGTACAGAGAAATTGTCACTTACGAACAGATCGTGCGACGGCATCGTCCCACCTGAGAAGAAATTCTTCGCCATCCATCCGTCGCCCTCTTCAAAGTGGTAGGGCGTGTCTCTATGACAGAAGATATGGATAAAAAGAAGGGATGGATCTTCGCCTGTGTGGGCTTCTGTGTCTGCAGGGCCGTCGCCCATTTGCATGGACGGGCGCATCCACCTCGAGACTTTGGCCAAGAGGGCTTCGTAATTCTTCATATGCTCGAACATCTCGATGGAAAGGATCCTGTCGAAGCTGCAGCAATATGAGCTGAGTGGCACGCAGGGAGAAGGCATTCCTTACTGCCTTCCTCCAGCGAAGTCGAATGTGTTCACGTCGGCGGTGATGATTTCGAGATTGCGCAGACCGCGCTCCCGCGCCGTCTTGTCGATGAACGCCTTCTGCGTAGTCGAGTTGGACAATCCCAGAACCTTGGAGTTCGGGTATCGCGCTGCAACGAATAGGGAAAGCGAACCCCAGCCTTCGCGGGGGGGAATGGTGAGCTGATAGCGTATATCGGGCGAGACCAGTCAATGCTCACCACATCCTAGATCCAGCACGTCTTGACCGTCTCTCAACCTGGCTTTCTCGCAGTAGCTATCGAGAATGAGGACCTCCGCTTCTTCAAGCGTCTCCTGGCCGGTTGGATACAAGCATGACGAGTACTTGGCGGCAGGCCCGAGGGTGGAGATGATGAACTCCGTAGGAACCTATCAATCATGTCAATCCAGGAGCTTCGAGGTGAGGCTAGCACGCACCTCGTAGTGCTGCTCGTTAGCCTTGTCCGTGTGGTCGGCAATCTCCGTCCGTCTCTTCACGCCTTCAATCCAGGCCATTTTGGCAGCATGCTTCTCTGCGAAGGTGCTAAAGTCGTTATCAACATCGGGATATGATTTCGGGAGGATGCACGTACCTCTTGCCTCCAAGAATCATGTCGAGCCATGACCCTCCACCATCGCCTATTTCTCGCAGCCTCTTTCGGAGCAGAGCGCGTATCGCAATGCGTACGATGAAGTCAGGTATAGCACCCTAAGCATATATTGGTGATACGGCACAGAGGGACATTGTCTGGAAGACATACGCGATCGAGCAGGTCGTACGCGGCATCCTCGAGCTGGTCAAGGACGGACATGGCGGAGGAGTGAAGCGCTCAGACGTAGTGGTTGAAACCGAGGATGCTTCCCTTGGATCGTCATAGCGTCGAAGCTCATCGAGCCGAGTACGACAGTCAACCGCGTCGGATCGCCGATGATGACAGACGCGAACAACGCGCGATGAACGCGAACAGTAACGTCACGTCACACCGTATCGCGCGCGAACTGCTTGCAAGGGAATTGGCTTACGATGACCAGACTACTACAAATACAGTGTAAGGTATCAATATTGTGTGAGACTGAGAGAGCATGCAAGAACCCGAACCATGGAATCCCCAACTATCGTGACGCTGCTCGCCTCCATCATAACTTAGACATCGCTGTACCCAGGTGGAGGCGCAGACATGTTGTTCATCATGTCCCGCTGTTGGTCGTGAAGCATAGCAATCTCTGCTTGCAGACTTTCTATCTGCCGTCGTAACGCTTCTTCGCCGGAGTTAGAGGCAGCAGGCGCCGGTCCGTGCTGATCCTGCAGTGCTGCAATCCTCGCCTCCATATCCCGCACCCGCGTATCGAGTGCCGTTTGCGTCTTGGACGTGGAAGGCGATGAACCAGTAGGGGAAGACACGGAAAGGGACCCAGCGTCCGAAGGAGTGCGATGGGAGGCACCTAACGGGGATAGCGACTTTGTTGGTGAATTAGCCGCCACTGAGAAATATTGAGTGATAAACCGACAAAGCGGCCGAAACGACGCACCTTCTCCAGTAGCTATCGGCGAGACGGTTGGTGGCTCGGGTGCAGGATAGGGATTCACAGTAGGGTAGCTCTTTCCGCGAACCTCGCCATCACTGAGCAGCACAGACGACCGACGAGCTCGTCTTCTGCGCAAGAAGAAGAACAGGGCGACAGCAAAGGCTGCCGCCCCGACCACGCCGCCAACAACGCCTCCGACGATCGCACCAACATTGGCTTTCGAATTGTATTTGGGGCTCGCGGCCGTGGTAGGGGCAGCAGAGGCTGATGTTGTTTCGGAGGGATCATCGTCGTAACTGAAGAGGGCCTGTCAATACTTACTGACAAGAAGGAGCTGCAGAACTGGACGTACGTATAGGTGAAATAGTCGAAGAGCATCAATGATGACCCCGAGACGCCGCTCCCGCCGGCGATGTTCACGATCAACTCATGCGAGTCGTTCTCCAGTTCTGAGACCGTGTACACTGCGCACCAGGCCCAGTCAGTCTCGCTATCGATGGCAACACGCAGAAAGTTGATGCCAAACGCGGGAGACGCACCGGGTACATTGTAGAAGTAGTCCGTCACGTTCTCGGGGTCGTGATGGTAGTTGCCCGCGTCCTGGCCGTCGAGGGTAAAGTCGTAATTCGCCATAGTCCCGGTTCCCTCAGAGACGTTGTTAGCGATAACGCAATAGACGTATAGCGCTGTTCCTGTACAGCCCGGTGAGGAAGCCATGAGGTTATTCGGTATGCCGATACGCACCGGTGAACTGGATGGTCATGGTTGTGTCCTGTGTGTCAATGGTGTCGTCGTCCGTTGTATGATGCCACGTCCCGTTGTAGACGGTATTTCGGTCAGGCATAGCTCTGCAGCCTGGAGAAGCAGAGGAGATCAGCCCGTCTGAGCACAAAGCTGAATATGAACGCACGCACTCTCGCAAAGCTGTCCCTCGAACCACGCCCCTGCTGGATCGTAGCTGATGCTCGCTACATTGTTCCCGGGCATATCGTCGTCCAAAGTGATGTTCCGTGGCCTCGCGTGCGCGCAAGCCGCCAGCAAAGCAACAACAACAACCCGAGTCGTCATACTCCCCAGTCCTATCCACGAACGGGCTTCTCGATGAGGGGAAGAGAAGAGAGATGCGCCGACGATATTTTCCCAAGCACCGCTATCAAGTAGTGGATAGCACCGGTCCCTTGACGATTGGCGGCACGGAGGGAGCGTGAACCAGAAGGGAGGCGCGCATGATGAGCGCTCGGGCATGCCTTAAGTGTTCCAAGAGCGCTGATCTTCCTGATCGCGCCGGCGCCTCCCATTCAGTGCCTGTCCAGTACAGCTGCAGGGGTTCAGTGAATAGCGGCGGCGTCGGCGGTAGCACTAACCTGGTAATAGCCGTCATGGGGTCGAGAAGTAGGGCATGCGCAAGTGCCACAAAGTGCCTTCATCACTACTGCAGTTCTTGAATCGGTAGACCTGACTCCCTCATACCCAACTTGGTTGCCTGGTACCTTCAGAGACGACCTTCGCAATCCAGCGCGCGCACGAAAGTGTCCGCGTCGTTGATTTGGGCTTGAGAACAATAGAAGGCATGTGGGTGACGGTAGTGCGGAAGTTCCGATAAACATGTGCAAATACTGACCTACTTCCACTGATTGTTTCCTCTGGACTGCACCGCACGCGAGCTTGCGTGTCGTCCCAGCCCAGCCCAGCGCTCATGCTTACAGAATCTGATGTCCATGACGCTATCCATTGCTCTAGCCAGATAAAAATACATGATTGAGAACTACCGTGCTCGGAATGATTTTGCACCTATAGCGCTGCCTTCAAGAACTTCGCATCCACACCGTCCGCCGCCGCCAGATACGGCATCAAGTCCGAGGTCAAGAACTCGCTCGGCCAGGTGGCCTTGATCTGCGACTTCAAGTACTGGACGGTGACCTGCAACTCCTTCTCCTTCACCGCGGGCGCGATCTTGCTCACCGTCGGCGCGATCTCGTCGATGAGCTGCTCGACGTACGGCGCGGTGACGATCTCGCCGGTGTCGAGGCGCGAGGAGTAGTGCACCCACTGCCAGAGCTGAATGCGCGTGATCTCCGCTGTGGCAGCGTCCTCCATGAGGTAGTTGAGCGGGATGCAGCCGTTGCCGCCGATCCAGGACGCGGTGTAGGCAAGGCAGGTGGCGACGTTGGAGCGGACGCCGGCGTCGGTGATCTTGCCTGGCACCTTGGTGTCGAGCAAGTTGCTGGCGGTGACCTTGACGTCCTCGCGCAAGACGTGGTACTGGAATGGGCGTAAGCATCCATTCAAGGTTCTGCAATGAGAAGACGTACCTGATTCGGGCCCAGCATGTGAGAGTCGAAGGCCTCCCGGGCGATCTTGTTGATGAGCGGGTGGGCAATCCAAGTACCGTCGTGTCCTGCAAGTACTTCGCGCAATTTGTCCGCCTTGACCTTCGCCATCGCCTCGTCGTTCGCCTTCGGGTCGTCCTTGATGGGGATCTGAGCAGCCATTCCACCCATAGCAGCAACTTTGCGCCTGATTGAGGGTTAGTACGCATCACAAGGACAAGTTCAGGTAGGACATACTTGTGGCAGGTCTGGATGAGCAGACGCACGTAGGCGTCCATGAAGGGAACCGTCATGGTCACATCGGAGCGGTTGGGAAGGACAGCGCTGGCATCTGCTCTCCGCTTCTTGATGAAGCTGAAGATGTAGTCCCAGCTGTGATGCGCATGAATATCAGGCAGCAGGCATATCATGTGAAAGAACATACCGTCCACAGTTGAGACCAGATGAATGCTGCCTCAACTCGAAGAGGATCTCTTCCATGTGGAAGGCGGCCGGAATAGTTTCTATGAGGACCGTGGCGCGGACGGTGCCGTGCGGCAAGCCAACGTACGACTGCGAGAAGTTGAAGATGTCGTTCCATAGGCGCGCCTCCAGATAGTGCTCCATCTTCGGCAAGTAGAAGTACGGTCCCGTGCCCCGCTGAACAAGCTCCTTGGCATTGTGGAAGAAGTACAGGGCGAAGTCGAAGATGGAACCGGAAACAGGCGCTCCATCGACAGTCACGCGGGGCTCGTCAAGGTGCCAGCCACGGGGTCTGCATAATAGGGTCAGTCTCACGCAGGAGAAATCAACTTCATGATGACGCACCGGACGATGAGGACGGCCGGGTTCTGGCTCAGCTTGTACGCCTTGCCATTCGAGTCGAAGTCGATCTGGCGGCGGATGGCGTCGCGCAGGTTGAGCTGGCCGTTCACCATGTTGGCGAACGTCGGTGCGTTCGAATCTACGATATGTGAGACAGGAGTCGACGATAAGGAGGTCTGGTGACGCACCCTCGAAGTCGGCCATGAAGGTCTTAGCCCCGCTGTTGAGGGCGTTGATGACCATCTTGCGGTCAGTGGGACCAGTAATCTCCGTACGGCGATCCTCAAGTCCAGGCGCGGGTGGCGCGCAGTGCCACGATGGCTCAGCACGGATGTGCGCGGTCTCGGGAGGGAAGTCGAGCGGCGCGCCAGCATCCCACTTACGCTGGCGGTCCTCGCGAGCGCGCAAGAGGTTCTGGCGGGTGCTCTCGAAGGTACGGTGGAGGGCAGAGAGGAACTTGAGCGCGTCCTCGGTGAGGATCTCGCGCTGAGCGTCGGACGCAGCGTTAGAAAGGATCTGTACGCCTGCAACCATGATGAGAGGAGAGGATGGGTGGGTTTGTGAGGCAGCCTGACTCGGGAGGGTCAGGCTCTTAAATGCTGGGCGGGGCTCCGCCCTTCGTCCGTGCTCCGCACCAGCCGAGGGGAGCCGATCATGTTGTCGAATTCACATGTCACTGCAATCCCTCTCCGCTTTGACGCTGTGACGTCGCACGTGCCATTCAATCCCGCCCCCGGATCCCGCGGCACCTCCGTCGTCGTGAAAGTTGTCCGCCCCCGCCGCCGGAAACGACGATGGGTCATTTTTGCCCCAGCGGCGTGCGAGATTCTGCGGACTGCCGCATAATACCAATATCTGGAACTCCCATGAGATAACGCTCAGGCGATAGAGACGTGGCACTCACCTTCTCGCTTCCTGCTATCGCCGTCGTCCGCGAGGAGGTCGACGCTGGCTGGATCGATTCATACAAGACACCCTGCGCGCATTCGAATCCATTTGTCCGGGAAAAACGACTTACCTTTGCTCTGCGAAAACTTGCGAAGCGTTCCAGGCCGGTTCGAACGTCTCTACACTGTGTATGTCGACTCGTGTCATCGTTCAGACTCGTGAGAAGGACATGACATTCGCACAAATACAAAACGAGGAGACTATGACTCCTTCTTAGCATCCGGAGCAGGTGCGTCAGTAGAAGCAGTATCTTCCGGCAACGCTGAAAGCCAGGGTTAATCAGTAAGCTCTGTGGCAAGGCTGCCCAACCCACCGTTCAGGCCTTGAATCCCCCGCGCGCCTGCCTTGATCACCCTCCTGCAGGCCATTTGGTATACATACACGCTAACCGAGCCTGAGATGTGTGGATTAGCAGCGGTCTTCGGTGGCGAAAGACAAGGATACGCACCAGTCGGCGCCCACGGCCAGGAAAGAGGCCTCTCGAAGGGTCCAAACCAGCCCTTGGGCAGGAAAAACACAGGGGACGACCTGTAGTATGCACCCGCGACCAACAGCAGTCCAGAAGTGAGAATCCAGATCGCGGTGTTGAACTTCATCGTAAAGGCGCTCTTCGCGGCTGCGAGTTCCTTGTCTGCATAGTCGGTTCGTCAGTCGATGGTCCCCTCTCCATACAAAGGCACGCACTGGTAGTCTCGATGTCCGCGAGGCCCTTGTCCACAGAGCGCCTCAGTTTCGCCCACTTCGCAAACTGGTCTTGCGCGCTTGTGTTCAGCATGGCCGCCTTATTCGCGAGCGTCTCCTTCTTCAGCTGGCGCTGCTTGCTGTGTGTTTTCGATAGGAAAACACGAGCATAAAGTCCGAAGGCCTGTCGGAGACATCCAGTTCAGTTGAAAGCTTCATTACCCCAAGAAGACCACACACCAAGTCGGCAAGGACAGTCTTGCCAATGACCGCGATGAGTTCCGTAATGAAGATGAGAATGAACAGAGTCTCGATGAGACCCATGTTAACGATGACCGAATGGCCGCCCGGAGAGAGTGTAGAGGGTGTGGGGAACGAGGAGGTCGGCTGCAAGGCGCGATGTGATCGACGCGTACACGTCGGTATCGCGGAGCTCGGGCCGAATTCCATCAATGCTGAGCGGCCTGAGCGCTTGTCGGGCGCATCCGCCAGCCAGTTGCCTGCAACCTTGACAAGAACCGAGGAACTGTCGCATATGCCACCTTATTCTCAAACAACCACGAGGTGTTTACTGAGCCTTCGTGCAACAAGGTCGTCGCTGTCTTACAGCCTCAACACTCCTCGGCTTCAAGTAAAATATACCGGATGCATTCACGGTAAGGGTCGTACTCATTACATGGCGACGTACTTCGTACTAGGCATTAGTAGAGGCGTGATAGACTACGGGGGAAATCTGAGTGATCATGATAACTCCACCGGCAAAGCGCGCTACACAGCGTATTCATGATGCTCGTAAATCGTCTTGTTATCCTTGAACATCGGCGAGGGCGCCGTCACGCTATGTCCGGCTTCCGTGGAGGCCGTCTGGGACCCATGATGGCGAAGCGTGGTGCCGCTTGAGATGGTAGAGGCCGTTGCGCGGGGATGGGTTGCCGGTGGACGCGCAAGGTTTGCGGCGGTGGCGGGCAATAGGAAGCCTCCCGTTTGCGCCGTTTCTGAGGGCAGAAAGGGTGTTGATCAAGGAGCAGAGGTGATGGAAGATCAAGTGTAGATGGGTGTGGATGAATGTGGCAATTTGCGAGACGGTGATGAGCGCAGTTAAGTGAGGGATGTCGAACGCAGCGTACCTGCCTCTGCTTGATCCAGCCTTGCACGCCGACGCGATTCATGCCACCGACGAAAGAGGCATGAGCAGAACGCCAGTAGCAAGAGCACGACGAGCATACTCCCGAGTAGCGCGCAGACGATCACAACTACGGTCTCAGTGTGGCTCTCGGGATGGCCATCATCGTCGAGGTCGATGTTATCGAAGCCGTCGTCTCGCGCGCGGAGTGTCCGCCATGCATGGTATACGGAGCCTGTATCAGCCAGTCAATTAAGGCCAGGGCTTGAGAGACTGCAATTCGCACCAGACTGTGATACCGCGTGTGAGACCTCTCGGGCGAGCTGTTGGGTGGCGAGGGATGAGGGCGCCATGGCAGAGCAAGCGAGAGAAACTGCTCGATGGGATTGGCCGACCTTTATACGGCGCCCGACCCTGAGCTTCGTCGAAGCTATCCGGAGCTAGGGCCGGCGCTTCGAAGCAGATCCTGGGGTAGATCAAGACTCAGAACGCATGCCCGGGGAAAATACCGTCATTTCTCGTAATTTTTGGGCGCGTGCCACCTTTCTGCTGGCACTTTGAATGTTTGTCTGAGCCAGCTGACCGCCTGGGGGTGCTAGCAGCCGTTGCGAGGTCGCCAAGCAAGCCTGCACGACGTTTGTGCGGTGAAAGGGTGGAAATCCGCCAGGCGGTTGGAGCAAGAATTCATTTGATGGCGGTCTCCACGGCCGCCTCCCGCACAGAAAGGAAAGTCCGCGAAGCGTCTGCGACCAGCATATGCAGACAAAGGAGTGCTGTGGATGCCAAGTTTATGCACGAGGCCGGCGAGGGGGCAACGAGGGGGATGAGTGGAGCGGCGATTTCTCTCACAAGTTGGCATGCCGAGCGGAGTAGAATTCACATCTCCGAGCCTACAGTTGCAGCAGTCAATGGTGCGCATAGTTCATGCATGACATAGAGGACACATAGTGGTAAACGGTGAGCTCGGTAGCCCCCTCGAAGTATGATACAACATCTCTCGTGCAGCGGATATAGCCAGCAGCTTAGATGTTGAGCTTCGTCCGCCTCCAGTGACGGCGCTTGGCGTTGTACTGCAGCATTGATCAGCACAGATACTCTCCCCCATCGAGCTAAGCACACACCTGGATCTTCGTGTCCGTCTTCAACCGGAACCACTGAGGGATGGGCCTTCAGAAGGGTCAGTATCGCTCCCGATCATCATCGAAAATCGTGCGCACCGGTTCTGGCGGCTGGCCTTGGCGAGAATGCGCTTCGTGCGGAAGGTCTTTTGGGAAGGCTGAGGGGAGGGATGTCAGATCAACAACGATGAGCTCGGGCAGCGGGGCCAGCGCACCATTGCCGTCGACGAACAAGGGAGGATGTAGAAAAAATAAGGTTCAGACGAATCACAAACAAGAGCGAGACGGCCGCTGCCGAGGTTCGGCACGCGGAAGCCTTTGCACAACACGCTTTGACCAGCGCGACTTCGACGCGACGTGGCGTTGTACCGCTGCGGTTCATCTCAACCGTGACGACTCTCACTCCAACTTGTCACGATGCAGCTCCTCAACGTTCTCTTTGGCCTTCTCTTTGCTATTGTTGTGGCTGCGCAAGACGCAGGAGCTCCGAAAGAGCTTGTCATTGAGACGACTTACGCTCCCCCTGAGTGCCCCATAAAGTCCCAGAAGGGAGACGTGGTCAAAGTTCACTACGTTCGTGTTTTGCTCTGTGAATGCATACCCCTTCAGCTGGTCTCAACTATCCTTGACAGACCGGCAAGCTGTTCTCGAACGGCCAGAAGTTTGATTCGAGGTTTGCCTTTGCCATTCTCTGTTAGTAAACGAAGTCCACTTACATCTTGCAGTTTGGACCGCGGAACACCCTTCTCAGTGACGCGTGAGTGCATGCTTCGATCTTCTGTATGTACTAATATACTCAATTTCCTGTAGTCGGTCAAGGCCGTGTCATCAAAGGTTGGGACGAGGGGCTCTTGGGCATGTGCGTGAACGAGAAGCGCACACTCACCATCCCACCTAACCTGGCTTACGGTTCGTATACCGGCCCTACTTGTGTCTCTGACTTCGTCTTGACATAGTTCGATTTCTAGGCTCTCGCGGCGCTGGTCGTGGTGTCATTCCCGGACACGCCACCCTCATTTTTGACGTCGAGTTGGTCGAACTCGAAAGCAAGGGGCCGCGCGAGGAGCTGTGATGGCTTGGGCAGCATCTTCTGCACTCGATGACTTATTTGCATAGAGTTACTTACTGAAGGGCCCAAGAATGATGTCTTAGTCCATGTGCAGCGTCGCGAGTCAACCAATCATCGACTAGGGTGGCTTCAACAACAAACTATCCATTCCGAAGTGCGATGTACAGCCGAAAACGACGTGCACGCAAATAAATAGCAAAATACCCGCAATCCTTTAGTTGACGTCGCACACCTTGCCCTCAACCCGCTTCTCAAGACCGCTGTACATCTCGATGGACTTGATGTGGGTAATGGAGACCGCGGTGGGCGGGCCAGCAGACCAGTACGGGTCGCCGTTGCTCCAGACGTTCCAGAGACCGTTAGCGGCCTGAGTGGGAACCTACATTCAAGTCAGCATGGGTACTTCGTGAGCGAAACACGATCACTTACGTTCTCGGTGTGCTGGGCCTTCTGAACGCCATCGATGTAGAAGGTGGTCGAGGACTCCGTCCACTGGGTAACCATGTCAGCAAGGCGTGCGGGCGCGTTGCGCGCGGAAACTCACGTCAATGCGATATTCGTGGTAATCCGCAGCCGGGTCGAAGTCGAACGGCACGTTCACCGAGGTGGACTGCCCGCCCTCCTGGAGCGCCTGGTTGGTAGCCCAAACGCCCGCAGGGACGGTGTCGCTACCCTCAAGCGACGTAGTCGTGAGGAGCTCCCAGTCAGCCTCGTTGTTGTCACCCTCTGCAAGAAAGTTGGATCCCTGCCACTCGAATGCGCATTGCATCCCACTCACTGTAGAAGAAGAGACCCTCGCAGACGCCCGGAACACCGCTCGACTTGAGGACGGTACGGAGGGACCCGTACAGCGTCGTCTGGTCGCTGGCAATCTCAGCGCTGTAGACGTAGTCGCCGCCGTCGTAGGCGTTGACGACGAGGTCCAGCGAGCCATCACCGAGTTTCACGTTCTCCGGTCTGAAGTAGTGTGCAACAGACCCCGACCCGGCACCGACGGGGTAGTCGCTGATGCTGAGCCCAAAGCTCCTGGAGTGGGGGTGAGTGCAGGTATTTCTGGTATTTCGTACGATACTTACTGAAGGAGAGCATTCGCGTCACCGCCTGCCGTGGCAGTAGAGAAGTCCGCCTTGACGACGTCGGTGAAGGCACCTTCAATATCCCTGACCTTGTACGCGCTGCAGTCGGAGGCGAGCACGCCCTTGGCGGCAAGTGCAGCACCAGCGAGAACGGCAAGAGAGGCCATAATAAGCAATTAAGAAAGAAATACTGATCGGGGAAAGAGGGTGGGAGAAGAAGTAGATGGGTGCTCCCGAGGTGCCTCAGACACTTATATACGACGGCTGCACCGCCGCAGCCGATGGGTCGATGAGACGATGAGTGATCGTGGATCACGACAGGCAATAGACGGTGAGTGTGGGGACCGCATTGCGCAGATCAAACAGGGGCAAAGTCAGTCTGCTGAGGGCTCCAGGTCACTGCAGACATGTTTCTGAAGTGCTATGGTAAGCTTTCGCGATGGGCCCATTGACGACGCGGCGCGACGGGCAAAGGTTCGTCAGGTCTCGAGGTATGCATCGGGGTATTGATGGGTCGTTGAGCCGCCGTGGGCGCTGCCTCAGCATGCGGCCGTTGGCCCGCTCCTCAAGGACGGTGCCAAGTGACACTTGCGGCCACGATGAAGAGAGAACAGAGTGACCGTTCGCCCTGGCCAACGGTGATGATGACGACGAAAGTACGAGGTTCATGACAAAGAGGTCCTTCAGAGCCGCGCTCGCGAGCGCACTCGGGAAGGTGCGAAAGAGGTTGAAGACATATGCAGTCGGCAAAGTCCGTGATGGAGCAGCCTCGTGTCGTCTCGCCGCGCCCCTCGACGCGTGGACGCGCCTTCGCCTTCCCCCTCGCCGTCACTGTTCTGTACACGCCGGACAACGGCTGACGCGCGCCGCTCTCTCCCTCTACTGGCGACTCTGATCTATCGACGCGTCGCGAGACTCCTCGCCGAGGTCTTGCAGGAGTAGAGGAATCCAGGCGCGAAGGGTTTGAATAAAGAGGATGTCGTCCCTGCAAGGCTACGTCGATCGTGAGTTCCTCTGCATTGTTATCTAACATCCGTGAACTGATCTGGCTCTCCTACGGTCAGGTCGCGTACTGCTTGTGTTGCAGGATGGACGAACGATCGTGGTGAGCATGCTCCCCCTGCTTTGACCACAAATTCTTTGTGTTCACCTCCACCCAGTCTCTGCCGTCCTGCCCCCCTTCGAACCCCATCTTCCTCTGTCACTGATGTGGAAGCCCGGTCATCTTACTCACGCGTCTACGTAGGGTGTTCTAGCTGGCTTTGACCAAAAATCGAACATCATCCTGTCCGAGTGCCGTGAGCGCGTCTACTCCATGGATGAGGGCGTGGAGGAGATCCCACTCGGGCTATACATCGTGAAGGGGGACATGATGTGCGTCTCATCTTCCCTCGCTCGACGATCCCACTGACCGCGCTCGCAGATGCTTGATCGGAGAAATAGACAATGACCGCGACGCAGCAATTGACATATCCACTATTCGCGCCGAGCCAATCCCACCAATTCGATACTAGTGGTTGCTTGTCGCCTCTTTTTACCCTCCAGCGCGTCAGGCCCGACGTGTGCGCGTGACAGCGTATCGCGCGCATGCGATCGCGTATGCAGACAACCGCCCGCGAAAATCCTTGGGCCAAATGGCCCCTCGATCCCCCTCATCACCTCCTGCGGCAGATTTTTCTTATCGAGCCCTTGTATCGAAGGATAGCGACCCTATTCATTTCGCGCCTAAGGAGGCTTCGTGGCCGACTACCTTGGCTTGTACAGTGCGCGCGTGTTGCAACTCTATGTATCCTTCGAAACTGATATTAACTCATGCAAAAACGTTGTATCTGTCGTTCGGACAACATACTGAGAGCACATTTCTATCTGACTCAAATGGATGTGCTAGATTTTATACGGCGAAGGCCTATAAATATGGTAGATCGTTAAACACGTTCTCTTCTACTACGAGGTCCGTGCATATAACCTGAATAACCTGGGAGCAAAGATTCGTTAAGTACAGGCAGAGTCAACCAGTCCGGGGTACATAGCGCACGACAGTCCATCATCCACCAACTTCTACCACGACTGCCACACAAGTGGCTATCAGGACGACAAAGCAATAGGTGCGTCTAAACCACGCTGCGCGACGAGTGAATGGCGGCCATCTTACCCTCGTCGTTGAGCGGCTGCATCACATAGGGCAGCGACGTGCTGCTCGTGACGGGCACCAGGCGCGTCGGCCAGAGCCAGGCGTAGAGCGACATCGCGAGCCACAGCGGAAGCGAGTCGAGCAGGTAGAAGAAGCCCTCGTGCATCATCACGTAGCCGCGGTACCTATCGACGGAGTCAGCTTGCTGGTACAAAAGGAAAGGTTGGGCAACGAAAGGTGGAGAAGAGAATATAAGGCGGAAAGGAACTCACCCGCCCTTGAATTCGACAATACGGAAGATGCAGCGGACGATGATGGCGACGGACGTCAGGCACATGACACTCCAAAGGAGGCGCCAGTTGTGGAAGGGGGTGATCTTGAAGAAGCCGAAGGTGGACCAGACGCCCTCGCCGGTGCCGATTTTCCAGATCTCAGGGTGCATGGAGCGACTGTACAACGACGTGAGCACAGGACTTTTAAGCCGCAAATGATGGATACTCACGCCCTCCAGCCAAAGCGAAGCATGAGCAGGGTGAAGAGCGCGAAGGAGAGAATCTGGATGATGAGACCGGCGAGCGCGATCTGCATTGCAGTAAGTACGACGATGCATTGAAGAAGGTCAGTCAGCTCACGTTGCTGCCAATGTCCGCCATGTCCTCGTTAACTTCCAGGCCTGAGCCGCTCGCCTGGACGAAAAAGGTGATCACGTCGCTCCAGACGAAGAGCTTGACGATGATGGACGACTTGAGCCAGAGGCAGTCCTTGGCCACCTCGTCGCCCAGGCTCTCCGATAACTTGCGGAGAAGGACGTAGTCTACGGCAAGAAAGGCGCAAGGCTAGAGAAGGTCAGATTGAGCAGGACTCGTTGGAGTTGCGACGAACCGAAAGCAAGGTGAACTGCACGAGAGGTAAGTTCATGCTATACTATAGATGAGGGTGGGACGCACGATGCTCTGTAGGGAATACCAAGGGATAGAGTAGATGTTATCGCCTTGGGTGTATATGATACGGAAGACAAAGCCCATGGCCATAGCTGCGGGGACAGTAAGTCAGAGGGAACAAACTAGTTGGGGTTGGTACTCACTGTACATGCTGATCGTCAATGTGAGCATGTAACGAGGTCTACCGGTCCTGAACCAGTCTAAGTTCTGAGTCAGAGGATAGGTCGATGGAGTGGCGGAAGGGAGGACGCACGTATCCAATGTAGTGTGCCAGAGAGGAAGTATAGGGCGGCAAACAACACTGCCGGCCATATCTTGGGTATAAATCCGGCGCTGTAAACGCTGTTAGCACCAATGTCAGGCGTAAGGATAGTGGAACGTACATGATAAGTGGGTCCCCATTTTCATCCAGACGCGCCTTTGACGGAAGAAGTTAGTGGCTGCACTTGACTCACATGGTACGGAGGACTCACTGCCTGAACGGGAACAATAGCTGCCAAAAGGCATGCGCAGATGCTGAGAAGGGAACCAGTCCGGATACTCATGTCCTGAGGTGTGAGGGTGTGTGGGCAGCATCTTTTCCCTGCTCGATCTTATAGACCACAACCCAATGTCCTCGGTGGTCATTCTCGTCACACCTGTTATGCTGGTTTTAGCCAATCCTCACTACGTGCACGTTTTGGCCGAGGGGGTTTCGGCAACTTCCGAGAGGCTTTCGGCTGTGGCAGTGTATCGTGCCTGCCTGTTTTCGCCACAAAATCACCGCCTTCAGCCTCCAGCGCTGATCGTCCCGCACCGCCAAGCGCTATCATCCAGGATGACCAACCGCGTTCGCGGCATGCCGTTGCTTATCCTCGCTGTTCTGAATTTTCTCGTTCTGGGCGTTGTCGTATCCGTGCGATATTACAGGCAACGATATCATGTACTCGGCGTCGCCACACAGGCCTATGTCATCTCCCTCCCACGACGCGACACCCGCCGCACAGATATGCAGCGCCTTGCCAGAATGATGGGCACGAGCTGGAACTTCGTCGACGCAACCGACATGACGGACTCGGCCGTCTCCCGAATTTTCAGCAACGTGCGTCACACCCGCGAAGCTGCGCTCGCAGACCTCGACCATGGATCCTATACTCAGCTCTCTGACGAGATCGATATTCCCTTCGCATGGCCTGAGGATATCGACTACCTGGCGGCTGGCAACTCTCATGTACCCTCTGCCACCTCCGATCTCTGGCCGACTCTGTCTGCCAGTTCTCCTCCGACTCCCTGGCAAATGGCTTGTGCAGAGTACGACTTCACGCTGTCTCCCTATACTTCAAATACGCCGAGTTGGCTGCTTCTCACACCCCCACGCGTAGCCTGCTGGCAGTCTCACATCTCCGTCATCCGCCGCATAGTCGACGAAGGTCGGGACGGGCCCTTCATCATCCTTGAAGACGATGTGGATATGGAGAAGGACACAGCGCGTCGGCTACGTGATCTATGGCCTCTGCTCCCTTCAGACTGGGACGTCGTCTTTCTCGGTAGGCGCAATGCTATAAACGTCGTCACCCATCTGACTCATCTTCGCAGGTCACTGCTGGTCGAACGAAGCGCACCACCCTCCACTCAACCCTGACCACTCCCCAACCTTTCCCTTGCGACAAACCCGACTGCACCCCTCCATGGCCCCGAAGTGCACTCACGCATACGCTCTCTCGCGAAGTGGCGCACGGCGACTTCTGCTGCACCTCCGACACGCTCCGTTCGCGTACTCTCGGGCTATCGACCAAGCCTTCGCCTGGCTTGTCACTACCAAGCGTATCAAGGGCTTCTCCGTCGTCCCCAGCGTCGTCATTCAGCGGAAGGCGGACAACAGCGACATCAATACCAATACGACGAAGGCATGGAAGGACGATTTGGCTGATGGATGCTTCGCTCATTAGACATTGTATGGCTGGTTCTGTTCTAAGTACATCAAAGTCCGTTTACGCGGTGATATATAATGCAAACATCGCAGAGGGATTATACATGGGCGGAGCTCCTCTACGACGACTGTTCTTGTCTCTCGCCCTGCTGACCTGGGCTTTGGGTCGCCTTGCGGCCTGCTCGAAGAAGTGATATCAACAAAGCAAGTTCTCGAATAAAATAAGCAGTCCAAAGTCGCAAATAAAGACCCAGTTCGTGGATATCTACACCGCACTGAGCGAAGAATGGACCGTCGTGCGCTTACCCTCGTCCGTAAGCGGCTGCATCGCGTATGGGTTCGAAACCACAGTCTGTAAGCGTGTTGGCCAGAGCCACGCGTAGAGCGTCATGGCGATCCAGAGAGGTAGCGAGTCAAGGACGTAAGAGTAGCCTTCGTGCATCATCACGTATCCACGCGAACTGGTGAAAAAACGTGTATGTCAGCGATACATGTCGGCAGGAACGTGTAAGAAATTGCGCACCCTCCCTGGTACTCGACGATGCGGAAGATGCAACGGATGATGATGGCGATAGTGGTCAGACACATCACGACCCATAGTATGCGCCAGTCTTGGAAGGGCGTGACCTTGAAGAAGCCAAAGTCCTTCCAGTACGACTCTCCAGCGCCTATTCTCCAGATTTCGGGATGTGCAGTGCGGCTGGGAAAGGATGGTCAGAGCGGAGCTTCTGGGAAGGGGATAATGTAGACGTACGCCCTCCATCCGAAGCGGAACAGCAGCGCCGTAAAGAATAGGAAAGACAGAATTTGCAGGATGAGGCCGGCTAGCGCGATCTGTACATGTAGGTGTTAGACGCTGTAGAGCAGGGTCCGGGGGACATCGAGTACTCAGAGTACTCACACTACTGCCGATCTTATCCAACTTGTCACTTGCCTCTAAACCCGCGCCATCGGCTTGGACATTGAAGGTAATAAAGTCACTCCAAACGAAGAGCTTGACGATTAGGGAGGAGCGCAGATAGAGACAGTCCTTCGCCGCCTCTTCGCCTAGACTGTCGGCGAGCTTCTGGAGGAGGATGTAGTCCACTGCGATGAAGGCGCAGGGCTGCCACTGTGCTTGAGTGCACTCATTAGGGAGCTGACAAGAACGCGACGTACTGAGAGTAGGATGAACTGGTGGGTAGTGAGTATCCATAGACTACCATGCAACAAATGAAGGGACGTACAATGCTTTGTAGGAGATACCATGGGAGTGAGTAGACGTTATCGCCTTGACTGTAAATGATACGGAATACGAAGCCGAGTACAGTTGCTGTGTGATAGCATGAGTATCATGAGGTCGGAAGTGACGAAGTAGTACTTACTATACATGCTGATTGTCAAGGTCAGCATATAGCGCGGTCGACCGGTCCTGAAATAATCTGAATGAGTTGTCAGCGAGCTTGCCTTGCGTACGGGCAGAGAAAACCATAGCTCACGTATCCAATGAAGTGTACCCGAGACAAGATACAAGCCAGCGCATACGGCAGCAGGCCATACTTTGGGCCTGAAGCCAGCACTGAAGAAAGTATCAGCGCGAACACGCACGGGGAGAGAATCACTATCCGCACATAATTACAGGATTGCCATCGTCATCCTTGATGGCCTGAAATAATGCCATGAGGTTTCTGTCCTTCAACAATACACGCAAGGGAGCCACTCACCTTCACTGGATCTACCAATCCTACCAAGCACACCAAAAGGCTCAAGAGCGAAGCCGCCTTCCAAAAGCTCATCGCGCAGCAAGCAAAACAGCACTGTTCTACTGCACGCCATCCAGCCCCCGTCTCCCTTATACCCTGCCACCCTAGGATCCTCGCAGACGATGCGCATAACCCAGTTGGTGTCAATCGGAACCGAGGTCCCTTTCCGCGCCTTCCGAGTGGGCTAGCACGTGGCAAAACGTGGCCTGTGGGCGCTGGTTGCCACAAAAGCCACAGCGCTTCCGACAACGCCAAGAGTAAGCTGACACGAAAGCGGCTGGAGAGCGTACCTGGAGGACTCCTCATGATGAGCTCCGCGGACGGCGGTCGCATTCAATGTCGGCGGTGGACATGTGTATTCAATGTTTGGGTTATACAAGGGTGGCGCATCGAGATCTCTACTGTCCTGGAACAGAGGGAATAAGTACAGAACGTCCAGAAGGGCGTCAAAACAAGGTACACGATAGTAGGCAAAGAAAGCTGTCCGAAGAAAGCGAGGGGATGGCTGAGGGTGAAAAGCTGTTCGAACTTCCAAAGAGTGAGTGACCCAGCGACCAAGCGACCAAGCGCGTGTGCTATCTACAAGCTAGAAAAAGGAACTCAGTAATACAACGTCCGGGCAAGGTGTAACATGAAGGAGAAGTTAAGGCTGCGAACGTATGAATATATGCTGTTCAGAAGGTAGGCGATGATCGGGAAATGAAGCCGTGGCAGCGCTGGAGTCTCAAAAATCAGGCGACTTGGGACGACGGCCCAAACTGCCCACCCTTCCCAGACTATCCAGCCAGCTACTCGGCCCACTCGCCGCCAGCTTCTCGTCCACCTGCAAGGTCCGCAGCAACCGCTGCGCCAACAGGGCCTCCTCCAGATCGAAGGCGCTCTGCTCTGCCTGCTCGCCTTCGCCGGCGCCCGTGAGGCTCTTCTTCGCCCTCAGCGTCGGCGGCATTTTCCTCGGCTGCACAATCGTCACAGCCGCGGCCGGCGGGGGCGCGATCATGGGCAGAGAGCCCCATGCACTGAGCCGAGTCGCGTCCGTGAGCGGGTACGATTCGTAGTCCGGCTGAATCGCGGGCGACGCGTTCAGGACGGGTGCAAAGGGATCGCGAAGTGCGGTGCAGTCCTCCGAGGGGGTTGGGGTGACAGCGCGGCAGATTTCCTTGGACGTCTCAACGTGGACAGGGCAAGGAAAGCACGGGGAGGCGTCAATTGGCGTGTTGGCGGCCGAGCAGTACGTGGACGCGGTGGTCATGAAGCGCTTGATCGGGTTGCGCCTCGGACGGGGCGACGTGAAGGATGATGAACGAGAGACAGGACGACGTGTGTATAGGTCGTCGTTGATTGAGTGAGCGGCAGCAGCCGCTTCCTCGTTAAACTGGTCTTGGATAACGAGTGTATGCACTGTCGATCGGTGTCAGCCTCTTCGAATCCATGACAAAGGAAGCGACTAACCCATAAGAGCCGTGGTCAGACAGATGAAGCAGAGCACCATCCCAGTAGCCTCGATGATACGGAACGGAGTCCTGCTCGCAGTGTCGTCGGCAGAGATGATGGATACGGCTCCAATGTCGGAAGCGGCGGCGAAGGAGGCAGCGAGAACAGCGCAGAACAGGTACACCCACAGGTTGCGCAAGCGAGTGTAAGTGGCGTCGCTTTGCGCTGGTGCCCCACAAGAACCAGCCGACGCCGGGTAGCCAAGACCGGGCGTGGAGTCCGCGTCCTTGTAGGAGGCGGAGCACGCTGTCAAGGTGCTGGTGGTCGAGCAAGCCGGAGAGAAGGTGATTCCATGTCCCTGAGAAGCACGTCCGCGGTGAACCATAATCGTCCAGGCGAGTTGATAGGCGGGGAATGGCAGAGCGAGAGCGAGGAAAACGAAAACAAGGGTGACAGGAAGAAGCGGAGGCATGGCGAGGAAAAGTGACAAGATAGACACCAGATTTGCTGAGAATAGATGGCTCAGATAGCGATTAGGCGCGTGGAGGAGGTAAGGACGTACCGCCCAGCATCATCAGTGTCAGGATGAAGGCGCATGTATATAGCTTGAACGGCGAGATCGCCTCCTTTGAAGACGAGACAACGGTAAGATACAGGAAAACTGCACCCACTGCGATAATGCGTCAACGGCAATCCTGACAAATGAATCGGCCACTCACACTCAAATTGCGACAGACAGATGAGGACTTCGCCCGCCAAAGACGTGCGAGGGTCGTATGTCTGACTTGAAGTCGCACCGAGAGCACCGATGAGGATCGCGGTCAACACCAGGATGGTGAACGAGACCCATGCGATGCAGACTCGTAACCGTCTGCGCGAGTATCGGGACGCATATACGCTGGCTATAGCTGGGTGGCGGCCGCCCATGGCGGTCAAGTCGGGTTTTCCGGGTTTCCAAGACTGCGAAAGAGAAAAGAGGACGAGAGCAATTGCAATGAGAGGAACAAGGAAAAAGAGCGAGGTGGGGATGGCGCGAATGCGGAGAACAGAAGACGTCAAGGGCATAGAACGGTCGATTTCGGCAGCCGCCATGGTCATATACGGGGTCGTAACGAAAGCGTGAGCGTGAGCGTAACCTAGTCCAAAGGGGACCAAGGCGATGTAAAGATCTGGTGGCGGAGGAGAACAAGGCGAGTCAGGCTAAAGTACAATTGCCGTCGGGAACGTTACACATGGCATGGCGCTGTCCAAACAACGATATACACGTCCTTCCCAGATCGGTTCCCGCCCGAAGTCCACCAGAGTATGTCAGAGTCCTTCGAAGGGCGCCCAGAGAGCGTTACAGCGTCTGCAAGACGGCAAACTTGTCGTCATGCAAGGTATCCGTCGGGGCGTACAGGGTTCTCGTTGCCGCTGAAGGGCTCACCATCGTGCAGAAACCCGTTTCAGGGGTTCGGAGGCGAACACACCGTTAGGTCACCGGTAAGCGCGCCCTGTCAACGTCAAGTACCCTCTCGGGCGAAGGTCGTCAGAGATGCCGGGGTGCCACAAATTGTTTGTATCTTTCTGTGCCTTTCGGACGCCAGCCACAATGAACTTGATAGAGCCCGAAGTTCCTTACGATGACAGTGAAGTCCAAAGATGTCGGAGCAGTCGAGAAGAATCTACAAGGACGTGCATCTATAGATATTGAAGGGAAACAGGTCGTAATGTTGGGCTAAGCATGTTGTTTGCCACCTCAGCGAAGGGGTCCGAGAGATGAGTTGTTTTCCAGTGCTTTCCTGCTGGATAGGGGAGCAATAAATACGGCTTGCACCACACAGTTTGGCGGAGAAATTTTGCTGAGCAGGGGAAAGCAGTATAGCTCCGAGGATACGTCTAGGTTCGACCAAGGAATTTCCTGATAGGGCGCGCACTGAATACATGTCAAGAGCGGAATTGTCAGAGGATCACGTATCCGACAAGACGCCTTGGTACGACATCCAAGAGGGCACGAGTTTGTGTTTGCAGGTGGAGGGCCGAAGAGAGGCGAGATTGTGACGTTAGCGCTGTGACTGCTGACGCGATTGACCGTGAGAGTGATTTCGTTGACCTGCCTAATCGGGGGGTATATACGTGGCAACCACGTCGGCGACAGCTCTTCCTTCACGACCTCCACGTAGACCGTCCTGCCTCGCAGTACCCCCTCAAATTCTGTCATTCGTTCCTTCCCTCTTCCACGTCTCATAACGACCACTCGACAAAGTCTTTCAACATGTCTCCCTCCGACTTTGTCAACCCCGCGAACCTCGCATCGACGCCTATGACTCCCGAAGCCCACTCTCCCGCTTCCGACTCTGGTCCCTCCCGCAAGCGGGCAAGGACTGAACTGTCTTCCGAGGAGAAGAAGGAAGCGCGAGCCCACCGTAACCGCATTGCGGCGCAGGTATGCGACGTCGTGCTTTTGTGTTTCATCCCGCTCACCGCCGTCCGCAGAACTCCCGCGATCGCCGCAAGGCCCAATTTTCCTACCTTGAGCGCCGTGTGGCCGAACTTGAGGAGGAGAACAGGCAGCTTCGCGCTGGCATGGGCATGACCCGTGTCGATGAGAAGAAAGTCGAGGAGCAGGAGCGTGAGCGCGCTCGCGAACGTGAGAATGAAGAACTGCGCGAACGAATTAGAACCCTGGAGAAAGGCTGGGACGCCGTCGTCAAAGCCCTCGCCGCTCAGGGCCTCCCCACTGGTGTGGCACCTCCGACGCCGATGTCCGAGGTCGCCCAGTCACCCTCGTCAAATGACACAACCTCTACCCACTCTACATCCCCTTCAGCCGCGGCCTCGGAGCCAGCTGTCTTAACGCAGCAGCCTGTCACCAGCACCCTCTCCGTCCCGCCCACAACGGTCTTCCCCCTCTCCCCCGCACCCACCTCTACCTCCATGGATCTCGACTATCCGTCCCCCGACGTCTCGTACGATGACTTCGCCGCTGTTCCTGCCTTCACTGCCGAACAGACCGCCTCTGAACAAGATCCCACTCGCCACCTAGCACGGGTGGCGACCATTGAGGACGAGTCCTCGATGTCCCTGCAGCGGGTGGTTTCGAATTCACGCAGTCTACCGGTGGTCAAGCAGGCGCAGCCGGCCATGCCGTACAGGCTGACGACGCGCACGTCCCTGTTGACGATGCCGCAATGGACAACCTCTTGCGAGAGATCCTCACCGCCTCGCCTTACCTGTCGCCTTCGAATTTACCTGCGGAGGGCGCCGCTTCGGCGGATGTCCCAGCGCCGCAAGTAGAGGCGAGCCCCGCCCCAGCGCCTGCTGTCGGCAAGGGAGTCCTCGCTAACGCGAAGGCTGCAGAGGCGCTGTGGAACGGAGAGGGTGGGCAGGAGGCGGAGAACCTCGGGCACCTAGACCTGGAGCTGGACCTGACAAACTGGATGGGGGACAACACGGAGATGCAGAAGGTCCTCGACATGTTCGCGGCCACGAACTACGGCAGCAGCGCCGATGCCGGTGAGGAGGTGCTGCCTGCGAACCTGTTCGAGCAGCATCTCCTGAACCCCACCGCGTCGATGAACGTTGACGTCTGCTAATTCCTCGCCGCGTCGTCGGCCGGCCGCAAACACCATTGTGATGCCTGCGCTTGCGCTGGGCATGGACCTATCTTACATCTCATCCCGTATGTTGTCCTGTACGTTATCTTTATTCCCATTCTGCTTCTGTCTTGGTTGCTCTCTATCAGGATTCCCTTTTCACTCTGTTTCTCTCTCCTCTCCCCTACTATATATATGCTCGCGGCCCCTGCGATTTTTTCTCTGCACTACCCTACTTACAGCTACTTTTTACCTCGTTTGCTACGGCTTTCCTCCTCCGGTCCTTCCTTCTCGCTGTCGTTGTCGCTCTGGTCACCGTGTTGCTCACGGGCTGGGCCGGATGGTGTTTGGGGCCCGATGCAGTCTCCCGTCTTCGTCACCTTCTCCCCTTTGGGTCGTAGAAGTGTTGGCTGAAGTCGGTGAGCGCTTTGGTCCCGGCACCGTCTGCCTTGTTTGTGGACACGTTGGTCGGCCGCGTTGATGGCGTTGGTGGGGAGAAGGTCTTCGGTGGTCATGTTTGTCCTGCGTGGATGTACGTACTTCTAGCGGTTTCTAGTCGGTGTAGAATAGAATGCAACGGGCTGCCTCCTCAATCATTGGAGTGTTCTGTTTGTGGAAGCAGATACGAAAACGTGGCCAGTCCCATGACTGAAGCGTGGGACGCTGAAGTTCAACTTCACCTGTTGTTGGACCCAGCCTGGCCGCCGCAATGCAAGGTGTCATGCCCTCGCAAGCGAGGCTGCAAAGTAGATCAGCCCGTATACTTACGATTGGGATACGTGATTGGTATGCAAACTCACGTTCTTTGTGAAGGGGCATGCTATCGAAGTACGCACCTCACCTCGCCTTACCTCCTCGTGCAAGATTTACATGCCATTGTCGCCTAAGTCAGGTACGCACCGGCGGCCTTCACGTGTAGGGCGGTACGGCGGCCTAGCCTTATGGCTAACAGCCAGCACCGAAGGCACAGCTGATTCTTGACGTCTCGAAGCCCTGACCCAATCGCACAACTGCCAGATAGCAGTTGTTTGGGCGCTTGAGTCGATGGACCTGTAGCTTCGCATCCGACTAGCCGTTGGTGTAGCGCCGAGCGGTTGGGCGCTTATCAACTCCCTGCCTTTGTAAATCGACAGAGCTCATGTTCCCGGAGCGCTGTAGCCCCGGCGCCGCCACCGCCATGCTCACAGCCCACGCGGATCCCAGACGCACACCAGGTCGTGGCCAGGAAGGAATTCGATTATTTGCATCACAACATTGTTACAATACACTGCGCGAGTTAGCCAGGAAGGGCCCAAAGAACGTTGAGCAGACAACAACAGAGAACTGCAGGTAGACTATGTACAGGAAGCTTGATACATGTGGGGGAAGACTGAGGGAGATATGCTTGCGATCCGGGAGTGAGCACGATATGGATATAGCGTAGATGCAGCAGGGAGAATTAACGATGGAAAAATACATATACATGGGCGTGGAGCGCGCGCTGACCCCATCGCTGGTGCGTACGAGCCATATGGACACTCGCCAGGAACGCGAGGGAGTGAGGTGAGGTGGGGATAATGATAGGTGAGAGCGTCGTGTTACGGGTCAAAGAGGGTACTGTATGCGGGCGGGGGCGCGTCGTACAGGGACGTGCGCACCCGGGGCGCGGAAGGTCGTGTATTCATCGTGAGGGCGCGCATCCACTCTGCGTCCTCGTCCTTGTAGGGATCTGGTCCGGGCATATGTGGGACGGCGGCGCTCGTGGCCGTCGGCGTTGGCGGCAGCGGCAGCGTGCGTATCTGCAACGGCGCGCTGCTTCGCTTCTCGCGCGGGACGGGCACGACGTTGTCGTCCAACTGCGTTCGGTGGCGTAGATGGAGGGTGTCCGGCAGTGGCTCCGCGGGCCCTGGCGCGGGCACCTGCGGGAGTCGGCGGACGTTGAACGCGCCGGTGGTCCGAGGGAGCGGGGAGAATGGGGGAACGTCTGCAAGGCCCGGAGCAGTGCTAGGTCGGATGGAGGATGCGGAGGACGGGCCACGCACGAATGTCATGAGGTCGGAAGTATCTGTGGAAGGGGAGATCGGCGAAGGCGTCCAGACAGAAGGGTCGAGAGGAGGCGCCGGCTCGCGCGGAGGCGTAGGTAGCTCGCGGATTGCCAAATCACCCCCTGCTCTTCGTCCCGGAACAGATGTTGATCGCTCGAGCCGCGTTAAGGACGTCGGACTTCCCTGATCTGAGGATATGGATGTGACGGATGGTGTGTCGTCTTCGCCATAGAAAGCGGGGTCAAGGTACATGTGCGCCGGCGCAGAGGCGTTCGCGAGAGGGTAGCAAATCGATTCCGCGGAAGGGCTAGGTGGGGCTTGTGGTGAGGGTCGAGTGGTGGCGGCAGCGGGTAGGTCAAAGTCAAGAACTAAGCTCGATGGACGTGTTTGTACGGGACTCGCTTCCACCTCTGGTGTCGGTGGTCGGGTAGTGTTCACCTGAGGTTCTACTACCTGCTCGACCGTCGTGGAATTCAGGGGGTTCCCATCTGGCGGGATATCGACCAGATCGTCTGATACCGGTGAGGTGGGAACCGTGTCGGACGGCGTAGAACTCGATAGGCTGTCTGCGGAAAACGAGCGCTTGCGATATAACGGTTCGCCGAAGATGATTTTGCGCCACTGCCGGTTGCTCGTTGCATGAGAATGCGGCATTTCAGTTTCTCCATCCAGACCTTCTGGCGGCGCGACGTCCAGCATAGGCCCCTCGTACTTCCGCACCACCATCCAGTCCTGCACATCTGTTACAAGAAGGAGCGCGGTGGCGATAAGATAGTCCAGGAGTAAGATGGAGACGCCCCCATGCTCATTGCGTGATCGGCTGTCGTATTTGTCGCGTAGGGTCTCATACACAACGAGCTTGGGCGCCGTCGTGGCAGTCGCCGGTTCGAATATCGCAATCGGGCCTTTGACTGAGGCTGTCGTGCACTAGGATGATGACTGGTGTTAGGGATGGGTACTGTGGGAACCGGAGGTGTGCGCTCACCCAGTATGCGCCCGACTGTGGTCTCCACTTCAGGCATTGTGAGTAGCCCGGAATGTTGAATTTATGGGTATGACTGCAGGGGAGATGTATTTAAAATGAGAGCGCTCGAGAATACGCGGCAGACACACTTTGAGCGCGAACCCGACCGAAGAAGCGAATCCCCCGGCTGCCAGTCCCGGCCGTTCATCTGAATTCTCACCCCCGTCCCCTCTTGCCCCTTTCCTAATGGCAGCGTCTTGGGCCATCGTATGTCGGCAGCAGTTGTTTCGTCCCAGTGGTCGGACCGCGTTATAGTTGTAGAGGGCCCCGTAGTCTGGATGGAATACACGGCTTGATCGGATGCTTCGTCGTGCACCAGCGAGTCTAGCATGTGGTGGGAGGATAGCTGCAGGGTAAGGAGAGCATCTTTGGAAGCTGTCGTAGGCTCCTCGATCGAGCGCCTGAGATGGGGGAGGACCGCTGGCAGTATGGAAGTGCGGGACTGGCCGAGCTTGGACGTCGAGCTGGAGGCCTCGCTCGTTGTGTTCGAGCGCGAAGAGGACTCGACGACGGCTCTGCCGTTTGCGGGGTACTTCTGTTCTTTGCCCATGATGGGACGGTCAGAGCGCGAGAGACATGGAAAGGCAAGACAAGCGGGGCCGACACCGAGCAGGACTTAACCCTTATGTAATTCCATCAAGCCCGCATGCGCGCTGGCCGTATCTCCCATCAGATCTTCCGCCATACGCGGTCCCCGCTGCCCAGTCGGCGCTGCTTTGCAAGCGTCGGGTCTCGGATGTCTTCCTCCTCGCCGATCCACTCACGTATCATACGTGCTGATCCCCTCCTCGCTCGTCTGTTCCTAGCCCAAGCGGCCTGCAGACGGATATTTTACATCGACATATACACATTTCGGATATTTGCCTGCAACACTTTGCTGAGCGCTCGAGGCCGCGCTCACCTCGGGCGCCGTGAATAATCTGAGGCCGCTCAACGAATGCTTCCCACAGCCCGCACCCTCGGCATAGACCTCCTCACGCCGCACGGACCGCCGAGCGCGAGGGGGGATAGGGCGGAATCACGTGCGGTTCGAATAAACGCACTGACAGGTCAACAAGGACAAAGTTACGCTCTTTGCTTTCCTCCATCTCGACGCGCGCGTCACTCGCCACACATCAGCACAAAATGTCCACCGAAGCTACTGATCCGAAAGCCGTCGCGTATGGGCTTATTCAAACTGACATTTGACGCGTCTCACCCTGTTGCAGCGCGTCGGCTACCGTCCCCGGCGACGCGTCGAACGCGTCCCCCGCAGCCGATAAAGGCAAGGGCAAGGCCACCAAGGATGTCTCCATGGATGACGACGACGAGGAAGAGGAGGATGACGATGATGACGACGAGGACGACGATGAAGACGACGACGACGATGATGATGAGGAAGACGAGGCAGACGTACGTTGACGCGTCCCCCTTCCCCCACCACATTCTCACGCGTTTTGTAGGAGAGCATGGAGGTCATTGACCCTACCCAAATCCTCGGCAGGCGCACGCGCGGCGTCAAGGTTGACTACACTTCCAAGGCTGCCCTCGAGAAAGCCGGTCTGAAGGCTGACGACCTCAAGGACGACGACGAGGAAATGAAGTAAACCCGCCACCCCGCTGAAGCCACATCTTGCTGCCTCTGTATTGCTACTTTGTTGATCTTGGTCCCGCAACGCGCCTGCTGCTGCCCATAATCCGGCATATCCGTCCCTACCTTATTCGTACGTCAGTTATACATGGTGTTGTTGTGTTGCAATGCAGTCATAATCGGCCTGATTAACCTTGGTGATTGTCTCGTCGTCTCCGCTTGCATCTCGGACTTGGACGCCTCTACGATTGTGCACGCGAGAACCTATGCGCAGGTTCTGCCTTACCGCTACCATCTTGATCGGACCGTGAGTGACTTGCACTGTCTGGCTTCCGGGTCTACTGCTCTTTGTATTCGAGCCGCATAACCTTCTATCCATCGCGCATACATTGACTTGCCTCGCCGCCTTCCAAGTCTTCTCCTGATGATAATTCTTTGGGTCACGTCCGTCTAGCCGGCCGCGAAGATCCCGCATGCGGGCTGCGTGATGGAGGAGCGAAGGTATTCAATATTCAAGCGCGGTGTATGCGCTCTTGCGAAGATGTCCTACCGGCGGTGCGTTCCCCGTTCCTTTGTTTCTCCCCCGCCTCGGTGGTCGGGAACCATCCGGCGTACTATTCATGTTGCAGGGTTGATAAATGGGCTTCACAGCGAGTCGCCGCCTCGCTAAGCGGCCGCGGTTGCCCTCCGTCTGGTACGGACATGTACGCCGTGGGCTGATGCCTGTCCTCGGTAAGCTCCCACTCGTCACTTCCGCGTCAACGCGGCTGCTCGCGGCACACCCTTCCGGATCAACAAGCAACAGATCTAGAGGCGCGAGAAAGCGCTTGTTATACATCGAGCGTTGGTTCTGCCAAGGTCCCGCTCCGAGTCTGATGCGCACCTTTACTATGTATACATCGTGGACAGCTGTTCAATAGCAATGGCAGGAAAATTGGGTTCGAAGCCAGTCAAGCTGGTCAAGCACCTGGAATTCAACGGTTCCATACGCGTGTAACAAATATGCTCTACGAGTCCGCGGTGATCCCAGGTATGTATGTAGAACCAACTAGTAGAGAAAAGGGTCCATGTACGACGGTGGCCAAAGTCCATGCACTGTGAAGGTAGTCCGTGTATGCGCATTGGGTGAACGCGCGAGTGAGGGGCATTCTGGTAATGTGGTGAGGTGAGGGGTTGAAGAGTCATGGTGAAGTAGGTGAGGTAGAGGAGTGTGAGCGAGATGCGGGTGCGGGAGGAAAAAATGCATTGAGTAGATTAGTGAGTGGGTGAACTGGCAAAACAACAAAAGCGAATGCGATAGATACGATTAGATCATATTATACTGTGATGCGAGGTCCATTAACATGGAAGGTTTTTGAAGAGCTCCTCATTGCCGTCCGCGGCTTGGTGCGTCCCCGGGATACGGTAGATGCGACGAGGTACTTTGCTCGCCCTCGTGGGACGCGGAGAAGTCGTCGCTCTCCCTGGATTGGCGGCTCGCGTGCTCAGGTTCGAGAGACCGCGCCGCGGACAGGCCACCGAGGGTGGGGGACATTGGCGGCGTCGTGAAGAACATGTCGCCCATGTCTGCTCGCGAGCTTCGCGGGCCGACAGAGCTGTCGCGAGATCCAGGCTGCAGCGCGGGCAAAACGCCCAGTCCTTCGAAGTGAGGCGAATCCAAACGAGGCGCGAATGGTGGTGAACCAACTTGTCCAGGAGGAGTCGCCGTGCGGCCGGATGTGGTTGGCGTGGATGCACGACTGAACGCTATCGGGGCGGCCATCGCTGGATTTATGGGCGTCGGAGCGTGTAGAGGTGCAATCTCTGCATGCTGCAGCGGCGGACCTCCGAGCGACGCGTCCGAGTAGGAATACGCTGCCGACGAGTTCGTGTAGGTTGCATGAGTTGGCGCAGGAGGGTAGAGGTCGTGGGAGGTGGAAGCGGTAGCAGCAGTCCCTGGCGTCTCAGCCTTGTCGCTATAGCGCGCCAGCTCGCCCTGCTCCGTGGTCTGCGAGGTGAGGGGAACAGACTCCCCCGCCTTGGACCCGGCGAAGAAGTTCGGGTCGAAAACCATGGTCGCCGGCCGCTTCGCAGCCTTGTGCCGCCTCCGCGCCCAGGCTGTAAGCATCATGAAGATCAGACCGCCGACGACGACTGTGAGAAATAGGAAAAAGCGCGTCAGTTCCCATTGTTCTCCGCATCCCGGAAGCAAAACACGCACGACCCGCGATGGCGATCCCCACGATCGCGCCGACGGAGAGTCCGCCGGAACCGGAGGACGAGTCGGAGGACTCGGTGGCGGAGGCCGAGGCGCTGGTGCTAGAGCTTGTGCTGGAGTGGTGTTTGGAGGAGGACGAGGAGCTGTCCGAGCTCGTTGAACTGCTGGTGATCGTGGAACTCGCGGAGTCGGACGTGCTAGTGCTCGAGTCCAAGGAGGTGGTCTGAGTGGAGGATCCCCCCGTAGTCGTCGCGGAGGTGGTGCGCGTGCGGGTGCCCGTGGCCGTGCTAGTGTTGTCATCCGCGCTGGTACTGGTGTTGTCCTCCGTGCTCGTCGTCTGGTGATCGTTGTCAGATGTCGTCTGCTGACTATTGTCCGTCGTCGTATCCTGTCGTGGGCTGCCAGCACACCCTCTGTCAGCATCGCATGTATACGCCCCACAGCTCAGTCACTCACACGTAGACCGCGTACGCATCTGGCAAGGTCGCAAACGCCGCGAGCGCGAGCGCGAGGGGCACTGTGCGCACCTTTGGGTAGAACATGATTTGTGGCAGTTGGTGGGCGCCTCAGGGCAGGCGAGGTAGTCGAAAGAGTCCAAGAAGCGAAGGAACGTATAAATAAAGGGAAACGATGGCAATGCTCGGGCTGTGTACGGCACCATGCTCGCCACCCGTTTTTAGCGAAGACCGCAGTCGGCAGCTTCGGCCCAATACAAAAGGTACCCCGGTTGGCAGAGTCTCGATACCGAGCTCTCTTCCTTGTCATTACCCACAACAAAGCGGCCAAACCTGGTTGTGCAAGTCTTGGCTGGCTTCAAGCTCAGAGCAAAGAATACAATTTAAAGAAGTCATGCCCATAGCACGTTCGTACAGGGCTATTCAGATGTGCGAGCCATCGTCGTCCGACCCCTCGCTATTGCGCTGCGTATACGCAGCTTGCCGGGGGCCTACAACAACCCAATGCTATACTGAGTCCCATCGACCTTCAAACAGCTCCCAAAAGTCGCAATGCTGCGCAGGCACCCCTGCCAGCACCCTTAATCCCACCCCGGCACATCTAGTCCGAACCACTTCGGCATGATTCTCCAGAACTCGTCCCTCGCCGCATCCACGACGAGGCCAAACTCCTCGTGGCACGCCTCGCAAGTTCGAAAGGCGGGCGTGTCTGCGCGCGCCTGCATCAGGTCTGCATCGAGCATGGCGAATAGCGGATCCGAGCTGCGGTGGACGACAACACCATTGACGTCGCGAAGGATGTCGAAGGTGACGGCCTCGAAGGCGGCTTGGCAGGCGCGCCGGAGGACGGGATCCTGGCGCTGAGCATAGAGACAATTTGGAGAAGGCGCGCGACCTTCAAGGTAGCGAACGATGAATGTGGACAGAAAGCGCGAGGCGTGTTCGCGTCCCTTGAGAACTTCCATCAGGTCTTCATTGCCAAGTTCGTGTTTCTTGCCTGTCGTGAGTGAGACATGGCCAGAGGCAGCGTCACTAGGGGAAGCACGGCAGAGGTCGTAGAAGGCAGAAGGAAGCAGCTCTAAGGCTCCGATGGACCGCGCAAGGTTGATGGTCGGGCTAGAAGGACGCGACTGCGTGTGAGGACTCGAGAAACAGAGCATAGGGGTAGCGCGCACATGGGATGGGGGATGGTGAGCCGTGGCTCATAGATGCCTTCGGCGTTTGTTGAGGCTGCCTCGCGCCGTTCCCAGCCCTCAAGCGTTCGCGGCCACATTGTCGTCAAGCCAGGATAGAGACCATCGTGGACGTGTTGGACTTCGTATTTCTTGGACAAGCGTAGCAAAGCAGAGACGCATTCGAAAGTGTCCGGGCGCACAGTCAGTCCGCCTCTAAGCGAGCGCAGGAGGCGTTCATCAGTGTCAGGCAGCAAGCAGACGAAGCCAGATACAGCCTTACATTCCGTCGTACAGGGCAGTCAGAAAGAAGTACATGTCGTCAGCGTCCTCGGCGAGGTCCAGCACCGGGCGCCCTTCGATCATAGGTGTTGTCGCAGGGTCGAGAGATTCGGTCGCAGTAGCGAGCAAAGGAGAATGCCGGGACAGTAGGCCTTGATGCACGAGAAAGTACTGTTTGCCGCAAACAATAGCGAGGTTCCCATCGGAAAAGCTGAGCTTTGGATGTCGTGAGATTTGCTGCAGAGCGGAGCGCGATTTGTCCAACGAGGATGCTGATTCGGAGATGCCTGGTACAGAGGAGTGTCGGTTCGTGCTGAGTTCTTCGGTGGAAATCATGATAGGCGAGGGCGCAAAGAGAGGTCGGGCAACACAATTCCTATCACCAGCTGCACGGCGAGAGTTCGTAAGTGATAGACGTACACTGAAAGCAGGGTGGTCAAGAACAAAGGGATCGACGCCGGGCGGGGATATCAAAGCAATAAACTGGTGTCCATATTTGGACGTGCTTGTCTTCCGCCCCAAACGACGTCACTTTCATTTTGGACGCGTCAACCAAACGAACGAACTCTCTTGATCCAGTCCAACCCACGCGTCCTTGCTCTCGCGACTCTACTGACCGCCTCGCCCGTTCCCCACCAACCTCAAGTCCCAAAATGTCCGACATCTCTGCCGCCACGCAGCCGCGCATTGTCCCGGGCGCGCCTCCGCCCATGCAGCTCTCCAAGTCCCAAAAGAAAAAGCGCAAGGCTGCCGCGGAGAAGAAGAAGGACGAGCCGCCTGCCCAGCAGGCCATCCCGGACACGACCGCCGCGGCGCTCGTGGAGAAAGCCCCCGCGCCAGCGGAGGTGAAGGAGGGTGTAGTCGCCCCGGCCCTCGTCGCCCAGCCATCCGCCGATGAGGCGCTTGCAGAGGACTCTTTCAAGCTCAGCCCCATCATCAAGATCATTGACAAGCGCCTGAAGGCGACGACAAAGAAACTGGTGCGTGACGCGTGTTTTGCATGCCGAGTCCTTATGTTCATTGACGTCTTCGGTGTACAGACTCGTATACAGACCTACAAGGAGATCGAGCAGTCGAAGCTGAACGAGGACCAGAAACGATCGCTCGCATCTTTGCCCGCCTTGGAGGCCGTGCAGAAGGAGCTCGGCGAAGTGAAGAAGGCTGTAGAGGTGAGCTTTGAATCCCATGCATGTGTGGAACGCGCTCTAATGCCACATATCACAGGTTCACGAAGCGGAGCTCGCACACGAGCTTGCTGAGCAGAAGAGGGCAGCTGAGAAAGCTGAGCAGGAGCGCAAGACTGCCGCTGTTGCCGCTGCGGAAGTACGTTTGCACCTTCCGTACAACGCCACAGACTAACAAGCTTTTTAGGCCGCGATCATCGAGAACGTCTCCGAGGTCTTGTCGTTCCTTCGCATGCGCTCCCTTCTGCCTCAGGGCGCCTTCGAGAATCTCTCTGTACAGCTCGACCAGGCTGAAGGCTCTGCTGTCTTCGCTGTTGCCGACATCCTCACTGGTCAGGATGGCGAGCAGAAGCAGACTGTCCTGAACGCCATCGTACGTGGCGAAGGCCAGTATGAGGGTGTGCCATGTACGTGTTACGTCTCTCATACGCGCTGGATCTTCTCAGCCTTTCGTCCCAGACACTCGCCTCTTCGAGATCACAAAGCAGGCTTTCGCGCCCGCACCTGCACCAGAACTCCAGCCAACGGGCCCGGAGGCAGAAGACCTGGCGGTCGAACCTGAGGCCGCGCCAGAGCCAGCGGTGACCTCGGCCGCCCCTATCCCGACCACGGGCAGCTTCCACTTCATGCAAGAGAGCGAGCTCGAGCAGCCGTCCGACTCTTTCGAGAAGGACGCACATTGGGTCGATCACGCAGAGGCTGTACCATCCGAGACCGATGCGCCTGCAGTGAATGGGCAGGAGGAGGTCAAGGAGGTGAGTTCCAACTAGCAGACCGAGAGATGTGTAGGCTGAGTATCGTACGTAGGCACCCACGCCGACGATGGATTGGGCTGCTGAGGAGGACGAAGGCGGCCTTCCGTCTATCAACGAGTTGCACTCGACGTTCGGCACCTCTGGCTCAGCAACGCCAGCTACCGCGGGCGGCACGGGTAACGGCACGCCGGCCTATACGGGCGCTGGTACTCCAGCAGAAGCCGCCGCGGCGCCTGTAGAGGCACGCGCAGATACCACTGTCAACGGCGCGCCGAAACCACCCACCGAGGAGGACGACGGCTTCCAGCAGGCCAGGAGCGGTCGCGGCGGACGCGGTCGTGGCGGCTTCCGCGGCGAGCACGGCGGCGAATACGGTAGCTTTCGTGGGCGGGGTGGGTTCAGGGGCGACCACCGTGGAGGATTCAGGGGAGAGCGCAGCGACTTCCGCGGTGGTCGTGGTGGGCGCGGCGGCTTCCGCGGTCGTGGCGAGAGCGGCGAATTTCGTGGGCGTGGGCGTGGGGGGTACGACCGCAACGAGCGCGGTGGTGGGCACTACGAGCGCGGACGGGGTCGGGGAGGTGCGTTTGCATCCTCAATGTAGTGGCGGATGATGCTGACTTCCGGCCTTCCTCAGGCTTCCCTCCTGCGATTGTCCCGCAAGCGCAGATCGCGTAAGTGATATGCCAGATGTTCGCCGGGTCTCGCTGCCCGCGCCGTGAGACATGTTCAGGATGCTGAGACTGTATGCCGACAGAACTTGACGCCTGAAAGCACGAGACGAATGACGATGAATTGCAGATGACGAGGTCTGCACTTGTTAAGTTACATATCGTATCCTAGTCTTGTTATAACACCTATATCATACACTTATTTCCTGTACATCTTGATCTCATTGATGGGATCCTCTCAATCTATACAGAGAGGCAGGAGCACACGACTTCACGGGGACCGAACTCCCATGCAGGTGAAGTCTACGTTTCCGTCGCTGCGTATTATTTGATAGCGTGTTGAGACGCAGACTGTGTTACTGATCGAAACGACACGCACTCTGAATAGAACATGTAGACGATACATTGGCATGTGCGAATTCGCTTCTAAACAAGCATACTGAAGAGCTATCGACCGGCCGACTGATTAGAACGATTGCTTAACCGCTCAGCCCTGTCATCCGCCAATCTCTTCATTTCCGCCTCTCTGACTCTCTGCGCATCGGCCTTCTTGGCAGCGTAGTCTGCTAGCCTGGCAGCCGTCGCGGCCTTCTGCTCGGCGTACCTGGCCTTCCTGGCGGCCTTCAACGCCTTCGTGTCCTCGTCCTCCTCGTCCTCCATTTCCTCGTCCTGCGCGTCCTCCATTTCCTCGTCCTGCGCGTCCGCCATTTCCTCGTCCTCCTCGTCCTCCTCGTCCTCCTCGTCCGCCTGTTCCTCGCGCTCGTCATCATCCGCACCCCCATCCCCATCCCCCTTGGCCCCCTCATCCTCGCCGCCATCCTCCTGTTCCTCCTGCTCATCCCCCTGTGCATCGGCTTCATTATCGCGCGCTTTCTTCTTTTTGGCATTTTTATCGAGGAGGGCTTTTATTTGCTGCTGAAGGGCCCGATATTCCTTATCCTGGGCTGCCTTCCGATCCTTGGCATCCTTGTAGGCGGGTGAGAACTTCTGCTGATGTAGCATCGACCAGTTGAAGTGATCACGAGTGGCATCGTCGCGCCACTGGGCGACGAAGTCGGCCCGCTTTTTCTGGAATTCCTCGACGACGTGAGGGATGTGGTGCGTGCGAAGGAGCGAAAGGAAGATAGCGAAGTCGATAGCGTCTGAGCTATTACTCAAGTCCCATTCAGGGCAGTTGGTGTCAATGATATGGTGAGTAACATCGATTCCCTATACTCCAATGAGCGCTGACTTCAACAAGTGTAATGGCTTCACTCACACTCGCACTTTGTTGCGCTTCGGTGCTCGGCTCCGCCCAGCCGCATAGCAAGCGACCCTTGGAGCCAACAGTCGCAACGGCGAAGACGACGATGCCGTACATGTCGATGGCAGCGTAGTAATCCGTTGCCGACAAGATGTAGGTACGAGCTTGATTCATGCCTTGGAGCGGGCCAACAAAGCCTCGTTTGTACTCTCGGAAAAGGATAGGAAGGCATACGGCTGTCGACGCGCATAAGCAGGCAGTCTCATCTACCATGAGATAGCGAACTCACATCGCCAATTCATTTTCCCATAATCCTTGGGTGGTGTCCCCGTCGTAGGCTTCGATGTCGTCGTTGGCTGTTTCGTTGTCGTTTCCTTCGCTGCCTGCGTTGACTTTCTTTTCGTCGTCGCCTTCTTCGTCGCTCCTGCCTTCTTCGACGTCGCTTTGGTCCCGGCCGCGCTTGACTCTTGTGCCCGAGGGGGAGGTATGACGCTCGCGATAGGCAGATTAGAGGGCGCTGACCCGGAATGCGTGCCCGCTTCTGCAGTCGTATGCGACACGTCGACCGGTGGACAGGGGCCCTGCGCAGCGGCGGGAACGTCCTTGGCACGGGATTTGCGCCCTTCCCTTGATACGAGTTCATCTAGAAAAAGTATATCAGGATACGTCAAGGCAAGATGAAGAACGTGTCATACCCATATCAATGGCTGACTTCTGTCGCAGATCTGCCGCGAACTTCCGGATTTTGCGCACGATATCGGGAGCTGAAGGTGGCAAGGGCTCATCAGGCGAGGGCTCAGTCTGTATCTCATCCTGTTCCTTGGCCCGAGAACCCTTCTCCACAGGAGCGCCGATAATGGCGAAATCCTGGAGTGCTTTGGCGAGCTTCTGATCGCGGTCATCGAATACATCTGGCACCTCCGCAAAAACCAAGCCATCGCAGACACCGTAGACGAAGTCGCAGAGCGCACGAGCCTCGATAAGACCTTCAGCTTTGTCCCGGTCTTGTAGGAACGGCTCACGGTACGCGAGGGCGCGAGCCTCGCGCCAGTGTTTCTCCTTTTCGAGCGTCGTCTGGACAACTTTTGCATCTTGCTTCAGGGCTTCGGATGCGGCCCTCACAAGCTCGTCGAGAAGTTGCTGATCGGACCCTTGCCCAGTGATACGTGCATCGGATGACGGTGTCCAGCCTCTCCCCGCAACCAAGCTGGGATCGGAGGTGCTCAGTCTTGACAAGGCTTCGTACGGGGTTTCGGAGAGATCGTCCTCGACGGGCTCGGTAGGATCAACTGGTTGACCGGTGTAGTAGTCCTCGACCACAGTCGCTTGCAGGTCAGTGCTGGGTCTAGCGACATTGGGTGCCACCGACGATGCTTTGGACTGTTTCATGAGCTCGAAGAGGATGTTCCTCGGCAAGTTGATGCGCCGCTCGAGTCTAGCAGGAGGTCAGTCATGTTGCCCGATGAGTATGCTCGTGGTGAACCTCACCGATTATGTACGTGATACCGGGTGCCGTCGGCCAAGGCGTCAGGACACTCGCTGAGACGTCTGTTGAGGTATATGTCGATCACAGCGTCCCAAGAATGTCGATTTTCCATCTCGATGGGATCTTCGATGAAATGGAAGCCGAGAGATACCAGCTCCGACACATGAAGCAGGTGGGGAAGACCACGAATAACAAGTTTTCTCGTGACCGATGGCGAAGGGCCGTCATCCAACGGAGAAAGACGATAGAGCTTGTGGGCTATACGGACGACCTGTTCCAGTGCCTTCTCCTAATGGTACGCATACCACTGAGGCACGTAAGCAGGCTGTTGAGTAGTCAGCACACCGTTGACAATTCTACACGGCGCTCACCCTTAGAATAACGTAGTCACCGCCTTGTGGTGCGGACCGCTCGAAGCACATGCGCGTAACATCGAACTTAGTTATAAGCGGATGCGACTCATTTAAAGATTCGCGAGGAAGGGGCTAAAGGACAGAGTCAGTGCACAGACAGCATTAGCAACCAGAGACAAACCTCCACGTCGCATAAGCGTCGAAGTAACAGATCTTTGACGCGCCACATCGGATGCTCCTTGTTTAACCCACGCCAGAATGGCGGGAAAGCGCCGAAGACAACACCGCGATCAAGGAACAGTTCCGTGGGTCTGTCTACACCCTGCTTGCGGCAGTCCTTCGCAACACTGTTGGCTGCATAAGAATCGAGATACACGAGTTGCGGTCGAACGGGCAAACCTCGATGCGCTTTTAGCCTTGCGCCTATGAACCAGTCTATGGCCAACGTCAAAATCACCAAAGCGCGAATGACCAGACTTCGGACTCACACTGCAACGGGCGCGACCCTGACATGAGTGGATCAACACATCGTACACTTAGTAGCGCATCACAAACGTACTGGTTCTGCTGCGCCAATAATGCTTCGTACTGAGCCTTCAGCTTTGGCTCCACCCATAAATCATCGTTGGGATCCTCTGCAATGGTACTGTAGATCGAAGGACTGAGTTTCAGATGAAATAATGCGATCAAGGCCACCTACCAGAGAGATCCGGCGTAGCTATTGGATCTCAGTTCCAATTCAACGCAGCACTGACAGACATACCTTGTCGCGCGACTTCTGAGTAAAAAATTCAGCCAGCAGCTCGTCGACCGGGTAAACCGCTACTCACCCCCTCTCCGAGACAGTCGGGCGCGCGTTCTCGGCCCTACAAAACCATGAGCGACAGCAAAGGTCCATACAGACGACCACGAACTCAGATTCGGAGATAATGGGCGGAGATGCCATGGGCGGGGTGAGTGAACGCGAACGCATCGATCTTTGTACGATGATGTCTTATATATCAGTGGAACGTATATACCTGGGAAAGACTCACATGCAACCGTCCAACCAGTGCCTCACACGTTGGTCGTAGTCCAGCCCTTCTGTTGCGATACCTTCGGCTTCCCGTGTAAGATCGATCCTCCATGTCACGTTGTCAGGCGAAAGCAAGAAGCGCCGGGTATGAGCCATATGTTCACGCGCAACCTTCGCACAGCCAGAGATAAGGTGCTTGGAAGAGATCAAGAAAAGCACCAGAGACCATGCCGAGCCGTGATCGGACAGGTCGAAAATTCCCAGAGGCAGGCAGTTGCTGGTTTGCGACGGGCGTGCATGTGCAACATGTACTTGAACCTACGTACATTCGTTATGATGTCTGGCAGGAAAAGAAGAATGTGACGTACACATGTACGAGTGCACCCAGCTTCCAACCAACCAATGACGAGCTGCAGAGTGGACTCTCGCGAAGAGAATGCAAACCCAAACAGAGGAGTGTCAACCCCAAAGACACGACGTTGCATAAGAGCGCTGCACATGAGACTGTACATCTCCTCTTCTTCCGCAACACAAAGAAGGGCAAACGGGATTCGGTCATGCGGACGTTGTCGAGATAGCAGGTGTGCATTGACGTAAGGGTGGCGATCTTCCCCAGGCAAAAGCGACGCGGCGGTGGACGTAGGTGGGTCGCTATGCACGACATAACCGGTCTGACGAGACGGGTCTCGATGTGAGCCACAGGCGCGTGCAGCTTTTCTGGCGTCGCCAAAGCAAGAGCAGCCCAAGGCGTCAAAGGCATAGTGGGGGGTTTGAGGAAGCGAGAGCTTCGCTAACGGAATGGGCAAGGTCAAAACTGATGTCGCTCGACCGTTGTGAGGAAAGGACCAGGCAACAGCCGAGCTATTCGCTTGACACGGATACACGGCTCGTGCATACAAAGGTTCAAAGCTGGCATCAGTCAGCATACGAGAGTCAGAGGGATTCATACTATTACTGACTGGGATTGGGAACCTGGGATCACTTGTTGCAATATCTCCGTTACGAATGGTCCAACAATCGAAGTGCGCGGATCCCGACCAAGTTGCGGAAGGCAACCCTCTGCAGTCGACAACGCATGCAGTCGTTGAGTAGTCTCGCTCACTGTAAGCGTGCATGCAGCCAACTCATCCTCCGATGTCTATTGGAGTTGAGATACATGGTGAGCGCGAGCAGTGAAGTGGCGCACTCACGACGGAAGATATTTTGGCTAATATATCGTACATTGGGCGTCGCAAATCCGAGAGGCCAGTTGCTACCTCAAGGAAAATGCGTTCCCAGTCTTCCCAGCGTTCCACCAGGTGTACTTCGACGAATGTGGCCAGCGGCTGCTGGAAAGGCATGATGGTGGTCGGGAATCAGGTTGGAAGATCACGTGCCCGTAACTCTCTCACGTGGATTAAGGTGACGGTCACTCTTCTAAAGTGGCGTTGTCACTCACGGTCGGAAGCGACATCTTGTGAATACTCGACTTTACATGCCATGCGTTCTACGATGAAGTTCAGCGATACTTGTGACAAATGGAGAAAAGTCTGCATAGATAGAAAAGTCGGATATCATGACAGTTTGAATGACGATCTAACGTAGCCGTCCCTTGATAGCGTCGAAACATACAAAATCATCCATTTCCTTCACCTTCCTCATGTCGTCCTCGAAATGACAACATTCCTGCCTTTCACTCCCTCAAGGCAAAGATCGCACACTCGTCACTGCCTCATTATAGGATGATTAGCACCCATGGTCACATCGTTCTCCAATATAGTTGTAGGTATATCGAAGACCCCTTCCTCCATCAGAAGTCGGCCGGACGACCCTTCGGCATCTGCTTCGCTGCAATGAGCAGTGCACTATCCTTCGCCCTCCCTGCGCACTGAACTCATGCACGCAAAGCGCGTGCCGAGGCGCCCCTGCAGGTACTCGAAACTCCGGAGAAGCTTTTCGAACGAGATTCGCGAGATCCGCGTTTGGAGTCAAGACGTTGTAGCGCCATTAAGAGTAATCCTATATGCCGGGGAAACATTACAGCTGAGCGAGGCATTGGGCCCTGATGCTATAGTCCATAGTCCCTTCAATGCTGCATTCTGCAGTCGCGTTGCTGGTGCCGCCTCTTTGGAAGCGCTGCGGACAGATAGAATTGCTTCTGCGCACGGTGCAGGGACATGGCCAGACAGCGTATGCTGGGAGACGTTTCACAAGGCTATCCATAGCGTGGACTTGATGCCGTGCACTTCAGACCTTGTCCAAGGTGCCGGACAGTCAAGGGACAGTGGCAAGGCATATTGGGTGTTTAGAAAGCTTGATCTCTGTTTTCGTCTGAGCATTTGCCTCATAGGCAACCCCAGTGAGGCCGGAGGTCGCTCGCTGTCGAGCCAGCAGTCTTCAATTGATCACCACTTGCTTCCCCATGCGCAAGTCGACAGCTTCCCAGCCTGCTGGATCTCGCGAATATGAGGGCGCTCGGGGTACCTCCTCGAGGTAGGTCAGAATCGAACCAGTGAGAGCTGGACGTGCTCATGTTTTGTGGGGAGCCCTACGCAGGGCGCGGCGGTGAGCTGAATCAGGAAGGGCGGTAGGCTCGAGTAGGCAAGGCGGAAGGATCGAGCATGTAAGATAGTGAGCTGAAGCGGGAAGAACGAAGAGCATCGCAGTGCCATGATTGTTGAGGACAGGAACTTGTGGAACTCGATGTGCAAATTCCGGCATCTTCCGTTCGGCACCGAAAGGTCAACATGTCACATGAGCGTCCAACTTCGGGCGTCGGACAATGGCCGGAAATGTACTGCGACGATCTGCAAGCTTTGAAGCTAGCGTAGCATCCACAGCTAGTATATCCGATGCGCAGATGTGTGGAGCAGCTGTTTTGAACGCATCTCGAAGCCCAGGAAGAGGAGCATCCATAGCAGCGAAGGCGGTTACGAATGGCAGCAAGGACGTGCAAAGACTCCTGGTGACTTAGCGTACGTATCTTAGGGCGGCACGTCTACGTGCTAGCACCGACAGCGGCGTACCTACTTGCCTGCACCGTCGACTAGGTGGGTAGCACGAGCAGTCATTTGGCAGCATCTCCGAGCAGCTGACGGGCGTTGTATCCACCTTCAGAGCTAATCAAACGGCGGAGTTCTCCTCTCCGAGGGTCGCGCAATACGGGTCGATTAAAATTCCTGCTCCTGCTCAACAGGAATGAGTGCATGCCTTCCGAAAGAAGCCAGGAAGTTACCCATCCAACCCTCTACCTCGCCTCATGCAGAGTTGCGAGGCTGACCCGTAAGCTCGCAGGGAACTCCGCCTTTACCCGACGTGTGCGCCCAACTGGGACTCGAACGAAGCCATCAGACCACAATCCCACGGAAGTACGATCAAGTGACACTGCATTGACACAGCGACAAGCACTGAGGGAGAGCATACAAGAGTATCAAGAGCAAGAAAAGAGACTAATCATACATGAGTACGAGACCTTGTAGACACCAAAGATGCTAAGGGGTCCGTGAGATACGTTCGGTGAGATCGTTGAGTTCGTTCGTGTATCGTTCGCTTCCTTCCGTACACATTCCATACAACTGTCGGCAACTGTGAGACTGTGAGTAGCTTAGTTGCCACCAACGAGGGGTGCGCGCTCGAGGTCATCCTCGAGACGAACACCACCACCGTTGCGCCTGAAGAGGCCGACTGCGCCCTTGAGGACCTGGCGGGGACGTTAGTTGACAGATCAAGGGGACACGTTGGGGGACAAGAGACCACAATAGACGACGAAGGATGCGAGGGGATGGTGCGACGGCCCGTTCGCGTCATCTACGCAGAGGTCGCGCGTCACGCGAGCCATTGCGCGGCCGATGGCGCGACGTGCTCCGCGGTCCGCAGGCCTCGCGCTACGCAAGGCAATGCGAGGCACCGTCCTAGAACATCACGCGCCAGGCCCGCTGCGCGTAACGCAACACAATATGGGAGGCTACGTCTTCGCCGCGCAGACGGGGGAGGTTCTCGAACAATCCTTGCACTGCGCGTTACGCAGTGCGGGATGACGCGAAGAAGGCAGCGAGCGCATTCGTGCCCCCTCAGGTCGAACGTTCATGCCCCCGCAGGTCGGACGTTCGTGCATCTCCAGTCTGCACCCCGGAGTGCTGGGGGACTAAAGAAGGGAACCGCCCACTCACCCAAACAGCGCTCAGAATCGCGAACGCCAACGCGCTCCAGTGCACGAACGCGCTGCTCCGCTGGTGCGCAAAGATGGCGAAGAGGGACCAGGTGATGGCGAGCGCGGCGGGGAGGTCGCCCTCGGGGGAGGAGAAGGCGTAGGTGGCGGCGGTGGCCTCGAGGAAGAAGCTGGGGAGGGTGTAAGAGTGGGTTGGAGGTATACCGAAAGGCGGAAGGGCAGGGAGGAAGGTATGAAAGGGATAGGAATGGAGGGAACAGTTGTTTGGGAGACTTACAGGGCGAGGAACACGAAGACCTTGGTCCAGATGCCGGCCTTGTGCTCGAGGGCGTTGGTGCCGAAGGCCTCGAAGAGGGAGAGGACGACCAGGAGCGTGGTCCAGCCATGGTAAAGCGAGAAGGGGAGGTGCACAAAGAGCTCGTCGGCAGTGGCCTGCGGCGAGTGATGCTTCTTGACGATGTAGTAAATGTGCTGGGGGCGAATGCATTAGCCGTTGCTACACCTCCATCTCCAAGGAGAAAGGCCTACCGTCACCGTCGAGCTCACAAACAGCGCAAAGACAAACGCGACGATATAGTGCCTGCTCGCCCACAGGTGGACGTAGATCGCGTTGAGAACGGCGAGGAGGGGGAGGCGCCAGGAGATGCCGTCGACGATGACGCGCTTGCCGGCGGGGAAGAACTGGTAGACAACGGTGCCGAGGAGGAGGAGGTGGATGAGGGACCAGATGAGGAAGGCCCAGGGCGCGGGCGTCAAATACGTCTCCTTCCCGGTGTAGTAGATGTCGGAGGGGGCGGCGACGGTGTAGACGTTGGAGCCGAGGAAGAGGAGGTAGGAGATGACGTTGACGATCTTGAGGACGAGGCCGGAGGTGGGGGCGTCGTCGGCCATGGTGGGTCGTTGCTTGAGGTGGTTGGTTGCTTGGTTGGAGGGAGGCGAGCAGAGGGGGACAAGGGCGCCGTTCGCGAGGGTTATAAAGAGGACGCAGGCGCGGCGGCGGTCATGGATGACGCACGGGGCTATTACGCCACAAAGTCGCGTGCCAGCCGGGCGCCTGTCTCGATCAGGGCGGGCCGACTCATACACCGCGCGTCATGCCCATCGACTACGCGCTCTACCTCGTCACCGGGCGCGACCTCCTCCCGCCCGGTCAGCCCTTCGCCGCCACCCTCGCCGCCGCGCTCGAGCACGGCGTCACCCTCGTCCAGCTGCGCGAGAAGACCGCGGACACGGGCGAATTCCTCGCGGTTGCGCGCGAGACGAAGGCGATCTGCGATGCGCACAACGTCCCCCTCCTCATCAACGACCGCGCGGACATCGCGCTCGCTGTCGGCGCGGCGGGCGTGCACGTCGGGCAGGACGACATGAATGCGCGGGACGTGCGCAAGCTGCTGCCCGCGGGCGCGATCGTCGGCGTGTCGTGCAACTCGGCGGACGATGTGAGGCGCGCGATTGCGGACGGGGCGGACTACATTGGCATCGGGGCGGTGTACGGCACGGCGACGAAGAATGTCAAAAACCCCCTCCTTGGACCGCGCGCGGTGGGCCCACTGCTTGCGCTGCTGGACGGCACGGACGTACGCGCCGTCGCGATCGGCGGCATCAACGCGGGGAACCTCGCGCGGACGCTGCAGGGATCCGTTAGCGACTCGGGACATGCGCTCGATGGTGTCGCTGTAGTCTCCGATATTATGGCCAGCAGAGACCCTGCCGCGGCGTCGGCGAAGCTCGCGGGGATCGTGAAGGCGTTCAAGGAGGGGAGGGCTGCTTCTGCCCCATCGGCCGCTCTGAAGGTCGAGGATCTGCTCGACGGAGTCGTCAGGGTCATGAAAGTAGTGAAGGAGATCAACCCGCTTGTCCATCAGGTGCGCGATCCGTGCTTCCTTGCTTCCTTCCCTCTAAGCACCACCTCTCCCCCCTTCTCTACTCACTCTCCCTTCCTTTCACTCCTCACCCTCTCACTGTACAAGCCAACATTCATACTCAACAAGTTACAACTCCACAGATAACAAACACCGTCGTCACGACCCAGTCCGCCAACATCACCCTCGCCGCGGGCGGCTCCCCTATCATGGCCACCGCGCCCGAGGAGATGGACGACTTGGCGAAGGTCGCAGGCGCAGTGCTCATCAACATTGGCACGCTGCGGGAGGATGTGGTGCGGGCGATGCGGGTGGTGGGTGAGTGGGGAGTTTGTCTTCTTAATGTCTGAAGCAATAGTCAGAAGGAGTGCGAGGGAGTTCATTGACTTTTGGAGTGGTCGCTTTTTGACATCCGAAGCGGTGGACTGGAGACGCGGGGACGTTCGGCTAATGACTTTCAGGCCCCGCCGCGAACCTCTCGCGCACGCCCCTCGTATTCGACCCCGTCGGCGTGGGCGCGACCGACTTTAGGAAGCGGACGGTGAAGGGTGAGTAGCTTGTCCTTGCACTTCTGATGCTTCCTTACGGTTCGCTGTCTTCCTTCGCATCTTTCCCTTTCTGACTTTCGCCCTCGCTCTCACAATACTCACCTACTGACTACCACCCCAGAACTTCTGGACGCCTTCCAGATCTCCGTCCTCAAGGGCAACGCGGGCGAGCTCGCGGCCGTGGCCGGATCGAATGAGGTGCAGTGTCCTAGTTCATTCTGTCTCTTTGTTTCTCTAGCCCGCTCTGTCCCTACCTCGTCCTGATACCCTTGCCCTCGTTCTTTCACCCCTGCCCTCGTCCTTTCACCCCTGTCCTCTCACTTCTTCACCCCTGTCCTCTCTCTTCTTCACCCTCTCTCTTCCTCACCATTGCTCTCGTCCTCCCATCCTTCCCCCCTTTCCTCATGCTCTACATGTTCCGTTTGAAAGGCGTCAGTACGACCAGTGCTTGCTACCCTTTCTCACCCCGATCTTCCCCATCCCCCACCGTGAATGTCCCCCACTGTGACCGCCCGCTAACCGCCATCCCCAGGTCCGCGCCAAAGGCGTCGACAGCGCCGGCCCCGGGTTCGCCGACCCGGCCTGGTTTGTGAGGGGGTTGGCGAGGAAGGAGAGTGAGTGTTTTGGTTGTTTTCTTGGGGTTTGGTCGTTGCCTTACTTCTCTACACTTACCGTCCCCCGTCGCGCCCATCCTTTCCCTCCATATCTCGCTAACCCCGCCAAGACCCACTTCGCTCGCGTGCACTTTGACGCACCTGTCCTCTCCTCTCCTCAAGCGTCATAGAAAAAAGCGTCATGAAACAGAGCCCCCAAGCTGACCCCCCTCCTCAGAAACCACCACGCTCCTCACGGGCCCCGTCGACTACCTCTCGGACGGGGTGCGCGCCGTGAAGATCGCCAACGGGCACGAGATTCTGGGGAGGGTGACGGGGAGTGGGTGAGTTCTTTCTCTTCCGTGGACGTTCTTCCGTCTTTGTTTTTGGATATCGGCTGTGGCGGGCATTGGTGAAGGGAATGGTGTTCGAACGAGCGAGTGGGTGTTCATGGGTAAGCGCTAACGAACCGCCCCAGATGCATGCTCGGCTCGCTCGTGGCCACCTACTGCGCCGCGGCGGCGCATGTGGCGGACGTGGACGCCGGCTTCGACGGGGAGACCTCGCGCGCGGGCTCTGCGGCCGACACCGTGCGCGGGGATATGCTCGTGGGCGCGTTGGCGGGGTGAGTCCCCCTTCCTCTGACATCTACCGTTCCATGTCTGCCTTCCTATGTGTCCCTCGCTTCCCGTGTAGCCCTCGAGGAGCGAAATCCCCATCGACTCGAAGAGTACACTCATCACTAACACACCTCCCCCAGCGTCCTCGTCCTCTCCATCGCCGCCGAGAAGGCGGTCGCCAGAGGGGACGTATACGGGCCGGGCACGTTTCTCCCCGCGCTCATGGACGAGGTCGCGGGCCTGACGCCGGGCGAGGTGCGGGCGAGGGCGAGGGTGGAAGTAGTATAGCTGCCTCTTCGTTCCTGTCGCGTCCGAGGGGGGAGGGAGCACGGAGAGGAAAAGGGAGGAAAGGAATTGAAAGAGAGAGGGAAAGGGAGAAGGAACTAACAAGCGAACGGAACGAGAGGAAGGAACACAAATCATAGACGATCAACCTAGAAACCCTGTTGTTGTACTTTTTTGCTTGTCTTATGCGTCATTTATGGGCAACGGTTGGAGACATCACTCACGTCCGTGCATTGCTCGCGCGTCGAGCGAATAAGGACACGCCGAGCGAATGAGAACACAGTGGGCGAAGACGAACAAGCCGGGCGAAGGATACATAGCGGGCGAACCGGAGGTGCCTTTCGAAGCACATCGAGCGGAGGACAGTGCTGACCGAGCACATCGAGCGGAGACTGTCGAAGCAGCAAGTGGTGATCACATCGACGATTGCTAGTAGTCGTACACGGAAATATGAGCGGTGGTTGTTGTCTTCTCCCTCTCGTCCTCCCTCCTTCCCGTCCCCTCCCCCCCTCCTTCCCTCCCCTTCCGCTCCCCCTCCCCCCTCCCCTCCCCCATAACCCTCACCCGCTCCCCTTCCGCTCCCCCTCCTTCCCTCGCCCTTCCACCCCTCACTGCGACCCACCCCTCCTCTCCCCATACACCCGCACCGCCTCCTCGACCTTCTGCGTGATGTCCTCCGCGGTCAGGTTCTGCCCGAAGGCGTCGACGAAGTGGCCTGGGTGGGGGGGGGGGGTTAGCAGGTGAGGTTAAGGAGGGGGTTAGGGGTTAGTGTGTTTTGTTAATAGGACGGGAGAAGGGTGGGTGGGGAAAAAGGAGGGGTAGGAGGGGTAGGTTAGGAGGGGGGAGGGAGGGTGGGGGAAGGGGGTAGAGGAGGTACCGAGTCCATCACGGTGTGAGCGGCAAGTGCACGATGGCGCAGTGCTAGCCGGCAGTATAACCCTTCCCCAACCAACCCACTCCACCCCAAACAACCCCAAAACTCACCCTCCGGATCCACAAGGTACACAAATATGCTGTGGTCGACCAAGTAATCGCCCGCCGGGTCCGCGTCGGGCGGCGTCGAGAAGTAGACGCGGTAGGCGCGGCAGATGGACTGGGGGGGTTGGGTGGGTTAGTGTTAGTGAGAGACAGGGTTGGTGAGTGAGAGAGGAAGAGGGGGGCGAGGGGAAGGGGAGGGTGGGTTAGTGAGGTGAAAAAGAGTGGGGTAGTGGGGTGAGAAAGGGAGAGGGGTCAGGGGGAGGGGGGGTGTTGGTGAGAGAGAGGGGGTGTGTGTTAGTGAGGTGATGTTTATGTTATAGGGTGGAAAGGGAGAAGGGAGAGAGGGAGAGAGGGGGGTGGGTTAGTGAGGTGAGAAATGGTGGGGTGGGTGGGGGAAAGGGAGGAGAGAAAGAGAAAGGGTGGGAGGGGTGGGAGGGAAGGGGGAAGGAGGGGCGAAGGAGGAAGGGAGAGGGGGCGGGAGACGGGGATTACGGTGAGTAGATGGTTTTGGGTATCGAAAATGCGATTGGGGTTGCGCTTCGACGCCAAACTCATCCAAACTCCCCAACAAAAAAACTCACCTTCGTCTCCTCCCACCCGCCCCTCAGGCCGACAAACCTCGGATGAAAATCGGCGAGGTAGCGCGCGATCGCGGGCAGCGTGTCCCGCTGCGGGTCGACGGTGATGAATATGGGGAGGAGCGCGGTGGGGGAGGGGGAGGATTCTGTGGGGAGTAGTTAGTAAGGGTTATTGTGGGGAGGTGTTAGTATGGGTAGGGGTCGTTGGGTGGGGGTGCCGTAGAAATGAAGAGGCAACGAGAAGCCCGAAACCCATCCATCCAACAATAAAAAAAACCCCACTCACCCACCCCCCGCACCACCTCCCCCATCTTATCGAGCTCCGCGGGGCAGATATCGGGGCAGTTCGTGAAGCCGAAGTAGAGGAGGGACCAGTGGTGGAGGAGGTCTGAGTCGGTGAAGGGGGTGCCTGGGAGGGGGTGGGCGTTAGTTGGTGGGTTTGGGAGGGGGAGGAGACGGGTTTGGAAGGGGATGGGGATGGGTTGGGGGAGAGGGAGGGGGAGGGAGAGGGACAGTTGGTGGGTTTGGGAGGGGGAGGGAGAGGGACAGTTGGTGGGTTTGGGAGGGGGAGAAGGAGTGAGGGAAGAGGGAGTTGAGGAGAAAGGGAGGGGGAGTGGAGGACGGAGGAAGGGGATGAGGAAAAGGAGGGACGCAGCGGTCCAAAGCCTTGAAGGCACCCGGTCCACCCCGCCACGCGATTCTGTACTCTACAAAACCCACACGTACGCACCCTCCGGCTTGTCCTCCACCCTGGGCACGCCGCTCGCGCCCGTCGCGCTGGTGGCGGTGAGCGCGAAGGGCCCGCCGACCTTGGGGCGGCCGTAAGCTTGGGCGGCGTTTTCTTTTTCTGTTTAAAGATGTAGTTGGCGTTTGAGGAGGTATTGATTGACGTTTGTCGAGGTTTTGGTTAGGGAGGGGGAGGGGGAGAGCGAAGGAGCGAGGGGGGAGTGGGATGAGAAATGGAGGAGAGGGAAAGCGAGAAGAACAGTCAGTATCTGGTCAACGTGCGCCAAGCGAACCCCACTCACCCCGCTCCTCCTCGAGCTTCTGCTTCTCGTGGCGGAAGTAGAGGACGAGGCCGATGCCGGTGGCAACGAAGACGGCGGCGGAGGGGAGGGTGAAGACCTAGGTGGGAGGTTAGTGAAAGGTGAGGGAGAGAGGAAGGTGAGCGAGCAGCAGAAGAGCGAGGGATGAGAGGAGAGAAGCAGGTAATGAACGGACAGAGGGAGGTGAGGGGGACGAGCGCTGGGCAGACATGCATTCACTCACCCCCACATCATACCGGCTCTTCGAGCCCGAGGACATGGTGCGGCGCTGGACGAGGCCGGGGGAGGATGTGGCGGAGGCGGGACGCAGGGTAGGCCGAGTGGTGGTCGTGAGCGATCGACTGCCAGTGGACGCAGCACGTCCGGCAGCACCAGTCGAGCGACCCGCCGCCAACAGAGTCGCGCTCGCAGAAAGCGCGGAGCGGCTGACGGACGAGCGGCCTACAGCGACCGCCGCGTACCCGAGCCGCGCGTGCGTTGCGGGAAGCATGGATGGTGTGTGGTGTGTGGGTGTAGGAGAGGTGAGAGGGTCGAGGGATGTGGTGCGGGTTGTGGTAGGCGAGCGGATGGACGTATGCGTGCGGGTAGGTCGATCCGTTCAGGGAGTTGTATGCGTGCAGCTAGTCCTCCGCGTGCAACTAGTCCTTCTCCTACGTCAGCCCTATACGTGCAAGACCGAACGCTTCAGTCACCTAGCGTGCGTGGGGTGGATGGATAGCGTGTGCGGGACCGATGAGATGGAGGCGGGTGCGATCGAGGCAGTGGTCGCTCGGCGTGCGGACCGGGGTGCGCTGCCCACGTGCGCTCGACTGTGATGTCACGGCTGCCGCCACATCGCGTTCCTTCGCGCACCGCGATAGGGAGGAAGGCTGTGAGTCGTCATCTTCTGTGCGATCGCTGCTCGATCTCTGAGGTTCTCTGAACATCTGCCACCGCAGGTGAAGCTGTCTCTTGCCGCCGTACGCCCAGGCTACTGTACACTGTACTACTCTTCCTGAACTCTGCTATCAGTGCGCAAGCCGCCACCATGTCTGCCCCGCTCGAATACCTCACCCAAGAGCAGATCGACAAGGTCGGTCGCTTGAGGATCGCTCTGACAGCCCGTGAATGCTTATCGCAACCGAAACCGTAGTTCCACACGGATGGGTGCGTACCATCTCTCCCCCCCGCTCTCCCTCCTTCTCCCTTGCCATCCCCACTCCCGACGGCCATCCCCACTTCCGTCGTCCGCCTTAAACGTGCCCAGAGCTTGAATATCTCTACCCAGATACCTTGTGCTCCCCAAATTCGTTGACGAGGATACCGTCAGCGCGCTTCTGACGCGCTCGAAGGAGCTGCTTGATGAGTTTGACGTCGATAATCATCCGCTGGTGCGTCCATGTCTGTGTGCCCGCTCCCTTCCTCCGCACCCCTCCCTCTTTTTGCTCTACCCGCCCTCTTCTTGCTCCACCCCCTCCCTTCGCGCTTGTTAACATCATTCCCCTTCACCCTTGCCTCGCCTTCATTCCTTCACTCTCTGTACCCACTCCCCATCGTCACTTCCCTTAACTCACACTCACCCCAGACCCGCTTCACCACCGGCGACGACGACCACGTCGGGGACGACTACTTTCTTGACTCGGGCGATAAGATGTGCGTTCTTTTTGCCCCTTCCCTTATCCTCTCCTCCTTCCCTCTTCTTTACGCCTTACTCGCTCCTACCCTCTTCCCCCCCTCCCTCCCTCTCCCCTTCCTCCCCCCACCCTGCTCCTCCATCCACCCTCACCCTCTAATCCCTCCCCACCCAGCCGCTACTTCCTCGAACCCGACGCCGTCAGGGACGGCCGCCTGAATCGCCCCAAGCAGCTCGCGGTCAACAAGATCGGGCATGGTGCGTGGGGTTGCTCTTTTTTGGTCGATGTAGCTGGATCCCCTCCCTACCTCCCCGTCCCACCTCCAACTCTTCACTCCCTCCCCCTCCCAGTCCCCCTCCTTACCCTCTCCCCTTCTCCTTCCCATCCTCCAACCTCCATCGTCCCCCTCTCTCCCCCACAAACACCAACTGACACCAACTAACCACCCCCCCCCCCCACCCAGCCCTCCACACCCTCGACCCCCTCTTCCGGCGCGTCACGCTCGAGAACGGGCGGCTGCGGGCCGTGGCGAGGGATCTCAAGTTTCATCGGGACCCTGTAGGTACGTCTCGGGCTCAATACCTGGGAGTGACTCTGGTAGTAGAGGATCGAGTTCGAGATATGGTCGTGGCTCGAGCTCGAGATATGGTCGTGGATCGAGTTCCGTACCCGGTTTTGGCTCGAGCTCGCGGTACTCGGGTTATGGCTGGAGCTCGATACCCTGGTCGTGGCTCGAGTTTGATACCCTGGGGGTGGCTCGCGTTCGGTACCCGGTCGTGGATCGAGCTCGGTACCCGGTCTTGGCTCGAATCCGTACCCGTCGTTGACGAATCCGCGATCAACATTGACGAATCCGCGACTAACGCACCCCGCCCAGCCCTCCAGAGCATGGTGATCACGAAGCAGCCAAGGATTGGCGGGGAGGGTGCGTGAATATTACCCAGTCTTGCGCAGCGCACGCTGTCTGATAAGGTAGCACCCAACACTGATAGTCGGCGAGCACAACGATTCGACGTTTTTGGTGCGTGCGCCCTTCTCCCTTCTCCCTCCCGCTCCCCTCCCCTCTTCTCTCCCACCGTCCTCTTCTCCCTCCCCCTCTGCCACCCTCCCACCCCACCCCTACCACCGTCCTCACTCCCCCTCCCACCCTACCTAACCAACCCCTCCTCCCCTAGTACACCTCCCCGCCCACCGCGCTCGGCGTCTGGATCGCTTTGGAACAGTGCACGCCCACGAATGGCGCCCTCTCGTTCCTCCCAGGCTCGCACATCAAGTTGGCGCAGGTGCCGGGGCTGGAGGCGACGGGCGGGATCGAGAAGCGGTTTGTGAGGGTGAGTGAGGGGTGTGTGGGTGTTTTGTGGGAGAAGGGGAGTGGGGCGAGGGGGCGTTTGGGTGGTGGGGAAGGAATGGGGCGAGGGGAAGAGGTGGCGTTTTGCGGAAGGGGGAAGGGTATTGGGGCTAGGGGGAAGCTGTGGGGCGAGGGGGAAGGGGAGTGGGGCGAGGGGGGAAGAGGAGGCTCACCAGATGCGCACGAGGGCCTGTAGAGAGCATCACGGAGGGCCTGTAGAGCGCATCACGAAGGCCCACCAAAGGCGCACCGCGCACTGACCTGCCTCTCAGTTATCAACCGGCGGCACCGGCTTCGAGAAGATCGGCACGAACGACGGGCCGCCGACGGTCGGGGGCGAGTACGTGCTCGCGGAGTGCGAGGCGGGTGAGTGGGCTCTCTCTTCACCTCACCCGCGCCATTCCCATTCTCTCCCCCTCCTCCCCTCTCCTCGTCCTTCCCCCTCTCCTCGTCCTCCCCCCACACCCCCGTACCCCTCTCCTCCCACATCTTTCTTCCCTTAACTCAAACACCCTCTCCCCCCACACAAACCCCCTGTCTCCTCCTCCCCGAATCCCACTAACACCCACCCCCCACCCCTCCCAGGCGACACCGTCCTCATCCACGGCGCCGTGCTACACAAGTCGCCACGCAACGCGGGCGAGAAGACCCGGTTCGCGTACACGTTCCACATGGTGGAGAATCCGTGGGTGAGTGGGTGTGTGTGGTGTGGGGTCTTCGTTTTTATACCTTTTCTGTTTGCGAAGAGAGGCGTGCTCGTTTGCAAGGACCGGGGTGTGGCGGGGGAGTACGTGCGAGGGACAGCGGATACTGACGGCCTTATTCACCAGCCCAGCACCACCACCTCAACCGACACCACGCACTCTCCCTCAACCAACTCTCCCTCAACCAACTCTCCCTCAACCAACTCTCCCTCAACCAACTCTCCCTCAACCGACCCCACGCACCCGCGCGTCATCTACGACGAGAAGAACTGGCTGCAGCCCGGGAAGGACGGCTTCGCGCGGGTGTTTGGGTGAGGGCGTGGTGTGAGTTGTTGTGCGCACGAGCCAGGACGCGCACAAGCTGGAACGCGCACGAGCTATATAGTTGGACGTGCACGAGCCAGGAACAGAATTCAGGAAAACTTGGTCGTAACTGTAATCAGAAAGACATGGTTGTAATTGTACCAATAGGACGCACTCAGCAGATTGGATGGATGGTTGTTGGACAGAATGGATAGACGGATGTTAAACCTTGCTCGTCAACCGAATGCGCCTTCCGAGTCAAAAATTGCTCGACTCCTTCAACGCGTCCCCAAAGGACGCTCCCTAAACCCCCTCAACCGCCCAGCTACATCCAAGAAAACACCATCAATAGTACAACACCGATACACCGGTATACAGCAGCTATAGCGTACAAAGTTAGTAGATCGGTACAGGTATTCGTCGCCCTTTCCTCTACACCTCCCTCCTCGCCCTCCACCTCCCTATTCTCCAATCACCCACCCCAGCCGCCTCCCGCTTGACAACCACAACACCGTTACGGCTGACGCGTAATCCCCACCCTCCCCCCAAATCCCCTCCTCTTCTGCACCTACTCCCCCTCCTACCCTCTCCTCCTAACTCTCATCCCCAATCGCCCGCCCCGCCTGCAGCTGCCGCACGAGGTGGTCGACGGTCGCGCGGCTGACGCGGTAGTGCTCCTGCCAGCCCTTCCACGGGTGGTGCGGGTGCTGGGGGTGAATGGTGGTCAGCGTTCTGATTCAATCGAGAGAAGGGCGAGAACAGGAAGAGGAAACGGGCGAGACCAGAAAGAGGAAACAGACGAAGTTTAAAGGAGCAAAGACAACATAGAGCGGCCGCGACGCCAAACGGAAGCGACGACAGGACGCATCATGGGAAGAAAAAAATCCAGAGATGAGAAAGAACGACAATCCAGACGACCCCCCAACTAACGATCCATTCCAAACACAACAATCCAGTCCAAACAATCCAGTCCAAACAGTCCAACCACAACTAACAATTTAAACAACGAAAAAAAAAAACCCCTCAACAAACAAAAAAACACTCACCATCCCCGCAAACGCCCTAAAGATCGCATCGCTCGTGCCGCGCGGTTTTCCCGCCAGAAACTTCGCGAGCAGGACGTCGTCGGCCTGCGTGTACCGCTTGGGCTTGCCGGTAGGCGGTTTGGTGGGGTGGGTGGTGGATGATGAGGTGGAGGGTTTGGTGGTGGAGGCAGAGGCGTTAGGTAGGCGGGAAGAGGATGAGGGATGGGTGGTGGAGGCGGAGGTGGTGGGGGGTTTGATGGTGGAGGTGGGTAAACGGGTGGTGGTGGTGGAGGTGGAGGATTTGGGCTGTGATGAATGAGTCGCTTTCGTTTGAGACGGTGCAGAAGAGGGATTAGGTGGGCGGGTGGGTTGTTGTGACGAGGAGGGCTGATGAGATGACGAGGGTTGATGTGACGAGGGTCCGGAAAGAGTAGTTGGCGACTGGGCAGTTCGTGAAGAAATTGACGAGGACGCCTGGGTAGGCACAGACGGTCCTGCAGGAACAGGCGGCGACGTCGCGTGCACCCCAGGCGACGTCGTATGCGCCACCGGCGACGAAGATGCCGCATACCTCGTCTCCGGCGATGACGAGGGGGACGTGTACTGTGCCGAGTACCCCTGCCCGATCCCAGCTGGCGTGAAGCTGCTCGCTACGCCGGCCATGGCGTATGTTTGGTCATATGTGGTATACGGGGTGGATGTTGGCGCGTAGCTGGTGGATGCCGACGGTGCTGCGTATCCCGTAGACGGCCGGGTTGGGTCGGTAGGATAGCCCGCGGAGGTGTACCCAGTTGACGGCCGCGACGCATACTCGGTGGACGAGGATGTAGAGTAGCCGGTTGACGGTCGTTGCGAGTAGTCCGCAGGCTGCGCCGGATAGGCAGCAGTAGATGTGCTCGCATAGCCAGCGGACGACGTCGAGGCATAGCCAGCGGACGAAGTTGACGCGTACCCAGTGGTCGACGTGCTCGCGTACCCGGTGGTCGACGTCGAGCCATACGGAGAACCCGTCGCCCCGTACCCCACCGCAAAGGCCGGGGTAGTGACATACGGCGGGGCAGAGCTCGTCGCCGTGTAAGATACCTCCGGAGGCGACCTTAGCTGCCGCGTGCTAGCCTCAGGCGTCCTCCGGCTTGTCGTACCACTGGCCGCAGGAGCAGTTCCTGTCGTCGCGCTCGACACAGGCCCGTCACTTGTCGTGGTGTCTGTGTCCATAGCGCTCGCACCCGTGTCCGCACCACTAGTCCCCGCCCCTGCCGCATTACCGCTCGTCCCTGGCGTATCCCCAACCGCACCACCCGTCCCACCACTACCACCCCCATACACCCCCTCCGGCGCCTCCATCTCCACCTCCGGGACCGCGTTCTGCAGCTCGGGGTCCAGCTCGTGGCGATGCCGGCGCCAGTACTTCATCCACGAGGCGCGCGAGTGGTGCGGGGCCTGGGTGAGGGCGTTAGCATCGTTGCCTGTGCCCACACGTTACTCGTCCTCCACACGTCGCTGAACGGACACATCACTCCTCGACCTCGCCATCCAGCGTAAGCCGGCATGCGCTAAATGCATCACCACAATCCCAACCCACAAACCACCCACGATCCCAGCCCACAAACCACCCCCAAACTCACCTTCTCACAAATATCCCGCCAGAACTCGCCATCCATCTTCCGCCCCTGCGCCCTCCTATACGCCAGCGTGCGCACCAGAAACGTCACGTCCGCGTCTGTGAACGCGACGCCCTTGCCTGTGGTGGAGCGGAAGAGCGCGCGCGGGGGCGAGGGGGAGCGGGAGGGGATGGAGGGGGTGGAGTCGTCGTCGTGGTCGTCGTCATTGTGAAGCGAAGGATCTGGATCTTGAGACTGGCCCGAGGGAACTTGGGGAGACGTCTCGAGGGTATGGGCGGACGTCGATGCAACGGGATGAGGGTGATGCATCCCCGGATCCGGATGTTGCATCCCCTGCTGCTCGCCATACTGCCCATAGTACTGCGCCTCGTACCCATTGTACCCCGAGGTGTCCATCTCGCCTTCGCCCTCCCCCTCTCCTTCACCCCCTTCCTCCTCCTCATCTTCCTCCTCCGGCGACGGCGACAGGCAGTGCGACATCTTGTATCCGCCGAGCCGCTTCTTGTGCTTGTTGCAGTAGCGGCGCCAGGAGTAAAAGCTGCAAGGCGAGGGGGTGAGCTTTTCCTACCCATGATCCAAGTAAACGATCAACAAACGTACGTATGATGCGGCGCCTTCAACGCCACCCGCTCACAGATCTCCCTCAAGCTCAACATTATCCCCGCATCCTGGCAGTACTGAATATACCGATCCAGATACTCCTTGTCCTCATCCGTGAACGCGTGCCCGCCAAATCTGCTGATCTGCACCCGCGACGGCGGCGTCGGCGAGCGCGGCGGCGGATTCGAGCGCGCGACGAGGACGGAGGCGTCCAAAGGACCTGTGCGCCGAGAGCGCCGGCCGCGGAGGGGAGGTGGTGGAGGTGGTGGTGGAGTTTGGCCGGAGGCGGAGGGCTCGGAGGCGTCCCCGGTTGAGGGATCGTTAGAGGGCGAGTCAACGACCATGGGCTCGGGAGAGGGGGGCAGTTGGGGCGTGACGGGCATGGCGGCGGCGAGGGTGTCTTGGGGTTGGTGGGGGTGTTGGGGATACGGCGCGGCGTAGGTTTGTTGATGCTGCTCGTACGCCATGGTGTTGTCGTAGTACGCGTATTGCTGCTGCACCCGCGAGTAGTCGTACTCTGGTTGCTGTTGAGGATATGCGTGCGGGTACCATGTCTCCTGCTGCCTGTACTGCGTGCGCAGGGGTTGGGCGTCCGTCATCGCCATCGCGTGCGCGTGCGTCGGGTCGACCTGAGTGTGGGCCTGCTCTACGTGCGCGTAGTGCATAACGCTGTCCGCAGCAACCTGCTGCGTGGTAGTGGCCCATCTTGGCGTCGGCGCGTAGGAGTAGACCGAAGGGATGCCGTGGTAGTTGCCCATACTGTCGTACGTGTAGCCGGAGTACTCAGGGACGTACTGAAGGGACGCCTGTGTCGCCTGGTCGTGACGCTCGGTGGTGGTATCGTGAGGGAGGGCATGCGCGGTGCTAGTGGCTGCCAAGGGTGCATGCGCAATGCTTGTAGAAGCTAGTGAGGCCAGGCTACTCGCGGTCGGCTCGGGCATGTAGGATGCCGTAGCGGCAGCATCCGCGGGTGCCGACGGCGCGGGCGGGATAGGTTCGGGAGGCGCTGCCGTGTCTTGGGGAGCCTGCGCGGGTGGGTCGCTGGGTAGTATGAGCAAGGGAACGCGTCGAGTGACCTGCAGAATCCGTACCAGCCATCTTCGTCCCATTCGTTCCCCTGGACCTTGCAGCCCGCCCACTCCGTCCGCCTAGTCTGCAGTTCGCCGGCTTTGATGCACTCGCGCACCCAGCGCGCATCGAGGATGATCTTCTTGTTCGTCTTGTGCGCCCACTGTCTCCAGAGCCGCTGCCCGCTCTCCGTCCTCGGATTGACTGCAAGCCAAGTATCAGCACTGTCCCAGCGCGCATCACTCCCTTTCTTACTGAGTATATACGGCACCGCACTGTACCCGAGGGACACGTTCCCGCCGTGTTCCTGCGCGCGGTCAGGAAAGCAAGCTCGCGCCGCGAAGGCAAGGTGGCGCACGCACAACGATGAGGCGCTGGATCTCCGCCTGGTCCGGCACGTCCTTGTCCACGTACATCGCCAGCGGGCACCCCATCATCGGGTCGACGAACAGATCGGACACGGGGGCCGGCGGCGGCGCATGGCTGGTCGTCGGCGCGCGCGTCGAGGACGCGGTGTCCAAGGCGCGACGCGTGCCGGGGAGATCGCGAGGTGCCATGAGTCCGCTGGGCAGTTGTTGTTGGGACTCCAGGAGGACCCGGGAACTGATCTCAATCAAGAATGCACCTCCCACGCCCGAAGCCAAGACCGCGGCCCCTCGTGGCTGGCGCCGCCGACGATGGGATCGTCTTACAGAGCCCTGTAGGTGAGCTCTGGGTGAGAGAGGGAGATGGACACTGGCATGGAGAACTCGGCGCGTTCACTGAAGCTGGAACGTTGAATTCATTTTCCCCCTTCGCCGGCGGCGGCGCTGTTTTAGATGAGATCACGTGAATGAAGTAGACTGGACCTACAGCCAGAAGTTATTGCGTTGAGCGGCCAGACAGCGAGTCCTGGCAGAGACAAGTGTGGTTTAGACACCACGCAGTCAGTTACTGCTGATGTACGGGCATATCAAGGACTGACCGGTCGGCAGAGTTTGATCTGTCGCGTATCTTTGAGCTTTAACATCTCACCTCAAGCGCACTTGTGTTGTTGAGCTTGGTCTATATCTTGTATTTCCTGTGCGTCAGTGATACTCTAGCCACTCATATATTCCCGAGAGGGTAACCAGAGTCATCGATAGATTCGTTGAATCTGGAAGAGAGGCGCGCTATGATGTATCTCGTAGATAAAGTAAAAGGCCATGAGTTGACAGATTCAATATACCTAGAATACAGAGCCTTGAGAATCTACTTCGAAGAAAGCTGTCTATGGATGATCAGCGAGAACGGCCTGGGGAGAGCTTGTGCGACCCCTTGTGGGTCCGGATTCGGCATAAGCCGATATTCTCGTGACCGCTGTAAGCGGTCCGTGGTCTATGGGGGTGGGCACCACCCGCCACCGGATCCGGCATATTTGTACATGTTGTGGTCACGCCTGGGCGCCCGTTCCGCAGTGTTTCCGTATCTCCTCCGTCAGTTTTCTGACTCTCGCTTCCGGATAAGGTGCGTCGGAAAGCGGCGAATCATAGCTACAATCCCACGTCGATTTTTAGTATTTCATTGGGAGGAAGCCGAGATTCTCATTTTTGTGGCTTCTGAATGTGCTATTGTTGAAATCCGACGACAGAATGTAGACCTTGTATGTAGCTTCCGAACGCGCTCTTTTGCGAGTTTGGGGACGAAGAAATGACGGAGGAGATAGAGAAATGGGATCAGTCACGCATGGGCCAAAAAGCACTGTGACACGTGTGACATGTCCGCCTGTTCCTCGACCTCGACGGTTCAGCAGCGCGTGCATCAGGTATCAAGTCCTTTTCACCCGGTGCACGTAAACAGGCATTGCTAGGACCCTACAAAGCTGCTCACTGCTCATAACCTCTTATCCTCGGCTGCTGTCGTCGTGTTTTATATTGCTATAGACTCTCCCTTCTCTGGGTTCCCCGTGGGCGAGTCTGCTTCGCATCAGTGGTAAAACAGCAGAACTGCTTCAAAATATCACAATCTTGGAGCATGGACTCTTTTGAGGCTGTCCGACGCGCACCTTGACTATGAAATGTTGAGAGAAGACAAGAACGAGTCTGACCTATCTTGTCGAGTAATTGCATGCTGTCTCTGAAGAACTAAGCGTAGGTAAAGTAGATTACAGCGTAGATCATACAATTCTGAACAACTTTGCCATACAAAGGTAAGCGATATGACCCCTCCATCGTGCACCTGCCGGACGACGATTCGGGGACACCCGAAGTCCACTTGTTGGCGCAGCATAAACATGACCAAATATGCCGGATCCGGTGGCGGGTGGTGCCCACCCCCATGGTCTATTCCGCCATGCCCAGGGTTTTCCGAAATGGAAAGAGGTTCCCACAGTTGGTCTCACGTGCAACCAACTTGGTCGCACGTGAGACCAACTTGGTCCGGCCACGAGGCGACGCCACATCGCGGCAACGCGCAGGCGCCCGCGATCAAGTTTGACACCAACCACTATCCGGCGATCCAGCGCGGACGCGACGTGGTCGCACGACCACCGACAGACGCCACGGAATGCCTCAGATGCAGGTCCAGGACCGCGTCCGTTCTGGAAAGAGGCGAGCAGGGGAGGGTCGAGCGAAATAGGGGGAAGGGGAGTACGCTGCCAGCGGGCAGTCACGGTCCTCAAGGCCGGCTCACACGATACGGTGAGTTTTCCCGCACGTCGCCGCTGCTAACAGCTACTGATTGTGCTCACTGGATAGGTAGACAACGAGCGACCGAGGTCGTATTGCGCGATCGCGCGGATGCGGCCCAGCCTCGAGTATCAGCGCTGACGAGCTCGCTCGAAGCAACCAAGCATGCCGTCGAAGCCTACTGCGACGGCGGAGACTGTACGCTGCGGGCGTACTCCCCATCCCCCCTCCTTCCCCCCTCCTCCTCCCCTTCTCCCCCTCCTCCTTCCCTTCTCCCCCTCCTCCCCCTTTCTCCCTCCTTGCGTGACCATCCGCGCACACCTGCACTTCGCAATTTTTCGCCCGAGGCTCTACAGACCCCACTGTCACAAGATCACTCGGTCGCGCTCATCCAGCAACGCGCCAAGAACCGCGCGCATCTATTCTGGTGCGTCGCGCACACATTCCCATTCTCGCATGCACGTACATAGGGCTTACACTTGGCGAGTTTCTCAGCATACTCGCCCCATATTCCCGTCTCGTAGATACTTATAGTAGCCTTGTATATTTGTTACAGTATCTTGTGAATATAATCAATTTGCCTCACTACACGAGTGTCGAGACCCGGGGATTTCTACAGAACGAAGGGCCCAAGATTCGAAGACTGGATCCCATCAAGTTGAACTTGATGTGATGTGAATATGCGCGTGCGGGCCGTCAGTTTGCTTGACGAGATGCCGTGGGGGTGGTGGCGCCGCGCAGAGCGCGCCGCCCGACGCAGTCGAAAACCCTGGGTGGGCGCCGCGCAGCGGCGCGGAAAACCCTGGGCAGCTTCACGTGAGTCATCGGGATAGTCGGGCGGCCTTCGGCCGCTTGGAAAACCCTTGGGTTGACCACCAAGCCCGTCCGTGATCCGACAATGTTCGTTTTCGCGGAAGCATCGACTCCAGATTTTCTTCCGTCTTATCTTTGCGCATCGAGCGCGCTCAGGGAACCCTTCAGGTGTTCCGTTAGTTCCCTGTGCCATTCTTGGATTTTCCTACGAAGGTTCTATCTCTCTACGCGCCTATACTCTCCGCCTGCCGCTCGAGGAGCCTTCTTTGTCGGCAGACGCCCTTTTGAAGCGGGAGATGGCGTTTTGGACGTGGGTATGCGGATTACTGCTTCATTAGTGCTGCACCATACCTTCGAGGGCTGCTATGAAGGCGTTCTTCCCCATACTCTGCTTGGAACATGGCTCTCGGTACCGGCTCCATGCTCTTTCATGATCCCGCACATGGAGTCCAGACTTCGAGTCCTCCCCACAAAAATCCGTTGTCGAGACCCGCATTCGTCTGCCCGCGGCAACTCGTCCTCCCACCCGTCCCTCGTTTTGTCGCGATGCGCCGTCCCGCCCTTACCGATGTTGCCATCCGCACCCCAGATGGTCAAGATGGCGGGTGATTCTGTGCGAATGACCGATACTCCTCGGCGAAAAGATTTCTCTGCAGTCTATTCGCGGCTCAACATCGCGGCACCCACTGCCGAGGGTCGAGAATCGTAGATTTTGTAGTGTCCCGCGCGGGGCTGTCGCGAGGGGCTCCTCGACCTGCATGTTGGTGTGAGGGGGTTTGTATTTTCTTTGCGATAGCTGGCTGCGCGCGGAAGGCCGCCGAGAGTTATGTCGGAAAAATCGGAAGTCGCAGGTTAGGCCATATTATGCCATATTAGGCGATTAGGAATCCGGGCCCTAGTTATGTTGCCCAAACGACTAATTAGATCGTGTTTCATAATTAGGGATACACGCCCTAATTGCACCTAACGAGGCCTAATTAGGGACGCCCTACCAGGAAAACAAAAAATAGCAGGTGGTTGCGAGCCCAGAGGACCCGCAACCACCTGCGTAGCATGGGGGCAGCAGCAACAACATTTATTGTCTATTATCATACTTAGTAGGGGTAGAGGAGGCAAGGAAGGGAAAGGGAAGGCCAGCAGTAGGTACGCTGTGCAAGGTTGGTGAGATGACGTCATCGGGTGCTTGGGCAGGACGTACCAAATCTCAAATTTAAGTTCCTCGACGTCTGTGTGCAGACCTACACGATCAGGATGATCAATGAAGATGAAGACAAAGTGTTAGAGATATCGACACACCATAGCCACAGCTGGAGAGGCGACCGAACACAAACGAGCTTGTCGGCGACGGATACGGCGATCTTGAGGAAGAAGATGTCGTGCATGCACACGCCATGATATGATGCGGTTGCACATCCCAGCGTAGGGAGGCTGATAGGTTTCGTCGCCGTCGAAGTAAGCGGACGACGGGAACCGTGCCGCAGCTGAAGGATGGTGGTGGTCGAGGACGAGCTTGCCTGGCCCGCCTTGGGGCTTACAAATACACTGACCGGCAAAATCCGATCTCTCCCACGCCTCATCAGCGATTTCGCGCTCAAGTCCGCATCGCAGCCACTAGCGTGTACTGTACTCGACTCAATCACCTCGAGTATGGGTAAAACTGCTCCAAATATGATCCCACGATTGTTCGCGACCTTACGCAACCGGGTAGACTGTTTCATAGGCGTCGAACAGGCCTTGAGATGACCTGGGGGAAGGAGGCCAATTAGTGCTAATGAGGCATACGAGGTTCTAATCAGACATAATGTCCGCCTAATAAGGGTCCCCCCAGCTCATAATTAGGGCGCTAGGGGGTCATATGCCTAACAATGCTTTTGGGATTTTTCCGACATACATAGGTTCAAGGAGACCGTTCGTATATTTTCGTGACTTTTTGGCGGCATTTTCTGTCCGTCGACGGACAGCTCAGTGTGCTGAAGACCCTGCACCGTGCACGTCGCTGCGGAGCGCAGGGAGGACCTGATCTCGCTGTCAGACGACGACAGGAGGGTGCGCCCCATGCTGCGATAGTCCTCGTGCACGTCGCGGCAGTCCGCAATGTTGATTGAGGCATTTGTGCTAGGCTCGTCTTGCACCTGAGCTCATCCTCGAGAGGTCCTCAACGGCATGGTCTTCACGCTCATCATCGTCCCATCGGCCGACAGACAGACCTTCGCGGTCCTCCCATCGGATGCCGAGTGAGACAGAAGCGAAAAATTCCACCACTCGTTGAGGTTCGAAAGCCTCGTAGTAAGGAGCACTTTACGGCTCTTCTGTCGTTCTTTTAGCCCTTCATCGCATAGTAGAGTCTTCTCCGATAGAATCACTGTCTTTGCTACCAACTTACGACTCGTTGGGACGCAGATTGCCCAACTGAAGGTCCCGCGCTCTTCGAACGGGGTCACGATAGGAGTCATAGGCAACCACAGAACGTTCTAACGCATCTAAGCACACCGTCCCATCATCCAGAAGAGCACGCCAAGTTCACGCGGGATGATGCCCGCCTTTCGTTCTTTGCAAACCCGGTTTGATAGACGCAGAATAGGCTTTTTACCGTCGCGACGTTGCGCAGTAAGAAAGTAGCGGAGGACCAAAAATCGGGGCACGCGCGGAGGATGCGGAGTGCGTGGACTCCAGATGCCCACCCACACCAAGGTCACAGAAGAAAAGCCTGGGAAAGTCGATGCGGAGGGCCGACCCGCGCGCAAACCCCTGCGGGCACGCATCGAAGAGGAGAGGCTTGTGGCGCATTGGGAGTGAGAAAGTCGAGTTTTTGAGTGGATTTGTTCGCCTCGGGAAGGACATCAAAAGAGGCTCGTCACCGGTAGACGCGGTCTCATCACAGATGACCCGAGGGGGGCGGCTTGGGAGGTCTTGGGACCGAGGGCGTGATGAGGGTAGTCGTCATGACGATGCCCGCTGGGATGAGTTGGGGCTTGTTTGTTCGTATCAAGAGTGTGTGTCACGGTTGAACAGCCGTGTGCGTCGGTACTCGAAAACAGGTTTACTCCTCGTCAGAGCGTTCATTCACTGCTGAGGTTCCAACGTTGAGTGGAATCACCGCGGACGACGGATGGAGTGATCATTGAGAGACGAGACAAAGAGACGGTATGTACCACCTTTGAGGAGACAAGGCGCCACCATCTGAAAGAGACGAGGCCACAGTTGAGAGAAAGAGGTCCATCAACAAGATGACGCGGTGGGGGAGCTAGCTCGCATTACAACGCGAAACATGGTGGAACGGGTTCAGGAGCAAGGAATGGACTGCGTACCAGGAACTGACCGTCACCGGTGGATGGCTCGCAATCGCTTATGAACACCGCTAGTGAGAACCTGGGCGTTGTCTGGGAAGAGCTCGGCCCGCGACCGCTCACCACACACTGTGTCTTGTATACAGAACGTGTGATGCACAATTCAGGGGGAGCGGCGCGCCCATACAAGGCGAATGGTGGACGCACCGTAGCGAGAGAAGCGGCGAGGCTATTCAACTCGTCGGTGCATCAGCACAATCATACGGGGGACGTCACGTCTGCCCTGCGGAGCCTCCCTCTCGCCGCCCCGAGCCGCGAGAGGCATCCCCGAGACGTGAGCACGTGCAATTGTTCAGAAGGAATCACAGAAGCATCGAGGGTACCCGCACACACATGGAGGGTTTGATGACGCGCTACACGGCGAGGGCGCAGACCAAGATACGCGCTAAGTAGGCGTGGCTGACTTCTCTGTAGCCTCGGGGCTGGGGAGAAGGCTGAGAGGGAGGGCCGACAGACAGACGGCGCCGAGGAGAGAGCGGGGAAGGTCCGTTGGATGTGGTAAGCTGCCAGCGGGGTGCAGTGTCCGGCAGGCTACTAGACAGCGCACGGGCCACGAACACTCGGATGGAGGCGCGCCGGGGCACTTGGCTGGGGTGCGGCATTAGTGGTGAGAAGAATGGGCGGCGATGGGCGGGGCGATTGAATCATCGGGCTTTAAAGTCTTTATGCGGGAGGATTTGTAGAGTGGAAAGAGATGCATGCGATAGGAAACAATGAGCAGACCGTAAGTGGTCTTCTGAAAGCCTTCTGCCACAAGAATGCAATGAAAGAGCGCACGGGGCTGGCAACGAGGGACGCAGGGTAGGGCGGGCAGTGCAGCGAACAAAAAGAGCTGTCCTGTTGTCCAGCCGAATCGAGCGAACAATACCAAAAGGGGCGGAGGGTGCCGGCCGGATCACGCGGCAGGAAATGGGGGTTTTGGCGGAGATGGGAAAATACGAATTTGGGTTGTTGGGTAACGTGTGAGCGTGTGTTGCTTCCTCTTGACCTTGATCTCTCCCGCTGCTCGTCGCCACTGCCGTCGCCGCCGTCGCTGTTGCTGACGTCCCGCCATGGCTTCCGCTGGCCGCAAAAAGTCAATTATATCCCAGACCGGCGTGATAGAAACCCCCAGCCCGGCCGTGAACAACCTGAACAAGTCCGCCTCCCAGTCCACCTCGCTCTACCAGCAGTGCTCCTCCCTCAAGTCCCGCCTCCTCCGCGTCCGCGGCTTCTCCGACTACTTTGGCCTCATCACATCCACCGATTCCCGCCAGTCCGCGGACCCTGTCACACAGCTCTGGCAGCTCTTCTCCTTCGGCATCCCGCTATGCTATCTCTTCGACCAGCTCCCGGATAGCTTGGGCCTGCCCAAGATCAACTACTCCACCTTCAACCCCGACAAGTATGAAACCAATCCGGATCGCGAGAAGAAGCACGCCATCATGCTCTTCTCCATGCGCGTCAGGACACCTGAGTTCGCAGCGAAGGTCCCTGGCGGCGAGATCTTCATCCCTACTGAGCTCCAAACTCGCGAATCGACCGACGGGCTTGTCAAGGTGCGTGTGACATGCAGCAGAGATGAGCGAGTACTGACCAGCGGCTCTTCAGGTCGTCAACACAGTGACCGCCATCGTGGACCAGTTTCCTCCGGAGCTTTTTGAAGAAGATCCGCCGACACCCCCAATGCTGCCCTCGCAGGGCTCTACAGACTCCCTTGCCTCAGACGCGATGCTGGCGCCGCCCCCGTCTGCCTTCGGTGGAAGTGCAAAGACCAACGTCCTTCGCGAACTTGTTGAGACCGAGCGGAAATATGTTGGAGACCTCGAGGTTATGCACGTACGTTCTCAATGTCCTTTCGCTGTGGCAACAGGCTTACTTGTGTACAGAAATACTCCCAAGCCCTCTTCCAGCGAAACCTCCTCACGCAAGACCTTGTCCTCCAACTCTTTCCCAATCTCAACAAACTCATCAACTTTCAACGCCAATTTCTCATCCAAATGGAGGCTATCAATGAGCAGCCATGGTCAGAACAGCGGTGGGGACAGCTCTTCCTGGACCACGTAAGTCCTGAAACCGACTGAGAATGTCAGCATGAACTGACATGCGCTATTCTGCCGACAGGAGGCAGGCTTCATCGTGTACGAGCCGTATTGCGCCAACTATATCGTCGCTACCGACATCGCGATAAAGTTCGAGAGCACGTTGAGGGTACGTCGCTTCTTGTACCTTACCAGCTGCAAAGTGGCTGTCTGTATGAAGCGGAGACTGACCGGTCTTTAGAACTTGAATGATATCATGAACGCCCAAACGGAACTCCCAGCTTTCCTGATCAAGCCGGTTCAGCGAGTTTGCAAGTATCCGCTGCTTCTGGATGTGAGCATTCACGCCATTCATAGTGTCTTTGTCGGCTGACCTCCCGGCCCGTAGTCACTGCTGAAGTACACATCACGCGAGGACTACCCGTACTATGACGAGCTCAGTGCTGCTGTTGACTCGGCGAAGCGCATCGCGGCGAGCATCAACGAGACCCAACGAGCGTCCGAGAACGAACAAACGGTCAAGAACCTTGCCCAGCGCGTCGAGGATTGGAAGGGCCACCACCTAGAGAACTTCGGCCGCTTGCTCCTTGACGACGTCTTCACCGTCACGAAGTCCGACATTGACCGCGAGTACCACGTCTTCCTGTTCCAGAAGATCATCCTCTGTTGCAAGGAGGTGCATCCGCAAGGACAGAACGGCGCGAAGAAGGTCAGCAAGAGCAACTCCTTGCTGAAGAAGCAGAATGGCCCTCCAATCCCGCAGAGCAACTCTTCCACTTCGAAACAGAAGTCGACACCATTGTTGCTGAAGGGCCGTATCTTCCTCAGCAATGTCACTCAAGCTGTGATTGTACCCGCACGACAGTCAACTTGTGAGTTACGTCTGCATTCTACCAGTATACACCGCTCATAGTCCACTAGCTGGTGCAAGCGGTTTGAACTCGGTCACCTACCCTTTAGCCGTCTGGTGGAAGGGTGATGACGACCTCGAGTTCTTCACTCTGCGATGCCGTCACGAGGACCAGCGCACGCAGTGGCAAACCGAGATCAACCGCTTGATCACCGAGGCCGCCCACAGGCGCGCGTCTGAGCGTGGCGTGAGCAAGGCCTTGAACGGCGCTGCCGCTGTCCATCCTCACATGCGGCAGCAGTATCAGTCGTACGACGGCCGTGGGACGCCCGGGTCCCCGCAGCTTGACGGCGGCGGACGCAGTCGTGGTAGCAGTGTTTCGCGGCCCAACGGCTCGCCGCAGCTGAATGGTCATACGTTCTCGCAGAGCATGAGCATCAACGGGCCGCATGGATACCCCCCACACGACGGTTTCGAGTTCGAGCCGGACGAGGACGAGTACGAGGATTACCCGACGACCTCGCATGGGCCAGGTGGTCGCGACACGCCCCAGGGGGCGCGGCGGAACAACGCGATGAGCCTACCGCACCCCGAGCGCGATTATGGTCCGCACGATCGACCGCGCGCGAACACGGAGGACGTGGGCGGGGCTATTATGACACAGTGGCGGTCTAACCTACCTCAAACACCGGGTGCGCTTCGGCCTATCACCCCGCGCCTTAGCTCTGCGAACAGCGCGGCAAGCTACTCATCGGACGCGAGCTTCGGTAACGATACCCGTCGACCGCCGCTACGTAGCCAGTTCAGCTCGAGCAAGCTGAAGACGACCTACGAGGACGACGGCGGGCTGAAGGTCTCGACTAATGGTACGAGCCGGTCACGGAGCGCGAGCCAACCGAACGCGTATGTGCCGAAGACCGCACCGCCACCGATGCCAACCATGACCCAATGGAAGTCCGGCGCGTCGATGGCGGGCAGCAGCAAGCGCGGCAGCGGGTCGAGCCAGTCCACCCAGGACAGCTCCGACTACTCGCCGAATAGCTCATCGCCCATCACCACGTACGGCTCGAGCGAGTCGTCGCTGGGTGGCCCCGCCGTCCGCACCTCGCGTTCGCAGCACTTTGACCAGCCGCCGACGACCTCGGTGTACGGCCAGCCGCCAGGGATGGCCGCGCCCGTCAAGGTCAAGGTGCACTTCCACGAGGACATCTTCGTCATACAGGTGCCGCGCTCGACCGAGTACTCAGACCTGGTTGAGAAGGTCGGGCGCAAGATCCGCTTGTGTGGACCTCGGAGGGACGATGGGCCGCTGCGGGTGAAATACAAGGACGAGGACGGAGATATGGTGTCGCTCGGGTCGACGGAGGACGTGCAGATGGCGTTCGAGCAGTACAAGCCTGGCACGCCTGTGACGTTGTTCGTGCAGTGATGCACCAGCGTCGCTTTTCTGCCCCCTCGTCGACTGCTTTCCCTTCCTCATCGCATCCTGTCTCGCGGAATCCCCCTCCCTCTCCCCGGTGCTTCAGCTCTGTACATGCTCTCGTCAACCTCGATCGCTCCGTCCTTTGCATGCTTTCTCCTCCCTCTTTCCCTCCCCTCCATCGCCCACGCCTATAAAATGCATTATACGCGATCCGTCTTTTCATGTTCATATGATAACCAATAACTTACATCCTCCTCTCAGAACCCTCCTTATCTCTATTTCTATCTCTACATCCATCGCCACGGCTTCCTTCTGTTCTGTATTACCAGGTGCCCGTATCGACATCCTGCCACGCTCCTTATTATTGCCTTCGCAGTACTCTGACCGGCGCTCCCGTTTCCGTGGGGGCGGATAATTCGCTCCTTCCACACACTGCGTGCTATCTATCTATCTGTCAAGTATCTCTTTTTCTCTTTGTTACATTCCCTTGGTATCTCTGGATCACTCAGGCAAAGTACATTCGGTACGATGTATCATCTAGTAGAGCAATGGATTTGCATGAAAGCTTAGCATGTCACAAAACTTCGCACTCGCAGAGTTTGCATACAGGCGCGGCTACATCTCGCTCCAATCGCAGGAATCGTCGACGTCTAACGCGCTGAAACTTCTTGCATTTATGATAGCGTCCTACAAATTTTTACTTGTTCGTTTCTATCGGAATCTGCGTCTGGAATTAACGTCTATCGTGTACCAAAGTATCCTCGTCAATGTCCATGTGTACAGCGAGTCTAAGTGCGGTTATCGATAACTATACAGGTCAAAGAAGTACAACAACGAGCGTCCGAGTCGTACATGCTATAACAGAAGAGAGGGAAAGCAGCGATGACTGATTTATTGACATAGCAAGGACCTAGAGAGCGCTGGGCGAGATGTCGCCGATAGCCTCGCGATCGAAGCCGCTGATGGTGCTGAAGGCAGAGCGCGTCTCGTCGACGTCGCCGAATGTAGACGTGCCCTCATCGAAGTAGTGACGGGCAACACTGCGAGGTGCTAGGAAGACTTTAGAGCGAGGCCACGGAGGGCAGAGTCGGATTTCAAACGTACTGCGAGGAGTCTTGGGCAGACGGCAGCTGGCGCCGCTCTGCAAGATATGGTACGCGACCAGACCAGACCTGCAGTCCATGTTCAAGTTGACGAAAAATGCATCAATCATGTACGCACCAGCCGGTCTGATGAGAAGCCCCGAGACCCTTCCCGCTGTCCGCGTGGAAGAACTCGTAGAACCAGACATAATCACGGAAGTGAGGGTCGGTGTCTAGCTTCTTGCTGCCACCGTTCGTCGCACGACGACCTTCCATGTCACGACCAAAGATATGGATGATGCGGTGCTGGATCTCCTCGGCGACACCGGCCAAGTTCATGTAGTCACCGCTGCCTGTCGGGCATTCGATCTATCAACCTGATCAACGAGTTGATACTTGCAATACAAGGCAGAGCCATACCTGAAGGTCGTCACCATAGTACTGGTAGAAGCGCTGCAAACTCTCAATTAACAAGAAATTGACAGCGAGCCCTGCGCCATGATGAGTACCAAACGGGCAAGCAAACGGTGCGAAGCCGCTTACAAATAGGCCCTCTCCAGTTAGAGTTCCCGCCGAACATGCCAGACATCGAGTCGCCTGGCCAGTAAGGGACTTCGTAACGCTGTCCATGGACCTCCATCCCCCAAGGGTGCTCCTTATGGATCTTCGACAGCCTATGAGATTGATGAGGGGGTGCCATGAACCAACGACCACGTCTGACTCACGAGCGAATGCCGTGCTCGCTCAAGAACTCGTTCTCATCGAGCATCTTCTCCAAGATGCGCACAAGGCGCTCCTTGCTCGCTAGCGCCAGCAAGCGACGCTCTTCTTTGCCTCCAACTACCATACTGTCAGCGAAACAAAGTAGGGCATAGACAAAACGCCTCACCCCGAGCGTTGGCCATGTTGCGAGACGCCATCTCCGGACGATTGTCCATGAACCACTCCATCCGCTTCTTGAAGCCCGGGAATCGGTTGATGGTCGAAGGCTCCAGGACCAAAGTTGCGTACAAGGGGATCAATCCAACCAGACTGCGAACAGGCATTTGCATGACGTTCCCGGGGCCCCATTGGATCGCATCGTAGTAGATACCGTCCTCATCGTTCCACAAGCTGACCTCCTCGTCGTTGCCGCCCTTGTATGTCATGGCGTCCGAGATGAAGATGAAATGCTACACTCGTCGTGAGCAAGCACCAGGTAGGTGGCGAATGACGAACATACCTCGAAAAACTTGGACGCAATGTCCTCGTAGACCGGGTTGTGCTTCGCTAGCTCGAGAGCCATGCTCAGCCTAAAAATATGGTCAGCAATACCGCTGGTTCAGCGAGACAAAGCACGTACATGTTCAGGCAGTAGAACGCCATCCAAGCAGTTCCGTCAGCCTGGCGAAGGGACCCGCCCGTGGGCAATGGCTCAGATCGATTGAAGGCCCCAATGTTGTCGAGACCAAGGAAACCGCCCTCGAAAACGTTGCTGCCGGTGGAATCCTTGCGGTTTACCCACCTTGCGGAGGGATGAAAAAGGATATATAGGACCATTGAAGGACACGTACCACGTGAAGTTGAGCAAGAGCTTTTGGAAGACACGCTCGAGGAATGCTAGATCCTCCTTCCCGGTCAAGCGACGCTCGATCTTAAAGACGCGGAATGTGGCCCTGTTTGCGCGAGTCAGCGACTGGTGGTGGGGGGATATCATTGAGCACACCATGCATGCACAGGTGGATTGACGTCGCCGAAGTTCCACTCGTAGGCGGGCAGTTGACCATCCGGCTTCATGTACCACTCCCTCGTCAGCAAGTCGAGCTGCTTCTTCGCGAAAGCAGGATCCACAACAGCCAACGGGACGCAGTGGAATGCCGTATCCCAGGCAGCAAAAAAGGGGTACTCCCACCTAGAAAGGAGGTAAGCATGGAGTATGCGCATCGAGAGAGCGCCCTACTTATCAGGCATAGACAGGATGTCCTCTATGTGCAAGTGCCGCCATTCCTGCGAGAGCGTCAGCGAAGGTATCTTACAACTAAGAACCCAGCTCTCGTACCCTATTTCTGATGTACTTGCGCTCGGGCGGAGGAGCAGGCTGAGCAGGATCACCCGTGATCCACTCCTTCTGAATGAAGCGATAGTACTGTTTGGTCCATAGCATACCACCCAGAGCCTGGCGCATGATCTGCTTCAGATCGTCGCTGGTCGGCCCGAACGACAACGAGTTGTAGAATTCGTCGGCTTCCTGCCGACGCTCTTCGACGTTGTCGTCGAAGATGGCCTCGTCCACCAGACTGGGGTCTTTGCGGGCGGAAAGAGGTGTTATCTTCAGGCGGACGACGGCGCAACCACCATTGCCCGGTACGTCGCGGAAGACGTAGTGCGCAGCCGATTTGGTGCCTGTCTTCTCCGGGTTGACGAAGGACGGGCCCATCGGGAACGGCGTGCAAGGGCCCTCCTCGACGGCATCACGAGGCTCGGTACCGAAAGAAGAAGCCGTGCGGGAACGGATGCGAGGGTTGAACAGATCCTCCTTCTCGCTCTCGTCCTTTGCAGGGCGGTGCGACGGGATGATATGGTCATGGAATGCGTCCTTGACGTAGGGCGTGTCATTCTGACCACCATACAGGCGGCTGAAGTTCGTGTTGTTGTTGGTGAAAAGTAGCTCGGGGTAGACAGCGTCGAATTCTGGATCAGCGATGCATTGGCCGTCGGGCTTGACGGGCGGGGGAGATGGGAGGCAGTAGAGGTGAGTCTTGCCGAGGGTCTCGTGCCTGGCAGTGACAACGCTGATATCGCTGCGCACACTGCCGGTCATTGAGGGCTTGTACGCCTTGTCGTTGTCCCAAGACCAGGTGTTCGGGTACCAGAACTGGGGAACGACGTGCAGAGTCGCAGGGTCCGGTCCGCGATTATACGACGTGATGCGGACATAGACATTGTCGGGTTCGTCTTCGTCCTTGGCGTACTAAGAGGCAACAAATCAGCATATATGCGCCTCCAGCAGGCGCTAATTGCGAACCTCAACGAATACGTCCCAGTAGCGGTCTTCATGGAAGGCATCGGTGTCCAGAATTTCGTATTCCTCCACTTCACGACCGCGCTTCTGGTTCTCGCTTACGAGCTCTTCGTATGGGTACCGGCTCTGAGGGTACTTGTACAAGAACTTCATGTAGGAGTGTGTAGGCGTTGAGTCGAGGTAGTAGTAAAGCTCCTTAACGTCCTCGCCGTGATTGCCCTGGTGGCCGGTTACACCGAAGAGGCGCTCCTTGAGGATGGGATCTTCCCCGTTCCAGAGCGATAAGGCGAAGCAGACGCGCTGGTGGTTGTCGGAGATGCCAGCAAGGCCGTCCTCACCCCATCGGTAAGCGCGGGAGCGAGCATGCTCGTGCGGAAAGTGGCTCCAAGCATCGCCATTGTGCGAGTAGTCCTCGCGAACAGTCGCCTACCGGTTTCATGAGCAATTATCCCCCAAACGCGGCGCATATACTCACCCATTGCCTGTCAGAGAGATATGGTCCCCATCGCTTCCAATGACGCTCCTTGTTCTCGTCTTGGAGGAGACGGAAGCGCTCAGCACCAGGGTACTCCTCACCGAGCTTCTCCATCAAACGCTCTCTATAAGGGCGGGCATTTCCATCGATGGTCTCATCAACGCCAGGTGTGGGATCGATCTGCTTCGTCGGGACATTCGGCAGGGGCTGCGGGTTGGCGGATTTGGGGATGTTGATGGTGAGCGGGGGCGCGTTCTCGCCAGATGACGCGCCATCGCCAGACCCGCCGCGGAAGAGCTTGTCCTGGACCTTCTTGACAGCGTTGGACGCCATAAGGAGTATAAGATCGCGTCGAGCCGGGCAGCCTACAAGTTCTTGCGGGCGAAAGAGGGAGGAAATGGGGGCAGCAATCAAGACCGGTCGACGCGCTCATCGACGTTATATACGTACGTCAGGACGCGCTAGCACGTGGTTTGGCCCCTGTCCCGCGTCCCGCTTCCGTCCCGTGGGGAAATAGAGCTTGAGGACGGGGCAGAAAGGAAGTCGAAGATACTCAGGCCCTCAACGACGAGCTCAATCAAAGATTGAGGCAGACAGGTCCAGCAAGCTTACACTGAAAAAGCCGTACATCATCATCAACTTCGTTATTCTGAGGTGGTATCCAAAGGAAATTCGGAAGACTTGTAACGACTGTCAGTGATTAGAAAAAGCTCTTCGTAAACACAGTATACAAACGCAATAGCACAGCCAAGGGTTGGATCCTATGTCCATTCCATACGTCGAAGAATAGATAGTCGAAATTGAAAGCGCATAGATTAGAGCGAACGAGAACAAATCCAAGCCGCGTGTACTTCGGACGGAATGGTAGATTATACACCACATCGTGCGTAAGGTATATGCTGCAGACAGATAGTGAGCGTCCAGCTCTACTATGGGATGCGAGTCCGCCCCAAGTGAAGGATCGTACCGGAAATCCTCACGCATCCTCCTTCTGGACGTTCCATCCACTCGCAAGCAAGACGCTCTGCGTCCAATCCTCCTCGTGCTCGTCATCCAGCAAGCCTGGGCCAAGATGGTTCTGCGAGGATGTTGATGGGTTACGCTGGGACCTGAGCGTCGGCTTCGTCCGCAGGTGAGATGGCGGCGACTGAGCCGTGGCGCTCAGGGAATGGGTTGACGACGACGCGGACGAAGAATATTTATCGGCGATGGGTGTTTCGCCCGGAGGTGGTGTAGCGGGTATAGGTGAGTGTTCCTCGAGCCTAAGGCCTTGCTCGCGAGGAATATCGGAAGACTTCTTGGGCGACTCCGGGTCAAGGCCCATACCGAGGCGCAAAGGTGACGACGGCAGCTCGGTATCGAGCACCGGAGGGGCCTCCTGGGTAACGGGAGGAGTGGCAGCCCGCGGCGAGGTCAGCGAGGTCTCCGACGAGGCCCTCGGCGACTGCAGATACGGCCCCGAGATAACAGGGCGTGTACCGACTAGAGGCGACGCGGAGCGCTTGAACAGCAGCGTCAACGACGGCTTCTTCATGCGTCTCGGGGACGACACAGGCGATACTGGCGTGCCGGACCGTGGGGGATCCTGCTCCATGGAGTGGTTCTGCGTGACCAAGGATGGGACTGAACGCTTCGAGCCCAAGGGAGTGGGTGGTGTGCTGGTTGTCGGGAACTGGACGGGGCCATTGACAGGTCTAAGAGGCTTTGGGGAGACGGGAATAGGGATACAGGACGATACATCATCTTCGTCACCTAGCGAAGGCGCACCTTCGGCGCACGGCTTCGTCGGCACGTTATCGTGCGGGTTTGGAAGGCTATCGAAGGATGGAGCAACTGAAGAAGTGGACGGAGTGATCAAGGATTCGGCGGACGAGGAGAACGGTGGAGACGAAGCGTTGCCCCTGAAGGGTGGCATACGCTCTGAGCCACTCAACGATTCATTTTGCGTCGAAGCTGACTCGGCCAGGGAGCCGTTGCGCGGGCGACCCGGACCCAAGCTGGATACGTCCTCATTGCTTGACAAGCCATCCATATCGGACATGTCGGCGTTGTCCGACGAAGCATCCTGCTCGAGGCTGGGCCGTTTAATATCCAGGACGGGGCCTTCTTCAGGCGACGGCGGCTCCCAGATGCTCTCCGTCTCGCATAGAACCTTGAGTAGAGGCGGGTTCATATTGAGACTGGGGCAGAACACGAGGAGCAAGTTGCTGAGCGGCATCTTCGTGTCCTTGCTTGCCTTGTCGGTCGCCTTGATAAGGTCAACGACAGTGCGGAGCACGTCCCTATTCTCAACCGGCAATTGCGCTATAAGAGACCGCAGAACTTTTGTGAGCGGCTTCGACGCAGGACGCATGCCAGTGAGCTTGGGCATCGCCAACGTCGAGAGCGAGGGCGGCTTGCGAAGACCAGGGTGTCTCCGCGGGTCCGATGGTCCCTTGTTGGCTGCGAATAGCGCTGCCTCCTTGGTGCTCGCATCGGCCTCCTGAGCGAGCGCAGCCTCGAAGTACGGGATGAGATCACGAGTGAGGATGGGCTCAGGGACTGAGGACAGATTAAAACACGAAATGGCACAGGCAAACTGAAGGAAAACATACGTTCACGCAAAAAAGCCTTGAAGACGGACGCCACTGCATGAGGATCGAGATCTCCCGGCGAGCAACTGCGCATATCCCAGTCGGAACCTATACAGGTGTCAGTAGACGCTCAAGTTCAGATCAACGTACGCCTCACCAGTATCGAACTCCGAGCGCAACTTCGCAATGTGGGAGGCACGTCCGCTAACACTGAAGTCCGGTCAGATCATTTGGTCTCGCAAGTCAGCCAACACCCGCACCGAAAAAGGCCTTCTTCCTGGACACCCCATATCAGGAGATGCTGCGCACATCGCGCCACAAGGGCAGGAATATGTCTCCACTCCAATGCCTGCAGGTCGTTCCGCTTCACGCTACCCTTGCGGGAAGGCTTTTGCCTCGCGAACTCGCTAGAGTCGCGGCCGAAGGAGTCAGCGCCAATGGCGGTATCCTTCACGACTGTCGACAAATCACGACCGAACACAATGCCCGCGGCGACGAAGCCATGACCACTCTTGGTACGCAGCGGGCCTCTGACGCGACGTCCGAGCGAAGGACCCGAAGATCCAGACGAGAAATCGTTGTCTGAGCCCCCACCACTCGATCCCGTGCTCCACGAGCCAGACGGCTTCTGTAGACCACGTTTCCTGGCAGAGCCACTCGACGATTGACCGGAGTGGGTGCGAAAGAGGACGTTGTCGCTCGAGTATGAGGAAGGTGGGGTACTGGACGTGTAGCCTGGTTGATTGCTGGAACCGAAGCCGCCCCAGGCCTTGCCGATCCTCTCAGCCGCGCGCTTTGCCAACCCTGCAGCGGGACCAAAGCCCGTGATGCTGCCGTGACGATGACCGTGTCCGCGCACCTCGTTGACAGACGTGGAGGAAGCAGACGCAGCGGACCGCGGCGTGAGCCGGTTGGACGCAGGGGACTCAGGGCGTGGCTTGCCTGATACGTTTCCATAGGTGGTAGCAGTCCAAGCCGCCAGGCGGCCTCGAATGTTGTGGCCAGTAGATTGCGAACCACTATTCGACGGGGAGATGTAGCCATCGGCGGAGGTAATGCTGAGCATTGGGGCATCTTGCGAGGACGTCGGCGTTAAAGGGCCGGGATAGACACCGTCGAGTGACCGCGATACTGGTCGTCCATTATCGACAACGGGCACGTCGGATGCCAGATGCTTCGTCCACTGGCTGGCATCAAGCGTCAGAGACATGGATCTCCGCTTCTTCTTCCGCATGGAGCTGGACTGGGCGCTGTCCTGCTTTCTTGGTGTAGGCTTGACCTCCTCGTACGATTTGTCAAATGAATCGTCCTCCTCCGGCATGCCATAGTCAGCATCAGCCAAAAGCGCACTGCGGCGCTTGTTGACAGGGACAACGGTGTGGTTGGAATGCAATGAGTCGGCCACGGAGACAGGACGCGACGATCGTGAAGCAGTGGTTGCGCCGGGGCGAATGGTGCTGTGGCCGATAGTCGAATCGCTCTTCCTCCACGCGTCCTTAGTCGCGGATTCCACCTTGTCCGCTGGCTGAGGTCTTTCGGAAGGGCGTTCCTCCTTGACCCCCCTGGATGGCTGCCTTTCCAGCTCGTCCTGCGATCGCATAAAATTGACCGCTGACGCGATCCCCGGACTGACGGGTATCGCGGGGCTCAGGGGCGACCCAGCTTGGTGAGAATCTGCTGAGCGGCGGGAGCTCGCCACGGACAGCGACGTCTGCGCGTCCTCGTAGACAGATGTGGAAGGGGTAGATGGATCGGAGGGCGGCAGGGGTAGATCATGATGTGAAGAGTGGTAGGGGGATGGCTGATGAGATGGCTTCGGCGGCACCGCCGGGGGTGCGTCAGGTTCCGGAGTCCTTGTCCTAGTATTGGATCTGCTCCTGTTGCCGAAGACTTGCGCCGCAAGCCCTGAGAACTGTCGACCGTTGCGACTGGTACGCCGTTGCACCCCCGCACCGTAAGGCTGCGTCGGTGGAGCGCTTGAGGGTGGGGGACATGTGGCATCCGCGTGGACGATCGTGAACTCCTGCGAGGACGATGGCGCAGAGCTGGGAGAGTCCAATAGCTCCCTCGTCTTGCCTTTGTCGCGACCGAACCTAAGCAGCGCAGACATGTCCGCCGACTTCTTCGCCCTCGAGTGAAAGGCCTTCTTCACTTTGTTGCCAGCTGCAGCAGCAGCATTTCCCAGCGCAATTCCTCGGCTTGCCAGGTGGGACGAGGAGGACCCTTGCGGTACGACTTGCGGGGTGTGGTTCGAGGACTTGCTCAACTGCTGGCCCATTGCGCTGGCGGCGAGGAAGGAATTGCGCTTCGCTTGCTGTTGGGCGCTGGAGGCGACATTCAGGTGGACGCGAGGCCGCGAAGATGCGGCTCCTGGCGAGTCTGTGGGGTAATCGAGAGGTTTCAGGGCCACGCTCCTCGTGCGATAAGAGGAAGACGCACCTGAGGTCGGCATTGAGCGATCAGATATGGATGAAGCCGAGGAAGATGAGAAGTTGAGGGAGGAAGCCGTCGTATTCGAGGACGATATCGACGACGAATCAAGCTGCGCGACCGCAGCTGCGCGTCGGGAGTTGTAGATGTACGTCGGTCTTGGCTGTTGCACTGGGCCGTTGTTTACTGACATGGAGGTGAGGAAGAAATCCGGATCTCGACGTGCAGGCCACCGTCCGCTCGACTTGGAGGCAGATGAGTTTCTGCAGATGAGAGGAGCGTCAGAAACGAAACATGACCCGCCGCGCCACGCCACCGCATGAGACTGCGGGCGCGTGCTTCTGGGACTCACAAGTAGCGGAGTGAAGCATGCGGCGCGTGAGTAAGACGAGTTCAGCGGATGAGCATGGGCAGCGATTGCAGCGCCAGAAGGTCGACGAGACCAGCGTCTGCTCCGAACGTTGCTCTTGGTCGTGGCAACAAGCAATATTCAAATGGGATCAATCTTTGTTCCGTGGTCGGCCGCGCGCCGGACCCGCGCCGGAAGTCTCGTGACCGTTGTTGAACTTCGCGAGTCGGCAGGTATATTCTCCATGCTACCGACTGGGGCCTTGTAGTGTACTGTGTTGATACATATAGTGTATGTAGGTAGCCAAAATATGCTGAGGTATTAAATAGATACATCTAGGCTGTGGGGACGGCTCTACGCCAGAATCCTTGCCTGGCAGAACTCCTTCACCTATTCGCATGAGATTAGGAGGTTATCACGTCGAAGATCGTGCCACTCACCAGTTCATAGGTGAAAAAGGATGTTGATATCGATGGTGCTACCTTGACTGAGCGTGCAGTTGAGTTTCACCACGTCAACGTGAATCAATGCGAAACTCACGCAGGTTGGGCCACAGGCCCTTATAAAGGCCTCGCATACCTTCAGTCCGCAAGATACCGACCATAGCCTGCAAAGCACCTGGAATGAAGCCCATGAGCGACAATCTTGAACGTGCAGACGGACACCACACCGTTGTATTGTACACCCTGGTTCAGAGCCTCCGACTTGATCCCTGCGACTTGCATCTTCCTTCGTAGAACATCGAACGGATAGGTCAGTGTCTGTTAGGGTGGATAAGCAAGGGGAAGCTGCGGTCGTCGAACTTAGCGCGACGCACTTGCGATATGGAGCCTACATAGCGATATGATCAATCGCTGGCGCTTCAAACGTACTAAACTGGCACACCTGCTAATGCGCCGCAAAGTAGTTTCCGTGGAACGCTGGTCTGCCCAGGAGGTGTAATAATTCCCCGCAACGCTTCATACGCAGCGAAGTTAATCCCTGTTACAGATATCAGGACTTTCTAGCCCGCCAGCAAAACGAAGTCTACGCACCGACGTACGGTGCGACACCCATTGCTGTCGCCACGATCCCCCGATATAACGCGCGTACGCCGCCCTCTTCTCGTACGATCTTCTGTGTCATCCCCCATATTGACAGATCCTGTGGACGGTAATGCTTGAGGGAGGAAGTGTGGTAGGCCGATGCAAGCGAGGCTTTCGCCTGTGGAGAGGACGGTGCGGCAGCGGAGGCGAGCATTGCTTGTGGTGACGCCGTTGAGGAGGCCGATGCGGAGGTAACGCGAGCAGCACCGCTGTTGATCGAGGCAGTCGCTATTGATAATCGCGTCCGCACCAAGTCCAATGGGTACGTTGTCGATACCGACGCTATTCCCGCCTCAGCAACTATCAGCATAAGTCCGCCTCCAGGGTTCGAGCCACACACCAATGCACCGCACATCAACCGGGTTGGGGTATCGAGTGTTATAGTGCCATTCGCGCTGAACCACTATGACCGAGCGTCAGATCAGCACTCAGCTGGCGTCGATGAGGTAACTTGCGTTCTTGAGATGTTCATAGGTAGAGAATTGTACTGCGCTAGGAAAAAGTCAGCCCCTTGAGCGCACTGCCTGGACTCTGCCACGCACCTATAGGGAACTATCCTCAGGCAGTTGACGCCATTCCCTCTCATATAACCTCTCACTCCTTCCTCCTTCCACATACGGACCAAGCTCCTGAAGACACCCTTATACTGATTCTCGCCCGGAGGCTGTATCTGCCTAACATGGACGATCAGCGTCAAGATGCAAGATTCAATTTTCAGCAAGGCGAGGAGCGAAGACAGGCTATGCTACGCCAGCATCCCCAACCGCGCGAACGTCGGGGAAGGGAACGACGTGACAGGCGCCTCGACAGCCGCGATGGTAGAAGGACTGCACGCACTGGATAATTTTCAGTCGCTCTAGCGGAGACACGACCGTCCGCGACGCCGCCCCAGCACAACCTCCAGCTGCGGGGCAGTCAGTTTCCACTCTAGGCGACCCAGATCGCCTACGCACCGAAGAAATACACCATCGCCTCGGGCGATATCCATTCTTGCGACAATCCCATCCTACACGACTCGGGAGCCCGTCCAAATACACACGACTGCTGGGGGACAACACGCTGTTATGACCCGCGCGAGGACCTCGATGGTGGAGTAGCTGGCAATTGTGCAAGCGAGTGCGGAGAAAACGAAGGGAATGTAGTATGCGTTCTACAATATCCGCTATGTTGTCGAGGTCGCCGTGGGTCAGGGGAGAAGACAAGACTTAGAACGGACAGCCAAGGCGCTGAAGCTAGAGGAGAGGAGAACGAGCGAAGAGCCACATGGCCGCATACGTCGGTGTCAGGAACCCCCAGAGAACCCCAGCCGTGATCGGGGAGCCGTTCCGGGGTCCCCGCTACACGTGGCATGGATCATCGTTACATCGGGAGCGCGATCCCCAATGGTTAACAAGGCATTTCGCTAGCGCTGCTTGGGTACACATCCTCGCCCATAACATGTCCTCGTACAGCTCTTCTTTGTATCAAGGCTTGGCACTACTGCCCAGCACTATGATCCAACTTCACTGTTACTTCATTGCCGGCTAACGGAAAGCCCAACGAGGGCCACGGAGTCCTCTAGGTTTACAGAAAATACATACTCGGAATTCCATACTATACAATGCAGCCGCAAACAATCATCACTTACGAATCAGATAGTGCAAGTAGAAGAAGACAGCGAGGCTCAGAGCAAAAGATGTAAGACAACAAGAAAGTATGTCAGCCCGCGAGAGCCGCCTGGATTTTCAAAACGACGTAGTGCACAAGAGGGTGGTTCAGAGGGGCCGAAGATCGTGTCGCCGACGCAGAGCATTGTGCTACTTGAGGAAACAGCGAGGCGTCAACGGAGATTTCGGGAGAAGGTATGAGGTTGCCGTCGAAGTCGTAAAGGGAGCAATTCTGAGAGAAGCTCGAGTTGTCGGTGTCGCTAGCAGAGGTATCTCGGGCAAGGGGCACCTTGATATTTGACAGGACCTCAATTTCGGCTTTTCGGCGAGTGAAAAGCATACGCGACAGTTCTTTCCTGAGCAACAGGTCAGCCCAGGGAAGAGGTAGAGAGCGAACAACCCCAAAACCTCCACTCCTGAGGAAGGTCCGGCCGTCGTAGCATCGTCAGAGCCTGCAAAAATTCAGCCCAGAAACTACTGTATGTGCCGCAGATGTTGGCACCATTTTCTCGTCCTGCTTCGTGAATGGTAGAAGGTGGTCGGCGTGCACACCCAGCCTGATCAGGTGAATGCAGACGTCAGTGCAAGATTAGGACAGCGAAAAAACCTGGCTCTCATGAGAAGATTGAGGGGCAACGCACTCATTCAACTCGCTTCCCTTCACGCCCATCCACTCCATGCGAGCGGCGGCGAGCTTGCCAACTTCGTGCCTGAGGCTGCGACTACCGTACTTGTATACGGAGAGGATGTCCAGTCCGTATGCGTCCGCGTCGACGAGTGCGAGAATGGGAACACTGAGATATAGGGTGTATGTCAGTATACAGACTACGTACTCGTGAGCGCGAGGGACGCTGCGAAACGTACTCCTGCAGACAGTCAGATAGGGTCTTGACCAAATGTCGAGTAGCAAGGTCAGGGTAACCTTTGCCCTGCGAAAGTATCAGCGGGGAAGAGCTTCGAGGCGAGCGAAGGTCTTGCAGTTATTAGCAGGCCCTCTCCATCCAGAGCTCCGAGTTTGACGATTTGCAGTCGACAAAGAGTTTGGAAGACAGCCTGAAAGCGGAAATCAGAGGAGGGTGAGGTCAGAGAAGCACGCCTAACGTCTTTTTCCACGATAAGAACCCAAGAGATCGCTCGAACAAGTGAGAATGACTGGATGTCTTCGCCGACAGGTATGAGTGTCCCCTACATCGCGGTCAGCTAGATGAAAGATATATCGTAGATGCATACATACGTCGCTGTCGTTCGGCTGAAGGACTTCGCCAGAACGTAGATGTATGGAGAGACTTGAGCCGCAGACAAGGCCTTTCGAAGTCGCTCGCTGAAAACCCGTCAGGTCCATGATACGACGGTATGAGCCAACGTACCACGTTGAGGTCAGATCGTTCCACTTCGAAAGTGGCGGCCAGGTCATCGACGAGCTATCGGGCCGCATGAGTGACAACGGACGCAGCACATCAGTGTAGCGCTTACGTTGTCAACGACCCTCTGCGTTCCGAAGAGCGGCACGTCCTTGTAATACATGTCGCTGTGGGGAAATCAAATCCAGCAAAAGGAAAAGTGGACTAATAGCTAACCGCTTCGTGGAAGAAATATCATCGATGACAGCTTCGTGAGCAATGTCCATAACGCGAAATAATTGCGCTGGACAATTCAGCGGACTTGCAAGCGCATATACTTATCACTCACCAAAGGGTCGAGCGCTGCCCGAGTTGCATTTCCTTGGGTAGACCAGTTGCCTCTGTTGAGGCCTGCGAGCATCTTTCAGCAACACATTCGTCGGGCCGAGCGATAATCTCGGACCCCTCTGTTTGTGATGTGCGATTGGCAAGTTGGAGGACAACTTTGGGTTTGCTATTCTTCTCAGACGCTGCGTTCGAGTTGCGGTGCGCAAGCTGCCTGAGAAAGGACAGAACCATATCTTCTATCTCTGATTTCACTATGCTTGGAATTGTATATGCTTCAGCTTCATAGCTAGAAACAGATGCTGCGAACTGACCCAGATACGCGTTGCTCGGCTCCAGCATTTTCGCCGTCCATCTCAGAGTCTAGATCAGAGTCCATAGACGCGTCGTGGTCGAAATCAGTGCCGACCGGGGAAGGAAGGTCAGGATCTGTGTACGATGCATTCATTTGGAGGTACGATGAAGCACGATAGTGACGGTCGAGAGTAAGTGACGAATGATACTGGCGTCGAAGTCAGCCACCCGGCATTCGGCCCGGTCCAGACCTGGCGGAACCTGAACGGCGCCGGAACCTCTGCGGTCGGCACCTACCTCCGTCCCCCATCCCGACCTCACACTTTCCTCACTAGTAACAACTCACTTCCCTATATCATGGACCACGGTGGACATGGCGGCCATGACATGCCCATGGGGCCTATGTGCTCGATGAATATGCTCTGGAACACCCAGATCATCGACACATGCATCGTCTTCCCAAGCTGGCACATCTCCTCGCACACGCAGTTTGTGCTCTCTTGCATCGCGGTAGCCGCGCTGGGCGTGTTATACGAATATCTGCGTGCGGTGCAGACGGCGGTAGACGTGAGGGTGGCGCGTGCCCTTGCCGGCAGTAAGGGGAAGACGAGGGCGCGAAGCGGCAGCCGGACGCCCGATGGTGAGCCGGAGGAGGCGGGCTTGCTCAGCGGGAGACGCGCAAGGCGCGCGAACGAGTATGTGTATCATCTTGAAGTGAACGATGGATTCTCATCATCGACTCCGTCAGAACACCAGTTCCGCCTGCACCGCGCGCATTGCGTGCTATCCTATACGGTCTCATTGTCTTCCTCTCCTTCTTCCTCATGCTGGTATTCATGACCTACAACGTCAGCTGCCTTATTTGTATTTGCTTAGCAGCTACTGATATTCCAACAGGCCTACCTTATCCTTGCCGTCGTTGTTGGGGCGGCTCTCGGTCATTACATCTTCGGCGGCACCATGAACGTCGATGCCATACTCAACAGCGCCAGCGGTGGCAAGAGCATGGCTTGCCACTAGCGCAGCATAACACATCGATGTCGCAACGAATCTCTGGCTGGCTAGAATCAAATGTATGTTGACGCGTTAATGTTCTGTAAGTACTGACACACAATGTGATCCTCGAATTGCAAAGTCTGCCAACGTCCCCTAAATTCCTAAGATACGCTCTTCCGCCGGATACGACACCTCCCATCGCAACATGAGATGAGCATGGCTCTGTGGCTGCACGTCGCAAAGCCAGTTGACTTTGCCATCCTTCCCTAGCGTCTCGGCCTCGTGCTTGGGATTGTCCGCTCCATCCCATTGAGCACTCACGCTCTCCGAGATCTTCAGTGGCTTAGGGGCCTTGGGCTTCTCCGTCTGCGACGCATCCGCCGGAGCTGTAGACAGGGCAGGCTTGACCAGTTTGACGTTGATCTTTGAGTCCTGCGCCACCGGTATCTGGTCCACGACCTTCAAACTGACCACCATATTCTTCGCGTTGAAGACATCAATCTCCTGACTATACTCCGTCGTCAAGGATTTGTTGAAGGTGTAGAAGGCGGACTTGGATGCCTTCTTGTATTGTGGCTTGTACGTGACGCGAATGGACGGATCGACGCTGAACGGATACTCGTGAGCCAGTGTTCAGCGCGAGCCGAGCGACAGACACACCCTAGCGGACAGTCAAATCTTTCCTGTGGATTGACTGCAGGAATCCTGGGCCGGGAGGTAAAGCTCCCGTCCAGGTAGACGCTCGATTCGCCAGGTAGAAGAGGATACTCCGAGTCGTTGCGAATGTTCGCCTGAGAACGATGAGCGTAAATCCCAGGTTACGGTCGCCTCGTCTTCACCTTCAAGAATACCCTCGTATCCTTCTTGGGGACCGTGATCCACTGCAATTGCGCGTCCAGCTTCAAGTTCGCGATTGTCACATTGTGCGTCTTCTTGTCGCTTGGAACGGAAATCAGCCCCGGGACGTCGAAAGTCGTGTTGATGACACTCTGCGAGGTGACCTGAACGTCACTGTGCTCCATAGCAGGCGCAGCGGCAGCGACCATCAGAGCCCGAGCCCGCGGTGCGGGTGGCGCCATGGTAGGGAGGGTGCTGCTGCTACCAAATAGAGCACTTCTAGCCGGGCCTCGTTGCGTGAAGAGAGAAGAGGTTGACTCCGAGGCAGGCTTAGCGATCGGCAAGAGCTGTACGTCCCATGTGTCAAGCTCTGGAATGGCGACGCCGAGTGCGGGTGCTATAGTCTCGAGCACAAGAGGAACGTTGGTCCAGTCCTGCACGAGCATTTGAGTATATCGGTGCACTATCGAACAAGAACTACGAATATTCTTACCTCGCCTGTATATTGCTCTATCTCAGCCTTGTAGACGATTGTCACGGGCGTTGTCTTATTCTGCGAATCGACACGGATGTCATACTTTGCTTTCCATGAAGCGCCGCGCACACCTAGAATTTGTTTGAGTCAACTGTCCCACCGCAATTGTAGCAAACGCACCATAGATAAGCACGATCTGCGCATCCTTCGTATCCTCTTCGGCAGACAGGCTGACGGTAACGCGCACCCCCTGCGAGAGCGCGCGTTGAGCACTGAACGCTGGGCCCTTACGCTTCTCCTCCTCCTCAGCAATTTCAGCATCCAATTGCTCAATCTTTGCCTCCAAGTCAAGGAGCTTGCTATCATACCCTGCGCTCAACTTCTCGTACTCTCCGATGTTATGAGCAAGCTTCTCAACCTCGGTGTGCTGCACGGAAAGCGTTCCCAAATACAGCTCCGCGAAGCTGATCGCCTTCTTGACGCGCGCGAGATCCTGCTTCGTCGTTGCCTTCGTCCTATTGAGCTCGTCAAGTCTGGTAGACGAGTTCTCCCCCTTAGGAGGCGCTGGCATGTCAGCTACAGTTACATCTTGAATGGTAGCATTGCCGCGACCCTCGACGCTGTAAACAGCTCTCATTCAGTATATGTCTACTGAGAAGCACAAATACAAACGAACACACCGCAGCGACTGCCGATCCATCGCAGCAGGCAACCCATTGAGAACAACATTGTTCTGCCCAGAGTGCAGAGCAACGGTGAAGACGCGCGTCACCTCAGCACGTCCTGGATATAAGCTAACGCGCGTAGTCTGGCTGTCCTTTCCCGAATTCAGCTCGATGGAAGTCGGCTCAGGTGCCTCAAACTTGTCGTCCACGTTCGCCATAGCGTCCTTCAGTCCGGAGATGGTCGTTCAGAAAGAGATGCGAAGCCAAGACTTATTATAAGGCGCTCAAATAGGGGTCAGCGGCTCAGCCAAGCACAGCAACTGTGGTTGGCGGTGAGGGACAGGATGACTTCGTGTGACTGGTCACTCCAGTCGCTTGATGTCACCGGCTTCCGCTGTCGCTCTTCCACTTTAGGAAGGCTTTGTCTACTTCGACCCTGTTGCAAACCTAGATTGCAACTCAGAGCGCAAGGGTTTAATCGAGATACTCTCACGAAGATATCCCAACGTGCTTTGCAGTCGATTTGGGTGTGATATTATGTATAGACGACAACTATGTACCCTAGAATTCTAGCCGGCAATGCGATGGAGGTAGGGACGGAGTATGTAAAGGTACACGGTGCATGGGTAGATGGAAGCAGTGATAAGAGTAGACGGTAGCGGTGGTAGGTAGGTTGATGCTGTCGTGAAAGTCATAAATATGGGCAGCCTACCCGATCCTCGAGCTTACCCCCAACGGTTCTCGAGGAGACGCAAAATAAAACCTCTTCCTTAACGAGTGTCCACAATTCGACGAACGAGACTCTACTGATTGTTCTTCTCCTCGGCATCGACAACCTCGACCGGCCGAGAGGCGGCGACCAGTTTCCGGCGAACGAACCACTGGAAAAGCGGCAGCGTGATGCACGATATAACGATCCAAGCGACGAGGACACCGAAGTTAAGGCCCACTAGAACGAGCGTTAGAGAGCTGATGACTCCTTGAGAGGTTCGATGTGGACTCACATGTGTTCTTCGTGCCGAACACGATGGACCGCACAGTGTGCGATACATTGTAAAAGGGCATCGCGTAGCCGTAGTGGTAGAATTTCGGGAGGACCTCAATGGGCATGAAGCACACGGAGACGTTCGCTGAGGCGATGGTGAGTAAAGAGCCGCTCAGAACGAGTAGCATTGACGTACTGATAATCCAAAGGATCATGAAGAACGGCATGAAGCGGATCGTCAAGAGGGTGATCATAGCCTCAAGAGACAGACCCAAGCAGAGCATGCCGACGAAGTTGATCATCCAGAACAGCACGAAGCCAGCGTCGCCGTACTTCCGGTCGAAGGGCACCTGGAAGGCCTTGCTAAGGAGCGAGTAGAGCAACTTGGGATGATATCAGTACAAACCGATGAGCAAATGGACTGGTTATTTACCGAGATAAAGAAGTAGGCGAGGAAGGAAGTGGCGAGCCTCAAAAGGATGAGCGACCTTGTCGTCAGCTTGCGCTCCAAACCGGACGCCTCGCGCGCGCCTCCGGCAATCATAACAATGAAGAACGACAAGATGAGCAGGTAGATGAGGCCGACGAAGGTGACAGCCGATGCACTGCGCGGATATTAGAAGACGGACAAGGGGGTCAGCGCTGAGACGCACACAGGGACATCGAATGGCCTCAGGTTAACAAGCGTGAATGAGACCGGCTGAATGATCAGCTGAGGTGCATTCGCCAAGATGTTGGCCACATTTGATGAGTTCGCCAGCTGCCCGGCCATCTGTCTCGCGTATTGGGAGCTGATCTGTGCCATAGTCTGCTGAACTATCGGGCTGATGAAGCTCCGGCTGGAGACGTCCCTTAGCACGCGCTGGCGCGCAAAATGAATGGATAGACCACTTACTATGCATTCTCATTCCTCGCTTCCACGCCGTATGCTGTAACGGCGGACGTGCCATTGTACGACGGGTCCGCAGTAGAAACGGCATCGTTAAGATTAGAGGTCGCCCCGTTATTGACTGTAGTAATGGAGGGTTAGCTCGATGCCGCGGCTAAGGTAGAAATGGGAGACGTACTAACGACGGCGACCCAAATCTTCTCGTTGACTACGGAGTTTGCAACGTCGATATCGCCATTGGGGAAGTCGCTGGTAGACCGTGTTGTCCAGGTAATTTTCGAACCGCCTTGAGTAGACTGGAGGAGAGCATTGGTCACTGTACTGCCGACTTGACCGCCGTCAAAGTCCTGCGATCGGTCAGTACAAGGTCCACGACAGGAGGCGCAACACGCACGATGACCCAGCCAGGCAGATTGTGCGCTGGTATCCTCCACAATGCACCCCAGTAGATGGAGAATATGCCGAAGATGACGATGGCCATCATCATGAGACCGCCAAAGACGATCTTGAAATATATCTGGCGCGACACGGCGGCGGCGGCGCCCTTGTCGAAGAACTTGGAGGAGTAGGAGGGAGGGGTGGCGTCGCCATTGGCAGTTGCCTGGTCGGACATCTTGCTGCTCGTACGCATGAGCTCTTGCACGGGAGAGGATGAGCGCGACATTGGCGGGGATGGGCTTGGCGAAGGGGCGCCATCGCATACGTGTGCAGAGTATATATACCGGATTGGGATTCCGCGGACTGAAGAGTCCCTCGAGAAAGGGTCAATCGCGCTGACGTATGCGGTTATTTCGGCTGAATTTGCTCTGTCCGGCAATCCAAGGCGGGCTTCCAATTGGCTGGAAGCTGATCAGGGAATGCGTCAGCCACGGCCGAGCGTCGACGTCGCCGGACCCGCGCAGGTGGTCCTCGCGGGTGCCTCCCGCTCTGCATCTCGAAAGGCAAGGCAGACTTCCGTGCGAGCATACGCCTACCGTGCGCCTGCCGTGCGCCACCCTTCATGGCCATGGGCGCCTATTCGTGATAAGAGCCGCCACGCATGACCTCCGCATCGACAGAGTCATTCAGCTCGTCAATGGCAATCATCTCCCCTCTCCGACGCGCCAGAGACACTCCTCGCAAGTGCATTCCAGGTCCTCTTCAACGTGAAACCGCGTCGCCACAAACTCCCATAATCGCTTGCCAATGTTGACTCGCAATGACTATGGCCAAACCAGCCATCAGAACATCCGACTCTTCGCAGCCCATGTCGCAGCCACATTACGACGGTTGAGTTGGAAGCCCCGCTGTATCGCCACTGTTTCGCTCCTGGTTCGGCAGATTGTAAGTGATCGTGAATATGACCCCCTTCTAGCAGAAGAAGACCGCCCCTGCCCGAAGAAACGACGCTGCGCCCAGCGTCCCCGCCGCACACGGACAATCCTCTGGTCGATGGTGTGGGGGAGGAGGTCATGACGTTCCTGGGGATGGGCCAAGGACCGGTCCGTGATCTCCGGGACTATGTCATGATCATGTTCGCGTTCCTCCCCGAAAGCTCAACCAGTACTTCTCTGCAGAATCACCACCAGCCTTCGAACAAACTTATAGACGCTCCCCCTTCTCCTCCGACTCACCCTCGGTATCACTTACGAACACCTACCATAATGGCCGCCTCCCCGCAGCCAGCAGCAAATCATCCCGTCCTCATTATAGTGATGGTGAGGTGATCATTCCATTAGTATCGCGCACGCGACTGACCGTGCCATTCTCCTCTAGGGCGTATCTGGGACGGGCAAGTCTACCTTAGGCGCTGCTCTCGCTAAGGAGCTCGGACTTTCCTTCATGGACGCAGACGACATGCATCCGAAAGCCAATGTCGAGAAGATGTCCAACGGCATCCCGCTCACCGATGCTGACCGCGAGCCATGGCTAGAGCTCATCCGAAAGACTTCCGAGAAGACCGTTGGCGAACAGGAGCAGGATCCCAACTTCAGCGGGCGGAAGGGTGTGGTGATCGGGTGCTCTGCACTGCGGGCGTACTATCGCGACATCCTGCGTGGCAAGATCAAGCCCGCCTCCGCAGATAATCGTTTGTCGGACCACCTCGAACCTCCCCACCCCCACGAGCTCCCCACGTACTTCGTGTTCGTCGATGGGTCGAGGGAAGAGCTGTTCAAGCGGATGTCAGAGAGGAAGGGTCACTTCATGAAGGCGAACATGCTGGACAGTCAACTCGCGACGCTCGAGAGTCCCACGGGGGAACCTGGAGTCGTTACTGTTGGCTTGAACCTTTCGACTGAGCAGCAGATCCAGGCAGCAATAGAAGGAATAGAGAACCTTGGGGCTGGCTCGCTGAAGCCGTGACACTTGGTCAGAGGACACGCCTAGATGTATTGATCAGCATTCATGTATGTATGTATGTAATCCGGGAGAGAAAGACACATCGTCGTGGAAGGCCCATCGCGTGAAGTTGCCGATATATGAGCGCGTCGACGCGAGAACAATGACTTCCTAATCTGAAAATTCCATCAGGGCTCGCACTCGGCAAAGGCCGAAGGACGCGTAAGAGCGTGAACGACGCGTCGACTTCACTGATCCCTCTCCCTCAGACATTCACGATGGTGCGTAGCCCATCCTCTGCATCGACTATTCATCTAACATTACACAGGCCCGCCGATATGACAGTCAGTATATACATGGTTGCGATTGGACGTTGTGCTCATAGCTTACTCCAGGTCGTACTACGATCTTCTCCCCTGAGGGTGCGTGCTGCGCTGCCTGAGTGTCTGCCCATACTGATCATCCTGCAGGACGATTGTATCAGAGTAAGCTTATATTCCTGTTACCTCGAACCTCAATGAACGCGCGTACCAGTCGAGTACGCCATGGAGGCCATCTCGCACGCCGGCACTGTGCTTGGGGTTCTCGCAAAGGACGGCGTTGTCCTCGCGGCCGAAAAGAAGGTCACTGGAAAACTCCTCGACATGTCTCTTGCGAAAGATGGTGGCTATGGTGGGAGCGGGGAGAAGATCTTCTTACTGAACTCGTGCGTTGCCTACTTCCTGGCTTTTGTACTTGTGCTGACCGCGATCTTTGCTCCTTGCCCACTCCTCCAATATCGCAACACTTCTACCTACATGATTGCACCACAGAAACGTCGTCGCTGGTGTCGCAGGCTGGACGGCCGATGCTAATTCCCTCATCAATTACGCGCGTACGGCTGCACAGCGGCACTTGCTCATGTACAACGAAGACATCCCCGTCGAAGTCCTTGCACAACGGCTCTGCGATATGAAGCAGGGGTACACGCAATACGGAGGTGCGCCACGAATCTCGCACCCTGTCAATGAAGACTCACTCGCGCTTTCGCAGGTCTCCGTCCATTCGGTGTCTCCCTCCTCTATGCCGGCTACGATCCCCACTACCAGTTCCAGCTCTACCACTCCGACCCATCGGGCAACTACTCTGGATGGAAGGCGACATGTATCGGTGCGTCTTATGGATACACTCTGACATCAAGATCGGCGGCTGACGATCTGGTCAGGCGCCAACAACGGGACGGCACAGTCCTTACTGAAGCAGGAGTACAAGGACGACATCGAGGTGAAGGATGCGATTGGCTTAGTGCTCCGGACGATGAGCAAGACGATGGACAGTACGACGTTAGGTAGCGAGAAGCGTGCGTGTTGTCATTCTACATTCAGGGTCGGTTCGGTCGCTGATGCTTTTATCCCAGTCGAGTTTGCGGTTCTCACTCTCGACCCGGAAACAAAGAAGCCAAAGGCGAAGATCTATCGTCCGTCGGAGATCGACGCGCTGCTGCAGTCAGAAGGTTTGGCAAAGAAAGACGAGGACGCAGTCATGACTTCTGCGTGAGGAAGAGACTTGTATCCAGACACGGAGATAACTTCTGTATCAATATTATCGAGCACTTGACATTCATCGCTTTTCGTGCGTGATCAGGAACCACAGGTGCCTCTTTACAAGTACAAGATCAACGATTATAGGTACCAAGTTATCACCAGCCCCATGCTGCTGACGCTTTTCAGTCTTTACCCAGCCTGTCTTCCATCTTCGCCGCCTTCCATCTCTTCATCGAAAACCGATACGCATCTGGCAACCTGGCGAACTTGCTTTCTCCGCACTTATACTCAGCGCGATCCTCGCCCTCCGTCCCAAGTAGCATACGCGCCATCGCCTTAGCGCACAGCCAGGCATGTACCATCCCCTCCCCAGTATAGCCAGCGCATATCCATTCCCCCGGAGCTGCTGACGAGGCAGGCGTTGCGAGCGGGCCTGCCTTAGCTGCCTGCCTCCCAAGCTTGCGGCCCGTGATCTCGTGCGGTAGCCTACTCGAACCCGTTAGCCGACGTCCGCTGAGTATCGCATAGCGTGCGGACAGTCGCACCTGCCAACCCAAGGCCGCCCATCGGCGGATATGCCCTCCAGCCCCGTCCAGAAGTGCTTTCTGACTGGCTCCTCAGGTTCGCCGGTGCTTCCTCCGTCTCGCGCACTCGCCCCGAATTCGCTCCCAAAGTACGCGCCCAGCGCTCCGCCAAGGTAGGCCCGCACCCCGAGGTCGATGCTCCCGTCGTCGGTGCAGGCGATTTCACCGTGCCCGCCCGCGCCAATGGCGGCAGGGGATGTGTAAGCGTGGCTAACGCCGCCGCCGTACATGAACTCGGCGTGTGGGTGAGGGTAGGGTCGCATTCCAGAAGGAGGTGTCGGCTGCTGAGTTAGGTAGTCGTAGTGCGTCCAGGATGCCGTTGGGTAGATGACGAAGGAACGTGTACCAAACCATGGATAGGGATTTCTTGGATTTCTTGGGAGGGTAAGGGATGCCTCGGGCAAAGGATTGGGGTTCGTGGTGTACGCAGGAGGGGCATCCAACTTCGTCGATGACTTCGGTAGTTGAGCGCTCATGGTCGCGCGCATGGGCATGATTTTGCGACGCATGCCTTGTAGTAAATGCGATGACCAGGCGTTAGTAGCGTGCACGACATGGGAGGTCCGTAAGATGCCTTTGGGCGTATTGACCAAGTAATATCCATCCTGGGCGGAGATCTCGACGCAAGGCGTATAAGAAAAGAGGGAAAATCTGGAGCAAGATATTTTCGGAAAATGCAATAGAGGATATGACAAAGCACTCACGTCTCGGGATATCTGGTGAGGAGGCGCTCGAGGATCCCGGTGACTAACCTGTAGGGGTGAATCGCCCCGGCCCTCGTAGTGATAACGCCAGCGACACGGTCAGAAGCGTGGATTTCCTGGTTCTTTGTCAGATACTGCAATATGCGCAGGTAGGTGAGCTTACCTTCATTGCAGTCTCCCTGCTGAGGATCTTCCAGAAGCAACGCTCGCTGTTCAATTCGCTCAAATACTTGCGGAGCAGCGCCTTCGCTTCGTGGAAGAGGGAGTCGTTGAAGAAGACGTCGTATGTCTGGACCTCACGGCACTGGCTCCCGTCGAGCAGCCCCTCTTCGTCTGCGACCTTGAGGAATTCGTCGAGATGAGCAAGACGAAAGCGCATGATGTGCTCCGCAGCCTCTGCGCCGAGTTCTTTCTTCAGCGCCGTGTAATCGTGGTATAGAGCGGGTGTGATGTGTCCCCCGTTTCTGTGGACACAGGATTGGATGGTGGCTGAGCGAGTTGATCCATTCGTACAGTGGGGTGCACATACCTGGCAGTCGCGCCACTGCATATCGCCCTGGCATCGAGCATCACAACCTTGAGGCCCTCAGGGCCTTCGTCCAGAAGCGTCCGAGCCACACATGCACCAGTGATACCGCTGCCGATGATCACCACGTCCGCATGAGAAGGCAAGGGTTTGTCTTCTGCTGCGCCATGGTCAGAAATCGGCGAAGGAGGCACCGTCCAGTACGGTGAAGAAGGTGCCTCGATCGGAAGTCCCGGAGACGCGTCCACACGACGCAAGACCTCAGAGTACTCCAGAGAGACACGCATCACCAGGCGAGCGCGGGAGAGTATCCCGCCCATTGTTTGCTTGCGCTGGACGATCGTCTGTTGCGTGCAGTTATGTCGAGGGGAGGATGCGCTCGCAGCCAGATGTCCGTCTTGTAGGCGTCCCGTGCGGCTTTATAGCCAGTATGAGCTCCGAGATGTCCTTCCGCGCGTCGCTAGATGGGCGATTGCGATAGGATATGTGCGGCTGCACGACGGCACAGGGAGGCCATTAGCAAGCGTCACAAGGATCGCCTGCATAGAGGTGGCTTCCATTATCATCGGAACGACGTTCAATTGACAGTGAGTTGCACTGGTAAGACCTGCCGTAAGGTCTCCAAGAGACAGCCAGCTGGCTGAGACGAGGTCCGTCCGCGTCCATCGACTGAGATAAACAAGCGCCGGCGCATGCCGAAAGAGTATTTGTGGTCGTCCGCTTGTCCACGTCGCCCCGCCAACCGGATGAAGTGAATGTGCTCTCTAAGCTGTTATTGTGTTACCCGCCTACATACATGAGTCAAGCGTACTCGAGAATATGTGCAATATGCGACTGTGCTGCGTGAAGACACGACGAACGAATAAGGATAAGTGCGCAGAGGTTAAATAGTCGTGAAGCTGTACCCAGCGTAGTATAATAGCACTTGAAGGACTCACAGTCCGGCCCTCTTTCCTGAAAGCTCAATCCATGAGCTCCCTTTCCAGCCACTGGACGACGACGCGCGGCACGCCTGCATCCCGTCGGATGACTTCAAGCACGCGCGCGCCCACCGCGTCCGCGCACTCCTCCGCACGAGCGAAGCCTGAGAGGCAACCCCGCCGGTACTCGCCCTCGGATATCTCAAGGATATCAGCTACCGATGGCCCACTGCTGCCTCCGTACGCGTGCAGAAGAATAGGCAGGCAAAGGAGCGTTGGCAGCTCCTGTGTTTGGTCCTCCAGTTGCTGCTCGAATTCGTCGTCAACTGCCTCGTGAACGCCGAGCTTCGCGCGGGGAGTGGCCTGCACTGTCTCGAGGAGAGGTACAAGTGAGGTCAAGCCCTTCAACGCCTCGTCTACGGCATCAGCTGCCATTTTCTCCGTGGGTCGCGGAAGAAGCTTGAATAGCTCCACCAAGACTCGGGCATCCGCGGCAGCGGAGGCCGTCGTGCCAGCAGGAGGCGGCGAAGGAGGGCGGGACGGCGGCAGCTTGATAGCAAACCGCCCAGGAGGCGGCGTCACCGGCGGAGTCGATGACGGCGAGCTGCGACGCTTCCTCGCGGTGGTCGATGGCGATGACGGAGGGGTAGATGGCACGGGAGGGCGATGGACAAGAGCAACCATGGCATGCCAGACCGCCGAGATGATGAGTGCTGCCAGCGGCACCTGCACGATGGGCGAGACCATGTACCGCGACAAAGCACGTGCATAGATCGGCATAGTCGTCTGCAGTGTCACCACAGACGCATGCAAATGCACGGCCTGCTTAGTGCCTGACGGCACCTTTGTGGAGCTCGCCTGAGTATGGTTCTCGAGGGAATCGAGCATGGGGTTAAGTTCGCTCTTGATCCCTCCGATCAGGGGCTGCACAGTGCGGTTGATGAAGGACACTAGGCCCTCTCGAATGTGCCGAAGCCCATCTCCCCGAGTGTCCACCTCCTGCGCAAGCCCAATATCATCAAAGACCTGCAACAGTTCTGCCGAGAATTGGGCGATGGAAAGGGCGTGCAATTGAGTGGGATTGGGGTTCGGCGAGCCGGGCCCCGGCGCTGGAGGCGTAAGGAAGGCAGGCGACGTCAAGAGAGGCATGAGCGCGCCGGAGAGGTTGGTGACAAGGACGGAGAGAGGGCGTTGAAGCGTCCTGTAGATAGCACGGAGAAGATGCGAATTATCTTGCGCAGCCTTTATCTCGCTGCACGAGGCGTGAGTGCGATCTCCATGGTGAAGGCAAGTGCAACACACCTGGCAATCAGGTTACCAAGAGTCGTGCCCCGCCCTTGAGGGAAGGGGCGCCTCCCGTTGAGCTGCTCAGCTGCGGTGGCCGGCCCCGCAGGCTGAGCGAGCGCCTTTGACACGCTCTCGCTGAGCTTGAGGCTTAGCATCTCCATGTACGAGCCGTCTTGCACGAGCGTGCTAGAGGGGTTTGTCTCCTTAGCCACGGGAGCAGGCGAGGGCTTGCGCAGAGCGCTGAAGGAGGATAGCTTGTTGAGTGGACGGGCCACACGCTCGAAGCCAACCGCAGAGTCAGGCCGGGAAGGGGCGGGTCCCGGCGAAGACGGCCGGCTGGCTGGGCGAAAGAAGGAAGGGGTCTTGAGCGCGTTGATCATCGTGGAAGGCTTAGCGAATGCTGGGGTATTGTACACGAGATATGTTGGTCTGTTGTCCGGTTGGTTTTGAGCGAGGATTTTCTAAGGTCTATGTCGTTCGTGATCCCACAATCCAGCGACAGGTTCCTGATGGAAACCGAGTGCACTCAGCCCATGGATTGGCGGTTGGAGCTTGGAGAGGTGTTTGGCAGATAGATATCAAGGAGGACGGTCGGTGTCGATGAGGAGGCCTGCTAGCGGTCCGAAGATTATCTTGTGAACCTGTATGCTGGAGGCACTAGGAGGTAATTTCAGTCATCCGCTCGCCATGAACATGCGTCAGCGGCGCACCTGAGTGCACAGACAGTCATAGATTGGGGGATTCCAGCAGATTGTCTATGGTGGTGACGACTCGGACAGCGAGACGATGACGGGCGGAGGAGGCCTTGCAAAATTTGACGGGCGACTACACCGGACCTTGATATCAACGCTCCATATTCCCACGCCGTCTACATTCGTCCATCCCGTTTATGGACAGCCATACGCACTCTGACATGGAGCGCCCCAGAGTCCGCTCGAGCCATATCGAGTCGCTTCAGACACCCTTCTCGAGGGCGCCGAGATTGAACTGTACACAATGAATAGCCGGCTACCTATCTAATCTTCCTATAGCTCACCCGTCCATTAGTAACCTCTTGATCTGGACCTGCAGACTAGGATCGCCACATCGCATCCTCCATAGACATCCATCCGAGTCGTTAGCTCGAAGCCTGAGGACCGCAGAGTTTCCCGAGTCGCTACCCGCTCCCCGAACAATGATTTTCAGCTCCCCTGAGAAGCAGGCGCATCAGTTAATCTCAGTGAAATCAGTCCTCAGGCTCACCTGGGAACGGCGGTGATCCTTCTGGAACGGTATGCACAGGGAGCTCAAGGCCGCTCAGGCGGTTGACTACCTCTTCGAGTCCGGCCTCACACCAGCCTCGCGCATTGTTCGCTTCATTCAGCGCGTTCCATATGCGCTCGAATTCAGCCTCGTGTGCGCCGTCGTCTTCACCGGATGGCGCGTTAGCCGGTGGACTAGCTATGAAAGGCGAATCGAAGGCAATCAGGTCTACCCTCGATGCCTATTGAACCGTGTCAGCCAGCGTATAAGACACTCAGCGGCGTTCTCACCAAGTCATCGACAGCCGTCTGGACTTGAGGCCTTGGAGCATGCGACCTCGCCTGAAGGGGCTAGCAAGCTCAGCGGAGGATACAGCAGGCAAAATGGAAGAAACACACGTTCAAGGCGTTGTCGGCATCCGTCAGCGAAGCCATAAAAGTAAGTTGACCAGGTGAAACGGTGCGCGAACGGTCCTTCTCCGCGCTCAATCCCGAATGTACGCTACTCGTACCACTTGACAAGCGCCGCGTCCGGATACGAGCAGCAGGACGAGGCGTCTCGTATGCATCGTAGCGCAGCTTGCTTGCCGACAGCGATCGCTCGGAAATCACGGGTGAACTACCTGGCTTCGACGCCGGAGATGCGTTTGGAAGGCGCGTCGCCTGCAGAGCTTCTGAGAAGTCGGGAAGCTTATCATACCTCGGTATCAGTCACACGATATCCCTCTTAAGGTGAACGACTTACAGAATACGATCTCGCACGTTGTAGGACTTCTTGAAGGGCCGCAGGCTGCTGCGAAAGCCTCATAAATTGCTCGCAGCGCTGTGTCCGCGCATAACATCGTTAGTACGTGCGTATGGCACGAGCGAATGCGCTTACCCGCCTGATATGTCGTCCTGCATTTTTTGCAAGCTCTTGCACTGTATGAAGCACGTCGCTAGGTACATCCTCACACTCCACAGAAATCCGAAGCATCGCGAGCAAACATGCATCCTGAACACCAGCTATATTGTGTGAGCAGGGCTAGACACTACCATGGCTCTTACACTCACCTGGACAGCGACTGAGTCTCGTGCTGAAGCCGCGTAACAGGGACACGGGCGCCATAGCGAGTTGGCCACAAAACTCCGTCGCCAACGCAGCGGTGATCACCATCGCTGTCGGCTCAACACTACTTTCGCCAGTTGGCCCATGCGACTCCAAGGCCTCGACCATCAGACTCGACTCGCTGTCGGTGCTGAGCACAGATGCGACAAAGGTCGTCGCGCAGCCCACACGGAAGTCCGCTTTGCCAAACCGGATGTGCTCTAGCACCGCTGTTACGACGCTCTCGAGGACCAGCGGCCTGCCAGCCGCAGGCTTTACCGTTGCGGACAGGTCGACGGAGCCTGACGGCACTGGAGAGGATGATGACGTCGACGCCGCCGTCGACAGCGTAGACAGCTTCCGCAGGAGATCAAGTACGGCGCTGGCGTACGCCTCACCTTCGTCATTGCACTGGGTCTCGATGACTTCGAGGAGGCGGCCGACGTAGGCTTCTCTCGCTGGCAAGGGGAGATCGGAGGGCATTGTCTCGACGGATTGGACGTAGTACGTGGAGACGATGTTGCCATCGATTTTGTTGAGGATCGCGAGCGTCTGAGAACGGTCTTGAAAGTCAGCGCTATTCGTAGCAAGCGGCAGAGGGAGATCCACACCTTTTTTCTGACGAGAGGATCGGGGCTGTCAAGGAAACCCATCACCCGTTCCACCTCCCACTCTTCTAGCACCAGCGGTCGGACATCCGGATTTGTCCCAGCCCAAGTTACTGGATCGATCGAGTCCAGGCAATTGAGAAAAAGAATTTGCTCGTTGACGTCGCGAGAGGTAAGGTAGTCTCTGATTTCTGCGACGGGTAAAAGACCTTCGTCGAGCAGAGTTGTTGGCTTGACCGTGGACAGTAACAAGAATACTGATAAAGCAAGCGCTGACGGACCAGAGATAGGTCAGAACCGAGTTTCTGGAGTTTCTGGACAAGGCGAGATTCACCTTTGTCTCCCGATTTGACGGCGGAAGTTAGGACGGAATACACCCCCAGCAAGCTCTCCTCGTTCAGCCTGCGAATGTCGTGAGTTGCACTGCCCAGAAAGTGTAAAAGAAAATATACCCAATCGTTCGCAATGCGCGCAAGGTCTGCAGAAGCGGACCATGTGCAAGTTTCGACTCCCGGGCTTGCATGAGGGAGCTGAGGAGCTCGTGGACAGTGCGGCGGAAGACGTGGGCCTTGACAGCGCCGTGCTAGATTCCCGCTCAATGAACGTCGCTCGGAGTGGGCTTTCGGAGGGATAAGCTTACCTCGACTGCAGCAATTGTTACGGCGAGCGCTGCATTTAGCACCATAGGAAACGTATCATGAAGACGTTTCGTGATGTCTCCGCTGATTCGATATAGCAGCGCAGCATCATGCTCGGCCAAAGCACGAAAGGCCAAAAGGGCGCGTCGACGGACATGTAGACTTATGAAGCGACCAAGCGAGACGAGAGACGCAACATGAAGGAAAGGTTGAGTTAGCGACACAATACATGGTTCAGAACACGCACTGACGAGGTGTGCGAGAGCAGGTCGTGCAGGCGCGGCTGCACGGCAGGTATGACGTCGTGACTTGGCGAGGTTATGAGTGCGTCGAGAGCCAGGCATATTCGTGGTATCTCTGAGGACTCCAGATCCTGGTATGGACAACGAAGTACGGCTCAGATGAGGCAAATTGCGATTTCAGTGGATCAGTCGCGAGCTAACCTTGCGAATGGTGTTGACGAGCATCAGTCGTAACTCGTGATCATGGCTCATGACTTCGGCACAGAAGAGGTAGCCTGGTGAACGTGAGGATAGGGAGCCGCCGGAATTTTTAAGAAGTGACCAACCGATTCTCTTGTCAGGGACGCTCTCTCCCGCCTCTGCTACCGTGACCGCGTGAGGGAGCGCAAAATCTAGCGCGTGCATCGGTAAAGGAGCCGAAATTGTAGAAGAGCAATGTAGAAGTAAGATCAGGTTTTCTTTCCAGTCATTCTGTATCGAAGGTACCATGAGTTAGCGGAAGTAAGACCAGGGATGGAGCGCTAACGAGGGACAAGTCCGCGGAACGCGCCCGACGTTGGATATGGTTGATCTCCGCCAACAGGAATTGGTCAGCGGCCTGCATGGTCGCTGCGTTCTCGACATCGGACACCAGTTTGTAGTGCCTTCGGCTAAGTGCGCCTGAGGAAACGAAGGGAACATTCATGATGGGCGTGCGAAACAAGAATACTGCCGTCTCGTGGTGGCGCGTGGCTTTGGTAGGCACGCGCGTGGCCAAAGCCGATCAAAAATCGTGTTTCCGGGCGTCTTTCCTCCGGTCCTGGGCCTTTGCTTCCGGCCGCCATCAGGATGTCGAGTTCGAGTGCGACGGCAGCCGCTTTCAACAAAATCCTTAGCCAACCCAAGTTCTCCAGCAAGTCTTGCGCGTCTGGCGAGCCTGACGATGGTACGAAAAAGCTGAGGCGTATGATCCTCGTCGAGGGGATACCATCACAGGCTGTACGTGCGTTTCTGCCTCGTCTCGTGTTGCCTCTTCCAAACACGAGTAGGACCCTACACTCCGGCCGCGCATATGGAAGATACTGCTTCGAGTCAACGATCTTTCTGCGAACACCTTTCTGCGTTATGTCTCCAGGGGACCATGTGAAGTACGCGAGAAGATACGAAATGATACGTTCCGGTGAGCCCTTGGCCATCGCGTAGGCACTCTCGTAGCATGGACTCATTGGAGCGTAGAACTCTGGCGACAGACCGGGGTTTCAAGGAGCGAGTGCGTGAGGACATGCTGGTGCGCTTATTGGACGCATTTGTCTGGCGGAGTCAAGGCCCGTCTCTTCGTCTCATCACCTGAGTCTTCCCTGATTGTCCCTCCTGCAGATCGATCAGAGACGCAGACCCTGGGCTTCACGTATGTCCAAGGCATGAATGTGCTGGCTGCGCCCTTCCTGTACACCATGCCCTCGGAGCTTGAGGCGTTCTTCTGCTTCGCAAAGTTCATCGAGGAGTCATGCCCTCTCTACGTCCAGCCAACCTTAGAGGGCGTTCACAGAGGGTTGAAGGTGCGTCGGTAGAATGATAGGCTATTCACGCGTTGACAAATAACATCACCAGCTGCTTGATCGCTGCCTGAAAATCGTTGATCCCGATTTGTTTGGCCATTTGCGATCCAAGAACCTCTCTGCCGAGATATACGCGTTTCCCTGTGCGTTTTAATACTCATCGGGTACATGGCCGCCCTGCTGACATGCTGAAGCTGTTCTGACGCTCTGCGCGTGCACGCCCCCGCTGGACCAGGTGCTCCAGCTCTGGGATTTCCTGCTGGCTTTTGGGGTACATCTGAATGTGCTCTGTGTCATCGCGCAGCTCCTGCTGATGCGAGACGAGGTCATGGCTTCTTCGAGGTAAGTTCTTGTCAAGTATACGGACGCTCGTTGGGCTGAACGGGTTACAAGTCCCATGCGCCTTTTGCGAATCTTCCCTCCGTTACAAGCTCAGCCAGTCATTGGTATCGCTGTAACGCTGGTGAGAGATCTGCCAACGGACCTGTACGATGAACTCGTGCGGCATCCGTATGAACTCGAAGGCGCCTGATTGCATGCCACCCTTTATCGCTGTCGCCATTGTTCTCCGCCCTGCTGTCGATAACTTTATTTATCTGTTCCCTTTCGTATTTCCACACTTCGCTCATGGTCCGTGAACAGAATTGCATACAGATGGATACCTTTACTACTGTTACAATGCACGTCGGAGAGAGTAGATCACGAAGAGATTGACTGTTCATGCTCAAACCTCGACGGGTGTCTGCGCAGGCTCTGTAACGTGTCGCCAGATGGGGAACAATCCAACGGGTAATCGGGGGTTTGCAGCTGAATTTCCCCAATCAGACGTGCTTGGAAACGCATTCCGCCCGATCTGCTTCCGATCTCGTCAATTGCAATGCCTGCCAATGATGCGGCCGGATCGAGAGCCTGACGATGATGTACTCAGCTCGGGACCATGTGGGTCTCGTGGTCCTTCCCTCTCTTCATATACGACGGACGGTCGTATGCTCTTCGCTTCGTCTTATACTCGTTCCCCACCGTCGTTGCCATGCCTGCAGACCGCGAGAAAGACGTACTCCATCTCTCGAGCGCCAGCCCCGATCCGGAGAGGCCGCCGTCCTCCCTATCCGCCGACAATGCCTCCACTTCGCGCGCCACTCAACATCTCGCCCTCGACGAGGACCAGCCCCTCGAATTCCGCCGCAAGGATGGCTCGATCTCGCGTATGCGCTCGCATAAGGGGAACATACCCGTCCTCCCCCAGACGAAGCTCTGCCCCCATTGTCCCGCCAAGTTCACTCGCACCACCCATCTGAATCGGCATATGCGGAATCGTATGTCTGACCTCCGCGCCCTGCGTGGCTTCCTTCCCGTTCTGCTGCTGATGCCCCTTTGTGCAGACACGAACGATCGTAGCCATCAATGCGAGGTGAGCAAATGGGTTTCATATTCCGGTGCCTGCTAATCCGGAGGTCAGACCTGCGGATCCCAATTCACACGTAGCGATCTGCTTACACGGCACAAGAAGAGCTGCAATGACCCGTACGTCCTCGCGCCTCTTCGTTCGGCTCTCAACTTATTCCCATGTCAGGCTGAGCCACCTGCGGCGCAAAGCTTGCATCTCCTGCACGGAATCCAAGATCAAGTGCGACCGTCAGTACCCCTGCTCGAAGTGCATCTCGCGGGGCAAGACATGCGAGTACAAGGCTCCCGTCAAGCGCGCTAGCGCACGGAAACCCATGGACCCGCCAGCGTCCGCCAAGGCGTCGTCTGTCTCCTCGCGCCACGACAATCCCACCACCTCCGCGTCATCTGCCACCGGGCCCTCCCTCCCCAACTCCCACTCGCCTCTCGACTCATCAACTGATCGACTGGCCATCGACTTCCTCACTGCGTATCGGGACCCGTTGCCGCACTCTGGCTTTTCTGATACCAGTTCAAATTTCTACAACTCCGTCGCGTCCGATACCACTACCACGCACACGGGGACCGACGCTGTCGGCACAACCCGCAGCCATTTAGCCTCGATGTACAGCGGGGACATGTTCCAGCCGTTCTTCAGTAACGTCTTCTCGGACTCGCCCCCCTCGGCCACCCACATCTCGTCGTCGGACACCGACGCCTCGGCGGGGATGGATCCTAGCCTGCATCTTATACCGTCGATGAGTGGAGGAGGATTGGGCATGGCGGATAATAGTAATATGTTTGCGCTCAGCTTCGGGCCCAGCCTTGGCCCCGAAGTATCCGACATGCGTAGCGCTCCCCACTACGAACTCAGCCTGGGTCGGTCAAAGGAGGGACTGTCGGCGGCGTGCCAACACTACTGTACGTCGAGACCTCCAACTCGCAGCGTTCGTGGCGTCGACCGCGTGGTCTGCTATTAAAGTTTCTAAATTATTGACTATCTACCGTGTTCGCTCTGGCGAAACAGATGCGCTCTTCTACTCCGCCTTCCTGGTGCAAATACCAATCGTCCACATCCCGACGTTCAAGTTGGATGAGTGCCCCGAAATCCTGCGAAACGCCGTCTTCGCGTGCGGCGCGCTCTTCGTGAAGACACGCAAGGCCGCGAGTTACATCACGCAGGCCCTGGGGACGACGCGGGAATTGTTGTTGCACGAGTTCGTGAGTGGTCACGATTGCTCTTATGCTAGGATAATCAGACGGGACAGGCCAAGGACCCACACAACATCCACGAGCAATCGACTTTGATCACCGCTGTCGCCCTCTTGCAGACTATCGGTCTCTTCCACCAAAGGCCAAGTGAGCGTGCCTCCGCCACAATTTACCACGGCATGCAGATCATGGTGCGTCGCCCGTGAGAGCCAACGCGGATCGCTGTGGGGGCTCATTGCACGCGCAGATGATCCGGCGCCACAACCTCATCGGGCTCAATGCACTCTGGAGGCCACCAAACATCACGGAAGCCAACCGCGAGGCGGCGTGGCGCGAGTGGGTACGACACGAGACGCTAAAAAGGTCAGTGCGCGAGTCCGTCGCACGACTGCATGCTGAAAATGGCGTAGGGGCCTATTGTGGGCGTACATGCACGACTGCTGCCATAGCATTTACTTCGCCTTGTCGCCGTCGTTCCAACCGAATGAAGTCATGCTGCACCTACCGTGCGAGGACCGTCTCTGGAACGCAGCGTCCGCCGACGAATGGTACATGGCGCTGCAGGATAGGAGCTCGCCGTACGGTGATATGGAGACTCGCCTTACAGGCCTGCCACTGCAGGCTGCCATCACGTCACTCACCGCCGCGCGACTGCTGACGACGCCCATACCCTTATCGCCTTTCGGTCACTTCGTACTCATACACGTCATTCTTCGCGCGCTGTTCCAGACCTGCTTCGAGAGTCGCTTGCCACGCTCAGACGGCTCGCAGCGAAGCATGCGCGAGGAGGAACTGACGACGCAAGAAGTCTTCGGCCATCAGTACGCGCTGCACAACTGGCTGCAAAACTGGCTGAAGTCACCGGACATGCCGAAACTCGAACAAGGGGCGGAGGAGCCACCATTCATACAGCATTGTGAGCGGTCACCTCGCTGTCTTCGCGATGGATAAAATTGACCCACCTCGCTAGCGCTCCCTTTTTACTGGCTGGGTCAGGTCGCCATTCTCGCTCATCAAGAAGGTTTGCCGCCGTTCGAGCCCAACTCGCAGCAGAACTTGAACGGCGACGTGCGGTTCAAGATGGTCAAGAAGTGGCTGAAGCACAGCCGTGGGTTCGTGCGAATGAGCGACAAGGGGCCGACGGTCTTCTGGGACGAGCTCATGAAGATCAGGTTGCAAACGTGGCAGCTGGAGATGGAGGACGAGGTGGCGGTGGTGAATGAGGACGACCCCGGGCTGCTTGGGTTCTTCCCGGAGAGCTGAAGGAAGTGTCTGTTAGACGGTCTTTATGATGTAGACGACCCACGTACGAAGGATGTGCAGATACACGTGCATAAAAAGGAATAGAAGCAGTTATCGATTCAGCATAGAGGGGGTGAGAGAACAAGGCGCCTAGGAAGCTTCAACTCTTTATACCGTTTCGGTGGGATGTGGGTTTGGGTCCGAAATTATCGGTTAGTCGGAAAGGGGTGGAAGAGCATTGACTCGGTGGGGCATGGACGTGTAACACGAGGGCCGAGGGCTTTCGATTCTATACCTCGATGAACCCACTCTGGGTCGGTAGATCTCCGCCGACGGGGTCGAGCGCTTGCCACTCGTCTTTATACGTCCTTGTAAGACGCACCACGTCATTCTGACTGCCCAGACTGGCGCTCAAAGGACGCACGAGTATGGGGCTCGTTCAGCCTCTTCTCATGGGAGAACTGGGGCTTCCAGCTTGCCTGCCGTGTGATGGCTTCGAAAGTTCAACATCGTGCACGTGAAGGAACGTGACCGACGCCATACCGGGCCGGCGATTCCGCGCGCTTCGCTCCTGCCTCCGTTCTGTCTTCATGCTTCCAACACCTGTAGGTGCCAAAAGATCGCGGACGTTCCGGCGGTCTCGCAGCGCCCGCCAGGAACTTCGGACATTCCTCCTTACTCGCTCCCGTTTAACGAACCTTGCCTTCATTTTGCTCAGCTGTCTTGCGGGCGTGTCACTCCTTCTCAATCTCCAACTCTACCTTACTTCCAACAAGTTCATCACCCCCCATGGCATCCTTGCTACTATCTCACGGCCAAATGCTTACGAGGAGCTGGATCACCTCATAATAGTACCAGGGCACTCGATATGGAAGGGCACCGATCCTGGTGAGCATGCGTTGTTGCTCACCTTTGCACGCGCTGAGCCGCCCTCCAGAACTACGATTCAATGAAGATCAATGGGTGCTCGAACCGTACCAGAAAGGGGGGAGGCGCCTGTCTGCGCTGATCAAGCACATAGAGATTGGGTGAGTCGCATGTGTAGGACAAACGCCCTTTGCTGATCGTATCTAGTGCGAAGCTGGCAGCGAAGGATGAGAAGTCATTGCTAGTCTTTAGCGGTGGTCAGACGAGACCAACATCCACCACAACAGAAGCCGAAAGCTACCTCCGGTTGGCACAGGCCTCCAATGCCTTTGGCGTCCCTGCTTCCATGTACCCCTTCGCGCGCGCCACCACCGAGGACTACGCCCTCGACAGCTACCAAAACCTCTTATTCTCCATCGCGAGGTTTCATGAATACACTGGACGCTACCCCGTCAAGATCACAGTCGTGGGATACGAAATGAAGCGCGCGAGATTCACCGAACTACACCGCCGAGCCATCCGCTGGCCGGAGGGTAAGTTCAAGTACATCGGTGTGGATCCTGAGGGAGAGGAGAAGACTAATGCAGCCGAAGGAGAGGTATGTTACGTACCAGCTCATGCGCAAGTTTTTGAGATTCCTGACTCGATGTAGAAACAGAACGGCTACCTACCATACACCACCGACACGTATGGGTGCCACTCAACATTGCTGGCAAAGCGCCGCCAACGCAACCAGTTTTTGCGGTTCCATTCATATTACACGTCCGCGCCGGAACTGGCACCGTTGCTTAGCTGGTGTCCGTCCCTACATAGCGCTGGCTCTAGCCTTTACACGGGTGACTTACCCTGGGACTCTCTAGCACATTAGACACAGGCGCTCCTCATGTATTGTATCACTAATCTATTCGTGTCGCAGTCTTGCTCGGGCGGATTTCCGAATCTCAGAATAGCTGCGAGAGTGCACCGAGGGCACTTGTATGCGCGCGAACATCGTAGGGGTATCCATTGCTTACTTCTCTATCTCTAGCTGATTGACAACCGGTCCTTGGGAATATCAGGCACGCCTACAAAGCTCTTTTCCCAGGAATTACCGAAGTGGGCAAGAAGCATGCCTTAAAGCCTTCCTTATGGGGATGCATGCTACTTACCAAGAGCGGGGAACCTTTCATCGAACAGGGTGCGCTCTAGGAAGGAAGGAACGCAATTATGCGATGTGAAGTGCATACACTCTACTACAACGTAGGTGCACTATATATATTATATGTAGTCCGACTGCTGCATTGACTGGCGACCGGCCCGAGTATAGTCCTCGAGGGCATAGACAGCGGGCCGATGCTCAATTCGGACCGTCCTCTCAATGTGGACCTCGACGTCCACTTGTTCGGGCATCTCGAAATCGTTGCTGTGCCCTTTGTACATAGCGTCGTCTTCGGGTACAGCGCTGAGTTCGAGGGCGGTATGTCGCTTCTGGGATTGCAGCGAGCGGAGGGCGTGCGTCCTATCCTGCATCGAATCTATCGGCCGGGTGAAGGTAATGCTCGCAGCTGGACCGGGCCATGTATCCTCGGAGGGTGTGCGTCCAGGTGATTCTGAGTAATCCGTCATCCCGAGTTCTAGTTGCACCGGTCGACAAACGGCGTACCGTGTAGATGCAAAAGCAGCTTCATCGACATGATCCAATTGAGTGCATAGCCTAACGAGCTCCTAAGCCCGTGATAAGGACGTGTGTCATAGTAGGCCGGGCAGCACTCACCCAGCAGTCTGGTGCGCGTTAGTAAACGCATTCGACACTGCGCGAATATTTACGTACTTGAATCAACTCATCCGTGCGGTAGAAAATCAGATTGAGGATGTTGACGCCTGCGGGTCGTTGTACATTAGTTGACACCGCTTGAGAGGACGGTGAGTGCACGAACCTGTCAGGACGACGAAATAGCTCATGCCGTCATAGACCATCCTGTACACCCATACAGCTTAGTAGATAATATGTGAAGGTGATACGCACATCGTAAACAAGCGTGACATGCTACTGAGCAGCATTATCAGTATCGTAAACACACCGAGGTCGCCAGGATACTCACCGAGTCTTGCCCGCCTTCAATGCGCGATATTGAAGGAGAAACCACATACAGATGGCCGTCGTGCTGAGATCGTAGATCATGGCAAGTGCGTAGTACACCCAGGCGCCGAACACCTTGCGGTCGCTAACGGCACGACAACTATAGTGGGGAATTATCGTAAGAGGACAGCCAGTGCATACTTGAGTGCTGTCCTTACTTGCCCTAGACGTGCGAAATCATTTCGTCAGCAAGGAGGCGCAGTCGATGGGCAGTCCGACGTACGTGTTCCAGGTCCAGTTCCGCTGCTACCGCGTTAACCCAGCCTCTGATATGATGCAGGAGATCTTACGTGTCCGGTGGTGAAGAGTAGCGACCCACTCCAACTGTGGGAGACTGTGAGCGACCATAGCGATCTATGAAGTAGGCAAAACCCACTGTACAAGCCGCCGTATACAACAGGGCCAATAGACTTGACGTGAGGCGGGATCGCCTCGATAAGTTATATGCACTACGAAGGGTTAATCGTGAGATGGACCACGCCTGCTTCCGCACTTGCCGGAGACCCAGGATAGCCTGGGCGACCATCGCTTGTATCACTAACGCGAGGCGAGCGTTAAGCCGACAGTTCAAAGCGGGAACATGCCAGCGCGTACCCTTAAAGATCGGAGGGAGTAGGTAGAACTGGTCACAGCTCTTCACGGTGAAGTACGGATAGAAGAAGCCGACATTGGACACGGTGAGCACGCATATGCTCGTTATGCTGGGGGAAGGGTAAAGAGACCTGTCAGAACATAAGTCGCGAGATGAATTCCGCCACGCACTTGATGAGTATGAAAAGGATTGCGGAAACGCTTATCACCACAGTGAGCGCGCGTCCGGGAAAAAGCAGGGGTGGTGTACTCACGACAAGCCGCGCGAGTCCCGAACCAATCTCCATCCTCTCGGGAGCACCTCGGCGAAGCTTCACGAAGTTCAGTCAGTATGGACCAGCTACGCACGGAGGGATGGGACGCGGGAAGCAAGCGGCGTAAGGCCCGCAAGAGACGCATGGACGCACTGAAAGATGGCGATGGACAACGATGCCACTCTCAAATTCGCCGCGATCGTGAAAGCATCGGCCATTGGCCTGCCTCTCAGCGCCTTCTTGCAGCACGCTCGCGGTGATTCAGACGATGGTGGTAGCTACAGAGGTGCTTGAAGCCGCCCGATACGCCACCATCGTCACTTTGCCCCCGCCGGCACCCCATCCCGATGAGCGATGGCAGCTTGGCGAAGAAATTTGGCTGAAACGGCTGTCGGCATCCCGGCGTAGTAAGGTGACCCATATGGAAGAGATCGACTCAATGGACGTCAGCAGATGATGTGGAGGGGTGGCCTGCGGTGATTCAATAACTACGCGCATGCGCGCGCCATTGGTATGAAACTGACCAAGCCGACGCTGCACGAGTCATGACGCTGGGTCCTTGAAGTGACAGAAAGGCGTCGGAAACACTCCGAGAGTTGCCCGCAGCGTCCCCCAGCGCGCGCCTAACGCCGTTTGACGACAACTACCCTCGTGATTGGCACTGGCATTGAAACAGAGGGAGACAAATAGTGACTGTAGCCAAGGAGTACTGCCCTGGCGTATGGTCAGCATGATTGACTGAACATAAAGGAGAGTGTAATTCCTTGGTACCTTTCAATTTCTCGGTTCCCTTGGTCGAGACCCCTGGTCGATCTATAGCTAACTCTCGCCTATGTGTGGCTGAAGTTGCAGTGGTGCTGCAGCGCGATGGTTACTTCATTATGCCACTGTGAGCTCCTGGGCTGTACGTCTCTAGGTTGTAACTTGCCTGGCATAAGCCGCATGAGGCCAAATGAACGGGGTGAAAGAGCATGGCGATGGAGGCCACAAGCTATCCGATGACCTTTGCTGTCATGAGGTCTGGCCATCTATGATGCCGCCAGGTTATGGTTAACGATGGCGAATCCAACGCGCGGCACCCATGCGCGCGCCTGCAGCTATAAATCCTTGATAAGGTGAGACGGAGATGACAGAGGTGTTCCTGCTGGCAGGCGACCACGTCAGCAAGACAGTGACCCGCGAAGATTCATGTTTATCTCGCGGCCACATGGTCGAATATGGACGTCAGTGTCAGTGAATTGGCATCATGACGGAAAGGTCTGAAAAGGTCAACCGTGGGGAGGTCTTCCCCAACGCCATGGGGGTACGCGAGCCGCACGCGACTGACTCGTGGCACAGATGGGAAGATCGACGGCCTTCTTTCGACCCATCTTCCGAACAAAGGCAAGGGGAACGACAAAATGTATTATTGCCCGAGGAGCGTGTATCGATGTGTGGCACTAGACCTACGTGTCGTATGGTAGTTCTCGACCACCCGTCCGCAGCAGATTATCGATAGCAAGCACAGAGCGATGTGTTTACAGTAGGTAAGTATATCAGGCGGAGATCTAGCTAGCTACAGGTGATTACAGTAAATAGAATCAACGTGTAGGGGTCAAGGAAGAAAGCGCCCTATCAAAAGGCGCGCGCAGAACAGTGGGACGAGTCCGGAGCTTGCAATAATTAAGGTAAATGCGGGGGTAGTGTACAACATGTTCGACTTGGATAATGCAGGGAGAGCATTACGACGAGAGGAAGCGCGTCATCGTGCGATTATACGTGGACTAGCGCGCAACTACTGCAGAGTAATGAGCGCTACTTGAAGCGGAGGCGGTGTTGTAACTCACAAGCGTGATGAAGTTCGACAAGATTTGACCAGGTAAGGACGCGGATGTCGCGTTGATCACCAATTAAGTTAATGCTGCTGTTGGTCATGCCAAGGTCGACGGCCATTCGCATAGCCATGTCATAGTGCATACGAGCATCTGTCATCACGTCAGTCGTCTCGTTACGCGCGCTGTCGGAATCGTAATGCACCTTCATCTTTCTTCAAACGCTGCTCGGCCCAAGCAAGAAGAATAAGAGTATGAAGCATGGGCATCGTGGCCGCAGGACGTCTGCCGAGCATATTCTGGCAAGGGAGTGAGCAAGGACGCCCATGCGATAGCGAGGCGGACACGAACCTTAGCGTTTTCAGCATACACCTCGCCGACGGACTCGATGGTACGGCCGTATGTGAGATCGGCGCGCGTGCTGTGCCTAAAACAGGGAGATGTGAACATTCCACACAGGTACCAGATCGGCGCGACACGCACTTGCATGCGAGCGCAGCTATACAGCTAGCGAACGGAGCAGGAAGAGTACCGCTCCAGACCTGCTTCCAGATGTCGTTGGAATTCACGAACTGGAATTGGTGTACGTGATTTCGTATGAAGGCTTCCGTGAACTCGGTGATCAGGGTGCGGTTGGGGTAGTTCTGGTTGTCCTGGTCGAATAGACTGATTGGCTGACGCTGCGGAACGACGGGGGCTGGTGTGGGAGCGACGTAGTTGTATCCCCCTTGTACCTGATTCGGATACGAGGGGGTGATCGGGGACGAAGTTGAATGTCTGGAAGAGGGTCAAAAAGACGTCGCGGAGGCCGCTAAGCGCCGCACCTATGTCCTGCCTGATAGGTGCTGGGGTATGGCTGGAAGCGCGGACTGGAAGATTCGGCTGCGACTGCACCGCTTGGCTTGGGGGAATGGGTGGCGCGCGAGCTACTCCCAGCGTATGTCTGAGGCCCGGATATAGAGAAGGCATCCATGGAAGAGCCATTTTCCGCAGCGCTATTGCATGGTTAGCGAGCGCGTCAAGAACAGGGATAGGGGCGCACCGTTCTTCGATGGGATTGAACGCTGTTCCAACATTCGGACCCGCGATCGCCCTGCTACGCTCCGCAAAATAGCGCTCGCGATCCTTGAACTTGCAGGGGATCTTCGCCGCCTTACAGGCATCGCATTTCGAGTCGGGATGAGGTTGAAGGCATTTTATCTTTTTAAGGCGACTGGGAGGCGCGATGAGAGCTAGGGACAAAGAGAGAGGATGGTGACGTGCCAGTTGTCGCAAGATGTGACCAGACGTGGGCGCTTCTTGTGCCCCGTTGTAGTCTGGGGGGACTCGATGATGAACTGGAAAGCGTCTTCCATGGGGAAAGCGGACGAGAGGGACAAACGAGCGCCGGACCTAAATAGTCAGCTACCATGCGACCGTCACGGGGGTAACGGAAGAGCGACCCCCGCCGAAAATTCCACATGCACATATCAACCACAATTTTGCTATTTTCGATTCCCGATCCGTTTCAGACCCGCTGAGCGGCTGTGGACCAGGGCTACCCTCCGTCGTCGCAGCCAGGGCTCTCAGACGCCGCCACCGCCCCATGTTTTCATTTCAACAATTCCCCTTTCCATGACAAGCGCGGAGTCACCCGCTTTGCGCCAGACGTACGATCTCCGCAAAAGACGGCAGACGAGGTTGAGAGAGTCGAGGGCGAGATCGTTTGGGCTCCATACGGCGTCCACTACCCGCGCATGGTCCAGCGCCAGCTCTTTGTACACGCTACGCTGAACTCTCGCTCTTCATCACCAACAGATCTCTCAGCGCCTAATCTCCACCGCTATGATTAGCAGCTACGAACTTCAGAAGTTCTCAAGCCGCCCATGTGGCTTCCGCGGTAGGACCCACAACGGTAAGGTGTGGTGTACCTAGGGTTCATCGTCGTGTGGTCCCGAAACGGACGAGTCTATAGGTAAGTTCACTTCGCAGACAGCCCCATCTGCCTGTTCGTTTGTGGAAACCCGGTGGCAACGAAACGCGGACGTGCGCTCACTGTGCCGAGCCGAAGGCAAGTCGAATGCTCCGTTCCGGACGGTAATCGTCCGCACAGGGTCACACATTCAGTGACCTGAGACAGCGACCCTGAAGCCTGAGGCGGCGCAGGAGCCTTCACAGGGAATTCCTGGCTGCCAGGTTCTTACCCGCCCATACGGTCAAGTATGACAAGTATACAGCTCAGTCAGTCAATCAGTCATCTGTTTCCGATTAGTCCGTTCAGCCGGAGGTAGCAGAAGGAATACCGTGTACCAAAATCACTCACGACTCCGACTCCGAGGTCACTTGGGGGTGAGTGAGGGTGTCGGCCCACGAATAATAGACAAGTAAGTCCTTGTATTCCCTGTCCGGAATACAGAGCGCGGGCGTCGATATTATGGTCGCGAACTCCAGGCTCGAGCCGCATCCATAGATTCGCGCCTCGCATCGTCCATTAGCAACGCATCTACCCCATGTTTCGTCTCCCATCGTTCTTGGCTGCCGCCCTCCTGCGAGTCCTTGCGGCGTTGGACACTGTCGTCGTCCAAGCCTGCGGAGAACAGCACTTGGCTCGAGGTCCGCGGCTGCGTTTCCGTCTTAGAATATTAACGAATTTGCCTATCAAGACCGCTTACGCACCTCATCGCCTTCACCAACCGACGAGGTCAAGCGCACAGTTTCATCGTACGTCGCGCCGAGCGCCTCGTCATCCGTGCTCAGTGGAATTCCATGCGGGTCAAGTGGCACCGGCGACTCGATGCTCTTACGGTACTTGTGGTACGTATACAGCACGATCCCTGAGCACGATGCTTCAGCGCCCGCAAGCGTCAGGAGAATTGAACTTCGCTTACCGGAGACGGTAATGGCTACACCGGTGATGTTCAACGGTGTGAGCTCGTCGCCAAAAAACCACGCAGATATTGTAATGGTTGTGACCTCCTTTGCTATGCCTGCGATCGACATCGGGACGACACCCGCGCGTTGGAGGATGCTGTGAAAATGTCTCAGCACTGCAGGCGCAACATAGAACTTGCAGAAATATCGGGCAGGCGCTAAGTGATAGCACAGGACTCACTAAAATTCTGATAGCACCATGAAAAAGGCGAGGACCCCTGGAGCGGTCAAAAAGAATATAGTCTTCATGGACGCCCCGAAGGACTCGAAGAATTCGCTCTGGAGAAGCGATAACCAGCTATCCATGATCAAGCTGATCACGCCGAGCGTGACAGCCATCGCAGGTGCTAGCCAGAATAGCGTCGCCGCGGGGTTATCCATTCCCATGTCCTTCTTCTTCAGCAGGAGCTGAGTAAGGCTCCACCGCAGACCACCCAGAGCGCTCGCGCTCAGCACGAGTAAGAAGCCGCCAAATACGAAGTGCGTCTCCGTGGCCACCATAAGCAGCACGCCGGCGAAGATGAGGAAGATGACGCCTATCAGTCGGAGCGAGAACACCTCGAGGCGGAATATGAACGCGAAGAGGAGGACAAAAATGAGCGACGAAGACTTGCACATCGCTGGCGTCACGCGAGAGAAGCGATGGTACGTCAGTAAACCACAGCAGCCGCGGGGGAGAGTGGCGTGGGCCGCACGTACTGTAGAAGCTCAGCGAGATCGTCTTGAGCGAAAGGTTCGATAGACCGATGTCCAGGCCGGTGGCCATCGCAGTCGGAACGGCCTTCGTCCTGACGAAGATAGTAAGTATACAATAGTGACGGGAACCGGCGCCTCAGAATGGACTAAGGGGGATCATCTAGGCGCCAACAAAGTTGCGGGCAGAAGCCCCAAAGAGGACATGAGGTCTCCCTCATGTCCTCCGTTCGTGTTATGAGCAACGCCACGGGGGAGCGGCGTCTGCATGATGCACGCCCAAAGTCACCAGAAGAGCGCAGATGACAGGCGCACAGTGGAAGATGGTATGGTGGAATACGCGACGCATCCCGCCGGCCCTCCGTCCCATCAATAGCTTGACTAGTTCGAGAGAGCGCACGGCGTTTCATGCGCAAACCGGGGGTCGACACGCGCCAAAAAGCAGTAGACACTCACCCGTAATCCGTACGGCTCGGACTATTCGCCGGCCGGAAGTGCTGGGGCCAAGCGTAGCGCAGAACTGCAGCGAGGAGAAATTGTACTAGCATATGGAACGTTGTGACGAGGAGAGGGTAGGGAAAGTGGAAGTGGTCATCCGAGAACATCCATTTGTTGTAGACCGACAATATTATGGCAAAGAAGAACCTAGAGTGAGCGTTTCCCTGTTCAGTAACAACCTTTTGACGCGTACGACTGTAATGGGAAGGGGGCAAAGCGCAACTTACCACGACGCGATAAATAATAAATTAGTAGCAGCATGTCGCCACCACAGGCGTTTCCTTTCTTCTGGAGTAGCGAGGTGGACTTCCCCGAGTTCTGCATCCAGGTCTAGAGTGTCTTCGTGCGCTCTGGAGTCTGCGCCGTCTAGCGAATCCGTCGGTCGCGCATATCCCTGGTTGGCTGGCATCAGAGGAGGATCGAAGCAGTGACACGTGGCTTAAGCCGCCGTAGCCTGATCGGCCCGCGGACCGGTGCGTTAGATGGTTGCATTGTCTTGGCGAAGGCCTCAGGCTGCTCTGGTGATTCTCATTGTTCACGGAAGGGGCAATTGGACGGTCCTTTAGAGTCTACAGACTACTAGAATACAACGTAATGCCTACGTGTAGCGTAGGGATGATAGCGTTCAAGGCACGGGGGTGCATACCCTGCAAGCAGAAGTTCAAGGGTGCAATGGCGCGGTGCTGGACGCCGTTCTGGCGGAGCGTACTGGTGAAGCCCCGAGTCGGTCTGATTTCATCGTGCCCGTACATCAGTACCGCTCGCGGCTGGTAAAGACATCCGATGAATTTAGATAGAAGCACAGATATGTGGAGGGTGTACGACATAGTTCGCACTGTGACCGCGCATGGTAAGAGGTTCCGAGGGGACAAATGACAAAACTTACATGAAAACAAGCGAGCAGTGAACGTCGCTGACTTTGAATCTCGGGAAGCTTGCGAGGTACCGCTACGCGGGCGCGTTGGCTGGTTTGTCTTCTGGCCCCGTGTTCTGCTCCGTGGCTGTACTCGGATTACCGTTGAGGTACTTTGGGTCGCGCCTATGGAGGCTCGGGTAAGTCCTTCTTCCCAAGGAATTTAATCCGACGCAGATGGCGTGACGTACCAAGTCCTCCAATGTAAATATTGCTTCCGGTCGAGCATTTGGCGCCATGCGTCGTTCTTCATGTTGGCCCGGAACTCTGGTATTTGAAGAAGCTCAAGGTGGTGTAATGCATGTGGGTAGCTGAGAAAAAATGGGCTAAAGAACATGCGCCACAAATGTGCCTTCTTACTGAATGAACCGCGCGTACTCCTTCTCTTTCCAGTAGAGGAGGTACTGAAGATAGTTGATGAATGCGGGCTGGTCCAGTATGTTCTGTTGAGCCAAAGACGCGAGATAGAAGGGATTTGCGAGCGCCTGGACGAACTCCAGTTCTATCTCGAATCTAGCGCGATTGACGGCCTTGGGATCAGTAGGGTCGTAAGTCATCCATGGTGGTTGTATGAAGGCCTGGGCGTTGGAATCTTCGGCGGGAGGCTTCAAGAGTTCAGTGCAGTGCCCATGAGCACGTAGCGCGGCGCCTTACAGCGGGCTCCATGTGGACAATGGCCGTTAGGAACAAGGGACGTGGTATTGTTCTCTGTTTGGCTCCGTCTTTGATGCCGATCGCATCTAGACGCGCGTCGCGTCTTGCGTCGCGTCCTGATCGCGTCTTGAAACTGAAATCATGTCGGGCGACGAAGACTCTAACGGGTGGCAACTAACGGTGAGTGGCATACACATAACCAATCACCTTACTGATCAGAGCAGGAATCCGATCCCGGTGTTTTCAGCGAGTTGTTGAAGAACCTGGGGGTCCCTCTGATAGGTGCGTGGCGGAATTGCCACTCTTCTGAACTGGTACTGACATATGACCCTAGTGGACGACCTATACACGCTCGATCCCGAATCACTGGCGACTCTACAGCCTCTACACGCCTTGATCTTTCTCTTTAAATGGGTTCCTACTTCGGATCCCTCATCCTCCACTGCTGGCGAGTATGACAGGGACTTCCCTGGCTTCTTCGCGCACCAGGTCGTCAACAATGCGTGCGCCACACTGGCAGTTCTGAACGCTCTTGGCAACATCCCCGGGCTGCCCACGGGGCCCGAACTGGCAGAACTGAACAACTTCACCACGGGGATGGACCCACAAACCCGAGGGCTCGTAATCACTAGCGCCGACTGGCTGCGCGAGGCTCACAACAAGCTGTCCCCACCCAACGTCATCTCCCTCGATGGACTCGGCCTACCGAAGACTACCGAGGACGCCTACCACTTCGTCGTCTACGTGCCGGTTCTAGGGAACCTCTATGAACTGGACGGCTTGAAGCAATTCCCCGTCCGTCACGGCCCGTATGACGAGAGCGGTGAAGGGTGGGTGAAGAAGGCAAGGTGCGCGCTATTCGAGGACTCCGTGCAGAGGGCCCATGTCTAACGCATGTCAGGGAGGTAATAGAAGCGCGGATCGCTACTTACCCTCCGGGCGCGGTGAGTGTCGCTCATGTATAGCGCCGCCGCATGCCGCTTACAAGTGCCGTCTATACAGTTGGAGTTCAGCCTTCTCGCGCTGCGAGATGACCCTCTTCCTGCGCTGCAATCGCGCTTGCAGGAACTGCAGGCAGCCGGGCGGGACGGCGAAGCAGCCGAAGTGACGATGAAGCTCGCCGACGAGCAGGCGAAGCGCGAGCGCTGGGCTGTGAGTGATGTCTGGCAGCTGCCCGGAGACCTCGAATGCTGATTGATTGCTTCACCATGAACTTCCCATTGCCTATTGCGTCTTCTCGCCTGGATCTTTCGCGCCGCATCTACTCTCGCAGTTCGAGAACAGCTTGCGGAAGCACAATCACGTCGGCTTAATGCACGCTCTACTGATCGCCCTCGCGAAGGCTGGGAGGCTGTCTCCCGCGCAGGAGAAGGCGAGGCAGCTGATGAAGGAGCGAATTGAGAAGAGGAGGGCAAAGGGCGACCACGGGATGGACGAAGATTAGGCGCACTGCGGACCGACGCGAGCCGTCACTTTACCCTGTATCCACGAACACGCAGCATGTTGTACCTGCCCAGCTGGCCCCTCATGTCCCCGTCTTCATGTTGTATAAGAGCGAAGGCCGCCCATGGCGTCGAGACACCGTCATCCCACAGGGAGGTGCGAAAACTGCGGAACAGTGATGTATTTAACCGCAACATCCTACTGAGAAGCCCATGACCCGAGATGTATGCAGAAAACATGAGTAGAAAGCAAGCAGACGCTGTCAGTAGATGTAGCCAGTCGACAGTGCACGTACAGACGTAGTGTAGCGCGGGCAAAAAAGAGAAAACGAGCGGGCGAACGTAAGTACCGATTAGGGGGAGGACAGTATATACTAAGACAAGAACAATAGTCGTGAGCGTATGGTGATAACTTAGGATAATGGTGCAGCAGCAGCAAGACAGATGGGAGCCAGATATGCGAGCAAGACAGGGTATGGTTGATAGATACGAGATCAATGTTCGTGGCGAGGTGTATGGAGGGATGTGGAGAGGTGGTGTTATATGAGTTTTGCGGTCTCGAGGTGCTCGCGAACGATGGCGTCCTTCACTGCATTGAGTGTGTACGCTGTCTGCTTCTTGTCTACGGCCGTCGTGTAGTGCGCAAACAACGTCCGCTGAGCGTTCGTACCCGTCTTCTGGGAGCAATTCTGCATGATCTCGTAGAAGTAGGTACGGAAGTCTGTAAATCCGGACGTTGATCAATACGCCCACGAAGCAGTACTAGGAGACTCACACTTGCACACTGTCTTGGTATCATTTGACCGGTCCTTGAAGCTCGGGAAGTAATCCTTGATCTGCGCCTTCGAGCTCTTGAGCTTGAAATCGAGGACGTCGCACTTGTTAAGGAACAGCACGAGTTGCGCGCGCAACAACAGCTTTTCCGAGCACAGCGTCTTCCACAGCGACATGCTATCGCGTAACCGGTTTGTGCCCGTCTCATCCACCTCGTCAAAGACACTGACGGGTGCGAGGAAGATAACGGCCGTGACTGCATATAACGTCAGCCTGGTCACACCAGGACATGAACAAGCATCATACCGTCGTCGAAATACGAGAACCAGCCCGCTCGCTGACATGAATATGCAGGTCAGCGTGGCATAAGGGGCGAGATCTCACGAAGCACTACGCACTGCTGATCGTGAACCAGAGAAATCGTAGAATATCCAGTTCTTTTTCGCTTTGACAGGTCATGAGAGAGATCTAGCATGTAACGGCGACCGGCGTACCCAGGTTGAAGGTATATTCTTGCACGGCTGTCGTTCGTAGGCGACATCGCAACACATCATCATCAGAAGGCTGGTACGATGAGTCCGCTATTCGATCGACATCGGCCAAGAAGCTAGTAGAGTGTCAGTCAGGACGCGTGCGAGGCATCAGGCAGACCAACTCACAAGGAAGAAGAGTCCTCCAGTTTGACATCGGGTCTAGATGCCAGCAATGCCTTAACAGCAGCGTCCGTCCACAATGTTCGTATCTCGTCCCTACAACCAGCCAGGACCTCCGTGACATCGTCGAGGGCCTTCGCATACTTGCGTATATGTGAGGGCGTCTCTTCCGAGGCCTTCGGTGATCGTGATGGCGGGGTAATCTTCTTCAAAGCCTGCTGCCATCTCACATTGCTATTCACGTAGAATTCGCCGTGGGGAGAAGGTGTGTCGTCGCGGGGTGGGGGAGTTACAGAGATGATGCTGGAGTCGTCGCAATGGGCAAACATGTCGGTGTCCTGGATCGCGGGGTCGTCTATTGAAGCAGCGCCGAGGCTCGTCTCGAGCTCCCCTTGTATGTTCCGTAGCGGACCGAGCTTGAGCGACAGCATCTTGTGCGTATTATCAAGCTTCGTCTCGTTTCCTGCCGACGATGGTCATTGTCGGGATTCGCGGACGTTAGGGGGAGTATATTACCGGATTCAAACTCTTCGTGGATAGCATCAATGATCGTGTTCACCGCGCGCACAAGGTTCAGTTGTATGACGACCTTCCAGGACGCGCGCTCTTCTTGCCATTCATCCTTCGCGTAGGCCAATTGCAGATCTGCGGGGCAAGGTTAAGTGGGCTCGGAGTGCGGGGGTATTCGACAGACGCACTTTTTATGACCGTGGACTTCCCTGGGAGGGTATGTGAGCGGGAAGTACGCGTGCAGCGTTCGCGCAACGTACCTGCATGCGCCTGACCCAGCAGCAGCACCTTGATCGCATCTTTCGTCCTCCTCTGCTCCGCGGCCGCCTCTGCCTTGATCTCCTCATCTATCTTCCTCGAGTGACTGGCGTCCCGCGCCTCACGCTGCTTCCGCGCTTCCCGCTCTTCAGGCGTCTCGTTTGGCGGAGGCGCGAGGATCTCCTGCCAGTGAGGGGGGTCGGCCGAGGTCTCTGTGGAAAAGCGGGAGCGGGTCATGCAGAAAGTGGAAGGAAGTGAGCGTAAGAAGAAAAGAGCGGACTACTATTTGCGGGAAAGGCGCGACCTGACAACTGACGGTCTTCGCTTCGGCATCCGCACGTGCCCGGTGAATTACTTATGTATTAAGCACGATCTCTTGACATCTGCTTCAATGGTCGATTAGGGCGGGGCCCGGCATATGAGAAATCGGCGATGGGGACGGCGCGTATGCACGCTTCGCGCTTTGGGTCGCGGTTGCCACTCGGCGTAGGAGACAAGGTTCGCGGAAAACAAACCTCGAATCCGGCGCATCAATCAAGGAACCGGCAAGCCCCGCTCCTCCGCCTCCCGACCCACCTCTTCCTCTTCAAAAGCACCTCCACGACGATGCGAACAACCTCAGACGACTCCCCTCGCGCAGAACTCCTGCATCCCCCCTCGCGATGCGATTGCGACGGCTCTCACGCGCGGCCCAAATCTTCCCTTTTTGCGTTTGGTGTCTGCTCATCTATCAGCGCTATCCCTTGCTGACACCTGATCATCAAAGAGACAGGACCGCGTTGTCGGGATGCAGCCTCGCCCGCAGTCGGATTGGGCACTTGCAGGCCCCTGCAGGTGAGAAATAATTACTCTCGGGTGTTGGTAGCCTCCCTCCCCGCAGGCGACACTGAGGGCACCCATGCGCCACCTCCACGCCAGCGCTTTGCGGGGGATCAGCGAATGTTGAACTTTCCCCGATATCCTGCGTCCTGTTCAAGCACAGCTAATTCCTGGACCCACCTTTCGCCGCGCGTTGTCACCGCTGATCCTTCGCCATCCGTCTCCAACGCCTTCAAGGGCGCCATCGAGTGGTCTATCTTATTGCTGCCGTAGGGTGCTTTCTCTGCAATCATATAACTCATCTCTCGCCTCAACGATTCTCCTGCCAGCAACGTCGCGCGCGACACAAGCTACTTACTACTGCGTGTGCTAGGGCCCATAGGCCAGCCTATATCCTCATCATCGATGGCCTAGTCAAACTATCTCTTGCTCCGTTTCCACCGGGACAGTTCGCGCCTACGCTGACCCCATTCCGCTCGTCGTCCATTGAAGAGTCGCCCAGTACGGCATCCAGTCCAGCGCTTGACATTTGGTTGTGGATCTGCGACGACGAGGGTCCACGCTCCGCCTCCCTCGCCGTCGCTAACGGCTGTCGCCAAAGGCCTGCGCGTGATTCCGACGCTTGTTTCCTCTGTCATAATATATCTCCTGACACGCTCAGTCTCCCTGCCTACGCAAATGAACGGGATGACTCTGTCTAGACACTCGGATATTACTTGGCGACAGGCAATGACCTGGATACCGCGTTAGAGTCATCGCTACGCTCGAGCCTCGACTTCCAGAACTTGCGACACCTCTCGTCTTGCGCGTATGATTTCCCGCCGAACCGTACATCCTTGGCTGCGCAACTGTCATCGTCGACGGCGCCCGCGGTGGAGAAACCGACGCGAGCGCACTGAACAGACTTTGCACGCGCGCGACCCTCGTTATACACGTATTTGCTGTGCCGACCAGACGGAGGTGTGTATGCTCCACATGATGAGGCCCTGGCAGAAGACGCTCTATATTGGCAACAGAGTCAACAAACACGCTCTGGCATCCTTCTCTCTCTCTAGACCTGATTGACTTTGACGTGTCTGCGTGCACAACAGATCGTTGTTGACTCAATCACCCTCTCTTACCATCTCTCCGAGTCGCGTCCCGATGTCTGGCCTTTCTGACCCCGCGTCACAGCTGAGCGAACTTACAGCGCCTTTCTACATTATACTACGGACGCAACTAACTTGCTCTGCGATCTTGCGCAACAGGATCGTCTTTACGGTTGCCTCAGCCAACATAGCGATGCCGCCCGTGTCCGTCGCGGTCGGCTGAGCATCTGGCAGAGCTCCCCCAAGGTTACCGCCCCCCTAGAGGCTTGGTATATTTCCATACATTGCTCTTCGCCATCCTCCCTCTTAAGTCCATAGCTCAATGGACGGCCAATGTTGCTCGTGATCTTGTCCTTTCCTCACGCGCCTCCTGCCAGTTCAGCTCTGCAAGCTCCGTATGTCGCTGACTTTGAAATCTGGAAGCCTCTCATACTCGCCGGAAAGCCTCGCAATCGCGTTCCTATCTACTTCGAGCCGGCTTACTCTGGCGCCGAACACTTGCCATATCCCTCTTCATACACACAAATTTCTGGCTCTTCATCTCGTCTTGTTCCGTCCCAATACAGTACGCCCGTGTGCCTTCAATTTACGCCTTCTTGTTCTCCCTCCCCTCCCCACTCTCCTCCGCCCCGCGCGCCGACCTGCATTGTCCTCCAGATCTGGAAGCACCCCCGTTTGCTCTCCGATCAACGTTCTTGCTGATTGCGGCAGGTGCCGAAGTTCTTGTTCCGTGCTTACCGGCGGGACGGTGCGGCAAGGCCGATTTCGGTAGGCGGCAGTGTGGCGGGACCCTTCATGTTCTGCGGCTGACGGCAGCGTCCTTGATTGCGCGGTTCGAACCTGATCTTCCAGGACCTTCACGGCAAGGGGGCGGGACCGGAGTGAGAAGGTACAGGACGCCAACAGGTGGGACAATTCAGTGGGGCACGGCGAGCTCATTGGGACGCCAGTAGCCACTCATCGCGGTGTGTCTATAGCTTTTGTCGTCGGGCGACGAGAGCCCGTACAGCTGTCCTTTTGACACTTCTCGAGTCTGCTGTGACTCCGAACTACTGACAGCATTGAACGAGGCAGAGTTCACGCATCGAGGCTTGTCCGGTACCGGTACACGAAGTCGGCCTTCTGCTTCTCGAAATCGAGGACGCTGCGTCCTTCCGCCGGCTCGAATACGCCAACTTCTGCCGACAGCAAGCTTGACCGACGACCCTGCACTTTCGGCAATTATACTCGCAATTGACCAGGCCCCCATCTCGACCCTCGGCTACTCCTGGGCCTTCATCTACTGATTGGTCAGTAGTAGGGCTCCCCTTCTGTTTCTTCGCCGAAATGCTGACATACGAGCTTTGGGCTGCTCTTCTGCCACTTATTAGACGACATATACGACATCTCACTAAGGCCAAGGAAGCACAGCTGCGTGCTCGAAGTCCTTCTGGAGTGAACGGCCAAACCCTTCGGTGGACCAACGCCTTCACCTTGCGACCTTGCGCCTCCGCCGACGTGATCCTCTGCTCCAGGTCAATCTTCCTTTTCTCCGTCTACGCGACTTGCTGCGCGGCCCCGTCTCTTCCATACTGTACTGGCCCCGACGAGTCGGCCCACCTCCCGGATTTGTTCTGGAGTGGTAGATTAGCTTGGCCTATCTCCACTATCCTGGTCGACACTCGTCAGCTAATGCGTACTCCCTTATCCCGGATCTCCATTCCCTCGTGCACCCCACCCTCCGTCCGCCTGGTTAGCTTCCGCGCATCTGATGCGCTCCGCTTAGGACTGACTTTCCTAATGACCGGATCTTTCCTTCCTCTGGTAAGCTTCTATCTCCTTCAATTCGAGCGAAGGCGCGGACTCCGTTCTGAGAGGGGATGCAAGTGATAATCCCTTCGGAGGCACTATCGCTCTGTTGCTACGCTTAAGGCTTTCCTTCCAGCTGTGTCGCCTCCCCGGTCTGGTCGACAAACCAAGAGGATACTTCCCTTGCCGTCAATCTGTGGTAAGGCCGTCTTACCGGCTTGCTCGCAGAGTCAACTTCTCGAACGCAGGCTTCTGACCGCTGCTACTTTTCGGTGGCACCTTGCTTACAGCTGGCTCGCCCGAATACGCTTCTGTCGCCGTCAGTCCTCTGCGTACAATTTTTGTTCCTAGCTTCTCTTGCTAGATGCGCGCTTCCTTGTTGCTTTGCTTGCTTCCCTCGGACGCTATCCCCTAAACTTGGGACGTGCGCCGATACTCTTTTAACGTCCTCCCATCCAACCTCGACCGCTAGACATTATAATGCTTCAACCGAGTTTCCTGCACAGGGCCAGTGTTGATACACCTCGTCCAACTGTCATTCCTTCGTCAGCGACGCCGCGCGCCTTCCGAGTCGCATCGCATCGCCAGCCACCGGTCCTTCGCCTTGTAATCCTTACGTCTTAGCGCGCTTTCCTCTCACGTCTCAGTGCAGTCCCTCTCACGGTCGACCATATACTTTCGCTTGACTCCCACGTTCGACGACTGTGCCCTCGATATCCTCACGCGTCTCATACCCCATTTCTACTATAGCCGCATGCTTTCGTGTGCTCTCGCGTCGCGGGAGACGTGATCTTGCGCTGCTGGAGAGTGCACTTTACGTCCCTCGTCCATTTTCCTCTCACGACCCACTACTCTCAGCCTATGTTATTGTCCTGTTCCGACTTGCCCCGTCTTGCTTTCGACGGTTGGCGCCCACACCCGGGCAACCGGAATGAGGCTTTGCGTCGAGCGCGACTCGCGAGGTCGTCGCAGGGACATCAGTAAACGCTGATTTGTCTATGAGGGGCTACGACCGCTCGGATAGCCGCCGTAGCCAAATCGAACGTCCCCCCTTATTCCAGTCTGAATAGCAGCCTTCCCGGTTCCGATAGCCTCCCGTAGCGCGCCTTTGTTTCTACCAAGGGGTACGTAGTATTGTATAGAAGGCCTTTCCTCGGAAGCTATGCCGTAGCTCAGCCAATTTATGCGACTATCTGGATCGTTCGAAGCATTCACGGGTTGACTGCACGCAAATGGATAGAACAGAAATATCATTGCATTTCAATGAAGGCTAAGCTACTACATTATGTCTACTACTACTGCGATTCTGGGTCGCCCCGCTCACCTCCGTGCACGACATCACCGCTATGATTCCGTGCACCCTGCTACTGTAGCCACGCCACTTCCTCCACTACACCCCCTGCTCTCCATTGAGTCCTTCGCCGTGGATGTCTCCCAATAGGAAGGATCTAGCTACGGGCCGGTCTCCGAACCGCGCGGGAAGGTGGGCTGGCGAAAGCGAAGGACACGTGCCATACGAAGCACAATCGTGTAAAAGGTCCCAGGAGGTGTAAGGGGCTGAGTCTGGAGGTACATGTGAGCTGGAGCGATCAAGGCATGTTGTGATACTCACCTTCATTGCGGGCGATTGCGCCGACCTCGAGGTTGTGAACACGAACACGAACACCAACACCATCCTAGATAAGGGAGAAGGTGTTATTAGCGGTATGGTATGGAGAGGTGACCGCACACACGCACCAGACGCTCAAAAGGCATGGCCGCTGACTCAGACGCGCATCTGCAAGCGAGTGCACTAGGCGCCAGCGCGAGGACAGGCGCGCCGAGTCACTGAACAGCGCAGACACCGACTCCGTATGGGTATGAGGTCGTATACACAAACGGAGGGTGCGAGAAGGACGCCGACATCGTCGACAGGACTAGGAGGACCTTGGGCGACGGAAGCAAGACGCGACGCGCGATTTCGGCGGACTGGATCGGAGCAACGTGACCTCGCGCGATTTGCCGGCGGAGTTCGAAATTACTTAGGGAATTTTCCGTTCAGTCGCCGCTCACCTCTACATTCATCTGCCACCTCGCTCCTTCGCACGACGTCGCGGCGCAAACGGCGCGCTACGTGGGGACAGTATGCCTTGATGTGACAGCCCCTTTTCCCCCATCCAGGTTCCATACACCATGCAGCCCAGCCTCTCTGAATCGCCGTCAAGGCCGCACGGATAATACCTCCCTTTGCCTCGATTTATGCCTCTCTTCTCCTCCCCGACATCTGCTCAATATCGAGATTGAAGAACTGGGTGATCCGGTAAAGGGGTAGAAGGCCGTACGGTGCCAGTGGCAAACATTGGCGGCGGGTACCATCAGGTATATAGTTATGAAAAGTCTACGACGATGTGTGGCTCGACTACCTTATAGCAGTAGCATGGTTATTTTAAGCTGTGGGTGTCTTTTACACTTTGACTTCTCAAGTCCTGCAATGGGAAGCTCTGATAGTTCACGCCATTGAAGAAACATCTATCAAGCCCAGTATATTGAGACAGTCTACTACGCCACAAAGCATAGTGGTGCGGACTCCTACAGCTAGCTATGCAGTGCTATGAAGGTCCGCCTCGCAGCTATGGAAGCCTATCCAAGCCTATCGGGGCAATGCGCACGGGCGAGTACTACGACGCTGTCACATAGTTGTGAAGACGTCACGATAGTGACGGGGCATTCCCTGATGGACGGTCGCGCACCCACACCAAAGGGAAGGTCGATGACAATCTGGCGTTTCTTTCCGAATTTCTGCTACTCATTCCGGAAAAAACAACACCCTTCGTACAGTACGCCTTCACATCCGCTCCTCAGCCAATTCGGCAGACTGAAGGTCCCAGCAGCGTCGAAAGAAACTTGCGCTACTCAGGAAAATTGCGGGCAAGCTGTAATGAACAGGAGTCCCTCGGGCATCGTTCACCATGCTCACCGAGGGTCGGGCAGTCCATGCACCATTCGTTGGTCCTCCCGCTCACCTAGACAGCGAGTCCTCGCGCGTCTCGAGCCATGGCTGCCCCGGAGGCATTCCGCGGGAACTGCAGAAGATTTCCTGGATGGTATATAAGCGCCAGTATTCCATTATAGCGACCTTCCCTTGCGCCATTGAGTCTTCCCTTCGCTTCCCCACAAGCGATCTACCCATCGGTGCAAACCCTCTTCGACAATTGGCTCATCGACGAGGACCAACGTGATTGAATGGCCACCGACGAGCGGGCTGGTGTCCCCACGCCGAGCGGAAATTCGGGCAGCACATCTCGGCTGCCCCTGGACGTCGTGACGTGCCCTAGTCATTTTACTTCCTCGACTTTGAGTCCGCTGACCTTGATGGAGCAATGATCTCCGCGAAAGGACTTGGCATGGGCGTCGTCTGGCCATAATGGAGGATTTTTTGAAGGCGTTTTCGACGGGCGAAATCGCTTGGATGGCATGCTTTATTTCGAGAAGGGACCGAGGTGTACGTACAGAATATCTGGTCAGACTAGCAAAATCGTGCATCCCCACTGGTCGATCGAGGAGACCATGTCAGCTGTAGTTCCCCAGGCAGGGGCGGTTTGCTGCCGCTCGTGTAGCACTCCGAATTGACTGTGATCTTTTGGAGTCAGGCCGCCTGCATTCGTGTAATTGTTGGGCCGCGTATGAGCGCATAGGTCGTGCCCTGGGGGCGGCAAACAGCGTGAGGGAGAGGCGGAAGAAGGTTCGGACGAGAAGCCCGACGGAGCGCGTGGACGCGCCTGTCCGCGAAACGCTGTGGAGGCAAAGTGGAGGGAAGACGGGGCGAACACGTATGATATGTGGGAGGCCTAGATTTTTCTCGGAAAATTGTTCGCCTGGACGGGCAGACGAGACACCGGGGGGCCCGCGCGGACGAGACACCTGGCGCGTCCCGCGAGATTCGGAGTCGGCGTCGGCATCGGCCGAAGGGTGCATGCACAGACAAATGGAGGACCATGTGGGGGAGCGCTTAGGCTTGAGCGCGAACCCACCCTGGACCGGATCGAACGTCGTCGCCGCCGCCGCGATGTCCATGGGCGACGCGAGCACGACGAGCAAGGTCACCCAGCCCTCGGGCTCGGATCATGGCCTCCCCTCTCCCCCAACGCTCTCGCGCCCCTTTCGGTCACGCAAGAACAGGCCGTGCGATGCCTGCGTGAGTGCGCACCCCATGCAGCGTAGCGCCTTCCGCTGACCGCCCCCTAGCGACGAGCAAAGACCAGATGCGCGATCCCCGCCGCAGGACCACCCTGCGTGGAGTGCCAGTGCGTGTGGCGCACACAAGCGATCGGCCACCGTCCCCCTGACTCGCGCGCAGACAGACCCGCAAACAGTGCACGTTCGATCAGCTTCCCCCCGAGCGTAAGAAGCCAGCCAAGCGCCCCGGCTCCCCCGTCAGCGGCAGCGTCTCGCCGGGCGGGCCCTCGTCCATCGACAAGCGGCCCCGCGTCGTTTCAAGCGCCAGCATGTCCGGGCAGGAGAATTCTAATGGGCTCGATGCCCTCATCCATGCCGCCTCCCGAGAAAAACGTTTGGCCATCAGCCCCTACCCAGAACCAATTTCCCTTGATTTATCCACTCCAGATGCGCTCGAGCCGCACGTCATCACCGCTCTCCTCACCGACGATCTCCTACCCATTGGCGCGAAGCAGGCCGGCCCGGACCACACGCAGCTACCGGAGACGTCGTACATACGGCAGATATCCACTGTGGGCTCGAAGCCGCAGGTGCGTGCACATACTGTCCCTCTTGAATACTCCCTAACCTTCCCCTCAGTATATCATCTTCACCCAAAAGCCGAAGAGTACGGTCAATCCTCTGTGACTCGACACGCAGCCCAGCTGACCTTCAGTAGAAACACAGGATACGAATCATCTGGCACGAGAGGCCTTGCTACGCCTTGACTCTAGCCTTCAGCTCCTACGGCCTCCACCGAATGAGCGCCTCCTGCAAGATCTCTTCTTTGCCCACTTCAACTCCGCCTTCCCCCTCCTCGTCCCACACCACATCAACCCCAACGATCACCCCTGCTTACTCGTCAAGCTCTACCTCACCGCGCTCAACCACACCCGACAATATCGCCACGCCGCAAAGGCGGTACGCCGGCTTGTTCACAATGGCGCTTCTTCCTTCATTGAGAACGGGGCGCCCCTCGCGCCGCGGCTGCATAGCATCGCTGGTGCGGTCCTCGAACTCTCTGGTCGCCCAGTATGGGACGCGGAGGCGCGATATATCGCGCTATCAAGGGTACGCTTCGTCATAACTAAGCCTTCGCAACCTGACTCACGCGGTTCCTCCCCCCGAAGACGATAGCCCAGGCGCAACTGATGGGCCTGCACATTGATCCGGGGAACTGGGCTATCCCCGCCTGGGAGAAGGAGCACAGGCGAGTGCTCTGGTGGACGCTGCGCATCCACGATGGGTGGATGTCATTCCTCAACTCGCGGCCCTCGCATCTGCAGCTGGACAATACGAATGTGCCGCTACCGGCGCTTCCGTCCATGCTTGCGACGTCCGCACCATCATCACCCTCGTCTGCACCCTCACCCAGCGGTCCCTCCATAAAGGCGGAGCATCCGGATCAGGTCTCTCCGGCATCCATTCGGTCTTTACAGAGCTTCCTTTACCAGTGCCGCATTGGTGCCCTGGTGAACCGCCTCCAGGCCCAGGTATCGACCCTCACAGCGGCTACGCTGATTACCAGGGAGGAGAGATTACGGAGGGTACAGGATCTCGAAGCCGATGCTGCAGCACTCCTCGACGAGGTCAAGCTCGAATGGGAGGAGTTGGGGATCGGAGTACCCGGACGGTCTCCCATGAAGCCGTCAGGTGTCGGTACGTGATACACCTGATTTATACGAGCGGTGGTGTGCTCAATTACCCCCTTAGCATGTCTTATGACGACTCTTCTCTGTTTTCGCTGCATGCTTCGAAGAGTATCTATCGAGCTATATATTGGTCTTGGAAGCCCGTACGTTATTCATCTTTCCGTGTTTGCACTCCTTTCTGAGGTCCTTTGGGGAAGCCAGGTTTGTTCCAGACGACGACACGCTTACCATATTCGCCGACGCGGTGGACTACTTCTGCCTCTTAGACGGCTACGACTTCGATAGCTTCTGGCTGTGCCGTACGTATCCTTCGTCTTAAGTCATGCACTCCCTATAATTCACCCTTCATAGACATCGGCCACATCCTCTCCTCCGTCACCTCCTCACTCCTACGCCTCTCACTCGCCATGGCCTTCAACCATCAGCAGCAAGTCCAGCAGCACCTCCAGCAGCAGCAACAGCGCGCGCAAGCCGAGGGCCAGCCGCGTCCGCCAATACCTCCGCCCTCGTCTTTCATGACGCAGGCCTCCGCGCGCACCTGCCCCATCGTCCTGCTCTCCCGCCTCCGCAACGCCGTCCACTTCGCGCGGCAGGAGCACGACTGGGACCTCGCCGACGCAAGCCTCCAGCGCACCGCGAGCGTCGCCCACTGCCTCCAGCATGCCGACGAATACGCGGGCATCGTGAGCGCGCTCCAGGGCCGCATCGCGCTCGGCGCGAACTGCGGGCTGCACATCCACCAGACTGCGAGTGGCAGCAGCGGTGCGGAGTCGATGCTCCTGGGGAGCAGCGCGGGCGCGGGGAGCGTGCAGATCCCGGGCGCGGGCCCGATGCAGGGCATCGACCAGAGCGCGTGGAATTTGGACCTGAGCGCGCTCGGGCTGGATTGGGGCTACGACGGTGGTTTCGATTCGTGGGCCGGAGGTGCGCCGCGAATGGGTATGGGTGGCATGGGCACGGGCGGGATGGGCTCAGGCATGGGTCAGGGGATGCCTCAGGTCATGCCGACTGGGGGTCCCTCGCCGACGTATAGCCACAGCTCAGACCTGCGCCGCGTCGCGCCAGATGGGATGCACATGGAGGATGGGATCAGCAATTGAAGGTGGGCGGACTGGCAGACCTTGTCAAGGGAGTATGACGACAAGGTCTGCCAACGAGCGCCTTCGGAGAGCCAGGGAGCCGCGGCCGGACGGCGACATCGTGGACAACCGAACGAGGAGGGTGGATGGACATCGCCGTAATTTATCGCATCTCGCTTTGTAGTTGTAACCTCATCCCACCGCTTTCCGAGCTACGCCTCCGTTTGCCTCTTCGTTTCTGTTTCTCGGGTTTACCACTGGTCTGTGCTTTACAACGCAGGTTTCTCCACGATCCTTAACGACCTTCACCGATCCCCTTGACTCCGATTCACCAACTATTATCGCTCGTCGTTATGAACAGCATCCAACTGCTTTCTCTTCCCACGCGCATTCCATCTCTACTCGGGTGTATCTCTTCTAATTATGATTTGTATCTGCTTAGACGCTCTCTTCACTGCTACAACTTGGAAGCAAGTCGTTGGGCTACGCGGCCGGTCTACACAGAAGCGTGCGCCGGCACCGGTTCGTTCTCAAACGGGACGAGACGTTCACCTACATCTTCATTCACTCCTGATCTCAAACAGACTGCGTGTAATCCAATGCAATAAAAATATGCAAAGCGTCGTAACTCATGATACAGCAAAAAAGGTACACAAAGGAAACTGTGCGAGATCGTGGATGCATTTACTTCCTCAACGTGCCAATCACCGAGTCCGGCGCATATCTCGGGATCACCTTCGGGTCGTGCAACATGTTGAACTCCTCCGTCGCGTCACGGCCGGCGTAGAGCAGGATCGCCTTCTCCCCTCCCGGGTGGTCAGGCAGGAAAGAGGTGACGTCGAGCACCTGGTCATTGACGACGACCCAGACGTCGTCCTTCGTGTTGTGCTTCGCAACTTCGGCGAGGTCGAACGTCTTCACGCCCGCCTTCGCGTCGCTGCCCTTCGGCTCCTCCTTCGCCGGTGCCTGTGTTGGTGCGCCAGAGATGTGGCCCGCGACGGCGCCCAGACGCCCGCCGGCCTTCTTGAGCGCCTCGCCGGATGCCTGGAGCAAGTATGCAGCGGCGGAGTCGCCAGAGACACGACCAAAGACGACGCATCCCAGCAATGACGAACCACCGAGACGGTTGGCACCGTGGACACCGCCAGCAACCTCACCAGCGGCAAAGAGACCCGGGATGGGCTTGCCGCTGCCGTCGATGACGCGCGACTCAGGGTCGATCTCGAGACCACCCATAGTGTAGTGGAGGACCGGTGTCATGATCGCGACGTGGAAGATGTCGTCGTAGGACCACTCGCCAGAGAAGAACTTGATGGTCGTTAGACCTAAGCTCCCCTCAATGTGGGCATATAAAGCTCACCTTCTTGCCGAAGGGGTCCTTCTGTGACCGCACTGCCTTATTGTACTCCTCGAACGTCTTCTTGAGGGTGGCTGGCGGCAAGCCGAACTCCTTCGCCAACTCGTCGCCGTTGTTGCAGCGCTTCATCAAGCCACGGCCGACGTAGTGCTTGCAGTGCCACTCGATCTCCTTCGACGCCTTCCCGTTGAGAACAAGACGAATAGGGAACTGGACGAGGATCAGCGGACGTACAAGATAGCAAAAAGATGAAGACAAACCTTGCCGTTCTCCCACATCTTACCGGTGACGAAGTCGCGGTGCTGCAACTCATCGACGAAGCGCTGGCCCTCCTTGTCGAGCAACAGACCGCCGACACCACGGAGAGCCTCGGCAGCCAGGAACTTGACCTTAGCCTCTGGGTCCTTGGGGTCGACCAAACCAGTGGGGTGAACCTGGACCTTCTCCAAGTCGATACCGTGGGCGCCGACCTGCATCGCAAGCTTGTGACCGTCACCAGTGCAGTGATCGCCGTTGGTGGTGGGGAGGTTGTAGTATTCAGGGCGATACTTCTTGAGAAGGGAGCTCTCCGTGAAGTCGGCAGCGTAGCCGCCAGTCGCCAGGATAACCGGGCCGTACGCTGTCTCGGTCTTGCCGTTGTGGACATACTCAACACCGACGACAGACTCGCCCTCCTTGATGAGCTTAGCGACGCGCGCCTTCTTGATGATCTTGACGCGCTCCGGGTTGGACACGGAGAGGTCTTCCAAGCGCTCCATCTGAGCGTATGTGATGACCTGCATCACTGTCAGTATGTGATGTCTACATAGATGGATGGAGGACGCACCATGCCGGGGAACTGCGCGCCACCACGGTGCGTGCGGGGCTGCGAGTGACCGCCTAACCGTGCAACCTTCGACAGATCAAGACCGAACTTGTTCTGGAGCCAGTTGACAGCATCGCCTGACCGACCGGTCAGGACGCGGATGAGATCATCACGAGCGAGCTCGCGAGCCTACAAATAGGGTCAGCATTTCATCCCACGATAGGGGAATGGGGCACGCACGGATTTCTTCGTGTCCTCGAAGAAGAGCTTTGCGCTATCAGGGATGCCCAGGTCCTGCTGCGACTGCGTGCCGGCGCCGTTGATACCAGAGGTAGCCTTAGTGGAGTTGCCTCCCATGAACCTAAGGGGAAGTCAGTAAGCGCCCCGAGGTGTCCTGCTCAGCCACGTACCCCTGCTTGTCGAGCAGCAGAACATTGGCGCCGCGCTCCAAAAGCGTGTGAGCAGCAGAGAGACCGGCGAGACCGCCACCGACAACGATAACCTGGGCCATAGTGATGATGAGGGGAAGGACGAGGTGACGAGCCGCCGAATCCGGTTGACCGAATTTATATCTTGCCCTTCCCCAATCACGGGTCGGCCCAAGGTCAGCCGACCAAGTCTTCCATGTGATTACCCGAATGTCTTCAGAATCCGTTCTGCTCGCGAATGCAGACCCCGGTGCTCAGGACGAATTTCTGAGGCCTGTGATTCGAATGCACATCAGAGCAGCAGGTGCGCGCTCTGCGGGGACGCCAGCCTCGTCGCTCCGATTTTTTGGGAAGCGCACCGGCAAGAGAAAGGCGGCGGAATTCGTCTTATTAGTCGCCAGCTGCCCCGCATTCCCGGTATGCCGGACCGCGCGGGGCAATGTTTACCGGACCCACAAAGTCTAACTGCAATCTGCGTCCGCCGGGGAACCCGGTCACCTCACGTCAAATCTGGGGATGATTTCTAAGGACGCAAGGCAGAGAACACCACCAATTGGTGTCCAAACGCTAACGCTTGCAAGGCGCAACGGTTGATAGGTCTTCGTCAGGCAATCGGCAGTCCTTTGTAGCTTTCAACTCTAGTTAGACGGCCCAACACAATCTCGAAGATTTTACAAAGCAAGGCAATATTCTTGTAGATCCGAGTATACGCTCTCCACTATGCTGTACGGACTGCATCCGCGACAGGCAGAGTAATTGCGTGGGTCATCGAGACCAAGGAGGCATCTTCTGAAATGACGATGTCAGAATTTCAATGCAAGCTCGTTTCGGATTTGCGCACGGCCTTCAGTTCACAAAATCGACATGGTAGACCTCAGTCTTCTTCGCCGAGCTTCTGAGCACTCCTGCATTCTCCTTGTACGCCGCCGTCTCCTTGAACGCCGCATGCGCCTCCACCGACTGCCACCCTGCCACTAGCACCACCGCCTTCCCCTTCACGCCCTCGTACTCGAGCTCCTCATAGGTAGTTCCCGCCGCCGAGGCGACCATTCCGTCCAACTTTTCCGTGAGCGGCCGAAGGGACGCCAGGGTGTCGAGGTAGTCCTCGGGCGGCCCGCCTGCGAAGTAGAGCATAGCGAACTCGGTGACGGGCGCGTTAATGGCTTTGAGGAACTCATCGTGTGGGTAGAACTCGACGTGGAAGATGCGCCCGGGACCAGGGAAGGTCGGCGAGATGCGTTCAGCGACGCCAGGGTAGTCGGGGTGCTCCTTCCAAGCTAGGTGGTTGTCGAGGGAGTCCCAGTCTGAAAGACGATAGGTTCATCTATGCATAAGTGGGAGGACGAATGCCGGCTCACCGATAAAGCCTACGAGCGTGCTTGGATCCTCGACAGCCTGTCCCAGATGATATTGCTGAAAGCCGTCTTGCTTGTCGACGACGTCAAAGCACTCTTTCAGGGCGACAGCCGTGCGATTGTTAGGATCGCGAAGGTCGCTGCCGTCGACGAGAGGTAGTACGGAGACTTCAGTGCAAGGCATCTTGAAATGATTGAGGACGAGGATCGTGAACTGAGGTTAAGTACACCGCTCCCGAGTCAGATGCAGTAATGTCATCGATGAAAGCGCACGATTTAGTCGGGTGGTGTCAATGAACTGTGTCCTGCGGTTTTCAGTTGGAGGAGGTAGTGGTATTACTGGAGCCCGGTGAAACACTTTCCGTGAGGTGTTCTACGTATGTTGCGTCTCGGTGTCTGCTTGCATTCAAAATCCCGCAGCCAGGGTATCCAGCCTTCAATTTCGCTTGCAAGAGCGAGAGTTTATCAGAAAAATTGTCAGCGGAACAGCGCCGTCTACCTGGGGCTTTGACGGCGCGCGTCAAGCTGAACTTGGAGATGGGCGAAGGCAAGGCACATCGGAGCTTGCCGAGAGCGGAGCCGGTCATAAGAGGACCACGTGGGTGCCACCTTCAGGTGTGACTCGCTGTGACTTCTGGACCTGTCTTCAACGCTCACTCCGCCTGCCATGGCCTCCTCGTCCAAGATAGACCTGTTCTCGAACTTCTCTTGCCTCGACGAGATTATACAGGTACGAGACTCTACTCTGCGCTCTTTGATAATGCGGTCCATCAGCGCTCATATCCCGTGTACGGTCAGTTCAACGTTAACTTCATTTGCAGGTTATTCATCAGGGCTCCGATAAATTCGTAGTTACGAGCTCTGTAACGCAAGACGCTTGGGAATTGCATGTCTCCCTTGAGTGCCGACAAGGACGGTGCTGGAAGGGTCAATGGCAGGTGTCCGACGTTCGCAAGATTGTGGTAGGTCCCGCCACCGCATTGGGCCACTTTCTCCCACTGAGATGGCTCATGCAGGGCACGAAAGCTTCCGAGAAGATGCTGCACACATTCTCTGGTAAGCTGCTCGACACCATCGTCAAAGGCGACATTTGCATAGGCGACTGGAATCCAAAGCCCAATGCCGATATCAACGTGAGTTCCCTTGCTCGCGTCTTCCGCGCAATGCGCTCATGTGACCGCGTAGCTTACCCTCGGGCCAAGTGCGAAGAAGCCCCTGCATGTGTCTCTCATTGAGCTGTCTGCCACCGACTCGGCGGCCTACGCGACCCGGTTATTGTTGAAGGTAAGCAAACACTAACATTTGCGGCGCGCGCCACCCTTGCTGATGTCCACGCAATGACAGGTCGCGCAGAATGCCCAGTCGCGTCAGTGCCGACTGCTGGCCACCGCAGCAGACGCGGCTTCCGGTAGGATGACTGGCATCCTCGTTTGACGATGGCTAACATGGTGTATAGCGCCACAATTGGCGGATAAGAAGAGGAAGGCGGATACTGAAGCTGAGCAGGATTCCTATCCTCCCAGGCCTCGCGGATATCGAGGTCCCGCGGAGATTCTGAGGCAGCATAGTTCGTTTGGAATACATTCAGACTCGCAGGCACCTGGTAAGTCGGAGTGATACTCATTGCGAGTAGCAATCGAGCTAACTCCTTGATAGAAGTCGTCAAACCACCTCCCAAGCTCAAGGGCGCGTCACTTGCGAACCCCAACAAGAAGGCGCGGCGATATCAGAAGCTCGAGTTCGTCGACAGTGACGATGAGGAGAAAGACGACAAGTAGCCCTTTCGGCAGCTGAAGACAGCTTCCATCATGAAGTCTGCACGACACTATCATATCCCATGGACATCTCGCTCGACTGACCGCACGCATCCTAAGTATTGTTCCATATTGTATCATAGACACTCGCTATTCGTGTTGCTGCCGTACACTCCCCCACCGTGCGACGACCGGACTTCGATGATAGCCTCGAGTCCACCATACAATGACCGTGGGTGAACCCATTGGTAGGCACCCGCGACTTGTCACAGGAAACGCGCCCGCGCCGAGCTCATGACCCTGCCCGGCGCACCCAGCCCCACACCCGTCTGCCCTCCCAGCTGCGCATCCCCCGCGCATAGCGACGCACATCGCCTTTCCCCTGCTCGTCGTGCACGAATATAGGGGCGCGGTGCCCAGGCGATCACGGGCCGGCGTTTGTGGCTGCGCAAGCACGGTCAAATGCCCGATGCTGGTCCGCCGCGTCCGAGTCCGTGCTACGAATGTAGGATATAGTCTAGCCCCGGCGGGGCTTGCGCGGGGCGTATATATGCGCGCCTGCGCGGCCGGCGGTCGTTGACGTTGTACTATCGCTTCACCTTCCCCTCCTGCTGCGAAGCATCATTGAGTGGCGCTGGTGAGTCGCGTCGCCGTATACGCCTCCTGCCACTTATAGGGCGCTAACGTGCTTGCTATAGACTCTCATTTGAGCAGTAACAGCCCTTCATACCTACAAGTTATACCTCATCACAGTCCTCCAATCATGGAGAACAAGCAAGCCGCACCCCTATCCTCACCTTCTGTTGAGATCATGCTCCAGCAGATCCTTCAGGCAGTGCAGACTTCGGTGCGTGTTACTCCTCGCATGCGCAGCCCCTCGCCACATCTTCATACACGCACCATTTCCGTCCACAATTCCCCGAATATCCCTTTCCACCGTGTTCGAGTTCCCTCCAATTCGGGTATCCCTGCCCGGAAGTCCCTCCTCTCTCGGCTATCCTACCCCTGTCCGCTTCCTCCACGCCACCCCGAACGCACTCTCCAAACCCTGCTTTTCCTCCCCCTCCTCACCCTGATTTGCCCCTCATTCCCCTCATAAACCTGAGCCTATCCTGTTGAACATGAACCATTCTCCCTATCTTCTGGACCAACGTACTCTGACCCCAGGCTAATGCTAATGCTATACACAGAGCGACGGCCTCGCCCAGGTCCGCAAAGAATGCGAAGAACTGCGGCGCACGAACGCGCGCCTCGAGAGTCAGCTGGTGCACCATGAGCACGGCCACGCTAGCAGCAGCCTTCCCGCAGCTACGAGTAGCCCGGCGGCTGCTACAACTGGCTTGCCCGCAACCGCGAGCACTACTTTCACAGTTGACGCCAAACGCGCGCCAACTGTGGAGTCGGTAGCGCCGTCTTCATACATAGCTGCCGCGTCGTCGCCGCTATCTATCGCGAAGACCACCTCTGCACCGTCCTCGAATCAATCGAAACCACCCTCGACTACGTCCGCCGCACCCTCGACATTAACGAAGCCGCCTGCGAAGCCGTCATTGCCACCGTCACCCTTCATCGGCGCCGTCAAGCCGGCCTACGCCAGTGGGTTTACGCGCCAGCCTACGACCGCTGCCAAATCTCCTTCGACCGAGATGAAAGCTGCGCCAAGCCCATCTGCGATAGCGACAAGACCAGCTTCGGCCACCGCGCCAGCACCACCCGCCGCTGCCCGACGACAGGCCCTCGTCAGCGCACAGCGAGCCGAGCCCTTGCCCGGCGACGGACCCAGCCAGTTCTGTCGAGCGCCGCGCGGGCCGTACGCAGACTTGCTTCGACGCGCAGTGTGCTGAGCTCAGGACGTGCAGTGTCCTACTGCAAGTATTGAACATCGACCTCGATTCAGATGATACCCATAATGACATCTGTAGCTCGCGTCAGCCCAGGGGCACGCGAAGTGGACTCCTCCCCTACTTACCTACATATATGCTGTGCCAAGGACGCGGCTGTAATCATCAGGGCGCTTACATCTACCACCGGGGCGCTGATAGTTATCTGGCGACATGGACAGACAGGAGGAATGGCGGACTGACTTGGCCCTGGATCATCGACCTACTGTACTTATTTATCGGGCCCAGAGATTGCACCCGTGGACAACACTGTACTGTGTACAGCGGCGATGTGCCACCAACAATAATTTATGTTTGCGATTTGCCACCACCCAATAAGTTAACGATGAGAACCGGGGAATGACAACGATGTCTATCGACGCTCTAAAGGACAGAACAGCTGAAAGCTACTGATGGCGAGTAAGTTGACTGGACGAACGTTCAGATATGGTTTGCACACACCAAAGAGAGACTTTAGGGAGAACACGACGATGTGTGGCGCTTATTTCTTCTGAGTCCACATGTGTTTCTCAGACGTCCCCTCCCCGAGCGCCTCATAAGCCTTCGGGCTCATGAGCTTGCTGCCCTCAGGGGCCGCGATGGACGTCTCGCGATCGCCATATCGCCTGGTGTTCCATCTTCTCCTGCACAGGAGCCACAAAATGAACGCGAGGATGGCAGTCCCGGCTATAGCTGCAACGAAATCAGCCGGCAGACAACGATCAAGAGTCGGCCTACGCACAACCAATAACGATCCCTGCAATCGCACCGCCAGATAATTTGTGCTTGCTCGCGTGCGTTTGGTTGTTGCTGGAGACGGAGCAAGCAGTCGTGTATGTGGCATAAGAGGTCGTGGATGCAGAGACGTCGATTGTGCTGGTCATGACGCAGAGAGAGGAGCTGCTGTGGTTGTTGCCGCCGGAGTAAGGACGACCGTTACTGTTCGAGTTCGAGCCCGAGTTTGAGCCTGATGAGCCGCCATCAGAGTCCGTACTCGAGCCACTTCCACTGCCAGATATGCCTCCACTGGAGGAGTCCGTCCCGCCACTCCCAGTGCCACTGCTCGTGTCTGTGTTGCCACTGCTGTGGGACGATCCGTGTCCGCCGCCACCCTTCGCGTACGCGCCGGGAAGCGCGGCGAGGAGGATGGGGCTGATCGTGAGCACGGTCGTGAGGGAGGTCATCGTCGGGGTGGATGGCGATGATGGCGGTAACAGACAAGATGAAAAGCCTCCTGAGAGTTCGAAGCAAGAGGAGTTTGAGGCGTTGACGGCACGTTTCTTATGGCGTTAAAGCGCGCGCGTTGTCTGCTAAGTAGGGCCCGCGCCCGGCGCGCAAACATTCCCGGATCGGATCAGCTGTCCATGTCAGGAACGCGGAATTCCGGAGGGCATTGACGGGTGCAAAAGGGAGGAGGCGCTGCCTGCTTGGCGCTTGAGGGGTACCAGATAGACGAGTAGAAAGCTAGCCAAAGAACGAAGAAACAGCAGAGGTCAAAGGGCGGCGCAGCAAATCAAATCGACATTGGTGGCTGATCGGCAGAACGGACCGAAACGACTTGCCACGTGGCGCGCCATCAAAATACGATCACTTGATTCTTACGCGCTTGTGCTTGAACACGTCCGTCCCGGCCAGCGAAACCTCACACTGCACTTTTCACGGCTGCGACGACCTCGACTCACGAATTCTATTGCTCTTATACCGGACATCTATCCCTTCTGTGCTCAGGAGCACGTTTATGCTGAAAAGCACTTCTACACCGCTCTATTGACCACTGACCAGCACTTCATTGACGTACAATGGATCCCGGGACCTCCCCACGAATGCAGAGCGAATACCCTGCGCCCGATTCCCCTTCAACCGCTTCCATGAGCGAGTCCAATCGCACGAGGTCCTCCGATGGCTCGACGCGCGAAAGCGGCAAGTCGTCGCGCCGGAGCCACAAAGAGAGGTCGAGCCGCGAGATTGCGGCGCGCATGATCGTCCTGCACGAGCGCGAGAACGTGAAGGACATGGAACGATTGTTGCGGCAGGTGACGGAACAGTATCACGCAGAGAAGCGGCGCGCGGACAATGCTGAGCGCGACATTGTCGAGGTGCTGACGCGCTTGCGCACGGTGAACGACGAGAAGCTCGCCGCGATACGAGACGCGGAGAAGGCGAAGAGGGAATTATCGTGCGTTGACATACTGCTTGCTCCTCCCCTCCCGTGGCTGACAGAGTCACAGACTGTACCAGATACAGCTGGAGAAAGCCGCGTTCGAAATCAAGCGCGCACAAGAGACCGTGAACGCCGTAGATGCCCAGCGGGTCCGAGCCGAGGAAGAGGCCGCACGCGCTCGATCGACCGCACGGCGTCTGAACGAAGAGCGCCTCATCGAGGTTGCTAGAGAAGAAGGTCGCCGTATCGGTATTCTCGAAGGCCTGCAGCGCGGGCGCGAGTTCTCGTACGGCCGGCGCTACATCTCGTCAGTCCCCGCCACGACCACCACGGAGGACCTCTACGATGAAGAGGAGAGCATCGCCTCGCGGCGCGATTACGCCCGCGCTACCAGAGAGGGCCTCAACGAGCGCCGGCGCTCGTCCGATGCCGAGAGCGAGGACGCCGTCCCCACACCTCCGCAACCTATGGAACCCGTCCCAGAACCACCTGTTCCAGAGCCAACTCCTGCCCCGCCGCCACGCCCGCCGTCCACTGCGCCGTCAGCGCTCACTGGCATCCCTGGCTTCATGTCTCCGGGCCCATCCCACGTACCACCGCCCGACAATTTCATCCCCATGATGTCGGAAGATGGGGGTATCAGCCTCCCGCCACCACACGAGTTCCACCAGCAACAGACACCCCAGGCTATGGCCGAGCCGCCGCTTCCCCCTGCGGAGGGGCAGCAGACGCCCGGGCCTGAGCGTCGAAGGCGCCGTCATCATTATTCCTACCGCCAGTCGAGCCCGGAGTCGCTATCTACGACGCTTTCTCATCTGGATATGGTCAAAGAGCCTGATCAGAATGTCATGTCGACGCCCATGAGCGCGATTGCGGAGGTGCGCAGTGCAGGCCCGAGTCCCAATCCGACCCCCGGTCCGACGGATATGGGGCCTGGGAGGTCGACGCCGGCGTATACTCCCGCACGCCCTAGGTCGGCGATATACAGGCGCCCGTCCACCTCGAGTAGCGAGTCGTCCCGACCGCCGCCCAGACGACCTGCCTTGTCGCAATCCGCGACGAGTGGAACTAGTGTGCCGGACATCACAATACAGCCACCGGTGAGCATACAATCATCCGCTACATGCCATTGCTCACCCATCATCCTAAGTCTCGCTCGGAAACGTCGCAAGAGGATGGCGGCGACGTCGGGCAGGAGGACATGCTTACGCCAACTGACGCGGAACAGCCACCGCTCGTAGTCCCGCCGCCCGAGATGGAGACGATCGCAGCAGAAATCGACGAGCTCCCGCCTGGCTTTGTCCCCGCAGGCTTCACGCCCGCCGCAAAGGCATCGCCCCTACCGGGCTCGAACCCCATGCCGACCCCACGCTCGATGCCACCGCATTCGCCCCGCGGCGTGCCCTCGCCCATGGCAGGCGGGATCCCCACACCCATGTCGATGCCACAGCCCGGGCAGCCACGTATCTACGCAGACGGGCCCTACGGCAACGACGGCCCCTCCTACATCGACGGTCCTGCATATGGCGAGGCGCCTGGCTACGCAGAAGGCCCCGCAGTCATCCCGCCGCCTCTCGACGACGAGGCCATCGACTCCGGCATGGAGAGCGATGACGGGACGCTCACTACGCCGCCGCAGAAGGCGCGCCCGCTCAACGGCTCGCGGAAGGGCACGCCGTCGGTCTCGGGCTCGCGCAGGGGGACCCCCTCGCGTGCGCCGTCGGTGGCGAGTACGGCGAGGCGGGCAGCGGGAGTGCCCTTACCGGGGTCGGGGATGACGGCGGCTGGGGTGCCGTTGCCGCCGTCGGGGGTGACTGCCGCGGGCGTGCCTCTGCCCCCATCTGGGATGACGGCCGCGGGTGTGCCGCTGCCGCCTACGCCAGCGTCAACTGTGCGGACGACGAAGTCGAAGTCGCGCTACAGCAGCAGAGGATAAGGTGCCAGCCTCTGCATATCGTCAGCTTGGATATCGAGAATGCGTCTGACGCTGCAGGTTTCCCAACATGAGTTGTTCATGCGTTTCTTGGATAGCGATCTCATCTGTATCACGTACATAGCATATTGTGGCAAAGCTTGATGTTGAGGCAGGTCCTCGTGATAAAGTCGCACTACACAACATAGGATTTTGGTTGACCTGGTCGGATAAGTTGGCGCGAATGCTCTTCAAGAGGTCGGCGGGCGGCAAGGTGGGCGGCGCATAGGCGAAGTCGAAGGAGCCCAAATCATCATCGGTGCAGAATCGCTTGTACCCAGCCTAGTAGTCGTACACCCAATGCTCGGAGACCACCGCGGCGCTTGAGCTGTCAACTCTCCTGCTCGACAACTTCTTCGGTAGTTTAGCAGAGACAAGGAATACATAGGTATCGTTCTAAGCCACACTAATATCCAGGATAAATATGTTCCATTCAGACCACCCAGTACCAGACCTTCCAGAAGTACCTCAACCTCCCAGATTCTAACCGCCGGTCCCGCTTCTCGTCGGCGGTCCTCTCCTCTTCCTCCTCATCGTACTGATCGCGCTGAAGGTCGACAGTTTTCGTGTCGACGAGATCGGAGTACCAGATACGGCGGCGCGGGCGTGCTGATGAGGAAGTTAGATAGCCGCTGAGGACTATACGCAATGTACGTACTTTCGCCTTCCGCAACATCTGCGCCTAGTCGTGCCGGGTCCAAAGAATCCGGTCGGCGGATGAGCATGTACAAGATGAACATGCCAATCATGACGAAGATCTCGAGGTACATGGAGAAGAAGTCGACCGTGCTGAAGTGCGGTATGACGGAAGACCATCCTTGCACTAGTAACAGGTAATTAGCGTGCAGGCGAGATAGAGTCTGAGTTTACACTCACCGATGATAAGGAAAGCCACCGCGATGATCACGAAGTAGTGTCCCCAATGCCGCGTCCATGCGGGGTGGAACTTGAGCTCATCCAATCTGCGGCCCTGCTTCTGCCATGCTCTACGGAAGCGCCAGGACGCAAGACCGATGGACAGCCAAGCGAGCTGTACGCGCGACCATTAGCAAATATCTCTGTGGCGCATGATAAGTCTACACACCTGATTCGACACTCCAATTATATTCTGAATCCATCCCCACAGCTCACCGCTTCCAACGAAGCTACTCCCAAAGCACAGAGCGCTGATACTGCTCGTGAGCAAGAGCGCGGGCAGCGGGACGCCCTGGCGGGTTGTCCAACCAAAGAATCGAGGGGCTTGGCGAGGTTCGACAGTCGCGAGTCCTTGTTTGAATTAGCGATGTATTATGTGGCACGGGCTGAAAGACAACGCACCGTACAAAACACGCGTGCCAGCGAAAAGCGCATGATTGCCCGCAGAGAGTACGGATGTGAGGATAACAGCGTTGATGAATGACGCTGCAGCGTCTAAGAGAGAGAAATGAGAGGGGGCCGTGCGCTGTGTGGAATCATCACTGACGAGATCCTGCCTGCTTGAAGACGATGGTAAATGGTGACGTTGTTGCCTCCCGGTTGGACAAGTTCGGATAATTCCAAGGGACTGAGCTTGTTATCAGCGACATATCTTGCCTGTACAACCTCGAGGCGTACCGTTCAGCCCGATCAAGAGAATGCTGAGGATATAGAACAACATGATTCTGTTGAAAGCTCAGTCAGGCTGAGATGACGGCCGCGCACATGGAATAACGCACCTCCAGAAGACGAACTTAACCACTCTCGGCATGTTCTTGGATGGGTTCTTCGTCTCTCCTGCGGTGATACCCAAGGACTCAGTCCCGCCATACGCAAAGCTTGCAGTAACGAAGACTTTCGCAAAGCCTCCAAAACCACCGACGAAGGGGGCGCCGGGGATGTGCCAATTGTGACCGCCGATGTAGTGATGGTCTGTGTTGACGCCGACGTTCACGAGGATACCAAGGATGATGAATACGATGATGGTGAGCACTTTGAGGAGCGACAGCCAGTACTCTATTGCAAGGGTCAGTGATCGAGGGGAAGGGGCTGCTGTGGCACGCACCGAGCTCGCCGTAAGCCTTGACATTGATCGAGTTCGTGGTGACGAGGAATACCCAGAAGACCAGACTAGCGATCCATGCACGCTCAACGCCCCAGAATTGCAAGACGAGCTGTGCAGCGGTGAGATCACCCGCCATGCTGACGGCGTCATTGAACCAGTAATTCCATGAGAGTGCGAAGCCGTATGAGGGAGAGAAGAAGCGTGTCGCATACGCGGTGAAGGAGCCGGCGACGGGGTACTGTGTGGCCATTTCACCCAGCAGCAGGAGGGTGACATATATGATGAAGCCAACGATGGCATATGCAATGAGGATGGAAGCAGGTCCGCCCTCTGCGAGGGACTTTCCAGTACCTGTGGAACGCTGAATGAGTGGGGGAACATGGAGCAAGCGGGGTCAACACGCACCTAGGAAAAGACCTGTCCCAATGGTCCCCGAGATGGCGATCATCTGCACCTGGCGCGCGCTGAGGCCGCGGTGCAGCCTGCCCGTAGACGGCGCATCGCGCGGCGCGTCCGACGCTGCGCCACTGCTGCTGGAGGAGTCGCTGAGCAAGGGCGACATTTCTGACGGTTCTCCGCGAGCTTGGGGTCCGTGTGCTACTGGCATTGCGGACGTTTATGTTGGTGAGAGCGCCGCCGCGGCATCTAGAGCGGTGATGAGCAATCGGGACATGTGTCCCTCGCCATGGTGCTCAATGTCCAGCGATGGCGCCATCGACGGCTGCGACTGAGTCACATGCGGCTCGGAACTTGGTTTCAACTTCCACTCTGCCTCTGTCGTCTCAATCGTCTGCGTCCTCAAGCCTCTGTACGCTCTGCAAGCTTTTTTTGTTGGATATCTCTCGACCTCGGTGTACTTCTCGACTTCTTTCGCCGCTTCCTGGGCCAGCACCGAGTAGAAAATATCGAAACGACTCTATTGCAGGACCCACCCGTGTCTGCTCCAGCCTGCTGCGATCCTCTCACGTTAGCAGGTGCACTAGAGGCGCCAAGTCTAGTGCAATCCCCCTTGTCGACACCGTCATGTAAGGCTAGGACTGCCTGGTCAGGAAAGGCATCGCCGAATTATCGAAACTTGACTGGCGTGCGCGCAAGATGGCACTATAATAACCTCAGGCACTCGCCCGCCTCGACCTGGCATGTTTTCATTATGGCCCTGGCGCAGCTCGGCGCAGCGGTGGATGGACCGTATGGAACCCTGCCTCGGCGGACCGGTCGCAAACCTTCCAACGTTTGCTGCCGCGGACGTCGATCAACCTCACCTTCAATATTCGCTCATCGCCAATGTGCCCGTGCTCGACGTTCTGTAGGAATACCGCAAGTGCATCCGAACGGCAATATGCTCCTCGTTCTCGTCTATATTTTCCAGCAGCTACGGCCGTCTCTTTCCCTTGGTACCACATAAAATTATGATCCTGAAAGACAGGAAGCTTGGGCTTCTGGAGGTGGTTTGCGTCTGTAGTCAAGGCGTTGATGTGTATGCAGTCGCTCATTCTTATGACCTTGCACCGTACGCACGTTACATGACATCGACGTCGCTGTGCCATGAAGCGACAACATTCCCTCCACACCCATACACATTCACAATGGACATTGAATGATATGAGGGCGGGGGCGTAGAGTCTACCAGACGCGAGGTGGAGCATCAAGTTCATGGCGAACACTCGGCATAGCTGATACCTCAATAGCACCACGTCAAAGCCCTCTGACCTCGTTTCACGAATACTGAAGGTTTTGCTCGAGGACATCCTCGCTGGACATCAGTATCATCTTCAAACGATCGACAGCCTCAAGTTCACGCTCAACCTTGGCTGATTCATGGGCTTCCCATGACAAGCGATGCCATCTCATTTCGCAGACTCCGAGCTCCCGTCGGTACACTCGATTCCGTCGAATCACCACCATCGCACCCGCTCACGGCTCAGACTATGCCCTCTATACTCTCAGTTTCCTGCCCTTTGTTCTTGTGACCTCTCCGACGACATTCGCCCCTGCCATGTGCGTTCCAATGCCGGGAGCCTTTCATTGACCTCGACCTTCCGCTGATTGATTGTCATTGTCTAGAGCGATGGGCTGGCGATGGCATCGCTGAAGAAGCGTCAGATCCGACTTTGGAAGTCCAACTGTACTCTGCCTAAACTTCTGTCAGATGGGAGGTAGGTAGATGATGTACCACCATCTGCTGGCGCTGAAGGCGTCTATCGATGTCGCGTAGCGCCTCCCACGTCGCGCTTCTCTATGTTGTGCTTCTCCCAGCAGAAGAGATACGCTCCGTCGACTGAGCTGGGAACGGTCTCGTGTGTGCTGCTGAGAGTAGGTTGAGCGTCGAGCTTGGCGCAGAACCTTGACGGACAAGTCGGATTGTGGCGCCGAGGCCAAACATGGGCGCCCGTCATACCGGCCTTGTGCGGTCACCTGTGGGCCTCAGGCAGTGTTCCGCCACCCTATCCCCACGCGCACCGTGCCTATCAAGGTCGTATACACGAACACGAGTTCCGGTGAGGGCGCGACTCCCGCTTCTTGCCCTTCGTTCTGCCCACTCTATGTGGGGACTACGCTCCTTCCATTCAGTTGCTTCGCCGGCCATAGACCAGCCTCACCAGGGACATCAGCCGCCGCATGTGCGCTTGTCAGAGGTGATGGGGGCCATCGGATGCATATAGCGTGGGGAGATCCCCGGGCGATGCGCGACCCCGCCGGGTTCGTGGATTCGCACGTCGTCATGGGATATATACGACGGGCCGTGTGGGAGGGACACCAAGCGCCCTGCACTGCACACGCCCGTCGCCACCATGGTCCTCACGCACTCGAGAGCAGAGCTCATCGGGACGGTGGTTGAGACGATGTTATATGGTGAGTAGCGCGTCGTCATCGATGGGTGGGAAGTAATGACGCCAACGGCACGCCCATAGGCATTTACTTTGTCCTCTTCGTCCGCTGCCTAGAGGTCATTCGACAGCGCCATGTAGAGGGGAAGTTGACGGTCTTCCTGCTCACGACTTCATTGCTCCTCTTCGCCCTCATCACGATTGTGAGTGACGCCTTGAGATAATGCATTTCACGGCTAACGAGGGCCTCGTTCTTGACAGCACATGTGCATATCGACCTGGCGTAATTTGGACGCCTTCACCGGTCCTCATTCAGAGGTCATGCCGAACGCTGCAGAAGTCTTCTTCGCACAACACGTTTTCGACCACATCGACCGCTTGAAGAATGCGCTATACGTCGTAATCACCTGGATATCGGACTTGTTCCTGGCACGTATCATCTTGAGTCGCTCTGGGCCGGCCTTATCTGACTCGCTCCCAGCTGTACCGTTGCTACATGGTCTACGAGCGACAATGGCAGTGGATCTCGTTCCCAGTCGCAATATTCCTAGGCGATTTCGGTAAGTTCCGCTCACGACTGGCTCCTCCAGGGCTCAGTACTCACCGAAAAATTCATAGGCTTTGGGATTTATGGCATCTACATGCTCTGCACGCAGGGGGACGTACCAGACTTGATCAAGAGCCAGATCGTTGACCGCATCAAGTACTTCTACCTAATCACCATGATCCTGAACATCGTTTGCACAGGTACGACTCTACTTCGAGTTGTACTTCTTCTGGTAACCGGACTGACGCTGTCCGTCTAGTCATGATCGCGTCGAAGATCATCTTCATTCAGCGCCGGACGACGCGCGCAGGGATCGCGGACGCCGTACGCACGCTCAACACCACTGTGGTCATCATAATCGAGTCTGCGGCCTTATACTCCGTGGCCCTTGTCGTCCTCATCATATTCGCGGCCGAGCATAGCGGGGGCATGTACACGCTGTTGCAGCTGATGCCCAGTATCATCGTACGTTGGCCTATATCATCGCGGGTCAATTATTTTGCTGACTGACATTCATTGATAGGGCATCGTCTTCTCGCTCATCATCGTGCGCGTCGGTGGCGGGAGGGACCAGGCAACGCGCTACACCGTGTCGAAGCCCAGCAGCGGCACGATCGGCAGTTCCCGCCTCGACAAATTCTCCGCTCGGCGCGGCGCTCCGACGGTGACAACCACGACTACGACGACGTACGAGGACTCAGCTGGCCTACCGTCCATCCCCCACGGTCGTGGTGGCGGCATCAGTATCGCCCTTCACGAGCGCTCGACATCCTCCTACATGGACAGCGACTTGGAGAGAGCGGATTCGCGAGACAAGGCCGAACTTCCTTGAATTATGACGGCTGTATTAGGCTTCGACTATTCCTGGTCGTGTGTACTACCGCTATCTATAGTGATGGGCTGATCGCTGAGCGATAATTTATTCTTGTGGAAGTTAATTAGACTGTAGCATGCTATGTACCAACTAGTCAATTGTAGCACCAATTTATGTCACTCCTTCCCTATGCCTTCCTGCGAGCTAAGATTCCTTTCCCTCCTCCTTTTACCGTGGCAATTGCAAGGTCGAAAGTCGAACAATGCGCACATGACTTGTCACATATCACGAGCTGTGACGATACGCGCGCGCGTGCCCCGGCGCGTCTAATTTGACTCTTACCGTCACCGGGGCCGGGCGCTTAACTTGGCTTCTGCCATCATGTCGTCCCTCGAGAAGTTGGCCATTCGCGGCATCCGCTCCTTCGACGACAAGCAGATATCCGTTATCGAGTTCTTCAACCCCGTCACCGTGATCGTCGGGCACAATGGCAGTGGCAAGACCACGATCATCGAGTGCTTGAAGTACGCGACTACGGGAGACCAGCCCCCAAACACGCGCGGTGGCGCATTCGTGCACGACCCGAAGATGGCGAACGAGAAGGAGGTGAAGGCGCAGGTGAAGCTGAGATTTCATGCGGCAAACGGGCAGCGGATGCTCGCGGTGCGCAACCTCAGTGTGACGCTGAAGAAGACGACGGGGATGACGATGAAGACCCTAGAGAGCATTCTTGCGGTGGCTGACGAGGCTCAGCAGGGAAAGAAGGTGCGTGTCATGATCATGTAGCCCCGTTCACTTACGCTGATTCATGACCGGCAGCGCGGGGTCATCTCGACGAAGTGCGCAGAAATGGACACCGAGATCCCCCAGCTCCTGGGTGTATCTAAGTCGGTCCTCGAGAATGTCATCTTTTGCCATCAGGAGGACTCGTACTGGCCACTATCCGAACCCTCCACACTCAAGAAGAAGTTCGACGACATCTTCGAGGCGACCAAGTGCGTACTAAAACTCTTCACAATACATGACTCTCAACCCCTCTATCAGATACACCAAGGCCCTCGACTCCATCAAGAGCCTCCGCAAAGACCGCGTCGCTGAGCTCAAGACCGAGAAGGTCCGGCTTGAAGGCCTCGCGCGCGACAAGGCACAATACGACAAGCTCAAGGCGCGCATATCCGAGCTCAGCCAGACCATTGTAGCGAAGGAGGCCGAGTACGACCAGGTCAAGGTCGAGTACGAGGCGATGGTGGACGCAAATCAGAAGCTGTACGAGCAGGCGAACGCCTTCCGCGAGACGTACATGAACGTGCAGAACCTGGAGAACCGAAAGAAGCAGCTCAAGCAGGATATCGAGGAGGCGAAGGCAGAGATGAAGGAAGAGGAAGGTTTGTCGTGGTGATTGAGCTCGCAAGGAGCCGAATTGACCTATACGCGTAGGCTCCGACGAGGAATTAAGGGAGCGTCTCCGGAATCACGAGAAGCACATTGAGAAGGAGAAGGGTCGGAGACTCACGGAGATCAACGCGAAGGAGGATCTCGAGGAAGAGCTAAAGGCAATGCGCGAGGAGCAAATGCATGACACTGCTAGGCTCGGGAAGCTGCGCGCCGAGAAGGAGGTTCGAACGCAGTCCTCTTGTTCGAGCATCATCCTGACTATCGCACCAGGCCCAAGAGCAACGCATCCGCGATAGGGAGCAGATCATCCGTGAACTTGCCGCTAAGCATGGGATCTCCGGCTTCAACATAACGCCCTTGGGAGCGGACAAGGTCGTGGAGTTCATCTCGCGACTAGACGACGCGTACCGCAAGAGCAAGGAAGAGCTGGACGCTCAGACGGTGGGCATATCCTCTGCATGTTCTAAGGGAAACTCAATGGCCTGCAGCGCAACCTCCAAACCAAGCAGGACGAGCACCAGAAAGAGCTCCTCGAATTGGAGAAAAAGGTCGACTCCCTGCGAACCCGGAAATCCACCATGAAGACCGCCCTCGCCGAAAAACAAGCGTCCATCACCCGCGACGAAGCCACACTCGACGACATGCAGGACATCCCTGCCCAGCTCGCCACCGTCGACTCCGAGATCGAGGACAAGACAGAGAAGCTCAAGAAGCTGCGTGAGCAGATCAGGACCGCCGCGTACGACAAGCAGATCGAGGAGAAGGCACGGGAGGCAAGGTTGTTGGACGACCAGCGGAATGAGGCGAGCCGGGAGTTCAGGTTTCTGAGCTCGCAGGCGGAGATTAGGGCGAAGCTGCAGCTGAAGAGGACGGAGGTGCAGAGTAAGACGAAGGAGGTGCAGGCGACGTGGGTGGTGGTCTTTCTTGCATGTAGTATGCGGGGCTAATTGGGTTGTACAGCATCGAGACGAGCAGAGTCAAGTTCCGCAAGATCATGCAGAAGGATCCTGTGGCCGAAACGATGGAGAAAGACCTTGACAAGGCCAGGATGTGAGTGCTGACGGCTGACGATTAGAATTGGGCTGAGTCCGCGCCCAGTGAGCGCGAATCCGAGCAGGAGACCTTGGACAAGCAGGCGACCAATGCTGCCAGCGTGGTGCAGAACTCGGAAACCGCCATTACCACGATGAGGCAGGAGGTTAAGACGAACAAGGAGCGCATACGCGGTACGCCACTTCCCTCTCACGCATTAAGCTTGTGGATGTCTGATTCCGCGTTGCAGTCCTCGACAGGAACATCAAGAAGGTCCTTGGCGAGCGGCCGACCATTGAGAAAGCAATCGCTGAGGCTAAAGAGGAAATCGAATTCCGTCGCAAGTGGGCACCTTTAAGGCCGCGCAATCTTATACTGGTTCTAATCACCCTTACCCTCAGGCGTATCGAGGGCCTGAAAGGCGGCAAGACCTTGCTTGAGCGATGGCTCCAAATCGGCGAAGAGCACAAGAAGTGCCCGGCGTGTGTAAGGATGATGGACGACCGGGAGTTGAGAGAGTTTGAGAAGACGGCGAGTGATGTGGGCACGAGATTGTGTGTGCAGTGCTGATAGGAGGTGTGTAGATGCGCGAGCACATCGGGAACGCGGACCCCAAGAAGCTTGACGGGACGAAGAACGAGATGGAGGAATGGGAGCAGGAGCTGGTCGAGCTGGAGGGTTTGATACCGCAACAACTGGAGCTGGAGCGTCTGAAGGAGGAGACGCCCGCGCTCGAGGCCAAGATCAAGGCGCAGGAGGACGCCCTTCCGGAGCTCTCAGCGCAGGCTGACGAGGTATATTGTTCTACTTGTGGCCATCTGTTTCCAAGGGACTGACCTCGCGGATAGATAACCGACAAGATCGACCTCCTGCGCAAGCAGGCAAACGAGGTGCAGGCGCTCAAGCTGCAGGCCGCGAACATCACCCGCCTTCAGAAGGATGTCGAACGCCTTAAGGAAGAGATCGAGGAGATTGAGCACGACCTTTCGGCGACTGGCTCGACGAAGTCAACGGACGATCTGCAGGCGGAGATCGAGAAGATGACGGACCAGATGTGAGCCTCCCTACTGTCGCTCTTACCGTGAACTTTACCTAACCGTCCGTAGTCGCTTGCTCGAGCGCGAGAAGAACCACCTCACCGCGGACAGCAACCGCATGAACAACAGCGTCATCTCAACGGAGAGGGAGCTGCATTCCTTGCAGACGCGCCGGATGGAGCTCACGTCGAAGGTTGAGAAGATGAAGACGCTCGAGACCAACATCGCGGAAGCCAAGAAGCGTATAGAAGAGATCGCGGTCGACCAGAAAGTAAGGTGCAGACTTTGAGTGCCTTCAGCGTCTCACGCGGTGTCCAGGACATCGATGTCAGGATACGCGAGGCCCAGGGTCCCATTGACGCGCTCAACGCGCAGTGGGAGTCCATCCGCGCCGAGCTGAGGGCTATCATTGAAACAGCTTCCGAGCATACTCGAGCGTTGAGCTTGGACAGCGACAAGCTGAACAACATCAACAAGGCTGTGGAGCGGTATGTCTCTCACTTTCGGCACCCCCTGCAGTGTCTGACGAGTTGCAAAGCTACGTCAAAGAAAAGAGCCAGCGCATCTTGGACGAATGCAGCAACACCGTCGAGCAACGCAAGGTGGAGATCAACGAGCTCTCCGAGCGCGTCGAAGCGCAGCGCCGCGTCATCGAGAAGATCGACAAGGAGATCAACGAGAGCGGCGCGTCGCAGGCCTCCCTGCGCGAGAACATCCGCGTGCGGAAGATGCAGAAGGAGATCGTCGAAATCCAGACCGAGATTGACAAGGTGGACATGGAGGAGATTGCGCGCTCCCGAAGGGCGTTCAAGGATCAGTATAAGCCTGCAAAGGAGAAGGAAACGGAGCTGCAGGGGCAGGTGAGTTAAGTGGATGTCGTGACTCAAATGGTAGCTGACCAAAACTAAGTATTCCCACATCGGCGGCATGCTGACGTCCAGTCGAGAACAACTGTCGACGTGGGAGCATGACCTTCGCGACTTCAAGGACATCAACAAGAAGTATACGGAGCAGCTGATCAGGGTCAAGGTGCGCGAACTACCTTGTAAGATGTAGCCAGTCGCTCATGTAGCGCGCAGATGTCCGATATGGCAAACAATGACCTTGAGAAGTATGCCAAAGCCTTGGATAGGTATGTCGGATACCGATTCGCGGTTGTAAAAACCGGCTAACATGGCTCAGCGCCATCATGAAGTACCACAGTCTGAAGATGGAGGAAGTCAACGACACGATGAGGCATCTCTGGAACAAGACATACCAGGGTACAGACATCGACGGCATCAAAATCCGCTCAGATGTTGAGGGTGGCGCATCGAAGCGGTCCTACAACTACCGAGTGCGTAGTGCCCATTGTTGCGTGCTCGCCTAACCTGACTGTTCTCTCATTCAGGTGGTCATGACCAAGGACCAAGTTGAGATGGACATGCGAGGGCGCTGCTCCGCAGGTCAGAAGATGCTGGCGTCCATCATCATCCGCCTTGCCCTTTCAGACTCCTTCGGCCAGAACTGCGGCATCCTCGCCTTGGATGAGCCCACCAACGCTCTGGACACAGAAAACATCGATGCTCTTGCTTCCAGCTTGGTCGAGTACGTGCACCGTGTGGTCTTCATGTCTCCTTGGCTGATCAACTCTATGCAGTATCATCAACGAACGCAAGAACCACTCGAACTTCCAGCTCATCATCATCACCCACGATGAGAATTTTTTGCGAAAGCTCGGTCAGAGTGAAGTGATGGAGCACTACTGGTCAGTGTTCCGCTACTTCTGTATGCACCTATAGCTGACTCGGTTTATAGGCGTGTAGTCCGGGACTCCAGGCAGAAGTCCATCATCGAGCGTCAACGATTCCACTAATCTATATATGTTTTGCGCCTTGCTATCACTGTTTCTGCTGCATCTGTCTAACTGCTCATCTACGACTGACATGGACAAGGGATACTCGCACTCGTAATTTATGCCATGTACTCGGTCCACTCTACACTCTGAACGAAGGTTACATATGTACAGCTGTACGCTCCTGCTGCTAAGACTCCAAGCCAAGATCCTCCTTCCGACGTGCGTGAAGCTCCGACCACGGCGGCAAGCCAAACCTCTCAGGCATCTCCGCCCAGTACGCAGATCCCCACGACAGGTCGGCCTGTTGGACATGCAAGAAGCAGCTATCGCAAAGTACTCTTTCCAAGTCGTCCCATCGAGCCTGAGGCATGTGGTGAACGAATATGGCTTGATTTTTTCGAAGGAGGGCGATGGCGATCGAGTTCCTCTTGATCATGCACGCAGCGCGACTGGTGCAGGTGGCAACCGGCGTCAAGAACATGTCGACGATGCGCTGGTTCGCCTGCTGGTCCATATCTCGGACGGCGCGCAAGCACTTTTCCCGGGCGAGTTCTGAGAGATGAAGGTGCATGTTGTCGTACTTTGGGCTGATATGGCCGTCGAGTATGCACTCGGGACCCATGCGCGTGCAGCATTCGAGGGCGACGGCAAGTAGCCACTGGGCACCGACCTCCATGGCAACGTCGGCAATGGCAAAGTGGACGCAGGGTGGTATTCCCACTGTCGATCTGGCGCCTTCGAAGCTGCGTGGATAGATTGTCGATGCGTGGAGAAGAGCGCGCCGACGCAGATACGGCACGTCGTATTTGTGGGCTAGGCGCAAGACTGAGACTATCTGGCGGATAGGTAGCTTGGTCTTCGGACCAACTGGACTCTCAAAGAATCTTGTGGCAGGCCGTCAGCGTGAAATCGAAGAACAACAAAGGCCCCAAGCGTACCCCGAGTCAAATATGGCGCGCAAAAAATAAGCAACCTCACTTGCTTTATCATGGAGCTCAACGACAGGCAAGTCTTCCGAGGTAGAGCCCGAGGGTGGCTGTGGAAGGCAGAAAAGATCGGCGAAGAAGGTAGAGCGTGCGGCAAGTATAGAGCGATGCACTCGGAATCGCGTCCCTTCCGCCTGGATGATGACATTGCCATCGTCGAACCAGAGGTCGTCCACCTTCATATCTGGAGATTTGAGACGATCATCGGAGTCCATTGCCACAATTGACACACCCCGCGTGACGATGAGAGGCGGAGGCAAGTGACGTGACCGGAGACCGGACGATCGCTGATCCGGTTGCTATTGTGACGGAAAAGGAAGGCATTGAAGCGCTCGTTGACGGTGCATGCGAGGACTTCAGACGCAGGTAAACTCTGACCAAAATTCATGTACATGGCATGTTCGCCTAAGGGTATCATCACAAGCGTCGTAAAATTCCATATCCTACCTACAGACGAACTGCGAACGCGAAATGAGTATGTGCGATATCTCCGTACAAAGACAGTAGAAAATAAGATAAACTAGACCAGAGTAGCGGTTGAGAGATACGTAGAGACAAGGTATGTAACGCGCCGCGAGTAGATCACACCTGCTGCTGCAACAATGAAAAACAAGAGAAGGTGAATAAAGGTGCTGCCGAGGGCCTGCCTCGGCCACTATTATAGCTTCATCAACCCCTTCATCGCGTTCGCAACTGCGAAACTCGACTTGGCCATTATCTGCCTCGACTCCTTTGTCACCTCTGGCAGCGCTTGCACCTCGCTCAGCTTGTTTGCGTGCTCCCCGAGCTCGCGCAGGATCTCCTTCCCTTGCGCGGCGGACGCGGGCGGCAGGTTGTCGTTGCATACGGCAACGATGCTGGACACGATGGTGATGATCTGGGTGATGTTCTCGTTCAGGGTCGGCGAGGGTGTTGGACTTCGGACGCCGGAGAGCACGCTCTGGATTGCGTAAACGATGGATTCGGTTTGAGCTTCAAGGTACGGCTAAAGTAAGATTAATTAGTGAGGTGTGGTAAGTAGAGTAAATGCTAACTTGCCTTGAGCTCAGCCCAAGGATCTTCCGCTCCAGTCGCAGATTCATCACTCGCGATGTTGCCCCCGCCATTTGGCTGGTCAAAGATAGGTGGCGGCGAACTCGTGTGCTCAGAACTCGAGTTACCCGACGGCGTCCCCCGGCCAAACCCCCGCATACGTTCACCCGCACCAGACGAAGCCGTGCTACCAACCCTGCTATGCATTGACCGCTCCTCCACCGAGCGCAGCATTGGTGAGAAGGCGTTTCGCGTCGCCGGGCTCGCTGCAGCGAACTGCTCCTGCTCCTGCTTCGTCGCCCGCCGGATGAGCACGGTGCGTGCGAGCTCCGTGACCGTTGCAGATACATGGCTGGCAGCAGCATCCAGCAGGCTAACGGGGGACATGCCTGAACTTGACGCATGGGTCTTGACCGCGGCGACGAGGTTGCTGAGCGTGGCCTCGAGACGCTCTGACAAGGCTTTGAGCGTCTCGGGGTCGACGTCGGATCGTTCCCGCGAGCTGCGTCGCTCGAACGCGCGGCTGTCTTCGATGATCGCAGACGCGGCGTTGACAACGGCCTTCATAGGCGAAAGCACGCGTGTCGGCGCGTTTGAGCGACCGGCAGTGAGCAAGCTGTCGACAGAGCTGAGGAAGGCGGTGATATGGATGTCCAGGATGCCACCGTCGGCAGTGACTGGCAGCTCCTCCGCTGATCTGTCGACCCTGGGGGCCTGCGAATAGAGCTGTGATGTCGCTAGAAGGTTCAATGAGCATCAGCAAGGTCTGCAAAGAAGGCTGACATACCCTTGACACTGCGCAGCTCGGTCTTCGCCTGCTCGTACTTGCGCTTGTACTCCTTGAGCTGGCTATCGAGCTCACGGATGACGCCAAGATCCGAGTCCTTCGCAGTCATCAACTCGTCGTTGCGCCGCTGCAAGTCCTCCAGCTCAGCCATCAAGCCTTCCATATCTGAGCGCAGTTGGTCGACGATCTCTGGGTCAGCCTGCAGACCGTCAGCATGTCATGCAGCGAAGAAGCAGTTTTGAGACGTACCCCGCCTCCGCCGCCACCTCCCCTTTCGCGCTCTTCCTCTAGACGCTCGCAGCGATCTCGCAAGATCTGCAGCTCCTCCTCATCGGCCACCTTGTCTCGCTCTCGCCGGTCACGCTCGCGCCTCAAGCTGTCGACTTCGTCTTCGAGCTCGCGCATGCGGTTGGCCTGCGCTTCGGATTGCTACAACAATCTGTCAGTCGACAGAACCAGGAAGGTGCAATGCAGTACTTACCCGCCTCATCTGCTCGAGCTGGTCTTCGAGCTGCCGCACCTTCTCATCATCGTCACCTCGCCTCCTCTCCCGTGCACCCGCCGAGTCGAGATCACGCTGCATGGACGACATCTGCGACTGCATAGTCGCGATCTTGTACTCGTAATCCCGCTTCATTTTCTCCGTGTCGTCCGCGACACTAGCCCGCCCGCCGAATCGCCCTCCGCCAGAGCGGTCAGACGCCGCAGATGCCCTGCCCTTGTTGTAGAAGTCATCTCCGCTTCGGCGGCCAAGATCATCGTCGTCATCGGTGTCTCGCAGTCGCGCGCTGAGGCCGCTCAAGCCACCGACGGCAGGGCTTGTCGATCCGCGATAGTCGCTCGCGCTATCGGGCTCGTCAAGCAGATCGCCCCGCTCCCGGCTTGGTTCGCGATCGTCGATGGTAGTGCTTCCGCTCTCGCGCGCTTCACGCGCATAGGGCACCTCGATGTACTCTTCCTCAATTGTGCTTTTCGTCGGGATGATCATCTGGCTGGTGGCAGTGGCGCTCTGCATTGTTGAGGAGGCGCTCTCGCTTGCGCCGCTCGTGCTAGTCATCCCGCTAGGGCGGCGCGCGATATCGGCACCTCCACGGTCTTCCGAACGGCGTCCAGTAGTGTCTTGTGAGGGTCGCCGCCGTGATGAGGCAACACTGCCCGAGTAGTTGTGGCTCATGGCGGATCTAGAGAGGGGAGGACCTTGCTCCTCGCCCGGCTTCCGGCCGCGGTAGACATCTTCGCTCTGGCGACTCGAGATGGAGTAGGTGGCTTCACTGGGCCGTCTGCGGTCTTCTGAGGGTCGCCTGCTGCCACTTCCGTAGCCACTGTCTGATGGACGGTCCTCCGAGTCCTGGTTTGACTTCCCGCTCGGCTGCACATGGTAAGAAGGATGCCTGCTGCTGGACAGACGGACGTACATCTTCCTTGAACTCCGGGTAGCGCCTTGCGAGTTCGTAGTAAACGTCGCTTGATAGGTCTTCGAAGCGGGAAGTAGGGAGGGTAGCGAGTTTCTGGCGAGCCTGGTTGCGCTTGGGGTGGAACTCCTCACGCACAGGAAGGAAGGGAACTGCGAACGGACGTGAGCGCCATGAACAGTGCACGATACGCGTCACGCACCTTGCTTGTCGCTCTTCCGCCTCACTAGTTCATCGTACACATCAGTGGACAGCTCATGGAACTGCTGGATTGTCAGCCGCGTGAGCTTCTGTCGGGCGGTGGAGCGAGAGTCCTGAGTTGCTGCGCTTGTTCATTAGCGCTGGGCGTGGAGGGGCCTTTGAGGGACGTACAGCGCGCAAGATAGGCAGCTAGATAGGACGAGAGCTCGTCAAAGTGGATCTTGGACACGGTCCTGTAGTCGATTTGGGGGACGGCGGGTGCACTCTTGTCCTTCCCGATGGGACGATAGGACTCCGTCTTGTAGTTGGAGATGCCCGAGAACGCGGTGGGGGTCGGGGAGGCAGCGCGGGACTGCGAGCGACGCATGTTGGGAAAGGCGCCGGCGTCGTGATGGGTGTTGGGTTCAAGAGCTCATCGTCGAGAACAATGCATGAGGCATGCGACAAACACGCCGCGAGTTCCGAGCCACGTGGTTTATATGTGGGCTCGGCCGTTAAGTTAGCTCGTGCCGAGAGCATCATCGACCGCGCTTGTTCCTGGCCATTATGTTCGATCCCAGCTGGTTACACACTCCCTCGAGTCGTCGGTCGAGCTTTTGAGGTGGAGGTGTACGAATTTGTACCTATTCATCATGAAATTGTAACACTTATCCACTTGACGCGGAGCGCGTACGGACTGGATCTCTTCTCCATTCGCCCGTGGAAGTACTGCAAAGAAAGTGACCCTGTACCCTTCTGAACTAGAGTACTCAAGACACACGGAGTGATCCCTTAGTCAGGAAGTGGTATTTACAAGATTTATACCAAACTGGGACATTCATTATTCTACATGAATCCTAAGGCTCAGTGCGCTCCAGAGAAAGCAGGGTTGCCCTTGATGTACTCCTCAGGTGTTGTGAGCGGCTCGTCGACAATCTAAGGGCAGGTCAGATGGGGAGTACGCGATGTAGCGATAGGTTACTCACCGACTGGCTCCAGTCGAGCTTCTCGCCACCGTAGTAGCCGAATTCGTACACGAGGCGCATGTTCTGCAGCGTCTCCTCCTGGATAGCCGGAGGCATACCCATCTGACCCAACATCCCCTTGAACGCCTCGTTCGGCACGCGCTGGAACGTCGCATCCTTGCCCGACGTCGGGTACACCTTCTTGAACGCCTCGAGGATCTGCAGCGGCGTGATATACCCCGACGACGCGTAGACGCGCTTGCCGAGCGTCTGCTCGCGCTTCATGAAGATCGCCTTGACGAATTTGCCCGTGTCGCGCTCGGCGGCAAAGAGGGGAATCGGGGCGTCCTCGGGCATCGCCATGCCGAGTGTCCACTTGCCCTCGGGAGAGGGGCGGAGGCTCATGCCGGGGATGTTGGCCATGTAGAAGCCGGGGAGGAAGAAGGTCGCAGGGATGCCGAGTTCGCGGATGTAGTCTTCAACCTTGGCCTTGCTGTCGAAATGGTGGACCTCAGAGAGGACGCCGTTGGTGACTGATAGATGGTGAGGACGAGAATTGTTGTGAATGAATATATACTCACGCTTGGTGACGTTGAGAAGACTGCTCCAGACGAGATGTTGGACGTTCTCTTCCTGGTGGCAGATTAGGCACGTCAGGGATATATTGTGGCAAGCTACACACCTTGCAGATATCGGCAATGTTTTTGCCCTGGGCAATCTCCTTGTCGCCGCTCATGCTGTCCCAGAAATTGGTGACCGCAAAGACGCCGTGCGCGCCCTTGATGGCCTTTCGCAGCGACTCCTTGTCGTCCATATCAGCCTGAAGGTGGCATGGTCAGATTTCGCATCACAAGAACTATGAATTTACTAACAGCGACAACCTCCGCGCCCTGCGCAGCGAGCGCCTTAGCGCTGTCCTTGTTCACATCGCGCGTCACCGCGCGAAGGGCGAACTTGCTCGACGCGGCGGAGTCGGCGAGGATGCTATTGATAACAGAGCCGCCCTGCTTGCCAGTGGCGCCGAGAACGGTGATGATTTGCTTGACCATGATGAGAAAATATGTTTGTGGTAGAGGAAAAGGGGATGAGAAGAGATGCAAGTGAAGATCCCCCCTCTCCCTCCACGTCCTTTATACTCCTGCTTCTCAGCGCGGGTGTATACCTTGTCGCGCGTGGATAAATTAAAGTCCAAAAGCTTACAGAGCAGCGTACGCGTCGACCTGCCGCGACTACATCCTCATGAAGTGTTCGCCACCTTTCACCGCCTCGTCAGCTCGAGGACAGGTGAGTACAATGGTCAAGAGGAAGAGAGCGGGTAAATTGGACTTGGGTGACCAATGTCCTTCACGTTTGGGTTTGCCACGTGCGCGGACGGAAGTGGGTCAACGCGTTACGATGAACTGTGACACGACGCGTTTTGGACTTGTTTCCGACCACCTTGTTGCTCTCAGACGGCGGAAATTCTGGCTATGCCTCTCTCTATGCCTTTTGGAAGGTTTATGTGTGCCTAAAGCTCTGCTGGTGTACTCTCTCGGCGAAATTCACCCTCTAAAGAGCCCAATGATAAGGCTTGGTAAGCCAACTTGCAACCTTTGCTCCGGAAGGACGCAGAAGAGGAGGGCGTGTGGTATCGAAGAGGCAGGTGGCTTCACCATTCAGGAAGCATCATGATGCCGGCTTGCCTGGCGCGTCGCCTCGGCTGACGATCCCCCTGTCAGTCCAGCCTGGTACATAAGACCATGCCGCGGTTGACGTGAACAATCCCCGATACTCTTTCCCTTTTTCGTATCCAGTACCACTTTGTTCTCCGCCCCCATCAACTACTCTCATTATGGCCGACGACTCTCGCGCACCGCAGGAAGCCGCCTGGAAGGCCCCCCTCATCCGCGGGCTCTACCAACGCTCGTTCGCCGGCATCATCGTCACCATCGTAGGCCGCTCTGCCGACATTCCCTTCCAATACGTCCTCTTCAAGAAAGGGTACGCCGTCAGCCTGTTCGCCCGCGTCGGCATCCTCTCGCAGCCCGATGTCGCCCAGGCCGCCCTCACCACCGGCGCTGGCGTTGGCGGGCTCGGGCCAGTGCCCACGCTCCTTCTGGGGATCTACACGATCGCCTCGATGCGCCACATCTACTGGGTGACGATGACAAACACGATGTACTTTGGGCCGACGGGCGGCGCGATTGTCGCGGTGTACAACAGCCTGCTTAACACGGCGAACACATTCATGGTGGCGTATGGGGCGACAAGTCTAGTGCGGGCCGCTGCAAACGCGGCAACCTCCAACTCGATTGCAGGCTGGGCCACTTCGCTCGGGTGGCAGCAGTGCGTATTTATTCCCATCTTGATTGTCCTTGCCTGACCCTTTGTTGTAGGTGGGCGGGCCTCGGCCTCTTCCTCTCCGGCATTGCCATCGAGATGCTTTCTGAAGAGTCGCGCAAGAAGTTCAAGAAGGATCCGAGGAACAAGGGCAAGGTCGACGGCACGGGCCTATTTGGCGTAGTGTGAGTCCACTTGTTCGTCTTCAACCGATGTTTTGTTGACGAATCAAATCCTAGACGCCATCCCAACTACCTCGGCTACACCCTCTGGCGTACTGGCGCCTCTCTTGCCACCGGCTCCATTCCCGCGGCGGTCATCTCGTTGCTGTGGCAGATTAACTCGTTTGCCGGGTCGATTCCAGACCTCACGCAGTATATGGCTCATCGTAAGTCGTGACGACATAACTTGGTGGATATTGCGCTAATATTTCCTATCCTCAGGGTACGGCCAGCAGTGGACGGAGTACGAGAAGCGTGTACCTTACAAAATTATCCCTGGTCTGTACTAGGAGTCCGGGATGTGTATTGTGCCATTTCTGGTCCATACGCGAGCTCTCGTATGCGATTTTCAGACATATCACTTGCTCCTGTAGGCGTGGATACCTTTCTAGCTGTTCGTGAAGTTGAATTGTGGAAATATAATCACGTGTGGTCATCTCCGAAAGGCGCGAGGCCCGAAAGTGCGAAGTGCGTTTGACGCGTTCTTCACTTGTGTCCCTCCACGTCAGAGCCATGGACGCTGTCAAGTTACTCTACGCAACGCTGAGTAGGGCGGAGTGCTAAATCACCAGAGAATCCGCTTACAGAAAGATCAGGCCGCGACTGCCCGGTGGTCGCGATCGCGCTCGTCGCGCTTGGCTCCCTTAGCCTCCTGAAGTTCGCGTGGAAGACGACATGCTTCCTCCTGCAGACCTTCGTCCTCCCCGGAAAGAGTGTACGCTGCCCGCCATACTCACGAGAACGTGCACACGTGGATTGACGCATCCCTTTCCAGCTCGAGAAATTCGATGCCAAACAGGGCGCGTGGGCGGTCGTGACCGGTGCGACGGATGGCATCGGGAAGGAGTTCGCGCTGCAGCTGGCGAAGGCGGGCTTCAACATCTTCTTAGTGTCGCGCACGCCGGCGACGCTGGCAGCGGTTGGGCAGGAGATCGGTGAGTCGGGTGATCGGGGAGGGGGACGTGTTCACGGCTGATACTAATGGAGTGTTGCAGAGCAAAAGTACCCCGGCGTGAAGACCGCGTTCCATGCGATCGACTTTGCGAAGGCTGATGAGAGCGCGTATGAGGGGCTTGCGGCAGCGTTGAGGGAGCACGACGTCAGCGTCCTGGGTGAGTGGGTTTACTCTGCGTTTTTGAGAGGTACGACTGACACGCTTTCCCTCCAGTCAACAATGTCGGCAAGTCGCACAATATGCCCGCCTACCTTGTCGACGTCCCGAAGGACGAAATGCTCGACATTGTAAACATCAATGTCACCGCGACCCTCCGTGTCACCTACGCGGTCCTTCCGGGCATGGTCCAGAAGTGCGTCTGCTCAAAGAGCCTTCTTTCGACTGCCGAATTCACCTCCTTTCTTCTCTAGGAAACGCGGTCTCATCCTCAACATCGGCTCCTTCGCCGGCGCGGTCCCCTCACCCATGCTCGCGCCCTACTCTGGCACCAAGGCCTTCCTCTCCACCTTCTCCGACGCGCTCGGCGCCGAGGTCAAGAAGGACGGTATCACCGTCGAGCATGTTAACACCTACTTCGTCGTGCGTATCTCTTCCTTCTCCCTCTCCCCTCCCATCCCCTCTTCACCCATCTCGCAACCCACCCGACTATCCGAAGTGACCTAACACCCTTCCCCCAGGTCTCCAAACTCTCCAAAATCCGCAAGCCGAGCCTCTTCATCCCCACACCCGCCCCCTTCGTGCGCTCCGTGCTGGGCAAGATCGGCCTCGCGTGCGGCGCCGCGTACAGCGGGCGCCCGAACACGTCGACGCCGTACTGGTCGCACGCGCTGATGGACTATGCCATGACGCTGGTGGGCGTGAAGAGCTTGTTCATCGAGCACACGCACCGATTGCATGTGGATATCCGGCGGAGGGCGCTGAGGAAGGCGGAGAGGGAGGCGAAGCAACAGTGAGGATGTATGGCTTTTTGAGAGCGCTTGGGATAGACAGGCATGCCGTGAGGGAGCAAAATGTATCCTGCTACATACTACATCTGAAGCTCGGAGACCTGCTCTTAATTTCTGAAGGGAAACCGTGAGAGCACGAGACGGAATTCCACATTCGTGCAGATAACACCAAGGCGGCACTGCAATGACTGAGCTATTTTCCCATTTGCCGGGTCGTTATAACATTAGGAGATGCACCGTGTCTGATTGGTCTCCACTACAGGCACTAAGGCAGGAGGAGAAAGTACGATCATGCGTTGCGAGAGATACATAGCAGGGCGAGGGAACATATAATGCGGAGTAGAGGGACGCAAAACCAACGAGTACTAGGCAAGGAAATCAGTATGCTAGTCTACGACAGACAGCAGAGGACAGAACCTCTTGATGGGAATCCCGGGAATGCAAAGAAAGCCTCAACCGCGCTTGGCGCCGGTGAGCGGGTGGAACGGGGCGAATTGCCAGAGACTGCGAATGGGGTCAGCTTTACTGTGCCCCGCACTCGCACTGGCATGCATCGCCGGCATTGCCATAATCGAAGCAAGGCGTCAAGAATCGAGAGCACTCACTCTGCATGCTCTTTGACAAGCTCCGGAAGCGCCTCTTTAGCCTCCGCAGGTATTGGCGGCCAGGCGTCCGTCGTGGCCAGGTCGTGGTGGGCGACGACGAAGGGGAGGAGGAACTCGGCTGTGTATTGCCCAGTGAACCACTTGAGGTTCTCTAAGAGGGCAAACAGACGTGAGCACACTTGAACGAGGTACAGAGATGCGAAGCGAGCGCTCACCCTCGACCATTTCTACCAGAGCCTCCTTCGACGTGGCCTCCAGCAGCACGTCTTCCTTGATGGCAGCGACGTGCTGCCTCATGCCATCGACCATGGGTCCGGCGAAGGCCATTTCGTGCGTCAGCACAGCAGGAGAATAAGATGCTGGGTTCTGCGATGACGAGCGTATATGAGCCTTCGCATTCAATATGCACCTCAAATGGAAACTCACCAGCTTCCACCCCTCGATCTTCTCCTTGAGGGCATGTACGCCGGCGATGGCAGTAGGCATGTATCCGGTATCGGTGTACCCGAGGACCTCAAAGAGGGAGCGCCCGCCGACGCGAGGATCCTTGGTGGTGAAGAACTCCTGGTCGCCTATGAGGTGCGGTGGTTAGTGGATCGCTACAGCGCCTTCATATTGGATAAGCGACACACCTTCAAGGTGCAACTCCAGGACACCGCAGACGCGGGCCGCGTAGTCGAGGAAGGCGGGGAAGTTGGGCTGGCCAGGGAGCGTGTGTGCACCGTTGCTCTGGATGGCGTTTAGGGCGCGGATGAGGTCGTTCTGGAGGAGGGTCAACGGGACGCACACAGAGTATCACGCTGCGATTCGACGCGTGCGCACCTTCATGAGCGTATTGACGTGGCGCAGAGCAGCGCGAGGGCTACATCGTGGTGAGCAGGCAAATTGAGAAGTGGTAGACATGTACGCACTCCGTCGAATTGAGATCAGAAGGAACGTTCGCTACTGGCAGAATTGGTAGGGGGAACATCGTGACTGGTGTCGCGCGTGGTATAGTCAAGACGATGGTAGGGTGGCGCAGAAGTCGTGTAACGCTGAGAGATGCGGTAGGTGGAAGTCGTGGTAGATGGAGGTCGCAGACGAAAGCAGTCGCAGAACTTGTTGAGTGGCTAAAGGAACGAATCTGATTATATACTCTGGTGCTCGGGCCATCCATCAAGACAGGGCCAAACGGGCATGGCGACAACCGGCAGGCTGCGGTTGGGAGCGCCTGCATGGCCATTTTGGGGACAAAGGGCGGCTGCGTTTGGTAGCCTCATGCGGGGCGATGCAGGCGATTGGTGGCCACACGCGGAAGCAACTGAGAAAGGTTCCGACCCAGGACAATGCAAGACTCGAGTCTTCGTGATGGGGTTGGCCAGGGATGGCCATGAGGCGTGGGTGCATGAATGCGTGGATATGATATATGCGGGGAAAGCACAACATGAATAAGTGGTACAGGACAGCGAAAGGATGGGGTAAGGGTAGAGGAGACGCGAATGGAGGACGGGCAAGGAACAGCGGATACAGGAAGGGATAGGCGCCGTCATGACCTCGACAGGTTCTGGTATTGTATCGACGCTTGATCATATTGCTCCATATTGAGGAATAGCCGCGCGCGTTCGCGGACCATCCACCTATAGCGCGGAGTGTAAATATGCGGGCAGAGAATGGGAAGCAAGCTACGCACTCGACCAATGCTTTGCTGTACAAGCCCAGCGAGTTCACTGTGTCCGGATCCAAACTGGCGGCCGCGACCATTTGCGGTAGGCTCACTGCGAACAATTCCAATGAGCATACCAGTCATTCGTCAAGCCATCTGTGACGCACCCAACATGCGCAGGAAATGCTCTGCGCCGTATGCCTCGCTCATCTCCTTGCCCTCCGCGTCGAATTTCTCCCGGATGTTGGCGTACTGTGGCCGCTCGAATCGGTAGAGAAGGTTCTTGCCGAGGGCTTTGTCGAAGTAGGTCTTCAGGCCGGAGATTATGGAGGGGAGGAGGGCGTCGATGTCGGGTAAGCTGATCGTGGGTCAGCTTGGGTCCTGCAGGGGATGAGGGAAGTCTGCGCACCTTGCTGGCCTTTCTCTCCTGACATAGGCCTCGAACTCTTCTAGTATCTGCTTTACGTTTGGTTGTCGGGGGAGAGAGACGAGCTGATGCATCGCAACGTCTCAGTGAGGATTCATGAGAGCAGAACCGAGCGCACCTGGTTATTCTTCGTCACCGCCTCCCAATCGTCCACCAGCCTGACCTTCATGGCTTCAGGCATCTCCAGCTTCAGTTCTGTCCTCTTTGACTCTTCCTGAGAATCGACTCAGTGAGCTTTCTCCAGTCATCTCGCATGGATAGGCACGTACATCGTCTCGCGCGCGCTTCTGGCCGCGCGAAGTCCCGTCTTTCCGTGCTGCTCCCTTCACGTTCGCACTTGCGCTGCCACCTGCACCCTTCGCAGAGCCTTTGGCAGACTTCGGATCGCTGTTGAGATGCGTGCCGAGATGGAGCGATCTTGCAATCTTCATGTTCTCCTCGGTCATCTTCATCAAGCGGGATACAGGCACCCATTCATCCCATCTGACGAACGACATGCACGTATCGAGTGACACAGCGAGGTCGAGTAACATAGCCAAAGAGGAGGGGAGAGAGAAAGCATGTCAGTTTGCGACGGTCGTTCAAGCAGTACCACCACGCACGTCTGCTTCCAGCCTTTGTAGTGCACGAAGTAGTGTGCACCCTCCTGGCCGGTCACTGGGTGCGGCCCTTGCGCGTTGTGCACCTTCAGGATCTTCGCTTCGTAGATGAGCGGGCCATGATAACAGAGCGCCTTCTCGTTGATGGCGTACTGCTCAACATTCGAGTTCGACATGGAGGTGGACAAACAAATGCGAACGAGCGCGCAAACAACGCGTCGGGCTCGGAGAATCGGCCCGACGTGATTGACGCGCCGTCACCAAATTAGGCAAGTCGCTTGTGGGTCCACACTTCTGGACTGCGTCGTGCGGGGCGCGCTCATGTCGACCGCTGGGGTCCTCCGACTCGGTGGAAGTGCCCTGCGTTCGGCCGCTCTGGACGCGTCGTAGCATGGAGGTGGCTCAATGCTGAGCTGTACACGCAATTGACGCGCGTGGCCTTCGCACAGCGCCGCGGGGGAGGAACAACATTTCAGCCCCTCCCGACCCTCCATGTTGTTCTTGGAAACACATGCCGTCGGTCAGCGCAGGCCTGCAGCGTGCTCCCGGGAACTCTGTCCGTTGCTAAGTATACGCACGAGGTACCATCGGATTCGTTGCTTGAGGCTCTGCGCTGCCCAGCCGATTGTGGAGCGCGAGCACGCCTGCCGAAAGCTACGCGATAACGACGCTCGAACGCGGCGGACAAAATAGATATGCCAATATAAACAACAATTCGGCACGAGACATAACAGTAGGCGTATAGAGCAAGACGTGAGGGAGGAGGTTGGACGGGTAGGGGAGCAGAGAGCTCAATAAGAATTCTCTAAGCAAGGGAGACTACGCGATAGTATATCACTGATCATGTGTGAGGAGAGCGAACGGGCTCCCGCTCAATACAGCGCAAGTCCATCAGTAACGGGGAACGGTAGAAAACAGCGAGCGACGTAACATGGAACATTACAGGAGTGACAGGAGGGGCCGGCGTCCGCAGGATAAGTGATGCAAAGAACAGACAGAAAGGGTGCGTGGGGTGGTGGGCAGGCAGAAACAGTCCGCTACGCGCAAAGGAGGCAGCGCAGAAGAAAGGTCCGAGGGCTGACTTAGCAGATAACGCAGCACTTCATGCCCGTGCTCGCCTTTTCTTCCTGAACCACTTTCCCACTGCTCCGCCGCCTGTGGTGCCTGCTGTCGCTGGCGCCGTGCCCAGTGGGCACGCCGTCCCGCATGAGCATGCTCGCGCGCGTCGCGGCCTCGAACACATCGTCGACACCCTCGATCTTGAGCGCAGAGCACTCCTTGTACGCACGCGCGCCGATGAGCTGCGCAACGCGCTCGCCCTGTGCGCGCGTAACGTAAGATGTCGAGGACGCCTCGGATGCTCCTGACTCGGGGCGCAGGTCCGCCTTGCAGCCGACGAGGATGACAGGGATGGTGGGGCCGCAGATAGAGCGGACTTCCTCAATCCACTATGAAGGGCCAGTATCGTCAATCTCCGGTCCTCGGCTTGTCGGAATGTGCGACAGCGGGCACGGTACGCACCTTGGTCTGCACGTTTTCTAGCGAGTCGGGTGTGTCGAGGGCAAAGGCAATGAGGATGACGTGCGATTTCGAGTAGGACATGGGCCGTAGGCGCTGGAAGGTGCTGGTTATGGACACGGCCGACGAGCACGGCGATTGCAACGAACCTCATATTCCTCTTGCCCTCTGAAAAGAAGTCAGAAAGACTGCAGAAACGAATGGCACGCCACGCACGCTGTATCCCACAATGCCAGTTGTACGGGCTTCTCGTCGAGTCTGATTTCCGCGACATAGTTGTCAAAGACGGCTATCGTCGTCCTGGTCAGTCATCGTCCGGCGTCCGCGCACAGCACACATACTCGGTTGCTGCCGATGGGTCGGTCAACACGTCAGGAAGGCAGCTGAACGAGTACGCACGTATTCCTTTGGAAACTCGCCGAGCGCGAAGGAGCATAGTAACGACGTCTTGCCGCATGCGCCTGGCGCCTATCAGCTTCCGCAGGGTCAGAACAAAGAGACTATCGCGCGCACCGTCACCGACGATGACCAGCTTCCTCCGAATCTACGCGCGCAGGGTGGTCAGCGAACTCTCGCACGAGCGTGGACGAGCGAGGTGTGGTACGGACAGGTTGCTGGGATGCCATTCGCGATGGGTAGGAGAGAGGACGATATCAAGAAAGATAAGGAAGAAAGAGGAGAGAAGGTGGAAGCCAAGAAGAAACGGAGGCCTGGCCGCTGAGTGCAGGAGCAGCGAGCGTCCTCACGGTCGCGAATTGAAATGTTCTTTTCAGCCACAACGTCAGACCTTCATCGGCACACAGCCTCTTGCCTTTTGCGGAACATGGCCTCATCGCATTTAGGTCAGCCCAGCAGGCCTCTCCGTCGCCGCCGCCGTCCACGGCCATCTGCGCAGCTTTCATCGCCGCTAACCGACCACATTCACTCGCTTGTCAGGCTCGGCGTCGAAGCTGCTCGCCGTGCGCCCCCCTCCGCGCCCTCGCGCGTAGGAATCAATTCATACACAGCGCGGTTGATGCACGCCTCCGAGCGCAGCCTCTCGGCGGCGATGTCCTCCGCGTTCGAAGAATGTTCGGGACCCCGACTCGGCGATGAATGCTAACGTCGAACGTTCTCCGCGCGCAAGATCAAGAGGCGAGCTTCAACAAGACTAGAACAGGTACAACGCGGGGGTCACAAACGGACAAACACTGGACAACAAGGGACACCAAAAAGTACAAGAGTTACAAACAAACAGAGACGAAAAAGTCGGATGATGGTATGTATGGGTAATGGTACAGATGAAGGGCAGGCAGACCCGCCAATAAAAACAAACCGGACATAGATGTTACACGGAGAGGAGAGAAAACGTACTATAATATCCGTCCGCAACGAAGACACTCCAGCCGGCCCACCCACTCCTCAGACCGGCTTCCCCTTGAACGACTGCACCCACGACTTCAGCCCGCCAAACCGCTTCGTGTTCTGCGGCGTCCGGTCATGTGGCGCGAACCCCATCCGCGCAAGTTTCTGCGCGCTCGCCTTGCGCGCCTCACTGTCGGCCCCCTTCCCGCCGCGCCCTCCGCCCGGCGACGCGTGCGGCGCGGTGGACACTCGGTACAGCCTAGACTCTCCCAGCTCGCCATCCGTGTCCGTATCGTTCGCGTCCAGCGAGCTCACGCGGCTCAGCTGCGTCGCCACGGGCGTCACGGGCGTCTGAGGCACACCCGCGGCGGGCGACACCGGCGCGTCCTCCTCCTGCACGGGCGACGTAGGCGCCTCCATCCCCTCGAGCGAGGACGTGGAGTGGCAAATATAGTGCAAGCGCGGGTCGTCGCTGACCGTACGCAGGCGTCTGCCATTCACTGCGACTGCAACGCGATCAGCACTCTCGTGGAGAATGAAAACAGAATGAACTTACTGTCCGGCATGATGGAGTGCCCTGTCGCTCCCGTGCTAGTATGAGGCCTCCGCGGCACCTTGACCATATTTTTACGATGCCGGCGGCGCTCCGCCTTGCCCATGCTCGACTGCCTGGCCAGGGTCGGCGACGTGTGCTTGTCCGCTTCCTCGATCCAGCTCCGCGCGCTGTCCGGCATGGGGGTCGACGGAAGCATAGAAGGCGTCAAGGACGGCGATGAAGTGCCGGACATGGGTCCATGCGCGATGAGCACGCTGCCTCGCCCCTCCTTCTTCTTCTCCTTCTCCTCACGGAGCCGCCGCTCGAGGGCCAGACTTTCGCCATATGCGGCCAAGCGCGCGCTAAGCGGGATGCCATCGTCCGCCGCGAGGATGTCCTGCTGCGCCTTCTGCACGAGCGCCTCGGCCTGGGCGTGCGACGAGATTGCGCTGAGGTCGATGCCGAGAGGGGTATGGGAGCGACGCTCATTGAGGTTCGCGATGTTGTGGGCAAGGCTGGTATCGCTAGAGTGCGTGGTGAAAACGTCCATGGTAGGCGTCGTCGCACTACCGTCGCTATGGCTGGTCGTGCTCATGATCAAGGATGGCTCTTGGCTTCCGGCGGAGCTGACGCTGCTGAGCGAGTCGCCGCGGCCACGAGCACCATTACCAGCGGGTAAGGGCACGCGTAGCAAATTTGGCGAAGACGTAGCAGAATCGCTACCAGCCGCCACGGGGGGTGGACGACTGATACTGAAGGGAAACTCGGCGGTCGTTTCCGCGTGCTCGGGCCCAGACAGCAGCACACCCGGCGAGATCTGCGAGTCCGTCGAGTTCACAGAGAAGCCCCGCGCGCGACGAGGGTCCTCGACCTCTTCCTTCTCAATACTCGGCTGTTTGTGGATGATCTCCCCGTACGAGTCGTCTTCCTCGTCCTCCACAGCCGACGAAACATCCGCCGACGCCTCGGAGGATATCCTCGAGATAGGATTGCCCGCACTCCCCGGCCGCTTTCCCGCCTGCGCCTTCGACCCGTGCTTCAGCGACCCCGCGCTGTTGCAGCCGCGCAGCCCGAACCGCGAAGTTGAGCTGTTGTTGCTGTTGAACGACGACGTGCGCTCGCTGATGCTCGACGATGAGTCGAAGCGCAGGGCACGGATGCTCGAACCGCTCTGTCCACTGGACGACGTCCGGTTGTGCGGCCTGAGAATCCCTGGGCGCTTGACGGGCGTCTCACGCGGGATGACCACGTCGTCGTCGAAGACCGCGCCGCTGCGATTTGGGGTGCTGCTGGCCCCCGAGGGGGACCGCGCGCGAACCTGGGCAGTATTGCTATCAGGCTTCAGCGGGCTTCGTGATGCGCCACCCGATGGTTGCCGTTCGGTATCATCTTGAGCGGGTAGTTCGAACCTCGTACGACTTGCGCCAGAGGCCGAACGGTCGCGATTGCGTTGTTGCTGAGCGAGGGCGTTGTGCAGATCGACAGCGGAAGGTGTATTGTTGGACAGTTGGGACGACTGAGAGTCCATTGCCATCAGAGTACTTGCGTATGAAGCCGGCAGAGCAAGAGTGTCGCTGGCTGAGTGTGCATGGTGAGGAGGGGAAGATGATATCGGGGTATGCGAGTTCGAGTCCAAGATCGATGAAGATGCGCCGGACGAAGCGGCGGCCTGTTGTGAACTGAATGGGTCAGCGAAGGAAGGCGTGAGGCTGCCATCACGGCGCTTGTTGAGAAAGTTGCGAATCGAGTACTTGTTGCCCAGCTTGCGACCTGCACCACCGCGTCCGTAGGGTATATACATAGCCTGCTCGGCCTCCTGCTCAGCATCCGTACCAGCTGAGCGAGGGCGTCGAGAGGAGCAGCGGGAAGTACGATGACTGGGTCGCGCAGGTGACGCAAGCCTAGGATGTTCGAGCTGTGGCAGGGACGGACGACGATAGTTGGGATCGAAGCCGGGTGGCGGTCCATTTTCAAGGATGGGAGATTGTGGCCCGGCATCGCTGAGCTTTCTTGGCATGGTGTCCGCCCTGCGTTCGGCTATCGAGTGCCCAGAAGAGTTGGCTGCCTTCTGATACTGCTCAGACAGGCCAGATGACGACGCCTTGAGCATGCTCAGAGCTGTGTCGATGGAGCGTTTGACCTTGAGGCGTCTGCTGCCTGAAGCAGCGTCGCCATACGGGTCGGGCGTGTCTGCGCGTTCGGGGCTCTGCGTGTCTCTCCCTGTGCGGAAGTCCCTCTCCCGAAGATCTTTATCCTTGTTGCATACCCAGGAGTGAAGGAAGTCGGCGCACTCGACGAAGCCGTTCTGTCGAGCAACCATTTCAGGCGTGATTCCGTGCTTGTCGGGGCGATCAGCGATGGCCCCTCGTCGAAGCAGGAGCTTGACGATGTTCATGTTGCCATTGGCGGCAGCAAAGTGGAGGGGTGTCGAGCCGGATGTTCCAATGATCACTGTGTTCTTCTCGTTGGAGTAGCGGCGGGGCAATCTGCGGGAAGCGAGGAGGGATGAGTACTGGCGAGACTTGAGCAGAACGAGACTGGCCTTGGACCGTTGACATCAGCGCCGTGGTCGATAAGGAGCTTGACTACAGGTTCCGAGCCTCCGGCGCAAGCGGCGTGAAGAGGCAGGACACCATCGAGCACGGAGTTGACAGGTTGACCCCTGGCTAGGGCGTACTCAACAAGGCCCATGTTGCCTGTAGCTGCGGCAGCATGCAGGCCGAAGCTAGGGACTGCGCAAAGGTCAGCTATGGGGCACGCATGTTGAACGAGGCGACGCACACTCCGTAGTAACATTGTATTTTGCCTCCGCCTTCGCGTTCGTCGTCCTCACAGGCATCCTGGAGGGGCTCTCAGACGCTCAGAGGAGATGAGAGCAAGAGCAGAGCCGGGGCACGATAGAACTAGGTGCCGAGATGGGAAGTGTTGTGATGTATCAGTGTGCGGGGATGATGAGTTCCCCGGTTTATTGTCTTCTGCGCCACCAAGGGGAATGACGTTGGTCGCTGGATATGGGCGATGGTGGGCTGCCAGCAGATGGTGCTAGCAGACGTCGTTGGCGACGGCGGCGAAGCTGTCGACAGCGCCCGCGCGGCACGATGGAAGCGGGAAGAAAGGAGGATTCGATGGGCGCCTGCAACCACGGGCAGAAGCAAAGCCGATCAATAGTTGCCTTTCGGACTTAGTAATGATTTAGTGATCTCTATTTGTTCTCTCTCTTTCCATTCTTTCACTCGAACCTCCATCATCTCCGTGTCATCTCAGACATCCTCGCCCCTTCCAGCATACTACGGTATCTATCCCCTACCCATCCGCTCCAGAACGACACTGCAAGATACTGGTCTTTCCGCTTTTCCATGTCGAAAAGGCGCTGACACTCGGTTAGCTTGTGAAAAGTCAGGCCCGCGGCGATGGCGGCGTCGATGGTCACCCTCCCTGCCCGAAACGTCGATGATAGGTCCTCCGCTCTGATACGCCCCCCAACCCGACAGCTACGCGCGGCTTACGCTCTCTATCCGCGCAGGCTCCCCACTGAGGCAGCTGCAGCATGCTCTGTCGTCAAGAAATCACCAATGGATCTGCGCAACGAGGATACACGCATGCTCGTGCAAAGCCTTCTCTTCGCTGATCTACCTATGCCTGACAACAAGTGCTCTGGTCCGCGGCGATTCTCGCGAAAAGCGAGCAAATATACCTACCTCGTGGTAACATGATATTCTCCCGATGCCTCATCCTGAGCGCCGCGCTCTTCATCAGACTCATTGCACGAGGGGCCACTTCATGCAGTCATCGAAGTGTGGCACATGCTGCTCTATTGCCTACCCGGTCAGACGATTCTCTCATTACCCAAATCAATCTAAGCTCTCTTCGGACGCCCCGGATATGTTCATCAAGCAGTCGATAGCCATCTGGCAAGATTCTATTCACTTCACTCGTCAACATGGGCCTTCTCTGATGAACTACAACCGCAGCTGTCTAACGAAGTGGACTTCACGCCAGCAGGCGCAATCGGAGGTCAGATGGGCCGGCCGACCTGTATTAACTGCTGATGCGCGCTCTGTAACAACCCCATGTCTCAGCAACATATACTATCCAATATCATCTTGCATTCCTTCTACTCGGATGGAAGCGATACAGTGTCCTACTGTTGCAGTACCTTGGAAGAGCAGACCTTGCCTCTACGCCACATATATCACTGAAGTCACGCAATGATAGAACATTGCATCCTCGTTCCTTGCCTCGACTTTGCTAACCTTAGCCTCACTGAGTTTACTAGCATGTTCGAAGAACCCTCATCAATCACTCCTAATCGCATTCATAGACTACCGGGGAGGATAGCTCCGCAATACATCTGGAGGCGGCGGCGCGTCGCTACCGTGAGGCGGTGCCGTGCTAGAAGAGGGCGCTAAGCTAGAAGGCGAGGGGAATGGAGGGTGTAGCGAGGTTATTGGAGGGTGCGGTAAGTTACTGGACGAGGGGTGTAGTGAAGAGCTCGAATTCGAATGGTGTAGCGTTGATGGCGTCGGGTGTCCTGCTAGTGTCGAACCCGGCGCGTACGATGAGGGCGGTGGATAGCCAGGTGATTGATAGCTAGCCGGGGATGACCAGCGAGGTTGTGAAGCCAAGGCGTGATGCTCGTAGGAAGCGTTGGCATAGGAGGGCCCAGATTCGAAGGACTGGTGGCCTAGTGGAGGAGGCGGTAGCGGCGGAGGAGGCATGTTCAGTCCTGAGCCAGGAGTCTGCGAGTATGAGTCGCGTCCTGAATGAGGGACGAAGCCACGGTGCCTTGGTGAAGAGGTTGCAGCGGTTCCTCGATCGGACGCGCCTACTGGTCCCGAAGGTACCCTCCAGCAGTTATCCTCCACCAACTTCTCCAACGTCCACAACGCAAGCTGCGCAGTGCCATTCGCCTGATTCGCCTGCCCCGCCACGCGCTGGAAAAGTTCGTACGCGCGCTCGACAACGCGCTCGTACTTCTGCGACCGCTGCTCCTCCGGCGTCTGCGCCATCATCGAGATCACCGTCACCGTCGCCTCGTACAGCAGGAACACGCTCTCCGGCACCGCCGCGTCCTGCTCCTGCTTGCTGCAGTAGCAGTCGATCAGCTTCGACGCCGACTCGAGGCACTGCCGCCTGCTCTCCTCCGCCGAATACGTGCGCCGCTTCTCGAGCGCGCCGCCCTGCATGGGCAGCCCGCGCGTCACGAAGCCGTGGTGCAGCTTCATGCGCGCCGCGTAGTACCAGATCGCGAGCGTGTGGCGCGTGTCCGCGTCGCCGTGCTGTGGCAGCCGCGCGTTCCACTCCTTGAACTTCTCGTCGAGCTCGTAGACCGCGGGGCCGGGGACCAGGGACGGGCTGAAGCACTGCTGAATATGTGAGGAAACGCACGTAGAAGGCAAGCCGCTCACCCAGGTACCTTCTCCATCGCGTCTCCCATGATGAGGCATAAGCGGAGGAGATGGCCAGAGCGAACCATGTAGGCATCGCCTGGCTCGCTCGGGAGCTCGTCAGGGAGCTTGACATCAGAGAGGTCGATGCGGACCATCTGGGGCCTGCCGAGGACGTAGGAGTAGAGGCGGTCAAGGATGACGAGGTTCTGGAAGACGGGTCAGTTGGGAATCGACGTTGCATCCGGCAACCTACCCACCACGATCTGCGCCGCAGGGCTCCCTCCTCGGCGGACATCACCTGCCAGAGCGGCCAGTCCGGATCGCGGTGCATGCCCACGGAGACAGCGAGACGGATGGCTGACCCAGTCAGCTTCCAGGCTTCGCTGACGTGCCCATGTTCCGCGAGGTAGACGCTCATAAGAGACTTAGCAAAGCATCGTACAACGGCACCATCTGCGGCGGATGCGCGTAGGCTTTGCTGCGCGGGTACGGGCTTGAGGTATGCAGCTGAAGCCAAACGGCAAGCTTCCTGAGCTTGATCACTATATACCTGGGTGTTGTGTGGGTAGGGTCGCAACGTTACGAGGCAGGACGCGTCCTCGGGTATTGATGCAAGTATGGCGAAGAGAAGCGCCAACCAGTTGGGATTTACAGCCTGCTCGAAGTTGGCGAGCCTCTCCTGCTGCATGTGGTCGTAGGTATGGCGGAACCACCCCTCTGGTACTCCATAACGATCGTTGACCCTCTCAAAGAAGTGGTTGACCAAAGTGTCGAGAATGTGGCGCGAGGGTATGTTTTGAAGCAGGGTATGTAGTTCGGGGTGGTCGATTGGGCATTCGACGGATTTAGTGGAGTCGGCGTATACCATACGAGCCGTGGACTTGGAGCTGACCTAGGTAAGTTCAGTCAGGCGACCGCCAACATGGCTAACCCACGAGGTCACTCACAGAGTGAAGCGCACAGAGGATACTCCCTCTTCCGATGAACTCTCCCACATGCCCGAGAGACCTCTGCGCCCAAACAAAGCTGATGGAATATATATCATCGTCGAGAGGCCTCATATACGGTGGCGGCTTCGGCTCCTCTCGCTGCTTGGGATGCGTGTCCTCGTCCGGAGCCCCTACCACAAACATCGGGGACGCAAAATCAGACGCGGCTGGCGTTTGCGAGCTGGACGACCAACGAGGGGACGGGTGCGCATGGGCCAGGGCGTGCATGAGCTGTTGCCGAAGATCGACCAACTGTGCCCTCAACGTCTCGTTCTCCTGCTCTAGCGCCGCATTTCTGTCGCGCAGCTCCGTCTGACCTTGCTCGAGTTCCGCGACGCGCGCACGCAAGCCCTGCGAGGTCGACGACTCCGCGGAGCCTGAGCCACGACCCGGGGCCGGCCGGGCATACGGCACAGAGAGGTACTCGCAGGTATCCTGCACGTTGCGCTCGATGCAGAGGCCGCACGGATGTTGGCGATCGCATTTCTGTCGGAGTGCACATAGCAGTTAGCCGGGGATCGGGGGATAGGCGTGCTCGCGCTGACGCACCTGTCGCCGGTTCGTGCAGTTCGTGCAGGACACTAAAGGGCGCAAGCTTAGACGCCGCTGATCCTACTGAATGGCCGCGACTCACGGCGGGGACGGTGGCGCTTTTGCTTCGGGCGCGCTTGTTGCTGTGGTTCAGAGGAGTCTGCCATTGAGGGATTTGGGGTGAAGGAGGGCGTTAGGCGAGCCTTATACGATGGTAACGGTCAGAGGGCGCATGCGCAAGTGGCACCCGGGGTGCATGATCCAGTCCGCCCTGGTATCGTAAAGGCTGCAGAGCGGCGAAGGCAGGAAGGCGTGCGAGCGCCCAAAGAGCGCCCAAGAAGGATCAAGAAGCAGTTGCGCGAATAGAATTCGACTGTTCCGTTCCAGCCGCGGACCCGGTCGATAGTAGTGATACGTCTGATGTAGTACACGGACATGTGAACCCCTGCAAAACATGCACAGTGGCCTTCAAGTCGACGCACAATAATAACGTACACTTTACATACATTCGCGCTCCCCTGTGCGGCGTGTTCCTCGACCTTGTTCCTCGAGGGAGCAGGCGAAGTGCCCTATGCGGTTGTGCCCTCATATGCCTAGGTCCCTGGGGCGCTGTCATATACCCAGCACCCGCTTCCCCGCCTGCCACACCGCAAATGACACAGCGGTCATGGGCACCACCTTCAAATACCCGATGCTGAGCCCAACGTAGAATCCTTTCCATCCCCGCGCACGCCAGATAGCCTGCGCCGTCTCATCCCACCTCAGCCACCTATCGGGTTGCGTGATCCCTCCGACCTGCATCCGCCGCCGCACCACCTCGAACGGGTAGGACATCGTCTGCGCAAGTGCGCCGGAGACGGCGCCGATGGAGAGGTCGGCGAGGGGCGTGGCCTGGGTGCCCTTTTCGCGTGGAGGGAGGAGGTGCGCGCGTAGAAAGTCCCAGACGAGGAAAGAAGTGCCTGCGTAGGGGATCATGCCACCTGCGCGGTCGTTAGCTCGCGTTTATGTGGCAGGATAGTCGTCTGCGCACCAACAGTGACAGTGAATCCCCTATAGAACTTCAAGAGGGGTAATCGGTCGAGGATGTTCTTGGGGTCAAGCCGGTAGGTGCTGCCAACTGGCGCAGACGCATGCTCGGCGTATATTTGCTTGAACGCTTGAAGGAAGGAAGGGCGGGCGGTATAGTCTGTGGATCGCGTTTGGTATGCCATGCGCACGCGAATGACTTCTAGTGGGTATGTGAAGAAGACAGCAACAATTCCTGTAGACTGTATGAGCGACAAGGGCATGGAATGTAAGGCAGGACGCACCAGACGTAGCTCCCGCAGCGAACCGCCGGAAGTTCGTCTCGCTCTCTCGCGTGGGCATCATCAACTACTCATTGTTAGTAGGCGTTGGGAGAAGAGAGTACGGCAACGCACATTCCGGATATGGTCATAGGCCATGAACTTGATCGCTGCATAGGGAAACACCTGGGGAATCTCAGTAAGCCTCCGAGATGATGATCGGCGCGACATACGCGAATCAGGGTCGCTGAATGCCCTTGCAAGAGTCCTCTCGCGCCATTCTCCTTGTATATCTGTGTCCCCGCCTTGAAGGCGCCAGTCCAGCTTCCTAAGCGCTCGTCAGTCTTCGCGTACGCGCGATGACGACAGCGGACGCACCGGCGTACTTGGCAAAGTCTGGATTCGAGGCCTGGAAGAGAATCTTTACTCTGTCGAGAGGGGCTATAACGGTCTTCGCCTAGAGCATGGAGTTTAGCGAGAGGCATTTGTGCTACAGCGGGGGAGATACTCACAACGCATCCTGCGACGCCGCCTGCGAGACCGGAGCGAAGGACGTAGTTGAGATCGTTCTTGCGGGGCTTGTCTGCATCGTGTGTCTTGACGGGGTAGGATGTGTCGGTGCTCTTGCGCGTTTTGGAATCATCTGAGCTCATTCGTTGATGTCTGCCTCATCGAAGGAGGCGCGAAGGTCCGGGAGTAGTGAGAGAGCGAGAGCCAGGAAGTCCAAGATGCAAGAAGCGAGCCAGCCAATAGCGAGTCTCCCAAGTTCAACCAAGGGCACGCGACACCAACAACGAGATGCGGGGAAAGACCAAGATGTGGAGGAGCCCAAGGCGCGGAGGTGCAGAACACCGTCGGGAGTCCGGGCCGTGTCATTGTTGTACCTGAAGTTGCACGTGATTGTTCGATTCTGGACACACAAAATGCGCGCCTTGTCAGTGGTCGGCGAACTCTGTGGCCAAAAACTCGTGTCCCCGCACGTACGAGGTAAGTAGCAGTTGAACTAGCACATACATATCCAAGCGTACATACACAGGGAGGTGATACAATCTATAGAATCTAGATACGAATATGATTACTCGATACACTGACGACTCCGAGCCTAGTCGGAGAAGTATTCGGGGAGGATGTACGCGAGCTTCGTACGGTCCTCTTCCTTTTGCTTCTCGGAGCGTGGCATGATGGAGAGCTTCATGGTGCCGACCTCCTCGAGCAGAACAGCCTCACCCTCGCTCTTGCCCGTGTCGAAGGCGGCATGAATCTCGTCGAGGATGGTGGCGGCGACGTGGCGAGAAGTCTCTGCGTTGGCGCTGAGGGTCTTGAAGACCTCGGCAGCAGTGACAGCGCCAGTGTGCGGCCTCCAGGCATCGTAGTCGGTGGCAGTGGCGACAAGGGCGTAGCTGCATGAGGGTGAGTATGGGAAACACCTGCGCGGTACGATGAACGCACCTGAGCTCGGCTTCCCGAGCAAGCTTCGCCTCAGGAAGAACGCTCATGTTGATGAGGTCGCCTCCCCACGCACGGTACATCAAGCTCTCCGCCCGCGTTGAGAACTGCGGCCCTTCCATGCACACAATCGTCTTCTCTGTGAACAGCTTCACCCCCCTCCCCTCCTCATCCAGCGCCTTCCGTATCCTCGGCTCCAGCCACTTCAGAAACTTGTTGCTGAACGGGTCCCCAAACGACGCGTGCGCGACCACGCTCGTCTCCTGGAAGAACGACGCCGCGCGCACGCCCTTCGTGCGATCGATGATCTGGTTCGGCAGCGCGAATGAGCCCGGTGCGATCTCCTCGCGCAGGGAGCCGACCGCGGAGAAGGCAAGCACGGCGCGCACGCCGAGCGACTTGAGCGCGGCGATGTTCGCGCGGGCGGGGACGGCGGAGGGCGGGATGGAGTGCCCCTTGCCGTGGCGGGTGAGAAAGGCGATCTGCGTGCCCGATGGGAGGGCACAGATGGAGATAGGTGCGCTGGGGAAGCCCCAGGGCTGGAGGGGGTGGGTGAGCGGGGTTCTTGGCAGCGATCACGGGATCCTCACTGTCTCCGGGTTGACTTCCTTGCTGGAGGGAAGTCGATCAGGTCCCTTCATGGATTCGGGATTAGATGGGGACACGCACATGAAGGTCAGGTTGTCCAAGTGGTACAGACCACTTCCCCCGATGACACCGACAAGAACTGGGAAGTCATTCAGCAAGGAGAAGCGAGCAAGGGGAAGGGGGAACTCTGCACGCACCATTGGTCTCCGAATCGTCCGACATGCTGATAGGACGGTTTCTTCTACTGCGAAAGGCGACAGAGGAGAGTGCGCTGTGCGAGAATCGTCTCAGAAGCGACGCCGTCCTGAAGAAGAGCGAGGAAGAGCTGTCGATGCCGTCAACAGGGGAAGGGGGAACCGATCTTCACTCGCGTCGCATCCCGATCTTAGCGCCCGACTGTTCTCGGATATCTCCGAGCGCGTTGGTCACTCTTGTGACCCTCGCCTGCGATGAGGTGGCAGGCTGACTATCGCTCAATGAGGCGAGATATGGCACCATAGCAAGTACAGAAGCAGAAAGAAGGACGATGAAGTCGCACCTCGTCGGAACCATGCCATGGAAACAGCGGCCAAACGGGTTCAAGAGGATAAGTCGACACTATGGTTGGACTTGAACTCGAACTACGCAGAGGACAATGCGGCAGTGATGATTCAAAGGAAGCAAGAAATAGTCATGAATTGACAGTGATAGAAAAGAATGCAATTACCTGTTGCTGAAAACGAAAAAGACGCGAGAGAGATAAAGCGCGCTTTTGATTGATTCACATATCCTCCTTCAAACTTCTAGAAATACAGTGGTTGACACTACGCACAAGTGCTCAGTTTAGTTCAAGAGCTCGCCGTCCGGGCCATAGGGGAAGGCCAAGATCGCCGGGCCTGCAACGGTGGTATCGTCCGTCGCCGCGGTCGCGTTGTTAGTCGCAACAGCGTAGACCGTGCCCTTCAAACCCTCCGGGATCGTAACCGACCCATCAGTGACCTCCTGGAAGGTCTTGTCGAGGCCGCTGAAGAAAGCGATGTACATGTCGCCATCGGTCTCGGTGCCGTTGGCGTAGGTGACGCTGACGGACTGGCCGGGCTGGCCCGCGCCGAGGGTGAGCGCGGGGAAGGCCTTGAAGGGCAGCGCGGGGTTGGATGAGGGGCAGGATACGATGAAACCGCTAGCCAGGGTGTAAACCTCGTTGAAGGTGAGAGCGGTCTGAAGGGCGAGTCAGGGAGGGTGTCGAAACAATGTAGAAGCAAATGCTTACATCGTACGCGCCACTCCATGGGTTCTCGAGCGAGATGGCGGATGCGACCCATGCGGCGTGGCGAGCCTCAGTGGAGAGGATGACGGCGGCTGCCGTAAGAGCGTCGGTTCCCTGCAAGTATTTGGCTGCGCCAGCGTACGCCGACGTGCCGACACCCTCGAGAACCTGGCTCAAAGCCGCGAAGGACTTGGGGTCGGTGACGGGGAAGTTGTACTCGCATGCTTGCACGGCGGAGTCACCGAGGACCGACGTGAGCGTGTCGACGTGGCTCTGCTCGTGCTTGCTAATCTCCTCGAAGCGGCCGCGGGCCCACTCAGGCAGGCCGGCGTTGGTGAAGTCCTCTTCCGTGTAGTTTGCGAGTGCTTGATGGTAGAAAGTGTTCTCCAAGTGCTCAAGGGTGAGGGCGTAGTTCAAGACGACAGTGTCTGGCAAGAAGTCAGCGTTGACCTTGCATCTCAAGAGCGAATACAACATACCGGTGATGGAGCCATCGTTGTCCCTCTTGTAGTGAGGCAGAGCCGAAGCGGCGGCGACAGCGAGAGAAACAGCGAGGAAAGAGATCATCTTGTTCGTTGAGCTTGAAGTGTGGATTGCTGTGTTGGTTGTTGGTTGCGGCAAAGGCGGTTGATGAGGATGAGTGCTATCCTCGCCGGCTTATATACAAGATCCTCTTATAATCGCAGGGAAAGACATCTCTCCTCGTAAGACCCGAGCAGCCCGAGCCGGGAAGGCAAGTGGCTGAACAGCCTATTTGTGGTTAGACTTCTCGCGCGAGACCCCGTTGCGAGGGTGGGACTTTTCGGCTGAGACTTTGCTGAGTGGCTCGCGCACGAGCGCCGCGAGACTTCGTTTATCAGCGATTTATTCAGTCACGGGACCGCGGTATAGCACAGGTGCAGGTCGTCCGCCGAAGAGTACTCAGTGACGAAAGGCCGAATCGACAGAGCACTAGCGATATTGCGTACAGATTGATCAGGCCGAGCGATACGAGAAAGAATTTATAACAGTGTTGTAGCGCAGACTTTCCAGGATAGATACAGCGTGGCAACGAGAGCAGAGGCAGGATGAGTTTACCATATGGTTTTGTGGACCGTGGAAGCACAAGTCAAGAACAAGTGCTTCCATATGCGGAAGTGCGCACACGTCGGCATTTGCCGGAATGGGCTTTCAGCACTGAAGCGCCCTCTGAAAGCTTTGAGACTCAGGCAATTCGCACTTCTCTTATACGGCGTAGACGACGTGTCCCTCTCGTCTCGGACTCTCGATTGTGTGTCCGAACCTTCGACAAGCTTTTCGTCGTTGACCGCCGTGACGCAGCGATCAACCGTGAGCGGTGCCGACCCTTCGGCAGACCGCTTTTCATCAACCAACGGCGAGCGGCGAATTCAGCAGCGCGTCTGACCCTCACAAGTAACCTCGTCCGTGCCGTACTCTACACGAGGAGGACATAATCACCACAAGATGCTCGCCTCCAGCATTGCACGGCGAGAGCTGCTCCGGAGCACCGCCGTGGCAGGACGCGTCGCGCATCGCGTTCCCGCCCGGCTCGTCCACTTCAAGCCCCCCAACGACCTCGACTTCAAAAACCTAGAAGAGGCGAAGAAGAACCGCAAACCTGGCGACTTCTATCCCCCAGACCGCCCGCCAACCCCGCTCGCGGTATACTTGCAGCAGCACCCGCGCGCTAAGCAATACTTCTTGAAGCTTCAGAGTATCTTGGGATTCCAGAGGTCAAAGCCAATGGCTGGGAGGCGAGGACTTATGCTCTACGAACGGGTGTGCGCGGTGAAACCGGATGATGAGGCCAAGTTCTGGAAAGAAGGTGCGCGACGCCGTATTAGCTCCAGTATTCCTCACTTATGCTGTACAGATTGCTACCTCCCCTCGACGTTCCAGTCATGGTTCACCATCGTAAACCTGCACGTATGGATGCTTACGGTGCGGCTACGCGCCATCCCCCCTCCCTACGGTCGCGACTTTGTCCAGGCGCTCCTCGATACCTTCTTCTACGATCTAGAGGACCGCATAACGGGCGTCCTGCAGCCCAAGTACAACCCTCCCACTCCATACACTTTCCATTCCGACTTCTACCACAACCCCAACAAGCCTCCCGAGGGCGCGCCACGCACCCGCCTCGGCCGCGCGCCCGACCGCCTCATCACGCGTCAGCTCAAGACCCACCGCGACCAGTACATGGGCTTCACGCTGTCTATGGACGCCGCGCTTGTGCAGGGCGACATGGAGATGGCCGCCTCCGTCTGGCGCAACCTTCTCGGCGCGCGCGGTGCCGCGGGCGTCGTGCTGCCCGCGCCTGGGCAGCAGCCGCAGAAGTACTACCGCCGCTCGATCAACCCGCCGATCAGCGAGCCGCACAAGATCGACGTCGAGCGCGAGCAGTGGGTCGACGACCATTCGGGGGTGCACGACTTCCCACCTGCGGAGGCCGACAAGTACTTGACGTACCCGGAGCTGATGCTCGACCTTGTCACGTACATTCGGAGGGAGATCAAGCGGTTGGAGGATATCCCCGACGAGGCTTTCTTGTGGCAGGACCCGGATACGTTGCGGTTTGGGAAGGTCAGGAATTACTCGGCACAGGCATCCGCTCAGCCTAAGAAGAGCACGACGTCGTAAGTAGCGTAGCCGCAACTAATATTCACCCACCGAGGTGTGCACCCTCCTCTCGGTTCTGCGTGATTAAGAGATACGGTTCAAGAACCATCTTCAAGCGAATTGCATTTGTGGGCAGCCCCCTCTGACAGTTACATTGCTTCTACATAATTTGCCTTCTCCCTCGCATCTGCTTGTTCACCATAATCCGGAGCAGCGTAGTCCTGGAAAGTCAAGGAGGACGCGAAGTATCCATCGGCTCGCAAGGACAGGCCGCCGAGCTTGGCGCCGCCCTCGTCGAGCGACCAGACGGAGATGGCGAGCGTGTTGGGGCTTTCGCGACGCAGAAGTCTGAAAAGATAGAATCAGTCGAGTGATGACCTTGCAATATGGATATGTGCCTACCCTGCTGGAAGCACGAACCATGTCTGTGGTCTGTCGCACGGAAGTTCGTCAGGATAGTCTCTTGGCAGTCCCGACTCTGAACGCACCCGATGTTGTTCACATACTTTCCAACTTGCCACCCGTTCAGGTAGACCTGGGCGCGATATTTGGACGTTACATCTGTTGGCTCGAACACAAGTCGGATGGGCACATCGAAGCCGTCGGGCAAGTCCTGCAGCGCCTGGATGAGAAGCCCCCCACACCATGCATGCATCGACCACTCACCCAGTCGAACTGTGTGCGATAGAAGTTCACGCCCGCCTTCGAGACACCGTCCACCGGGTCTCCCTTCGCCCAGTCATCGTCGGGGAAGCCGGGGAGGTGCGCGCCGATGCGTTCGGCGTAGAGGCCACCCTCGTTGAGGTAGCCTCGGAAAGTGTCTAGTGCGTCGGCCGCGCCACCGAGATTTCCCTGAAGGGCCCATCGGGTGAAGGTAGTGTTTGCGCCTCTGAAGCCGTAGCCGCGGATGCCGCGAGGTTCCTTGCCGCCGTTGGCTACATTGAGTAGTCACGGTCAGACTTGAAATCCATGCTCCTGCGTCACCCACTTACAAGACGTCTCGGAGATGCTACATCCCGTGTAATGTCAGTTGTTTGCCTAGTCATAGAACTGGATTCTACGTACCCCATATGGTCTTGAGAGGATTGTCAGAAACGTCGACGTCGTCGTGGATGAATGATGAGCTCACCTTGCAGTACCACCAGCACGTTGTCCTCTCCAGCCTTCAACGTATTGTCGGGGATAGACCAGGTGCTGTTCGACTCGGCGACGGTGCTGTTTCCTTGCCCACTCCCGAGGTATACCCCGTTGAGCCAGGCGGTATACCCAAAGGCAAAGCCACCCATGACGCTGAGCGTCACATCAGTCTCGTCTCCTGAAGCGTTGAAGTGACCGCGGAAGAGCAGGTTGCCTCCGTAGAACCTTTGGGATGTAGATAGTAAGTGCATATCCAAGAGTGGTAGAGGATACGGTATACCCGTATTGCTGCGAGTAGAGGATCTTGTCGCCCGAAACAGGTGGCAGGTTGGTATACTAGACAGTTTGTCAGTAAGGATATTGGCGTAGACAGCGCAGCATCCTACGTTGGTGGCCGTCAGGTCCGCAGTGACCCAGTTCGAGTCGTCGAAGTCGGGGTCAATCTCGGGCAAGCTGAACAATGTGCCCAATGTCAGAATGCAAGGCGTACGTGTTTGGGCTTTCTGCGTACCTTCCAGATACCTTCCACGTGCCGAAGGTTGGGAGCTCGATGGGCTGGTCTTCCGCGGTTGCAGTGCCGGCAAGAGATCCGCGCGAGCTACTCTCCAGATCCAACGGTGCACCATTCCAGGTCACCTGCGATACAGCTGCAGGCGCGAAGACCTCAATGGGCGTCGTTCCGTTCAGATCGCCGACCTACTAGCATCAGCGGACAGACTCAAGCTTATCACTGAAAGAACTCACCAAAGCCAGGGTGTCCCCGTCGATGCTCGCCGAACGCACTAGATACGGCCCACCAACAAGCACGCTCGAGTTCGTGCCGACCGAGAAGAACTTCCCCCAATCTCCTTCGCCTTGAATGTCCGGTGCACTCCATGTGTTCGCGATGCCCTTGTCCGCGAGTAACAGGACGAGGCTGCCGTTATTGATGCTGACCGCCTCGAAGCCGTCGAGTGTGTAGTCGATGGTAAGGACACCGTCGGAGAAAGAGGATTCGACAGATGAACCGTCTTCCGTGGATACGTCGGGCTCTTCATTGAATAGGAGGGCCGTCTGCCCTGTCTGACCCTTGCCCGCGTAGAGGACGATGTAGTCCGTAGAGTCAATGCTACAAAATGGTCAAGAAACGGCAGAAAGAGGTATCGGGCTATAGCGCACGTTGTCCATGTCAAGACTCTGTGGAATGTTCAGAACTGCTACATCCTGGAGATTACCATTACGCACTCAGCTGTCGAGTACAACACCGTGGTCTCAGACTGCCCGAATACATAATCCACAACGATTATCTTGCTGTCGCGTCCTGCGAGGGTGATATCGCCCTCAGTCGGAATAGTGACGGCGCCTTTCGAAGTCTTGACATTCAGTTGAGTTGTCTCTGTACCCTGAGACGTGCTGTCGCTCTGGCGGAGGAAGTAGAAAGCTGCGTTCGTGTCGTCGTTGCGAAGCTCGGTGGTATATACAGCACTGTTCGTGGTGTAGCTGGTGCCGTTAGCGACGTAAAATGCGGCCAGAAGGTCACGGGAAACGCGGAGGAAGAGGCCTGCCAGAAAGTGTGAGAATAACAATGTACAGGATGAGTCCTATCATACCTTGCAGGCGCATCTCGTTCATCTTCGCGTTTGCCACGCGATTCTCGTTGATGCCTCCTCCGTAATCATAGCTGCTGTATGTGACTGACGAGCATGGGTCAACGCCAGTGGATATATTCCATAGGAGCAGTGACTCACCTGGTGCTGCAAGCGATCCCCAATTGGTACCGCCGAAGAGCACTGAAGGGTATCGTCAATACCGAAATGCATGCCAGGATATGGAACTGCTTACTGTATATACTGAGGATCGTGGCCGTTTGCGCACTGAGCTACGATTTAGCCATTGCGAAGTTACTTAATATATGTCTTACTAGTTCTCCTTGTAGAAGATATTTTCTGTAGGGCCAAAGTTAGAGATGGTGAAGGATAGCAACAGACTTGTACTGACCGAAGTCGGCATTCGTAAGGTCCTCCGCTGAAGGGATACAGTCAGTTCTCATTGCTCTCGCATACGATGAGCACGTACAGTACTTCTCATATCCCGTACCGTACCGCGTCGCGACTTCACCCCACTGAATGAGGAATGCGCCTGCGAACTGCGATCCCATGAGCCTGAGTTGCACTGCAGCATACATCACAACGCCGTAGCCTACCTCGGCCAAACATAGCGGATTGCTCGGCGCTACCGCCTCATGCGCCGAGCGATAGATAGACTGAGGGTTCGCCCAACTGTTCTTTCCTTGTGGGTAGGAGTCACCGCAGTATATGTTGACGCGACCCTCTCCCGGGCGGTCCGGACTGTAGTTGCCCGTCTGCCCAGAGTGCTTATCGTTATGGGTGATGGCTTGAAGGCACGCGTTTGTGTCAGTACGAAAGAGGGGTTGGGAGAGGGAAGCTGACGCACGAACGACAATGCCATTGTCCCTATACGTGTCGATGACGGCTTGCATGTAGGGGCTGCGCGTCGGTCCTTCGTCAAACTCGTTCTCTGCCTGGACGAGGATGACTGCCAGCACAGATCAGTGGCGGCGAGAAGGTGTGGGACAACGATACACGTACTGGGGCCACCCTCAGTAATCTGGTTACGAGCGATGATCTTGGATATGGCAGTCATGTAAGGAGTCCAAGCTGGAAGACGTGCCTTGCGTTGAGTTTCACGTTATCAAGGTAGTGATGAAGTGACGCACCCTCGGTATAGGCTGGGTTGTTTGTACGCAGGTCACCCTCGATATTGCCCACCCATCCGGGATAGCCACCACCGGTCGTTTCAGCATCTACCAGAGGATTTGTAAGAAACATCGACCGCGAGCAAGCCATCGTACTCACTGATATACGGTCCAGGGCTTACGACAGGCGTGTCAGAACAAGAAGAAGGAACACGTTCGTCGCGGGTCCTCACCGTGCGATCAGCCACAGCCCGGCCTCTTTGACCTGATAGGAAAATACAGTATCAGGAGGAGAGTATATAGCGGTGGCCTGTCCCACGCGACGCACCTGGTCAATGAACAATTGTACATCCCTATACGTGCCCTCCGTGAAGTCTCCGTCTCCCCCGTTTGTATCCGGAGTTGGGTAATGGGTCGCCCAGTGGGTGTAAAAGGACACCTGTGCGATGCCTTTGTGTCAGGAGCTCGTACGGATGAAGCTGACCAGGTGTCGACTCACGGTGTTGAACCCATTCGCCCTGATCTTCTGTAGCACATCTGCCCAAAGGGCAGGGTCCCCCGGCAGCCGCCACGGATGCATCTCCGCGGATAGAATGAACACGCGCTGCCCAAAGATGGAGAGGGAATGCGGGTCCCAGGTAACCGCGTCGGTGAGCCCAGTGGAGTTGCGCGCATAGAGGTGATGTGAAGCAGGCTCATACTTGGCAGAAGCGTGAGCCGCGTACAGGGCCCTGCAAAAGGGCAGCGCGAAGGCTACAAGCCAGAGCGCGCGCAGCATCATGTCGATGTCCGAGTCTGCGCAGACGGGGTAACGAGTACCTTAGGGAAACCTTCCTCGAACCACCACGGACGTACTTATACCACCACCACTGCTTCTCAGGCCAGGTACGCCGATGCGGGGAAGTCGTCGCGCGGTCCGGCTCGAGCATGGCGCGTTGAGCCTGCGCTCCCCTCCACGGACCAGGTGCGGACCGTCCTCGGTCGTCGATCTTCGGTCTCTGTACGCCTGGGTGCGCTCAGCTGACCGTGAAAGCCATGCCGAAGCCTGGCGACATCATGTTGAATGCCGGTGGTATCAGGTGCGTGACCGAGAAGAGCACAAGGGAGGCAGGGATCACGAGAGGTCATAACGAGGACAAGAGAGTCGTTAGCCGGGAAGCCGTCTTGACAGTGGTAAGACTAGGCTTGTAGTAAATGCCTTGTCCGGTCTTTACCAGACCAATAACGCGGACTGCGTTTCGGTTGCAGACTGATCGAGTGCGCCTTCATGTCCAATAGAAGGTTGAGTGCGACCTGCAGATGTATAGCGGACACAATATACATGATACAGATACGAAAGGACGAACCGAGAGACCACTGCTGTGAGGTTTGCCACCTCAGTAGTCCCTCCGCCGGCGCGTCGCGTCCCTTGAGCGATCCCTGCGCCGCTCCCGATCATCATGGTAATCTTTCTCCTTCCGCCTACTGCTGTCTTCCCGCTCCCGGTATTTGCTGTCGTCGCGGTCGCGGTACTTGCTGTCGCGGTCTCTATACTTGTCGTCGCGATCCTTGTACTTGTCTTCACGGTACTTGTCATCTCGGTCGCGATACTTATCGTCTCGGTCTCTGTCGCGACTCCTGTACTTGTCGTCGCGGTCGCCTCGTCTATCCTCCCGGTCACTCCTGCGCGGCGAGTACGACCTATCGCGTCGTCGTTCGCTCTTCCCGTCGCGCTCGCGGTCATTCCTCGGCTGCGACTCCTCCCTCTCTTTCTTGATGACGGGCACGTAGCGCTTGTCGGGCCGCTTCTTGTACGCGGGCTTCTTCGACCCATCATCATAGACCTCTTGCTCTTTCGCGCCAATGCCGAGTAGCGCCGGGCGCGCCTCCGGCATATATGGCTCGACCATTCCTCTTCCGGGCTTGCGCGTCGCCGCCATGCCCTCCTTCCAACCCATGCCGCGCAGCAGCGCCGCGCCGAACTGCGACACCGGCACACGCTCGTAGTCTTCGAGCGTCGCTTGGTCCGGCAACTCGTCCACATCCTGCTTGAGCGCCTCGGCCTCAGAGACGGGGCGGATAACGTCAATGACGGGCCCATCCTCCTGCGTACGGCCGTCGGCGGTGGCAAGGATCGCGCGAAGGGCTTTCTGGTCGTCGGTCTCTTCGTCGACGGCCATGGCCGTGGTTTCCTCCTCCTCTTTTACTGTGACGTCGTCGCCTTCGACCTTGACCTCACGATGCTTGACCTGCAGACCGGCGAGGACGGGGCCAGTGTTGATCGTGTCGCGCGTACCGAGGCCGCCGACGCTGCCATCGGCGCCGGTGGTCGCTGCGGCTGAAGCGGGGACAAATTGCCCACGGCGCCTTCGTGCGAGTTCGCGCCAGTCACGATTGGGTGCGGGTTGAATGACGAGGGGTCCCTTGGGTGCCGCCTTGGCCTTGTCACGTCTGTAGATGCCAAAGGGGTGGGCTTGGGTAAGTTGAGATGACTGCAAGGGCGGGGGAAGAATGGACACAGACCGTCGCGCGCCACCGATCTTGTCAAACTCGTCTACCAGCTCGACCGCTTCTTCATCCTCCTCGTCGCTAGAGTCGATGTAACGCCTCGGGGACGTACTTGCGCTCTGCGCGAGGGGACTCCCGGGGACCGACTCATTCTTTAAGTGCCGGGGAAGTCCTGGAACCTTGAAGCCTGAGCCGTCTGATTCTGGTCCGGACGAGTTGTCCCTTGACACTGGCGTCGGTCGTCTGACGGTGAAGGAGACTTTCTGCGACATCGTGGTAGGAAGCAAGGTGCAAGTTGCCGGAGTGTGCCATCAAAACGGCGGGTGACGTAATCGTGAATCGGCCCGCTTCTCCCCACAAGCGCCCAGCCGTACACTTGTCCTGCACTGTCCATCATGTCTGCTGTCTTCCGACGAAGTGCACGAGAAATATGCAGGCGGTCGACGCTTTTTAGAGCTTCGACACGGCTACCATTGCACTCTCCACCAAAATGCATACACTCCACTGCCTTTCGTGAACTCAGCACCACGCCTGTGAGGCGGTATGCCAAGATACAGCCGACGCCGCCAGGGAAGATATCTAGACTACTGGCGTCCCCTTCCCCCGAATACATTGAGAAGGAGGAGATCAGTGTGGACCTTGTACCACCAGAGCAAGCACGTCTGGAAATAACAGACCGTGCAGCAGAGGTGCGCGCCCCATTCCCCTCCCGATCACACATGCTAAGTCAGCCCGCCCACTCAGCACCTTCAGCGCGTCGCCAACCAGCAGACGGAGCCCCTCGCTGGCCTACGAATATTGGTCGAGTCCGGGGGCTGCCATGGCTATCAGTACAAGATGACCATGTCTACCGCGCCCCAACCAGACGATTAGTAAGTGGATGTGTGACCCGGGCGATGGGATTCGCTGGAGAGATGGCTTTCCCCCATGCGCGCAGTGGGACCCGGGCAGTCGCTGATGCAATTTCAACGCAGTCACTTCGAACATCCGGATGTCAAGCCATCCAATATCTATGTCGACGCAGTCTCGTTGGCGCTCCTCAATGGCTCGACGATCGACTATGCCACGGAGCTCATTGGCAGCGCGTTCCGGGTGGCGGCAAATCCTCATGCAACGGACGGAGGTTGCGGATGCGGCGTTAGCTGGGAGCTCAAGGTGTAGTTGCACCGTCGGCGTGCCGGGAGCTGTCCACAACCTATCACGAGTATACTACACTGCCATGCCTAATGCCACATCTCATCAGGACAATTGTATTCTATCGACCATGGTCACTCATATCATCGCTCACACACCGTTCGTCTGCAGCATGGACCGCTCGCCTGCAAGCTGCAACGACAAATAAATAGCAAAATACATAAGGATGCCAACGATACCGTCAACTGTATATGTCTACGCCGCCCAACCACTTGCCGGTTGCATTCGCTCTTGCAGGGACACGACAGGAGGCCTCTGATATCGCACTGGCTCGATTCTCCCGTACACCGGCGTCGTCCCATCATACGGCATCCCTTGCTCCTCCCACGACTTCACGACCTCCTTCGTCACGAAGACGCCTGGGCTCGATGGACGCTGTACATGTACCGGGTCCATTCCGGTCAGCTCGAGCGTATCCGATTCCTGGGTGTTGGTGCGACTCTGCGTATAAGGGTTAGTTGAGAGTGCGCGAGCAGGGTCAGGCATTTGTATGCGAGAAGGATTCTAGGCGGCCTCTGGAGTGCGTTGACGCGACGCCACGGTCGGGCACACTGGTGATCTATGCGCTGCAAAACCCACCTGCGCCATCCACGACATCCCACCCTTCCTCGACGCCTGTCTCCGCGACCCCCGCGACCCGCTTCCGCGCAGTTGCTCCGATAACTCCTCGCGGCGCGCCTGCCTGCTGTTGAGGCTGCCGAGGAGAGAGTTGCCGTAGGCTGGACACGCGTTAGTTCGATACATGGAGCGGAGGATGTGCTACGTCGTTGAAGATGTACAATCTGGGGAGAACGGCCAGACATAGCACAAACTCACCTTTCCCCAACAACGAGCAAAGTGCAATCGTCACGAAGCCCGCGTCCCAGACTACGACGCAGATGAAAGCGCCGAAGGCGATGGTGCTGCTGAGTAGGCCATTGTTGACGGACATCATGATGAGCTTGTTCACGACGCTGTCGGTCCTGGGAAGAGGCGGGCGCGTCAGCGACGAGCAATTCTACTTTGAATATTGGATGCGAAAGTAGAGAGTCGGCGATGGAGGCGACGCTATCCACGTACCGCTCATTCTTTGTCTTCCTGAACTGCAAGTAGTACACCAGCGACGCCGTGATTATGATATCCGTGCCCGCCGTGATGGCGAAGGACGAGGGGACGATGGCCCTGACGGCAGAAGATTCTTGGGCTATCTGTGGGATGAGCCCGAGGAGCGCAAGGGCTGGGCAAGTGACGATGAATATAAGGTGAAGACATTTGAGGCAACATTGCGACCCACCCCACCCCAAAGCTTTGATGGGTATATGTGAGCTAATGAAGCGCATATGCGGAGAAGAGAAAGCGTACCGCATTGGGTAATGGAAAGCAGGAACTGCGGGATTGTTCGGTGAGGAGGGGACAGTTTCATCGGGGTAGAAGAGGACGCACGATGAACGACGCGAGAAACCACTTCCTCCCGCTCACTGTCAAACGTATGTAAGCATTCAACAAGGGACTTATGGGACCTAACGTACATATAAATACTTGGCGAATGAAGAACAGATGTATGAGCGTTGCGGAGGTAGCCTAATTGGCGGTTGTTAAACAAATACCGACTTTGAGGAAGCAGCGAGGTTTACATTCGTAAGGGTTGGAAACTGTATTGTCTTGGGGTTCAGCGTAGGGACTGCCCATGAGACAGAGACCTTACCATGACACTCCTGCAAGGGAATCAGCATAATGCTGATCGCACCAGCTAGACAATCGACGTACCATACCAACTTCTCCATGGAAGGGAAATTGCCATAATTTACAACAAGGTAGTGCCATAATGCGTGACTGATCAATGCGACGTTTACGGTCTGCAAGATCCTGAACGTATGTCAGGCGAGAACTTCAAGTGTCACTCAAAGACTCACCCGACGGCAGCGACCTCAAAAACGGATCGATCAATATTACATCGTGCGACTGTCTCTGCGGACGACGTACTATGCCCTTCAGATAAGTGCTGTCTTCCGGATATCTTCTGAAGTAGATGCACGTCTGCATGAACAGGACGCCGTAGAAGCTGCGATAATCTCATCGTTAGTAGATTCAGACGATCGAGAGGAGCTTCATAAACGTACGCCGTGGAAACGATCCCACCCACTAGAAGCGCGCCAACAGTCTCTCCAGGGGAATAGTGAGGAACAGCTGTTGAGTTCATCGCTGAGGGTCAACGGGGAGGAGGGCGAAGAGCAGCAAGGACATGAACGGAGGAGTTGAGTGAGTCCCGCAGCGCTCAGACTCGGGCACCGGACTTTCTGGATACGATACCAAGTGGGTCTTGGGATGCATATAGGCAGCGGCGGCACTAGACCCGGGCATCACTGATATCACTGCGACGGGCACTCGAACATCGTAGACTGAGGGCGCGCCGCGCCGCCCGCCCGTCCATTGGACCGCGCGGCGTTCGACAGGTCAGAAAGATGATCAACATCATGTCCCTTGGAGTTGGTGAGGGTTCATATGGGGTCAGAAGGGGCGCATAATGAAGTACTCAATGAATAGCGATGACGGGTTCATGTCTGGGCTAAAAGCGGACATAATGCTCACTTTCGGTAGAACCGGGGGTAGTCCTGCCAAGCGCGTGTGCTTGCGTACCCCGTCAGTGCGTTTGGGACCGTAGCCGACCTCTCGTGAGCTGAGAAACTCGGGCTTATCGCCATACGAAGGTGATGTGAAGAACGTGCGCAAGTATCGTGCAGCCGTTGCGTTTCTTGCGGCCGTCTGATATTTCTATCCCGTATAGACATAGGATCTGCCGCTTACGACACTGCACTTTGAGCGTCCACGGTGCTCAAAAGCAAGGAGGCGTTGTGCAGGCAATGAACATTGTGGGTTCAGGTTGAGAAGGAATCGTTTGCAGCAAGCCCGAATTACCCACGCCACAATTGCTTTGCCGTTTCACGGTCACGTGTGTATGGACCTACAAGTGACGACGCGGATCTGCTTCCATCTTCGCTTCCCTTGGCGCGTCTCGAATCTTGTCCAAAACGTCCATCGCGATGTCCTCGACGGCGACGAAGACAAAGTCAGACGTAAAGGTGCTGAAGGGGCAAGAAGGCGCGTCCGTCTTATGCTAGCGCCCATCAAGCCATCTGAACCAGGCGTGCAGCGGAGGATGCTGTCCTAGCATACATCAAGCAGGTGCGCGGCGCATATATCCAGTCAATTTATTGCTCACACACACTCCATAGATGAACAGACCCTTCGGGGCCGTCGACGTATCCGCTAACCTCAAGGGCGCCGTCACGAAGCCTCTGACGCAGAAAATCCTGGCAGCGCTAGCGGAGAAAGGAGAAATCGTGCAGAAGACATACGGTGTGTCTTGACAGTGAATCATGTCCTTGCGAGGCTAACGCTCATGCTCAAGGGAAGATGAATTACTATGTCGCCGATCAGTCAAAGCTGGAGACGCTGCCGCAAGAGAAGATCGCAGAGCTTGAGAAGCAGCTAAAGACGACCGATGAAGAGCTCAAAGCCGCGGCCGGAGATTTACGACTAGCCACCAATGGTACTGTTCGCTCGTCAGTCTGATTAGTTGCGCCTGACAAGGATTTCCTAGAGCTCACAAAGATAAAGTCGACACCCAAAGACGATGAGCTGGACGTACAGATCGCGGACATGACCTCGCAAGTCCGTCTCTATGCTTCCTTCTCAGACCCGGTTCAGTGACTTTGCACACGTCAGACATCGAAAGTGGAAGCGCACCTCAAAACCCTACGCGCGGGCACGACGCTCATCTCCGCCGAAGAGCTGGCCAAGATCGAGGCCGAGTGGGGTAAATGGCGCAGCGAATGGGTGCGCAGGAAGAAGATCTTCATCACGTACGTTCATGCTCTGTGTTTCTCACCGTCAGAGATGGATGTTGACTGACGATCTGCGTACTTCTTCGGAATTGGCGGTATAGATTCTGGGCCATCATCTCCGACTCGATGACGCCGCAGGAGGCAGAGATTGTCCAGGAGGACCTCGGGATCGAGCGAGACACACCAGAGCATGTCAAGTTGGAGAGAAGCGCGCTTTGCCAGCAGAAGATGGTACCAGCGAAGCGGAAGCGGTAGACCGGGCCAGGTGGCGTAGCAGTCAATCGTTGCTTGCTGGGACTCTTGCTTCATTACTTATTGTTGATCGTGCTTTTGCTTTTGCTCCTTGTTGCTTCGTGCGCTTTTCCCTAGTTAGACAATACAATCATATATACAAAGTCTGGATGGAGCTATCAGCTCCTTTCGCCGCATTGTGCAGAACAAGCCTTACTCAATAAATTATCCCCTTGATCATGGATGACAGGCCCTAACGCTTCCGTGGTGACAGTGTCTCCTCTGAAGGCTGCACCATCCGTTCCTTGCGCTGAATCGTACTCGGCCAGGTTCCAGAGCTGTTCAACGAGTTTGTGGAGGACTCGTATCGCAGCTTCGGGTTGTGTGTAATCCCGTACAGCGGGGGCTCAAGAACTCCTGTCGTTTCAGCCATAGGAGATGGGGATCCTATGCAGGCGCGTATGAGCCGGACATTGTATGGCGAGAGGGACAGCGCAGACGTACTGGGGTCAACATAGAGCGGCTCGACGATGGCATGACCACTGCGCCTTCGTCGGTGCCAAAGTAGGAGTCCGAGAGCAAAAAGGAGAAGCGCCGCGCCTCCGAAGGTTCCACCAACGATGGCACCTATCCTGCCATTCCCTGAGCTATCACTTGCTGAGTTCGCTAATTGCGTCGACGTCGGAGAAGCGCTCAATGACGGCGGGGTCATGCTGAAAGGAAGGGTCGATGTTGTACCAGTGCTTGCCGAGGACCACGCGCTGACGGATGTCGTACTTTGCTCGTCTGGGGCCCTCCCCACCTGATAGACCCGAAAGCTATCGAGGAAGACTTCCGCCGTGCCAGCCTCACGGACACCCGCGGAGGCATTGATCGCCTGACCGGTGAGGACGCTTGGGTTTCGAGATCAGTCGTGTGCGTGTCGTGTCGGGACAGGAGATAGACTGACTGCATCTCATCTGTATCCCCGAGTACGTCCGAGGACCAGAGTTCGTCGTCGTACAGGACATAGCCCGGCTTGATGGCCTCAAGAGTGACCAGAGCCGAAGGGCCCTCGTCGATGCTGAAAGCGAACTGTACACCGCCGGATCGCTCGTTCCTCGTCTGAGAGCTCGCGGATGAGTATCCAATGGGATTCGCGGCGGCTGATATCAACGTACACCTCTCACATTGATTTTGTGGCCTGAGAGAGTGTCAAGCATCAATAGCAATTCAGAGAATCTTGAACGTACCGTAGAAATGGACTTCGAAGCTGGAATTGTCGTTGCGCGGTGCAGAAGTCGTGGAATCGTACTGCGAGGCCGTACCCATCTTGTTCCAGTCGCCGGAGTAGGTCACATTCAGGGCCCGGTCATCGAGGGTCACGTAGTTGCTCATCGTGCGCGAAGGGGGCCACGGGCCGGGGAGAGAACTTGGGGACTCGAAGGTACTCACGCAGAAGCGGTCATCTGTATATGTATTGCGCCTTATACTCTATCATGGATGAGCTCTCGCCGAAGATCCGGTACTCTTTGGAGGCTATACAGTCCGCTTGGTCTTGATCCAACGTGGATTAGGCAGAAGATATAGTTGTAACAGATTCGACTGATGCATCGTCGCCCTCTGTCAGCATAGACCACCCAGAGTGTATGTGATACGTCTGCATGTTGATTGAGGGAGATATGTTTGTGAGTGAGACACTATCATGAAGGTGATCAGGTCAGAGCCAAGTCACGGCGGTAGAGGTTCCGGTGTAGTATGTTGCGGCGTTCCCCACGAAGTCAGGTCAGGAAGCTCTGAGGCTGCGCAGCTTTCGAAGTGTCGCTGATCAGAGCACTTAAAGATCTCATGCTGACATTTGAAGAGATACGAGTGCCTTCGAGCTGCTATGACCGAAGCATGCGCGACATATGGCGATGGACGGTAGTGAGAAAGGCTGCAGATGTGACATGTGACACAGTAACAGCAACTCGAACTAGCACGTGCCTTAAAGTTCAAAGGAGAGCACATCGACTCGAGTTCAAGTCCAAGTCGGTGTCGTCCAGGCGCTTCTTGCGCTCTGAGAGTGTGTCTAGCAGAGATCATCATCGCATAAAAGTCAATAAGGATATCCCATAGATCAAATACGATCCAATCCAAGGAGAGGGAGGACAACAACATGCCCGAACTGGTAGCCCATATGTACATCGCCCGAAGTACAGATGGCACGTATGATTAGCGACAGATGGCCCGACTTGCGAGGATGGATGAGTATATGTACAGTGGTAGGTAGGTTACAGCGGGTCATTATAGCTAAGGATGAGTACACATATACCGGAGGCGGGAGTGGGTGGCGTAGGGTGGGCGAGAAGCAATTCTAGCCGAAAGGTACAGCCAGGAGAGGTGGGCAAAGAGTAGTTAGGAAGGGAGCCGAAAGAATGTCATCGTTAGGTTCGTAACAGTTAGGACTCATAAAAGGGTGTCTCAAGGGCAATCGTAGCCCTTAGTCTTTGTGAAGGGAGGAAACAGCCGACGAGGGCTTGGGTGCTAGAAGAGAATGTAAGAATGGGTATCATATTCGGGCTGGGCTCACGCACTCCCGCCGTCCTCGGGCTTCTCAAAGGCGTCGCTGGGCACCTTGACGAGCTCGGCGCCCGTGAACGCCTTCTGCTTGCCCTTGTCCTTTTTCTTCTTCGACTTCTTCTCACTGGCGCCGAGGAACGGGTTGTCGCCCTTGCTCAACGTCGCCAGCGAGGTTGTCGACTGAGACGCCTCGCCGCCCTCGTCCGGCGTCTTCAGGTTCGAGTTGCTGCCTCCGCCGCCGAACAGCCCGAACCACTTCTTGCCCTGCTCGGGCTGCTGCACCTCGTGCGCATCCTCTTCGCCCTCGTTGATGACGTTGATGTCCGGATTGCGGTCATCCGCGTCCGACATGTTGATCTCCTCGCCATCGCCTGCGAAGGGGTCCTCCTGGTTTTGGTCGTCGTCGGAGGTCTGCTGCCTCTGCCGGCGACGGCGGCGGAAGAAGTCGCGCTCGGAGGAGTTGCCGAACATGTTGTTACCGAGGCCGACGCGGATGCTGCTGGACGAGGCCTTCGCCTTCGCCCCGAACTTTCGGACGCCGGGCGGGAGCCAGCCGCGCTAAGGACGAGATAGATTAGCAGACGTCGTACGATATGATGGGCATTCGCACCTTCTTCATGGCCTCCTCCTCATTGATGAGCTCCTGCTCGATCTCCTCTGCGGTGCGCACGCGCGGCGCAGGGGGCTCCGACGAGATGCCGAAGATGTACTTGAGCGCCTGAATGCGACCGCCCTTTGGCGGGGGCTTCGGCGGACGCTCGACCTCGCTGGCATCCTCCTCGCCGTCGGTCGTCATTCCCGGCGAACGAGCGCCGAGCCCGCGACGTTTGAGCCACTCGCGCGTCTGCCCCGTGCCGGGCACGATGCGCGACACGCCACTACGCCCGGACATGCCGCTCTTGATGCTCATGACATCGTCGCGGTCGTGCCCGTCGCGCACGTCGAAGGAGGTGATGACACCCTCGCGCATGCGCGCGGCGAAAAACTGCTGCACAAGCACGCTCTGCAGCGACCCGTCGTCTTTCCAAAAGCGGATCTTGGACCAGTTGCCGCTGTTCGGCGGGTTCTCGACGAAGATGCGGGTAGTCATGGTGCGCAGTTTAAGGGTGGGGAGCTGGAGGACGGTCTCGAGGAGGGCATAGTCCATGCCACTGACCTCGTCTGGGGGTAGGCTGAAAGTGCGTGTCCAGCCATGACGCCTGATCGTGGTAGCTGATAAGCGGTGGGAGGGTGGCGCACAGGGATGAAGACTCACAAGGCGATGCAGTTCAGGTTACCCTCGACGTGGCCGTCGTTGTGCGTCCAGTCGGAGCGCTGTGAGCGATTGCTCATTTTCCGGTGAAGCGAAGACGTCTGCAACGAGGACATCGTGGCGAGAGACGGCTTCGGGTCGATGATCGCTTTGACAGAATCTATGGTGACAGCAGGAAGGGGGCTAAGGGATGGAGAAAAGAGAAGGGGGTATCACTGCCACTGTGGGCGGGGCCGGCGGGGGAAGTCGCTGGTCAAAGGCAAGGTCTGCTGCGTGTGCCCGCGCTCCGACATCATTGCGTACCTATATAGTCGTCCTCATGGCAACAATTCACATCAAAGAAAAATTCCAATGCTGGGCGGCGGGGGATTCTTCTTGTTGCTTCTGAATCTAATGCTGATGGACGGAGTATTGTTGCAGAAATGTTGCAGAAATGGACACAGATCGTTGAACGCAGACAACAGCAGTTCTGAGAGGGTCAAAGCCATGGGATCGACATCGCACATGGTCTGCCGGCGGATGTTGCCAATCAGATGCAATCAATGATTTCGAGGAGTGGATCTCCATTTAGAAGGCTTTGTTACGGCGACACTGGGGTTAATTGGGGTCAGTCCGTGTTATGGAATAGTTTCTTGATACAGTAGCAAGTACAGTCGATATGCTCATGTTCTCACTTAGCTAGAGCTGGATCGTGGACACTCGGGATAACCTTCGTTGGCTCCAAGATGTTCTCCAGCAAGAATCTGCCATCTATCGAGGACGTCAGGATGTTGGGAGACGGCAGGGCGTCCACTTACTTGGCATATCGTTGGTATTAGAGCGCCACACTGCTTCGTTGTGATCCTTCGCCACTCCGCTGAGGACATGGCGCTTGACTAAACGCTTCTCTGCCTCCTCGAGCGAGATCTCGATGAGCCATCGCTCGTCGAGCAGCCTGCCAGCCTGACACCACGGTTCCACCGAAAGATAGATGTAAAGGCCTTCGATAATGACGATGCGGTGATGAGGATGGATGGCAACTGCATGCGGGGTGGGATCCTTGACGGCGTGGTCGAAGGATGGTGCCGTGATCACGCCCGTAGGTTCTTGCCTCAGAGCGCGAACGAACGCGACGTAGGAATCCCCATCGAAGGTCCAGTGCGCACCCTACTACGATGCTCATCAGGAAGACCTATTAGGTGAGCGAAGTAGGACGCACTCGTTTGTCGTGCGCGAGCTTTGGGTCGGACATCGCGTCCAGCTGCGCTCGGGTGAGATGCCAGCCGTCCAGGCCGACCAGGGTTGCCTTCTCATCGCGGGCTTCGAGCAAAGCGTTGGTGTATCGGTTCACCAGCACTGCAAATTCACTCTTCCCGCTCGCAGGGATACCTGCGATGCCGACTAGAAGACGGTTGGGTGCAGGTACGCTGTAAGGGCGCTCAGCGACGTGCTCAACGTCCATGCGACGCCTCTAAATTCACCTCTGCAACTTATCGACCAGATAAGCGGCAGACGCCCTTGCCTCAGCGTCCATTACGAGTGTGAGACAAACGGCGATGAATGACAGTTCGAGACAAGTCGCAGCAGCCATGCAAACCGCGCGCTGCGCGCTTCGACGTCACGGCCGGCGCTCATAATTCATACCACACCTTGTCTTGAACCGTCATCATGGCCACTGCTTCATGTTCGACGACGACCGCAGATGGGAAAATTTTGAGAAGGCGCGTCTATACCTCACTCGCACTCGTGAGGATGCTAAGATGCTGCGTCCAGAGCAGATCCCGGGACGATCAAGGACAAGTTCATGGTAGGCTATCAGGGGTGGTTTACCTGTGCTGGCGATGGGGAGCCGGTTCATCGAGGTACGTAGTTTGACTATTGCGCTTGCATTTCGCTAATAGGACGCTGTAGGTCATCACGGCTGGCTGCACTGGTTTAACTACCCTATCCCTCACGGCGGGCGACCCAACACAGATCTGTGGCCCGAAGTATCAGAGTACTCGCCAGAAGAGCTCTATCCTGCACCAGGCCTTCATTTCAGCAATGGAGAGCAAGCAAAGCTATTCTCCTCTCGTCACCCGCGCACCGTACAACGGTACATGAACTTCTCATCCGCCACATCAATGAGCTCATGGCCACCTCACAGGCACTTCCATTGGATGGCCGAGCACGGCGTCGACGGCGTCTTCTTGCAGCGCTTTGCATCGCATTGCGCCGAGGGGAAAGAGGACCTCCGCCGCATGCGCGATGAAATAACCATCCGCGTGAGGGAGGCGGCCGAGAAGGAGGGAAGGGTGTTCTCTATCATGTTAGTGGCAAAAGAGCGCCTTCATCTCATCCTCGCTGACACGGACATAGGTACGATGTGACAGGAATGGCACCGGATCGTATAGAAGGCATCATTAAACACGACTGGGCACACCTCGTCCACGACCTAAACATCCTCGAGAGCCCGAATTATCTTCGTGATAGGGAACGCCCTGTCGTTGCGCTCTGGGGTATGTTATGCCGAAGTCAATCTCATTTGTGCTCACACGTCTGCCAGGCTTCGGCTTCGACGGGGGCAAGTTCGACCCCAACACCGTGCGCGACATTAGCCACTGGCTACGCCACTTTACTCCAGGCGGCGCCTACCTCTTCGGTGGCGTCCCAACTTGCTGGCGCACGGCCGACAACGATGGTGACAGGAATCCTGACTTCCTGAAAATCTTCCTTAATGAGTTCGATGCAATCTCGCCATGGCTTGTCGGACGGTTCCGCACCGAGGAGGACGCGACACGCTTCGCGGAAAATCGAATGAAGGACGATGTTACGCTCATCAATGAGACGAATGAGGAGTTTGCGAAGCATGGGGTCGACCGGAAGATAGACTATGTCCCAGTTGTATGGCCAGGATTCTCGGTGAGGGAGCAGCTAGATCTGCAAAGAAAGGGACTGAAGGGCTATGCATCAGGGCCTCAACCTCTCCGAGGGCAAATGGCAGCTGAACATGGTCAAGCGGAATGGAGGACGCTTTTTGTGGCAACAGATCGTCAATGCGAAGCGGCTGGGCGTCCGTATCCTGTATGGCGCAATGTGGGATGAGTATGTCTATCAACCCTCAAACTTTCGATCATTCGTCCTAAGCCGAGCTCACAGATACGACGAGGGCACTGCGTTCCTCCCCGTAGTTGAGAAGTCACGGAACCTGCCCAAAACCGAGGACGATAAATTTCAGTTCCTCGCTTTGGACGCAGACGGTTATGACCTTCCGAGCGATTGGTACATGCGTATTGCAGGCTTCGCGGCGGAGGCCTTGAGGAGCGAGAGGATGGTGCATGACTCGTTCCCGGTCAAGGAGCTGCAAGACTACTGGGCAGGCAGGCCGAGATACGAGAGCCCGGCGAAACGCCGCGAGACCCTGGATATGATTGAAGGAGCAGGCGCGTCCGGGTCGGGTTTTGGTGGAGGCGGTGGCGGAAGTGGTGGCGGGCAGTCATACGAAGAGTGGCTGGCCGCCAACAAGGAGGTCAAGGACGAGGCGCCGCCACCGCCGTATACCTTGGAGGCCGAAGATGAGCCGGCTGGTGCAGGCTCTGCGGAGACTATCGTCCCGCAGCCGGGGACAGCGACGCAAGGAGCATCGAATGCGTCGTTTCCACAGGTTGCTCCTGCAACTACGAGGCCTAGTGCATCTCCACCACCCTCTGTGCCTGCTGCTACGCGACCCTTGCAGGCAGATCCTGTGAGCGCCTCGATCAATGCTCTCGCGGACGACCTCGCTCGTCAAGACTTGGCCGGCGCTTCCGCGTACTACAACTCGGCGCCTGCACCACCGCTGAGCACTTCGCCTCAGCCGAACATGCCACCGCGCCCGAGCATGTCCCCGCAGCCCAGTTTGCCGCCTCGTCCTAGCACGTCACCACGTCCTACTAGTAGCACTTCTCCCCGACCGCCCGCACCCCCCATGCACCCGGCGCACCCTGGTTCTGCGAGTATATTGCCTCGGCCGCAGGGGCCGTATCAGCCGCCCCCGTCACATCCAGCGAGGCCGGCCAACACGACTCGTCCGACGCCACCTTTAGCTTCAAGACCGTCTGCATCTGCTTTGCGTCCGCACCCAACGAGCGCTTCTCGACCTCCGCCGCCGCCTGTCGTACGGCATGACTCTCGCCCGGGAAGCTCACATCAGCCTGATTTGCCGGCGCGTCCCGGGGGACATCGCCCGCCACCAGTATCAGTGTACCCAGGAAGCCCAACGCATTCGACGTTCGCAGTGCAGGGCTCGTCGAGCCATTCGCTGCCAACTAGTCCGCATGCCATACCGAGCGGTCCGGGTGGCATGGCCGGTGTTGGCACGGGTCAGTTATCGTACATGCATAGTGCGCCGCCCATGGCGGGCTCGTCGTCTCTGCCCGCATCTTCTGGACCAGGCTCGCTGTCGTTCCCGACGGCCATGGTGGGCGCGAGCGATAATCTCAGTCCAGTTTTTACACCTCCAGTCATGCCGCACTCGCCAGGGTCGCGTCCTTCGTCACCTTACCATAGCGGCTCCTCATCGTTTCAAGCCTCTTCGCCGTATCAGGCGGCATCGTCGCCATATCAGTCAAGCTCGTCATCGTACCAGCCCTCGTTATCATCGTACCCTTCGTCACCGTACCAGCCGGGCTACATGAACAACCCTCCACCGGCCAGTCCCGCATTTGGAGCGGCAGGGTCGAGCTATCCCGGGTCCTCCTCAACGTCGACCTACCCAGGGGCATCGACGTATCCTGGCCAAGAGGCAGGATCATCCCAATATCCAAGCCTGGGGTCAACCTCGCAGTATCCTGGTGGTCCTGCACCTTATGGAGGTCCGAGCGCGCCTCCAGCTGGCTACGGACACACCGGTGGCTCGTCGTACCCGGGGATGCAACCAACACCACCTGGCGGCTCATCGTATCCGGGCGGGCCGAGTGGGAGCTCCCAACCGGAATTGCCCTACGTACCATACCGTCAGTTACCCACTCCTCATCTTTGGGGTGACGCTGCGTATCCGTACTGAGACGATCTCCGATTTCCAGGCCACCACCATGCAGCAGCCAGTCCCAGCCCTGCCAATGTTCCTGCAGCTCCCGGCACCCCTGCCCCTCCGCAAGCACAGCAATCGACTCCTGGAGGATCAAACTACGTGAATTACGCTCTTGATGCTGTGGACAAGTTCGGTGGACGCAAAGCACGAGACCGCGTGGATAGCGTGATGACTAGTGAGCTGTTACTGCTGTCGATGATCCTGGTCTCGCTGATGACATTGCTAGCGGGGAGCAAGTTGCTCGGCAGGTTTACGAAGTGAACGCGCATGGCACGCATCTAAACCAGTTATTTCCTGTCTTGGATCTTTTCTGAACGAATATAGTATCATTTACCTCTGCTGTCGAAGGCTTTGAAGCAAGTATGAGCGACTACGTGACCCTTGATGGTCAGGCCTTGAATGTCACGATGGCTGGGTCGTATCTTGCCACTAGACAACGCAATAGACAAAAACTAGGTACCATGCTCTCGTTCATCCACTCTTCAAAATCTAAACAGCGTTGGACCTCGCTTATCATGCCGTGCCCTTGATCAAGTCGACCGCCCGCTCCGCGATACCCGTCACCGTTGCTTGAAGGTGTGCGGAGACGTGCAAAGGGATCACGGATGCGTCGACAATACGCAGGTTCGTCGTTCCATATATGCGCAACTGAGGATCGACAACACCGCCTCGTCCGTGAGGCAGCATGCTGGCTGTGCCGATGGGGTGATATTCTGAGGACAGCTGCGCCTTGACGTACTCGCGAAGATCCTCGCCTTTCGCGGGCAGAAGCTGCTTCATGGTCAGGTTCGCATATACGTTCCCCTTTGCTGCAATGCATTCAGCATGGTGGACTGACGTTGTCGAGCGATGTCATACCTATGTTGAGCGCCCATCGAACCCCTGCGGCATGCAGGTCCAGGTCGAAGTCGACATCGAAATAGTTGGGCTTGATCGTAGGGTAGACGGTCGGGTCGCTGCTGTTGATGTGAACAGAACCTACAATATATCAGAGGTCTACAGCCCGAAAGATTATTACTGGCGAGCACGCACCTCGACTCAAGGGATGCTGGTTCGCGATCAAGAAGGACATGTACGTCTTCCCCTCCTCTGCCTTGTAGGTACCAGCGGTATCGCTCGTGATGAGTTCTATTTGGCCCACTGACTCATTCCTCAAAAGCTCCACATGGGTAGCCAGAACGTCTGCGTAGATAGAGCCGTTCTGGGACTTCGCATATGCCTCCACTTTCGCTGATATCTTCGCTGCACGACCTTCGCCAACCAATTGAGGAAGGTTAAGGTAGGCGATACCGCGCGGGCCGAGGTCGTACATGCTGAGCTGGTGTTGGTGCCACAAAGCGAGCTGCTCTGCAGCCAGCGTCGCGTTGGTAGCAAGTGCGCCACTTGTGACGGTGTCGTTCCGGATTTCGTAGGTTATGTATACGACGGCTAGACAGTGTCAAAGGGCGCCAAAAATCACTTGAAAATGATGGCGTACTGTGGTCTTGTAGGTTTTCACCGACGGGTAAGTCCAAAATTTGCTCGACGCCCGCCCTGGGGACATTGAGCTGCAGTGACTGAATGTGATATTCAGACTCACGCTGCTAAAACATCTCTCTGGCCGATGCCCGACAGCTCAAGGATCTGTGGCGTGCTGAGGATATTATGTCAATACAAACAACTACGTCCTCGCTGACCACCAACGTACTTGATTGCACCAGCGCAAAGGATGACTTCTCGTTCGACAGTTACATTGTAAACCTGCCCCCCGTTCACGTATGTCACCGTCTTCGCCACAAGCCCTTGCTCGGCGCCTGGGCTGTCAAAATTTACGCGGTTCACCAGAGCGCCAGTAAGGAGTATCAGGTTCTCGCGCGCCTCGTTAGGATAGTAGCGGGCGGGTGCACTGTAGTCGCGCGTCATGTTGTCGGGTCGGATGTTCGACGGGGTAAGGTTTACCCCTACGATGTTTCCACCGTTGGGTCGATTGTTAGTGGGGATACCCAAAGCGTTTAGCGCAGCGACCCAAAGGTTGGTAACCGGCCAGAAGTAGTCGCCGAACGAGACGTGCACGGGACCGTCGGTGCCGTAGTCTGACGCGCTAGGTTGGACGCCCAACGCTTCAGCCTCTTCTGGCGCGAGCGAGGTGAAGTTAGAGGCCTTCTTCGCGTACGAAGAGATGCTGTCCCAGTTCCAACCCGGATTGCCAAGGCGTTCGAATGCATCGAAGTCCGCCGCAGAGGGAAGGTCCCAAACAAGGAAGTTGAGAGCAGAGGTGCCTGTCGCATACCGAACGTTAGACGATGTACAGGACTGGAGAAGATACACTTGCCTCCCACAACCTTTCCGCGCGGCCAGTTTATACTCTTGATATCACCCTTGGCCTGCGTTGTGTAATTCCAGTCGTATTGCGTGCCCAAGTCCGCGCCATACTGGTTTTTTTCAGCTAAAGTCCTCGGAGCCTCATGCTCACGCACCAATCCCGGGACGTCGATGATATCCACATTCTTCGCTGTCTCCCCCGTTTCGAGCACGCCGACTCTGACAGAAGGGTCTTCACTCAGTCTCGTTGCTACCTGCGCTCATCAGCCCCATGGATCTTGAGGCTCAAAAGAGAACGTACGACCAATCCCGCCGTGCCCGCGCCAATGACGAGGTAGTCGAAAGGTTGTTCTGAAAACTGTGCGCCATCCTGGATCGTTACGCAACCAACGATAGAGGCAAATATGAGCAGAGAGAGGAGATTGACCCGCATATAGTGTTGGTCAATCAAACTGATGACTCGCTTATATACCGGGACGTCGAAGCGGGGTCCTGGTCCATTGCCGATGAAGCAGCCTATATAGGCTCCTTGTTATAGGTGTCAGACAGGATGATGCCCGAAGGTATACATAGAGACGGCCATGAAGCGGAGGAGCCAACGCTGAAGCGAAAGCAGCCTGTGACCGTCAGGCACTCATCGTATTCAAAGGAGCAAGTGCTACGTAAACCGACCTGTAGAGTTTAGCGATTAGCCGGTGCACAACCGAGCACCCCCGTTTACCGTACATGCAGCATCCTTGAGCCCCCGGATAGCTCATGCCAGCGACGCCCGTATGCCGACCCCATTCGCCTCTGGGGGAAGTGGAAGCTCGCCGCTGCGATCGTCCACAAAGGCACTATATCTGTGTAGAGTATGAGCCACCGTCCGAATACGAATTCCGTCGCACTCACATCCGAGCCAACCGCGCTTGTTCTTCTGGCGCGACCGATGGGCGGGCGCTTCGCAGTACACGTCGGATGTGCTCCTGTGTAACGAGATGCTAGAGTTGACATCAGCGCGATGCCGGCGAGATGGACAAGCGCTTGTCAACTACCTTGTCAGGCAGTTCTGCCCTGCCCTTCCCTTTCCGACTGGTTGATTCCGGGCGTCGCGTCTTCGCCCGTATCTGTTGCAACTGCTCGCGTATTAGGTCATTGCATCGGCTACAGAGACGTGGAAAGCCTACCCGTCGCTGCAAGGCCATTTGCTCTGCCTTACTGGCCACGCCAACACCCGCACTGCCGATGATCTTGTACTCTACTGACGCCTCGTCGGCAGCAGCCGAAGACCGTTCTACGGCAGGACCGCGGGCGATAGACTCGTGTACGGCTTCCAAATGGGCGTTATAGAGCAGCGCTTGGAGGTCAGCTCCCGAGAAGCCCTCTGTAGCTTCGGCTGCATGCTGAAGGTCCACTTCGGGGGCCAACGCGACCTTGCGTGCGACAGCAGAGAGGATCTGATTATCACGTCAGTTAAAGCGCACCATATACCAGCGCAATACCCACGTCTTTCCTCTCTTCTGCCGTCGGCATGTTGCAGAACACAGATTTATCCAGACGACCCGGTCGTAGTAGAGCAGAGTCAATCAGGTCCGGACGACTAGAAGGTCTTCAGTAATGCAACCAACCGAAGCGAGCGGAGCTGACCTCGTTGCCGCAAGAACGTAGACTCCTTCCAAGCCCTCAGCGCCATCCATCTGCGTAAGCATCTGGTTCACGACACGGTCGGTCACTCCCGTGCTATCATGTCCTCGCTTCGGCGCAATCGAGTCGAATTCGTCGAAGAAAAGTACGCAGGGCTTGGCAGCCTGCGCTCTCTCGAAGAGCTCGCGAACCTGTAATCACCAATGTTAGGCTTGCTCGAACCAGCTGCGCGGGAGGAGTCAACTAACGGATTTCTCGCTTGCACCAATATACTTGTTTAGAATCTCCGGCCCCTTCACGCTAATGAAGTTCAGGCCGCACTCCTTCGCTACAGCCGAGGCTAGGAGCGTCTTCCCGCAACCCGGATAGCCGTAAAGCAATAATCTAGCCTCTCGTCAGCATGGACGTCTTCCTTTTACACCAAATCCTCAACTCACCCAGACCGTAATCTGAGCGGCGACTGCGCAAATATCGGCCCATACTTCGTCGGCCACTCTAGCGTCTCGCGCAAGATGCGCTTTGTGTCGCCCAGCCCGCCGATGTCCGCCCACGCGGTCTCCGACTTCTCGAGCTTCACATCGCGCAGGGAGAGCGGGGTGAAGCCCTTGTGCGCTTCCTCAAAGTCGGCGGAGGTGAGCACCTGGGGGTCGATGGTGTCAGTCGTTACCGTACTAGCTACGGGAGAAATGTGCACTACCGTATCCTCCTTATCCTTCGACCTCATCGCCGCCTGATGCACCGCGCGCGCGACCAGGTCCTGCAAGTCCGTCGCCAGGTAGCCCTCCGTCTGCATCGCCAGCGCGGTGTAGTTCAACGGCGCCTCCGCGTCCTCGCTCAGATCTGGGGTCGCCCGCATTCGGTCTTCGACAATTCTTGACAGGATCTGCGGGCGTGTTAGCATCACGAATATGTTAGCATCACGAGTGTGTAGCCTGGGCTACAAAAAATCGCCCCCCCCCCCGAAAATCACCCCACTCACCATCTTCCGCCCCTCCTTTCCCGGCGGCATCACGTTCACCGTCTCCGCAAACACCTGAGACTGCATCAGCAGCGGGTGCAGCGCCGCGCTCGACGAGGCCGTCGCAATTAGTAGAACCCCTCGCGAGTTGAGGGGCGCGGCGCGCGCGGCGGGGGCGAAGCGCGCGAGGAAGAGCTCGACGATGTGCCGGGCGCGGAAGGATGCGGTGTGCTGGGCAATTGAGTTAGCATCGCATTGCATAGCGTTCGATGCAGTGCAGCAGAGCGTAAGAACTGAGCAAAACGGCCAGAACACTCACCTCCATCTCCGCCCCCAACAACTTATCCACGTCGTCTAAGATCAGAATGGCCGGTCGATGCCACATCGCCTTGTCAAACCAGTAGTCGAACTGGGCCTTGATTGCGGAGATGGGTTTCTCGGAGATGGCGGACGCGTCGGCGTAGAGGGTGTCTAAGGGGGGGGGTGAGTTGGAGGTTAGTAGAGGTGGGTGAGTTGAGAACTGGTAGGGCAGCATTGCACTCGTGAGCGCGTTGCAGGACGTACAAGTCAGTAATGTTTGGTCATATTCAAGCAAGCGAGCCACAGCGCGGACAATGGATGTCTTGCCCGCACCCGGGCGTCCGGTGAGGAGGAGGCCAGTGACTACAAAGTATCCAGTAAATATCAAAATTCGAACATCAGTCACAAGTGTTACATACCCCCATGAACAGCCGCAGCCGTCGAGTGCAGAACAAAGTTATGCCGCGCAAAGTCGATGCACTTGTTGATGATCTCGTCGACGCCGGCGAGGCGTTGGGCTGGTGGTGAGGGTTTTGAACTTGAACAATTTTAGCTGGTTGATAGTTGTGCGAAGAAACGAGGACTAACGGGTGTTCGGGAGGCTTCAAGGATGTCGAGAGCGTCGCCGATGATGGGTCTAGGGATAGTCTGACAGAACTTTCATCAGTCCCTCGTCGCTCGCTGGCCAAGACCAAAACCAACCTAACCATGTCCCATTCCTCGATCCCATGCGTAAGCACAGGCAGCACAATGCTACGATCCGGTATCCCATCCAGCACACCAACATATATGGTCTCCGCATCGTCTTCGCTCTTCTCCTCAGTAACAGCTTCCTTCCCGGCGGAAAGTATGCGAGGCGCAGGAGTAGCATCATTAGAGGTCGAAGGCCCAGCAGACGGGTCCACTGGTGGCGATAGACGCTTCACGCGGGCCTTCTTGTAGAGTCCGCCTGGACTGTCAGCTCCCGCATCCAATTTCCTAAACGTCGACTTCGACACATAGCCCAAGAGCTCGGGGCCGCTGTACTCGGGAGTAGGAGCGGTTAGGCGCGAGGGGAGGACGCGAAGGAGGGTTGACTTTGGGTGCGTTTGGGGTTTGGAGGACGTTTCTGAGGAGGGTTCCGCCGGAGCACGACCTTTGGTCGAGGCAGCACCCCTGCGGTGCGGCTTGGGCGCGATGCTGATCTCGGTGTCGGTGGTGAGGAGCGCGGCGTTGGTCTTGGAAGAGACGTCGAGGGAGCCTGAGGAGATGATGAGTGGGAGGGAGAAGGAGAGGGGATTGTTGTATAGATATGGCGGGTTACGCACCGACAAGCAAGCGTACGCGGGTGCGCCCTAGCACCCAGACGTCGATCTCCTGGCCGACTTTGGCTACACGGACTTGGGAGAGGAGTGTGGATTCGACGTGCCCAGCGTGGAGTTCCTGGTGAGACAAGTGAGTGTTCGTACAGGAGAGAAATAGCTTGAATATGCGCACAATAATTTCCCAGTCGTCCGAGCTCACAGGCTCGGTGCCTACGGACTTGGCGAACGGAAGGTCGTGTAGAAGACCGATCTCTACCTATGCACACACAGTCAGCTTCTGCAAGGCACAAATACAGCGCTCACCTACCAAGGATCCCTGCGCCAGCCCGAGGTCCTGAGCGAACTGCGGGTCGATCTCGATCGTCTCAAAGCTCGAGGACGAAGAACCGGCATTGAAGTGGGCAAGGGACGATGCAGATGCCATACCAGTCCATCCCACAAATGCCTCCACCTTGCCATTCTTGCTCTTGCTCCCTTCCTCTTCGACTAGGGTAAGGTGGACTGCGAGACTTTGCGGGCGCTACACAGAACGCGATCGGGTGAGTCTGGTGGTCTCGCTCTCGACCTGTGCATATACTTACGACAGATTTCTGCAGCAAGGGTCCATAAATAGAGAGGGGGAGGTTGACCAAGGAGGACTTGAGGGGGACGAAGTGTACTCGGGCGCGTCGAGGCATAGGATGTGGAAGTACGCGGCAAGGAGCGCGCCGTGCGGGGAAGGCGGACTCAGAATCACATGGACGCGTATCCGGGGATGCAGATCACGGGGATCAAATGGCCACGTGCAAAGTCGAACCTCCGATCTTCTGGCCAAGTTCACGCTGGAGTAGCCTCAGTCCCCGTGAAAAGATTGCTTAGCATTCCAAATCTACCAGGTACATTTTGTAAGATCCTGAGAGCAAATGAGGGGGCCTGAGGAGGCTAGCTGACCTAGACTCACGTGACCGCGCGGCTGCCCACAAGCACGCCATCGTTCGCCATCGGGCGCGTCGACGTATAAAGATCCTTCTTTGCAATCGAATTCCTGCTCTTCCCCTCCATTGCCTGGTCTCACGATGGATACTCCTCGAACGGAACGTGGCAGCGCAGCAGCCTCGCTGGCCTCTACATCACACGCGTTCCGTTTGACCGAAGGTACTGCGCAAAAGCAGTTGTCGACTTCCATTGTTGCAGGTGCGTGTATTCGTCGGTCTGGCCAGGTCCTTCTGCTCACCCTCATCTCTATCTTTCAGCTCTGAGGTGGACTTGACTGCTTTGTCTCTGCTCGCCCTCTCCCCGCATCGATGAGCTCTACGTCACTCCCGCACCACCCTCAACGACACCGATCCAATCTACTCTACACCCCATCCTTCCTCGTGCCTCACTACGTGTCAACCACCCCAACACGCTTGCTGGCTATCGCCCTCTTCGCGCCACGTCCCCTCGATTGCCGGCACGCGCCTTATCGTACGACTTCGAGGTCGCGAATCACCGACCTCCACGTCGTCCGTCCCGGATCCTTACGCGCTCCCCTCGCCACCTGAGCTGTTATCTGACGTTCCCAAGACGTCCTCTGTACCTCACAACGCATCTTCCATCCCCCGCCAAGCATATGGAAGCTCCTCGCGGCACTTTCGCTGGCAGTTACCGCGGTCTACCATTCTGGATGGTCCGAACAATGCAGCGATGCGCGACCCAACTCGGTCTCAATTACGAAGTCTTTCGACCAGCGTCGTTAGAGCTCCTGCCGCATGTCCAATGCGCCACGACAGCGGTACCCTCGGTGAGCGAACTGGCTGGATTCGATCTATCATTACGTGCGTCCAGTATGTGTAGACAGTATAAAATGCAGTTTGCGTTCCCCATCTTCCACAACGCATCCCCTGCCGTTCTCGAACCCAAGCTAGCAAGAATCAATCGCGACAATGTCCGCTACACTCTCCAGCCTCCCCGCCGTGATGGCGAATTTCCTGCCTTCTCACTCGAATTTCCTGCCCTCTCACTCGAAGGAGGAAGCCTCTCCGGCGGCGTCTTCGGATGCGAGCGAGTCGCGCTCGGTCTCGCCGGTCGCGTCGGAGTCCTCTTCTACATCCACTCGCTCGGATGTGCTCAGCGCCTGGCCTCAGACTTGGGCCAAGGTCGTACGCGGACAGGCGACCCCGTCGTCTCTGAGCGCCTTGTTCGATGCGGAAGCGAAGGACGGGGTGCTCGGAATCGTGTACGGTGATGCTGAGGATGAGGATATCCCTGCCAATTCCTCGACGGACCTGAAGAGTCTGCCGGTACGCAACAGATTCCTTTGCTCCTGGCGAGGTTCCCATGACTGACGCCCTCCCCAGCCCTACATCTCCACCACCCCCACCGAGGCGACTATCCAAAGCTTCATCTCGGCCGCGGGGCTGCGCGCTATCATCTCCTTCCCCTCGCCCTCGGGCAAGCAGAGCTTCCACGTCATGGAGCGGCCCCGCGTCGCGTTCGCGCCCGTCGCGTATACGCCTGGGTTCCCTGCTGAGGGCGGTGTGCTCGATGCGCCGAAGGAAAGCCTCCCGTTACCTACCACCAGCTCCTTCACCACCGGTACGCCCAACGCCTCGACGGCTCCCACCCTCGGCGCCCCGACAGTGCCCATCCTCGGCGCCCCGACCCCGACCCCCACCCCCTCACCCCTCGGCAACATCCCCACCGAGGCCGAATGGCACGCCCTCTGGGCCGCCTGGGACCTCGTCACTCTGTCAATGATCCCGCCCGACATGCTGCACCAGAAGCCGATCGACTTGCGGCACAAGTGCTTGTTCTACATCGGGCACATTCCGACTTTCCTCGACATGCTCCTGAACAGAGCTGTGGGCGGGGGACCTAGTGAGCCGGCGTACTTCTGGAACATCTTCGAGCGGGGGATCGACCCGCATGTGGACGATCCGGACCATTGTCATGTACGTCGGGTTTCTTTCGCACCGACTGGATGGCTGCTGCAATTCCCCGATCAAACAAGCCCGACGCTAACTCCTTCTCTACAGAACCACTCCGAGGTGCCCACCCGCGACGAGGACTGGCCGACCCTCGAGACGATCATCGCTTTCCGCGACCGCGTCCGCGCGCGCCTCATGCGCCTCTACGCCGACCTGCGCGCCGGGCGGGTCGCGCTGTCCCGGAACATCGCGAGGACGCTGTGTTATACGCTCGAGCATGAGGGGTTCCATGTGGAGGTGAGGGTCGGACGGCCTTGGTTTTCCTCGTTGTATAACATTTTCCCCTTCTTGCATACCCTTTCTGCTGATCTCGCATCACTTTCCTTACTTGACCTCATGTGACGATCATCCTCACCCGCATCCCCAGACCCTCCTCTACATGCTCATCCAGCGCGCGGGCTCGGGCACGCTGCCCCCGCCCGGCTTCACCCCGCCACCCTGGGACCTCCTCAAGGCGCAGTGGGATGCCCTGCCTCAGCCCGCGACGTCTACCGTCACCCTTGGCCCCGCGGAGATCACGCTTGGGCACGACGACTCAGAGGGGGAGGATTCCACACGTCAATACAGCGAGCAAGAAATCGTCAACCATGAATTTGGATGGGATAACGAGTCGCCGGCGCGACGCGTGCAGGTCAGCGCGTTCCGCGCGGAGTGGCGGCCCGTGACGAATGGGGAGTTTGAGGTGTATTGGAGGATGGGCGAGGGGAGGGTGCCGATGCCGAAGAGTTGGGTGGAGGAGGAGGGGGAGGTTAAGGTGAGTAGTGTTTGCATACTCACAGTAGGCCTTCGCTCCCGACGAATCCCTCACTCCCAACGAATCGCACTCCCTACGCACCATCCACTCCCAACGCTGACCCGCCTCCCCAGGTCCGCACCATGTACGGCCCCGTCGCCTTCGATGTCGCGCGGAACTGGCCCGTGCTGACCGCCTACGACGACCTCGCTGCGTACGCTGCCAGCAAGGGCGGCCGCCTCCCCACTGAGCCCGAGCTGCGGCTCTTCCTCGACACGTACGACGTCGGGCACGCCGGGGGCGCGAACGTGGGTTTCCGCAACTGGCATCCAGTACCCGCGACTGCAGGACTAGAGTTGGGTGGCGAGGCCTCCACCATCAACGACACCACCACCGCCACCTCCGCCTCCTCCTCCTCGCCCTTCAGCACCGGCTTCACCAGCGGCGCCGGCTCCAACGGCGGCGTCTGGGAGTGGACGAGCACCGCCTTCGACACGCACCCCGGGCTGGCGCCCACCCAGCTCTTCCCGGGGTACTCGACCGACTTCTTTGACACGAAGCACCAGGTCGTGCTCGGCGCGTCGTACGCGACGATCCCGCGCCTCGGGCGGCGCACGGTGCGCAACTTCTACCAGCACAACTATCCGTATCCGTGGGTGGCGGGGCGGGTGGTGTATGATGTGTAGAGGGGTGAGCATGCAGCGGAAAGAGGATGCACAGAGGATGAGGCTGGACCTCAAAAACTTCGTTACGGCTTGTTTTTCCCCGTGTGCTTGTGCTTGATTCTTACTTCTTGTCTCGCGAGTTAATTGACCACCTGTATACTGTTGTAACCAAATCCAATAGATCTTCTCGTACCAGCTACTCGACAGCATCATAGAAGAACACCCTCCACAGTGCCAGCGTGATGTTCGCCACGAACCCGAAGCCTATCCATATTCGCATACTTGTGCTGGACGAGACATTGATTCAACTGCAGCAAGGTAGATCGCAAAGGAGTACTCACGAGAACACGACGCTATCCTGGGATTCCAGCGGGCGGCCATCGTCCCAGAACGCTGCAGGCTGAGGAACGGCGATAAAGAAGAATGGCAGCAAGGGGAAGAAGAAGCCCATGAGGAAGCCTTGCAATGGGGTTGAGCTTGCTGCTGCATTTGCAGGGGTGAGATCTCCGGCTCCCCCGCCGTCCATGGAATCGATCCATTGTTCTTCGAGCGTGCGGGTGTAATCACGGTCTGGAGAGGGTGGTGATGAGCAGGTGAGAGATGTATGCGGTGGTGATGAAAACACACATTCTTCCTCGGTTGCGAAGTCGGTGTCTGAGAGATTGGCCAGACGGCCGTGGAATTGGCGCCTGAAGTTGGCGATGTCTGCTTCTGAAAACCCGAGGGAGGCGAGTCGGTCGAAGCCGCGGACTACTTGGATCTGTGATGTCTAGTCGTGTCCATTAGGGAGGCATAGTCACTGAAGATGGAAGCCACACACCTGAATGCGAGCCTCCCCCTCTTCCTCTTCGCCTGGCTGTATCTCAGGGCCGACGTTGCAATGTATCCAGGTGTTATGGGTATCGTGTTGATCCCCTCCAGCGTCCAGCTTTGCCGCATCTCTTCTCCGCGCTCGCTCATCGGCCGCCGCGAGATGCTGGTACACAAAGACGTCGTTGGTGAGTAGGCGCCCAGCGTAAATCAGGCGCAGGCGCCGGTTGCGCAAGTCGGGACGTTGGGTCCTAATCTTCCTGGCGAGTTCCCTCGTATCAGTGCGCCTATGATGCACCATTCTAACGACAGACCTTGCTCAGAACGTCCTTGACCGTGTCCAGCTGGTCGATGGTGATGGTGAGGTCGGCGCCCTCGGTGAAGCGCACAACGAGCTGGCGTTCCTGCGGCTGAGCTGTACTCGACGACGACGAAGCCCCTTGCGCATCAACGTCGACAGCTCTGCGCTTTCCCTTCGCTTTCTCGCTGAGCGGCACCATGGCGCGGTGGTCGTGGGAGGAGCGCGCTGTCAGGAACGGCAGCCGGCGGGCCGGGTAAGCCCGGATTGTCCTTATGGAGAAACAATCGTTGAAGCTGGATTCGGCGTTCGCCGCCGCGTCCTTGCTCCTCGCTTTCATGTCGAGCACCTCGCACTTGGCATCTACGACCTCCACGGGAGTGGGGAGCTCATGCCCAGCCTTTTTCCAGAATGAGTCAGCAACTTCGCGTTAGTTTGCCCGCAAGGCGATCCTCAAGTTAGCTTGGGAAGTAGCATTCATCGGCGCATCTGATAGAAAGCGACCGTGCTGAAGTTGTCCCTCCTCGCCTGCGGACATAAACGAATACGCGGGTGACGCTGGTTGGTCGTTTGACAGACTGTGAGAGCATCAGTGGTCACCAGCGTGAGGGGGAGGGTCAAGCGACCGATACAATGCCTCCCGCCACAGCTTGCCCGCCCTACCGCATGGGTTACGATACGTAGGACGTCAGGCTTGGCCAATAGAATCCCAGAGGGCACAAGGAAGTGACGTCCCTACCAGCACCATTGAATGTGGCTTAGGCGGCGAGGTGGTCTATCACCGATGTCGGATTGCCTGTCCTCTCATCGCTTTCCTCTCCTTCCACTGTACTGCTGCGACACCAGTGACTCCACCAAGCATCGCACTCACGTCTGGGAAGGGGAGCTTGGAACTCGGAAGCGCGCGCAGCAATTTAGCAGGCAGACGGCCATCAGCCCAGCATCAGCCGGCCTGATCATATCATGCCTCGCTCCTCCTTCTCATCATCCCTACAAAGTGCCTAGCCGCGGGCGGGGACGGTGCCTTCCCTTCCCAGGCGATCTTTTCCTCCCGCCTCCATGGCGGACGCAGGCCTCCCCCTCGACACCGCCTACCTCACCGCGATCTGGCTGGAGACGCTCTTCTACGGTGCGCCGATCACTTTGGGCTCGCCCGCTGCCGGCGACGTAAAACTGATTCAGATGGTTACCCCTCCCCCTGCCTCGCCCCATATCGCCCTGTCTTATACTTGACGGTGGCGCCCACTGCACCATACAGGCATCAACATCTGCTTATTCTTCTCCTATGTCTACATCCTGCGCTTCCGGCGCACGCGCAAGATCTCGAGCGTGGTGTTCTGGGTCGCCGTGTTGATGTTCCTATTTTCGAGCGTGCATGTTTCCCTGGGATTTGCGCGCTTGATATGGGGATTCATCGACCGGCGGAATGACCCTGGTGGTCCGGCTGGCTACTTTTCGGACGTGTCGCATCCACCGAACGTGGCGAAGGTCACTATCCATACCGTCAATTCCATCCTGGGGGATAGCATTGTGGTGCGTAGTCGATCCGGCATGTGACGCGCCGTTGCTGACGGTATGCGCTCGGCAGGTTTGGAGGTGTTGGCACGTCTGGGGCAGAAACTGGAAGGTCTGCGTGTTCCCAGCCATGCTCATTCTGGGTTCCGCAAGTAAGTGGCTCGGTGGCAGAAGTAGAGGGCTGGCTAACGCACCATAAAGTCAGCGGTTTCGGTCAAGCATACATATTCGCGAACGCCAAAACAATACACAGTGCTTTCAATGACGTGCGTAGAGCTGTTGCCTTCCCTTCCCTTCCCTCCCCCGTCGTACTAACGCTCGTGTAGACCCTGGAAAAGTGGAACGGCTCCGTGTTCATCCTATCCCTCGTCACCAACGTCATTGTCACTACCCTCATCGCCGCTCGTATCTGGTTTTTGGCAAGAGAAGCCGGCGGGCACATCCTATCCACGAAATTCCGGTATACCAAGGTCCTAATCATCGTGATCGAGTCCGCGATGATATACAGCGCGGCGCTCATCATTGAGATTACCCTGTACTTCATTGGCAGCAACGCGTTCTATATCGTGTATGATCCCATAGCGCAGCTTACCGTATGTGCCCCTGCCCATCCCCCACATCTTCTTCGTGCTAACATCATTCTCAGGGTATCGTCCCCACCATGATCATTGTCATGTCTACTCTCGGCCTCACCGCGGAGGATATGGACTCCATCCCTGTTGGCAAGGCTAGACCCGAGGACCCCGAATCCCATCACCTCTCCACCATAAACTTCAAGCCAGGCGGTCCCGCGCGCGGTAGCGTACCCGGGCTCTCCACCGGAAACACGACCACAGGCTATTCCGACCCGACGACGGAGGACTCGTCGATCGACTTTAGGGCCTACAGCGAGGTCAAGGTCCCGGAGCACTACGTGGATCCGCCAGACGCGAGTTTCGTGGTCGCGCCGCCAGAGCGGTCACCTCGTGCGGTACATCACTACGAGATACGATGAGTTGCGGGAGGAATTTTATGGAGAGGATCTCTGGTGGAGGACGTACTTACATACTACCCCGACGCTGTTGCTATCGCAGGATACCATGCGCTGTACTTCTAGTGCTCATACCTATGCAGGCTTAATTGGCAGCCTTGTACTGTTTTCTTCTGCTACTTGTGCTTCATGAGATACCTCGTATGTACATATGCAGTGCATTTTTCTTGGTTTACCATCGGTACCCTTAGGCGAGCAAACATATACAAACAATCAAAGAAATCTGTTGATGGACCTTTGCTTCCGTCCGATCACTCTTTCCCCATGACCTCCCTCACGCATACGGAGACGGTGTTGGGGAAGCGGAAGGCATACGTCCTCCACCTTGCATCCAGCCCCGAACCTAGCACCGCGCAGTCGGACTCGGAATATGAACCGCCAGAAGAATCTATCCCCTCGGGGTCCAGGACACCAGCGGGGTCCAAGACGCCTACGAGATCGAGAACACCGTCGGGGGGAAGAGCACTGTCAAGGCCCAAGACCCCGATCATCGTCAATGGGAAGCTTGTGAAGGACACGAAGAAGCGCTACGCGTGCACGTTCGAGGGATGCGATAAGGCGTACACGAAGCCCTCGCGCTTGGAGGAGCATGCCCGATCGCATACGGGGCAGGTGCGTTCGGCGATCGGCGGGTTGTGGGGGAAGGGGGAAGGGAACAGTGAGCTGATCAACAAGTCTACAGCGTCCATTCGTCTGCGCTACCTGCAATAAGTCGTATCTGCGCGAGACCCATCTGCAAGCGCATTCGCGGAGCCATCTACCCGAGTCGGCACGGCCTTTCGAGTGCACTGTGCCCGGTTGCGGCAAGCGTTTATGGACGTCACAGCACCTGCGCGTCCATCTGGACTGGCACAATGGCGCAAAACCCTTCCAGGTGCGCTCTACGAGTGTCGTATTATGCGAAGATTCTTATCAGGCTTGCAGTGTACGGAGGAAGGCTGCGACGAAGCGTTCGCGAAGCACCACCAACTTCGAACGCATATCTGCACGGCACACTGTCCGGAAGGCACGAAGCCCTATCGCTGCGAGCACGAAGGCTGCGCCAAGTCCTTCAGCACCAACCAGAAGTTACGCGCGCACGTTAGAACTCATGATGGTATGCCTATACTCAATCCGTCCTGCTCATACTCTTATTCATGTACACACTACAGAAACCCGCTACGCGTGCCTAACCTGCTCTCCCGCCGCCTCCTTTGCCACCTGGACGGCTCTTCAACACCACAATCGCACCACGCACCCGCCGATATGCAACCACCCCTCCTGCAACGGCAAGCAATTCACCTCTCAGAAGGGCCTGCGAGCGCATCAGAAGCTCCACGAGCAGCAAGAGGTCGAGCGCGCGATGAACGGAAACCAGTCCGATGCGGAAGACGACGACCAGCCGCCGAGGAAGAAGCGCCGCGGGGGCGAAGTCGGCCGCGACTGGAAATGCGAGGTTGTGGGGTGTGGGAAGTGTTTCAAGTCGGTGAGTGGCTTTCGGGCTGTGAGGACGTCGAGATGGGAGATGACTGACCGGTCTACAGAAAAAGGCCCTGACCACACATACAAACGTAACGCATCTCGGGCATCGCGAGTTCGTGTGCGCGCACGAGGGTTGTGGTCGCGCCTTCGGGTATAAGCACCTCCTCCAGCGGCACGTCGCCAAGATACATACTCGCACCTCGTCATCCTCTTCGGAAGAGAACGAAGGCTCGGGCGCGGATGCTGGTTCAGGCGCGGAGGACGACGATGACGAGCAATCGGCCGTTGAGGACACTCACGCGGAAGATAACACCCTCATCGACCTCATCACAGGCAGCACGTACGCCAAGAAGGCGCAGGACAGGCTGCGCTCGGCAACGTCGTTGTGCTGCCCCTACCCCGACCTCTCTGGCTTGCCGTTACTGTCCGATGCGACCTCGAGCACGTTGCTACCTGGTGCGGCCTCGAGCTTGCTGCCCACCACGTCTACCTCGCACGCCTGCGAGTACGTGTTCAGTCGCGCGTACGACCTTCGGCGTCATCTCCGCGCAACGCACGGGCTAGAGACGGACAAGGATGCGCTCGACGCCTGGGTTCGGAAGGAGAAGCGATTGAAGGCCGCTGCTGCGTAGGCTGTATTTGGCGTCCATGCGACTCAGATTACCACTGCTTCATCTTCGAAATATTTTCCGCCTCGTGAATTTTCTGTAGTCTTTAACCTCACTCGCTCGGACTCGCTGCTTCCTGTCCATGCAATGCAAAAACGCGCCGGATTTTGATTCAACGAGCCCATTACGCAGGCGCGGAAAAGACACGGTACGCGAGTATAGTGTGTGTGGTATCTAAGTAATACAGTCCAAGAAGACGAATGCGGCGGGCGATGGGGGTTCCAGAGGGGCGAAGGTTGTGACGAGGCGAAGGTTGTGACGAGGCGAAGTAGGAGACGGTGAGCAGCAATACGAACGCGAACGACGAGAGGAGAAGGTATGTGAGCGCAGAAAAGGTATGTAACTATGGCATACTTAATAGGTAGCAGGGCGATACAACAAACCGGTGTCGATAACAAATCAAGAGAGCGTGGTACACATGTGGAGGGTTGGGTGCTTCGGGTTGGAGTGGGTTCCGGGTTTGGAGAATGGCGGGGCCTACGCGCATAGAAGGCATGGCATGGATGTGAGGTGAGGTGAGGGTGGGGGTGAGGACATGTGGCTGTGGCGAGCTCGACGCTGATGTGATGACGGGGTTGTCCGTTATAGACAGTCGCCCTTGCACGGCGTCGGCTCGCGGACATCTACGTCCGATAATTCGGTGCAGTCGCCTTTGCATGCTGCATTGCGCGCAGGGGCGAGGGCGATGTCCTCGGGAGAAATCTGTTGTTATATCAGCGCCAGAAAATATGGGGACTCAGTCAATGACGCACCGGCCCTCTTGCCTCCATCTCCAGTCCAGAAATCGGATTCGGCAGCGGTGGCTGCGCGATGGGGGCCGCTTGTGCGACCAGCGACACTGTAAGTGCTTTTAGTAACTGATCTCACTCCAGAAAATATAGGCTACGTACAGGTGACTAGGAAGGACGCAAGGAGGATGCCTCGGCAGTACATGACGGGTAGACAGGGATTTTAAAGAGCGCGCCTGCGTCGAGCAGGAGAAAGCAGCGGGTGTGCCAGAGTGTACGGCAGATGAGTGTTTGGCTCTTAGGGAAAAGAGTGCGGGCTGCGGTCTATGCACCATCCTCTCCGTCCCTGTATGTTTTATATCGTGGCATCTTGACATGACCAAGTACAAACGGGAGGGTATCCGGGGATAGGGCGTTTCCCCATCCGTGTACAACAACTTGTTTACTTCTCCTTTGGGCGAAGGAAGCTGCCTTATTTAGCAATTTCCAGGCTTCGGAGCCGCGGATGCAACTTTGCATCCGGGTGCGGGGTGACGCCGCAGTACACCAGGAGGCGGCTGGACGCGACGACACTCACGGCCAAGAATACCTTGACGCTTCCTGTCCGACAGGCTGTGACGGGGCTACTAGCTGAGATAAGGGTTTGAGAGTCGGAGTGGCGGTCTATGCATGGCGGGTACGCAAGCTGGTGCTGTTGAGTAAAATAACGGGAGGATAAATCCTTCCAAGACATCTCAACGTCTAGAGTGCATACGCATAGCAGGTACCGCCTGCAGAACGCGGAACCAAAATACAAGCGAGTGACATCGTCGTGAACATCACACGGAATCAGAAAGTCAGTGACCGGATGAACTGCCTTTTACGGACGCACTTGCTTGTTTAGAACATTGAAGACCAAGGCCAGGGCACAATACATCCTCAAACGACGCTCGCCTGGCGTACGCCACTTCCTGATGTCGTTGCTGCAGAGCAGTGACGGGATGTGTTCTAGACGAAGGGAAGACGCTCGACTCTATAGCGCCTCATTGACGAAGCGAAGCCTGCTTGTGGTTTCGGCCTGCTTGTGCATCTCCGTCCGTAAGAGGTATCCCGAATGTCGCTGGCACTCGGATCATCATTTCCGAGAGTCCTTCTCGCGCATGAGTATTTGCATAGGTTGCAGGTCAGATGGAAAATCGCGCCTTCGAATTGATGCTGCCGCGCGCCCTCGACTTATTGATCACGTACTGCCGCCGCTACGCGCAATCTTCTGAGCCGCAAATAAAGGTAAGAATAAGCGCCGAGAAATGCCTGGAACCCTGTAGTCAGTCAGCACGTCTGCGAGCAAGGATTGGCTGGGTTGCTGACTCGGAACGCTGAGGTACGGGGGTGGGTGGGGTGGCCATCAATTCTGCCCATGGCTCTGGTCAATACCTCATCGCTCGGGTGCGGTGAGTGCTCGAGAGCGTCCATAGGGAAGGCCATCAAGGAGGCATAAATTCTTTGCATGGTACGCCAGGGTCATGGAAGTAAATCCTGTCTCGATTCGCTTCCAGTTCAATGCCTCGTTCGCCTTAAGCTTTCAGCGTGGCCTTGCAGGTCTGTAAGGAGTTGATATGTATTTCTTAGGGTCAAAAAGAGAAGAAAAACAGGACGGGAGGGGCGGCGCCATTAACGAAGAAGACAACGATCAACGCGACGCGACGAACTCGACAAGCGCGATCGGCGACCGGCCCGACGCTAACTGACATAGCCACCTTTGAAAGGCTGCCTCATCACGAACGGCCATCTGGCGTTCGACTGGCTCACACTACTTTTCGGCCGACAAATCCTGACTGGCTCTTCAATAGTATACTTACTGGCATTGTTCGACAACCGCCCGCCTGCAAGCCATGGAAAGGCTGAGTATCGCATGCGGTTCGGCGGTCGAGCGAATTGCAGCCTGCGTCTTCGGGAATGACATTATTAGAGCTTCTAAGCTTGCTGTCCCCCCCCCTGCTGCGATTCCAGCTGACATGCAAACAAGACGATCAAGAGCTATGCGAAGCCTTGTCTTCATTTACCTATACACAGTAAGCCCGGTGCCACCATGCCTTGTATGCAGTGATTGACCGCCCTCTTATAGATTCCATGACGTGGACGCCGCATTCTGACTGAAGCCGCTATGTGGTCAGTACCCGCACACTCCTTCAGATACGTCCTTGCCTCCCCCGCTCCGTGACCGGTTGTATACCTTCATGCGTCACCCGACCTGTCGCGCTCCCAAGAGCCGTCGATATCGGGAATCCGGAGAGACTACATAAGTTGCTGCTGTCGCACATAGAACAAGCGTTGTGTGGAACGCTCGACCATACGCTCGCGCGCCCTTGATTACTCCTTGTTTTCACATCATGCGACTCAGTCTCATCTCCGTACTCGTGTACGCCTCAGTCGTTCGTTGCGTCACAGTCCAGGATGGCGGGGCCTTTGCAGCAGAACCTTTCGACTATATAATCATCGGAGCAGGCACTGCTGGGCTAGTGGTACGTCGCTCTCCTTCTTTCGAGACCTAGGCACTGAAATGTGCAGGTAGCCACCAGACTGAGCGAAGACCCTTCAGTGAGGGTCGGTGTCATTGAAGCGGGCGAGACGGCCAAGAACGTGGATATCATCGACGTCCCCGGATTGGTATGTATCTGTCTGTAGGACTATACTTCTCCGACTAACACATATCAGTATGGTGCCGACGTGGGGACAAAATACGACTGGAACTACACGGCCGAGGCTCAAGGTGATATTCCGAGTGTGAGCTGGCCACGCGGAAAGGTTGTAGGAGGTATGCACACGATTACTTGGGTGCTTCTCATGCCCTCATTCATCTTGGATCTTGAAGGCTCTTCTGCGCTCAACTTCCTCGTCTGGGACCTACCTTCCGCGGCCGATTTCGATGCCTTCGAACGTCTTGGCAGTCCAGGATGGAACTGGGCGAATATTTCCTCTGGTGTAAAGAAGGCCACCAACTTCACTACGCTCACACCAGACCAAACCAATGAGCTCGGCGGAATACAACCCAACGTATCTGACTACGGTACCGACGGCCCTGTACACGTCTCCTTCGGTCGCTTCTTCCCACCCATTACGAAGCTCTGGATCGCTGCGCTGAACGTTTTGGGCATACCTACCAACGGACGACCGAATGGCGGAAGCATCGTGGGCGTCAACTTGACACCAATGGATGTTCGACCGGACAATATGACCCGAGACTACAGTGCACCTGCGCGCTACTATCCCAGAGAGGCGCGCGAGAATCTGGTTCTGCTTACCAGCGCCTTAGTGAGCCGCGTCAACTTCGATCCTGGCGCGAGGCAAGGACTGGTCGCGAAGTCTGTGACATACATCAGTGGCGGGCAAGCCTACAATGCTACTGCCAGCCGGGAGGTGATCCTTTCTGCAGGCACCGTGAAGTGAGTGGACGCCCAATGGCGCGAATGACTTTGACTGATATGACGCTCTCAGTACGCCCCAGGTGCTCGAACTGTCAGGCATCGGTACCAAGGATGTTCTGGATTTGTGAGTTTACTCTTGCGCGGGCATGAAATCAGCTGACATAAGTGCTCAAAGGGCAAGGATCGAACAGCTTATCGACCTGCCTGTCGGCGAGAATTTACAAGATCACAGTGAGCCCCTTCTCAGGCATGCATCTGAACCATGAAGTCGAACCTTTCTCAGCGACCGTGTCTCTAAACTACGAGATACGCAACGATATCGTGACGACTAGCGCTCTCGCAACCAACGCAACCCTTGCCGCCGAGCAGCTTGCCTTGTGGCACGCCCATCAGCCCAGCATGTACGACTTCGGTACACGCGGCATCGGATACCTCAATCTTCCCCAACTTGTCGGCGAGGACCGTGCGCAGGATATCATAGCCAAAGCCGAAGCGTATGCACAGGGGCAGAATGGATCCGTCTACGCGGACGTTTTGGCCAAGCAGGTTGACCTCATGAAGAATGAAACCGTAGGCCAGATAGAGCTGATCACCGTCGACTCCGGGCGTGGTGTGGAGATGGAGGAGGGGAAGGCGTACATGTCCTTCGTCGTTGCAAATCAGCACCCGTTGAGTCGAGGTGAGCACTCAACTGTGGAACACAACGAGCTGCTCAACATATTTCAGGCTCTATCCACATCAACAGCAGCGATCCTAGCGTCTATCCCATTATCAAGCCTAACTACTACAGTGTCGATCTAGACCTGGTCATGCATGTCGCAGGCGTTGACTGGGCGTTGAAGATAGGTGAGCTCCCTTGGCGCTGTGAAGGCCGGCAAGGGTGCTCACGACCTCCCAGCTCAAACGGCTCCATACGCGGACCTGGTCGTGCAACAACTGCTGCCCACCGCGGGCCAGGACCTTCGCGAGTTCGTCAAAGCGCAGGTCTCGTCGGAGGCCCATCCCATCGGGACGGCGAGCATGCTACCTTACGGGCGCGGCGGCGTTGTCGATGCTGAACTCCGGGTGTACGGGACGTCCAACTTGAGGGTCGTCGATGCGTCTGTCATCCCCTTGCATGTCTCGGCGCACCTTCAGGCGACGGTCATAGGCATCGCTGAGCGGGCTGCTGAGCTGATCACGGGCGCAGTGTAATCTTTGCTGTGCACCTCGTAATCCAGAAGTAGAAACCGCTTCTTCACGGCGCTCGGCTGTTGCAAATGCAAGGAATCCCATTGTGTACAGTACAGAACCCGAGAAGTAGTTACAGTACATACTTTACACTTCAAATCACTGACGTGCCGCTGTCCATGTATGGCAGTCATTTTCGCCCCACAAGGCCTGCCGCCAATTAGCGCCAGGTGTCATTCTGAGTGAAGGAGCCCGACGCGGAGGTAGTGATGCTCCTGTTGGGGTCGGACTCCCACGTAACCTGCCCGTTGTTCTTGCGGATGTACTTGTACTCGATCTGGGTGTTGGCGGGCAGGTTGACGGTCACTGCGGAGAGTTTAGGAACGGCGCGGAACGAGGGTGGTGGACTCTACTCACCACTCCAGGTCGGGTAGTTGTCAGCATTGAGCGCGATGGCGTTATCCGGGGACCAGTTGGCGAGCTGGTTGACGCTGCCGGTCACGTAGATGTTCTCTGCGGACCTCGTCGGTCGACCGCCGAAGCCCAAGATGAAGTACACGTACCGCCGTAGACAGTGGTAGCCTGGACGTTGAGCGTGACAGCGACCGTGTCACCGCCGCTGCCCCCGCCCCCGCCCGTGCTGCACGTCGCGGGCACAGTGAGGCCCGCCGCGCCCCAGCTTGCCGGAATCGCCCCGCCGCGGGCCTTGAACGCGGTGATGGCGGACGCGTAGCTCCAGGTGAGGTCCGCTGCCGAAGTGGGATTCCCACTCGACTTGTCGATCTGCTCCGTCAGGCCGCCGTCCGCAGGCGTGAAGTCGGCGAGAACCTCGAGGAAGCCGTCGGCCCAGTTGCGGATCGCAGAGGTGAGGGTGGCATACTCGGAGGTGGAGGACGCGTAGGTGCCGGCGGTGATGGAGGAGTCGAACTGCTTGAAGAAGGCGAGGGAGGTGCTGGTGACGTCGAGCGAGCCGAGCTTGTCCCAGGTATTGAGCGCGTCGTAGAGCTGCTCGGCGACGGCGAAGGTGGTGAGGTACCAAGGCTGGCGGGACGTCAGCCTAAGTGCGGCGACAGTGAGCATTCATACGAACATTTCCATTGTAGTACACGTCCTCCTTGTAGCGGCCGGTGAGGATAGGGTCGGTGGCACCGGTGGGGTTGATGGAGTAAAGCCCGCGGAACGAGTCGACGTAAACCTTCAGATTAGACAGCGCGCGGTCAGAGCAGGGCTGGAAGGTGACCGAGTCGCAGCCGGCTTCGATGTCGAAGGTGTGAATGCTAGTGAGGACCGTGTTGGCGTCGATGCCAGAGCGGCCGCCGCCGGTGTTGGCCGTCGCATAGCCGCCGTTGCTGTTCCAGTACGACTGCAGGAAGCAGAGCACGTTGTCGGCCTGCGTCAAGTAGGTGGACGCGGAGGCGCCGACGGCGGTGGCGAAGGTGGCACCGAGGCGGAGGGCGGTGTGCTGCTCGGCAGTCGTGAAGAACGACGAGGAGCTGACCTCTTCCCAGAGGTCGAAGCTGACGAGGGGGTCAATCAAGTCCGGTACGATGTGTAGGTGACTATGCTTACCCAGTCTGGTTCCAGTACGAGACGACGTAGTCCAGGTCAGCCTTCACGACTGGCCAGATAGTGTCCGTGACGTATGAGGTGTTGCCGGAGCTAAGCAGATGATTCCCGTAGGTGATGAGGGTGATAGCACGCAGAGCCGGGCCATCTGTCAAGAGTTAACAATGAGCGAGGCCCCGATTGGTCATGAGCTCGGACATACCGCGCTGAGGGCGTCTAGAAGGCCGGAGTGAGCGAAAGTGCGCGACAAAATAAGAATTTTGACGTACCCCCAAGCGCCAGTGAAGGCAGTCAGGTCGATGTTGAACTTGGGCTCGCCGAGGCCGCCGCTGGTGTACGAGCCAGAGGGGTTGTCGACGCGCTGCAGCTTCTGCTGCGAGCTGACATACGAGTCGATGACCGACTGCAGGCTCGACTCGCCCTCGATGAACCTGGCGTGGGTGAGTATATGCTACAATACCATCGCGCTGTAAACACCCACTCATCGACGAGAGCGCGAGAAACGAGAGCAGCGTCGCGCGTCCAGGTGTACAGGTAATCCGGGTTCGACGTCGAGGGGGATGCGATGATGACACCGGAGGCAGCACCGTGAGACTTCGAGCCGCTGGGGCCGATGTTGGCCAAGATGCCCGCCTGCGCAATAGGCGACTCCGCCGAAACATACGCGTCCGCCGCGCTCGTCTGAGCACGGGCGAGCGAGCAGAGGCCGAGGAGGGCGAGCGAGACAGTGGAAGCGAGACCCATAGCACCAAGACCTTGGGTGTTCGACAGGGAGGTGCTGTTGCCGCACCACTCTAAAACCAGTCGCTCTTTATACTCCCAAATCGCCGCTGACATGTTATTCACGAATTGTGGCACACCATCGCCCAGAGTTGCCATGGGGTCGGAAGCGAAGGGGTCGGGGCAGGAACGGGGTCAGCTGAGGCTCGCGAGCACGCGGCGCCTGTGCGCGGGGATTCAATGGCATGTGGCCATAGCTTGCGGCTTTAGCGCTAGCATGACCCGTGTCATGGGAAAAAGAACGGAGGGAAAGGTCCAAAAGAGACGCGCGTGCGTGGGCGAGGCGGACATCGGGGAAAGTGACTTCGAGTCAAGAGCGCTGGTACCTGCGAAGAGCTGATCTGCGGGCGGGGTCTCACGACGTTCACAAGGCTCACACGGGCCCGACTCCATGCTGAATTCTAGACAAGCATCTTGCACACTCGGTCGAGGAGGAGTTCGAGCGCGAAAAGGCTCCGGACCTCTAGGCAGAAGCACGAATAGACGCTCTCCGCGAGTCTTGGGTACCATTTCCCTGCTAACACAGGTGCGTACCCTCGGTCGGGATTCACCGAGGACCACAAGCACCTCCTCGGTCCTCTCCTTGGCCCATACTTGCGAATATCGATGCAGGCACTTTGCCTGATGCGTTCTGGAGAGCTTGTGATTTCAGCAGGATTTCCGTACTCGTCTTCTCTATTCAGAATTTTGACGCTCCTACCGCTTCTTCTTATGACGTGCGGGAGTCTTCGGAGGCTCTTTGGGCTTGAGGAAACCGCCTTCTGCGAGGGCCTCTTTCGCCACCCCCGAGATGCACTTCCAGCGGTCAGAGCCTAGTTGGACCCCGCCATACCATCTCCATACGATGACGATCACGTCCTCGCAGCCAGAGAGCTCCAGGAGGCGAGCCAGGCGGTCGCCAGCGCCGCTCTCGCCGCCGTCATCTTGGCCAGTGTCGGCGAGGCCGTCAGGTCGAGTAAGAATGCGGTACGCGATCATGCAGTGAGTCGTCTTTTTCATGCGAGGAAGCCCTCTGAGGTACTCCAGGAGGGTCTCGAGCGAAGCAGGGTCCTTGAAGGTAGTTGCGTGCGCAAGGAACACGGATCGATGCTCCGTTATGCGCGAGGAGGAGAAAACAGGGTATGGCCAATTGCCGTTCGCTGTATGTTTGTTGAGGCGCGCTGTTGGCCGGATGCGGCGAACGAACCTGAGGTGGAGGCCATGGCTCGGCCTTTACACGGATCATAGGACTGTTTTAAGCACGTAGACCACCTGAGAGGGGGGAGAAGACGAGTAGACGCGCGTGATAAGACGCCTGGGCGGGCGATGATCATGGGCGTCAAAAGCAACCAGTAACACGTGTGACCGTGGAAGACGGACTTTGCGGAGTCTTCCGTCCTCTCAGCGTTCGGGGACCCTTTAGAGCGACAGCTTTTCTCCTCGGGTTTGATGTTGAAGATGGTGGTCGTCAAGGTATTCTGCCTGAATCAGGACAAGGTATTGCGCGATTTGTGTTTGTTCGGCGAGGATCGCGACGCCTCTCCTGTGCGCCTCCTCCTCCTCCTCCCCCCGTCATGTGCGTCGCCCGCCCTAGGAAGACCGCAATCTTTTGGTTTCGCTCTCGCGTACTCCGTTGTTTGACTGCTTGTATGCGCCACGCGTTCGTCGGCTGGCACCCATTGGGAAAAGCTCCTTCCTCCAGTGTACTTACTTGACCAGCCGACCAGGTCGCCGAGCCCTCGCCCATCATGTCATCTCTTTCGACCCCGAGACTGTCTTGTGCTATTGGCTGAAGCATCTATTGGCTATGTACTCTGTCCTCCACTGTGGCTTTCGTGCGTGTCACACGTCCTTTCCTGCTGTTGCATGTTTGTCAAAGGTCGAGGCGGAGGGGAATCCATGTCCCATGCGCTCGATGGTCCAGAGCGCAGAGCGCCCTTGATCTCCCTCATTCTTTTGTTCTACCACCCTCTGTTCACCCATCCCTGAGCCTCTGCCTCGTCCCTTCCCCCCTCTTCCTCACGTGACCGCGACCGTGCGGCCGGCAGCGGCCGGTTCGATAGCGAAGCCGAGGCCCCAACAAAGTTCGCCGCTCACTTTCAACGAGCCCTCGAAAAAAGCACCGTCCCCTCGAACTTGCTAGCCCTTTTCCAGTCGAGACTCATAGGCAGTCGATAGCTCTGTCATATAAGCCTCAAGCCTCCGATTCGCCATGATATCTATTCTTTCCTACTCTTTCCCCCGAGTCCGACCCACCGTCCTATCGCCGTGCCGCATCACAATCTCCAATGTCCATGCGACGTCGTCCAATGCCGAAGTCAGGTGCCCGTCGGGATCTGCGTCCTGAGCGTCTCCAGATTGGATGTTTCGAGCCTATCAGCCCGGACATTGACTCTCACAGCCGCGGAGGCCATTGAAGGTGAGCTTCAGCGCGGGACAGGAGCACGCGCGACGCCGCCTTCTCAGAGGAACGTGGGCGGCCCAGCGCGCAAGCACGTTGGTCGGCAGCGCCCGCTACTGCAAGGAGCGCCCTCCGTTGAGGTGCCGCATGCTGGACGAGGGCCTCACGCACCGATGGATCCGATCGATGTGCAATCTAGGCTCCCCATATGACTGCCGCCTCTTATAAGGATAGCTACTGACGGGCGCAGGCGCACAGAGCTCTTCTCTACTTGAATCCTCCTCCATTTCGCTAGCCGACGACCAAGATGCGTAAGTAGGGGCGAAGAGGGAGGGAGGGAGGGGAACTGATGACATTCCGCCAGGTCTTATCATCCGCGAGGACCCCACCCATGTTGGCGAATATATCGCAAACTACATCTGCAAGCGGTATGTCGCGCAGCCGCTCACGCGCTCTGCACGGACTGATATGACGGTGCAGAATCAACGCCTTCGCGCCAACGCCCGAAAAGCCGTTCGTGCTCGGGCTCCCCACCGGCTCCTCCCCAATCCCGACATACAAGGCCCTGATCAAGCTGGTGAAGGATGGGAAGCTCTCGTGCGTCCCTCGATCATGCGACCCCTCCTTCTCATGCTAACATGCATGGCCCTCCAGCTTCAAGAACGTCGTCACATTCAACATGGACGAATACGTGAACCTGCCCGAAGATCAGTACGTGATGAGCACTTTGGGACGCGCCGGCCGCAGCTAGTTGGCTGCATTTGGCTGGCGCGCTACCCGCATCCGCAACTGACTGACGCGACCATGCTAGCCCTGAATCCTACCACACATTCATGTTCCGCGAGTTCTTCTCCCATGGTGCGCCACCCCCTGGCATGGGACGTGCGGCGGGTTGCTGACGGGTTGCGCAGTCGATATCCCGCCATCGCAGGTGAACATTCTGAACGGGAACGCGAAGGACTTGATTGGCGAGTGCAAGGCGTACGAGGAGCGCATCAAGTCGTATGGGGGGATTGAGCTGTGCGTATCATTCCTTTCCTCCTTCTCCCCATTCCCCTCTCCCCCTCTTGTACTCCCACTCGCGTACTGAACTCACCCTCTCAGTTTCCTCGGCGGCATCGGCGAAGACGGGCACATCGCCTTCAACGAGCCCGGTTCGTCGTTGGCCTCCCGCACGCGCATCAAGACCCTCGCCTACGACACCATCACCGCCAACGCGCGCTTCTTCAACAACGACATCTCGAAGGTGCCGCACATGGCGCTCACCGTCGGCGTCGCGACCGTGCTCGACTCGCGGGAGGTCGTCGTCGTGGTCACCGGGCTGAAGAAGGCGCTCGCGCTGAGCAAGGCGATCGAGGAGGGGATCAACCATCTGTGGACGCTGTCGGCGCTGCAGCTGCACCCGAGGTCGCTGATTGTGGTGGATGAGGACGCGACGAATGGTGAGTGGGGTTTTGGGGAGGAGGGAGGAGGAAGGGATGTGGGCTGATGCTGTTGACAGAGTTGCACGTGAAGACGGTGAAGTACTTCAAGTCGATCGAGCGCGTGCAGGACGAGGTCGAGGAGGCGCACGCGAAGCTACTCGCAGAGGATAAGAGCGAGCTTGTGCAGAACATCGGGAGCATGGAGTAGAAATACTGAATTGGTTTCGTGGTTCTTGGGATACAGTGTATGTATTTTTACTGGGAAATCCTATCTATCGGGAACAACGGGTTCGTGAACGATGCACAGACTCGTAATGGTACAGCCGCAAGCGGTTGGTGGGCATCGGACCGGTAGCCGGACGGGCGCCTAATACTTATTTCTGTGCGCGCTTCGCCCCGTCCCCCAATCCTCCCTCTGCTGAGTTCTCAGCCGCTATGCCGAAGGTCTACACCCTGTCCGGCAATGAATACGCGCCTGACATACCCATCCTCGGGGTGCTTGACGAGACACGACGCCAAACTGTCCTGTGCAGGCTAAGCGAATACGAGAGACGTTTGCGATGCTCACGGAGGAAAGAGGGTCGCATCTCAAATAGCTGGGTTGCATCTCAAACAGCTGAAGGCAATACTAAGCGAGCGCAGGAGCAATGAATTCGCCGGTCTGAAGCGCTTCGGCCGACGCGAAAGTGGGGCGTGCGGTCCACTGGCTGCAGTCCTCATGCTTGCCAGCGTTCGCGACGTTTGTATGATAGTCCCTTGCCAGGGCCCACTCGCGTCCGCTCTTGCCAAAAACAACGAGACTCCAAATGATTACCCAAATAAATACATGCAATGGCCATGACATCAGCTTTACCCTACGCATACCTGAGGTACAGTCAGCGTTAATTCTCACAATTGAGAAGGAGACACTTAGTACTACTCACCAGAACAGCGTCGACACGCCCACAGGGAACGTGTACTTCGCCTGCTTACCCTTGAAGGAGATCGTGGCCTGACGCAAGACGGTTAGAGAAGTTTCAAAGCACCAGAGGGTTGCAGCTTCACGTACCTCGATGTCGTGGAAGTCCGCCTTCCCTGCGCTGTCGGTGTCGTAGTCTATGCAGTACTTAGTTGACCGAACAGACGACGTGGTCGCGCTCTCACAGTTGAGCACGACAAGTGAGTAACGCGATGGCTCGTTCGCCACGCCACGCTCCGTGAGGAACGCGCCGACGACGAGGGCCCAGCTCTGGTCGCCCGTGACGCTGACGCCGATGCGCTTGCCGAAGGGGCCGCCAGCATCCTTCGGAAGGATGGCTCTCGAGAGCTGGGCGAGGGCGTAGTCTGCGAGCGATGCAAGGTCAGTGCATTTACGCTAAGGGGAGGAAGTTGAGAAAACCCACATTGCCGGCGAAGCACATAGGTGCCGTTTGACTTGACCTCGACCAGACCTGTACAGCCGCCCTCGTGGTCGCAGCTGGATGCGCCGTCAAGTTGAGGGCCGCCGTTCTCGTCAAGGGCAAGGTTCCAGTAAAGGCTGGCCATGGCATGATGCTTCAACGCGTCTAGGTCGGACTCAGGAATCGATCGTTCTCATCAGGATGCGCTGTACCCACCGATCCCTCTAGACAAATAGGTCAGTCACCTACAAATCTGACTTCTTTTCTGATCGTAAAACTCACAGAATCTGCGTCGTCCACTTGACATCGGCCCACCAGTCGGTATCCGACGTGCCAGTGCACTCTTCGGTGTCTGTTAGCCTTGAGAAGGGTCCCAATCCCGATCCACTTGCCCGTCATATCTACAAGGTACGGTCAGTCTTCTCGGTATCGCGGCTGTTGCCATGAAAACACCCACAGATCTCCTTATCCTTGTACTTCTCATAGAACTCCTCCATCTGATCCACCGTACCGCGATAGCAGTGGAAGGACACGCCCGCGAACGCGTCGGGGGCTGCGTCGAGCAGGTGCACTGGGTACTCCGCCGCGTGGTCCCAGTTGTGCTCGTACCCGATAAGCTTGACATTATTGAAGCCGTTCTTGTCCATCAGACTGCGAAGCGCCTTCCCGACGGCCGCCTCCTTAGCGGCGGTGTAGACGGTGGATGGCAGCGAATCGTTGTTATTCTCGGGTTCGTTTTGGATGGAGATGGCGTACGCGGTGATGCCTTTGTCCTTGAATGCCTGAAGGCATTTAAGGAGGTAGTTGGCGACTAGAAGAGCCGTTAGCACAAGCCTGTACGATGAAGTCAAATACGCACAAACATCCTGGTACTCATCCTTCAAAACACCACCCTTCATCGTACCCGTGTCCTTCATCCAACCTGGCTGCAAGCACGTCAGCACGCGCCCGATGTCCGAAGCGGCCTATACAAAGGCTCAACCCACTGGAGACCACGGTAGAATGTGGATCTTGATATCCGGGTTCACAGATAGAATGTCCTGAATGACGGAGAAGAGCTCGGCCGGAGCGTTGTTCACGTCGAAGTGATCCAACGCGGTGTCCCCATCCGTTTCATCGAAGCTCCAGACTGCAGCCGAAGGGGTCACTCAGTGGGACGCGGGACGCAGAAAATTGGGTGACGAACCGTTCGCGGAGAAGTCGGTCGCGCCCAAGGGGACGCGAAGGTAGGTGAGCCCGGCATTGCCGTTGGTGTCGGATACGTCGAACAGCTTGTTCAGCAGTTCTCCGTACTTGTCTTTGTTCGCAGTCTGGGTGAAAATTGAGCAAGTACGAAATTGAGGCGCGATGTTCAGATTACCGTACCTTGAGGCCGTTCAGCACTGACGCAGACGCATCGGCTGAGAACTCGTTGAATATCGGAAGTTCTAGGTGGGAAAGGGGCATGATCTACTCAGAGAAGCGCCGTATCCTGCAATGGACTGGTAAACGGTATTCTCGTCTATAACGATGTCGGCGCTGGCGCTAGTCCCAGACGTCTCGAAATTGATTGGGCTTGCAACGCCTGGCCCAACGGCGGAAAATAGGTGGTTTTGGTCGTGCTGCGGGCGATATATCAGCTGAACTTTTTGACACATAATCTACTTTTTACGAACCGTTGTCTGATACTGCAGCGAGTTGACGTCAATAAGAAAGCAAAGGGGCTACGGTGATGCTACTCACTACGTCGAAGATCTGCTGTGAGGCCGCTAGCTTCACAAGGAGGGTCATAAGAGCGACAGAGAAGGTGTACATCCTAGCGACCCGCCAGATGCAAAATAAATACGAATAAAGGAGCGTGAAAGGAAAGAGGAGCGATTGCAGCCAGCTCAGGCTCAGCTATCGTCGAACGTCAGATGATGAAGACCCGAAAATGAAAGCACTCATTATAAGTATAAGCTGAGCCATATACCGGACTTTGAGAGGCCTGTGTGCCTGCGCCCGCCCTCGTCAGCCTTGACGACCAAACGAGCTGTACAAACAAAATCCCAGCTCGGACAGCATTTCGTATAGCAATCTCCTTCCTCGCATTCGTTTGCGCGATGCGAAGGGAGAATTCTGATGAGAACTTGCGCGATACCGCGACGCCGCCGCACCTGTCGTGTTATCATGCCAAACTGGGATCAAACAAGAAGTCGGAGTGTACGGCCGTATTCGGGGTAAGGGGAAGAGTGCGCATTGTCTTACATACGGAGAACAAGAGAACATATTTCATAGGCGCGGCAGTGAGGATGCGAGATGCTGAAGCTGAGAACCTGACCCCTTCGTTCGAGTGAAGATGGAAGTTCGAATCAACAAGGCTCCGGCAGTCGCCGGTTTGCCGCCAAATATTTGGTCTCTGATGGCCAACATCAGTTCCTGTTGTCCGCTCCCACGTTGTTGACTGACAGAGATCTTCCAGCGGCACGCCGTGTGCACGCCCTTGGCATGTCCGGTCAACGGAGATTGTCTCGGTACAGGTGTATGACCCCGCGCGATCGGGCTCAGCCGATTTATGTATTTACACCTTCGGCGCGCAACAACTGTCTACCCAAAACACTCGGCTGTCCTACTCATGGCCTCAATTACTCGAATACCCCTCCGAAACCACCAGCAAAATGGCCATCTATGTGTACCCATCTGGAGGCCAAGGGAACCGTACGAGAGGAGGGCGACCTGTTGTACGCGTTTCGTTTCCAAATCAAGGTATGAACAATACCATCTTACTGACAACCCCTCCGGCTCCCTTTGCGCCGCCGTTCCTTCAATACCTACACCACCGCCATCCGACACTGTGAGCGTCATCGTCGTCTTGCTCGCCAGTGCCACTCAGCTTCCCCAATCCCCATGACCCTTGACGTGCTTCTGGTGCATCGGGATGATAGGATCCCGTTCTACCTCGCCCCTTTCTCGCAGGGAGTGGGAAGAACATAGCGGCCTAGAGAGACCCTTCACTACTAGGACGCACTACCCGATGGATCGGAGCAAGCCCGGGAACATACTGAGCACAGGACCGCAGGTGTGGCGCCTAGAATTTACGCTTCTATTACTCACTTTCCCTGTAACTGCAGCAACTATTCGTCTACGAGCGCTGATCCACTGCCATATTCGCACGAGGTGGTGGGTTACGCCCTGGTCATTCGCCTATATGATTATTCTTTTTTTCCCTTCCGTCTACTCATGGAACACCACCAGGCTCGGGCTGGCGAAACACCAACGTAAACCCATTGCCTGTGCTTTGTTCATAGCAGTCTATTCCTTACGGACTGGCCGACCTTACCGCGCCTGCTTGAACGGCGGCGGTTTCTGGACGGCAAGCTACCATTCAATCGAGTTGAGTAACCTGGCCATCGCTGCTATCAGTCACTCTATCACCGTTCTCGAGTGTTCCCTGCGCTCGGAACATGAAACTTGAACACGAAGCGGAGGCCCGATCCCTCTTGTGTGTGTAATGCCATCGCGTGACTTCGTACAGAAGTGCATGTTCAGCGGGAAAGCGTCTGCGTTGAGGGGAGTCAAGTTTAGCTACTCCGTCGATTTCGCCTGCTCCCCCGAGTCTCTCAGGACATCTCCAAGGAGCTGACCGTAGCTACGTGCCTGTCTGATTCCTTCCTATTCTCTCTCGTTGGAGTACTTTGCGGCAAGAGGCGGCAGTTGCCGCTGGCAAAGCATCCGCGGGACCATTTAATTGTGTGATGTCCGGGTCCGCCTAGTCGCTTTAGCGCCACCGCGGTCATCCAGGTTTGTACCCCCCACATTCGAGCGGAAATGGTTTGTCCGGGGCCCCCTGCCGTGGCCGCTTGTCCAGATCCCGCTAAATTGTCGGCAGGTCAGCCCAGGGTCAGCCAATCAGATCTGGACTGATGGCCTGATGCCCGTGCGATATTCAGGGTCAACGCAGGGTGCAAAGTCTACATAAGTACGTGATGCACCAGAGAGACAACGACCTCATGTCAATATTTTAGAGTCGTGTCCGCAGCTTTCTTCTGACGCCCATCCCGGTTTCCAGCCCCCCACACCATGTCCGTCCCGCTGCCAGACTCGGTGCTCCCGATAAAATGCCTTATTGTAGGTGCGAGCTTTGAAGGCCTCATTGCTGCGTACCTGCTTCACCGCGACGGGCATCAAGTCACTGTAATCGACAAAGGGAGTGAAGATCGCCGGGTAAGCGCATGCCCCGCACTTCGTGCTGTTTATCCACATGGGATCGGGCCAGATACTTACGTTTGGGCTTCGCGCAGGTCTTTGAGCGTGGGATACGAAGTCCCCCGAACGTAGCACGCCTCCTGAATCGGCTGCCAAACATCCATTCGGAAGTGAAGCAGCTCACCGCGCCAGGAATCGAATTCACGGAAGGTAAACTCTTGCGACTTTTCCGAGTACGGCCGTATTTTGCTTGCTAATCTCCGAGGAAGGTCGCAGTCTCAATATAATCGGCAAAACCGAGTTCTTCGGGTCGATAATGCGCGATTTGGGTTCGAACTTCTACCTGGCCTCGGTCTGTGTGGCGTGTCTTCGTCTGACGTGCTGACTGGGCTGACCTGGCGTCTCTTGTAGCATGTCCACATCATGCGCTATTTGCGCCGGCTATGCCGGGAGGAGAAGGTAGACCTACGTTACCACCAGGAAGTCGTCAGATTATCGTCGACGGCATCCGGCAAACCGGTACTGCACCTGAAGTCTGGGAGGACGATAGAAGGCGACCTCGTAAGCCGAATGGGGTACTCGACGTCGGTGATAGCTGACAGCGTTCACAGGTCATTGGCGCGGACGGCACAAATGGCATTTCACGCTCTTTTATTCCTGTGCACCCGCCACAGCAGCCGAAGGAGGCGTCGGAAGATGAGGACTCTGACTCAGATTCTGACGACTCGCAAGAGGAAGACCCGGTAGACAAGCTGAACAAGCTTGGGGTTCGCTCTATCGTGGGGTACGTACGGCTCAATTTGCGATATCGCCGTCTCTTATTGTTGTTTCCCTCAGCGCCACATTTGCAATCCGGCCTACCGACATGCGGAAGAACCCCAGAGTTGCGCAGTTGCTGGAGAGCGACTCCGTAGGTGGTTTCCGTCCTGCCTTGTCGAGTGCTTACCCTGTTGCGTAGATCAAAGTGTGGATGGAATCAAACACTGCTGGCGTCAGCTGCTTGGTAGTAAGCCTGACTTATTGCGTCGCTCTGCCTGGCTAACGTGAATGCAGCACGAGAAGGACGCGTACATCTTCACGTTGGGGAAGGTGTACCAGGAAGATTACGTCGAGACGGGAATGGATGTCCGCGAGGAACTCAAGGAGGAACTCGCGATCTATCATCCTGCGTACGTCCTGTTTGTCTAGACCCAGGATTTTGTCACTCATCCCGTCTCCAGGATACAAGAAATGCTGGACATGGCGTACGAATACCGCAAGGAGATACAGCGCATGCCGGAGTCCATGACAATCGTGGACAAGACGAAAAAGGTTGCTCTCCTCGGCAACGCAGCATTCCTGTCTCCGGTAAGTTCCCGTCTTTCGGTGCACTTCTCGCCCGCTGACCGCCCCGCTAGTTCTGTGGCGCATATAACGAGTGAGGCTGCTTGTTCTCATCAACGCGCGCTTTCTGACCATCCGTGCGCGTCTATCCAGCTGCATACCGGTTAGTGATTCTCTCGGCGTCGGCAGCCCGTTAGTGACCAGAAGTCCGTCAGTTCGAGAGCGCCTTTACGCTCGCCCGCCTACTCTCGCGCTTACAGAAGCGGTCGGCCCTTCCAACGCTCCTGGACGGCTTCCAGAAGATCCGTACTTTCCGCAACTTCCAAACCCTCGACTCGGAGGTCTCGGGTACGCGGCTCCTGTCACTGCCCCCTGGCCCCTACCGGACAGGACGCGATCAGGCGCTCGGCCTCCCGCTCGACCAGGAGGGCGACGAGGCAGCAGAGATCTGGGCAAAGACGCTCATGCAGTTCGACTACGACGCGATCGACGCCGCAGACGAGTGGTGGCTTCAGTGGGGGCAGTTCTTGGTTTAAATCGGAAGCGTCTATGTGTACATATCTCTCGCATGCTTTATCGTCTGGTTCTTTACATACTAATAGGGCAGTCTATATGTCTATAGAGACAGAGGGACATAGTCCGGATAGATACTCACGTACAGTATACCCCAGTCGACGTCGATTGCAGGTGTGATCGACTTCAAGCTCCTTTGTTCTTCACGCCCATCATCGTTCGGCCCACCGCCTATTCCTCGCGCCCGTCTGGCGCACTTCCTATCCTTACGAACATATCTACGACGTCGCTCTTTTATCGATAATGTCTCTCAGGTTCAAGTGGTTCCGCAAGAGCCTCATTGGTACCAGGGCGTCGTTTGCGCGAGAAGGCTCCGACTGACCAGCGTCTAGTGTTCATAATTCTCCTCTACCTCCTCATAATCGGCTTCGCCTTCTTCTTGCGCCCGTATTTGGCGCGGCAGGATAGTGTCTGGATTCTAGTGTCTATCCCTCTGTCCATGATCGCAGGATGCGTCATGTCGTGAGCAATCCGTCCGGCTACCCTCCGACCTACTCTCACTATCGCCTAGCATATTTCACGTCAAGTTCTTTGGCACGCCGCAGACAGTTGTCTGGGAGCTTGTGTGGCTGGCGGGATTCCTTCCGTTCGCTCTCAGTGCGTGCCAGTTCGCTTGCTCGCTTGCCTCCGCTGACGCGCTCTGCCAGTCGTGGCGTTCGTCATTTACACGGGAACTACTGGCGATGTGGCGCCTGCAGTCATCTCCGTGCTGTATGCGGCCGAGATAGTGGTCTTCATTGCGTGCTCGATTCGTGCGTCGCGATGCCTTTTACTCCCTGGCCCTCCTGCTAACCTTCACGCTCTTGCAGATCTGCTCTACGCGCTCTCGCTGCTCCTTTCGGCTACCCTGACGTCCTTCGCCTTTGATCGCGACATCTGGACTCGCGACCTCGACGCCTCTCCGTCTCCCTTCCCGGCGGGCTTCTTGCTCCGGTACTACACTCCCTGCCTGCGCCGTTCCGCGACGAACCCGACGACCGAGATCGAATACGCTATCCGCGGCTACCCGATGCCTACTCCGCACACTGAGGAAACTGAGGTCAAGATCGCTCCTTCGGCGCCGGACTCGCCTACCATCTCTTCTGCTTCGCCCTCTGGTCTCGTGTCTCAGGCATCGCAAGCTTCGTCTCAGGCTTCGGAGCGCAAACTCTCGGGTCATCGTCCTACTGGCAGCAGAGCGTCTCTCGCGAGCACACTGATTCAGGTCCCGGACGAGTTCCAGAAGCGCACCTCGATACAAGTTTCGTTCCAGAATGTAGTATGAACAGTTGGAAGGTACATGGGGAAGTACCTATCGCCTGTATGCTGGATGTCTGTAGGGGTAGTTGGATGAGTAACGCGGCTGAGAAGCTGTCGCTGTAAGAAATCTTTCCATATGTAATGCGTCCGTGAAGGAGAAAGCAAAGTCTGCAACAAGTAGTGATGCACACTCGAGAGCTGCAGGCAAACGCGTGCTCGCGTAAGGCGCGTCTTGGCGCGGTCTGTCACATCACCTGATGGTGTTGACCTCATGCGTGACCGACGCGACACAAACGGTCACGGACGCGAGATACACGCTTTTTCCCATCCAATTATCAACTTGTAATTTGCACTCGTTCGCGCCACTCAGGTCAGCTTCCGCGTTCGTGAGGTCTCCTAATCTCATCCATAGTTCTAACAGTCACTTTCCTGCATGCAATACCCATCCAAGCCTCGATGACAGACACTCGGAATCTTCGCATTTTGTACACGATCAACGCCAACCCCCAGTATATCCTTGCACGCACTCTGAGACCGGTTGAGGTCTCCATACTGCCAGATGCGCCCGACGGACCCTCTTCTCCCCAGGCGAGATACGCCACAGCCCAGTTGAAGCCCTGCCTCGATGCTGTTTGCCGCTCCAGTCCCGAATTACTCCAGGACAAATCGAGGGATTTCTCTGTTTACCTGCTGGACCCCCTGGAGTCCAGTTTCGTTGCAACCAAGCAAGGCTTAGGCTTTGATCGAGGTGTAGCGGTTGGGCTGGGGCTGCTGTCTACTGCAAACGAGATCGCGGATACGCCAGTAACGGGCACGGTTGTCCGATTACCCACGAATCAGGAAGCCGTGGAAATCATCTTGTCGTTCACGGAGGTGCGTTGGTACCTTTACTTCGCTTCGATAGCATCTCAATGCTCTCTCCAGACCCGAGCGTCTCGCAGAAACCCCTCGCCACTTCCCCCACCTGCACCGGTGTCACAAGCGCCGACACCCACTGAACCCGCGCCACCCCCCGCTCCAGCCAAGACTCATGCCACTCGCAATTCTCTCACTCTCACACGTGCCGTCTCCCTCCCAGCTTCATCATCCTCCGCAGCCTCCTCATCCGCACAACCTTCGAAAGCGCCGCCGAACTGGTCGCTCGTAAATCCCAGCAAAGCCAAGAAGAAGCCCCCTCAGAAACTCAAAGAGCCACAAACGGTGTCATATACCAACGAGCCGTACGCCCATGCGCCCCGCGCGGACTACATCTTTGCGAACACGCAAACGTATATAGGGCCGAAGACGAAGAAGGGGCGGCCGACGCAGCCACCGTCGAACGGTTCACAAATGTGGGTGGTGGGACCTTCGGCGTCAACTCCGAGTACCACGACCAGCACGACGACTAGCGCAGCCAGTACACCAGCATCAGCGCCTGGACCGTCTCCCGCGCATGCACCTTCGCCTCTCCCAGCGCCTTCGCCCATACCAGCGCCCTCACCTTCACCCGCAGCGGCACCCATCGCCGCCATGTCCCCGCCCACCATCCCCACAGGCGAGAACCTCTCCCAAGAAGCGAAACACAACCTCCTCGACGTCCTCGCGCTTATCATGGCCTGCTCGGGGGATGCGACGCAGCAGGCGGCGCTGTTAGCTTCGCTGAGCACCATTGACTCGAGCTCGCCGGAGCAGACGGCGGTGGTGCTGGAGCAGATTAAGGCGGTGCTGTTGCGGGGGAGGAGTGCGGGGCCGCAGGCGTTGGGTCAGGCGGGTCAGGCTGGGGCGAGTCTGATGAGCCAGCCACCGCCGGCTCAAACGAGCCAATCTGGCACCGTTGTGCTCGACAAGGAGAACTGCAACCCGTCGCCGTCGAGGCGGACGGGTAAGGAAGTGGCGGCCTCCACCTCTTCGACGCCCGCCGGAGTGCAGAACTCGGCGCCTGCGCAAAGTAGGTCGGGATTACAAAACTCGACCTCGAAGTCGAATGCGGCGCCCGTGGTGGTTCCGCCTGCTGCCCCGGCGCCGAATGAGGCTGCCGCATCTAGTCATGCAGCTTCGTCCAGCCGGAAGCGCACCTTCGACCAATTCGCGGCGGGTATGTCGGCGCGCGTGGGTCGGAGCAAGGAACAGAGGCGACAGAGTGGGAGCAGGGATCAGCGGAGACAGAGTGGCAGTGGGGAAAATAGGCTGCAGAGTGGGAGCGGGGAGAACAGGGTGCCCGCAACCTCGCCCGTACGCGGGCCCGCGAGGCAGTCTGTTCCGTTCGGGAGGGCACATTCGAGTAACGACGCGTCCTCGCAGCGCACAGCGAGTACGTCCCATCGCTCGCCGAGCGCGTCCCACCGCCAGGCGGGCGCGTCTCATCGCGTAGTGAGCGCTTCTTCGCCCGTGCGTCCTCCCAATCGGAGGCCATACACCGTGCCCTCGTGGGCGCGCACGGACACGGCGACGCAACCAAGATTGTCAGAGGAGGCGCTGCGAGCGCAACGGGAGGCGGATGCAAAACGCCGGGAGGTGAGGCTGGCGAGGAAGAGGGAGCGGCGGGTGGCGAGGCAGGGGGCGGACGGGGACGACGACAGCTATAGCGAGAGCGGAGGGGACTTCAGCTCGAATGCAGGGAAGGGCTCGATGGTGGGTAGGAGTGCGAAGGCGAGCGCGAGTACAATCAACAACGCGAACGCGAAGTCCAAGCCCGTAAGACCGATTGCGGCTTTGCCTCTGTTCCCCTCGAGCTCGTCCTTCCCTATTTCCTCGTCGGCTGATCTTCCACCGCCGAGTACGCCGCCAAGGAGGCGAGCAGGGAGTCTGCCGGCGACGCCGGACGAGCTAGGTGGCTCGCTCTTTACGCCCAGCACACCTCGTGGTCTGCGCGCGCCGACGACGCCGGTTACACCACGTCGACACCGCCCGTCGCCTATCAAGACCCCGCGGTCGAAGTCGGTGGGTGCGGATGGGGCGGACGAAGGAGGGGGAGAGTGGGACGACGACGACGACTTCCTGAGCAAGGAGCTCTCCGAGTCGCCGTCCGCGGGCAGGTCGAGCGATATGCGGCGCTTCGACTCGAGCGATGCGCGGCGCTTCAACTCGGGGTACGTGCCGCCGTCGTCGCCGCTGCCACCCTCTAGCCCGCCGCGGTCGAGTCCTTTGGACCATCCGATGGAGCTGGAGATGGAGGACGGAGACGAGACGATTCTATCGCCTGAGCCACTGGTTGGGACGCCCGATACGGCGGACGGGCTTGGGGGCAGGAACGGGGCAGACGGTCACCCGGACGGGCTCGAGTTGTCGTCCGACGAGGCGTTCGACATGCTCCAGCTGTTCTCGGACTCGGATGGCATGCTGGGGAGTGAGGGTCTGAATGACGCACCGGGCATCGACATGTCGATGTTCGAGAACGGGCTGGCGGATATGGACTTTACGGAGTTCTGGCAGTCGATGGGGCCGCTGTTGAATAACAGCGGATCGTTGGGAGAGGGTGGCGATGGAATGCAGGGTGGAGGAGGGCTGCAGGAAGGTGCGGGTCTGCAACAGCAGGACATGCAACATGGGACTTGGGATGGGACTACTTTCGGGACTGGGCAGCAGGCAGAATCGGTACAGGATGTGCATTCGCTGTTTAGTGGATGTTTGCTGTGAATACTCAAAGGCTTCTGATGTTGTTGTCTTCGCTATGTGCATAGGATAGTGCTGTCTGTTAGCTGCAATGCGTACTCTCTCCGACTATGTTGGCTGTTCTCAAGCTTCCGACCCGAAGTTCAACCTGTCACGCGTCTGTCACGACACCTGTCGGTTTGACGGACCGACCTCCGAAGCGAAGCTGGTCTCCTCGTCGTCTTGCACGGCGAGGCGCTTAGGCCGTAACGATGCCCGACCACCCAACGACATCATGGCAGGCCATGCAAGATGGCAAGGTCTTCTATCGCAAGCAGCAGCTGTACATGATACCCGACAAACTGCCCAATCTCGCCGACTACATCGTTGCAGGATGTCGGTATGGTGGTCCCCTCGGTGCGTGTATAGGTACACTCAGTAGGGACGTATATTGAACTTGCTGCAGCTTTAATGCGAGATAACACGAAGATGATTGCGCTTGGACGCGCTGCACCCACGTTCCAAAAGGCCGAAATACGCATCTACTCCGCCTCGGGGGATGGATTGCTACTATTCACTGTGACATCAAGTCGTCTTCCTGCAAGTATACCCGACTGACATTTCCCTACCCTAGTGGAATCAAGGCCGCATCATCCGCTTTGGATGGACACACGACGAGCGGCTAGTCGTGCTGAACGAGGAGGGCGTGTACCGGATCTATGACCTTCAGGGCGAATACGAGCAATACTCGCTCGGCAGCGAGGCCGGCGAACTTGGCGTCATCGATGCGCAGATCATGGAGAGCGGTCTGGTCGCTCTGACGGGGTCGCTGTCTCTGCTTGAGGTCAAGGGATGGACGGGGTCGCGCCCGGTGACGCTGGCGAATCCAGGTGCGTGTTCCTTCTAATGCTCAGCGAGTCTCTACTAAAGTTGATGCAATACAGGTCTCATCGAGCCCCCCTCCGCCTGGGCAGTCATCCCACCCGACTACACAAGCTCCCGTCACGTCGAGGTCCTGCTCTCCGTCGACTCCACCATCTACACCGTCGACAACCTCGAGTGCATCGACCAACGCTTGTCGCGCGGCCCCTTCACGCAGATTGCGCCTTCGCCCAAGGGACAGAACCTCGCGCTCCTCACGTATACAGGAACTCTGCTCGTTGTGTCGTCGGACTTCCAGCGCAGCTTCACTGAGTTCGACACGACCAATGTGCCGGGCGCGGAGGGGAACGTGCGGCAGGTGGCGTGGTGCGGAGACGACGCGATCCTGGTAACCTGGGAGTCGCTGGTGGTTTTGGTCGGACCGTTTGGCGATACGCTGCAGTGAGTGAGGCGCGACTGGTGGATCATTGTACAGACTGACGCTGCCAAGGTTCTTCTATCCCGGTTCGACCTTCGTCGTAACAGAGCCAGATGGCATACGCGTCGTTGGACCAGACGTCTGCGACTTCATCCAGAAAGTGCCGGGTATGTGCTGTATGTCATGAAGCCCTGTCGACGCTCACATTCCTCACAGCACCTTCACTGTCCGTCTTCCGGCCTGGGTCCACCTCCCCTGCGGCCATCCTGTACGATGCATGGGAGAGCTTCTCCCACCGCTCGTCTAAGGCACATGAGAGCATAAAGAACATCCGTCCCGACCTCGCTGCCGCAGTGGACGAGTGCATAGCTGCTGCTGGTCAGGAATGGGAGCCGTACTGGCAGCGCAGGTTGCTGAATGTATACCGCCTCCTCTTCTGTCTGTGCGCTGATTGGATTGACTCGCCCTCAGGCTGCTAAACTCGGCCGCGGATTCCTCGACCTTTACGACCCAACTGACTTCGTGCGCATGGGCTGCACGCTGAAAGTCCTCAACGCAGTGCGCTTCTATGAGATTGGCATACCACTTACCTATGCGCAGTGAGTTCTTCGCTCCCTTTGTGTTTCCTGATCCACGCATCGACGCCCTCAAGGCTAACAACTACATGCACTGTCACTTTAGATATACCCACACCTCCCCCTCCCACCTCATCGCCCGCCTCACCTCCCGAAATATGCACCTCCTCGCCCTCCGCATCTCTTCCTTCCTCGATCTCAAGCCCGACACCGTCCTACGACATTGGGCGAGTGCGAAGATCGCGCGGTCGCGCTCATCGTCGACCGGTGATGAAGGCGGCGGAGCAGGCGGGCGCGATGCAGACGACGAGGTCTGCAGGACAATCGTGGAGAAGTTCGAAGCATTGGGCGGAGCGGAGGTCAGCTATGCAGACATTGCGAAGCGGGCGTGGGAGGTAGGGAGGGCGGGATTGGCCACGAAGGTGAGCTCGTTTGGTATGGGTAACCAGTGGAGTGCTGATGGGTTTGAACAGCTTTTGGACCATGAGCCAAGGGCGAGTGATCAGGTGCCGTTGTTGTTGACCATGAAGGAGGATCGACTGGCCTTGGAGAAGGCGGTGGATAGCGGGGATACTGACCTCGGTAAGCCATCTCACCTTCTATTCCTGATCCGTGAGGTCTAACACTTACACTTTCTCAGTCTACCAAGTCCTGCTGCACCTTCACAAACGGCTGCCCCTCGGCACGTTCTTCCGCCTCATCGAAGACGGTGGGCCCAAGCTTGCCCTTGCCAGCCGCTTGTTGCAAGTGTATGCGCGGGAACAGGACAAAGAGATGCTCCGGGACTTCTACTACTCGGACGACCGGAGAGTCGAAAGCGCAGTGCTGTCGTTGGAGGAGGCGGCGACTATGCAGGATCCAGAATCAAAGATCACTGCGGTGAAGGCAGCGCAGAAATTCTTTTCGGAGGACAAGGATCGAGCATTTGAGGCCAAGGTGAGCTGACGCTTCGAACACGGGATTCATGGCGGACGTTGACACGGGCCATCGCAGATGATGGATGAGAGCGTACGCCTGATGACGCTGCAACAGCAGCTAGAGAAAGAGACAGATGGGCGGGTGACGTTCTTCGGGTTGACTGTCAACGAGACCATTCGTGCATGCCTTACGAACGGTCTCTCCAAGCGCGCAGACAAGATCAAGTCGGACTTCAAGGTCCCCGATAAGAGGTGAGCCGCACTTCTGGTTCTCTGCACATCTGTCCTCTACCTTTTGGGCCGCTTACTCACTATCGTCTCCAGATTTTGGTACACCAAACTCTACGCTCTTACCTCTGTCCGGGACTGGGAAGCCCTCGACACCTTTGCTAAGTCGAAGCGCAGTCCCATTGGGTACGAGCCCTTCGTACGGCACCTCATCGAGAAGGGCCACCCCACGCAGGCGGTGCCGTACGTCGCGCGGTGTGACTCGCCAAAGCGGGCGGACCTATATGTGGAGTGCGGGGAGTGGCGAATGGCGGGACAGGCGTGCAAGGAAAGAGGAGACAAGGCAAAGCTAGAGTGAGTGCTTCTCTCCCCTGAGTACAAAGTACGGATGATGCTGACAGTCTCATTACAGGGAGCTCAGGAGGAAATGTCCGAATTCGATGATCGAGCGGGAACTAGCGCAGATTGCGACGACTATGAAGTAGCGGATGAATTTGCATTTGGAGCGGTCAGCATCAGCTGTTCTGTGATACGAGTGTGGTTGCTTGATTGATGTCCGTGTTGTATTGACCGAACCTCTGCCTCGGACGCAAATCCAGTAAGCCTTTCCCTTCATCATCGGCGCTTATTGTGCCTATTCAATCGTCTGCGCCTTTGTAATGAAGGACCGTCTGCTGTACACTGTGCGTACTTCCTTCGCCTTTACCATTCTCAAATTTGGTGCTGACGGATGCCGTAGAATAGCATCTCTCCGCATACTGCGCTCACCAGAGGCGTGTTTCTTCATGTCGCGCGACTTCAGCACCTTGAGAGCATGTTTCCCTATGCTATCGGTGATCCTCGCGGCTGACTGACGATGGCGGTGCGCGCAGCGACGAACACGAACTTGAGACGCGTTTCGCCTCGTGCCAGGCACGTGCCCGGCCGCATCGATAGGCGCGCATATAGAGTCACCCCCACTTGTCATTCCCCTCCATCCCCGCCTCGCCCTCCACCCATCCTGTGCTTCCTCCTTGCACTGCTAGCCAGTCGCGACCCGTCCCGGACCCTAAGAGCACTCGATTCAGAACCAGAAGAAGCTGCTGAGCACGTACACGAAGACGACATGCAGCGCCATACGTTTACCGCGCTCAATTCGACGTTCGTCGTCGACTCGGAGTACCAATTCGTGAAGGAGCTGGGGCAGGGCGCGTATGGGTGCGTCGTCGCTGCGCGACACCGCCGCACTGGGGAGGGATGTGCGATCAAGAAGATCACAAACATCAACACCAAGGTGCGTGACGAGGGCATGATCCCTTGGCGTGTACTGACAACGTTCCCTTGCAGCGCATCCTGACGAAGCGATGCTTGCGAGAAATTCGGTCAGTAGTGAACTCTCGAGCCCGATGCGCCTGTCCTGAGATCTTTAAGCCTCCTGCACCACTTCCGCGGGCACAAGAACGTACGCGGTCCGCCAACTGTCAGATCCATGACGGCTGACCCGCCACAGATTACCTGCCTGTACGACATGGACATCGTCTTCCAGCCGAACGGCAACTTTGACGAAGTCTACCTCTATGTGCGCCGCATTCAATACATCCCCCGACGGCTCGGCTAACGCGATGATGACAGGAAGAGCTCATGGAGGCCGATCTGCACGCTATCGTACGCGGCGCCCGTCTTCTCGTCAACTCTGGTCTGACACGCCCGCCCAGATCCGTTCCGGCCAGCCCCTCACCGACGCCCACTTCCAGTCCTTCCTGTACCAGACGCTCTGCGGCCTGAAGTACATACACTCCGCCAACGTCCTCCACCGCGACCTCAAGCCCGGCAACCTGCTCGTCAATGCCGACTGCGAGCTGAAGATCTGTGACTTTGGCCTTGCGCGCGGGTACAGCTCGGGCACGGGCAGCGCGTCGAACAACCAGGGCTTCATGACCGAGTACGTCGCAACTCGGTGGTACCGCGCGCCGGAGGTCATGTTGAGCTTTGCAAACTACGTGCGTTCGGGAATGGCGGGGCTGTCACGCTGTCTGGCTAACGGGGGTCTAGACGACGGCGATTGACGTCTGGTCTATTGGCTGTATTCTGGCTGAGTTGTTGGGCGGAAAGCCGATATTCAAGGGCCGGGAGTGAGTGATTGATATGATCGTGTAGGTGCCATTCCGCTGACGGGCCACCCACAGCTACGTCGATCAATTGAACCAGATCCTTCACTACCTCGGCACGCCATCCGAAGACACCCTTCGTCGCGTCGGCTCACCAAGGGTTAGTGATCCTATTCTCGGTGTCCGTAAATCATGCTCACGGCTCTCCCACTATGCAGGCCCAAGACTACATCCGCTCCCTCCCCATCAAGCCCCGCGTCCCTTTCGCCACCCTCTTCCCCCACGCCAACCCCCTCGCCATCGACCTGCTCTCCAAGATGCTCTGCTTCGACCCGGCAAAGCGCATCTCCTGCGAGCAGGCGCTCAACCACCCCTACTTCCAGGTCTGGCACGACCCCGCGGACGAGCCCATCTGCGAGGCCAAGTTCGACTTCGGCTTCGAGGAGGAGGACAGCATCGAGGGCATGAAGAAGCTGATCATCGAGGAGGTGAAGCAGTTCCGCGCGGAGGTTCGGGCGCAGGCGCGCGCGGCGGGGCAGATCCAGCGGTCGGGGAGGTGAGTGGGGGTTGTGGTGGGAGGTTTTGCGCGGCTCATTGACGGCAGTGATAGTAACCTGGGCATCCCCTCGCGCGACGAGATTATGAACTCGCCCGTGGCGGAGAACTACAATGGACAGGAGGTTCCGCGGTCGCAGAGCCCGGTCATGGAGGACCCGAGCGCGGCGCTCGAGCGTGAGCTAGCTGGCAAGTAAGCTGTGCCCCAAGTCGAAAACGGTCAGTGTATTTTCGATGAAACTGACTCGCAAACAAACTGTACAATTGTACGATCCGTATATACCTTCCTGCTACGTACATACATACTTACTAAGTTATTCATCTGGATCTGCTGTGCAGCGTACAAGCTGGCTCCCTTAGACTGCGAGTAGCTACGTTTTGGCGTCGTTGCAGGTTGATACGTGCCTTTGCAGAACGACACGGTATGCTGACACTGAGCGAATACACACCTCGGCCAAGCTGTTCCTTGCATAGTACAAGTTGTGCACTATGGAACGTTGCCCCAAGCCGGGCTGACCATTATTGTCCGAAAGGAGAAAATAACAATGGTCAGGATTAGTCATCCAAATTTTGATCCAAGCGTCGATCAGACTCCGTGCTCCTCATTCCCTACCGCCTCCATCCCAGTTTCTGGGAAACCAGGATTTCCCCTCCACCCCCGCCCTGACATTGGTGCCCTTGACGCGTTCCTCAACTTGTGCTCACGTCCGCAAACGTTTCCTCGCCGACCATCTTGTCATTCGCTCGATCTTCCACATCTGCATCTGAGTCTGAGGTTCCATAGAAGATGGGTCTCGCAGGACGTAAACAAAAGCAGAGGATTGGGCACGATCCAAGGAATCTGAGCTGGGCGGACGGTCAGTGTCTGTCGTCATTACAATGTTCTGTGTCTAATCTATCCTCCCCTCCTACAACGCATTTCTCGCCATTTTGCACGCATTCATCCCACCTCTTCCCCTTCATATCATAATATCGCTGTGCACATCATATCAGACGCCTCCCGCTTCGGTCAAAACTACCTTGCAAAGTTTGGCTGGGATGCGTCCAAAGGCCTGGGCGCGCAGGGTGAAGGTCGCACCTCCGCCATCAAGGTCTCGCAGAAGCTCGACATGATGGGCATCGGGGCCGCGCACACCAAGGATCCCAACGGCATCGCGTGGAAGCAGAGCAAGGACTACGAGAACCTGCTCGCGCGCCTGAACGCCGCGGCGGCGGGGGAGACGTACGCGCCCGCGACGGGCGTGGTGGCGGAGGGTGGGTTCGTGAAGCCCACGGAGGAGGGCGAGAACGCGAACGCTGCAGAAGTGAAGGAGAACGCGGGCGAGGCGAAGGAGAAGACGAAGGAGGAGCTGAAGAGGGAGAAGAAGGAGAAGAAGCGGAAGCGGAAGGAGCAGGAGGGGGAGGATGTGGAGAAGAAGAGCAAGAAGCGGAAGAAGGACCAGAGCGAGGGCAACACTCCTACACCTGTAGCTGAGGAATCGTCCGACGATGAGCCTCTCCCCGCTCCCGCGCCTCGTCCCGTTCTTCGCAGAGCGTACGTTTTCCACTATAATGTCACATCAAGTCCGTGTAACAACTCCACAGTCACCGATCCCGTCACATCGCCTTCAAAAGCATGGCCACCAAAGACGCCACCGCCGTGGCAGAAATCCTCGGTGTCGCTCCCACACCTTCCTCCCTCTCCTCCAGCGCATCCCCAATGGGCACGCTCACGCCTACCAGTGATGAGCCTGCGACTATGGAGAAGCTCACGAGGAGCACGAAGTCGGTCGCAGACTACTTCAAGGAGCGTTTGGCCGCGAAGGCGGCGGCGAAGTCGGGCTCGTCGACACCTGTTCCTCCGTCCGGCTCTGAAAGCGCAGTTGAAGAAAGCACATCACGAGAAGAGTCAGATGCGCCGCGAGGCGGGTTGGGCTCCAGCCGGAGCCGCAACGAGGAGGAAGATGCCCCTCGGAGCGGTTTGGGGTCACGCAGTGGACTTGGGTCTGGCAGCGGCATCGGCTTCGGCGGTGGGCTTGGGTTCAGTGGCTCGCGACCTCGCGACGATGATGACTCAGCCCCTCGCGGCGGCCTGGGCTCCTTCGCGAGGATGTTCCAGATGCCGTCGACGGCGCCGACCACTGAGACGGGGAAGGGCATGGCGATGTTCGCAGCGCTTTCTTCCTCGAAAGTGCTCTCGGGCGAGGCAGCTCCTGCAGAAGAGGTGCCTGTGACCGAGACAGAGAAGGAGAGACGAAAGAGGGAGAAGAAGGAGAAGAAGCGCAAGGCTGAGGAGACGCAGGAGAATGAGGAAAAGGCGGCGAAGAAGGAAAAGGCGGCGGAGAAGGAGAAGCGGCGGAAGAGCGAGGCGGAGGATGAGGTTGCGCCCAGAGACGTTGGAGAGGAGTTGGGTCCCAAAGAGAAAAAGAAGAAGGACAAGAAAGGAAAGGCGAAGCAGGGCGACGCGGACGAGGTCACAGCGGAGGCTGTAGATGACGGTCGCAAGGAGTCCAAGAAGCGGAAGCGCGACAAGCAGATTGACGACTCGACGCCTTCGGTAGCACCAACACCGTCAAACGACTCCGAGACGATGCCCTCCGAAGACGCCAAGACGAAGGAGGAGCGCAAGGCAGAAAAGCGGCGGAGGAAGGAGGAGAAGAGGCGGAAGGAGGCGTAGGAGGCTTGGCTAACGGTGTTCTCGTGTGGTTCAATCTCTGGAAAACCTTTATTGACGATATACTTGCTCAGTAGCGTGCAGTTGCGGCCATACGCTCACCTGCTTACGATGCCCGATTCCCCGCTGTCGACCGCTCTTGCCTTGCACACTCTGTTGTCGACGATGATCATACTCGCGTCTACCGTCAAGCGGTTTTCAAGTCGCCGACTTCCTTGGGCAATGCGGCAAGCTGGATAAAGCGCCGCCTCGAGGTTCGAACAACCTGCCCTGCAAACTAACTTTATGAGCGCTTTGGCCTGCAAGGTGGCCGTCTCGAATCTACCATGACTACTACCTCGGGCATAGGCCTTTGGTCATGCCGCACAGGCGCGTACCGTCACCTGTGCCCTCGATTTCTGTGCGGCAATTCAGTATTCTCCCGAAGTTCAACTCTGGGCACGTGAGATGCGCCGCACCTTCATGTGACTGCACCTTCCTGGTCGCGATTCGCCGTAACGCGGTTGAACTTCTTCGACAGCGCTGTAGCTGAGCAAACTGGGCCGTAGTGAGTTCTTCTCCTTATTATCCCCCGTATTTACCTGCACAAGGCGCTCCATGACCGTCTGGCTCTCCGTTTACAGCTATCCCTTCGCCCTCACACGGTGCATGTTGAAACCAGTCCTGTCAAGCTGGCTGGCATCGAAGTCGCAGACTGTGTAGGAGGCCCAAATCGTCCTGCCCTTCCTTCAATGAGGCTGATCTCACGACATCCGTACGTCTTCCGAGAAGGTGCGGGGTATGTCGGTGGCTGCCCTCGAGTCCGGTCCAATCGTACTGGTCCTCTGCATTCGGAGTCGCCGCGCCGCGAACAGACATGGCGGCCTGAGGTGCGCATACGGTCTATAGGCCTTCTATGTCTTCACCAGCGGCTGTTTCCATGTCAGCCTATACTTAGGCGGCACCGTGCCGAAGGGGCGGTGGAGGTTGATGCACCTCCATTACAGCGGCGCTCCGTCGACGATCAGGACAATGCATGTCCCACAAGCTTATCCTTCCTCTCAGGCAGCCCTTCCGATATGCATGACCCTCGTCGATACCGGCTCGGGTGCCGGCTCGCCTTCGGGCAGCGCTAACGGCCTTTTCGCCCCTCTTTCCTGCGCGCCGCAGGCGGCGACTGCCTGTCGAATATCTCCTTGAGTCGTATAGACGTCGACGAGAATCGGGCGATCCTATTTCATGCACCTTCACACGTGGGCCTGCTCAAGGTATCCTACCTTCTGCCGGAGCACACCGAGATGACAGACCAGGACAACGCCTACTCGTCGTGGTGTCGCAGGATTTGCGGCCATTCAGTATATAAAGTCGCCACTGACCGTTAGGTGAGTTCATTCCACACTTTCCATTTCTTTCCCCTCGCTCCCTTTCACGGTAAAATGTCTGCACGATCTGACTCCATCTCCGCGAGCGCTGCCGGCGGCATGTCCGTCGAGACCCACTACCCTCGCACCGTCAGAAATAAGCCCTCTCGTCGTGCATGGGTAGAGCCCGCTGCGCTCCCCGACTACGGCGACGTTACCCTTATACGAGGGAACGCGCCAGACTATGTCAAGCAGCTCATGTGCAATACCTTCTACGGCTACGGAGTTGGCGAAGGCGACGCCTTTGGATCGACTGTGGGGCACTCCGTCATGTTCAAGGAGATCAGTATCGACCGTCAACTGGAGAAGCAGGGCCGCTTCGAAGCCGTCACAATAGCAGAGCTACTGGTTACAAAACGTAAGTACGATAGCGACTTTACCTTCTCGCTGTGCTGACCTCGAAATCTTCAGATATGCTTAACGGCGCTGGCATGCTGCACGGCGGTTGCATAGCCTACCTCATAGACAAGTAAGTTTGCTTCCATACAGGATTGTCGCTCTCTAACACGATCTGTCAGCTGCTGCAGCACGCCTCTCGTCGTCTTGGGACTCGTGTCGAACGTCAACGGCGTCGGTGTCACCCAAGGCATGAATATCATGTTTCACGCGCCTGCGCCAGTGTACGTCTCGCTCCCCGTTGCTGCCCGCGCGCCTTCTCATGCTTCCCCAAGAGGCACACGCCTCCGCATCGTCAGCACTTCTGTGTCGCTGGGCGGCCGTGTGATGACAGCCCGATGTGAGGTGCGTTCAGACCGCTCCTTGGAGTGATCCGTCCGGATATTGACCTTGACATCTTCTCTTCGCGCAGATCGTTGACCGGGATACGGGAAGGACTGTGGCGTCCGCCTTCATCAATAAGATGCAGCCTGTCAGCTCGAGGCTGTAGCAGAATAATGAATGCAGCCAGGCTGTATCAGAAAAGCAGCGGGCGCGGCATAACGCCTGGCCCCCTTGCTCTGCGCCACATTCTCTTGTTTTACGAGATGACTATGTACGAGCCTCAGCTAACTTATACAGTATCGTTACAGCCTCTCATAATGCCGTACTCACCAAACGTAATTTAACTATATATTTTGACCGTAACGTACTATAAAGACGGGCTCTGCGAGTCCACAAAATTCATCCACTTGCTCCCTCAAATGACTTTGGCCCAAGCAATCCTTTGTAAATCTTTTCACCTGTACATCTACCTACTTCTTGCACCGTAGCCAATGTATTGCACCCCTGACTTCAAACTCGCAACGCTGGCTTGAGCAACTCCGAGAGCCTTTCCAGGACGTGTTGAAGACGCGGCGCTCATATCATACCCATTTTCCAACTCAGGTCAGCATCTATAAGGGACTACAACTACAGTAAGATGGGACATGCAAATCGTGAATATATATACCCTAGCTCTCATGCCTTGACAGCCTGGATAAACGCCCGAACCTTGTCCAGGTCCTTCGCGCTGCCATCCTCCGTCTCAACACCCCCACTCACATCCACCGCCCATGGGCCCACCTTCGCGATCGCCTCAGCGACGTTTTCCGGCGTTAACCCACCCGCAAGCGCGATGGGCAGCGGATACCTAGAGGGCGTCGTAACCGCACCCCCATGCTTCGCCACATCCACCGCGTCCCCGTTCACATCCGCTACCGGCGCCGCACCCTTATACGCCGCCCCGCCATCCGTGACGATCTCGCCTGCCTGCATGATACTCCGCGCGAGCTCCCAGTCCGCGACCTTGCCCGACCCGCCGGACAGCCCGTCCTCCCGCATGCTGTCGAGCAGGACAAACTGGTGCGCGCCACCGCGCGTGATGCCCGCGACGCTGCGCGCGTCCGAACCCGCGTGGAAGACCTTAATGACGGGCACGGGGATGTGCCGCGCGAGGTCAGTGGGCTCGGCGCCGTGCAGCTGGACGAGGTCGAGCTGGACTTCGGCGACGACGTGCAGGATTTCCTCGAGCGGCGCGTTCTGGAAGACGCCGACGAGGAGGGGGCGAGAGGCGGAGGCGGAGAGCCGGTTGGCGTGCGCGGTGAACCAGGGGGCATTGCTGGTGGAGGGGGCGGAGGGGGTCGAGGTGGATGAGGATGAGTCAAATCGAGCGGTGCGGATGGCCTTGGAGATGGCCTTGGCCGTGGGAAGGTCGATCTGGCGTTTTGAGGGCGCGAACATCAGGCCGAGCAGGTCTGCGCCTGCCTCGGCGACCTGTAGTGCCTCTTCTTCCGATCGGATACCGCAGATCTTGACGAGAGGCTTCGCATCCGTCCAGTTCCTTGTCTCGGGCTCGGGTAGGGAAAGGAGGTGGCGGATGAAGGCGGCGGTGTCCTTCGCGCGCATCAGGCTCTCGCCAATGAGGACGGCCGACACACCCTCCGAGTGGTACTTCTTCACGTCCTCGGGCGTCGAAATGCCACTGAGCGCCGCAAGGATGACGTCCTTGCCCTTGATCATCTCCGTCAACCGGCTCGTCGTGCTCATGTCCACGTTGAAGTCGTGCAAGTTGCGGTTGTTGACACCGATGACCTTGGCACCGAGCGCCAGCGCGGTCTCCATCTCCCGCGTGTTGTTCACCTCGACGAGGGGCTCCATGCCGAGCTCGAGCGAGTACTTGTACAGGTCCTGCAGCAGCGGCTCCGGCAGCATGCTCACGATGAGCAGCACCGTGTCCGCGCCCCAGAGCCGCGCCTCGAGGATCTGATACCGCGAGAGGATGAAGTCCTTGCGCAGGATCGCGGGGCGGTTAGGGAGGTTCGCGACGGCGGTGCGCGCGTGAAGCATGTCCTGCAGCGAGCCGAGGAACCACTTGGGCTCGGTAAGCACTGAGATGGTGTGCGCGCCGGCAAGGGCGTAGGTGAGCGCCTGCGACGCGGGGGAGGTGGCGACCGAGATCGGGCCCTTAGAGGGGGAGGCGCGCTTGATCTCAGCGAGGAGCGATGGACTGCCGGACGTGTTCTGCTTCAGGCGGTCGACGAAGGAGATGAGCGGAGGGGCGATGTTGAGCGAGTAGTTGGTAAGGAGGTCCTGCATTGTCGTGCCCGCCGTCGACTGCGCCTGCGCGACATCGGCGATGCGCTGCTTGTAGATCTTGTCCAGGATGGAGGGCGCCTTGGACGACACGGTCGGGTTCTTCGCCATCTGCTGCGGCATCGTCTCCGTCGGGAACGGGGGGAGGGACCGGTCGTTGACGCGGGCCTCGGGGTTCTCCTCCCAGGTGCCCCCGCGGAGGTTGAGAAAGTTGCGGAGGTATGCATCACCCCCCTCGCTGAGAACACTCTCGCAGTGGTACTGGATGGCCTCGACGGTGTATTTGCGGTGGCGGACGCCCATAATCACTCCGGACTCTTCGGTCAGCGCCGTGATCGCGAGGTCGGCTGGAAGTGTGGATAGCGAGGCGCTCAGCGAGTGGTACCGAGTGGAAAGGATGCCCTGCGGCACATCCTTGTAGCATCCACGGTTGTCGTGGCGTACGCGGCTGAGCTTTCCGTGCATGATCTCGCCTGCATACCTACAAGATGAGTCAGTAAGCGCGCGCGATCGTGAAGGTACTGCTACGCACGCAATCGTCCCTCCCAGCGAGTCCACAATGCACTCGAGGCCCATGCAGACGCCCATGATTGGGACCTTCCCAGTGAAATACTTGATAGCGGCATTGGAGATGCCCGAGTCCGTCTTGGGGTGCCCAGGTCCGGGGGATATGATCAGGTAGTTGATCTGCAGCTGGGGAAGCAAGTCCGGGGAGATGGCGTCGTTGCGAATGACCGTCACGTCGGCGCCCAGCAGCGAGATCTGCTGGTACAAATTCCAGGTGAAGGAGTCGAAGTTGTCGATCATGAGGACATCGAGCTTCCGCGCGAGGTGAGGGGGAAGAGTGGTGGCCATGGCTGAACCGCGCGACGAGGATGAACACAAACGAGGGAGGGTATGAGTCGCCCACGTATACGTTTGGGGGCGTATATAACAAGGTCCGGAGGTAGGCGGCGGTGCGTATACCGCAAAATCAGGAAGTAAGCCGCGAAATGATTCCGAAACGATCTCAAGTCATTATTGACAGTTATTTGTTCGCATTGACTCGTTCCAAGAACCTTTCCTCAAAGTCTATCTCGAGACACAAAACTGCTTGCACTAGCGTACAATTTCGGTCTCTCTCCCACTCGGTCCTGCGCGGAGGTTGGAGAAACCACTGACATGAACGAAACTCAAGACGCCTCGCCGGTTACCCCGTCTAGCGCCGTGCCCACCGCGAGAGACCAAATATTCATTCCCATTACCTACAACGAGCACTGACTGCATCCCGAAGGTATGTAGCTTTACGCGACGTGCTCCGGCCGCCTACACTCAAGCGGACGGGGAGTCCCTTGCGCCGGTCAGATACGCGATTGTCTGGTAAGCCGCCCAGGGCACGAATTCTAACGGGTCGACGCCTGTCAGTCTTCACTGGATGATCGCAGCAGTCAACCACGTACGGGGCGTCATATGTCCGCTCATGTAGAACTCCACGTCTGCGGTCAACGGTCAGTCAACGGGGCGACAAGCGCGGACGGACGGTAAAGACTGAATCGCACTCACAGGTGAGATTGCGCTCCTGGTGCAGGTTGCCGTACACGCCGTGCACGCCCAGGATATCGTCGTCCACAAGGAAGGACTCGGGCTCAATCGGAGTCTGGAAGCCCTGCGCGCCGGCCCAGGTCATGTTCCTTTAGCGCGGGTAGAGGTAACGTCAGCGAGTAGGGTGATATTAGTGAGTAGAGTAGCGTTGGGTAGCAGCGATGACCATCGTCAGCGGCGCGCATAGCGGCGATGGCGCGAACAAACGCACTGGATGGCGATGCGGGTGCCCTCCGCGATCAGAATCATGTCCTGCATATCATCGGCCGCTCAGCATACTGTCATCCCGCATAGCAGACAGACTAGCGGACGCACCGCGAGGCCGTGAACGACGACAGTCCGTGCTGATTTCTCGATGACGTTGGGGAAGATGCTGAGCATAGACGGCAGCGAGTGGTCGCCGTTGACATATACAGGGCCCAAGCAGTCCTCCCAGACCTTTCGGGGTGCATGAATGGCGTCTTGTACCTAAGGGGACCAATGAGCAGATCGCTTGACCATCGAGAAGTGCAGACGTACATCCGTGCGGTTGAAGTAGATAAACTGTTGCGTATCGCGAGGGAAGCCAAGGACACTCCCTGGATATGTCAGCAGATTACAGCACTATATAGCGGATGGAACTTACAGAGATTGGGGAACGTATCCGTCACCCTAAGCGCCGAGCACGTCGGGTTTAATCAGTCCGCTGGCATTACGGATAGGCAGCCCGCGAACCCACGCACCGATAGACGTTAAATACAGGATTCAAGCTGATATACTCTCAGCGCCGCAACAGGGGTCGGCCATCGGCCGAAGAGACTCACTAGAAAATCTCATTATACACCTCGTCCCAAATGGCGCAGTCGTCGGACACCCGCGTCGAGCCCTCTCTGTTGCCCACGAGCGGCAGCAAGCCCTCGGGAGGGTACTTCACGTAGTCGTCCAAGTAGGTCGTGTAGCCGCAGGAGTCGGATATATTCTGCAGGTGCTCCAGGAAGGAGGAATTGAAGGGGAAGACGTTCGCGTTTGCCTGAAGGAGGGTGAGCGGTTAGTTGACGCTTCTGATGCTTGCCAGGCGAAGGGCGACCGCTCACCTGCACGAAGCGCAGTGTAGGTATCTCGCCCTGGACTATATCGTACGATAGGGAGGGGTCTGCGATCCAGATCCCTTGCAGGTCGAGGTTAAGCCCGGGGTTCTCGTAGATGTAGTTGGCAATGTAGGGCACGTCTGGAGGGATGTGAGAGCGGTTTCGCTGAGCAATCATTGTACGCACAGTATCCAGCGTACTGAGTTAAAACCGATCAGTAAAGGTAGACTCCGATAGCATGAATAAGGGCCCACTCACGCTTTCCCCAGACAAGTAGAACTCGGCACCTTGCAGCTCATCGAAGACCTCGATGAATTGCCCCAGGAAGCCAGTCAGCTGCGCGGCCAATTCGTCGTCGTTGGTGATGTTCGGTGTGCCTTGGGTGAAGCCAGTCTATCGAGACGAACGACTATCAGCAATCCTCCCTGCGCCCCTCGATATTCACCCAGCTCACCCCGACGGGCTGCTCAACCCACACAACATTGGCGAACTCTGTCCATGAGTATGGATTGCTATTTGCGCGTGAGTTATGGTATTCCCGCGTGCGCCTGAGATTCTGGAACTCACGCTTCGGGCTCCGACTGGCCCCAGTTCCAAACTGTAGAAGAGGTGGAGAAAGGTTCGGGTTAAATTACGGTCAAGCTCTGCCAAGCGAGTGCACCTACTGATCGGCCCGTTTTCCTGTAGGAAGCCCTCCAGGGACGAGCAGCCCGGTCCGCCTATTGTAATGCATGAGTAGTGCCCGGAAATATTGCGCTATCCATTCTCACCGTTCGTCCAGAATAGCAACTTGTCCGCGTTGTCGGGGTTCGAGGTCGGCCAGAGCCTGCCGCGCGTTCCATGTGGTGAGTGGTATTCTTGTTGAACGCAAAAAAAATGCGGTGCAGGCGAGGGAGATGCGGAGAGGGAAAGGGAGACAAAACAACGGCGTGGGAGATGCGGACTTACCAGAAGAATAGCTTCTTGTCTTCATCGGGGTCGCCTGAGATGGGCAGTAAGCCCGCCCAGGATGGTCCCGCGTCGAAGTTGACTGCAAGACAACGGCACTGTCAGGCTTGTCCGCTGTATATGCAAAGCCAGCTCACCCTCAGGAATCGACGTCCCATCCACGTAGAACGGCTCGGCCGCGGGGTTCGAGAACGGGAGCGTCCCGTTGTCCTGCCGCTTTGAGTGCACATTCTGCGAGTTCGCGCTCGCATACGCGGCCTTCACGCGTTCCATCTGCTCGTGCTGCTTGCCCATCACCCGGTCGAGGCGACTGCTGTCCCCGCGCGCACTGGCCACGGAGGCCAGCAGAGCCAGCGAGAGCACCTGCAGTAGCTGCATGGTCGCGTATATGATGAAGGGCTCAGGCTCTCTCGCGAGACATCTCGACCCTTATATACTTGGGCTTACAGCATGGCTCCCCTGCTTCTTCGATGGGCGGGTGCATGCAATGCATCATCGACTACCGTGCGATGGAGATAGAAGCTAGCGAGCGCGTGGCGAGGCGCCTGTGGCACAATAGTGGGCGATATCGCGTGCCGTGGCCTTCGACCGAGAGCAGATGGCGCATGTAATACCCGACAGACATAGCGGCAGCATCTCGGTCATGGGAGGTCGTGGGTAGGGCGGCTTGGTATTTGTTGATGCTTTGGCTTCGATGGGTACCTTCACAGAGGTCATTTCTGTCAGCTTGAGCAGCGCATCGTGGAGGGGAAGATGCAAGCGCGAGGTCATTCTTGCGCGGTGTCCTTCAAAGACAGGGCATATGCATGGTAAAGGCTGGCGCTGACGGATCGACGAGTCCAGGATAGGCGAAGAAGTAATGGATTCCAAGGTCCGCGACGGAATCATTGACATACTCTGCAGACCAGGAGAGCTAGCATGGTGGCGGGGAGCAAGCGACCAAATGTAATAGTTGGAGCGCCCACATGGACCTACAGCGCCACGCCACAAATGCCCATGGTTCCAATCCGTACACAATGCTTCCCTTCTTCCTGCCCTCACCACACCTCCACTCGCGATGCTTCGCTCTGTGAAGCTGAAGCGCCGCTACTACGCTATACTCCTGGCTGTCGGTCTATATCTTCTGCTGTGCTCGTTCAGCCGGGAAGCCTCGCAAGACTCGATCGACCTGGATGCGTTGAACCGAATACTAGACGGCAAGCTCGAAGCCTACATGCGCGAAGTACGAGACACGAAGGGCTACCTCATGCTAAACGACACTACCCACCTCGAAGCGAAACAGAAAGCGCTGGCTTGCTTCGTAGACAAGGGAACCTGGACTCAAGACGACGACTCCAATCGGCTCACCTACCAGCCCGACAATTCCTGCCTGCAAAAGGCCAACTCCGCCTCCCTGCAAGCTTCTGTCACTGACCTCTGCTCCACAATATCCTCCAAAAAGGTCCTCCTCGTCGGCTCCGAAGCAACGCACCACCTCCACACCCTCTGGCTCGACGCCCTTGACGAAGGCCACACCTGCCTCGGCCCTGAGTTCTGCACCTTCCACCACGTCTGCCTGCCTCCTGCCATGCGCACCGCTGCCTCCCTAGGCGAGCCGCGCTTTAAAAGGCTCCCGCGCGACCAGGATCTCGCCGAGCTAGGCTCCGCGCTCGTGCGCTTCTCGCTATCATCGTCGCTGCTCGTGCCGGACAGCCCTCGTGTATATAGCGAGGTGCGCGTCGATGCGCGTACGGGCGTGCGAGCGAGGGATAGCAACTGGCTCGAGCAGGCGCGGCGCTCGCAGGTTGTGGTGATGAATCGGGGCCCGCTGCCCGCGCCAGCGGCGACGTACAACGTTAGCGATGGGCCGGATGCCCTCGAGCGCTGGCAGGTGCCGTGGAGAGGCGTACTGGAACAGATTGCTACCGACGACTACGTGGGATCCGATGGACGGCTTTCGCGCATCGACCGGCTCGTCAACGCGGCGCTCGACGTCACACTACGCTCTATGCTGCCTGAGGTCATCGAGACGCTCGCCCTCATGCGCGAAGACGACGTCGTCAGCAAGAACTCTCTGATCTGGCACGGCGCGTGGTACAAACAACCTCGGTGCGCTTCTGGAAAGCCCTCCTCATCAAACATTCTCTCGGAAGTCTTGAGCCCATCGCTCGATCCTTGGACGCTGTATCACAACCTTCAGGGTATGTTGCTAGTGCCTTTGCTCATTCGAGGTACTAACCCCACGAAGTCTACATGCAAAACCGAATCATGCGCACGCTCATGCCTTCTTTCGGTGTTGCTTTCATGTCACTCGTCTTACCGCGAACCGAAGGCGACATCTCACATGCAGCTCCCGCGCTCAAGCGTCTGAGTCCCGGGAAGGATGTATCGCTGCCAAATTTGACTGCTCTCGATCGCGCAAAGTCAGTTGCCTCATTGGAGGAGCGTCGAAAGCGTTCAGACTGCATTCGGCACTCGGGCACCTCTCCAGGTGGTCGAGTGTTGCAGGTTGTGTTCTTGCGCTCCCTCGACTTCTTGCTGGCATCTGGCAGTCAGCAGTATCTGTACAAGGTAGGTATTCAATAGGAACACGAAAGACTCAAATAGCGATGTTTCAGCAAAGAAGTCAGCGATACCCTCTGTTGGTTGATCCCCTCGTAACCATTTAGTGATCTTTCTAGTGACCATCTAGTGATCCTTTAGCGATCCTTTAGTGATCCTCTAGTGATCTTTTAGTGATCGTTTAGTGATCTTTTAGTGATCGTTCAGTGATCTTTCAATGATCTTTCAGTGGCCTTCTAGCGACCTCTTAATAATGGGCATGACGGCGAGCGCTGGTGGCTCGGAAGCGCAGGAGGCCGCCAATATGTATGACAATTCCGAGCGAGCGTACAGTATGACCCCTGACTAGACTGTCTCGCGTCTGTCCCATGTTTCCCCTCTCGCTCTACTCTTTGCATGTTGACGCTTACCGATACTTCTGTGCCCGCAGGAGCACTGTGTTCAACTATCATCACGACCTCATGCGCTTACGTTGCCTGTACATTGTGTTCTAATTGCCGCCACCGTCCCACTCTGTTTGGTTACTTACTTATGTGAACACTCAACGCTAGTGGTCTGCCATCTGTTGTAACCCTACGCCCCATTAACGGCTGTGCACTACTATCCTCCAATTGTATTCTACGAAACGTATGCAAAGCATACGCCAAAAACATGTAGTGATCTTTCAGTGACCCTTTAGTGATCTTCTAGTGACTTGGTAGCCAAAAAGGTAGGAAAGGTCTAACCAGGGTTCGAACCTGGGTCGCAGGAAGGTCACGTGATTGCCGGGCCGGGGACCCGGTCGGCCGTCAAAATCCTGAGTGCTAACCACTACACTATTAGACCATATGTTGTGCCCAGTCAACAAGCACTCAGACATAGTGGGGGTTACTGGGGAAAGCAATTGAGGAGGATGAGAGACAAAGCTCGATGAAGGCAGGGGAGGAAGATGAGGAGCAGAAGTCAGGAATGGATGTTGATAAGAAGCCAGCTGCACAACAAGGATAGGGGAGCCGCACTACTGGCTCTTCTGCACAACCGTCAACTACGGAGACCGCCGTGGGGAAAATACACTGTTACCTGAGTATCTATAGCAGAGGTGTTCACCGTCAAATAAGCGCGTCTTGACTTTGTCGTTACCTGCTGCACGAAGAAAGTGCAGATGCGAAAATAGATGTAGTCAGTGGCCCCGGTTTGCTGCATGTGATTGTCGAGAGTGGCGCGACCAGCGCTAACGAGCTCCATGCAATCATCACTTGTCCCCTCCCACTACAATGCCCCATCTCCCCCTCCTCGGTCGCCTCTCCCTTCTCGAATATGCATACCTTGTAGCTGGTTTCCTCTTCCTCGCCCTCGAGTCTGTCCTTCACATCATCATCCTCTTCCTCCCCAAATCCTTCATCAACCTCTGCTACGAAAAGTCGCGCACGCTCTTCAACCGCCGTCACCGCGCCGAGCGCCCGGCTTCCTCGCCCGAGAAGCAGGTCGTCGATAAGATCCTGCGCGCACGCGACTTCCATGGGCTCTGCGAGATCTACGGGTATACGCCGGAGGAGCACGTCGTCCTGACGAAGGACGGCTACTTGTTGACGCTTCACCGTTTGTGTAACAAAAAGGGCGAGCATTGTGCGCGTCCGGGAACCAGCACCGGCGGTCCTGTTGTGTATCTGCATCACGGGCTGCTCATGAACAGCGAGATCTGGGTGTGCTTGACAGCTGAAGAGCGTGCCCTGCCGTTCCAGCTGGTTGAGCGGGGCTATGACGTCTGGCTGGGGAACAATAGGTGCGTGCGAGATTGATACGCGCCTAATGCAGTACTCATATCATTCGCAGGGGAAACAAGTACTCGCGCAAGTCAATTCACCATGGTCCTCACTCTGCCAAGTTCTGGGACTACAGGTACGGGGACAATATTGCTTCGCATACGCATGATTTACCTCTTCGCAGCATTGATGACTTTGCCTGGCACGATATTCCCGACTCCATTCACTACATCCTCGACGTGACCAAGGCACCGACGCTCAGCTACATCGGCTTCAGCCAGGGTACTGCCCAGGCCTTCGCTGCCCTCAGCATCCACCCGCAACTCAACCAAAAGATCAACGTCTTCATTGCCCTCGCCCCCGCCATGGCGCCCCCCGGCCTCTCCGCCCCCATCGTCGACAGCCTCATGAAAGCCTCCCCAACCCTCATGTACCTCTTCTTCGGCCGCAAATCCATCCTGTCCTCCGCCACCATGTGGCAGTCCATCCTCTACCCGCCCATCTTCGCCGTCCTCATCGACACCTGCCTCGGCTGGCTCTTCCGCTGGTACGGCAACAACATCCCCAGCGCGCAGAAAATCGCCGCGTATGCGCACCTGTACTCCTTCGCCTCGACCAAGTCCGTCGTGCACTGGTTCCAGATCATGCGCAGCGCGACGTTCCAGATGTTCGACGACGACGTGAGCGCGGGGGTTGGGAGCGTCGCGCGCACGCGCGTGAGCTCGTACAGGCCTGCGCGCTTCCCGACGCGCAATATCGTGACGCCGATCGTGCTGATGTATGGGGACTCGGATAGCCTGGTGGATATCAAGGTCATGACGAAGAACTTGCCGAACCATACGCGCGTCGTACGCCTGCACGGGTACGAGCATCTTGATATTCTGTGGGGGAAGGACGTGGAGACGGACGTGTTCCCGCATGTGTATGAGGTGCTGGACGAGTTCAAGGAGGGCGGAACGTTGTGCGTCAGCACGCCTGAACTGCAGTATGCAAACGGGAAGCTGTAGTCGTATCCCACGTACCTTGTCTTATATTTCCTTTTTCTCTGCTTTTTTTCATCGTTCAGCGGGATCGTGTGTCGACAAGCTATCATACATTGGGGCCATGGTGGGTGTCGCATCCAATAAATACATAGATACCCTGGTCATCGTAATACAAGGCATGTCCAACGAAACGGGAGAGGTAGGCAGTGTCAGGTCGTGAAGGAAGTCGTGCCGAAAGCATGTCGTGTCTAACAACATAAGCACGGGCAACAGAGGAAGCCTGCCAGGCAGCCGGCGCAGCTGAAGAGGTGGACATCAGACCATACTCCTAGTACTCGAAGACGACACGGCGACGTACCATCCACAACACGTACTACACGCACTGCTGTCATCGCGCTGGTAGGGTCGCTGCTGCTGAACGTAGATCATCTGCGGCTGCCCCTGGGGCTGGTACTGCTGTGGTGGCGGGCCGCCGTGGACTGCGATCGACTGATCAGCACATCTGTTCGCGCGAGGGTAGAGAGGGAAGCAACGCACAGTTCCCCTGCCCGCCATGGTGTTTGTTCATGCCGTGCCCCGGGGCGTAGTACGCCTGCCCGGGTGGCGCCGGTCCGCCGTGGTGGCCCTGCCCGAAGTGCTGATGTCCTTCCTTCATGATATGGGTGGGTGTACAGGCGAGGGTGTGGTGGTGGTGCGCAGATCAGGGAAGGAGGAGGAGAAAGGGTGTCCTAAGGTGATCGGGGTGAAGGGGGAGATGAGTGCAGTAGCCAAGCCCGCCGCGGTGGAGCTTCTTAAACGGCGATGACGGGGCCAGATGCACGCTGCACAGCCTGCGCGGACGCAGCGGAGGCGATGTGAGGCAGAGTAACTGCGCGTTTGTCTGCTGGAGGACATCTGCACTACGTTCCTGATGGGTCTTTGCACGACAAATGCGATGGGACTCAGAAAATGCCCGCCTCGGTAGGCCGTCTGCGAGTGTGAGACGTGCGTACACTTGGCCGGAGGATTGACCGAGGAGCGAGGCAAATCGACTTCAAGGACTGCTATCAGCATTTAGCGAGGTTCAAGCTCGGATAGTTATGCGTGAAGTTCATGCCGAAAATGACGACCGACGACCGCCTTCCTGAACAATGAACGTAGGCAGGCAACCAACTCGCCACCGGAGAACTCCGAAAGTTCAACCTTCGAAAACGTGACCGGGGAGAAGCCGGACCATCGGTCCGCTAGGTCGCGGACCTACAATGAACGACGATGACAGGGGCCTCAAGTCATCGATACGCCTTTGACTCGTTCGTCCACTTGACAACAGGCATTTCTCCTCGGTTAGACGACGAAAACAATGACTACCCCTAGCATCCCGAAGTTCAAGCTGAACAATGGGGCCGAGATGCCTGCGGTTGGAATGGGGTGAGCATCATGGGCGTCAATGTTAGGAGACAGAGCTGGGCTGAGTTGATTGGACTTATAGATGCTGGATGGGAGGATTCGGTGAGGCAGAGAGAGCCTACGAGATGTGCGTGAAGGCCGTCAAGGTATAGCCCAATGTATAATGCCTCGGGCACGTCTGATAACGCCCACAGTGTGGTTATCGCCACTTCGACACGGTGAGGAAGCTGCTCAGCTTATATAGTACCCAGACTCACGATGCTGACATCAAAAGGCCTCTGGATACGGTACGCACCTATGCTTGAAATGATGGTCTCCCCCGCGCTGAAGGTTGGCATTGCAGGCAACGAGGAAGCGGTTGGTCGCGCCCTCCGCGAATCTGGCGTTCCACGAAGTGAATTCTTCGTCACGACGAAACTACCGTAAGCCTCTTGTTCAACATTCAAGCAATCTATGCGCTCACCCCCTCAAGTAACGCCGGACACCACCGCGTTAAGGAGTCCTTCGAAGAATCCCTCGCGGCCCTCAACCTCGACTACGTCGACCTATACCTCATCCACTGGCCACAGGGCGAGCGACCGACAGGCGAGCAACGGAATACAGGCAACCTCGGCGGCACAAGCTACTTTGCGCCCGACGAGTCACCTACCTTCGTCGATGTATGGAAGGAGGTGGAGAAGCTGCTCGCGACGGGTGAGTGTGCACGCTCATCCCAAGTGCTTGTTCGTAACATATAGCTGAAACACTCACCCGCAGGCAAAGTCAAAACCATCGGCGTCTCCAACTTCTCAGTGAAGAACCTAAGTGCGCTTCTCCCGCACTGTACTGTGATCCCTGCCGTCAACCAGGTCGAGATGCATCCATGTCTCCCTCAGAACGAACTGAAGGCGTTCTGTGACGAGAAGGGGATTTTGCTAACGGCGTATTCGCCGCTGGGTGAGTAAATACTATGATTTCATTCTTCGATGCGGAGAGGGCGAGGTCAGGACGAGGAAAATTCAGAAGAGAAAGGGTGGCAGGACAGGAAAGAAGGGAGGTGATGAAATGGCGATACTGACCCATGCGACCCAGGACGCCATACGACGCTCATAGAATATCCCGCGATCAACGCTCTGGCTGAGAAGTTCAAGGCGACGCCGGCGCAAATTCTGCTCAGCTGGGGCGTGCAGCGCGGCACTTCGGTGATTCCGAAGAGCGAGAATGCGGAGCGGATGGCAAAGAACTTGCAGGTGAGGCTCATATCTTTGCAAGGAAATTGCACTATGTGGGTGCTCTGAAAGGACCACTTGTTGAACGAGCCCTCTCTTATACAGCTCGTCAACCTATCGGACGAGGACATGCAGGCAATCGACGCGATTCATAACGTTCCTGGGATGCACAGGTCGCTCCTCAAGTACCATTCGGAGGATGGCAAGGTGATGGGATGGACGTACGAGCAGCTGGGGTGGCCGATGAATATTGGAGGTGTCATTTCGTGAAGCTGACGCAGGAAGACATTTAGCACATGGCGCACTAGGGCGCTTAGCAACGTATAGCACCCGCGGTGTCATAAACAACGGCGATACAACGCAAACGCGACAAAATAACCAGGGAGCTCGAGCGTCTCAAGGCGTCGCCGTGGACCCGGTGTACGCGTGAATGGTCTCGTCTGCGCAGCCCTCTGGCGTCTCGTATCTGTTCGGAAGGTGATGAGAGGCGTTCGCGGGTCATCGAACTCGAAGATCACTCACGAGTACGGCCCAAGGTTTATGTACACGTCCTTGTTTCCATCCTCGTCCTCGCAGACCAGCCATGCCTAGAACCTTGCGTCAATGCCAGATCCTTCATACTCAGAAACCCTTCACTCACATTATTCTGCGGCCTCGTCACATCCGGGCTGCTCCACTCCACCGTATCGCCCGTAAAGACAAAGCTCCCCAACGTATCCGGCTCCTCCGCCCACGTCACCTTCAGCTTCTTCGTGCTCTCGTCCGCCGGCGGCTCGACGATCGCATACAACGGGGTCCCGCCGGCGTTCTGCACCAACTGGCCATCGGTGATCTGGAACTGGGCGGCGTTCTCGGGCTCGCCGAGGACGGCGTCGGAGGCGGTCTCGAGGACCTCGGACTGGAGGTATTTGTGGAAGTTGGGGTCCTCGACGGCGCGGATGAAGGAGTAGCCGGGTTCGAGGGTGGCGCTGCTGCCTGCGGCGGTGGATGTGGCGGTCTGGGCGGTCGCGAGGGCAGCGAAGGAGAGCAACGCGACGGAAGTGAGGGATGTAGAAACCATGTTGAAGTTGGGCGGACGAACAAGCAAGTGAGGATCCTACGGTCTAACAGGGCTTTATATACGGAGACTCTGGAAGGTAGCTAACGCTACGTAAACCCGAGCTACCGCCTATACGTCGGAGGCGCATGGTCATGAGCAGGGCGTCGTCGCGGGCATTTCTCGGTCGTGCGCGGGGTCGTTCAAGGTCTCGTCAATAGGTACGTCGTGCAGGTCAATAGGCGCAGCGCGCAAGACGCGCGAAGCGTGCTGTCGTGTTTCCGAAGCCCATTTTGCTAATCCGGAGCGGCCGTCGGTCCATAACAGGGAGAAGAAGCGGAAGAATAGGTAGGCGAATGCGGCGAAGGCAGTCGCGGTGGATGCGCAGCCGGTTACAGTGACGAGAACGCAGATCAGGGCGGATACTGCGAAGTGGTTGAAGTGAAGTTGGCATCTATGGAGGGGAAGCAGACTTACATAGGATGAATTCCGCCAATATGACGGCGGCAGATGTGCTGGCTACGGCCAAGAATATGGAAAGGACGATAGCGAAGATTGATGTCCCGCTGTTCATCATTCAGTAGGAGTTCATACGACGCAGGGTTACACCCACAGAAATATAGCTATAGGAAAGAAATTCAGTAGTAAAAGCAGAGAAATCAGGGTCTAAACTCGTTCAGCGCATATTCTGAGGATTTGCCTAGGTATGCGCACCGTAAGAATTGGGTGACAGTTATACAACTTCACTCCACGCTCGAGGGCAGGTCGTGCATACGACCTTTCAAATCTGGAGGCGGGCGGTCAGTGAAGGAAGTGCAATTCACACATTTTACTGACCGAAACGTATAGGACCTTACTTGTGAGGCGCTTGAGTCGAAGTAGGACTCCATCTGCTCCTCTGGAGTCAGAGAGCCATCCCTGTCGTATGAGAACACCTCCATCTGTACGTCGACGCGTCCAAGGCGCGACGAGAAATCGCACGAGTACTTTCTGAATTCTTTGGGGCCCTGGGGGCATGTCTTTCCCACGCCACAGAAGTTCACGGCATCTTACGTGATGCCATCAGTGGCGCGCACACAACTTGCTCCCAACTACCATTTCCAGTCACCGTGCATTCCTTTCGTGCTCGTGGAATACTTGCTCGCAACATGGGGAAGAGAAAGCTCTCTTCGACGCCACCTCCTTCCTTCAAGGCAGAGCCTGGAACTTCCAGCACGCTCGTACCCCCCTCTTCCCCTCACAAGGCGAAGAAACTGAAACTGCAGGACGACTACGCGACGACATCCCCCTTCCCAGACTTTCCCCATCCTACACCGTCAGATGCCAGACGAGTGCACGACTTACTCACTGAGGCTCACGGACCTCGAGTACGCCGCACCCCAGATGCCTCCTCGAATGCAAACTCAGCAAAGACGTGCGGGAGCGTCCCCAATGTCATTGAGTCCCTCATTGGCACCATCCTCTCCCAGAACACCTCCGGCAAGAACTCATCGGGCGCCAAGCGCTCCCTCGATGCCGCCTTCGGGCGCAACAACTTCGCCGCGATCGCGGACGCGCCCACCAGCGCGGTCGCCGACGCCATCCGCTCGGGCGGCCTTGCGAACAAGAAGGCCGCGACGATCCAGCGCGTGCTGCGCGACATTAAGGCGAAGCACGGGAGCTACTCGCTGCAGCACCTCGCGGACGTGTGCGCGGACGCGGAGGTCATGCGCGAGCTTATGGCGTACGATGGTGTGGGGCCGAAGACGGCGTCTTGCGTGCTGCTCTTTTGCTTGGGGCGCGAGTCTTTCGCGGTGGACACTCATGTGTTTCGGCTAAGCAAGTTGCTTGGATGGGTGCCACCGAAGGCGGACCGCGTACAGACGCAGGCACACCTGGACTTGCGCATACCAGGCGACCGCAAATACGGCTTGCACGTTCTCATGATAGACCATGGTCGGATATGTACGGGATGCAAGACAAAGGGGAAGGGCTCATGCATACTAAAGACCTACCTCAAGGAGAGGGGAAGAAGTATCGACGAGGCAGTGGAGGAGGCTGCCACTGTCAAAGACGAGGCCACCGTCAAAGACGAAGCCACAGTCAAAGACGAACTACCATAGCATGCAGGATTGCTCCATCCTACCTATTCTGTTTACCATACGCTTGCGCTCACGTTCACGCTCTAATCACTGCCCCGATACGATCTATCTTCTGGTATATTCGTCTGAATTACGTAGATCCATGGACCCCGTCCGAATGTACAGTAAATCTGCGCAAGCTGATAAGTAATACAGTGTCCCATCCCACTTGTAGCCAGTCCAAAATGCCGGCTCATGCACATCATGTCCCCAGTGTACGCGAGCGCCCTCCAGCGAACTCCCACTCCCTGCAGCGTACACCATCGACATGTTTCCCCCGGCTCAATACCCCGACGGCCGCGTGTGCGACTTCGACGTATCGTACGCGCGAATGAGGCGCATCTGGTCCTGCCGCCCGTTCTCCGTCTGGCTGAACGCGAACCCGCGATTGCGCCGCATGCGCTGCGTGGCGCGCACCTTCTTGATCGCTTTCTGGAATCTGGCGAAATGGTAAGCACGCTCGATATCACAGAAAGAAGGTGCAAGCAACGTACTGCTCCTGCCGTGGCCGGTAATCCGGGATGTTATACTTCTGGAGCTCCTGTACGATGTGGTACGACGAGGGCAAATATGTTCTCCGATAGCTGAGATGGGTTGTTAGTAGACGGTCTTATGACGCAACCCAGCCAGGCAAGGGAAACACCCACTATTTCCACGCAAAGTCGCGCACGAGGCAAAAGATCGGAATGTGCAGCAGCACAAAGTAGAACACCGCATTGGACCACAACCGCGGTACGATGTTGAGGTACTCGGTCGAGAAGCCGATGGCGGGCGCGACGACGGCGTATATCGGCAAGAACGCCATGGTGAAGAGGAAAGAGCCGGGGATGGCAGCGACGGTGTACTTTGTCCAGATGCTGCGCGAGAAGAGGTGAGTATGTCTGTCGGGAGGGGAAGGTAGGAGTGAACGTACTCGGAGATGAGTGCGGCTTTGCCGAGCACGGTGAGAAGGACGGCGAGGTAGAGCGTCGTTCCCCAAAACCAATGTCCCGAGTCGAGGCCGTCCGACTGCTTCAGATCGCCCCAGAAGAGGATGACCGAGAACCCATATGTGAGCTACGACGGTGTTGGTCAGTACAAGCCTTCTAGTCTTGTCTTCATCGCCACTCACAATACTGTGATAAAGCGCATTGCCAACCCACAACCAGAATGCCGTCTTCGTGAAGAACTCGTTCCTTTGCCCGAGCTGATACAACTGCGGGTAGCGATCCAAGAATCGCGCGGAGACGAACTGGTCGAAGATACCGATGACGAGCGGCGGGAGGACAGTGAAGACGACGTTGTACAGTGAGAGCGTCCAGGACTCGTAGGCGATTTGACCGGAGAAGTTGTTGAAGAAGGAATACTATAGTTCATGTTAGCGAAAGGTCAACGCGGCTACTGAAAAAAGCGTACCCAGAATTGCGTCATGTACAGCACGATGTTCTTGTAGAAGGAGTCTGTGGATCCGCGTCAATAAGGGTCCGAGGGCAGGGCCTGGTCAACTTGCAAAGGATGAGCTTAGACAGTCGTCGGTAGCTCCAAGCACCGTGGACGAGCAGCAACTTCTTGAGGTATCGGAACTGCGAGATGGCCACATCTGCAGATCGCGCGGCTTGGAGACCCTACGCAAATCATACTAAGTAAACTTCGATTGACACAGTTGCAGAAACTCACCTCGACACCCGAGATACCAACGCCGACGTGTGCTGCCTGAATCATGCTGACATCGTTTGCGCCGTCGCCGATGGCAAGCAAAATCGCCTTTTGGTTCTTCTTCACTAGCTTTACAACAAGCGCCTTTTGCAAGGGTGATACACGACCTGAGCATTGCGACTGAGTGACAGGTAACCAAAACTGGACGATGAACGATCACACTCACAGCAAACGACAGCTTTGCACATAATCGCGAGCTCGAGGAACTGCTTCGAAATTTCCTTTTCAAGGGCGTAGGTCAAGCTCTTGCCGTCTACGTGTATCGTCAGTCCTGCAGCAAGGACCGCTCATGACGAGAACTCACCGATGACAAGCGCCAGGTCTTCCAACTCGCCGGCATTGCGCTGGTTCTTAATCGCTGTTAACCGTCTTGTGATGAAGTCGTTGGTCGCTTCGGCCGTTTCCTCGTTGATGATGACCAGGTTCATTGATTCCGAGATGAGGCGGCACGACATGCCAATGTTGATCGCGGTCTCTTGCCTGTCGCCTGTCAAGACCCAGACCTAGAAGCACGAATTGTCAGTCATGTCCAAAACGAGTATATTTTCAAAGACGGTCAGCGAACCTTGATCCCAGCCATCTGCAACGTATGGATGGTGTCCGGTACACCTTCCTGAAGCTTGTCCTCAATAGCAGTCGCCCCAAGCAAGAACATGTCCTTCTCAATCAGCTCCGCCGCCTGGTCCAGCGCATCCCCACGCCCGTTAATTGTCGCTGCCGCCTGGTCATAGATCGCCGACCACTGTCGGTACTCCTCTTCCGAGACGTCGCGGTACGCTAGACACAGCGTCCGCAGGCCCTCCGTGGCGTAGTCCTCCAAATGCGCGAGCGTCTTCTCGGTGTACGGCTGATTCTTGCTAAGGCGCTCGAGGATGACGGTGTCTGCGCCCTTCGTGTAGATCTTGATCTTGCCGTTGGGCAGGCGGACGACGGTAGACATGCGTTTGCGAGTGGAGTTGAACTCGCAGACGTTCAGAATCTCGACTTCCTGGTCTTGGCCCATAACGTTGACGAAGACGGACTTGGGCTTGCGCGTCTATAGATTCGCAATTAGAATGGGCATTTACAATGATTGTCGAACCACTTACATGGAACTGGTAGCCAAGGATCTCTGCGCCCGCGACCAATGCAGCCTCGTCGGGACTACTCGCCTGGTAGACCATCTTGCCATCCTTCATCTCCGGAATGACGGTGTGGCACACGGAAAGCAGCAACAAAAACTCCCGGACGACCTCCTTCTCCCTCTCGCCGCCTGCACCACCGCTCGAGCCAGGGTCCGCGAATGGGTTATTTGAGCTCGTCTCCAGCAGCGCCTTCATCTCCGCAAACGTCCGCCAGCCGTCGCTCTTCCCATCCTCCCCGCGCTTCGTGTCGTCGACCACGTCTGCGTACGCCGTACCCGCGATACTGCACATGCGGAACTCCATCTCGTTCCGCGTAAGCGTGCCGGTCTTGTCGCTGAAGACGTACTCGATCTGACCGAGCTCCTCGACGAGGGAAGAGGTACGGCAGACGGCGGGCGTGTCCGTCTTGGCATAGTACATGTCGAGGTCGGAGTTGATGAGCTGCGCCTGCTGGAACTTGACAACTTCCATAGTGACGATGAGCGATATCGGGATGAGGTTATTGTATAGGATGATGAAGGTGAGGATGTCTGTAACCTGAGTAAGCAGGGAGCCAAGGTACGGTGTAAGGTATGCATGCCTTCTATGAAGCCCTTAACCCGACCACCGGCGCTGACTGTCTCGAAGAGGTACCATTGCTGATTTGAGAAAAACCATGACCTGATGCTGCTGCCGATGGTCGAGCCGACGGAAAGGGCCAGAAGCAGGATGAACAGGAAGACGATCTGGACGTTCACTTGGCGCTCGACAGCGGTGCGCTTTATCGGAGCAGCACTGCAATGGCGGGTTAGCGAGGCCGTCGTGAATGATACACATCTACTCACGTAGCGTTCCGCATGAGCTTCGTTTCGTGGCCGGTGAAGACGACGATGCCGTAGAGCCAGGGCGTATTCCGGATTTGCGCGCCTCGCAGAAGGAGCTGGTCAGGACCGAGAGGGATCTGCTTGGGCGTGCCCGCGGCCGTCATAAGGTCGATAGTGCCTTCGTAGGTGTAGAGGGAGTTGTTCGGGTGCTCGGAGCGGATAGAGCCACGCAGCGAGGTGACATGTTGAGGTGAAGTCCAGGGCGAAGTCTGTGGGGAGGATTGCTTAATCTTAAGATTGGTCTCGCTGGCAAGGATGTGAGTGTAGTTCACAGCATATGCGCAGGGCACGCACCCGTCCAAATTGGAAGTCTCGATGTAGCACAAGCCTTCCGGTTCGCTAGAGCTGATGAGAAGCATGTCTGCCGGTATGAAGTCGTCGCTCTCGAGTCGCACGACATCGCCCACACGGATGTTCTTCCATTTCTTCTCGACGAAAGTATCTTGAGATGACAGAACCTTCGCTTTGCGCGCATTGAGCTCGGAGTCGGATTGGTGACGTTTCTGTGGTGTGCGGTTGGGAATAGCGCGGTGAACGGCAGTGAGACACGCACGAGATCTTCCTGGACTTCCTTGAACGCGGAGGCCAGCAAGACGACGGAGAGGGGTGCAATGGTGGTATATTTGTTCGTGGGGGAGACACCGGGGATTTGTTGTATACATGCGGTGAAGAGGAAAAACAAGTTGGCATATTTAGAGAATTGCTCTGTGGGGTGGATCAGTACGAAGCTCGTCGCGTATGTGCAGATCACGCACCAAGCAGGAATTTGGGAAGGAATGACACGAGATTGTATTTGCTGGTGGAGACATAGTTGCTCGAGTACTCGTTGTTCGCGTCCGGGTTGTTGAGTGCAATGACGCGCTCGCCAGTAAGTTGTACTTCCTTCTCCCAAGGCCATTTCCACTTCTTCCGTGGTGGCTTCTTGCTCGGCTGCGAACCTCCACGCGAGGTGCCATTGAAGGTACCCGATCCCTCGAATGGTGCCTGTCCCCTGCTCGCTTGGTTGAACTCGTCGTCGTCGTCGAATGCCCAGCCTTGCGGGGTACCAGTCCCCGCCAACGAAGTCTGTGACGGACCGGTGCCTGCCGGGGGAGCGGCTGACCTGGCCAGCGGTAAGCCGCTCTCCTGCGACTGCATGGGTGCTGGCCGTCCGAACGCCGAGTCTGGCATGGGGGTGTCATCGTCGTCGTCGTCGAAGAACGGATCCATGAGATCCTGCGAACGAGAGCTGTTGCCGCGCGGTGGGTACGATGGGTTCACTGTTTGCTGGTACTGGCTCGCGGCCGGGTTCGCGGTCGACACGAGCTTGAAGAAATCGTCGGCCATTCTCAACGACGTCGCCGGCGACAACGAGCACGATATTGAGATTTGATGGCCGGCCCGTACCTCCAGCCGCTCGTTCCCGCCTCGGTCACATTTCCCACGCTTGCACGCAAATCTGCTTCCGCGGCAATCGCCGAACGGTGTTCTACGGTGTTGTGCTCAGCGTTGAAGGAGCGAACGCCTGCAACCTATCTCCTATATGCTGCCACAGTCGTAGCGCAATGCCCTTGAATTATGTATCTACTTAAAGCCTACGATACGCTCGGAGTCTCTTGCCCTAGTCTGTACTACGTATCTTGCCCTAGTCTGTACTACGTATATTTCCCGGAGGTTACGGAGAACCAGTCGGTACATCCAGCCGATATCCCTGCAGCTCCTTGAGAATATATCTGTACAGGAAACCGTGCTCTCTACCGCTCTCTGTAGCTGGCACTTAAATTGCGACATGGCTGTAGACACTCGGGCGCATGTCTAGAGGGACGACTGCCACAATGCACTTCGAGCGAGCCCCCCCCCGCTTCTAGCAGAAATAAAGATACCTTTTAGGCTATCTGGGATCTTCCGGTAGACTTTACAGCGGCAGAAATACGCCCTGTATCACAAACTTGCGTTAAATCGAAGGATAGCAACTCACCAAGTCGAGCGTGAACAGGATATTATCCTCAGCAATCAGAAGCCCACACTTCTTCGGGCCTAGCCTCAATATACTCGAGCGCAAGCCCGATTTAACGCAGCGCTTCTGTCGACTTGTGCTCTGGCGGGCACACTTGGACTGTTTGACTGACCACAGCAAACGATGTCTTGGAGGGTGCTCAGCAAGAGATGTTTATCACGATTAGTAGGCCCTCGCAGACCGCTCCTGCGTGGCTCACTCGTCAAGCAATAGGCATCGAAGGCGAGCCTATGTTTGCCAGTATTTGCTTCCAACAAATGCTACGACGGCATTTGCCGGTTCTTCATGTTGAAGATTCCCACCATCCCTCCATGCGTACCTCGTCAACATTGTGTTCCTTCATCTAACCTTTTGCGCAAACAAAAAAATTTCGAGACGACTTGTGCTCGTTGTCATGGCTCTGTTCCCCCGACGGACCCGGATGTGAACTGCTCGGACACCGTCGCTTTCGTATGCGTTTGACCTGCTAGCCGACACCTGCGACACTCGCACCCTCCGAGCCCTCGTACGCCGCCGTCCACCGCTGTGGGCGTATCATGCGCGCACGCACGGGACAGACCAGATGGTCTGACCCGGATCCTCCGCCGACGATCAACTTCGCGTTGATCTCGCTATCAATTCCATGTCAGCCACAGGCCCATCCGAACCGCTGCTCTCACGATACATATACACATGAGCGCGTCTGGCGATCTTGCTTCCGCCCACCACCACGAAATCCACCGCCATGTCCTCCGGCGGCAGCAGCGTGCTGAAGTCCCCCGTGTCCGACCGCGCGCCCAAGTTCTCTGAGGGCCGTGATGAGGACCTGCTCGCGCGCCTGGGATACAAGCAGGAGTTCAAGCGCGACTTCAAGAGGCTGGAGCTCTTCGGACTCTCGTTCACCATCGTGGGGGTGGTCCAGTCCATCGCGTGGGTACCCGCGAGCTTCGCCCTAGGAACGCAGCTCACTAATTGCGATCCGCGACGCGCAGTGCCGTTCTGCTTTACTCTATACCCTATGGCGGTCTAGCATCCATGATATGGGGTGTAAGCGCTGTCCCCCTCTACCCTCGGTAGCCATCTGAATGTGCTCCGCCTCCCCCTTGCCAGTGGTTCACCTGCTCGATATTCCTCATCATCGTCGGTCTAGCCATGGCAGAACTTGGGTCATCTGCACCCACGGCAGGTGGACTCTATTACTGGACCTTCAAGTTCTCCTCCCCCGCCACACGCAAGCTCATGTCCTGGCTCGTCGGATGTGCGCCGTGCCTCTTCACCGTTCATGTCTCCTGAATCTAACCTGCCAACCTGCTACCAGACGTCAACACGGCTGCCTACATAGCCGGCGTGGCAAGCGTCGACTGGGGATGTGCCACCCAGATTATGGCCGCCGCCACCATAGGTTCGGATATGACTTTCGAGCCCACAAACGCGCAGACGTAGTACGTACATCCCGCATGATCCCTCTTCCCGATTTACGGTTATGCTTATTAGCCTTTTCCAGCGGTGTATACGCCGCCCTCTTGATATTGCACGCAATCATGGCTAGTCTGGCGACTAAGGTCATTGCGAAGCTGCAATATTTCTATGTTTTCTTGAACATTGCGTCAGTCAGCTTTGCGCCATCCCCCCTGTGCCTCACTAATGTACGCGACTACGCTAGGCTGTTTTTGGCAGTCATTATCGCCCTTCCGGCCACAACGCCGAAAGACATGGTCAATACTGCGAAGTACGCTTTCACGCATTGGGAGAATAGTCAGTTTAGACAGCGGACTTCCCTAATGGTCGCTGACTTTCCCCGTCTCCGACAGTGTCTGGCTGGCCGAACGGGTTCGCATTCATACTGAGTTTCCTCGCTCCTGCTTGGACCGTCGGTGTGTATCGCTTCGCCGCATCCTCCGAGCTTGGTATTCACTGAACATAATTTCAACAGCGGGCTTTGATACGAGCGTACACATCAGCGAGGAGGCGCAGAACGCCCCGCGCGCTGTGCCTTTCGCAATTATGTGCACTGTCGTGCTTGCTTCGACGCTTGGGTGGAGTGAGTGACTTGAACTTCCTGCCGTCTGCCTGGCAGTCAACTCATTCATGCCACCCAGTCGTTAACATTGTCCTCGCTTTCCACATTGGACAGGACTTAGAATCAGTTGTTGGGAATCCGATCGGTCAGCCCATGGCTACAGTTAGTGCCAGGCGTTCGAGGTTGAGGGGCGAGTTCAATGACTTCGGACAGATTTTCTTCAGCAGCGTCGGCAAGACAGGTACCCTCGACATTTGGGCCTTCATGATCATCACTCTATATATGACTGGGATGGATTATGTGCGTATTTCCTCAGTTCCATGCCGCCTCCTTGCACGCTGACCACTCTTTTAAGCTCATAGCTGGCTCTCGCCAAATCTTCGCCTTCTCCCGCGACCATGGCCTCCCCTTCTCCGGCCTCCTCTACAACATGAATCCACGAACGAAAACGCCTGTTCACGCCGTCTGCTTCGTTGCTTTATTCGCGCTCTTGCTCGGTCTCATTTCTTTCGCTGGTTCCGTGGCTATCACTGCGGTGTTTACGATGAGTGTGGTTTGCCAGTACATTGGATTTACGATCCCCATCGTAGCGCGATGGGTGGGTGGCACGAAATTTGTGCCGGGGCCATTTTCATTGGGAAAATTGGTGAGTGATGCGCAGGCTGAGGGTATTGTCTTCGGCCCTCCGAAGAGGACGCTCCGTGACCTGCCAGATTTTCGTTGTGCTATTGCTGACCTTTTCTCCAGAGCCTTCCTATATCGACGATTGCAGCCTCCTACATGACCTTCATGATTGTCGTCTTCCTCTTCCCCGCCGACCCCGCGCCCGACGCGCCTACGATGAACTACACAGTCGTCGTTGTAGGCGGCGTCATCTTGCTTTCGCTCGGCTACTACTATTTGCCCGTCTATGGCGGCACCCACTGGTTCACGGGCCCAGTCGCGACCATCGAGAACCACGGACCAGACTTCCACGACCACGACGACGCGGAGAAGAAGGGGGAGCTCGAGAAGCAGGAGCAGGCCGATATGAAGGGCGAGGCTGACACGAAGGACGAGGCTCAGGACGCGGAGGTGAAGGTCGATTCGGCGCGGTGACGAGTCCCAGGTGCCATAAGCTGTCGTAAGTATCCATAGGGACTTATGTAATTGTACAGGGCGATGGTACCCCTGGTGTACGTCCCTCTCTCCCAGCTTGCCCCCTGCTGGCGTGCCGTGAGAGTTCACCGCAGCTATTGACTTCGAGCAGCTGCGCGCTCTCAAGGTCCTATCGATTTCATCAACGGCGAACTCGCGATCCCGAGTGGCAAGTCCACGGGCCCGGGTGGCAAAGCCTACCATTGACATGTCCGAGTAACCCAGAGGAGTTCCGGCCACCCACGGTCATGAGCATACTTGGAACAAACAACATGAATTATGTACATACATAGGTATCCCAGTACAGTTCAATAGACGCAGATTCAACACGATAGCAAGGCGACACAGATGCGAGTGGAGTATACAAGAAGGCTACGGCAATGGGAATTCGGGGCGAGTCGGAGGTTCGTACCCGGCGATAGGCAAGCAGGCCATACAACAGCGACAAGCATATCATACGGGGACGAGCAGGTCATACGGGGACAGGCAGGCGACGGTAACAGGATAAGTTACAGCAACAGCAGCGCGTCCGGACGTGGCGCGGGCGCGGCCCGCATGACACAGTATAGTGGACGGGTATACGGTCGGTGGTATACACGCACACCTGAGATGGGTCCGCCAGCCGTGGGTGTCGAAGGCGGGCGGACGCATGGTGTACCTGGGTTAGTCGGGCCCGGCGAGCGGTTATACGACGTCGGCGGTCCCCTTGAACGTCGAGTTGGAGCGCTGAGCAGCAACATCTAGGGGGTTTAGCTGGAATGTTGCCGCTGGCTTTGACTCGTCTGCCGGCGTCTCCAAATCTGTAGTTTCCGTCGTCATTTCCATGCTATGTCGCAGCGTCGTGGTCATCCCGAGCGCAGGACCGAATCGTATCGCAGTGTTATCCGTGCGCTTTCCTGACTTCGTGTTTTGCTGCGTAAAGGCCTGAGTGGCTCTGTGATTATCGAAGCCCTTGCCGGACGCGACGCGAAATATAATCAGGAAGGTGGTGACGTTCTGGGGGACGCGTCAGCTCGTGATATGGTTGGCAGACAAGTTTAGCCAGCGAGCAGGCTTTCTCTATCAGCGAAGAAGGCGGTATGAAAGCGCATGCCGTCCTTCTCGCTCAGAGTCACGTGAAGGTGAACTTCTGAGGCATGCGAGTGCGGTCTCGTCGCAAGCTTGGCCTAGAGAGGGTACTCCACAGAGCTGAACGCACCTGAACAGGAGACAAGCCTTGGAGGAAGAGCTGCGCCAGCGGGTGGTTCATTGCGAAGGGGACGAGGAAGAGGAGGGAGTACGCAGAGTAGATCCCGGCAGACTCAACGACCATGGCCGCGAGGGAGGTGTAGTGCATGCCATGCGTGCTGCCAAGCGCCGATCGCACGCGGCGGCGGTACAGCATCAGGCGGGCGACAATGAGAAGGGTGACTAGGATGTTGAGAGCCAATGACATGCTGTAGTAAGGGATCGTGAAGTTGATGCCAGAGGAGTCCCATGGTGATTGGTCGGCCGTGCCGACCTGCTTCAGCCAGAGGATTCCCAAGACTGCGGGGAGGTGATGAGCGGGTGTTCGCGGCAGCTGGCAGGCGACGCACCAAAGGACGTTATGTACATGCAGATGGGGACCGTTAGGAAGAGGTAGATTGGATACTGCGAGCCGTTGTAGATAACGTAGCAGCGCCAGACCTGGTGGGGGAATCAGCGGTTGTTTGACGAAGTCGGGCTCGATAACGCACGTTGATGATGTCGCACAGCCAGTTGCAGATGACAAGCGTGACGTTGGCGAGCATATCGACTGGGATCGAGAACATGTCATCCTCGTATGCGCTAGGGCCGCCCGGGTACTCGCGCTGGTCAATGAAGCAGAGCTGGGTGAACTTCAGGAGTCCCCCCATGTAGAGCGTGCCGAGGGAGAAGATGATGGATATGTAGACGAGCAGCGCGACATTCCTCTTGTCCTTTTTCCGCTTGTAGAGAAGGTACGCAGCGCTGGTGAACAGGACGACTTGCATCCCGTACGCGACCGTGGCGAGGAACGCGCCCTGGAGCCATGTCCGCTCCGAGAACAGCGTCCACGAGTCCTCCTTGGGCCTCCAACTGCTTGGGTCTTCCAGAGTGCCGGACATGGTACGCCCGCGACGAAGGGAAGGGGGATCCGGGCGCAGGCTGCAGAGGCATCAGCAGACTTTTATAGCTGATCACGCCAGTAATACAACCTTGGGAACGCAGCGAAGAAGATCAGAGAGAAGGTTGGCACGCGCTGGTCATTGCTTCGCGCGCACTGCTGCCTCGAGGGTGAGCTGCGAGGGAGCAATCACCGAGGGAAGATGGAGGTCGAGGACAAGCTACGTGACAGCCTGCCTGAGTGTTCGTCCTTGGTCCCCATCATTTTACCGTCATCACTATCCGGCAGGCGCCCGGGGTCCACTTAAGCGTACTACATCCAATCAAAAGACTAGCGAAGCGATGAAAGGGAGAGGCAAGTGCACGTCTACAAATGTCTCTTAATTCAGGCAGTAAGGATCGCGGACAACATGTCGCGTGCACAAACCCCTAAGTACCGCTGCATTTCGTCGTAACATGAGTTCTCGCTGGTAGGACAAGCGATATGCTATGTGTATGGGTAGAAAAGATACACGAGGCGCCCCTCGGAAGTTGCAGAACTACTCAATCCGCAACCGCTTCGCCCGACAGCTGCGTTGGCGCCGCTGCCCGGGCCCCATGGAATGACGGCGTGCATATTCGACCGATACCTTCTACCCCAAGGGCGCCACTCGCACGCTCATAATACCGGAGCGTACCGAGATGGCTTTGGTGTAGTCCTTGTCCATCGGACAGTTAGATAACTATTCATTGACTGGTCATCTGGACCAGCGACTGCGGATCCAAAGTGAGCGCCATCGCCACCCAGAGCTTCTGCTGTTCGAGCTGCTCGGTAGATCTTGCAACTTGTCTCCCGCTCCTTGACCTGTCAAAGAAGAGATGGACTGTCGATGAACTTGAGCGGGAGCACGCGCGATTTGCCAGCCTGGATGGCGTGCCTTGGCAGAGGCGAGTCCGATCATCTGACGATGCATCGGCAGTCAACAAAGTTGTACGCGTGCATAGGTCTGGCTAGCGATGGCAGAGGAGCACTTGCCAGTGCTACATGTCGAAGTCGAACTCGGAAAATTGCGAGTTCGCGTCACGTGAGATGTTCATGTCGGGACTTGCCGGAGTGTGACGCATCGTGACTCGACACGTTCCACGAACTTGAGCAGCTGCCGTCGGGGGCGTCTAGACACGAGCTGCGGTCTGCAGAGTGCAGCTGCGTTGTGGAGCCCCACCAACGTCAAGCAATTCATCTGACCAGCATTCCGCTCTGCTGGGTCGATAGAGTCTGTTGCCAAATCAAGTCCAGGCTCACGTATGGTGGTCGAGATGGGCGAGGGCGAGGTCTGGCTGTAGTCCAGGCCCGCCAAGCGAAGGCCTAATCAGCTCGCGAAGGGAAAGGACTGCCATCCATCTTGATCAGTGGTTTCGTGCAGCCGTCGTGGGACGCCCAGTCGCTTGGTAGAATGCTGGTGCCCACTTGCTGGCTGGCAGGAAGTACGACGTGTTGCAGCGCGTAAAAGCTCTTTGAGACTGTTGCCAGAATCGAGCATTGAATGCAGCAGCTCAGACATCGCGTGCGGTGATGAAGGCAGGAAGCAAGGCACAACAGTTCGACGGAAGACGCGTCGGGCTTGATGAAGCTCATATTCCGGTGCACCTCGGAGACAGCCGGCGTCGGGCCTCGGGGCGAGCACTTAGCGACCCAGGACAACGGGAAGCCCAAAACAATGGTCGCCGTTGCGTACCTGGAGGCGCCCAGCCGCGCATCGCTCGACGACGACGCCCTTGACGACGACCGTCGCTGATATCACGTCCCAGCCAAATCCATCGGCTCGCCGTCTGCTCCCACCGCTCACGCCATCCGAGCGGCTCATCCCACTCTTTCCCCTCCCGCTCTTTCTTCGGTTTCTACCCAGCTGGTCTGAACTTTGTCACAGCTTCTTATTTCCCTCGGACTGATCATTTTTATCTCTTGACAACTCGCGACCGGCTCGCCCACATACCTTACACCACACGCACCCTATCCGACCGATACACCACCAGTAGTTCCCGCCCCGCGCGATGTCACTGAAAGCTGAACTGGAGACGTGGGCCGCGGCGCTCGCCGCCTATGACAAGGAGGACTTTGAGCAGGCGCTCGAGCTCTTCTCCCGGATCGCGGACTCGTCCAAGATCCTCACAAACATGGGACTCATATACGCGACGCTCGGCGAGCACGAAGCGGCGGTCCAGCACTTCATCGAAGCGACGAACCTGGACAAGTACCTTGCTGTTGCGTGCGTGATAGACGCTGATGTCGAATCCCGCAGTGTGCTGATATCCCGCCCTCCAGTTATTTCCAGTGTGGCGTGTCCAATTTCCTGATGAATCGATACGACCTTGCCTACAATGACTTTGAGGAGGCTTTTCTGCGGTTGAGGGACAACCAGGACATGTGCGTGCGGACAGTTTCTGTCAAGTAGCATTCCACTGATCGAGCCTACAGCAATTACGAGCAGCTGGGCCTGAAGTTCAAGCTCTACTCGGCTGAGGTGCTCTTCAACAAGGGGCTGTCGCTCATATATATGGGTCAGCTCCCGGAAGGCATGGCCATCATGCAGGACGCCAGGCGGGCTAAGGCCACTGACGAACACAACGTTATCGACGATGCGATAGCGGATCAAGGACAGGGTTACACTGTATTCAGCATCGTGCGTTCTCCCTCCGCAACTTTACACGTGAGCTGAACCCCTTGATCGTGCAGCCTGTCGGCGTGCTCTACCGACCTTCGGACAAGAAGTTGAAGAATGCGGCTACGAAGGACTACATGGGCAAGGCGGTGAGTAATCCTTCATCGACTCTTCGAGACCTCCTTCTAAACCTTCTCAGAAACTCGTCGCCGCCAGCGATGCCAACGACATCACGACGGAATTCACGGGCGCCTACCGCCTCAAGAAGGGTGTCTCCCCAGGTGGTATCTTCATCAACCGCGATGAACCCGCCAACCTCGGCCGCAACGCCACCGTCCCCGCCCCCATGAACCCCGAGCTCGAAGCCAACCGGGTCCTCACGCGCACGCGCACCGAAGTCGCTGCTCCCTCGCAGATGGGTGCCGGCTTCGGCGGGTCGCCAGCGACCGTGGGGCGTAGCAACACGATGCTCAGCGTCGCTCGGCCTTCGCCCAATGCTTCGATTGGAGGACCCGCTGCACCGGGCCCGGTCCCCATCCGCGGCCTCAGCATCAAGAAGGCAGACTCGCCTACGGGTCGCTCGCAGGCCGGTCCTCCCCCTCCGATGCCTCCTTCGAAACGTACGTTACCTACTCGGTCCTGTATTCCGCTTACGCTAACGGATGTCCAGCCTCTCCTCCAGTTGGTGCTCGTCAGACTGTCGCTACGGAAGACATTTACGACGGTTACCTCGATGCGTACACGGATCCTACGCCGAGCAGGGCGCAGAGCCCTCCTACCGGCCCGGAACGTGTCGCTGCCTGGGCGCGCACGAATGCGAACCCAGGGTACCCGCCTGCTGCGCGGTCCGCTCCTCGAAGCCAGTACGCACCAAGTTCTTTCGGTGGTGCTTCCGTGCGACGCCGGACGACCCGCCGGACCGTTCAGCGTGCGCCGAGTACCGCGCGTATGACAAGTGCGTACGACGGCTACGAGGAAGAGGAAGGCTACGGCAGCGGCGAGTACGAGGACGGGCCGTTCGAGTTGGTGAAGATCCGTGTGAAGGTATGCCATGTCGTCCATTACGAAAGACGCATCGCTGACGCTGAAAATAGTTGTACTACGGCAACGATGTCCGCGGCATGGCCATCGAACCCTCGATGCCTTTCGCCGAGTTCATGGACCGGGTAACCGCCAAGTTCAATCAATCGGTACAAACCATGCGCCTCAAATTCAAGGACGAGGACGGCTCGAAGGTGACCCTTCAAGACGACAGCGACTATGACCTTGCCATCGAGACCGCGCGAGAGAGCGCGAAGGGGAAACCCGAGGGAAAGCTCGAGATCTGGTGCACGGATGCTTAGACGAGTAGCCCATGACGCTGCCCCCTCTCCCTGTCCGCACATTCCACTCACTGCGCTTATCATCTATCATCATCTATGCGGACCTTCATCTGTGACATTTGGGCTTTTCGGGTTTCTACTTCGCTGTCGCATTTCTACCCTAACTGGACTTATCGGTCGCTTGTTGTATAATACCCGTAATCCTATGATTCCTCTCCGAGGCGACAAACAAACACGTAACACACTGTATATAGACCTCTCCTCGCCTACAAAATAGAAGGTTGCCAGAGAGCGTCGCCTAGAACCGTGTGGCCGTGGTCCCATCTTCGTGTCACACTGCTGTCACGGTTCAACTCAACCACCACGTGCGTCAGCCACGCGAAAATGACCCGCTCGCCTCGGATAGGTTCTTGTCCCCAACGGCCATCCCTACCATGCTTTAGCGAGTTGCTGATACCTTGCCCAATTGCTCTCTACATCCTCACCTCTTGGATATCTCCCTTCACCATGGGCAACACTCACTCCCAAAGGCGAAACCACCCATACGCGCAGCATAAGTCTGTCTCGCGCATCCATCTGGGCTGCCATGCCTTTGACTCTACGTCGACGCTGGACTACGAGAAACCTCGAATCAACGGAGGACTAACACCCTCGGATGATGATGACTGGCACCATCTACCAAAAAAACGCTCTCGCTCCGCTCTCGGGCCTTCGCGCAAACGCTCGACCTCCGTCTTACCGCGTGCCCCACTCGCTCCTTTGCCTCCTCCTGTGACCACCGCGATATACTACTCTGCGCTCAAGCCCGCCCCGACTCCGGGGAGTGTACAAGACTATTCGGCTTTTCTGGCAGAATTTTCTGGTGCGCGCTACTTATATGCATGATCGGTCGTCGGCTGAACCCCACCAAGAATACAGATTGACCTGGACGCTGGACGCTCTGCGACGATCTGATTTTCAACGAATCGACTCTGCTGGCGAAACGTATGTTGACTACATGGGCGGCGCGCTATATCCCGAGGGTCTTTTGCATGTGCACACCGATCTCCTTCGCCAAGTTATCATGGGCAATACACACTCTGCGAGCAATCCGTGAGTAATCTCATCTCTATCTATCAGTTCAACCTCACATCTCTATAGCTCGACGCTATCCCTCAAATATGCCACCGAGGCACGGCAGGCCGTACTCTCGTTCTTCAAGGCTCCGCCTGGCTACACCGTCGTCTTCACTGCCAATGCCTCTGCTGCTCTGAAACTCGTGGGCGAATCGTTTCCGTTCTCAGAGGAGAGCTGCTTCGTTCTACCTATCGATTCACACAACAGCGTCAACGGCATTCGTCAATACGCTAGGGCCCGAGGGGCCAACGTCCAGTACATCTCATCTACTTCCAGCGGCGGGCTCATCGACGCGGAAGCGAAGGTATAGATATCATTTCACTAGTCTCTCTATTGCTGAAGACCATCAGAGTGTTCTCCTTCGCACCCGACCTCGTCGTCGCGATGGCCAGCAACCTATGTCTCTCTTCGGCTACACAGGCCAGTCGAACGTCAGCAACCACAAGCCCTCTCTAGACATCATCAAATACGCCTCCGCTCTGGGGTACCATACTCTTCTGGACGCTGCGGCTTTGGTCCCGACCTCTACGTTCTCACTCGCCGAGTATCCGGTCGACGCTATGGCGATCTCGTTTTACAAAATGTTGGGCTTCCCTACTGGTGTCGGTGCTCTCGTGGTCAAGACGTCTTTCCTCGGACATCTTCGCCGACCTTGGTTCTCTGGTGGCAGTGTCAATGTTGTGCAAGTCCCTGGGTCGCTTGTGACTATGTCGACGCATCCGCACGAGCGCTTTGAGGTGAGATTGAGCCTACTATGCCCCAAACGCGACGCTAAAATCTATGGTAGGACGGAACAATCAACTATACGTCTCTTCCTGCTGTTACAGATGGCCTTCGGTTCCTCTCGGCCTACCTCCCGTTCTTGCCTCTGCGACTCTCGTGTCTGATGGCCTACCTCTATCGCGCGCTTCCGAGGATCCGACACGATGTGAACGGCCTATCTGTTGTCCGCATACTCTCGAAGATTTCCACAAAGCGGCTGCGTTCTGTTGGCGACCAAGCCGATGTAGGCTCGACCATTTCCTTCATCTTTATCAATGTACGTGCAGCGCGTCATCCTCCCTCAGCCCCCTTACCAACCCCCTTTAGCCCTCCGGCGAGATGATGCCCTTGGCCTTCGTCGACTTCGCCGCATCCAAATCCTCGATCTCCCTCCGCACAGGTTGCATGTGCAACCCCGGCGGTGCCGCCGCTCTGCTGGGCATCTCCGAGGCGATGGCCAATTTGCAGGCCGGCACCACGCTCTCGGGCTTCGAAAAGATCGTCGGGCGCGAGCTGGGCGTCGTGCGGATTAGCTTGGGGCTGGCGAGCAACTTCCAGGATGTGTGGCGGGTGGTGCAGTTCGCGACTATGCTTGGGCGAGAGAGGGAGCGGACCGCGCTTTGGCAGCAATGGTTGGAGAGCTTGGGCTCGGGGAGGGCGTTGTAGTCTCACTTGTATTGCTGTATGTTTTATCCTTGCGCTCACAGGAGTGCGTATTCGATGCATTCTTCACGGACGATATTTTGGGTGGCGCAAATGTGTTTGGTATTGTTTGCGCAAGACGAACCAGGCCTCATGCACATTTCCGAATTGAACAGTCCATGTGTATGTACAGCAAAGAATAGCAGAATGATATAAGTTAGCGATACAAGATGGCGCAACCGCCATAAATCTGCAAGATTGCTCATGCTGTCCACAGACGGATAGCCTGCTGCCTATCAAACAAGCGAAAATAGGACATGTAGTCCCAGCATACATGCGTCGGATCAGTCAGATGCATGCTACGACTCCAAAGTACCTCGCCGTGAGCACATGTACCATCCATGGTGTGCGGAAACAGCACCCGCGACGTGCGAGTGTAGCACGCGCGGGATCCTCCCAACCCGCCGGCTATCTCACTTGCATGTCATCCTCCAGCGCGTATTCCTTCGTCAGGCCAGTGCGAGAGTCCGTGACAGTTATGGTGTCCTCCCGCATGCAGCCGCCTGGTAGCAGGAAGCGATACTTGTCCGCCTCCTCCAGGACGAACCGCGGCAGGTGGACCGCCGTCGTCTGCGGCTCCAAATGCAGCTGCGCTAGCAGGTCGACGTACTGTCGCCGACGTCAGCATCTATTCTCCACTCCCAAGCCACACCCATTGCGACTCACATTATACGCCTCGGGCAACATCCCAAAGATATCCTTCCCCTGGCATATCGTCTTCTGTATCCGCGCCGGGTCGAGGAGGTCCTTGCGCCCGCCGATGCGGTCGTGGTGCGAGAAGCCCTGCATCTTGATCGAGTACTCGGGTATGGTGCGGAAGCAGTAGGAGCAGTGCCAGCCGGCGTCGGCGAGCGCGTAGTCGGAGCTCATGGAGTGGCGGTAGTAGGACTGCTTGTTCCACATGTGCGCTTGCGGTCGCCAGGAGTTGAAGCCGACGAACCACTCGAAGCTGGGGAGGCGTGAGCTCGGGTGAGGGAGGGGAGGCGTGAGAAGGAAATGAGGAGAAGGGGAGAAGGAGGGCAGGTGAGATGTGTACGCACCTGTACACGTAGTTGCGCATCTGGAGGTGGACGGAGTCGCCGAAGTTGCAGGCCTTGAGCAGCTCGACTGAGTGCTTCGAAGGGATTTCGTCGACGTCGGACATGAGCACGAGAGTGCGGACATGTGGGGGGAATTCAGTGAGGTGCCCGCGAATGAGGCGCGTCATGTAGTTGCGTGTGTGCGCCTCAACATCGAATGCAGACTGTCCCTCTGCTAGAGGGTAGCCGGGGATCCTATAGCCCCTCGTCAGTCAAGCACTACACCAGCACAACCGATCACGCACAAGTGGTACTCGATCTTGTTCTTGAACTTCGCGAACCGCTCCCTGTTCTTCCCAAAGTACGTCTCCTTAGGCAGGCCCGTGAACGTCGCATTCGACTCCAATATGAAGAACCGGTCCACGACCGGATCCAGCTCGTTCAGGCGGACCTCCAGCAGATCGAGCTCGCTGCTCATAAGCACCGCGTCGATCACCTTGAGGGCGTTCCGCTCATTCTGCTCGCGCTCCGGCCAGCCGTGCAGGGAGCACGTATGCTCGTTGAACCCGAGGCCCTCGGCGTAGTAGTGCGGTATGATGTGCTTGGGCCCGTCCGCCGTGTCCCACAGCGGGCGCGTCGCATACGAGAGCGTATTCCGGATCTGGTACTGGTTCGCGCTGATGAGGTAGATGAGCGCGAGGGTGAGGAGCGCGGCGGGGAGGAGGACGGTCTGGAAGCGGCGGCGGAAGAGAGTCGTCATGTCGGCTACGCTCGTTGTTCGCGACGAGGAGCGAACATATATGAGGGGTCGGGCAATTAGTAGAAGGGGAGGGCCGTGCCCTGGGGAGTACACGAAAGCAGGAACGAAGGGAGGGGACACCGGGCAATGGAGGCAGGAGGCAAGTTCTCGTGACCGATGCTGATGGCAGATGCGAGTATCATTGGGTTTCGCCGGCGCAGCACACTTCGGGCGTTAAGCAAGGTGACGACGACGATCCGAACTACAGCGACAACGATAACGGTGACGAACAGGATTGCATGAATAACTCTCATTCGCTTGAACAGACATGCAAGTTGCATATGCGCATACTACATTCGCAATGCGAATTACTATCTCTGGGCTCTGATGCAGACAGTGAGTCTGTAGCGCTATGACAGAATCAGAGAGACGAAAGGCAGCGTACTGGATGCCTGCGCTACATGGCATCGCTGCATGTCAGAGAAACGGTCACAAAGTACTAGGCTTGGGCTTCGCAAATCAAGCCGCCTCATCCGCTACAAGGCTTGACCCGAGTTTACCTGGGAAACAGTGAGCACGCGCACTTCTGACGTTCCCGAGCAGCAGCGCGATGGGTCATCGGCATGCTCTGGTCGAGTGCTGCACAAGGTTCGCTCTGATGTCGTTATGGAGGCGCATTCTGGTCGAGCCAGTCGCACGACTGTTAAAGCAGCTTGGTGTGGTCTGGCTTGCTTCGAGATGAGCGGTCAGCATTTCGGGGGTGTACAGTCGAGGCCGGTGCGCCTGAGCAATCGAGGGCCAGCGTCGATGGGTTGGAGAGGAAACTGAACATATCGAACTGAGGATGTCTCGAAGGAAGACGGGGCCGCGGGCACGTTGATTTATAAGGGGGATTGCCGCGTCCATAGGGAGGGAGACCGCCGTTTTGCAGAGGTGACAGAGGTGGATTGGGGCTCATCTTGTGTCGAGCACAGGCGATGTACGAGAGAGAAGCGTCTAAGTTGAAGAGGAAGCTTCATCGTGTTGAGGTCGATTGGCTGGTTCAGGTGGGACAGGACATTACGATGGGCAGTTGACAGATAGTACTTTCAGCAAGAGAGACTTTCGATGAAACGCTCGCACGAGTGAGATGGAAGTAGGACGAAAGAATGTCGGAATAGCAGATGAATCGGTCTTTGTTTGCTACTCTTTGTTCTTGTAGGTGTCGGCGTTGATGTCAATTCCAGACTTTCCCACCTTTGGCTCTTACCTTCATCATTGACCAGCTCGAATATAACTGGGTCCTCCAGATAAATCTACGGATGTCTCATTCCGCCACGTTGTGCCAAGCCAAGCCTTTCTGACTGGCATCTTACATCTGTAACTCCGTTCTGCATATCTTCATGTGCTTTCTTGCCTCTCCGACGCCAATGAAACAATGCAGTTGCTCTATCAGACTCTTTCTGCCGCTGCTACTCGTCCAAGCGCCGACATCGAGATACAATAGCCACCCATGTCGTGCTCGTGCTAACAAGCGCCCGCTACCCTCGTGATGAATGATCCAGCTGGGTTTCCCTACCATCATGTGGCGGGCCGTCGATGACAGCGTTCCCATCGTGGTGACCTTCGCCCGCGGCCACAGTGCTCACTGCCCCAGATTCCTCAAGTGGTCTGACTCCGAGCGGCGCTGTATATTCGGGAAGAAGCTCACCACCCATCGCAACAGTGCAACTTGATTAAAGTGCTATACCCAGGCTGTTCAGCGGCTGTTGGTCCATCTGCCCATCTTCAGTTTACCACGAGGACTCGATGGAAGAAGTCGGTCCAGCTGTCTGTCCCGGCTGCGCAACCCCGTCACGCCCATACCGCAGGCAGGAATCCCACCTGTCTCCCCACATCGCTCTCCTTCTCTGCGAGCTTGGCACGCCTCTTCTAGCACCTGGACTCGAGCCCCCCATGTGCTGACAACACCGCCGTTTGATAAGAGCCTTACACGATGAACCCCGTATTGCGACATGCGCCGACTCAATGCTCATCAATGGCAACGGCGGGCGGGGCTGTCCTTGTGCTTCGAGCGGGCACCGGGCGTGCGTCACGTATATAAGTCGTCGTCGGTGCGATGGGTGATCAACAAGCCTCTGAGCTCTCTCCCTCCAGGTCATACCACTCGCAAGGATGTTCTCCGCCACCCTCAAGGCCGCGCTCGCCTCCGTCGCGCTCTCCGCGATGGCGGCCTCCGCGACCCAGTCCGTGTCCCTCAAGGTCGCTGGCCCCTCGGACGTCACCGACGTCGAGAACCTGAAGGTGGTGACGACGATCACGAACACCGGCGACGAGACGCTCAAGCTCTTCAACGACCCGAACTCGGCGCTCAGCACGCTGCCCGCGGACACGTTTCGCATCGGCAACTCCGCGGGCGCGGCGCCGCAGTTCACCGGTATCAAGGCGAAGTACTCGCTCAAGACCGCCGCGGAGAAGGGCCTCAACGCCTTCACTGTCCTCGCGCCGGGCGAGTCCGTCGAGCGCGAGCATGACCGTGAGTAGTTGGCGTGTTGCCTATGACATGGGATCGGGCGTTGAGCTGACACGGCATCCAGTGAGCCAGGCGTACAACTTCACGACCTCGGGCGAGGACACGTACACGTTTGACGCCGCCAAGTCCTTCTTCCACCTCGCCGACGACGGCACCTTCAAGACCGTGGAGGCCAACACGGAGGTGCACTCGGCGAAGCTCGCGGGCAAGCTTGCCGTCTCGCGCCCGCGCGTCGGGCGCCGCGCTGAGTTCGAGGGCTGCTCGGACGACCAGCAGTCGCAGATCAACGACGCCGCCGCGGCGGCGACTGACTATGCGGCGAATGCGTTCGAGTGCGTTGCTTTTCTCTGTTCCATCAACCCCCGCATCCACCTCCGTTCCTTCCAAAAGACTCTGGTACTGATCCACCGCCTCCAGCTACCTCACCGCGAACACGCAGGGCACGGACCGCTACACTACCTGGTTCGGCGAGTACAGCGCCGACCGCCACGACACCGTCCTCTCCCACTTCCAGAAGCTCCACGAGGGCGACTTCAGCAGCTTCACGTACAACTGCGAGTGCACGGAGGAGGGCGTCTTTGCCTACGTGAACCCCGATGAGTGCGTCTTCCTCCAGCTGCGGTGGAAGAGCATGCCACTCACATTACCGTCACTCCTTTCATCCAGCTACGGCCACATCCACCTCTGCCCTGTCTTTTGGCAGGTCGAGACCACCGGCACGGACTCCCAGGGCGGCACCATCGTGCACGAGTCCTCCCACTTCACCGCTGTACGTCTTCGCCCATACACCCTACAGATTCGTGTACTCACGCGACTCCCCCTTCAGAACGGCGGCACCGACGACGTCGTTTACGGCCAGGACGGCGCGAAGGACCTCGCGAAGAGCGACCCCGACCAGGCGATCACGAACGCCGACAGCCACGAGTACTTCGCGGAGAACAACCCTGCGCAGGACTGAGCACGTTCCTTATGGTGGAGGACTGAGCGCAGGGCTGAGCACCCTCTTTATTCTAACTTATACCACTCAAGCTGTACATACCCTGGATTGTACTGCTATCGCCGGGTTGAATGTGAGAACATTGGATAAATGGATTCGACAGTGTGCGAGTCACGCCAAAAGCAAGTCTGATGCAATGCAAGCAATAACACTGATATCCGTCGACAAAAGAAAAGGAACATTACGGTGACAACGATATTACTGACGATGATACTAATACAGATTCAGTAAACAGCATGACGAGGAATACAAGAAGCTATCGTACAACCATTACAAGTCCAAGGAGAGATGGAGACGAATGAGAAAAGGACAAACAAAACAAGCAAAAAAAACAGTCAACAAGATTCCGAATGTGGTACCCGAACGACGTAGCTCCTCAACAGCGTCGAGTCTGGGAGTAGGACCCGTGTTAGTGATGGTTGAAGAGGGGGCGACCTTGTGGCTTACCCTGGTGACGACGATCCTCCCTGCTTGCACGTCGTTCGCAGTGCATGTTGTGCGAAACGGAACCTAAAGAGCATGGATGTTTAGAGGTGAGCCTTCTTGCGAGAGTCGAGTGGCGCACCCCAAGATGTTGCAAAATATAGTTCAGCAACGCAGACCGCCGGCGTTGCTTCTCTCCATCCGACTTCGCCGCCGGACCCACCATCTTCTTCATACCTGCGAATATGACCTTGGAATCAAAGCCATACCCCTCTGGTCCGATGAGTTTGATGAGCTCTTTGTCGGGCATCTTCATCAACGTAGGTATATCCGCGGGAAAGCCGGCGGGGATGGACGGCAGGGAGTCTGCGTCGGGCGACAGGTCGGGCAGCACAGGCCATATCTTGGCGTCGCTCAGCTTGCTCGACGCCGCGCCTAGAAGAGAGTTGCGTCGGCGCGCATCCCTAAGCAGCGTGACCATGGGTGCCAGCCGGGGTAGATAGGGAGTGGGACGTACGCGTTGCGCAGGCTGTGCTCGACTTCGACGATCTGACGTTTGTAGGCGGCGACCTCATTACGTTGCTCAGCGGAGATCTCGTCGTTCATCTGAGCGGCATGTTAGATGGATGGCATGCAGCCTATGGACGAAGATAGCGCACCTGAGCTTTGACTTTCTTCGCCACCTGCTGCTTGACCTTCTCCTGGATGCGCGTTCTCATGTCCCCGTCGAGCTTCGCGAGGACGCCGTCCTTGGTCAAGGCCGCATCGATGCGCTTCTGCATGTTCTCGATTTCCTTCGTTTGTCGCGAGAGCTGCTCGTCCCACGCCTTCACCAAGGTAGCAATCTGTGGAGGTTGAATGAGTACGATTGTCGGCTAGATGTGCGCAGAAGCGCGAAGAGGAGCCGATAGCTCAAGTCGACTTAGGCAACCAATGATCCCCGTCGACTCCCGACGATCCCCAACCGACTGAACGACGATCTACTCACCGATTGCTGCGCCTTGATAGCGGGTAGCGACTCAGCTTGTCTCTGCACGCGCGGCGCCAGGGTTCTGAGAAGATTTTGAACAGTGCCAACCAGTGCTTGCGTGCTCTGGAGGTCGCGAGCGGTGGCCTTCACCCTCTCGTCCGTACTGTCATTCGGGGCTGCCGATGAGGGCGCATCAACGGACTGCCTTGCAGCAAGGGGTCGATAGACTTACGCGCAGCAAAACGAGGGCGCTTCTCCATATCTTCCACAGCGCTGGGTGGTGCAGTCGATGCAGGTGTGTCTAAGGACTCCGAATTCGTTCGGTCGAAAAGGGCGGTGAATGGGGTAGTCGCGGTCTGGGGCGTATCGACGCGCTCCGTGGTGTTAGTATTTAAGTTGGGCGTATCGGGCCTCTTGCTCTTGCTCGACGGCGACGTCGTCCGCGCGGGCTGCATCTTATCCGCCAAAAATCCGAATCCTAGGAAAGACGCCGTCTGCAGGCATGGTGAATCCTGGTTCCGCCGCCCACGATGCACAATGCAGTAGCGGGCACTTACTGTAAGATCGTGCAGCACGTCGATTCGCGTGCTGGGAGGTGCTGACGGGGGGCGGAGCGAAGGGGGGAGAATGCCAAAGGTGGCGGCGCCTATCGATGTGTGGCCGGAGACGTCTATCGTGCGTGCCGAAGCTCGGGTCCTCTGGTCTTATACGCCCCCCATCTATAAGGTGACGTCGGTCCGGCTGTGTATGGGGTCACCATGTTGCGCCCAAGAAGGTGCTACAGCAGCCTCAGCATCAGGGATAGAAGGGGCGCGCTATCCTGGGTGCGCAGCGCGAGCGATACAGCAGGTCCGCCCTTGCTTCATCTCCCCGCTGAATGTGCGGCGCGGCGTGCACCACGGTGTGATGTACCACTGGGCACGGTGCAGATATTGACGGAACACGCGACGGAGGTGCGGCGCGGAGATGCTGGGGAGATGAGGGGGTTATCACCCGGATCGGGGCTAGTGACACTCAAACGCTCACGGGATGGCCTTTCATAAAGGTTAAGGGTAGCCCCCGGTATAGAAGTCGGCGTGCTGAAGATTGGTACTACGTAACCTTGCGTGATTCGGGGCGAGGGGGTATCGAGGACTCGAGGATCCGTCATAATCGAAGTCCCGACGACGGGAACAATAGGTCGCGTCTACTTCGGCAAGCTCGAGGACAGCTTCCTGTGTACACCAGTCATATCCGGGACCGCCGACGAGGGTGGCGACGACAGCTGGTCTTCTAGGCGCTGAAGGTAGACGCCGCGTGTGAGCTTTGGTCTCCATGAAGTACACGGATCTGTCACCTATGCGAGAAGGATCCACAGCACGATGAGTCTAGGCTGAGCTTGGAATGGTCATATCTGTAGGTGTTAGTTGATAATCCACACGTGAACAAAATTGTTGCCAGCCTTGGGGTTCGATGAAGTCGACACTGCTGACCGCCGAACCCGAAACATTTCCCTGCAAACAGCCATAGCGCATCATCCACTTCTATAACATTAGGTGAGTACAGTCCACAAAAAATACAATAAAGACAGCAGAATACAACGCAGCAGGCCTTATAGGCCGCGCCAGGGTCATGGCCAACGCTCTGGCGACCGCGGTCGTAGCGCATCCAGCTCCAACGCAGTATCGCCACTGTGAGTATCCTCTCGTCGCGTTTCTCGTCTACTGTCCAGCCAGTCACGGTTCGGCCTCCAAAATTTGGATGCCCTTTCCGCCAGCCGGAAGCGGACAGATCGGGTCTGTTCCTCTGGCTCTGCGTCGAGGTATTCGATGGCGCGGGGATCGAGGGTGGGAACAGTGGTGAAGATGGGGAGGGAGCCGGTCTCGCCTTCGTAAGAGGAGGATGTGAATCCAGCAGATTGCTGCGCAACGTGGCGAAGGTTGAGGAGAATGCGGTAGGACTGTGGAGCTCCTCAGTTTACTTCACATCGGAACTACGCGAGTCGTTATACGCACGCAGAATGAATACATGCTGATCAGCCAGCTGGGGTGTATGTCAGGCCAAATTGTCATCCGAGCATTACAGCCGGCTTACCAGTAGAACAAGGCCGCGTAGGCGCCGTTCCCCACGAAATGCAGACTTCCGTAGGCAAAGATTATGACTGTAAACTCAAGTTAGTCGCCAGCCCCCTCACTTACTGCGCTACGTACGTGTCAAGAGGAAGAATGCCCATGTTCCATCCCGAGCAAGAAGCCTTGGCAATGGGTTGTTTCCCCATCCTTCCCTGAGTCCCAGTATGAATTTGTAGAGTGTCAGTACGAAAAGAGTGACTTGGAAAACAATAGCAGATCCGCTGAAAATTTCCGTTAGCGGAGAAAATGTAGCGAACGGACTGACGGCCTCACAAAAAGAACAAATATGTCCAGGGCATGTTTGTCGTGAGACAGAGCTCATCCACTTCGATGTAGGGTACACCCATGAAGACGCCGATGATCATCATGAGGACCTCTATTGCATAGAGAATGCCGACGACCCATTTGACGAGCTTGTTATCCGTATAGAGCGCGTAGACTGAGGGGATTTCAACTGACTGCAGACAGGTAGCACTACGAACATACCTCGCAACACGAGCACCGTATCGGCCAGGATGACTATAATCAACACCGACACGCTCAGGTATATTTGCCATATTATGCAGTCGTAATGGGTGAAGTGGAACTGAGGTGTGATTTCCGTTCCGATGAATAGTGCAGAGCTATCGAGTGGCGGTGAGCGACGGGTGTATGATGGATGGGAGGGGCGATCCACGCACACTTGTACGCCAAGGGGGACGTAGCGCATAAAAAAGTAGACGATCTTCATCCAACTCCAGGTAGTGCTATCGCCATGTAAGGAAGACGCGCTAAGTCGAGGGGGGATAGTAGGACGTACGGCCACATCAAGTCGATCTGGTTGGGGAACGCGGTAAGTTAGTTGCCGCCTCAAGCATCGACCACTGAGACGCACCTCGTCAGCCGTGGTCAATAGTATGTCGTACACCAGGAATGCGAGCGCCGACACTGCATCGCAGAGCACGTCAGTCAGCGTACAGAACCCAAAAAAACGCGGGGGAACTCACAGGAGCTCCAGTTTACAGCCTGCATCGCCGTCGCCTTCTCCACCGGTGTGATATCGGCGCGGCGCACCACCGCAGACGCCATCGTGTAGAGCCCCTCCATGGGGGGTTCGCGCTCGCGTCCGTCAGTGGGCCCTTGTTATATTCATCGCGCGCACTGCGGCGAGCGCGAATTGGACGAAGGCAAGGGTCAACCGCGTCGCGTCGGAATCCTAGTACCCATGCGCCCGCGTGCGCCGAACCAATAGCACTCGTCGGCGTACCCCAGTCGAAGTCCGAGGCGGCATCGATCGTCGTCTGCTGTGAGCGCCGGACACCGCCTTGGCGTCAAGGGGCACTCCTCCATCATCAGGTCCTGATAAACTCAAGCGTAGGGCAAGTGGTGATTGCATTGGACTCGCGTGAAGCAGCCGGACCACCTGGTGTTCTTGACAGGAATCATCTACGGCGTTAAAACTCGAGCGAGCGAACATCAGGGATGGGTCAGCACTGCAATTCATCCAGAAACAGTCGAAGTCCGAACCCAGGTGGTGCGCTCACCACGGTCTACAGCTAGTGTTCACGCTTCCATCCACGGCCCCCGAGCGCAGCCCCCCGCACCTAACCAAGAAAGCATGGGAAGAAGTGTCTATACACATAATTTACACTTAGCAACGCGTACAGAACTCAGCAAAGATATACGAGACGAGATTGAGGGACATAGAGGCCATAGAGAAAACGAATCGACCGAAAGCAATCCTGCAAAGCCCTCAGCGCCGGGCGAGACAGGACTCAAAAAATGCAGTAAACATGGATCATAAATCGTCAAGTCATTCATCATCATCCTAGCGCGAGATCCCAGCCGCAGCAGCAGCCTGCTTCTGCTGCTCGTGCTGACGCTGCCATAGCATCTCCGCCCACAGAGGGTGCGGCGGAATTTTGCCGACGAGCGCGCGAAAGACCTGCAACCTGAGCGCTCATGTTAGCGAGGGCACAGGTTTATGAACGACCAGGACGTACCATTTGGTCTTCTCTTCGTCGCTATCGGCGAAGAATAGGATCTCCTCGTCACCCGGGAAGATAAGCCGGAAGGAACGCTCCACCCCGCAGAGACCGTCCATCTCCTCGAGATAGCGAGAGGCGGCAGACGAGCCCGACGTCGGGCTGAGTGCCCTCCGCCGAGCGTCGTCGTCGTCCTGCACTGCGATGGCCTTCTTGATGTCGATGGTGGTGATAGCACGCTTGGTAACGTCGTTGAACGCGACCAAGGAGCCGCCAATGACTCTGAACTGACGGCGGCGCCACGACTGGAAAGTTAGTCAGTACTCGCTCGACGCAGTAAGAGAGGTCCACATACCGTGCAGTCGCCCCCGTTCTGCGTCAACGTGCCCTCAAAGTAGGTCACCTTATGCCAGTGCATATGCCTCAGCCCGCGCACGCATTCGTCCAAGCTCTGCGGCATCTGGTTCTGCGGAATACCCGGCAACGGCGGGAGCCTGAACACCTGCAACTGGATTTCTCCAACCTGCAGGTTCGACCACTTGCCACCGAGCTCGAATCGCTGTCCGATGAGCGGGTAGGTCGTGGAGAAGAGCCGGGTGTCGCAGTGAGGCGCGATCTCCTTGTACGACACGAAGGCGCGGGCCATCGTACCGTCCGGCTTGAGGTAGCGCGCAAAGTTGTCGGCGAGTCGAGGCAGAGGTTGCCGAATGGGGGCTGGAGCAGGCGCGGGCTGCGACATATGTTTGTGCTTCTTGGGGGACGAGGAGCCGCCGAACAAGCTGCGCAACCCGCTGCTCTTCGACGATGCCTGATGCACGACGGGTGGAGGCGGAGGTGGCGCGACGGGTTTTGGCGGAACAAGGGCCTTGAACTGGGCAGTGATGTGCGGCTCACGCTTGATCTTCAGAGTGAGCGTGAACTCGAGCTTACTGTGCTCAATACTGCACGAAGATGTCAGCCTCGCGCGTCGCAGATGGTCGACGTGTAACTTACAGCTCGAACTCTTGCTCGATGATAGACGTCGGCTGCAGCACAACCTCGGGCGTCGTCACGAAGTGAATGCCATTGTTCAGCGTGCAGGTCATCTTCGTCGGCTCCTCCGGCAAGGGTAGATGTATTCCCTTGATCTCGACGACCTTGACAAAAACCTTGCCATACGCCTTGGACTTGCCTTCCTGCGCCCGGAGCTCGCGAATCTGCTTCGCATACTCGTTCTAGGCTCAAGTCAGCACACAATCAGTGTGGCATAGTCCATGAACATACCATGTCCGACGGACGCCTCACAGGTCTCCAAGCCTTGCTCACGTTTACATCGCCGGGACCGGACATATGCGATACCCTCTCCTCGTTCGACGAAGACGCGTAGATCGTCTCGCGCTCGCGGATCAGGTACTTCTGCTCGCGTCGTCAGCCACTGAGTTCAGCACTACGCCTTCCCGACCACTTACGCTCTTGTTCCCACCGTCCATCTTCATCAACTCCCGCTCTATACTCTCCTGAAGCAGAGTATCGTTCTCAACCGTCGGCGCCACATCCAACGGCTCCACATCCTGCAGCACATCCCCCGTACTCCTGCTCCGTCTCCTGCTCCCGCGACCACCATGCACGTTCAGGTGTCGGTGCCTCGGCGTGAAGTCCTCCGAGTACAGCTCCGCCCTCCTCTCGCGCCGCTTCTCAAGAATCTGCTGCTCCCGCGTGCGGATTTTGTCCTTCGGCGGGGGCGGAGGCGGGACGCTCTCCGACGATGCGGCGCTGGTGTTACGGGACAAGAAAGCGGTCTCTTTACCCAAGAGTGCGGTGTCCGTCGCGGCGCGTTCTGTCGGGTTCGCGCGCGGTGGGTGGCTGGGGTGGTGGTGATCTGGATAGTCATCGGTCTCCATTGAGGTGTCGCCATCCTCTGGCATGCCACCAGCAACGTCTTCCATAAGGCGGTCGAGCGCGCTCCGGACGTCGACGTCGAGATCGACAGGTGCGACTTCCGCGCGCGTGCTCGAGTGGATGCTGACCTCGTAATCCGACCGGACGCTGCCAGACAACATCGACTCCGGCCTGCACGGCCGCTCAAGCGGAACCTCGTCCATGTTAACATCGAGGTCCATGTCACCAAGCTGCAGCCGCCCAAGCCCGAACTTGCTGCCAAAGTCGAGCTTTAGCTTGTCGTCTGACGGCTTCAGCATTCCGAACTCCTCCTCGACGACGTCCTCCTGCTCGGGAGACTCGACGATGCCTTCCTGCCTGGGCGACTCCACGGTGAAGGCGTGGCCGATGCTGACTCGCGTCTTCATGGCCATCTCCACCGTCGATGTCTCCGTACTGAAGTTCGTCAGGACGGACATGCGGTCGCGTTCCTTGTCTTCCTTGACCGCGAGCGAGTCCTTGTCGTCCTTCGCTGCAAGCAAAGAGGACTCGGCATGCGGCTCCTCAACCACCGGCGGCGGCGAAAGCGAAGGCGGCTGCTCAGCAAGAGGGCTGTCGCCATGCGAGGAAGACATGCTGTCCACGCGGATACGCGGAGCGTCTGGCATAGGGCTGTCGTGATGACTCCCAGCAGACTCGCCAAATCGGCTCCCACCGGACTCGCTGAGGCGACTCGCCGGGCGCTCATGAGCAGGAGTAGGGAACTCCGCCACAGGACTACCCTGCCTGCTCCCGGACGGACTCCCACTCGGGCTCGCCAGCTGACGCTTGATCCTCTGCTGAATATCCTCCCGAGTAATACGAGGACGCGGGCTCGGATTCGGCCTAAATGACTGGCTGCTGGCCGGTCGCTCTAGGTGAGGTGCAGTAGGCGAGGTGACCTGTGGCGGCGATCTCGCGAACGAGGAGGGTGAGTCCCTGGGCGAGCTCGTCGCAAGGTCGGCCATCGACCTACGAGGCTCCGGCTGCCGCGGAAGGGGTCGGCTTGGTGTGGTCGGTCGGTCTTGAGGAGTTGCTGCCTGCACGATGTTAGATGCGTGACCGCTCAGGAGAGGGAGGCACACATACCCGCTCATCCTCTACCAGCTCCCGATCGAGGCCGTCCAAGCTGATCTCGGAGTTGCCGATGCTAAGGTTGCTGGGGTCCATAGCTCCATCGTCATCGTGCTCGTCCTGAGGACGAGACCGTGGCCGACCTTCCTCATCGAACCGCGAGAACGATCCCTCTTGCTCGCGAGTGAAGGAACGATCTCCGGACCAGCTTGTATCCGCATGGTCTACAAGCCCGGTCAATATCTATGATAATGACAGCGCAGGCGAAAAGCTCACCCTTTGACCTCGGACTCTGGAATTGCGGAGGGGCAATGGGCTGCTCGGCTTCTTCGTCGCTCTCGTCATTATATAGGATATTCCTGCGGCCAGCCTTCGCGGGCGACGGCGAAGGAGGGAGCATCGACACGTCCTCTTCTATGCGAGCCTCTTCCTTCTCCTCTTCCCGGGCAGCCTGAACGCGCTCGGCATGAGTAGAACGACCAAGAGGCGGCGAGTGAGCACCGCTGCGATCCGGGGTCTGCGGTGGCGTGGATGAAGACAGTGGAGGACCGCCGAAGGTGACCTCGGCTGTGAACCGCGGAGGCGATGGCGGCGTCGGATGAGGTTGCTCATGCTCCTGGTGGTGGAACTCCTGCGCGCGCTGGATATGATGCGAGTGTCCGAAGGGGACGCCGTCCTCGGTTTCCAGATCAGTGGGTATGTCGTGGGCAGGGCGGGGAGGGGTGGATGTACGACCCAGTCCATCCGGCTGCGCCTCCTCCAGCATATCGTCCATAAGATCCGCGATGCTAGTTTCGCCGTCCGCGTTGAATGAGCTGTTCCCATTGAACGAGTTGTTACTGGTCTCGGACAGGTTAACGCTATCGAAGGAGGTGTTCGCTTCTTCGGAGTGGGGAGGTTGGAGGCGTGCATCGGCGTACTGCGCGTCGTCCACGTCCATGCGCTGGTCATCTTGAATTTCGTCATGGTCGTCAGCATGATCAGACACCGTTTCGTAGCCAGACTCGTCGTCGTCAGAGAAGACCTGATCGCCGTACTCGTCCCGTTCGAATTCGACGACGTCGCATTCGTTGTGGAAAGTGACTGTTTTCCTGCGTCCTCGTTTGCCACTGACACGTGGGCCGTGCAGCCGCTTGGAGACGAGCGACGAGCGTATGGGCGATGGGCCATTCTGGCGTTTAAGGCTATTGGACGGGCGTAAGGATTGTTTGGGAGGTGGGTCGAATAGAGAGGGATCGACGGGCTCGGTAGAGGTCTCGCGAGGAGGGAGCCCGGTGTGCTTGGATGGTGGGAGCGGGGGCACCGCCGACGCAGGCGGTGAGAGCGGGTCGCCAGGGCGGCGGAAGGGGCTATTCGTGACCGGCTCCTTCGTCACCAGGCCGAGATACGCCTTGGACTGCCGTCGCTCCCGCTTGAGAGCAAGCGGCCTTTCATTCTCCGTCTCCGCCTGCTCCTGCATCGACTGTGGCCTTGGCCGCTTCTCGCCCGACACACGGCGCGGGGACGATGGGAACTGGACCCCCGAGGGGTGCGGGGGACTGTGGGTCTTCAGCGCTTTGCTCTTGAAGGGCGATTGGGAGACGAGTTTGTTGCTGCGGACATGCTTGAAGCTATTCGACGAGCGGCGGGCGATGTCGGTAGGGAACTGGCGGGCCGTCGCGTCCAGCCGCGGGGAGTCGCGCTTGGAGATGCGGAGGGGAGAGATGACGCCGCCGCCGCCCGAGGTGCTCCTGCTGTGGACCGATGGGGGCGAGCTCCAGCCTGCGCCGGATTCGCGGAGGATGTTGGCCTTCACGGGGTCGGGGGATTGGGAGAAGAGTCTCTCCTTGAGAGGTTGCGCTTTGGACATGCCCCCGTGGAGGTGACTATATGCGTGACAAAAGGGTGCGAAAGAGAAAAGACCCGGGGCGGGCGACAAACGAGGCACGGAGATGGAAGCAGGTGGCAAACCTGATGCCGCCCATCACCAACCAACTTCCGAGGCAAATACAATCAAACAACGCGTGTTGACATACACGTGATCGTTCTCTCCATTCCAGGGTGGACGCAGACGCGTCATTCCCCCTCCGTTGGGACGAATTTGCCCACCAAACGCACCCGAACATGGGAGGATTTCCAACGTACACGTACACAAATCGGCGGCTGGAAATTCGGGGTCAATAGTGTGTGCCACTACCGGGTCGCCCTGAGTTAACTGGGGAAACACAACCACATCTCTATTCTGACTAGTCAGAAATACCTGGTACTCAAGTTCATGCAGTCTGAGCGCGCAGGGTCACTAGAGATACCGCAAATGAGTCGTGGAACAAGGTTGGTCGCTAGGGTACTTTGCGCCCTATGCACGCCTCCGCCCTCAAACGGGTAGACGTAGATGACGTGGTTCTACAGCTGTACGGGGCAGAAGACATGAGTCCCAGGAAGTTTCTTGGCTTTTCGATACTCGCTGCAGGTCTTTCGAAACTTGAACCGTGACATGCCCGTGACAAGCGCGACACGAACTCGGGCCGCGAATTCCGGAAGACCTCGCCCCTGCAAAGGCCAAAGTCAGACTTGGCATGTCGATCCCAACGAAGTACTGCTCCAGGACCTTGCTCCCGACGTCCGCGATGGACCTTTGCGTCCCTCGGAATATAGCCTGGGTACGACCGACTTTCATGCCAGCCAAAGTCCAAATATACGGCGCCCCGACGTCAGACGACCGAGTGACAGCGTCTTCGCGATCTTATCATCCGCCCTGAGATCGCCAGTCATCCTCATCCCCCACAATGCCCCTCGGAACCAGCAAAGTATTCCTCGTTACCGGGTCCAACACCGGTATCGGCTTTGAGATCGTCAAGCAGCTCGCCCAGGCTGGACACACCGTCTATCTCGCTGCACGCAGCATTGAGGCGGGGAAGAAGGCCCAGTGCGTCATACGTATTCCCCCACCGGCGATGGTCCGCTAAACGTCGCTCTGTGCAGAGAGGACCTCACCAAGGAGGGCCTCAACGTGAAGTTCGTCCACCTGGACGTGACCGACGCGCAGACCCTCGCTTCAGCCAAGAAGACGATCGAGGAAGCAGAGGGCAAGCTCGACGTCCTCATCAACAACGCCGGTGTGTGAACCCCTGCCCAATGTCCTACTACATCGCCTATCCTCCATCTAGGCGTCAGCTTCATGAACAAACCCCAGTCCGCCCTCGACGTCGACGTCGACACCGTCCGCGCCACGTGCGAGGTCAACCTCTTTGGCCTCATCCAGACCTGCCAGACCTTCCTTCCCCTCCTGCGCAAGTCCTCCCAGCCCGTCATCCTGAACGTCACCACGGACATGGCATCAAACACCTACATGGCGCGTGGGGACTCCAGTCTCCACGTCGTCGCGTACAACACGAGCAAGGCCGCCGCGAACTCGTATACCATCGCTCTGGCGCATGAGCTGAAGAAGGAGGGCATCAAAGGTGATTGGGTCATGCTTGACGTGCGATGGGAAGTAGGCTGAAGAAACTATACTTACAGTGAACACCATTACCCCGGGTTTCACGACGACGAAGCTCAACGGTTTCGCGCCTGGTGGCAAGACGCCGCAGCAGGCAGCTACGGATATGCTGCCTTGGGCCCTGCTTGACAAGGACGGACCGACGGGTATGTGCCATATCCTCCTGTCCGACCTCCCGAAACTTAGTATCAATCTCCTGCAGGTGTCTTCATCGGACCGGATGGGAAGACCGAGTTCCCTTGGTAAATGGACGTTCAGGTGTATTCGCAGCAAAATCAGTAGACATCCAAGTGTATTTGTGTCCTGTAACCGTGAATGGGAAGAGCATCTCGAACCCTGCGGCGTCATGAAGATGCCCCGGTCGACGAAGGTGGCGCTGTCATTGAAGCTTCTGAGGCCCTGTCAATCAAGTCAACTGCCGCCGGCTTCGTGATATTTTTCAAGCGTCTTCCCTCTCATTCCCTCCTTGCCTCCTTCCCTTGCCATGGCAGTCGACGCTCTTCCTCCCAAGGTACGGTCTGGTCATTTGCCACAACTTCGTTCTCGACATTGCTCCCCAGCACTCCCAAATTCTGGTCATCGGAGGTATGTCGAACACACAACGGGCGCATATATGCGGTCAATAACGTGTGTTGCGGAAGGTGGACCGTCGGGCAGTTACGCCGCGTCGGTGCTGGCGAGAGAGGGAATGGAGGTCACTCTGCTCGAAGCCGCAGAATTTCCCAGGTGCGTCGCACACGATGCATTGTACCTCCGATCTCACTGACCTTTCCTATAGATACCACATAGGCGAAAGCCTCATCCCCTCTGCGCGGCACTACCTAAAGTTCATCGACGCGGAAGAGAAGCTGGTGCAGGCTGGCTTCAAGCATAAGGTGCGATCCTATCTGTCCGTCACGAGCAGAACTTGACCTCGACCCTATAGCCAGGCGCTGCCATCAAGTTCAACCAGCACAAAAAGGAAGGATGTGCGCGGCCTACGCGGGAATCATTCATCATCTAATCTCATGTATGCACACAGATACCGACTTTGTGGCACTTGGGATTCACAATAGCTCATGGAACGTCGTCAGTTTATCATATCTGCATTGTCAACGCGCCATGTAGCTGACCTTGCTGTGTCCTCTCACGCAGATACGCTCCCAATTCGATGACCTTCTGCTCAAGCATGCTCGTACTTGCGGCGTCGAAGTGTTCGAGCGGACGAAGGTCGGCTCGGTCGAGTTTAGCGCCCAAGATACGAGGCGCCCGGTCATCGTCAACTGGACACACACGACCAAGGCAGGATTCGCCTCTGCTTCCGTTCCGAGTCGCACCACGGGCCGCACGACCTTCGACTACCTCGTCGACGCATCCGGTCGCGCAGGCGTTATGTCGACCAAGTATATGAAAAATCGGCACTTCAACGAGTCGCTGAAGAACATCGCGATCTGGGGATACTGGCGCGGTGCGGGGACGTACGGGATGGGGACAAGCAGGGAGGGCGCGCCATGGTTCGAGGCTCTGACGGGTATGTGCAGCAGTTGCGGGTTCGAATCACCCTTGCTGACGCGATATGCAGACGAGTCAGGCTGGGCGTGGTTTATACCTCTCCACGATGGTACTACGTCCGTCGGCGTGGTCATGAACCAGCAGATGTTCACGGAAGGCGCAAAATGGGCCTCGATGTCGCCTTTCTCCCCCGAAGCAGCTCCCAATCCTCGCGGTTCGACAATGACGAGTCGCTACCTTGCGGCTCTCGGCAACGCACCTCAGGTTGTCGAGCTGCTCTCGGAGCACGCGCGGATGGTCGAGGATAGCGTCAAGAGTGCGTCTGACTACTCGTACAAGGCTACGGAGCACGCGGGCCCGAATTTCAGGATTTGTGGGGATGCCGGAGGTGAGTTGACCCTTCGTCACGGCTGGATTTATGGCTGATAATAATCCATACAGCCTTCATCGACCCTTGCTTCTCAAGCGGCATTCACCTAGCGCTCACCTCCGCCATGTCGGCTGCGGCGAGTATCTGTGCGGCAATCCGCAGTGACTGTACGGAGGAAGCCGCGGGAAAGTGGCATACGGAGAGGGTGATGACGAGTTACACGCGGTACGTCAGAATTTAGACCCCGTGTGGACATCGACTGAGAATGTGTGCAGCTTTCAGCTCGTCGTGCTCAGCGCGTACAAGCAATTCCGCAATCAGGCGGAGGACGTGCTGTCAGATATAGACGAGGACAACTTTGATCGCGCGTTTGCGATGTTCAGGCCGGGTAAGTGTACTATGCGAAGTCCACTATCCTCTGTACGCTGACATAGGAACGCAGTCATCCAAGGTGGTGCGGACATCGGTATCCGTCTCTCAGAAGACGAGCTACAGCGGTCGCTGGACTTCTGCGCGAATCTGTTCAATCCCACGACTCCGGAGCAGCATGCTGAGCTTGTGCTAGGAGGGAAAATTGCGAAGGACCTACTCGATGTCAATAAGCCGGTGGTGGATCGTGCAGTCCTAGACGAGGCGCTGCATGTGCGCGATGAGAAGAGCGGCGAGGCGCGACTTGGAGGAACCGACGGCGTTCGGTCAGAGAGGCGCGGCGAGACGCAGCTGGTGCTGGACAAGATCAACGCGCGCAGGGTGATCCAGCCGGAGTATGCGATCAGCAACATGGAAGATGAAGGTATAGATGGATATGCGGTCAGGTTGCAGAGGGGCAATTTGGGGCTGAACAAGGTTCTCTCTTGAATGATAAAGCAATGATTCTCTATGGATAGATGCAGGGTATGGACTAAGAAATTATTGTGATACGATGCGTTCACTTCAGTAGCTATAAAACTCAGCCTCAGGTGGCATCCTATCAATATTGGGCAACGGGCCCTCCTTTCCTTTTGGGCAGGTCCATCGCTTACCCTCGCACCAGTCCGCAAGTGTGGCTTTCCGACCGCCGGCCATTTTCCAATGGGCTTCCGTACGCCATTTGAGCCCCCATGGCAAGTGGTAGGGAGGGAGGTTGTCTTGTATAGACGCGGGGCGACCGTACTGCGACTCTTCATCGAGCTCGGGGGCGTGCACATAGACGGGGAAGCCAGCGTTGTTGCGGATGTGAATGCGCTCGAGGAGGGGGAAGCGGGTCGGGAGGGGGCCGTCGGCAGGCACGCACTCGTCCTGGTATACCTCGAGGCTGCGCCAGCGGTGCGCTTCGGCCCAGACGAGGGCGACCGACTTGAAGCGCGTCTTCGAGGTGGTGTAGTCGAAGCGCATCTCTTGCTTTATCGGGAACCCAGAGACCAGCACGTAGTCCTCTGCACCTGCCATGCACACATCGAGGGGCAGGTCCTGCGAGAGGGCGAGGTAGTACTCGAGGAGGCCGGCGCGCTGCTGGGCCATCTCGTACGTGATCCTCACGTGGGTGAAGAACGCGGGGTTGGCGAGCATGACATTGCGGAAGCGGCTGCATACGTGCTGGATGATCCAGCGGGGGTTCTTGTGAACGTCGGTGGCGTCCATGTCGTCGACTCTGCTGTCGCTGATCACGTAGTCGAAGATCGAGGCGAGAACATTGTCGTCGACTGCGAGAATGTAGGCCGGGAGTTCGGCGCTGCGCTGCCTGGGAACAGGGAGGGTGGTCTGGACGGGGACGCCGAGCTGCGCGATCGCATTGATGGACGCGGTGCGCGCGAGGGTGCGCTTCGCCCCAGAGCCCTTCGACGTGACACGGACCTCCGCTGCAAGCCTCACGTTCATGCTCCGATCCTGCTTCATGATCTGCTGAAACGACTTGGACGGCTGGAGCAGGCGTCTCTCCTTGCGCTTCCTTTCTTTCTCCTTGTACTCTCGGGCTTCCTCCTCCCACCAGCTCAATCCTCCCCATCTGAAAACGGGCAGGATAGCATAGCCGCAATCCAGGTCATCAGCTCTTTGCTGCGTGGGGTCCTGCGAGTGGCATTGGTCATCGTCGTGCGAGGGTGCAGAGCCACTCACGTCCTTGACGCTGTAATAATCCTTGAGCTTGGGAACCTTGACAGGAGCAAGCTGTTCCACGGAATGTTTTCGCTTCAGCTGTGCAGGGCATGAGGGCGCGTGTAAGCAAAGACGCTCGGTGGTGGCGTACCTTGTTCACGGCTGGGGCCTTGTCGCGAGGCATGCCCATGAAGCGAGCAGAGGGGGCCTGGGACATTTCGGGAAGACAAAAATCGAGCTGTCGGACGACGACAGCGGAAATGCTGATGAAGGTGGGAGACAAAGAGAGGGAATGCACGTGCGCGCGAGCATCGCCCTGTGACTGCAGGGCTGACCAAACGCACGCAAATAGTGGCCATGGCATGACGGCCTCGAGGCTTGCAGGCTTTGCCCCATCGGGTGAACAATGGGCGGTTCTGCGCTAATATCAGTGGTTCGCACGCAATTTGACCGGGAATGACTCACGAGGGACATGAGCACGGATTCGCATAGATCGTAAGAACAAAAAGAATTTTAGACAAGGTTAAAGGTAGTCAGGTATTTCTCTTTCGACAAAGCCGTCGTACAGGGTCAACTATGTGCTGAACATCGGCCATGTACTCCTCAACGTGCCCGACCAGTTTTTCGTCAGTGATAGGTGGTTCGTACTCAGCTGCAAATTCTGCACTGGTCAACCAACGGGATACGTCTGCGTCAGTCGGTCTGTCAAGGAAATGAGACGGGAATTTGTTCTGATGATATATGAGCACTTACTGGTCGCCTACTCGTGCTTGCAGCCAGGCTATAGATTCTCGTATCCAGTCATAAGCATCAGCGCCGCACTCTTCGACTTTCCTGCGTTCCTCCTCAGACATGTCTGCAAGGAAGAGACGAGGTGACGAAGCTCGGTAGTCCGCGTTAAGCTCAGGAAAGAGCGTGTTGAGCTGCACGAGGGTGTCCGCCACGACATCCGAGCCTTTCTTCGCAGACGTCCATGTTCTGTATACAATCTGCGACACACAATCAGTCTCGCTACGGTGAGCTGGCGTACACTGCGCTCACCGCCTGACAGCAAGTGCAAATCAAGTACATGTACAGTTCGCGCAGTGTCTTCTCAGTGTCAGGCTTCGTTATGCTGCGTAATCGCGCGAGGTCTTCTTTCGAGTATTGTGCTTCGCGCTGGCCGATTTTCTTGTAGTAATCATGCCAGACGAGCATCTTCTTCGCATGGTCTAGCGCGAATTTACGCAAGGCTTCCAGCGACGAGAGCAGGTCAAGCAGCGAAGGCAGGGCCTCGTAGTCAACTTCCGGGTGAAGTATGTCTTTGATGGCGTACATATACACCTCTACCGGTGGTATATTCTTCGCGACCAGTTCCTTGTTGGGCTTCACGTAACTCTCGAAGACGGCTGCGAGTGCGTAAGTGAGGGGAGTGAAGAGCGAGGAGCTAGTACAGACCGTATATATCGCGATGGTCCTGCATAGAAGGATCTGTGCGGCTCGTGACGAGCTTCTTGAAGTGAGCGACGGTACGTTTGGTGTCTGCGCCACCCTCCTTTCTACTCATGCGTGGCTTGCCTAGGTGCGAGGATAAGGGGAGGAGACTGAGATGTTTCTTTCGAGTTTTTCTGCTTGGCTGCTCTGTGTTATCTCAACAGACTCGTTCGGGGAGCGCAAGGATGTGCTGAGGACTTTGGATGAGGGGAAGAGGCAAGCTGCGGAGACCACGGGCCGAACATGTGAACAAGCGCCGGCTGGAGCTCGATCGGACATCTTGCTCTCGACCTCCACGATCCCAGCGATGGGAATCCTCGGCCTCACGACGTTTCTGAGAGAAAACAAACGGACTTTGCTGAAGCAAACTCGAGTCGACGGCTCTGCTGCAACAGTCCTCGTAGTTGACGGCTGGTCGTACGTCGTCGAATACGCATAAGCGAATTCACTCACAGGTCGCATCATAGGTTCATCTATTACCTATATCAGAGCACGCACGCTGCCTGGGTATACGGAGGAGAATATGAAGAATTCTACACAAGCATCACCAGCGTCGTGAAGGCTTGGCTACAAGTCGGCTTCAAACTTCACTTCGTCTTCGATGGTCCGTCTCCTGACTCGGTTCTACAGATTACCTGACCAAGATGCAGGCGCCTGCCCGGAGCTCAAGTTCCCCACCCAAGTAGGGCGGCTCAACCACTCCAACGTCGAGCCATCGTCCCTCTTTTTCCGCACATCCCCCATCTCCCGCTCGCAGCCCCGCTTCCTGAACGAATCCCGCATCTTGCCCCCTCTTGCTTTCCAAGCATGCATACGCGCCCTGCTTGACGTTGAAAGCGCCGATCTCCATATACACTACGCCGATGGGGAAGGGGATCCCTTCGCGGTTGAGCTCGCGGGGCGACTGGGCGGCTATGTCTGCGGCAACGACTCGGACTTCGTGATACTCAATGCCGCTGGGTACCGTGGTTACATCCCCTTCGAGGAAATGGTCTGGGATGCTCCCGATCTCGACGAAGCTCCGCCAGCTGAAGACGATGGCTTTTTCCAGCCCGTTCGCAAGGGCAAGAACAAGCGGAAACCGGTCAAAGCGGCTGTGGTCGGACCTCTCCCGCCAGAGGGCGTACCCACCCCACCGATGACGATTTCTTACTATAGTCCCCAATCGCTGGCGGACTTATTGGGCGTCCCGGTCATGCTACTACCGCTGGTCGGTGCGCTCGTTGGCAACGACTTCACGAAGCAGACCAACAATCCCATGTACAACCGACAATTACTATTCTTCGAGAAACATGCGACGCCGACGCAGCGATTCAATACTGCATGCACTGCTATTCGGTCGATCCTCATTCCTTCGGCGCAACGACGGCACGGCCCGCCCGTCGACGGTATCATGAGCCTCATCGAACGTACAGTCAACGCGCTTCTCAGTCGCGTTGGCACCCTGGGCTCTGGCGAAGTCGCTGCTGTCGTCGACAACATCGTCGAAGCTACCCTGCCGTACGCGATGCCGAAGCCCCTGAGCGGTCCTCTCTGGCCCTCGCCCGTCTGCGCACTGCACGCGCCCGAGACATGCACCATCCTGCCCATGTTCTCTCGCTTGTTCGAGTTCGAAGCAGAGGCCTCCTTTGACGAGCGAACGCACGCACTTCGAATAGCCGACAAGGCGCGCCGGCGGTACATCAAGGCGTATAGGGCGGGGGCGCTGTCGTACAGGCTGGCGGATGTGCTTAGCACCGGCACTTTCTGGCCTAGGGTCTTCCTGGAAAACCCTGACGCCGAGACGGTCTCGAAAACAATTGGCAGGCATCTGCGACAGCTTGCCTATGCTGTGCTGCACGAGTCGCTAGGGCTTCCGGTGCCGCCAGAAGAGGAAGATGAGGAGGAGGAGGCGGAAGAGGAAGAAGAGGATGACGACGCGATCGTGGACGTCGTCGAGTCGGACAGCGATGCGGAGACTATCGAGAGCGTCGACCCGTTGGCACCACTCGAGGGCGCTTTGCGGCGCATCCGGCGAACTCAGGGTCCGCCAACATCATCGGCAGCCTCGACGATGTCCGGCGTGCCGTCTCGGCCCTCTGTACGGCCTTGTACAGTGACTGAGTACGTGCGCCGCGGGACGCACGTCTCGCCCGAGCCTGTTGTAGTGCCCACGATGGAGCAGCTGTGGGCGTCCCTCTCCGTTCCTGCGCCCACCACGCCTGGGCCGCTGGCGCTGCAACCGCTTGAAGTTCGGATGCAGGTCTTCCTCCGGTCCATGCATTCAGATGTGGCGAGCGTGCGGCATCTGCAGGCCCACGAGCTTCTGCCCGTGCTTGCACTTCGCTGGGTCGTACGCGTCATGCACGATCGCGCGCAGGGAAGCGGGAGCAGAGAGCGCGAGAAGGAGCGCTGGTCGCGTCGCGAAGCCCGCTGCTTCCTCGCTGCCTTCTCCTGGCCAGCCGCCGACCCATCACAGAACATAGAGCAAACCGAACCTGAACAAACACAACAACAGCAGCCACCTCACGACGACTCACCCGACATCGACAACCGGAACGTGCAGCTGACGGCGCAGGTACTTGCGTCCATGGAGGCCGTCTCCCTCTGGGCGCAATCGCTGCTGCTTTGGGAGCACGTCCCGCTGCCCGCGCACTTGTTCTCCGGGAGGCGGTTCCATCGGCTGCTGACTGCTGCCGTGGACGTCGAACCGGGGGTACCGGAGCATTTGTGGCAGGCGAGCATTGAAGGGCAAGAAAATTTCCTCGGGGAAGAGGTGAAGAGGAAGACAAAGAGGGGAACCACCGGCGTCAAGACAAGCCAGCCGAGCGCACGATCGCCGAACTCTGGTGGCAAGGGCCGTGCGCCACAGGGTGTGGAACTATTCAAGGTGTTGGCATCCATAGATGGAGACGCATAGGAGCCAGCTGGTACTGTAGGAGTACCGACCCTCTGCATGTAGCTCTAGGTTTGTTTGTCTTCATTGTCATGCCAAACAAAGCTGATTCTTGTCCTACAGTTAGCCTGCAGGTGTATACCATTGTTCGTTGAAAGTTTCAGTACTCATGGTCATTTATACTCGTCGCTTTCCACAACATGCGCGGCGATGTCTTCTATGGAGTTACGTGTGGAACTTGAAGGTGTACCAATCAACGTCCGAGGTGCGCCTCGAAGGGCTATCCAGTCGCAATACATGCATCGCCCACAGGGCTTTCCTGTACGCGAGAACCCAGAACAAGCGCCATGCCAGCGCTTAGCTCGACAGCAATGCGATCATTCTCACAGCATCTTCATACATGGTCACTGCATCGTCCATCAATCTGGCGTTGCTTTGTGTGGCAGCCGTGTGATCGGAGGCTGTGCACTGCAGGGTATATAGACCTCTTTCGTGACTTCTGTACCGTACAACGGCAGCTCTCCCTTCAAAACATCTCCGCCCCTCAACTTTCAGCATGAGCCACTCCCATCAGCGTCGGGGTCCTGCAGACATAATCACCTACCGCTATAAGGAGCGCCTTGTCTACGTCACGCCTGAAAAAGACTATCAGGTGCATATTTCCTAGCACGCGCGCGAGATTCATCTAACTCAATTGCCACTTTAGGCCGCGGTCGATATGGCCATCCAGGAATACGCCGAAGAACTTGCCGGAGTTCCACGTGAGAGCATCTACTTCTACACGATGGCAAACATGGACGGTCAACGACGCGCGGTGCGCATCGGACGCTCCGCGTGGCCAAGAGCCATGGAGAAGCTGGTGCGCGGGGAGGTCGTTGATATCGCTGTCCGGCCGCACACCCGAGACGCGGTGTATGGTCTCATTGAGGACGCCACTGCATCGCAGCCACCGCCTCAATACCTGCAAGTGCCCGGGGCACGCGAGTCAGGCCGCTCGCGTAGCCCTAGCCCGACACCGAGTGAGCGCTCATTCTTCAGGAGGTTCTTCGGCTTTGGCATGACGCCGGAGTCATCTCGCTCGAGTTCGCCGTGCGGGCATACACTGTCGGAGAAGGACGGTGCTTGAAAGACACCGTCGATGGACTGAAAACAACGACTTTCTTACGCATCTTTACGCATGAGTTTGCGCCCTCCTTTGTCGCTGCTCGCGCTTGGGACGCAGATGGATGGATACTATTCAACGTACTCTGTTTATTTATCTACTACTGTATATATCCTCTCCAGTACTGCTAGATAGACGCCTGGGTGTCCTCTGCATTGTAAGCTATGCACATCGTTCTGTCTACCCTCTCTATACCACAGAAACATCCGTTTCAGCACTCTAAGCTAAATCACACCGTTCGTCACATTGTTATACCAAAGAGGTAATCTCTATCGCCGATACAGCATGAGAAGACTCATGGTGAATCTGCAAGGATCTCTGAACGTGAAAGGTAAGTACTGCACAGCTAGGGAAATGAACAGTGTCATCACATTGAGTGCAGATGCAGTGTTAAGCTAGTACATAGATCCCGAAGAAGCCAAGCCAGCTGTGCAGCAGCCACAGTAGATACAGTGCCGTGGCGCTGAGTCTTCGTGAGCGCTGAATACGCGGTCATTCTTCACGATCCGGGGTCGATGGGGCTCAAGGGATGCTCGATTGGCAGTGGATCGATCTGTGCAAGGCGATGGTCAACAGCATCAATGCTTGCCAAATGCGGATATCCTCGAATCACCGCTGAACGGCATTCACCCAACAGAGAATTCGGTGGCGTCCACATCGAGGAAGTCCCGCGTCAGAGGCACAGTGCATTCAAGATAGAGGGTCTTCTTTGCGCGACATGGGCTTGGGATATGCTCACGGAACCTTCCATGTATGCAGTAGGACAGGGCGACCTGGGGATCGGTGTTGAAGCCAACGGGTGAGATGATCGTATCAAGAGAGTCGTGACTTCCATCTTCTCAAACACCACAGTAGACGTAGTCGAAGCAACTATCGACGTCAAGTACGACTGTGCCTCAACAAAGCCTTACTCCTGAACGTCGCGTTATACTGCAGCAGATTGTTGATGTCCCGCACCCAGTCGTCCTCCTTCCCCGGTCCTGCGCCCTCCCCATCGCGTTTGGGTCCATTACCGAGTATCTCCTCGCTGTCGTCGGCGATACTGGAGCGGTTGATGCAGGGGACGGGGAATGGGGAGGCCTGCACTGTGACGCTCTCGCCGGGCTCGAGGACTTGGGTGACACGTCCGTCCATGGAGACGGAGGCGTGGGAGCGACTGTGCTTGCCAATCTGCGGGTGCGTCAGATGGATCTGGAAGGTGTAGAAGAGAAGCCCAAAGGAGTGGGGGAAGATGCGAGGTCGGGGGGTGACATCGGAGCGGAGCAGTGAAGATCGGGGATTGAGAGGCGGCTCATTGACGCAGAGCGGGATGGCGGTACCAAGTGAATACCGCGAGCATGGTATGTTGAGGTCGACGACCGCGGATCACTGAGCGACGGGGACACGAAGGTAGCGGGATGTCTATCGGGATTCGGGGAGAGAAGTCATAGCACAGGCATCGAGATGGGTCATCATGACAACAAGATACATACCCTGGCAGTCACCGACGATGAGGCTGGGAAGACCAGTGGCCGGAATGAGAGGCTCCGAGGGCAGATAGGTGTCAGCACGATAGCGCTGAGTGATGGATGGACGATTGGTCCGCCTGCTGATAGTGAGTACGCTGTTGATCCCGTTGGTGTTGACATTATGAGGCCATCCGACTGCGAACGGGTCAGCGAGGCGTTGACTCAAGATGTCGGGTAGCGGGATGAAAACAAGAACAATGAAGGGCGGGATGGAGGCGCGGGCTGGCGAATACAGAGGGGATGCACGTACGACTCCTTCAGTAAGATGCTGCCCGTCAACGAAGATATCCATCGTGACGAGATGTTGGCTAGCACCACGGTGCAGCGCGACTTCGTTCATCACCTGCCAGTCTATCCGATACGTCAATTAGAACTTGGCGAACAATGATGAGGGAAAGATGCACTTTCGCCAGGGACTCCCTTCCTTTTGAGGTCGGTGTCGTAGAAGGAGCATGCTAAGCGCATGCGATTCAGGACCGTAGCCTTCCCTTCGAAGACACTCTCGAGAGCTCTGGCGTAGTCGTCGACATCTAGGGGGGTGTAAGACATTGCAGTGCGATACCCCAGAGCGCCGGGCGCTTACGGAAAGGTAGTAGGAATCCCAAGGTGCCCATAGAGAAGCTGAGTACCGGGGGTACAGCATCGGTACTAAATAATGATGAGGCATGCAGTATGGTCCCGTCGCCTCCTAGGGTCACGACAAGGTCAATTTTTGGGGAGTCTTGGCCTTCATAGGGGTGAGGACGCGTATAGACAGAGGCAAAGCAAGGGCTTTACCTGGACGCCACACCTCGGCGCCGTGGGGGATGTCGGGCCGGTCTTCATGAAAGACCCTCACGTTGGGATACGTCCTGTCCACATGCCTACGTTCTCCGTGCTGGTAAGGTACCAGTCAAGGGTAGGGGAGGGTAGCGTACTCGAGTATGGCGTCAATGGCCCGAACCACTTGTGGTGTGCGTAGCTTATTCACGATCAGAATGCTCTGTGGCTTCCTTGAGAAATTGTTAGGCGCGTACGAAGAGCGCAGATCATTACGCACTTTTTCGGTATAGCTGTAAGAGAGATGCCATGGTGCGTTGCTTCGGTTGATAGGCGCCTGAAGCGCAGGGGGGTTGGAGGGAGCAGCGGTGTCCGAGGCCATGATCGAGATGGGTACTTAGCCGCCCGCAAGAACAAAGGTCGTGTCGCGCGGAGATTGAACATATCGCTCTGTCGGCTAAGCTTCCAGTTCATGAACGAGTGATTTCTTGCGATTTCTGGGATTCAGTGGCAGTAGAGAGCCGCCGCCGTCGCGTCATGCAGTCCCCACGGCGGGCGGTGACAAGTGATGAGAAGTCACGTGCGTTCCCGCGGTTTACGCGCTTTGGACGCGGTTGGGAACGCGACTTGTTTTTGACCTCGACGCCACCTCCGACGACGACAACGCCGGTCGTCGCTATACCCGGCGAAGAGACGACAGAAAACTAGCACACTACATCATTCGCTTATGGCGAGCAACGCAGCGCCTGCGCGGACCCGCTCGCGGCTGGCGCTGCCCGATGAGCAACCATCGCTTGACAGGTCGCCATTGAGGGCGGCGAAGAGCGCCAATCGGATGAAGACCTTCAGCCCGGTCGATGGTGCCGATCCAACTGCGCGAGCGCCTTCGGAGGATGCGCGTTCACAATCTACGACCAAGTCGGGAAAGCGGTCTGCGTCTCCGCCACCAGCGGACGAGTATACTGCTGGCACGCCTGCATCGGAGGACAGCCGGGAGCTGAAGAGGGCGCGGCGCGAGGAGGACCCGACAAGAAGGAGCGATGAGGAGAATCAGGTTCTGCTCGTCGAGGGCTCAAGCAATTCGGCAGCTCACACTAATGCTGGCTCATCGCGCCCTACGCCAGAACACGATGCCCTTCAACGCGCACTCGCCTCGCAGCTCATGAAGCCCTCCTCTACGATCGCTACTACACGCCCTCCTTCCACCCCCTCGCACGATCGCTCGCGCTCCGTCCCGGTCTTCCCGGCACCCGCGTCGCAGTCCATACCACATATCGACTTCACACAACCAGCATTCTCCCCGATCCGACAGAGGGCACGCTCTCGATCTCCTGCAAAGGAGCCGACGCTCAGGCTGTATCCCGCCAGTCCGGAAAAGGCGCCGACCTTTGAGCTGGCGCGCTCGACCGTGAATGGCACGGCAACCCTGCAAGTCGACATGCCTGCAACGTCAATCAGCGGCCCGAGCAGCTCTGCTGAACCTCCGCCGTTGTCTAGCACACCTACACTCGAGCTTGATACGCCTACTGCTCGTCCTGGACCATTCGCATTCCACGAACAAGAACCATCCACGTCTCAGGTTGTCGAATCAACTACGTCCCAAGCGCCAGAACCACCCGCATCCCAAGCGTCGGAAGTGCCCACATCCCAGGCGTCAGAAGCGCCCGCACCCCAACTACCACCTCCCACCCAAGCACCCGCTCCGCGCCGTTCCCCGCCACCACCTCTGCACATTGAGCCGCACCAACCCCCTGCCGATGAGGAGCCAGGCTCACCGCTTACGTCCATCCCGGGCTCTCCCGTCACTCCTGGGTCACCGCTTACGCCTGTATCGCCATCCCCTCCGCCAGCGGTCAAGAGACTGCCCGCCGAGGACCCGCATCGTATTGGCGAGGATATGCAGATGGACGTGGACATACAAATGGATGTGCGTATATCTACCGATTTTCCTCTATTTTTTTTGTCGACCGTGCCTGTATGATGGCTATGGTTTTCTTTATGCACAAAACTACGGGCAGCGAGCTAATGACCGCATATATGCAGAGCCAATCCTCCCTAACCAGTCGGCCAAGCACAAGTCGTCTACCGCGTTTGGGACCAAGCGGTAGACCAGCAGCGCCGAGGACACGACAAGCGTCTGGTTCGAAGCCTGCACCAGCGAAAGCCGGAACCTCCAAGGCAGAGGCAGCATCCAAACCGACGGCAGCATCGAAGTCCAAGGCCACTGGTCCTGCGATCAAGCCAGCCGCAGCGATGTCCAAGCCAGCAGCTGCAACGTCTAGGTCGACTGGCGAGGCAGCGGCAGGACCTTCGAAAGCCACTGCAGGAACGTCTAGATTCACGGCAGGATCGAGGTCGAAGGCGACTGGCGCTACAGCCGCGTCTAAACCCAATACGGCAGCTGCGTCCAAGCTGAATGCAGCAGATGCATCCAAATCGACTGCACCAGCTGCTTCTAAGCCGAACGCCTTTACCGTCCTCATGTCGGGCGCGAAGGGCAAGGCGAAGGATGTGGGCGCTGGCAAGGCGGGTGCGTCCGGTAAGCCTGGTACATCTAGCAAACCGACCGCGGCGAAGTCCTCGAAGACGGCGAAACCTACGGCTGCCTCCAAACCGTCCACTTCTTCGAAGCCCGACGCGTCCAGGAAACCCTCTGGCTCGTCCAAGCCCGAGTCCTCAACATCTACGAAACCCAGGTCCATGAGCCGTGCGACCTCAATTGCGCCGTCCGAGTCCGGCAAGGGCAAGGGCAGGCAGAAGGACAGGGAGCGCGAGCGGGAGTCCTCTGTTGTGAGCACGAAGTCGTCGGTCGGGGGCACGGGGACGGGGACGAACGGTGTGAAGGTGAAGGCGAAGATGCGCGGGCGGCAGCAGCCGAAGCCGATCCCGACCTTTGTGTATCCGGACGAGGAGGACGACGTGCCGCCGAACGACGAGGAGGTGCCGTTGAATGATGTAGCGGTGCCTCTGAATGACGCGGCGATTTCGTTGTACGATGTGGGGACGTCGAGGGAGGGGTTGTCGATGGCTGCGACGTCTGCCTCGATGCCGAACTTGACCAACTTCGTACCGCCGCCCGAGTTCCGATTCCCTTCGTCGCCTGCACCATCGGAGCGACATTCTGAAAGCGGGGTGGAGGAGCCTGGTGGACTAATCAAGGAAAAGAGCACGGATGGGGACGTGGAGATGCATGACGCTACCGCTCAAGAGCCGAGGGACGATGTACCACTCACTCATCAGGATGTTGCACGGCCCGAGCTGCGAGACGGAGGCCCTCCGGCCGACGAACAGCTCATGGCTGTGGATTTGCCTACGTCTACAGGTGCGGACATGAACGGATCTCCGACTATGCATGCACCGACCGCACCTACAGCCGAGCCAACGACGCATATAGCCATCTCATCATCGCCCACAGCGGATGCCTCGCGACCGCGCGAGCCGACCGCAGATGCGCCCACGTCGGAACAGCCAGCCACCGAAGATCAGGATGGCGCGGCGTCGACAGCAATCACGGACGCCACAAACCAAGTCCCGAACGATGGAGTTATCACTGAGCCTGTACCGGTGGACGGCGAGTCGTCCGCTGCGAAGGACAAGATATCGCAGGCGGAGGATGAGGGTCGGGGCCGCGCGCGGCAGAAGGCGCAACCCACCAGGTCTCGCGCGCCGTCAAAGGCAACGACACCGAGGGTCACCAGGAGCGTATCCGTCCGTAGACAAGATGGGACGAGTGCAGGTATGTTCATCGGTGTGTGTTGACAGAAGCCATGCTGATAACGATAGGTGTTACTCCTGCGACTGGCCCTCGAGGACGAAATAACGCACCACAGGTTCAGGATAGTGCTCAGCGAGGACGTCCCACAACACAAGCTAGTGAAACCAGGCAAGGGCGGACGACCTCGCGAGCACGGCCTGTTGGGGGTCAAGCACCTACACGGATATCTCCTCGAACAGCACGTTCGAAGTCAAGACCTTGGGAGGCACCGAAGACACCGAAGGCGGCGGAGAAGGCGGCGGGGCCTAACAAGGGGCATCCTACGGACTCGAAGAAGGACGATGACAGGCTTGTGGAATATCCAACCTCAGACCTGTCCGACTTGCCAGATGATGCTATGGATACGGAGGAGGATAACGTCGTGCACATCTCGAAGGCGCAGCGGCCGGTCATCGTACAGAAGCGGCCGGCGCCAGGGAAGGCAGCACAGACATTCTCGACACACTCCGCGTCCTCGAAGGAAGCCTCTACCTCGTCAACGAAAGCAGCGACGACCAAGATACCAGGACCGTCGTCGCCCACGAAGGCGCATGCTTCGCCGAACAAGAGCGCTTCGAGGTTGATGCAGCCCACGGCGGCGAGCGCGGCGAAGATGATGCCCAAGACGCCCACCAAATCGATATCCGTCATGATCAAGAAGACGCCTTCGCCCAACAAGCGCGCGCGCTCCAGCTCGTTGGCTCGTCCGTCATCCTCGTTCTCCTTGAAGGGTCAGCGCGAATCGTTGAGCATCCTCGAGCGCGCGCTGGAGCGGGTGGACAAGCCAGCACCTACGCGGCCGAGCACGAGCATGGGCTTCGCGTCGGACGATACGCCGTCGAACTCGACCACTGCCAGCATGATGCAGGCGCCGATGACCGACCTTGGTCCACGAGGGCTAAAGCGGTCGGCGTCTGCGGATAGTGAGGCGTCTATGAGCAAGCGTCCTTCCTTTGAACGTGCGGACTTAAATGGGGGCGCGGGCCCTTCATCAAGACCACTGGGACAGAAGCCCATTGGTGCCTTCTTTCGTCGGCCTGCTGGTGCCCCTGGTCCTTTCGGTCACCGTGCACCTAAGGCGAGCAGGCAGCCGATGTTGCAGACGGTTATCGGGAGCCCCGTCAAGGGGGGCGGCGCACCAGTCGCCACTGACGACGATGAAGAGATGCCACAGATCCAGCCCTTCATGCCCATGCTGCCGCCCGCGGAACCAGAAGCCGGCCCATCCCAACCCATGGTCGACTCCCCCGACGAGATGCCCGAGGACGACGACCTCCAGTTCGTCGTTTCTCCCGAGCTACTGCGCGAGGACGCTGAACTGGCTGAACTCATCGAGCGCAACCGCGCGAAGGACGAGGCGGCGCGGCACAAGCCCCGCCCTGACGCGGCAGCGATCCGGCTGGAGGGGCGGCGCGCGAGCTCGGCGTTCAGCGCGTTGTCGCAGAGCCTGAATGAGATGCCTGCGAAGAGGAAGGGGGACATGGGCCCGCCGAAGACGCCACCGAGGCCGGGGACGAGGCAGGGGTTGAGGAGTGCGAGTAATCCGTTTCCGGGGAATGGGGACGGAGCAGGCGGGTCGGATTCGGCGGGTGGCGAGGGGAGCAAGGGGAAGGAGAGGGAGAAGGAGGCGCCGGAGCCGAAGCTGGACGTGCTGAAGGGCTGCGTGATCTTCATTGATGTGCGGACGGATGATGGAAATGAGTATCAGGATGTGTTCAAGTTGAACTTGAAGAGGTTGGGGGCGCGGGTGAGTGGGGACGACTTGATATCTTTTTGTGATGCCAAGTATGCTAACCCCTGACGAAGGTTATCTCCCGGCTCGCCCCCTCGTGCACACACATCATCTACAAGAACGGGCTGCCGAACACGGCGGTGAGGTTCCGTCTGATGGACCCGCGGCCGAAGGTCGTGGGCATCCGGTGGGCGGTCGAGTGCGTTGAGCAAAGGCAGCACGTCGACGAAGAGGGACATCTCATCGACCTCGAGCATGTGGATGTGGCGGGGCATCTGGGGAAGGTGTGTTTTGTTGCTGGTTTGGTGGGTTAAGGGGGATGCTGACGAGAATTACAGCAATCGCGCCCGGCGAGGCGGAGGTCACTCATCCCGCAGCGGTCCCGGAAGGAGAAGGAGAAGGGATCCGAGGACCTCGATCTCGATCTCGACGTCGATATGGAGGGCGATGCGGATACGTCGATTCAGTCGCTGTCTTGTGAGTATCGTTGTACTGTTCTTATTCTGATCTTCGACTCTGATGTCCTTCTCCAGCCACGAACTCAGAAGAGGAAGGTCTCACCCCTTTAGAGCGCGCTCGTCTGCGGAGAAAGATGCGCGTGTCGGAGAAGGCATAGAGTGAACTCCCGTGTCCACTACAACATGAAGTGATGCGCGTGAAGGGGTGGGGTGGGTGTAAATGCCGGTGTGCTTTAATGCTGTAAATGTAGGTATTTATGCGTTCGTTAGAGCCCGTGCGCTTATAGCTCGGGGCTGCTATTAGTTTACTATCACGACCCTTCATGTATGCTTTATGGTATCATAGTGCTCCCCTGTGGGGTTTATTGGAGATAGCGGTGGCGAAATTGGGTTGGGCTGTCGATTTCTGTGTGGGTACGGTTTGACGTCGCCATGGGTCAACACGAGCGCTTGCACAACATGATTCTCCTCTCTCAAGGGCCTTACATTGTACCTCGAACGTGGCTCAATGACTCTCCAGGCCGAGGCGATGGTCACAAAGAACAAAGACTACCTAAACGGGACAAGTGATGTCTCATGACCATGCCGTCACCGCCACATCGTCGCATGTCTTTCATCTCCTCTCCCACGCCACAAGTGCACCTTCCCGGTCCCTTTGAACCCTCCGTTCGCTTGAAAACACCTGTGAACTTCCTCCCCTCTCTCTTCTACATCTCCTCCTGCTCCCCCTCGTCCCTCGGGCCAAACTACACCCTCACGTGCCCCTGGTCCGTGCGCTTCTTGAAAAATATAAAAGCCTCTTCTCAGCATCCGGATTCCTCAGAACATACTCAGCTAGGATCTTTTTATAGGTTCTAACCGAGTTTCGCACATTTACATGTGCCGCTTCTCTCAAATCCAGGCGATGACGCTGCACCCGCTCGTTCGACGGAGAACATGGCAGCGCAAGCTGTCTCGAGGATGTTTGGCCAGCTTTCTGGGGTCTGCTCTTCGGAGCGCTCTGGAGACTGGTCAGCGAGCTGGGTGTCTGTCTGATGGATTCTCTATATACCGTATTTCCTTGCAATGCAATGACGCTTTTGCTCTCGAACTTTGGTGTGACTGATCTTGATCGTCGGTGCCAGTGTTAGCCCATCCTGTCCTTGGTGACTTGTGATGGGCATGTAGTGCCAAATGGCATGTGCTGTGCAATGCAGAGGTCTGGAGATTTTTTGGAAGGCAAGACTGCCCTTGGCCTGATGGATTTGGGAGCCTCATTAGAGTGCAACCAGTTTCGCGCACGGTGCACGCACCGTGCACAGTGTTTGCCGAGAAAGGCAGGTGCCGCGAACGCGACGCGGATTTTGTGACCGACGTGACTGCATGTTCAGCCATGGCCTGGAAGCCGTACAGACAGCTTTCTTGGAGAAACTCCGCACAAAAAATGCCCAATCGAATATGAAGTGCCTTCAGAAGGCCCTTATTATTTTTGGCGTGCTAAACGTCTTGTCAAAGGCCCGCATGCGGAGATTTCTTGCTGTGACATGTTGGGCAGGCAGTCACAAAATCCGCGTCGCGTTCGCGGCACCTGCCTTTCTCGGCGAACACTGTGCACGGTGCGCGCACCGTGCGCGAAACTGGTTGCACTCTTAGAGTGTGTGCAGTAATTTCTTTCGATCTTTGCAGAAGTTTGAGTAAATATACTTGCGCGACTTCGTATGGGCGATATAGTGTCCGGAAAATACCTGGATACCAAAACGGAAAGCTCGAGGCTGAGTTCGCTCGAAAATCGGAAGCTGAGTGTCAACCGCGCAAATTTGCGAAGGTCTGGAAGGGACTTAGTCGTGGGGAGCCCTCGCCGTGACCTGCATAGGGCCCATCGTCGCTGCACGTGGATGGCTCTATGTCGTTGCCGTTCCCTGTCTCCCGCCTCCCGCCTCACACGTGCCAACTGACAGTCTACGGCGACACCGCCTCGGCGCTTCGCTGCCTCACAAAGTGGCCCACACATAGATAGGACAGTGTATTAGATCTCGTTGAGCGCTTTGCCGCGACCTGAGCACCGCTACATAGGCCGTTGTCGTCGTCGTGAGTACCGATGAAGGGCGCATCAGAGGCACACGGCAAATCCCGATACTCGTCGAACGGAACACATGTATCGGCTCGGACCCACTCGACTAGGTAATGAGTCACAGATGGCACGTTTAACGACTAAGTCCCTTCCAAACCCTCGCAAATCCGCACGGTCGACACTCAGCTTCCGATTTTTGAGCGAACTTAGCCTCAAGCTTTCCATTTTGGTATCCAGTTATTTTCCGGACACTATATCGCCCATAACTTCGTACATTAGAGTGTATTCGCCCATTGAAAAATCAAGATTCAAAATCGGTACATACGAATTCAATTGAGCACCGAACATAGTTATACTACAAATTTGTTTTGGTATGTTACGAAAACCATCGGTGGCCTCTACACTCGCAAGCGCAGGCAGCCCTCCAACCACCTTGTCCTTACGCTGCTTTACGACGGCGGGCGGTGCTCAACGGTTGTCGGGGACTGTCTGCCAAGTCTCGCCTTGAGAAGTCAAAGCACGAGCGGTACAGGAAGGGTCGCGCTGGCCGGCTCGCCGCGAGCCACTGCTAAGATCTCGAATCTGGTCAGTCTTGCTACGAAAATGCTTTGAAGATTCGGAAACGATTTAGCATGCTCACAATGAGATTATTAACGGGCGAATACACTCTATTGTCGGGCGGTCGTCGTAAATCATTTGGGAGTCGAAATACATTTGAGCGTCGATGAGGTGCTAGCGCGCGCCCAGCTGTGCGACAACCTCTGCTCCAAGGCCCGCATCTTGGTAACATCTTTGGTTTTCCTGTAAACTCCTCAGTAAATCATTTGAGATGAGACGAGATAGGGACTAGACCCAGAATAAAATACTGAACAGACACACTCTATTCAGCTCAAATAGTGTACGGACTCCAATCAGTTTGACTACCACAATTAACAGGCATGGGACATCACAACCATACAGTAGTCTATCATTATGAGTAGTATGTCCACAATAACATGTTCGTCATATCTGTCCAGCACAAGCAAAGAGATAAGGTCTCAAATGACTCCTCGTCATCCCGCATCCTATTCCACCGGACCCATCACTCTTGTCTCTACATACACACTGCCCCAGCACACATCCTACCCATCCCACTTTACCCGCTTCGCATACTCCCGGATATTCGACACGAAGTTCTCCTGCACCTCGTGCCCGACGCCGGTCGCGACCTTGACGATGATCTCGTTGAGCGCGGTCGAGCCGAGGATATCGACGTGGTCGCTTGTGTTCGCGCCGCCGCGCGGGATGGTGGGCACGGGGAGGTGGGGGAGCTGAGGGGGCGGTGAGTAGGTGGTTCAGGTGAGCGAGCGGGAGGTTCAGGTGAGCGAGCGCAGTTTCTAGACCACGACTGTCGCAAGAGACCAGCCGGAGACCGCAAAGCCAACACCGAACGCACCTCGACAGTCGTAACATTGATCCCCGCCGGATTCCACCTCGGCCGCTTCCACCCCTCGACGCACATCGCGCCGAGGCTGAGCAAGCTCACGGTGCCGTCGCCCTCGCCCATCTTGACGCCGTTGCGGATGACCGGGCTCCCCTCCAAATCGGAGTACTCCGCGTCGATGTAGCTCGACATCCGCAGCGGCAGGTCTAGGGGCGTCCGCGGTGTCTGGCACTCCTCGTCCTCCGGGTCGACGCACCGCGGGGACGCGCTGTCCGCCGCGTTGTCGTCGTGCTCGTAGCTGCCGCGGGCGTACCTAGGGGAGGGGAGGTGGGTTAGCGAGTTGCCCAAAGACGGCGTTGGCGAGAAGAAAGGATTGGCGAGAAGAAAGGAGATGACGCATTACCCCCACTGGACAGCAGGAAGACAGCACGACGACGCTCGACGCGATGACTGGCCGGCATTCACACTCACCAATACGACCGCTCCGTCTCCTTCCCGTGCCCATACACGCAGTAGATTTTCATCGACGGGGCGCGCGGGAGCTGCACCTCGAGCGGGTTGCTCCACTTGCGGTGGTCCGCGTTGTTGCGAATCAGCTGCGCCTCGTCGCGCTCCATGGCTTGCGAGAAGTTGGTCTCCATCATTTTCTGCGTGGGGGAGGGGGTCAGCATGCGGGCGGTGAGAGGAGGCATCAGCATGGGGCATTGAGAGGAGAGGGTGGGGGCGGTGAAAGGATGCGAGCAGCAAGGGCGGTTGTTGAGAGGGATGAGTGGGCCGGCAGGAGGACGGCCAGAGTATGAGAGCTTGGATAAGCCACCCCACTCTTGTCAAGGCGGACTCACCTGGAACGTCGACGGCGTGTGCTGCAGGATCCACGTCCCCGCCTCCTCCGAGGTCATGTTGCGGATCTCCTCAGGCGACGTCGCGAGTTGGATGCCATCTTCGGCCGTCGTATTCTCCTGATCCTGATCTACTTGACGGAAGGCAAGCAGATGCCCGAAGCTGCTCGTCATTTCCGGCGTGTCGTCGGGTGCGCTGAGGCCGTCGCCCCACACTGCGTCGCCGCCCTGGGAGGGGCGTAAGCAAGCATTCAGCAAGGGTCGCCTCAGCCGTAGATGCCGTAGAAGGGCAAAGTCTGCGTTAGCCACGATCCCGAAGGGTCGTGCGTGCAATGCCAAGGACGCGAGGAGTCACCCACCTTCAACCACATACTCGCGCTCCCCGCCCAGCTGCGGAACAGCTGCTGCCGCTCCTTGCGCGAGAAGAAGCGCTCGAGGACTGACGACGACGAGAATGAAAGCCAAGAAAGACACGGAAGCAACGAAAGAGGGAGCGTTGAATTAGCGACAGGGAGCGTTGAATTAGCGGCAGGGAGCGTTAGATTAGCGGCAGGGAGCGTTGGATTAGCAGCAGGGAGCGTCGGATTAGCGAAGGACAGAAAGACGCGAAGACACACGCACCATACGCTCCGGCCGGGTTCATCTGCACCGTGTCCTTCATCTCGCCCGACAGCAAGGCGGCCATGGCTTTCGCCTGCGAATGCCTCGTCAGCGTCAATGCATGGCGAAGCGTCAAGGCATGGTGGAGCGTCATGGTATGGTAAAGCGTCAAGGTATGGTGGGGGTCTACTACTCTGGAGCGCATGCAACACGCGACGCAGCACGAGCGGAAGTACGCGAGGTCGCACTCACCACGCCCAAATGCGTCCCCGCGATGGAGATGTACGAGTCGATGTGGTTCTGTCATCGGCTGTCAGCCATCGTTGCGCAGTCAGCAGCGTCAGCCATCGTTGCGCAGCTAGCAGCGACGGCGACCTCACCTCAACCCAATCCGGCCCACCGCCACCATGCTCAGGGGATTCGACCCATTTCATGCTGTGGGGCGACACGTGAGCACGAACGACGGCTTCTCCGCGAGTGACGAGGGACGCTTACAAGTACTAGCATATAGTTGCCGGGGTGAGCCTATGTGTGTCTACGAGACATGCAAGAAGCATTACCAGGACAATCTACGCGGCGAGTCAACGGGTCAGCTTTTGGATCTCCATGGCCATCAAAAATATGCGCCACGCACATTCGCACCCATCGAGTGAGCCGCGAGAACCACCTTCTTCCCTTGGCGTTGTCTGAAAGGGAATATGTCAGCGCTTGCTTCTCCTTTCCCTCCTATTCCCCGCCACCAGGCCGGACCCGAAATATGACCCCCCATTCCTGCCTCAAACATTAGAAACACGCCCCACTCACTTCAACCCCTCCACCATCAACTTCAGCCGCGAAAAGTACCCGTCCCTCTCCTCCAGGTTGTAAAACGAGAGCCGCCAGTCGTACGCGGCCATGTAGAGGTTGTTCGTGTCGTAGTTCACGACGGCGAGGTTTTCGACGATTTTCGACCTGGGGCGTGGTGTTGGGTGAGTTGGGGTGGCCTTCTGATTTTGGTGGAGATGGATAGGGAGGAGGAGGGAAGGGGAGAGGGAAGCGAGGGGGTGGGATTAAGGGGCAAGACAAGGAAGGAAGGGGGAAAGCAAGAAAGCAAAGCCACTCACCACAACCAATACCCCTGTATAAAGCTGCTCGCCGCGTTGATCCCCTCTGCCGCGCGCACCTTCACGTCCGGCGGGTCGATGCCAGTGACGGGGTCAAGGAGCAGAGCGGACATCCAGCGCTCGCGGTTGAAGGTGACTTGCGAAATCATGGAGAACCCGCCCCAAACCTTTTCGCGGAAGAAGGGGCGGTACTCGGGCGCAGTGGACCAGGATTCGAGACCCTGGAAGAAGGGTATTGACGACGATGAGTTCCCTGTCCTTCCGCTACCTGCGTGCACTTACCGTCGAGATCACGCCTGGAATGAGAACAACCGGGTGCTGAGCATTCAACCCGCGCGCCTTCGCCTCCTCGCCGACCTTGAACTCGCGCCCGTCCGTGTTGAGCTTCCAGACCTCGGGGATGCTGTCGCGCAGGCGGGCGAACTCGAGCTGGACCGTCGTGAAGTTCAGCTCCGGGAGATCGGGCAGGACGCCGTACTCGTCGAGGAGGACCTGGAGGGAGGCCTGCATCTCCTCGATGTGGGTCTCGGTGACGAACATGGAGGCGATGCCGATGCCGACGAGGCTGAGCGGGGGTCGCGGTTGGTGCAGGTGCGAGGGAAAGTGGGCTGGGGACGTACATGCCGAAGGGGAACCATACGCGCTTCGTCTGGTACCAGGGACGAGGGCCGTGCTGCGTGCATGTTAGCCTCGAGTGCCTTCCGTTACAAGCTCTCAAGCATGCTACTGACCTTCTCCTTGTGATGGTGCTTCAGCGAGCGCACCTCGTGCTTGAGCTTCTTCAATTTCGGATCGTCTGTATCTTCGGAGGGCGAGGGATCTGAGATATCTGGCGAGAGGTTGGGATCTGGCACGTCCAAATGCGTAGGAGCTGAGGATGGTGTAGCAGGATCGTGGACCGCGGACGATGTCGCGTCTTGGTCCTCTTGCGCCTTCGAGCGCCCTGCGCGCTTCTTGAGCGTCATGTATCGGGGTGACGTGGATTTGGGTGACGCGAGGGGGAGAAGTAGGGGGACGCGCACACGTCGACGATGGTGGTACGAGACAAGGAGGAGGAGCGCAGGATGCGAGCGCCTGTGGGTCTAATAACACGAGCAATCGGACCGAGAGCGCGACCGTTCTGACGCGATCGTGCAGTGACGTGAGTCCCATCGCGCACGCGTGACAGGCGCGTTGATCTTCCTCTCGTCCCCGGCGCCGTCTACCCGACCGTCCTCCTCCCCTCCGCCTGTCCATACACCCCCCTGCGATACCCGACACCCGTCCCCCTCCACGCCCGCGTCACCTCTCTCGCGTCACCTCACCCATCATGCTCCGCGCCGACGAAGAAGTCCTCCAATACCTCTCCGCCTTCTCCCTCCTCATCGTCCAGAAAGCCACCTCCAGCCCCGCCCCCCACAGTGCCGACCAGTTCATCCTCGACGGCCTCGAACTCGCGCGCCTCTCCGACACCTACCGCCCCCGCCTCGACGCGCGCGAGGACCGCCCGCGCGCGCTCTATCGCACCTCCCTCCGCCTGCTCCGCGAGATCGAGAAGGCCGCAATACGCATAATGCTGCGCGCGATGGGCGCGCCGGTTGACGCGATCTTCGCGCTGGAGACCATGGAGGAGGGCCGGCAACTGGATGCGCGCGACCTGATGGCGCTGGCGGCACTCCTGAGGGACCCAGTCGGGGAGCTGGAATTCAGGGGCTTGCGCTGGACGGATAATCGTAGCCGGCGGACGCGGGACCCTTTGGATTTGGACGCGTACGACTTCGACGAGCCGCCGGACATGTACGACGAGTCGATGCTTGTGGGTGTGCTGGCGCTCGAGTATACGAAGGTCGTGAACCAGAGGCAGCTGGATCTGGAGGAGGAAGAGGACGACAACGACAATGAAGAAAGCGACGAGGATGAGGACATGTCTAGCGACGAGGAAGATGAAGATATGTCCGCCTCAGATTCAGAGGATGGCGAGATGTCCGAATGAGTGTTCTGCAGCCACCTCACACCTATGATACCCTACTACTGGTCCTATACTTCCTACTATCGCACCGACACCTACTCTGAACCGACATACATACCACCTACATTGTGACCTACTTTACTCTAATACTCTTCCCACCACTATGCTTACACTAGCTCATACCGTTCGTTTGCTCGCTTGCTTATGCATGATGAGTGCGGCGTTTTGATCGTATGCATTGCTCGTACCCTATGCTACATACAGTGGGCACATCGTACAATACGCAGATAGATGCGAGAGAGCGAAGCAGAACATTGACGGGCGAGAAGGGAACGGCGAAGGAGGGAGGGATGGGAAGGGGAGCGGTGATGATGAGGAGAGCAGTGAGGGCGCGAAGGGGTGGAGGGTAAGGTAGAGAAAGGGAAGGTACAAACAGAGGGGTGATCTACGGAGGGGAAAGGTGGGGATCCAGGGGGAGAATACGCATGAAGGAGAGGACACGCATCGAAAGTGCCCACTACCACGAACCTGTTCAAAAAATTAGCATACATGTCGAGAAACAAAACACAGGCAACGAGAGATCAGGAGTGTCAAGTTCTGGAGCACGCCCTCATGACGAGGTATACTCCCTGAAGAAATTCACAAGAAGTGCATCATGGAAGGAGGTAGAAGAAAGAAAAAATGGATGCTCACCTCCAGCACCTACCCGATCGCGGGGAAGGAAGCCTAGCGCGAGCCTGTACAGCCAGTGGCGGAATGAAGTCAACGATCAAAAGATCGTGAGGGGGAGGTAAAAATTGGAGAGTGCCGGTCGCGAGTGAGCCCCATTGAGTTGAAGGCGCGCGAGCGCCGAACACTAGGTCGACGAACGCGCGCCAACAATCGCATAACTATGTCTATGAGCAACAGATGCCTCCCCCTCCGCGCCCACGCCCGAGCACGCGCGTGCTCGTATCTTCGCTCGCGCGCACCGTCGCCGAGCATAGGCGCGTCAGGGGGGCGGGCAGAGTGGCTGGCGGGAGCATCATCGAGGACGCACTGATCGCCAGCCGCCCCCACCGCGACCACCGTGCCTAAGGGCAGTCGCTTTCCGCGTGCGCGGTGGGTGCACGCTCTGCCTTGTCTCCGGGGACTTTCCCCACAGCGGAGGGGGGAGGGCACAACGCCCTACAATAGGGCGGGCCTCCTGTATGTGAGCTGCGACAGCGATTCTGCGACCGGCAGAGTAAGTTGGGAGCAAGCCCACAAATTTTTGGGTTTTGTGCTGAGGGGATCCGGAAGGTGCCGGTCGGTGGAGCCGGTCCGTCCCTCCACGTGGAGGATGTGACATTGGGGCGGCGCCGTGACGCGTGGCCTGGGCGGTCCCGGTCCCCAGCCTTATCACCCACCGCCATGACATCGACCGCGGCGTCGCCGGAGTCGCAGAAGAGGCAGCAGCGCAAGCCGCCGCTCTCCTCCTTCCCCACCGTCAAGATCTTCACTCCCCCCGCAGGTGCGTCCCGTGCTGAGTAACGTGCGCCGGCAGGCTCTGACGCACCCTCCCCCAACCCCCTCCAGGCCTCCATTCGCGCAAGATCGACGAGTGGTGCCTCACGCTCTGCACCCAGAGCACGTTCAACCGGCACCAGGGCCGCCTGCCCGAGTGCCACTCGGTGTGCCTCCGCCGCGTGTTCCCCCTCGAAGTGCGCCGCCTGATGGCGCTGCACCAGTCGCGCAACCCGGGCGCGGGCGCGGGGGCCCTGCCGCCGCTGCCGCCCGAGGGCCAGCCGGAGCGCGTGCCGTGGCAGCTCGGCGGGAAGCGCGGGAAGGTGGAGAGCGACGCGATGGACGCGGACTACGACGAGGACGACCCGCCGACGGGCATCCCGGGCCGCGTGCTCGAGCCGCCGCGGACGTGGAAGGAGGGGTGGTACCTGTGGTCGATGGGCAGCCTGTCTGCGTTCTGGAACCACACGCACCAGATGGCGACGACGCTGGAGAACGTCGACCAGAACGGGAAGGTGAAGCGGCCCCCACGCCGTCAGCCCGCTCGCCTGGTCGAGATCGACCATGAGTTTGATAATCACACGTACGTGGGTTGGCTGGGTATCTGTGCTGATACTGATTGCAGCTATAGGGAGGAGAATCTTCTGATCCCCATTCCTCCCGATACTCCTCCGATTATCGAGCCCGTCAAGAAGTTCCTCAAGCCCAGTGGTCTCGTCCTTAACCTCTTCTACGACAGCGTCGTCGAGGGGCACCAGCGCGAGTTCTTCGGCCGCGTCTGGGAGAAGGCCCAGACGGACGAGCCCTGGAAACTCGCGTACAACTCCGTCAAACGCTTCTACGAAAGGTGGAAGCAGAACGCGCGCTCGGGTGACGACGATGAGGAGGAGAAGAGGAGATAGTCGACAGTGTTTCACGACAATTTGCCTACGGCATCCGGTTGGCATCCTCCTACCTACGCATCTTCGGTCGTCGCTTTCTACTCACCTTTCTACCCACCTACTCTCAGCCGTAGTCAGTCTTTCCCGATAGACTTCGCTGTCGCTATAACCCCTTCATCTCTCATTTCTAACGCACATAATCAACATGCTTGTAGCCTTTATGACGCCGCTCATTGAATGTAATGCTAGTAATTTAGACGGACGGTGCTCTAATGGACGCGGGTCACTCAGCTACTGAGCGCGTTATCGTAGAGTTCTTCGTCGTTGCGCGTCGGGAGGGCAGCTGCTCGCAGATGAAAGGTCGCACCAGGATATCTGATTAAGAATTATGCCGCGTAGCCGCTCTGACATACTGGCCCGCCATACACGTTAATACATAAAAAGCCCCAGTCCTTGTGGCATCGACATAACATGGTGCCACAAATCAACTTACCCGTGCACCTCACGATTGATTTCAAGCAGTTCGGCCTTCATGGTGAGCAAACGCCAAATCCGCGATTCAGAAGCTTCATTTCATTGTACAACACAGTGGAAGATGAGAAATGCTATGTACGTGAAGGTGCGGAAAAGTGCACGATCTTTTGCGGACCCAAGGTCACGACGAACTAGGAACAGCGGTAGTACACGACTCGCTGAGCGAGTCGAACCGTGGAAAGGAAGATGAAGCAGTGCGGAAATGATGTGTTGTAGATTGTTAGTAGGACGAACGAGAACCGAGCCAAGGCAATGATAAAAAGAAAAAAGAAGAAAACGCTGCTGTCGATGAGCAGGGCATGGCGCGACATCCTGGACTCCCGAGTGAAGGGTTATCGCATTGGAGAGGTGTCGCTGACGAGCCCTCCCGCCGAGGTCGAGGTGGTCGTTGGTCATGTCAATGAGGCGTCGCTCGGTCGCGCGACTCTCATGCCAATGACCAGCAGCCGCTTGTCAATGGGCTAATTTTTAGTGAGGCGTGCAGCGTGAGCACGCCCGTTCTTGGACTTGCATTTGCGCAGCCTAACACCAGACCTCCGACCACTGGCCGTCGCCCAGCAGATCTCGCTGCCACGAAGAGGAATCGAAGTAGGAGCTGAACTCGCTGACCTCCATGAAGCGGTCAACCTTGGCGTCGAATTCCTCATCGCGGGGATCCGTGACGAGCATGAGGATGTCGTCGATGGTGACGTCCTCGTCGTCCGTGCTATCGCCCACGGGGGCCGGAGTGTTGGACGAGGTGAGACCGGGGTTGGGAGAGGACGCGCCGCTCAACATGGGCATTGTGTAGCAAGGGCCTTTGCTCGCCTTCGGGCCAGAGCGGAAGCCAGTTGCGAAGTCATCGGCGCTGCAGTTCCCGTCCCAGCCGAAGTATTCGTCGCGGGCCCAAAGGATCTCACTGTTAGCGTTTCCCGCGTCGTCGACTTCGGCCAACAGATCGATTAGCCAGAAGTCAGTCGAGCCAACCTGAAGTCAAGTTAGATGAATGCGACTTTGCACTCGTAGATGCACTTACCCTGCTAAACGGCTGCTCGTCGTCGTCCTCGATGATCAACTGATTCCCAAATCCTTCACCAGAGCGAATGCGTATGCAGTCGATCTTGCCCCGCTGAAATATGTGTCAGTGCATTGCACTGTAGATCGCGAACCGCGCGGGTATACCTTCAGCTTCTCCAGAGCACGTTGCTTCCGCAGAGCACGCAGTTTTTCCTGGACTTTCTGGCCGAAGGAAGGCTTCTGTGCGATGCGGGGTCGGGTAGGGCGAGCTGGAGTTTCCGTGTCTTTTGGAGCATGATACGAGCGAGGCTTTTGTAGCTGATGAGAGAAAAAGTCAGCTGAGTGTCGATCGTCGACGTCCGCGCCACAAACGCACCTGAGATGGCGATGGGGCCCTCGCGTACTCAGGAAGACCATCCTCGATATTACCCTCGTTGACTGACTCGGATTGCCGCGTCGCCACATTTTTTGCGCGATCATCATAAATGTTGAAGTGGTCGACAGTCCGCCCTTCGTCAATATTGTGCACCCCGGTCATCAGCTCGAGTGCGGGGACCTGAGGCATGCTTTGTCAGCGAGAACTCAGCAGAAGGTGTGCGTGGTAATGCACACCTCGTGGGCAGGCGGGGCGATCTCGAAGCTGGACCGGCGGAGTGGTGAGCCATGAGCATCGCTGCTTGCGACTGAGGAACGCCCTGCATTGCGTCCATTATCATCAGTGGCTGCTGTACAGAGCGTGCTATCAAGCGCACCAGATAGATATCCACGGTCAAACTCGAACGCGGACGTCGTCGTATCAAACAGCACGTCGATGGACAAGGCGACGCCGGGGGCTGAATCGCTGCTGTCCATACCCACCAACGCGCTTTGCGCACCATCCTCGCTGTCCAAGAGCGTCGGAGGTCCACCAGCTCCGGTTTCCTCAGTTCCTTCGAGAACAACTTGAGCCCGCCACTCGATGACCCTCTTGTCCAGCTCCTCCATCTCCTCAGGGTATATCGAGTCCCCATAAATGGTGGAGCCTTCGCTGGCGTAGCTGAACTTCGAGGCGGTGTCGGGAGACATTGTTAAGGGCTTTGTTAGGTGTTGTATGCGTGCAAGAGTGAGACTAGGTGGAGGGGACAAGTGGCAAGTGGCGAGAAGGTCCAAGTGCCAGGCACGTGCGATTTGTGGCAAGGGTAGTGTCACAGTTGGGAGTGACACGTGTCACACTCTATTGTTCGACGATTAAGTCGATTTGCCAGTTGCTGGCAGACTTCGAGGACCTGAATTCGCCGAGGAATATCGAGGAGAGCTACCAGAGGACAGAAGAAGGCTTATTCCGCGCCGTCTTTTTCCACTCAGCCTCATAGACGAACTGCATTGAATGTCAGCGAAACGATACTTGCAAGAGACGTTATCAAAATATTATCGCACCCTATCCAGGCGGCTCACCGCGAAGTCACCGGAAAGGCATCCACCGTATTGCCACGTGTGAGTGGTCAACGGGACTTTTGTCCAGCGTTAGCTACGGAGACAAAGGGACGAGCTCACTACGATGCATTAGTATGCGCACCCACACTCACTGTGCACATCGAGCTGTATACGACCCAAAGTTATTGTATGGGCCAAGGGTGGGCGTCCATCTTGTATACGCTTGACAGGTAAACAGACAAGAGCTGGGCAGCACCTGCTGCTCAATGGTAGGGGAGACGGTGGCGCAAGGGCAAGGTTATCATGTCATTGGGAGAGGTGTAAGCGCCTAACCATTGTTTTCAAGTATGGGTTCTTGGGATATAGTATCGACGTTACTGTACAGCAGCCTGTAGAACGACGTCAAATAAGCGGTAAGCGTCTGTGTAGTGATATGAACATACCTCTCCTCCTCTATTCCTTTCCCTCGCCAGTCTGCACCCCAGGCAGATCCTTCTAATCCCTCGCCCATGACCGAGGTTGCCTGGGAAGATCATGAAGTCAGGCGTATGCGCTGTACGCCGACATCCTCTTCGTCGTATCCTTTGAAGGACCCCTATAGTGACTCCGGTGCTCGCGCTCTCTTCCATGACTCTCGCATTCTTACTCGCATTCCCTGCATTACCAAGTGGTTCAGGCCATCCGAGGTATGCCAGCTTCCCTTCGGGAAAGAGTACGATCGCAGTATGCGTCCCCGGGCCCAGCGACGTTTCGAGATGCACAATCATCTCCCCCGAAAGAACAAACAAATCCTTTGAAGGATACTCATAGCGAGGATGAGCAATGGAATCATGACTGAGCTTCAAAGAGGGTGTCGCCCGTGGCTGGCATGGCAGGAAGTTGGAACTTGGCAGGATGTACGGGCGTAGCGGAAACCGGGCCGGTGTGCGCCACAGCCGGTGATGGAATTCACGCCTTTACACCTTCCTGTTCAGGGAGAATGGCCTTGCTTACGCTTTTGACTAGTCTACATGGAGTGAAGGCGTCGAAGGAATATGGAATGGATATGGTACAAGTGCAGAGTGTATACAGATGCTATGGAATGCTGAAGGTAAAGCACATGAAAGCGAGACGTAGTGAACATGGACCAGGATCCGTCGGTGCAAGAATCGTAGCGATGCGTGAATATAGCGAGACGAGCAAACTCAATAGAGAATCTGGAGTAACTCAATGAAGATTCTGCAGCTTCATCCACTCCTTATCGTTGGCGTTGAAGTCGATGCCCTTCTGCCTCCACCAGGCGCGCGCCTTCTCGCCTCCACCGATAGCGTCCTCGAGCGCTTCCTCGATATCGCACATCCGATACTGAATGGGCAGCCCGGACTTATCCCACCACTCGAGAACCTCTGGGCGATTGTACCGCGTCGCGCCCCACAGCACCTCTTGATCGTAGGCAAGCTGGAGCCCGCTCTGCAGCCACCACTCCAAAACCTCGACGCGACCGTGACAGGAGGCGTGGTGCAGCGCGTGCTTGTCGTACTTGAACTCGATCTGCGACGTTGCCCACCACTCGAGCACCTCGACGTGCCCCGCGGTGCTCGCCATGTCCATCACACGCCCAACCTTAAGCGGAATGCCCTGTGCCTTGCTGCGCTCCTTCCACCACTCGAGCACAGCGATCTGGTTTTTCGCGCTCGCGTACTCGAGCGCGGCCTCCGTGTACTCGACGGGGTGGCCATACACGTCGAACCACCAGTCGAGGGAGGCGACCTGCCCGTTGCGCGACGCCCCGTCGATCGCCTCGGCGACCGCATCCACTGACGGGGGCGGGATCATGTCCGAGTGCTGCTCGAAGCCATGCTTCCACCAGTTCAGCACCGACGTGCGCCCGTGGCGCGAGGCCTTGATAGGTATAACGTTCCCCGCAAAGAGCGTGGTGAAGAGGCGGCGATGCTGCGTGAGGAGGTACTCGAGCACGTTTACGTAGCCGAAGCGCACGGCGGCGATGGCGCCGAGTTTCGTGGGCGGGTTCTGGGCGGGGTCCATGGCGTGTATGAGCTGCACGTTGCCACTGAGAACGGCCTCGTCCATGCACGGGGCGCGGGTCCAGTCAGAGGGGCGGGGGAGTAGGGAGGGAATGCCGAGGGCGCGGGCGAGCTCCCAGTCGCCGACGCGGTCGATGATGTCGACCAGGATCTCCACGGGGAGATCTGGTGTGGTGCGGGGCTTGAACGGGGAGGGATCGATCGAGGGGGATGCTGGGAGTGTCTGGGTTGAGTTGAGGAAGTGGTAGGTGTGGGAGTCATGGTTGGCGAGGCGCGATGCAAGTTCGTCGTCTGTGCCCGCCGTGTGCAGGTTGCGGACCTTGAGGAAGAGGACGAGCTCGTCGCGTGACAGCTTCTTGTACGCATTGCGAATTACAGTCAGTGGATTAACGCTCGTCTGCTGAGGGGTCAGTAGAAGCGGGCAGCGTTGGGCTCAGCACGCACGGCCATGGATTGCGGGAAGTCGCAGACGATGACGGTCACAGACAAGGTAAACTCTGTAAATCGCGGCCAATGCCATGAGCCGAGTTGTAGAATCCCCACGCCCGGCGCACATGGCGCTTACCTTGTTCCGTTCGGCAAACCCTCGGCGCTTGTGCTTCCTTTGAACGGAATCCCGCTGCAAACTTCGATGTGCGCCTGGACTAGGTCGAAGGGAATGGGGTGTTGTTGGAAGGAATCGAAGCCAGGTCAAAAGATGGTTTATGACAAGTGCATGAGCAGACGGCGATGACACGTGGGGGTGGCACGTGGGTCTTACCCACAATCACCCACACCCAAAGACGCGGGGCAGAATTTGTTGAACTGAACAGATTGTGAACCTCAAAGCCTAACAAGAGCGTATCAGAGGCAACATCGTTCATCCCTTCACTGACCTGCACATACACAGGGGCTGAGACAATAGCCCTCAATCTCGGTTCTGCCGGCCAGCGGTGGCGCTGACGGGGTCGAGTCCATAGCCACATAACAATAGCATGTCATTAAAGGGAGATTTGAGCGCAGTAGACCTGCGGGTACAAAGGACGGAGGTGCGGATGTGATGGATGAAAGTAGGGTGTCCAGGGCCCTCCAAAAGAGATGCCCACCTCGACTAAGCATTGTGGCAGTTGGCAGCTTGCTTAAGGTGCTTGCCAGCTATCACGCAGTGAGCGCAGCAGAATCCTACCACAGAGAGTGCGTGTGCCACGGGGAGTACATGAATGTCGCGAGTTGCCGCACTGTGGCAGTCAGGTGGAATTGGCTCATTGTAAGAAGCGTACTGCCGGACCTTCAGCATTCAAATTGCCTACCAGCATACCTCTTCAAGGTCTCCTGGTAGCGCTCGTTTAGAGTCGCGACTTTTGCGTCGCGCAACTCTTGTCTTGCCCCAAGAGGTGGGGTATTCATATGCGCGCTGCCAGTGGAAACAGCAAAGTACCGAGGGTCTGAAGTGCCAAGGTCGAGAGACCACGTAAGGCGCAAGTCATCAAAAAAGTACTGAGCAATGAGAATATATCCTGACTTAAGGTATTGCGAGAGCGAAGAAGGAGAGGCTGGAGAGCGCGTTAACGCGGCGGGGTTATGGCCGGCTCGCGTGATCGTAAGAACTTCGGAGCATGCCGAGGTGAACGCCGGCTGTTCCCGTACTTCCTGCCAGGCTGACGCAGGTTCACCGCCCTCCAGCAGCGACGTCCCGTCGAGGAAGAACCTCAGCTCCATCCGCCTCAGTCTTTTCTCGTCTATCCAACAGCTAGCGAGCTCTTCCGCGGCCCAGCTACTTTTCCCGTCTGACCTCGCTGAAGTCCGTACGACACGCCCTTCCCTTCCTGGTCGCATACGAGCTCCCTGGACGATCTCGCAACCCCTCAAGTGCTGCTTCTCCGCGGGGACGTGGGCAAGAGCGTTGGCTAGTAGATTGTCCAGCGATGGAGCTCAAAAAGCGTGTTCGACGCGTGCATCTTGGCCAAGACAGTCGACAGCGCAAACGGGAAGATTGGGGATGGATATGGACTCATCTGCCTAAGGCGCCTTCGCTGCCTTATCGCCGCACGACAGCGAGAGGGGCAGACTGGATGGCAGGGGCTGGAGAGCACTGGGAGGCACGGGCGCGCGGGTGTGTAACCATGTTTCCATCGCGAGTCCATAAACTCAATATGCGTCTTCAGTATCTTCGTAGACCATCTTGCAAGAGCAAAAGCTGTATTCGTATCACTACCATGCCAATATTAATGCGCATTTCCCGTCAAGCCTCCGATCGACACCAGTGGCGTAAATCGGGTAGCAGAAGGACTGCGCAGGGTAGGCGACGGAGCAGATCTCGAGCTGCAGGGACAAGGCGAAGTAGGCGCGGTCGCTACTATGCTCTTGGGTAGGTCCGCATTCGCGTGGCCGAGATATTGCTGATGAATATCGAAGACCAGATCAGGCGTGCTGTTCGCTCCAGGGATTCTAGAAATGTTGTCGCCAGCCCCAGCGACGAGACGTCCCATCCGCACTGGCTTTGACTGGGCTCAGGTATATTTTGCAGACATGACCAGACGGTTTGACAACACCATATTCGGTCGGCACGCGCTTAGAGACCAGCAAGACCACGAGAAATTGGTGCACATCATTGCGCCAGCATTGACTTGCCTCAAGAGGACAGCTCCGTTGTCCGTCTCCCGGTATTAGTGTGAAGCTCCCTGGGACTGAGGAGCATAAGGTACGCGGTCGGACGCCCGAAATCTTGAAATGCGCTAACCGCTCGCAGTACGATGCGCTGATTGCACGGTAGACGGCAGGAGGAATCACAGACGCAAGTCGAAGAACCCTTGGGCTTGATTGTTCGGGCGGAGCGACGCAAGTGTATGTTCGTGGATGTCACAGAGGTTTATCCGCAAAGCCCACCTGCCTCGAGCAAGATTTGTGGCCCGTGTGCCGAGGCCCCAGGCGAGTATCGAGAGCCGCCGTGCATTCGAGTATGGCGCGGTATCCATTTCCAGAGTGGATTCGACACAGCAGATGCTTGCAAGGTCGAGCTTTGAGAGTTGCCACTCATTGACGAAACGGGATCTGACTTTGCACGCAGGTATGCTCCCCCGGACCGCCATTAGCCGTTACACCCCTCAAGAGAGAGATGCGCACCCCAATCGAGTACTCTTGACGCCGCAAATACGTCGAATCCGCCGGAAGGCCATGGTCGAATGCAAGGAGTCGGTGCGCAGGCCAAGCGTGACGTGACCACCTCACGTGATGGACGCCACTCCAGACCAAGGCCACCCATGCTCTGACCTTCGCCACTCCCCACTTGTCGACTGCCACTGACAATCGCCTTCTGTCTCTCAGACAAAGCTCACACAAACGCCTTCTTATCAAGATGTCTTCGTACAACAAGATCAACAAGAACACCGTGCACAATGCCGGCCACCCGCAAGCCACTCATGCGCCCGACCATGCGCGGCGACTCATGGTCGTCGGAGGCAAAGCCGGCCCTCAGACTATGTGGGACTTGCTCGCTCTGCGCCGTGGCGCGTTTCTGCGCGCCGTGGACGCGCAGGACGCGCAGGGGCCGGGAACGATCCGCGACCAAGGTGGATTGCGCCCGACGTCGGCCACATCGACTAACTCGTCCGTCACCCTCTTCGGTGACGAGAGCGTCGAGTGGATTATGAAGGAGGTCTACGGGTCAGGTGCGTTTTCTAGCAATGCATCTTACAAGTTACAACACATTCTGACGATCTTCCAAGGGTATCTCAAGCAACCCAAGCAGAGGCGCCCCACTGCAAAGACCCTTCGCATCGCCGACAACCACCGCTTCCGCTACTCCAAACACACCAAAGCCCCGAAGGCCTCCGATGTACGCTCGTATTCCTACCATTCCCTGCGCTGAGCCTGCTTGCTGACGCGCTCGCTATGCTACAGGTTCCCCCGCTCGAGGAGATGATCAGGGCCCACGTGACCGACAAGAACGTGACCGCCTCGAGGCAGGCGGCCATGCAGCCTGAGCTCGTGGCCGACAACGCAGTGAAGGACTTCGCGTTCCTCGCGAGCAAGGCGCGCCAGGGACGTGGTCAGCAGTCTGGCGAGGAAAATGAAGGGCTATCGTCGATGCAGGTGCGTTCGTGGCGCATGGGGTCCGGGCGTGGATGCTGACGATGACCGATAGCTGGTCCTTCGCGGCCTTCAGAAAGGCCCTGTTAAACAAGATCAGTTGAAAGCTAGGTCCCAGCGTTGCTTGGGGGTGCCTCCCTCCCAGAGTGTGCGTGCTAAGATGCCGATGGGCATCACGAAGGAGCGCGCTCTTGTTCCATTTCAGGTGCGTTCTCTTCGTGGCCAATGCAATAAAACTCTAATGCACATGCAGTTTCCTCCTCACTGTAATTACACCAACGAGCCTGCCAACGCCGTCGGGTCTGTGGAGCAGGCTGCATCGGATGCCTCGCCGTCGTCGCTCGAGGTATGTCTCAGTTCTGCATACATTGTTACACGACGTGCTTACGTGCTTCTAGCTGCCCGCCTCCTACTACGAGTATGAGGCCGATGAGGCGTACAAGACGCGCGTGAACAAGGGTGCTAACATGCGTGCGCCATCGCCGTCTGAGGTAAGCGTCAAACCTGTGAAGCATGCGCTACAATTTACTGACATATCTTGCAGCTCCCCGCCCCCACTGACTACGTCGCGGAGGACGCACGTCGCGCAATCGAGGCTATGATGCCGCCGAGGTCCTATGACCTCCCCCGTTGCCCTCGGGCTCGCCAGCGGTTCGTGCTTTACTCGACGCTCCAGGCGCTGCCCGGCTCGCCCGAGTAGACGAAGGTCGCACAACATGAAGCAAGAATCCGGGCAGGCGTGCTCAAGCTCGACGCTTCTGCGCGCCTCGCCCGCACATTGTCACGGTCGTGTGCTGGTCATCGACAATGGAGTCGCGAGCGACTATGCATTGTTCCCACAACCACCATCAACCCCGCCATCCGCCATAACCTCCGTCATCGCCATCCGACGACACCTGGGTCTTAAAGCCTGCTACGCAGCACCCCATTGAAGGCTGAACGTCCGGCCCTGCTTCCCCGACAGCAGCGTTACGACTTTTCCTTCGACGTCGTTTGGTTCGTGCCTTGCAGGACACTTTTCATGCAACGTTCTCCCCTTCCCCCCTTCCCCCCTTGCGTATACCTTACGCAGTGTACTACGAATGGCCCTCCGGGCCAATCCTTCTCAGCCTACCTTTTTTCTCTATCTCCTGACCATGCCTTTTTGCCTGGTCTCTTCTTTTCTACCTTCGGACGGTATCGTTCGCTTCGTTGCGTACTTACGTTCGCTACAACGCATACGCACCGCCGACTCCTTGGTTCCGGATATCCTTCGCGCTGCAGTATCGGATATATTTCCTCGGACGCTTACGCCTTCCCCCCTCCATATTTCTTCTGCCTCACTTGTCTCTTCTCAAGTACGTTGAATGGAAGATTTGGCACGCAAGTGTCGTCCAAAATATCATGCAGCGTTGGGACTTTACAATTCTGTGTGAGTTGAATCTGGGGGGAGGCACGTAAAGTCGCTACATCGATGCAGTACGACTGTACGACTGCCATCTGCGCTTGGATCTGAAGCCTGATAGTGGCGGGCCGGCAAATACCTGATGTGGACCCACAACTCTCACGCACAGCCAACGTCAAGTAGTTTGGTGGATATTGTACGATTCAATTGCTGCCATATACGGCTTCTAGGGTAGACAACGAGATATAAGGGGAGGCCGAGATAGATAGATAGATAAATGTATGTACGAAGCAGTGACCAGATGCTGCACGGCAGAGCCGAACAGTTGCTGCATGGCACAGAGCCAGCGCGAAAGGCCACGAAACCAGCGGGACCATGCCCGAAGCTTTGTACAGGAAGAAGAAAAACAGTAAGGCCAGATCTATCTACATATGCACGGCAAAAGAGGGAACGTACGCGGTACGTCGGGAATGGACAGTATTTTCTAGTCGAAGTTCCAGGACATCTGGAAGACGCCCTTGTCGAGGGACTCGAAGTTTTGGAAGAAGCTGGGCGAGAGGTCTTTGGGCAAAGTTAGAACAAAGGGGGTATGCGCAACAAAATACTTGCCGACGCTGCCCTCGGCGCAAGAGGGGCATTCGTCGACGACAGTCGCCGTGCCAGTGGCAGTGGAGCCGTCGTCCTTCGTGGCAGTCATGGTGATGGTCTGCGCATGTCTATCAGTGAACTTCGCCAGAAGACGAGCGATGAGTAACCCACCTTGCCGCAGTGCTCGCCGCCAGCGTACGTAGCGGAGTCGAGCGCAACGACCCAGTCGGAGTCTTGCGAGTACCAACCGCATGCGCCTTCACCGACCTCGAAGTACGTGGCCTGCGCGAAGGGGAGGAGGAAGTCAGCAACGTGAGGTGATGTGACACGCGCCGGGGTGGAGCTTACCTGGCCGGAGTGGTCGCCGCGCTTCGCCATCTCCGAGCCCGTCGCGGGGACTGGGCTGCCGAGGGCGGGGGCAACAAGGGTGGCGAGGAGCGCCGAGAGTGCAAAGATGGCCGTGCGCGACATGGTGCTTGCGATGAGTAGAGTCGGTGGATTGAGTGAGTGTTTGCGTGGGGCGTATCAATATACAAGAGCGATACGCGAACAGTGAAAGACTGTATATGAGATGAAAGGCCGGTGTCGGGCAAGGGCGAGCACAAATGGGCGCGGCGGGGAAGGGAGGTGCAAAAAAGCAGACTGCGCTCCGTCCCGCAGAACAAGGGCTTTTATACACGAGCGCGTTGACCGTGAATTGAAAAATGGAGTCCGTCGTCCGCGGCTATTCTGGGAACCGCCGGAGAGGGTGTCGCGCTGCGCGCGTCTGTAGGGCGACGTAATGGGGTCAGTATAGGCATCAGTCGTGCATATGTCATTGTGCTGCCCATAATCGGGCTCGAGCAGGCTCGAGGACGGGCCAAGGACAACGCTAAACCCGGCCGGCGAGTTTACATACCACGGGCCGCTGCTTCTTCGCCGTGCAGCAGCTCGCCCAAACGCCTGCAGGCCGGTCGAAGCTGACCGCCAGTAACAAGATGTGCGATTGGCGCAGTCGCAGCTCCGGCCCTCGAAAATTCGAACTTCCGCGATCGGGGTGATTATATCACGGTCACGCCCCGTGTCATGACGAGCAGCGTATTCAAACCGCATTCGGATATTCGTGCCCACCGCCTGGACGAGGAGCGCGTTGACAGTCCTACTGCATCGGGAGCGCGTCATGCGTAGCATCCCCCTCGAAATGCAACGCGGAAAGGTGGATAAAGAGGGCTCTCTGCGGAATATTCGGACTCTGGCCCGATGCTTTTGAGGGATATGATTCATTTTATAATGAGTAAAGCGCACATGAGTCCCCCATCCTTAAGTCCCCCGTCCAGCACAGTACGATTTCCGTCCCGAGGTGACAGCATAATGACGAAGACCACTGATCAGTAAGTGGGTAAAGACGCCTCCCTCCCCTTGCGCTATGTCAAGATGACCCCGTTTACTCGCTCTCCGCAATGAGGGCAACGATCATGCTGCAAGCGGTGTCAATTACCGGGGTCAAGCTGCGGGGACGCAGTCACGTACCGGTAAAGATAGTAGAAGAAGGAGAGGAGGTAGAAGCCGAGCTTGAAAAAGCTCTCCTTCTTGTGTCCCGGCAACGTGCGGAAGATCTCCGTAGCGTCGTACATGTGGTTTTTGTTGCGTATCCTGAAGCGTGGATAAGCGCCCGTGTCTTCGGAATACTAGCGATATCACGCACTTGTTCGCATTGTACGCTACTAGAGGCGCATTAAGCAGGAACGCGGTCCACTGGCCAGACAGGAGGAATAACGTCGAGAGGAATGCATGTGCTAGATTCTCGGGCAATACAAACTGGGGGAGCGGCTCCGTAAGCGGCACGAGCGTCAAGTTGAACTTCGGACACATACCTGGTTGAGCTTGTTGCAGAGGTCTATTGGGTTGATGTAGTCACACTCGAGGTCGGAGAACATGATGATCTGGGGGCGGTGTGAGCGCAAGGCCAGGGATGGCCGGGCGTGGGTTGCGACGTACGAAGAAGACCATGCAGAACAGCAGGCCCGCGGCCATCAGGACCGCGAACAAAAAAAGCCAGCCTGAGGGGAAGCCAAGGAAGTAGACGCGCGTGTTTGCAGATAGCGAGCGGAAGAGGCGACCATGGCGTTTTGGACGGCGAGTTCGGGCGGTAGCAAAGAGATGAGGGTAAGGCTGTATGAGCGACTTTTTCTATAAGGTACAGATGCAACACGCACCAGCGCCGCCCATCGTAAGATCGTCAGTTGAGGTTGAGGTAGATCGTACAGACGCGTAAAGTCGTGTTCTGAGCGTGGAAAAAGACTGCTTTCTGCGTCAGCGCTCCTTCTTTCAACTCGTAGAGAGCTTTGCGCACGCTCTTGGGCGCCTGAGAGCGGGGATCGGCGGAGGGGAAGGAGAGGAGCCACGGTGCGTGCTGACGTTCCTTGACGTTCCTGCGCAAAAGTAACGCACACGTGGAGCATGTCACGTCACACTTCGATTACGAGCAGCGGCGCACGCCAGTCGCGCTGCAAGTCAGTCCGACTTGGGCTTTCACGGGCGTCGAGCCTCGCGGGTGCAGGACACAGCTCGAGGCAGTCGCAGGTAAGCCACGCTTCTGGCAGCTATCCCACTCCAATCACATCGCCTCGCCCGCGGTCTGTGCAGCTCGAAGTCTTCTATCCGGACGGGGGTTTCAAGCGCGAATACAGCGGGTGTACAAGTAATATCGTGTGTATTCCAAGAAAGGGCGGGGCATGACTTCGCCCAAGGTGTGCAGCGAGAGATGAGGAGATAGAGGGGGAAACATGCAGAGCAACAGTATAGATTACAGCCAGCGTACGAGCCTTGATATCTGTGGCAATGTTAGGAACGATTGGCTTTGAGTTCGCTGCTGTAACGCACCATAGCCTAGAGAAGAGACATGCAGTCTTAATCGACGTCCATCCTTGCGCCGCCACCACGCTTGCCCCCTCGGCCGCGCTTGTTGCGACCGCCCCCTCTGCGCCCCCTGCCTCCTCGATGGGCGTAGTCCGCCGGGTCGGCGCCTGGCGGCGCGGTCATGACGGAGGCGCGAGGGTCAGACTTCACAATCGAGTCCGAGCGCAGTTTTCTGAGGGGCATGTCAGCACACGGCTAAATGCATGCACTGCAGACTCACGACTTCGACGAGTCCTCGCTGTCCATCAGGATGTCCACACTCCCCTCATCCCGAACGATCCCCAGCCCATCCTTGCCCCCAAGTCGTGATATCAACTTCGTTCCCTGCAGGCTCTCGCCAGCCAGCTTGACCGACAGCGTCTTTCCATCCGCTTGCTGGCCGTCAAACTTGCCGACCGCCGACTTCGCCGCGCCCGCCTCCTTGAACACGACCCGTATCCTGAGCTCCTCTCCACGTGACGATGCAATCCTTGCGCTCGCAATATCGCCGCACCGCGAAAAGATGGCCTTCACATCGTCCGGCGTCGTCCCGGCGACAAGGCCTGACACATCGACGACGTTCGCCTGCTTCGGCGGGGCCGCCGCACCACGGATAGACAGCCCGGGCCCCTGCGGCTGCTGCACCGCGTCGCGGAGCGCGCGCTGAGCGATGGGGGGCAGATTCGCCTTCTGCGGGAGCGCCGCGTCCGTGATGCGCGCGGCGAGCGAGTTGTGCTGGTCGTAGAGGTCGTGCGACCACTGGCCATCGACGTTCCCCTTCGGTGTGTTGCGGCTGTTCGGCCGGGACTGGTGGTGGACCGGGCGCGTTAACGAGGGGTTCCTGCCTGCCTAACGGCGAGAATTGTACGAACGTAGGGCGTCGTGTTGCGCATGCTGTTGGCGGACTTGTTGCGGACGGGGCCAGCGGCGCCCGGCGCGGTAATGTTCATGCGCTCAAGTAAAGAGGCCATGGTGAAGGAGAGGAAGGGGAGAGATCGGTTTGGCGTGGGCGCTTACAGTCTGGAGAAGAAAGACAAGAGCGCACGGCGCACAGCCACCGACGGCGCGGTCGAGATTACCGTTTTTGGATGTGGCGTCGCGCATCACGAATTTTCCTGCGGATGGGCCAGCGCCTGACCGTTTATTGTCATCGTCGGCATCCACGACCATGTTTCTCATTAGTTGACTTGAAATAAAAATTAAATTACAACGACGTGTTTGGTTTCTGGCGAAACGTGAGCCTGGTCTGGTCCAGAGGCAGATCAGCAGCTTGTCAGACCCTGTTCAGACCGTCGTCAGCGCCGGGCCCTTGGCTCGACAGCCAATGACTTACCCTCGATTATCTCCATACACGCAGATGACAACTTGAAGCTCATAGAATGACAGCCTCGAGACTGTAAGCTGCCCTGTCAGTGCTGACATTGGTTCTCAGCTCTTGATCCCACTGTCACTCTGAGGTCATGCATATGAACGGGGACATGCTATTAGAGCGCATTGACGCGACTGGCATGGTATGATATACTACGAGATAGAAAGAGTGGATAAGGTATGATGAAATGAACAAAAGTACGACACAGAAAACTTGGTGAAAGAAAAATTGCCGAGCCCACCCCACGACACGCCAGCATCTAATCCTCGTGCATGGCGTTCTCGCCCTGCGGCTGCACCTCCAGCTCAGCATGAGCTCGCTCTTCAGCCGCTGTGCGCGCCTCTTCCTCTGCCTCTGCACGTGCCTCTTCTTCCGCTTCGGCACGGAACGCATCTTGCATCGTTGCGGCGGTTGAGTCACTCGGGATAGCGTCGGCAACGTTGCTGTGGCGGTCGACGTACACACGCCTGAACATCAAGGTCAGAGGAAGGAAGGCTTGATGGTGTGAAGCACGTACTCGTCCCACCATATCAGGAGGGCTTCACGTCGCTTCTTACTCATCAAGTTGACGGTGTTGAGGATAATTCAATAGAAGACCCCGTACTGCCACCCGCGATTCCCCCCAAAAGCGAAGTTGGCTTGCGAAGACAGAGCGAAATGAACCTGCTCAGAGTCAGCCCAGCTCGAAAGCTCGTCATGGTCGGACGCACCAAGCAGGCACAATATGCAATTGCCGGGATAGAAACTTCTCTGACACCATGTATATCGCCGTTGCTGGCCCGCTGCTTCGCGCTGTCACCGTCATTAGCGACTGCAGCACTGGGTCCGCAGAAGACGTGCTTATAGCACTGGGATATCCATCAATACCCTTAACGCCTGAAAGACTTGACAAGCGTACCTTGACGAGATATGGATGCTTGAGGAATGCGTCATTGTTCTTGAAATCCTCGCCTTCGTACAGCAAGCGGCAGAGATCACTGGGCTTGCGGGGTATCTCAAGCTTGAGGAGCTTGTTCCGAGCACTGCGACTCGTAAGTGATGTAGCCAGTCACGTAGTCGACGAGCGGAGCTTACACCTCATCAACAGGATCAACGATTGTAGGGGCGATCAATCGCGCACAGTCCGGATGATGATAGCCAGCCACGGCTTTGTTGAGCGGACCGGGATGGGGCTTCGAAAAGTCGTTCTGTGTCCAGAAGACTATCGCCGACTTGACACCCTTGACGTCGTCGGAGCGGGCTTGAGTGCGGGAAGCACCTGCCTGCAGTGCACGTATGTCAGTAGGTTCAAATGAGGAAGGATAGTAGACGCACAGCATCTGCGTAAGCACGCAAGATTGCCTGACAATCACTGCGGTGGGCAATCTCCAGGAAGTAATCAACAGTCTTGGGGTATAGGGATGACAGGAGCGAGTACGCATCGTACAGCATATTGTTGCTGAGGGTAGGATGTCAGAGCTGGACTTTGCTAGAGAAAGTATCGGGGCGTACTCGGTCGTGAACTGGGAGCGTGGCGCGTGAGGATCCCGGTTGATTCCAACCTCAAAGATATCGAGGATGGGATCATTGGCGTTGCAGTAGCGTCCGAATATCTTGCCTATGTGCGTAAATTGTTCCAAAGCGGCGTTGAACGCGGTGTGATCCAAGTCATCGTCATTGATGCGGTTGCGCGTCTTCCTGCTCTTCTTGCTCTTCTTGCTCTTCTTCGGACTGGAGGAACAGAATTGAAGCTAAATGCACTTTGAAAGAAGCTTGCGACTTGACTGACCGTGAGGAAGCAGAGTCCTTGTTGCTGACACTGCCTGTCGACGGCTCCCTAGACGCCTGCCGCTTCTGACCTCGGCCACCTGTACTTCTGGTGCTGTGCTGTTCCGGTTCAGGACGCTGCGGATGCTCACTATGAGACCGTCCATGGGAGGTGTGTCGTCGACGATGTCGACGAGAGGCTGGAGAGCGATTGCGGTACTGGCGTGAATTTGAGCGACTGTGCGACTGGCGGCTACGATGTCCATGGCGGGAAGAGGACCGAGAGCGCCCACGATGTGAGCGGTCCTGGGACGGTGAACGTGCCATGCTAGAGAGCGGTGTGCTGTATGCGGCCTTCAAGGCGTGACTGCAATGGGGGTTGGGAGTAAGACGTGGCGAGCGCATTGGCACCAAGCACAAACACTTGTCACGTGTAGTTTGTGGGTCCAAGAGTTCAACAATTGTGCAGTTTTTTTTGATGGATATTGGTACAACTACAATTCATCGTCACTTCCTACTGCTACCCCATCCGACTCGTAGTCTAGCTCAACATCCTCGTCTGCTTCCTCTGTATATGTTGCCTGCGTGTCACCTGGGATTGGTACAGCTGCAGCATCGAAGCGGGCACGCTCGAAGATCTCATGTGGAAAATCGGGGGTGTTCAAGTGCCCTACACCAAGACCAAGGTACCGCATCATCATATCGCGGTCAACGAAGCTGAAAATACATCAACTTTACATCCAAATGACACTACAATGACTGACCGGCCCACATAATACTTGGACCAATCACCGTGCCGGGAGTCACGACACAGCGAGGGACCAAGAAGATCGGTCGTCCTGCGATAATGGAAAGCAGGGATGAGATGACAGCCACGAATGATCTGTGCAGGATCAAGGAAACCAAAGGCGCGGTCTCCCCTACGATAGCGAACACGATCCAAACGAAGGTTATTTGGCCCGCCTCGCTGGTCAAGGGATAACCAGCGCACCCACAGGAATTCCACGGAGTGCCATTCACCCCGACCACCCAGGCGCACCTTCGCATGGAAGATCATGAGCGTGCGTGCATACATGAATGGGTAGGTCTTGATATCGTCCGTCGTATGCACCATGACATCACGGTGGCGCATAGGGTCGTCTTCCTCACCGTCGTGCAAGCCAAGTGGTGGAACGTGGACAAGATCACTGTCGCGTCGCACGTCGTACGTCGTGAAGTTGATGCTGGCTGTCGAGTGCGAGAACAGACGGTCATTCTGAATTTCGACGGCGGCCAGCTCGGTATCGGTATACTCGGGCTGATCGTCAACGAGAACGAGGCCTTGCAGACGACCGAGCAAGTGGGACTTGAGTTTGACGATGAAGGACTGTTGTAGATGAACAGTCAGAATGAGATCAGCCCTTTCAAGCTTCGACGCACCTTGAATGCCGGGTCAGCATGCTTGTCTGGCAACCACGTCTCCAAGTACAATCGCTGACCAGTTTCGTTGTGAGAGATGCGGTGGTGAGGCAGGAGCTCCGACGACGGGATGACGCGCTTCCGCTTGCTTGGTCGGTGCTTCTCCTCGTCGTCTAAGGCCTGCAGCTCTTCGTACATGCGGTCGTGTACCCGCTCTCGAGTCTCGAGTCTGGCAAGCTGTGGAATCACATTGGTGTTGCTGGTGCGTGCGCGCCGCTTCTTGACGACCCGGTGTTCGAGCTCGCCCTGAAGAGGTTGAGCATGGCATATCAGGTGGGAATCTGTATCAAATCACGTACCGTCTTCGTGCTGATGTGCTCAAGAGAGCCGTAGCGCCGGATGGCGTCAACTGCATCGCCGAGGAAATGCAGTTTGATAGTGCGTAGGCTAAAGCCCTTCGTACGCTTCCCAGACGTCTGCATAGTGTTGTTGCCGGTATCCTTCGTACTCGTGGTGCGCTTCGCTTCAGCGCGCTTCCGCGCCTGGTACTCCTTGTCGGTCTCGACGGTGCAGAAGTTGGAGCAGGTGATGTCGGCGAAGTGACGAAGGGCTTTGCCGAGCTCCGTTGTCAAGTCATTGAGTATCTTGACGGTGGACGACGTATGCATGCGAAGTTTCGCCAGCGAATGCCAGTACGTGGCGATGTACAGCAGGTCCAGCACCGACTTCTCGTGCGCATCGGGCAATAGACCCTCGAGACAGGGAATGATGCAGAGGAGTATGTCTTCATAGTCGCGTGCCGCCATGCGCGATAATTCCGATACATTGTGCGCAAATCTTCGTATCGTATCGCGCCCGAAAGTCTTCAAAAGAATCAGGGAGCTATAAGAGTCGTTAGACACAGTACAGCCGCGGCCTTATCGCCACGTACCATTGGAAAGTATACAAAGTGATGAGCAGCTCGCGAGGACGGCTTGCTACGCATATACATGGATTGATTGCCTATGAATGCGTAGCCAGGCCAGACCTTCGAGTTGCCCACCTGCGCGACATGTGTGGCATCAGACCAAAACATGAGGGCGAAGATCACACGAGGGAGATCGCAGCCAGGCTCGGGCGGTGAGGCGAGAAGATCTCGTTCGGCATCTCGAAACGATTGCGAGGCATAGAGCTCCCCCATAACCTGCTCCTCGGCCATGCTCTCGTACGGCGGTGTCCAATGTTCGGAATACGGGTGCCAATGGAAGTCGACCGATGACGGATCCTCCGTCAGGACGGAGCGCATGATGTGCACGAGGGACCGCGTGCACACACCTTCGAGTGTATATGGCACAAACGCATCCCTCGTACCTTCTCCGAGGTCGAGAGCGTGACGGCGCATTGCCGCGGTATGGCGCCGATTATCATCACGGGCGGCAGCTGATTCCTTCGCACCCGTAGGAACGTTGATGACGACAGAGCTGGTTCGCCAGCCAGAGCCTCCATGCGGCGACTGCACGTCCTCGGCGAGTAGCTTGTCGATCTTGTCGAAGTCAACGTCACAAAGGTCGGTGGGGTTGAACCGGTCATCGAGTAGCATACGTCGGTTGTCCTCGCGCCGCGCACGAGCACCGCTCGTGCTCATCTTCTCGTGGTGGCGCCCGAAGAGAAAGGATGTGATATTAGGATAGGGATAGATGATATCCGTGATACTACGGCGCTGCCTGCGAATCTCGGGAATCGGGACGTCCACTCGTTGCTCGAAGGAGAGATCCGAGTCGGGAATGCGGCTTGCCGGTTGACGTCTGTAGATGCGGGAGAGCCCAAAGCGATTGGCGGTGGTCTTGACGCGCTCGTGAACGTGGAGAATGACACGGCGTGGCACCGACTCCAGTGAAGGGGTAGGTAAGGCCTGCTCGTTCTCCTCAACGCGTGTCTCTACTGCTTGATCAAGCCGCTGGAGAAGTTGACCTGGTCCTTCTGGGAGCCTGTCGGATAGTGCAAGTCGTATTCGCGCACTGGGCCTCCATTTTCGACGCGCGCGACCGTGTTCGTCAGGGGGCTGAATGCTAGGCGCAGGCGACGGAGCCCGGCCGGGTGGCGGTTGCGCTAAGGGCTGCTCGCACGAGTCGATGTCCATGTTGGAACAGAACGAAGGCGGAGGAGGGGAAGAGGAAGGAGGTGGCGGTCCCGAGGTGGCGGACAGAGCGATAGAAGACCGCGAAGCCCGCTGCAGATCAATCAGTACTGGGAAGTACAGAGCCAAGCCGTGCACACACCTGCTTAGAAGGTCCAGCGGACAGCTCATTGACCGAATCAGATGCAAGTGCCGCCGAGCTGAAGGTGCTCTGCGTTGTAGATGGGGTAAGAAGCGAAGAGACCCGATCAAGGGAGAACTCACCTTCGATGCAGAGCTCTGCCTCGTGCTGTAGCGTGCATCATTGCCCCCATCACCCCAGTCTGAATCCCGGCGGGCCCGCTTCAGAGACTTTTGGACTTTGGATGCTTTGTTCTTCATCTTCTCCTTGAAAGCACCAAGATTCTCGCTGGATGCGAACGCGGCGATACCGCGTCTGCGCGACATCGCGGGGGCTCGGATGTTCTTGAGAGCGTCCTGCGTAGACTGCGCCGTCTGCTCACAGCGCTGGACATGGGAGGTGTACGAAGACGAGTCTTGGTAGATGGTACCGCATCCCCGGCACCGTAGCAGACCAGACATGAAAGATGGTTTGGGGGGCGAAATCCTGGGGGCAGGAGTGGACGTCGATGACTGAAGGAGATCTTATTGCCATAACTGCGCGCGTGTATACAGCGTGTGTGGGAGTACATGGGTGCATCATGAGTGCGACGAGGAGGGTGCTGAGCGAGAACACCCGATGTGAGAGCCTCGCATTGGACGACGGGCCGATACGGGTCGATGACACAAGGAGCGTAAGGGACATAGCGCATAACCGACCACGGCATGGTCATCGCCGCCAGAGTGTTGGCAGGTCGCGTCAGGCCTGAGATGAGCTGGCGAGGAAAGGATCGGACCGTGCTCACGTGCTGAGCTATGCCGGTGAAGCTGGCAAGTGCCGCCATCAATGAGAAGTTCAAATCAGCGCGCCGTGAATTTCATGATGCGCACGGCCTCGTCTCCTTTCACCATCCTTAACATGCAGGTGAAAAATCTTCCGAAGCTCAGAGATATACGAGAATCCAATCTGAGATTATACAAGTACACAAAGGGCTACGAAGCTATTCTACACGAAATGCAGCACATCAATAGGCGCACCTGCAAGTCACGAAAGTCGTCAGCCTACTTGTGCACCGACTACGCAAAGTCCACTTACCGATGTGCGCCAAAAACGTCTGCATCTTCACCCTCTTGATGTCGTCTTGGAACTTGACGCCCTTCGTGTCGTCCTTAACGCCAATGCACAAGTCAAAGTCCTCCAGGAGCTTGTCGAGGGTCTTGTCTGTATCGTCGCGTCAAGAACTCATGATCAGCGTGCCGTCTCATGGCTTAAGATGTCCACACTCGCCTTCGAACGCAAACAACGACCTGAAGTCGAAGGGCCAAACATTGCTCTCCGTCCCATCCTTCTTCAGCACTGCCTTGAACGGATCCGTGTCGTCCGGATGCAGTCGCGAGTTCTCCAATCGGGCTCTCCTGTGTGCATCGTCAGTCTCGAGCTCAACATACTGACCAGCCAATCAACCACGTACGAGTTGTCCAGCTCGACGTCGATCTTCTTCGCCATTGCCTGTGCCACTTCCTTCTGCTTCGCAAGCGGGACGGCAATATAGTCACCGATGCTGCCGTCGACGGTCTTCTTCACTTGTCCTGCGATCAGCTCCTTCATGAAGTCCTCCAGTCCCGGACTGTGATGCAGGTTCAGCGAGATTCAAGCCTTTTCCTGTCCTCGACTCACAGCAACTCCTTCTGCGCCCGGACAGGGAGGTCCTCATAGATCTGCGTTTTCAAACCACCGATTGCAGTTTGTCGGCTTTGGCCTTCTCGTTCGTACTTCCCCTTTAATCCATCCAGATTATCCGAGACGCTTTGCTGCGCGTCCTTTAGTTTAGACGCGTCGACGTTGCCAGCAAGGAGAACTCTCACCAGCGTTGGTTCCGTGGCATTGCGCGCAGTGAAGTGTGATGTGACGGTATTGAGGGCGGCGACGCTGTACAGTGTCGTTGGGTACACATGCATGCATTTCTGGAGACTGCTCACGCTTGGTTTACTGCTCTCGACATGTCATCGCCTGCGAGATCGTGCGACCCAGCTGTCGCTGCCGTACTACCTGGTCCACGCTGGTTTGGGTGTGGCGGAAATGGGCCGGGTGCAGTTGAGCCGGGGCGAGAGGTTGCCATGTCCTCTGGCAGATGGGCTTGAAATGAGTCGGATGCGCCGGGCTGAGTCTGGTGTTGGAGATGCAAGCGCGAGAGGAGGTGGGAGTAGGGTGTTCTTCTAGCAAGCTACACTCTACTAGGGCGCTCTATAGACGCGCGGCGACCTCATGTATCGATGCGTCCTTGCCGTGCCTCATGGTGGCAAGCATAGAAGGTATAGACCGTCATGAGACCCGCTCTATCAGCGTTCTACTGATCCTTCTATTACAGACTTACATATGCTGCTTCCTTCTTCATCAACCTCGTCCATCGCGCCAACTCCCCTCACCTTGCTCAGCCCCTCATTTCTGGCACCAAATCCCCTCCCGCGCCCTTCACCAGGAAATCGCGGACGTTCGTAAGCGCGCGGACTTCCATGCGATGTTGGGAATCGCGCGTCTCGGTGCCCATGTGCGGGAGCAGGCAGACGTTGTGGAAGTCATTCCATCTTGGATTCACGTTGGGCTCGTCGGGGAAGACGTCGAGGCCCACGGATGCGAGCTGGTGACATCGTCAACCATCAGTGCGTTCCGTGAGATGCGAGACCTTACATGACCGTCCTCTAATGCGCGTATCATCGCGGCTTCGTCGATGACCTGTCAGAGGTCAGCGCCTGAGGACTGTTTGCTCGTCAAGACATACTCACCTTCCCCCTCGCCGTATTGACGATCACCGCCCCCTTCCTCAACGACCTAATCATCTTCTCCCCCACCAACCCCTCCGTCTTCTCATTCAACGGCACATGCACACTCAGCACATCCACCTGCCCCAAAAAAGCATCCCTATCCTCCACATACTCGATCCACTCCGGCGCCTCCGGATTCCGCTTGCGGTTGTGGTACACAACCTTCGTGCCGAAGGGCCGCAGGAGGTTGGCGAAGTAGAGCCCGATGCCGCCGAGCCCAAGGATGCCGACGGTGACGCAGGAGAGGTCGCGCGTGGCGTGCGCGACGGCGGGCTTCCAGGCGCCGGCTCGCAGGGTGTGCTCGCCGAGGGAGAATTGGCGGAGGCAGGAGATGAGGAGGTAGAGGGCGGTGGTAGCGGTCGCTTCATCGACGGCGCCGGGGGTGTTGGAGACGCGAATGTCTGGGAGAGGAGAGCGTGGGTAAGTACTCGTATATGAGAGGTAGGGCGAGAGATGGTAATGGGTACGTACTCTTCGCTATGCAGGCCTGAACGTCGATCTGGTCGTAGCCTGCGCCATTGTGTGCTATCCATTGCACACCGCGTAGGCCGTTTATCAACTCCTTGTCGAAGACGCCGATCTTGTTGGCAGAGCCATTGGATCGGTACATGGCTACAACGCCATCGTACTTGCCTCCAGGCTGAAAGCCCTTGAGGAAGTCTGCGCGGTCAGGCGAGTCAAATTCCTGCGCATCGCTTGAGATGATGTGTAGTACCTATACAATGAACGCACGATGATCTCTGCTAGATCTCCGAAGAGTTGCTTCGCGTCTTCAGACGCCCAGCGGAGGCGACCTGAGGAGTGGATTGTGATCAGCTGCATGCCCTTCCCCCCCGGCCTCCACCGCAAACGTACCACAGATGAGGACCTTGGGGGACATGACGGCTCGGGATGCAATGGGGATCGAGCGTCGGCATTTCCGATAACAATGACATGGCAATGTCGCCGCGGCTCGCGCTGGCACCAGAGTTAGGGGCTTGCGCACTCGAAGCGGACCGACGGCAATCCGGGCCGGTCACGCTTGATCGCGGTTGAACTTTATGGACACGATGGAATATGCGGTCTGCACACTGACTCAGTACCCCGGCAATCGTCAGAATGCCTTTGATGTACTACGGATACAGTCAGACCCCTTCAAGAAAATTGTAGAGCGTTGAAGGGCCTTGGATCACCCGAGATAAACAGAATTGTACACTGTAGCGCCGCTTTACCGTTTAATGGCAAGATGGCCGAGTGGTCTAAGGCGCTACGTTTAGGCTTAGTCAGCGTATCCGTAGTCTTTCGGGGCGTGGGTTCAAATCCCACTCTTGTCAACAGCGTCCTCAGCGATTTTTTTACGCGCGAAATACGCGTAGAAAGAGTCCAAGAGCCCTGGAACTTTGGTGTGACTCACCACAAAGTTCCGATGTTGAATAGACATACGCCACGTGAGGTTATCACTTAGCCTTTCTTTTAGAAGTCGCCCGCAAAGGTCCCGCCATCACAGCGTCTCCTCCCGCGGGATGCTTGCTCGACGCGGCTCGTTCAGCAGCCCGCCCGGAAAATCATCGTACAATAACTCCGGGTGCGCACAAGCTCGATTGACAACGACCTACGTATCCAATTGGTGGTGCATGCCTTCGCAATCACGAACGTCGATGTTGAGAACCAGAGGGAAAGCCGAATATTCAAGACGACCGAAGAAGAACCGGCCACGTGCTGCAGGGACTTGAACATTGAGTATTTTAGACCGCGGGAACTTCCAAGGCTTTCTTCTTCCCATCGCCTTGTCCAGTCGTTCCCCGCCCTCCTCTCCTCCTACCCGCCCTTCACCTACGTCCACAATGCGTGCTGCCGTCGCCCTTGCTGCCCTGCTCCCCGCTGCGGCCCTCGGTGAGGCGCAAGTCGCGTCTATTGGTCTCCATTACTGACTAGGCTGCGTTGTAGCGGACATCTCCATCAACTTCCCCTCTGGCGATGGATACTGGTGAGTCGCCTGTTGCAAGCTGGGGGACGATGAACTGACGCGCTCTGCAGGGTCGCGAACCACTCGTAAGGCGTTTCCTGGCGTGTGGCGGGGGACTGAGCGTGCTAACCATGTTATTTGGCCCTCAGGAACACGATCTCTTGGTGAGTTCGCATGGCAACAGCCCGCCGACAACTCGCTCACCCTCCCCTCCTCCCCAGGTCCGCCTCGAGCAACGACCCGAACGTCACGATCATCGTTCGCAATGACCAGAACGCGACCCTGAACGGCGACTACGACATCGCCGAGTACGTGAACGCGGCGAGCCTGGTGCGTTCGGTCGGCGTAATTGCGCGGTCGCTGTTCTTACATGCGGACCCACCTTCTTGTAGACGTACACGGTGACGAACGTGACGCTTCTGCCCGGCACAGGGTACCAGGTCGTCTTCGTGAACACGTCGAACACGACGCAGGAGTACACGCGCTCGGACACCTTCGAGATCAAGCCCAACGGGAGTGCGTGCTTTCCATACTTCTCGCCTCATCTCATTGCTAACGTTGGTTGCGCTATAGCTACTCCCGCGACGGTCTCCTCGTCTGCGCCGTCGGGAACCGCGACGTCCCACTCGGGATCGTCTGGCTCATCGGGCACGCAGTCGGGCTCTGGCGCGAGCGCATCCTCCACCGACGAGAATGGCGCACCCGCCAGCCTCTCGCTCCCCATGGGCCCACTCGGCGCCGTCGCTGGTCTCATGGCCATGTCCGCTGCGCTCTTCCTGTAAAAGCCTCCTGTAGGCCTTTTTCATTGTCCGCTGTAACTCGCGGACTTGGCCTTTACGGCGTTTTTACCTGTACGGACTCCCTTTGCTCTCGTCTTCCTTCCTTGTACTGGGCTTGTGTGTTTGTGACAGTGTCGGACTGCATACACAGGGCGACTCGAGTGTACTCTTGGTATCCCTGTTGTTTTATACCCGGTCATTACCTCTCGTCTTGCTGTTGATTGTACCCTACACTTGTTCCTGTGTTGGCTGCTGTCAATCCAGCTCTTCTGGTAGTGACTGTCTCGTCAGAACCTCGTGAATCCGCAAGAAGCGTCCTGGCTGTGAGAAGGCCTTTTCAAAGCAAACTTCAGGACTCTGTGAACGGCGAAGGCAGCATCCACGCGATCGAGCCTCCCCTCAAGTGCCCGCCTATATAAGCGCCCGGGAAGTTTTGCGCCTTTCTTCGTGCGGCGGCATGGCCATACTTTTCCCCTGTTGCTCATATCCAGCGCATCTTCTACGCGGATGTTCGAGTGTCAGGCCATGTCCTGAACGACCGGAGCGTCTTAGCACCCGATATCCCTCTTGACGCTTCGGCTGCAGGAGAGTGGATGGGTCGGTGGTTCCGTACATACCTTTTGTCTACCAGACTAGTGATGTGCGGATATATCTCTAGCAATGCATTTTGTTGACTTCAATGATGCTGTATAGCTGTTGGCGAAGAGATGAGGAAGAGGGGGAGGTCAACAGTGAATTCGATCGCCGTGACGAGAGCTCGACCGGAAGGATCGGTGACAGGCTTGGGTTAGGTCGCCGAAGACGTTTCCCAATCCTTGCATCCTGCTCCCGTCTACATTTCCGCCGCTCTCGTCGTGCCTCAAGATGGTCTGCCTGCGCGTTTCACGAGCTCTCGCTTACCTCGGCGCTGTCTATGTCGCGATCTCTATGGTCTATACGACGACCTCCCATCTCCTGCAACTGCACCGCGCTCTGACGATGTACTACGGTCACAATCTCTTCACCAGCTCGTTTTCCTGGCTCGCTCCCGGTGGCAAACAGAATGCTCCAGCTCCGCTCGCACGAACGCACCACGATCTCATCCATGGCATCCCTCCGGGCACGATCTTCTGGAACTCTTCGACCCAGCAGCCTGCGGCGGAAACGCCAGAGGACCTCTTCCTGTCAAAGGCCTTCTCGAACTCGATGCGCCCAAGCAAGATTATCCCGTACTTCTATCGCGCTACGAACAGACCGGCTGCGAACGACATAACAATGACCACGCTCATAACCTCGAACCGATTCCACGTCTTCTCGCGCTTGGTCGAGCGGTACCAAGGTGCTCAACAACCATTCCTCTACCTAATGAACCCTGACGCACCCTATCCTTTACAACGCGCATATAGGCCCCATCTCCGTCGCAATCCACGTCAAGAATGTCACCAGCCATGTCGACGACCTCCTCGCCTCCCTGCACACGCTCTACGCCTCCTCCCCGCTCATGGCCGCGCACGTAGACGTGCACCTCATCGTCGACGTCTTCGACCGCCAATTCAACACCTGGCGTAACGTCGCGCGCTTTTTCGCGCGCACTGACTATGTGATGATGCTTGATATCGACTTCTCGCTCTGCACGGATTTTAGGCGGGTGATTAGGGAGAGTGCTGACCTGAGAGGGAGGTTGGACGAGGGTGTGGCTTTTGTGATTACGGCGTTTGAGTATACGAATCTGGAGGAGGGGACGAACCAGGAGGTGTTTCCGAGGACGAAGGAGGTGGGTGGCATATATGCGTTTGCGTTAAGGAAGTTAATTGGCTGATGCACGCACACAGGATCTGCTGGACCTGGTGAACGTCGGACGCATCGGGATGTTCCATGCGTCCTGGCAACCCGGCCACAATAGCACCGAATATGCGAAGTACTACGGCGCCGCTCCGGGCGAGGTGTACGAAGTGACACGGTATCAGCCGGCGTACGAGCCGTACATCGTCATGAAGAAAGACGGGCCACCTTGGTGAGTGGCCAAGCTGCGGTTCGACTCTGTCGCCACCTTGGAGTTTACAGATGTGTTGGACCATGTAGTTACCCTTCACACCATTGCTGACAACCATTGCCACCCAGGTGCGACGAGCGCTTCATCGGCTACGGGGGAAACAAGGCCGCATGCCTCTTCGAGATCTACCTCTCGGGTATCTCCTTCCAGGTTCTCGCGGACCACTTCATCATCCACCAGAATCATCAGTACGAAGAGACGATCCGGAAGAATGAGGTACGTATGGGCGGAACAGCATATACGCGCCTGCTTCTGCTCAAGCCACCGCGTTGCCACAATTTCAAGCTTCGTCTAACCTAACCTTCAGCGCAAGCACAATCGCAAACTCTACTCCGAGTTCAAGGAAGAGACGTGCTTGAAGTACCTCAAGACCTATGCGGATGCGGGTCTTCTGAACACGCCACTTGGGAGGAATGCGCGGGAGGAGTGCGTGAAGATTAAGGGAGTGGCGAAGATTGCAAGGCAGGTGAGTGGCGGGCCGCTTGGTCTGTCAATCAGTCTTCCAAGGGGAGGGAGAGGCGGTGGTGGGGAGTGCATTTCGTCGGCCACTGACTCCGCCATGGATATTGGGGCTCTGGCTGGGATTGAAGCCTCGCTGACTCAAACTTGATAGATCATAGCGGACGCGGAGGGCCAATCGCTCGATGCCCCAGCCTCGTGATCAGCCTTTCACACAACAGCTCGTGGCAACATCAGTTCCGTAGCGTCGCTGGGTTTTTATGCGGTCCGTCGGTCTTTTCCAAGCCATTGTCCCATGAGGACTAAAGCCGAACTCACCAGGATTGCTGAAATCTCATGGCCGGTCACAAACCTGTATTCACACGCATTGCAGCAATAACAAAGGGAGTCTACGATTTCAGCACATGCTATGGCCATGAGCGCGTGTGTGGTGATCGCGGAGTGAGAATACTCGTGGGGAAATTGGTAGGCTATAAGAACGCTGTGAACCGAAGCGCGATCTGCACGTATCTGCCTTTCGTGTGCTGCCACACTCGCCTGAGTCGCCTTCAGCTCGTACACCGCCAGCAGCTTCTGACATCGCGTCCTTAACTCTACTATGACGGCCAACGAAAAAGAGAACGCATTCTCATCGAGCGCCAAAGCGCAGCAATATCCAGACGGGCTGTCCTCTGCCACAGAAGAGTTCGTGCCACGTCCCAAGCGTCCCGAACCTGTTCTCTTCCGTGTCGGCGCCTTCTTTATCCTTTGCGATGGCTACGACACAGAAGACGAGAGCCAGACCCCAGTGGCTTCGACCGCAGCCAAGGCTCCTACTGTGCAAGTCAGTTCCGATGTGGCATCTCAGGCCAATGGCGTACACAGACCTTCTTCCCTTGCCGTCTACGACGATGCCTCTGATGCCAAATCGGACGCCCCAAATTGTGAGGCAGACACGTCTCTGACTACCGAGATGAGCGTCACGGAGATCATGCGCGAACTCGAGCTGTTGGGTGAAGAGAACAAGACGACGACTGGCGGCAGTGATGTATCTACATCGGAGGGTGCGTCTTCCTCCCACCACTCGCTTCCTGGATTAACTCACCTTGTCCTTAGCCAGCGAAGTCGATGCCACCAAGCTGTCCTTCTCTCCGGTCGAGGATCAGGTATCCTCTTCGAGCGAGGAACAGTCTGTCTGAGGAGTTGGATGAAGGGTCGTCTCCGGTGTTGTCACTTTGGGAACGAGCAGGGGAATTATAGTAGCTGTTTACTTGGATTATGCTCCTCTCTGGATAGTCTTGTAGCATGGGTTCGTCTCTGGTACACTGTCTGGCTTACTGGCTTGACTCTTGAGTATCGCTCAACAGTCTAACAAGCGGCGGTCGAGTCTTGAACTCGAAGCGGACCATGATGATCGAATTCTGAAGGATTCGATGCACGGCCCGGACTTCCGGACTCGACGTGTCCGCCGCGCGCCGCCAAAGGCCTCCAGTGACACCACTTTCTCCTCCGGCACCCATGTCCATCTGCTCATAATTGCTGTAAATTACGATGAAGTCCAAGAGGAGTGCGCGGAAGGCGACATGGCTGGCGTTCGGGCTCGTCGTCATGTCTGCATTGACCGTGACCGCGGTGGACACGACCTCCATCCCCGATGCGGTGGAATCGGCGGTACCCAAAGACGTGAGGGGATCGGGATATCCACCCATTTGTGATGCTGATTATAAACTATAGTCGCATCATACAACTGCACATGCGGTACCTCGAGCGCAGACAGACGCAGTAAGCAAGGGTGGAAGTAGCATTGACGCTCGTGCTCAAGCGTGTCGACAGGATAGCTCAGTACAGAGTATACAGGATCAGAATGTTGAAGGTGCGTTCCCTGCAGCCCATCCTGTAGCTCAGCTGACATGCGAATCAGCGACTCGCGCGTACAAATACGCGATGACGGTGCTGAACATGCTCACGGCACACCAAGCACAACCGACGCTTGATCCTCTAGCCGCACATCGGAACACACACTCCCGATCCATCCTGTCCTCCTTTGTCCCAGATATCAATGGTCCGGGACCCCTCGCCAGCGCTATGCGCATCCTTGCGCGACTGCAGAACCTGTTTCCCAGCTTTACGGGCGCATCGAATATGGGGTACTTCTCCACCGCGACGAGACGAGAATACGATCTGTCGGTCAAGGTCATGGATCTCCTGCAGCACTCGGCAGACTTGGGGAACATGGACGCGCTTTACATGATCGCGCAGCTTTCCCTGGTGCGTGCCGTGCGTCACTTGCGTTCTGCGTTGCTGACTGAATCGGTCTAGTTTCCCCCAACCGAATTGTTCCCCTTGGACCCAATTCTTGCGTACCGCACCTTCTCCAAGCATGCAGCAGAAACGGGGAACGCTACATCCCAATCCATGATCGCCTTCTTCCACGCCACCGGCTACCATGACGTAGTTCCCATCGACCAGGCCAAGGCTCAGCTATACTACACCTTTGCTGCCAATGGTGGCGACAAGGGAGCACAGATGGCGCTTGCGTACCGGTACTGGAGCGGTATCGGAACAGTCGAGGACTGTCAGCGCGCGGTCGTGTGGTACGAGAGCGCCTCGGAGCAGGGTTGGTCGTCGTCATCCTTACCTCGATCATTCACTAACCGAAATTATGTAACTCAGCTATGGCCAAATATCGCGCAGGCCCCCCTGGTGGACGCACATTACCTCAAACTCCTACCCGTCTGTCAGACTTAGTAGGCGGTGTGTACGGCCCGGGGGCCAGTGTTGCTTCCACAGGTCTCAATGCACAACGCCCTGCCATCAAGGCTGGTATAGCGCGCGCGGCAGGCGAGACATGGGCAGACGTCCTTGAGTACTACTTGGTAAGTTGATTGCCCCCTTCAAACGCTTCTGCATCTCACCAACACCCGTCAGTTCAACGCCGACCGCGGCGAGACCGACTTCGCCTACCGCCTCGGCAAGATCTTCTACCAAGGCAGCATCTACGTCTCCCCCGGCGGCATCGCCTCAGGCAGCGAGGGCGTCGGCGCCGTCCCGCGCGACTACGAGCGCGCCCGCTACTACTTCCTCCTCATCGCGCGTCAAGTCTGGCCCCGGGACCCACCAAACCCCCTACACCCCTCCGCGAACCAGATGAAGGAGGAGGGCGGCCCCGTGGGGTACGCCGCCGCGGCCGCGGGCTACCTCGGGCGCATGTACCTGCGCGGCGAGGGCGTGAAGCCGGACATGGCGCTCGCGAAGATGTGGTTCCAGCGCGGGGCGGACCACGGGGACCGGGAGTGCCACAATGGGCTGGGGATCATGTTTAGGGACGGGCTGGTGCCGAATGCGAAGGCGGATATGAAGAAGGCGCTCAGTCACTTTGCGGTCGCGGCCGGGCAGGAGCTGGCGGAGGCGCAGGTGCATATTGGGAAGTACCACTTTGGTGAGTGTCCAATCTATCAACAGTATGCATCGCTCTGACTCTTGCATAGAGCGCGGCGAACTGGCATCCGCGACCACCTACTTCGAAGCTGCCATCAGACACGGCTCTCCCTTCGAGGCGTACTACTACCTCGGCGAGATCCACTCTGCTCAAGCGGCAACACCCGGCCTTCCACCCCACGTTACGTCCAGTTCGTGTGCTATGGCCGTGTCGTTCCACAAGCTCGTCTCCGAGCGCGGCGTCTGGGACGACGATCTGCTCCGGGAGGCTGAGATCGCATGGATGTCGGGCACCGAGAAGGGGCAGGAGGTAGCGATGCTGAAGTGGTGGATCGCAGCGGAGCGCGGGTCGGAGATTGCGCAGAACAATCTGGCATATGTGTTGGATCAAGATCGCAGCGTGCTAAGGCTAACGCGCTTCTCGCCCATCATCCCCTCTAACGACACGGCGCGGCTGGCGTTGACACAGTGGACCCGTGCCGCGGCGCAGCGCAACATCGACGCCCTCGTCAAGGTCGGGGACTACTACTACCACGGACTTGGCGTGCCAGACGAGTCGGAGCAGACCCGATACGAGAAGGCGGCTCGGTATTACCAGTCTGCCGCGGACACGCAGATTAGCGCGCTTGCGATGTGGAATCTGGGCTGGATGTACGAGAATGGGATTGGGGTGCCGCAGGTACGTGGCTGTTCATAAGACGCCAGATGCGGTCCTGACGGTTGTGTACGCAGGACTTCCACCTCGCCAAGCGGCACTATGATCTTGCGCTCGAGACGAATTCTGAGGCCTACGTGCCAGTGCTGCTGTCTCTCATACGGCTGTACGCGCGCAGCATGTGGCATACCTTGCAAGGAGGCAAGGGCGGTCTGAACCTCTGGGAGTGGGAAGACGAGAACCAAGATGGTACGCCTTTTTTGTTGTCTGATGATTTTGAATGCTCACCCTTCGGCCAGACGTACTTTCGGGGCAAATACCACCTCAAGTCGAGGACGGGCGGGAACCACCGAAAGAGCCCAAGGAGACACCCTTGAGTAGGGACGAGGAGCGGTACTACGAGGATGGTGGGCCGTGGTACATGGGGAAAGCTCGCGAGGACTTCCGTCGACGCAAGAGCGGTGAGCCGCGTGGCCCTCGTGAAGATGAGGATCCCATCCAAGTGAGTCTTGGTGTATGGCCTGCTCTACCTAGCCTCACGAACTCTTCAGTGGGCCCGCGACCGCAGAGCTGCCGAGCAAGACCGCGATGGCGACTTCGGGCCCGAAGACTCCTTCGAAGGCACGATGCGCCTTCGCGCTGATGCCAAAGAAGACGACGACGCCGACGACATGATACTTGTGATCGCCCTTGTCGCGCTGATCACTGTGCTGCTCTACGTGCGATCACGCATATACGACCAGCAGCGACGGCTGGCAGGGCAGGACGATGCGCCAGCTCAGAACGGTGGAAGATTCCCTCCGCCCGGCGACCCGGCGAGGAACGAGTGGAATATTCTAAGATGATCAGGGATCGCTTGGTTTAGCGTGTAAAACATAGGAAATGCGAGGTTTTCCTGCTCTTCTAATTGCGCATCCAGCGTGGCTATGTCTGTGAGCAGCTCACGGTCTGTTCGAGTGGTAAGCTTCCTCGTCCATTGACGACGTCCTGCAGGCTGGCCGCCGCCCTAAATCCTGGGAGTGAGTTGCTTTGTATGGCAATGGATTTGTTTCCCAATATGGACGCCCTTGTATGATTCCGCGGAATCATTACGGAATCAATACGGGAGTAATTCGCTTATTTCTTCCTCCTTGTTCGACGCTTTCTTCTAGGTTCTCCTTCCTTCTCAACAGGACCCACATCCCTGTAGCTGCACTCGCGGGCAGATCATGCGCGATAAGAAAAACAAAAGAGGGTCTCAGCTCGGAACATCTCCAGATCACGAGCCGACATGAATGTCACGGTCGTCACGATAGTCTTCAAAAATCAAATGCGCCCGCTTTCCTGCCTGACCTCTTCCCCCCACCCCCAAGACCAGAGCTTGAAAGTCCCGCTTCGCAGCTCCCGTCAACCTCTCAATTCTCGCAATGCCTCTCGGTCTCGCTGCCCTGAATCCTCAGGGCCTCATACGAAGGATCAAGTCTACTCGCAAGAAGCACCATGCCGGGCGCCAAAGTGATAACGTCGAAACGACCAAAGGCTTCGCTTTGTTCGCAGCGAAGAAAGTTGCCCCTCCCCTCGTTCGAGAGAAGGAATGTGCCCCGCCCGTTGTTCCTGCTCGTCTTTGCCGCTCAGCTGCGACAGCGCCTAGCGAAACGCAGACGCCGCTCGATTGCGTCTGCGCGCAGCGTATCGAAGAGCTGGAGCAGGAGGTCGCAGCCATAAGGGTCCTTCTATCCGAACACATCTCGGCAGCCTCCCAGGTCAAGAGCACCCACCGTTCCTCGGCTCAGCTGGAGAGCGTCGCTGTGCAGACCGACATCGATACTTCCCCCATCGTGGGAAAATCCCCGTCCCCCATCCCCCTCGAAGATGGTTACCTCGAGGAGCGCTCGTCGTCTCCTACAACTCCAACCTCCGGTAAGCTGTCCGGCGATGCCCTATATCTCATCGCGCTAATCATCTCATCTTATCGCCAGACCATGGCGACGAAGACACTAGCTACGGCTCGATCGACAACACCCCCGACCTCACCTTCGACCATCCCACCGATGTCTCTTACTCCGCCTCTTCGATGGACGAAGACAACTCTCCTGTCCTCACTGTGTTGAACGCGGCTGAGCTCACGTGTGCGCGTACTGCCGGCATGCATTATCCCCACGATCATCTCGGCAGGGAGTCGGCCGATTGTGGCATCGTGGAAGAGCATAGTGCTTCCCTCGACCATGGCAGCACGTTCGAGCTCGAGCATCTTCCATCCCTTCGGAAGCACGTTATCTGGGGTGAAGACGTCGTCGATGACCGATCCGACGTTGCCTCAGACTCGGCCTCTATCTTATCCGAGCCGGAAGTTGTCTCCAGCGGACTGCTCGACGCGATAGACGAACTGCTTGAGGAGCTTCGCGATGCACCTCAACGTCGTCCGGCCTTGCTCGACCGCAGGCCATCCTTTGAGACTATAAGTCTCGTACAGGCTCGCGAGCAGCGTATTCACAAAGAGAAGGTGAGCTACAGGAAGTCCAGGCGGTCAGAATACATACTGACAGTTACCCAGCAGTATACTAGACTGCACCGTTCGCTCGAAGCAGAGGACCTTGACGCTCGGCACGATGATTTGTGCCAACGCCGCCCAACCGTCACCGGATACTACTATCAGCGGGCCTCCTACCATCTGCTGCCAGTGTCCACGTTCTTCCCACCTCACCCCAACTCGAAGCGTCTGCCCAAGTCGATGAAGCCCTCTTATAAGTGTGGACTGCCCGGTCTCGAAGAAGATCTCCCACCCGAGTATACGCCCTCTGCGGACGACTCGCTTCCACCTGCATACGCATTTACCGAGGACATGGTCAAACGGGTGAAGGCCTTGGCACCTGCCTCTGCCGGACCCAACCCGCATCCCATATCGATGACGCAATTCTTCGAATTGCTAGACATAGTCAAAGCTGGGAAACCCCTACCCATCTTCTCAATCGGCTCTTGCGAGGTCATCCACCAGCCGACGACGAAACGCGTGGTCAATTGGCGCAACATCTACCTGGAGGCTGGCTGCGATGGTACTCCTCCGGCCCAACGCGCCACCGACGTGCTCGATCGCGCCGCCGCATTCGATGGCGTCGTTCCCCTGACATATGTGGGGGTTTACGACGTCGGCGAGCCGATCGACGAGCAGGACATGTTGCACCGCACTGTCTACAATATCGCTTTCAGGATGCAGCCCGCGGAGTACCAAGCGACGGGGAAGATCTTGGCCGGAATATACATAGCAAACGCCAAGCAGATCGTGCTGCAGGCGTTACGGCGGGAGCAGGACGCGGATGAGGCGCCTGAGCAGCCTCTGCCAGTCGACGAGCAGCGATGCAAGCCGTTGCCTTCGCAACGGAGACCGCCATCTTGCGTCCCCAGCGAACTCATCGACCCTGATACGGGCTGCATCATGGATCCTGGCTCTTCTCCCACCCCCAGTCTACCCGCGCTCCCCCTTGTCGAGCCCTCCGCTCCTATGCCTGTACGCTATTACACTCCTCCACCGTCCATCGAGCCACCTGTTCACTGGATCGGAACGCAACTGCTATCCTCCTTGGACGACTACTAGATAAGCTCGAAGTCTCCTTTATTCCAAATGTACTTGTGTTCCGACTTTTTCTTCCTTTTTCCGTGTACTATCACTGCTTCGTAAGTAGGTACTATACATCGACGTCGGTCGGTGCTGTGGGGTCTTCCTATCGGCTTTTTCATCTCTTCTCATCTTGTACTCATATCTCCTGCTGTCCCTCGAATTGATCGTCCTTTTGGCAGGCAGCGGCTGAGGTCGGTAGACCCCAAGCGCGCCTTGCCACAAATCTCTTCCTACTATTGTGTGTGATGCGCGCGAACTAAAGCCATCATACTATCGGCTGTGCTACGGCGGCAGAAGCGGACAGGGCGCTCATAGCGCGGCGATTGCGCCCTCCCCGCTTCGCCTCTCGCTACCATGTCTCAAGACAGCTCTCTTCCAGACTACAACCAGGCTAACACTATGGGCGGAGGTTATGGACCCGAAGCACATCCTATCGTTGTCACTGTCCGTTCCCCACTACAGTTGCAGGATTCTGCGTCCACCACGGCGCCTACATCTATGCCTCCCCCAAGTGTGGAAAGCGCCAGAGAACATCTCATAGCTGGCTTGTGCGAGGGCCTGCGAGCGCTTGTTGAGAGCACCAGAGCTCCACTAACAGGGCCGCTTGTCATCGAGCACCGCGAGCGACGCGTTGCGCTCGGGAGGAAGCGCATGGAGAGCATGAGTGGGAGGGTGCGTTCGAGGATATAGACACGATCTTGGGAATCTGTTGAGCCTGATAGATCTCTCACAGAACGCTGCGCTCTATCTCAAGTCTAAGTTCGGGCTGCTGGCAGCGACTGCGCCGGTGCGGATCGAGGCGGCGTTCCGGCGAGAGCAGGATGGAGTGCTAGAGTGGATGGAGGTGGACATGGACGCATGGGAGGAGTTGGTGCCACATATGCATCGGCTGATTATACGGTCGTGAATAGGGTCACGCAAAGCAATATCATAGTGTTCAAAGGATATGTGAACGGATATCTCGGACAAGCGCATAAATATGGTGATAAAGAATGAAAGAACGCGTACACTTCGCGCTCTACTCCAGCTCCGACCTGGTCATCTCAACCGTTTCCTCGGATTGATCAATGACGAGACGGAAGTCGCGCTCCTTGTCGTACTCAAACCTACCGAGCAGTCAGCTCCCCTCCTGAGACATATCGCGCGAAATCACTTACCAACAAGTAGCCACAAAATCCGGGAATTTGCTCGTATCCGCCTCCGCAATTTGCTTGAACCAGTACTCCTTCAATCCCGCATCCTCCGCGCCATTGCCCGTCTCCCCAATTGCAAACGCCTTACCCTTCCCCTTCGCATAGGTGTCGTAGAAGTCGCCGTAGACGTCCTCAAAGGTCTGCTGCTTCTTCGGGTAGATGTCGATGCCGACGAGGTCGACGGTGTCGGGGTCCTTGGGCCAAAAGGGCGCGAGGTCGTCCATGGAGCCGGCGGCGTTGGGGCACCAGAACATCTTGATCTTGTCGTTGGAGGAGACGGCGGCGGCGATGTTGGCCCAGGCGGTTTGGTAGGAAGAGGCGTCTGTGTCGGATAGTGAATACTGGGTTTAAGTATACGGACTCAGAATGCAACGTACCGCCCGTGTACGTGCCGTCCGTGAGGTACCAGTTGATCTCATGGGCGAAGCGAAGCCAGACCTCGACGCCCTTGTCCGTGAATTGCTTCAGCACATCTGCGACCTGCGACGCGACCTTCTCGTCGATCTTCGAGAGATCAATGGAGGGCATGACGGCCGGAATGAAGACGGCGCCGGAGTCCACGACGTCGTCCATTTGCGACAGCAGCTGCTCGCCCTTGAAGGTGGAGGACGTGATTTGCGCGTACCATCCGTAACTGATGACAGCATGAAAGCAGCGTAAGTATCGAACAGAATCAACAGAAGATGATACCGACGTGCTGGCCTTGGACTTGCCCAACTTGTCATCGATTTCTTTGATCGTGTTTCCGGCGCCGCTGTCTGGAAGCCAGCCCCACGGCACGCCGTTCTTGGCCTTCAGACCGTCTGCGGGCAGGCTAAAATTACTGTTCTGCCTGGAGGCATGCAGGCCAGAGTAATCAGCGCGGCCAGAAAGAGGAGACGCAGCGGCCTAAATCGTGATCAGCACGTGAAGGGTCGACGTCGTGTACCGGTTGGACAACTCACCTGGCTGATATACAAGCCACCTGCGAGAGAGGCTACAAAGGAAGGAGAGAGCTTCATTTCGAGGGAGCGACTGAGAGATAGAGGAAGGAGAGTGAAGATGCAGTATACTCTCTCCTTGGAATTGCTGCCTTTTATGAGACCTGGTATCCGTCACTACTTACCCTGAGTTCGGGCAGCACTCACCTCAGCGCTCGAGAGCTCTCATAGTGCGACGTCTCAGGGTAGGGACTAGCGCTCAAGTGATGTGCGGCGCATTCATGATTAGTGCGTCCTCGCTTCGCATCATTGATTGGACATCCGCTATGCTGAGTGCCAAAAATCCGTGCAAGACGCGACAAAGTGGATGTTGACGTTTGGGTATATGGTCACCATCTAACTGTGGAGCTGCATAGATTGAAGATTCCTGGTAGCACTCGCAGGGTGTTTCAACCGACAGGCGACAACGGGAGTGGCAGGCGTAAAAACCACCATAAAGCTGTGATTGGACTGAGATGGGTGCTGCGGTCGTGCTAGTTCAGAGTTTAGCTGGGCGTCTATACAGCACAGAATACGAGTAAAGCGTGTTTAAGCGCCCATGCCATGCAACTTTTTGTCAGAGCGACATGGCGGTCAGGAGCAAGAACAATGTGGGTCCGACTTTGCATCTATTTTTCCTCGGCCGAGCGTCCCGGGCCGATCTCCGTGGGCGCTCGAGCGCCTCCGACATCGCTGCAAGACCGCCACGGTCGCTGCCCTCGACGCCGACATGTTCGACTTCGACTCCCTCGAACCCCACATTCGGACCATTCTCTCTGCGCCTGGCGTTGACCTGAAGACGGTCAGCGCTAAGCGCGTCCGCAAGGAGCTCATCGGCCGCGAGCCTGAGCTCACCGCCGACTTCATCAAGGAGAACAAGTCTGAGATAGACGCGGTTATCGGGCGCGTCTTTGAGCAGGTCAACCCGCCGGACCAGGAGTCTGAGGTGGAAGAGGAGCCTGAGGAGGAGGTGAAGCCCGCGGAGAAGCCGTCTCGCAAGCGGAAGCACTCAGGGGAGGACGAGGACGAGGGGACGGAGGGGCAGACGGGGGACGATGACGAAGAAGAGGAGGAAGAAGAGGAGAAGCCGAAGCCCAAGAAGAAGAAGAAGAAAGCCTCGTCGAGCACCATGTCCGACGCGGAACTCGCGCGCAAGCTCTCAGGGGAGATCAATGGACGCGCCCGACGAACGAAGGCCCGCAACGCTTCCCCACGCAAGCAGAAGAAGAGCGCGGCCACCGTCGACTCGGACGACGAGGATGGCGAAGAGGGGGGAAAGAAGAAGAAAAGGAAGGCAAGCGGGGGCGGCGCGAAGGGCGGCTTCGCCAAAGAATTCGCGTTGAGGTGCGTCGTTCTGAATTTATGGTGCTCGTACTTGCTCTGACTGTCATCCATAGCGAGCCCCTGTCTGCGGTATTGAACGAGCAAAAGTTATCGCGCCCACAGGTTGTGAAGCAGCTTTGGGTCTACATCAAGGCCAACGAGCTGCAGAACCCCAGCAACAAGCGTGAGATCGTATGTGACGACGCATTGAGGCGCGTCTTCAACACGGACAAGATCGACATGTGTAAGCGCCGACCCTTGCCCCGCCTCTTCACCTCTAAACCCTTCGCCAGTTAAGATGAACAAGGAGCTGGGCAGCCATCTGTACGACGCCGCAAACTCCTGAACCGCCGCTCGGAGACTTCACCGCAGTTGCTCCCTCCTATAGGAGGTCCACGCGCCACACCACTACCTACGCGGTCAGTAGATTAGGTACACGCTGTACCATCATGGGTCATACCTCTGCTACTTCATCCTACGCTTCCCCTCGGCCCTCATTTGTACCTTCACTATCTTCGCATGTTGTCGCAATTACTTGCTGAGGACCCCCAACGATATCGAGACAGATTTGGTGTACATTCAACAACAGGTTACAGTAGACCTACACGAGACAAGTAAAACAGTACATAGGAATGAGCAAAACAGACAGCATAGGATGTTTGAAACAAGTCCACAGATACAGAGCACAGAGCAAGCAAATCCACAAAGCATACAGTAATCGTGACAGTCGTGAAGGAAGGCAGCGTTCCTCAGACCTCAATTCGACTTGGGCGGCAGCGCTTTCTCGCACTCTTGCGCCGTGACCGGGACCTGGACGTAAGTCTTGTCCAACTTCCTCCTCCTACCGCACGCGCTGCGCTCCAGATGCCGCATCAGCGCGTCCTTGCGCGAGAGCTGCCGCCCGCACTCGGGGCAGCGCGCCTTGCCCCCGAGCGTGCCCTTGATCTTGAACATGCGCAGCGCGTCCGGGCTCAGCTCTGCGATCGGGTGCTTCGAGGTCTCCAGAATGTGCCGCTTCACGTCGCCCGTGCGCGTGAATGTGCTCATGCACCCGTAGTCGCGGAATGGGCAGAAGATCGGGGGCCCTTCCTTGGCTTTGCCCTTGGACTTGGATTTAGTGGCGGCCTTGGGAGACTTCTTCTGGCGCTTGCTCGAGCTCGGCGCGGGGCTGTCGTCCTCGTATGAGTCGGCGTCATCGTCGCCGCTGGCAGAAGCAGACGTCTCCTGGTAGTCGTCGTCGTCGTCTGTGGGCTTAGCGGCCTTGCGTGTGGCGCGGCGCTTACCCTTGCGAGAGGCATTTGGGGTCGTGGGAGACACCGGCGGCGAGGGTAGCGTGGCGCTGGCTTTGGCCTTCGAGGGGGCTTTGTCGATAGACATCGAGGAGTTGGGTTCGACGGTCGTCGCGGTAGGCGCAGGCGGGGCAGGGGGCGGGATCGATGGCATCGTTGGGAAAGCCACGGGCGGTGTAGGCTTTTCAGTGCCGGAGTGTGGCGCAGCGTCCACAGGAGACCGGCCGTTGCCGACCGAAGAATGATTATCGCCGAACGATGAATAGTCCGCGCTGCTCGATGAATGGCAAACGCTGCCCGAGGAGTACTCAGCGCCCACTGAACAAGAGTCGACGCCCATCGAAGAATGCTCGGAGCTATCCGTGGGAGTGTAGGCGCTGCCCGAGGAAGGGGCGCTTGTGGATGGTGTGAACGGTGGCGCAGGCTCGTCCACAGTCGGGAACTCGAACAAGGAAAAGTCAAATGCCGGCACATGAGAGTGATCAAAGGCATGCATCGGCTGAGAGGGATAGCCGGGCACTGGCTCTGAGGGGAAGCCGGGCATAGGAGCGTGGGCGGGTTCGAATGTGAACGCGCTTGTGGGGAAGTCAGTCGTAGAGGCCGACTGCGGGGGCGTCGGTAGTTGTTCTTGCTGCACGTCCATGTTCTGCAGGTAGCCGAAGCCCTCGCCGAGACCATCCAAGGACATTCCGCTGTGATCGTGGAACTGCTGCTCCTGCAGATCCCCGTCGACGTAGAGGCCCAAGGGCATCTCCTCGTCGCGCGCCTCCGGCCCCGGAAACATGGCGCTGCGCTGCACGGGAGACGCCGGCTCGCTATCATAAGCGGACAGGTTCAGGCCGCGGAACATCTCCTCGATCAGCGGCGACGCGAGTGGGGGAGGGCAATGGATGGGGGTGTCGACGGGCGTGTCCGGGCCACGCCTCGGGGAGTCCGTCGACTTCGCCGACATGGGGGACGAGGGCTGCAGGTCCGGGACGACTGCGTCCGAGGGCGGCGAGTTCGAGGGCTCTCTCCCGGCCTGCGCGTCTTCGACATACGGCGCGTCGCGCTTCATGCGCGGCATCTTGGTGAAGGCGGCGCGCTGAGAAGGGGTCAGCACCTGGGTAACATACACATAGCGCCGCACATACCACGCTGCGCTGGATTAGGCGCGCGGCCATGGGCTCGGGAATCGCGACGGGGGGCATGCACTTGTCGGGACAGTGCAGCTGCCAGAGCACCGCCATCTTTTGCGAAGGGAGGGGCCGCAGCATATCGTCCGGGGAGTTTCGCGGCCACAACCTACGCCAGACAAGTCAGTAAAAAGGACAAGGGGATGCCGCGCCAGACGTACGACGCCGTGCCATCGTCATCCACGACGGGGAAGTTTTGGAACTCCGGGGGGACAAAGCACTCGTGCATCGCGTCGTATATCGCAGGCGAGCGCGGGGCAGGACGGGGCGGAAGGCTGAGGCCTGAGGAGACAGCCTTTGACGCGCTGGTATAAGAAGGAAAAGGGTGGGGGGCGCGGTCGCCCCAGCTGATGCTGCCTAGATAGGTCAGTCCCCCGCCTCGTGGTGATCGTTCTCAGCGTCTGTCTCATCCACCGACAGCTCGCCTGCTGTGTTACGACTCATCCCGATTCACGAAGAGCCTTGAGACGGCCTGATAGACGCCTGACGATGCCAGAGAACGGGCATGAAAGGCGAATTAGGGTTGGGGGACGCTGTAGAACACATACCGCCGTCTCCCCTTGTGTGGCGTATGTGGGCGTCGGGTTGTACTTCGTTCGCACGTGGAGGGCTTCCCGTTGTACTGCCGTCATATCGCACTGAATTGAGTCTTTCAGGCGCACGAGAATTGACGGCAGAAGGTGCGCTGTTACTCTGCCGCCGATGGGTTATCGAAGGGCTGAAGCGCTGAAGTGTGGCGTAGTAATAGAGTAGATTTGAGATTAGATGAAGGTACGTGTCGTCCTGCAGGTCTTCCTGGTGTAGGCGCGCGGTTTGCTCTTCTAGAAGCTGTAGATGTGTAGATCTGACTAGGGCCGTGGGCACACGCGAACGCACGAGCTCACTGCGAACACATGCCAAGTGTAGACATGACTGAACTTTGTGAGTGTGGCGAGCGCCATGACATGCGGGGCTAGGTCGGTGCGCGGCGCGCAGGAGTTTCCCTGAGTGTCCACACTGGTTGAGGCTAGGGACAAGCCGAAGGAATTGACTTGGAGTAACCATAGATCTACCTCACGCTTCATTGGTGACAAACGGCTTTTTTTTTCCTTATTCAGCCTCAATAGCAGGTCGAAGTCGAGCTTCCCCTTCAGATCTAGCTGGATCGCTCGAGTTCAATAAGCGAACAACTCCAATGGTTGCCACCAGACTCTGCGTATCGTCGCCTTGAGTTCCGTGGATAGTTCTGGGGGTCCCAACATTCGATCCTTGTCTGCTGCTTGGGGAGGTCCGTCACGGGATTCGCGTCTAGAGCCTGTTTGTGGAGTCTACATATGTATATGGCACAGACTGCAATTCTGTATTGATGCAGTCCTATTTGACCCTGTGGTACAGAGGTAGGTAGAGAGGTAAGGAGGAGGTAGGATGATGTCTGGAACCACCGACCCATTCCCCTTCGTGGAATGTAAAGAAGAGGAGAATATCGGGTGCTAAGACGTTCCATGTCGCTCTGGACACGGCCTGACACTCGAACGAGCCGCGTAGAGATTCGCAGCCATGAGCAACAGGGGAAAAGTATGGCCGTGACGCCGCACGAAGAAAGGAAAATTTCTGCGAAAAGTTCATAAAGGTGCGTTTCGGCGGATGCCGAGTGACATGTGGCGTAGTGTGGCGTCTGGCAGCTGCAGAAGGATCTCGTTTTCGGACCTCCGCGAGCGTCCGCTACGACACCGCGTGGAGAGTCCCTCGCGCCGTTCAGTCCTTATCGAGGTGTGCAGGAGGGTGTGCGGTGTGTGGCGGCCGTCAGGTCTCGACTGATGAGCAGCTGATCATGAAAGCTACTTGAACCTGAATCCGCGAACTAATCGCAAGACCATCGACTTACCATGTCGCTCTACCTCTGCGTCGACTGTGGCGGCTCCAAGACCAGCGCGGTCATCGCGAACAAGGATGGCGTGGTCGTCGGCCGTGGGATAGGCGGGCCATCCAACTGCACTTACCTCTCCGTCGACGCCTTCCTCGCGGCCATCCGCCTCGCCATCAGCGAGGCATTGAAGACCTGCACGTCCCCGCCGTCCATCGACCCCGTCTCCCTGCCCCCGCCCCCGGAGCTCGCCTTCGCAAAGGCCTGGTTTGGTGTCTCCGGCGCCGACTCCCCTGCCGCCATCGCTGCCATCACCCCTGGCATCTCCGCACTCCTTGACATCCCCCAGGGCCCGCGCCTCGCGGTCGCGAACGACACACACCTCCTCGCCGCCCCTCTACGCATGCACCCCAACATATCCAATGCGGTCGCCGTGATCGGCGGCACGGGCTCGATCGCGGTGTCCTTCTCTGGGGATGCTACAGGCGCGCTCACCGAGCTCGGGCGCATCGGAGGATGGGGATGGATCCTCGGCGACGAAGGCGGCGGGTTCGACGTCGGGCGCGAGGCCGTGCGGCAGGTGATGCTCGCGCACGACCGCGCGTCGGTGCAGGCCAATCCAGCACGGAGCCTGCTGCACGATCGGCTCGTCGAGCGCTTTGGGCTGGGGGACATCATGGAGATTCTGGGCACGGTGCATCTCGCAGACCCGCAGGCGGGTGCGGCAGTCGCGGCTGACCTGCCGCAGCATATGACGGTGCCCAGGGAGAAGCGACTGTCGATGCTCGCGCCGATCGTGTTCGAGTGCGCATTCGAGCACGGCGACGAGCTAGCCCTGAAAGTACTGCATACATCGGCGGGCAAGCTCGTCGATGAAATCACTGTCCTCCTCGGAGATGCGAACGAGGCCTCACCGCGGCTTGTCAAGGCAAAGGACAGTGTGTTATGCTTTGGAGGATCGCTTGTCGGGATCGAGCGGTACCGCAAGATACTCCTAGACGATCTGGCATCGAGGGGCCATACCTTCCGCTACGTAGAGTTCGTTGGTGACTGCGCGGCAGTGGGGGCGAAGGCGCTCGCCATGTCCGCATAATGGCCAATCTTGCACTTCTTGACTTATGCTGTATCTATGATCATCCCTGCCTTCGAATATCGATGTCCATGCACACACGCACGATAGAATACACGGAGTCTTAAAGCTCCTTTTGTTCCCCATGTGAGTCCACTATATTAGTACATGTACCGGTAATCCACAGCCAGGTCCCCCTTCCTCAACTTCGCCTTCTCGTCGTCGGCGTCATTTGATCGTGCTCTTCTCCTGTTCTCCCAGGCGAGCACGGATACGTATACACAGATCATGATCATCGTGAATGCGGAGAATGCGAGGCAGAGACCGTAGCTGAGGAGGAGATCATTAGTACGAGTGGATGCAACGAAGAGCATCGTCGACTCACCCCTTGAAGAATCTCGGCTTGTCGGTGTCGGGGAAGGCAAAGCTAGCGACAATGCCGCCAATGTTCCCGAACGCAACCTGCCAAGCGCTGCCCACCCCTCTTCTTGTGTGCCCCGCCAAATTCGTATTGAACCAGCACACCACGAGCGGCATCGCCGTGTACGCGCCCGCCGCCGCGAGGAACAGCGCGCCGTACTGCGAGTTCGTGCTCGCCGGGTGCGCGAGCAGCACCGCGAACCCGATCACGCATACCCCGCACGCGGCGAATGCGAACGCTGCGCGGTGGCGCACGATGTCGGACGCGAAGGCCATGCACATGGCGAAGACGAACGCGCCGGCCCAGGGAGGGACGGAGAGCAGCTGCGTGCGGATGGTGGTGTAGCCGAAGCCGCTGATGATGGTGGGTGCGAAGTAGGCGTAGCCGTACCCAGGGACGATGAGCCCGAAGTACATGAGCGCGCCAACCATGACTTTGTCTGCGGAGGAGGGTTAATCAGGGCTGAGGGAGAGGAATGAAGGATGCGCACAGTCGCCGATGACTTTCAAGGCGTCTCGCCATGTTGTCTTCTCCTCGATCTCGGATTCACCAACGTCCTGAGATAGGCGTGTTCGTACCCACTCCTTCTCCTCGTCGGTCAAGAACTTCGACTCTTCAGGGAAGTCGGGGAGGAGGAAAAACCATGCGATTGCGACAACAGCAGTCACGAGACCCTCTACGGTGATCGTGAGTTCGCTGTAGAACGCAAAGTTGGCTGAAGACGCACCAATGATAAACACCCATCTCCACCCGCGATACCCTCTCAACCCATCCATCTTGCCGATCGCACTGGCAAGGAGTCCACCAAACGCTCCTGCGAGCGTCGTGGAGCAGAAGAAGAATGTGTAGCGCTTCTGCGCCTCCTCTCTCCGATACCACATCGCGAGGAGGTAAAAGCAGCCGGGGAACATCCCTGATCATCGTCAATAAGCGCTCGATCACGAGGGAACACCAGGACATACCGGCTTCAAAAACGCCGAGGAACCAGCGTGTAGTCATAAGGCCGCCCCAGTTGAAGACGAATCCTTGCAGCATCGTAACGAGTCCAAATCCAAACATGCATATCGATAGCCAGACGTGTGGTCGTAGACGCTTCATGAAAATATTTGAGGGGACTTCGCAGAGGATGTAGGGGACGAAGAAGATGACGAGGGCGACGCTGTACTGGTTCCCAACCAGTTTGAGGTCGTCCTTGAGTCCAAAGAGCACGGCATTAGAGATGTTCACGCTAGGCGGGGGTGAGTTGAATGATCGAGAGGGAAGGATTTGCACACGCACCGGTCAAGAAATGCGAGGGTATACATGACGCAGATGTATGGAAGCACGTGGAGGTCGATCTTGCGCATCACACGCGCCGCGTCGAGCGCGGGGACGGACGCGGCGTCGACGCTGGCATCTTTTCGGTCGATGGAAGAGAGCGAGGACATGGTGGTCGCGGTAAGAGTCGCCCAGGGCGCCGTGGTGGCGCATTTTGTAGCGCGAGGCCGAGTCAGCGAGTAATCGGTGACATATGTTTCGGCCGATCGCCCGCTCGGTGGGTCGAGCTTTCGGGCGGGGCGCCGATCGACAAATCACACGGAGGAATTTGGCAATGCCGCGGACCGCCGCCTCCAGGCAACCTCCAGGGCGTCCTCGTCGAGGGCGGAATGGCGGCGGAAGAGTCGACGAAAGAGGGGCAGGGCACGCGTCACGAAAACTGAAATGGGAACTAAGAGGGGTCAACGATGGTCAAGGAGGGACGATTAGTCGAAGGTAAAGAAAATGTGGATGGCGGTGGCACATTGGGGTCCTAACCCGAGGACTAACTTGACAGACGCTGAACGACATCGAGGGATTGATGTCTTGATAGAGTGCGAGTGCTGTTCACATTGCAAGTGAACCCCAAAGTGACTCGTTGTAGAGCTCGACGAGTCCAACGAAGAACAGTCCAGGTCGTGCCTGTGCGGACATTGAGGCGGATGTCGGCCGACTCGTTCTGGTCGGCGTCAGGCTCTAGCAGAGGCGCGATCGAGAGCAACTGTCACGGCGCCACTTTCGCTTGTCCTGCACGCCGAGTGTTATTTGAGGTCTAGTCATCGATGAGTACGGCTCGAATGAAACTGACCATGATGCGCACCGTCTGAAGCACGTTCTCCGCTCGAGCTCGAAGTTCGCCTGGCAGCTCGAACATCTTCAATGTGAGCTGCAGGTAGCAGCTCAGCGCTTCGTGCTGAGGATACGACCGGAGCAGATCCATAGCGTGTTCGGCGAGCATAGGCGGGTCCATAAGAGCATATCGCCCGTCGACCTTGTCTGAACGTTGGGTACCATAACGTCGATGGTCAGGAGAGAAGGCCAACACGACAGAACAGAGATGCTGCATAGCCGTGTAATCCGATACGTGTCGGTCTATCCAAGACATGATAGTATGCGTCTCCTGCTCGACGAGGTCCAACATCTCGGTGCGCCGATATTCCGATGCATCCGCGTCTTCGAGGGTATGAAGGATAGATTCGAATATGGCGTGCCTATGGACCCAACCATGATAGTTCCGTGAGTACAGCTCGCATGAGCGCAGTGCCAGGGCTAATTCTTGTTCGATGACCGTGCGTGGTAGGGACGGACATCGAGACACATCGCTAGCCCAGCCGCGAGGTCTCTTTCGAGCTAGAGGTTGTACAGTGGAACTGGGGTATATGCGCTGCAGTAGCCACCGTCGATGATCCCAGAGCGTCGACTGCTTCGCGCCGTCCTTCGACGCAGTCAGAAAGTGCGCCGTGAGCTCCAGCTCCGCGCGAGCGTCTAGATGAGAGTCCAAGACCAGCGTTTTGCGGGCGTTGAGCGCAGTTTGGTGAGCCGGATTGGCCAAGATGACGATGGACGACAGTGATGCCACCGCCTTCGCGGATGCGGATGAGGAGTCGGTGCGGTAGGCTTTGAGGGCAGGAGAAAACTGTGTCGCGGCGAGTACATATACTCTGTATAGCAGCCTGACTGGGATCCCTAGGTTCCCCTCTTGCAGGAGGAAGGGCTGATCGTGTGTAAGGCCTGCGGAGCTCCAATCCTCGACGTCGCCGGGCAGTAATTCTATGGAGGTACTGCATACTTCAGTTCCGAATTCCCCTACATCAGGTCGAGCTCACAGTGACTCAGAGAGAATACTTGCAAGTGTATGCGCATGTTTCGGACAGTCACTCGACGGGGACATGGTGGACAGAGGCGAGCGCGAGCGCATCACGTGCGAAGTTCGAGGCCAACGTCACGGTGAGTCACAACACGCGCCTTGCCTCAAACCATGTCCTTCTCAGACCTGCCTGCCTGCCTCCAGCGCCGTATAGACAAAGCGTTCCGAAAGCACGCTACAGGAAGCGGTGACACCACAAGCAATGGCGAACCTGCACGGAAGAAGCGCAGGGTAGAACAAGACACTGACGGAGGCTTCATCGCAGACCCCGCTTACGAAAGTGGCGGGGGCTTCATCCCTGAGGAGGGCGGCGGTTTCCTGGTGGACGATGCTGGTGAGGGCGGAGGCTTTATCCCAGAAGAGGGAGGAGGGTTCATTGTCGAGGACGACAGCAAAGGGGCACAGGATGACGCAGCACAAATATCTCTCGCCGCCGTCCCATCTGCCTTGCAGGACCTCGACCTGCCACCCAACGATGAGGAGGTGCTTTCTGTCTTCCGGAATGCCGCCTCTGGCTGGTCGGCGCCCTCTAGCGCCGAAGCAGCGTCGCGCGACGACGCCGTCGTCTCCCTCGACGACTGGCGCACCGTATGCGCCGTTCTGCTCGAGCACCGCGCCGAGGAGTACGAGGAGTCTGATGACGTCGTAGCGGACGCACCCGAAGACGTCGACGTGCGCATGAGCGACGACGAGAGCGACGAATACCAAGCGAAGGAGGACTCCGACTCGGGCTCGGACGACGAATACGTCGAGGAAGCCCCTTCGAAAGGAAAGCAAAAGTCTCAGCGCACGAGGAAGCGCGGCAGGCGCTCGTCGTCTCTCTCATCTCTCTCCGACGCCGACCAACGCCCGAAGACGGTTACTGCGAGGCAGAAGCAGACGTGCTTGAAGGCATACTCGCTATTCTTTCCCGACGTCGCGGAAGACGAGCTACCGAATCAGCGCGTCATGCTCAAGGATATCCAGCGGGTCGCAAAGTTGCCGGGGGAGAAAATCAAGGCAGAGGAGGTAGGCTCCTTCATCCTGGCGCGAAGGAGTGGTTCTCATGAGCTCACCAGATGGTTGAGATGCTCGAGATGTTCTCAACGGCTCCCGACAAGTCGATGGGTTTATCTGACTTCGAGCGCATGATGATTACTGCAAAACTTGCATAGTCGACGGGCCTCGTAGGGCAGTATGCATAAGTTCAGGATCACTAGATGTTGAAGGTCGGGGTAGCGTAGTTAGATGTCAAGAAGAGGCGAACAAATGGCCTGGCAAGCCCTAATCCTCATCCTCCTCATCCTCATCCACCTTCGCCCGCTTCTTCACCGGCTTCCTCGCCGGCGCCCTTTTCTTAGGCTTCGGTTCGTCATCGGACTCTATTTCGCTTTCCTCCAGTATCGGCTCGGCCTTCCGCTTGCGCGTTGTGCGGGAAGGCGCGCTTGTCTTCGAGGGCGGCTTTGAACTTCTGGCCGATGGTGGCTTCGCGCTGGACCTTGAAGGCGGCTTGCTGGCCGATTTGGACGGCGGCTTCACACTTGACTTCGAAAGAGGCTTCGCACTCGACTTCGAAGGAGGCTTCGCGCTCGACCTCGAAGGAGGCTTTGCCGTATCGGGTGCAGATTTCGTCGTTTCGGGCGCAGGCTTTGCTTCCTGCGCCGACTCATTCTCCTCCTCGCTATCCGACGCGAAGGGGTCCTTGGCCTTTTTCTTCTTGAGCAGCGGCTTCTTGGGCGCAGGGGCCGGCTTATCGGTCGCGACTCCTGCCTTATCCGCTATTGTTCCCGACTTGTCCGCCGAAGACGCCGGCGCCTCGGGCTTCTTCTCAGCCAACTCTTTGTAAAAAGCGTCCTTGAGCTCCTACAAGGTGCCATGAGTCGTTGTATCGCGAGTAGGCAAAATTTGACATACCTTGGCCTCCGCGTCGGGTATGACTGCGTTGTTCTTCCAGATCTAAGGCGTGCGTTGAACATAATGTTGTCAGTTCATCCAATGATTGCTCACGGACCGTCGAGGGTATCCCGCTCGGATGCTTGCTATCAATACCTGCACCGAAAGTGTGAGCTCAATAGGAGTATCAATGCACGCGTGGAAGCGCACTGACCGATATACGTATACAGATCGGACTTCACGCCGCTGAGGGATACGCCATGGTTACGCAGGAGGATGCGCATGATCTGAAATATATCGTTCAGCATAGTGAACATCAGGGACGAGGCATGGATCGTCGAGAAGGACCCTAGATGACTAGTACAGCAAGGTGAAAGAGCCTGAGCACGCACCTCTGCCATGGCGTCCTTGTCGTACACGTCGGGTACGTAGATGCACATAACATGCTGATAGTTCGGTTGGTCGTGTTCTGGCGACGTCGAGACCTTGGCCGTGAACGCGGCCGTGGCCGACAGCGGGCCAGAGACAAGGGACCCTAGTCAATCAAGTTCATGACCTATCCTTCTGAGCAGAGGATTCGGACTCACGAGCGATGCCAGACCAAATTAGGTCGACCTTGTCCGCGGGGGCGAAGATTAACCTATGTTGTTGGTAAGCATATTGACGAGTAACAGCAGGTGAGCATACCGTACCATTTGCCCGTAACGTATTTGTGCTTCTGCGAGATCTCCTTGAGCTTCTTCGTCGCTTCGGCTTGCACCTGAGGTCGTTGTAAGTCGAGGGTCAATGCACGCCACATTGTGGTCTCACCTCTTCCCGGACCTCCTTCTTGCTCCTCGCCCCGGTCTTTTTGTTCGAGCGCACAGGTATCGAGGCGTCGTTCTATGTACCAGATTAGTAACAACAGCAGGGCAGAGCTGGACAAACGCACCTTGATAGATTCGACCTTTTCCGTTGTCTCTTTCACTGACGAAGGTCAGCCCACGTCGCCGCATATACTGTATAGTCAACTGGATCTTACATATCTCCGAAGCCTCTTCGATAGCATCCGTCCAGCCATCCGGTGTAGCGTGGTCCTTGTTGCCAGCAACCCATATCCACTATGCACGCGGTCAGCATCTTTCATGCACGCGCAAGTGGCAGAGGTTTGGCTCACTGGCTTGGTCCCATCGTTCTGGACCATAGAAGGCCTATACTGCATTGTTCATCAGTACGCATCACGTTGCGTGAACGGTGACAACGCACCTTCTTCAGGAAGTCATCCAGCGACATATCCGAGGTCGGCTTCCAGACATACTTGTACTCGCTAGGGAGGGTGTCTTCGTCCTTGGTCATTTTGTCGGAAATGAGCAACGGAGATGACAAGCGCGGGGGAGGGGAAAGTGAGAGTTCAAGACAAGGTTGGGTTCGAGTTCGGGTCTAGGGGCGTCGGTCGCGTCATCCCGACGCGTGGCGTCACATCACGTGGCTCGTGACCCACACGAGGCTTCGGAGCCGAAAGTTCAACTTCGGACTCTTCCTATTTCTGTGCAATGATATATCGGGCAAAGTTCTGAACCAAAAAGTTCACTAGGATTCCTATGTAGATCCGTGGTGCCCATAAGTCATATCTACAACTACCGACCGAGATAACTGTTATACATGAAATAAATAAGGTGGTATGCGCGGAATCCCCAGTATCCCGTGGAGGAGCAAAACAATGTGCAGACAGATAGACAATATCGGAGACCGAGTCAAACCAAGCTGACCGTGTAACAACTACCAGGAGGAGCGTAAATGTAGCAAGAGATAGGGTAGCAGAGTGGACCAGCGTTATACATGAAGGGGACGTTACAGTCGTCATACAAGGAACGGAAGGAGGGAGGTCATCTGGGCAACCAGTACCCGGGCGGGATGACCAGCTCCTCTGACGCGTAACGTCGCCGTATAACGAGACTCGTAATATGAAAAATGAGCGGCGGTTGTCGTAGACGATGCTTGGAGACTGCGAGACCGATGGTGTGGTGCGAGTGTGTGTGCGTGGTTCGGTCGGTGAGTATATGCGAGGAGATAACCAGAGGCGTTCGGGCGGGCACCTGCTTGCGCCCACCATGCCGCGCGCTCTGGGCAGGATAGGGGGTGTGAGGAGGTGTCGTGATGCGCTCCTGCAAGCAAGGTCAGCGACGTATAGGCCGTTTGTCAGGGGGAACTCACAGAAATCGAACAACGTGCCGAAGCACGGGATGCCCTCGCCAATGAGGCTCTCCATAATCTCTGTCGAGCCCTTCAGATTGGACGTGACGATCACGCATTCCGCTTCCCAGATCTTGCAGATCTCCGAGACCATCTTCGCCGTGTCCGGGCGCCCGCCGCGCTCCTTCGTGTCCCAGATCGTAACGCGACCGGGGTGGAGGTGCTTGTGGATCAGACCAGCAATGGTCGGGCCGAACGTGGCGATCTGGCCAGAGCCGATCCACACGAGATACCAGTTCGGGTTCTGGATGCACGTCGCGAGGGCGGCGCCGATCGCAGTACCGGTGCATACGCGGACGCCGCGGCGGTAGAGCGTGGAGGTGTTCGAGATGGCTGTGATCTTGAGCTCGCGCGTGTACAGGTGCGTTGGCGGGTTCTCGACGAGGCCGCGCGTGAAGTCGCCCTGGACACCGGCGACGAGGTAGTGGCAGTCGGCGTCCTTGCTTACGGAAATGATACCGAAAGCATGGTACTCCATGATGGGGTGGTGGCTGATGCGCGCGAGCATGCCCTGCTGCATGCCGCGCCTGAACTTGAGGATGGCGACCTTCGGCGACGGGATCTCGATCTCAACGGGGACCTTGCGGACGGTGAACCAAGGGATGAGGATGCAGATGGTCATGAAGAGAAGGAACCAGAATTCTTGGTGAGCGACGACGCTGGCGCCGCTGGCGTCGAACTTGTGCGTCTTCATGTCGTAGCTGTCGCTAAGAACAGTGAAGAGCCAAGCTGTTGGGCGCTAAGTATCCGGAAAGATGGGGATCAAACCATACGTACTGAAGACAACACCGAGCCAACCGACAAGGCGATGATAGCCCTCGAAGACGCTGTAGCAAAAATGAGTTCATTGTGCCAACAGAAGTCTCGAGGTTCGTACTTGTGGTGGTGGTTGCGAATCCAGGGAATAGCGACGGTCATAGCGATAACAAGGCAGATGAGGTTGCCGAAGCCAGTGACGATGATTGCGGGGTTGTACTTTGCACTGTCGACCGTGACGAGGCAGATGCGGAACAGGAGCCACATCGTGCCAGAGATCGCGCATCCAGTGTGTACGCCACCCAAGTGCTGAAGAATCGAGGAGATACCGAGACGGAACCATAGAGGAGGCCACTAATGCGAGGTTAGGATGTATATCGGTGTGGCAGGACAATATCGCGTACCTTCGCAAACAATGAGGTAACAACGAGATAGGCAAAACGGGCGAAGAGTTCGGTACGGACGAGAACAGCGATCAGAAGGTTGCCGAGAACGAAGCCGCTCGTGTATTCGCTGCAGTCACATGAGCGCCTGTGATTGTGGGACAGCCAAGGAAGGGCACTCACCGAGGATATTGCCACGCGCCAGAAGCGGCACAAATCATTCCGATGAAGTTGAACAGCACGATGATCGTGAACAACCGCCTAGGCGCAGGTGAGCTGGCGATACACACGTATGAGGCGCGGAGACAACGCACTTGTACATGTTGTACCAGATCATGAAACGGATCCACTGGCTGGCACGCTTGCGCGACCTGGGTGGCTTGATCTTCGCGAGCTCTTCAGGCGAGAGCGTGTCGGAGCGGACGGGGAAGGTGGGCATGGACTTCTCCTTCTCTTGCTGGTGCTGGATGAGGAAGGCAGCATCCTTGGGGAGGGCGGGCATGGGGTAGCTGAGCGTTGCCATCGTCTTCGTGGAGAGGATGGAGGCGTCGGTCTGCCGGCGCTGGAGGGGGACCTCGACGTATTCGGCGACGCCGCGCTCGGCGTCGTCCATAGCCGCGGCGGTGGGCTGCATGGGTGGTGGGGGGAGGGGGGCGTAAAGGGAAAGAGCGAGGAATGAATGAAAATGGCGCGTCGACCGCCATCCCGCCTATTTGTAGGGTCGCGATACACGATCCAGGCCCGCCTCTGAACACGCACAATCAACCAACGCCAAAGGCGCTTGGCCCATTGTTCCGAGGTCCCGGCGCGGGGCCGACCATTCGATGCCGGACCTGGATCGGTGCGACTGTCCAAGAGAATCGTGTCGCCGGGCTGCCCACAACTTTGGGTCCGACAGCGTGGAGAAAACGCCCAGTTTCATTATCAGCCAGGCACCCGCGCCTGGTTGCTATGGCACCTAGCGTAAGCTGTATTGTGTCCATTTTCAGTGCCTAGCACGAATCGTCTGGTCTTGCAGGCGCAACGACAAAGGCGAGCAGAGAGCAGACGAGCAGCCTGCAGATGCGCGGAAGACCGAAGGCCGGGCAGGTTGCCACGATTGTATTGAAACACATCACGTCCTATCCGCATTTGGAAACATCATGGTTCAATATCGCCGTGCCGCGTGCGGCCGTGATTGAATGGGAGGCTCTGACCGGTGACGCTGGTCGCGTTTCTGTGCCCGCAGGTGTCGCAAAGAGGTCGCCATATCGGGCGCTACATCATGTATAGCGTACAGAGACGTCCGAATTCTGTAGCCTCATGTCAGCCCAAGCGGTGCTCCTCTCGTGGCGTCATCTCCAAACTTACGCCGAAGTAAAGAGGCAGAAGAGACGAGAACTTCGCGGGCGAGCTCGTAGACCCAATGGGAAAGAATGGGAAGACTTCGACATACGCCACTCGACATCCCGCGTGAATACAACATGCAACACTGCTAAACTGTGATGCCACGAGCTGTGGCAAGCGCATTGAGACCTGCAAACACGTCCAGTCGCCCGAAACAGGCCAACAAACGTCCTCGAGAAACGGGCGCACCTGTGAGCACGACGCGCCAAGCGAGCAGTCCATCACCTTGATGCGCAAACACCTTCCTCGCGAGGGCGTATGTCGGTGGGGAAGAACACGCGGGGTATGCAGGCCGCGACTGAGCCTCCAGAGCGTCGAGGCCGGGGTTGTTGATCCAGGCCGATGCAGGGCCGGTGAATATTCTGCCTTGCAGAAGAACATCGCGCCACCCGACGCGCCTTCCTTCGTCGAGTTGGTGGCCCACTTCGAGCGCTCGGGAAGAGATAGAATAGAAGTAGCTTGCCCTCGTGGACAGGATAAATTCGTCGACAATAGAGAACGAGAGCTAGATTGCTGTCTTCGCGGAAGATCCTAGGAGAACAAAGCGACGGGCTTCCGTTAGGCTGAAAGTGGGTCGAAGGGTGTCTCTTCTAGCGCCGGTAGGTCTTCCTCGAGCCTGGTGTGCGTCATGAGTCTACGCTTTATCTCGAGAGCGATACCTCAGCAGAAAGACAGGTGTCCAGTACCCGCGCATTCTGCTTGCAAGTTCAAGCAGAAAGAAATGGGATCCGCCGTATATGAACTGAAGGTGGACAGGTCACTGATGTAGCGAAGCCATACCCATGACCTAGTCGAGCGAACAGAACAAAGCTTCTTCGCCTCTTTCAATGTCGCGGTGAAAACACCTTCGAAGGTCCAGGCGGCTGCCTACACGAAGACGCGCCATGGAAGACAGTAGTTCCTGGGCCTGTGGCTTGATCGACAAGGCGTCTACGTATCGACAAGGCGTCCGCGCTTCTCCTGTCATAGCATCGTCGACAAAGATTGGTAGACGAGAGGCACGTCCAGGTCGGCGCTCGGGATATTCGCGGTAGACCAGATCCGAGGTAGATGCAGACGGAGCGTCAGAAGAGGTGATGTCGGGACACGGTATGCGAGGAGGAGGTCTGGAGCATCGACAAGGAGTCCTAGTGAGCCCGACGAGAATGGGAGAAGAGGACAAGTCCGGGAGAGGGCGAGAGTTTGCGTCATCAAGGGACATAGGGTTGAATTTCCCACGGTTGATCTTCGCAATGATGAACTCAGGATGCTTGTTGGTAACGAGAGCTTCATCCGTTAAGAGGTCCTCAAAAGCTTATGGAAGGGAAGAAAAGGCCTGCGAGACTACGTATTCATTCGCATATGTGGGTGCAAAGGAATTCCCCTTGCGAGTATGTCGATTACGCCACAAAAGTATACACGACGGACGCCAAGTTTACCACCCACTATAAGCGCTCCTAAAAAGCGCAAATCAGCCGTCGAATATGTCAAGAAATTCAACCCCTCACCTTTACGGATAGAAAACGCGAAGCCGGCGGCACAGGCCCGCCGACCTCGCGGTGCAGGGGATGCATCACTGAGCTAGGTGTGTGTCAGTATCAAGTCTGCTATGCAGGCGATGGACTTATCTTGAGAGAGAAACGGCATGCTACATCCTGACCGTCCACCGACCTCGCCCACCCCATGGCGGTCTGCTCTCAGCAAGTGCCGCAGACGCCCATAACAGGCCGCAGACGCACGAAGGATCACAGGTTCCGACCCACAGATGGTAGGCGCGCGGTACGTTGCCATGCACGACCCAGCACAGCAGAAGGGCAATCTTAGCTCGCGGTGACTCCGTCGCGAGACGAGCCGTCACCGCAAGGACCACAACCGAGGCTGAGCCAACCGCCAAGGGCCCGGAGCGGGAGAGAAGTAAGAAATCAGCGTCTGACGAGCCCACATAGATGGTGAGACTCACCAAAAAACGAGAAAGCAAGGCGGAAGGGCGAAGCTGCTAAGATAATTGGCGCAGTTCGACCCGTATTTATACTACTCGAGCAGGGGAAGCTGTAGAGCAGCTGTAGGACTTTGTTGTCGATGTCCGCCCGTGTCTCAGCAAGTTCCGGGTAAATATACGCCCTTTCAGGTTGTGCTTTTCAGCAGCATCTTCCAGAGGTGTATCGCGTCAATTGTAAGTCGGAAAAATACATGCAAATTTCATATCTTATAGACGAGCCGCAATGAATATAGTTGGCGCCTAATCAGGCGATGGTGTACACCAGCTTCTCCCGTCCGTAGTTACCCTCGGCCATGATCTTCAAGCCCTCCTGGATGTCTGTTGAAGCGATTGTCAGAAGGTGAAGATGTTGCTTGACGTATGTCACTCACTCTCGAGACCCTCAAGCTTGCGCAGCCGCTGAGCCTTGAACTTGGGCGCACCCTGCCCCGCCTTCCACCCCTCGAGGATCTTCGGCTGATCGTGCGCCACATAGTCCAGCGCCCGCGCCTCATCCTCCGGCATCGCCGGGAGCTTCTGTCCGCTGCCAAAGACAATCTCGCGCCCGATCTCCGTGTACACCAACGTGAACTCCGCGCTCACGTCCGGCCTGCGTTTGGCGAGCTCCTCAGAGATCTGGAGCGTCGTGATGACCTTGCCGCCGCGCGTCTTCGACATGGCGTCGATGGTCTTTTCGACGGTGCCACCCCCGGCGATGGTGTCGAGGCCGTAGATGATGCCATCAGGCCCGGCGGCGGCGTGGATCTTGGAGACGATGTCGGGGTCCTTGTAGTCGAAGGTGAAGTCGGCGCCGAGGGACTTGAGCTCGTCCCAGACGGCCGGGGAGCCGGTGACGAAGACTGTAAGCCCGGAGAGCTTAGCGAGTTGCACGGCGTGGTGGCCGACAGCGCTTGAGCCGCCCCAGATGAGGATCTTCTCGTTGAGGGGACTAGTCAAGGGCTTCGGCAGGCCCAGTCGCATGTAGAATGCTTGCACTGCGGTGAGGTGAGGGATCTGGCAAGCGATGAGTCGCAGATGCCAAGTTGATCAATCTAACATGCATACCGGGAACGACGCGGCCTCCTCGTAAGTCATGTCCTCCGGAAGCTTGAATGCCACGGCGCTGTTGAAGCGAGCATACTCGGCAAATGCGCCATTGTCCGTCTGCCACGAAGAGCCGTAGCTATCAAAGGTCGTGAGGGCGAATCCAGCAAGAATGTAGGGACATGTAACTCACGTGAACGCCGCTGTCCGGTCACCGACCTTCAGGTGCTTGACGGCTGACCCAACCTTCACAACGTCGCCCCCAGCGTCGCACCCCGCGATAGTCCCAGCCTTACCCACTAGGAAAACGTGCTGTCGGACGCATCAGTGACCGATGAGAAGTGCCGACTTCGAAGTTGATGCACCTTCCAGTCAGTGGGGTTCAAGCCCACCGCCCTCACACGGATCTAGAGTTTGCGATGAGTACAGGGAGCCAAGGCGAAGAGAGATGCGACGTACCATGATCTCGTTATCGGCCAAGTTTTGCACCTTTTCTTGGGAGGCCCAAGGGATGGTGACGACATGCACGCCCTTCTTCTCGGGAAGGATCTGCAGCGCCTTGATGGTTTCGGGGAGAGCAGACATCGTTGGATAGTCGAAGAGAGTAGAGGAGGCTAGTGAAAGAGGACGAGTATAGGGAAGGCCTCGCTAGGTTGTTGATGGTGAGAATTTTCTTCCCCATACTTATATGCCTCCGGGTAAGCGGCAGCCTCTGTGAAAAGAGCAGCGAGGTGTTTGCCGCGGGGTACCTCTCGTCGTTGAGCAATCGCACCTCCCCACGCCACCAACCGTCCACTCATCTGACCCGCGATGGGTAGAAGCAGTACTCATCGCGGAGCCTTTCGTTCTGTAATGCTTGATAATAGGCGTTTGAGATGATCAATGATTACCATAAGCACTAAAAGTCGCGTGAGACGATTATATGTTGAGACCCTGAGACAGATGTCGATGGATGAATAGGCCGGTGCTTTTAACCGTGGCAGTACCAAGCCGTATTGCGTCGCTAACCAGCTACAATCCGCGGGACAAGGCCGTTCATAAGCCCTGCATAATCCAGAAGGATACTGCTGCACTGCTTGGAGTACGTCGTAGGGAACGCTTACCACAGATACACTGGAAAGGCTTGTGCTTCTCTCAAACGCTTACTTCTGCTGAGGAGAGGTTTGGCGGCGCAGGCCCGCAGGATATGCCATCATTGATGTGCGGGTTCAAGAGGAAACACGTGTGTCGCAGGTTACCGGCCCGCCGCGCCCGGGGTTCGCCGGCAATCTCCGTCGTCCTCCATAAATTACCTATTTTGGATATTTCTACAGTATTGCTGCCTGGTACAGTAGGTATGGCAAGTAGTGTATACCGTAACATTCAATTTGTTGTTGCTAAGACTGCCACTCATCCAGCCATCGGTTCAAGTCCTCCGTCGAGCGGCTTATGTACAAGTAGCGCGCCTTGATGCTGTCGAGCGCCTGTGCGAGCGACATGTCGTACTTTGACGTGTCCTTGTCCTGCGACGGTAACGTTAGCAGTAGAAATTCTCAGTGTGACCCAAGGATGCGCACAGCAAAAAAGGCCTTTGTATCCTCGTAGTCCTTCTTCGTCGACAGAGCTTCGATAGGGCACTGAATGATGCGACCGAGCGAAAATGTGCCCTCAAAACGCTTGTAGATCTACAGTTCACCATCAGTTCAGTCGTTGGCAATTGAGTGCATGATCAACGTACCGTATCGTAGTTCTCCTTGAGAAGCGAAATAAGCATCCGGCGTGCGGAGGGATTACCCTGCAGCTCGCGGAAGAAGCGCGTCATGTCCCCGTCCCGGCTTTCTTTCAGTACGTAGTCACTCGTCTCCTCCAGCAGAGCCAACACACGGGTAGAGCACATCGCGCTTCTAAAGGTATATTGTCAGATGCGTGACCCTGGATGAGCAAAGACAACGTAAACCGACATAGCGGCAACGTTATACGTCGTCGTCTTGGGCTTCTGGAATACCTCCATCATCTTGTGGTACTCAGCGCGGCCACCATGTTTTACAGACTGGATGTCGCGAGTCAAGTCGCTATCGGAGTCAAAGCTATAAGCCGTGCTTACGTTCACAAAGATGGACCGCACGAGGTCGGCGGGAATTAGGGAGTCATCGTCGTCCTTCAAGAAGGGCGCGAAGCGTCGCCCGAGCTCGGCGATAACCCTATATTCTTCGTTAACCGTGTTCAAAGAGAAAGTGATGACCACAAACGCACTTCGGCTCGTCGCTATCGGCGGACTGGGAAATGGCAAGGGTACGCAGCTGCATGACATCTGGCTGCTCCGAGGCAGAGTATTCGTAGCCGAGTCTGTCGACGATGGGAACGAAGAGGTTCTTAAAAGCGATTTAGACGCCACAGATCTGCGCGATTAGAGCGAGCACCCACACGACAGAACGCCTTGAGCTTGGCGACGACATCCTCGTGCTCCCACCAAATAGAGATCAGCGAGCTCAGATGGGTTGCAATCGTCTCCCACACGACATCTACGGTACATCCCATCAGCGAACAGGGCCGTGTACCAGGTCGCCAAGCATTGTTCTTACTCACATTCCTTCTCATTCCTCAACTGATACACCAACGCCAGCGCGCTGCTCAGCGTCGACAGCCCGGCCTTCGAAGTCGCAAACGCATCGTTGATAAGGCCGATGCGGTCGTCGAGCGTGAACAGCGAGTCTTCCTTCGCGGCTTCCTGTCCAATCTGGGCGAGGCGCTCGGGCGTATATTTAACGTGGTAAACGCCGGTGGTGCCCGCATTGAGCTTAAAGGGCTTGCAGGTGTCGATGGCATAGGCCTTCTCGCGCTCGCCGAGGACCAGACGGTCGATGGTAGGCTTTCCGGCGACGTCGCGGGAAAGGATAGCCAGGGGAACGTTCCTGGGTGCACGTTGAATTGGCCGCGGGAGATGAGCATAATCCGCGTACCAGATGGTCTCGTTATCCTCCGGATCTGCTGGGCCGCTCTCAATGAACCTGTCCTGGCGAACCTGAATACCGCGCGCGTCCTCTGAAACAGTAAGGACAGGAAAGCCAATCTGGCAACAGCGTCAGAGGTCAAGCGCCGGGTGTCGAGCATCCACCGATTTACCTTGTTGACCCAGTTGGTCATGAACGCGACGACGTCCTGACCTATGAGAGTCCGTGTCATTCACGTGGTCCGCAGCGGCAGAAAACTAGATGACAAACCGGTAGAGGTCGATATGCCTTTCCAAAGGTCTTCTGTGACGCTGCTACCGAACAGGTGATCCTTGAGGTAAAGCGAGACACCTTCGAGGAATTTATCCTCGCCGACGTGCGCGGACAACATACGAAGGACTAGGACGATCAGCAGGTATAACGACGGCCGAAGGAAAGCAATAGACACCCGATGCAGCCTTTGAGTACGATAGCCCATCAAACATCTGATTCCGAGTCAAAGCCTGTTAAATCAAAGGACTGGGTGTATACGCACCTGATAGACGCGACCGGCATCCGGGCACTCTACCTCGATCGGATGGGACGAAGGCTTCGCGTCCAGAGAAAGCGCGCGCGACAAGTGCTGATTGATGAACTGCGACGCGAGCTTCCACTCAGGGAAGACCTTGTCCGTGATGGTGAGATCGCCCATCTGTCGGGCTTGAGTCAGCATCTCGTTCTTTATGGGAGTGTAATGGCGCGTATAGGAGCATAATTGACGCACGAGTGTAGCAAAGCCCTCGTTCAAGTAGAGGTTGTCCCACCACTCCATCGTCGTCATATTACCAAACCACATGTGCGCGATTTCGTGACTCAGAACGGTCGCAACCCAGGTTTTGGTCTTAAGGTCAGCGTGCTCAGGGTCGAGGAGGAGAAGTGAGGTGTGCCCAATGATGAGTCCCCAGTTTTCCATAGCGCCGTCGAAGTCGGATACCTGTAGAACAGATGAGCTATGCGAACTGAGGCGCACGTCCCACTCACGACGAGCGTGTCAAGCTTGGGGAGCGGGTAGCCGACATCGAAGACCTGTCCATAGAGCGGAAGAAGCTTCGCCTTGACATCGAGCGCGAATTGAGCCTGGTGAATATTGTCCTTGGTCGCTGAAGCGCAAATCAGACGAGGGAGGAAATCAGTCTTAGGAAATTGCGCACCAAAAACTCGTAGCGGGATCTCCTTTCCGCTCACAGGTAGCTTGGCCTTTGACTCGAGCTTCTGAAAGTTGCCATTGGCCCAAGCGACGATGTACGAGCTCATCGGCGGTGTGGTCGCAAACTTGGTGATTTTCCACCTGCCCTCCGTGCAGATGCTTTCGAGCAAGCCCGCGAGGTCGGCGTTTAGCGGTAGCGCGCTCAGGCCGGCCTCGTAAACCGTCTCTGACATGTCGTCCATGTTTGCCAAATTGATAGTACCGTCGCGGGAGACCATAGTAACCGCGAAGGTCGCCTTGAGGAGAGGCTCGTCCCAGCAAGGGAAGACGCGCCGGGCGGCTATGGGCTGGAACTGGGTAAGGGCGTAGTGCTCCTTCACGCCGTATACCTCGCAAGCAGCCCGGTAATAGCCCGTCATGCTTTCAGAAAGGGAAGCATGAAAGGGGATCGTCAGAACCGCTTTTGAACCGGCGGGGAGAGCGGTGGGAAATGAGATGGTGAGGCGTTCCTGGGTCTTGTCATAGGACGTGCTGGACTGCATTTGGTCGGTCTCCAGGGAGTCGCACCAGACGCGTCTGCAAAAGACTGAGATATCATTCATTGACGGGCAAATTTCTCGGACTTACGCAGGAGATAATTGCAATGCAGACGAATTGAGAACAAAGTCTTTCGTGTCCTCCTTGATGTCAAGGCTGGAGGGGTTAGGCTGTTGAGTAGCCCGGCAGGGGTAGTCCAGCAAGAAGTCAACATACTGTATCTTCACAACCCCGCTGAAAGTGAGCTTCTCGAGGTCGGTCTGTACGGTGACATCGTAGTGGGTAGGGCGGACGCTCGTCGGGAGCCTGTGGTTGCTATCTCCTGCTTTGGCGGTCGACATAGTTCTCCTGGCGATGTTGAAGCAGCGTGATGGTGTCGAGGTTGATATTCAGACGATGACAGCGACCTTATACCACCTACTGATGTACTTCTCGGGGTGACTGGCCATGATTTCGCGTAAAGATAGCCAGCATGCGCGTAGCATTGCGCCACTGTTCCTGGCTCCGCCGCTATCATGTTCAGCAATTCTCTGGCTTACCGCACGCATCTCAAGATGATGATGTTGTGCAATTCAATTGCGCCGCGCGTCAGCAGAGGGTATATGCGTTCCCGCGGGAGACATCCTGGACCTGCGTGTACGCAAGTCTGCTTGCCAAAACGACTGCATCATCAGGCCGCGATACAGTCCCAGCGTCTGTGAGTGTGAGCTTTATCCTACCGATGGAAGACAATGAGTTGCAAGCAAGGACATCAACATTCGAGAGCGGAAACACGTGCTTTGTCAAGCTTGCCAGCGGTCGGCAATATCCGTCGGCTTTCAGAGATTACTGGGTTTGGCATGTTCTCCATCGAGCTGCTCGAACTTGCGACCATGAGTGCAGGCTTGTGTGCCACGCTTTGCATCGGAGCCATACCGCCCGTTAACATCCCTAGAGTCATGCTTTGGACCGACGTCGAGAATTTACACATTTATAAGGATATTACTGTACATGTTACTTTTGGTCTTGCGCTGAACGTCCTTCATGCAATAGTGTACACAAGCTTCTCGCGTCCGTATGCGCCATCAGCCATGATCTTCAATCCCTCCTGAATGTCTGCAAACGGTCAGAGTCGAGGTCAGAGAGAAGACAAACTGCACTTACTCTCAAGTCCTCCAGGCAGCTTGCGCAAGCGCTGCGTCTTGAACTTCGGCGCGCCCTGCCCCGCCTTCCAGCCCTCCAACAACTTCGGCATGTCCGTCGACACGTACTCCAGCGTCCGCCGCTCGTCCTCCTTGTCCGCCGGGAACGTCGCGACGTGCGCGAACGTCAGCTCGTACCCGAGCTCCGTGTACACGAGCGTGAAGTCCACCTTCACGTCCGCCCGCCGCGCCTTCGTCTCGTCCGAGATCGGCAGCGTCGTGATCACCGTGCCGCCGCGCGTCTTCGAGAGCGCGTCGACCACCGCGTCTGTCGAGCCCTTCTCCGCGACGGTGTCGAAGCCGTAGATGATGTCGTTGCCGCCAGCGGTCGCGGTGATCTTCGCCACGACCTCCGGGTCCTTGTAGTCGAAAGTGTGATCCGCGCCGAGCGCCTTAAGCTCGTCCCACGCGGCGGGCGACGCGGTGACGAAGACCTTGAGGCCGGAGAGCTTGGCGAGCTGGACAGCGTGGTGTCCGACGGCGGTGGAGCCGCCCCAAATGAGGATGGACTCATTCGCGGGGGTGGTGAGCGGCTTGGGGATGTTGAGGCGCATGTAGAGCGCCTGCGCGGCGGTGAGGTGCGGAATGGGAAACGAGGCGGCCTCCTCGTAGGTCATATCGTCGGGGAGCTTGAAGGAGACGTGGGCCTTGAAGCGCACGTACTCGGCGTACGCACCGTTGTCCTTCTGCCAGGAACCACCGAAGCTAGGCGAGTTGTAAGTACGAGGGGTACTGCGAGTGATAGAAAGTAACGCACTTGAAGCCCGCTGCGCGGTCACCAACCTTGAGGTGCTTGACCGCCGAGCCAACCTTGACAACATCGCCAGCAGCATCGCAGCCAAGGATCGTGCCCGGCGTGCCCCACGGGCCAAGAGCATGCTAAGAGCATGTGAGCGACCGTACTCCTCCTGGCAATCTCATGAACGCACCTTCCAATCCGTGGGGTTCAACCCGGCAGCGCGAACGCGCACAACAATCTCGTCATCGGCGAGATTCTTCACCTTTTCCTGGGACGCCCAGGGAATGGTCACAACCTGCACGCCCTTCCGCTCGGGGAGGACCTGCAGCGCCTTGATGGTCTCGGGAAGCGCAGACATTGTGAGGTTGTCGTGAATGAGACGAGTTCTATGGTTCAGAGAAGAGCGTTTGGTCAACAGCGAGTTCCTTGGCGAAGACGCAGCGCGCGAGACCTTTATATGCCCCGGCCATCGGGGGACACGTTCAACCGGAAAAGACTTTGTGCAACCGGAAGCGCCTCGTTCACCCGGCAGAGCCTTGTGGTGAAGGTTCTCGTCCAGTCATCGAAAAGTTCGCTCCATAATGCTTGCTAATGTGCGCGTGACGTCAGGAAGCGACATCGTCTTCGCGCATCGGGAATGGAGCAGGAAAGGAAGGGGAAGCTTGTGATCTGGCCGGTGGCTTGGGAGGTCGAGATTCGCTTGTAAAGATTCGCTGTTTAGGAGCAGTTCAGCGCGAAGAGCTCAAGGGAGGGCAGTACACGCTCAGTAACGCTCTCTGCCTTGCTGACAGTCAAGAAGAATTCCTTCCGCGCGGATGAGTGGAACTTTCCCAGAAAATCGATGACTGACCTATCCGCATGAATGAATTGCCGGCTGCTCAAGGGCTCATTCTGAGCACTGCGAGGGCTCTCATCGCAAGTAATTCAGGCTACATATGGCCGAGGTCCAAGAGGGATACATCGCTTCGTATAAATCACAGCTGCGCGAACAATGAGGGTAGGAGGTAAAGTGGAAGGATCGTTGCGGGCGCCTACGCTTATTCGGAAGTACCGGTCCGACCAAAATATTCCTTTTGCAAATTTCCCCTGCTCCCCTTCATCGTTTCCTCGAGCGCTCGTCTTTCGTCTACCTGAAGCGACGTGCATACACGACCATGGTAGGCTCAGTGCTCTCGTGGTATAGTCACGATGCTCATCACACCTTAGGCAAAGGCAAAGAAGACAAGAGCGGCGTCCGTGAAGAGGATGATCAAGGCCTCGGACATTCGACTGTGCGTTGGCGAGCTTCCTCCACGTTTCCGCAATCACTCATCGTCATGTAGAAAAGAGAATCAGGCCAAGCAAGCTAAGAAAGAGGAAGAGGCTAGAGAGAAAGCCGTGCGACGAGTGTGCGTCTTACGCTGTATATTGCACGCGAACGTACTGATCATGGATCCCCCATCAGACCCCAAGTCGCGTCCTCCCTCTTCTTGGCTCATAACACCGCCCTCGTACCTCCCTACCGCGTTCTCATCGATACCAATTTCATTAACTTCAGTCTACAAAATAAACTGGAGCTCGTCAGCGGCATGATGGACTGCCTCTACGCGAAATGTGTGTTGCGGTGCCTCCGTAACTCGATCGTCCTGCTGATGCATCTCCAAGGCATACCCGTAGTCACCGATTGTGTCATGGCCGAGCTGGAGAAACTAGGCCACCGCTACCGCGTAGCCCTCCGGTGAGTTCTCCGCATGGCGCACCATGCACCTTGTCCTGCATTCTAACCCCCGCCATCACAGCGTAGCGCGCGATCCCCGCTTCGAGCGCCTGAAATGCTCGCACTCGGGCACGTACGCGGATGACTGCCTCGTCCAGCGCGTTACGGCGCACAAGTGCTACATCGTCGCGACGTGCGATCGCGAGCTCCGGCGGCGGATTCGACAGATTCCGGGCGTCCCGCTGATGTATATTGTCCGCCGACGGTATGCGATCGAGAGGCTGCCGGACCAGGGGGCGCCGTCGTAGGCTGGCCTTGCTACTTATCTGCAGACGGCATCGCTGTTTGAAGGCGGGATGCGCTGTTCGTGGTGATCTCTGCGCGCCGTGCTCGGCGGGAACGTTAATTGGTGGGCGTTCACTGCTCCGCTGGTGCGGTCGGGCTTCAGGTGTATTTCTAGGATTGTTCTTGCTTTGCTGTATCATTATTCGGCCCACTCCAACTCGCATTCGTGTTGTTGTCCTTGACGCCAGCTTCCCTTACGACAGGCTCTTGACATCAGACTGTTCTCCCGCAATACCGCCTGTTCATCTCGTAGATATCCTTGTCCAGTCATGTCATCCCAAAGTCATCACACTCAAAAATGTACGGGACGTAGCGGCGTCAGGAACCTCCCCCACTGCCTCTACGAGATTTACATACTGGATCCGGGGCGCTAAGACCATGAGTCATCCGGAAGATGGGGCGTCTGTTTGGCCGTGCTTGTTTTATTACATCTGTTTGTCCATGCTTGTACACCGCATACTCAAACTCAACCCAAACCATCATCATGTCCATTGGAGTGCCTTACCATTGAACGTCGCATCGCAGGAGTCCCCGAGCTCCTCTGATCTGCCATGAAGTGAGATTTTCGCCCACTTACGGCTTGAGCGCTCGGAATCCTGACTTGTCCGCGTCTTCCGCAACAAATAACGCGCCTTCCTCCATACCGAAAGGCTTCCCCGATGATAGGTGCTTCCTTCCCTCCACCGATGCTGTGGTTGTCTGTTTTCATTTGTGCAAAGGTGAGTCATCGATCTTCCCACTCAGCGACAATGAGCATCAAGAACAGCCATGGCGTGGTGACTCATCTCCTTGCACAGCGCCGCGCATTCGCGGGTCCTGTCCTGCCCCAGTCACGGATACCGTAACCTGATTGTCATTGCAAAAGCGCGCAGATTGCTTCACCTTCTCTCCGAAAGCCCGAGCTAAGTCAGTCGAATCTATGTCACGGAATCCCGAGGAGGAGAAGGCGTCTCCGAGTCCGGCTTCCGTATCTCTTCTTTGCGGAGCCTTCACTTGCGCTGCAGGTCCTCTACTTGCGCTGCGCAGTACTGCGCCAGAGCCAGGGAAGCGCCGGAGGAACTTAGCTTACGAGAACGGAAGAACTCAATCCATGCGCTAGCTACCAGCGCTACGATTCGATAGCACTCGATACTACGACAATAGCGCGAACCCAGGCGTGATCAACAGGCGCTACACGGTAGCGCGGCGAAACGCTGATGGGTGACTCGTACTAAGTGGCTGAGTCGCGTCCGCGGTCATCGCACGCATCGCACAGCCAGACGCGAACACTATTGATTCCGTCCTTGGACGCGATGTCATTGATTCCGACCTGGTACGTCGAGTGGATCAGGCCGACCTCGGCATGCGAGGGGTACTTATAGCAGGATGCGATGGGGCTGACAGACCACTGTTCCATTCACATCGCACCTCATTGACGTCTGCAGCTCGACTGGTTACTCGTGCGCCATTGTTCTTTCCTCCCCATTGTTCCCTCTCATAGATTCCTCGCACCTAGCTTCCTCGCACCTAGATCCCCTTGCAACTAGACCCATCTACACACCATGGTCACCGCTGTCTCTTCCTCCACATACAACTCCCCCGCCTCATCGCCCGTGAAGAGGCGGGGCTCCGTCGCTGGCATCTATACTGTGCCTCTTACTGGCGCTCATGGATTGAACTCGCCACTCTCGCCTCTAGCATCACGGAGGCAATTCCTCCCCGGACCCTCCTCTTCATCCAACGGTCTCCTCAGCAATTGGTACACGCAGAACGCCAAGGAGGTCGAGCTATACAAGTAAGTGGCTATCACAGGGTTCAATAAAATGAAGCTCACCTACCTTATAGGGACGGAAAGGCGGTCATCGTCGATGGGCAGACACTCTCGATCGCAGCCGTCGCCGCGACGGCGCGTCATGGCGCGTCTGTTCAACTTTCCAACTCGCACCATGTCCGCCGTCGCGTAGAAAAGAGCCTGCAGGCCATCTCGGACAAGGTGGATAACGGGATATCGGTCTATGGGGGTGAGTTTTGCCCCACCAAGAATTATAATTCAGGCCGAGCGCTCAAACAAATCAACTAACGATCTGCTATAGTGACGACCGGTTTCGGCGGCAGCGCGGACACGCGGACAGACTCTCCGGGCGTGCTCGGGCATGCATTGCTGCAGATGCAGCACATCGGCGTGCTGCCGACGCAGCTCACGCGCGCTCCGCGCAGCCTGCCACTGAACGCAGACCCGCTCGCGGCGCACAGCATGCCCGAGGCGTGGGTGCGCGGCGCGATGCTCATCCGCATGAACTCGCTCATTCGCGGGCACTCGGGTGTGCGCTTCGAGCTCATCGAGAAGATGGGCGAGGTGCTGAACGCGGGTATCACGCCCGTCGTACCGCTGCGCGGCTCGATCTCGGCGTCGGGGGGTGAGTGCTGGACTGCTTCTGTTGTGTGCGCCGTATAGTGACCGTTCTGACGGCTTCGATTGCAGACCTTAGCCCGCTGTCGTACATTGCGGGGACGGTTATTGGGAATCCCACGATCTACTGCTTCGACGGGGTGTCGACTGCGCGCGGTCGCGATGTTAAGCCAGCCGACGAGGCCCTGAGAGCGCATGGCATCGAGCCTCTCCCGTCACTGTCGTCGAAGGAGCCCCTGGGCATTCTGAATGGCACGGGTATGTATATTCGGGTTTGTAAACAAGCTACTATTGCTGACTGGCCTTCCCCTCAGCCTTCTCTGCTTCCGTTGGTGCACTCGCCGCCAACGAAGCGACCCAACTTGCCCTCCTTACACACGTCTGCACCGCGATGGGCGTGGAGGCCATGAACGGCACCCGCGGCTCCTTCGACCCATTCATCCACGATGTCGCGAGGCCGCATCCGGGGCAGATCGAGTCGGCGAGGCTGATTTGGGAGCTCTTGGAGGGCAGCCAGTTGGCGCAAGGGGAGGGGAAGGAGGTCACGATTGAGGAGGATACGGGAAAGCTGCGCCAGGACAGGTATTCGCTGCGTACTGCTCCGCAGTTCCTGGGTCCGCAAATTGAGGATCTGCTCCACTCGTTGCAGACGCTGCTGACGGAGGTCAACTCGAGTGAGTGTGCTTCTGTAAATGACGACGTCCTTTTCACTGAACATCTGCAGCCACGGACAATCCCCTGATCGACGGTGAGAGTGGCCGTGTGCACAATGGTGGTAGTAAGTCTTCGTGTGTCTTGTCTGGGATCCAATTCTAACGGTACATAGACTTTCAGGCTATGGCCGTCACGAATGCGATGGAGAAGACGCGCCTGTCTCTGCACCACCTCGGCAAGCTCATCTTCGCTCAAAGCGCGGAGCTCGTGACACCGTCCATGAACCACGGCCTGCCGCCGTCTCTCGCAGCGACGGATCCATCCTTGGACTACCACGGCAAAGGCATCGATATCGCTACAGCAGTGCGTTCATCTGTTATTGGTACTGCTCCGAGCCTCATGATTATCTAGGCATACGTCGCGGAGTTGGGATACCTGGCAAACCCTGTCAGCACTCACATTCAGAGCGCGTAAGTAAAAATTACATCCTGCGCAAGCTCGACCTAACGATGGATTCCGTGCAGAGAGATGCACAACCAGTCGGTCAACAGCTTGGCTCTGATATCAGCCCGCCAAACGATTACCTCCCTGGACGTGTTGACAATACTGATCTCGTCGTACCTATACATGCTCTGCCAGGGTATGCATTCTCGATGCCTTGCCACGTTCTCAGCTAACGGGAACCTCCAGCCCTGGACCTCCGTGCTATGCAATCTGAGTTCTGCCGCGGCTTTGACAACATCATCGTCGAGGAATTTTCCACCATCTTCGCCTCCTCCCTCGACGAGTCCGAGCAGGACACACTCCTTAAGCGCATCACCGACGAGCTCCATGACGCCTTCGAGAACACGAGCACCATGGATACGCCGGAGCGGATGAAGAAGGTCGCCGCAGCCAGCACCACCGCCTTCGTCGACTTCTTCACCGCGCACCCTCGGGAGGACGAGGCTTGTGATGCCAGGTGTTATGCGTCCATCGCCGTCTTCCGCTCGCGTGTAGCCAGCCGTGCCGGCGCACACCTCAATGACTTGCGGAGGGCATACCTTTCGGGCGAGCGCGGGCCTGCGCCGGCGACTGCGTATCTCGGGAAGACGAAGCCATTCTACGAGTTCGTTCGCGTCGACCTCGGCGTGTGCATGCACGGCGCGGAGAATCTGGACCGCTTCTCTAATGGTATGGGTGTCGACGATGTGACTATTGGGCAGAAGATTTCTGTCATCAACGAGGTGAGTAGTTGCAATCGAAGATGCTTATCCGTTTGACTGACGATGGCTCTCAGGCTATCCGGGATGGTCAGATGCAGTCGACCATCGTGTCTGCCTTGTCGTCGCTGCCTAGCTTTGCATGATTTTTCCACGTATTTTTCACCCTGATTTATCTGTAGCACCATCTTGTACTCGGCTATCAACCGCATAAATCCTCCTGTATATTTATCGCTAATGTATGTACCTGTTAATCATAGAGCTTTATAGAGCTTACTTCGTCGATCTCCTGCAGTGCGGTATTGCTGCTGATGTGAAGGCTGCCGTGCCGCGGCCGAACCCGTCTCCCTTTTCCAATCCCGCCTGAGTCACTCCTTCAGATAGAGAACGATATGACTGATCTATGCGCCGAGCTCCTTGACCACTACCTTATAGCAGTGCTGAACCCTCATTATGGCCCCCAACATGGATGACAAGATCCTCATCGTCGGCGCAGGCTGCTTTGGGATATCGACTGCATACCATCTACTGAAAAGGGGTTTCACGAATGTGGGTCCAACGCGATTATGACCTTTCTTGATGAGAGTTCCGGCCATACAGGTATACAGAGTCTAACTCGTTGTGCTACAGATTACCCTACTGGAAAGATCAGGCGTGCTGCCTGCCGTCGATGGAAGTTCTAACGATTTCAATCGTATCGTGCGCTCGTCTTATAGCGACAAGTTCTACGCCCAACTCGCGCTCGACGCCATCAAGACGTGGAAGACGGACTTATACAAGGATGCGTATCATGAGTTGGTCTATCTGTCACAGTGTACAGTAATAAGCAGCGCTCACGAAAGTGCAGATGCGGCGTCCTCGTTCTGGGATCGAACGGCCACTCAGAGTATAAGGACGCTGCCCTGAAGCACGATAAGGAAATGGGTCTCGATCTCGTGGACTTAGGGAAATCCGAAGCTCTGCGAACGGCGATCCCGGAGGGAATCAAAGCGGGCTCGTTTGAGGGCTACACCGGCTATCTCAATCGCAACGCAGGTTGGGCAATGGCGTCGCAAGGGTGAGATTATTCGCCCCTCATCTGAATCTGCACTGACCACTGACCCGTGCTAGCCTGGAGCTGCTCACTAACGAGGTAAAAGCCCTAGGGGCGACCATCCTGACGGGAAAGACCGTGAGCCAGCTCCTGCGCGAAGACGGTCAGACGAAGGGGGTCATCTGCACGGACGAGAGCACGTACGAAGCCGCGCTCGTCGTGCTCGCTACCGGTGCTTGGACCGGCTCGACCTTTAATGCTGACCTTGATTGCACTGCATTGTGCACGGCGACGGGGTAAGGGACGAGCATGGCCGAGACGCTACATCAGATACTGACTGACCCCCTTCGCAGCCAGTCCGTCGCCATGGTCCAGCTGACGGAAAAAGAGGCGGTTCTGTACCGCAAGGCCCCGGTGGTGCTGGAGTTCTCGTCAGGCTTCTACGTCTTCCCTGTAGGTCGTTAGTACCTCGTGGGTAGCCGATTTGTCTCACGTTTTCCCCAAAAGCCGAACGTGAAGAATGTCGTTAAAATGGCCATTCACAACGTCGGTGTGACGAATAAGAGGGACGGAAACGTCTCTACGCCGAGAACTGTCGTCACGAACCCCATCGACGGTCTGGCCATCCCCAAGAAGTCGGTGACCGCTTTGAGGGAAGGGCTGCGAAAGATATACCCAGAGCTCGCCAAGCGTCCATTCGTGGCTACACGACTGTGCTGGTACAACGACACACCGGTTAGTCAATCGGACGTCTTGACGAGGAAGGATGCTCACTATGATGTTTGTCCAGGACGGCGACTGGCTCATCGGGAGCAAGCCTGGCGACCCGGGACTCTTCTTCGCCACAGGTGGTTCAGGACATGCATACAAGTTCTTGCCGGTCATTGGCAGGCTAGTGGCAGATGCCATCGAGGGTAAGCTGCCCGAGGAGCTGGTGAAGAAATTCGCAGTCGATCGCGCCTGGGGACCACCGGATCTTTCGCGTGAGGGCTATGCGCAGGGTCCGCTGGAGATCGACCTGGAAGAGCTTGCGAAGAACGCCGATGATCTCACTCCTGTTCGGTAGAAGAGAGTACGCACCAGAAACGTCAATTCCATGCAAAATCCAATTCACGCAGCAAAGTCCTCTATCAGTCAGTGAATTCAAGGTAACGTCCCCGCCGCTAGGGACGAGCACTAGTAGTAGTGCTGGTGACAAAAAAGGGTGCAATAGTATACAATGGAATGCGACGTTGGCTGATTCCTTTTGCGGCTGGCCAATTAGATGGTTATACGTATCCTAGATCCCCCCTCTCTATGCTCGTCTCCCGACCCACTCTGCCCACGACTTGACCTCGCTCGGGATGCGGCCCTCGTCGTATTTGTTGAGGCCGCCCTCGGGAATTTTGCGCGCCAGGCTCTCCACCCAGAGCTCGGCGGTGCGCGCATTGTTGAGGAGCGGAAGGCCGAAATCGACGGCGTTCCTGTAGGTCAATGTCAGCATCATGATCGCTAGGACACCCAAGCTGTGACACTCACCGACGCGCCACATAATCCTCATCCACGAACGTCGTCGCCCTGGCCTGCGCCAGGTTGATAACGCACTGGATATCGTACTGATCGAACACCTCGCGCAGCTTCCGCTTGTCCTTCTTCGGGAAGAAGATCTTCTTGGCCGTCACGTAGGGGATGTTGTTCAGGTAGTCCTCGACCTCCGGCGACGAGCAGTACAGCTTGAAGCCGAGCTCCGTCAGGCGCTTCGCGATGTGCTCCATCTCGGGGCGCTCGATGTCGCCGCCGAGGAGGACGCCGGAGTTCTTCGAGGGGACCTTGAAGCCGGTGGTGCTGAGCAGCGACGCCCAGTACGCCTCGTAGATGTCCTTGCCGAAGCTGGCGACCTCGCCCGTGCTGGCCATCTCGACACCCAAGAAGGGATCCGCGCCAGGCAGACGCGTCCACGAGAACTGCGAGACCTTGACCGCGCAGTAATCCCGCTTCTCCTTCATCAAGTCGACCGGCTCCGGCACGTTTTGCCCAACGATCGCCGAGGTTGCCGTGTCGATGAAGTTGTGCCCGAGGACCTTGCTCACGAAGGGGAAAGACCGCGACGCGCGCAGGTTGCACTCGATGATGCGCAGCGCAGCGTCCTCGCCCTCCTTCGCCGGCGGCTCGCGGATGACCTGCATATTGTACGGTCCCGAGATCTCGAACGCCGCCCCGACACGCTCCGCGATGTCCTTCAAGCGCTCCATATCCCGCGGCGGGATCGAAAACGGCGGCAGCACGAGCGTCGCGTCGCCCGAGTGCACGCCCGCGTTCTCGACGTGCTCGGAGACGGCGTGCACGAGAAGCTTCCCGTTGTGCGCGACCGCGTCAATGTCGATCTCCTGCGCGCCGTCGATGAACTTGGTGATGACGACCGGGTGGAGGGGCGAGACGGAGGCCGCGGCGGAGAGGTTGTACTCGAGCTGGGCCTCCTCGCGGACGACATTCATGGCGGCACCAGAGAGGACGTAGGACGGGCGGATGAGGACGGGGTAGCCGACGCGGTCGGCGAAGGCCTTGGCATCCTCGAGGGAGGTCGCTTCAGTCCAGGCGGGTTGATCCAGGCCGATGCTGTCGATGACCGCGGAGAACTTGTGGCGGTCCTCGGCGTTGTCGATCTGCTGCGGATCCGTGCCGAGGACGTTGACATTGTTCTGCTTCAAGCGCAGGGCGATGTTCTGCGGGAGTTGGCCGCCCACGCTGACCACCGCGCCCTGCGCCTGCTCCAGCTCGTAGATATCCATGACCCTCTCAAAGCCGAGCTCCTCGAAGTACAGCCGATCCGCCTCATCAAAGTCCGTCGACACCGTCTCCGGGTTGTAGTTGATCATGATCGTCTTGTTGCCCATATCCCTCAACCGCCGCGCACACGTCACCGCACACCAGTCGAACTCGACACTCGAGCCAATGCGGTACACGCCGCTGCCCAGAACCATCGTGCCGTGCTCGTCAAACTCGACGTCGTGCGTCTGCGCGTTGTACGTCGTGTACAGGTAGTTCGTGTGCGCGGGGAACTCGGCCGCGAGCGTGTCGATGCGCTTGACGAAGGGTGTGACGGAGAGCGACTTGCGGTGCGCGCGGACGACGTCCTCGGTCGAGTTGACGAGGTCGGCGATCTGAGAGTCGGAGAAGCCCATCTTCTTGGCGTGCTTCATGAGTTCCTCGTCGATCTTCTCGACGGAGCCGAGAGCCTTGAGCTGGCGGTGCGTCTGGACGATGTTGTCGATCTTGTAGAGGTACCACTGAAGTATGTGTTAGCAACGGCAGAGGACAGCGAACATCGTGACCACCGACCTTGTCAATCTTCGTAAGATCATGAACCTTGTCGACCGAGTAGCCCTTGTTGTACATCGCATACGCCACCGCGAATAACCTCATATCCGTCGGGCGGCTCAAGACATCGTCCAAATCCTCCGGCTCAATGTACGCCTCGAAGCCCTTCCACCGCGGGTCGACCTGGCGGATGGCCTTCTGCAGCGACTCCTCGAACGTGCGCCCGATGGCCATGACCTCGCCGACGGACTTCATCGCCGAGCCGACGTGGCGATCGACCTGGGTAGAGAACTTCGCCAGGTCCCACTTCGGGATCTTGGTGACGATGTAGTCGAGGGAGGGCTCGAAGCAGGCCGTGGTGGTCTTGGTGACCGCGTTGGGGAGCTCGGGGAGGGTGTGCCCGAGGGCGATCTTCGCGGCGGTGTAGGCGAGGGGGTAACCGGTAGCTTTGGACGCGAGAGCGCTGGAGCGACTCAAACTGCAAGGAGCGTCTTAGCATAGGTCCAATGGACAAGAAGTAAATAGAGGCGTACCGAGCATTGACCTCAATGACGCAGTATTCCTTGGACGAGGGGTGCAGCGCGTACTGGATGTTGCACTCGCCGACGACACCGAGATGACGAATGGTCTTGATCGCCGCGCTCCGGAGCATATGGTACTCATCGTCCGGTAATGTCTGCGACGGAGCAACTACGATAGAGTCACCCGTGTGCGTGCCGAGGGGGTCGAAATTCTCCATGTTGCAGCAGATGATCGTGTTCTGCACAAAGAGGTGAATAGACGCGGGAGGAAGTACGATAAGTATACGCACATCCGCACCGTCGCGAACGACCTCGTACTCGAGCTCCTTCCACCCCTTCATGCTGCGCTCAATGAGCACCTGAGGGGATAGCGAGAGCGACTTGGCCGAGAGATCGCGCAGTTCGTCCGGGTTTTCCGCGAAGCCAGAGCCGAGACCACCGAGAGTGAATGCCGAGCGAAGGATGACGGGGTAGCCGATGGTCTCCGCGGCCTGCAGGGCAGCGTTGACCGACGAGACAGCCGTAGACTGGGCGACCGGGATGTCAATTTCTGCAACGGCGTCAGTTGAATGCACCGTGCCATGAGGCAGTATCACGCACCCTTCAAAGCCTGCACGAAGAGGTCGCGATCCTCCGAAACCTCCAGTGTCCGAATGGGAGTACCGAGAACCTGAACACCGAGCCGTTCGAGGACACCCATATGATCGAGCGCAATGCCGACGTTGAGCGCGCTCTGTCCACCGAAGGTGAGCAGGATACCGTCCGGACGCTCCTTCTCCAGCACGTATGCGACGTAGTCCGCAGTGATGGGGAGGAAGTAAACCTGGGAAGCCAACTGGTGCGAGGTCTGCCATGTCGCAATGTTCGGGTTGATGAGGATAGCCTCGATGCCCTCCTCGCTGAGCGCCTTGAGCGCCTGGGACCCCGAGTAGTCGAACTCGCCCGCCTGGCCGATACTGAGACCGCCAGAGCCGACGACGAGCACCTTCTTCACGTCCGGGCGCGGGAGCTTGGGCAGGACCTTCGCGGATATCTTGCGCGCGAGCTCGGAGGGTGAGTTGAGTACGTGTCCGTCGCCGTCCTCGGGAGTGTAGTTACCGACCGCGGGTGCTGCGACCGCGCGGACGGGCTTGGTGGGCACGATAGCGCGGGCTGCACGCGTGGTGTGGAATGTGCGCGTCCATTGTCGACCAATGCCAGCGAGGGCAGACGACCGGAGTCGACAGAGGCTCATGGCTGAGCGCCGCCGACAGCGGTGATGGGCTAGCGGAGGAGGACGGTGTTGGGAGGAAGCAAGCGCGTCGAAGAATGACTCCGCGAAGTCCCCAAAATTTGTAGACCAGTCAAAGCGTCATTTACTATCTTTCCCCATTTGGTTTACGCGTCGTGCTTCGGCCGAGGTGCCGAATTCAGCAAGACTTCTCTTGCTCTCGACTTGCATGGTCGACAGCGCAGGGCGCAGGTTTCTCTCCGGGAAGGAGCGCGAGGGAATTGGAGAATATCAGTAAAGGGAGCGTCTACATCTCGTAAAGCTCTCAGCTGGTTGGGGCGATCGCTATTTGTCCATGACTCACTTCATGGCAAACGTCAGTCGTGCTTGACTCGACGGCCTGAACGCATGATCACAGGTCAGTGTACATGTTGTATCTGAAGAATAAGGGTGAGCAGGACATGCTCGGCGGTACAGTCTTGCCCAACATAACTTACAAGCCATATAGGCGCCCAATGCCGGAACCTCGGCCCGACCTCACTTATTCCGTGCCGACGACGCGCTCATCTTGTTCATGTTCTGCGTCTCTCGCGCGACGCGCCTGCTTTCTCCTCGTCTTGGCCTTTCCCTCTGCGCTCGCTCCTCTCTTGCACGCACATTTTCTCTCTCTACTCGCTCAGCATCCCGGTGGTCCTACAAGCCTGCACGCCCGCGCATAAAGATGGCACAACCCGTAGCAAATTCCCTCAGCCCGCTCGCGTACGACGACGGACCCATCGTGTGGGTGGACTGCGAGATGACGGGGCTGGACCATAACAAGGATAAGATCATTGAGATTGCGGTCAGCTATGTGCATGTCGAAGTATGCGCGTGTTGCTGAACAAGCGCGTCGCAGGTCTTGATCACGAACGGGAACCTGGAGATCGTAGACGAGGGCGTCGAATACATCATTCGGACGGACAAGTCCGTGTTGGATGGGTGCGTCTGGCCCCTCGCATATGATGCACTCTGCTCACCTACTCGCCAAGCCAGGATGGATGAGTGGTGTACGACCCAGCATGGCAAAGTGAGCATCCTGCCCTCCCCCTCCCCCTCCTTGTCCTTATTCTCCCCCCCCCCTATTAACCTAACACCCACCCCCAGTCCGGCCTCACCGCCGCCTGCCTCGCCTCCCCACACACCACTTCCTCCGCCGAGTCCGCCGTCCTCGCCTACATACAGAAATGGGTCCCGACGCAGCGCACGGCCGTCCTCGCAGGCAACTCCGTACACGTCGACCGCATGTTCCTCGCGAATGAGATGCCGAGGCTAGTAGATTGGCTGCATTATCGGTGAGTGGCCGCGTTCTTGGGGACGTTGAGAGGGGAGGTTTGGTGTTGGGAGAGATGTAGCCGATGAATTTACCGTTTTCGATAGGATAATCGACGTTTCTTCTATCAAGGTGCGCATATTTCCTCTGCTATCTACATCCTGGACCTCATTGTCTTTGTTGAAGGAACTCGCCCGCCGATGGTACCCCCAAATCCCGGTACCTAAGTTGTCAGAGTCGAGCCACAGAGCACTGGACGACATCAAGGGTTCAATCGCAGGTACGTCGGCGCGTAGTTATTGTCTTTGCGTAGTCTGACGCCCTCCAGAGCTACGCTGGTATCGCGAGAACATCTTCAAGGCGGTGCCGAAGCTCAAGTCGCCACCACCTTCGCCGCCGAGGGCGAAGTAGCGAACACCTGGCCAGGATGGTTGCCACTGCACATACTTATATGCCTTTACCTTTCGCATATTTCGAGGGCTTGCTGGTTTCTCGAACGGAATGAATGATCATGACTCCAGAATCGGCTCCACAATCATCACTCCCGAGTGAAGCGCTCGTTAAATGTATGTTCTGAGGCATTAAGTAAAGGAAGATGTGTATCGCGTAAAACATCAAAAGTATGTCGTTCAAAGAAAATATGACGTTCAAAGGTACATCAAGCCAACATCAAGCAATCGTGGTATACGTCGTGGCCTAAGGAGCAGGCGTCTGCTCACTTCGCCCCGTCCCTGCGTGCGTCGCGCTCTTCCTCAGCCGCTTCGCCTTCGACGGCCCATCCTCCGCATCCTGCCCCGGGACCTCCGACGTCCGGCCCCGCTTCAGCCCGCTCTTCCCGGACCCCTTCGCGCTCTTCCCGTTGCCCATCGCGGTCTTGCCGATGCCCTTCGCGCTCTTGCGCGGCTTGCGCTTCTTCTCCTTGAGCTCCTCCTCGTCAGAAGAGGACGCGTCGAGCTCCCCCTTCCCGGGCTTGTACGACGCGTCGAGCCCGCGGCGGCTGCGGCGGCGGGCGGCCTTGGCTTTGCTGCTCTCGCCGGCGAGCTTTCCCTTCTCGCCCTCAGCCTTGGTCTTGTCGCCGATGAGCTGCTTGCCCTTGCTGCCCTCGCCCGACTTCCGCGTCGGGCTCCGCTGGGACTCGTTGTCGTCCTCCTCATCGCTCTCCCCCTCCGTCAGCACATAATCGTCCTCGTCCCCATCCTCATCCACCGAAGGCGTCGCCGTCCTGCCCCGCTGCAGAATCGACCCCCCGCCCGAGGCCACCGTGCTCAGCGACTCCGCGCCCGACACCGGCTTCTTCGGCGACCGCCACTGCCCGCCCAGATAGTGCTGATGCAACGGCGACGACGGCTGGCTCCCCGCCGCCGACGCATTCCCGTAGTCCCGCGCCGTGATCAGGGGCCGCGTCCTCAGCAGCCGCACCGTCTCCCCCTCCGCGGGCAGGTAGTACACCTCGCCCTCGCGCAGGATGTCGACACCGGTGAGCTTGCGGAGGTTGCCGACAACGTACGGGTCGAGGTCGAGCTGCTCGACGTCCTTGATGCCGCGCACACCGTCGTCGTAGGCCGCGATGCCGTGGTCCTCGATCTCTTCATCCTCCATGACCTCTTGATTGCCGAGGGAGCAGCCGGGGACAAGGAAGTAGAAGCGCTGCTGGTTTTCCTCGCGCGGGATGCTAATTTTGTGGTACCGGCAGTTGGCGCGGGTCACGGCGCGCGTCGTCGAGATGGCTGCTGCCAGCGTCCTCGCTGATTTTGTGCGTCGTGGCGGGGCGGAGGCTGAGGCAGATGAAGCGCTCGAGCCGCTCCCATCCGATGGTGGCGCCGACGACGAGCTCGCCACCGAGCTTGCGCGCTTTGGGGGAGCCGGTTGCGGGGTGGGCAGAGGCACGCCATTCATCCTGCGCTGGATTTGCTGGAACATAGTCGCCGGAGCGGCTTTGCGATGCTGATGGTGCATATTCCAAGCAGCGCCTATAGGCGCAGCGGCCACAGGGGATGGCGCAGCTTGCGGCGGTGTGGGCTCGCGCTCCTTAGTTGGCGCGACATCCACAGAAGATGCCCGAGAGCTAGGCGCCTCCAGCATGCGCGCCGCGGCACTCGCGCCTGACGTTGAGGCCGTCGAAGGGGTTTGAGCACGCTCCTTGCCTTTGGTAGAGCGTTTCGCAGGCGGCGGAGAAGCATCACGAGCCTCCTCCTCCTCCTCTTCCTCTTCCTCTTCCGTAGAATCTTCCTCCAGTTTCGCCCTCTTGGCCCGCCGTCCCGTGGTCCGAAGTCCAACTTTCCTCGACGGGCGTTGACGCGACCGCGAAGGCGCACGCTTGCGCTGCTGAGGCGGCTCGGATTCCGAACCCGACGTGGTGAGAGATGAAGTAGAGGATATGGATCGCGCCCGCTTTTGCGGCAAGGGTTTCTCATGATTGCTGGGAATAGCCTGAGGGCGTGGGGACGCTTCGGTATGTTCTGGGGTAGGTCCACGGCCGTGAGAGGCGGCATCTGCAGCGAGATCCTCAGCCGCGGGAGTAGACGAATCTGGCTCCGGTAGACTTTGGAAGAGATATAAGTGAGTCCGGGCGAAGCGGGGAAGAGGAAGGCGGAGTACTCACGACGATAATGGCTTTGCGGGGGAAGCGCCATGCTGCTCAATAGAGTCAGATTGGCTACCGGCCCCGACCGTCGACATATCTCCAGGTGTTTGGGCGTCCTGGTGATCAATGGGATCCGTTCTGCCGTCAATAGACTCCTCCGCAACGACCTCATCGACTTCAGCCGCCTCGTGTGAGTGGGAGTGCGGGGTGGGGGACTTTGAGCGATGGTGGGCCGCCGCGCTGTCTTCGACCGCAGCTTCTTCCCTGGCATCCACGACGTCCGCGATGCTTGGCGGCTCTTCCTCCACTGGTTCAGGCACTGCGACTACCTCACCGCCCTCGTTGGCTATCTCGACGTCCACCGTATCCGCATCCTTGACGTCAGGTTGAGACGTAGCCAAGGCCTCTGCCTCGTGCTGCGACGGTGTTGCTTGTGCTGTCAGTGCCTCGTCAGGGAGAATTCTCGCTCCATCGTCCACCAGAACAGCCTGATCCCCAAGAGGTTGCTCTCCAGCTTCAGCGCTGTCTGTCGTTGCGAAAGACGAGTCCTCGCCGGTTGCACTCTCCTCGTCCTCTTCCGACTCCGACTCAGCAGCTGGTATATTGGGATTGCTGAGGATTGCGGGATATGGTTCACCGATAAAGACGGGGAGCTGAGGGATCACACCCAGGGTGACGCCCTCGTGCGGTGAAGGCGGACGGTCAGCGGAAGCAGGAGGTAGTGCTGAGTGCAAGTTCATGTCTTCGACGTCCTGAAGCTGCGCAGGAGTAGGCTCCTCCTGTGCAGGTGAAGCATTCTCCTAAGTTTTAGTCAGATAGATTTCTCGCTGAAAAATGCAGTGGCGACGTACTTCGGTTGTAGATGGCAGCGCCGCAGCCTCATCAGGTGCAGCTTCACCCTTGCCAGTGGATACGGACGCTTCGACTTCGACGGGGTGCGCTGTTTCTGCATCGTCCTGAGGCTTCTCGGCGCTTCCATCCGCTACGTCTAGGTCGATCTCCCCCTCAGCATCAACATCCTGGGCCTGGTGTGGATCCTCGACTGGCGGCACAGACGAGCTATCGGCCTCCGCTCCTGCGCGCGCATCCTCCTCATCGTCAAGTTCGAAGACGTGCATGTCTTCTTTGCGCAAAGGACCGGCTGTAGCGAGCGGAGACGACGGATGGAAGCCGAGCTCAGCTTCCAGCTCCGCGATGTTGTGCGAGGCAGCGTGGGCGTTGGTAGCAAAGTCCCCATTCTGCATGTCGACAGAGAAGTCGGGATAGGTATCAAACATGGTAGCCGTATTCACGCCTTCGCCCGACGAGTCGAACAGCGCCTGCCACTGCGCCGTGAGCGGAGAGACACCATCCTGCGTCGAAGAGGGGGTCACAAACGGATCGAGCGACAGCGATGGATACGGTGCATTGCCGATCGCTTGCGCAACCGAGTCAATGTTGGAGACGGGTGGGAGTGTTTCCGTGTTAGGCGCTGAGTCCTGGGCAGCAGGAGCACCTAGCGGTTCGTGGGCGATCGCAGGTTGAGAGGACTCAGGCCGTGGTGCCAAGTTCTCCGCAAGCTGAGGAGCGTTGACTTCTGGCGGCTCCTGAGTCGCCTCGGCCGCCTCAGGCGAGGGCGACCTAGGTGATTCTTGCGCGGGACGTGTGGTATCAGCAGCTTGTGCATCCAGCTTCGGGGACGGGCTACGACTAGATACTACGACAGCGTCAGAATGCGGCGGATAGAAAGGCCTTTGGCACGTACTGTCGCTACCAGTGTATTCATTGTCTGCGTGGGACGCCATAGGCTTCGCGATATTTTCCGGCGCGTGATGTGCGTCCGACCGTAAGTGGCCATCCTCATCGACATGTACCGTCTGTATCCTGTCCCTCTCGTCCATGTCGTAGAGGTTCTGATCGCTGATACGTCCATCCGCTACCATTTCGGCAATCTCATCTTCCACGCCGTCCCAGTCGACCGATGGGATAGACATGTCAACATCTGCAGAGCCTATTTTGTCGGCGTCTTGACCGTCTCGGAGGTGGGCCAGCGGGGCGTCACCACCGGTGTATAGGTCTTCTGCGTATGCCAGCGCCGGATTCCAGGGGTCGCGTATGTCGACCTCGCGATCCTCCACAGCTGCCTCGGGCTCAAGGGGCAGAGTGTCGCAAATCGGTGGCGAGCGAGGATCTGTATGTTTCGTGAGGACATTGAAAAGAATTCACTTGTGGCCACACACCCGCATTCGGAATGGCCTCGGGCACTGCATCTTGCGCATTCTCGACGCGTCTTTCGTCCTCTTCTGCTTCTTCGAGGCGGCTCGGACTGGAAGGGTGATTCTTGACAATAGCTCGATCACCGCCCTTGTAGTAGTCTTCAGCGTAAGCTTCGGCACCTTCCCAGGGGTCGACTATGTCTGGAGGTCTCGGCGCAGCTAGACGGGCAGATGGCATACTAGAGGCGCGGGGAGGGGGGAATGAGGTGTCGTCCTCGAGGGGTTGTTCATCATCATCTTCCACCTGTGATAGAGAGCGCACGACCGTCGCAGCGTCGGCCTCGTCCCCTTCCTCGTCATCCTCCTGGGAAACATATTCAATCTCAGCGCTTTCGCGTGAGGATGAACGGGTGTAAGCGTGAGCTTTTGAAGACGACGCGCGCTGGAGCCACTCCTTCTCGTAGGTTTCCGTGTCGTATTCTTCGTCATCTCGGAAGACATCCTGAGAGCCGTCTTCGCTTTCCTCCGTGGCCTCCTCGCTACCACTGCGCGAGGACGCGGACGCCTGGTCGCCGTCACTGTCGGTGACGTCGGCGTAGTTGTTCCAAGAGCCATGGTTGGGCCTCTCGCGTGGGTCCCTCTCCTTTCCCTTCGCCTTGCTGGACTTTGGGACGAGCTCTTCCACCTCCTCCGATTCACTGTCCGAAAGCTGATCGGCCACTTCGGTCGCGAGCTCCGCGTCATGCTGGGACTCTGCCGGTTCATCTGCAAACAGAGTGTCTGGTAGACGCGATTGGGGGCGTTCTGGTTTGTATTCGAAGCCCAGGGCGGATCGGAGTGTGCCAGTGAGATCCCCGATCCAATTGTCGAATTCTGGCTGCGAGAACTTCTCGTAGGGGTTGACTATTGGAGCGCGCTGGTGTCGCTTTCCGGTCGCCATGGTGGTCGTAGAAATAATGCGTGTGGAATGGGGGAATGAGTAGCGGCACGATGCGGTAGCGGTCAAGACCTCATTGTGACAATCCAGAGACACGGAACGCGATTGTTCGTGCTTGTCATTGTCGGCACGTGGCCAACTTCGGCAAAAGCCGAATAGTAGGACCTACTCGGACCCATACGTTCGTTTTCAGCATGCAAAGCACGCTTCCCTTGTTCATGAATCTTCTGTACATCCGCTCTAGTAATTTACCAATAACCGATAACTTTCTCGACGGACATTAAGGTGACACCGGTAGAGCAGCCTGACAGGTCCCGATAGCCCCCTTCCATCCTGGAGGACCTTCGGTTGGGATGGAAGCTCAGATGTGATGGCACTACACTCGACACAAGCGCAGGAAGAGCTACTCGACCAAGGCTCTCATCATCAATGTTAGTCTGCAGGTGGCCCTAGTGGACTCTTCTCCTCACCGAAGCCCCCACTTCTCAAAGCATTCCGTAAGAAACAGGGCAAGGCGTAAAACCGATACGATGATCTATCTGTTCGTATATAGAACATGGCCACAATCCTCATAGTTCAGAGCACTCTCGCAACAATAACTTCCTTGTCGACATCTACGACAGTCATCAGAATGGTACTTAACCACATATTGGCCCGCGCGCAGTACATGGTCAACACTACCAACAATGGTCTGGACTGAAGCTAGCGTCCTCAGTTCGAATTCAAGGTAATCAGACCACGGGCTATCCCCGATCACTCGTCCGCCTACGCCGGCTTCAGAAGTCAGACAAGGCCCACTCAGAACTTCGAGTGATGCCCCCGGCGGACGTGCTCGCGCCCATGGCTGATCGGCAACATAAGCTTGTCCGCCGTTGAATGACCGGCTCGAGCAAAGTATGTCACTATCCCGCATACGGACGCTCGAGAAGCCCTTCTGGGACCTCTGATGTAGCGCCGAATGATAGCGTATGTCATGGGATCAACGGAGTTTGCGAAGGAGGATCCTTAATGACATCGGTGCGCGCTAGCCAGGGCAGACGCGCGCCGCCCATCGCGCCACAGGATCGAGAAGAGCACGCCGTAAAGGGCATGAATGCCTGGTTTTTCGTCCTTGGTCGCTAGCGGACAGGTCAGCATGGTAGAATGTGTTAGACTGTGCCGCCCACGCTGGAAGTCGTGCACAGTTGTATATGTTTTCCCGCTGGTCGTCCGGTGGTATGCACCGGCTCCATGGCCAGCCCAAGTCGTCCTCCAGGATCACCGGATTTCTCTTCGCAGATCAGCCCCATATGCATCGGGAGGGAGGAAGGGGCGTCATGTCGTACAAAGATATCAGTGGCGGGCAAATAGTAGAGCAGGGAGAGCATCGATAGGCCCATGATCTGGAGTACGGGAGCCGTAGAGCAAGGCCAAGCGGCGACGGGACCGCCGACAAAGTATAGAGTGAGCTGAGTTATTTGCTGATGTGGTTCAAGGCAAGCGTGAGGCGTCACGTAGATCTGCAAATTGTGAGGGGGTCCGCAGAGAATTAAGCAGTTCTCTTGAAGACCGACCGCCTCCGGGTCCGGAGCCTAGAGCTGTACCCACATACGAGTGAGCAATCACACCACTTCGCCAATATAGTCAAAACCTTTTCCTCCGAGACAAGCACAGTATGACAGAGGAGAGCAAACACGATTCTCCTGCGATGGGAACATTGTCACGCACGATGAGAACTTTGATGCGCCAGGGCGCAGATCACTTCGCGATGGCGGTAAACGGCGGCAGCATCATCTTCGCAATAACGGTCGGGGATCGCAGAGGATAGGGTCCTCGATATGAAAACCACGAGGGCGCGAGCAGCGAGGCAGCCTGTTGTTCCCGGCGGAGGCAGAGCTGTTGGGTCGACTCAAGCCTGCACGATGTCAGCCAGTTTGGAAAATCCTCACAATGCACATAGTCAGTGCTGACGTCTGTGGATCGTCGCAGGATGCTCGGCGACTGCCGATGCACTGTTGCCTCAAAAGCAACTTTGCAACACTTCCCTACGGAAAAAAGTCAGTGTGCGTTTACCGACGGACCGATGATTTACCTACCGAGCTTAGGAGACGGCCTCTTCAACGTAAACTGGAGGGTCACAACTCTGATGTGCAACGAACAGAAGCGGGAGGACGAATGTCCCCAAGTTGAAGTGGATACAGAATCTTCGCAGCACGATATTCCGACCATATGCACCGGCGGACATTAACGAAGATGTCGCCCGAGCAGTCGACGGCCCTACGCTGACATAGAAAAATTAGGGAAAACATGCGGAGTACTTAGACAGGCGGCAAACGAGTTTCCAAAAAGCGAGACGGCAATATTAAGCAGATTGCACGGCATGGTCTTGTCTTCTAGGCTGATTCACGCCCGTCGATTTGTCAATAGACGCAGAGTCGCTTGTGCTCGAGCAGTCGGTTCACCCCCATCGCCGTATGAAGCACAACGAGCAGAACTGATCCTGACCGTGTTACAGCACGCAGCAGCGACGAGAGCAGCGTCAGCGCTCTCGTAGACGTCATGACGGAATGCTCGTACCTTGTGCGCTTCACGCGCGGCCTGAACAGGCGTTTGGCAGTCCAGCTCCTTGTCCGCCATGTCAAGCAACTACGCGCTCGTTTAGACCGGCCGCTGCGTCATGCATCACCGTAGATCTGTCAACCTCCTGCCACACAAATCAATATTCCAAGCTCAGCGTTCCGTGGAGCCCGTACGCGGCAAGTACTGGCAGACGACCCAACTGACCTGCAAAGAGCTGTGGACGTTGATTGCGCGAGTCTACATTGCGAAACGCGTCAACGAGGATTCCGGCGTCGAAGCCTTGCAGATGCGCATGCGTCAGCGATGTTCAACTTGCACGTGATGAATCACGCGCGCGAGGTTGAAGTTTGAATCAGCATGGTTGAACGCGCGTCGACCGAGTCTCTTGTCGCGTATCTGGTATCTGTAGAGCTCTACCAATCTCTCAGCAAGTGGACTAGGGAGGTACAGTTCAGATACGTACCCAACCGACCACGACGTGGCGACGCATACGGCGGGTATGTAGAGCATGGGCTTTGCCAGTCCATTCGTATTAGGCTGCGGCGGTGAGAAGTTCGAAGCGCCGAGACAGGTACGGAAGATACGCTCCCCAGCTGCGCAAAGCTTTCTTCCTTGAGTGTATTGTGCGACCGGAATGCGAGCCCATTGGACCAACGCTCACTGCCGCGGCACTTGCAGATATGAAGTCCGAGAGTCTGCGCTTCACTCAGCTCGAAGGCATGACGGGCATGGTTATCGCGTTGTTCGGCATGGGAGACGATGGCGACTCGGGTGACAATGCCCGTCAGGTGTACAGTGGCGAGGTGGCGAGCAGCAATGTACTCACCGAGTCGTAGGCGCAGGCCAACAGTCTTCGCACTTCCTGCCGCAGCTTACGGCCATAACGAGATTTCTCGTGTCTAAAGTCTGTTATTCTTGGAGGCATAACTCGCATCCGAAGGGAAGAGGATGCACGTTCGGGCAGGATGACCGGGCCTGCCTCGCACCGCGCGGTCTTGATAACGATTATCTGAAAGATCTATACATCGTTCAGTAGGGAGCATGCAGAACCAAAGCAGTCCCACCGTCGAGATGGATATCTTGCCTTCTCACTCCGCCGATATGTGAGCCAGCAGGGACGGTCGTGCGAGATCTGTTAGAACCGACAAGGTATTCCGAATGTTCAGGCAGAAGAAGGGTACGCACAGGCCTCTTGCTCCCTCGCCTCGATGGGGACATTCAGTCGAAGCGTAGCATCCTGCAACTGTATCATTCCAAACGACGACACAGCTCTGCATTGGGGAGCCCAAGTAGCGATTGATACCGTGGCCAGCAAGGCGGCGGTTGACCGTTGAGGCAACGCCTATCAACACGCTGGAGGCGGTGCAAGATTGACGACGTTGCGTCAGCGAGCGAGAGGGAGCTTTGCCACAAACGCAGGCGCGCCGCTCAATTTTCGACGAGAAAGCCATTCCCACGTAAATAATTGTGGGAAGATGTGGGGACGTCCGCCTGCAGAGCCGCGGTCAGGAGGCGCACGGCATAATTGATTCCTGACTAACCCAGACAGTTGCACTCCGAGATGTCCACAAAAGTCTATCTGGTGCGATCCCACGGTTCGACGTGGACAGAATACAAAGCAGACATGACCCCTCTTCAGGAATAGCCAGTGCTTCTCTTGCTAAAAATATAGTGACCAGCGAGTGCACGATGAGACGAGTTGAAGTGGCCGAGTACTCATCAGGCACCCGAATCGAAAACATACCCGTTATGCTCACCGGGGGCGCGGCCAACAGCCCGACGTGAAGACGGGTAGGCAGGGATCTATATTCCTCATTAAACTCAGTGACAGTGTGCTCCATCTTGACACGGAAGCATAGCGCGCAGTCGTGTCCATGTTCTGGAGTGGGACTGGGGACCTACGATAGCAAGCCTTGGCAGACGACATGTGTGCGGTCATCAAAGTAGGTGCTATACACTGGAAAAAGGCCGTAGCGAGGTTCAGCATGACTTCACCTCTGGAATACGCACCTCCGGATGTACAGGTGCACAGACATACCGCCGATACGATGGGAGCAGCTAGTAGATAGGATGGGGACCGATCAGAGGGCGAGCATGGCTCGTGGAGTGGATAGAGACGCGTGGCCGCGCGTGCGCGAGAGGGGCTTACATGCAGAAGCGGATCTGCAACCATAGCATTAGACGAAGCCCTCGCGAAGGGGGTAGGGGAGCGTACATAGATAGCCAGGAAGAGCCGGACCATTGACCACGCGCCTGATAGCCCTTGTGATACGCTCACGGCGTGGACGAGCAGCGTGCGAGCAAGCACAGAGGCGCTGACGCCCTGCGAGCCGTCGGCGGCTGTTGCATGCGCTATCGGCGGGAGAAGGTCCTTCGGCGGCTCGTGCGATTGTAACCGGCGGGGTGGGAGCCCACCACCCTCGAGCACGCGGGCATTCAGTAGAGAAGCTTTACTGGGGTAGAGATATGGGAAGCCCCATAGGCAAAGTATGTGCGAACACGCTGGCACGCGATAGTCCACTCACGCTGTGGCGCTGAACGTGAATGTTGTGAAGCTGGTTGACTTGTACAGCGGCGCACGTGAAGGTGTAGCTATCATGCAGGAGTACATCTGTAGATCGAGGTCGCCACGCCTACATGAATCCTGGGAGCCTCTGAAGACGCTGGACATGTGTGAGATTCCGATGATCTATGACCTGTGAATGAAAGTACCTGGATTCCATTTTGTAACGGCGTCGTGACTGATCCGACGCCGAATATCCAGTAAAACAAGATGGGTCGTCCAAAGCGGCAGACGAAACACTGGCTGCAGGTTAGAGCGTTCAGATCAGCGCAGAACAGTAGGTCATGCAGGGGCGGCGTCGACGGCGGGCAAAGAGAGGCGGTAGACAGCTATGACGTTGTTAACGAGAAACGCAGGCAATGGTGGAGTCGAGCGATGGGCAGACGAGCGGCAGGGCAGTGATTATACGTAGATGTTGCTTGAGCCTTGATGGGCGGATTGGAGCGCAAGGGGGACGCTGCAGCCTGAGCGGCCCACCAAGCACGGAATATCGCAAAAGAATAATCGGTGGCCGGAAGTCCTTGCCGGAATTCGTGTTCAAAAGGGTCCCAACAACCAAAAGCAAATGGGTTCTGCGCTTGGTTCGGAGCTGGATCATGGGGTGATCAGTGACGGTTAGCGTTCAGGTGATGGGAAAGGACGAGGAAGGTTGGCGAGTGATGGGTACACTTTGCCATATCAGCTAGTCGACCCCATTTGGACTCGAGGACCGACCGGGGAGCGAAAGGGGAAATCGCCCGCAGAAAGCGATCCGGCGTCAGTTCGACAGGGCCCCAAGCGTAACCAACCCACGGCTCTCCCTCGTACTTATAAGAGCCCCCCACACGATGGAGGAGGAACCAACCCCGCTGTCGCAGATCATCCACGCCGACGCGATGCTCTCCCCGCTCGAGACCGCCGCTGCCTGGGATCTCTTCCCGCCGACGCAGGACCCCTTCCCCTGCAACTACGGCCAGCCGAGCCCGCAGCATCCCCAGCTCTTCCAGTACCCTCCCTCCTCCCCCTCGTCCTTCTCCTCGTCGGCCACCGACTCTCCTGGGAGCTCGACGAGCTCGGGGATTCGCATGCTCCGCCTCAGCCCCGACACGCCCGACGCCGACCAACAGCTGTGCGTGCCGACATCGCAGCTGTTCGACTTCCCGCAGCAAGCATCCATCCCGTCTTCGGCGCCCTCCCCCATCTCGCCACTGGAGCAGGACCATCAACATCAAGTGACGCTGAAGCGGTCGGCTAGCCCGGAGTCGGCGTCCACCCAGATCATGACCAAGAAGCGGAACGGCGAGCGCGTAACAACGAAAGACTTTGTCCCCCCGGACGTCAGCGGCCTTTCCAAGGTGTGAACGTCGGCCCATGCGCCTCATTACACCGACTAATCATCCGCTGCAGCGCGAAGCGCGTCTCGTGAAGAACCGCGCGGCCGCGTTCCTATCTCGCCAGAGAAAACGCGAGGAATTCGAGGCGATGGAGGTGTACGTGCGGACCATCTCGCCTCGCTGCCGGGTGTGCTGACAGTAGCTCAACAGACGCGTCGCCGAGCTGGAGCGCGAGAACGCGCGCTTGTTGTCGCTTGCCCAATCCGGAAGTGATAAATTGCTTCCGGCCGGCATCGAGCGGAACGACGCCGCCCTGCGCGCCGAGGTCGACCACCTCCGCGCCCGCCTCGCAGAGGCAGAGGCGCGCGAGCGAGGCGCGGGCGCCGCTTTCTCCCCCTCATCACGACACGCATCACACGACGCCCCGGTGAAGATGGAGCCCCTAGACGTCTCATTCAACTCTCAAACGGGCCGCTCCTCGGCTATGCCATCTCCGCATACGACCGGCGTTGGGCTCGGTCTCATGGTACGCGCTCGCATCCTATAGCACAGTGCAATGTACTGACTTTCCATTCAGCAAGTCCTCCTATGCGCTCTCCCCGCACTCTTGAGAGCCTACGGCGGCGCGTCCTCGGGTGGTCCGCCTCCGCACATCGACCTCAGTTCCATCCTGACTCCCGAGCTCAATTGGCACCGCCAAGGTGACGCCGTGGTCCTTGATCTCGATGTCGATGATCATGGGCGGCCCCGAAGCCTTGCGGCCAACCCAGCCCTAGCCGCGGTCCGCAGGTTGGAGCTGTCTGGGTCGATGGCGAGCGCCGTCGTCGGCCTCGGCGGGCGAGAGCTCGCCTTCGCAGCAGGGCCATCCGAGGGTGGCAAGATCAGGGTTCGCGTCTGCCCTCCCTCCTCAGCCCCCTCCGACGCCTACCCCTCGCCGCGATCCTCTATAAGCATGGACGGCCCCATGTCCGCCTCCTCGCTATCTTCCCCCGTGTGGCCGACCTCCCTCGACGCGCTCTCTATGCCCGCCGTATTCAATGCCGGGACGTCGGACCCGTTCTTCGGCATGGGTCAGGGCGATTACGGGATGTCGTATCCCATGATGTGCCCTACGGACCTTGGGCCATCCGTATACAGCCCAACCGAGTCGCCCTTCGCAAGCGCGCTGGGCTCTGAGCTGCACGCGATGGCGGCCGCTGAGGACCCAGCGCGCCGCCAGATGCAGATCGCCCTCAAGGCCGCGGGAGAACCTGACTGGGGAGCTCAGTTCTGCTAAACCCGCAAAGTATGACAACCGCCATATGCTTACCCATGTCCACCCAATCATCTAGAAATCGATACCTTCTACCTTACGTTCGGGCAACGCCCTATCGCCCGGTGCTTGGTCCGCGCCTTCAAATTTACTTATGGATTACCTATTGCCTGGGGGGAGTTGATCTTCATCCAATGGATATTTATGCCTGTCTTGGGTTTCGGTGTATATTTGTACTGTTGTATCATCACCTCGAGGAATAGCCAAAGTGGTCTCCAATGTAGCTCGTTATCGGCTGTCCGAATTACTGCATAATCGGCTGTATCTGTGCTCGAACATCCGAAAGACCTTGATAGTAAGAATCTGTCCGCCGCAGACTCGCAGAGACCTTGCTTCAGGATTAGGCGGCGGCGACCCTTGGGGTCGATTTGCGAGCGAGAAGAAAACACTACGCAGGTTAGGTGACTACCAAGTCAAGATCAGTGACCAGCGGCGGAGCGACAACACGCACCTAGGCATAGTCGCGGAGTTCAAGCACCAGCGGGCTTTGCGGACAACTGTCTCCGGGGAGCAAGGACTGAATACGTTGTTATTCGGTGGAAGCGTTGGCGTATCGCCTGCGCGCCCAAGCCCCGTCGAGTCGCAAGCACCGGAATTTGGAAAACAAGTCCGATATGCATGCCACCAGCGCACGGACGGGCTAATCAGCCTGATGCAAAACTTATCAAGCCCTAGAAGTGGGCAAACGGATCCACGTAAAGGAGCGCAATCAGCGAGCAGCAGTGTCGACGAGGAGGGCAGCGGCTGGTCCACGAGCACGCTAGCGCGTGCGCTACCATGTGGCTAGTGCGCTTGGGAGGGCGAGAAGCAGGGGAGGGGCAGGGTGCGGAGCAGCGTGCTTCTGAGGAGCGAAGCGCGGTGGCGGGCTTCGGGGCAATATGGAGGCCTGCGAGCTACGGACCGGGCCATGCGACGCGAAGTTCTGCTGCGCGTAGGGTGCGAGCGGTCAAGGTCTCCGAGACGGAGTACGGAGAGCTATCTCCTGAGCCCAGTATGATTTCCCTCGTACATGGGACCCACTGATCTTGCGATATTCGATAGAGGAAGTCGTCCCGGGCGAAAAAGATTCTACTACCGAGCCAGGTCCAGCGAGTAGAAGCTACTTTGATGCAAGGTCCGAAGGATGTACAAGGAGATCTAGCTGAAGGGTATCAAAGCATCAGAAGCGGCGCGGCCAGCGAAGTCGGATCCGGGAGGAGGAGAGGCCCGAGAGTGACGGTGACGGACGTCCGTCTGATGAACTAGCACAAACAGACACTTGACATGCCGGCCACTTGTTGCATGTGTGCTTAAAGAGGTCGTTCAAGCGGCGTTGTCGGCGATGTTGAATGAGGCTGACTTTTGGGAGCAAATTTTGGTCAAGCGCGGACTTGCCCTGCTCATCTCCGGAAAGTGCCGAGGAGTATGTGGCGTCATTTTGACGGCCCGTTTTCCGCCTGGCCTTCGCCGCAGTCGAGTGCGTTGTTGAACGTGTTGAAGTGAGAACTCAAGGGCAGGAAATAACCCGGAACAGGTTCATGTCAGGTGCGCCCGCTTTCTCGAACGTGCGGTGTCCAATGACGAACGAAGCCTCAGACGGATCCTCAAGGACGCCCAGCGGGGACCATGTGCGCCCGAGCGGCATACGGCGGCAGGCCTTCGACTAGACTCTCATTCAACCTGTATATAAGGACCCAGATAGCACCCTCTGCAACTTTTCCCCAACCTGCTACGCGAGCGATATGAGTTCCTCGAACGGCCTGATCTGCTTCACGAACTGCTTGCTGCCGTTAGAGGACGGGAGCTTGGTGGAACGCGATCTGTGGATCGATGAGCGGCGCGGCGTTATCTTGGATGCCCAGGTGAGCAGATGGGTCTCATGCTGGGGTGCGGAACGGGACGAGCGTATGACGTATAGAAAACTTTCTTCCTGCGGAAGGAGCGACCGGCGAAGGTCATTGATCTGGACGGGAATATCCTAAGGTACGCCGCCTGCAGCTCAGGATTAGACTGCAGCTGTTTAGATTCGCCCAGTCCTGGATTTCTGGACATTCAGATCAACGGAGCGTACGGCTTCGACTTCTCCGTATATCAAGGGGACGATGAAGCGTACTCGAGCGGGCTAAAGACAGTCGCCGAGAAGATCGTCGAAACGGGTGTCACTTCGTGCGTCTGACCTTATCCTCTCTAAATGACCGTGACTGAAGCCAGATCGTAGTCTTCTCCCGACAACGATCGTGAGCCTTGTATCGGAATGAGGTTGCCCGCAAGCTAACACCCTATCAGACACAGGAGAAGACCCTATACCCCAAACTCCTCAAGCTTCTCCGTCCCTACTCCAGTCCCAATTCCGCAACACTCCTTGGGTGGCATGCCGAAGGGCCCTTCATTCAGTATGCGAAGCGCGGGGCTCATGCGCCTTCATTTTTGCAACCCGCACCGAATGGTTTGGCGTCCTTCAAGGAGGTCTACGGCGCTGAAAACCTAGCGGACGCGGAGGACTGGCTTATGACCGGCGATCATGAGCGGGGCCTAGGCGTTCGAGTTATCACTGCGGCGCCCGAGGTGGAGGGCGTCATGTCCACCATTGCGCCCTTATCGAAGAGCGGTGTCGTATTTTCCATTGGGCACAGGTAAGTGGTCGCAAGCGAATTGAAGACCATGCTCTCATCACCGCCTCGACAGTCTCGCGTCGTCCGCGAAAGCATTAGAAGCCGTTCAGCGCGGTGCACGTCTCATTACGCACTTGTTCAACGCTATGCCTCAGCTGCATCATCGCGACCCCGCCATCATTGGTCTCTTGGGCGCCTCCCCTCATCTCGCGACCTCTTTCCACCCCATCACCGCCAAGACACCCATCGACACCCGCTTCGGACATGACCTCTCGCGTGCGCCCTCCCTTTCAGCAGCAAAGCAACTGGCTGCCGCCGCGGAAGCCCTCGATGAAGTCGACACGCCGCCAACGTCCCCAGAGCACCACGCTGCGGCCGGCGGCCCCCTCAGCGGTGTCGCCTCACCTCTGAATCTCGGGCATGAAGACTTGCTTGCGAAGAGGGAGCACTTGATGCCTCGGCCATTCCAGCGCCCTTACTACGAGATGATTGTGGACGGCATTCATTCGCATCCTAATTCTGTCCGGGTACGTAGGCAAAAGAAAAGGATGCTCGTTCATTGCTGAGGCTTTTCTTAGCTTGCGTACACGGCGTTCCCGGAGGGCTGTATATTGATCACGGATGGTGAGTCTCTGCTTCATCGCTTCGTATGAAGCCAACGCTGACGGTACGACAGCCATGAAGATTCTTGACCCGAACTTGAAGGACGGTGTGCATGAGTGGAGGGACGGCAAGCGCTTCGTCAAGGAGGGCGATCGTCTCTACCTCGAGGGCACGGACACCCTTGCCGGGAGGTACGTTTTTCGACTTTGTACGCCTCGACCGCGAGCTCATCTTCTCCGAAGCGTCGTCACCCTGGACAAGTGTGTCCGCAACTTCGTCCGCTTTACCGGCTGCTCGCTCGGTGACTCGATCAAGTGTGCGACCTATAACCCGGCGAAGTACGTTGTGTTCTTCCTCCATCCTCTTCCCAAATCTGACGTCTCTTTAGGTGTCTCGGCATCGAAAATCGCAAGGGAACACTACGCGCAGGTGCTGACGCTGATCTCGTGGTCCTGGACCGCCTCGGACATCCTCTCCAGACTTGGGTCGGCGGCAAGCAAGTTTGGGGGAAGCAGTAGTGGAAGGTTCATATATTCTTTTCGTTCTGGGATTCGTGTTGTATGTTGTATACTGACTCAAGGTGGAATCTTATTGCGTTATCTCTCAGCCCCGTGGCGCGCTCACTATGCCTTGTGTGAGGTATCTTATCGAAGTGGGTTCCAGAGGCGAGTGCTGAATGGGTGTCGGTAACATTCCACTGTGCGCGTCGAGGGCAGACTTACTGACGTCTTTGGGTGGATTCTCAGCACCGATACTACGTCCTCTCGGTGAAAACAGGACACGTACGTAGCAGACAATATTCTGCTTGCCGCGCGCTTATGATATATGATGCGCAAGAAGTAAGGAAGTTCAGGCTCAAGTTCGACGTCCACTGCGACCTCGCGTCGTGTCACGGCGTCAGCTGGATGTGACTGTTCGCGCCTTGGTGCATCAGGACCTGGATAGCGTCTTCTCACATTGTTATCACGCACTTCGCGGCGCACCTGAAGATAAGCCCTATGCATATATCAGCTGGACACGGGACGGGGGGATTCCACCAGGATCCCACTCTTCCCTTCATCCTTGGTCGGCTTCTCTGGCACGTCAGACGGCCGCCATGTCGAGCACGGCCTCAGTCGGTTCCCTCGAGAAACAGGATGCCCATCGGGCGACTGTTCAGCTTCAGCCTGTGGCAGAGGAGAAGCTGCATGAGGTCGAGGTTGGGTATGACATCTACCAGGAGACGAAGGATAGCTTGGAGTGGGACAAGAAGGAAGAGAGACTGGTCCTGCGTAAGATCGATCGCTGGATCTTGCCTGCGTTCTGCTTGACGCAGGGTCTGGCATTCTTGGACAAGACGGGTAAGCTTAACGCATGATTGTACTCGCGTGTAAACTCAAACATTTTAATAGCCTTGAACTATGGCAACCTCTTTGGGATGAAAGCGTGAGAGCGCACCTTGTTTCCGTCCTACTGATAACTGAGTGACGGCGCAGGGACCTCCATGTCACCGGCCCGCAATTCGTAACCTCTTTCTCTACCTTGCTCACGCATGCCTGACACCCACGCTAGAGTTGGTTCGCGAGCGCATTCTACATCGGTACGCTGGGTGAACATTGCGTGTGCTTACGGAATGCCCATCGGACCTACAGGCTACCTTGTCGCGGAAGAGCCTGCCAACGTGCTCCTTCAGCGCTATCCGACGGGCAGGGTCATGGGCATCGTCTGCTTTCTGTGGGGGATCGTCGTCATGTGCGTCCATTCCATAATGAATCTGCATGTCGCCATCCCGTCTCACAAGGAGCAGGAGCACAGCTGCGTGCAGATCTTTCGGCGGCGCTCTCGTGAATCGCATAATTCTCGGTGCCTTGGAGGCCTGCGTAACGTGGGCGCGTTTCCCAGGTTGCCACAAATAATGCTGACCACGTCGCTTGAAGCCCCGGTCTGGGGCTTATGACGCCCTTCTGGTGGCGCTTGCAAGAGCAGCCCGTACGCCACTTAACATGGGTCAGTCTCCACTTTGACATGCTGAGGCATGATGTCCTGAACAGTCCGATATAGTACTGCTTCAACGGTGTCGCTGGGATAGTTGGCGACTTCCTAGCATATGGCCTGGGGCACGTCAACAATGTTTCCGTGCCTTCATGGGCTTTGATCTTCCTGGTGGGCATATTCTCACTGTGCGCTCTTCGACACGTCTTTGTTGACAGCCCCCCTCGCAGGTACTCGGCGGCTATACGACGCTGTGGGGTCTCTATCTTTTCTTCTTCCTCCCAGACACACCGGTCGCTGCGCGCTTCTTAGACCCGCGGCAGAAGGCTATCGCCGTCAAGCGTGTGGCTGAGAACAGGGTGCGCCTTAGCCTCCTTTCGTGTTGGAAGGCGCTCACCGATTCGCTGCAGACTGGGATTAAGAACAAGCAGTTCAAAGTTTACCAAGTGAAAGAGGCGTTTACGGATCCGAAGACCTACCTGCTCTTCGTCGCATCGATTGCCGCGCAGATTCCCAATGGCGTTGTCAGCAACTTCTCAAGGTCGGCCTAGTGTATATTCGTCCTCCGATTCGGCTGACGAGCCCTCTACAGTATTATCATCAGCGGCATGGGCTTCACCAAGTTTCAGACGACTCTGTTGGATATCCCGAGTAGCGTTTTGCAGATTGTTTCGCTAGTAGGCAGCGGGTACATTGCCAGCGTGGTAAAGAACAGTCGGGCTGTTATGATGGTCAGGATCGATCGCCCTTCGCTCTCAGGCGTATCTGACCATGCAGATAGTTCATCGGCAATTGTACTTGCATCATTGCCGCGGCCTGTCTAACCTACGGACCTTCCGATGAGAGGTGGGGGCGTTTGGTCGCCTTTTGGTTCACATCTTTCCAGAGTGTTGGATTCTCACTGGTGCGTCTGTGACTCACATCTCAATGTTAGCCTCACTGATTCTTACATTGACAGTCGCTTGTCATGGTCTCCGCGGTGCGGGCGACATCCGCCGCCTTCGCGTGCGCTCGCGTCTGACGGACCTTGTAGAACGTGGGAGGCTATACGAAGCGTCAAGTCGTCACGGCGCTGACATTCATTGTGCGTATCCCTCGTCGGAGAAGGCAAAAGATCCGTTCGCTTACTTTTGATAGGGCTATTGTGTACGTTGCCCGTAGCAGCGACTTCATTATCTCACGTTTTGCATGCTATACCCATCTATACCCAACAGGTCGGGGTAAGTCATCGGGCTGCTGCGCTTATTGAGTCTAAGCACCGACTAAACCACCTTACAGAATATCGCTGGCCCCCACGTTCTCATCGATTCTGAAGAAGACGTGTGTAGCGGTCACCTCGCTGCCTATGCATCAAGCTTACCTTCGCTGCCTTTAGATTGGGTACCCCACTGCCACCAAGGCTATGATGGCAGGCTACGTCGTCAAGACGGGCTGCCACGTCCTGCTCGGGCTGTACATGTGGAACTCCAACCGTCTCCGCAACAACGCTGCCGTCAAGGACGGCAGTGCAATTCCCGAGGTTGAGCGCGCCCGTCGCGCTGAAGAGGCTGGGATGGTCAGTGAGCGATGATCTCGACGTTCGGCCATGTTAACCTCTTGCCCCACAGACCGACATCACAGAGTTCGAGAACCAATGGTTCCGCTATGTCTTGTGAATATTCACGATTAATCACTATGTTCTCACGTCCTTGTGTTTTCTATCGATTGCCCTTGTCTCTGCAGTTCTTGTACGAGGCCGGAGAAAGTGTGCCGTGTGTACAATGGGATGGGAGGAAGTTTGTAGGCTTGTATCGGTTTACGACTCGATCGTTGAGCTTGTACGCATGTTCAGGGGCCTGTAAAAGTAGTTGAAGCCTGTTCCCGCGATTTGCGTACGGTGGATTACCCCGAATGGAAAGTTGAACTTGTGCATGACATGCACGTGATCTGACAAATCGCCACGTTCGACTTCGAGTCATTTTCAAATTCGCCTTGCTTCCCCGCATTCCACCATACCTCCTCATGTCGGTCCTTAGCCAGACTCAGGAGGGCGTCCCTGTCCTCCATTCCCTCCCATGGGAGCTCATGCTCGAAGTATTCGAGCTGGTCATACAGGAGGTCAAGCCTAGCGCGCTTCTCTGCTTATCAAGAACGATAAATGCCGTCATAGAGGCCATAATCTACCGCACGGTCGTTCTCCCTTCGCCTCAGGCCGTCTTCCTATTCCACCAATCGGTGTCCTCCAAGCCGCCCGCCTTTCACGCTGCGCACGTCCTCCGGTTGTACGTCACGTATAGCCCGAGCTGGCATGCCGAGCCGACTCTTCGCCGCTGCCTCAGGGATATCCTGACGGCCTGCGGCGGAATCCGAGAGCTCACACTCCCAACTGGGCATGGGTCCATTGCTAGGCAGTACCCGACCCTCACGCACCTCACTGTGGGGTCGTTTGAGGAGGAGGACAAGAGCGCGGGGAGGAAGAAGCCAACTGGCGATCCCTCAGCCATCACTCATCTCCGCATCTGCGAGCCAGCGTCTAGCCTATGGTGCCCGCCGATAGAGCTGCTGAAGTCTTTCGGCAAGCTTCCGGCGCTTACGCACCTCCAGCTGCCGCGCCGCATGAATGCGAACGAGGAGAACGACGAGATCTTCGCGCAGGATGTGGAGGAAATCCTGCGGCGGCGTTCCAAGCTGAAGATGCTGGTAGTCAGCCTCTTCCATGCGCCTGTAGGCGAGGAGGTTCATGCGGAGGAGACGAACATATTTCGCCTTCTTCGGAAGATAGACGACGAGCGGCTCGTGCTAGAGCGTGGCCGCGAGGAGGAGTGGCAGTCGGGGAGACCCTTCAGTTGGGAGGTAGAAGCGATACCCACTCACTAGAGTATATCTTTACATCCGGAGCGCATAATTACAACCAGTACTGTAGATGGATGACACCCGTAGATAACTTGGATTCCTGGATCGCTCACACTACTACCCCTACTCGCTTTGAATATAAGTACTTACATACTCTGTAGATGAAGTCTCTTGCTCTGTTGCATCGAGGGACCCCTCTGTAAAGCTCTTCACATTCACATTCTACTCCGTATGCCCCTCGGACTTCTGCGAAAGTCCCCAAGCTCCTGCGGTCCCGTAGCCCCTATAACTGTTCCCACGGTTGAAGGGTCACATGTAATGGCACGCGTGATCCGGCCGGACCAACCTTACGCGCCGAACCTGCGCCCCGCTTGTCTTCTCCTTCCACCTACCATCATCCCTGTGGCTCTCTAAGACGTACCCCGAAGATATGTTGTCCCGCTGCAGCGCTCAGTTGACCAGGACCCTTCGTCAGAAGGTACCTACAGCCTCACGGCAGGCGACGCGCTCGGCCTCCGGTAAGTATGAACCGGGCACCTCCGCGACCCATGTCTTCGAGTGAATCTAAGCTAATAATGACTAGGATGGGTCAAGCTGAACTGGGAGGTAAGTATCATACTCATCCGCTAATGCTTGTACCAAGGGAATTCCTCCAGGATCCGCTAAACCTCGAATTGCTCTTGACCGAGGAGGAGAGAGCCGTTCGGTAAGGTCTCGCCGTCTCCAAAGATGTTTGTCTCGTAAACGCATTGCCAGGGATACTGCCCACGAGTATTGTCAGGAGAACCTTCTTCCTCGTGTACTTGAGGGATGGAGGACAGAGAGTAAGTTGGAGCTTCGTCGCCTCCCCTTGCCTCCGACTCTGACCCTAAACCTGCAGCGTTCAACCATGACATCTTGCCCGAGATGGGCAAGCTTGGTCTCCTGGGACCGACAATTGAGGGCTACGGATGCGCTGGCGTCAGCTCGGTCGCATATGGCCTCGTGGCGAAGGAGCTGGAGCGGTGAGTGGTTTTCAGCGAGGGCCTCGAAGTGTCGGTGGTCTCATGGGTGGTAGAGTTGACTCAGGGTACCGGTCAACGGCTTCTGTGCAGTCGTCCCTCGTGATGCACCCCATCTACGAGTTCGGCACCGAAGCCCAGAAGGAGAAGTACTTGCCCCGTCTCGGTAGGTGTTTCCTTTCGATGGGCGAGGGTCTGGACTCACGATTCATTCAGCGAAGGGAGAGTTGGTTGGAGCCTTTGTACGTATCCGGTCAAATCCCTGAGGCGGGAAGGCTGAGTATATTGTAGGGTCTGACCGAGCCCAACCACGGGTCAGATCCGGGAAGCATGGAGACCACCGCAGAGGAAGTTGACGGCGGCTTCATCCTCAACGGCAGCAAGACTTGGATCTCGAACGCCCCCGTAGCGTAAGCCGTCTCGCCATTCTAGTCTACCACATTCACTGACATGGAACACATTTCAGGGACGTCTTCATCATCTGGGCGAACTGCAAGTGGGATAACAAGATTCGCGGCTTCATCGTCGACAAGGGTCTGAAGGGGCTGTCTGCGCCGCCAATCAAGAACAAGATCGCGCTGCGTGCGTCTTTGACAGGGTCCATCTTCATGGACTCGGTGCGCGTCGGGCAAGACGCACTTCTCCCCAAGACTAAGGGCCTCGGCTCGCCTTTCTCGTGTCTAAACTCTGCACGGTGCGCCACTTCATCTTCATATTTCCTCAGTCCCATTCAATCATCTGCCTAGGTACGGCATTTCCTGGGGCGTCATGGGCGCCCTCGAGGATTGCCTTATCCGCGCTCGCGAGTATGCTCTCGAGCGCACTCAGTTCAAGCGTCCGCTCGCATCCTTCCAGCTCGTTCAGAAGAAGCTCGCGGACGCGCACACCGAGATCGCTCTTGGGCAACTGGCTAGTTTGCAGGTCGGTCGGCTGAAGGATGCGGGTCAGGCTGCCCCGGAGATGATCAGCATGGTCAAGCGCAATAACTGCGGCAAGGCGCTGGCGCACTCGCGCATCTTGCTCGATATACTTGGAGGGAATGGGTGCACGGACGAGTGAGTATTGAACGAGTGTGACGAGGATTTACACTGACGCGCGTGTTCGTAGGTACCACATCGGCCGTCACGTCAACAACTTGCAGGTCGCGAACACCTACGTGAGTCTATCGATGCTTTCCATGCGAAAGGACGCTGAACGTATGCCTATTCAGGAGGGAACCTATGTACGCATATGGCGATTGCTCTACGGGAGCTTGCTAACTTCTTGCAGGATATCCATACTCTCATTCTCGGGAAGGCCATCACTGGCATCCAAGCGTTCGCTTAGTGTAGACATGTGGTGCTATCCATGCGCCTCAAGGATGCCAACGAGAATGCGTTGTTGGTGTTGCTAGGTGGAGGGACGTGAAGTACATCACTACAGAACAGGCAGGAATTCATCTACCAATCACAGTACATCACCAGCAAAAGAATCAAAGTAGTCGGAGCAATCTATGGCAGTCCTCCGGATCATGAGTGCACTACCGTCGTTAGTAAGAGAGGGGCAAGAGGCCTAATAAGAAAGGGAACGAAACAAGAGAAACACGTGGGTCCGTGTGGGTCCATATTGACTGCCGCTTTGGGCTGTCATCAGCGCTTTGATCATCAAGGTTAGCGCGCACCGTCCTCAACCGACACAAGAAGCACCCTCAAGACCGACAATGGGCTCGACGAGGTGAGCGGAAGGCTGCCAATGGCCTCTACGATGTGTCGCGCACGCTCTAGCACGAAAGAACGGCACGGATCGGTCCACAGGCGCTGGATGGCGATCGGCTAGGATGGATGTACTTGTGCCCCGACCTGATCTCCGCACCCTCCTCGCATCCTCGCACCCCCCTCGCATACTGGGACCCTCGGGCTGACTGGCTATGGCGCATAGATTGTACAGCAAGGGCCGCATCCTTGGGCACAAGCGCGCCAAGCGCAACACTCGCCCGAACACCTCCTTGCTCCAGATTGAGGGTGTGGCGACGAAGGAGGACGCACAGTTCTACCTCGGCAAGGTGCGTTTTCTGCCGTGTGCATTCTTCGCATTGCTGACATACTTTCTGTGTAGCGGGTTGCCTACGTCTACAAGGCGAAGCGCGAGGTTCAGGGCTCGAAGATTCGGGTAATCTGGGGGTGCGTGTTCTTTTTCTGCGCTTTATCGTCCTCTCATCGTCCGCCAGGCGTGTCACCCGTCCACACGGCAACTCTGGTGTTGTCAAGTCAAAATTCCGCGTCAACCTCCCGCCCCGTGCGTTCGGTGCTAGCGTCCGGGTGGTGCGTCGATCACTCGATTCACTGCGATTTCGTGCTGACATTCTCTCCTTTCTGCAGATGCTCTACCCCTCCACGATCTAGATCGCTTGTACACTGCGATCACGCCCATGTCCCTACAGCTGTATGGCAATATGATATGCCCTATGCGCGCGTCTAAGCCCATTTTTTCCATCTGCAACCCGTTCAGTGTGATCGTCCCATAAAATTGGCGAAAGTCATTGCGAGGTTGGGTTCTGAAAGCCTGAATATGAGACCTGACACGAGGCGCCCCGTAGGCTCTGCCCTCCATTCACTTGTCTCTGTACGAGAGAGCCATGTCCTATCACGCTTCACTTCAAATCACTTCCCGCCGAAGTGCCTTAGGTGCACCCATAAGACTTGACTGCATATCTGTGAGACTGCGGCCAGCCAGGGGTCCAAAGGACCGGCCCAGAATCTGATTCAGAGTCATCATGACTATCACTGGTCAGTTGCGAAAGGAGATATTATCACGTGAAGCCTTGAGGCTCAAGCCGGGGCGTGCCGCGCGCCTTCGTTCACCTCCTGCATTGAGTATGCCTTCAGCGAGACACCTTTCTGCTCAACTTGGAGCGCATACCAATGGATTCTACATACCGGACGAGCAACATCCACTGGCTATATGCTACGAAGTTTGCGAGCTACCAGCCTGAGCGATGAGTTCAGCGCCGTCACCCAGACTTCGCGGTTCAGCTTCACTGGTCGCTTCAACGCGCTTTACCCGACATGATTCCAACAGAGTCTGTGGGGTCAGCGCTAGGTGACGCTATGACTCTGTAAATAGGAAGGCTAACATAGGGATCCGACGTTCGCACTCTAGAAATCCATGACCCAAACCCATATCCATTTTCCCAAATTCCCCCAAAACCCAGCACTACAGGTATGTTACAGATGTTACAACGATCGAGACACTGATAACGACGACGCTCAGATGTGCAGAGCCCGCTGCGCAGGGAAGAATCGGTGAAAAGCGTCGTGGTAGAAGTCGTTCTGGACGATCTTTTCGTTGGAGAGCTTCCGAAGAAGCTTCGCCATCCAGAGGTGGTTGGCGTTTTGTTTTCCGGCGCATTCATCGACGAGATCGCAGGCGTACTCGAGGATGAACTCGCGGTCGTCGCGGGAGACCAGGCCGAACGACATGCGCGGGTGCCCATCGATGTCGGCGTACCGCCGCTCGTGGAGGTTCGGCTCCTCGAACGGGTAGTCTCCCCGGGGGCGGAAGATGACCTCCTGGTAGACGCCGACACCGGGCCTGTGCTTGTGCGTGCCCAGGTGCCAGCGCAGGCAGTACTCCCCCTTGCCGGGGATGTACTCCTGGAGGAGGACCTCTACGGCGTGGGACGAATCCCTGTACCCGTTCATCAACTGCAACGAGCGAGGTGAGCTGGGCACGACCATCTTCGAGGCAGGGAAAACGGGGTGGTGAGGGAAGGTCACCGTTGGAAGGAAGAGGTAAGCCGTCAGCCATCAACTTATATGCCCGCGTCTGATCGACGGGACCCTGGGTGCGCATGCATCCCATGAGGCAGTCACGACACCCTCGACGGCGACAACACTCACCATACGGGGACAGAAGCCGCCGAGAACAATGTCTGCACTATGTCGCCCTTGCGCGAGGCTGATGCCCGATCTCTAACACCGCCCTAGATCTTTTCTGACCGTGCATGTTTGTTGATTGACTACATTATAACGTATAGAAGAAGCCCGGCTGGCCTTCGAGAGGGTGCGACAGCCTTCCTGCCCGCGACAGCTGATTCATGCGACGGAAGTGTAGGGAGGTAACGCCGACCAGCAGGATCAGCACGACTTGTGCACCGATCGTCGTCCACAAGCCTAACACGTTTTTCCTGTCAGCAGAAACATGGATATGGGGACGACACCGCGTACCGGGAACATAGTCGGGAAAATCGGCCTCCCGATATACCATGGAAGCGATGATTCTGTAATCCCAGATCAGCGGTAGACCTCAAGGCGTTGCAAGGAAGGCCGCACCCTCCGACGCCGCCAAAGGTCACCGTTAACGCGGTCTGCACGTTCCTGTACGGTTTGTCAGCAACTAGACTCTAATAACTCCCACTGATAGTTTTCAGGACCCACTTCTTGCTCTGCGACACGGCATTGTTGGACCCCTACGCTCGAGCTCAGCGACGGACCCAAGTACGACGAAGCGGGACTTACGTATGACAGAATATTTGGTATGCATCCTGACGACCCTGCAGTCGCGAGGTACGTCCCTTCGCCTGGTCAGCACGGGCGCGGACGAGAACGAGAAGCAAAGTAGCTCACCGAAGTATCTTACAGAGTTCTGCCTCGCGAACGCCATTAATGACAGTCCGACGATAGTGATGAGGGCTTGGGCGACGATGAAGATGCCGCGACGCTTGTACCTATCGGCCAAGCGTGCGAATAGCACAGCGCTTGCGATCTAGAGAACGATAGTCAGCCCTACGCATGCAGCACGAAAGGGTTCTGACACGTACGGCAGGAAGGTATGGGAAAGCGCTCTTCGCAGGTGGATTAACACATCGACCTTTCGTAGTACCTGCAACGACTCACCAGAATGAGCGCCTGCGCCCTGCTATATCCTATCCCATGCAAGATCACCGATACGAAGTATGCTAATGCGTAGGACGGTATCGTCGCGCAAGCAAACATGACACCTTCAAGAAGGGACCAGTCGTTAACAAGACGTCGCCGGTTCAGCGCAGTCGACACGCACCGTACGCCCACAACGTCCAGTCGCTCAGGTGCCGCAGGACCGTATGCAGTGTCAGCGCATCCGGCATCGCATCGCCGCGATCATCCTCTATGCGCTTCAGCACATACGCCGTCTCCTCCGGTGTCAAGAACGTGTTGCGGTCGGGGAACTCGGGAAGCAGCCAGAAGGCGAGCCCGCCGAGCAACACCGTTGCGGCGCCTTCGACTATGAAAATCCATTGCCAGCCGTGGAGGCCGCCCTTGCCGTTCAGCATGTTCAGGCCGTAAGCGAGGATCTGTGAAAAGCCCGCGGTCGCAAGGGACGAGAGGTAGAAGATGGCAAGTCTGGGAAGGACGTCGCTCAGCGGTCCGCGCAACTATCAAGGTTGAAACGGACAGACCTTGTCTGGACTTCATATCTGGTATACCTGGAAAAATCGTTAGCTGTTCCGCGCAGAGTAATGGACTGACATAAGGCTCACCAGGTTGAGATGACCATAACGAGGCCCGGGAAGAAGGCGGCCTCTAGCGCACCAAGCAACACCCGACCTGGTGAGTAGCCTTCAGCTATCTGCGTTATGAAAGCTTATGCTTCACTCACAGAGCGTCAGATACCCCCAAGATGACACGAAGCCCATTCCAATCTGGACCGCGCCCCAACCGACGACGATAGCCGATAACCAAGCTCGGACGCCAAACTTCCGTAGTAATAGATTTCCTGGAACCTGACTACAAACATGATCGGTGAGTGTTGTTCAGACCGCAGCGCGGTCCCGCTTACAATAGGATGTAGGGGATGAAGTACATGCACGTAGCTATGCTGTAGCGCGCTCCTTTGTTTAGCTCCTGCGAAAGTTTACTTTGGTGAGCGCTTCGTCACGTACAGCCTAAGGCGAGCTCACTAAATCGTCTCCCATCCCAGCCGTCCTCGCCGATCCCATGTTTATTCGGTCGATCAAGGAAAAGGCATATAGACCAGCGAATAGCGGCAGGATACGGCAGTCGATACGCAACCTGCACGCAGCTCAGTACCGTCCTTAACAACCTGAAGGCCTCACGACCAGTACGCACATAAGGCGGCGATGCGAAATACGTCCCGCGGCGGGAGTCGCAGCCATCTTGAGTTCCGGCAGCTCGCAGCCCGAGCCGGAGCTCTTGTACTTGTCTTCCTCAGACTGTGTGTCCGTATTGTCAGTCGGAGGGGCAAAGCAGACGTCCATGATAGTGAGGGGCGAAGACGCTAGGGCAGAAATTAATCAACTCATCCGCGTCTTCGCCTATATAGCCTCCACCCGGCCACCGGCCCACATACCGCCCGTGCGTGCCTCTCGTAAACCTACCAAACTGATCCCCTTCTGACGCGCATCCTTGCTGAAGTGAATGCCCCGGCTCGCCTAAACTCTTCCTTCTGACGTCCCCACCACACTAATCGCGTCCTGGAAAAGCATGCTGACATGCACGGATCCCCACCGCCTTCCTTTCCTGCTTCCATTTGCCTCACGGAAAACCCTGATGGAATGGCGCTGCAACCTCCGTCTGTGACGGACTTGGCCTTTTGTGTTCGCAGGTATGTGCCGAGCAAGGGCTCCCCAGGTAACCTTATCTCCCTGCGCGCTTATCCTGACAACCATTAAGGAATTGCCGCTAAACGTGCAACGAGGCATCTTGAAAATGTCTGGCTCACGTAGTTGACGCATCGCCCTCAATGTGTGCAGTCTCTGCCGTTAGTGCATGCTAAAGCTGTCTGATAGAGTGCGCCATCCCGTGTGAGGCGGCATAGATCAGAGCTGGTAAGCGTGTCCTTAGTGGCTCCCCTAGCTTGAGGGGTGGAGTCATGGAAGCACTGGAAGGATGGGCGGAGCACGGGTAGAGTCCTCGCCCGTGTCCGAGGGAGGCGGGCTGCATGATCATTCACCGACGCACCTCAGCGGTAATCAAGAGTCATTAGCACAGTCCCCTGCAAGACAGCAGCATCTGCAACGTAATTCAAGGCAGGAAGATATATACACGAGTCATCTACGCACTCTCCAATGAGAGCATCCAAACGGTATAACCTCGCAATAAGGTATGTATCCTAGTCCAATAATGAAAAGAAGTCGAGATCACCGACCCAAGTCCAAGCCTCCGACGCGTATAGACGCCGTCAAGTCGAATCACAGAGTGTACAAGAACCGCGCGACACCATCCTGCGCAATCAAGCGGCGCCTGCGCGCGTTCTGTACGTGAAAGTATGCCGACATGCCAGCCAGCAACACTAACAGCATGCCCTGGCAGGCGATCGTGGTGATTGCCCCAGGCCGGTATCGGGGCGCGTCCTGCTGCCTGAAGACAGTGGTCGCCATTATTCCTGGAAGACATCACAAGTCAGCCACGAGCTGGGCCGCGTGCTACCATCCCGATACACGAGGACGGCGCTTTCTTACCTCCGATGCCTCCAAATGAGACTACGAGAGCGGTAGTAACCGCGCGCTTGGACTGCGAGACGATGTTGTTGGCGGACTATAGAGGTGTGTCAACCATCGAGTGAACCCGCTCAAATTCAGGACGCACATATGCCAGGATCCCCGGGACCGCAGCCGAGGCGCCACAGTTGGTGAGGAAGAGCCCTGATCAGCGGTGAGCCCGAGTACGATCGTCAAACTAGCAGGTTAATCTCACCAAAATATCTCACTCCGGGTTGGGACGCGTACGCCGTTGCGAGCACTCCCGCCGTGGTCATGAGTGCCAAGATGGCAATGAAGCCCGCGCGGTGACGGGACCGGTCGGATAGGTACGAGAAGACGATGATCGTGGCTGCCTGAAGATTGACGGGCACTGTAAGCACAGGTTGATCTGCACGTCGCGCTAGAGCGGGGCTCACCGCTGCGATATACGGAGGGGCGCTCTGACAGTGAGTAGTTAGCCCGCGATCGTGTCCCGAATTGCTGACAACGCACCAACAGCAGCGTCTTCGATATGCTCCATCCCATACCATCGTGTAATATGATGGGCATGAAGAATCCGACGCTGTAAGCAGGCATCGTCGCCGCGATGTACATAAAGCCTAAGGGAAGGTCGATGTCAAATTCGAAGGTCGCAGCAGACGGTAGTCGTTACGCACCGTACACCCATATCTTCCAATCCATCAGGTGCTGGCGCACCTTCGCCCACGACATACCGTCTGGCAGGGCATCGCCTCTGTCCTCCTCGATGCGCGAGAGTACATACGCCGTCTCTGCCTGCGTGAGGAACCTATTCCGGTCCGGAAAGTCTGACACAAAGAACCAGGTCACCGCGCCAAAGAGGATCGTGATCGCGCCTTCAATAATCTGAATCAGGCGCAGTCAGCATCGATAGCTACTGGAGACCATCGCAACTGGACAGGCCGTCGCAACTGGGTAATTCCATCGCAGGCGCCCGTCTCGCTGAGCACTTACAAATATATACGCCCATCCCGGTGTCTTGCTGATGTTCCCGAGCAGGCTGACCGCGTACGCGAATATCGGGCTGAAGCCCGCGACGAAGACGGAGACGAGATAGAACGCGCCAAGCCTGCCGCGGAAGCGGATGATGAGCGCGGCTCGAGAAGCAGCAGCGAAGGCGGACGGACCGTGTCTGGACCTCGTGGCGTTTATACCTGACAAAGGGACGACGGTAAGTTACCCTGACTCTCGCTCGCGAAGGCTCAAGTAGGGAGAGGTCAAGTAGGGAGAGGTTAAGTTAAGTGGTGAGGGTCGTAACTACTGACCAGGTCGTTATAATGAAGACGAGGGCACAGAAGAAGCCGGCCTGCAGAGGGGGGTTAGTCCGTCGCCGCATTCTACTTTATGGCCGACGCGGGGAAGTGCGTACCTCGAAAGCTCCGAGGAGTGCTCTGGAGATGGGAACTCGTAAGCTCCGTGGCTATCCGGGAATAATTCATCTCACGCACCTCAGTACGGCAAGCGACGTCCAGTTGGGCACGAAGCCCATTCCCAGCTGGACGATGCCCCACGAGACGACGCAGCCTGCGAGCCAGCGCCGCGCGCCGACCTTCCGTGCAATGATGTTGCACGGGAGCTGCCTGCATGGAAAAGTGAGTGGCGTACTCCACAATGTTGCTGAAGACTTACAGGACGATGTACGGGACGAAGTAGATCAGGGATACGATGCTGTAACGTGCACCAATGCTGAGGCCCTGGATACAAGGTCAGGTATCTTGTCAATATCTGTGGAGACGGCTTACGATACTGGCGTCCAACCCGGCAACGCGAGCGACGGATAGGTTGGACCTGTCGACGAGCGCCAGAGCGTAGAGTGCGCCGAGAAGAGGCAACATGCGCATGTCAATCTTTCGTCTGGCGAAGAGATCATCGTTCTACCCTTCGTCGAACAGCACGCAAAGGTGGAGGACTTACAACAGTCGTCGCTCGTCTATGGCGCCACCGTCGCCCTCCGACGATACCGCACCCTTCTCTTCATCCGCTTGTCGCTGGTCGATCTTCAACGCCACCAACTTCGATGGCTCCTCCGTCTCATGTCGCAAGTCTTCCGTCGAAGTCATGTCGCTGTCGTCTCCGGGTCGTACGCTGTCGTCGTCGTCGTGCGCGAGTACGTCGCAGTGCAAAGGGGGCCGTAAAGCAATGCTCGCAGGACGCAAGCTGGAAGAAAGCCGCGAAGATAAAAAAGCCTTCAAGCGCCCCGTCAAAAGGCTGCGAACTCGCGAACCCCCAGAGCCCGGGCACTGCACCCGCGCGTCAGTGGTTGTACGCCGCGTCCCCCTCTCCCGCCGTAAGTACGCGCCCACGCCGAGCTTATCCGAGCGACCGTTCTTCGGAGATGACACGCGCGCAGGGGGAGAAGATCCAAAGCTTGAGGCTGCCCCCCGCCCGCCGCGCCCCGGTTGACAAGCGGCCACCCCGCGCGCTACGGCTAGCACGCAGATGACCGGTCGCCTGGGCCAGCCACCGGCGCGCTATGGGCCCACGTCCACATGAAAGCGCGACTTGGGGTCTGACTGCCCCTCGTGAGGCCTGACGCGAGCGCAGGAAAACACCGGGAGGGCGCGCGCTCTATCGCCCGCGACGACGTCCGTGTGCTGTCGACGACCGGCCTCTTCCTGTCGCGGCGTCGCAGCTTGTCTTGTCGCTGACAGTTGCACCATGTCCTTGTCGCGCGCGCCCGGAGCCGAGCGCAATCCGGAGGGCACGAGCGGCCCATGTTTGAGCATCCCGAAGCAGGCGATGCGTATCCAGCCAGCTTGGCGCAGGTGGGGCATATCGGGGCAAGTATGACCTTTACGACAAGGCAGCGTTGGTCGTCGATCGCGGCCTACGACGGACAGGGAAGGGATCATCAGAAGCTCAGAACGTCTGGGAAGCATTGAGGGTGTTGGGAGATCGTCTGCTTGCCCCTTCATGTCCGGTTTTGTGCAGTCCGCGGAGCACCTCGAATGCTTCAAAGGAACTTGACTTTACCCAGCGCGGCGTCCTTCCAGTACAACAAGGCCCATCGTCCCAGCGTAACAAGCGTGTTCGAGCGCAACAACGCCTAACCTTGCTGCAAGCTCCGTGGTCTTCCTAACAGTAAGCTCCGTAGCTTCATCAAGACTCACCTTTTCCAGTCAGCCCCGGTATCTTCACGTAACCTTGACATACTTGCACGGCGCTGACTGGAAACTGAAAGCCACTTTCCCCTCCCGCTCAATCATACTATGCGATATGCCGATAGATTGATTACGAAGTACGAATAAAGAAGAAAACATCCTGCCTATATAAAAAGCGTAGTGAGGTCGTGTCCGAGGTGAGAGGAAGCGTATAGAAGGGCGAGGAGAGGGACGTGATGAGTGTGGTGTAGGATGTACACAAGCGGGGTGCAGAACGGGACACCCATCGTAGTACAAAGGTGGACAGATAGTGGTACATTGATCTTGAGAATTCTCTTCTTACCCCCTCTATGACGGACTCCAGGCCTAGATGATATGTGGGTGTGCACACCCTCCCTATAAGGAGGGGAGCTACCCCTATAAGGAGGGGGCTACCTGCGGATGCGGGACTCCAAGTCTATGCCTGCGCGCACGGCCCGTCCGCACTCGGCGTTGGCGGCTGCGGCTTGCTACTTGACGGGCCAGAGAACGAATCCGACTTGCGCCTCTCCGCCGTATCGTCCTGGTATAGGTGGTGCTCCTCGATGTAATCCACGACCGGCGCGGGCAGCAGGTAGTGCACAGAGAGGCCGCGCTTGAGGAATAAGCGGACCTGAGGGGAGGAATGATGAGCAGGGAATAAGAAGGAGATGAGAAGGTGGATCGGATGATGATGGATAGAGAGGAGCAGCGCGGGGATATCGAGGCAATGAGAGGGGGCAGAAGACTTGATGTGAAGGAGATGGGAATGATTGGCCACATATGCATGTCCTCGGGCAATAGCGGAGATAGGGGCGCAGGATCGGGCATAGGGACGGTCGCACGACGGGACGGGGATGGGAACGCTGACCTTTGTGCTCGACACATCGTTCTGAATGAGCTGAGAGACCATATGGATATTATGTCGCCATCGCGCGAGGCTGTCGGTCGCCTGGTCCATCCCGGACCCTTGCCGCTCGATAATCACCGCGCCGTATCGGCCGAGAATGTGATCGAGCTATGTAGAATAGAAAGAAGCCAGCAGAAAGGGAATGAGAGAACGCAGTCAGTCAGCACCGTTCGTGACGCAGAAAGTAGAAGCAGACGCACGTCCTCGTAGCTCCACACGCCGGGCTCGCTCATGGTGCTGATGAGATCGGATCCGGCGAGGAGCATGACGCGCACGGTGCGGTGCTCGCCGTCTTCGGTCTGGACACCACCGAGGACGGTGTTGACCTGGTAGTCGAAGTGATCGAGGACAACGGCGGTGCGCTGGTAGGACTGGAAGGCCTCCCACGGGTCGACCATGAGCCAAGAAGATGTGTGCTCGGCGGCGAGGTTGCACATGTTGACACTGACGCGAAGGTGAGTAACTGGGTGCCAACGCGCGATCGGGGCAGAGGAGGGTGATGCGCGCGCGCCGATGGGTCGCCAGGGAGACTCACCGGTGGTGTGCGCTGAGTAGGCCGGGCTTCTTGTACATGTCGGAGACGGGGGAGAGGTAGCCGCCGACGATCTCGAAGTCGGTGTTCTGGCGCACGTAGTCCTTCGCCATCTCGAACATGCGGAGGTGGAGGAAGGTGACGGGGCTGAAGGAGCCGCACGCGACGAGGACGATCGGCGTCTTGCGCGGGTCGCGCAGGACGCGGCGCAGGCGGTGGTGCGGGAAGGAGTAGTTTGGCGGGTTTGTGAATTCCCTGCGCGGCGGGGAGGCGCTCATGGTGGCAGCGGCTCTGGACTGAGGATTGCGGGGGAGGAGGAGAGGGCTGGCGCGGCAGCAATGATTGATTTGGTGCTGGACGAGAGGGCGGAGGACAAGGAACCGGTGCCTGCGCTCGTCACACTATCTGTGACTAGGATTTGGTGGCGAGCGTGACTCATGGTGTCAGCGGCTTCGTTCCGGACTCCCGCGCGCTGCCGTGTCTAAATTCCGCTTCGGACCTATGTTCATCGCATCGCACGAATGCAGAAGAGAGTCGGAAGATCCAAGAAATATTGCTTGTGGGATCGTACAGTCTTCTTGTGGTCGGAAAGCATGCTTTCAAGCTAGTCATTCCCTTCCCGAACGCACCGGTACCTTTATCACTCCGATCCTCACTCAGTCTGACCAAGATAGCCGAAGCTCATTCATTGCCTTCATTCAGCACGTATTCATCCAGCTCGTCAGTACAGAAGAGCTTGAGAACCGCAGCAGTACTTCCACTGTGACGAGTTGCACAGCGCACATGACCCCAACCTCCTCTTCACGGACATCCGCGGGTTCCGTTCGCGCAGAGATCACATCCTCCCCCGCTTTATGGTCAGGGTCCTTGGTCGTCTGACCACCTCCTCATAACCATTCGGCAAACCCCATCACTTCAACCATATTATTTCCCAAACGGGATGTCCTCTTGTGACGCCGCTGTCGGCGCGCCTCATGATCATCGTCAACGTCATCGTTCCCGATGCGCCGTCCTTCTCGCGCTCGACGTGAATGCGTCCCACTAGATAAGCAACTGTGTCTTGTCTCCGACCTCCATGTCCCCCGCGAAACGCTCACGCTCGTCCTCGTACGCGACCTCCGATGAATCTGACTACGCACCTCGCAAGCGACAACGGTCGGCGTCCTCTTCAGACTCATCGGACGAACACCGCCGTCTGAAGGTCTACATCGTCCAAGCGAAACTGGATTCTGACGAGGTCGCGCGGCTGTATAACCTCGTCGAAACTCACAGCGTTGATGGCGGACTGGACTTTGAGCTCGCCCCGAACCCGAACGTCGCGGATGTGATTGTCACTGCGGTGCGCATGCGGAAACGTCTTGAGCGGCATGTCGACTGGGAACTAGCGGTAGGTCTCCTTCTTTACACGAGCCTTCATGGTATATTTACATATGGCTCCCCTCTCCCAGAAATCAAAGTCTCTAGTCACCCCCGACTGGCTCACAAAATCCGTCGAGGCCAACGAACTCCTCCCCTGCGGCGACTTTGCCGCCCTCCGCGAGCTGCGGGACCAGACCATCAAACATTGCCCCGGAGACAACGACGGTGACACCATATCTACCGCGCCGACGTCTGCTTCTGCTGCCTCCGCCTCCGGTCCTGATATCAGAGCCACTGAATCACAGATAAACCTCCAACCGCCCGCTCACGAACCAGCCCTCCCCAAGCTCGACTACCGCTCCCGCTACGCCTGCTGCCGCGCCTCCCCGCTCGTGTGCCCGAATCAGAATCTAGTCAGCCGCCTTGCCATCATTCGGCGCTCGCGCGAGCTCGAGGATGACAGGATCAGCGCGCTCAGCTATGATCATGCGATCGGGGTGAGTATATTGCTATAAGCTATACTATATTATACTATTAGCAGCGGGTCATCGTCTTGCTAACCTCCCTGGCGGGAACGGTAGATGATCAAATGTAAGTTCTTCGAAGGTGTGCGTCTTGAGGACATGAAACTGAATCCACATCCCATAGCCTACCCATACGAAATCACCGAAGACCGCCTGAACGACGTGAGCAAACTCCCGCACATCGGCAAGAAGATGATCGCGAAGGTGAGCTGGCTTTTGAGTATTCGCTATCTTCAATTTTTCCGAGTCCGCCGTCGTCAATCTCTCCGCCAGCTCACGCAGCCCCCAGCTCGAGGAATACGTGGAGACGGGGGATATCGAAGAGGCTGGTAAGTCGTTCCCCGCCTCTCTTGTTGATTCTCCTGCCCTTCCTGATAATTCCATACGCTGACCCCCACCCAGCCACCATCGCCGCCTCCCAGCGCTTCCAGTCCCTCGAGGCCTTTACCGACCTCTATGGCGTCGGCGCGACGACCGCGCGCAAGCTCTACGCCGCGGGGTGCAAGACGTTCGAGGATGTGGAGAGGTATTATGGGGTGGATACTGGCGCTGGCAGAGGTGAAGGGGATGAAGAGGATGGAGTGGATGGAGTGGAGGGAGAGGATGGAGAGGATGGCGAAGGCGAGGGAGAGGATGGAGAAGGCGAGGCGCTCGAAGACGTTATTAACGACGCCTATATCCCCGAGGGGTGGTCGCAGGACAGTAACGGGAAGACATCTAGCAGGAAGAAACCCCGGTCTGGCAAGGGGGCTCGTACTGGCAAGGAAGCCCGCTCTGGCAAGGAAGCTCGGTCTGGCAAGGAAGCTCGGTCTGGCAAGGAAGCTCGGTCCGGCAAGCAGGCTAAACCCTCTACTACTGCTAAACCCAAGATTCCCTCCATCACACCGCGCGTCGCGCTCGAGCTGCGGGAGGACCTGGCGCAGCGTATCCCGAGGGGCGAGGTGGAGGCGATTCATGCGGCGGTGGTGCAGGTGCTGGACGAGGTGCGCCCGGGGTGTGTGACGGTGGTCGTTGGGGGGTGAGTGAAGTGGTTCCTTCATGAGCATGAAGTGCTTCCATCAGGAGCATAAGGTGCTTCCTTCATACGCCCGACGTGCTTCCTACATGAGCATCATGCATCTCTACTTCGTATATTCGAAAAAATACACCGTAAACCCACAAGCTGATACTCCGCTCCCCCCCAGCTACCGCCGCGGCAAGTCCCTCAGCGGCGACGTCGACATCGTCATCGGACACCCGAAGCTCAGCCCGACCGGGAAGAAGGTCAAGGGCCTGTCCAACCTTCTCGTCGAGCGCCTCTTCGAGCGCGGGCTGGTGACGCATCTGATGTGTGAGTGACTTCGTCTTGCACTGTCCTGCGTCCTCCTTTCCTGTCGGCGGTCGCGTATTTTGTCGGCGTTCGAGTGCCGTTTATCTGTCCCTCCGACTTTGCACGCCATTTTTTCCTGCCACTCTCTCGCTGACTCTTCCTTCCTTAGACCTCTCCGGCTTCCACACCCCCGACGTCTCGCGCTCGGTCCACTGGGACGCGCTCGAGAAAGCGCTCACCGTCTTCGTGCTCCCTGGGGGCGTGCATCGGCGCGTGGACCTCATCTTCGCAGCCCCGGAGGCGTATTGGACGGCAGTGGTGGGATGGTGAGTTGGGCTTCTGCTCGAATGTAGTGTGGCTGTTGGATGCGCTGCCGAGAGCCCGGTGGTTGTAGTCGAGATTCGGGAGCCTGGAGCCGAGAGCAGCATGCTTGCGGTCGAGAGACAGAGCTGTTTTACTGAGCTTACCATAGGACCGGCTCGAAAACGTTCGAGCGCGATATCAGGCGGTGGGCGGCGGATCAGAAGTGCGTGCGAGCCAGTATATGTGGATGAATAGGCTCTCATTGACGGTCTGCAGGGGACTGAAGTTCGATAGTACGGGGTTGTGAGTGAACTGGCTTCTGCGATCCTTCTTCAGGTTCTCGTTTACGCTCAATGTTGAACTTGCTTGCAGAACCCGACGTTCGAACGGCGAGATACTGTGCCCGAAGAGCGAGGAGGATGTCTTCCGCATGTTGGGGCTGGACTGGATACCGCCGACGTTGAGGAATGCGGATGCGTGAGGAACGAGTGGGGTCGGCGATGTCGATGAGGTGCACCTCAGGCTGCTCATGTCAATTCACGATTGAAGATGTGCACTGACTGCGCATAGCTTGTGAGAGCCGTCGAACCTCGTCGAGAATCAGACGCCGAGCAATGACGAGAGGTGGGATTAGCATCGAGCAAATGTATAGTACGAGCGGTCCAACCACCACCCTCAAAACCAGCCACCGAAAAGCCCAGAGCCCTTCTTCCCCTCTGGCCGCTTCTCCTCGTCCTTCTTGAAGAACGTCTCCCTGACCTCCGCGAGCAAGCTGTCATCGTGCTCCAGCGGGTCTTTCGCCGACGCCTGAGGAACGGGCTTCGAGGACAGGATGTTGGCAGCCACGGACGCGCGCTGCTTTTTCGGCGCGGACTGCGACCGCGCGGCCTGCGGTTGGCGGCGGGAAGGGTGCGTTGGCGCGATGCCGGCGACGCGCTTCGCGTTGACGATGGGCCGCTTGACGCGGGGGAGCTTGACGGCGTGGGCTGCGGCGGAAGCTTCGGGGGACGGGGCGGACGGCTCTGCGGGCGGAGGGGCCGCAGGGGCAGCGAAGGGGTCGACGATGATCGGCTCGCCCCTCGCGAAAGCCTGCGCCTCCGGGCTCGCGGTCGGCGACGGCAGCGGTGACGGCAGGTCGGGGCTGACCTCTGGCAGCGCAGACGCTGCAGGCTCCCCTCCAGCCGCCCCCGGCGTCGGTATCGGCCTCCCCAGCCCATCCACCGGTGTCGGCGCGGCGTCCAGCGGCCTGAACTCCCGCTGTGGCGTCGCTTGCGCCTCTGCGGGCGGCGGAGGGCGCGCGCCTGCCGGGTACTCGTACGGGTTCTGCAGGTTGAAGGCCTCCGCTGCGCGCCGGAAGAGCGCGCGCTTCGCGGGCTGGTCGAGCTGGCTGAGCTCTGTACCGGCGGGGGCGGGGTCGAGGCGGGCGAAGCCGCCGAAGGCGAGCCAGCTGCTGGCGATCTGGCGGCGGCGCTCCCGGCCGATCTGGCTGGACTCGCGCATGCGCGCCGTGTAGTTGGGTTCTGGGGAGGGGAAGGGGGTTAGTCGAGGACAGAGGGGCATGGGGGTAGGGGACGCACGCGATGGTTGACCCTCCGCGCCAATGACGCGCGTGCTGGACAGCGCGTCTGCATCCACATAGCTCTCGTCGCGGCTTGCTTTGCGGAGGAAGGGGGCGATGTTGGACAGGCGCGGGCCCCCAATCTGGGGCTCGATGGGCGTCGCCTCAAAAGTGACCCTGGGGTTCGCAGCGAGCAGATGCCTGGCCGACTGGTCCGCGAAGGTCACCCAGAGGTGCTTGCGGTATAATTGGGGGCATTCGCTGTCCTGCCGGGTGCTGTGAGCGGTAAGGATGTGAAGGACAGAATAGCAGACGCACATGGGCTATTCTATGCTCCAGCACGCGTCCGTAGCGCTTCTCTATCGCCCGCACGACCGCCAGCGCGTTGGCCATGTTGTCCAGGGGCGCGGTGACATGGAATAGCGCACCCGGACGCTCCTCCGCGCCAGGCGCATTCGACAGTCGCGCGACCGTAGCTCGAAGACTCGAGTTGGTGCGCACACCGGCTCGCCGTAGCGCTTTGGGAACGGTAGGGCGCGCTGTCAGCATCGCTGTCGTGGTCGTCGCCGTCGCAGACAACGTCGAGAAAACCTCGTCCGCGAGCGGCGGCGCCCGGGCCGAGTGCCGGATGTGCGCCTCGGCTAGCAGGATCAGCGCCTGACTCTTTTGCTCCCAACTTCCATCTCGCTCCATAGTGATGCGCTAAATGCATACCCTTTCGAACAGGCACCCCCATCTGCTGACCTGTAGAATTCTACATCTTCTGCACGGCACGGAAAGACACGATACACCCTCTCGCTGCTTCATCAGTTCATGCAACCTTCAACCTGAACGAACGGGCAGTACAAGCCTAAGGTCGACATAGAACATCGAAATGACAATCCATGATTAAGATTCCTCATGGCTGTCCTCTGCGGCTCGAAATCATGTTCAGCAGCGGAACAACCGCCTCGCATCGATCTTTTCAACTTTGTCCCAGACAGCGCTCAGCGCTCGGCACCTCATCTCAATATACGGACCTCGTGGGCATCGGCGATTTCGACGGTACGAACGGTGTCTTTGAACTTGTTCATCTCCCACTGCGCTCCTTGCACATTTCATGACTCTCCTGTTATTCATAGGATGGATCTTTCTGATATGATACTTTGTCAATCTTCCAGTCTCTTCTGCGTCAACATGGAGCTGATCCGCTCTCGTTCAACGACCAAGTTTTGCCAACAATCCCTCGGATTATGCATGCGTTGTGCGGGATTCTGAAGCCTTGAGACGTCTTCTATCCGTCCCGTCGAGTTGCTTACTAAATCATCGTGATGAACTTTGCTACTTCTGTCGACGGTCCCGAAGCTGCGAGTGGACCTCAAGGGGCTCTCGTTCCCGTAGCTCTTTTTTGCGTGGGGTATATATAACTCCTCACCGTAGCGATCGGTCTTGCGGTCCCTCGTTCCAGTAACCACATCCAGATGGCGAGCAGCGCCGACACGAAATATTGGCCTTTGACCACGTACGACGTGGCTGCGCTGAAATATATGACGACTGATGTTGTCGTTGACTTTGCACTCTACGGTAAGTGTCCACAAGGTATTCCATAGCAGTCGCGGCGTTGACTTATACGTTCAATGGACAGGTGTACAGGCCACGATCTCTATGGCAGCCATAACTATTCTCGCGTACGCGCATGCACTGGCGTGCCAATGCAGTCTTATAGATTTTGGCCTTCCAGACGTCGGCATGGTCGATCGCACTTCACACTCGCAGCCATATTGGGGCTCTTCCTATCGTCCACGATCTCGATCGTTGCCAACCTGATATTATATCTCATGCAACTTCCGACGGCGCTCGGCACGTCGGAGCGCGCCATCGACGATTCACTGTTTGCTCTCAATATCCTGATCGGTGCAGCTCACGACCTCAACGTACGTTGCGCATTATTTGAACCGGGCGATCTACTCAATACGATGCAGTATATTCTAAGCGATGCCGTCCTTGTCTGGCGAGCTTGGTGTTTATGGCCGGAAAGCCGCCTGATCAAATGTATATTGACACTTTGCATCAGTGGAAGCGTCGGTGAGCGATCAGGCAAGAAATGCTTGTGCTATATTGAACCATTACAAGGTGGCGGCATTGCAGAGTGTGTATGGGCATTCTTGCCAGGCCCATCTGTCATGGAAAAGCTCGAGAGCAACACGCAGCTGCTTACTAGGCTGATCCCCCTCCTCTCGACCAATGTCGTTGCAACGGTTCTCATCGGGACCAAAGTAATGTAGAAACGCCAGTCGATCATGTTCTTCAAAGAGGGCTAACCGTGATACGACAGTCAATACCGAAAGGAGATCAAGAAATTCCTTGGCCTCTTCGCGCAGAAAACCAGAACGGAGATGATGCTTCTGCTGCTCTTTGAATCGGGACTCGTATATATTGCCTTCTGGGTAAATTTCCGTCGTCTTTTGTGCCTCGACGCTTACCTGAAATAGGTCATCAGTGGTGTCTTGGCCACCGTTGCAGACGATGACCCATTTTCCAGCCTAAGCATCTTCAACAGTGTCGCCCATCACGTCGCCGTAAGTTGATCGTTGCTATATAGCCCCTCCTCATCTCATCGACCCGACTATCAGGGCATCTAACCCACTTGCGTATTATTCGCGACCTTGCAGAGTAATACGACCCAGACATTACTCAGTGCTCAGGTGTCCGCCGTCATGCGCACTGTGGTCACGCCTGAAGAGCACGAGGGTGCGCTGCAGTCGGACACAATGCATGAATCCCAGCCTTCAGATCCCGCTGGAGCATGCGACATCGAAGCGCAGAACAGTTGTGCTGGCAGCGTCTCCTATTCGTCTGTCCCCCACGGTCGCGAGAATCCCCGGCCATGCGAGGGCGTTGTTGAAGCGGGACGCGAGTCGCCCCTATGACTCTGAGCTGATGAGACTGGTTTCCGACCTCTGCTTGTTGATCTTGCTTGTGGTTCCGTATAGGTGCTTCGCATGCACGGCTTGCTCCGTATAGAAAATCTGTTTGTGGCGCCGCCTCAACTTGATCTCCTCGAAGCGAAGCAACACCATCACCTTGCCTCAAGATCGTAGTTCCGCGCGCATGCAACAACGGCCTTCATACTTGCTCACGATTACCGGGGCAAGCCAACGTATTCATGACGTCCTGCCACACCGCAGCTTCTCATGAGCGGACGTCGCGCGCTTGCGGGCGATACATCGCAGCTCGAGTGCACCTTTTATAAGGAGAATTGAGTGATAGTTATTCACTCTAGCATGCCTTCTCTCCCGCTTGCTGTCGAGCGGCCAGCCGCAGCCGTCCAGTATCAGGCAGTTGGAGGCATAAGTTACGACTGACCCACTCAGCCACTGCTTCGCCTAGCGTTATACCTGACATGCGTCTTGCTCATCGTCATAGAGGGCACGACATAATCGCTGCTCAGTGCACAAATCTCGCAAGCCATGTGCTTCGCAGGGAAAATCGAGGAAGACGACGAGGCGCGAAACCTGCCAGCGGACGCAGACAGAACATAAACCTCTCAGCTTACGAGCGCCGACAGCGGCTTCAATGTCAGGCCACTGTACGCGCATGGTGATACTCTTCACGGGGCATCTGCCCATTGTGATGGAGAGACTTCTCGAGCATCATGGGGCCATGTTGAGGAGATTCACTGGCAGTAGGAAGAAAAATTGCTGTTCACATGTTGAAGAGATAAGAATTTCCGTGTAGCCAGTCCTGAATGCCAGCTCTTCAACGATGGTCGAAGTTCGGAGCATGATTCTGATGAGGGCTTGAACCCAGAATCGGAAGCAACACGGCGCAGCGGGTGACAAGAAATTGCCGTGACACTGCCGTGACAGCCATGCACGGCCGTGCATGGGCCTACAATATACGACCATTGCCATGACCGTGTCATGTCAATCGTGCGTTGTACGTGACACTGGCCATGACCATGGATACAGGAAGGTCTCTACGTCAGTAACGACAGAGATATGCAACTTATATCTTGCTTTGAATCTCTACCCGTCTGATCACGCACGCGACGTCCCTTGGCGGCATCGGTGCGTCAACTGAACGAGTGCTGGTCCATAGAAGAGAGTCGTAAAAGTCAAGACAGCGTATATGATGATGTAAGTGTGTATGTGCTACCCGTATGTCCACAAATGGCCTCAGGAAGGACTTGTCAGCCGCGCCTACTGCCATGAAGACCATGCCACAGCACATGGACGGGCCACGACTGCCGTGCAGATGACCATGCACAACCATGATGTGGCTGTGTTGGATTCCGTGACATCCTTCTTTCCTTGATTGTGACCCGTTTAGGTGGCGGCAAGAATGGCGTCTAATCGTCTCTTGAGGGCAACATATCGGCAGTCCAGGATGGCGAGGACCCATTTAGATGCAAACTGCGTCGAATTGCCCATTTTTGGGCACCAACGAGGAATGAGCGAAGCAACAATGACGAGTCACGAAATTTGGGTTTTCCCATTTTTGGTCCATATGGAAGAGATGGTGCTCATGAGCTTGTGGTACAGATGAGCGAGCGTCAAAATGAGACGGACATGGGTAGGAAGACTTTGAAGTATCGGAACCGTGACATGGTCCTTGCACGGCTCTGCATGGCTGTCACGGCACGGTCACGGCAATTTCCCGATGCCCCGGCGCAGCGTGCACATCATGATCGCGTCGGGCGCTTAACGTGCCTTGTCCCCTCCCGCCATGTCGCGCTACAGGGACGCGCTGAATGCGCTCTCCGCGCGGACAGGCGCGCCCATATCCTCCCTCGTTATCTCCTTCGGCCTTCTACACGAAGTCACGGCCATCGTCCCACTGGTGGGAGTATTCTACGCGGCACGGTACGTACGCGATCAGGTCCCTCTGTCCCCACACTGCTCTCCTCCTCTCCTTCAACTCACACTCGCACTCACATTCCCGGTCCCCCCATCCTCCCCAGCTCCTTCGGTCTGGGCGAGCGCGTCGTGCAAGCCGTGATTCGGGACACGAACCCCTCGACTACATCCGAGGACTCCCCCACGCTCGCCTACGTGCACCGCACCTTCCGCGACTGGGTCGAGCAGGGCGACGCATGGGCCGAGCGCGTCGGGAGGCGGTACGGCGTCTTCGGGTTCGAGAAGCGCGCGCCGGGCGCGGCTGCGTCTGCCTCAACCGACGCATCTGCCTCTCCCTCGACCGATGGATCACGACCACGGATTACGGGCGACGTAGCGAACGCGGTTCTGGCGTATGGGGTGACGAAGGTGAGCGTCCAGTGCTCGGTCAGTGCGGTGTAGCAAGAACTCAATTCCTTGCGCAGGCTGCTGCTCCCTTGCGGGTAGCCCTTTCCCTCTATCTCAGCCCGGCGGTTGCTCGCGGCGTCGTCATACCCATCACTCGCACATTCGTTAATGTCTTCCGGCGACGAAAGTGATCAGTTTACGGATCGCGAACTGGGTTGATCATTGTCGGAGCGGACTACGACTTCAATTATTACGGTGCAACAGAAATGGTATGGATGGATGTGTAAGTACAGATGCTCTAATTCTATGCATATTTATAAGAACAGGAAGAGGATTGTCTCGCAGGCAAACGACGATTGATCCGCCGGTGAACGATAATTTCGCGAGCATAACCACAAACAAGAAAAGATCACGAATACTCAGGCGTCCAATAATGCTTCGTGAAGAACGTGTGGATGGGCAGCCGCTGCCCACCGGGCTCCGCGCGCGGCGTCAAGAGGTCTAAATCTAGTGACCAGCCATATTCTTTCGACGCCTCCGATAGTTCTGCGTGGGCGTTAGTCAAGGGTCACGAACACACGACATCATAGATGAATGTCGGCGAGTAAAAAGTACTCACCTGTAAACAACGTTCCCGCCTCCGACCTCTCAAGGACACCGCCGATTAACGGTGGCGGTCTATCATTTACAGACTTAGCAACAGTCTGCCGATACTTCTGGCTCCAGTGCGCGTTCGCGTCGAGCATGGCTTGCCCGCCGCCCTTCTCCATGACGCGGAGGACGCTGGCGACGCCGCCGGGACCGGGGGTGGTGATGATGTCGAAGTTGCTGCCGTATTGGTTCTGCGCGGACCCCCGACCGGCCTCTGCATATCGTCCGACCTCCGCGTACCGCCCGAGGTCGGCGAAGGCGTCTCGGGTAGACTCGAGACTGGCGAGAACTCCCTTCTCCTCGTCGGCTGGCTCCCAACCCTCAGGGCCGGCGAAGGGGTCGTCGTAGACATCGTAGGGGGTCATGGGGCCCAAAGAGTCGGTCGAGCTGAAGCAAGTGGTAGAGTGCGAGAAGTTGGGAGTGGAGGTAGTCGAGTGGGAAAGGGTTGGCGTTGAGGTTGAGGTGGAAGTGGATGCGGTGCTTGATCTGGAGTCGGTTGTGGCTATCGAGGACGCATAGGCGCTCGAGCGCTTGGCGATGTTGAAGGTCCTGTCGATGGTATCAACAGGTGCAGGATCCGCTACAGGAATCTCAACGTTGTCCACCGGTGTATCGACCTCAGGAAGAGACTCCAGCGTGAGCTCGCCGTCCTGCAGGGCTTGCAACTTCGCCTCCAATGCGGCACGCCTGCCCGCCAGTGCCGCCTCTTGTTCCTCTACACGTGCTCTCCACTCCTCCATTCGCGCTCTCCTTTCCTCCAGGCTAACGTACTCGCTCCCGACCGTCGCGGCCGCGTACGCGCAGGCGGCCTCGACGAGGGAGCAGCTGTAGACGTGTGACCTCTCCGCTTCGCCCAGGTCCTCTTCCAGCCCGAAGCCGGGCATACAGGAGCATGGAGCGCAGCGGGAGACGAGGCGGGTAGGGCGCTGAGGAGGTACGGGTGCGATCGTCATTGTGGTGACGTTCGCAGTGCTCGTCGTGGTGTTGATGGACGAGAATATCGGCCGTGCAGACGCGAGCATCGTCGCCTTCGGGGTCGACACCGGCGCAAAGCATGGTGGGATCTCCGACTCTGGTATCGGAATGGGAAGGGAAATGTGCGTTGGCTGGATGCGCCCCGACGCCTTTCGCCTGCGCCAAATCTGTGGAAGGGGCATGATGTTGAGCAAGGCGGAAAGAGAGGGATATGGGGGGGAGGGTCGTCTGAGGAAGGCTCGCTCTAAACGTCTAAGAGGAGCAGGGGCTTGCTTTCTGGTCTTTAGGGGACCCAAAAATCGTCCAACGCGTACCTATATACTCTCCGACAAAGTCTAGGAGACGCGCATGGCGTCAGCGCAGCCAGCGCCGTTGAACAGCAATAGTCGGGTCGGAAGCTGTCGCGCCTCAGACATCACTGCTGAAGAGCTGGAGCTCGCCTAGTGATGCGCTGCCGGGATCTGAGGCAAAATCGAGAGCGATGCTCCGAGGCTGGTCACATTGCTGCCGCGCGCGCGGTATCATTTCCACTTTTCATGTCAGTGCTGGGCAAATGTCTCAGTAGTACGAGGGAGCGGGAGGAAATGCTGGGTGGCAGGAGGAGGAGGAGGGCGGTGCGACGTCATTGAAAGCGAAAGCTTCCGCGTTCCCACGGTTCGACTTTTGGGGGCACGTGCTATCTGTTCTCACACACGCACGCGTCGTGCACGCGCGAGCGCGGGGAACGCATTGCTGAGCTCTCGTCATCGACGTTCATTGGAAACGGCGACGGTGAACAGAACACGAATTCTTCCTTGACCGAACTCCTGCTTGATTCTATCTCAACTGGGTCTGTAGCCCCTGACATCATGGCGCCAGGAAGACATCGCTCCCGCTCGAGGGACGCAGAGCGCAGGCGCTCCCCCAGCCCACAGCGGGACTCGCGACGAGGTGACGACCGTAGACGCTCCAGGTCACCACGCAGGCGGCACAGGAGCGCTAGCTACGAGAGGGACCGGAGCAGAAGTCCTGATCGGAAGAGACGGCGAAGGGACCATTCGCGGTCACGATCGAGGTCGAGGTCAAGGTCCAGAGATCGGAGTAGGCGAGATGTGAAGGGCAAGCGACGGCGGGACGAGTCGGCGTCTAGTAGCTCGTCAGAAGAGGAGGAGGACCGGAGGCATAGGCGACACAGAAAGCATAAGCGCAGCAAGAGCGAGGAGAGGGAGCGCAAGGAGCGGAAAGCGCGGAAGCGGGCTAAGAAGGAGAAGAAGGTGCGTGGTGATACCATGCGCGTTGTACTTACGCTCATCATCATTCTCCCCTGTAGAAGAGGAAAACGGGCGCAGCAGAATGGGGGAAATACGGGCTCATAACGGAGACCGAGTGCGCTATCGTCTCATCCATCATCTTTCCTATTGTCCCTCATATCTATCCCCTAGCATATTCTCCAAAGGCCAGGAGTTCCACACGTGGCTTCTCGAGGAGCGCAAGATCAACCCGGAGAACCTCACGAAGGAGCAGAGCAAGAGAGAGTTTGCGCGCTTCATCGAAGACTTCAATACCGGTGCGCCACTCTCCGTCTCCCTCAAGGGCCACCCCTCTCACTGACCCTCATCCCGAAGCCACCCTCCCACACGAAAAGTTCTACAACATGGACGCGTACGAGAAGCGCATGGACGCAATGCGGTCCGGTCAGACGCTCACCCTTCCCGATGACGGATACGACCCCAACGCGGACATGAGAGCCTTAGCGGGCGCGCGGAAGAAGAAGGCCTCGGAGGCTCCGAGCTATCTCAGCCGCGATCAACTGGAGGAGCTGAGGAAGGTGCAGAATGAGAGGGTTCAGGTATGTGCGGGAGGCATTCTTGATTTGTTGGATGCGTTGTATGAGTTTCCAACGTCCGTAGGGTGCTGACTTGGTTGTACAGGCCGGAAAGATGAAGTTGCTTGGCATGGATATCAAGCCGAGCTTCGGAGTACGGATGGAGGAAGCGGAGGACGAAGAGTAAGCGTAGGTGGCGAGATGTCAATGCGCTAGGCAAACAGCATCTAGCCGTGCATAACACCCTCGGTATGCGCTTCGAGGATCTAAGTGTCACATTGAGGATCCGAGTGCTGCACTTCGCCCCGAGGCGATGCTGCAAGCCGAGCTCGACGGCGGACCGAGGCTCAACGGGTCAGAAGGACACTGACCACGGGCGTATGCGACGGAGGGCGGAACACGGACGGAAGGACTTCGCTCTTCCGAGATGGCTTTAACAATTCCGAGATGTATAAACCTGCGATACAAGCATCCGACGTTGTGTTCCGCCTCGCGCGAGTTGCGAGGACATCGTCATACCGATGCGTGAGGACAACGTCACACCAATGCGCGAGGACGTCGACGGTACTGATTGCTGTCGCAAAGGCAGTGCGAGGCCGACTGATTGCGAGTCGGGCGGGATTCTTGCTTGTTTCTGAATCTGGCGCGAATCCACCGAGTTTCGGCACGATGATGTTGTATCACGAAGAGGTGTTTGGTACGCCGACGAATAGATCCCTGGTACTTCAGTGGCGGTCTCAGCCTCGGACTCGCATACCCACACTCGGTCAGCCATCAGCGGTGGTTTCGCAAACGACCCGCGCCACCCAGCCGCTCGCTTATGGTCGTCCTCCTGAATGATTTCCTCGCGATTGATACGAACCCGCCCCCATCGCCCCTCAGGCTGTCGCTCTGCAACATGACACGCAGCGCGCTCCGTCATCAGCGTCAGAGCGTCTCGCGCAGGGGCCCGCCGTTCGCATCAGCGCACCCACTGCCCGCACCCACCTGCGCCGGGTCCTGCGCCCGCCGGGTATATACCCCAGGGGGCGGCCGCCATACCCCGACGTGACGGGATATCTCCCCAGAGCTGCTCATCATCGTGGCTTGTTCTGAACCACTATCATGACCGTCCATCGTCCGGTATCGACCATGACTGCGTCGGGCTCGCGGCCCCAGCCCGCTAAGCGCGCCGTGGAGGGGGAGGAGCTGGAGAGCGATCCGCACGACTTCTGCAACTCGTTCTGGGGGCCGGGGGCGTCTGCGGCGACCGTGGTGTTCTCGCGTATGCGCAGCGGGATGCGAACGACAGAGCAGTTGCGCGAATTTTGGGAGGAAAGGTGAGCGGACGGCTTGCTCAGAAGCACCGAAGTGAACATTAGCAGAGCTCAAATAGAAGAGGAATACGCTGCACGCCTGGCACGTCTAGCACAAAAGACTATCGGGGAGGATGAGATAGGGTGAGCTTGCCAACGCGAGGATAGACATGAAACTGACGAGCTACATACAGAGAACTCCGCAATTCCCTTGACACCATGATGCACGAGACGGAGGAGCAGGCGGCGGCGCACGAGCTGCTCTGCTCGCAGATCCGCACCGTGCTGGAAGCGCACACGACGCAGTTCCTCGCGAAGCAGAAGGAGCACAAAAAGCACAAGCAGACGCTCATGGAGCGCAACCTGAAGGCGAAGCAGGCCGCGGAGTCGCGCGTGGTGAAGGCGCGCGAGCGCTACGAGGGCGACCGCCTCAAGATCGCGTCGTACACGCAGCAGATGGCCATCACGCGCGGGCAGGAGCTCGAGCGGCTGCAGGGGAAGCTGGAGGTTGTGCAGCAGACGATCAAGACGAACGAGCGCGAGTTCGAGCAGTATACGCGTGCGCTGGGCGACTTGGTGCCGATGTGGGAGACGGATTGGAAGGAGTTCTGTGATTTGTGCCAGGATTTGGAGGAGGAGCGGATGGACTTCATGAAGGACGTGATGTGGAACTATGCGAATGCGGTGTCCGCTCTCTGCGTCTCTGATGATCAGGTTCGTACAACCCTCCTGCAATTGATGGATCGCTCCCTCACGATCTTCACAGTCCTGCGAGCGCGTTCGCGTAGCGTTGGATCAGTTTGACCCAGAGAAAGATGTCGAGGACTTCGCGCGCCAATTCGGCACTGGAAATGCCCTCCCCAGCGCGCCTACCTTCGTCCCCAGCACAGGCCAAGGCGCCTCTTCCTCCAGCATCATCGCCAACCCCGTGCGGCGGACCGCGACCTTCAACCGCCGCTCCCGACGCTCGACCATCCTCGCCAGCACTCCTTCCGCGCTACAGCGCTCCTTCTCCCGCGCCATGCCCCACAATCGCAGCGATAGCGTGAACGCCGACGATGGATCGTCCTCGAGCGGCTCGATGCAGTCGCGCGAAAGGCCGAGGATCGTCACGGATGCGGCCTTGCTGAATGGGAACGGCAAGCGCGAGTCGCAGCCGCTCCCCATACCGGGACCCGAGAGCGCGTATCCTGCACCGCAGGTACCTGACTTGCCGATGACGAGGCCGCCAGAGCACCTTGGCGGCCGGATACTCTTTTACGGTGAGTGCTCTGCCTGGCTGCAGCGCAATCGTGACGTGCTAACCTTTCGTGTAGTGAAGGCATTGTATGATTACACAGCAACAACCGACGAAGAGTTTGACTTCCAAGCTGGCGATGTGATCGCTGTGACTGAGACACCCGACGATGGATGGTGGTCGGGTGAGCTTCTGGATGAGGCACGAAGAGAGGAAGGAAGGAATATTTTCCCAAGCAATTTCGTCTGCTTGTTCTGAGTGTTGTGTATATACCATCGTGGCCCCCGTGATACCTATTCTACTTATTCCACGTACCCTATCACTCGTTCCTTGCCCTTAATCGTCCTGCTCTGATCGCCCTGAAAGCCGAGAACCAAAGCTGAAAGGAGAAAGAAAGGCCTTTTGACAATTGCGCAAGCACAAAGATACACATGTCAAGTTTCTACACGGTCCGCCTCTTGTAAATAAATCGTGCATGTCCGCAGTGCAATGTCCCTAGGATTAGTATACCAATATAGGGTAGATCATGATACAGGCCAGCCACACCCCGCGCAACAACCCTTGTATGTAGACAAACAACTTCCGCTCGCGTCGCGCGATGCGCCGCGAGGAGCCCAACAACATCCGTTAGTAGAGATAAGTAGTAAACAAGTGAACGGCGGTTGGGCGGGTCGAGCGCAGGGTCCTGCTCAAAGCGCGGGTACAAAAGAGCACTACCGCTCTCATTGTTGGAACCGCCCCGTGCCGCGCCCGGCCATATTCTGCGTCGGCGCGCCGTAGTCGCTGCCGTACCCCGACGGGTACTGCTGCTGCTGTGGCCTCGGCGGGTACTCCATCGCCGCCTCCGGCCCATAGGTGTCGTAGGACATATTCCGGTGCAATGGCGCTTCCCGGAATCCTGCTGTCGAGTGCGCGGCCATCGGCTCTTGGTAGAGCGACGGCGGTGTCCCGAGCGTATTTACGCTCATGGACGAACCGTGCTGGACGAACTGCGCACGCGGGTTGAGCAGAGGCTCGTGCGGCGAGTCCATATGCGCAAGCTCAATCTCGGACTGCGATGGACCTTGTGCGAGGTAGTTTTGGTACCGGGCCGCGTTCAGGTTGGCCTGGCTGTCCGTCATGTTGTAGTTGTACATGGACGGCGCGTCCAAGATCGCTGTTGAGGTCATCGACTTGGCGTCCCAGTCCTGTTCGCCGCGGTCGCGCTGGTACAGCGCAGGATCGTACTCCAGTTGCGCCTGCGAATTCAATTAGACACATCATGCAGTCCACGATGACGCGCAAAACGCACCTGGTCGATAGCCGCAATCCTGATGCCGCCCTGCACAACCTGCGCCTCCATCTTCTTCCCACCGTACTCGTCCATCTTGACATCCTGAGACGCCATCTTCCCACCATACACCTGCCCAAGAAGCGGCATCATGTTCTTGTGCAACATCGGCGTGAACAGCTCGGTGTGCAGCGCCGGGTGCCCGAAGCGCTTCTCGAGACGGTTGCCCTTCAAATCCGCGCGCTCCGAGTGCACCTTGGCGAGGCGGAGCTCGTCGGGCGTGGGCTCGTAGTGCTTGAACTTGTACACGAAGGTGCGGTTAAGGTAGAGCTTGAAGATGAAGATGAAGAGGATGGGCGGCAGCGTAGAGCACCATTCAAAGGTGCTCCATCCAGTCTGAAGGCCAATTGCTGGAAGGCATGTAAGTACATGTCAGTGGCCCACGGTTGAACGACTTACTCAAAGTCATCATCGCCTGCATCAACAAGACGGTGAACAAAAGCCGGTTGATGACCACGTTCCACAAGCGCTGCATCCAGTTGAGCATGTCACTGGCTTAGCAATCAAGATAGCAACGCACCCCTCCGGACTCAACCTTCGACACGAAGACGAACATGAGCTGATACTTCTGCACGATGGAGCTCATCCAGAACACAATCGCCGCGGCCAGAGCGACCAGTGGCGCAAGGGGCGCGAACACAAGCGCAACAGCAGCCATGAAGAGCTAGAACGACGAAGTGAGACGATGCGCGATGCCACATCAGTAATGCAACCGACCGTGTTCGAGCTGTATGTGTGAATCAGAGACCGCAATCGCAAGGTACGCATAGAGACTTACTAGTAGATGGCGTATTGGAACTCGGGTGGCTGCGTCCACTCCCGGATATCACGCGGCGTACGGCCAAAGACACTGGAAGAGGTTAGCACAAGGAACCCGCAAGTCTATGGAGGGTACGTACTGAGTCTTGAATGAGAGCCAAACCAGGTTGATGACCTGCGCCAGATCGAACAGGACAAGGAAGCCACGCAACCTGAGCGCAATAGTCAGCTTGTTTCACTGCGCGCAAGCAGCGACACGCACGGGAAGTAGGTCAGCCAGTACGACGACTGGTCGATATACGTCCTGTTGATCGTGTCCGGAAGAGCTGAACGCGACCGTCAGCCTTGCGCCACAGGTTTCGGGCAGTCAGCCACGTACTATCCAAGTTATGGATGATCTCCGAAAAACTCTTCTTCCCAACCTGTCGGATGATCTCCTTCACGCAGTCTACCCCATTGTTAGCTTGTACGATCAGGCGAAAATTGTGTAGACGTACTGAAGATAACACCGATCAGGGTGAAGACAACCAGCTGCGAGATGACTAGGAAGGCGAAGTAGCGCGCGACGACTGCCCGGTCGAGGCGAGAGTGCGTTAGAGCACCCATATACTGCAACGACGTCAGTTACCATTCAAAAGAGCTGACACCAAGATGTAACTCACCCTCGTCAGCTTGCGCATTATGATGGGCAAGAAGAATCCAAAGAGCGCAGACACCGTCGGCGGGAGCACACCGGACACGAAGTTGAACGAGCCCGAGCTCTCCTCTTGCCATTTTTCCAGGAAAGGTACCCAAGTTGTCAACTGCGAGCGGATGATTAGCTGAGCTCAGGTATCTTACGGACGCAAGCAAAAGAAGCAGAAATGGTGATAAAATGATGGTCGAACAAGAATGCAGGTGGACCGTCGGGGATGTGCTAGCGCCGGAGGGCTGATACACTGACAACCGACGAATGCGCCAACGGGCGGCGAGAACGGGCCGCAAGTACGACGGAGATCAACAACGCAACGCACCGAGGACAAGTTCGCCAAAATCGAGATGATGAACAGCGGGACCGTGTTGAAGAAGCAGACGAGGACGAGGATGGCCGTTCCGATGGTCGACTTGCGCGCCCGCTCGCCGTCCGTCATGTTCATGTTGCGCCAAACCTGTGCGGTGATGCGAGGTGAGCCAAAGTAGCGGTGCAGTCAGATCACAATGACGGGTTTGGGACGGTGGGAGCTCGCGCGCTCGTGCGAAACGATACAACGAAGTCCCAAAGCGGCGACCTCGGTGTACCGCACCCAAAACCGCGGATAAGGGACGAAGCCTCGGATGAGTGACGACGCCTCGCATACCGGCCCGATCATGTCAAAGAGCGCAACTCACAATGTCCTTGGGGTTCGGCGCAAGGGAGATATCCGTGCCCTTGGGATGCTTGTCGGAAAGAATCTTCGCGACGACGTGCGCGTAGGGGACCGCTGCCATGCTTGCGAAGCCGTAGTTCTCGGCCTTGCGGGTGTCGATCTGGCGGCGGTACTCTTGGATCGCGCCCTCCATGCGGCGCAGTTTGTCACTAAAATTTGGGTGAATAGGGGAAGCAATGAAAACCTTGGAAACGGAGGGGGAAGGAGGTTGAACTCACGAGTAGTAGTCGATCGCGTCGAGCTTCTTGCCACCCATTCCCATGAACCCGCCAATCCGGATGGTGGGCCGCTTCTTGCCGATTTTGCCACCCTTCAAGTAGCGAACGAGATACTCCTCGAGTTGCCGGACGGTATCATTGTGTAGCTCGATCAACTCGGGTAGCTTCCCGACCTTGCGACCGATATGCACGCTTGTGGTGGGATACGGAACCTTGACAGACTCGAAGATCGCCTTCAAGCCTTCGTCGGACTGGAACTTCTTCGGCACATTTCGCACAGCCAGCGTCCGCGCGTAGAAAGACTGCTGGTACTCCTCTGAGTGAAACCAGGCGTGGCGTAGCCGGACCATCTCGCGCCAGTGCACATACACGAACGCGATGATGAGGAAGGTGATGAGGTAGGTAACGGCGACGTGGGCAAAGAGGATGTTGCCGGAGACGTCGCGGATGGTGAGCATGCTGAGGATGTCGCGGCCCTCCTTGTCGACGTGTTTGAGGTTGTAGTAGACGTTGATGGGGATGAGGATGCCGCAGCCGAGGACGGCGATCCCGGTGAAGAGCCAGCGCATCATGCGGAGGAAGCGCAGGAAGGTGACCGCGTCCAGGCCGACCTTGTCCATGAGCTCGGGCTCCTTCGTATGCACGAGCGGGGGGAGCCAGCCGAAAAGGGAGTTGCTGATGCGCGGAGGGGGCTTGTTGCCGACATGGTACTTGACTTTCGGCTCATAAATAATCTATCCGGGGGTGAGTACAGGGATGGGGGAAGTAAATCTGTGTGCGCACCTTGTTCTTGGGGCGGAGGATGTTGAATGCGAGGACTGTGACGACCTGGGTGGCTGAAGCGTTAGCTGCGCACTATGCGCGGTCGCTAGCCACTCACGGAGATGACCGACATCAGCGCGACCTGCGAGGCCACGGCTTCGGGCGCCAGCGTCCGTGAGTCGTCGTTGATAAGGTCCCCAGCATCGTCTATAGCGCCCATTGCACTGTCGTTGCGGGTGTCGTAGAGGCCAAGGGCCGGTGGTGGGTTCGTAGGTGTGTGAGATGAAAGGAACGAGAATCAAGATGTTGGATAGATAAAGCAAAGCTACCGGGCCTTGGTCCGTCGGATTTTGACGAGGATGAAGTTCAAGGGGAACGCCAAGTTGGAGGCAAGCGTGACGACAGAGATTTCACAGAACAATGGCATTTCCTGTCACGTCACGCTGCGCGACTTGCGCATAGCCTTCGCCGAAGGAGTACTCTAACATTTCCTGTACTATCCTTGGAACTCTCTCTTTCTCTGGCGCACTAGCTCCCAAGATGTTCACGACGCGTTTTTCCGCAAGACTGCCCCTCCAAGCATCGCGTTTCCCGGCCGGACCGGGGCTCGCAGCGCGACTCTCGAATCAACAGCGCTTCCGCAAATATACCCAGACCCCTCCCCCCAGACCTCCGCACCCTTCACGCCCTTCTCCCACTTCCCCTCACCACCGCCATGAAGTTCAGGAGGGAACTGTCGCCGTGAACCTCCCCTTCAACCCACCAGGCGGTCCGCCCACCCCCAACATACCCATCCAGCCAGAAGGTCCCGAGGGCGGTGGGCGTCACCCCCTCGCCGACGCAGCACTCACGACAGTTGTTGGTCTCGGTCTCGGTGGGTCCCTGCGGATGCGCAGGTCTGCGCAGTCTCATCCGCCCCGCAGTCTTCGTCGGAGGGATCGTCTACGTCTGGTGGTACAAGAAGAACGTCCTGGACAAGGTGCGTCATACCTCATACCATGCGCAGTACGCTGTGCTAACGCGACACGACACGTAGATTGAGCTCGCCTTCACCGCCGGCTACGACCCCGCCCTCGAACTCGCGACACATCCCACAAAGTCTGAAGACCATGCTGACATTGACGCGGACGAAGAGATACCCTGGACTCAGCATTTACGTCGTAATGAACAAGACTTGTACGGGCTTTTGTGGCACCACACTCCATTCGCTAATGCTTCCCCCAGAATTGACCGTATAATAGACGGGTCCGAAACAGGTCACTATTGGGTGCTTTTGGGACCGAAAGTATGCTTCCGTTTCTCTCAACATATATCCCTCCCCTCATCATTTCCAGGGCTCTGGAAAGGGTACGATGATATTCGACTCTATGGCTGCCATAAGCGCAGACGGTGTCGCTATGTGCGATGCCCACCCGGACTTGGAAGGTATTGGCGCGCGTGATCGCTTCTACTAAACTTGTCATTGACACCGCCGCCAGTCTTCCGACTACGTCTCGGCAAGGCTCTGAACTACGAGTACAATGAAGACTCGCAGACTGGGCTGTTCCAGCGCCGTGATCCTCGAGAAGGCGGCCCTGCGCTGGATATTGAGCGCGGTAAGTTCGTCGTTCAGATTGCCGTTAAGTTTGTACTCATGTTGCTCCTCTCAGCCCTCAATAAACTCGAGAAGGTCGCGCTCCGGATGAACGCCCGGCGACACAAGCCCCTTGTTCTCGTCATCAACAACGTCCACTTCTTCAATAACGATGAGTCCGGGCGCAATATCCTCCTGCAGTTCCAGCAGCGGGCGGAGTCGTGGGCTGCGAGTGGTATGTCTGCTCCGTCACGTTGGATAGTGGTAGGGGACTGATGCGCACCGCAGGCATTGTCACTCTTGTGTTTACTACGTGCGAATCACTCACGAACTTGAAAGATGGATGATCCTCTAATCCCTGATCTTCAGTGATGACTTCTGGCCCTTCTACGTGATGAGTGCGTACTTCGAGCTGCGACCACGTCCGACCTGTCACTGACTTGGCGCGACAGGAAAGAGCGGTAGCCGCATGCATGTTCTCTCCATTTCGGACCTCAAGCACAGGGAGGCGTTGGCGGCAATGCGTCGCATACGTATGAACGCAGGGAAGACCGTCAACAACTCGATCATCGAGAAGGTCGTCTCGACTGTCGGAGGCAGGCTATCATACATCAATAAGGTGAGTATATATGCTGGTGTGTGTACATCATCACGGCGACCAGCTTGCTCTATCTTTCCTTCCCCTTTATTTGTTGTGCAGCTAGTATACTCATCGCCGATGCCTAGGTGGCAAGGGCGCGCGACATGGAACTGATGGCGGAGGAGATGCTTGAGATCGAAAGCGCGTGGCTGCTTAGCCAAATTGGTTCGCAATACCCTTTTATCATGCATCGTTCCATACTGACACTTCGACCAGGCCTCATTACCGACTGCGACGATGACGTGATGGACGAGGTGAGTCGGACGCCTGAATGCTCATATCCACTCGCCCTCATCTCCGACGCTCACTCTCGATTTACTCACGCGCCTCTAGCAAAAATGGAGCTCCTGCTCCTGGCTCCTGTTACAAGAGTTCGTCAGGCTGCGACACGAGCAAGAGAAGGAGCATGCGGAAAAGATTGCCGCGGGCGAGCCCTTTTACGCACATGTCAAGCTGCCCTCGATACCCTACGCGCGCTGTCGCCAGTTGATGACGCGCGCGGATTTCTTGGAAGGTGCGTATTCATGCGCCCGCGTAAGACTATTGTGTGCACCGTGAACTGACCTTACGCGCTGGCAGAACTCGACCGCAGGAACATCATCGCGATTGATGTCAACCACAACGTCCGCCCGGACTCTATGTTGATCTTGCACGCCGCCGAGCGCGTCGTCGACGATCCCGAATTCCAGGAAACGATCGACAGCGTGCGCGATCGCATTGACGAGATCGAGAGCTTGCATCGGACGAGGGAGTTGACGGTACGTCTTGCTTGCTTGAGCCTTCCGTTGCTACCCTTTCGATTTCCTGGATGCTTCCCCCATGCACCCTTTCGTCTTGCATGCGCATATCTGATAATCGTCCACAGTTCAAGGACCTTGCCCCAGGCGATAAGATCAAGCTATACGTGGATAAGGGCTCTGATGACCAGGGCAGATTAGTATAATTGACATTTACTGGCTCATTATCGGACTATTGAAACGAAGTGATGCTCTGCAGAGCTGTAGCCATATACACTTGCGATCAAAATGATTGCAAGATCCACGGTTGTCCGAATCAGGATAGTCCCTCAGCGCTTCGTAGATTCCAGCACGGTGCCCCACCGCTGTAATGCCTACTGCACCAGCATACCATGCATGCAGTATGATTGAGCCCAGAGCTCGAGGAGGGCGAACAGCGCTCGATATCTTTCCCGGAAATCTTGCAATCTTTTTGATCGCAAGTGTATCCTTGCTGTATCCTCAGTAACTATCCATGGTGCAAGTCATCCCAAGCCACACAAATTTAAGGCTTTCCACCAACCCTATCTTTTTGAGCTTCTGAAGCGTGGAGACGCAAAAAGAGCTGCATTAAGGGGGAATCGAACCCCCGGCGGGTCGAGCGTTGCTCGATGGCAACGACCCAGGTTACCACTACCCCATTAATGCTTGCAACGCAGCAGGACTTTGGAGGTTGTGTCACAAGCCCTGATAGGAGCATCTGCACATTCCCACATTCCAATTTGATCGCACCTTGTTTCAAACCGTGTCCCAAAGTATGGTTGTAAATTCTGGACAAAAACCGTGGTTAGTGAATCACTAAGCAGTAGTGATTCGAGCGCTTGCCTCGATCAGTACTGCTTTCGTTCACGCACTTGTGATGCGATTCGGTCGCTTTCATCATGCAGCGAGGGGCACCATTTTGATCGCTTTCACGCGCCGGTGATTGCCGATCAACTTGAACACCCACAAGGACCCCCTTGCCATCGAAATTCAGGGCACGTAGACGGATGATTTTGCATCCAGCCAGATCTTCAACGTTTCTTTACAGTACTAGCGACGGAGAATACGTGCGTTTACAAGGAGTTTGTTGGAAAATAGTGGAAGTGGAAGGGGTCCATCGCTTTGGGTGGCTGATTGCTAGTGATCGAATCACGCACCGAGCGGTCAGTGGTCAGTGACCAATCACGCACCTAGTGATCACTAGTTTCTGCGTGATTTTGATGCTCACGCATCTTCACGCACCTGGCGAGTGCCTAGTGAATCGCTGGTGCGTGATTTGAGACCGAAAATCACTCATTTTCACGCAAATCATAGTGATCACACCACTATTTTCACGCAAAATCACTTGATCAGTAGCGGTATACTGGGTTTTGTCCAGGATTTGCAACCATACCCAAAGCTTTCCTGCGCGGAGTTGTGTCGTCAAGATTGTGGATGTGACATATACTATGCTTTGCGCTCGAATCGACTTCGCCGCATAGAACTGTGCAGACCAGGCTCGCGGCGGCCAGCGTCTTGCAACGTCCATCCCTCAGAGCAGGGCTTGGGCCACAGACACCGTACCTATCAGAGCACTCTTGCGCTCACGCTCCTCAACTTCTTTTCAGTCTCAGCATGACTGCCATGTTCGGTCGACCCCACGGCCGCTCGAATTCCAGCATAACGCAACGATGCCCTGGGTATGCCGCCCCGGGCGTTACCGACACCTAGACGCTGTCGATCCTGCCTAATTCCTCGTTTCTTTTCGACAGCGCACCCTTTCCCTGGTACTTCTCTCTTTACAACCCCAGGAACAGCTGCGTATCCGCTCTGAAAAGCGGAAGGGATCTGCGTCATCGCTCAGGATAGGCGACAACGGCCCAGTCTATATCAGTGTTCGTCCACGAGCTTCCCTCACTCAATGTCCGCTGAATCCGTCGTGATCAACGCATACGTCCGACAGCGCCCACCCGCTCTATCACTGGCTGATGCCTTGGTTCACCGTGCGACCTCGGCAGCTCAGAACCTGCGGATGCTATGCACGGGATTGGGGAGCTCCCGAACGCTCCTCTGCCTTATATAAAAAAGTCAAGGCTCCACTCGAACTCAACGCTGCACCGCGCTGCTGTTGGCACAGATGTCGACGAGCGCGGACACAACTCATAGGCCTTTGAATGCCTCTAGAGTAGACGCGCTGGTATTCATGATGAAAACAATTGCGGCCGACTTCGCCTTCTATGGTACGTGTCGAGTTGCTTCCAAACTCTCGTTCTCTCACAATTGGAACGAGCAGGTGTCCAGCTAGTACTCTCCGTCTCAGCAATCATTATCCTTACGTACGGTGTGAACCGCGTCAGTGATCTTCACTAATCCACCACCTCCAGACGTCGGTACGTACAATCGCGGCTCACCAAGGCGGCGATATTGGGGCTACTGCTCTCGTCAACAATCTCTACCGTCGCCAATATCAGTTTCTACCTCGTCGAATTTCCAAGCCACTTTGGGAGCTCAGACCGCGCTGTCGACGGGTTGCTTTTTCGGCTGGGCATCGTCATTACTGTGGCCCAAGACTTCAATGTAGGTACGCGCGAAGGCTGACCACTGGCGAGTATACTCATCACAGGGCAGTTTGTTCTAAGCGATGCCATTCTGGTATGGCGAGCTTGGCGCTTATGGCCGGATAGTCGCCCAGTACAATGTATGCTGTTACTTTGCCTGAGCGGCGCCATAGGTGAGCGCTCGGGCCATACATCAATCCCATTCCCCTGACCTTGATCGAGTTGGCAGCATCGCAGAATGTGCATGGGATTTCTGGCGAGGGCTTTCATCCCTAGGCCAACTGGAGAGCAACATCCAGTTCCTTCCTAGGTTCATCCCCTTCCTGGCTACCAATGTCATTGCGACATCGCTGATTGGCATAAAACTATTGTGAGTGTCTTGTACGAGGGCTTCTGTCGTGTATGCTGAACACTATATAGTCAATACCGCCGAGAGATCAAGGGATCGCTCAGTCTTTTTTCGCAACGATCACAAGTGGAGACGGTACTCGTACTTCTCCTTGAGTCGGGTGTAGCGTACATCCTCTTCTGGGTGCGTCCAAGAGTGTTTCATTGTGTCTGCCTTTCCATTGAACCACCACCAGGTTGTTGGCTTCGTCGTACTGTCTGTCGCAGTCCACAGCCAATTTTCGGACGCGCGCATCTTCACTGGTGTCTACCACCACATTGCCGTACGTTCATGAGCAAGTCTCCGAGGATTTGCTGACCTGGCTTGCCTTGTTCAGGGTATCTATCCGACTTGTGTCTTGTTCGTTGCCATGAATGAAACGACGGAATCACTGCGAAGCGCTAACGTATCGCAAGCACTGCGCTTTGCGGGTCCTTCAGAGGCGCGCGAAGGAGATCGATGTGGCGCAAATTGTGCCAACGAATACCAGCCACGATATAGCACCGACTGCTTCAGTATTGGCCTGCAGGACATGTACCCAGATGGTCGTCCTGACGCGTCTGTTCGCAGCAAGGAGACTACGCGGGGGTCAAGCGAGGGCCCTGTCGCATGCGGGACTGGGAGCGAGGCGATGAATTATGACAGGAAAGGGGCGGCAGTTAGATCCACGGAGGGGAGCTCTGGTATATGACACGGGTCCGCTTTACGAGCGATACCTGCTCGAAGTCAATGTTCATTTTCTCCCCTTCGCAACGCAACGCTGAGATTTACGCGTAGCAAGCATCGCTCGCACCTACTTACCGCTGGCAAAATACTCCCAAGGTCGAGTATCGCGATTGAGCGTATTACAAGCCGAAGCAAAAGTCAGCGCTGCAAAGTGTTCGAGCTAAGTTGCATGAATAATCAGACTGGGATGGCCGCAGGAGGAAAGAGATTGAATGGAGGTGCTCATGTCGACGCGGGCCGGCCGAACCACGATAAGCGCCCAAGACGCACGGCCCGGGATACCGGCAGCCACGCTCGACGCCCTTGCTCACGACAGTCATGAGCACCCTCGACGCATTCATCACTCACTCAAAGCCGCCTCCCACACCTATCGCTACCTCTCTCGAAATCCGGGATCGCGCCTCCATCTTCGTCGGGACCATTTTCCGCGCGTCCTCGCTCGCCGACGTGCATCGCTGCGTCGCACACGTTAAGCATGTAACGCACGGTGCGCGCCCAGCGACACACGAAATGCACGCGTGGCGCATTATGCAGACGAAGGCTGGTCGGACGGGGCTCGGGGGTCCAGACGACTTCGAATTAAACACTGGGAGCAAGGATGACGGCGAGCAGTGGGCGGGAAATAGGATCTTGAGGGTCATGGAGGCACAAGGGGTGCTGGACGCGGTTGTTGTGGTCAGTCGATGGTGAGCACGGGCTGTTTTTCTATAGTCCTCGGCTTGACTCGAGGCGTTCTACAGGTATGGCGGCACCATGCTTGGTCCCACACGCTTCGATCACATCGAAACTTGCGCAACAGAGGTCTGCCAGGCATTCAAGAAGAAGGTGGAGGCTGAAGAGTTTCTCATCACCCTCACGACTCTCGACGATCTTCTGGCGGAGCTACGCGCCCAACTTGCGGAGAAGAAACGCGTAGCTAACGCGCGAGAGGAAGAGGCAAAAGCAAAAGAATCTCCTCACACCATAGGCTCCGAGACTCAGGCTCTGAGCGATTCATCTACTCCAACCAAAGTCACTACGCCTCCTTCACCCAAACCCACTGCAACTCCTTCGCTTCCGCACCACCATGCCTCCGTCCCACCGCCCCAGCCGCCAGACTATGCGTCCTGGATCGAGAACGACATCCCACGCGCCAGGAAGCTCATACGCGCGCGCGAGCTCTCGATCAAGGCGGTCAAGAATGCGCTGGCGAAGTTTGACGCGGAGAAGGAGGAAGAGGCGGAAGCCAAGGCGGACCACCCCTCCACATCAGCAGCGACGACGTCAGATAGCACGAGCCGCTGAGCGGTTCCATCTATCACCTACCGATCGTCCAGCATGCAGTGTTCATGGATGGGCGCTGTTTCCATTGGCAGGTCCGAAAGTGAGCGCTATGCTAGTGATCAGCATGCCTCATAGCCTCCGGGTGCACTCGCGCGCACCGGCGGGACGATACCTGCGAAGGATAGCGACCGAAGCTCCTGGCGCCGTACCACGTCGGATACGCTATACGCCGAACATCGGGCTTCGGTGTGCGAGCGCTCTTCTCGCGGTGTTCTCATAAAGCTGCCAGGCTCCTTGGTCGAAGCACTGTCCCTCCAGCTGCCAGTGCGAAATGGAGGCGAGCGTGGTGTACCGACCACTAACCGCAGACTACGTGGAGTCGTTGCAGTATATATCAGTGCAGATCGCGCTTGTCTTTGTCTTCTACGGTGAGCAACTATTCCGCCGTTGTCCCATAAAACTTAACAATATATCTCAAAGGCGCTCAGGCGGCCCTCTCAATAGCGTCTGTCAGCGTTCTCATGTGAGTCCTGCAGTTGCGCTTTTTCCTGATGAAATCAACTCACTCAACGCCTCGGCAGCCGTCGCGAAGGAAGCTCCTCGATCCTGCTACTGGCCACCCTGACGAGCATCTTTACCTTTTCCTCCATCGCCGCCGTCGTCGATATCTCTTACTACCTCATCTACCTCTCAGTCGGGTACGGCATCGTCCCGCACGAAGTCACGAGGGGCATCCTTAGTCGCATTAACATCGTGGGGACGGTAGCCGAGCGCTGGAATGTATGTATCATGTTGTTGTATGGATATGATGGTTTTTTAATCAAGCACCTGTGCAGTATGTCATGAGCGACGCGATCGTGGTTTGGCGCGCGTGGGTTCTGTGGCCGGAGAGCCGACTTGCGAGAGGGGCGCTGCTGACATGCATGTGCGGGAGCGTCAGTGAGTACTTGCGAGCGGCGCAAAGCTTGTCGTATCCTCTGTTCCAGAATACTGATTGTCCGTCCGCCCGCAGTCGGCACCATCCTCGAAACCGTGTGGTCCCTACAGGCCCATAGCGGGCACGTCAACATTTCGCCCTCGCGCGCGCTCGCTATGCCGATCCCCCTGCTCATCACCAACGCTGCTGCGACGGCCCTTGTAGGGGTTAAGGTTTGGTACGAATGCACGTCTGAGTACGGCGCACGTCTGTGCGAACTGATGCCCCCTACAGGTTCTACCGCTGCGACATCAAGCGACATCTGGCTTTGGGTACACAAAAATCCCAAGTAGAGAAAGTCCTGCTCTTACTCCTGGAATCCGGGTCTGTGTACTGTTTGGTGTGGGTTCGTCGATGCTGGCTACTCAGTTCTTGCCATCAATCCTCACCTATACGCGGCCAGGTTTTGTATCTCCTCGCCGAGAATATCACGGGCACGGCCGCGTACACGCTTACACCCGTCATCGGCGTGGTGATTCCAAGTCTCGCAGTGCGCCTCCCTTGCTCGCCCAGCTAGGACTGCCTTGTGCTGATCTCTCTGACTTCTGCAGGGCATCTACCCTGCCTTCGTTGTCCTTGCAGCCGTACATGGGCGCAGCGCGGACATGCTGTCCATGTCCGACTCGCACATATCGCACGCAATGCGCTTCGCGGGCTCCGAGCTGAATGATACTGTATGTCCGGGGTCGGGGAAAGTGACCTTCGAGGTAGTGGGGAGCACCTGAATTGCCTAAGTTCGGTGCTTACTGCCGACACTTCACGATTGGAGCGCACGGAACGTGTCGGCGGTGCGTCCTAGGCACTACAAAATCGTTAAATCAGCAGGTCAGAGTATAGCTGCTCCCTAGGCAAAAGCCAAACACAGTGAGGGCCTGATGGGTGCGAACTTGCGTGACAAAGGTCACACACGAATTTGAACGAAACGGCGACCCTCATTATAGCGAAGGCATGCGCAGAACGCCTGAAGGTGTCCCTCGGAACCTTTTGAGGCAGTGCTCATATACATAGAAGAGTTCATCCTCATCCGCCCTTCAGTTTGTTCCACAATGTCGGCGAAGCCCTTCGAGAAGGAGACTTGTCTTCCCGCTTCTGAAAACATTGGGGACTGCATTCCGTGAGGTCGGTCGACGACGCTGTTGGGTCACGTCCTCGGCCAGTCTCATAGTCGCCTCAGCCTGACCGTGCTTCAAAGCGTGTTAGGATAGACTCCCTGGGCTAGGGAGAGAGGCAAAAAGATTGGGACATGGCGGACAATTGCGCGGCCGATTGCTTGAGGCAGGGCAACGTCGGCAGATGCGGGTCAGTCGCATGGCGTTGTAGGCTGGCCGCGCACATTCCAGGCTTCGTACAATATACCAGGAGTGGGTTTATTAGCTGATCTATATACGTAGCCCGGGGAAAGGAAGACAGCCGCCAATCAAGAGGAGAACATGATGTCCGGGAGGCAGCGTGATACAAGGAGGGGACAGTACATCGTGCTTCGTGGGCTGCCGCGGGTGTCGCGCGACACAGGGCGGGACATTGTGGGCATTGGCTCCCCCCATGAGCGTATCGGCTTCCCCCGCCATGAGCGTTTCACAAAGCCACGGCGAATCAGCAACAAAGCGCGGCTCGCAAGGTTCGTGTTGCGAGCGGCGCTTTGCTGATGGTTTGCCATCGCGGGGAACGAATAGCCCGTCGATCACTTCCTCCCGCCGTACTTCGCTTTCCGCCCAATGTCGAAGGGAACATACTTGTACTTGATCATGTGCCTGTGAGTGGGTTAGCATGTGGTGAACGCGGTGAGGATGAAAGGTCGATAGCAGGAAGACAGGGAATGGTGAGTCAAGCAAGGACGGGCCAGATGCAAGGAAAGAAGGGTAATGAACGCCAAATAACACTCACTGAATCTGTCGTCGCATCGTCAAGAAGAATAGCACGAAGAAGTACACGACCAAGATTGGCCAGTACACCGGTACGTCGAAGATCTCGGATGTCGTGCACAGTATCGCGATAATAGTCGCCCGTGTTGAAGATAGCCTGCGCGCCGTAGTCAGTAAGAATATCTTTGGAACAAATCAGGTTTGGGATAGGAGGATGACGTGGATGTAAGGATCTCGACGTGTCCAGCGCAGCGGCACGCACCAGAATTGCCATTCAGGTAGACGGCGGACGAATGGCCTAAACTCATCGTCGCGCTGGCTGGGGAGCGGGGTCGCCTCTCCGTCCCCGCCGCCCTCCATGTCGTCCGCCATCAAGTCCTCTTGAAGGGATGGGTCGAATTTGGGTTGCAGGAAGGCGAGCAGGAGGTTCAGGAGGTAGATGGCGAGGGCGTCTGCGCATATATGTCAGTTACGTGCAGCGATATATGGTGCAAGGACGTACAGCATACTGAAGGGGACCAACGGACGGATTAGCGCCAGAAAGCATTCCGATCGCAGAGGCGAACATACCTATATACCACTGCAACTCAAGTCAGCGCTAGCATTCCCAGATGTATGTAGAGCACGCACCCCTTGCGCAAATACTATCCTGAGCATGAAGACCGCGAGCAGGCCAGCCGTTGTGAGCCAGCGATGGAGCGTGTACGGCGTCCACTTGTCGAGCATCGACTGGTACTTGCGCTGCAGATTCGCGTACTGCGCCTGCAGGTTCTGCACCGGAGAGGCGTCGACGGACTCGTTCTCGGACATCATGGTGGCGGCGGGAGGAGAGGAGGGAATACAGTAGACGCGTCGCCGCTCAACAGCCCGGTGAACGAAAATGGACCGCACGTGCCAGTCCCGGAGGCAGCGGGAGCAGGCGGCCCGCTACCCCGCCTGCCTTTTCCTCCCATCTTCCGCGAGGCGGGATGTGTTCGTCTTCGCCTCCTCCGTCATGGCGCCGCTGCCGAAGTCTGTCGAGATCATTGCGGAGCATGTCCTAACGCAGCTCACCAACTCCAAGAACCGGCCTCTCTTCGTCGCGCTGCAGGGTCCTCAGGGCAGCGGCAAGTCGTACACCGCCGACCTGCTTGCCGCGCATCTCTCCGCACCGCCGCACGCGCTCCGTGTCGCCCAGCTCTCTATTGACGACCTCTACCTTCCGCATGACGCGTTAGTCGCGCTTGCCAAGACCGGCAATCCACTCTGGCGCGGACGCGGGCAGCCGGGCACTCATGACGTCGAGCTCGGTGTGCAGCTCCTGACGAAGCTCAAGGAGGGCAAGGAGAAGGTCGAGCTCCCTCGCTTCGAGAAGAGTCTCTTCAATGGAGAGGGCGATAGACTGCCGATGGATGGTACGGGGCCGGTCGTGCAACCGCCAGTGGACGTAGTCCTGCTCGAAGGCTGGTGCACGGGCTTCTACCCGATCACGATTGAGGAGCTCGAGCAGCGATGGGACAGCCATTGGCGCGAGGAGCGCGTGCGCTTAGGCCTCGAGGACAACGAACTCGGCACGATGGATCATGTCATTGCGATCAACGACGCGTTGAAGAAGTACGTCAAGTTGTGGGAGTTCTTCGATGTGTTTGTGCAGGTGCGTGTATTTTCTGCGCAGCATAACCACGTCTTACCGTTCTTCAGCTGGTGCCTGCGCCTACAGAAGCTTCGCCGTATGCTGTCATCTACAAATGGAGACTCGAGCAGGAGCACAACATGAAGGCAAAGAACGGTGGCAAGGGAATGACGGATGAAGCCGTGAAGAAGTGCGCCGTTACGGTTCCACATCCATCCCTCATATTGACCACTTCATGCAGGTTCGTCGACCGCTACATCCCCGGCTACGTCTTCTTCAGCGACGGTGTTACCGATGGTCTAGTCGGTAGAGTGGAGGGCGTCGACGTGCCCTTGAAGGCCGACAACGCACCTGCCAAGGCCACCGAAACACTTCCGACTCCCACTGATGCGCCCTCTGAGGACGATGACAAGCCCCGCCAGCCTACCCACCCACCAAGCTGGAGAGGTCGCGGACTGCGCCTCATCATCGCACCCGACAGGTCGGTGGTGGGGATGGAGCACTTCTGACCGGTCTGCAAGGGTGTTCACGATGTTACGACGGTGGACGTCTGATCTTTCGGGCGGATGGAATCTGGCGAAACGCGGTGGGAATCTGGCGCCGTGGTGAAGATTGATGCAATTGAGCGTGATTGAACGGAGGGAAAGAGTATAGAGCGTAGTAAGTTGTTAGACAACCGAATGAAGTTGCTGAACGCCTTGGAAGTCCCGGGATCACCATTCGACGCTATGTTATGCTGACTTCCTGGTACCACCCGCCGCCATGCGACCACAATCTATGCCTCCCGCGCTCCCTCTGCAGGCCTTGACGAAACTATTGAACGCGATTCAACCTCGCGAAGGGTCAAGAAGAGAGATGTGGTATGCTTCCGCGGGCACAATCGAACCCGAGCTTGTTCGACGCCGTCACGCGTCCGGTCGGCGCGTCGCGCGACCGGCAGCGCCGCGTTCCAGACTGGAGTTCTCTTCCCCCTTCCCTCATCGTTCCTAATAGGCGCTCGTCGCCCTCTATAATAAGCGCCCGCTATCCCTTATAATAAGTGCTCGCTAAGAGCAAAGTCGCCTTTTTACTGTACACGGCTCGCTGCGGGGTCCTCGACTCACGCCCTTTTTGCTTTCATTTGCCCAGGTTCGCCTGCGCGATGCTCTCCTGGGTCCTCGCCGCGCTTTTTGTCAGCTCCTTCACTCCTTCGATCGGAGCTCTTCAGCCCTCGATTGAAGACGGAGCAGTCGTCGAAGCTATCCCTCCTGTGGACGCCAACCGCTACCCACCCGACGCCCTGCTCTATACTCGCGGCGCCGACCACACCCATCTCAATATCCGAGAGACACAGCCAGTCACTACGCTCTCCTCTGCCGATCTCGCAGCACTCGTCCCCTATGTTCAATTCGCCCGCGCGGCATATTGCCCGAAGGGCGCGTCGACGTGGACTTGTGGGCGTGCGTGATCTCCTCGTCCTTTGTGTCTCCTCACATATCGACTGACAGTCCCTCTTGATAGCGGCCTGCGCCGCGAATAAAGAGTTTGTGGTCACTCGCGCCGGCGGGGATGGGGCTGGGACCCAGTACTGTGCGTAGAATTCGCTGTTGGATTTTGGGCGCGGCTTCTTAACTGTACCCTCAGACTACGTCGGCTATTGGGCCGCCCAGCACACCGTCGTCGTAGGCCACGAGGGGACAGATCCGACGAGACTGTATGCCCATCACCGCCCATCCATCTCCTCTTGAAGTACCTGACGCAATTCAACCAGCCTCGCCGACCTTACCGACATACGCCTTCTCAAAGGCTTCCTGAGCTCTTCCCTCTTTCCCGGCGTCGGCCTCAAGCCGCTCGTGCACATTGGCTTCCGCGACGAGCACAAGAAGACGGCGAAGGTTATACTCGAAGAGGTAGCGGCGCTGATGGACGTGACGAAGACGAGGAAGGTAGCGGTGGTGAGTGAGGAGGGTGATTTTGTGGCAAACCTGACCGTTCTGCTTGTTCTCTCGGGCACTGATGACTGACAATACGGGCAATCTAGGTCGGCCACTCCCTCGGCGGTGCCCTAGCCGAGCTCGACGCTGTCTACCTCGCGCTCAATCTGCCGAAGGCGCTCGAAGAGGCCGATAGCAGCCTCACTGCAAATATTACGAGCATTCTGGGCAACGTTACCGCGAAAGCGGGCATCTCGAGCAAGGCCAGCGACTCAACCAACGTCACCGTAAAGGTGGTCACCTTCGGTAAACCGCGCGTGGGCAACAAGGCGTGGGCGGAGCTGGTGGACAAGCACGTAAGTTCGCTTGAGGGCTGGGCACACTGCCTACGTCGTCGAATATTCGAGTGGTGATCTTCCCCGCTTACGCTTGCCTTAGGTGAATATGACGCGCGTGAACAATAAGAGAGGTGCGTTCATCGCATTTTGCCGCTAAGGCTGGTCAATACTGACGCATTCGCAGACGTAGTCCCTGTCATCCCGCCCATGAGCTTGGGTTATTTGCACCCGCGTGGGGAGGTCCATTTGCTTGGGCCGGGGAATGCCGTCGCTTGTCCAGGTGAGCTTGGCTCGGGGAGAGGGAGCGTAGCGTACGGAGGGTATAGGGTACCGAGAACGCCGTGGCGCCACACGAGAAACAATCGTGCTGATCATCAAACCTGCAGGCAACGATGACACGAAGGACGCGCAATGTCAGGATATGACAGTGCCCACTTTGCTGCAAGGCAGTATAATGGATCATGTACGTCCATCTGGATTTGAGTTGCATACGTTTCCTGACGTTTACCACAGCTAGGCCCTTATGAGGGTATGATGATCGGCACGAACTCATGTGTAGGCCCTGTCTGAATCTCCCTGAGCTCGCGAGAATCCTAGACAGTCTGCGCTCAGTATGTAACCTTACACTCCTTCATACCACGCTCCCTGTAAAGTAAGGAATGTATTTGCTGGACAATCCGCGGCAATCCCCGCAACCATAGGTCCATGTTTGCCCATGTTTGATACGATTCCGATAACCCATGCCGCGGCGTTTGTCTCCGTGAGTCAGGCCGATGAGCACCGAAGGGCGAGGACGACGATTGCGACGATGAGATCCTCAACTTTGCAGGGTTACCATGTCTGCCTACGGTGCGATCGCAGCACGCGAGGGCGCCGCCTTGCCCTCTACGTTGTGGGCGCTCCGCAAACCTACCGCTGATGGCAAGACGCATGTCACCGTCCATCATCTCACCCTGAAGACTGCGCGCGAATTTCCCGGCTTGCCCGAGTATCTCTGCAAGGTCTTCGGCGATGAGCTGGAGAGGGGCTTGACGTACCCTCAGGAGGGTCCAATCACTCAAGCTGCTTTCGAAGCGTACTTCTTCGCGGCCGATGTGTTTGTGGCGGTACTGCAGGGCGACGAGCCCGTGGCTGCTTCAAATAAGCCCGGCAGCGCGGTGGATGTAGATGTTGCGAAGGCGGCGGCCGGACGGAGATGGGAGGACTGTCTCGTCGGTTACTACTACGTTCGTACCTCTATTGTCGTTCCAGCTCAATGCGCGACTGACAGCTCGTTATTGTAGGTGAAGCCCAATTATCCTGGGCGGTCGTCGCACGTAAGTAACCTGGGCGAAACCACGCGCAGATGAGCTCACGCGGCGAAATATGCAGATCTGCAACGCCGGTTTCGTCGTACCGCCTCAGCACCGCGGCGGGGGCTTCGGCGTCGTCCTCGCCGACACTTACCTGCATTATGCGCCGAAACTGGGGTATCAGGCCAGCGTGTTCAATCTCGTCTACGTGAACAACGTCGCATCCATACGGTGCGTGCTCATCCTGCCTCCGACTGGCCTCTGGAAAGGAGAGTTGACGTACTTTCCAGGCTCTGGGAACGCCTGGGCTTCACGAAGGCGGGACGCATCCCCCGCGCCGGGCGTTTGAAGCGCGCGGATGGCAACGGGGAAGAGTACGTCGACGCGTGGGTGTTTTACAAGAGCTTCATCCAGGATGGATCAGCGCCCGAGGGGTCGTAGGCGATTTATGTGAGTAAAAGCGCACGCTCGCCGCTTAGGACCACATTAATCTCCCTCTGCAGAAGTAGAGGAACGTTGTCAATTGTATGGATAATGCAGAACATGTTGGGCACGAGTCCCGGGCGCGATATTCAGCACGCGCTGATGCCTATTCACGGAAGACCAGTGGTCCTCGACCTATAGCAGGCTTCTGGTCCCTTTCACGACGCTGCATGTGTGCAGTCAGGCATGCGTTCGAAGCGCAGATGACTTCGCAGGGCGTCTAGCGCTTGATTGACTCGGTCTGCCTCGCGGCAACCGTGTCCAGGCTGCGCTATCTCTCACAGCAGGTTACAAAACGATAGGCGGGTCCCAAAAAGATGAGGTGGAGCCGCCCGTGGTCGGCCCGATGCGTCCGACTTGGTAGAACGTACGGTGCACGCCGCCTACACACCGTATATCTCTCCTGTCTGGCCATTCAGATGCGCCTGCCGTCTACGGTGGCAATTATAGAATTCTCCTCGGTTTTGGAAAGAATTCGAAGGCCAATATGGGACAGGAAGCGCGCATGCCCAAGGGTGCTCGTGACGTTGGCACAGCGCGCCGAGGGTGCCGACGCAGGGGCCACGCGGGACGTGGGGCGGGGGCACGAGAATGGGACCCGCCTATCGTTTTGTAACCTGCTGCAACTGTGTCCTCTCCCGAGGAAGCTCGGCGCCGCGACTGCGCGTGCGAGGCATCGCCGGTGTGGCGTGCTAGTGTTGTCAACACGCTCCAGGGAGACAAGCCCCAAGCGAACTGTAGGGTTCCCTATCACCGCGGTGTTCTGAGTACTTCCTGGATATCTCTCGTGATCTCCAGTCGGCCTCTGTCAGGACCCCGGAATATACGCACATAGGCCGTCCTGGAAAATCCGGCTCTAGCGCCTATTTATCCGCTTTTTTCTTGGGCCCTCGACCCCCAGATTTATCCGTTTTCCGGAACGGCCTCCAGGGACCCCCAGGATTTATCCGTTTTCTCGGGACGGCCTTCAAAAATGGCAATAAAATCGGGAAAAATCTGATTTTTTCTCACAGGGTCCCTACGCGCTTTGCGCGTAGCCTCTGCAACGAAAGAAGGTTGAGACGTACGAATGAGAAAGTTAATTGCCTCCCATAGCCATTCGAGGTGCCACCACGCACCGCTGTCCTTCGAATATCGAGCCTGCCAATGGTGGAAGGTGCCAATGGGCACGAGAGGTTGTGTAGGGTGCTACTGCCCACCGAAACAAAGTGGTCAATTAGTGTACCGGTATCGCGTGCGTCTGGTTTGAGGGTAGGTCGGAGGTTCGAATCGACCGCCCGATATCCACTTTTTCGGAACGGCCTCCCCGTCTCCCCTGTATATATCCGCGTTCTTGAACTGGCCTTCGAGCCCTCAGGCCCCCAATTTGACCGTTTTTTGGACCGGCCTACCGGCCGGGAGCCCCACGATTTATCCGCACCGCTGGACGGCCTATATGCGTATATTCCGGGGTCCTCCTCTGTCCTTGCGCCAGTTCAGGCTAAACTGCGCGTACGGCTATTTCGCCACCATCAAGCCCGGCTGTCGCAGGGCTCTCGTATGGCGTAGATTTTGATGATAAAATTACCGCGGACGCGCTTTCACGCCGCGCAATCGCGCTTTGTCTGGGGGAGGTTCCGGGCGTCTCGTGGTGTATATTGAGCCTCTCCCTCACCCTTTGCACCCTTAGATGGCCATGGAAGTGATGGTGGAGGAAGAGAAAGCGTCGTCGACGCTGTTCGGCCATTGCCGACCAGGGCGGCAAGCCGGTCCGCGATCTCCGCCTCAACTGCCATCTTCCCCTTGATCTTCCCCTTCTTTTTTTTTTTTTTTTTTAGTGGATGCGTTTGGATAGCCGAGGGATAATCAAGCAGGTCGTGCGACGAGCTACATATTCCTCACAACGGACGAGCGTCCGTTTAGCCCGCAAAGTTGTTCGGGGAACCATGAGACCCCGAGAGCCGTGAAAAACCGTATTCCTGATACCACTCCGAGGAAATGCCTTTAGGCACAGCGTGTGGGACTCCAAGAGAAGACCGTGGGTGAGTGCCCTCCAACCTGGCCTCCTACCTCTCACCCGCAGCCTCTCTTAATACCCACTAAAACCCCGGTGTCCCCGACCCACGCGGGGGGTAGGCTCTGGTAGCCCTCTATCACGGGCTTCCACGTGGCGTTTACCACGCCGGGATCAAGTGCTCGCTTTTCAAGGCTCTTGCATGTTGAATGCCGGTCATCGCTGAGGCGGCCCTCAATCGCAGCATACCACCGATGTGTTACCTCATCGGCGGTGAACTCTCTATTCTCGTTGCGGATTACCCTTTCGCACCTGATTGCCCAGATAAATTTCGCCGTCTCCGACATGATGATGGCCCATAGGCGGTTTAGCCCCGCGACGGGGCGTCCCTTTGCGTTTCGATGTGGGAGGCAACCGGCGGTCACGACAGTCCCCAGCGAGACTGTTGGCCAGTCACGCTTGGTATGTCGCCAAAGATGTTCTGCCAGTGTCCAGGCCGTCGCCTGACCTTCGAAGTCACAGTCGAATAGAATGTGGTGCATGGTCTCAGTAGAACCGCATTTTGCGCACTCACCGCGCCTCCTCTGGTCTTCGTTGAAGTTGTCTTTCAGCCAGTACGTGCCTACCTTGTACCCGTCATGTGTGAGCATCCACAGGAAGTATTGCGCTTCCAGGGAGATGGCCGGGTTCCTTATTGCCCGCCATACACTCTCGTGCGTGAGTTTGATACCAAAAGCGTCCTCCACGTCGGACAAGATCTGGGTGAGATTGAGTTCTGTCTGCCGTCGTGGCTCACTTCCTTCCTCTTTTCGTGCTCTTATCGCCTTGTAGGCTAGTGATTGCGTCAGCGCTGTCAGTTTGGCCCCTGTGACTTGGAATCGTGGGGGTATCGAGAGATCGACTACGTCCGGCACATCTTTCCGTGCTCCGTCACCAGCCAAACGGTCAGCTCTCTCGTTTCCGACGTGTCCTGCATGTCCTTTGACCCATTTGAATCTGGTATGTGTACACCTGGCTCGTAAGCGGGCAACTGTGGCACGTGTTAGCGTGGCATTCGCCTTGTCGATGTATCCCGTATCTTCATGTCTTGTGAGCCATTTGGTGAGTTCCTCGAGCGTCCACTTCGAGTCCGTCACGATGCTTAACTTGCTGTCCACAGGCACGACTTCGGATGCAGCTTTTGCAGCTAACATTTCCCCCGTTTGATTGGACTGCTCCAGCGCGACTGGGAGCCGCAAGCTCAAATCTTCGAGGGTGTCGGAGGAGAAGGAAACACCTGCTCCCGCCCTCGCGTCGCGCGCACCGTTGTTGATGCAGGAACCGTCTGTTGCTGCTTCTACCTCGGTCATTCTCTCCCCGAAAACGGTAGGCACACTCAGTCTCTCATTGCATACGCTTCCGCGCGTGAAGATTCGGAACGCATCACTGACATGACCGCGCGTGGTCACACGTCGGTCGAAGTACGTCCAGCCCGTCTCCTTCCGTGGTGCTAGCATCTCCTCGTAGTCTTCGGGATGTTCTCCTCGAGGGTCCCATTTGGGAGGAAGCGTGTCTAGGAAGGCCTCCGCGCGGCGGTAGCAGTCATCTGGCCCGAGGCACTCTACGTCTCGCCTCATTTCGGTGCAGGCTTCGCACAGGCAGCCATTATCTCCCAGACGGTGCGTTGGTTCGCTCCTCTTGACAGCTATGCGCTCAAAATCTCCTACAGTCATCACACGATGCTTGTTCTTCAAACAGCTGGTAGCATTGGACTGTACCGCCAATCTCCGTATGCGTGGGCTCGCCTCGCAGTGGTACCACATCACCATCGCACGCAGGATATCCCGGCTGAAAGCAAGGCCTTCTAGACGCAGACCCCACTTCTCAGCAGCTTCCGTGAGGTTCCGCATGAAGCGCGGTAATTTGTGTTTGTAGGGCTTCCAAGTTTGCATGAAGGGGTTGACCCGTAGAGCGGAGTCCTTGGGGATCGTCGCGCGAGGCGTGAAAATGGCAAAAAGTGCGTCCACGTAGAACGCCCAGGTCGGGCGCTGCTCAGATAGATATTCTTTGAGCCATATCACGTTTATGGCTAGATTCCGTGCCTCCAGGTCGACTATCTTCCGTCCCCCACTTGTGTGAGGTTGGTGCAGCTGTTCCAGAGCGACTGTAGGGTGCTCATTTCCTTTCCATAGGAAATTCCTTGCGATAGCTCTCAGCCGCTGTAAGACGCGGTCGGGCATCCCCTGCACTTCCGCCAAGAACTGTGTCATCCCTGCTGCGGTGAACTGTATAACATGGCGCCTTCCCTCTAAGCTAATGTGGGCGCGCCCCCAGCGTTCGAGGGCGACAAGGATCTTGTCAAGTATAGGTGCCCAGACTCCACAGTCGTCAATTCCATTTCCGAAGAAAGCACCCAGAATTCTGACCACACTTCCCTCGACAGCAACTCGTACATTTGGTGGGTAATCTCGCCACCTCCCGGTTGCCTTATATGCCTCAATGAACTCTTCGCGAAACCTCGCCGACCCAACTGGGATAATTTCCGTCTTCTGTATATTGAACCGTGCCTTTGCCGCCATGCACCAGGTGCGTAGGAGCCTGTCTAATGTCGAGTAATCATCGAACTCCGACAGGAAGGCTGAGGTATCATCTGCGAACAAGCGCACCTTCAGCCGCTCGAGCTGGCCAGGGATTTCGAAGCCCCGGATATTTGACTTTCGTATCATCGCTGAGAGGGGCTCAATCGCCAGGTCAAAAAGAAGGCAGGACAGCGGGTCGCCCTGGCGGACACCGCGGAAAACTCGGTATGGCTTGCTTAGGATCCCGTTTATCATGACTGAAGTCTCCGCCCTTGCGTAGAGGGACTGAACAATGAAGATGAACGATGGCGGGAGGCCAAAGCGTTCGAGCACGCGCCAGAGATAGTCGTGGGCAATTTTGTCGTATGCTTTCTCTTGATCAAGAGAGACGATCGTACCATTCGATTCGGTTGCCTCAGCCCAGTGTATGATCGCTCTCGCGAGCTGGGTATGGTCTTTGAGGTGCCTCCCCGGGACGAATCCCGCCTGTGAGGGGTGTATGAGGTCTGGCGCCGCCCGTGCCAGTCGAATGGACAGTATCTTGGTGAGTAGCTTGTAGTCCGTGTTCAGGAGCGTAATCGGCCTGTAATTGGATATCTTAGAGCGCTCATTCTTTTTATACAGAGGGCACATCCATCCCCGCGCAAATTCGGCCTTCTCGCACGTCCCAAAGCGCTGAATATCGTTGAAGGCTGCTTGGAGAAGGTGAAGCGCATCGAAAGCTTGGCGGTCGGGATATTGACTATCCTCACAATACCGAGCATGTAGGGACTTCCATAACTCGTACGGTAGGCCATCCACGCCGGGGGCCGAGGAATTCTTGGAGAATTTCAAGGCAAGCTCAATCTCGTCATAGGACAACGCGCTGCCGAGCTCTTCGGCCTGCTCCGCTGTTACCCTCACATCGCCCAAGCTGTCGAGGGCCTCGCGTATGCACTGCTCTCGATCTTCGGTCGGAAACTCGCCGGGCTGATCACGTTGCAGGTCGCGGTGGTACTTCCTGGCTAAGTCCGCCATCTTCGCCGAATCATGCTCATAAACAGGGTCCCCCGCAGCCGTGTATTCCCCCTCTCGCTCGAGGGTGTGAATGAGGTCTCGCGGCTTCGTTTCCTTGTTCGACACGGTCAGGATCTTCGTGGGTAGCTCACGATTGACCTTGTATTTGGTACGCATTTTAGCCTTAATCAACTGCACCCTGTGCCTTTCCAGCTTCTGGAGCTGGAGCTTGAGTTCTGCCACCTTTTTCAGCTTTTCTCCGTTCGGAGGGCCGTCCTTCAAGGTGTTGTCCAGCGTGCGTTGGGTTTGGCTGATCTTCTGCTGCAGTCCAGGGACAAGAGTTTTCTGCCGTTCTCGCGCCTTCTCGGATATATCATCCTTAAAACGGCGCAGTATCGTCTGCGCGTTCTGCTCTTCCGTTCGCCCTTGACCCCCTTGCAGAGCGGAGAGTTCGCTGATAGCCTGGATTCCGCGCTTCTTCATGAACTCCTTCATTTCTCTGTCCTTCAAGAGGTATTCGGGTAGCCTCCAGCGACCGTCGCCTACGAGAGGGGACTTTTCTGTGGTAATCATTACTGACACTAGGCTATGATCCGTCTTGAGGCTCGCCTCCTCGACTTTCCATTGCCGCGCAGTCCGGAATACCTCCTCATTGCAGTATATCCTATCAAGTCGCGATAGTTGCGTGCCTGTTGGTGTGTGGCGTACAAAGGTGTAGTTCAAGCTGTCTCGGTATGTCGCTCTCCAGCCATCCGTGATCTTCAATCCTAAGGTCTGCTTTAGCTTGTCAAGTTCTTCCACCGAGCGGTCGATAGGGGTGCCTCGGCGGCGACGGCGTTGACGTGTTTGTGAGGGACCACCTTCGTCCTCGTGCGAGGACACACTGGTGACTGTCTCCGTGTCCGAATCCTCGGTGTCTGCCGCAGTTACGTCCTCTGCGCCATCTGCACCTTCCGAAAGTTGTGTGCATCGCATGGGGAGTCTATCGATCTCATCCTCTATGCAATTGAAATCGCCACCCATCAGGCATGGGCGGCGTAGGTGCGTTCGCCTGTCGTAGAACTGCGTAACTTCGGCAAAAAACCTCTTCCGCGCGGTAGTGCCTGCGGACGTGGGTGCATAGATCGCAAGTAAGTCCTTCATTTCGCCCGGTTGCCATTCTACTGACAGGTGTAGGGCGTGGCCCGGTACTACCACCGTCGCTTTGGCCTTCTCGCAGGAGATGAGACGCTTGTTCAAGATAATGGCGACACCATTCCGCCTCGTTGGGTGCGAGGGGTCTGACGTGTGGAAGATCTTTAGCTTTCGCGAGAACATTACCTCAACTCGTTCTCTCGACTCGTCTGTCAGGTGAGTCTCCTGCAACATCAACACCGCGACCTTTTTCTCAACCATCAGGCAGTTAATGCCCGCCCATTTATTCTCTGGATGGTCGCGCTGCAGATTCCCGAAGCCATTCATGTTCAAGGTCGCCACCTTCTTCGCAGCCTTACGTTGCTGCTTCTCTTCAAAACGTCGTCCCTGTCTGTTGGCGCGCTGGTCCTGCGGTCGGTTTGCCTGCTCTCTGGTTGCATCTTCCGCCTCCTGAGCCCCAGCTCGCCCGGTATTATCCTGTGGCTCGTCCACCCTTGTCGATGATCTGGTCAGCCCACATCCGCCGCTCGATGAGGTAGCGTTGAACTGCAAGTTCGATGTGACTTCGGCACCTCGGCGAGGCGCATTCGGGTACTGGCTCTGCAAGCCCTCCCTCCGACGAGCTAGCAGCTCGCGCTCTCCCGCTGTTGGCAACGCGGGCGGACCACCCACTTGGTGAGTGGCTCCTTCGCACCTCGTGCAGAGGGCGCTTCCGAGCCCAGCGGGCCGGGTATTTTCCACAGCGTGGAAGGACTGCGTTGTCGCACCGCACCTCCAGCAGAGGGCGCTTCCGAACCCAGCGGGCCGGGCATTCTCCACGGCGTAGAGAGTATGCGCTGCCGCCCCAGGCGGCATTGCACTCCCTGGCTGGTTGAGCCAGGGGTCGACGGCGTGTCCCAGTTCCTCGTCGCGAGATCCAGTTGACACTCGGTATAGAAACTCGCGCTCCCTGGGACGAGGCGCCGCCTGCCCGCCATCCGAACTCCTCCCACTGTCATCGGAGGACCGGCTAGCGGCATGACCAGCGACTCCTCGAGTGGGACGAGGCGCGTGAGCCGATACCGTATGACCGTCAAAGTTGCTAGTATTATTGCGTTCGTTGTCTTGAATGGAATTCGTTGCCCGAGTTTCGCTCCCTCGTTGGCTGGCTGGGCCCGAGATCTGTGCGATGTCAGTAGGGTGCGAGCAAGTACTTCTCATGTCCGTTTGGGCAGACACGAGGTTCCTCACTCGCGCATAGGTGTGCGGTACTTATATAGCGCCGTCAGCTTTCCTGTCCAGCCGAGGCTGTCAGTATATTTGGGCATCGGGCGCTTGCGAGTGTCTTTTCCCCGAGGGAACAGCCCACTCGACTTCTTCCTCTCCCAAAAGAGGGGACTCCAGCGGAGTCGTTGCTGGCCAGCTTCACACGTTACAAGGGCACAAAGATACTGAGATTGCATGGGCTACAGGAAGGGTGTACCGACTCAAGCATAGCCTCCGCGGCCTCTGCCACCGCGACCTCCACGAGCACGGATCCATCCACCGCGGGCACCTCCTCCATGGGCTCCTCCACGCGACCCGCCCCGGCCGCGCGTGGGAGCACCCCAGATCTCGTCCTGGGCGGCTTTAGCATCCTGAAGCGCGGCTTCGTCGACCTGACGGCCCCCGCCGCTCGTCTCGGGTACCGCAGTCAGCGGGTCAGGGCCGTACCAATCCTCGACCTGCGCGACTGGGCAAGTGTGGGCGCAGTGCATGTCGGACTTGCACCACGTGCAGCTTATCTTGCTCTGGAACGCCTTCGTGTCGATCTTGTGCAGTCCGACCCAGATCTTGACATCATTGATGAGGGCGATCCAAGTCTGGCGCACCATGTCGTCGAGCGAGATCGGGCGGCCGGTTAGGATGTACACGCGGGTGGTCTTGCCCTTGTCGTCCTTATGCTCCGCGGGTACGAGCTCCCACGAGTTCGTGGCGAGGGTCATGAGCTCGTCGTGGGTGCCGGTGAAGTTGTTCTGGCGGCTCACGTCAATGACAAAGTTCTGCATGTCGAATCAGCATCGGATTACGCCCGCATTGAGTAGCTGCCTACCCGGAAACGCTTTTCGTTCCAGCAAGCGTTCTTGACATGGCCGAGAATGTCCCACATGCGCTCGCCCTTCGCGTCCGCCGAGATCACGTCGCCGGACAGAGTCGCAATCTTCCACGAGTCCTCGAAGGTCTCGAGGGAGTAGACCGCGAACGTCTTGTCGATGCCCGCTGAGATGCGCTCCTTCCAGAGCAGCCACTTGTGGAGGTCTTCGCCGCATCGGAGGAACCACCCCCACGGCTGCTGGTACGAGGTGTTCTCGCCGGCGAGCTGCGCGTTGTTCGACGCGGGGAGGATCTTTACGATCTCCATGTCCTCGGGCTCCGTCTGCGTGCCAAAGAGGAAGGTGCGAAGGAGGGCAAGCACACTGTCCCCGAAGTGGGTGACCTTGGCATTGAAGCTGCGCCCAGCGCCATAAGGCACGAGGACCACCCACTTCTTGGGCTCAGCGAGCGCCGCGTCGACTTGAACTTGGGAGCTGTTCGCGAAGAGACGGTAGCGGGGGATAACGACGTGCAGGGTGGGGGTCTCGGTGATGCGAGCGTGTCCGGGGTTTGGGGTCGCGGGTGCGTCGCCTCGTTGCGTCAGCCAGCGGTGCGGGTTCATGCCCACGTCGGCGGGCAGGCCCTCCCTCGCGAAGGGGTCGGGGCGTGCAGCTTGGGACTGGCTCATCTCGGGCTGTGACCCTGTGTCAGCGGGTTGCACCTGGGGGCCGACAAGGAGCGTACCTCCTGATGGGACGAGGGCTTGTCGGTTCTAGCTCTCTTCCTCCTGTCGTTGTCTATACAGGTCGGATCGGGCTCTCCGTAGTCCAACGTAGCGGGGCCTTCTTCGAAGGGGGGAGTGTGCGAGCGCTGCTGGTTTTTCTTTGCGCGACGACGTTCGTCTTCCTCCAGCGTGCGTCGGCGAGGGATCGGGCAGGGCTCAGGTTGGATGTTATCCAGGTTGTGCAGCACCGGGAGGAACAGTAGACGGGGGACTCGGGCTCGCAGTCGGCCAGTACTCTTTATATTCTCGGCGGAAATTTTGCTTACACGGGTCGTGTTCCCGTCGCGTCCCTCGGCGAGGGTTCTAGAAAGCGCTCCTCGGCGCCGAACGTACGCTACGCGTGCGACGTTGGGGTGAACCTCAGCGAGGTTGGGGTTGGGTACATTTTTGTCCCGAAAAGTCTACAGGCTGTAGACTTCGCTCAGCATGCAGCGAGCTCAAGGTGGCCAGCGGCCTACCTTCTCACCCCGCAGCGCGGGGCGTTCGTCGTCACCCAATGGCTCCGACACGACTCGTTCCACTTTCCCGTCGGTACTCGTGCCCTCGCGCCTCGTCCTGAGGCCAGCCGCCGCGCCACGTCATCAATCAATGATGGTGGTTCGGGACAAGGGGTTTCCCCGATCTTCCCCTTCTTCCTTGCGTCGTATCGTGCAGTGAGACAGTGAATCAACCATAACCACTTATTAACCATGTAATGCATTATTACTGGATGTTCATGATCTGTCATGTCTGTACTCACTTCAACTCATGCACGCTATGCAAGGCACTACCTCAGGCTTGACTGGCTATTCATGGCACGGGCGACTGTATCCTCAATGTTCAGCCATCAATTGGCGCTCTAGTAGCTGATTTACTCTTGCGTACTTTTGAAGGAACCGAATTTCTGAAGCTAGAGCTACCCTTGTCGAGTCGCACAAGCACCATGATTGATTGGTCATGCGGCAATTTGAAAGAGACTCACGGATTCGCTAAACGGGCTGTACTGATAAAGTACTACCTCTGTTCGACTGCTGGGTCGTGTACGACCATGAGAGGAAGAGGAAGGGATGTGTGGCAGTCGAGGCGGAGATCGCGGACCGACTTGCCGCCCTGGTCGGCAATGGCCGAACAGCGTCGACGACGCTTTCTCTTCCTCCACCATCGCTTCCATGGCCATCTAAGGGTGCAAAGGGTGAGGGAGAGGCTCAATATACACCACGAGACGCCCGGAATCTCCCCCAGACAAAGCGCGATTGCGCGGCGTGAAAGCGCGTCCGCGGTAATTTTATCATCAAAATCTACGCCATACTCTCGACCACCATGCGCCGACCTCGATTAATCTGAGACTTTCTGCCCATCGCATGGTGCGCTCCTCTCAAGCCCTCTCGGCGTCAGTCAATCCGCAAGGCCCCTAATTCGTGGCCCCCCTCGCACAAGCGAACGCCGCCAGGACTCAATATCTCTCACCCTCACACAACACTGCTCCCCGGGCCACGCTAGGAGCAAATAGACGCTCCTGCACCCAGCCATACTTCCCGGAAGCGAAATGAGATGCGTCAGCCTTCGTCGTGGGCTTTTACGCTCGATTGAGGACATGCTGCCCTCGTGAGGCGCCGCTACACACCGTGATGCCCCTCTTCTACTTCCTCGCTGATATCTGCGGGGCGATGGGCGAGATAACGCGGGGCAGGGGCGCGCGCACTCATATCGATCCCCGGCGGGCGTCCCTTCTAGTCATCCACCGCCCTCGTGCTATCGGATGCCCACGCCCCGGCCTGACCGTCATGGGTACACGGTGGACTCAGAGTAGGTGACCTGTCGACCATTCGGGTGGACTGGTCTCGCGTACCGCCCGGCCAAGAGGTGTTGATTGTGGGAGGCGCTAAAGAGAGAGTAGTCACGGTAGGCGCGCCACACACTCTATCATGCAAAGTTCTACTGATCGCGGACAACAGCATATCCTATCTGAACGCTATTCATGCTCCCAAAACAGGACAAGGGACGATGGAGCGCGTCACCACTGCATCTAATCACATCTAGGCGCCCTAGCAATACTGATTCGAGTTAGGTGTATCACTTCATGATATGCAAGGCTTGCGCTACTGCTGTTACCTTGAATGGGTCTTCACCTGTTCGAGCTTCCATACCAATCAGAAGGGACTTTGCTCACCGTACTAGTCGAGAACATCACCGTTGAGAACCAAAAATGGTAGTACGGTGAGTACGACAGCTACGTGGGATCTGTCAGACCTTCGAGTGTGGCGCACACACACATCTATCACGACTCACCTCCCTTCGCTTCTGTGCACTGACTCTGTAGCCCTGGGAAAGGCCGACTCCGCCGGGAGACGTATCGCCGACAATAGTACTCACATCTGTGCCGCCTATACGCGCCGATGCCAACACACACCGACGAAGATGGAGACTCTTCCTAGTCATAGCAGTCGCATCAATTCGCCTACTCGTATCGCATCGAGCATCAGTGGGGTCGCCATGTCGCTAATCGCCGAAGAACTGCTGCAGTTCCTGTTGACGATGGAGGCGGACGTCAGAAGTTGGTGCTCGACATGGTCGCTGGACGGGGACGGGCGACCGCACAGCCTCAGCTGAGGTCTTACCCCGGTGGCGCGCCGCTGCACACGACGTCAGTCGTTCACGGTGATGATTAGAGAATAAGGATGTCCACCGACATCATCCTCCATAGTTGGTGATAGTACAAAGGGAAAGGAAGGGCCCGAAGTGAATGAATGGGGCGTACCTTGTGCGACGTCATTCGAGGGCCCCTGCAACCAGACTCTGGGTTCCCCGCACTTCGTCGCGGCAGCTCGAGAGTTCACGGAGGGCCTGTTCCTCGTCATCGTCCAGAAGAACGCTAGGCATCGTCATGTTTCGCGCGCCACTGGCACGACGGTCGACGGCGAGTTGTTCCGCAGTGTGGGCGGCGGATTCCGAGCAGAACGCGCCAGGTCACCTAGAATCTTCGAGGGCTTGCGTTGTATTCAGGTATCTCGGAGTCGTCGAGTAGGCTTGCATTGTACTCTATACGGAGCATCTTGCTTGCTTTGTATACAGATTCTGTAGAGCGGCGTAACAGAGTTCGGTCAGCGTCACAGCATTCAGTTGCGTCGGTGTCACAGCAAAAATTCGCCGACAGAGTTCGAACGATGGACAGCCTCAGCGACAGTCTTCAGCCCAGCACACGAAAGCATGCAGTCCTCGGCGGCGTTCCCGGAGCCAGCCAGCGGTCCTCGGGAGCCTCCCGGTGGCGCGGTCCTCGTGCGGGCCCGGGCAACGTGTCAAGGCTTGCGGTGCCCATCGAGAGCGCTGTCCACACGTCGAAGCTGGGCCTTGCCCACGTCGACACCGCGAGCTATACGCTCGGCAAAGCCTACCGCCACGTTGCGAAGACCAGCCACAACGTCGGAGGGACCGGTAGCTGTCAGCAGCTGTCCACGATAGGCTGAGTAGCGCGTCTGCTTGAGCCCGGCTCGGGGTGCGAGGGGAGCATCAGTTCGGGATGCGAGGACATCAGCGGAGGGAACTGCTCCTAGGGCCGCAGGATGTCCGCTCCGGGCGTGAACTTGCTGCGTGATCAACCCCAAAGCACTGAGTACTGAACCTGCTGCGTGTTCGCTCCGGGCACCGAGCCATGCAGTGGCGGAACTTTGAAGCTTGGCGGAGGTCGGCGATGAGCGAGATGTCCACGGAGGCCGAGTGGGGGACAGCGAGTCACTTGGCGGAGGCGGAGGACGCTGGCGAGTCAGCAGCAGCGGTGATTCGCGAGGCGGAGAACGTCGGACAGTTCGAGGCCGAGGTCAGCAGCGTTCAGGATCGTCGGGGGTCTGAGCGAGGAAGTATGCGTGACAATGAATCAAGAGGGACGTGACTCGAAATTAGCGGTGGTATGAATAGAGGTTGGAAGAACGTGACTCATCGTTCTCGAGGAGCATATACGAGAAGGAGGAGCAGCCAGAGTTGTCGAGGAGCGTCAAGAGCATCCGAAGTTATCGAGGAGCATCGGGAAGCAGCCAGAGTTGTCGTCAATGACCAACGTTCGCGACGATCCGACAGAATAGTCGACCTTCTGGATGGATCATCATTGTCATGAGGTCCGTTTGCGCACTTCGACAAGGAGCGTAGCCAGTTCATCTGAGCCGAGTATGTTGTCCATCTGAGCCCGAGTGTTGCTCATCTGAGCGCCAATGTCGTTCATCTGAGCCTTGTCTTCGCGTTCATCTGAGCCGTCGATGTCGTTTATCAGAGGCGCATCAGAGGAGCGGGTGCTGCGCGTCGTGAACAGACTGAATAAGCCGTGGATGAACGCCGTAGGGTTGTGGATGAACACCAAACAGAGGTGGCGAGTCGCAGGTCTGAGATGATCGCGTCGTGGGTACCAAGATAAGCGAAGATGGTCCCTACACGCGAACGGTGGCGAGCGGCAATCCCGACAGGTGCGAGCAAAGATCAAGCTTCAAGATAAGCGTTGTACGAAGGTGGCAAGCTGTGGATCCCGACAAGACTCAATAGGCGCCGATTTTAGCGTAAGAGAACAAGGATTTGCGGAGACAAACACGCTTTGTGGAGGAGCTGGCCACGCTGATTTGAGGAGACAGATTGGCGCAGATCTGGAGCTTGGTGAAAGAAGCGCGATGTGGGCGCGTAGAACCAAAGAGAGCGGCGTTGTGACAAGGCAGCAAAACTGTAGTATGTCGTGGGATTAGCAGGGGTGCGGAGTCCAACACCAAGCAAGGCGTGTGTATACACATCAAAGAGAGCGCGCTAGCAGTCTAACTGACAAAGACGTGGATGTGGCATTGAGCATGTCGCCTGGCGTAGTCTTGTGAAGATGCCGCTGGTCAGATGATGGTTGCATGGAAGGTACCGTAATGAGAGTATTAGCAACAAGGCCATGCAACGCCGTAAAAGGCCACAGCGCGCCGCGAAAGGCATGCAGTGGGAGTGTGACGCCGAGACGTGGGTATGTCAGAAGAAATGCGGTCTTCGTACGAGTAACGCGGGGTGTATGTGCGGGTAACGCTAACCATGGGTAACGCAAGCGATCCGAGTGAGTAACGCGAGGGATACGAGTGGATATCGCCGCTTTTCCAAGGATACGTGGGGGCGTAAGGTCTTCCCGAGAGCGCATGCAGCCCTCCCGACTTGATCCCAGGACGCTTCCAATGATGTGCGTCGAAATCCGGAGGCACACGAGTCGAAGATCGCAAGCCAGAGCATCAGAGCACGAGTAGATGCAGGCCACACGCCCCGAAGATCGTAGGTAAGCACACGCGGACAACATGAGGCTCTTGCAGGGACCCGTGCATCGAGGTTCACACGTTTAGGGAGGGTTTTTGCTGCCCGCACAATAACCGTGAGTAATGGGAGTAATGGGCATAGCCTGGAGTAAGCACCCCCACACATGTTTTACGAGAGTGGTGGCAAGAATAACAGGAATGAAGACGGGGCGAGGGGGAGGCGAGGTCGGAGGACATTCGGGCGTCGTCATGTCGGGCGTGCGTCTATCGACGAGCGTTCGACTGTCGTGGAGGGAGCCGGGGCGGGGTAGCTGATGGCGGCGCGATGAACGTGCTTGCGGGCTGGGAGAAGCAGGACTCGGAGGTTCTCTGTGGGCTCCCCATTGTGCACACGCTGGGACGAGAACAAAGGCGACCTTCCTGATTAGACAAGTAATTGACCGGGCGTGTGCCGGGCTCCGGGCATTCAGTCAGAGCTGGGTATTGATTCGCTGGCCCGAGTGTGACGGAGCACGCAAAAATTTCTGACGTCCCGCACTGGTTGAGGAGGACAAGGAATGGCCAGGTTCGGAGAAGGACCAGGAACGCTCGGGGCAGCGCTGGTCATTATGCTTGGGCTTGGGGCTCGGAGCATGAAGGGCCTGGCATGCTCTGCGCTTGTCTACCGGAGGGGGGCTTCGACTGCCCGGACCTCGGGAAAGGAGCCGGTAGAGCGCTGCATGCGAATTTACTAAGTAGGGCGGACTTGGGGTGCTAGGCGTGCGCCACAGTACATGTCCGACGAGGAGACTGTGCTAGGAAGCGAGTACGTCGTCGGCGCGTCGGTCGGGCGACGGGCAGTGGGCGGTGGGCGCGGGCGGATAGGCGATACGCGCGGCACATGCGCATTTCGAACACTGCAAGATAGGGGGGTAAAACAAAAGACCGCCCGATCGCGCGGTGAATTGCCGCAGGGTGACGTGTCACAGCTCAAATTGCCGGATTGGGCATGGGGTGACCGGCTCGTGCGGGCCATCAGATGATGGGGCGGTGCCGCGCTGCCCAGTTCATGATTTTTTCGGCCCACGAGCTCGGACTCGCCGGGTCCCTCGCGCTCTGATATATAACTCCCGCTCCTGGCCTCCGCTCCGACTCCTCTCCTCCTACCGTCGTTCGATACCCGTCGCCGCCACAGCTTCCCATCCCACACGACTCTCTCCCCGTGCACCGCCATCTACCCTCCACCCCGTCACCCCTCCGTCGCACAGTCCTCGTGGTCCCTCCCCATAGAACACTCCAACAATTCGTAAGTATCGGCGCTCCTCCATCCCTCTCTTCCTTCATCTTCTTCATGCATGCATTAGCGGCCCTCTATTGTTCATTCGCGCCGCAATGTCACCGAAAGGGCACAAACGCTGGTCCCGACACCTCACCGTTCATAAAAAGACCTCGGCTTCTTTCAGCGTCCGCTAACGCCCCTCTTCCTCAGACGCCTCTACCTCCTCCCTAACTTTGTCCCAACCAAATGTCGCGCGCCGCCCACGCCGCCCAGCCCATGTACGCCGGCGGGCCCCCCAGGCAACCTCAAGCGCAGCACCAACAACAGCAGAGGAGAAATTTCCAGGTCATGCCCCAGGTGCGTTGCCACGAACTCGCAGTCTGAACTCGTTTGCTGAGACTCTCGAAGACCGCGTCCGCGCCGCCACAGCCGACGAGTCGTGTCGCAGACCCCTTCTACGGCCACGAAACCGTCGCTCGCCTGTCCGCGCGGTTCATTCACCACTTGTTCCAATGTCCGGAGCTACCGACTGTCACCGCGGACCCCTCACAACCATCCAATGCCACCAACGCCGCTCGCAACCCGCAAGCGAAGCTGCCGCAGTTCATCGCTTATGCGCTTCACCGTACGAAGCTGCATCAGTCGGTGACCTTCGCCGCACTCGTTCTGCTGCAGCGGTTGAAGGCGCGCTTCCCCACTGCACGGGGCTCTTCGGGGCACCGATTGTTCATCTCTGCCTTCATGATCGCGTCGAAGGTTATGTGCGACGACACATATTCGAACAAGTCCTGGTCCGTCGTGGCCCAAGGCCTGTTCAACCTTCGCGAGATCAACCAGATGGAGCGCGAGATGTGCGGCTACCTCGACTGGGAACTCGTCGTCGACGGCGAAATTCTACAGTGGTTCGAGGAGCGGGTCCGGAAGGACTTCGGGCAGCACCAGGAGAGCTACCCGAATTATCGACTCATGGAGGTTTCGCGCCGGGCGCGGAAGTTCGCTGCGTCGACATCTTCGACCCCCGTCCCAGAACCGAATCACTCGCAATCCCCTATCGCTCTCGGCAACCGTCACGGCACGCCGACGAAGCCCCCGCCGACAAGCACGACGCCGCGGTCCAGGGGAAACTCGGCCTCTCACGCAAGCTCACCCGCTACGCCCGAGACGCCGTCACCCTCCTTCTCGCATTCGACGTCGCCGGCGTCTTCTGCATCGCCGCCCACGCCGGACGGTGGCCAGTTGTACGTCAACGTCGCTGGGTCGCCAAGTCTGTCGCTCGCGAAGGCCGCGGACCGCGCTATCGCCCGCGAAAAAATGTTCGCCATGGCTATGCCGGCTGCATGGTAGAGTGCCATCACCGACGCATCGGCCTATGTCCCCCCTGCGCTCCGTCCATTCTCTATACATTCTGCTCTACATTTCCTCCTCGTCTCATGGCATTATCCGCATCATCCACGCAACTTGTAACAACATAGTCATATAGCACACCTATCCCGGACTTTTTTTTCAGCACGTCACCCATCCCCCACCTACAGGGGCCAGCAGATACCCAACCAGCTACATATATCCCACGCACCCCAGCATTCGACGACGGTCGACGGTCAATACTTATTAATGCGCGAAGTGGTGACAATGTATTGGCTAGGTTTCTTCTCTTGCATATGCACTGCACCGAGATGAACTTGTAACTAACAAAGCACACGTATTTACTCGTCTTTATTCTCCGTCTCCTTTCACTCGTTCTCGTTATGTTTTCACGCACTCTTACGGCAATGTCATACAAAAGTCTTCTACCCTCCGTCGGCCGAGCCTGAGCATGAGCGTGAGCTGAGGGTTCGAACAATAGCGCGGGCGAACAATTGGACTTGGGGGTGTGGGTCCCCGAGTCATTCACCGAGCCAGCCTGTGACGTATGCACGACTTTTTATGCTGCGAGCACGACTGGCCGGCCACCTCACGCCCGTGGTACCTGGCCCACAGAGGGCTTGTGCTCGCCCGGACGGTCTTCTGGTGTACGATGCGCACACGGTCAGCTGTGAACTGGCCGAGAGCGGGCGGCGGACGTGCGGGCGCGGAAGTTCTGAGACCTGCCGGCCAGGCCCGCGCCGCCCAATCGTCGTCACGCGCTGACCAACAAGGCCTGCCTTTTCCGGCGATTGCCCCCTTCGTGCACCTTGGCTTTGTTGACGACGGCGAGTTGGGAACAAGAACTTCGCACCGAGTGTGCCTCCGCCATTGTTCTCTGATGCATCCGCCCTCGTCGTGGGTGGCGCGCCGCGGTCTAATGCTCGTCGGCTGTCTCATGGGCTCGTCGGAGGCCGCCAACTGGGCTCGGGCTCGCCACCGTTTGCCAATTTTCGCGCCACTCATCAACAGCTTCCGCAGTGCAGGACCCCTGACAATACGGTTATATTCCAGATACAAATCCGGACAAGAACGGCCCAAAATCGGGCGCTCGCCCAGATACAAGTCCGGACGGAAACCGCTCGGAGGGGTCAACAGGCAGATTCTGGTCCGGACAGGATTGTTGGGCGGAGGGTGACACCACACATGTTAACGCGCCAGCCTCATTATGCCGCGGTGGTCTAATGGAATCGCGCGCCACGAAATGAATATGTGTACGAGTTCGAACGCGGCGAGCGCGGCGCGTTTTGGACTTTTGCGTGGGGAAATGGTCTTTTACCGCATTCTCGCTGAGCAAACCTGTTTGGGTGCGCCTGAGCGGCATCTGCGAGGGCCACGAAGGCCCAAACAGGCGTTATATACAAAATTACGGCGCCAGAGGCGCCCCGGAAAATTTTGGCGATTTTTTGAGTTTTTTTTTGGGCCAAATACGATTCCGGACGAGAATGGCGAGGGCCCCCCGTCGAGGGTCCGGACAGGAACGCCCAAAAGGCCGATTTTCAGTATCCGGCCTCTGTGTGTATTGTCAGGGGTCCTCGCAGTGCCTGGCCGGCCTTCGAGCTGGAAGCAAAGTGACAGATGCACTCATGCTCACGGTCCTGTACTCATCGGCCCAGCACGAGCTCACAAGCCGCTGTATGCCTACTATCTTCAGCGCGACTGCACTGCTGCCTTACTCAGCGCAGAGTTCTAGCGAGCATCCACTTGATAGAAGGCGGGCTGGACGGTATCAACGCTCTCATGTGGCTCTCGCACACAGCGATATTGCTTCGCCTCCTTCGCGGGGGCACCCACGAAAGTCGAACACTGGACTGAGTCACTGCTCGCTGTCGCGTCTCCCTCTCCTTTCGCCCTCGTTGATATTTCCTTTCTGAGAGCCTGGGAGGGCGCTTAGCGACGCTACGAAGCAGCCTTTCAGCACACAATCAAGTCACTGATGGTGTATTGTGGCTGTGTAAGTAAACCGCCTTTGAGGAGCTTGCCCTTCTATCCGATAATCAGCTATTGTTCTGGGGAAGCGCGCGAAGCAAGCGCGCAATAGAGATCTGGGGAGCCGCGTGTCTCGCACCGCGCCGCCTCGTGCTGCCCGCCTTTCTTCGCCTTTGATGGTCCCCTCTCGCCCTGAAAGGCCGAATCAATTACCTTCACAGTCCGAAGCAGTGACCTCACGGTCCGAATCAGAATTGCGACCACCGACGTGCATCCGACGCCCCCTCGTGTTCGCGCCCTTGTGCGGCCGCCCACTTGCGCCTCGCGTTGGCCTATATTTTTATTGAACCCTCCGCCCAAGGACACCAAATATTTCCACCACAACGTAAGGTGAGGTTCATCATGGCGTGAGGTGAACCTCATCATTGCGTGAGGTGAACTTCATCATGGCGTAGTAAAGGTGAGCGTGTTCAGGTCCGTTCATGCGTCTCGTCGCTCACGACAATACAACCCGCGAGAGGAGGGTTTTCTCCTGCTAGTCCTCGGCACCGACGGACGCGTGATGGACACGCACCTGGGAAGTTCAACTCCTGCGCCGCACGCGGGTTATTCCGCCCTCCGAGGGATTGCTTCCAGCGGGCGAAGGTGCATTGGCCTGCTGCGGGCGAAAGTGCATTGACTTGCTGCGCCCGAAGTCATACGATGGGCAAGTATGGAGCGCCAGGCTATCGAAGGAGTGGCTCTGTAATCGCGAGTTGGTGTCCTCCGACCCCGACGAGTACGCGCAGATGCTCATAGAACACACGCAGAAGATCATCGTCCATCGAGATGCCTCAGTGATCATAGGGTGTGTTAGATTGAGGTAGAACAGATAGAGTGGTTTTGAACGGAGTAGAATAGACCTGGAACACAGAGAAGGATCCCAGCACCTGCAGGATGAATTCCTAGCACCTATGGGATGAGTTCCCTAGAACATACACGGTGAATGGGCTTGGCACGCACGAGATGTTCGTAGTACGATCATCTGCTGAAGGCACTGCAGCTCTTCGTCTGAGGTGATGCATAGAACCAATTTCACCTCAGCATAGAACCGATGGAGGGGTCATATGAACAGTCCTTGTACTGCTTGTCATATACGGAGAGCCCTTGTGTCCGAGTAAGGGCGGGTGTACCCGAGTGAGGAGAATGACCCTGCCTACGCAACTTGAAAAGCAGAACATGGTATAGATTCCGGGGACGGCGGCAACGCGCGAGTGTGGGCGTCCGGGGATGGGCGACGGAGAGAGCAGACGGCGCGGGATATGCAGAGCCACATAGGCGAAAAGACACCGAGGGTCTATCGGATAGACGACGTAGGTGATACTAGGCGACGATGGTGGCACAAGACGATAACTGACGATGGTGGCACAAGCCCGAGATGGCGGCGGTGGACGACCATTGTGGCGCGTGAGCTTCGGTAGGGGGATCTCTCGTTGTTCACAACCTCATGTTTGAGATCGGTCGCGTAAAGTACAACACGATAGATATGATTGGTTTGGATACATGAACGACACCTTATACAAGGTTCAACTGGGTGACGCAGGCAAACGATGCGCGCCCTTCTACAGATGATTCGAACATTTACTGTTTTTGCTCGCGCTTGAGTTCCGTCTCCATGATCGCCTTAATCATCTGACTGCCGAGGACGTTCGCCTCGTCGAATCTACCCTCGAAGAAGGCGCGCGTTTCTTCGAATCTCCGTCTATACGATCGAGTCAGTCGAAGGAAGTCGGGAGCGCAAGAAAAGCATAACGCCGAAGAAGCTTACAAGGGCGCACATACCTATAGATCTCAAAGCTCCCGAAGCTCACGCATTGACTCCAGCCGCGAGCGGCGATGATGAACTCGATGTCGTCGGGTCTGGCGGGACGAGTCAGTATGAAAAGCCGACGAAGACGGCGCCGAACCCGCAATACTCACCGATGCCACGTATCGTACAGCGCACTGTGAATCGCCTGCTCCAGTAGGGATTCATTGAGGAACAGATGCTCCGCAACGCCCAGGAACAGACGGAATATCGGCGTCGCAGCCAGCGCCAGATGCGTAAATGGCTGGATCCCGCAGTGCGCCCAACAGTCCACCATCGCTATGAGCGCGAGGTGCGAGTTGGGCTTGTAGCGTGGTGAGTCCGCTGACTCGGTCCCAGAAGCCTCGCTCGCGGGGGGCGGAGGCCGCAGGCTAAACTTGTCGAGCAGCGCCTGCGAGAGGAGGATGGGCCGATGCTTATCCGCGCCTTGCAGGCGCTCGCCGAAGACGACTTGCTGCGCCCAGCGCACGCGCGCGCGGAATGGCTCGGCGTCGCCGCCCGGTGCGCCCCCGGAGACCATCAGCTTGAACAAGTCAGACGCGGAGCGCGCGTACTGCTCGATCTGGGCGCGTGCCGCGGGGTTGAGGATGGCAAGGCCGGCGTAGACGTGCCATAGGTTGGAATAGATGCGCAGGGTAATGTTGACTTTCGCGGTCTCGATGCCGCCGACGTAAAGGCCTTGTTCCCAGGGGTAGGATTGAGAGGACTGCCAGGCTGTACCCATGCTATAGAGAAGCATAAAGGTCAGGCTGTACAAGAATAAGCATACAGTAGAAGCGCACCTCAAGAAGGCGGCGTGGGTAACGGCTTGTGTGTTGGCGGTAACCGAGTCGTGTTCTTCATAGGAGAGATAGACGTAGCGCGAGCGAAGCGGTCGCAGGATGTTCTCGACGAGCTTCAACGCCTCGTCAGAGGCACGATGCTTAATGAGAACCTTGACATACAAATAAGCTGCTGCTGTATGTTTGACGGAGATAGAGCGTACCAGTGGTTGATCCGCAGGCGAGACGGTCGGCCCGTGTAAGGAATGGCACGAGACGATTTCGACGTCTGGCGGGAGGTGCTTCTCGAAGGCAGCTTTTTCTGGGGCCTTCACAGAGGTCTGCCCAGCTACGATAGCACCTAGCTTCGTGGCTGAATGGCTTGTCAGGTGCACATTCGCCAGTAATTCAATGCAGCTTCGACTTACATGGCCCGAATTTAGCGACAACAGAGTCGATAAACTCAGCCTCGACAGAATAGATAATAAAGTCGGATGAGCGAGCGACGCCATGACCATCAGGAAAGACGTTTATTGCAGGCACGTCTAGTTTTGCGCGAGATTGGTGAACAAGAGAACGAGCTGATGGGCGTTCGCTGCTTACCGGCGTAGTCACTTTTCAAGCTCTCATACTTGTCGGGCAAGTCGCAAACATGAATTCTGCGATTAGTAAGTAAAGCGAGGATAACACCGATTTGTGGGTCCAACCTCTTCCAACCGCCTTCGGACAGAAACTTGGCATACATCTTTCCCATGGCTCCCATGCCGATGAGACCCATGATTGGCTGTTCCTCAGCAGGGGATTCAGGCGTGACATCCGCGCGAACCATCTTAGCTCGCTTTACGCCCCCAAAAAACAGACACAAGGTGAAGTCAGGACAGAAAAGGGAGAACAATGACTTGCGGGTCAAAGCGTATTTGGCCCCGCTTGGCGCGGTCCAAACTGGGAGCTTAGTCATCGGCATTGTACGTTCCGCTTTCTACCAGAACGTTCACTGCTTAGCGCTCGCTCACTATGGCTTTCGGACTTGCTATTGGCACGGAGCGCGCTGCGGCCCTGCAGGTGGGCGAGGAACGTCTGGATAGCAAGGGAGTAGTGCTGACAAGACTGCAGACGTCGATACAAAATGAGCTCACCAGAAGAGGTCTGAGCGCGGACGGTACGCCAGCTTTCCCCAGCGCGTTTGGACGGCAGGAGCTCATTATACGCGCAGACGCCGTCATGGCGGAGTATATCACCATTATGATAATCAACAACAAGACCTCTGGTGCGTAGCTCATAGTTTTGTTGTACGACCGACATCTGACGTACCGTGGTGCAGCCCAAATCACTGCCGAATTGAACGACTGTGAGTAGCTGCAATTCCCCTTCCCTTTGATATGCTTACTGACAGTGCTTTTAGTGATTGGCCCAGAGTACGGTACGAAAGAGTCTACGCGTTTACGCGACGCGTCTTTGACTAAAGCCCCCTTAGAATCAAGCTTTACGGATTGGCTTTTCGAAGAAGCAGCGAGGACAGCGCCTCAGGAGGCGCCTGCTCCAGCGCCGCCTGCAGCTGTCCCCGAGCAGCGGACCGAAATTCGATCACAACTTCCATCCGCCCCTGCTGGCCAGCGCGACGGCCGCGCTCCCCGCAATGGCGTCTATCAGCAAGCAATATCTGCCGCGCTCCCCTCATCATCTCAGAAGCGTACTGCCTCTGCCCGCTCCCCCTCCCCTGGCCACCCCAACAAGATGCGTCGCATGGACCTGCCCACGGGCCCGCGTGCCATGCGCAGCAACGACAACGTCCCGAACGGCGCGCCGCCACACCATCGCAGCCTTCTTGAGCGCATGGGCCCGCGCCAGGAGGGCTTCCCCAATCCCGAGATGCAGCAAGCCATGGCTGGCATGTCGCCCGAGATGATGATGGCCGCCGCGAACGGCGGCTTCCCGCCCGGCATGGACATGATGAACATGGGCGCCAACCCGATGATGCTGCAGGAGATGATGATGAACCAGATGGCGCTTATGGCCCAGATGGCCTCGTCTATGGGTATCATCAACCCTGCGACTGGGCAGTTCGGTGGCAATCAGGGCTTCCCGCCAAATGGCGACATGAGCGGGTTCCAGGGTAACGGCAACTTCCAGCAGAATGGCCGTGGGCGGGGTGGAATGAGGGGGAGGGGAGGTGGGAGGGGAGGCCGTGGTGGGCACAACAATGGTCCTAGACCCTCAGAACCTCCTCAAAACCAGACAAACGGCGCACCTCCGGCTGCGCCGCCCGCTATCGCTGCTCCTCAGCCGAAGCCTGCTTCTGCTGCCCCAACTCCCGCTCCTCCCTCTGCGACTCCGCAACGACCTGGTTTCGTTGCTCCTGAAAGGCCGCAATCCCCGACGCTCTGCAAGTTTGGCATTAAGTGCACGAATGCGCTTTGTCGGTACTCGCATCCGTCGCCGGTCGCTACGCCTGAGAGTGGCGTCGTTTTGAGCAACGAGGCGTGCGAGAACGGGAAGAACTGCAAGGATCAGGACTGCACAAAGGCGCATGTTAGTCCTGCTGTCTTACGTCCTCAAGGTGCGCTACTTTTCCAAGTTCATGTTGAGCCTTTTCTAATGCGCTTTGCAGCCGAGCAAAGCGCTCCTCATCACCAACACCAGCACCACGCCCCGCCGACACCCAGCCAGATTCCATGCAAGTTCGGGGTTGCCTGCACACGCCCCGGCTGCACCTTCTACCACCCCCGTCCCCCAGCGAGCAACAACCTCACCCAGCAGTGTCGCTACGGCGCCGGCTGCACGCGCGCGACGTGCCCCTTCCAGCACCCCAAGGGCCGCGTCCTACCGAACTCCTTCCACTACGGCCTGGAGACCGCCGGCCCCACGGTCACGATCAAGAACCCGGAGACGGGGGCGACGATCCTGACCACGGGCGCGAGCCCGCATCGGAGCGTGACGTTCAACAACGCGGCGGGCATGCAGGGGCAGCTCGAGCAGCGGATGAAGGAGCTGGAGGCGAAGAAGCAGGAGCTCAAGGAGCTGGAGGCCAAGAAGGAGGATGCGACTCCCGTGGCTGCGACGTCGTAAAGTGCGGCGTAGGCGGTGTGGTGCCGCCGCTAGTAGACAGTGAGTTCAGGTGGCGAACGCCTGAGCCTCACCACCACCTTTTCTATGTATTGTTTCCATCTGCTGTATCATCGAGCCCGAGGCTGCCTGCATCATCTCTTCCATCTTCATACCATACATAGTACCTTGCTCTACCACACACAGTACTTGTTCCGCGTAGTGCAGATGACATACGGTACCGCCTTACATACGACCGGAAAGGAGGAGCGACGAATGCAATTGTGGACAGGCGGCCCTCAGACGAAGGGCCGCTGGTCATCGACTCCTCACACTGCTGCCTGAGAGTGATGGTTCGAAGATATCCTTCTAGGTGGCGCGAATGCCAGCATGGTATACAATTATCGTACAGGGCAGGTACAGCTAGTCCTCCGACATGAGGGTATTCAGTGCGCGAACGACTGCACCGACAGCCTCCTTCACCCCTTCCTGGTGGTCGGGGTGAACGCGCTTCATGAGCCGACCCTCGAATTTGTCAGGGTGAAAGCGGAGGTACGACGCGCGCAGGCGCTCTTTGCGTTCCTTCTTGCGCGCCTCCTCTATAGCGTCCTCGTCCGTATTCTCTACTTTCGAGGGATTGCTCGCAGGCAGGAGGAACGCTGAGATGGAGTCCAGGGTCAGGTCATCGACGGTCAACCGAGGATCTTTGCCGTCCTTGCCGTGATGTCGATGCGCAGCGAGGACCGGCCATGGTATGTCGGCGAAGGTGAGCAACGCCGCGTCGGTGGGTTGTTCCGCGAGCAGCTCCTTCCATCGTTCTTCGTATCTTTCTCGAGCCTCTGCGAAGCGCATCGCGTCCTTGTGTGCTCGACGTAGGCGCCGTTCCTCTTCTGCCGCCCTCTCGAGGCGGCGGGTCTCCTTCCGCCGGGCACGCTCTTCTGCTTTGCGAGCTGCTTTGGCTGCTTTCTGACGTTCTTGCTCAGCGTATTCGGCGGCGTGGGTTCGTCTGCCGGGATCGCAGTGTCAGCAATGCAAGTGTCGTTCAAGCATCTTCGCCAACACGCACCTGTACATCCCTAGCCTTACCCACTCGGCGTACTCTTCCTCGTCCAGATGTTGAGGATCGGTGTGCAGGAAGCTGTCCTCGTCGTGGTAGACGCGCTCCCTCGTCGTCGAGCCACCTCCCCAACGATTGGGGACGTGCGCATAGTCATTGAACTGCGCCTCGATTCCATCCAGACGCTCCTCGTCCCCAAGCGCATCGAACATCTTCTCGCGGAATGCCTGTTCCTCCATCTCAGCTCTCAGGACATCAGGGTCTGGTTTAAACGCGCGATCATAGTACTGAGAGGGACCAGCATCGTAGTCTGCAACGCCTGGGCGGGGGACGCCGTCAATGTCGAAGACGTAGTCGTAGTCAGTGCTAGTCTTCACTCGCTTGGTCGAGTAGGGCTGCTCCATGCGGCGCTTCTTGTCCAGCTTCCGCTGCTTCCTACGCGCTGATGCCAGCTCCTCCTCGGGCGTGCGCTTGAGGTGCAGTTTCCCCATAGTTGTGTGAGTGATGCGGTGGACGAAGGAAAGGAAGGTGGTTGGCGTCACTGCTGCCTGTGCTCCGGGCCGATCTGCTTGAGCGCTTATCAGCGCGGTCGGCCTCTTCCTCCTACGCCCATCTGAATCTTCATGCTTCCGCGTACTGCATCGCATCTGTACTCCTGATTGGATAGCTAATATCGTCTTCTACTTGCAATACGCCAAAACATTCCTCTCGGTCCGAAGCAGCTTCCTCGTGTGGTCTCACCCTGGTTTGAAGGCCAGCCAACATTTCAAGGACCCTATACGTGCAATAAATCCAGCAGACGTATTCTAGATATATACTACTGATCATCTGTGATGATAACTCGGTCGAAGTACTATTGTTGTGCTATGAGGCTGATACTCCTTCGATCTCACTCAAATCCCAGGTTGGCGGGTCCAGGGTCGCCTAGCCGCTCCGCGCAGACAAGTTCACCGAGTTATCCACGTGCGAGATCTGGACGGAAACATCGCAGGATGCTTCCTAGCACCCTGTATACGGGCTCATCGTAGCACTAGATCCCCTCCTTCCTCGTGCGCCGGAGGCGGCCCCGCAAAGCGCATGGCATGCGACACTTGAGAGCTAAGGAGCGATTCTGTCGTATCTCGGATGGCCACGAACAAGACGCAGGTCGGGTAGATGCCCTGGAAACAATGAGGGGGATGAGGTATGGAGGCGATCTTCGAAATTCTATGGACGTACGGCAATGTGGTGGTAGGTTCCTTCGAAGACGCGCACGCTGGAGAACTGGTCGTGAACCGCGACAGTCTGAACGACGCATCCTGCGACCTGTGATATCGATGTAGGATCTCCAGTTACAAGGTGATTGCAACGGAGAGGGCATACCCAGAAGAGAACATATGCGACACCCGACTCGAGGAGCAGCATGATTATCGCTTCCGTCTGCGTTTTTTGCGTGAGTAGACCGAGGGCGCCCTTGATGTCTCGGCGGTACTGTCTGTCAAAGATCAGTAGGGTATGAAAGATGTATTTGCTGACACACTCACAATACTTTCGCTCCGATGAGGGCTGTCGCGACAACATTCGTCGTCAAGAGGGGAATGAACCTAGTAAAATACTGGGAATTCCTCTCCAATTTTCCTAGCGTAGAGAGACCGCGCCAGAAATCCGATGAGCACTCCACGATGCTGCCTACTAGATAGAGGTTATGACAGGAACACGGAAGCGTCAACTGATCGCTCACCGACGGTTGCACTCACGCAGAGTAACAATACACCTTTGACGAAGCGGTTGTATGGCCATAGACGCCAGGCTCGGCTAACCAGCACGGCGTCGCTCAAAACAAACTGCTGCGTTGTTAGTATTTTAGTGACAGGTGAGCTCCGAGCGGACGTACGTTGACGTCCTGGGCCACCGTGATCACTATGGACAGACGCAAAAGCAACATTTCGATGCCGCGTTCCGATGTGCCAAGGTAGGGAGGGATCTCGACCACATAGAAAACCGCATTGGCCACAGTCGAGATCGTAGACGACAATAGGAGGCCAAGTATGGCCGCCAGCGTGAAGTAAGAACTTCCGTGCGCATGCCGACGTCTGGGAGCAGATCAGAGCTATGCATTATAAACTGGGGTTGCACTTGGTACACGAGAATGAATATTGCTGCAATGGACAATGTCAACTGCACGCCTGATCATCATGGGTAAGCGGAAGGCGAAGATGCAGCGAGAGACGTACCATAGAGAGCGAAGTCCACAGCCATTGTGGTCAGGATATATTTCAAGGCGTCGACCCTGTAACCGTCCAAGGGCCGATAGGTCGTGTCCGTGCTCGGCGTCATCTGTGTGCGGGACGGGGCGTTGTGTGTCAGGATGGATCTCTGACCTTCGCTATATGTAGCCGGGATCGCTGAAGCCCCGCGAATAGCATCCGCGGGTTCTACGCTGCCGCATGTTCGTTGAGAACGGATGGACTGACTCGTCGCTGCGGAGAGCTCCAAACACGCAGAGGTACTGAATACGCGTCCGGGAAGAGATCAATGAGCAGTACAGCGAATAGGCGCTGTACGACATTGCCAAATGAGATGACTTCGTATAGCCAAGAATCTCAGGCCTGGGCGACGAGGTCGTATCGCATAAGAATGTAGCTTAAGCACCGTGAACCGGTGCGAGGCAAGGGGCTGCGGAAGCTGAATAAAAGCTTCAAGTAATTGAGAGGAAGGCTGATGATGACTCACCCAATATCAGTCTGGAGGCTTGCTGGAGGCAGCGATTCTGCAGAGGTGATCTACATCATGAGAAGATGGCCGGCGCGGGCGCCATCGCAGACTTGATTCAACCGTGATCTCGTCACGATTTCACCCTATGCAGGAATATCACGAGCGCGAATGCATTCCTCACAGTTTGGTGACTGGCTTGCATAATCACATCAGATCGTGTCATGAACAAAAGATCGTCGACTGAGCGGTCGCATTGGGCATACGCATTACATGAGAGCAAACGTTGGTTGTGTTGTGCGGAAGATCGTCTTGATCGGTTGCCTAATTCACGGCGAAGGCTGAGTTCAGAAATGATACGTGCTGCCTTGCCGACGGGTCCAACCTGAAGAAAGTTGCCAACTACGCCCGGAAGCCCTGAAAAACTACTGGTCAGTGCATCCCGACTTATCATTGCTCCCCAACTTACACACTCAGCAATCTACACAAGGGTCGGAGCCCAGGCATTGGGGGTACGTGCACGCCAGTTCCGTCGGCGCAGTTCGATAACGTCCTACGAGCCGAGGTGAGCAAATGTGCGGCCAAGGTCCTAGACGCGACGTACCTGCAACATGAACCGCACACGTGGGCTGACGGTAGTTTTCTTCGTCCACTCCTTCATGCGCGCGAAGTAGACGTCCATGTGTGCGCGGGCACGCGGGTTATCGAGGAGCTCGCCAACAGTGGTGAGCAGCATGCACAGACTCTCCATTTCCTCCTCCTCAGGGTCGTATACGTTGTCGAGCAGCTTCTGCACGCATCTATGCATGATGCGTTCCGTCAACATCTGCAGTTTGAACAGCTCGCCGATGAGGCGAATGACACCGAGACCTTGACGCTTCGCTTTCTGCTCTGCATAATATTCGTCGGAGTAAAGCTCAGGCTGTCTCACGCCAGCCTCCGCCTTCTCATCCAGCCAACCGCACTCGAAATCATCTTGACAGCGGTTCAGCAGATGCTTGCGAAACAGCTGGCCACCAGTGATGGGTTTGCCCTCCGAGTTGCGAATGCCGTCCTCCTGCACCTTTTGGCTGATCTGCTCCATCATCTTTCGGCAGAGACGCGCGTATATCTCCAACCAAAGAGGCTCGTCCGTGGCCTTATCGAGGATGAGACGAATGACGTGCTTGAGCGTCTGCCCATCGGTCTCCATTTCCGACCTATTTGCCCAGGCAATGATTTGGTCGGATACCGAGTCAAAATTCTCCACCGTAAGCTTGTTGAGCAGGCCCATCACCTTGCGCTCGACGACGTCCGAGTTTGGCTCCTCCACGACGTGCTCGCCTGCATACGCCCCGATGCGCGCGTGCAGACTCGGCGCCTGCCATCGGTCGCGAGCGCTGCGCAAACAAGAGAAGTCGTGTTTCTCATCCTGCTCCGACAGAACGTGAAGGTTGTCCTGCGCGTCGTGCAAGCGGAAAAGCCAGGGCATGCCCGACTTTGCGGAGTTGGACGAGGCGTCGGGCAGGATCGACAGTGTCCAGGTGCCACTGCCGTCTGGAGCGTCAAGGGATAGGACAGCGCCGTTCAGTTTGAGGTTGAGGGGTTGTTGGGCGGAGTGAGGGATTGCAACGGGCGTGGTGGGCTCGTCGGTAATGGCGGTCATGTTGGTCTGCAACACACTCCGATCGAGCCGCGTAGAAAAATGATACGAAAGGCTGTGGACGAAAGGCGCCCTAGTATATGTGACCCACGTTGCAGCCCCTTGCGTCCGCCAAGTATCCGGGACCTAGAAGCACGTCACCCTAGTAAAGGCTAGTCAGTAGGCGTTGCCCTTCTTTACTGGACTGATGGGCTGATTAAGTTGAAGGGCTTGCTACATATACCAGACGGCCAGTGCACAAGAACCCCTGGGACTCACTCTGTTTACGTTGGTGATGAACGTTCGGTCAGACGTAGGGATCTGAAGCCCAATTACCACGTGCGAGGTATTATCAGTATCGGCGAAAGCCGAACAAAGGGAAATCCGCTTGTGGGTTGTCGCAAGCTCATGTAGTCCACAAACAGGGCCGAGGATAAGTGAAGAAGTGCATAACAGTGAGCAATATCAGGAGGGCATATAAGATTACAGGTATATCCCTTGAAAACAACAAGCAAGTCCACCGATACCAACAGACTTTACAAATACATACCGTACCTTTACTATGTCGACATACTCTACAGACTTGCAATGAACTCGATGCTATACTGTACCCTCACCACACCCAAATCACTGAGGATACCAATCGCTCTCCGAAATCCTCGCGAACGCGACCTTCTTGTCCGTGGTCGCATGTCCTCCGCTCGTCGGTTCATGTGCACGCTCCGGCGAGCCGAACAGAGCATCGTACAGGGAGGTCGACCCTTGCGCATCATTCGCTGTCACACCACCGGCCGTTGTGAGCCCTTCCCTCTCGCCAGAGTGCGAGCTAGTCCCCAAATCCCAAGCTTCCCAATCAGCATACGCATCGCCATTCCCCCACCCCGCATGCGGGTCCACCCAGCTCGATGCCCAGCCGGAGTTGTTGTCGTGACCCCTCTCCTCTACTGGCTCCGAAGACGGGGGCAACGGAGGGGCCATTTTCGGGAAGGGTGTCCGCGCGAAGGGTGTCGGCGACGGAGAACTTGAAGACGTCGGGGAAAACGACCTGAAGGGCGTCTGGGGCTCAAGCGAGGGCCGCTCGGGGATGACGGGCTCGGGCTGGTCTGGCATAGCGATGGCGTAGGGAGAGGTGAAGGCGGTGAAGGGAGTTGGGGGTGGTCCACGATGCGACGCCGCGGGCTCGTGACGGGTCTCCGTAAACGAGCGATGCGTTGCGGAAGACGAGGCGTACGTGGCCGAAGGCACGACTAGACGGGTCGGTGTCGCTGCTAGGGATTGAGGTGCCAGCCAAGGCGCGTGACACAAGTGGGCAGGCGCAGAGGGCGCGCTTGTCGTAGGGGCGGTAGTAGAAGACGAAACATACGTCGTACTTGGAAGAGACACGTTCGGCGAGGGCGAACCGTGCGAGTTTGACGAAGCACCGCCGTACGAGTTAGGCGAAGGAGCACCGTAAACGTTAGGTGGCGGGGCGAGTGTGTTCGGAGACGATGCGTAAACGCCGTTAGACGAGCCATGCACATTCAGGGACGGGTTCGACGTGCTCAAGGACGAAGCCATAGCCCCCGTCGGCGGCGCCAACAAACTGCACGATGCAGGGGTATACCACTGTGTGTTGGGCGACGCGCCTGTGCCAGTAGGCACTGGAAGCAGCATCGGCATCGACGACAAGTTCGTCATCGGCGGCAGAGGAAACCCAGGCGACACCGAACTGAAGTTCGGCGTGATGCCCAAAGGCGTAAGCGGCGTTCCCTGCCCCAAGGCGCCCGTATAGGGCGTCCAGTTCGAGTAGGGAGCGGCGGGGAAACCGTTGGCCACGGACGGAAGGCCATAAGGCGCAGACGAAAGACTGTGGGGCGCAATCGAGGGGCCGTATGGAGAGGTGGAGAAGCCATACTGCGACCCAGTCAGTGTAGGGGCAAGCAACTGGGTCGTCCTGCCGGCCTGGTTCTGCGCCTGGGTGGAGTTGAGACCATACCGTTCGGTGAAAAAGCTGGTCTGAGCGGTCGAAGGGCGGTGGGTGGTGGTCGGAAGCTTAGCAGGGGAGACTCGAAAGAGAGGCTGGGCATTGGACGAGGGCTGAGGGACAGAGATGTTCTGATCAGCCGCAAGGTAGGCTTGCTGAGTCTTAATTAAGTGTTCATGTGCCCTGTCATACTGGTCCTGCCTGTCCACAGCGTTCATATGCCGAATCGCAGCGGCGTTCCTTGGCGAGAAACCCGAGGGGACGAAACCTGCCGGTAGAGGTGTCTCGCGACGCCCTGGCTCGCCGCTGGGCATCCGCTCTTGCTGGATGTTCGGCATACGCTGCTGGATGTTCGGCATCAGCGTGTTCGACTGTCCGCCTATCGTGTAAGGCGGCTGCCCGCCCGCGAGAGGCCTCTGGCCACCCACCAACGGCGTCGGCGCCTGCAGCCGTATCGACGGCGCGGCCGGAGACTCGAAAGTAGCGGGCGGGGAGGGTGTTTCTATGCTGAGCATCAGTGAACATGTTAAACCTCCCGCGAGACGGTACTATCAAGCTCACCGACTGAACTGGAGAACTCACCGATCACCCTCGTCGGCACGGGCGTGGGGACGCGGTACCGGTCACGGTGCTCGTTCGTGTTAATGGACCACGTATCGTAAACGGGTAGGGGCCCCAAATCGGGAGTGGAAGCACGCTGCTCGTGCTCTGGGTTAGGCATGCGCTCCTCGCGCCCGAAGCTGACGGTGCGCTCTTGACTGTGGGGAGCACGCTCGGCGATATACGGAACCCGCTCCTGAGGTTGCGCGATCCCGTGCTGCTCCCCGCGTTGGCCCGGATGCAGATCGCGGTCCTCGAAATGAACGTCGCGCTCGGACGTCATGGACCCCGTCCTGCTGGTGGACAGCACCGAACGAAGAGCGGAGAGCGCGTCTGCGGGGCGGCCGCGTGCGTCTGCGAGATGACCGTTTACGTCTGCTGAGGAACCACGCCCGACATTAACAGGTGTCGCGAAGAGGCCAATCTCGGGAGACGGCACGGTGAGGAACTCCTGGCTGGGACGGCTGAGGAGCGTATGGCTTCTGCGTCTCCGCGGACCTTGGGTTCGGCTGCCGGGATGCACATCCTGACTATAGATGAACGAGCCGTCGCAGTCGCGGGGTTGGTCCGTCTCAGCGTCGCCGCCCGAAACGGAAACCTGATTCCTCGTCCTCGGTGCGCGCACATGGGGAGTCGCCAGGAGCGAGTGCAGTGACTGCAAAAGCTCGGCCGCATCCCAGGCAGTTGTAGCATGCGATGGTGCGGGGGAAGTAGCCTGAGGTGGGACGGGAGTCGCGTCGTTCTCCTGGTTCGCCGTTGCGTTATACGTCGCTGCAGACTTGGCCGCCATCTCATCGCCCTTCGCCGCGCCGCCCTCGCTGTCCAGCAGCTGTATATCATAGGTCACTTCGCCCGACACTGAAAGCGTCGTCTGGCGGCCATCGGCCGCGTACAGAACGAAGCCTTGCTCTTTGGGTCCGATGGTAATGCGGCTCACGTCGTTGCGCGGGATGTCCAGTGATAGCTTGGTCGAAGGCGGACCGCCACATACGCCCGGCTTCTCCATAGCCATCGTGATCTTCGTCTCTACACCATTAGGCGCGCGGGTCGTGAACGCCACATTGGGGTACTTGGGCTCGGAGCTGGGATCGGTAGGGGAGGTCTGCCCTTCGTTCGAGGTTCGGAGAGTCGGCGACGCGACGGTCGAAGAAGCATCGCTGCCGCTCGAGTGCATTGTATTATCTGCGAAGCCGTGAGCGCCACGCGCGAGCAGTGAGACGCGGCGGACACGCACAGAACGGGTCTATGTTCCCGCCGCCCATCGTGTGGAGGTTCAGTATGCGCGGGGGTCGCGGATGGATGGCGATGGGTCGAGGGAGCAGGGCAGGTGCGCGGCGTCAACGGTGGTGGAAGGCAAGCTATAGAGGGCGCTTAAGCTGAGCTTGAATCGAGCACGGGACTGGGTTCAGGGGGGCGGCGTGCTGACGCGGTCGCTCGTTGATGTATTCGTATTTAAATAGTATTTACATGTATCTAACCACGCGATGGACGGTGCGCCCACTGGCGCCCACGTCCCGCGCTCCGCGCGCGTACGCGCCCTCGGCGCTCTACCTGTGTTCTCCAACACAGCGTCATCCGTCAGCAGACTCGGTGGACGACAGTCCTCTGTCTGCTGACCGGCCAGCTCTCGACTGCGTCCCTTGCCGGAGCTGCGTGGCCATTGGCTGCCCTTTCGAGACACGCCCTTGTCCGGTGTCTCCCTGAGACACGGACTCCTCGTATACCCTGGGGGGAGCCCGAGAGGTCTTTGGCGTTCTTCGTTCTGACCTCCCGGATCCCCTCAGGTGCGTAGTACGAGTCCGCGGCGTTCTTCGTTCTGACCTCCCGGTCACCCTCAGTCCTCGCGCTTTTTCGACTAGTCACTCGTACCTCACGTCGACTCAACTTACATGTCCAATGAAGCCGAGTCTCCTGTCCAGACTGAGCAGCCCGGATCCTCCGGGGGAAACAACGGGGACCCCGTCCCTCGCAGAACGCCTGTCGACGAGAACATCATACAAGAGTGCGAGTCTATTGTCAAGGATTTCTCGGAGTCGAGGATATCGAAGGCCCAAGCAGTACTCGAGCTATCGCGCGCCATCACCATCGACGACGCTACCGAGTATGAGCGCGTATTCGAAGCCCAACACCGCATCATCGAGAATGTCGACCAGGTCCGTAAGGCAGCTGCCGCTCGCGGAAAGGCTGTCGTCCCCGGTTTGCCTCGAGACGAGAGTCCCAGCGGGGATGGAGGAGGACTCGATCCCGATGTCGGAGGAGAACCCGCGCCGCAAGTCCCTGCTGGAGCGCCTCGGCGTGCTAGAGACGACCTCAGCGACGAGGAGACCGACACTCCTCGTAAGCGGGTCAACATCGCCGCTCTCCCATGGTCCGAGCGACAGCGCCGCAATCCTCAGCCGATCCGCGAGTCTGTCCGCAAGACTCTCAACATCCTCGAGAACATCTCGCGCGAGTTCCGGGTCGCCAAAGCTTCCCTCTTCAACGACCCACTTCGCCCGCCATTCCCCGACTCTGAATGGGAGAACATCCTCAGCGGTCGTGCGGTCAACCTTGACAACGTACTCACCTTCGAGTACTCTCTCTCCATGGAGTCCAAGACCATCGAAAAGGTTGGAGATTTCGAGGTCGCCTTCGCCAGCGGATCGTCCAACGCGTCGCCTGCGAAGGTCGTCAAGTCCCACGGTGAGCATCTCATCGCATGGCAACGCACCATCGAGGCGTACGAGTTCGTGTTCGAACATCGGCACGACGAGCTCCGTGACTACACTCGCCACCTCGTCCAGCTCTTCAAGTCCTTCCCAGATGGTCTTCACAGCCGCGTCATCAACTACGACAAGGCCGTGCGTCTCCGGGTGGCTGCGTGCCGCAACCTCCTCCTTACCGACTTCCATGAGTTCACTGAACTCCACCTCCAATGGATTCAAAACTCACTGCAGGTCACAGCTGGACGCGATACGAAGCCACGCGGAGGCGCCAGCGGCAGCAGTGCCGGCAAGCGTCGCGATGCCTGCAACCGCTGGAACGCTGGTACCTGCCCCATGCCAGCAGCAAATGCCGGTACGCCCATGTCTGCGCCACCTGCCGCAGCAACCAGCACGTCGCATCCGAATGCGCTGAGCGCAAGTGAGCGCCCTGTCGTCGACAGGTGGCGTTCGAGGCCGCGATACGCTCGCAGTCTCATCTGGTCCTCTGCTGACTCGGACCGTCCTCTGAAGGTGACCGCTGCCGACGCCACGGAGACCCTGAGCCCGCTCGCGGAGGTGCCGGAGAACGAACGTCAGAATACGGTGGCTCTGCGTACAATTCGAGAGCACCCTCACCTATTCTCGGTCGTCACTCCCATCAACGTGCAGCGCTTCAGCGACCTCCTCGTCGGCCACCCCAATCGCGCATTAGTGGATTCGGTGGTGAGGTCATTGACAGAGGGTGTTTGGCCATGGGCAGATACGTCGGACCCATCGCTGCCGGTCACTTGGGATAACGAGGCCAGGCCGTTGTCGGACCCGGGCGACATCGCGTTCGCGTGCGAGCAGCGTGATCGCGAGGTCGAGCTCGGGAGGTTCTCTCCTTCATTCGGGCCGGACTTGCTGCCTGGCATGTACGCAGTGCCGGTACACGTCGTTCCGAAGCCGGGAACAAACAAGAAGAGGCTTGTCGTCGACCACAGCGCTGGCCAGCATCCGCTCAACGCGATGATCCCCAAATCTCGGGGGTTCGTCCATCTCGATAACCTCAGTCATCTCGGGGCTGCCTTGCGACGCGCGCGCCGTATCTACGGCCGCGATGTCAAGCTGGTCGTCTGGAAGTCCGACGTCGCTCAGGCTTACCGGCAAATTCCCATGCACCCTCTATGGCAAATCCGGCAGACCTTACGCATCGGCGGCAGCAGACACGTCGACCGCGACAACAACTTCGGCGGCCGTCCCTCTGGCAACATCTTCGTGACCTTTTTCAGCCTCGTCATTTGGATCGCAATATACGTCAAGCTGCTGCAGGACTTACTCGACTACATCGACGATGCGTTCTCGTGGGAGTTTGCGGACGACCTCGAATATTACGAGCCCTATCAGGACTTCTTCCCACGGAAGCAAGCCCAATTCCTTTGCCTCCTCGACGAGCTCGGCATTCCTCACGAACCTCATAAGCAACTATATGGGGAGCAGCTGGAGATCATTGGTTTCCTCGTCGACCCTAACGCCATGACCATCACCCTGCCCCCGAGCGCTCGCCGCGACCTGGTCGCCGCGATTCGCGCATTCGTTGTACGCCGCCGCGCTTCCTTACGGGATTTCCAGCAGCTCGGAGGCTGGTGCAACTGGGCCTTCAACGTCTATATCCTACTCCGCCCCGGCCTCTGCACCCTCTATCGCAAGATTCGAGGAAAGACCAAGGCGAATGCAAGTCTCATGGTCAGCGTCCGCCTGCGACGCGAGCTTACCTGGATGGCCGACCACATCGAGCAGCACAACGGCATTCGCATGTTGGACTCGGACGAGTGGGGTTCCGGGGAGGAGGACGTGCGCATGTTCACCGACGCATCGGGCGTCGGTCTCGGTTTCTGGTGCCCCGCTACCGGCGTAGGATTCCAGTGCGTCGCCCCACAACAGCCCGACACTGCCAGCATCTTCTTCAACGAGGCGCTCGCGGTCGTCGCAGCTCTCCACCATGCGGTTCTCGGCATGGACTCCAACCCGCGCCGCATCCTCATTTACACCGACAATACCAACACTGTCGACATGTTCAACACCCTCCGCGCTGAACAAGCGTACAACCCCCTCCTTATCACCAGCGTCGACCTACTCCTCAAGTTCGACCGCGAGCTTCGCGTGTTCCACGTTCCTGGGACCGAGAACGGCGTCGCAGATGCGCTCTCGCGTTTCGAGAATGCTCGGGCCATGCAGCTCGCTCCCGGGCTCCTTATCCGCCCCTTCCTACCTCCTCACCTGTCCGTGGGTGCCGATCTTCTACCCCCCCAGCCAGCGGAGGGGGCTGACCAGCAATGAGCGCCCTTCCTACTCGCTCCAGGCAGCCGCTCCGCGAGGCCTGGACGCGAGAACGGCTCGAGCACGAGCGTGCGATCGCAATCGGCGCTTCTATCGAGCTGTCCACGACCCTGTCATACACATCCGCTACCAATGCCTACCTCGAATTCTGTCGTTTGCACGACATGGCCATCACCCCCACTCCCGACACTTTCAGTTTCTTCACCGTCTTCATGTCCCACCACGTCAAGCCCAAGACCGTCGACGCATACCTCTCCGGAGTGTGCAATCAGCTCGAGCCTGTCTTCCCCAATGTCCGCGAGATTCGGAAAAGCCGCATTGTCGCACGGACCCTCGCTGGCTGCAAGAAGCTTTACAGCTCGGAGGAACATCGCAAGCGCGCACTAACTCGCACCGAACTTCGCGCTCTCCACCCCGCCTACTCCTCGTCCACATCGCACGATGACATGCTATTCTGGGCCATCTTACTAACAGGGTTCCATGCGCTCATGCGTCTCGGCGAACTCGTATCACCCGACCGCGAGGCACTGCGCGACTACCGCAAGATCGTCCGTCGGTCCTCCGTGCACGTTACCCCGTCTTCCTTCGATTTCTACCTCCCCGGTCATAAAGCGGATCGCCTCTTTGAGGGAAACCGTGTGCTCCTCGAGCACATCGACGCTCTCGATGATCCCTACACAGCATTCACCCGCTACCTCAACAGCCGCGACACCAACTTCCCATACCACGCCGAGCTCTGGCTTCGCGCAGATGGGACCGTCCCGACCCGCGGATGGTTCATGCGGCGCCTGCGTCATCATTTCCCGACATCCGACATCGCCGGTCATTCCCTTCGTTCAGGCGGTGCGACGGCTATGGCGGAGGCCGGCGTGCCCCTCCACCTCATCCAGAAGACCGGCCGTTGGGCGTCCAGCGCTTTCGAGCGCTATATCCGCAAGCATCCTGTGCTTCTCGCAGCTATGCTTTTGCAACGTCATACGTGATTCTCGAGCGCTTCCCATCGTTCCTCATTTCTCTTTTCATTTTTTGCTACCACCTACGGCTTATCTACTTGCCTACCGTCGCTGAGCAAGGGCGTAGGCGCGTAGTGTCTCTATCCCCTGTACTTCTACTAAGCCTATCTTTCTTTTTCTTTCTTATATATCATCTTTCCTATTAGCCTTTTAGCGGTATCCCTCTCGAATGTACACATATTGCGTTTCGGGGCCCTGCCGCTGCATAAGGGCGGGCCCGCGCATGCCTATTCCGTGCCCGATAGCGAGGACTGAGAACGTGGTTAGTTCGTATTTAAATAGTATTTACATGTATCTAACCACGCGATGGACGGTGCGCCCACTGGCGCCCACGTCCCGCGCTCCGCGCGCGTACGCGCCCTCGGCGCTCTACCTGTGTTCTCCAACACAGCGTCATCCGTCAGCAGACTCGGTGGACGACAGTCCTCTGTCTGCTGACCGGCCAGCTCTCGACTGCGTCCCTTGCCGGAGCTGCGTGGCCATTGGCTGCCCTTTCGAGACACGCCCTTGTCCGGTGTCTCCCTGAGACACGGACTCCTCGTATACCCTGGGGGGAGCCCGAGAGGTCTTTGGCGTTCTTCGTTCTGACCTCCCGGATCCCCTCAGGTGCGTAGTACGAGTCCGCGGCGTTCTTCGTTCTGACCTCCCGGTCACCCTCAGTCCTCGCGCTTTTTCGACTACCCGCCCTCCGCTCCCTTGTATTTACTCATACACTGTACAGTCAGAGCGGTATCCCTCTCGAATGTACACATATTGCGTTTCGGGGCCCTGCCGCTGCATAAGGGCGGGCCCGCGCATGCCTATTCCGTGCCCGATAGCGAGGACTGAGAACGTGGTTAGACGATGACTCACTATCAATGGACAATGGAATGCGCCGGCGCGTGCGGCTCTTGGGCGGAGGGGAAGGACCGCGGTGAAAGCGCGCGCTGGAGTACAAAGCAGGATGAGAACAAGAGCGCAATAAACGTGTTGCAGACGCACCTTTCATTCTCTTAGCTCGCGAGCCCAGCCAGCGGGCGCTCATACACCTGCTCATGTAAGTCTATGCGGCTCGAGAACTCCATTTCTTCGAGATCGAGTTCGTGCCGGCCTCGTGGATATGATGCACCGGTGGAAGAACAACCCAAGAAGGGACTGCTCTGAGGCTCAGGCGGGTCCAGCGAGTCATTGAATATAATTTGTGCCCACAGTAGGCGCGATAAGCACTGCCGACGAGCAGCTCGACGTCGGCGCGGAGGGTAACAGGAGATTGGTGTCAATCACCGGACGACGGGGACGTACGGCTCTTCGGCCCGGCGTCATGCTCGACCGAAATCCTTGCTTGACCCCTACCACCATGTTGCCTTCACGCATTGAGCCTGCTGTCTCCCGCAGTTGCTGAAAGCACAGTCAAGATCTCTGTGTTCAATGCTTATATCTCTCTTTGCTTGATTGCCTCTCGTCGAGCGCACCATTGGCTGGCTCTCCACGTCCGTGAACATTGGCCTGCCTCTACCCTCCATCTTCACCTCTTCTCGGCCGATAAGTTCCATTTGCCTGATGTGCGTGTATACTATGCTCTTCTGTTAATGCAATACATTAGGCTCTGCGCTCGGTCCGAGTCGGCGGGGGCGTTCGCCGCGACCGCCACTGCGCATGCTAAAGTACTATCCCCCGTCAGTATTTCCGTACAAATACGCCAACAGTTCTGCAGATAGTTCACGTCATTCTTGCCGTTATTACGGCTCTCTTGACCTATTCCCAAGCTTCCCATCGATGGTAGCAGTACTCATCCCGCCATATCGCCGCGAAGTGCGTACTGGTCCCTCGTGGTTCTCCTTCTCAGAGACGACCGCCCCAGCTCGCCAGTGCGACGTGCTCGGGCTCTCCAGCTACTTGAAAACTCAGCTACTCCGGAGCCCCAGGACATCGCTTGCTCGCAACATGGGAGTCACGGTCTCGCGTTTGACTGAGACCCTGATTTCCTCGACGACGGCTTCCGCGCCCACGTCGAACTTGAAGGAGGTATTCGGGGAAGCGTCATGCGAGATGCCCTCGGCGAAGTCTGGAGAGGCGATGGGACGCAGCAAGGGGATCGAGCTTGCCCATCTTCGGACTGAGTCTCGAGAGGTTCATGTCGATCATCAACCCTGCATCCCCGATCATTGTACTTCTCCTGCTCCGCGGGCTTGCCCTATCCAGGACGGAATATTTAGGTGCGCTCATCCAAGCATGGCTTGTCTGGTCCTCACCTAGCGGGCCACACAGATACGATCGCAAGTTCCTATTGCAATTCAAGGACACTTGCAGGGATAAGCCCGATTTCCTGGTCGACCTGAAGACTCTCGGACTTGAACCTAGTGGCCCTATCCGTGTCTGCCTGGCCGTGGCGAATCCTGGACATACTACCAAAAACCAGCGCCGTCGCGCTCGTCGTGAGCGGCGGGCCATGGAAATGGCCCAGCTTGGCCTTGCGACTCTCCCACGTCCTGCACTCGACTCAAAGGCAAGAACAGCACCGACGGGTGTGTCGACAACGTCTGGCTAGCACACGAGAGAGCATGCCATCGTTTTTCTCTCACAAGCGGAGGGAGGCGACAAGGTCAAATGGAAAAGAGGAGGAAGGAAAGTAGTGGAAAAGGAGGCCTGGCAATAATCATTGTCTGGAGTAACATGGTCCTCGTACTTACAGTTGGCGCATCGTAGGCTGCAGACCGCGCAAGCATTCGCGAACTATCGACCCGGTCCTCTTTCTATTATCGAGTACTTGGCGTGTGCTCGCTATACGCTTGGTGTACTATAAATACGGGATGCACTGAGCTTCCCATGTCTCTGACGAGAGTGAAATGAGTTAACGAGCCGAACGTCCTTTGAGGCAAAGCGAAAGCTATTCTGTTCGGCCATTGCCGGAATTTCGGCATTGCCCGTCCTTATTTTCCACGCTAGGCTTGTTGATTGAACTTGATTTCGACCACGACGCTATCGACGCGCCGAAGGCCTGGGACTTCATGGCCTCCCTGGTGAAGGCGGCGTGCTTCGACGAGGAAACATGGACGCAGCTGGCGATCAGATCGTCTAACGCGGATAAGATGCTCTCCTTGCTGTCGTAGGCTGAGGTGAGTTCGTGCTACGATAATTGTGCCTTCAATGGAGCTGACGTTCACGTGTCTTAAAACCCCAGTGCCACTCACAGCAGTGCTGCGTACTTGTCACGTCTCAGGCCCATTACATCCCTGACGAGTGCATGTACCTTGTCGAGCGAGGCAGCGCGACCAAGTTCCGGTCTTTCTCGTTGTGAATCGTGCAATGCCATCCAGACGCTTTGGTCTGTAATCTAGCTTTCGGCAATCCTTGGGTTTAGTAAAGCGAAAGCGAACGACGACCTTCCGCCAAAGCCCCCATGCCATCATGCAACACAATACGCCTCCCACTCCGCTTCACGCGGCGAAAACGTGTAGCCTAGAACCCTACCCGCACCAGCTTCCCGACCTTCGAGCTCAATACGATCGATAGGCCCCGTTGTGTACTAGGGCGCGCTTCCGCCGCAATGCTCGAAGACTCGCCTCCTGATCGCCTCCCTTTTGACATCGACCACGACCTGCCCGCTCAGCCAGAGTGCATACGGTCGAGCACTATAGAATGACTGCGCACGCCGACAGATCTGTCTCTGCCTCCCAGCCGATATCTCATTGTTTCTCCCAGGACGAAATTGCGCTATCTCTGCCGGATCCAGACGGCTCAGGCGTATGGGCGCTTACTATATGCCCCACGAGATCGTCCGACAGCACGTCGTCTCTGCCATGGACCTTTCGTCTGCACGATCCCCAGGGCACCGCTCATGACCTGGTAGCCGGGAGACGCGACAGTTCCGTCCTCCTGCATCGCGCGCTGAACCCGTGGAGGCCGTTCAGCCTTCGCAGACGATATGGATCTGATGGCGATCACGATGCGGTGGACGACGAGGACGAGTGGCGAGAGGTCGTGAGGCGAAAGGTCACTGCCCTGCTCAACAAGCTCACCGCGGGAAACCTGGACACCATCTCCAAGCAGATCATCAAGTGGGCTAACGAGTCCGAGTCCGAGGAGGACGCCAGGACGGTCAAGCTGGTCGTCCAGCTGGTGCTTGACGCGGCGAGGGACATGCCTCTCTTGTCTGGCATGTACGCGCACCTGTGCTGCAGGATAGCCAGCCGTTGTGTCGGCTCGAGGGTCAAGGGCGGTCGACCTGTCGACGTAGCCCGCACCCCTCAGTCTGGTGGCGCGCTGTTCAGCGATCTTCTGTTCGACCACATCAAAAAGGAGTTCGGCATCGTGCCATTCTCAGTAGAGCAACGCCAAACAACCGTCGAAGGCCTCGCGTCGAAGGCTGCGGCTGCGCACGATGGTATCAATGGGCGACACGGAACAGGCGTATCTTCGCGTCGGCCTAAGGCAGCGCGGCGAGGTTACGGTTTGGCGGTCTTTGTCGCCACGCTCGTCAAGTTGGGAGAATACTCGAAGGACGTCTTACTCATGTTCGTGCAGGAGCTGCTCGACACCATCGTTTCCCACAAGGACTCGCAAGACATCGAGTGTCTCTGCACCTTGCTCAGTATCGCCGGAGATCGGCTCGAGACGCAGTCCCGCAATAAGAGCTTGGATCTTCATTTCACGCGCATGAAGAAGTTGTCGAAGAGTCGAAGAGTTAAGCCGCGAGAGCGATTCATGTTGGAGGTGGGCGGCTCCCTTGACTCTGATGTGCATCCTCATCTGAGAAAGCCTACAGGATGTCATCGAACGTCGAAAAGGGGGATGGAATTTCTCTCTTCCTCTGACGCCTCGTAGCGACCGAGCCACTGTGCGCCTAAATTCGTGTCACCGTATATTCTTGACTCACATACTGCTATACAGGTTGCGAATTGCTCAGATGAGGGCCATGCGGAAGGCCACCTTCCTGAACCCTCTCATTCATACCAATTTGCTAGGCGGCACCAGTCGAGAGATGTGCTTGAAAACCCTGTCTTGTCAGACTCCGTCCCACTGGTGCCAGCAAGAGCAAGTGGGATGCCCCTGACGCAGGCTCACGACGCAGACGAAGTAAAGCCATTCTTGTCATCTTTCACGTTCCGACCTTATTCTACATCCAAGCGCCACAACTCGCCGAGTCAGCCGCAGACGAACGCGACGGCAAGCCCTCGAAAGCCGCCCGCTCAGTCATTGCCAGGCGGTCCCGCGCCCAGCATCCAACCTGGTATGCCGCCTGCTCCTATGCAGGGCTGGTTCTATGTGAGTTGCTTTCGCAATGCAGTCGTTGTGCTCAGCTGATGTCATTGATTATTATAGCCTCCTCCTTACGGTGGTTATGTGGACCCTAATTGGGCCGCGGCTTACGGCCAGTGGTATATGCCGCAACAAGGACCCCCACCTATGTCTCCTCAACAACATCCTGCGCAACCTCCCCCTATGCCCATGTCCCCCCGAAACGCCCCGCCGCCATTACAAGGTGGCCCCGGCACTCCAGCCCCTGTACATGCTTCGCCCGTTCCTCACCCGCCTCCCTCCCACGCCCCTTCGAACAGCATCAATGGTGTCGCGTCACCGCCGGGGACGCCTGCCAGCGCAACCGTTCCCGTGCCCGGCGGACGTCTCAACCAGAGCGCGGCACCGTTTACTCCCTCGTCGTCTGCTCGCAAGATCACCCTTCGTGCGCCGGACGGTAGCGAGCTTAAGTTTGACAAGTTCAAGCAGAACGGACAACAGCCCGCTGCCTCTCCTGCGACGCCGACGGTGACGAGCCCGCGCAAGCCGGTCAAGATCGAGAAACCGACGGAGGCGCACGAGAAGCGGATAGCCGCCGAGAAGGCCGAGGCTGAGGCTAAGGCCAAGAAGGAGCGCAAGCAGAAGGTGAGGGACGAGAAGGAACTCAGGGAGCGCAAGGAGATTCTGGAGGAGGAGGAGGAGGAGGAGGAGGAGGAGGAGCTTCAGACAATACAGGAAGCCGAGCGTAAGAGCGCTGGCAAGGCGCGCAAGAAGGCGGAGGCGAAGCTCACCCTTGATGGCGTCAGTACATCCGCCAGAAACCATACTTTCTCCTCCTCCCTCGCTACAGCGCGAGCGATCGACCATTTCGGATCCGTGCACTACCCAGAGGGAATCATGTACCCTTGATCGAGTGTTACACTCGTGGCGAGGACGGCAAATGCATGTTCGTGTCAGCGCCATCACATTCCGCCGCCAATGCTGACTGCGACTTCCAGATACGACCGCGATTCCTTGTTGCAGTTCATGGAGGTATGCAAGGAGAAGCCCCTCAGTATGTCCAGCTCCAACGCTTCTGGTATTGAGCGTATGGGCCCCGCCGACTTCGCCATGTTCCGCGGACGGTCCCACCGCAAGTCTTTCAATGCTTAGGTACTGTCGCGACGCAAGTCTGAACAACAACTGTAGTAATATGCATGTCAGTCAATCCATCTACTTCTTGAAGGCTCCCCTACAGACCTCGAACATCTATTTTACGAGTTCTAGCCCTTCGTATCGATCGCATGCACACAATTACAGGTCCAATGCTATTCCACCATGCGTGTCTTGTACATAAATTACTTGCAGTCCGTGCTATCCAATGTGGTGTGCGATTCCGTGTGCAAATGTCCATAAGTGCTGCGTCCAGGATGCAAGATTACAACTTTGTCGTCGGTTCCTTCTCATCAGGCTTGAATCGCAGTCGAGCTAACAGCACCGTCCGTGGAGGGTCACCGCTCCCCGATACCTTGCTCGCCGTGACGCTCTTCTGCGGGTCGTCCGAGTCGTAGCTCGGGCCCGCGACATCTGGGGCAGTATCCATCGTGAACCTGCCCCACGGCTGGCCTTGTACTGGCGAGGCGTATACGTTGAAATGCGCCTGCCCATCCGGATGAACGTGGCTCACGAACAGAGCGTGGTCTGGAGCGTCGAGCGTACCGACCACTGCAAGCAACATGATGCGTCAGAAGAGCCATTGGGAGGTTTGGGTGCAAAGCGTACCGAAGAACAAGTCCTCTTTCCCGATATGATGGTCCCGACCGTATGCACGCACGACGGCGTCGACATTGTTGACGAACCAGCGCCTTGCTGCGTCGGCCGAGTAGAGATACCGATATGTCGCCGTCTCAGTGCACAGGTATGCCACCTTGTGTCCTGAACGAAGAGGGTAGGAGTAGCGGCGGGAAATGCTCTCGCTGTTGACCCTTGTGAGTCCCGGAGTGGTCAGGAACAGTCAAATCCCTTACGAGCTTGCACCACCGCCACGACTTTTGTAGGTCAAGAACCCAACGATAGCGTCCAGTCCTCTCTGCGCGATGCCGCGCTTTTCGACCTGCTGTACGCCAACGCGCCATGTACCGTAGCCGCTCACGCTCGGGAGCCCACGTATACTCTCCTCTTCGGCATGATCAGGCGCGAATGCGTTGAACAGCGTTACGAAGCGTCCCGCAGGCTTGGAGAGGTATCCGACGGCGCCAACCTCTACGGGTGTAGGTGTCCACAGCGGAAGGTTCACTATAAAAGCACGAGGTCAGCGAGCACTCAGCCTTGTCGAGAACCTGACTTACGCGACGGATGATACTCGTGGTTGAGCAATAGCCTATACCGTCGCTCATTCTTGATCTCGGCCAACATTTCTGTGGCAGGCGGCGGGGATTCGTAACCAGCATAATCCGCCCCGCCTGCAGGCTCACGCTGCTCCAAACCAGCCACCATCGGACCAAGGACGCTGTCCGACATCCCCATCCCGCCTCCGCCCTCTTCGTCGTGCATAAATAGACTCGACGCACGACTACTCGAGGTGTACAACACCGGCTCCGGCATGTGCATCGGCGGTCCCCCAATCACGCCAGCCTCGCGCAGCAACCCTTCGTCGCTCGTCGATGACGAAGACGACATGGATACGGACTCCTCCATGTGGAAGTAGTACCCACCCTCAGGCGACTCAGACACGGCAGGTTGTGACGAGCCCCCTCCGGACGAGTTCCTGCCCTCCGGCGCTGTGGCATACGACGTCGAGTCGGACTGAGATGGCGCGACAGCATGCCCTTTGGACAGTCCTGACCCGCCAGCCGGAGCCGGAGCAACAGCGCCAATGCGCCCAGTAGGAGGTGTTCCCCACAAAGTGGCTGCCTGCCCAGGAGGCACTCCGACCGCATTTCCCGGGGGTGTCTTAGCCAAATCAGGCGCATCCGCCGCTGGGCGAGGTACATTGACGGCGCCCAAGGGCACGGTCTCCGTCCTAGGCGACATCCCGCCAGGCAGTGGCATAGGCTTCAAGTCCGGACTCGGCATTGACGCCATCATCTCCTCGTTGATGGGAGCGTCCAGCGGCTGCTCGGACCCCTTCTCCTCGTTCCGCTCAATCCAGCCCGCTTGCTTCCGTAGCCGCTTCACGTCACGAACAACTTGGCTGAACATAGGCCGTTTGAAGGGGTCGCGCGCCCAGCACGCTCGAAGAAGGGCCGAGAGCACCGGAGTCGTATGGCTCGGTATAATCGCATGGATGATGCTGGCTGGACTGGCTGGGCTAGCATGACCAGACGTCGGCGTACTGCTCGCTGTTGGTGTGCCATGCGCTGATATACCCGGCACCTGCGGGCGGGCATCGTTCGCTGTCAGAAGCTCAGCAGCGCTCACAAACATCCATGTTTGAACGTACTCAGAACTGCCCATCGCACTGCTTCATCGTCCAGTTGCCCCCAAGGTAGCCTTCCGAAGCCAAGTACCTCGACAGCGGTGATGGCAAACGCATACACGTCCTGATCAGACAACCCATCAGTAGGCAGAATACAAGGGCATGGTGCGAGCCAACCGTCTCTGTCGTGATACGTTCCGTCGCCCCCGATAGTAGCTCGGGCGCTTGCCATCGCAGTGTGCCGTCTACGAGATATACCATGAGCAATCTGAGGACTGAAGTGCTCTGGCGATGCTACCTACGTCCATGCCCGCCGAGTCCGCTGATGCGATACACCTCGCTTCGCATCTCGCTCTGACCAAAGTCAGAGATAACCGCATGGTGGTTGTCGTCGACAAGTACGTTGGCGGCCTATACGTTGTCAGCAAACATAGCGAGAAGACGATGGATCCCCAGCTCGACGATGCCGAAAGAATGCGCACCTTCAAGTCACCATGAAGCACCCCCTTCGAATGCAGGTACTCCATTCCTCGCGCGATCTCAAGAAGGTAGCGGAGCACGTCTGCAGGGTCCTCGTCCCCTTCTGTAGGAGGCGTGGCCCCAGGCATAGATGACGCAGGTTCCCCCGTAGGTGTCGTTGATGCACTGGACGAGCTTGAAGGCGTCCTCGAAGGGCTCTGCGCCTCCAGCGAAGCACGCAACAGCCCTACGCTCAGGCTGTCTTGTCTAGCGGGCCCCGGTGGACGCATGGGCGAGTGACGATCGAGGCTCATCGTGCGCTGGTGAGCGGACGCTGGGTCATCCAGAGAGGGAAGCGCAAAACCGCCAGCGCGAGCTATACGAAGTCGTTGAGTAGGCAACCCTGACTCATAATCACTACTCACCTGTTCCCGCTTCCATGATCGGGGCCCCTGGCAATGTGGCTAGCTTTGCATGTCCAGCCGTTGAACGGCGAGGAGAGGTAGCGCCCAGGCGTGGTGATCCTTGCCCTCCTAACCTTGGTGAGCCGGGTCCCTCCAAGCCGGCCGCAATCCTCGACTCCACGCGCTTCAAGTATTCGACAAGAGTGCCATTTGGCAGGTATGGAGAAACCTGGAGCAAACCAATCAGCTCGTGTTTGACGGCTTCGTCGAAACCAGTACTGAGTACTCACCAGGAACCACATCCCACCCTCGACAGCGCTACTCGCGCCAAACAGCTGAAGCACATTCCGATGTCGCAGCCCGCGCCAGATGCCCGCCTCACGCACAAAGAGCTTGCGTGGCGTCGTTGGCGCGAGGACCTGTAAGCGTGCAGTCAGCCACAGTCGAGCTTCAAAACAATCCAGGGTAGTGAACGTCCCAAAGAATGTTGCCACAAAAGCATTTCAGAGTGGGACTGGCGCTGACCTTGATCGCTACCGCGCGCCCCTTCCAAGTCCCCTTGTACACATCACTAAAGTATCCGACGCCGATCTTGATCTCGCGGTCGATCTCATACCTGTATGCAGAAATCAGTCAGCGTCAGTGACATACCGGCAAAGACAGATTGTACACTCACCTCGTAATGGTCCAATCCGGCAGATCCCACGGCTGCAGCATCGAGCTTTGCCCCTCCATCTGCACAACCGCATCGTTCCCGGGCAGTGGCTTGCGTATTCCACTCTCCTTTGAACGACCTTAAACATACAATCGTAAGCACTCCATCACCATTGCCCATCACCAAAGCATCCCACTCACCCTGCTCATGCCCCCATCCCCCCACCGCGCCACCCGCCGCCCCAGGCCGACTCATCCTCCTCATCGCGTCAATACCGCTCTCCATGAACTCGCGGTCTAGCATGTCGTGCGCAGCGTAAGGATCGAGATCCTGTTCCTCCTCCGCATAGCCGTCCTGGTCGTCGGGCTCCGTGCCGTATCCGGCGTCTTCCAGGGTCTCACCGCCCTCTCCAGCACTACTAGCAGTCACGAACGACTCTTCCGTGCTCGTACCGGACACCGTACGATCACGGTCCTCTGCCGCTCGCCCGGCAGACGCACTCTCGCCCGCAGCACCGCCAACAGCTACCCCTGCCGACGCGCTTTCTGCAGCACTGGGGACGCCCTACAATAACCAGTCAGTACCTGAGCGTTATACGCAGGAAGACCCTGGGCGCGCGAAGCTCACGTTACTCACCTCCTTCCAGACCTTCCTCCCCACAAACCCACTCTTAATCCCCGTCGTCGACCCCGCCGAGGGCGTCTCCGACATCCCAACCCCTCCCGCCAGACTAGGATGCCGCTGTATGTAGCCACCGACATGGCGAAGCTCTTTGCCGGGTGACGTGCCAGGAGGTCCTGCACTCGTCTTCCCTTCCGGCAGCTGCTCACCCATCACCGTCCCACCCGACGTCCCTCTCCTCGAGAACGCGGGTCTCAACACATCCCCACTTGCCGACGCCGCATTCGACGCCAAACTCTCCGTTCTTCCTATCCTCATACCCCGCGCGCTGTCCACCGTCCCTCTTCTTCCCCTTCCCCTACCCTCGGCGCTGGCCGCCGAGGCAGAGCCATCGGTACCACTCACGCCGCTCCGCCTCTTGCTCTGTTGACTATGCCGTCTTGACGCCGCCCCTGCCTTCTCCGCCAGACTCCCATCTCGGCTCAGTCCCGCCTTCTCTCCCTCCACCTTTCGCAAGGCACCCTCCAGCGCTCGTTGCAGAGCGCGCACGGCCTCGGGTATCTCCGCACCGTCGACTTCGAGCACACGCATGAGCGCCGCGTCGTTGGGAATCTTGACAATGTGTCAGCAAAATATTTCTCGCGTGATGCATAAATCATTGACCTCCATCGCCTTCCTCATCACCCCACGCAAATCTGCCACATCCCGTCTCGTATCCTCTGCGTTCTCCCTTGCGCGCCTCGCGTGTAAACGTGCGGCGACGACCGACGGATCCAAGTCCTGCGCATCCGGCTCCGCGTTCGCAGGTCTCGCGAAAGGGCTTCCTGGTGGCGCCTCCTCCGACGCTCCGTTCGAGGAGAGGGGGTCTGAAAGTCAAAGTCAGCATGAAACCTATGCCAGATATGAGGTTAAGAAGATGCGCACCTTTGACCACCACCCACTCCGCCCTCTCCTTCCCCATCGCCTCCGCTGCATCTGCCGCTCGTGCCTCCAGAGCCTTCAGCCCAAGCTCGAGCGGCGCGAGAATGTCGCGTGCAGTCGTTGGTGCAGCGGTCGAGGACGGAGTGCTGGTTGCTGGAGAAGCGATAGAGGATCCTCCTTCTTGTATGCTGCTAAGATGCGCCCCGACGGGTGTATGCGCTGATGCTACACCAGGAGGATGGGCCGGCGCAGCTGGAAGTAACGATCCCAAAGTAGCAGTCTCTGGCATCGTCGGTGTCGTGTCCATCCTCGGAGTCGTGTCAGACCCAATTGAAGCCGTGTTCTCCAGACCCAGGGCGTTCGTCGGATGGCCGGTCCCGCCTTCGAGCAGCGGTCGCGTCCCTCCTTCAAGTAAAGCGCCTGCCGTTGTGTTCACTCCACCCTCGATTCTTCCTCGCCTGTCCGCGTCGAGCATGCGAACATAGCGGTAGATGCGGAATTGGACGGAGAACTGGGGAGAGGGTCAGCATTTCTGGGTGGACTGAGGTAGAGACACGACGCAGGGGAAAATTCCGGGGTATTCAAAGGGGGGATTATAGAAATGCGCATATATGTGGGTAAAACGCGCATATATGCAGTGTAGAACACTTGTAGGGCGGGTTGAGATGTGTATGGCAGGTGGAGCGGATGCATTGGACCTGTGTGGATGCAGGGATATAGTGAAAAGAAGTATGGTGCTCACCCCGAAGGCATCGACGGCGTCTTGAAGTGCCGCATCGCAGCCTTGCAGTTGGCGAAGGATATCATCGCGTTTGAGGTAACGCTATTGTTGACAAAGGAAGATGACGGTAGGAAGCAATATGCGAAGGTCCGGGAAGCGAAAAGGAACAGTGGTTGACGATGGCGGTCCGGAGCAAGGTGCAGAAATACAGAATAAGCAGAAACGATATCAGCATGTATCTGACTTTGATAGCGGAATACGCACCTTGATGAATGGCCTATGTGCCTGCTGGTTCAAGAACGCTTGGATTTGAGCGAATGCGTCTACGAGTCGCCGTAAAGGGTACTCGAGGTCCGCAGGAATGCCATTGTCGTGCTGGGTCGCTTCCACGACCTCGTCGCGGACGGAAATAAGGATGTTGGCGCAGCGCTCAGTAATTCGAAGACATTGCATGCGGTTGAGCTAGGCCGATGGTCAGTATCCGCCTTGGCAAGATCAATACACGACGCACATCAACCAACTGCACTCCATCCCAGATGTACAAAAGTGTCTTCGCTGCCTCCGCCAACCCGGGGAAGGGTACGAGTTGCAAAAGATCCACACTGATCGCGAGGCCTTCGTGGGTGACGCTCGCTGTAGTGTCAAGGACGCGCCTCAGCGCATCGTCGACGCGGTCTCGTGTTCGCGTCCAGCGTTCCTCCGCGTCGGGGTCATCATCCCAGGCTCGGCGAGTACGCTCTATGGGGGACTGAGACCACCAGTGAGTCGGCGGGCGGCCTGGCGGGGTGCCAGTGACGGTGGGTGCTCTGGGGGAAACAAGGGCGGGGGAAGGAATGGACTTGGGCGTGTTCTCGATGGTCGCGGTCGTCGCCGGTGGAGGCTTGGGCGACTCGGGGGTAGACGCAGTGGTGGTATTGGATGCGACAGTGACCGCCGCGACTGATGGCAGCGGTGCGGGCTCTGTTCGTGGCGATGAGGACGCGCTAGCCGGATGGGGAGACTTGGATCGTGCACGCCGGACCCAGGCGGACAGTCCTGATGATGGCGAGGTTGGCGCGTCGGTCGGCGGGCGCAGCGTGCTCGTCGACTGGGCGCGCTTTCTGCCCTTGAGGATGTCCATGGCGGCGTTGGCATGGGCGGACGCGTCTTCGCCGTCTCCGTCTCACGCATCGACGGAACCTTTCTATCATCGATCGAAGCTGTAACCGCGGTCTCCGCGCGTGACGTCACTCTCGACAACTGCCAGTCACCGCGACGATCCTCCGCCGCCGCCGACGCTTGCGTTCAACTTCCATCGCTAACACCTCTGTGCGCGAAGCAGGTACGCATGACTGGCCACCACACCTCATGCTAGGACCGACACTCGCGAACTGCTATGCTGGGCGACCTGGACGATGACCAGTCTACCCTTTACCTGCGAGCTGGGAGGGGACACCTTACTCGCGGACGAACACCGGTCCATCCGTGCTGCTTCCATATTCTCAGTAATGGTGCAACGATGGTCCGCCGCTACACAGGCTGTCTTCATCTGTGCACGGACGACGATCCTCGCGTCCTCATAGCAAGAGTCGGAACATCATTGTATTCGCGTTCCGTACGCTTCAAGTTCTCGGGTTAAATTGGAACCATCCGGAGTAGTGGTGTATCTGACTTCGTTGCATGTTATACTAGCTTCACCCTCGCTCTGCCTGCCTCCTGAACTGAGCCACTACTCCGGATGGTTCTCCTAGGGTTCTTTCCTGTTCAGCCCACCCCCAAGCTGTGTTGCTACATAGATTCCCTGCCAGTCAGCGCTCTACTGGACAACGTAGAATGCGAAGCTGGTCAACGTCCGCCAATATAGCAGCAAAAAACACCTGTGCTCACCTTCAACGCGGCCGCGGATACGTCGTCCACGGTGCCGCAACTGCAGATCCAACGAACACCATGAACAACATGATCGAATACACCCAGGATTTCATGATCTTCAATTACTGCCCTTTGTATCAGTCCGTCGGTCGCCGTCGGAATATGCAGGGACTGACGGTTGAGGAAGCAAAGACCGATTGTTGTGGAAGGCAAGAACTGACGGTTGACGGAAGCAGGGGCGAGCAGCGGCCACCTCTTATATGACGCCACCACACCTTCTACACACCTCTGCATGTCACGCGCTCGTCTCTCGCTTGATCACGAATGCATATATTTTCTCACGAGGGGCTGTTTGTTGGCATTGAATCCATCAGGCGCCCATTCGTATACATCGTCCTCAAGACCCAGAGGGCTATAGAACCGCGATAGGCACGCCGTGTCGCTTTCGCCCTAGCAGTGAATACCCTCAAGGTGGCGTTATCCTCATGACTGGTAATTCAGGGCCCTGCTTACAACACAACACTTTGCAACTAACTCGCCTTCAACACACCTACCTCGCTCGCAGCTCACTGATTGGCTTCATCTCTTCTTGAATGGTAGAGCGCCCTGCAGGCTGAGACGCCCGCCGTCCTCGCCGCCACGCTCCCACCAATCCCATTCTTCGCTTCCGTTTCGATCACGACGCTGCTGCGCGAAGATCACCCTGGACTGCTACTCCGATTCACTCGCACGGCCATACCATCAACGAATGTTATCGCCAACATTGCCTCTTGTACGCTTGACATACTATGCTCATGATTGCGGGCATCTTTCCTCTCTCCGACCCACCAAACCTGTTCTGATGTATCATGAAGGTCGACATATATACGGTGCGGACAAAGTGGTAGAACTTGAGCTTGCTCTCCTTCACTGTAAGCCCATCACCGCGGTTACTTCTTTATTCGTTTTACCGCGTCTTCCCAGGATGTCGAGCTACACGCCTGAACTGTCATATTACCACCTTACTCCAGACGTTGTGGATACCCTGAAGAATGTCATCATCGAGGCGGGACTGGCGTATATCGCCTACGGTGCGTATACGGCTGTGCTCCCTCGTCCTCAATGAGTCTCATGCGATGGGAAAGGCATGCAAGCAGCGCTCACTCTCGCCGCCGTGCGCATCCTGCTGTGAGCGACGACGTCGAGGTTGACAACTGATCATGACCGTACTGACCGACTCATCACCAGACGGCGCGAGGCGCGCGCCCGCTTCATGCTCGCGGCCATTGTTGGCCTCTTCGTAGTCTCGACGTTGGCTGTCGTGACCGATATCGAGTACTACCTGGTCCAATTCCCATCTGCGCTGGGCACGGCATCGGAGGACGTGCAGGCACTGATGAACGGGCTGGATATCGTCGGCGTCGTCACCGTCCGCTTGAGTGTGCGTAACCTCTACCGATATCACTTTGCTAAGATGCTCATCGTAGCACAATATCAAAGTACGTCGTCAGCGACGCCATCGTCGTCTGGCGTGGATGGATAATATGGCCGGATAGCCGCCCTGTACGATGGACATTGCTGGTGTGCATATGCGGAAGTGCCGGTGCGTGGCTGATATATCATAATCGTCGTCGTCCATTCTCACCGCAGACCTCTAGTGGGCGCAATTGTCAACTCCTACTGGAACATCAAGTCCATCACTACCTATGAACGCATACCCATGACACGCACCCTTGTAATGACCGTCCCGCTCCTTTTCACCAATATCGTCGCGACGACTTTGATCGGGGTGAAAGTCTGGTACGTGCATCCTACCCTCGATGTAGAACATTCATCTTACGACGTATACAGGTGGTACCGCCGCGAGATCAAGGGTTCCCTCGGCTTGTTTGCCAAAAAGTCGCAGGTCGAGAGCGTGTTGATGTTGCTGTTGGAAACAGGCTTCGTCTACTGCGTTGTCTGGGTGGGCGCTTTTATACGTTTGCACGCTCACTGGATGCTGTCTAACTGCAGTTATAGGCTCTCTACATTGCCTTTCAGAGCGACGATCCGGGTGCAGGGTTCACACCCATGCAGATTCTGGGTAATGTGATCCCGTTCATCACAGTGGGTCTTTACCATCTGTCATCTCTCTGCCGTCTGTCTAAATTCTCACAAGGGACTGTACCCTCCGGTCATCGTAATGATTACGCTGCGGAAGAGTTCAGCTCAATCGCTCCTGCAAAGCGCGCAGATATCGCACGTCATGCGCTTCGCAGACCTACCCGACATGCAGATAGAGGACAGCATGGCTGGTCTTGCAGGTGTACGAAAGGACTCCACTTCGGGGCACACGGTCAACAACTTCATACCGAGATCGTCCACTGAACTTCATGGACCAGAGACGAGTGGTGATGTCGTCGAGGTGACGAGACGTCGGTGATACAAGGCTCTGTAGATGCTATGCCTATAATCCATCCTCCTCGTGGATTGTGATACTTTATAGCTTACAAACCTTCGTAGCCTGTCAGCGAAGTTCAAGTTGATCTTCGAACTTACCAATCACGTGAGGGTCGGGTCCGGGGCAAATTGCATCATGTGACCGCATGTGCTGGCGGCAAAGGCCGAATGCGGGTTGTACTCAACCACCATGGCACAATGACCGGACACCGCTGTCTTCTGTTTTATCAGCCTGACGCCCTGATTGGGCGCTGCACGGCAAGCGCTCTCTGCGACTGCTGCAACATTGCAGCACGATAGGCGCCTGAGCGCTTACTGCTTCCATGCGGCTCATCGAGTTTTAGTGTGGGGCCGACATCGCAAGTCCATATCAAGGCTGTATCGAGAACAACAACGCGATCTCCGTCTGTATCACGCCCCTGCATAGCCTCTAGGAACCTGGGGTCCTGTCGAGGACGAAGTGAATGGCTACCCCGGAGGGAGAACGAGCGCTCGAACATGGTCATGATACCGGGCCGCGCACAATTGCGAACCTCTACTCCTTCTGTATCCCGGTCAGCTATCGCTGATAGTCTCAGAGAGACGCTGGACAAATTAGAACTCTGCGGTCTCTTCAGATAGCAGAACACTACTTAAGCAACATCTGGACGCCCACCCCCACACTCCGACGCGTGCTAGCACAATTGGCTCCCAGATGGCGATGACAGTGACATACAGACCGCTGAATGCGGACGACGTGCGCGCAATGCGATACGTGATCATAGAGACAGCAGTTGAATACGGGTGCTACGGTGTGTGTTTTATCAGGATGTGTTTCATGGCCACCACTGACCGATTTCCTGTAGGCATACACGCGGCTCTGTCCTTGGTGGCCATTGCTATCCTTGTGTACGTCGAATCGGCTTATTCTTTGACGCTGGCCCATGACTTCATGTTTGTCTGCTAGACGCCACCGCGGCCGACGACCGGGCTTCATGCTCGCGGTCGTCAATATTCTCTTGATCTTCTCCTTCATTGCGGTCATTGGCAACACAATATACTACCTCATTCAATTCCCGCCGGGATTCGGAACCTCGACCCGGGACGTTTGGGAAATCAGCGCGAATTGGGATATTGCGACTGCCGTTGTCAAGCGATTCAACGTGCGTACAGTGGCGACCCTATGATATTTTCTGACTCTTCTCATAGTACGTCGCAAGCGATGCGATTGTTGCTTGGCGCGTCTGGATTATCTGGCGTGATAGCCGCCTCGTGAAGGCCATCCTTTTCCTATGCATGTGCGGGAGTCTGGGTACGTGCTATTCTGCAATTGAAATTTCGAATCTGAGTTGGATTGTTGTTAGCTGGTGCCATCGTCGCGTGTGTATGGACGGTACAGAGCGACAAAGCCGACAAGTTCGTGACAACGCTTCAATCTATGACACTCTTGATCACCATCATGTTCACCAATGTGGTGACCACAGTCCTAGTCGGACTGAAGATATGGCGAGCATGATAAGGTCTCCAAGAGGACGAACGCTAACGAGTGCACTTAGGTACTACCGTCGCGAGATCAAAGCCTGTCTAGGGCTGTTCACGCGGATGTCTCTCTCGGAGAAAGTCCTCTTAACGTTCCTCGAGTCAGGGTGTCTGTACATCCTCATATGGGTAAGCTACCTCGACGTGCATCCGTCTGCATCTCACCTGTAACCAGACGGCTTACATTGTCCTTGACGCCATCCTTGGAAACGTTGGCTTTACGGTCATAAACTTTATCGGCTCCGCCATGCCCAGCGTCGCCGTACGTCATGTTGTCAGTGGCTTCGAAGCTGGACTTATCCGTACTCACGCAGGGGATATATCTCACGTTGGTTGTCATCGTCGTCATGACCACGAAAGAGCAGCAGAGCTTGATCAGCAGCGCGCAGATATCGCGCGCAATGCGATTAGCAGGCCCCGTCGGTACCGGTGCTTCTTCGAAGGACACAGGCAGCGAGGTCCATGGAGAAGCGCATTCGCCAACACCAGACCTCACGAACAGCATCAGGCCGAGCGTGCAGGAGCGCGAAGGCGTTGAATTGCGGTGTCCCTCGCATGGGCTCTAGATGTTACGTGCTTTGAGAAAGAGACATCACGTACGTATGCAAATTGCTCATGCTTTGCCTATTTTCCTGAGTCTACCGTTGACCTTCTCGTAGCTTTGACACATTCGATGCATCAGCCGTACGTCCTCCGCGGACGCATTATTATATTACAACAATATGGTACACAGTGACTTCTTTATTCCTTGTCTCCAGCAAAGCATTGGCAACCTACAGATGGCGGTTGATGGTCTGCTTCCAGTCGCCCTTGTTCTCGCGAGCCTCGCCTGTAAAGGTCCATTAGCGCACCGTCCCACCCGCTCATTCAGATTTCTACTGACCAGCATGCTGCTGACTGCGGTCGCCGGTTACAGAGCCGACTACAGAATCCTTCTTGCCGGTGACGCGGTCGCCGGTGCCCTCCGTCCAGCCCTCAGCGCGCGAGGCGTCGTACTCGCCGCGGCCCTGGTGGCGCTCGGTCTGGCCAGCGCTGGCAGTACCACCGAGACCAAGGGTGTTGCCGATCTGGAGAAGAGGTCAAAGACGTTGGCCAAAGACGGAAGATGGAATGGACACACTGTCTCCTTGATGCCGCCCTTCTTCTCGTGGTACTGGCCGGAAGTCTTAGAGGGAGACATGTTGATAGATACGATGATTGGTTGAGTGGGTGTAAAGTGCGCTCGTGTGGTGGGTGTTTCTGCTGGGAAAAGTATCCGCTGGTGACCCTTATATATACCTGAGGAAATACCCTATGTTCCACAATATGACACGGTCGATGAGCGAAAGCCCCTCAGTTCATCGTCATCATGGCATTGCGTCAACGCTTGCATATAGCGCCGAGAGATACAGCAAGCGAAAGATCGTTAGAGACAAAGTGGACGGTGGAGCACGCGTGATCTGAGTGCCTGTGGAGCACCGCGCTGACAAAGTCCAGGGATAGGCTTGTGGCCGGCCTCCTGAAGAATTGGACACCTACCTGTCGGCATATGTTCAACGGACCATTTGGAGGCAATCCCGAGCTTTTCTAGCTGCCGGAGAGTGGTCAGAACCTTCAGATGTGCTGGGAGGCAGCGCCACGTGCGGCTCCACCAAAGCTCGAATCTCGCGCGCTCCACCAGCGCGGTTGTCTCTATCGATCTTTCGCCTGCTGTAACATGCGAGTGGCTATCGGTGGCGAGCAAGCAGCGAGCGAGCCCCACCGTGCAATCGCGGTTGAATATGAAGTTGAACTTCGTCATAACGCGCGCACGTGAGTTTGACTTTCCGGTCACGAGACTTTATGGACTTTGCTTTTTCTGCCTTTCTCCTGTTCGCGGGCAAGGGCCCCGTCTTTAGACGGGCATGCTCTCCCGTCTGTTGAGAGGCCCTTTCCGCTCAACTGCGATGCATCAGAGGCGGGTAATTGCTCATTCAAATGCTCGCCCTCCGTCCAGAATTTAATTCCAAAATTCTGTCAATGACCTCGTGCAGGGCGGTACGCCTCTCGTCCCCTTCGGGGTGACATACGAAAAATTTGGAACGATACAGAGAAGATTAGCATGGCCCCTGCACAAGGATGACACGCTTTTCCGGAGTGGTAGACCTACGGGTCTCAATATTTATGCACTTCCTGCCTATGGTAGCCCTCCCTGATACAGATCGCCCTCATTCACGGGCGGGCCCGCCATACCGGCGTACCTTGTCTTTCACCGCTTTCGTGTCTCCCTCACTGCCTCAATATGCACTCTGGTCTATCGGAAGAACGGCCGCACGATGTGCATAGCCCCCATCCCAGGCTTTCCTCGACACCGAAGCGCGCTTGCGGTGTAATAACTATCAGCTCGCGTGTGTGAAGCCCCACCACCAAGTCGCCTGATGTCCCATGGGACCTCTCCGACGCCTTACTCGAGGGTGCGCTCTACTATTCAATCGTGTGGCCTCGCATGCGCAGCCGGTACTGGCCCTCGTACGATTCCGAAGCCGTGGGGAGACGAGGCGCGCTTCGAATCACGCGGGAGCAGCCAAACGTGGCCCTTGGCACCGACCGCATCGATCGTCGCAAGAGCCGCTGCTCCCAGTGCGCGCGGGAAACCCAGCAGGCATGCAGGAGCACCACAAGCCGCTGCGCGCGTACCGCGCCATCTCCCTGGCCGCCTTCCTCTGCCTGCTCGTCGCCTTCATCCTCCAGCTCCTCGTCTCCCTCTCGACCCCCATCATCAAGTCCGTCTACCTCGTCCGCGTCGAGAGCACGCAGGAACAGGAAGTCGTCACGAGCATCGCGACAGGGCTGCGCTTTGGCGTCTGGGGAGTCTGCGCGAATAGGTGCGTTTGCGGACACCAAATATAGTGTAGGCGCTGACTTCCCCTCCAAGCGAGCTCGATGAGGAACAATGGTACACGAACACGGGCTACGGCAAATGCTTCGGGCCCACCCTCGGCTACGAGGTGCCCACGCCGCTGTCGGACGCCCTTGGCATCTCCGCCTCGCTCACGGAGATCGTCCTTCAAGGCCTCCTCGTCGTGCTGGTCCTGCACCCCATCACCTGCGCGTTCACATTACTTGCCCTTATACCCGCCCTCTTCCTCGCCTCCCACGCCCTTTCCGTCGTCGCACTCGTTCTCTCCGTGGTCGGCGCTCTCGTGGGTACGACGTCGTTCGCGTTCGACGTTGCCATCGCGGCGAACGTCAAGTTCCAGCTTGACGACCTTACGGAAGTCAACGCGGCGGCATACTATGGAAGCGCGGTCTGGATGGTGCTTGTGTCCATAGTATTGACATGGGCGGCGGTCGTCTTGCTTTCTGCCCGCTCATGTTATTGCTTGGGTGTAAGGAAGTACGTGTCTTCTGCCTTCTATGCACTGCGTCCTTGCTGACCTCCATCAGTGTCGAAGACTTAGACTACCGGGCAAAGCAAAAGGCTTTCGAGATGGAGCGACGCGAAAGTCAATGAAGCTCGTACCCATAGCCGTTCTCATATCTTATCGCATACCTCACGACCTATCATGTTCATGTCTGGATATCGGAAGTTCCCTCATTCGATCGTCTGTAGTTATCGCTTTCTTGCTTTATGTTCAAGGGTTCGGAACATCACAGTGGACGCGCTGCAACTCCTCAAGCCCTTACAAGCCTTCACACCATCGTGGATCTCAGCATGCTGCTATAATGATATAGGCAAGTGCTACAGTGTACAGCGCGGGACGCAATATGAACAGGTGAAGGAGAAAAGCGGGATGAGTGTATGGAGAGATGAATGGACAAGATGCGCAACGGTGGGGGACACGAGTGTACACAAGAGGGTGAGGTGGTGAGGAGGAAGGTGCCATAATCATATAAACACATAAGAACAGTAAGACGCGCGCCAGTAGTAAAGGGAGGAAACAAACGAACGAAAGCCGGTAGAGACAACTAGGTGATGCAGTCAATGCAGCGTGCGGAATGATACGGTATGCTGTAGTACATGCGGTCTATGATATAACAGACAGAGAGCAGAGACGGTCCGCCTAACGACAACCTATGATAGCAAGGAGAGCATCTTATCCGCGTTCGACGACTTGTTCGCCAGCCGCGTCCGTGTTTCCTCGTCGAAGCACGCTGCCTTCACCAAGGTGGCCATGAAGTCCCAGGCCTTCGGCACGTCGATGGCAATGTCCTCGATGAACTCCATCGTGGGCGCGATGCCTTCCTCGAGGGCCTCCGTCGACACGAGCTTCTTGCCGAGCGCATGCGTGAAGAGGTCGCCAACGAGCTTGACGTCCGCCTCCTTGCGATCCATGGCTTGCGTCACCAACTTGTCAATCAGCAGGTGATGGTGGTTCGCAGGCAGCGTCGTGAAGTAGTTCTCGGCCTCCTCCATATTCCGGATGGCGAAGAACTCCTTGACATCCTCCTCGACCTTCTTCTTGGCCGCATCTTCCGACATGTCCGAAGGCGCGGCGGCAGCCGCAGTGGAACCTTCGTCCTCAGACTCACTGGCGTCAGGCTTGTTCTCCTCCAAGGGCTTGGTGCGCGGTTGGAGGACAAGCTTCCTGCGCTGCGGCAAGGCCTCGCCGCCAGCAGCAGCGGATAGGTCGACGCTAGGCTTCCGACTCGGCGGGCGGCTGGACTTCGGTGCAGTGACGGGCTCAGCACCCTCGCTCTGCAACGCGTGGAACATGTTGGATGTCGATGCCTGGCGAGAAATCGAGTCGCGCTTGTTGGCGTTCTTGCCCGCGAAGACGCTACCAGGCCCGAAGGTCATGGGTGTCGCCTTGCTGATGTTGCCGAACTTGGACAGGTCACCGGCCTTGGCGGGCGGGCGCGGGGCGGAGGATCCGGCGACTGTCCAGCCGTCAGGGCCGACGTGCTCTGAATCCCTCCGGTCACCACCGCGCCTTGACCCACCGCGAGACATGGTGGACTGGCGGTGCATTGCATCCTTCTCCTGGGCGGCCTTCTCCTTTGCAGCCTGGAAAGCTGTTAGTGTGAAATACAGCGCTATCGTACCGAAAGCTCACAATCTCATGAATCTGTGCAATGGTAGTCGGCCCGGCGGCCTGTGTACGCGCACGCCAATTCCTTGCGCGAAGCTCAATAAGATCCTAAAGCCGATGTAAGCATATGCCTCACAAAGACCGAGCGCAGAGTAACATACCTGCAGCATGAACTGCATACGCGAGCTCACGGTCGGCTTCTTCGTCAACTCCTTCATGCGCGCGAAGTACACGTCCATGTGGGCGTGAGCACGCGGGGTATCGAGGAGCTCGCCAACGGTGGTGAGCAGCTTGCACAAGCTCTCAATCTCCTCCTCCTCAGGGTTGTCGACGTTGCCGAGCAGCTTCTGCACGCACTGGTGCATAATGCGCTCCGTCAACATCTGCAGCTTGAACAGCTCGCCGATGAAGCGAATGAGACCGAGACCTTGACGCTTCGCCTTCTGCGCAGCGTAGTACTCGTCGGAGTAGAGGTCAGGCTCGTTGTCGCCGCCCTCCTTCTTCTCGTTAGCGGACTTGACAGCCTCGTCCTCGACGGCCTTGGTCGCGGCGGCGGCAGCCGTAGCCTCCTTGTTCACCCAACCGCGCTCGAAGTCCTCTTGACAGCGGTTGAGCAAGTACTTGCGGAACAGCTGGCCACCAGTGATGGGCTTGCCCTCCGCATTGCGGATGCCGTCGTCCTGCACCTTCGGGCTGATCTGCTCCATCATCTTCCGGCACAGACGCGCGTACATTTCGGACCACGCAGCCTCGTCGGTCGCCTTCTCGAAGACGAGACGAATGACCTGGATAAGAGTGCGACCGTCCTTCTCCTTCTCCGACTTGTTCGCCCAGGCGATGATCTGGTCGGACAGGGAGTCGAACTTCTCCATCGTGAGCTTGTTGAGCAAACCCTTGACTTTGCGGTCGACAACCTCGGGGGAGTCCGGCTCGGCGCCCTTCGCAAGAGCACCAGGTGTCCACCTGTTCTCGGAGCGAGTGAGAGGGGCGACGGGCTCGAGGTTGAGAGCGTTCTGCGCGTTCTGGCCGAAGCCTGAACCGTGACCCTGAGGCGGGCCGTTGAACTTGCTGCCCTCCTGGCGATCGCCGCGCTTGTTGCCGCGCTGACTGCGAGTACGCTTGTTGTCGGTAGAGCCGGGGCCACCCTGGCTGGACGTCCGCGATAGGGCGCTCGGGCGTGAGAAGCCCATCGTTGGGGATCCACCAGCGTTGGCCCGCTCGAAGCGCTCCTGGCTCGTCAGCTTAGAGGTCGGGGTCTGGAAGTTGCCCATGCCGCCGAAGGCGCTGCCTCCGGGCTTGCCGCCGAATGCGCCGCCAGGACCACCGAAGTTCATCGACGACGTTCGCGACGGCGCCTGCGCATTGGAAGGCTTGCGGTGCGAACCACCACGGCTCATGGCGAAGTCGGCGGGACCCATGGGCTCAAGACCGATGGCGTCGAGAGGAGGCATCCTATCAGGCTTCTCCTTGCACACTTCCATGAACTGCAGCAGGAAGTCACGGTCATATCTGTATGCCACCATTAGAGACTAGCGATGACACATAAACGGCGAATACGAACCTGAACTTGCCATCCTTGGCGTGCGTGTTCAACTCGACCAACGGGCTCTTGATGCCCTCAGGGTAGTGCACGGAGCCGATGTCGTCGATAGCGCGAGCCGTAGCGAGAGCGGACGGAAGAGGGGCATCAATGGGAGTAGACTGGGCAATCTTGAGGTTGAGAGGACCGGGGCGCTTGCGCTGAGGATCGGGGCCAGCGGAAGGGAACTTGACCTTCTCGTCCGCTGCAGGCTGAGCGTCGGAGGTGGGTTCCTTGATCTCTCCCTCCTCGACCTCTTCCTTCGCCTCCGTCGGCTTAGCGGCCTCCTCGGTCTTCTTACGCTCCTCTTCCTCCTTCTTGCGTTCCTCCTCCTGCTTCAGCTTCTCCGCCTCCTCGGCCTTCTTGCGCTCCTCCTCCTTGACACGCTCCTCCTCTGCGCGCTTCGCCTTCTCCTCGGCCTCCTTGCGCGCCTTCTCTTCCTCCTCCTTGCGTGCCTTCTCCTCTTCAGCCTTCTTGCGCTCGGCCTCCTCCTTTGCCTTACGCTCCTTCTCCTCCTTCTCCTTGCGCTCCTTCTCTTCCTTCTCCTTCTGCTCGCGCTCCTTCTTGGCCTTAGCCTCGGCCTCGGCCTTCTCGGCGGCTATCCGCTTCTCGTGCGCCTCCGTCGGTTTCTCGATCTTGACCGGCTTGCGCGGGCTCGTCACCGTCGGCGTCGCAGGAGAGGCAGCGGGCTGTTGTCCGTTCTGCTTGAATTTGTCAAACTTAATCTCGCTACCGTCCGGCGCACGAAGGGTGATCTTGCGAGCAGACGACGAGGGAGTAAACGGTGCCGCGCTCTGGTTGAGACGTCCGCCGGGCACGGGAACGGTTGCGCTGGCAGGCGTCCCCGGCGGTGACGCGACACCATTGATGCTGTTCGAAGGGGCGTGGGAAGGAGGCGGGTGAGGAACGGGCGAAGCATGTACAGGGGCTGGAGTGCCGGGGCCACCTTGTAATGGCGGCGGGGCGTTTCGAGGGGACATGGGCATCGGGGGAGGTTGCGCAGGATGTTGTTGAGGAGACATAGGTGGGGGTCCTTGTTGCGGCATATACCACTGGCCGTAAGCCGCGGCCCAATTAGGGTCCACATAACCACCGTAAGGAGGAGGCTATGATAATCAATGACATCAGCTGAGCACAACGACTGCATTGCGGAAGCAACTCACATAGAACCAGCCCTGCATAGGAGCAGGCGGCATACCAGGTTGCATACCAGGTTGCATTCCGGGCGCGGGACCGCCAGGCAATGACTGAGCAGGCGGCATCCGAGGGCTTGCCATCGGGTTCATCTGCGGTTGACCAGCGGGCGGAGGTTGACCACCGGCAGGCGGCCGAGATCCGTTGCCATTAAGGTGAGAGCCGCGGAAACCAGGTGAACGAGGGGCAGCGCCTCGTGATGACGCGGACGACGGGACGAAGGTCGGGAATTGCGGCTGCGAGGGTTGTGAGGATTGAGGCTGCGATGATTGCGATTGGGGGAGGGTGGTGGGTCGGACTGCTGGAGACGCCGCGGGAGACGCTGATGGAGCGCCGCCACCGCCGGATCTGAAGAAAGCCTTGACATCGATTTTCGGCTTAGGGTGTTCACTGGGAGGCGGCGTGGAGGTGCTGGAGGATGTGGACGCGGCGGCGGGCTTTTGGGATATCGAGGCCTTGCCGTTTACGTGCCCCGGCCGAGGTGCTCCAGTGCTCGGCATGGCGTCGACGCTGCCGAACGTTTTGACGTCCTTGACGGCGGACGTTGGTGCCGTGGCGGGGGAGGATGAGATGGGCGCCGATGCGGCAGCATCGTCGATCGAGCCGAAGGTCACAGGGGACGAAGCTGCGGAGACGTCAGTACAGCGTTGACGACAGAAGGTATTCCCGCCCAGTCGAGCTGGCGTAAGCGCCCTCGCGCTTAAGCCCCTAGTAGGGCAAGCGAAGCGAGCTCAAGTTGACTCTAGCCGCTTCCCTTCCCTGGTCCGCCTCACCGTACTGCTCAGGGATTGCGTAAACCGCAACCGGAGCAGGTGCGGTGGGGAGGCAGCGCAGCTCGCGCGCAGGGGAACGGCTTGAGCACATCCTGAGCTCAACCGACTTGCGCCGCCCTGAGCTACCCGAGGCGGGCCTTGAGGCGGCTCGGTGCGAGCTCGACGGCGACGCCAGAAACGGCAGGAAATGTGTCACGTACACTGCTTTGCAGCTCCGACATTCGTCCTCGGAATGCTGACACCGTCCTTGATGGGTACGCCTTGACCGAGGGCGGCGCTTGCGCGTCTCGAATGCGAAGGCTGGAACTGGGACGGGGCAGGGGATTGCGAACGACTGGACTGGCTGGAGGTCGGCGGACCCTTTGACCAGGCTGAAGTTCCGGGTAACTTGGAATTCTGCGATGCGGTTCCAGTCGACGACTTGCTCATTCTGCGTGCGCGCGGTGAGCGGCGGGGGAACGTGGCGGTCGTAAGGGAGACGTACGAATGTAAGATATCAATAATCGTTGGCTTTTGGCGCTTTTTGTCGTTTTCGGTCGGTCGAGTCGCGAGTTGGACGGTCGTCAAACTGACCTGCCAGCAGGCGAAAGCTGAGGTCTTTGGTCGTCTAGAGAAGAGCGGATGCGCGAGAGCGATCCGTCGAAAGTCCCGGGAGATGAAGGACTCCGTCAAGGGACTGATCTGGAGTTTACAGATTGACGAAAACCCGATGCGCCCACGCCTACAGCTTGGTCAGCGGCAACTCGGCGAATGTGCGGATACAGCCGGTCCGCCATACCCCTTTCATCTTGTCGTCATGTTCTCCGGACCTTAGCGCCACTGTGGGCGAGCCGTGGAAAGCGCCAGAGGTTGCTGGGACAACTGACAGACCATCTAATCCACCGTACGTGAAGAGACAACATAGCTTGGTCGTGAGCGCTGGCAGGACACGGGGCCGCAAGCGACACAACACGATGCATGCCCCTACTGTTGTTTGGACCCTAGTAATCGTACACGTATCCTCACGACAGGCAATCGTGTCTGCAGTTGCGGATTACACGCGGAGACATGAGGCCATGGCAGATATGCGTACATAAACTCGGAATACATCAGCAACGCATAGTATCCGATTGGCAGGCGACTACTTGTCGGTATGAACTCGTACAAGGGCCATTCTACTGAAGTCTAAGCCGAATCGGAGGGGGGAGTAACCTGGAATTGTGGTGGGACCTCTGGTCGTCCCGCTGACCGTGACTAGTGATGAGCAATTTCCTATCCCGCCCTACGGCTCAATCCACACGAAGATGAACTTCCTCAACCGCAAATCCCGCCTGATCGTCTGAGTTCAGCGCGCGGGGAACTCCCAGGATTGCCACGGGACTCTTCAGATCCCAAATCCCAGGAGTTCCGTGGATATCCTGAGAGTTCCAACCACCGATCACTTTCTCGATCACTTCTGTGCTTGCCACCGGATTGAGGACGATTACCACGGAATAGCGTTGACAGGTTGTTTTGCGTTGTTTGGCACGACCACAGCGCAGTATGGCCTGTTCAGCGGCGTTTATGCAGACCATGCACATGCGTCCAATCTCGTACTGATCCATCGATACTAGTAGAAGTACAGTATTTACCCTTCCGGCCCAAGTCAGGCGCAATCGGACTCCCTCCTGACCTTCTTCGGCTTCGTCGTCAGAACCTTCACCAGCTTCTTCATCTCAGCGAGATCCTGGAGGTCGTCAGCGCCGAGTATCTAGAAATATAATTGTAACATAGTTCGTACCGCCTCGCTTGCGCGCCTCTTCGCTTCCTGCAATCGAGGTCAACGAGCTGTTCATGCAACAGTTGTAGTATGCAGCACATACCGCCTTCTCTCGCTTCGTCAATGCCCCGATGTATGCGTTGAACTGACTGGTAGTACCGTTCCTGTGATCCCTCATGAAGTCGAGGCCAACGATCGATCTTAACGGGCGTGAGCTGATGCACTGCATGAGTAGCGTAAACCTCACCTCCATCCAACTCCGTGAGTACCCAATCGAACCACGTAGACGTCGCTATCGTCCCCGGAATCGGAATCGTCTTGAGCGAGGGTACGAGAAGAGCTTGTACGAGTATCGCGAGCCGCCAAAGTAACCGATTTACGAGCAGCAGAGGGAGGCAAAGCATGGAAAGAAGAGCGCGAACGAATGAGCGTGGTTGCACATCGCGAAGAGCCTGAGTCGGAGGCAAGAGGCGACGTCGGATCGGCACTCGTACCAGGGTCAGCAGCAGAAAGCGTGGTCGGGAAAGTAGCGCTAGGCGAAGTCAAGCGGAGATCGAGCATCGTGTTGGCAATCGTTAGTGTTCGTCTGGAAGCAGAGCGCGTGGGCATAGCAGAAGTCGTCGAGCTAGGGAAGTCTTGCGTTGCTTGCGGGTGCGCGTTCGAAGGGTTGCGCTCTGAAGCGGTACCGTCGAACATCGAGTGAGCAGACGGCGACGGCTGCGACTGCAGTCAGGGTACCGCACGATGCGAAAGGTAGCGCATACACGAGAAAGAATTGTGCGCTTGATGCTCGTCTTCGTCCGCTTCGTGTCCGGCTGACCGTTGGCTTCGTCGACCGCACCGCGCTTCGCAGGTAGCTCGAGCATGTCTTCCATGTTGTTCTCCGGTTCGTCAATAGCAGAGGCATTCGCAGACTGGTCATCGGCATCGTCGTTTCCCTCGGGAGCGAAGTCGCAATCGTCGGGAGGGTCGCTGCTCGGCGGTAGTTCTTCGATATCGCAGTCGTCCAGTTCAGCGGGTATCGGGCGCTCCTTGCCCTTCTTCGTCGCAGTATGTTGCGCGTCGTCGACCTCGCGAAGCAAGTCCTTTGCGAAGCGCGAGTAGTTATCGGCCGCGATCTGCTCGACCTTCCGATTGCCGCGGCACCAACCAAGCTCGCGGAACATCTGCGTCATATGATAGAACACGAACTGGCGAGCGGCGAAGGGCAGTTGCCCCCACTTCGGTGTGAGCAGCTTGAGAAGGTGGAGTTGACGGAGCAGAGCGCGGAAGGTCTCGCGTATCTCAACCGTCCGCTGGCCGTCGACGGGGCGGCCGTCCTCGTCGGTGACGTAGAGCATCGTGGCGTTGACGTTCTGGGAGATATAGGCCTTGCCGCGCTTTGCAGGTTCGGTGGACGTGGGCTTGGGCTTCTCCTTCTTCGCAATGATCCAGTCGTTCTGCTCGTAGTAGGTGGTTTTAGGGCATTGGGCGCGTTCGAGTTGGACTAGCGGAGGGACTTCTATGGCGCTGAGAGCAAGCATTGCCGTAGCCACGGATTCGTCAACGTTGGAAGGGATATTCTTCAGGTCGGTCGCACTCTTGAGCGCCTTCATTAGGTGCGTCATATGCATTCTGAGGGTGAAGGTCAGCGCTCTTCCGCGAGGGGGACTCGGAACGTACTCCAAGGCGTCAAGTCGACGCATACAAGCGCCGCTGGAAAGTTGGTTAGACACAGAGAGTGTATCTGATATCAAGTACGCACTCAAACACCGAAAGTTGTGCGCGCAGCGCCGAGTTCTCCTGCTCGAAGTCTCGCACGGCGGAGGTCGATAGGCACGCCCACATCAGTGTCGCGTATGTTTGAGCTATCTGTCAGGATCTGTCCATCTGGTCATCAACAATCCTACGTGAGAGCGCATATACCCTTACCTGAGGATGGGTACCAGAGCCAGCTGGACGTATGCTGCTAGAAAGAACCTTTTCATGAGATGCAGGGGTCATATTGCTGTGCCATTCCAAGGGAGCAGCAGCGAGGAGCCAAGGTGGTAGATATGGTCCGAAACTTCGCATCAAGGCTTCAGAATATAGGTCATTAGACACAGCGCTGCGATGTGAGCTCTGCATGACGAGAGGGTGAATCTTCGCAGATAGCGACAAGAAGGCAGAGGGAAGCTGTCAGCCTTCTAGAGTTCGAACAAGAAAGAGGCCAGCCAAGACGAGTCAAGAAGATGAAGATGGGAGCAAGAGACAAGATGCGTTTTCCCTGTTTGATGGAGTCATTTCACCCAAATAAGGCAACCCAAGGACAATGGCGTGAATATCATTGTGGCGAGTTGGATTCTAGTTTACAACTTATATTCGACCGGGATCATCGTGGCCTGCTGGCCTTTGAGGGCCTATTCCCTAGTTATTTCTGCTTACACCCTTCAAGGCGCTGGTGATGACTTAAAGCCTGCATGGGCAGCGGTACTCGTAGATACTGCAGCCGCGGATGATCGCATTTGGAGAGCCTTTTTCCGAGTAGCGCGACGCCTCTCAGCGCCTTCGGGACGCTTGTCGAGATAGTCGAGGACTTCAGAAGATATCGTTCTGCCAGGCCCGGGCCTCTCCTTGCACACGTCGCTGAATTGCAGTAGAAACCCGCGGTCATATCTACAAGATGAGTGTCGAGTGGAAGGAAGGGCAGAATTCACGCACATGAACCTCCCGTTCTTTGTATGGATATTCATCTCAGCTGCTGGGCAGATAATGCCCTCAGGGTACTGTACGGAGGTTATATCGCCAATTGCACGTGCATTAGCAAGAGCGGCGTTGAAAGGGGCGAACTCGACCTCTTCCTTCGGACTCGTCGCATTGGCCGCCTCCGCAGGTTGCTCAAGCACGACCTTCTGCTCTTCCTCGTCCTCCTTCCTGTGAATGGCCTCCGAGACCCGCACCGTCTCTTCGCGCTTCCCCCGCCTGGACTTCTTAGCCTCCTCCCGCGCTTTCTCCTCCTCCGCCTGCTTGCGCTTGGCCTCCTCCTGCACGTTGCTATCGCGTCCCCTGCCCTTCTTTCGCCCCTTCTTGACCTTGGAGTTCTTGGCCTTGTGCCACTCCAGATTAGTGTCCGAGGGCGCCGACGTCATGTTGACGCTGGTTGAAGGAGGATGGGATGGCAGCGGGCGTGGGGCGGGTGAGGCATGCACAACATTCGGATTGCCTTGCGCCGACGAGCTGGCGTTCTGAAGCGATGCCAACGCAGACTGAGGATGCGCAGGCGTCTCTGAATCGCTGGGCATCGCTACGGATCCAAGCCGGGCGGTCTAAAGATGCAACCGTATCAGTGTCCGTCACCTCCTGCAAGACATTGGACAGCTGGCACACCTTCAGTTTGGGGATTGCACCGTCTGCTGGCCGTGGTGAGTGGGAAGGCCAGGTCTACACAGGACGAGGACCGGTGCCGCGGTAGAAGAGCGCATCAGCATAGGTACCCCACGGCGCCTATCGATCCATCTCGGGTCTTGGAAGGTCGGCAGGGCGGCGCAAGTGAGGTTCTAAGCTCCATGCTCGCGTCGCGTGCAGGATTAAAAAACGAGTTGACTCGAAGAGGTGTCCTCTTCAAGCTCCGTTTTTGCGAACCGTTGACCGTGCATTATTTCAACCAAAGACGAGAGAGCATACGGGTAGACCCTGAAGTTTGTGGGTTTGGATAGACCAGCTTGCATAAGCGGTCGGTCATTCGAGTGCCCTCAAGTAATCGAGAGTATTGCTACGACAGTGTGTGGGCAACGCTGCAATGTGCGTGTTCACAGAAGGTCGTGGCAAGAGGCAAGCAAGTGAACCTCAAGGAAAGCCCCTGTCGTTGTCACGGCTCTCCGGACCGGTGCTCCTCCGGCTCGAGAACAATAATGGCGCATGCCAAACTGTCGCGAACGCCCACCGTCATGCGTTCCACCATGTTCAAATACCCTCCCGAGCCTCCATCCCGCGTCCCCGATGGTGACGCCGCCATACGATCCACCGATAACGACGCTGCCCTCGCGCGTCTCTCCGCCGTACAGAAGCAGTACCTCGCCGATCCCTACATCCGCTTCTTCGTTCCCCGCGCGCACCTACAACCTCCTCGGCCGCCTCTCATCAATGTCGGGACCTACCTGCGCGGTGTTGCGATAGACTCGCTTGTTGACTCTTTCCTGGCGATCAACGCCGTGGAGAATCCGGGCAAGCAAGTACAGATCGTGAGCCTCGGTGCGGGGAGCGATACGAGGTTCTGGCGGATTGCGGTGCGTGAGGATGGGGTCGGGGGATGAAAGGATGTTGCTCACGATGCACATCGTGCAGGAAGGCAGGTGAACAGAAGGAGCACATCGCGTCGTACATTGAGGTCGATCTGCCGGAGAACACAACCAAGAAAGCCATGGCGATCAAGAAGAGCAAAGAGCTCTTTGCGCTGGTGGGCGAGGCGAAGCTCAGTGCGTGTACTATCTCTCCACTCTTCTTCCGCTTTCTTGCTCATCGGCCCCTACCCTCGCAGTCAACGGCGGCATGGGCCTTCACTCTGCCAAGTACCACCTCCTCCCCGCCGACCTGCGCCACCCACCCGACCAAGCCTTCGCCGCCCTTACACCTGACATTCTCTCTCCCTCCCTTCCTACTCTCCTCCTCTTCGAATGCGTTCTGGTGTACATGACCCCCGCCGCGTCCGCTGCGCTCATCCAGTGGTTTGTTGACCGGATCAGCGCGCCGCTCGGAGGCATAGTGTACGAGATGTTCGGGCTGAACGACTCGTTTGGAATGGTTATGGTGAATAATCTGAGGGTGGGTGTCTTCATCCAATCTCCCAGTGCTTGAGGTCTGATATAGTGTCCGTCATCTAGGTCCGCAACGTCTCCCTCCCCGGGGCGGAACCATACCCCACATTCGCGTCCCTCCCATCGCGCTTCACCCAGCATGGCTTCCAGCACGCGCAAGCCCTGACCCTTAAGGACATTCGCCAGCAGTATATCGAGGACGAGGAGCTCGAGAGGTACGTCTTCACATCCGATTGCCTCGGCAGTTGAACAAGCCTACTGACTTTTGCGCGACACCGCAGAATATCCCACCTCGAAATGCTCGACGAGATCGAGGAGCTTGAGCTCGTGTTGGCGCACTACGCGATTACTTGGGGCGTGCGTACGCCGGGGCCGCCATCGCCAGCCTGGGCCGCATGGGGATTGAAGAAACGGAGTCAGGAAGATGATGAGGAGTAGAGGCTTCAGTGAAATGTGATCTTTCCTGTGGAATTGGCAGTCTGGAGCCATAGCTTGCAGCTGAGCGCTGAGTGTCCACGCCGAAGTGGCCGTATACGAGCTCGTCTACGTCCGTGCCACAAATGTACTATCATCACCCTACACCGTATAAATCGCCAATATACTCATCCTGAACAACCACGCGTGGTCCGAGCTACTGAAATCCGCCTCTCCAAACGCGCGCACCTTCCATGGGTTCCATTTCACCAGTATCGCGTACGGGGAGTCGCGCGTTTGCGGCGGCATTCCATGGAGCTCAGTCCCTTCACCTGTCGGTGTGACCTCCGCCTCCGTGGGCAGTTCCGCCTCCCTAATCACTGGGGCCAGCGCAGTCCTTATAACCGTCGGACTGAGCACGCCCTCCGCAAAGATCGCATCACTTTCCCCCGTCGGATAGTCCTCCAAAGCCTGCACGCGCTCGACATCCCACACCGACCGTCGCAGGGCGAGCGTGCGCAGCGCAGGCAGACTCTGCACGAGCTGCTCGGGATCGAACTTGATGGTGGAGTCCTTGCAGAAGAGGTGGAGGAAGGCGAGGCGGGGCATATGTTCGAGGCGGTCGAGCTGGGAGTGGGTGAGCGAGATCGAACGCAGGTATGGAGGGAGATCAAACGCAGGTGCAAGAGGGGCGTAAAAAGAGAAAAGGTCAGCAAGAGGAGATCAACATACCATCGGATGGAGGTACGGCAGTTCGAAAGTCGAAACATCGTTCAAAGGATTTTCAGGGTCTTGATGTCGAGTACCCCAACAGACGGCGAGAGCTTCCAGCTCGAGAGGCAAGGCATCGGCAACGCGCTCCCAGCCATCTTGCCGCAGGGCGATTTCACCGAGTCCAAGCACGCGCAGCGCGGGGAGGCTGCGAAGAAGGTCGGGCAGCACTCTCGGCAGCCAAGAGCGTTTATTGGGAATATTGTCAATGCCCAGGAATAGCCGTGTAAGCGTGGCCCGCCCAGAAAGAAAGCGGGTTATATATCCCATATGCTTTTCTTTGAAAGTCGCAAAGATGAATCTGCATGGCACGGTATGGACGGCGAACGAGCGCAGAGAGGGTACGCAGCGCGGGTCGGCGGAGTAGTCTGGCAGAGCGTGCATTACGGTCGGCCGGACATCCGCGCTCAGGCGCAGGTCCTGCAGCACCGTCGCGTGCCGCAGGATGAACGCCAAGTCCGGCGCCCGACTCCAGTTCGTGCACGTGTCGAAGCAGAGCTCGAGACTGACGAGCTGGTCGAGGATACGGATGGGGATGTCTTTGAACTCTTCCGCTCGCGAGGTGACGTGGCGGATGTTATCGGCAAACTCGAGGTGGTTGAAGGGGATGTTGTCTACCCAGCCCCAGGAAGAGCCGATGATTTCGTTGACGTCAGTGCCATTCTCTCCTACGTATGGCACGAGTAGGACGTTGGTGTAGCTCTTGACGTATTCGATGGTGGAGTACAGCGCGTCGGGACAGTGGGCGCTAGAGAGAGGCATGAGATGCAGGTACAATCCGGGGATGAGAAGCGTACTAGGGCAGAGTAAGATTCTCCACGCTCGGCGGGATGTACTCGCACAGCCGTACGGTATCAAGGACTCCGTGCGGTATGAAGGTCAGCGTGCGAAGGGACTGCGTCGCCTTCAGAGCCCTCGTCAAAGTTTCTGTTAGATCGTCAATCAGGACTCACCAGCTGCCAGGGAGAGATATACTCTTCTCAAAGACGCCCAAGGTCGAGCGCTCCATATACTCGACTACAGTCAAGTCTCTCACGATGCTAGCAAACGTGGGATCCACACAGCAGCGTTCTAACAGCTCATAGGAACGTGTAGCCAGAGCCTCCAGAATCTCATATCGTTCGGTGTTGTTTGTAAGGTCTTTGGCCAGGTCTTCGGTGAAGAAGTAGACTTTGATTGAGGAGAACAGGCAACGGAGCGCGATGTCGTGCAAGGAGCGACAAACGGAGAGAACGACGCGCTGCCATGGGGTGCCTAGGTTCTGCACCACCATAGACCAGATCTCGGGTGGCAGCTGTCGTACGACATCGTGGCTGACGTTCATCCAGGCCAAGAGCGGGCGGTCCGCGAATTTCGCGAGTCGAGCGGGATGGGTGATGCGAACAAGATGCGGGCCAATAAAAACATGCCGAATTGAGCACAAGGGCCGGCAGCAGCGGGCCGGCCCCACGGAGGAGAGCGGGGCCGTCCCGATCCCCTGACCCCGGCTGTCCGCCGCCACGGAGGCGTGGATATCTTTTCTTCCCGCCGTCCACGTCGTCCGCACCCCCTTGTCACGAACAGCCATGGCCAAGGTCCTCTCCGGCAAAGACGTCGCCGCCCACAACAAGCGCGACGACTGCTGGATCATCATCCACGGTGCGTGGTGCGCGCCAGTCAGGCGGGACCCCGGACTGACTGAAGGGGTTCTGTTCCTTCAGGCAAGGCTTACGACGTCACGGACTTCCTCGATGGTGCGTTCGTCTATACACCGTTACGGGATGCATATCTGACGTCTGCATCAAGACCACCCGGGTACGCATGATCAGTGTGCTGCTTTTGGCGCGCCCCATTCTAATGCCTCCGGGGCATAGGCGGCAGCAAGATCATTCTCAAGTATGCCGGCAAGGACGCGACGGCGGAGTATGACCCCATTCACCCCCCGAACACCATAGAGGCGAATCTCCCTCCTGAGAAGCAGTACGTCCATGTGATAGGATGTCTACTTCTCTCAAGCTCACCCCTCCCTAAGTCTCGGACCTGTGGACCTCAACACCGTAGAGAAGGTGGAGGTCGTGATCACAGACAGGGAGAAGGAGAGATTAGAGCGCTTCAATGCCCGTCCCCTGCTCGATAACATCCTGAATCTTCATGACTTCGAGGTGCGCCGCAACGCTGTGATATGATCGCAATGCTAAAGCTACCTTGGCAGGCCATCGCGAAGCAGGTCATGCCTGAGAAGGCATGGGCATACTACTCCTCCGCTGCGGATGATGAAAGTGAGAGCATACGCGACACCCTGTTACTGTTCGTTGACCGACCTATTCAGTCACGAATCGTGAAAACCACGCCGCATACCATCGGTCTGTATGTGCGATAGGCGTATATCCTCGAGTCTGACATCCTCCAGGGTGTGGTTCCGCCCACGGATACTGCGGGACGTTACGAATGTCGACTGGTCGACGACTATCCTGGGGCACAAGACCAGTATGCCGATCTACATCGTAGGCATCTACATTAGCCTGCGCCGTCGTGCTGGCTAACTCCTACTCCAGTCGGCTACTGCGTTGGGCAAGCTCGGGCACCCCGATGGCGAGCTGAACCTCACGCGTGCAGCTGCCAAGCACGGTATCATCCAGATGGTACGTTTCACTGCTCGGGCTTGATATCACTACTCACGAATGTTGTAGATACCTACTCTCGCGTCATGCTCGTTTGACGAGATTGTTGACGCGGCTGCGCCGGGTCAAGTACAGTTCTTCCAGCTGTATGCCTTCCGCTTCCATGATAGGCGCTCTGAGCTCACTCTCGTACTAGATACGTGAACAAGGACCGCAACATCACCAAGCGGATCGTACAACACGCAGAGAAGCGCGGCATCAAGGCACTCTTCATTACCGTCGACGCGCCCCAGCTCGGTCGAAGAGAGAAGGTTCGCATGCTTCCGATATCTTCTCCTTGCAAGCAATTTTGACCCCGCGCCCAGGACATGCGTATGAAGTTCGACGCCGAGGACCCGAAGGTGGTCACCGAAGGCGAGAAGGTCGACCGATCGCAGGGCGCTGCGAGAGCGATTAGCGTCAGTAATCTTGCTCCCATTCTCGCCATCTAGCACTGACCCGTCTTTTCAGACCTTCATCGACCCCGGCCTCAGCTGGGCGGACATCCCCTGGTTCAAGAGCATCACCAAGAGTGCGTACCTTACCCCCTCCTCATCACCCTTCTCTCCACTAACAAATTACCCCCTCTCCAGTGCCCCTCATCCTCAAGGGCGTTCAATGCTGGGAGGACGCGCTCATGGCCTACGATGCCGGCCTCGCCGGCGTCGTTCTCTCCAACCACGGCGGCCGGCAGCTCGACTTCTCGCGCTCGGGCCTCGAAGTGCTCGTCGAGGTCGTGGATAACTTGACGGCGAAGCGCGGGCTGAAGTTTCCGAACGAGAAGTTCCAGCTGTTTGTGGACGGTGGGGTGCGGCGGGCGACGGATGTGATTAAGGCGATTGCGCTGGGGGCGAATGCGGGTGAGTGGGATTTGGGCTGGGGTGGAAAGGGCTGATGGTTGACGAAACAACTAGTCGGCGTCGGCCGTCCGTTCATCTATGCGTTCTCGACGTATGGCGCGGAGGGCGTGGATAAGGCGATCAATATTCTTCACGTAGGTTATCTTGCTGCTTTGAGCAGATACATGCTCACCCTTCGCAGGACGAATTCGCCATGAACCTCCGCCTCCTCGGCGCCCCGACCATCAAGGACATCGTCCCCGAGATGGTCGACGCGCACAACATCCACTCGCACGTCGTCGCCGTCCCAGGCGACCGGCTGTACGACGCCAACTGTGAGCTTTATCTTGTTCGACCGGATATCGGGCAGCGCTAATCAGCATGCCCCGCAGACGAGAGCATGCAGCACGCGAAGCTGCAGGACGTGAAGGCGAAGTCGAAGTTGTGAGCGTGGACAGAGGAGAGGGGAGGACATCTATCTAGTACACGTTTGGATATCGTGACGACTATCCGGAGTATATATGCATCTAGGGGCATGGATAGATCAGCGAATATTGGCGACAAGTGCCGGAGTCAGATCGAACTATGGGTGTATGTGGGCGACATTTCACGTGCTACACCACGTGAGTGCGTGTGCGCAATTGTCACACGAGTCACAGTCGTCGGTTCGCCTCTCTTTACCGCCACCAAGCTACTTGCTCATCCGACCCCGTGAGTTTCGATTCATCCATCATCTCTGAATGAACTCGCAGGATACTAACATGGGCTACTGCATAGCAGATCTCACTATTTTTCTCATGGATCCCAGCGGCCGTGCAGCCCTGCTACAGGGGGCTGCTGCCTTGGCCGACCTCTCTCGTATGCGGTCAGGATGGGCACCTTCCGTTGAAGAGGCTCAGGAGATGCGACGGCATGCAGAAGACCTCGTGCCACATCTGACCGAGATTGAGCAAGAAATGGGCCAGGCAGATGCGGAGATGAGGGAGCTAAAGCACGCCTTGCGGCTGGTCGGGACCCGATTAAAAGCTCTCAAAAAAGCGCATGCAGCTATAGGTGCCCAGTCCAGGATCTCCGAGTCTATGGCGGCGCCTATCAGACGACTTCCTGTTGAGATCATGACCGAGGTCTTCGCGCACGTCTTGGATAACGTGGGCTTCTACCCAACCGATATTCACCGTCTATCCACCATCTGCTACGCATGGCGAGATATCCTACTGTCGACGCCGACGCTCTGGGCGAGGATCAAAGTGGGCGACCGCAACAGTGACGTCTGGTATAGCCCTGCCAATGCAGCGCGAAACCTTCGTGATCACCACGCCTTCGTTCGTGCGCAACTGCGGTGGTCGGCTGCAGCGCCGCTGCACATCGACGTATTCGTTCCTGCGGTGATTAAGAAGGGGTCGTTCACCCCCGTATGGAAGGACATTTGCCGGGAGTCGCATCGTTGGAAATCCGCCACCTTCTGGAGATATGATCTCACATACCATGAGCAATTCCAACTCGACCATCCTCACATCCACCTACCCTCCCTTGCGGCCCTACAGGTCTATGGTCCTCACATAACCCTTACACCCTTTTTGGACGCCCCGCATCAGCAAACCACAAGTTGCCTGATTGCCTTACGGCTGTCTTACCGGCTTGACAATTCGGGTAAGACTTCGGTAAGGCCATCAGACGGGACCATAAGACGTGCAAACTGTAAGACGTCAGACGTGGTAGCCACCTTCCAACATATATTTGTCCCCTCCCACTCGAGAACAAGCAGAAATACCCTACTTGGTGTACAGATGTTATATGAGATAGCCAGAGGAGCCCGAGGATGTCGCATGTCGGCGAGATCAACAAAGACGCGCTATGCGCGTCCTCTCTCCACAAAAGATATTCAATGATGCCTTATCCCACTTCCGTACTATAGTGAACCGCAACCGATAGGGAATGAATGCGCTGTTCATACGATACGAAAAGGCTGCTCGGCAAAACCCGCTCAAGGTGAACGCGCCGAGTCTGTTTGGCCTGCCCTCAAGCGGCGATCATTGACGCGTCACGTAGCTCCGCTTCCTCGTCTCCGTCCTCCATCGCGGCATGCGGGTTTCTCTAGTCCCACCTCACGAATGCCGGCCATGTCCAGGACATTGCTAACGCTCTCGACAAAGGTCCCCGCGACCTTCCGAATTTTACGCGCGCTTTCAGTGGCGCAATACCCGTCATCGGCTTCACGCTCGCCAGCTCGAAACACGCGCGCACGATCACAGCCGTGCCTCGCCGTCACCAGCTTCTCGATTTAATCAGCAATATAAGCAGGCATATCCACTCCCCCCGGGATCAAGCTCGTTTACATAGCAGCAACATCCTGGCTGAGCGCGTCAACGGTCTCGCGCGTGTTTCGCGCTCCGGCCTGCGGCGAGACAAGGCATGGCCTCTCTTTCATCTTCTCGCAACCCCCCTCCGCGCGCGTCTTCGACACAACGGACTCACATCCCACGAGGCACGTGCATCGCGGCGGGTTACGACAGGCGATCCTTCCGGCGAATCGGATGATATCTTGATGTGTATTGGTGTGTGTATGACATTCTTGAGTTGTGCATAGACGCTAACCAGTGCTGCAGAGCGGGCGAGACGCTGTCCTCAACAGTACAGGATGCTTTGAGCTGCAATGTACGTACGCCCCTGCATGTTGTGCGTCCGCAAGCTAACGTCTCAATACGTAGCTTCACCTACATGATTGACCTCTCCCCTTTGCATGCTATCGTGCCACGTCCCCTCTCGCCTTCTGCTTCGACACTCGTCTTGCTTCTGGCGTCCACGGACACTACAGTAGCTGACAGTGACTGTCTAGATAACGTGACCTTAGATAGTCTTTAGGATTAGTTTTAGTCGTTGGGTTAAAGAAGATGTGAAATTTAATCAGTATTCTTCTATCTTGTGTTGGATAGCGTGGTTATCAGATCCTGCAAGGCAATTTGAGCATGTCTATCAGTTACCTTACCTTGTCTGCAAGCCGTCTGACGGTGTCTGTGAGCCTGCTGAGAGCGTCTGTAGATGCCTTGAGGGCGTCTTATGGTCGTCTTACAGCACCTTTCGTAAGACAACGAGGTCTTATATTGGCCGCGTACCTTCTTGGTAAGAAGGGGCTTCTTACGCCTCTTATGCATCTAATTGCCTTGTATAAGGCACTTAAGCCCACTTGTGGTTTGCTGATGCCGAATCTTCGACATCTTTATATTGGAAACAGCTCTGCTCTGGCCTGGGCCAAACCATTCCCCGACTGGAAGCTGACCACGCTGGAGCTGGTGTTTGCCTTGAAAACTGCGCTATCGCAATCGAGAAGCTGTGCTCTAGTCTTACGACGCTGCATGTCAGCGGCGTCACCGTCAGTGACCAGATGCAGCCCCCCATAGCGACAGTCACACTTCCTTCACTGGAGAGTTTGCATCTGGGTGGGAATGCCGCGCAGCTTGTAGGCTCCATGCTCACTGTACCGTGCGTTCGAAATCTTACACTCGATGCATTGGACTCAGAGTTCGACGGCCACGTCATATGCCAATTGGTCCGGCGTTCATCTGCAACGATCAGCTACCTTTCCCTCCAGCCGCACAACGCCTCCGACGAATCAATCAAACATATTCTTTGGGGCTTGCTCACTGTGACGCAGCTGCACCTGAACGTCGAGTTTGGCTGGCGCGCTCTACTTCAAAAAGAGTTCTTCGCCTATTTGACCCCGTCCGAGGAGAATCACGACTGCCTCCTTCCCAACCTACAGCAGTTCTCTATCCTTGCTTCCAGTACAAAAGATCCTGGAGAGCTTCCCCTCAATGCTGTCATTGAGATGCTGCGCGATCTTCGCGCCAAAAACATCGCTGTTGACGGCCAATTATACCCAGCTCTTGTCGAACGCTCACTAACTCGCAACCCTGGAGATGACCTCTTGTAAGTTCCCTCCAAGTAAATAACGAAAAATTGCCACCGCTCATGTACACATGTTTCAGCGACGACTCCGACAGCGACGTCGATGACGATGAATATGAGTTCGTTGAACTGGACACCAGTGAGGACGATTCTGATTGCGATTCATGTTACTCTCTCGACGACGAGGAGCGCGAATGGCTGCGCGAGCCAGAAAACGTCTACAAACCCCGTATGCATCTTTCGAAGCCCATATTCATCAGAAGTCTGACCACAAATGCCCGCACAGCAGTGAAGTAAACTGGCGCCGAGGGTACAATATGTAATTCCTAGCTCAATGTGCACGTACAATTACATTCCATGTGATTGTATGGCCTTTTGTGGACGCAAAAAATCAGTTGAAATATTCACCGGGTGGCATTACTTAGTCGAACAATGGGTGGTTGTGGGCGCTCGATCAATAGCTCACGTGATAAAGCCAGCGATTTCCGTGCTGCGCCAATCGAGTTCCCCATTTCCTCTGAGTCTCAACGGGCGCCCTACCTGATTATCTCATGGAGGCCCTTGAAGACTCCATGGACGCCATAGACAAAAACCCTCTGAGGCAGCGGGCTGCCGCACTCGCCAACCGTACACGGCTTCGCTCAGGATGGGTGCCTCCGCAGGCAGAGGCGCAAACACTGCGCGAAATGGCCAGCGAGCTCGAGAAAATCCTATCGCAGATGACGGAGGATATCGCCGAGGCCGACCGAGAGGTCGAGCGACTTCAGCAGGCGCTGCGGCAAACTCAGAGCCGCCGCGCAACGCTTACCGAAGAGCGTGCTCGGATGCGGGAACAAGTCAGCTCCTGTCTGGCTTTGGCGGCGCCTGTACGGAGACTGCCCGGGGAGGTTCTGAGCCAAATCTTTACATATGTCCTGGATCATCCTGTGTTCTTCACGGAAGAGCTACGCCAACTCATCGCCGTGTGCCATGCATGGCGCAACGTTGTGCTGTCGACATCCAGTCTTTGGTCGACTGTCATGATATGCTGCACTATGAATGATCTCCGTCTTTCCGATACTCGAGGTCACGCTGCTTTCGTACGTGCACAACTTCGATGGTCAGCCAATAGGCCCTTGTCCATCTGTTTGCTCATCGACACTGGCAATCGCAGTCTAGCTAGCCAGCTATGGGCGGCGGCTCGTGAAGAGGTATATAGATGGAAACGTCTTACCGTCAAGGCCGAATATCCCCCAGCCAGCTATGCGGCATCCTGGGTTAACCATCTGCCCCTCTGTCTTCCGATTCTTGAGTACCTGGAATTCAGCGGCGTCGCCTCGCCTCCTCCATTCAAGGTTTTCGTTGATGCACCGAGGCTTCGACATCTCAGGATCGACACCAAGTTCGAGCCATGGGGCATGGATTTCCCACACTCATGGCGGCTGACCACGCTACATCTGGGGAACACACTCACAGTCGACTGCCTGTCCGCCCTGAAGGGGACCTGCGCAACCCTGAAGGAGCTCAACCTTGGATACATAGACGTGGATGATCCTCTTCAGCACGCAACTGCGCCCGTGACGCTTCCCCTTCTGGAGAAGTTGTGCATCACCGGTGCCGCTGTGAGATGCATAGGCTCCAGTCTGATCTTCCCTTCGGTACACCATCTTTGCATCAACGGCTTACACAGAGAGTCGGAATGCGAGGATACCGTCGCCATGGTCCAACGTGCATCCGCGACAATTACGACTCTCGAGCTTACTCCTTTCCTAGTCTCGCAGCAAGCGGTGCTACACCTGCTGAAAGGCTTGCCAACCGTGACACATCTCGTGCTGTATACCTATTTCACTCGCGCAGCCTTTGGCGAAGGCTTTTTCCATGACTTGACGCCATCCGTGGATAACCCCGACTGTCCCTTTCCCAACCTACGACGACTCACGGCGGAACTGGGGCGCACCAAAAACGTGGGGGAAATATCCTTTGCCCAACTCTTGCCCATGCTACAGGATCTACGTAGCCAGGAGATAACGGTTGGCGAGAGAACCTATCCCGCTTTAACAGAGCGTACGCTCAAGGGCATTCCGGGCGATGCACTCTTGTAAGTACCCCTTTGCCATATCTCCGTGCCGTAGGCTAATTGATTCTGCCCAGCGATTCTGGTAGCGACACGGAGGACGAAGATTACAATCCGAGTGACGAGGACTCCGAGGCCCTCGAGTCCGACGCCGACAGCGATTGTTTGACGGAGGAGTCCGATGAACCGTAGCACAAAGGCCGCGATGTCGCCATTGTAAATGTGGTTCTTCGTCTGCGTATACTCGGTGCGGTGCGTACATACTAGGCATAGTCGGTCGCCGCGTCTGATTACATAGGATACAGATCATCGTCACTAGCCCATTGCTACGAACATCTGCAAGCACTTCAACTGTACTCACTTTGAACGATATCAAAGCTGGTCTTTCTGCTTAAGCAGTGGTTCCCCGAAGTCAAAGATGTCACAGGGATGCTCTCGGGTCGACTCGTGATCCCAATTCATTCCCCGTCTTGTCCTCTCCGCTTATTTCACGCTGCCGGAGCAGATGATCGCACCTCACAAGCCCCCCGACGTAATGCTCGTCCTACCCTGTGTTCTACGTCGATAGTCATGGGGCTCTTCAGGTGCGTAAACCGGGTACGAACGACGCCTTATCCGACCTCCCGCTATATAAACTGAGTGCAGGTCGACGTACCCTCACTGATAGCCCATCTCCAATGGCTCAACCCCAGACTTTCCCTCCTACCACCCTCCCCACGCTTGATACCCTTGGCACGACTGTAGCCGATGGCGAAGTCGATGCGAACGCGTTAGCCACCGAATGGTTCGACCAGTTCACCCGCGCCGCAAGCGCCGGCGATGCAGCCGCCACCGTCGATCTGTTCATCTATGGCTCTTACTGGCGCGACATCCTCGCCCTCACCTGGGACTTTCGCACGTTCCATGGCGCCGACAAGATCAGGAGCTTCCTCACCGATCAGCTGCCCGTTATGCACCCACGCGACTTTCGCTTGACGCCCGGCTCAGCAGGCTTTTTCCGCCAGTACACGGATCTCGTCTGGGTTAACGCGCTGTTCACCTTCGAGACGGATGTCGGGCTTGCTTCCGGCGTCCTTCGCCTCGTACCACAGAAGACTGGACCCTGGAAGTGCGCGATACTGTTCACCAACTTGGAGGACTTGAAGGGTTTTCCAGAGAGGGCTGGACCGCACAGGAATCCTAATCCCAATCATGGTCTATGGGAGGCCCAGCGGAAGCAGGAGCTGGCGTTCGAGAATACGAACCCCACGGTGCTGATCATGGGCGCCGGGCAAAGTGGGCTGGAGCTGGCGGCGCGTTTGAAGGCCCTTGGTGTCTTGACTCTCGCTGTCGACAAGAACATGCGAGTGGGCGACAATTGGAGGAATAGGTGCGCGAACTTGCAGCATATCAAATCACTTGAACTGACACAGCGCGCAGATACGATGCGCTGTGCTTGCACGATCCAGTCTGTACGTAGCCGACGTCTTTCCTTCAAGCGCGTTGCACTGACCATGGTCATAGGGTACGACCATATGCCGTACATACCGTCAGTATCTCCCTTCATTCTCATGAAGCCTGTCCCTGATCTCCGACCTCAGTTTCCCTTCTACGTGGCCCGTATACACGCCCGCTCGAAAGGTAAGCACGCGTTGCACCCTGAGCTACTTTCTCTTACCTATACATCTTACTGCAGCTCGCGAATTGGCTGGAAGCATACGCGGACGCTCTTGAGCTCAACGTCTGGACAGGGACGACCGTTGTTCAAGCCGATCAGGACCCGCAGACGGATATGTGGAACATTTTGGTGCGGCGCGCAGACGGCACAGAGCGCATCTTTAACGTCAAGTACTTCGTCTTCGCTCCCGGTGTTGGTGACGGGTATGCCGAGCTCCCCAAATATCCGGGCATGGTACGTCTGAAGCGCCAAAAACCAACCGCTACTCACGCTACCGTAGGACGAGTTCAAGGGGCAGATCCTTCACTCGACGTCCCACAAGCGGGCCTCCGATCATGCGGGGAAGAAGGTCGTTATCGTTGGGGCTTGTACTTCTGGTGAGTCTCGTGCTAGAGGTAAGCGTTATGATTGCTGAGATATCCTAGCGCATGACATCGCGTCCGACTATTATAGACAGGGCATAGGTGAGCCTGATCCGAGCGGACCTCCTGATTCAGCTCATGACCCTCGTAGATGTGACCCTCTATCAGAGAAGCTCTACGTATGTGATGACCACCAAGAACGGCTTCCCCATTTTGCATAAGGGTACGCGACGCCGTGACGTTATCCATACTGTCTAATGCCATCTTCGCAGGCCTTTACACGGAGGACGGACCTCCCGTCGACGTTGCTGACCGTCTCAACGCGGCATTCCCCAATCTTGTCATGTTCGAGCTCGCCAAGCGCCTCGCAATCCAGATCGCCGAGGCGGACAAGTGAGTTTTCTGTCACCAAGTATCATTCGACGTTAACGCGTCTTTCCAGGGAACTGCTCGATGGCTTGAAGCGTGTTGGATTCCGCACCAACATGGGGTACAAGGACGCGGGTTTCCTGCTGCTCGCTTGGGAGCGCGCAGGCGGCTACTATTTAGGCAAGCTCTCAACAGAATATCGAGCGCGCAAGCTCAAGGCTCTTTCGTGCAGATGTTGGCGCAAGCCAACTCATCATTGACGGCAAGATCAAGTTGAAGAGCGGTCCGCATATCGAGACTTTCACCCCGACCGGGCTCAAGTTCGACGACGGTAGTGAGCTGCCTGCAGACGTTGTTATCTTCGCCACGGGGTATGTATATTCTTCTATCACACAAGGATGTTCTTCTAACGCTGCATCCTACGTAGCATTGGCTCCGTCCGCCACGCCATCCGCCGCGTATGCGGTGAAGAGCTTACGAGCCGTGTCAAGCCCATCTGGGGCCTGGACGAAGAGGGCGAGCTTAAGGGCTGCTATCGCGACCTGGGGCCGAAGGGGTTATTCGCCATGATGGGTGCGTTCTCTCTCCTTTCAAGCTTATAGTACCTCGCGGCTGACCAAGTCACAGGAAATCTGGCACTCTGTAGATTCCACTCGAAGCACGTTGCGCTTCGTAAGTATCATGCTATCGCGGGCGTTGTCGACGCTGATCGATCTTCGCAGAGATCAAGGCCATGGAGGAGGGCGTCTTCGGTCAACGTTACTCGCTAGATTCAAAGGCCTAGACGTGCATTGTCCGCGAGCTTAAAAAGCTTTGACACTCAACTGTAACTGTTACTGTACTCACTTGTTCCATCATCTCCTTACGTCTCTCTGTACCACCAATTCGTGTTAATCTTTCGTATTTCATGAGCCACAATGAACATCAATTACTCGCCTAGGGCGATCCATGTACATACATAAGCACAGTCCACAAATGAACCCACAAGTCCAGAAGACGAACAGACATCCACAATTATCCAAGCTCTAAATTGTCTATCCATCCATCTAAACAGCCTCTCCGTACGCTGGCGGCGCATCGCCCGCCTCCGTCTCCATGCCTGACACCAAGCGCTCGAAGCGCACGTTGCGCTCCATGAGCGCATCCATCTCGCGAGACCGCAGCGACGGCATCGACGCGGGGTTGATGGGCGTGCTGTCGATGGCGGAGACGGTCGAAAGGGACGAGTCGGAGGAAGCCTTGGTCGCGGTGCGCTCGAGGACGAGCTTTGGGGCGTGCTGCTGGCGCTCGTGCTCGGCGCAGGGGCAATCGTCCATGTTCGTATCCTCGAGAGCGCCCTGGAAGGTCTCCGAGTATCGTGGTAAGGCAGTCCATTCAGGGTTGCAACGGCACTGAGACATTCGTCAGCCTTTGACATTGATATTTGATTTGAAGGGCGGCACTCACCGACAACACCTGCACCGGGCTCTGCACCACGATATCGAAGAGTTTCCGCTTACCCGTCTTCGGGTCGATATGCAGGTCGTCCCCCCGCTCGACGCGCACGAGCACCTTGAGGGTATGAGTGATGTGAATATTGCTCGACTTGTTCTTATTCGAGAAGCGGAGTACATTGCACGACTTGGGCATCGGGACGTCCTTGTGGAAGGACCACGGTCCGGGGCCCATGAGGTTGGAGGCGAACTCTGAGAGGTCCTCATCAGGCTCGGTGAGCTCGCGCATAGGCGATTCGAGGAAGGCTTGCGGGTCGTCGGAGTCGATAGGGATTAGAGGAATGGGTTTCTCGCCATCGTGTTTGACCGAGAGAAGGAGAACGCGGGAGATAGGATCTGTGCGCGAGAGCCGTCGTTGATGATAGTATTCTACTTTTTCTGCGCATGTCGTCAGTAGACCGAAGGGCTTGAGAAAAGGATCGCGACTAACCTTCCAAAAATACAGCGAACCGGTACATCTTGACTTTCATGAGCGGCATGAGGGTCACCGAGACAGGTATCGAGCCGCCGATGTAGAAGCTGCGGCCCGAGATGGTAATGAGGTACTGCAGCTGCTGATCCCACTGCCGCTCGACGATGATATTCTCGGTGTCTTCCGTATCCTCTTCCATGGGACAATGGATCATCATCACCTCGCGTTGGTCGGATAGCTTGGACGTAAACGTTCCCGGCCGATGCACGTTCGCCTTCAACCGCCATATCACGGACCCGTAGTCGCAACGCAGAGTCGGCGGCGCATCTCCAGGAATGGTGAACGAGATCGGATACGTGTACGTGCCTACGGCAAAGCAAGAACAATCAGTCAGTCTCCCTGGCGATGAACCGCAACCCAAGACGAATGCCACACCCACCTGGCCTGAACTCTTTCCACTCCGCGTTCCCTGCCGGACCCGGTGACTGTTCTTCGTGCACGACAGACTTTTCGAGCCCAAACAGGCCGCCGACTTTCCCAAGCCTGGAGCGCTCTTTTGAACGGACAGCAGACCCTGATTCCTCCCGGTCGTATGCACCCCGTTCCATTGCTCGCCCTCGCCTGATGGGTGTTACGTCTGGCGGAGGAGACGGGCGGCGGGTGCTACGGGACTTGGACCGGACCGCGTCCAGAAGTGCAGTCGACATGGTAGAGAGGCTGAAGCGGCTGGAACGCCGGCGGCCATTGCGCCCACGTTCTTCGCGACTGGGGCTGCGGTCCTCGGGTGAGAGAGGTGGGGTGGCGATCGTCGTGGTGCGAGAGCGGCTATGGGACATGGGGCTGTCGATGTAGTCGCTCGACGGGATGTGACGCGAGCTCGAGTGATCGCGTAGGGAGTGAAGACTCGAACCAGACGAGGTTGTCGGCAATCCCGAATTTGGCGTATGCAAAGCAGAACCAGACGAGTTCATCAACGCAGAAGCTGTGAAATTAAGTCTGTCCGTTCAGACGCATTACATCCTTGCAGCAAACCAAGAGGACTCACTGCTTCGAGGGACGCCAGCCTCCGGGCCCAGCTCCGCCATTAGCGCCGCGCGCATGTCTTCCAGGGTGCGCGTCGGATCCTCGGCCGGTCGCGATGGGTCCTCATGGATTTGGGGGAGCTGCCCAAGCGAGCCCGCAGCCGTGGGGCTCATCATGAGATCCCCCGAGCGGGTAGACTTTGGCGTATACGGGGGCGTATAGGGTGGCGCGATCTCGCTCTGGTGGTGCGAGTGCGGGTGGCGGCTGAAGTTGGCGGCGTCAAGGCTCTGCCCGCGCGCGACGCGGGTGATCGGGGCAGAGTAGTAGTCCGAGGAGTCGGAGCTCGTACGCGAGGACGTGGGCTGCAGCTCCGCGCCATTTTCAGCCTCGCGCTCGCGGACGGGGGAGGGGGATCGGGTGCGGGCAGTTTGGCGCCCGCGCCGCCATTCGAAGTCGCGCTCATGATCGTCGTCGTTCAGATTGATGCCTGGTCCAACGGAGACTCCACGGCGCGGTCCATCAGCAGACGCGCGAAAGTAGACTGTAGTCGCTGAGAAAACCTTGTGCGTCTCCGATACCTCGACCCGTCGGGCGCCTACGCCTGATAAGAACGCCAAGTCAGTATCTATTGACCAGGCACGGCTACTGTGACGCACCTTCTGGCCAGGCCGTGGACGCCTTCGCAGAGAGCTCGAGCTCTATTGAGCTGATCTTGGTAGGCTTGACGAGATCGAGAATAAGCAGCCCGCGCAGCATAGACGGCTGCGAGTGCGCCTGCCTGCGCCGACTCCCCTCCGACGCGCGCAGGAACACCGCGGACTCATTGAGCCTGATGTTGAGCCGATTCTTCGAAGGAAGGTGGTGCGTGCCCGGCATGCTGGGCGCTAGAGACAACGACGAGGTGGAGAAGATGCTGGCAGGAAGATAGAGGAGGAGGCGGGGGAAATTTAGTTGGAAATACAGGGGGGCGCCGCGGCTACCCCTGACGCCGGGCACATGCTTTCGTCGATCACTGTCCGGGGACCCCGCCAGTCTCTCTAGCTCAGCTTTGGAAGTCTGGATAGGCCTCCACGCTCACCAGTAGTCATAGAAGCACCCCGCAACCGCGCTGCGGCGTCGTGGCATGGAATAGACACGCCCAGCACACGACCGCTACCATCTCATCGACGTCCTCTGCGCCCTGGCCGAGGCGACGGGGGTGAAATGGAACGGAAGAAACCACGTTGGTGCCATGTGCTCGGACGGAACATTTAGCTTGTTGAACTTCGGAACAAGATCGAACGTGCACCGAGATCCGGAGTCGGCCCAACGCAGGAACATCGTTGGACGCAAGTTCAAGTCAAGCGAGCGAAGTGTCTTCATCGTACGCGACGTGCAAGGAGGTATCATCATGTCGAGGGGTATAGGAAAACAAGCCCTGAAGCCAATGCCGACCCACCAATAAGCGCCGTCGTGAAGATCGCCACGCCGGTCTGGAATGGCGTCAATATATAGATACGCTGCCTTTCTGCGGTATGCACTCACCGTCGTCCGGCTCCAAGCAAAGCAGGCGATACCCATGATAGCGAGCACAAACCCGAGCGCACTCAGCCATAAACATAGAGCATGACACCTGGAAGGGATGGTTCAGCTCGACCCGTACTTCCCGGAATTGTCGAAAGAACTCGCCGACTCAACAGATGCGTTGGCGGCTGCAGCATCGCAAACGGGCCTACTTGCTCTAAGTGTGGGTTCGCGTGGAAGATAGGCGGCTCCGACAGCGTTTGCCGCCGCTCGCTCGAATTCATCGCCCGCAGACTCGCCAACGGCGACGCAAACGACGGGTTCGAAATCGAATGCGTCTGCGAGGGTGAGATTGGCGAGGGACTCGTCACTGTCACGGGCGGACGCTTGAGGTTGTGCACAGACAGGGTGGGGTTGCTTCCATTGTTCGTAGCATTACTTCGCGCCTTGGCAGGGTTGCTTCCCGTCCTGCTCATGGGAACTGGGGCATCGCGCTTGGTGCTTGGCTCGGACGCGGTCATCTCGATCGTCACGGGCCCCTTCTCGATGTCCGTTCCCTCGTAGGAGGGTGCGTCCGGGTGTTCACTCCCTGCGTCCGAGTGGTCGTGATCGCTCGCCGCATACTCGATCTTCATCTCTTCCTTCTTGGCCTCTTCGACCTTGTACCGGACGAGAAGGAAGGAGGCGAGGAATGATAGGATTGCTTGAACTGGGTCAACTTCCATTGACACCTGAGATGAAAGAATGAGCGTACCAGCATTCGTATGCAACACAAGCGCGCCAAGTACACCCGCATTGGCCGCACTTTCGGTGGCACTCATGTCACTCGGATCACTGGGCGCAACGACCTGCAGTAACCCAGCTTCGGTAGACGCGAAGAACGTGGTCTGCACTCGAGGGAACAGAGCAGGACCCAGGTGAAGTAGAGCAAAAGTAACTTTGAGCCTGGGGACAGTACAAGCAGTTCAACAAACGCACGATCACAGAAATGAGCTGCAGCCTGTCCATCCACGACTGCACCAGCTCCTTCATCGCCTTCTTCCGCTCCCGGTCATCCTCTTGATCTTGTTCTTCTTGGGTTTCTGCAACAGCCAGTCGCTTTAGCTCAGTCAATCGCGACTGAAAGAAATCCACGCACGTCTCCGCTGCTGAACGCGGTTCAGATCGAGGCGCGCGGCACCGTTCCCCTCGTCCGCGATCGTGCCCTCTACGGGCATGGTCGACGCATGTGTCGGTTGCTGAGGCTGAGGCGCTTGGGAGTGCCGTGAGCCTGGATTGGTGGGGAATACTGTTCAGCGCGTCTTCGAGCGAAAGAATGAGGGCAGACGCACGGAGGACGCGTAGCATATTGGCTCCAGGTGCTCGATGGTGTACTTCTCTCCTCAATAGTCAACGTCAAGTTGAGGCCCGTTGTGCACTGAATATATGGCACTGCTGTCCTTCTTCCTGGGAATCCCGTTGACGCTGAGGCGCACGCTAACCAGATATAGAGGGTTCGGGCGCGTCAGGCGCGTCCGACTTCAGCGCGGAAATGGTGGGGGCCTTCAGCCTGTCTCCCCGAGAGCCTCGGGACGTGTCAGCGGCCTCCAAGGCGGTCCAGTGGTGGAGCAGAGGAGAGGTCAAGCGCTCGTAAGCATCTGCGGCGGTGGGGGAACATGATGGCGGGTGGTGAAACGCGAGCCGCGTCCCAGGAGATCGCCGCCATCATCGGGCGCCTAATTCTCAGCGAGCTATGTTTCACCTTTGGCATACAGTATTCAGGCTTAGCTCAAGGCAAGGGCAAAGGCAAGTCACGGAGAGTAGAATATTCATTATAGGACAGCAGTCCAGCTGATGTCAGGCCTACTATACATGCCTATACAGTAGATACACTGTCGCAACGGCGCTAAGGATCTCGACGCGGAGCTGTCACCCCATAGCTGAGGAGGGCTGCTTCAAGCTTACCCAGCGCAGGTGGCAGACAACTTTCAACGCACACGGGGACCACCCATGAGCCAGGATTCATGGCGGAATGCCGCGACAGCCTCCGCGTCCGCATCGCGGTCGGCGCGCCACGCGCGCTGCTCGAGGGCTCCCGCGAGCTCGGTGAACGCATGAGCGCATTCAGCGTGCGCGGAGGGCGAGAGCATGTACATTTGCCGGTGCGTGAAGATGGCTTCCAGGTACTCGCCTGTCGAATGATGAGTATGGATATGAGACTGCAAGGAGAGGGAGATTGAGAGAGGATAGAGTGGCCGCACGCACCGTTTGTGGTGGCGTAGTTTTGCAGCTGCTGCTGCACGACTTGCAGGAAGGCGCAGCCATGCAGGGGCGGCGACTGCGAGCATGCGTTGTCGGTGGCGCCGTGCGCCGAGCAGTCCGAGTCGGCGTCCGACTAGGGTGGCGGGGAGTTTAGTCAGTCGTCGATTGGAGTGGCATACGATGTAGGATCCCCATACCTGCTCTGTCTCCGCGTCGCTCATAACCACGTCGTCCAGAGGTCGCGCCGTACCGCGCTTTGCGTGAACGTGATCCTTGCTCGAGAGTGTGGTCAGAACAATGGAGGGCTCGCAAATGACATGGTCGCTCACTGAGTCGAGCTTGATGTTCATGAAGAGATTGCAGAGGTCTACTTCGCGCGTCTGATTCTGAGGCATAGTCAGACACCTAGCGAAGCTCCTCGTAAGCAGCCACGCACCGTGAGTTCGTACATCGTCGAATGCGTCCTGGTATCGATGGGCTGAGGGTCGTGATAAGAGGGTATCGGCGCTCAGTAGCGTCAAGGGAGCAAGAAAGAGTCTGGGTGGCAGTCTGTGCGTCACTGGGGTTATAAAGGCCACCCCACGAGGCGTATGAGCTGAGAAGGTGAGGGCACGCGGATAAGGGCAGGCCACAGGGTTTCAGAGCAATGCCATTAACAGGACTTTGGGAGCGAGAAGCCACGAGGCTCGCTTCAGCATCGAGTCACGATCCAGGCTATCGATGGACGATAGCGGTCAGTCTTCAGTGCGTATCGGCATAGCTTCAAGTTGTTGGAGCTGGGGCTTCGTCTCATTGCAGTTGGACGAGGATGGTGAGAAGATGGCTCATGCGCTGCTGCACGCGTCGCCATGCGACTTTCAAAACAGGAAAAAATGGTCTGGACCCACAACACACGGGTGCACTGATCTAACTACCTATTACCCCGCAACGTTGAGCTTCGTGATAAAGACAGAATCTGGAAGACCACAATTCAGATCAACGATATAGCCTTCAGGAAGGTATTGCCGCTCACCGCATAACTATGCCTGCTTCAACGCGCTCCGAAGATCTCGAGGTCGCTCTGCGACTCGTCCTCGTCGTCAGATATACTCATCGAATAGTCTGTCTCATCGTCGGTGTCTGTCGGGTTCGGGACGTATTCTTCATCGTCATCGTCGCTGTCATAGGCAACGCTAGCACAACAATCAGCCCCGCAATTTGCACTCGAATGAAAGCTGATACTCACAAAAGGTCATCGTTGGGATTACGCGTGAGAGAGCGCTCCTCCAAAGCAGGGTACAGCTGGCCGTTGATGACCACGTCCTCCCTCCGTAGGGCATTGAACATTTGGTGGAGCGTTGCAAAGTCCACGCCGGCGGGGTCATAGACGATGGAAGCGGTGACTGCTAGTTCTACTAGGTTGGGCAGCGGGCAGTCGAGATTCTCTGTGGTTGGCGTCAATGCGCAGAAGAACTGGTCGTCGAGAAGTTCATGGCCTGAATCCGCGTATAGATGTAAGAATTCCAATGTCGGCAAGCCCTTGAGCAAACGCAGTAGACACTGGCTCGAAGCCGCGTGGAGATGGCAAATGGTCAGATCCATAACGGAGGCCGACGATCGGCGAACCATCTCGACAATATGCTCGGCGGCGTTGCAAGTCACTGCAGTGAAGTCAGACATTTCAAGGGATAGTTTCTCTAGCATCGGGACAGTAAGGAGGGGGCAGAACGCCTGGCACTGTTTGAGCGAACCGAAGCCGAGGATAGACAGCTCGGGAAAGCTGATGGATGTGCTTCGAGAAGCAGTCGTGTAATCCCGATATAATGGTCGAATGTGCAGGCTCTGTAGCGTCTGGCTGAGTTGCTGAAGAACAGGGATGGCATCCGCGGGGGACACGTTGTCAAGTGTGAGGGTCGTCAGCTTCCACGGCTGAGGACATGTCGCTTGGTTAAATCCTTCGACTATGGCGGTCCTGAGATTAGGTGCATCTGCGAAGCAGGGGATAGCCTTCCCATGTGGATCGGTGATCGTCAACCTCTCGAGCATTGGAAGGGCTAATACCGATGCATTCCGCCAGCCTGAGTTGCAGTACCAAGATATGTCAGCCGTACGCCACCGATGCGACTGTTCGCGAACAGCGGCCCAAGAACCATCATACGCGGCGTGCGCACATTCGCCGGCACGTAAATTGTACATCGTCACAGTGACATCGAGGGGCGCATTGGCGGAGTGCTTGAGTTGGGCGCGCACGAGGGCGGCATTGGGTGCTCTTGGGTACCGTACATCGAAGTGTAGTGAGGACCATGCAAGGCAAATCGTTGACCAAAGAGACGGAGCAGACAGCGCGACGGAGCGCCACCAGGAGCAAGTGGCCGTGATGCTATGCAGCTCGCGACCGTAGAAGGACGTTCCGGGCTCAAGGACGAGTGAGAAGATCATGACCATGATCTCGATAGGCGGCCTTCGTATGAACGCCTTCGCAGTGGCTTTGCAGACCTTCGCCTGTCGAGCGACGCGCACTTGCTGAGCCCTCAGAGACTCCAGTCGATGACGAGATAGCCGCAGCGCTCTTTCGAGTGCGCGCACTCTAGCGTCCGTCTGCCTTACATCGACGCCCAGCTGCGGCAAGCACTCCTCGAGGTCAAAGTGCATCTGCTCTAGTGATTTCACGTCTTCGGCAGAGGGCGCCCAAGGAGAGCGCAGAACATCGGGCCCCGCGAGGGCGGCCGCACGGTTTTCGAGCGCTGTAAGATATGCCATGAGAACAAGGAATGGGCTCGGAGTGATGTGTGGATGGCTGCAAGGGATGCAGGGGTGGAGATGATGGTGGTCGTTGGTCAAGAAACGCGTGACAAACACCGGCAGATCAATCTACACATGATCACGTGATACACTCGTGGTTGAATTTCGCAGAGGTGGCCTTTTCGACAAACGGTCGCAAACGGGGCTTGGGATACTGTACATAAGCTTGAATTTCCCGAGTCTAGCCCATTAGTGAGTCATGTTTTCAAAGCTTCACGATGCAAACAACTCAGGCATGCTTTTACTAGACTATCACGGACAGTAAGTATGCAGATTTTGACAGTACCATATGTCATGAGCGCCTTCGCCGAGCTACACTGTCCTTGTGCTTCATGCCGTCCGCCAAAAGAGCGTATTCTTCTATGTCTTGATCCCTATCAGTAATTGTGCTGTGTGTAATGCGTCAGTGTATATACATCGGTCAAGACACGAATCTCATCACCTACTGGTCGGAAACACCCGGCAGCAATCTCAGCGTCCGCGTCGTCAGCGCTGGATAGGTATGACCGCCAACGACCCTTGCCTCGCGTCGCAGATCATAGAACGTTTGTTCGAGTTCCTCATGTGGCATAGGCTCCGGTTCGTCGTCATTTGGTACTGACAACGAGAATTGCAGTAGGCGAGGAAGAATACAGTTGGGATTGTCTTCCGAGGGCGTCAACGCGAGGAAAAAGGCCTTGTCCAGGTGCGTCCGATCGCGACGAGCATTCAGAGTCAGCGAAACAACGTCAGGAAGGCCGGCCATGAGATGCAAGATAGCGCGTTGCGGTGCGGCACTAGCGTCGTAGACTCCGAGATGGACCAGCCTTGCACTCGAATGTTCAATCATATCGAACACGGGCTCGGCATTGAATTTTCCATGAGGCTTGAAAAGGGTGAGACATTGCAAGGACGGGACACGCAGCCGAGGGCATAGATATCTATATGCTCTTCTCGCTTCGAGCCGCAAGGTCGTCAAGGCTGGTAGATATGCGCGAGGGGGCGATGCGTTGGTGGTCGCAGCCTTGTTTGTCGGGATGTCCGCTACTTCGAGCACCTTCAATGTCGCGCTGTTGAGTCGGATTAGCTGCAGGCAGCTGCCGATCGTAAATCCAAGCAGCGAGAGTGTTGTCAGGGACCATGTCGCATTGAATATGATTCTTCGCAACGAAGGCGAGCGACTGAGGACGTGCAGGTAACGGAGCCTCGGCGCGCCGTTAAACATTTCCAATAGCCTCTTGCTGTCGGCGTCCGTAGGCCCGACTCGTAGTCTCAGACTCTCGAGAAGTGGCCACTGGAGGTCGAAACGGTGGCGCAACATTTCGTGAGCGCAATTTCCGCCGTCCACAACGATTGTAGCCGTCTTCCAACGGGATGAGCTTCTGAGGAGCAGTTTCCAAGGTTCGCTCGCGGACCCAGTGATCTCGGAAGAGTCCTCTACGTGAACGAACACGTCGATTGGCCTGTCGGCGGACCACTTCAATTGCGCCTCGACAAGAGCGGCACGCGGACGACGCGGCGATGGTCGTGAGAGGGTTGACCAGTGGAGATGGATAGTCGTCCAGAGGGTCGGCGTGGAGAAAGCGACCTCGCGCCACATGCGGCATGTCCCGGTAAGGCTGCGAAGCTGATGTCCGTGGTGTGATTTGTGGGGTTCGACAACGAGCTCGAGTATTATGACCAGGAGTTCGACAGGGAGGCTTTGAACGCATGCCGCCGTAGTATAGCTGTGCATGTCGAGGTTATGGCCGACGGGCGCCTTCTCATCACATACAAGTTCTCGTCCGTTGCTGTCTTGCCACGACGAGGCGTCGAGTCGAAGTGAAGTCGATCTTGGAGTTGTGTCCTGCGATTCCTGTTCGACATAGAAGGTGCAATTCCCAAGCGTAAGGGCGCCTGGGAGAATAGCTGCTGAATCTTGAGGGGAAGGCGCCCATCTTGAGCGCAGGCGTTCGTGATCGACGAGTGCGGTGGCTTGTTGAAGGGTGGCACGGTGCCAAGTGTCGTTCATAGTTGTTGTAGACTAGGTGATCACAAGTGACAAGGGAGGCAGGGGTCGAGGGCGAGTCGATCAGTGGCAAGACTGGTCAAGTCGGAGACAAGGAATGGTACGCGACAAGACTGTAGTCGGCGCCCGCGTACTATCATTGTCACACCGTGACGAAGGCGATTCGTCCCGTGATCGCGCAGTCCCGGCATTCGCCGTAACGCCACATAGACCTTCAGGCATGCCAGGCCTCAGCGCTCAGCCCTTACAGCAATCGTCAGGCTAGTAGTCACCCTTCCGCTCGTGGAGCGGTCTTGATTTTTGTTTAGTTGGAGCGTGTACAAACAAACGAAGTCAGCGCTCGGCAGGCGGGGCTCCTGGGCTTCTGGACTTTCTTCGTAGCGGGAGGGGCCCTGATCCCACGCTTCCATCTTCTTGTGGCCTCCGACAGCAGTAGGAGGACGAGCAGAAGAGATAGCTAACTACGGCTCACCATTCATGTCTCCGCCGTGCGCTATTAGCTCTGTTTGTACGTGCTCCAACTAAACAAAAATCACCGCTGCTCCACAAGCAGGGAGGTGACTACGAGCCTGACGATCGCTGTAGCACTTGATCTCTCAGTTTCCGCTCTACGTGCATTATATTACCGCCGGTTTCTTTTGGCGTATACCACAGACATCTCGAATTGTATATATCAGAGATGCTTTGCTCAGGTTCGAACCGGGGGCTTCACAGTGTGGGAATTTCGCCACAAAACTTCCACGCCTTTCCGCAGACTTCGAGACGCGCCCAGTGTACCGAAATGTCTGCTCAATTAGCGCCCAAAATCCTCTCCTTACCCTTCCCCCACTTCCCCCATCCCAAGACCTAGCACTAGACAATGGAAAGCTTGCTACGTTGGTCGATCGCGAACTCCGCGCCTCCCGCCGAGGGCGCGGAGCAGCAGCCCCGCCCTGCGCCTCAAGCACTCGATCCGGGCATCATAGACCACATCCTCGGTCGCCCGGATAGCGAGTTGATGAAGGAGGACGTGCAGGCGGCGACGGATGCCACGAAGAGCGATGATGAGCGCGTAGATGCGTTGGATCATCTAGAGATGGTGCGTCGGGGGCTTATTGTGATCGGGGAGAGTTGTGCTGACCAGGATCGCTGTGCAGCTCATCGAGCAGATTGATAACGCGAACAGTGAGTGGATGGGTCGTTGACAGGGGAATGGAGTGCTGATCATCTTGACAGACTTGGAGAAGCTGAACCTTTGGGAGCCGTTGCATTCGTTGGTTACCTCTCCCGATACGCCACCACCTGTTGCCCTGCAAGCGCTATGGGTAGTGGGGACCGCACTACAGAACAACCCCTCCGCCCAGGACTCGGTACGCACTCCTCTCTCATACTTCGTGCCCCCTCTAACCCATCCTCAGTACATCAAGCTCGATCCCCTCCCCGCCCTCCTCGGCTTCCTCTCCCCCACTTCCCCAAACTCCTCCGCCAAGCTCCGCTCCAAGGTCATCTACACCCTGTCCGGCCTCATCAAGCACAACGCGCCCGTCGTCAGCACCCTCGACAATGATGAGGGCGCTGGCTGGGCCGCGCTGCGGGACGCGCTCAGCGACCCCGACCGCACCGTGCGCCGGAAGGCGATCTTCCTGCTAAACGCGCTCCTCATCCCGCAGGGAGAGAAGGAGCACGTCACGGAGGAAAGTCAGGCGGGCAGCACAGCGGTGACGGCGACTGAGCCGGCGGAGGCGGATTCCAGATTGCACACCGACCCGCCAGCTGCGCCGCATCCCAACTCGCATGCGGCGGCGCTGGCGAATCCGGATCGCGGGGCGACGTCGCCGTTGACGCGGACAGCTCTCGCGAAGCACGGGATCGTGGACTCAGTTGTCGAGGGGCTGGTCAATCCCGTTCCCTCTGGTGTCGACGGCGATGAAGCCGAGGAGGACCTTGATTTCGTCGAGGGTTGTGTCAGGTAAGCCAGCTTCAACAGCGTGCGCGACCGCGGGTTGACTTCGACATCACAGGATACTGCACACGTACCTTGTCCTCCTCCGCCAACCCATTGCGCCAGACTCCAAAGGCAGGCTTCGACAATGGCTGTCGGCGCAGAAAGAGAAGGGGAATGCGGCTGAAAAACTAGCTCTTGGTCACCAAGAGCTGGAAGAGTTCTCCGCCAAGCTCAACGCATAGAGCGACGCCTGTAGATGTATTCAACGTACCGCTATGTGTATATTAGACCTTTGTATCGCTGCAGTTCTTTTGTACTCAACCGTATAATTTGACGCCACAAATCCCGGCCCGGAGCCCCGTGTCGTGATCGGGCGCGTTTCCTCCTTTGCCGCCGCGCTACGCGTTCCCGATGCCCCTCGAGATAGACCCGCGGGTGCTGCCACCATACTTCCTGCCGGGAAAGGAACCACTGCCGCCAGGCTTCAGCGAAGATGACCGGGCCATGATGATGGAGCAGCAGAAGATGAACCGCACAATGGAACGTGTCCAGGAGTCCTGCGCGGTCAAGACTGTCCTCGCCGGTGTCGGTGGTGCGTGTCCCCTTGTTCCCCCTCGCACACTACCATCTTATTCTCGACGGGACCTCCCCTCGCTCTCACTCGTCCATGCTTGACAAGGTCGCTGAAGCACCTCAGGTATGGCAATCGGCATGTTCTTCTCCATGCTGTCAACGGGCTTCGCGTACGAGGATCCGACCCTCCGCGACCAGCACGCACAGCTAGCACGACATCAAAAGGCAGGGGCTATCATCAAGGATATGGCAAAGTCCGCCTGGTCATCTGGTAAGGGCTTTGCCAAGGTCGGCGCGCTCTATGCGGGCATCGAGTGCGTAATCGAGTCGGTGCGTGTTCGTGCATGTCTTCCTTGTTCCGTAAGGCTGATGGGGATGCATAGTATCGTGCGAAGAACGACCTCACGAACTCCGTGACCGCGGGGTTTCTGGCTGGTGGTATATTGGCGCGCAATTCGGGGCCGAAGGCAGCGTTCATGGGAGGCGTCGCGTTCGCCGGCTTCTCAGCAGCCATCGACATGTACCTCAGAAGAGAACCGCCAGAGTGCGTCCTATGTTCTCTGCTAGTTGATTCCGTGCTCACGATGAACCTACAGCGAGGACTAGTTGACTCGATCTCGGCAGTGCCCCACCTCGCTACCCACTCCCTGTTCACGACAGGTCATGCTATCCGTAACGACGCCCTTTCGGGACGCGTGAAGCCACCACTAATGCGCTCGGCGCGTCACACCACCACTCATCGCTCGCGCGCGCTATATATCATATGTTTCTCATTAATGAATAGAGGGTCGGGATTCTGGTGTGTATCCCCCTGCCCTACACATCCCTATGAGTGATAGACACACGACGCGTGTCTATAATCTGGGTCACTGTTGAAATATAAGCTCCCTTGGTCGTCCGACCCTCGAAGCTCGTCTTCGACACCCTCATCAAGATCCTCTTCGTCTTCAGCACAATGAACGATCGAGCTGCCGTCGACGTCCTTCTCCCTCGCTTGTCCCGCACCCTGGGCCGTAAAACGCATGGCCTGCGATATCTGTGTGCTCAGCAATGATTGGCTAGAGCCATCCGGGGTATGCATAGCGACCAGTACGATGAATGCGGGATAGACACCCTGTGCAAGGCTTCAGTCCGTCGGCGTGAACAAAGGCGGTGATAGACGCACTGAAATTCCGTGAAAGGACGAGCCGATGATCTCGGTCAGAGGGGACGATGCACGCTCGGCGGTGCTCGAGATGGCAAGGTAGAACGTCTGGCGCACGAGTTGGTCAGAGTGTCTGGCAAGAGCATGAGGAAGGTAGCTCACCCATAAGCAACAATATACGAAGCCAGACTCGAGGAGCAGCAGAAGCACGCTCTCGACCTGCGTCTTCCTTCCCATCAGACCGAGGGCACCTTTGATGTCGCGGCGATAGATCCTGCAAGAAGCAGAGAGTCAGCCCGATCTTTGAAGAGGTATACTTTTGACGACGCCCACCAGAACTTCAGGCCAATTGCGATTGTGGCCGCGAGATTCGTCACAAGTAGCAGGACTGACCGGACTATCGACGGGATCAAGACCTGGAATTCTGCCCCTATCGGCGCCGGCTTCGCGTAGAACCATACGAGCTCGATGATGGTGCAAACTGGAGCAGCTTCTCAGTAGCACTTCATTGCGTGGCGGAGGGGCAACGCACCTAAAGTGCCCAAAACGCACAAGGACAGAATGCTCTTCGCGATACGACTCTCCGACCATAATATCCAGGCTCGCCACACAACGATGACATCGCTGAGAACGTACTGAATGGTGTTCGTTGAGAACTTGAGTTTCAAGGCCACCGCAGCGCTCGATGAACTCACATTGAAGCGATCGGCGACGACCGTCATGATGTCTAGGCGAACGAGTAGCGCCTTGGGACTTTGTGCTTTGACGCTCAATACCAAGGAGAACTGGACAAGATAAAACAGAAAGTTGGCCGCAACGGCGAGGGTCGAAGAGGCAAAGAGAGCAATCAGGGCCGCTGGGAGGAGGCGCGAGTGGCGGCGGCTGGGAAAATGAGAAGTTGAACACGAATTTGTGAGAGGAGATGAGGGCAGCTGGACGTACATGAGGACCCGCACTGCAGCGACACAGAGTACAGCTTGAACACCTGCAGATCATCTAATCGTTGTACAAGCTGAAGACCGAACGGCCATGCGCACCATAAAAGAGCAGCTCGAGGCCCAGCTCCCTCGCTGCTAGCTGTAGCCATTCGACGTCGGATGCGATTAGAGGGTTGTGGGTCGATGGCTCGGATATGTCTGACATCTTCGCGGGGGGCTCACCGTCAATCTGTCGAGGGGAGCTATGGTGGGAGGTTCTCTACCTTAAGTATGAGAACTCTCCAATGTCCTGATTATCCAGATGGACGGAGTGAGTCTATCACCGGGGCGTTGGTAGAGGGGCTACCGTCTTTCGGGGTGCCTTCACAAGAGTATGTCGTCTTGCTGACAGCGTGAGTAGCAGAGCTCCCTCATGAATATCCTGTGATGAAGCGCTGTGAGAAGGATCAGCAGCGTATGTCTCGAGACGTGCTGCTCATCAGCAGGACAGAGACGAGAAGACGGACCAGGTCAGGAATCGTATCCCGAGGAACACATCTATATGCGAGGCACCACGGAAATGATCATCAATCGTCAGACCATCCTTAGACCTGAGGTACCGCGATGGGTATTCGGAGAGCATAGAGCGATGATCTTGACGAACAGCACTTCAGAGATGCGAAGTGACAGACCGCGAGAACACAGGTGAATCGTGGCTGGGCAAAAGGCTTGCGCCTAAGCTCGGAATCCCAGAATTTGCCGAGGGCCAGGTCGGAGACAATAGCATACATTGCGCAACATAGTGAGGGTAGAAGTTTGAGTACAAGTCTGCGACGCGCGTCTAGATGCTTATGTGGCGCTACGGCGAATGCCGGCCGTGGTCATGCATCCTTCGGACTTTGCCGATGGTATTCTCAGCTCGCTCGCAATCATGCCTCTGGTATACTCTGTAGGATATCCGATGCCTCATTATTCCTACACGCTAGAATTGTGCCCCTCGCATCTCAGAAGCCCGATATCGGAACCTTCCACCCTCGTCACGTACCCCCCCTCGCGTGTTCGTATATGAAACCCTCAACCACTCCCCGACTCGGTTCAAGTCCGTCTCGCAGAATGGGCACGCCCATCCCGTGTCGGACAAGGCCAACTGAATAGGGCACGCCCTTCGTTGCCTCCGGTCATACCTGTCGCTTTATCCGAACACGCCCAGCCATGCCATTGGTGCGTGCCCAAGTCCGAGTCGGAGCCGTTCGTGATCATAGCCGCCTATCGGCCTTGAAGGGCTTGAATATATACGACGGGCTCGGTGGGGGTTATCCGAATGCTTAAGATGCCCTCGTCGGGCGCGTTACTGAGGAGGAGTGTCATGGCGCGTGGACGGGCTCAGCTGGATGAACAAGGTGAGGTCGGTTTTTGTTGCTTGCGGCGCTTTTGCTCAAGGTCGTGAAGATCGTATCTCGGATGCGTACCTCAAGTGCGTTCATGTCTTATACCCTTCGCTCTGGATATTTGCTGACCCTTCCTGGATAGGACATCACGGAGGACGCTGCTAGCACTTGACCGGGAGGTCGACATGCTCGAAACGCGGATCAGGCAGCTGGAGGCTGCGATGGAGCTCATGAAGAGGAGAAAAGAGGCGGTTGAGTCCCTCAGGAGCTCTCTTGGGGCGCGCGGAGTCAGTCAAGCTCGCTCTCGTGATGAACCTGATGTCCCGACAGAGGTGTGTTTCTGTCCCAGCATGAGCTTCCGGAGGAAGGAAATTGACGACCGTATTTGACGCAGTCAGAAGACCACGGAGGCGACGTGCTTGCTGCCGAAAAGCAGCCCCCGCGCGTAGCCGGTGAACCCATTTCCCGATGCTTTCGGGGAACAGTTGTAACGTGCTACGCAAGTGACTTCGTGCTCATAGTACCGGACGGGAAATGTACGGATACAAACCTCCTTCCCTTATAGCGCTGCATGTTCTGTGTTCTTCTGAAGTCTATTAGTATGAGACACGCGAGCGGGAAAATCCGTGTTGCATATTGTATACTCTGCTACTGGCCTGCTATGTACACTATTCCTCTTTTTTACTCCAGCTTTTTTACTCTTGTGCATGTATCTACAGCCCTCAAAGCCCTTTTCCAAGTCGAACATGGCGTCGGAGAGTGCCGGTAGCTGCACGTGAGGAGGCTGCGCCGGTGAGGGCGGGCCGCCGGGCCCCGGCCTCGTTCGATCGGGTGCATTGTGGCGGTTGACTGTGGTCGACAATGAGCGTGAACACCAGCAACGGCTCATCTTCAACTCAACCGCAATGGGGCAGAGGTCCGCCATTTCCCCGCTGAATGTCACTAGAACGTCCCGCTGATAGTCCTTATTCTGCCCTGTGCTTCCCCAAACCTCCCCGAACTGAAATGAACCCGAATCTAATCGCCACGAACACTGACGTGCTATGCAACGCGGACCTCCTCAGTGCTGATTACTGGTGGAACCGACTGGTGCGTTGGCATTGACCATGCCTGTAGCGTGGCTAACCCTCACGCAGGGCGAAACTCGGGCGGAAGGACAGGGTCAAAGCCGCGGAAGGTGTTGAGCCGGAGTACGTCCCCTGTTCCCCGCGCGCTACCCCGCTCATCCATCGCAGGAACCCCGACCTCCTCGAACCCCACATCCTCCGCTCATTGAGCAATGTGCGCGCCGTTTCTGTCCACACCTCCTGCTGCAGCTGCCACAACGTTGTCATTGACGTCGACGGCTCGGCCTGGCTATTTGGCCGTAACGCCCACGGGCAGCTCGGCGTACCCGGTACTGCCATCTCGGAGAACGCGCCGCGGCGGCTGACCCCCAGGGAACTGGGCGCGTCGCCGACTGCGCGCTTTGTTCACGCTGCGTGCGGCCGCTATCACACGCTCTTGGTCGCGGACGAAGGGCAGGTTTGGGCGGCGGGGGCAAACACGCTCGGTCAGGTGAGCGCGTTTGTGCATGGCGTCCATTGGCGGGTAGCTGAGTCTCGACGTCCTTCGTCTAGTGCGGACAGGATGTATGCCCTGAGATCAACAAGTTCAGGCGAGTATCCGTTCTGGACCGCGAAGATAATGAGGAGCATGTCGTCAAGGCCGCCGCCGGAATCTCGTTCAGCGTCGTTCTTACCAAGTCAGGCAAATGTACGTCGCTGGTATTGTCGTTATCCCATGTTGCTGACTGTATGTGCCTCGCATCTTCATGGTTCGCTTTCTATTATAACGCCTTCCTTCGCCCGCCTAATTTCCACTCTGCCTGGAATGTCTCTTCTTCGTGAATCCCCGATGCTTCAGTGTATGCCTTTGGAAGTGCCGAGAAGGGTCAATTGGGTAACGGTGACACGGGCGAGCGTCTCGCAACCGGTCAACGAGTAGTCTTCGGAATTGAAACTGTACCGCGTATGTACTCGACATACCCGCCTTTCCATAAATCAGACGCTGACCGTGCCCGCTCCGTGACCCTTCCCCGTCACACATTCCCCTTCTATCTTAGTTCTCATCAAAGAGCTTGCGAATCGCACCATCGTGGACGTCTCCGCGGGTCAGCAACATTGTATCGCCATCGACGATGCCGGGTGCGTGCCGGGCGGGCTCCTTATTCGTGTATAGCCTCTGACTCACATGTTTCCCCGTATAGTGTGGTCTTTGTGTGGGGATATAACGGGTACTGCCGTCTCGGCCTTGGAGACCAGAAGGACCGGTTGAAGCCCGTTGTCGTGCCACACGTGGGTCGATCCTGATAATATCGCGAAGCTTGACATTGAGATTGGTTTTCCAGTTCGCCGGTCCCAAGGAGATTAGCATGGGCTCGCTCGTTACCGCAGGCCCGACGAACAGCGTCGTGGTCGATAAGCAGGGTGTGTACTACATGGCGGGCAAGGTAGGCATCTTCTCCTTGTATATCCCATGGCTATATCGACTAAATTGTATCCGATAGTGGAAGAACAGCGGCGAAGGCGAGCACACGGTGGCTCTTCGTATGCGCCCAGAACTTTGGCTCATACAATTCGATAGGCTCCGTCGGCTCGCCGTGGACGTACTTCAAACCAATTCAGGATATCATGTGCGTTGAAACTTCTCTTGTATCCAATTACCCTTTGCCGTTGAGCTTCTCGCGCAACTCTCAACCCCTCCTCTGTCTGTGTAGACTGACAATCGATTCAGGGCATGCAGGACGACGCATGTCTCATGCGGCGGCGTGACCCACTTTGCGCTCACGCCCAATGACGAAGCTGGGCATGAAGGGAAGAATATGACCGTTTGCTGGGGTCAGAATGCCGCCAATGGTGTGTGAGGTCTCATCACTCACCCCAAAGCCCTGAGCTGTGGGCTACCGAACCTGAACAAATATGAGCTGATTGGCTTCCTTGTAGGCGAACTTGGCCTCGGACCCGACGAGAACAAGAGCGCGACGAAGGCGACCAAGAACAAGCCGTTGTTAGAAGTCGATGTTATTGAGTATGCTCCCGTCGTTCCTATTCCTCAACCCTCGTTGATTGACCAATCCTTCAAGCGTCGCCGCTGGACAGCATACCACCCTGTTTATCGCTCGGCCCAGCGACGAATTGTCGGACCGACCCCGACATCCCTTCGATGTTGACGCACCGGAGGCATGCTTAGGTTGCGGCAAAGCGTCAGAAGACGACGAGCTCCTTGAGTGCGAGAAGGTGCGTTTTCATGAACCCCCGCAAAAGGCGAGCCCTCATGACGTGCGCTTTCAGTGCGATGCACCGTATCATCTCACCTGCTTGAATCCGCCGTTGAGTGCAGTCCCCGAAGGCGAGTGGTTCTGCCCCAAATGCATCGCTACACCTGGCGCGCCTGTTGGCCGCTGGGCCCAGCTTGCGGAAGCACAAGCGGGCGCGAAGCGCAAGGCGCCCGTCGATGATGCTGGTGAGTTTGCTTGCGGTCCTCGTGCACTGGCGGGCTGATAGTCGGGCTTTGCAGCATACAAGAAGGCTCGCCAGTGATGATATGGAATGGCAAGCAGATTGGAAATGACTGGGGAATGAGGATTTAGGGCGAAGCATGACGTACAGGAGAGGACATCGTTTTTGAGAGTAATTCGGTTTTGCGAACGACGCTGGACGTGTTAGTCAAACGATTTGATTACAAGTTTTCTTGCCTTCGGCCTATCCTACATGCATATATATGTTGTATGTATGTGTACGCAATATGTATCCTCATCTCCGCGTACTTGAAGCGTTTCGCGAGCCCGGGCCAATTGGTCCTAGTGGTGGGGTCACCACCCGCCACCGGATCCGGCATATTTGTACTTGTTGTGCTACGGTTTGGGGCCACGTGCTCGCAACGTGATAAGCAGACGGTCGACCTGCGTTTGTTCCTTGCCTCTTACCATCATCGCAGCACGCTCACGAACACACGCCGCCGTTGCGTCTTGCTCGCTACTGGCACAGTCTCTCGATGCTGCCAGTAGAGCGAGCCCAGCGCCCTGCTCCCCTGGCAGAACGCGCTGCGCCACTCACTAATCTTCAGCTCCTGCGCTCGGGACATCTACCCTCTGCAGAAGATGCCGAAGCCCTACAAAACATTATCATAGACCTGGAGAGCATCGCTGGCTTTTTGAAGGAGGATATACGGGCGTGCCGCTCACGTGAAGCGCTCGCGTTGGCAGCTGGAGACACGGCACCTCGAACGGCTAGCCATCTCGACCCTCTTAGGGAAGAAAGAACACGAGTGCAGAAGCTACTGCGGCTGTGCAAAGCCGTCATAGCACCCATACGGAAGCTTCCTACGGAAATCATGGTCGAGATCTTCGAACGAGTGCTAGACAACGTGGACTTTCTTCCGGATGACCTCCACTCCATCTCTACTGTCAACTTCACCTGGCGCGCGATCGTTTTATCGACGCCACAGCTGTGGTCAACGGTTCTCCTCCATTTTTTTGCGGTCACAGATTACATTCCGGTACATCGTCGATTCGCAATCGCTCGTGCTCAGCTTCGATGGTCGGCGGATTGGCCTATACGCCTGCGCGTCTTGCTGTATGACAAGCATGCCGAGACTGTGCGGACGAGCGAGGTCTGGAAGGAATTATGTGCCCAATCCTACCGCTGGAAAGTCGCAGAAATACGAACATCGAGCAGCCCAACTTTTTGGCACGATCATCCCCCCCTTTCCCTTCCTGCCCTAGAGACGCTGACGCTGATAAATACGGGTCCTCTTGCGCTCTTTGTGATTCTAGCAGACGCGCCGTGCCTACGAAACCTCAGCATTTTTCACTCTCATCAGGAAGTAGCGCGCGAGGTCCAGCATCTGCCGACTCTGACGCTTACCAGTCTTTCTCTGCAGGCAATGCTGTTGACGGACTGTCTGTACATCATACGACAGTCCGCACCAAGCCTGCAGACAATGGAGATCATGACCAGTGCCGTCACCGTGGGCGAGCTGCGCCGCTGGCAGTCTCTCAAATACGACGAACCCGTGGAGCTACCTGCGCTGCAGACACTGCGTCTCGTCAACGATAACACACACCGGTTCCTTTGTCAGTCGTTAACCGTGCCGGCTCTGCACGACCTCGCCATAGTTGATCTACACCTAGACTTCTGTGATGTGCCTAGCATCTTGCAGATGGTGCATCGGTCGTCCGCTCTGGTGACTACGTTCTCTGTGCGACCGAGCATCATTGCACCCATTTCGCGAAGAAGCCGCATATACGTGGCGGATACCATGGTCAAATTGCTTCAAGGCCTTCCGACGATAATCGAGCTGAAGATCGACGCAGAGTGTCGGCGCGATTTCCTGACCGACAGCTTTTTCCGCGATCTGACACCATCGCCATACAATTCTAATCCCGCACTCCCCGATCTTCGATATCTTTCCGTTGTTGTATCTATCCTCGAGGACCGGTACGATGACGGAGAACGTTCCTTGGAAGACGTTACGCGAGCTCTGCATGGCTTTCGAGCAACAGATTGTGTCGTAAATGGCATTCTGTACCCTGCATTGGAGAGGCGAGAGATAACGCGATCTCCGATTGACATATACTTGTGAGTGGCAGCGAGTCGTCGTCTTTCACCGCTGTGCCTGAGCAATCTCCTGACAGCGACGATGAAAACCTCAACTCGATTGGCGTGCAGAAAGAAAGTGACGAGAACGAGAAGAAAGGCGACTGCAGCGACAGCGAGGGTGATACCGAAACCGACTACACAATGGACGATTCCGATGAAGAATCCTCCGACGACGCCTTTTAGTCTCAACTTGATCTTGAGCGTCACATATCGATTCTTTGCGCGCCTCGTTTTCCGTGTGTTCAGCCTAGCTATAGTAGGTAGGTAGGGAGAGTGAAGCGTGCGTTGATCAGCATCTGTCAATGTGTCTGTCAGGTATGTTGCCCAGCAAGCGCGGCAGTCTTCAAATCGGATATGGTGTAACGGCTAACATTGCCGCCTCTCACGCGGCAGCTCGGGGTTCGATTCCCCGTATCCGAAGTCAACTTTTCCCCCCTTTTCGAAGGGCTCCGTCTTTCACAAGCGCGCTCACTTGTGCGATCGCGATTCGGCCGGTCACAGCCAAGAACTTGCATCAAATAGCAAGCCCTATCAATTAAAAATCGATGTACTTACTGATGGCTTTTGCGCGACTAGATGATGAATCTCCTCATTCTCTCCCACTTGGCCACACTCGCAAAACAGGGAAGCAAAGCATTCCGTACTACACATATCACATAAATACCAAGATACCTACTGATACACAGTCTTGTCCTGCAAGCGCCACCTCCCGAGCGGCCCCCACCACCACATCGACCGCCGCACCGGGTCGGGGTCGGGGGCACCAACACCCACGCTGGCTATTGTTGGCGGCGACACAGAGATTCGTCTTCTGCGTTGCTCCTCTTCTTCCTCGTATACGTGCGGACTTCGTCTCCTTGCGCGGCCTTCTGATGAGCTGTCGCCAGCCCCATCCGCGCCTTCCCTGACGCTTTGACCGTCTGGATGCCCCCTTGCGTCTCCGTCCATCGCTCCATTTCCGTCCTCCTCCCCAGACGACTTCGGCTCGTCTTCTCCTGAAGACTTCGGTTCGCCATCTTCATCCTCGAAAGATGCCGCCGCCGACGTCCGCATCGGCACTCGGCCCACACCAAAACCCCGCCTTTCTGCATCCACGATCTTCGCGCGCTCCATCTCGCGGATGCGCTCCAAGCGCTCCGCCGCCTGCGCGCGGGCAGCCGCCGTATGCGCGCGCCGAAGCCTCGCGAACCAGCGATGCACGGACTTCGGGAAGATGCGCGGGAGGACGAGCGTCCCGGTAGACCCGCTCGACGCGGTGCTCTCCGCCGCGGCGCGCTCGGTCTCTTCGGGCGTCCGGTCGTGCTCCTCGCTGTCTTCCTCGCGCCGGGGGTGCTGCGCGGGGCCGAAGACGCCAGACACGCCGCGCCACATCGTCCTCGCCCGCGCTTTGTGATCTTCCCGCCGCACGCGCGCTTCCTGGCGCCGTCGTTCGCGCTTTGCGCGCTTGCGTTCTCGGCGGGCCATATCTTCTTCCTCGTCTTCGCCCCGTAGGCCCGATCCGCTTCCCGCGCCGACCCACCACCACCAGCCGAGGAAGGATTGCCAGAGGATGACGGCCCAGATGAGGGTCGGGAGCCAGACGTACTCCTCCTCGCGGGGGACGTAGAGAATGTTCAAGCCGGTTTGTACAATGGCGAGCGTGAGGGCGGCCGCGCCAAAGGCTGCTGTGCCGCCATCCGTGCGCCAGGCTTGTCTGCGGTTTACGAGAAGGCCCCAGATGAAGAGGGATGCGGTGAAGAGAAGGGAGAGGGTGGCGTTGCAGACATTACGTATTGCAGATGTGATCTCGGTGACCTTCGTGTTCTGACTGATGGGGACAAGCTGCATGACGGACGCAACGACAGCCATGGGACCTAGAGTGCGGTGAGTATAGTAGACAGTCGAGGTGAAAGTCGTGCTCACCAAGCAGGAAGAGGATTAGGCGCGCTTCGAGGCGAGAAGGGAAGAGCAAAGTCAGGAATTGGATGTGCGTGATCTGCAGACAAGTGAGTACGAGTTTGCGAGAGGAAAGCGAATACGCACCTGGATCAACGCCGAAGTGAAGGCATTCATGACGAGCCAGGTTGCGCGCTCAGGGAGGGTCCACCCAGTGTCCTCCGCCGCATCGTTCCCTATGGACAGGTCCAGCGGGGGTACGTTGACCGCGATGTAGCTGAGCATGTACGGCCATTGCTTGCTCTCGTCTATTGTGGCTTGCAGGACAACGTGAAGCGTCGCGATGAGGGATATGAGCAGTGTCGTCACGCCTGAGACTTGCAGGACGTAGTTGACGGGTGCGAGGGACCAGTGGTAGGTAGCGGTGAAGATGAGATGGATGAAGAGGACAGCCACTAGGGTAAATACGACTCCAGTGACGAGGATTTGTACAGGGAGGGAGCGGGGGAACGCAGGGCGGTACTGGAGGTAGGGGTCTGTCGTGTACCTGCAGAGTGTCGGTGTAAGAACGGAGAAAAGGTACAAGGCAACGCACTCTTGGGGTTGATAGTCATAAGTCTCATTGTCATCGTCGTCATCATCGCTGTCGACATCGTCTGCTTTCACAACTACAACGAGTAGCGCGAAGAGAAGAGCTAAGAGGAGAAGAGTCCGCCGTCTTCGGCCCATCTTGCTTCTGCCTTGCGGAATTTGTTCTGAGGGTCGAGCAGAGATTGATGTAGTGAGTATACGGGGGAAGATGGCGCGTTCCGAATCTTCAGGTCATCAATTGTGGGTAGCTTTCATGAACCCCAGCAGATGGCGGGAGGGAAGAGAGCTCAGCTCGGACGGCGGGCCGGTGGGCGACTCCCCTGTCACAACGATGTCACGGCAAGCACAGGCACCTTTCAAACATCATCACGCTACAGCGATGTAGACTCCTGCCTGTTCTTGTCCTACTTGCCCTGTAGAGAAACTGACTTCATGGTGAAATATTTGCTGTCCGCGTCGCTCAGGGCGATAATCGCCGGCCGCATGATCGGTCATCTTAACCTGTTCGACTCGCAATGATTCGTTATCACCTCACTTACGTCTCGTCGAGGTGAGCTCTCAAAACTCCCGCCCCTATGATCTTTCCCCTTCAGCGAGAGTCTTGAGTGAGCCTAGTACCCAGTCTAGGCAATGTCAATGCCGGCACATCCATTGGTCGTGATACATGGCTCGCCATCATGACGCTGCTCATAGATCAAGTCCCGTTGACGAACTTACAGGTCTCGATAGAGTACTGTCCATTGGAGCGATGTATGGAAGTTTCTGCCTACCGCGTTATCATCGCTAGAAGCTCGGTTCGTTCATCAATTCCGTTCGCTCAGGATCCATGGAGTATCTGCTTGGGCGAGTCGTCGCCCTCTTAAGGATGCTGCGCAACCTCCACCAGAGCAATTTGTCACGACGATATTAATGACGATGGAAGTTTATCGGCCTCTTGGCGCCTACGACTTACAAGTGCTGGAGTACATTGTCACCCTCGTGGCTGCCGACTTCGTCCTATATGGTGCGTGCTGAATAGCCCCCCTCAGCTGTCACTGGTGTTTTCAATGCAAATCGAATAGGTGTACAGATGGCGCTCTCGATGGCAGCAATTGCAATACTTTTGTAAGCGCAGATTTAATAGGCAAACATCGTACTTTGTCCTGACGGTGTTCAGACGTCGCCACGGACAATCGCGCTTCACACTGGCGGCCATAATGGGGCTTTTCTTGGCCTCTACGGCGTCTACCGTGACAAACATGATTTTCTACCTCATCCAGCTGCCGACCAACATTGGCACATCTGAACGCCCTATTGAGGAATTACTGTTTCATCTGAAAATCATGCTTAGTGTGACGGTCGGCTTCAATGTAGGTACGCACGAAGATGAATTATCAATGTCATTGATCACTATTCTGCAGTATGTTATCAGTGATGCTGTGCTCGTCTGGCGAGCCTGGTGCTTGTGGTCCGAAAACCGCCTGATAAAAGTTATTTTGTCGGTATGCATGGGTGGAAGCGTAGGTGAGAATCCCATTCATGCACAAACATCGCGTATTCTGACCTCGATGATAGCAGGAACCACTGCATGGTGTACATGGGGTGCCTGGCCAGGTGTCATCACTTTATATGAGGCGACGAAGACCGCACCTCTGCTGACAATGTGGATTCCCCTATTGGCCACCAATGTAGCTGCAACGATACTAATCGGCATGAAGGTCTGGTGGGTGTTCCCGTCAATGTCTCCATTCCACATAACACTCACCTTTGCTAGGCATTATCGCCGAGAAATCAGGGGCCGCCTTGGTCACTTCATGCAAAGATCACAAGCCGAGATAGTGCTGTTGCTGCTCCTAGAGTCGGGCGTCACGTACATCCTTTTCTGGGTCTGTTTCTTTGCCATCTCGTCGTTGCTCTGAAAGCTTACCCGAGAGACCAGATTGTCGTTTGCATCTTGTGGATCTTCACCACCAAACGGCCATTTTCGGGCGAGTACACCTTCGCGGGTGTTATCCACCATATTGCTGTATGTATACAAAAACGTCGATGCTGTGCTTATACTGACTGCCGTTTCCTAGGGTATCTACCCAACATGTGTTGTGTTCGCCGCCATACGGGGCACAACGGATTCCCTGCTCAGTGCCCAAGTATCGCAAGCCATGCGCTTCGCGGGACCGCACGAGATGCGCGACGGAAGCACTGCGCTCGACGCGCTGCCCGGGCATTCTATCAGCCCACCCGATGTTGGACCCGAGGACTCGTACGCGCATAACATTGCTGGCTCGTTCGGCACTTCTGGTGGACAATTCGACGCTGCGTCGAGCGAGGGACGGCGCCCGGCGTCGAGTGACGGCCATCACCCCACGTCTGGTGAGGACCGCCCGGGGCTGAGCGAGGACCGTCAGCAGTTGAGCAAGGGATGCCCAGCTTCGGCGACGAGCGGCGGACGCCCAAACTCAAGCAACACCATCGTCGAGGTCGAAAGAGAGTCCACCACGATGTGAAAGACAGCGACGTCGCGGTCGAGCGTAGAGTCGCTCGCCAACCAAGCGAAAGAAGTGTGGTCGTAATCGATACCGTCTAATGGAGATCCCCCTTTTATCTTTCATAGGCAGGAAACGTAGTCTCGATTGATTGAATTCGTATACTCTATGCTGCATACGTTCGTTGTACGCACTACGCTTGAAAACACTCCGCTATGTATCTGGTCTCAGTGGTTTGCTGGTGGCTCGAATATGATTTTTGCTTGTTTGGCTCCGCTCGGCGTTATGTGCCAAATGGGGTATGGTGCGACCTCGTGTCATGCGCGCCTTTGTGAGCTTGCCCTGCGATGCCTCGCTCGCACGCCGGGCTCAAAGATCATACAGCCTGACGCGTGGCTCGCGGTCTTGGACCTCCCTACGGGGCACTGTGGCTTTCCATTGGGTTGAGATGCGAACGTACTCCTCGCGGGCTTGATGCCTCCCCTCGGAGGGTCAAGAAATTGTTTGCGGACAGAGGCAACGGACATTAGAGGTCAAAGAATTACGCCCTAGATAGGGCTCCAGGATATGGTACAGCACGACGCGGGTATATGATACAATTCAGATTTCTTCCTTCCTTAGTCTTGACCCGCGTCTACAAGTGGCGGTTGATGCTCTGCTTCCAATCGCCCTTGTTCTCGCGCATCTCGCCTACAGGGTGCGTGAGTGGATGCGCAGCGATCCCAGGATAGCCGAGGTACGTACCAGAATGCTGCTGGCTGCGGTCGCCGGTGACAGCGCCGACGACGGAGTCCTTCTTTCCGGTGACCCGGTCGGCGGTGCCCTCGGTCCAACCCTGGGCGCGAGCGGCGTTGTACTCGCCCTTGCCCTCGGCATGCTCCATGCGGCCACGGTCAGCGGTGCCGCCGAGACCGAGCATGTTGCCGACCTGCGAATGGCGTCAGCTAAAGCGCAGACTATACGGGCGCGAGGGACTTACAGTCTCCTTCATGGAGCCCTTCTTCTCGTGGAACTGGCCTGAGGTCTTGGACGGCGACGAGGACATGATGATGGTTTCTTTGTTGAGTAGAAGATTTGTTTGTTGGATGTGAAGTGGTTGTGAAGTGGGGAATGGGCGATTGCTGAAGGCCCTTTTATAGGTTTGAGCGCCTGCTGCCCCTCCACCCACCGTCATCGTCGTCGAGCGCCCCACTCATGACGCTTCAGCGTCATTCGCACCAGCAGCTGTACACGAAGCTTGGGAAGACCCGAAGGAAGTGGAGAATAGGCTTGGCGCTCGAGCTTTCAGAGTCCACTTGGACTTGATATTAGGCACCGTTAGCATGGTGGGGAGAGGCAAGGCGTCATCACGTACGTCACCCGGCCCTTGCATGTGTTTCCAGACCCTCGGGCTCGGTTTTTATTCCAAAATTCTGTCAATGACTTCGTGCAGGGTGGTAGGCCTTTCGTCCCCTTCGGGGTGACATACGAAAAATTTGGAACGATACAGAGAAGATTAGCATGGCCCCTGCACAAGGATGACACGCTTTTCCGGAGTGGTAGACCTACGGGTCTCAATATTTATGCACCTTTTTGCTCTGATCCCCTTCCGCAAGCGAACACTCATGATTCGCACCAGCGTCGTGAGCGAACATAAAGTTACTTGCATCAGACTAGACTTCGAACCAGCGCCAAACGCAGTTTCTGGTCGAAGCGATGAACCTAGAACGGTTAAGCGCTGGGCGCTTGATCCAAAGCACAAGACGCCACATGATCCCAAAACGAGCGATTCTCTTTGAGAGCACAGCTTGTCTTCATCTTCCACGTCCGCCGTCACTGACCAGCCCCTTCACTGTCCAGATGGCTCTGATTGAGGTATAGAATTATGCAGATGATGCGGATGCGACGTGCTCAATGCTCGGCAGGTGATTGCGAACGACCGTCTAGGACGCAAGGGTGCGCACTTGGCGGCGCCTAACCGTCTGATTATCCGCTCGGATGCTGTTACTGACCACTGCATGTCGGGCCTGCCTATCTAGTTCGCGTGAAATGCAGCCCAGATGACACCGTTGGCGATCTGAAGAAGCTCATCGCCGCGCAGACCGGCACGGATGCTTCGAAGATCCAGCTAAAGAAATGGTTAGTGAATTGCTACGACGCGACCGACCCATACCTCCGTTCACCGACCTTCATTCGACCACTCAACTTGCTTCTTTTGACTTTGACTTTGCGAAGTGCGGGAAACTGACTGACGACTTGCAGGTACACCATATACAAGGATCACATCACGCTTGCGGACTACGAGATCCACGACGGGATGAGCCTTGAAATGTACTAATTCTACGAGACAACCGACTTGTCATTCTTTCCAACTCAGCAATATCGCCATCAACGTGTCGCCTGTACTACCGTAAAGAGCAATGAACTGTATCATCTATCCGCACGGTCTTGCCCAAACGCGCACGAGGCTTGTGCTGCTCGCGCTTTGCCCCTGTCGGTGAGCACGAACACGTATAGCACTGACGGTGAACGGCTTGGCAAGAAGAGGATCACGTCCCACGCATAACTTAGGGAGCGCGTTGGCTTCGTTCTCCTACCACTGCCCTGCGCGTTCCTCGAGCGTACCTCAGGCGTTCCTCTTCCTCATCAGAGAACAGGTCGAGCAGGGCCTGGACCTGGGCAATGTCGAGGTAAGGATGCTTCCGCGGTCGCGCCACAACGCTAACATTGCCATATAGGTCGTATCGCCCGTGGTCCGCCGCTATCTGCTGTGCAAAGCGGTCCCCTTAGCAAACACTTTCAATGAAGAATCGATATCAAGCTTCAAAATTTGACAGTCAGGGACAGCAGGCCTCCACATCGCTGGCCACCTGAAAATCCTCTAAGCGTACGTGCGGGTATTCCGAGGTCTCCGTCCCTCGCGCGCTGTAACTCTTCTGCCTCGGCGAATACATCCTTCCGTGCTCATGAAGTCGGGCACGTATGCGTTGCGCGCAGCGCATTCTAGAAATTACCGGGTACGTGCAGCTTGCCACAACTGACGAAGGATACGCAGTAGCGCGTTCCCTCGGATAACACGCTGCGGCGGTTAGCGGACCGAGCACGTCCTCCGCTGCGCGCCAAGCGCAAGCCTCTGGCAGATTCGCCGTCCGCCAAGGAGGAGGTTGTTCAGGCAGTCGTTCACGTCCGCCTTAGCGCCGCACCAGCTGGGAACAATGGCCCACTTCTACACTTCCCGGGTGCACGTCGCCGCTCAGCCCGAGAACGCCCGAGATAGCGTGGCTTAGAGGTGGGCTTGGCGGTGGCAGTAGTACCTGGGATCAACCTCCCGATTTATCTGCCGCTAGCGCCACCGTCGTCTCTTTTGCCTACGGACCTATTGCTTTGTTCGGTGCGCCAGCCGAGATATGTTGGACTTGGGGTCGGTTAATCGCGACGTGCCGCTGGCTAACAAGAGGAATGCTGCGCAGCGCGCTTGTGGGCGACTGGTACGTGCGAGCAGCATTGAGAACATTGGACAACCTCGATGCTTACCACTGCTACAGACTCATTCCCTGCGAGGCCGTTCGTGAGCCGTGCCGGGGACACCTGCCGTGCTACTAAATTGCCCATTGACAAGATCTACTCGGCGATGGGCCATCACATGCGTGTTAACACTTTAAGGCCGCACGCTCGTTTGGGAAGGAAATTCGAGTGGTCGAGTGTATAAAAGCATGAGTGCCGAGCCCATGGTTCCCCAGCAAGTGCCCCACACTCGAGCACCTCCTCATCACATCCTCTTCCCTACCCCGCATCCTCTCCTCGCCAAGCATCTACAATGGCCGGCTTTGAGCTCAACCTTTCCTCGCACAACGCTCCCGCTGCTGCCGCGGCGACCGAGCGCCAGGCGGCGTCCGCTGCTACCACCACCAACGGGTCTGCGCCGGTGCCAGTGCCCGTGCCCGCCGACGTCGCTATGGACGGTCCCGCCGAGCGCACCGTGTACTACAACCCACGCCTCGACCCCAAGAACTTCCTCGAGGGCCCGCTTTCGCTCAACCCGTCCACGCGTCTGCGCCAGATGCTCGCGCGCCCTGGGATCGTCGTAAGTAACATAACCTCACTGCTTCTCTCGCATGTACTCAGAAGCCTTCTCAGGTTGCTCCTGGGATCTGCGACGGCATCAGCGCGCGCTGCGCCTTGGAGGCCGGCTTCGATTGTCTGTACCAGAGTGGCGCAGCAACGACTGCTTCGCGCCTTGGACAGCCCGACCTTGCCATCGCGACCTTGAACGACTTCGTTGGTGTATGTAGCCACCCTTCTCTCATCAACGCTTCATGCTCATGATCGTCCTAGGCCGCCCAAATGGTCTGCAGCCTCGACCCCACGACGCCCGTCATCGCGGACGCCGACACCGGCTTCGGCGGCCCCGCGAACGTCGCCCGCACGGTGCGCGAGTACGTCCGCGCCGGCGTCGCGGCGATGCACATCGAGGATCAGGTGCAGACGAAGCGCTGCGGCCACCTCATGGGCAAGCAGGTCGTCTCGCGCGAGGAGTTTCTCACGCGCATCCGCGCCGCGGTCATCGCGCGCGACTCGATCCCGGGCGGCTCGGACTTCGTGCGTGGTCTTTTGTGGCGCGGGGCACTGGATGCTTGGGCTAACGCGCGCGCAGGTCATCATCGGGCGCACGGACTCGGCGCAGGTGCTCGGGATGGACGAGGCGATCTACCGGCTGAAGCTCGCGGCCGACGCGGGCGCGGACGTGTGCTTCATTGAGGGCGTCCGGACGAAGGAGCTGCTCGAGTCGACTGTCAACGCGCTCGCGCCCAAGCCGGTGCTCGTCAACGTCATCTCCGGCGGCCTCACGCCGTCGTTCACCTGCAGGGAAGCCGAGCAGATGGGCGCAAAGATCATCAGTACGTCAGCCCGGGTGGTATTGCCTGAATCTTTCTCTGACACCCTGCCTAGTCTTCTCGCTAGTGTCCAGTGTGGCGATGGTTCACGCTGTGCGCGCCGCGATGGCGTCTCTCAAGAAGACCGGCACCGACTGGTCGAGCGCGAAGGGCATGGACCCGAAGGCGTTCTTTGAGGTCATGGGCCTGAACGAGGTCATCTCTTTGGATGCCCGCGCGGGTGGCACGGCCTTCAACGTCGTCTAAGCTTCGTCTTTCTCTTCCTGGGGTCTTGGGGAATAAGGGAACATTGGCTACTATGTATTCGCATCTAGGCGCCCTCTTTTTATTCATTCTTATGTAGTTCAATACTCGACGTACTGCTGTAAGCATTCAGTGCAATATCGATCCAACATCCAGCCCTTTGTAATGTGACCCTACCATGTAACGGCGTGGGAACATAAAGTCACGGGATGGGCACGCTGAGATTCGCGCGCGCGACGCTCATTGATCTGGACCTCTTTGTCTTCCTGACAACTCTGAACGTCTCCCGAGTTTCTGTGCTGCCTCATCGCTCTCGTACCTCCCGAACATCTGCCGCTTTGGTACAACGCTTGTCAAGCTCGCAGCCCGAATCAACATGGCTCTTGACACGCTGCCGACCGAGTTGCTTATGATCATCATCAGCCATTACCCGCGCCTTCCAATCAACATCGGAGGGTGTTTGCCGACACAAGCTCAAGAATACCTAGTCCGTCACAGGACCATATACGCGCTCTCGCAGACGTCGAGCCGACTGCGTAGCGTGTTTCTGCCACTTGTATGGCAAAGTGTCGAGGTCTTCTGCCCGATGGTCCGTGTGGAGGATGGGAAAATGGAGGGGGCGCGATGGAAGAAGGAGATGGCCACGGAGCTCGTGCGCCAGCTTGAGACAGTGACCATCCGCGACCCGACGCTGGCGGAATATGTCCAGTGCGTACAGGCCCTCCTCACTGTCTTGTATCTGCTGTTCCTTGACTAATCAGTCGTACCGTAGGTCTGTGACCGTATACCTCACCGAATACTCATGGAAAGGTGTCTTCCCCGAGTTCTGCCGCGCCCTTGCTGCGATGCCAAAGCTCAAGACCTTGCACATCATCGATGTCATCGACACCGATTCGAAGGACGAGTCCGAGCGCTTAGTTGAAATCTTCAAGAAGAATCCGCCGCTATCATCTGTGTGCTATCTGTCCATTCCCGACAAAATATCCGGCATCATAACCCGTATGCCCAACGTGCTGCACCTCTACCTGTCGTCGTCAGAATATCGTCGTATATCTGACCACGTTTTCGCGCACATGCGCCATGCTCCGAGACTCAGATTCACGGCCTACCAGTTCGAGATCTCTGAGAAGGGTGGATGGCCTGGTGAGTAGCTCATCAGGCATACAGTCACCGCATCTGACATGTCTTTCCAAGATATTGTCAAATTCTGGCCGCATCTTGAGCATGTGTATGTCATCCTCAGATGCAAATACGAGTACTATTCAGCGCCAATTCCAGACGACAATGTCATACGGGTAAGCAAGCGAATCTACCGCTGAAGAATCCTTGACTTACGCACCTTGCAGCAAAACCTCATCACGATTGTATCTAACCTTCCACGACTCAGTTCCATTCATATTCGCAGTTCGCGCGAGTCTGTTGCACACTATAGCACGGAGGAGTTCCAGCAAGATTGCGAGAGACTGGTAATACCTACGCTGGCCTCTGCTCTGCAGAAATGCATGGTTCAGCAGAAGAGGGAGAGTGGGGGAGTCTCGTCGAAGGAGCCTCTTTCTCCACGGCGCTTGCACATTACTTACGCCCCTTATCGTGGCGCCAGCAAGAGAGGCCTTCTCGTTCAGAGCGTGAAGGCTGCTGAGTAGACAGTCCTTATTTTTACTCGCTCTGATGTAGTCCATTACTCGAGGTACTGCTGTCAACAACATCGCAATGTCGAATCAACATCCAGCCCGTTGTGACCGTTATTGTACTGTCACTACGTGGGAATATTGGGTCACGGGATGACCACGTTCAAATTCGCGTGTGCGCGCTCCTTGTTTCTTGATCACTCCCTTTTCCTATCAACTCCCAGCATCTCGCGGGCTGTAGCGCTATATAATCACTCTCTGCACTCTCAACATTTCAGCCTTTGCTTGACGTCTCGCCAAGCGTGCAGTCCATCTCGATATGGCTCTGGACACTCTACCGACCGAATTGCTCACGATCATCATTGGCCACTACCCCCGTCTTCCCCTCAACGTCGGAGGGTGTCTGCCAACCCATGGCCACCAATATCTTATCCGCCATCGAACAATATACGCGCTTTCCCAAACCTCTAGCCGGTTGCGCAGCGTTTTTTTGCCACTCGTGTGGCAGAGCGTCGAGGTTTTCTGCCCGACTGTTCGTGGTGCGGACGGACAAATGAAGGGAGCGCGGTGGAAGAAGGAGATGGCTACGGAGCTTGTGCGCCAGCTTGAGATAGTTACTATCCGCGACCCGACGTTGGCGGAATATGTTCAGTGCGTGTGCTCCTCTTCCTTCTTTCGTGTTGTTTGCTGGACTGACCTGCTGTTCCACAGGTCCGTGACCGTATACCTCACCGACTACTCGTGGAGAGGTGTCTTTCCCGAGTTCTGTCGCGCCCTCGCTGCCATGCCCAACCTCAAGACACTCCACATCGTCGATGTCATCGACACTCGGGAGAAGGACGAGTCTCACTGTTTGGTTGAAGCCTTCAAGAAATACCCACAGCTGTCGTCCGTTCGATATCTGTCCATTCCCGACAAGATTTCCGGCATCATGCCCCATACGCCCAACGTGCTGCGCCTCTACTTGTCGGAGTCAGAATATCAACGTCGATCTGACGACGTCTTCGCGCATATGCGCCATGCGCCAAGGCTAAGACTCACGACATATCAATTTGAGATCCATCAGAAGGATGTGTGGCCTAGTGAGTAGCTCATTAGACACGCAGCTATCGCATCTGACACGTCCTTCAAGATATTGTCAAATACTGGCCACACCTTGAGCATCTGAATCTTATCCTCAGACGCAAAAACGAGTACTATTCTGGGCCGAGTCGAGACGACAATGTCATACGGGTGAGCAAGCAATATCGCCATCGCAATGTCCTTGACTGACGCTCCCTGCAGCAGAACCTCGTAACGATTGTGTCCAGCCTTCCAAGACTGAAGTCCATTCATGTTCGCAGCGTCCGCGAGAGCATGATACACTATAGCACGGAGGAGTTCCAGCGAGACTGCGAAAAATTGGTGCTACCTACACTGGCTTATGCTCTGCAGAAATGCCTGCGCAAGGAGGCTGGAGTCGTGTCGTCGGTCAAACCTCCTCCTCCTCATCCAAGGCGCTTGTACGTGACTTACACCACTTATCGTGGTGTTAGTAGGAGAGGTGTTCTCGTCCAGAAGATAAAGGCTGTCGAGTAGACGGTGCCGCGTTCGTTTCAAGTCAGGGGTATATACAATCGACTAGTCTCTGTATCTGTCATACGCATCATCTTTACGGTCGCTCATTGTATCCTCGTCTATGCATGGTCTTCGTCTTTCACCGGCCTCGTGCCTTCGCTCCGGGACGGACATTTGTGGGATATTTTGGCATTCGACTTTGTCCGAGCTTCGCCTTCCTCACCTTGAGAGATGACAAAACACCGGGTGAACTTGCGCGCAAGCTCTTTCGACGTACTCGCTGTTGCAGGCAATCACTGCAATATCGAACATTGTGACTCTGACTCGCGGTGTCACAGTGTGAGAGTGTCAAGTCACGGGTGGGGCACGTTCACATTCGCGTGCGGAGCCGTGCGCGCTCGGTGTTCCGGACCATCATGACTTGCTGAGGACCCTCAGCACCCCCCGAGTCGTTTAGGTCTATCGCCGACTCTTCACATTTTTATCTACTCAAAGCCGTCTAGAGCGCCCGTTAAGCGGGCAGCCCGTGTTGGCATGGCTCTGGACGCGCTACCGACCGAGCTGCTCATGATCATCGTCGACCACTACCCGCGTCTTCCTCTCAACTGTGGAGGGTATCTACCGACTGATGGAGAAGAGTTCTTGATACGCCACCGGACCATTTACGCGCTTTCGCAAACCTCTAGCCGGCTGCGCAGCGTGTTTCTGCCGCTTGTGTGGCAGAGCGTCGAGGTTTTTTGCCCAACCTCTCGTCGAGGGGAAACTCAGATGTTGGGGGCACGGTGGAAGAAGGAGATGGCTACGGAGCTCGTGCGCCAGCTCGAGATCGTGACCATTCGGGATCCGACGCTGGCGGAGTACGTCCAGTGCGTGCGGCTCTTTTCAACTATCACCTTTGAGTTGCTCGAATGGCTGACGAGTCGTGTTATAGGTCTGTGACCGTCTACCTTACCGAGTACTCGTGGCAAGGTGTTTTCCCCGAGTTCTGCCGCGCCCTTTGCGCGATGCCCAAACTCAAGACCCTGCACATCGTTGATGTCGTCGACACCCGGTCCAAGAACGAGTCTCAGCATCTGGTCGCAGCCTTCAAGAAGCACCCGCCGCTGCCGTCTGTGCGCAACTTGTCCATCCCGGAAAAGATCTCCGGCGTCATACCTTACATGCCCAACATCAAGTCGCTGAGGCTGTTCGGGTCGTCATTTCCTCGGCCCTCCAAAGACGTATTCACGCACATGCGCCGCGTGTCGGGACTCACGCACACATCGTATAAGATGGAAATTACGTGGAAGAATTGGCCGGGTGGGTGGCTTGCTGAGTGCGCGACGACGCGTTCTGATGTCTTCGTTTCGTAGATCTGGTCCAGAATTGGCCGAACCTGGAGCACCTGAATCTCACCATCGAGCGTCAAGGAACATATTCCTTCTCACCGAAGCGCGATAACAATGCTATACGGGCTCGTGACTTTATCGTCTGGCCAATTTTCTGTAACTCACGCTCCTTACAGGAGAACCTCAACACTATCGTCTCTCGCCTCCCATGCCTCAAGTCCATCTTCATCCTCAATGTTTCCGACAGACAGGATTGTGAGAACCTGATCATACCTGCGCTGAAGTCGGCGCTACAGAAGTGCTGTCCCAAGCCGATTGACGAGGTCGAAGGGGTTTCTCGGAGCGCACCTCCGCGTCCCAGGCGCTTGTACGTCGCATACTACACTTCGCGCGAAGGCAGCTGGAGCGTCGTACTCGCTCAGAAGGTGAAGGCTGTTGAGTGAATGGGGCTGCCCCTTGGACATGACCACAGCTTATTACAATAGAGAATTTAGGTCTGGCATGTCTTATGCCTCAGCGCTACACTTTTGGATGCTATACTATCGTTCGAGTCTTGCTCTTGACTCCTTGCTCCCGGTGGAGTGTCCGGTTTCGCCTTCGACAGCCTCGTACGGCCTGTCCGCTCCGAATCATAAGAAGGGAGTGCGTAGGAGCCTATAAGAGCCATCACCTAATCTGGCCTGGCCCGTTTGTGCGCTGAATGATGCCCATCGGTACGTCTCCTCACCGGCTTCGGCGATGTCTCCGCCTTGAAAAGTATTGAACTTGATGGCGGCGTTTGCCGGACTCTTCGGAATAGGGTGCATAATCCCACGCCTCCACCCTGCTTTCTGCCGCCATGATATTTATTCTGCGCTGCTTCGACGCAATGCGCTACTTGGACTGTTTCTCATCAGACCTCTATCGCCCGGCCTCTGGACTGCATAGTCTGTCTACTGAGCGGCGAACGAGCCAGCACAGAAAACTTGCCTCTGCGCGTTGGCGTCTACATTCTTTCATCTCAGGGGCTACTGACAGCTATAGGTAAGCTATCCGTATACCCTTGCGCCCGTATGGACACCACTTTTGGCTCCAGATGCTCTCGGAAGAGCAAAGCTGGCCTAAACTGGTCCCTGGACCATGGCGCTGATGGAGATGACGACCGCGGCGCCATAGCATCTTGATCACTGAATGGTCCGTCAAAGTCGGCGAGGCTGGCATATGAGGCTGCGATGCAGCCGACTCGCACTGGCACCGGAGCAGGTCTCTGAAAGTTGGAGGGGCTGCCAGATCATCATGCGTGCAGCTTAGGTCCGTAGGCTGGCGATTGACAGAGGTGATGCTTGCTCGGGGACGGGCGAGCATCGGTGAGCAATGATCAAGCGAGAGCTCAGTGGTGCATACTGTACTCCCCACTCCATTAGAAGGACAGGTTTATTGCCCGTTCCCAGGCAATTATCGCTGTCGAAGCAACGGGGGTCGAAGTCTGTACTAATGCCGAAATTAAATCCTACTTGCCTGCCAGTGATTCGTCGCTGATTCTGCGGTTGTCGAGGTCAGGCGTTGCCCCTCGTCTCTTTCTTTCTCTTGAACCACCATCTGCTACGTCGAGCGCTGAGGGAACCCGCCCACCGACCATAAATCGACATTCGGCGATACATAGTGTTGATCCCGAATATTGTTTCCCCATCCAGCCGTTTCTAAAAATGGAAAATATGCCGAACATCATGACGGCCTCTAAAGTTTTGTTCCTTGTCCCGCTCCTCCTCGACCATCGCGCCGTGCCACTTGTCTCATACCCCAAGCATAGACCACCATCACCGAGCTGCATAAATGCTGGCCCAGTAACACACACTTACGGCCAGTCCTTCGCCAACACCAGCTGTCCTCGACTCTCCAATGTTTCCGTGGCCCGAGGGAGGGTTGTTCCGTTCTATCCGCAAGCATCTCAACTTCTATCGCGTTCACTTACTATGCTTGTGGGCTCTTTACCTGTCTGTGGGCTCGACGTTGGCTGACAGCTTGCAGCACATTCGTCCCCCTCATCTTGTCTGGCATTCTCTACGCGTGCAATGGACGGTACCCCATCAGCTATGTGGACTGCCTCTTCGTCTGCGTCAGCGCGGCGACCGTCTGTGGATTGGCGACTATCGACTTGAGCACGCTCACGCCGCTCCAACAAGTGATCGTCTTCGTGCAGATGTGCTTGGGTAGCCCGGTGCGTGCTCTGTCCTTCCCCCAGCTCCCCATGCTTACACCGTACCTTGCAGGTCTTTGTCTCATGGCTCATACTTCTCATCCGAAGGTGCGCCTTGCAAGACCCCTCTTCACATACCCCATTCACCCTTCCCGCGCAGGCACTACTTTGGCAAAAAGTTCCAGAACGTCATCAATGCTGCCCGCAAGAACGGCGACCTCACGGATGAGGAAGCGCAAACCCAGCCCGTCCTTGCCCGCCTTCGCACCTGGCTCTCCGCCCGCGCGCAGAACGCCGTGCGCGAGGGGGGATCGCGCGCGACGTCCAAGTCGAGCGACACGAACAACAAGGGCGGCATCGTGCGCAAGCTCAAGCCGGAGATGATCCGCCGGATGGACAATGCCCCGCAGCTCGTGAATCCGAGCGGATGGATTAGCGACGCGGTGCCAGTCAAGAAGGTGCCGACGACGGTGCAGGCGCCACCCGCGTCAGCGGACAGCTCGGCATCGCCGCAGCAGCGAGCGTACGCATCATTCCATACCCTCTGAACACCTACTCATCTTCTCAAAGGCGAATGATGGCGCGTAGGCTGTCCGATCCCGGCACTCCGTCAAGGCCGCCGTCTCCGGGTCCCATAACCGGTATGACGCGCACTCTCCCAAGTTTAGCTGTCCTCTGAGATCCTCCACCAGTCCCGATGCACCGATTCGAGACGCTGCAGCACGACAAGGCGCGACCTCAGCCACAACCCGCCCAACTTCCGAACCTCACGAACATAGCTTCACGATTCCCGCGTACTCAGACCATCGAGTTCGCGCCGACGCCGACTACCCGTCCCCGCGGAAGATCGATTGTGCAGGACCTCGAGTCTATCCAGTCTGGTCCAGAAAGTTCATTTGAGCGAACTTCGTCTCGTAAGTTTACCAATGACGTGCTGTGCATCGCTAATGCCCCACAGGACCCCCTCGCCATTCCTTCCAGATGCACCCGTCGCTTGCGACAAACATGACTGGCGCGGGCCAAAGCTTCAGGCCGAGTACGAAGCACAACAACTTTGGCGGGTTCCCTATGCCACATCACATCATCCAGCGCATCGTTCACGCTCTGTTCCCGAAGCTCCATCACAAGATCGCGCGCACGGTGACGATCCCTGTCACTACGACTATCACCTCACTGCGCGGCGAGGGCCTCGAGGGCGCCCGGCCCGTGCCGTACATCTCCTTCGACGCGGTCGTGGGTCGCAACTCGGCCTTCCACCTCCTGACGAAGGAGCAGCTAGAGGAGCTCGGTGGCGTAGAGTACCGCGCAGTCAATGCTTTGCTGTGGATCGTGGCCCTGGTAAGTACTGCATCGATCGTGGCGCGGGGCAGCGTACTGATTGAATGGTGCTAGTACCACATCTGCGTACAGGTTCTGGGCTACGTGCTTATCGCGCCGTACATCTCCATGAGCAAGTGGGACGCGGACTTCGAGGAGCCCAATCTGCATCGGCCGCTTGCGGCACCATGGTTAGTCTGGTTTGGCATCGATGCGTGGCTGCGGAGAGCTGATGGTTGGGCAGGTTCGCGCTCTTCCAGACGGTCTCTTCGTACACGAACACGGGAATGTCGCTGGTGGACCAGTCGATGATCCCCTTCCAGACCGCGTACCTCATGATCTTCGTTATGGCGTTTCTCATCTTGGCAGGGAATACGGCTTTTGTGAGTACTTCTTCCTTATGATCCTCATCTCGTCTGACCATCTGTTTAGCCAGTTTTGTGAGTTACGAACCTGGTGGTCTCACTGCACATTACTGATGCATTGACTGCTCCGTAGCTTGCGCTTCATCATGTATGTGTTTTTTGCGCTCAGTCGACGCAGATACTGACCATCCTATCAGCTGGATCTTGTCTCTATGCGTACCAAAGTCGTCCAAAATTCACGAGACGCTCTGCTTTCTCCTAGACCATCCTCGTCGTTGTTTCATCTATCTATTCCCCTCGCATCAAACTTGGTTTCTCCTCACGGTTCTTGTCTTTTTGAAGTGCGTATGCTCCCTTCCCTCTCACGCTGCTTGCACCCAAGTTAACTCAACTCCGCAGTTTCACGGACTGGTTCTTCTTCATGGTGTTGGATATCGGGAACGCGGCCATCGAGGCGATACCATTGGGCACCAGGTTTTGTATCGGTCTTTTGCAAGCGATCGCGGTCCGCGCTGCGGGGTTCAGCACGGTGGCGCTGTCCGTTCTGGCACCGGCGGTGAAGTAAGTGATGGGCATGCTTGCCGAGGGTGCTCAGGCTGACCATTCGCTCAGGATTCTGTACATTATCATGATGTATGTCTCCGTATGTGAGTGCCCGCCTGTTTTGGTGGCGAGGATATGTAGCTGACTTGCGTTGCAGATCCCATCGCTATGAGGTGTGTTGGTTATCGCCGAGTATATGGCACAGTGGTTGACATCAGCTTCTCAGTGTTCGTGCGACGAACGTGTATGAGGAACAGTCGCTGGGGATCTTCGAGGATGACGATCTTGAGGACGACGAGGAGAATGAGCTGGCGAACATGGGTGGCTCCCGCGTCACGGCGTGGAGTCGGTACCTGGTCATGCATGCGCGGAAGCAGCTTGCGTTTGGTGAGCACTTCCCTTCGTCATATCGTGTCTATCCTAATAACTGCATCAAGATATGTGGTGGCTTGGGCTCGCGACGTTCCTCATCTGCATCATTGAGCGTGCACCTATCGACGATGACGCGACGTACTTGTGGTTCAACGAGTTCACCATCTGTGCGTACCTCTCCGTTCTTTGTGGGCTTCGCTCACACCTGCCGTAGTGTTCGAACTGGTTTCTGCTTACGGTACGGTCGGTCTAAGTCTAGGACTACCAACGGTCAGATCCTTCTTCTTGATGCCCTTATTTCAGCTGAACATGAATTAGGCCAACTACTCCTTCGCCGGCGCTCTCAGGCCCTTGTCGAAGCTAATCCTTTGCGCGGTCATGCTGCGAGGTCGTCATCGCGGCTTGCCTGTTGCCATCGATCGCGCTGTCATGCTGCCCAACGAGTTCAAGATCCGCGATCAGGTCGAGGACGCGCGCAGCATGCGACGCACCTTCACGCGCCAAAGTCAGTTCGGGAGCCAAATGCCACGCACTCAGACCTACCAGAGCGGATGGCAAAGTCAGATGCCGCGCACGCAAACATATCAGAGCGGGTGGCAGACGCAGAGCCAGTATCAAGGCGAGGGCCACCTGGAGGGGATCATGAAGCTGCCGACGGCCAACGACGAGACGTCGTGGCGGCGCAGGAATGCGCATGGGACGGAGTCGGACGAGGAGGTGGTGGGGGATGGGGGAGGGAAGGAGGAGAGCGGCGATGACACCCTGACGGAGAAGGGCAGCCGTCGGACTAACGAGTCGGACAAGGTATAGACACTCACACTACCCGACACGACCTTCGGCGACCCCATTCGTCAGCTTCCTACTACATAGATGAGTTGCCCCACTATCACATCACCGTCGCGCGACGTCGCCGCGCTCGCTCAGCATAATCTTATCATTATATCCTTACGACCCAGCTTGCATGTTCTCCATCTTCATCCATCATGACCCATGCCACCCATAGAATACATACATACCTACCTACCATTCCCATCGATGTTCAGAGTTGTACAGTATATAGTATAGTTACTCGCTTTGTCTTGTTCGTTGATCGTTTCCGAGCCGTACATTCAGGAATAGACAGACATATAGGTTAATATTTTACACGTTGATGAACTTCTATTGCGGCCAAAGACCGACCTTACTTTTGCTGAACTGGCCATTTGTCGGACGTGGTGTAAGGAGAGGAGGCGGCGCCTTGAGTGCGACAATTCGTTATCGGGGGACGGCCTCGATCTCGTCGTTGTCTTTGACAAGCTCTGCATCAGTAAACTTGGCGTTGACTTTCTGCGACCAGCTCGGGTCGAGTGATTGAGCTGCTTCGCATGAAGCCCGCGTCGCAGCACGTTTTTGCAGCGCTATAACGAGGACAATGAACGTTGGGTATATTCCCTTAAATTGCGTATCAGCTGGGAGTCAAAGGCTTCGACCCTGTCTTACCGAGATGCTGTGATATGCTGCGCCAAGGATGCCATATGCCCCGAAGGTGTTTGCGCTCTTAATGACCTTGATGATGAGGTTTACGGCCTGCTCCACGGGTTAGCTCGGCTTTGACGAGGCGAAGGATAGGAAATCGAACCCATATAGAGCAAATCACGAGCCCCGACTCCACAAAAAGGACAATGACCTTTTCGACAAGGCTGGCACGCTCGAAGATACCGAGGCGGCCCTTGACGTCGCGACGATAGTACCTGTATCTTGCGTAAGCGCAACAGCTGCCACAACGATCGTAGTGATCACAGACCAAAACTGGACGGCTATGAGCGACGTGGCCACAAGGTTGGTGAGAAGCAGAGGGATGACCAAGACGAGACCATGCCCCGTCGACTCGACCTGGCCTCGAAAGGCCGCCTGTAGGGCAAAGACACACTCGGTAATGGCGCCAACTACGAGAAATGTTCAGCCTGTCGAAAGGGGTGGAAGGGGCAACTCGACGCACGGATACTACTGCAGATGCACGTCCCCAGTACCCACTTCACTGCGACGCAGTCCTTCCATAGTACGAGCGCACGCCATACCACGATCGCGTCGCTCATAACATACTGTAAGGACGGTCAACTTCTCCGATGCGGACTGTGACAGCTACGCACATTGTATCTGTCCGCTATCGCTAGCGTGACGTTCAACGCTCTTAGTACACCTGCATTATCCAACGTTCTGGTGTGGAACGCGGCAGGTAATTGGAGGATGTAGAATGATAATCCGACAGCGACTCCGATGGTCGAGGAGAGGAACAGGCTGGTCACAGCGAATGGGATGAACGGTCTCCTCTTCTCGCGATAACTAGGTCGTAACGAGGTCATGGCGATCTTCCCCGACAATGAGTATTGCCCACGTACGCCAGCACTACCATTGCAACGACGAATAAAGGCGCTTGTACACCTGCACGATATCAGTATGCAACGAAAGTTCAGCAACCGCTCACACGCACCGTAGAAGAGAAGGTCAACACCAGTACGCATCAGCGTAATCTTGAGAGTGGCGACATCATGCGCATTCAGAGGGAGGTCTGGAGTCGGTGCAGCGAACATCAGGGCTGAGATGGCGAACTCGCGCTCTAAGCCATGATATAACTGCGATGCCTGAGATGCCTGAGACGACCCGACGACATAAAGCCCTCGGTCAAGCGCTCAACATACGGCCAATGCGGCTATCACACTGGCGGGAGTCTTCGTCTTAAACAGTGAATGGGCGGAAGCTTGTCGCCAGATCCGAATGGGTGCTTTCGGTGCGTCGTGCGCTGATGGTGCTTCGCTTTGGTCCATCCTGAATACAGAGGCTGTGAGGCTGCGCAGTAATCCCAGATCCGTGTATCAAAATCTTGTTCTAGCAAACGTGAAAGCAGTGGAATCCGATCTTGGGGGCCAACTTCGTCTACCCCGTGGCGGGTTCCGGTCCGTCCGCAGCGCGAGCTAATGCGGATTCTTGTATCCGGTCGAGCAGGACCATATGGTAAGGGTTTCTGAGGGGTCGAGTGAGCAAAATAGCTATCAGCCGAGCGCATCACAGCATGAGACTGTGACGGCGAGAAGCAAGATGGAGTCGTGGGACAGTACTTGATGTCTTGTATTCAAGTTCGCTTCGCCGCTAAGCAGAATTGGCTCATGTATCTTTGGCTTGGTCTTGAGGCGTGTACTCACTCTTCTCATCAAGTTACCTCTCAGGATGATGTGATCATTTGTGTGTTCCGTTGCTCTTCGCTCTGTACATCCGCAAAATGTATACCATCCGAGAAATGTGCACTCGAAGACTGACATCCGTCCTCCTTTACCGCAACGGCTAGGACGACGAATGTTGGATAGATACCCTGAGGATTATGTCAATACCCTCATTGATGTAGTCATCTACAAATGCGTACGGCGAGGCTGAGCCAGATGGCGTTGACGACGTTGTATGCGGACAACGGCTTTGGCTCTTCTATTTTGATCGTTATACGCAACCTATAGCGGTGTCAGTACAAAACTCGAAGGATTCATTGACAACTTACCCAGAAGAAGCAATAAAGAGGCCCCGACTCGAAGAGCAAGCAGAGTACACGTTCTACCTGGCTCTTCATGTTGAAGCGCCCCAAAGATGGCTTTATATTGTGGCAGTAAACCCTGGTCGTCATCTTTACGGCGTGTGAGTTCTGGACAGATGACGTACCAAATTCGTAGCCCTACCAACGTTGTTGCGACCAGATTAGTGGATAGCAGCGGCAAAGCCAAGAGGAGGGTATACAAGACAGATTTCTGGGAGAGCTGGGTCATCACCGACCACATGCATTCAGCGATGATGCCCGCTGTTTTTCCCATCTCGTCAAATGCTGTGGGACGTACTTCCAGTAATAAGAGCTTACCTAGACTGGCGCAGACGCACAACAGCAATACGCTTCTGACCAACCGGTGGTTTGGCCAAAGGATCCACGCTCGCCATACAACAACAATGTCGCTGATGAGATACTGCAAGGGTCAAACACCAACCAGTTCGATTACCACTCCAAGAATCACATTGAAGCGCCAAGCGAAGGCCATAACGATGAGCAAGTGCTCGACCTGCTCGGCATGTACGTCGCAACCGGTAGGGGCGAAGCAGTTTATTGTGGGTACGACCATGATGTACTGTGTTGCATTGACGAGCACCGCGACGGAGGAAGAGAGGAGGAGGCCAGAGATAGCGGTCTTGATATAGTATGAGCGCCCTTAGCGACGGCTGTATAGCACGCCCGAAGATGAGACTGACATGTGAGCCAAGGAGGAACTTGTCGCTCACGCAAGCGATGACAGCGCGGCTATGGTGAGAGCCAATTGTACGCCTAGAGCATCCGATATCGTTCGGTCAAAGTCTTTATCACAGATTGAAGATGCACACACCATAGAAGAGAGAGTCAACGCCCGTCTGCTTCAGCGCCACCTTCAAGTACATCAGGTCGTCCTCAAAGGCTGCCTGAGCGGTCGTCCGCCATGCCTCAGAAGCGCGCATCGCAGGAGTGAGGTTCCTTGCCGATGCGCGAATGCTACCTATATACGCAGACCCCATCACTTACCACATTCGAGATCAAGCCCCATCATGCGCGTGTACTCGTGCTTCAGTGTGCTCGACGAAGGGGCAGCGCCTTATAGACTGGGATCACGCTCTTGTCAGGCCGCATGCAAACTCTGATGCTAACTCCCATGATGCTGTTGATCGCGTCGATAGTTACATCAAGTTCAAATGGACGGGTGGCCGTGGTCTGTCAAGCTGGCTCCCGCTCCCGTCAAGTCCTGGTCTTCTCGCGAGCACGCAAAGTCGAGCGAATGGAGAGGCATCGAGTCCAGGATTGACTGCATCGGCGACCGCCTCTGCATGGCGACGGCAAGTATCATGAACGTCGAGTGTATGCCCTATCAAGACGCGTATCAGCTGACTGACCACGTACTCGCGGAAGGGCACCTACAGGTATGGCGTGGTAGGCGACGCTGACGACGCCATACACTCCGAGCGTGTCGACGCCCTGGGTCATCCTGACGAGGAGGTTGACGACCTGCCAGCGAATAAGACCGCGTGCACAACTAGTAGACGACGACGTACCCAAATTAAACAATAGAAGCACCCGGACTCCAGAAGCAGGAGAAGCACCTTCTCTACGGATGTCGGGCGGATATATGGGCTCAGCGAAGCCTTGATATCGCGTCGGTATAGCCTACGAGCTCTGAGCGCATGTCGACAGAAATAGGCGAGCAAATGCTTACCAAACACGAATGGCCACGAAGGCGGTCGAGACGATATTCGTAACGAGCAAAGGAACGGTCAACATCAGTGTTCGCGTTGCGGATTCTTCCTGGCCTCTCCGAGTGCTCTGTAGGGACCAAGTACATTCCACGGCGCTTCCAACTGGTAAAATGCGAACGAGATTGTTATCGGGGTCACTGTGAGGAACCCGCGAGGGGGACTCACTAGTGCTTCCGCACATACAGGCCAACAAGACAACTTTTGCATAGCGGTTGTCGATCCATATCGTCCAGGCTCGCCAGACCACGACGCCATCGCTGATCAAATACTGTGCGAGAGGTCGACCTGATACCGCGGCGATATACGACAGATTCACTCACATTCAGTCGCGCGGCCACTGCTAGTACGACAATGAGGCGATCCAAGAAGTCTGTCAAGTCCGCAATCGTACCGCCGTACCCCGTAGGGAACTGCATAACATAGAACAGCACACCAAGGGTGACGCTAATTGTCGATAGAAGGAAGAGGATGATAATCGTCATCGCAAGGATATGCATGCGGCTTGAACGACGACTGGCAAGGAAATCGTTAGCGTAAACAACAGTCGTTTCCGGCGGGGCTGTACTAACGCTAGGAGAGACAAGGCGGCCACGAAAAGACCTGCCTGTATTCCTACTCACACATGTTAGCTATGTATGCGCGAATTCATGCATTGAACGTACCGTAGAAGAGGAAGTCGACACCTGTGTGCATAATGATATTCTTGAGCTGTGCTATATCGCTTCTGCAGAGAGGGCATGGCAGCGCAGGCTCCATCGTTAGGGCACCTTCGAGCAGAACGGTCAAGATCATTCATCCTGATATACTCATTCGACCTATGACTGTGAGATCATCAGCAGCAGCATACCAAAAGACCCGGAAGCCACTGACCTACGGAGGGCGTCTGCGCCTCGCCTTGTCAGTCAGCGTTGAATGAGAGAGCCCTTCCTACTGAGTTGTGACGAGTGCGCTAGAGGTCTCCTACACGAGCAAGCGTACGTTTCACCCTCGTGCGTGTCGGACAACCGTGGTTCTTTGCAAGGTCGTCAAATACGAAGAACATCTTCCTATTCAGATGCGTCTGATGATGCGGTGTAAGCAGTAGAGGGTGTTCTTCGAGATCAGCTGGTCATCAGGCAGGCTTCGAGAGAGTTCAAAGAAGGTGGATGCATGTTGTGCGAGATGGCTGCAGGTGTCGTGAATGAAGACCTGGAGTAGACGGGGCGGCCCCAAAGGCGTTTCGTTGTCGCGGCCCTTTAATGGCTTATAAGGCAATGATATCGGCATATTTCAGGCTATCTGCGACTCCGTGCGAGCTCTGCGATTGTTCAGGGATTGCAACGCCGCAAAGCGACATGGCAGGAGACGAGCAACAACTGTGGGAATTTTTTCTCCTGATTTGCTTGAGGAAAACATTCCCACGCTCAAGTTCAACATTCATGTTTCCGTCAAGTCTTCGTCAGGAAATTGAGACACCTCCACCACATATGTCGCGCTTTCCTGTAGCTCAGAAATCGCAAAAATAATAGGGGTCTAACTGGCAAGAGTTCCCGATGGTTGTGGGCGTCGGGTGTGTCTCCGCGGCATTATCCGAGCCCTGCCGTCGATTAAGCGAGGCCGCTATCTTGACCTTTTACTTCACAAGCCTCTCACTTGCCTGCAGGATCACCTCAGCTGTCTCCACATCTGGATATAAAACCAGCACATCTATATCTCAAGGCGCCTAAAAACGCGTGCATTCTTCCTCAGTGACAAGGACTTGCAACATGGCTTCGGACTGGCTTTTCACCGCGGAAGGCCTCGCGGCAACTCTCGAACTCGTACCTGGAGGCCCTCAAGGGATGGACGAAAGAGCTCGGGCAGACTTTGTCTCACATCAGGTCAGTCGAACGTCAACTGTACGATTTGCCACCCAACAGTCAGCAATCATCAGCTCGGTGGACTGCAACGAAGTCCTTCGCACATTCAGGATCCTACTTATGCGTGAGTCTGCCTCTATTATACCCTGAAGTTTCCTCTGATTGCATTGCTCCAGCGAGTACGCAGCCAAGTACATGCCACAGACGATTCAGAAGTGGCGAGAGAGCCAGTACGTGATGGCAGCCGCGCCGCTGCTCCTAAACGAATTGTCACATACGTGCGTCTTACCATGCTCATTGATGTACCCAATGATACTGACCCTAACAATCATAGACCATACTTCATGCGTCTTGCTCTCATCCCCGAGAACCAGGACCTTGTTGTCATGCAAGTCCGGCGCACACTGGCCGACGCCGACACTATCCAAACCCTCGAGTCGGAGGAAGTCATCAGAACTCTTCAATTCCTGTCCACTCTACTCCTCGTACAAGGAACGGACAACATCCCCGCGGAGGACAAGGCAGCGCTGGTCGCACGACTTCAGGTCTGGAAGCGGAGGTTCTCTCACATCCTCGCAGGCGAGATCGCTGAGCGCTGCCTCGGGATCATCAACAAGGATACAGTGCATGCAAGAGATCAATTACCTGCCATTTTCGGCAGGTATTTCCCACCGCCAATATCGTAGGTCGTGGACGAGCTTCTCAAGGCGTAGACCTGAGCATGCTTGCACCAAAAGTATCCTGAGACTCAGGAAAACGCCACTGACGAAAAGAACTGGCCGGAAAGACCCACATTCGCGCCTGCCGTAGCCGGCCCAATGACAGGCTTGCACGCGCGCGCACCGGCAAATGCCGAGGATCGCTGGCAGGTGCGGCTTTCTCGCGCGGATAAGTCGTCTTCAGCCCAGATTTCGAGCTCCTTTCTGCACGCCGCTCTGCTCAAAGGCCGAATACTCAGCTATATGCTCAAGGAGCGACCTTGGCGCCACGCCTCAGGTTGCGTTGTGGGCGGTGGGAATTACCTGCCGAAAATGGCAGGTAATTGATCTCTTGCATGCACTGTATGTGCGTACCATGAGTCTAGCTCCCTTGCGGAGACATCTCACGACGATCAACAGATTCATGCTGCCTATGATCATGGGCGTACGCACGGCTCTACTGAAGGGCGTGCAGACATGCGCCGCCGAACGCTGCTCCCGCCGGGAGGGAAGTGACGGCGGACCGCTACTGCGTTGTGCTAGGTGAGGTGCTATCTTGGACGCTTGCCTCGGCGCCACTAACAGGCTGCTCAGATGCAGGGCGACGGTCTATGTAGGTCTACTCCCTCCGGACCATGAAGTTCTGATGCTCACTCGATCCGTAGTGCAGCCAGGCCCACCAGAAGGCCCACTGGCGGCAGCACAAGCCCGAGTGCTTCAAGGTTGACTACTGATTGAAGGTCGACTTTGACTGCTGATCCACCTTCGACTGCTGATTGAACAACAACTGCTGATTCCAATTACGACTACATCTCAAGAGCAACAATCCGCGTAGTGTGCGAGAACAACGATTCGCGTGGTACGGGTACACCGATCCGCGGGGTATACAACTAACAAAGGGGTATGTAAGGTATCAGTCTAGAAAATATACTACACATAAGGATTTTGCCGATATTCCAAAGAGCATAAGTCGGTATTGCTGCCGGTAGAGAAGCAAAATCCACTAGCAGTCAGTCACCATGGTCTGAGTCTCGTCGTTAGGGCCGTAAGTAGTATCGTGGATTGCATAGTCCATCGACGATGCCTAGTAGTTCTGCTCTTGTGCAATGCCTAGCTCGCCGACGTAGGGCTTGCCGTTGCCGTGAGCGCACGCTTTCTCGTCCGTAATAGCTCGAGGAAGTTCGGTCGAAGGCGAGGGACGGTGGAATGCTTGGCGGGACCAGAACCCTTCTCAGTCTTCGATCGCGCGTAGCCTGCCGGCGTGGGCGATCGCCCGACGCCCTCCTCATCCGTGCGCACGCTGAGGGGCGGGTTGAACTCCTCGAAGGGGCTCGAGGGCGTATCGTCGTCCTCGGGCACCCAGGCGCGGCGGAAGCGTGCGCGAAGGGCCGCCTCGTGCGCGGCGCGAAGCATGGAGACCTCGGCGTCACTCTGGGAGAGGGAGATCAGTCGCAGTACTCAGAGGTATGCGAGCAGGCAGCTCAGTGACGGTACTCACTGCTGAGGGAGAGTAGGGGGGAGGTGAGGTGTCGTCGCACTGTTCGTTGAGATCATCGTGGTGCAGATCTACATCCTCGTCGTCCTCCCACCACTCCCAGCCGAGACCGCGCTGGACGGAGCCGCCCCAGCAGACGTCCGCAAAGGCGTCGAGGGGGCTGTCGCGCAGCTGTGCATCGAGGGTGCCCGAAAGGGAGGTCGAGGAGGTGGATGATGAACAAGCGGAGTCGGGCTCGACCATCGTCTCCGTGTCGCTGCAGTCGTCCCAGGCAGTGAGGCAGGACAGCCGCTTGCTGGCGTCGAGCTTGCGCGGGTCGAGCAGGAGTGCAGGGGTATAGAGCGGCAGAGCCGACAGCGAGGCAGCGCATAGCGTTTGTAAGGAAGCGCCGAGCGTGCTCGCAGACTGCTGAGGGCGAAGTACCTAGAGCAAGCGGGTAAGCGAGGCACTCCAAAGCCACCCGAAGCACGTACCCGAGGCATACGACAGTCGTCGATGGCCGCCATCTACATGGTCCTGGAAGAGACGGTCGGGCGCCTACGAGCAGTATATATCAGTGCACATCACGTCGAGCAGTTATATAGATCAGCGGCCCGGCGACAACGCGATCCCGAAGTGTATAGCACAGCTCTGGCACCCCGTCCCACACCACGGCAGGCGAGGTCGGGCTTCGACGCGGTCATGGTGTGCACCACCGCGCGCACGAGCGTGACATGCCGGGAGCGAGGCGGCGAGGAAGACGGGGCTAGTTTCTTTGGCACCCGTGACGGACGGAGCTATAGGCGCTTGTGCCAAGCTTGTGCGTCTTGCTGTCTTCTGAGGGATAGGCGCCCAGCACTGCTGTTAGTGTTGCCGGAAGGCGGAGGCGCCTCCGGCCCGAGGTGGAGGCAAGGCACCTTACCTTCCAAATCAGGCAGGCAAGGTCGCATCACCTCCACCTTGCCTTCCCACCTCCATCAGTCCTCGCGCCAAATGTAGCTGCGACTTAGCTCTCCCTATATATCACCCAAAATACGACCATATATGCTCTGAAGATTGTACCCGAAGCCGTATACCCAAGATCATTTCAATCCTAGCTCCGCAAGCGCTAGTCATCGACTCCACCACCCCCGATCCTGATGCTGTGGCGCGAGAGGGGAGCAACGAGTGCCTGTCGAGACGCAGACCGCGTAGCTTTATACTGCTGCGCGAGTCACGTTTCGACGCGTCGAGCATCGCCACTCACCTTTGTTGAAGATTCAACAAAAAGTACCACGTTTTCCGGGCGCTCGGGTGCCATAAAACCGCAGCGCCCATCGTATGCTCTTCAATTCATGCCCTCTGATCCGCCGCCGACTACCTGCACCTGTCAGGATAGATCAAGGTGCTCTTGTAGTGCCTCAATGTTTTCCAGCTTCAGCAGTGGCTTGTCGCAGGCAGCGGCGCCGCCTGCCCCATCTGCACATCCACTCTATTCCTATGCATATCCGAATCAGTACTGGGATCCTGCCACCTCTGCCTGGTACGCCCCTCCGTCACAGCAAGTCCACCCCTCCGTCTATGCCACCAACCTGCCGACTCATTATCCACCTTCTGATAATGCCTCCCCTCTCGTTCGTACTGCGCTCGGAGACTCAACGGTGGCGGCAAATGTCTCCCCGTACCCTGGACCACCAGCGTCAATCTACCTCGACGTAGATGAGGTACGCAAGCGAAAGGCTTCGGCGACAACGGCAGGTGGCACAACACAGCCACGAGCTTCGAAACGCGCGCGCCCTGCAGCGGCGGGAGGCGCATTAAGCCAGGCGGCAGCGGCTTCGACACCAGCCCCGACATTGCACGGCGTTGGACCCACTGCAGTCCCTCCAAAGGCGGCACCTCCAGCAAATCCCGCTCGGCCTACGACATGCGCTGGCTCACATCTCGCGAAGGACCCCGGGCGCCACGCCATTGCAACCGATGTTTGGTACTTTGTGCAGGGCAGCGATCCGAAGGGCGGCTGTGCTTTACCAACCATAGAGGAAGCCCGAGAGCAGACACGACCGAATCCCGAGAAGTACGCGCGTCTTGCTTGTCGGCTTTGTCCGTGCGTACCAACTATCCTCTCGCTCCTACCTCCCAAGCTAACTCGCCATTAATCTCCAGCACCTCTTCGCCGAAATCATGGGCAAACACGAAGGGACTTACGGAGACAATTCGCAAGCACATGGTCGACAAGCATGAGCGTGTTTGGCGCGATACGGTCGTCAAACTCGCGCTCAAGGACTACGACAAGCCTTACCAGATGAAGGACGGCGCTGTCCACTCGCGTAACAACCTCCCATATGACAGGGATGTTATGCGCGACAAGCTTCTGCGCTGGCTTGCTGTGGATGACCAGGTAAGCTTTACGGAGTCTCGCATGCTGTGCTTTCAGCTAATTTGCTTCGAAAGTCCATCAATGTCGTCGACTCGCCCGAATTTCGGGATTTCGTGTTCTACCTCAATCCAGACATCGACGAGAGCGACCTGCCCCATCGAACGAAGATGACGGAGCTTATAGAAGAGCGCTTCAAGAAGGAGTTCGAAAGCATGCGAGTCGAGATGGAGGTAGGTCAAGGCTCTTTGATTTAGTGTGCTTCTGAGCTAATTTTGTGGCAGAATTCGCCGGGGCGCATCGCGTTTACCATGGACGTATGGTCGCGCGTCAACCTAGAGAGTTATTTGGCTATAACAGCTCATTATGTCCATACGACTCCTGCGGGTCAGGAGATCCTCAAAGCGCAACTCGTCGCCTTTCACCACCTTCAAGGCAAGCACAGTGGTGAGAACATGGGGCAAGCGTTTGTCTCCATTGTTAAGAAGCTTGGCTGCATTAATAAGGTGAGCTTGCTCGCTCGTTAAGCACAGTAATGCCCCCAAACCCCCTTCTATTGGTAGTACGCTTACTTACCATCCTTTCTGGACTTAGATCTCGTCTATAACCCTCGACAACGCCTCGAACAATGGCACGCTGATGGACGAGGTTGCGGACGAGCTCACAAAGCTCGATATCCCTTTCAATGTCCAGGAAAATCGCATTCGGTGCGTCTCCGCATACTGATTGTCTGACGTGCGCTCTTTACTCATAGTGACACCTTCAGGTGCTTCCCTCATGTCGTGAACATCGCCGTGAAGGCGGGAATCAAAGCGCTACATGACCTATCGCTATACGACTACGACGCCTTCGCAAAACCCGACGGTCTGAGCATGGCTTTCGAGCTTCTTTCGGACATTGCATATCAAGATGCCCTCAAAGCCGACGTCGTTTCCAAGGCCCGAAAGCTCATCAATGCGATACGGTCTTCAGGTCAGCGTCGTGAAGCCTTCGGGAACACGATCAAGGCACAAAACGATAAGGGCGGGTGGGGCGAGGACCCACAGATTCTTCGCATTGTTGGCCTCCTTCGGGACGTCGACACCCGCTGGTCATCGACACTCATTATGATTGACCGCCTCCTGGAGTTGTACATGGTATGCCGCTTTCGTCAATGTGCTCCTCCCCACTCTGACTTCTTTTTGTATAGGCTGTAAACGAGTTCATTTATTCGCCTCAGCAGGAGAAGGAACTCGCTCCTTTCGCGCTTGACGAGGCGACCTATCGCGCCCTTATCGATGTTCGCAAGTTCCTGCAATTCCTCAACACGGTGCAAGAGATCGTGTCTGGACAACAAACCCCAACACTATCCGTCGTCCTCCCACTCTACGAGAAACTGATCACCGGACTTCGCTTTCTGATGACTCCAGGCAACGAAGAGTCCATCCCGAAATTATCGCATGCGATCCACGCCACGATTGAGAAGCTCGAAGAATACTTCAACAAGTCAAGGTACACGAAGATGTACGCACTAGCGATGGGTAAGCCTCCCTCGTACCTCCGCTCTGCAGTGATTGAGACGTATGACAAATTCTAGCTATCAACCCGACTACCAAGCTCGAGTGGTTCAAAGAATCTGCTTACTTCTTAGCCTCTGACTACGAGGATGTGCGCCGGTATACTCGTGAAGCGGTGTGTTTCGCACTATTGACGCCTTCTCACCGAGCTCATTGTATTTTAGATGCTTGCTTATCGACGAAAACAGCGTGCTGAGGCCGCTTCTCGCCCGTCACCCCCATCAGCACCGGCTCGCGTGAGTTTCTCGGTGGCAACAAACTCGGCAGCCAGGAATCTTGCCTCCGGGCTCAACAACTTCGACACTCTGTTCAACAAGCTCTCGAAATCAAGCTCAGCGTCGTCAGTTGAATCTGAACCGGGCAATGCGGCGGCGGTGGATCCTGACGCAGAAGCACGCGCGCGCGAGGAAGATGAGCGCATCGTCGATGAGGAGCTTCTCGCATGGGAAAAGGCAGAGCGCGAGATGAGGACGTATGTCAATGCGGACCTCGTTGCTTTCTGGCAGGTCCGTCGCGTACATTCTCCCTTCCTATCGCTATTTACCACATGACACAGGTCAACAAGCTCAAGTATCCCAACCTCTACCGCGTCGCGCTTGATGTTATGCCCGTGCAGGCCTCCGCCGTCCCCTGCGAGCGTGTCTTCTCGTCCAGCAAGGAGACGGACGCTTTGCGACGCGCCAATTTGAGCCCTAAACTGATGGAACAGCTTCAGATTCTCAAGTACATATATCGTGGTGATCGTCTTCATTTTATGTCAGATCTTTTATGCACAGAACAAGAGTTGACTGTCATAGACATAGACAGGTCGCTCTTGGAGGATATGATATCAGACGGACGAGCCGATGAGCTCGACTCGCTGATTTCGGTATCTTATCATTCTACCACTTCTACTTCTACCTTATAGTGCACAAGCTCAACGAGCTCTATTGAGGGCTTCCTATTCTTCCTTACAACACAATTACTCTACCCTAGTACACTTTATAACCGCAACATCGGCCTACACGTCTGCATTATCAAGGGTCCGCAGAAAGATTATTACGGTCGAATCAAGGACACGAACGGCAATCTGGCGCGCGTAGAACTGACGGGCAACAAGATTATCTCCATCGACAAGTTGAAGCTTGCGGTTAAGGAGGGGAACCAGATGCAGGCGCTCGGCGACCGCAACCGCCCTCGGCGCACCAACATGGGTCCCCCGAGCAACTTGTCGTCGCCATCCGTCAGCCCGTGCACCTCTCAAACGCCTGGGACGCCGATGCGGGGCAGCGCGAGCCGCACGCCAAACCCGTACATAGACAATGGCGGGAGGACACAATGCGGGAGGACACAATGCGGGAGGACACAAGGTGGAGTACGAATTCGCGGACGCCGAATCCGTACACAGCCAGCAGTTCAGAAGGACGGCGGGTATCCGCAGGGAGGGCAACCCGCGTATGTACCAGAGCGGGAGCGGCAGCAGGACGCCGGCGTGGAGTACGAACTCGAAGACCCCGAATCCGTATGCGAACGACGGTGGTCGGACTCCGGGGTGGCAGGGTACTAATAAGGAAAGTAAGGTGAAGGCGATGTGAAGGCGAGTTTTGATGGAGGCGCCGAATTCGGCACCTCGACCTCACCTCGGCCTTGCCTTCCGGCAACACTAACTGCTGTTGTCAATGTCCACGTGGACGACACTTCTATTAGAATGACTGCAGGAGAGATGGACGGTGAGAGCAACTGTACATGTACGATAGCCTGACAGATGAAAGCAACCAAGACCCAGGGGATGATACTTAGATATTTACGGCGACGCGGGCTCTGGGCTCGGGATACCCGCTGTACTTTTCCGTTTGAACTTCGACGTGAAGTTCTTTGCTTTGGACACCCAGCCGGTGCTGGCGGGCGTGCTCTCCGCCATGCTCAGGCGCGACGGCTGATTCCGCAGTGGCCGCTGGACCACTATGCGCGTTTCCATGGCGCCCTCCTCTTCTGCGGTCGCCTCGACGGTGGCTTCTGAGACGGAGACACCGATGACAAGGTTGGTCTCCTGCTGATTGCCGATTACTCGCTCGGAACGCGCGCGACTTAGTCGCCGGGGGAGCATGCCGCCGACCGCGCGCGATATGGTGTTCTGGCGGGGGACAATCTGCTGCATCTGCGTGATGTGGTGCTCGTCTGACGCGTCGGTCGACGCGCCAGAAGCGATCGAGCCGTTGCTAGTGCTCTACAGGAGGTATTAGCAGTGGGCTTGGGGGAATGCGAAGGAGTACACACCCCCATGGGAGTCTGGTAGAACGGTGGGTCACGCTCCGGGGCTATGGCGGACAGGCGCTTCGGAGACGCAGGGCTGTTTGCCTTACTCGAGAAGTCGTCATGCAGCTGTAGAAGTGGGGCGTAAGCGGCCAGGTACCGACGGCGCTGTACAGCGCGGGTGGATGCGTACCTGGCCAAACCGCGTGATGGACACACTTCCCCTCCTGCGGTTCCGCTTCGTCCTCAGGCTGCTCTCGGACGGCTCCTGGCGCAGGCCCATGGTCTTCACCTCGGGCGACGACGGCGTAGTCGCGATGTCGTCGTGGCGGAAGCGGTAATCTCCCTTGGCACGTCGCTCGCTCTCCAGCTCTAACTGCTGGAACAGCTGCAGTAGGGTCAGCGACGCGTCCAGAAGTACGCGAATATGTCGCGCACCTTCTCCAGCGACTCGGGGCAACCTCCTGCGGAATCCATGGTGAAGACGGCGGCACGGTACAGCGCGCTAGGCGACGCGGGCGGGGGACCCAGAGGGCACGAGCAGACGCAGGCTAGCAGCGAGCAGATGAAGGAGCGGCAGTGATGGTAAGAGACAAGGTGTAAGTGGGCCCCTCTGTATTTTTGGGTTTTCAAACGCGTGCATCTTCGAGGGGACGCGCTTTGCTTCCGTGGCCACGCGAGACCCACGCGGGAAAGAAGCACCGGTCAATTTACGATTTCACCGTCGCCTGACCGACGCGAGCCCGCTGCACCGGCGCGCCAGGGTCCAGGAGACGGTATCCTTGCGGCATTCATGTGCTCCTCCTGCTCTGCTCTATCTTCAGCGCACACGGCTCTCTTTCTTCTGCTTTTCCCCATCTCTTTTCGTGAAGAACCGGGCAGAATCAGGACGGGGGTGCTGCGGGAACAAAGACGTCTTGCAAAAGGGGATACGAACCAGATCCTCCACACAATTGAACTTCGCACGGCACGAAGCGCGCACCCCAATAGCCACGCGCATCATGCCGCATCGATCCCATCTTCAGCCGCTTCCCAGATCGCCCCGCAGCTAGTGTTGCCGGAAGGCGGAGGCGCCTCCGGCCCGAGGTGGAGGCAAGGCACCTTACCTTCCAAATCAGGCAGGCAAGGTCGCATCACCTCCACCTTGCCTTCCCACCTCCATCAGTCCTCGCGCCAAATGTAGCTGCGACTTAGCTCTCCCTATATATCACCCAAAATACGACCATATATGCTCTGAAGATTGTACCCGAAGCCGTATACCCAAGATCATTTCAATCCTAGCTCCGCAAGCGCTAGTCATCGACTCCACCACCCCCGATCCTGATGCTGTGGCGCGAGAGGGGAGCAACGAGTGCCTGTCGAGACGCAGACCGCGTAGCTTTATACTGCTGCGCGAGTCACGTTTCGACGCGTCGAGCATCGCCACTCACCTTTGTTGAAGATTCAACAAAAAGTACCACGTTTTCCGGGCGCTCGGGTGCCATAAAACCGCAGCGCCCATCGTATGCTCTTCAATTCATGCCCTCTGATCCGCCGCCGACTACCTGCACCTGTCAGGATAGATCAAGGTGCTCTTGTAGTGCCTCAATGTTTTCCAGCTTCAGCAGTGGCTTGTCGCAGGCAGCGGCGCCGCCTGCCCCATCTGCACATCCACTCTATTCCTATGCATATCCGAATCAGTACTGGGATCCTGCCACCTCTGCCTGGTACGCCCCTCCGTCACAGCAAGTCCACCCCTCCGTCTATGCCACCAACCTGCCGACTCATTATCCACCTTCTGATAATGCCTCCCCTCTCGTTCGTACTGCGCTCGGAGACTCAACGGTGGCGGCAAATGTCTCCCCGTACCCTGGACCACCAGCGTCAATCTACCTCGACGTAGATGAGGTACGCAAGCGAAAGGCTTCGGCGACAACGGCAGGTGGCACAACACAGCCACGAGCTTCGAAACGCGCGCGCCCTGCAGCGGCGGGAGGCGCATTAAGCCAGGCGGCAGCGGCTTCGACACCAGCCCCGACATTGCACGGCGTTGGACCCACTGCAGTCCCTCCAAAGGCGGCACCTCCAGCAAATCCCGCTCGGCCTACGACATGCGCTGGCTCACATCTCGCGAAGGACCCCGGGCGCCACGCCATTGCAACCGATGTTTGGTACTTTGTGCAGGGCAGCGATCCGAAGGGCGGCTGTGCTTTACCAACCATAGAGGAAGCCCGAGAGCAGACACGACCGAATCCCGAGAAGTACGCGCGTCTTGCTTGTCGGCTTTGTCCGTGCGTACCAACTATCCTCTCGCTCCTACCTCCCAAGCTAACTCGCCATTAATCTCCAGCACCTCTTCGCCGAAATCATGGGCAAACACGAAGGGACTTACGGAGACAATTCGCAAGCACATGGTCGACAAGCATGAGCGTGTTTGGCGCGATACGGTCGTCAAACTCGCGCTCAAGGACTACGACAAGCCTTACCAGATGAAGGACGGCGCTGTCCACTCGCGTAACAACCTCCCATATGACAGGGATGTTATGCGCGACAAGCTTCTGCGCTGGCTTGCTGTGGATGACCAGGTAAGCTTTACGGAGTCTCGCATGCTGTGCTTTCAGCTAATTTGCTTCGAAAGTCCATCAATGTCGTCGACTCGCCCGAATTTCGGGATTTCGTGTTCTACCTCAATCCAGACATCGACGAGAGCGACCTGCCCCATCGAACGAAGATGACGGAGCTTATAGAAGAGCGCTTCAAGAAGGAGTTCGAAAGCATGCGAGTCGAGATGGAGGTAGGTCAAGGCTCTTTGATTTAGTGTGCTTCTGAGCTAATTTTGTGGCAGAATTCGCCGGGGCGCATCGCGTTTACCATGGACGTATGGTCGCGCGTCAACCTAGAGAGTTATTTGGCTATAACAGCTCATTATGTCCATACGACTCCTGCGGGTCAGGAGATCCTCAAAGCGCAACTCGTCGCCTTTCACCACCTTCAAGGCAAGCACAGTGGTGAGAACATGGGGCAAGCGTTTGTCTCCATTGTTAAGAAGCTTGGCTGCATTAATAAGGTGAGCTTGCTCGCTCGTTAAGCACAGTAATGCCCCCAAACCCCCTTCTATTGGTAGTACGCTTACTTACCATCCTTTCTGGACTTAGATCTCGTCTATAACCCTCGACAACGCCTCGAACAATGGCACGCTGATGGACGAGGTTGCGGACGAGCTCACAAAGCTCGATATCCCTTTCAATGTCCAGGAAAATCGCATTCGGTGCGTCTCCGCATACTGATTGTCTGACGTGCGCTCTTTACTCATAGTGACACCTTCAGGTGCTTCCCTCATGTCGTGAACATCGCCGTGAAGGCGGGAATCAAAGCGCTACATGACCTATCGCTATACGACTACGACGCCTTCGCAAAACCCGACGGTCTGAGCATGGCTTTCGAGCTTCTTTCGGACATTGCATATCAAGATGCCCTCAAAGCCGACGTCGTTTCCAAGGCCCGAAAGCTCATCAATGCGATACGGTCTTCAGGTCAGCGTCGTGAAGCCTTCGGGAACACGATCAAGGCACAAAACGATAAGGGCGGGTGGGGCGAGGACCCACAGATTCTTCGCATTGTTGGCCTCCTTCGGGACGTCGACACCCGCTGGTCATCGACACTCATTATGATTGACCGCCTCCTGGAGTTGTACATGGTATGCCGCTTTCGTCAATGTGCTCCTCCCCACTCTGACTTCTTTTTGTATAGGCTGTAAACGAGTTCATTTATTCGCCTCAGCAGGAGAAGGAACTCGCTCCTTTCGCGCTTGACGAGGCGACCTATCGCGCCCTTATCGATGTTCGCAAGTTCCTGCAATTCCTCAACACGGTGCAAGAGATCGTGTCTGGACAACAAACCCCAACACTATCCGTCGTCCTCCCACTCTACGAGAAACTGATCACCGGACTTCGCTTTCTGATGACTCCAGGCAACGAAGAGTCCATCCCGAAATTATCGCATGCGATCCACGCCACGATTGAGAAGCTCGAAGAATACTTCAACAAGTCAAGGTACACGAAGATGTACGCACTAGCGATGGGTAAGCCTCCCTCGTACCTCCGCTCTGCAGTGATTGAGACGTATGACAAATTCTAGCTATCAACCCGACTACCAAGCTCGAGTGGTTCAAAGAATCTGCTTACTTCTTAGCCTCTGACTACGAGGATGTGCGCCGGTATACTCGTGAAGCGGTGTGTTTCGCACTATTGACGCCTTCTCACCGAGCTCATTGTATTTTAGATGCTTGCTTATCGACGAAAACAGCGTGCTGAGGCCGCTTCTCGCCCGTCACCCCCATCAGCACCGGCTCGCGTGAGTTTCTCGGTGGCAACAAACTCGGCAGCCAGGAATCTTGCCTCCGGGCTCAACAACTTCGACACTCTGTTCAACAAGCTCTCGAAATCAAGCTCAGCGTCGTCAGTTGAATCTGAACCGGGCAATGCGGCGGCGGTGGATCCTGACGCAGAAGCACGCGCGCGCGAGGAAGATGAGCGCATCGTCGATGAGGAGCTTCTCGCATGGGAAAAGGCAGAGCGCGAGATGAGGACGTATGTCAATGCGGACCTCGTTGCTTTCTGGCAGGTCCGTCGCGTACATTCTCCCTTCCTATCGCTATTTACCACATGACACAGGTCAACAAGCTCAAGTATCCCAACCTCTACCGCGTCGCGCTTGATGTTATGCCCGTGCAGGCCTCCGCCGTCCCCTGCGAGCGTGTCTTCTCGTCCAGCAAGGAGACGGACGCTTTGCGACGCGCCAATTTGAGCCCTAAACTGATGGAACAGCTTCAGATTCTCAAGTACATATATCGTGGTGATCGTCTTCATTTTATGTCAGATCTTTTATGCACAGAACAAGAGTTGACTGTCATAGACATAGACAGGTCGCTCTTGGAGGATATGATATCAGACGGACGAGCCGATGAGCTCGACTCGCTGATTTCGGTATCTTATCATTCTACCACTTCTACTTCTACCTTATAGTGCACAAGCTCAACGAGCTCTATTGAGGGCTTCCTATTCTTCCTTACAACACAATTACTCTACCCTAGTACACTTTATAACCGCAACATCGGCCTACACGTCTGCATTATCAAGGGTCCGCAGAAAGATTATTACGGTCGAATCAAGGACACGAACGGCAATCTGGCGCGCGTAGAACTGACGGGCAACAAGATTATCTCCATCGACAAGTTGAAGCTTGCGGTTAAGGAGGGGAACCAGATGCAGGCGCTCGGCGACCGCAACCGCCCTCGGCGCACCAACATGGGTCCCCCGAGCAACTTGTCGTCGCCATCCGTCAGCCCGTGCACCTCTCAAACGCCTGGGACGCCGATGCGGGGCAGCGCGAGCCGCACGCCAAACCCGTACATAGACAATGGCGGGAGGACACAATGCGGGAGGACACAATGCGGGAGGACACAAGGTGGAGTACGAATTCGCGGACGCCGAATCCGTACACAGCCAGCAGTTCAGAAGGACGGCGGGTATCCGCAGGGAGGGCAACCCGCGTATGTACCAGAGCGGGAGCGGCAGCAGGACGCCGGCGTGGAGTACGAACTCGAAGACCCCGAATCCGTATGCGAACGACGGTGGTCGGACTCCGGGGTGGCAGGGTACTAATAAGGAAAGTAAGGTGAAGGCGATGTGAAGGCGAGTTTTGATGGAGGCGCCGAATTCGGCACCTCGACCTCACCTCGGCCTTGCCTTCCGGCAACACTACCCGCAGCCCAACCGGAGTCCAGCGGAGCCGCATCACGTCCTCATGCTCTCCCGCGAAAGACGAATATCCTGCTCCCCCTCGGGCTGCTCGCCAACAGGGAAATCTGAGCGCGAAATACGTGTACTGACAGCGCGCAGCTACCACGCAGTGCTCGACAGCGCACACGTTCCTTCGCCAAGAAACATCCATTGTCAGCTCGGGATTCAGCAATCTAAAGCCGACCACCCATAGTCGGATGAAGCTTAGCTTCAAGAGTCTGCAGTAGCCAGCTTCCCTACCAGCCGCGATAAGGTGATACACGCTGGGCAGTCATGTCGAATCTGCATCCGTCAATTCGAGTGAGATAGAAGAACTGGCAATTTGGTCGGTGCAGACTTGATGAAAGTAAGGGCTGTCCTCCAGTCTTCGTCCCATGCAGGAGCTAGACGAAGCTGTCCGGACGGGCCCAAACAATGCTGTGACAGTCACAATATGAACTCAAGTCACGTGTATCGCACGTGAATGGTTCAAGTTTACCGGAGTCTGCCATTGGGGATCTGCGCACACCCGCAAAAGTCGTGCGGGAGGAGGTCCTCGCAGTCCAGACGAAAGATGGAAGACAATTTTCGAATATCCCTTCGGACCCGCAGTCAGAAGGGGGACCTACGGCGCCACCCTCACCGTCGGCCAATGATCCTCGAGATCCTCCGCCACCACTACCTTCTCCCCTACTTCCTCCGCCCTCCCCCCGAACCGTACGTCCACCACCCTCACCGGCTCACCCTCTTCCGCGACCTCGCCACCATCCTGCGTCACCCCCACCGCCCTCCTCCGATCCACCACCCGCACCCTCGGCGCGCGCACCAGCCCGCACGCAATCGGGATCACCCGCCAGCGCACGCGCTCCTCGCCGCCCGGCAGCAACACGGGCAGCCTCGCCGCGCGCACGCCCGCGACGACGAACGCGTCCGCCGGGTCTGGCTCGAGGGCGACGTGCACATTGGCCGCGCGCGTGGGGTGGTTGTTGCGCACGACCAGTGTCATCAGCGCGGGCTGGTGCAGCTGGGCAACCGCGGGTGCGTCGAGGAGCGCGATGAGGCCGTCCGTGGGCGGGCGCAGGGCGGGGAGGGGGAAGATCGCCGTGGACTCGGGACCTCGGTCGCCGTTTGAGGCGATTCTGCGCGTAAGCGTGAGTAAGGGGGCGAGCGAGCGGGAGTTTGTATCCGTACCGTCGCCATTTGACCTCGTAGTGCCCTGGTCCTGGGACGGGGAGACCCTCGACGTAATACTTGTCTGACGGCGCAAGGCTGACACGGCACAAGTCACTGATCTCGTCGCCGGCAAGGTATTCTGCATAAGCATCTTCAGGCAAGCTCCCGAAGCTGAGCATGTCTTGCTTACCACCGGGGAACATGCCCTCGTCGACCACGTCCGTTGAGGCCTCCACGATTTTTGCCTGCGGATTGTTCTGCAGCGGCCGTCAGACCTCGATCTATTTCTCTCAATATTTGGTACTCACCTCCCTGACCAACTCCATTCCCAGAATCTCTAGGTTCCATGGACCCGCACACTCCAGCACGAGCTGCACCACCGCCTCCCCACCTAGACTATCATCCCAGAAATCGCTGTCGAAGGTGCTCAGGTCTGCAATGCCCGGTCGCGGAACGCTTGTCGGTGCACGCTCGTAGGAGACGTCCCATGAAGCGCGGATAGCTTCGACGGTCAGCACGGCGAGGGTATGCAGTACCTCTGTCGAGTGGCGGTTGTCACTGGCTTCCGTCTGTTCGTCCTGGGTATCTACATCGTCGGTAGACAGGACCTCCCTACATTGCGTCGAGATATCGAGGACGCGATCGCCGCCCGCGCCAGTGCTGTGCAGGTGCAACGTCTTCACGATGCTCGCACCCGGGACGAGGGTACCACAAACGATCCCCTTGACCAAGCTCGTCGACTGCTGGTCGTCGATAGTAACCGTGTTAACTGCCGAGGGGATAAGCATGTGCATGTGCAGACTGGTGGGTAAGGAGTTTCCCTACCTGCATCGTCCACCTCCGTCGGCTGCAGCAGCACGTCGAGCGTGACCTCCAAAGACCGATCGTCCGTGTTCGTGATGTCGATCAGGATAGGATAGTCCTCGCCGATGTATGCAGGGGCATGCTGCTCGATCTTGACTGACACGCTGTATGGACGGTGGCGCACGCTGCAATACGAAAGCGCGTGAGCAAACCCAAGGGTACCATGGAGTGCCTGGGCGGCTACGTACGCAACAGAATGTGCATTGTCCCTGTCCACAGGTAGGTATCGCACAGGATCGATGGAACAAAGCCACTTCGCTTGTGCGGACGAGCCTGTCTTCAGCGGAAGGTCAAGGGGAAGCTGTATAGTCCAGTTGCCCTCTGTGATTGTCAGTGCGAGCTTCGGGATCTGAGCACTGCTTCAGTAAGAGGACAATCGGGATAGGACATCCGTACTGACCGTCAACGTGGTCGGCGTCTCCGATTGCATCGTGCCCGCGAACACTATCGTCGCCCCAGTCGACCACCGCAGGTTTGCCTTCAGCTCGCGCTCTTGCCCCGGGACCAGGTTCCCAAGCTCGACGAGTTTCGATGGCGCGGCATCGTCCGCATGACGAATAGTAAGAGGAGGATCTGCAGGATCTGGCGAGAAGAAGATCTGTAAGGTCGTGAACGGCAGGGCGGCGATTGATGCAGTCGCAGGTGCAGTAAGAGCAATCTGGAAGGCAGCTGGCTCGCCGACTTTGACTTCTGAGGGCCAGAAGACCAACGTAGGTTTCACTAGAGGGCTGTTAGTTGATGACTTTAGGAGGAGGTGAGCAAGAACGTACATAAAGGCTCGGCGTCCGCCGCATCGATGACCACAGGCTCCGTCGACGAAGGCACGGTGCTTTGCAGGACCGCCAGCAAAATGTCTTCCAGTGCTTCATCCTCCTCGCCCTGCAGTCCTATGCGACCCATCAGCACCTTGCCCATCCACCCATCCCCTTTATCATACTTACCATGCCCCAGCATCTCCACTACCAGCCGCACGCTCATCTCCATATCGCCCAACAGCTTCGCGCACTCGTACCACGTCGCCAGTAGGGGCCGGAGCATCTCGCCCCACTGCTCGCGCCGGTAGGTCTTCGCGATGCGCTCGAAGAAGCGCACGGCCATGTCGAACTTGCCCGAGGTTTGGTACGTCTGCGCGATCTTGTAGGCGATGTAGAGGGTTTGGCGGCCGGGCTGCGAAGCGGATGATGGGGTATACTTCTTGAAGAGCTCGTAGGCCTTGGTGTAGAGCTAGCATTGCACCCCTTACAGTCAGTCTTAGCGGTCCGTACATAGACGAAAAGACGAACCTCCAAGATGATGACCAAATGCTCAACCTTCCTCTCATTCGCAAAGCCCGGCGAGTTCGCCGACGCCGGACTCATCGCACCCAGCGCATCCATGAATCGCGCCCTTCGCATCTCCGTACAATGCGCCGCAACATAGTAGTAGAACCCCGGGTGCTGTAGCGCGCTGCTCGGGTTCACTCCTAGCGCGCGCACCATGGGCTCCATGCCTGCCGGCTGCTGCAGCGGGAAGGACGGTCGGTGGACGGGGATGCGTAGGTTAGCGCGCGTGCCGTGCTCGAGAAGCTCGGCGAATATGCGATGCCTAGGGTGGGAGGGGCGTTAGGGTGTGAGGGTTACCATGGGAGACGGGGTATGATAGTGTGGAACACGCACTGTCGCGCTATCCATGACCAGTATTCGAAGGTGTCCTCGCCGATGCCCCAGCCGCGCGAGAAATCGCCGAACTGGCGGATGTGGCTAGTGTGATGGGAGAGGGCAAGGGAGTGCTCGTTGTTGTACAGGTATAGCTTGACGATCTGGACAAAATGAGCATATGTATGCGCATATATGACAGGCAATTGACCTTGACATTGATGCAGTCTGCAAGCACCTTCGCTTCTGCCCACCTCTTCGTGCGCGGCGGCAGGATAAGCGGCGAGCCGAACATGATGATGAGCGTCGAGTATGCGTCCTGGTAGTGCCTGCCGCGGAATAAGCTTCATAGCTCGTCTAGAGACAGGCCGCCTCACTTTAGCGCGACCTCGCCCTCACCCCGAAACTCTGCGAAGCATGCCATCTTGTACTCATATCGCACCGTCCAACCCTCGGGGCGCAAAGGCCGGACGATATGCGTGCTGGTTGCGAGAGGGCTGATGGGTATGGGTGCTTGAGAGGCGTGACGGTTGCGCTTGCGGCGGACGCGCTTGGAGTGGTTGGTGTAGTATTCAATGGCGGGTTCGTACAGGGCCTGTTGCAGACTGGAATGGGAATCAGCGCGGATAGAGGAAGAGTGAGGGAGACGCACCTGCGAACGAAGTCCTGCAGCTCGGCAGGACTGACGGGGCTCAGCACGAAGAGGGCAGCCCTGCTGTCCAACCCGCTGCTTCGCCGTATGAAGGTCAAGCGGCTGTCCAGTGTCGGGTCGTCTGCAAAGCATCAGCCAAGAGATCTCAGAGACTAAGTTGCCACACACCGAGCATCCTCCTGCTCGCCAGGAGGACCACGGTAAGCTTGATCCCCCGCTCATTCGTGCTCTTCTTTCTCAACGCAATGTCGGTCGACAGATCCGCGTCGAACTTGCGCTCCTCCTCATGCCTCTCGCGCTCCGTCTCGTGTACATGTGCCAGGTCGAGTGGGGACTGCGGCTGGGTCGATGGATGTTCGTATAGCCTCATGAATAGTACAAACACGGACGGTACGAGCTGCGTATGCTTGCGAATCCATATTGGCGCGATCAGGCCGTCGGGATACAGTGGGGAGGACGGTGTGAGCGGACTTAGTGGTGAGTGTGCATTGGCGTATGACGGGTCCTCTGGCCGTACGAGCTTGCGCGGGGGGAAGTGCACATCCCGCGAGACGAGCTGGATCTGGAACTGCGGGATGGGCTTGCGCGCAGTGGATTCTGCAGGAGGCTGATATATGGCGACCTTGCGCTGTACGCCAAGCGCTTCTCGTAGGCGAAGGATGAGTACAGTGAAGGGATCGGAGGGTTTGGAAGGAGTCGAGGGAGGCGGTGTTTCTGGGGGTTGAGCTTGGGGATCGGGGGATGGTGTCGAGGGCTCGGTCTTGTTAGGTGCGTCCAGTCCAGCGACGAACATCACTGGCGCCAGCTGCGCGAGCAGTTCTGGGGGATACGAGTTCATGGCGGCGAGCACTTGACGACGTCAATGGAGGCCGCGAACAAGTCGCGTCGCGCGATGGTCCGCTTGGACCGTCGTCGCATCAGCGCTCTCGCCATCATCATCATCAACGTTCGCATCGAGCTCGAGGATTAGAAGCACGTCGTCGCTCACCCCTTCGAGCAGAGGGATCTTCAACCAAACCCAATAGCCTACGGTCGGGGTCTGTACACATTCAAGCTGAATAACTTGCCCTCGAGCGCTTCCGTGTTCTCAACGGATCAAGACCGCAATCGCTCCCCTCATCATGGCAACACGAGGTGCATCATCCAGGATACTTATGCGTGCTGCTATTGTCTAGTCATAAGCACACGGAAGGCGGCCGAACAATCCTGATCGACAGCAGCCTCGGGGGCCTTTGTCCTGAGGTTTGATCATCTTCGACTACATTCGATGCAGGATGAGCCAAGCGTCGCTATCTCAGCCATCTCTGACCTACTAAACCTCAGGAAGATGCCCCGATATATGCTAGCGCAGGGTCTACAAGTCCTGTCCACGCCGCCGCAATTGGCCCCGCTGCGCTCCATCAAATGGAACATACACGCGCCCGGATCACACCCAAACATGGCAATCAATGGCCATTGTCGTCCGCATGTGGCAACGAACATCAGTGGGCCCGTCACGCGCGCTATGTGAGACCGGTGTTATAAATTCCACCCGGCTCCGCTTTGCAGCTCCTTGTCACCTTTTCACTCAAACCACCATCTGCTGCACGCCTTTCGGCCACAGCGAGCTCCTCGACGCCCCGCTCAACTTCAAGCGACCGCCACCCGATCTCAATCACAATCTTAGCGATGTCTGTTGCCACCGCTTACGCCACTCACGCATCGTCGTCGATGCTAGTTGTGCGTCGTCTATTGCTCGTTGTAGACACGTTGGCTGACGGTCTCCGCAGGGATATCATTCGGCGCTGGCTTATAACAACCCCGCCCTTTTCGCGATTCGTGGGCGGCCCACCCAAGAACTCTACACTTACGTGGGCTTCGGCACTGCCGAGCCCTGCATCCTTCACATGCCTAACCACCTGCGCCTCGCTCGCTCGCGCCCTCCCAAGCGGCCGCGTGCGGTGACCGTGAGTGGCATGTTGGACGAAGCCAGCAGCGTCCTCTCCACGGCAGATGTCCAGACACCCACTACCGCTTACTACGAGGGCCCCGCCACCCCTCGCTCGCCCTCCACCTCCCGAGTCTCAACTCCCACAAGCGCTTCGTACCGCACGCCCACCCCCGACGAGATCGTCGATGGGGCGCGCGCAAAGCAGGCCGCCGAGGACGACAAAATTCGCGCCTTCTACGCGAAGAACCCCGCCCTTGCGGCCCTTCGGCCCTTCACCACTACTCATCTCCCCACGCCGCCCTCGTCGCCTGGCTCGGAGGCGGAAGCTCTGCCGGTCGCCAACCTCGTACAATCGACACCTCGCCCTGGCATTAAGCGTCCCCATCGGCCAGCCGATATCAAGACCGGCCCTATCACTCCGCCCGCATCGCCTACTACTACGCGGGCTAACAACCGCTTTCTTCAGGCGCCCATGACGCCGCCGGAGTCGCCAACCATCCCAAGGAAGTTCCGGGCATCTCTGCAGACCATGAGGCCTCTTACCCAGCGCTCGCCCACCACCCCGACTTCACCGTCGAAGATCCCTCGCCGCGCTGGATCCAGCGTGCCCAAGTCACCTCGTCTGTGACTTGTACGCTATCTAACAAAAGTTAAGCTTGTATCATTTATCTTTCACTTATCTGCTTGCTCCGTACAATGGGAGACTATCTGCTCCGCGTGCTGCACCATTTCTGCAGGATCACGTTCTTCCTCATTCATAGTTAAAGGTGCCGTCTACCCACTTGTAGTCGAATATATTTTTACCTCGATTTCTCTTTACTCGTCTCGCCGGCTTGTACATTACTCTTACATCTCTACCATCAGTATTGGTCTTTCCGAACACGAATTCCAGGCCAAGATTAGGGTTGCTGCTTGGAACTTGAACTACAATGCATGACCGCGTTGGTCATAAATCCGGACTTCGTCGAACTGGGAACTAGCAGAAGCGCAGCTGCTCCTCCAATGTATACCTTACTTCGGCACGCAGTACTTGGCAGACTCGAGTCGGGCGCTGAGATTGATATCCTTGCTCGCGACAAGCGAATTTCCTTTTGCTCCGAGGTGGTAATCCGGCGGAATATCTGATTGAATGCATGCGACGGACTCCCCGGTAACGTCAAAGAAGATATTGATCTGTACACATGTACACAGTGAGTGAGATGGAGCTGGCTAAGTAAAAGCATCGTCTACAGATAGTCGACGTCGAAGCAGAAATATTTGTGCGACGATGCATGCGCCTGCATGTGTTCGCTGCTGCACTGCATCACATGTCAGTATCGGTATTGAAAGAGGAAGGAAGGGAAAGTCGACTCACATACATGGCCGACTTGCATCTGCTAATATCTTCAGTAAGCTCCTTCCGTAACGAACAAGGACATACTTTGGGCAGCATAGTAAAGGTCCGCCGCCAACCGCTTCGGTCTTGCGGCATGTGGACCCAGTGCAAGTCTCGATTCCCTCCATAAAGGTTTTTCGCATCTCGGGAATGTAGGAGATCGCCATGGCGCTACGATACAAAGAGAAAGGTGAGTTGTACGCTTTGTGACACGCAACAGCGCACTCACGCCGGCTTCGTCAGCAGAACGAGGCAACGCTCTGCAGGGTTCTTCTCGATGTCGGGCGAGTATCTGGTCATCGACCAGTGGAAGAGTTTTGGACCAAGCGCATTAGCATCGGCGTTAGATATGCCCTTGCGGTCGTGAATGAGGATGAGGGTAGCAAGAAAGTTCATGACTCTCGCATGGTCCTCTTCGTCCATCTTGTCGATCTCGTCGACGGCCTCCAGCGTGCGGCGGAGCTGCATGGCCAAAAGGTCGTGGTTCTTCTCTAGGAATAGGAAGCGCACGAAGGTAGGGCTGAAGCGCGTCTGAGCGATGGCATGGTACGACGTGTAGCTGAACATACCTCCATTTGATCTCGTTGAGAACCATAACGGCAGGACACAGCACCCCCGCGCTGTCGCGCCATTTCTGCACTGCGCGCGGGACATATTCCGCTGCGAATTTACTGAGAATGCTGTCAGCCTGGATTAGATACCAATATCGAACTCAGTCCTACCATTGCAGGATTGTCTGCGCCATCACGGACAGGGTATCAATCACTCGCAGCTGGGAGAAAGCATATGAGTTCGGCTCGGGCTGGAGGACATGGTACAACTATCTTCTCTCACCTGGCTGGTGATGATTGTCTTGCGATGCTCGTCTGTCATCTCCGGAGGCACGAGAGCATGCCCGGACTCCAGCCCGATGACTATGGCCAGCGAACGCGGGCCCGCAAACTCATCTGCAGTGGGTGAGAAATTCATCGCGGACATTGCAGGACCCATTTCTGCGCAAGTCAAGCTCGAGCTTCAAGCGCTGCACGATTCAGAGGGCTTATAAGGAACTTCCACCTTACCGCCCATGAGGCGCACCGCCGCCCTCCTTCCAAAGATTCTGGAAAAGCGGATGCGAGAGGTAAATACAGGTGGAAGCAGCCACACGTACGAGGTCTGCTGGCAACATCGGCATACTAGGCTTTCGAACGCACTTGAAAGCGGCTAGGTGTCATGTGCAAACGGCGTTGAAGTCAGCCCAGAAGGGGAAGACAAACGACACTCCAAGAATCTGCCGCAACACTAGAACCTAAGCGCGTATACTTATCAACACCTGCAAGTCCTTCTGATGTCAAGAGAACGGACATTGAGATGAAGGAGGCGGTCGAAAGAGGTGGCGGCGCGTCAGAGCATGACAGCGTGTGACCGGCTTTTGCCGGGGTAGGTAGACAAGCGCGCGCCCACAAGTAAAAGACCAGCGCCGGAAATGACCCAATCCCAGGGCCGGCTCGCTTCCTTCCTTTTCCCATATCAGAGGCTCCTCGTATGTGTATGTGTCTCAAGATCATGCAACGAATATAAATAAGTACATGTGCCTCCTCACTGTCTAGGGCCCCCCACTTACTAGCGCTATCCCGTTGTCTTTTTCGTTCGACTTTCGAGCATCCCCTAATGCACCGTGATCAGAGTTTTCCGCTGTATCTGGTCTGCTGTCCTCGGTGGATGTATAGCTCGACTGGTCGTTCGTCTGCTCGAGGTGAAGCGAAGGGTCGCGCATCGCACTTGCTTCTTGTGATTCTGGTTCGCTTGCGATGCTCATCATGGGCAGATCCGCAAAGCGCATTGCTTGCGATACTTGCGTGCCAAGAAGCTCTTGTGTCGTGTTACTCTGCATGGCGACGAGGACAACGAACGTCGGGTAAATCCCCTACGAAAGAAAACATCGTGAGACGATGATTACTGGTGGCGCAGAGAAACCTACAGCGATGTTGTGAATAGCGGAGCCAAAGGTGTCGCTGGTGTAGTACGAGATGTTCAGTCTCTCCGCGTCAGTCCAAATGATCGTGTAGGCTATCTGATAGCAAGGCATAGGCAGTGAGCCTCCGGGTGAACTTGAAAGCGCGGGCAAGGCTTACCCAAATGGCACAGTACGTGATACCAGATTCCAGGAGTAGGACAAGCACTTTCTCGACTTGACTCTTTCGCGTGAATAGACCAAGAGCGCCCTTGATGTCGCGGCGGTAGTACCTGTAGGCGCATTGCCATCAGACCCGGATGGAGCTACATCCTGGTGATGGGAAGTACCAGAATTTGATGCCGATCAGTACCGTCGCAACGACGTTGGTGGCGAGGAGAAACGCCAGCTTGACATCTGATTGTATTGCTATATGATAGTCCACGAGCGGAGATGAGGGCATGTAGAGGTATACGAGCTGCGCGAGCGTGCTACCTGGACCACGTCAGCTGAAGTCACGAACACGGAAATGGTTACTTACCCAACGTTCCAGTCAGGAAAGAGAGCAGAATTCCTTTCGCCACAAGACTGTCCGACCACAGGATATACGCTCGCCAGACGACAACTGCGTCGCTCACTAGGTACTGATCGACATTGAGCAGTACGAAGCAAGCACGGAATACTGCACATACGTTGAAGTTGTTTGCGACGGTTCCCATTATGTCGAGGCGGACGAGCAGCCTCATCACGTCATGAACTGACGTGCCAAGTTCCCATGGTAACTGGACCAGGTAGAAGAGCGCATTGCTGATGACCCCAAGCAAAGAGGATACCAGAAGCACAAGGATTACGCCCATCATGAAGCGAGATGGGCCTTCGCGGCGTCTACAGGCGAATCAGCAACATGCGTGCCACGATCTGGACTCGCCCACTCACGCCAGAACAGCGACGGCTGCGATGGAGAGCGCGCTCTGCATTCCTGTAAATACGAGTCAGTCTGAAGAAACCATCAGCCAAGCATCGAAATTGGCGTACCGTACAGGGCGAAGTCCACGCCTATTTGCATGATCAGCCCCTGCATGTCGGCGACATCCAGCGCGGCCAGGGGATGGTAAACGTCGCGACGCTCGAGGTAGTGCGGTCCCCTCGACGCGTTAAGCATCGTGTACTTCGAGGGCATCGCGGCGTTTGGTGTCTTCGAGGATGTCGGAATGGTTATATACTCGCCGTGTCCTCATCCGCAGAAGCACTATGTGCGATCCTTGCGACAGGCACCCCCGTCGAAGGCTATAGCGCGGATACACGGAGAACGAGGCTTCCATCGCGAGGGATGAACTGGATCAAGAGCGCGTAACGCTAATCAGCGCTCCGAGCGCCCAAATGGACAGTCCATAGAGGTGGACGCCCCTTCAGACCGACAGTCGGTCAGGTCTTCAGGGAACAGTGATAGGCAGTCATAGTTCAAGTACCTACAAGAAGGGTCAGTGGCGCTCTAGCCCGACACATCGTCGACAGCTTACCTAGAGTCCTAGTACTAACGGTGGCCACCATCGCTGAAACGTTCGCATTGAGCGCCCAAGGGTGATCATTGCGACGGGAGATGTCTTCGAAACTCTCCGGTGAGAACATTCACAGGGTGTTCCTTCAGCTTGCTGAATTGGCGTCACTTACACTGAGTATTTCTCGAGCATGCACGAGCTCGGAAAGTGCGGCTTCGCAGTATGAAGCTCGGCGTGGCACAATTACCGGCGTTTGCCGCCAGGGGCATGTTGTCAGAAAACGCGCGAAGATTATAGATCAGGTATACACCAAGAAAACCGACGTGCTGTACAGAACATCGCAAGAAATCCAAGAAATCGCCGCGCTCAATGCAGCATGATCAATCGTCGGGACAGTAGTCCTCATCGTCATCCTCGTCGTCGGCGTCCAAGCCGGCCATCGAGATGCGCTTGCGCGCCCTCTTCGACGGACTCCTAGGCTTGTGTGGCTCATTGAAGGGGCTAGGTGACTCGCCGGGCGTGCTGGGTACGAAGTGCGATGCGACCTTGGGCTTCGCGGTGCTCTTCGTCAGCTTGACGGGACGCGGTTGCCCTCCTGACCCTTGCGTATAAAGCATCTGTAGCTCTTCCCGTCGGTCCCACCAATTCTGGATATCCTGCGCAATGTCGTGCGTGTAACGCTTGCACTCGAAGAGGAGGACGTCAAGGTGCTGAAGATGAACTATCAGTGAACATACGCTCGTTCGATTGCGAGGCGACTTACCGTCTTACCCTCCCTCAAAGCCATGAGCATCTCGTCCTCCGCAAACTTGTCTTTACGAGGCTGCGCGTTCCCACCGAGCACGACCGCGCGCATGTCCCCCCAGCACTGCGGCTTCTTCTTCGAGCAGATACTTCGAGCCCATGTACGCTGAACTTCGTACCCCATTGCGCAGAACTCCTCTCTCGTCACCGGCCGAACCCGCTTCGACACGTAGTCGCCTACGTACTGCCACTCGTTTACCCCTCGACACACGAACAGAGCTGTCGGCGCCCCAAAAAGCACGTCCTCTCGCCGCGTGAGGAGAACTCCCGTACGACCCGGACGATCAGGGAGGTGCGGATTCATATTGAGGTTGGCGAAGGCGACGGGGAGGCGAGAGGGTTGGGCGGTGTAGCTGGGACCATAGGTAGATTTGGAGCTCTGCGTGTGCAGCCGGGAGTTGGTGTAGGGCTTGGGGTGGAGGAAGGCGAGGAGCGAGTTCTCGTTGCAGCCGTAGAGGTGGAGGAGGAAGCGGCGGGAGACGGAGGGGACCTTTGCATAGGATTCAGGTACAAGGTGCGAGGGCGAGGCGGAGATGAGGTTGGGAAGCGGGACATGAACGTTGAGAACCTGAGCTGGCGCGTCGAGCTTCGAGGTAGAAGCAGCGGGCGGCTGAGGCTGCGTGCTGAGCGTGTCCCCGACTATAGTGCGAGAGGTAGCTGGCTGTGTAGTGGGCCTCGGGGTCGACGGGACGCGGGTATGACGAAGCTGGCTGGCCAGCGCAGAAGGCGTAGGCTTCACGGCGCTGATGTCAGGAAACATCGACTTTGCTCGTGCAGGCGGAACCGCAGCAGTTTGAGATTCGACAGCTTCCTTCGATTCCATGACTGCCTTTGCATCTACATTGTTCCTTGAGCCCTCGACACCGTTCGACTGCAGGACGTTCCTTGTTTCGGCGGCGCTCGCCGCATGTGGTCCATCCGCCGGGCCCGCCAAGACGGACTTCGACCGGGCAGGAACTCGCAGCTTCAGTTTCTTGGGCTCCCTATCGTATCCGGAAAGCAGGGTCGCCGACTTTGGATGTGCATTGAGAGCCTTTGCATCAGGGACGAGGCTTTGGCCAGAGTTCCTAGGCCGGCGTGGCGCGGACGTCGGAAGTGGGCGAGATGTAGAAGCAGAAGTAGACGCCTCGTCAGCTCCTTTGGAGGCCGCTCTTCCAATAGCATAAGGAACGTCAGCCACGCGCGCCTTCCGAGGCGATTCAACCTTCACGTGCTTCTTTCGCAAAGCGGACGCGCTTGGAGTCGACGACTGCGCCGTGCTCTCCCGCGACTTCCCCGCTTCTGACACCAGCACGCAATCCATGACGAGGCGCGGGCGCTTGCGACGGACGACCGCGCTGTCCTCATCGTCATCGGAGAAGTCCTCGACTTTGACCTTTCGGCCGTTGAGGCGGGTAGAGCGGCGGGAGGTGGCGAGGGCAGAGGCTGCGGGTGCGGAGGTTGCTAGAACTGCGGAGGAGGTCACCGTAGTAGGTGCGGGGATAGTAGGAGTAGACGGAGTGGTAGTCGTGTTGGCATTTGCGGGAGCAGATTCCTTGTGCGGGATCGACAGTGCTGGACGCGGCTCGCTCGCAGTCGACGCAGAACGTGCTGTTGTCGTACTAGATGAGGAGGTTGGAAGTGGGTTTGCTGCTGGTCTACAGATCGGCAGTTAGAGCGGCAGGGACGAAGGATGAGGCGAACGTACCGCTTCGTTCGACTCAACGGGCCCGGCTTCGCATGTTTGCGTTCATCGTGACGTCGTTCAGCAGGTCCCTTGATCTCCAAGAGCCTGGGCATTGGCTGGTCGTCCTTCAAGCAAACAGTCGTGGGTGAGGCTAGTCCTGCATTCGAGGTATGGCCGAATACCGCAGCAACAGCTGCAAGTCGTGCTTCCGCTTCAAGAGCTCTGGCCTTCCACTGCGCAAGCTCCCTTCGGCATACGTCTAGCCTTTGGTAGTCCGCGTCGTCGCCCGAGTCGTGTAAAGCGACGCAAGGACCCTCTCTGCCTCTGGAAAGCGGGCGAGGGGAGGAGCCATCCATGGCAACTCGATCAATCAAGGGAAAGGGATGTGTTTGACTTCGGGATTCATATACCACAGGAGACAAAGGTCAAATTACGAAAAGAGGACAATATGAGGGAGGCGGGACCAGCACTTCTGTGAATGAAGGTGAGACTGCAAGCCAAAGTTAAGCGCCGGAATTGTGACCGCTGGAGGGAAATGGCAAATGCCGATACTTCGGCAGACGCCGACATTTATTTCCACGGTTCGACTTTCCTGGCTGACACTGTCGCAAGCACCTCTGAATACATCTGAACTCCTCCGCTTGTCTATACCCCCTTCTTTAAAAGCTTCAAGCTCGCTCTCAGTGGAGAGATAGACCAGAACGTGGAATGACACTGATAGGCAGCGCGGATTCGAACTTCCGACCACAGCCAGGCCTCGACTCGGGACCCGAGATGAAAAGCATGTCTTCGCCGTCCTGAACGAGAGAGCCATCATACGCCCTCGCTGCTGCGGACGCCGGTGACGCCCCCGGCGAGCACGCTGCCCCATGCAATACCAGTGTTTCTGCGCGCCATCTGGCAGGATCAGCTGCCCTCCTGCCCCGTTATCTGACGCGAATGAATGGCTCAGGAGGATCAGGGACGTATGCGCGCAGTCACCCGCAGTCATGATCATTGTGTGATGCGGCGGTATGGGTGGTTTATAGGGCAGACAAATCGACGAGCGCTCGATCCCCCCTGACGGTGCTCTCGTCTCCTCGTCCTCGACGCATCTCGGCTGAAGTGCCCTCTTTCTCCTCTCCACGATGATCATCACTGAAGACGGGCCGACGTCGCCTCTGAAGACGCCCACGACGAGCCAGGGACAGTCGAGCATCAGCGACGATGAGTCAGATAGCCTTCCTCCCCCCTCGTACTATGGCAGCATGAGCGATCGCATGCTCTCCTCCGGACCCCGTCCGCCGTGGTCCTCAGGATCGAGCGCACCATATTCGACGCGATCGAGCGCGCCGTATTCCTCGGGATCGAGCGCACCATGGACTCCCCCGCCCTCCTGGCAGCATGCCCTCCATACTTCCTCCGAGCAGCTGCCTACACACTATACGCCGGATCACCCGCCATCCCCCACCAAGCCTGACGACTATGGCAAACGCGCTACGCGACGCTTCTGGCGCTCCCTTGGTGCTGCAGTCCTCATCTGGATCCTATTATCCATCCTGGTCGACAGCCTCATCGCCATCCTACGATCGAGAAGCGTGCGTCGTTGGACTCTGGTATGCAGCGTAGACTTACCCTCCCTAGCACGGCTCCTGGCAAGACCATGTCATTCTCCCCGGGATCGACCTCGAACGATGCAGCGGCATCGAGTGGAAGACAGTCGAGCGCCCAACATACCCCTATTCACCCTTCTCCGACATCCATGCCACCCTGAACATCACTTCCGAGGACTACACCGCGTCCGATCTGCATGTCGCCGATTACTCATACGAGGCTACCGGCTCGCTTGACCTCGACCTTACCGACGAGACCCTCATGCTGCTCGCGCAGGGCTCGCATCAAAGCGGTCGACTTCACGTTACCACGCACACGAAGTCCAACCGGCGCGCATACGCGATCGTAACTGTGAAGTACACATCCGCGGCCGCCTTGGCTCAGATGCACTTATGCAAGTTGTCATCAAAGGGCGTCCAAGGATTTGGGATCCATGTGCGTGTTGTCCTCGTCCAGTTCAGCTCACAGAAGCTAACCTGCCGTGACCACAGACGCCCGACTCCTTCCCGCGCTTGAATCGCCCTGAGATCTTCATCGACATCAAGCTATCCTTACCCGCGGGCTACATCTCCAGGATCGCTGGCCTTCAGACCATCCTTCCCAACTACAGCCAGTACATCGCGGACCTGGGCAAAGATGTGCGCTTCCAGCATGTAGCGCTGAATAGCACACTAGGGCCTGTTCACGCGGAGGTGAGTAATGAGCCGCTTGCGATTCCCATCCCCCTGCTTCCCATACGAACAACCACCCCCCAATTTCCAAGGCACTCTTACTTACGATACCTTTTTCCAGGCTCTCGTCGCGGACACGCTCATCGTCGGCACCTCGAATGCGCCAATAACCGGAGTATTCAATGCGACTAAAGACTTGGGGCTGATCACCTCGAACGCTCCCATCGAGGTGGAACTGGGCCTCACGCACGCCGACAAGTCCTCTGAGGGGACCTCAGCGGTCCTCCACAGCAGCAATGGGTGCGTTCGTACCAGCCTCTCACTGTCCGCCGCTTCCTAACCCAATTTCCCAGCTACATCACCGCTAGGAGTCACCTCTTGAACCCCTCGTCCTCGAAGGAGCCGCATTACAGCGTCGTCGCCACCACTACCAACAAATATGTCAATCTCTTCTTCCCCACCTCACCCCTCGACGCTCTCCTCTCCGCGCACGCAGTCACGTCCAATGGGGCCGCGCAGGTCTCGGTGAACCCCGCGTTTGAGGGCGACTTCATGCTGCACACGTCGAACTCGCGTGCCGTTGTGGACGAGTCCGGTGCGGAGGACCCGACCGGACGAGGGAGGGAAAGGACGGTGTGGGTGGATCACGCGAAGGGTGGGCGGTCGTTGGATTCTGAGAGCGCAGGGACGGTGACGTGGGGCGATCGGAGGAAGAGGACGGGGAGCGAGGTAACCGTGGTATCGTCGAATGGGAGGGTGGCGTTGGTGGTGTGAGAGGGCGGACATGTTCTCACATCATCTGCATGGTTCACATCCTGACCCCCGCGCGCCGCTCGAGAGCTCTGGGATGTTATCTCGCGGGGCCGACGCTCCGCAAGGCAAGCTGCTGGCCGCGGGAGACTAGGATGCTTCCGCTGTGGGCGCGCCACACGACATAAAGTCTTCTGACGCCGCCGAGACCCTCTTCCTGCCTGCTAATCTCCGTGTTCATCACGAACCGCGGCGAGTGGACGCAATCTTGCATTCAGTTGTTGTACCATAGCTTTCTTTCTTGTATTCTTCCGTATGTATGTCGAGGAGACAAGGGTGTATTGTACCGAGAAACACTCGAAGATTTGCTGAATTCACCGAAGTTGAACTCTTGCGGGAGCCGTGGTCGTGGGAGATGTGCTCGCCCCAAATGTCACCTTCCTGATCGGGATAAAAATACGTCCGTCCTGACCCATGTGCACCAGGGCACCCTTTTATTATTCCGCCTGCAATCGGTTTCTATGCGACGCTGGCGGCCTGTGACCTCAATTAACACCACCCAGCGTGAAGATCGCCGGCTACCAGCAGCTACCAGCTTACGAGGACGAGAGATACCGCCTCCTTAGCGACTCCTGGCTAGGAAACGAACATTTCTTCCGGTGGCGGACGACACGACGGAGCGCTCCGAATAGCGCGAGCCCTCCGGCTATCCTCGTTTACCGGTGACTGCAGAGCTGACAAGGTCGTATTTCCGCTGTGGGCGCGTCAACCAGCTTCGACACGGAATTCTGGAAGACCTTCGTCTTATCCTGCGCGAAGGCGGGAAATCGCAGCCGCGGGCCCCGAGGCTACTCTCGAAAAGGCAGTCCTTGTTGTTGATCCTCTTGTCTTCAATTCAGTATCCGCACTGCCGTCCGGCTCCCGGCGGTCTCGAGCTTGTTCTCGAGTCTGCGAGTCTGTTCCCCGGGTTTGCAATTTTGCGGCAGTTCTCAATCGCCATCCGCGGCTCGGGCCGCGCCACGAACGGCGCGCCGCGGCTCTCGACCTCGCCAGCAGGGTGCGCAACTAGACCAGCGCTCGTCGGCGACTTTGCCGGCCCATCGCGCGCGGACTGGGGGTGATGCTAACAGGGGCCCTCTTCGGAGTCTCCCACACGACAACCGCCATCGTCTTCTTCCATTCAGCCCATCCGCGCCACGCGGGTGCGATCTGCCAGGTCCCACGGGGACGGGGGCGCGCGCGTCTCTCCTCAAAATGACATTCAGTGGGTACATATGCGCGCACGTGAGCCGATCGGCAGATAACTGCGGTCCTCGCCCCGCGACGACGCTCTTTCCCTCCCGCCCTCGCGAGCGCACCCCCCATCCCATTATCCGCTAGACAAGATGGCCTCTCCTGCCGCAGCGGCACTTGGGAACCTGGACAGCAAGATCGGTGAGTGGCGGACGCCGAGCGGGACCAGGTACGCTCGGTGGGCTGACTTGGCGCCCAGGAGCGACGTATTTGGGGATTATATTCGCCGCCATGTATGTTGAGATGCTCATTCGTACCGGCTTGGCTGCTCATTGTGCCCAGCTTCTATGGGATTACCTCCATCCAGGCATTCCTGTACTTCCAGCGGCCAAAAGAGCAGTCGGATGGCTGGAAGTATGCCGTGCTGGTGTGTCACCAAGCAACCCTCCGCAATTACCCAGACCTAACAACTCCACGTCTAGGTCGGCGGTCTATGGTACGAGCGATCCGTGGCGCGTAATACTGGACGTGGCTCACCGACTTGCTAGGATTCTGGACACAATACACCTGGCGTTCGTATGCGATGCTGGCTACCACTATCTCATCGACAACTACGCCAACCCGGTGGCGCTGGCGACAGCTAACTGGTGCGTGTCCGGCCGTGCAGGGTTGGCTCGTCGCTGACCGTCGTACAGGAGCATAACTGCCCAGATCCTCATCAGCGTATGTCGGCCAATATTTCTGCGTGTCATGACTGACGTAGCGAGTAGTCGATCAGCAACTTCATCATCCGGAGGTAAGCATGGGTCGCTTCGAGCCAGTGATCCCTTGTTGATCCATCCTCCTCAGCGTCTACGGCTACCGCGTATGGAGCTGTACGTTTTGCGTTGCAGTTCCAAGATTCAGGCTAATCTTGCATCTAGTCGTCCGCCGGAGACTAATGGTGGGCTTGCCCGTCACGCTCCTTATTGCGGCAACCACCTTGGTCTCTTTTGGTGAGTGCTGCTTTATATTCGGCTGAGTTCTGCGATTGACTAGACCTCCGCAACAGCCGCGGGTATTGGTACGCTGCCTCGTTTTTCATCCCGCTCTCCTTACTGACCCCAAAGCAAAGGCTTCACCACTAAAGTGTAAGGCTACTTGTCAAGGTTCCCGCAGGATTCGTCTGAACTATAATCGCCAGGTTCCAAATCCCTGAATTCTCGCGCTTCGATGAGTTCTCGGTACGCCCATTTACCAGCTTCTTGTGGCTTTGGAAGCGTTGCTGACGCTCGTGCAGTACTTCATGTACACCGCTCTGGGCGCTGGTGTCGGCGTCGATGCGATGATCGCCTTGGCGCTCTCCTTGTCATTGTCACAAAGCAGGACAGGGTTCAAGCGGTACGCGTCGAGCGTTTACCTTAGAAATGCGCGCTCACTCGTGTCTGCAGTACGGACTCCCTCGTGAACATCCTCATGGCATACACCATCAACACCAGTTTGTTGACAAGGTTAGTGCTTATTGACCTTTGGATCTGGTCATTGCTCACGTCTTCCTGCAGTCTATGCTCGATCGCTTGCTTCACCACTGTACGATAGCTTTCGACCGCATCTCGCGCTACTGACACCTCTCTTCAGTACACCATCTGGCCACACGAGATGACGTATATCGGCATCTACTTCACGCTCAGCAAGCGTACGTTTTCCCTTCATCCACCTTTTTAACTACCGCTAACGCCGAACCCTCTAGTGTACATGAACAGCTTGCTCGCGACGTTCAACGGACGCAGCGCCATTCGGGACAAGATCAACAACTCGTACGGGTTGTCCAACATGTCTGGCAACCGCGGCCAAAACAGCTCATCCAACGGACACGTCGTGCTGAACGTCAACAAAGAAGTAGAGACCGTCATCCGGGTAGAGCAGGACCACATGACGATGGCGCGCGCCGATTACAGTGCCTCGGATGTGAAGCACGAGTTTGGTCCGTTCTAAGTTCCTCGCGCCTGCTATGCTCTTCGCGCCTGCATCTCGCGCCCCTGAGCCGTCAGAGCTCACCGCCTTCGACCCCTTCGCTTCGACTCCTCTCCTTTTCGTGTATGTGGATATTGTTACTTGTATGGTCGGGTCCTGGTGGCCGAGGCCACCGATGCAGCCTAATACGGTACGGAAGAATAACAGTGCACACTCGCTTACATGTAGATATATTGTACGGCACTATTGATGTTAGTTTTAGCGTACTGGGACAAGCGAGAGCTGCCAAACCCATTCGTTCAACACTTGCGTACCCATTCATTACCTTGCTTGCAAGGTCTTACTCAGGTGCCTTTGGGCGGAACCTATTTCACAAATAAGTCCAAACATATGACGGTTGTCCTTGTTTCTCTCGTCTCCGAACAAGGTGACGATCTCTATCAGGGAATTTATGCAGTAAAAAGTCGATTAACGAATCAAGCGAAGCAGGCGCTGTGGACTGGCAGTAGCCGAGTGACGTCACCGCGTCCGAAGGAATCGCGGCGACGGTCACGCAGGCGGCGAGCGCTTCGACCTCTGCGCTCTGCTTCCATCGGCTCGAGACCCCTGCAGCCATATTTCGTTTGCCCGCCCTCCTCTTCCTCTCTCTCTCACTCGATAACGCTCTGACCTGCACGTATTCAACTCAGGCCCTTCTCCTGAGTCCTGGGACAGGACCTGCTGCCTGCTACACTGCTCAGTCGGCCGGTCCGCGCGCATGTGGGTGGCTGTGGGCGCGCCCCACGTGCCCCACGTGATGCCGCCGGGGTCCTGCGAGCGGGGCGCAGATCTAAGTGGCTCCCAGATGAGTAGAGTTGTGTTGGGCCCATTAACGTTGCCGCGCCACCTGGTCTCGTCAGTAACGTGCGAGACGGCGACTCAACCCAGAACCATGCTCGTCCCTCGTGTCGCGATAAAGAGGAGGCAGATGAGGGTTAGAGGTGAAGAACAGTTGCATTTCTCGGCACGCGGCACCATGTAGGACACTCGCTGTCGTGTACATGTAGTAATAGGTAAATAAGGGTGGTGCGAAGCATCCGGCCGTGTTTGTACATACAATGGTTGCCTTTCTGGGAAGTATTTACAAAGAGTAGATGAAACCCATATACGGCTATCCACGTCTTTACGTCCAATAGCTAAGGGCCCGGAGGAGTCCTCCGTATAGACTCTCCACACACCGACAGTAGCAACGAAAACAAATGAGCAGTGGGGCAGAACAAACACTCGGATAGTTCGGTCGAAGCTGAGGTAACAAGACTCGAAGCGAAGAGCAAGTTTGAGTGAGCCCGAATAAATGAAAAAACAGAAGGTAGAGTATCATGAAGCCTTCTTATAAGACAGGATCAAGCTCTGAACGTCGGCAAATATTTCTTGAGGAGGAACTATGGCCACCGCAGCGTGCGTGTCACATGCAAGCAAGGTCGTCGGGAGGCAGGGCCGACGCTTCTCTAGTTCGAAGGCGTCGGTCCTTGTGGGTCCACTGCTATTGGACCACGTGATTGATCTTGGTTTGTGGCGTCACCCACAGCTGTTGCGCGGACCTTGTTTCGAACTTCCTCGATGTCCTACAACCTAGTAATCGACATATGCGTGTTCTATCGGCTGGCGCTACGACAATGTATCTGCTGCGAAGACAAGGGCCACTGTGACAGCGACGCAAGAATTACACTCGGGATTTCACCTCACAACAAATATGTATGCTACCGTGGCGCTTTACCATGGCCAGCTATTAAAGCAGCGAGGCGCACTCGTCGCGAACACGTTTGCTGACCTTTGCGTCGCATGTGGCGTATCCTCGCCTGTCATTCATCTCCCAACTTCCGCAGGCTCCGTAACGGGACGTGTTCTCCTTCAAGACCAAGCATTCCCTCAACTCGCAGATCTTCATCGTCAATGCTGGCCCTAGTCGCGCCAGATCTTCGGAGGACAAGGGCTTCTGGCGTTGCACCAGTTTGCATATTCCCTGATAATACCAGTCGTGGACATTGTACGCGCGCGCGAGGGCGATCTTCTCCACAGGATCGCCGCTCAGTGGCTGGGCCAGAGCATCGACGGCCAGTGTCTTGATCCTGTCCATCAACCACAGGTCGCTCAGCTTCAGCACACCTGTCCAGTGCTCTTGCGTGAGCTCAGGGCTGCGGTTGATGTGCAGTGTCCTGTAATTGCGGTGAGTACGGGGGCGGCGCCGGCTACAAGAACAAAAAGCTCACCGAGGATACAGGATCTCTGCCAAAGCGTGGAACTCCTCGAGGGAAACCTGCGGCGGTATTTTCAAAGGCCTCTCATCGCTGATCCCGTCCTGGGGAATGTCGCCTTCCGGCGGGTCTGGAATAGAGAACAGGTCGCGGAAGAAGACCGACTCCTGCTCCAGGTATGCCCTTGGAAGGCGCAGCAGCGTGCCCTCGACCTGAAAAGCGGCATCCGGATACATGAGCAAGGACTCCACGAGTACGGCAATATTATACTGACCTGCAATACGATCGTGTCCCAGTAGAAGACAGGATCTCGAGTAGGAAGAGAGGAGTCAACCGCTGGCGAGGCAGACAACATGGTAACGCGCGCGCTGTCGTGTTCGTGCAGTGCAACGGCATATATCTCTCACTTTTATAAACGCGAATACAGGACGTGTTCTCAGAAGCTGCTGCACAGGCGGATAGCTGTTACTGACATCCTTTTTACAGCAAGCTTCAGATTACCTTTCTCGCCTCAGAACTTGCTGTACAGCGGATAAGGTGTAGCACACGACTTGCCACACCCTGAAATTCAGGGCTGTGTTGCGGATCGCGTCGTGCGCGCCGTGATTATGAATGCTCAAACGCTTCACTCGTCCCGATGCCTCAGAAGAGTTTACTTCAGAGATGTGGGTCCTGTAATCGCTTACTACGTGCTGCCTTGCTCACGGCTCCGATTGCGCAGAATTGTTTCCGCCGTACACGGATTTGGCCGGCGAATTCTGCGGGCCAAGGCAAATCATCATGGTAAGTATCGTAGATGCATTGTTCCAAGCAGGCTCATCAAAGCTAGATGATCGCTTCGCCCGTCCGCGGACTGCTTGGTGAGTAGAATCAATATCGTCATTTATGTTGAAGGCAAACGTGAATTATACAGTGCTTCGACGAGGTTCTCTTCGTAGTCTCTTTGCGATACGACCTCCGATGATATCGCGACTGCGAAGGCCTTGATACATCGCAGCGTACTGCTGACGCGGGCCCTTACTGCCGGAGAAGGGTTCGCAGGTCCGCAGGTTGCGGTCGTTTGTGCCGCGTATCCGCGCGCTGCGCTTGCTGCCAAGGCCAGGAACCTGACTTTAGCTGCTGGGATCCCGCGAAGATCACCTCTTCGCCTGGAGTGGCTCAAATTATACCTCAGTACGCGATGGGCCAAGGTCGACAGGGCCGAGGAAAGCACCGAAAGGCGAGCGAACCTTGCGGTGAGCGCTCCTCTCTTCTTACCAGTCCAACACATAGGGTATCGAGGTACCCAATACCTTACTAGCTGTGTTCCGTGAGCAGTCGTATCTGCCACATCCGAGTCGGCCAGCCCTTGGGCGATTAGAGAGAAATACTTGTATACTTCAAGGCGAGGGGGAATTAATGATCGCAGCAGCTATACCGGAGATGCCTATTCTCTCATTCAGTTGCCAGCGAAATTCTCCAAGGTGATTGCCGCCCAAGATCTAGGTTCCATGATGTCTGCAGCCCTGAGCTCCATCGCCGCCGGACAAAGGGCCGCGACATATATATAAAAGACGAGTAAGTCTCCATCCAAGCATTTCACGACCTTCCTTTCGTTTGGATCCCTGCCCGCGCGATGTCATCTGCGCTCACGACGAGTTTGAGAGGCAACAGCTCGCTCTCGATCGCCATGGCCGCGCTGAAGTTGCCGTACACACTTCACCTCTTCAACAAGACAGACATCACAACGACCGTACTCCCAATAGTGTGTATATCGTCGACCGTTTCCTTTGACATCGCTGAACAAGGCGCTGTGCGGTCAGATGGGGATTGGCCTGGCGCTCGCGCAGCCAACGAACCTTTTCGCCATATTTCGAGGGTTTATCTGGCTACAACTCCATCTCGTTGCTTTCGAGGTACGCAGTGATAAGTTTAGGACCAAATGCGGCCGCTGAGTCCCTCGCTCAGATTCAGAACCAGGTAATCTTTGCGCGGTTCTCGGAGCGCCCAAGGCATATTGACGAGCTGCGAAGATCGTCGGACTTGAGGAGGATAGGATCTCGAAGCCTTTCCGACCTCTCGTAGCGGGGCGCATCTCCCTGGACGGCGCCAACCGCCTATACAATACCTTCGTGGTACTCTCTCTCCTTATGAGCGCCTGGTACGGCGGCATCACGGCGTCGCTCATCCACCTCGCCTCGATGACGGTGTATAATCAAGGCGGTCTCGCCAGCAATTGGTTCCTCAAGTCTGCGATCGGCGCACTTGGGACCTCGTGCTATTGTTGGGGAGTGACGCTCATGATGAGTGCGTTCGTCGTTGCGGTGCGATCCGACTGAGGCTAACCATTGATCCGTAGATGACGGAAAGCCTCTATCCGATACAGCGCGACTGGCCATCACACTATGCTTCTTCAATTTCCTCACAACCGTGCGTATCGTCGTTTATCACTCACTCCTTCGTCGCGCTCATCGGCATGCAGGGCCACGCACAGGATTTCCGCGACCGAGCTGGAGATGCTGCTATTGGGCGCAAGACACTCGCTGTGATGCTGCCGCAGACTACCGGTCGCTGGCTGCTTCTAACCATGATCCTTTTGTGGAGCGTCGGACTCACACGGCTATGGCACGTTCCCGCCGGGGTCGTGCTTGTGAACCTTTCTCTTGCAGGTGCCTGTGGGATTCGCCTTGTCATTGATTACTCGGAAGCCAGCGACAAAGCGGCTTACTGGTGGTACAACGTGCGCTCTCCTGCTTTTTCCTGTGTACTAAGGACCTGACGGTTATGCAGATGTGGTTCTTATCATGCCAACTGATGCCTTACTTTGCGAGGCATAATGTGTAGATTGCAGGCTGCCATATAATGCTGTCCCGTTAACTGTGCATCGGTATGAAATATTACGGACTCCTCTTTAGATAGACTGACTGTTGTACACACTGATAACATGAAGATAGATTTGGAAGTCGAACTTATGGGTGCTTGTATATGTTACGCGGCATCTGCCGGATTTGCCTCGCGACCACGTGTACCGACGCGCCAGCCTTACGCGAACGTTTTCGAGCATGTTCCTGGGGCTCCTTCTCACGAACTCTCATCTCCGATATTACTTTCCACACTAGCGAACACCTCAGGACATGTCCTCCTACACGGATATGGCACAAGATCCCGACTGGCTCCTCACGCCCGAGGGCTTAGCATCGACCATGGGCTTGATTCCAGGAAAAGAGCCTCCCGACCTGAACGAGGATATTCGGGCAGGGCTTATTTCGCACCAGGTACCTCGTTGGTACCCAATGGATGAAACGTTTTCTCAACCACGTCTTGCGGCTAGCTGGGTGGACTTCAGCAGCTACCAAGTCCGCTTCGGCTGGCAAGATACTGGTGAGTACGTTCGGGCGCTTACTAGACTGATCCACTTTCCTGCCTGCTTCAACGCCCTCTGGCACCTATCACTGTGCTCACGATCAACCTGATACTAGCGAATTCTCTGCCAAGTACCTACCTCAGACCATCGAGAAGTGGAAAGCCAACGACGACGTCATGAGCGCCGCGACGAACCTCTTGAATGAGATCTCAGCCATGTAAGTCTCCGAGCCCTTTTCCTCCTCTCTTAAAAGCACATCATTTTTCTTGATATTTGCCTACTCACGCGTGCTTCGACATCCACAGGCCGTACTTCATGCGCCTCGCTATCCAACCCGAAAATCAGGACTTCCTGCCGCTTCAATTTGGTCGTACCCTCGCCGCCGCAGATGCCATGGATCGCATGTCCGCAAGAGACGTAGCCCTGATCCTTCAGTTTCTCTCCACACTCCTCGTCGTACAGGGTCCAGGTGCGCAGTATCCCAATGCTTTGAAAACTACACAGAACTAACACGAACGACGAACTGACAGGTCCCGAGAATGTTGTGAAGGGCAACGTCACCTTCGTCAATCCTCCCGAGACCATCCCTCAGGCGGACAGGGAGGCGTTGATCCCGCGGCTGCGCGTCTGGAAGCGCAAGTTCCCAAACGTGTTGGCGGGGGAGACCGCGGAGAGATGCTTGACGGTGCTGACCGGGAAAGGGTGCGTCTCTAGATTCACAAGCACGTCTTCGAGAACTGAGCTCCCGCGTGTCCTCATGAGATGTTTCGCACCCGTACTGACTACACATACAGCGAAATGGCCCCGATGATCCCCATGGTGCGCGGCGCCGTGCTCAAAGGTGTTCAATCATGCGCTGCTCAGGGTTGCAGCAAAGAAAGCAGCGACGGTGGCCCGCTTCTACGATGCGCGAAGTGAGTGCGCGTGTCGACGCATCTCCTTCCCTCCTCCCTGTCCATGCATGTCCTTTATACTTTTTCACTACGCTGTGTTGGTCTGTGTCTGTGTGATTGGTGCTGACACTCAACTTATAGGTGTCGGTCGACCGTATACGTGAGCTCTATTCCCTCGTCGCGATACGATAGATCAGGTTAAGCTGACAGGGTTCTACAGTGCGGCCAGCAGCACCAGCGAGCCCATTGGTCACAGCACAAGCAGAGGTGCTTCAAGGTGGAGTGGTGATGCCGCTTTAAAGCACCACCACCACCACGGCCGCGTCAGGAAGGCCCTTGGGAACGAAGACAAAGAGCAGTCAAGATAGAAACATGTACAACAGTGCTACTTCGACGACATAACACCTGTATTGCGAGCCAGACTATGAATCCTACTTCCGTTATCCTGATACATTCCTTGCCATTCCAACCTTCGCATTCCGTCACAACTTCGCCTCCTGCTTGAGCAGGTCCCACGCCATATTACCCAGTACCGGGAACAGGACGCCCGACGCGGCTGCCTTTTCCGAACTGGCCTGCCGGCGCGCGAAGCGGGCGGCGATGCCTTGCGAAATGACGGCGTACTAGAAGGCAGGGAAATCAGTAAACTCCAACCGTAGAGAGCTCAAGAGCCGTTCGCGAGCACAGGTCGACGCAAGCAGTCTAGCAATTGTACATCGCCACTCACCTTGAACAAATGAAAGCTCCGCGCGAACACGAGCTCACGGATTGGGTACGGGAAGCCCGTGAGGCGGCAGTACTCCCGCTCGATCTCCTCGATGGTGATGGGCGCGCCCTCGGGGTCCGCATCGAGGCTGGTGAGGAGCGGGTTTTGCTGGGCTTCGGGGAGGGCCATATACTTGGACGCGTCGGCGGTCCAGGGGGAGGTGAGGTTGGCGAAGTCGGGGAGCTGAAGGCGAGGGGCAATTAGGGTACGATGGAAGGACGTAGGATGTAAAAGGGCATGATCCGAAGAAAATGAACGCGCAAACTCACCGGACTCCCCAACGTGCATAACTCCCAGTCCAGAATCCCAATTACTCGATTCTCCGTCGGATGGAACACCAAGTTGTCCAGCTTGTAGTCCCCGTGCGTAATTCTCAGCCCCGTCTTGCCCTCGTCCGGCAGGTGTGTCGCGTACCACTGCACGATCTCGTCGAAGTGGGGGATCTTGCCGACGGGGTCCTTGGTGTCGACGTCGACAGCGGCGGCCTGGGCGAGGGACACCTTCGCGAGGGACTTGATTTGGCGTGGGTAGTAGGGGGTGTGCGGGCCGAAGGCGGAGAGGCCGACGGCGGTGATGTCGAGGGAGGAAAGGGCGGCGAGGGTACGGACGGCGGAGAGCCAGCTGGAGGGGTGTCAGCTGGTGTATGAGCTTGAAGGAAGTCAGGTCAAAGGAGAAGGTGATGTCGTGTAAGAGCGCAACATGCAAGGGAAGGGGTGTGTGAGTCGACATGAGCCCAGACGCTCACATCTCCTTCCTATCCTCCTTCGACACCTGCGGCATCCGTGGGTCCGTGAAGATGCGCCCGTCCAAGAACTCCATGATGTAGAACGGTGTTCCAATTACGGACTCATCCTCGCAGAGGATGTACGGCTCAGGGATGGGAACGCGCTGGGCGGCAGAGGTGGTAGGCTTCTGGTTGTGCTTGTGCAGCGCGTTCAGAACGGTGTACTCGCGCTCGACCTGATGTGCAGACTTGCTCAGGAGTTTGCCAGGGGGCTTCTTTCGGAGGACAGCACGCTTTCCACTGTATTTGTATCTGTCAGGGGATGTAAGACTGGGGGAGGGAATGTCCAACGCACTCAGCGCCTGTGAGGAAGTACGTGGGATTGGACTGAAGACTTTCAGCACGTTGTCAGTCATGTCGTTTACTGTCTCACCTGTCCAAACTAAGAAGAAGGTTTATTTCAGACGATCTCGGTGAAGGAAGACGACGGGCACTCACCTTGAACTGCTTGATGCTTACTGGCGCCTGGATCGCCTTCACATGACGGGCAATGTACTCGTTGAGCTTGTTGGCGTCGATGTTGGCCCGAACCTCGCCGACCTCACCGCCAATCTTCGTGGGCTTCTCGTCGTTCGCCATGGCGGGTAGAGAGAAGAGCGAAATCCCTTCCCAGTTCCCCACATTCCGGTGACCGGGATCAAGGAGGCCGGGGAAGCTGGAACCAGATTCCATGTGATCGTGAACGTCGGCGACGCGGACCGTGAGCAGGACGCAGTGAAGACGCCGACTCTGCATTTGCCTGCCACCACCCTGGCCACCACCGCCTTCCACGCCGTGTACGACACTCGTCCAATGTCCTTCCGACGATACTCAGTCGAGTTGTTCTCCGCGACTGCCATAGTCTCTCTCTCCATCCACCGCATCCGCTTGAAGAAGCAGTGGGAGGAGGAGGAGCTCTCCCTTGACGCGCGCACCTCCGTGTTGGAAGGCATTGTACAACGATTGCGTAGCGGAGACCGGATAGCGGACGACGAGATGGCACGGCTGAGGAGATTAGCGCGGCCAGCCAGTGCCCAGGGACCGATAGCCGGCGCAGACATTACCGTGAAGGAGATGTTCGTCGGGCGAAAGACACAAACATCATAACGTGCGCACCCCATCTCTTTTCCTGGGACTCGTCTCGCTGATATATACACACTGCAGATATCGCAAGTCTTGCGTTGTTGCATCGCCCCTTCCCCGTTGAACCTTCGTACATCGAGCGCCGCTAGTCTGTATACCCACTCTGGAACCGCTATCCCATCACGACAGGCAACGAGAATGTGCAAATAGTTCATCGCAAAGCAAGGATGTCACAGTAATGGCCTTGTGCGCCCAGAGTACGGAAGGCGGGCAGAACCCTTTAAGGCGCCAGATGGATCATGTACTTGATGCCGCTTCCGCTTGACTCTCTTGTAGTCCTCCATGCTCTCCATTCAAGACCCTTACGGTGCTGTATGCGATATCCTTTAGGTCAACCGGCATCTGCAAAGCGATCGAAGAACAAAACCTTCCAAATAAGGCCAACAAAGGGAGCACACTAGATGGAACGGAATGTACCGCGTTAGCGTTGTCTATGATCTCATATTCTTTACGGCCCTTGGGGAACATACTGTTGTGACGCGTTCTCCCGTATTGCCCAGCCTCGCATCTGGAAAGCTCACCTATTTCAGTTCCGTGGCAACCGTCCTCAATCGTCAGGCTAGTGAAGAAGTGATCGGACTTTGGATTTCCCAAGATTGCCAGGGATTACCACGAATTGCCACGAAACTCCAGCAACTTGTGCTCTGCAGAGCTCCGTGGCAATTTCGAATGTCCCCATGTACTCATAGCAGGCAATTCTGGGGTAGAGGAAGTCCCCCTTGTCGGATCAAGGGATAGGGCACAGTTATTCTTCGACATTCAACGCGCTCAACTACGCTTGTTGCGTTCTCCAGGCTCACAATTCAAGTAAGAGCCGACGTTGCGCTGGCTTACGGTGGGTAAGTACGCGTCGTAGCGCGTAGCCGGTGGTACAAGGTAGGGTATCGTGATATGCCAGAGAACAATACCTTCTAAAATAAGGAGAACAGAGGTCTCATCATCTGATCGGTGCCAAGGTTGGTTGCGTTCGACTCTTATCCGTCGTCAGCCTCACAGGTGCTTCGCTCGTCGAGCTCACGGCGATTTTCACGGACTATCAACTCAACTCAGTCGTTGCGAACATACGCCGACGGCCGCTGTTGTATAGCTAGTCGAGTCATTCCTGATCTCAAGATCAGCAGTTATCGCCCCCCCTCACACTATCCACCACCATCTCATGTCCCCCATCCACATCGACGAGACTACGGGCTCGGACGCCACGGGTACTGGGGCGCCGGATGCGCCTTATCAGACGCTCGCGTACGCGGTGTTCAAGTCCGCGACGGACGCCAAGTTCCTCACGCGCAAGGACGCGTCTGCGCCGTACGACGAGCCAACACAGTCCGCGCTGAAGAAGGCGAAGAAGGGCGCAGAGGGCCTCGAGAAGAAGCGCAAGAAGGCGGAGGAGCTCGCGGAGAAGGCAGCGGCGGCGCAGGGCGCGGAGAGCGAGAAGCGCGAAAAGCAGCTGGAGGAGAGCAAGAAGATCGTGCTGAGCGAGGATGCGGCGCTGCCGACGGCGATCAAGGTGCGTGGCGTGTGTAATCTGACGGAGGTGGATGCTTATCGGCGCGCAGAGCAAGATCGGGAACCTGGAGCCGTTGAGGACGAAGCGCGTGCGGGTGTCGGGCTGGGTGCACCGGTTGCGCGACCAGAAGGGCATCAAGTTTATCATCCTTCGCGACGGGACTGGGTATCTGCAGGCTGTACTGTCTGGCAGAGTGGTGCGTGGCGTGACAAGTCGGAATGGCATGGAACTGACTTGCGCGCAGGCAGAAACGTACGACGCGCTCACGCTGACACTCGAATCGACGGTTGAGCTTGTGGGCACGCTCCAGGCGTTGCCCGAAGGCAAGACGGCACCGGGCGGCCACGAACTGTCCGTGGACTACTGGAAGGTGCTGGGCGCGGCACCGGGTGGCGAGGACGCGTTCACGAACAGGGTTAACGAGGTGCGTGCATCTACTCCAGACCTACCCACCCCCTCACACATCCTCAGAAATCGGACCCATCCATCCAAGCCGATCTGCGCCACCTCGTCATCCGCGGCGAGACCGCGTCGACGACGCTCCGTCTGCGCTCTGCCCTGCTGAGCGCGATGCGCGAGGTGTTCGCGCGCCACCACATGCTGGAGGTGACGCCGCCGTGCCTGGTGCAGACGCAGGTGGAGGGCGGGGCGACGCTGTTCAAGCTAGACTACTACAACCAGCCGGCGTTCCTGACGCAGAGCTCGCAGCTGTACCTCGAGACGTGCCTCCCCTCGCTCGGGGACGTGTACTGCGTGCAGGAGAGCTTCCGCGCGGAGAACAGCAACACGCGCCGGCACCTGAGCGAGTACACGCACCTCGAGGGCGAGCTCGCGTTCATCACGTTCGACGAGCTCATGACGCATCTGGAGGCGATAATCTGCGAGACCGTCGACATCCTGCTCGACAACCCCACGACCGCGGCCCTCGTGAAGCAGCTGAACCCCGGCTTCAAAAAGCCCGAGCGCCCCTTCCTGCGCATGCCGTACGTGGACGCGATAGCGTGGCTCAACGAGCACGGGATCCTGCACCCCGAGGAGGACGCGGAGGGGAACCCGATCAAGGACGAGTCCGGGCAGGTCAAGCTCGTCCCGCACGTCGTGGGCGACGACATCGCAGAGGCCGCCGAGCGCCAGATGACGGACATCATCGGGAAGCCGATGTTCCTGCACTCCTTCCCTGCCGAGCTTAAGGCGTTTTACATGAAGAAGATCCCGGGCGGCGACGGGAAGCATGTGTTCACGGAGAGCTGCGACCTGCTGATGCCGAATGTGGGCGAGATCGTCGGTGGGTCGATGAGGATTGCGGATTTGGACGAGCTGTTTGCGGGCTACAAGCGTGAGGGAATCGACGCGGCGCCGTACTACTGGTACACCGACCAGCGCAAGTACGGCACTTGCGAGCACGGAGGCTATGGTGTTGGAATCGAGGTGAGTCCATCCTCCCTTGTAAGCGTCGTATGCGATATTGATTTCCATGACAGCGCTTGCTCGCATGGTTGGGCAACCGTTATACTGTTCGCGAGTGTTCTCTGTACCCGAGGTACGATTCTCGGCACGCACAATGTTGCAGATACTGATACTGCTTGGTTTGCAGATGGCCGGGTCGCGCGACGCCTTAATTGTATCGATCAAGTGTTGTTGTTGTACTTATTTAGATGCCTCAAATGTTCCTCCAAGTCCTCTGCACGGCTGCCATATGGGATTCTCACTTTACTCCAGCCTACGCGTTGCGGTCTGCCATCACGCAGGCTCGAGGAAGAGCAACTAGCGATTGCCATGGATGGAAATTGACAGGGCGGACGCGTTGAGTTTGGCGCGCGGCTACGGCATCATAGCCAGCTATGCATGTGCATGCCGACCTCGTGTGCGGACCCCAGCTGAGGATTGTGCCCTCCTCGGGGCCTGCAGTGCGCGCCTTGGTTAGCGATATCTTGGTTGCCTCGTGGGCGATAAGGTAACCGCTCAATCTGACACAAGTCCTGCCGTCGACGACGACAACCGCCCATTCTGAGTCTGGCCAGCTATCATTGCATCGTGCGCAAATTACTATAGTGACGCAGATTAAGAGACCGGGACCAGTCACGTGATGGCCACGTGGTTTGTTCCCCTTACGGTGACTGATAGCAGAGCGGAGTTTGAACAGCGCACCGTACATAAGCGGGGCATGTTTGCGTTTTGATGGGCACCCTCTCTTGTCTTTTACCCCTTCCACACTCCCATATCCGCCACCGACAACCTGGCCTCGACTCCGACACCGACGAGCTCACAAGTGCCGTCAATGCCTTGCCGGGCTCGCCCAATGCCACGACCATCGGGCAGCCCAATGGTACGCCACTCAAGAGGCATCGCTTGTCGTTCCTGACGCTCACTATAGGTCTCGTCGTCGTGAAGAAAGCCTCAAGCTCGTAGTGGCTTGCAAGTGCCCGCAATATCTCCCGGGGAAGCCCAATGCCACTGTATACGGGCTCTTCAATGGTGCGCCACCCGCGTATTGCGCATGTATTCGCCACTCACCTTCATTGTCAGACTACCTCGGCATCATCATACTCGACCTCGCGATGCTTCGCAATTGTATCAATGTCTTCATGTTGGGCGGGCCCAATACCACGGCGATCGGGCTCCTCAATGGTACGCCACTCGATGCGCGTACATGCACTTGTTGCTTGGATTCAACACCAGATGTCCTCAAGTATTCGGCAAGTACCACGCTCGCATTCCCGATGCATAGCAAGTGCATCAATGTCCTCTCGAGCTGGCCCAATACCACTGCGTCCGGACAGCTCAATGGTGCGCTACACGTTTGTCGCGGATGTTCCCTTCGCTGATCATCACTCTTAGATCGCCTCGGCATCTTGTCCTGGGTCTCATGATGCGTCGCAAGTGCATCAATATATTTTCGGGCTTACTCAACACGACGACGACGACGACTCTAACAGCCCATTGGTGCGTCACTCGATCGTTCAAGTACTCACGCCACTAACCTTATCCACCAGATCACCTCAAAATCAAGCCCCTCGACTACCTGCAACTACAGATGCTATGCAAGAGCGTCAATATTCTGGGGAGTTCGCCCAATGCCGCGGATGCGGGCAGCTCAATGGTGCGCCACTCGACAACCATGCTCATTCTCGTCGCTGATCTTGTGTCTAGATACCCTCGACGACGTCTCTTTGGCCTCAAGACGCCATGCAAACGCGTCAATGTATCGCGGACTCGCCCAATGGCGCGGTGTTGGCGCAGGTCAATGGTACGCTCTTCGGCCATTCGTCATGCTCGTGTCATTGACTTGACCAACCAGATCTCGTCGGCGTCTAGTCTTCAAGTTTCCCCACACTCCGATGCCACTCAAGAGCGTCAATGGCCCTCGAGCGTACCCAATGGCGTGGATGCCGAGTTGCTCAATGGTACGTCGCTACCCATATCACATGCGCTCTTTGCTAATCGCCAGCGTTAGATGACACTGTCATCCCCTCTCGGATATTCCGACGCCTCAAGCCCCAGCCGTCAAGTGGCAATGTAATTGAGCTCTGCGCAATGGTCCCTAGTTCGACATCGACCGTTAAGACGCGAAGGCGAATGGTACGATGAGGACCAGCATCATCCAATGGTCTCTCCCGCGCGGCGACGCAATGAGGCCCGCAGGCCAATGATGGAGTCATCAATCCAAGTCGCGCCAAAGGAGCAGCGCCCAAGTCGCAATGTGCCATTCCTCAAAAAGGCGCCGCGTCAAAGGAGGCAGACGTCCCCACGGGAATCGAAGGTGCGTGCGTGGACTATTTGGCCGTGATCCGCGTTCTCACCTTGTCTTCAGAACCACCGACAGGGCTGGCATTGGAAGGTTCGCTACTACCCTCATCGCTCCCGCCCTGACATCGGTATGCATCGACCCGGCAGCTCGTAGGCTGATGACTCTCTCCCCAGAACGTCCTTATCAGGCTCTGCCTTCGGGCAGTGTCCTACGCCTGGACGCCTAGGTGCTCTAGCAGACAGCCGCTTCGGCGGCTTGTCTCGCAGTCACTTCGATGACCAGGCTCCACTGTCGCTTCGGCGATGGCGGTCAATTTTTTCCCTCTCATCTCCTTCTGGGGATGTATTCTACCTACATATTTTCTTGCTGCGCAGGCTGTCGCGCCTATGGATGCTGGGAGAAGGATGTATGTGTGGCGCGGGTGCATCTCGTGTAGTATTTACTGCGTGGCATGCAAGGGCCAATACACGGTACCTTTGCGGATCGGTCTATCCGATCTCGCTTGGCTGGAACTCGATGCGTGATGGTGTGCATTTTGAACTTGTTCGTGGTACGTGTCCGGTCACCACCTTCATCGATGGGACACGGCAAGGTAGCATCCTGGCATGGCACAAAGTGGCGTTTGAAACAAGATCATGATGTACCATTTCAGAGGTCGACCTCAGGCTCGGATCTCGACAACCGCGCCGTCTCCAACTTTCCTCTCTAAAGGCTCGTGCATTTTCCTCCAAGACAAAATGATAATTGTGTTTTGCCGGGGGCGCTGTCTTTTCGACGACGCGGGGCTGTCTGTGTCCCTGAAAGCTTCCACAAACCTCAGTTCAGTGACGGCGAGCAGGAGCCCAGGCCGATCCCGTGACAGCCACGCGACTGTCTCCCCTTATGGCAACTGTAAGCAGAGCGGAGTTTGAATTGCGCGCAATACATAAGCGGCGCGTGCTTGCGGATTGATGGGAACGCCCTCTTGCCTTCTACCCTCACCATCCCATTCCACCCTCCACACATTCGACACCGACAACCCGCCCTAGACACCGGCACCGACACCGACGAGCTCGCAAGCGCCGTCAATGCTCTCCCGGGCTCGCGCAGTGCCACGACCGCCGGGCAGCCCAATGGTACGCCACTCCGGTGTTGGGTCTGTCCTCGTCGCTGACGTTCATGTCCAGGTCTTCTTGGCGTTTGAGTCGGTAACGGCTCGCAAGTGCCGGCAATCTATCGCGAGGTAGCCCAATGCCACTGCGTCCGGGCTCGGCCGTCCCTCGTGTCCTCGTCACTGACCCTCATCTCCAGATATTCAAGTCGTTGGCGGATGCTCCGCGAACACTGACGATGCGTGGCAAGTGCATCAATGTTCCCGAGCTGGCCCAATACCACAGCAGCCGGGCGCCTCAATGGTGCGCTGTTCGCCAATCAGATATTCCTGACTCTTACCATTGGCTTTAGGTCACGTCAACGTGTAGCTTGCGATTACCCTCAACCCCGACGCCGCGCAAGAGCGTCAATGCCCATCAAGAGCTTGAATGCCCATGCGAGCCCGCTCAATGGGGCAGAGTACGGGAGGCTCAATGGTGTGTCGCTGACCGTCAATGTCAGATATGTCCGGCGTCGCCCCTTAGACAGTTCCAATGCGCATCAAGTCACAGCGTTTCAAATGGCCTTCAAGTCTTCGGCAAACTCAATCTTTCGATGCCTCGCAAGTGCGTCAATATTTTCTCGAGTTGGCCCAATGCCACTGCAACTGCAACCGGGACTTTCAATGGTGCGCTACTACTCTGTCGCGCATGTTCGGGGCGCTCACTTCTGTATCAGACTCCCTCGACATCGTTTCTGATCCTCTCGATGCGTTGCAAGTGCATCAATGTACTTTCCGGTGCGCTTAATTCGGCGGGAGTCGGGCGGCCAATGGTGCGCCCCTTCACATTTCTCCATGTTCTCGCCGTTGAACCCCCGCGTCAGATTTCGTCAACATCCAGCCTTCACCCTCGTAAACGCCTCGATGCCACGCAAGAGCAGCAATGCCACTGCGAGCTCGCCCAATGATGCAGAAGTCGGGCAGCTCAATGGTGCGTCGTCATCGCCTTTGCATGAGTCCGCCACTGACCTCCTTCGTCAGATTTCTCCGACATCGCCTGTCGGAAGACACAACACCCCAAGCCCAGTCGCTAAGTGGCAATGAGATCTTTTGATCAATGTCACGCTGTTCCGACGCTCACCGGCCACTGCATCGCCATTTGACGCCTCTGAGGTCGTAGAAAGGCTTGCTCGCCGCCACCGAAGTTTGACAGGTGTGTTTGCTTCATTGTCCTTCTCTCTCTGAGGGCTCAACCTGCTTGAAGCGCAACGTTCCTGCGCTCGACGTCGATTATCGGGACGACAGGAAGAACATCAAGATCAAGGACCGACGCCGTTTATTAGCACTTTCCCCGCGCGGCGACGCAATGAGGCTGACAGGCCAATGATCCTCGTCATCTACGAAATCCGCCCGTCGCCCCTTCTGTCAAGGACCAGCGCCCAAGTCGCAATGTACCATCCCTCAACGTTCAATCTCAAGTCGCCGCGGTAACTGGCAATGTATCAAGCTAGTCGACAGGCGGTAGCGCTACATAGGGCAGAGTACCCAATGGGATCTTGGCGGCGGTTGACGTCTGCATGGGAAATTCAAGGTGCGCGTGTGCACAATCTGACGCTCTTTCGTGCTCTTACATTGTCTCCAGGACCACTATCGGAGGTGTATAGCCATGCGATCCGCTGCTCATACTACAAGTTCCAGGCGACTCCGGTGCGCTTTTGCACGGCAGCTCGTAGGCTGACGTTGTTCTCCCCAGCTTTACCTTCGGGCGCGCTCCCCACGCTTGGGCATCCCGGTGCTTCAGCAGACAGTCGCTTCGGTGGATTGTCTTGCATTCCCTTCTGCGGCTTGACCACACCAGCGCCTCGGCGTCGGTGGATGATTTTTTCCTTCCCATTCCCTTTTGGAGATGCTTACCTACATATTCTGTTTCTGAATTGGCTGCCGCGTCTGTGCATTTTGAGGAGAGGATGAAGGCATGGGGTGGGATTCAGCTTATGTACTGCGTGCTTTGTGGCATGGGAGGGCCAATACACGGTGCCTTTGCGGGTCAGACTCGTGGTGTTCGAACTCGTGATGTGACGGTCAAGTGCATTGTGCATGTTGAACTTGATTTTGTGGCGGCGTGGGCGACGACGGTCTTCTTCCTCTCACGAGTCTCACTAACGGCACACCGCACGCTTGCCTACGCAGCCGACTGAATAATAATAGCAGCTGTTGCTAGCCGGATCTTCTTCTGCCAAACGGTGAAGGCAGAAGGTCAGAGGAAGGGAGGTTGCGAAGTGCCCTCGCACAGGTTCAGTGCTGTCGAGGGTGTCTTTCGAATCAAGAGCAGTGTCATACCTGTTCCCAGTGGACTGATGTGCGTGTAAGCCTCATGTAGTTCTGCTTGCATGTTATTCAGAGCGATAGCCCCAATCCTTATGGCGCTGACCGCCAACGCCTACTCGAACCCCTGATCCCGACAGATAGCCACTATTTTCTCAAAGAGACACCGCCCTCGCGACGACGATGCTCTTTCAGCAGGCTTCTACTCTGATGCACGTAATAGTGCGGCGACATGAACAAAGGCCAGGCCCGCGCCGGCGCACCACAATTGTCATCCCGGTCCCTTTGTTCCTCTTTTGGGAACTGATGGAAGGGCAGAGTTCAAAGGCGGGGCGCCATATATAAGGAGTGCGTGTTCGTGATTGATGGGCATCCTCGCTTGCCTCTGACCCTCACCCCCCACCTCCACCCTTCGCCTCCATGCCTCCTTCCTCCTCTCGCTCTCGACGCCGACCTCGACGCTCCCGATGGCTAGCAAGCGTCGCGTCAATGTTCGCTCGGGCCAGCCCAATTTCGAGGTCACCGGGCAGCCCAGAGGTGCGCTGCTCGTTACGCACGACGTTCACGCCACTCATGATCATCGTTAGGCATCCTCAAGCCTCAAGATCGTTGGTGTCGCGCCTTTACCGGTGCGTGTCCGCGCCCTGCTTGACGTGCACGTTGTGCTAACGACCATCTGCAGGACCTACCTTCCCGGGCTCGGTCTTCGGCTGCTTTGAGGTTTTGAGTTTCGGCCGTGAGACCTGAGCTTAAGCGCTGAGATGAGGCCTGAGAGACGTGAGGCCTGAGCTCGTGAGTCGTAAGGGAAGCACCTAGGGTCAAGATCGCCAGCGTCAACTTCGAGGTCGCCACTCCATGAGGCCATTGGATATCCTCGTCCAGCCGTGCACTCGAGACCAACGTCTATCATCCTATTTCCCTGCATCCATGCCCCGTCCTCGGGCGTCCTCCAATTCCCTCGCATCTTCCCTTGAGTTCGGCGCCCTTTCATGTTCGGCTGCTTGTGGTCTTTGAGGTTGACTGGTGCGTCTATCGATTCTCATATTCTTTCACGCGCTGACGATGATCTATAGCTTTCCGCCATTCCTTGAAGCGCATCGTCGTCCGTTGAGTTGAGGCATGAGAGGATCTTTCCGTCTGAACCTTGATAGACCTGAGGCGTAAGGCATGAGGAAAGCGCGCGAGGACCGGTCAAGACCGACGGCATCAACTCGAAGCTCTTCGTCCCATGAGGCCATAAATATCGACGTCAAGACGTCTCTCCGTCCATGTAGCATCGCCCGCAAGTCCTTGTCTTGGGGCTGTTCCTGCTTAGCTGCTCGTGGCCTAAGTCTTACTGGTGCGCCTTCCTCATTATGATCTTTTCACACACGCTAAGGATGATATGCAGCTCTGCGCAGCTCTCGCAAGAACAATATTGTCGTCCCATGAGACGGAAGACCAACGCGCGTCTTCGTTAGATGACCGCGCTCGACCCGACAACGCCTCCAACACCCCATTTTCAGTTCATTCAGGCTCCGCGCTCCACGATGCCCCGTTAATTGAGGACACTGCCAGCTTCAGAGGACTCCGATCCGAAAACGTAATTGAGGTCCCACCTAGGCCGTTGCACGCCGCCCTTCACTTTTATCATCAGTGAAAGATCCGGCGAGCTACGCCGCGATGTTCGAGCCTTCAACGTCCGCACGTCGCAACCATGTTCCCATCGTCAACGCATCGATTGATGTAGACAGTGTAGTACTGTGCACGTACGCTTGATCGCATGGGCTATGGGCTGGCAAGGCGGACGGATGGGACGCTTGGGGCAAGAAGGGGCTCGAGGTATGTGCTCAATGTATCTTGACGTTGTCGAATCTCTGACATCGCTTTCGAGGCTGCTATACACGAAAGGCCTATCTGCGCGACGAGGCACTTCACCGCCCCTCGAAGTCGACTCCGGTATGTTCTCCCCCAGCAGGTCGTGTGCTGATGGTCTTCTTTCCAGAGCCCTTCGCGCGAGCTTCGCCCTCTAGCTGGACACTTCGGTGCTTGGTGGCTAGCCAGGTCACCTCGGTGACCTCGCCCTCGCTGTCGCTCCGGCGCCAGCGTGGCAAATTTTTTCCTCCCTTCTCCTTCTGGAGAACCCGTATTTTCCTCCTGCGCCGTCTTTCGCGTCCGTCGACGTTGAGAGGGCTGGGAAGAATGTATTGCTGAGACCGACAAAGTATGGGTAAATATAATGGGATGATGGAATGCGATCAGCGTAAGTCTTGAGCGAACCGATATCGAGCGGCGACGACAAGCGCTCAACAAATAGATGAATAGATACTGGGGCTTGGAGCCAGGGATCCGCGCACGGGTATCTAAGACGGTACAGGGAAAGTAAATACTATGCACGCAAGCCATGAATCATGGTAAAAACATTTCCTCCTTCGCAAGAAACTCTTCCTCACCTCCGACGCCGCCGCCTACATGGCGGTCGTCTCCCTTTCGACTTCGATGATGCCCTCGCTCGATGCAAAGCGGGAATCGTCGCTACGGGTGCCAGACGGGCCAGGGACACCGTCCGCGTGCGAGCCCTGAGACACGCCGTCGAGTGCGACGTTGGCATCCTCGGGCTGGAAGGATGTTGTCGTGTCCGCTTCGCGCGCTCCTTCGTGTGCTGCAGGCGGGTCGGCAAAGCGCATGGCTTGCGACACCTGAGCACTGAGCAAGGAGTCCGTTGTGCCTCCCATGGCGGCGAACAGGACGCATGTTGGGTATATTCCCTGGACGGAGCAGCGTGTCAGATCAGATATTTTGGGGATGTGATCATGGACATACGGCAATGTGGTGAGCAATGGTGGTGAAGATGATGGCGCCAGAGTATTCGTCTTTATTGGCAGCGAAGACCATGATGCACTCGACAGCCTCACAATCATATAGGTTAGGAGCAAAAATGATGGAGGAAACATACCAAGAAAAGGATGTATGCAAGGCCTGATTCGAGGAGCAGCATTAGGACCGCCTCCGCTTGCGACTTCCGCTTAAAGAAGCCAAGCGAGCCCTGTATCTCTCGGTGGTGATGTCTAGTACGCATCAGGCAAGTATGTCGTGAATGATTGTATGAGGCGCTCACAAGAACTTTTTGCCAATGAGGACCGTCGCGACGATATTGGTCGTCAGAAGCGGGATAAACCAGGTCAGGTACTGGCCGATGCTCTCCCTGATGCCTGTATAATACAGAGACGGCCAATAAGTCCATGTCGACTCCACAATGCCCCCAGCTGCCATCAAGATCAGCGAAATGCATGCATGGGTTGCTCGGTAGCTCACCTACGGTTCCACACAGGCACAGTGATAATATACATTTGGCAAGAAACCAATCCGGCCATAAGCACCAGGCTCGCCATACGAGCACAGCGTCGCTTAGAGCATACTGCAACGCAGTTAGCAGACTTCTTCACTATGGGTCTTCGCGCGTACGTACGCTGAAATCTACGGATACACAGAGCAGGACGTCCAAACGATACAGCAACACATCGATGGAGCGCTCAGATGTGCCAACGACTACCGGAAACTGAACTAGGAAATATACCGTATTGGCGACGGCGTATATCGTAGAGCATAGGAGCAACCCGATTATGGCCACCAGCGTGAAGCGCGATCGTCCGTGTCGACGCCTTGTGAAAATCAGAGCTACGGGCCATGGGAAAGGTTCGTTCTTACGCGAGGATTGTGATTGCTGCGGCAGAAAACGTGATCTGCACACCTATAGCGCCAACGTGGGATAACTGAAGGGTCGAGGAATATCCCATACTCACCATAAAGAAGAAGGTTGACAGCCACCTGGACTGCAATGTATTTGACTTCATGCAAGTCTTCGCTGCCCAGAGGCCGATACACTTGGCCGTAGTTGGTCGACATTTGGGTGTAGCTTCAGCGCGGTGAGGTATGGAACAGACCATGGCCGCTTCCTATATACAAGGCGGATACGCGCGGTCACAACTGCCGGGAACATTCTCAGCGACTCCTGAGCCACTGAGCCCACATGAACGAAGGAGGGCGTTGATGACACTTGAAGGAGTAGCGCACCAAGATTCCCGTCTCGCGTGAGGCCCAACGAAAGAGGGGATCAGTGAGCGGTAGAGTGATCTGATCTCACCACTATAGCTTCGGTGACCCTTCGTAAGTTACCACACGGTGGATGTGTGCCAACGGCCCGTTCCAGTGCGGGAGAAGAAGGAGCGGATGGTTCAGAAGATTGAGCGTGATGTCGGTTGATACGAACTCGCATTTTCCATAGGCACGAGCAGTTCAGTTCCCTCCGCTGGCCTTCCAAGTCCGCGTGCCCTGTGCGAGATGAGACCGTCGACAGTGGACCTCATAGATGTCAACTCACCGCCGTCGCGCTGATCTATTGAGTGAATGCGGACACGTCCTAGTGCACGAAGCTCGAATGCGCCGGGGCGGGTAGGATGGGACGAAGCCCAGAGGCCCGCACGGCTTTCCACACTCATGAGGTGAGCTCTTGACAGTCCTCGGCCTCCCAGTCCACGTTGTAGCACGGCACGCGATGGGTGCATCTGCAGCTACGAAGATAGGCGCGTAGCTCGTGCAGATCGTCCAATCATGAATCCGCCCAAGAGCCACTAATCATAGCTTAGATATATCAATATGAGGATTTCAGGATATATTGATACAGAGCAGTGCAGCCTCAAGCGCTCAGATGTCGATGTCGAGATGGAAGTTCAACGTTAACGTGGCTGGCACGCCTATTAGCGCCACAAATCACTTCCGCCGCGCATGACGCGCTTGCCAAACATCGATCAATCACACGCGGGTATACTTTCGACGCCATGGTAAGTACGCGTGCCGCGTCGGGCGCGCGTCCCCTCTGACGATGCCCCCAGCTCCCGCTCTCCCTCCTCACGGCGGCGCAAAACAAGCCCATGGTGCGCTGCCCGCCCCCTACCCTCGCGCTCGCTCACTCACGCGTCCTCCCCAAACCAGCTCGTCGAGCTGAAGAACGGCGAGACGTTCAACGGGCACCTGGTGAACTGCGATAACTTCATGAACATCACGCTGCGCGAGGTGTACCAGACGAACGCGGACGGGGACAAGTTTTGGAAGCTGAAGGAGTGCTATATCCGCGGGAGCACGGTGCGTGGTGGGCGCCTTGTGATCAGGGTGCATCGTTTGGACTGACGCGCTTTTTCGACCCCACTTTTGCTATCATTGTCTCTCCCCGCGATCCGCAACCTGTTCCGCTTGAGCGCAGATCAAGTACCTCCGCATACCAGATGAGCTGCTCGATCAAGTGAAGGACGAGCAAATCCGCGCCAGGGAAGCCGGCCGCGCAGCGCGCGGTGCCCATCCAGGCCAGAGGGGTGCGTCCTGTATCCAAGGAATGACAAGTCTTATGCTGATGCGACTCTTCTCCAGGACGCGGCGGACCTCAGGCGCGCGGAGGTGACCATTCCATCATCAAGGACGTGAACCCTTTCTCATCCATATCTAGGAGGACGCGGACGCGGTCAAATCATGCGCGGAGGTCCAAGAGGTCGTGGACGAGGGCAATAGATCCTTCCTTGATGTCAGGCTGCGCGTGGGCTCTCGCCTGTCCGCTTGCGAAAATCTCTGTTCGCAGGCTTTCCGTTTTCTACTCGCATCTCCCTCGCGTCGGGCTCTCCACAATGTACCGATCCCGACCTCGTCTTGCGCGCGTCGCAATCTCGTCTTGTACGTGAATCAAGAGTTGCATAGTTATATTACCCCGTGTCTGCTACCTACTTCACAGTGTCTGTATTCTAGAGGTGCAATTAGTCGTTGTTGCGCGTGCAGTGTTGACCTTGTTCTCCTAACATTTTGTAGCAAATAGCGAGCATCAATGGAGGATTAGGAACCCACCCTCGGTGTCCTAGTACTACTCTCTTCGCCTCGTCTTCTGCGATGGGTAATGGATCGTGCAAGATGAGCACGACGATGGCTAACACGTCCGATGAGGCGGGTACAAGGCCGGCGCCACAGGGCTACATGCAAGGGTCAAACGATGAGATACAGGCGACGTGCAAGAGCGTTTGTAGATTTCGGTGAGTTATAGGAGGCGGCGGAGATCAGTGAAGATGGTCACGACAATATGTACAGATGCAAGATCGGTCAGCAATTGACGTCCTTCGGAGGTCCTGGCTGAGTGGACAGCGCGTCGTCCGAAAGGATTGAGAAGGAAACCTGACAGATTCAGTAAGATGCCAGGACGCGCAGTTCGAGGAGATGAACCCTGCGAGACACTACAAGTGAACATGGTAAGGATTTCTTTGCCCTGAAGACCGCCAAGGTCTCGCAGACGTACTCGGTCGTCCTCGAGGCCTACATCCCGCAAGCCACCCCGAGCTCGCGTGCCTCAGGACGTTCCTGGTGCGCCCATCGATAGACCCTCTCCTCCTGGCCCTTCCCATGACGCAGTGCTGCATGTCTACCTCGAGTAAGGACACTGAATGGCACAAAGCACGGTCGAACCTCGTAGACGAGCGGAGTCCGCGGGAGGGTCGAGGCTCATTACCTCCGTTAACCAGAAGTCTATTCACTAGCAGGCAGCGTCACCGTCCCTGGCGAGGGCCTTGATACATCGATTCAATGGATGGAGGTGATTGCGTCCCCGGCCGAGGGAAATGGTCGCGAATATAGCAGAGGCCGCACCCAGCAGGCGCGGTCTACGTCAGCCCGGAGCGTGGATGGAATCAGCAGGGCCGCGCGCTCAGCATAGAGAACAAGGGCGTCCATCTCCGGGGTGCGCGACGGGCGGGCGGAAACACGATGCGCGACACAGCTTACCAGAGGGTTGGATGGGATCGCGAATCTCCCGCTCTCTCGTATGATGGGGACATTCAGCGGGTTTGATTGTGCGGCTGTGAAGGGGGTGCGGGAGGGGAACAGGCGCTGAGGAAGGTCTACTGCTCGCGCTCGTCTACTGCTTTTGCTCTCGCTGGGAGGAAAATTGCGAGGCGGCTGACACGAGGTCCGGCCTCTTGTTCCAGGAGACGGATGAAGGGAGCAGACCCCGCACGTCTGCCACGCGAGGCACTACTGCTTGTTCCTGAGGATGATAGAGCGCGGGATGCTGAACTTTGCAGGATATTTCGTACGTAGGATCCGCGAATGAAGAGCTGGAAATGGTGGTCTGATGAAGAAGGGCGCCCTGGAAGGACCATGGACGACGCTGGACAGAGAAGGGAGACAGTCGTCTTGCGCCATCCCGGCCGGAGTGGCGGTTCGGACGGTTGAAGCTGATGTGGCGACGCTGCACGTGATGGGAAGGCCATTTGGAATTCAGGAAAAACCATTGCTTCACGACGACCATCTCCTCCTCAACGGAGACAAAGTGTTCATAAAGGCCAGCAGGCGGCGTATCTCGCGCGGACTTGGCGAGGAGGCGAGGAGGATTCAGAATTTCAGGACCGGTACCTTCAAAAGGTACCAAAAAGGGGCATTCGCCGTCTCATCAGCCGAGGCCGGCCGGTGGTGCCTGAGTGCGAGTTGTCCTCCTCCCCGTCGCTGATTTTGTCCACGACGTCGCCAGCATCGTTCTCGACGATGGCGGACCGCCCAACGACGGCCAGCGGGCGTCCAGCGACCGCTGGGCGGCCCATGACCTCAGCATCCGCCTACAACCCCTTCGTCCGCGACCAGCAGTACACCGTCGGTGCAGACTCCATATACACCGACGGCGACGGCGAGTACGACGACGAGGACGACGAGTCCGAGGACGAAGATGTCTTTGCTTTTCTCCCCCCATCCACAGCCGACGCAGACGCGGAGCGCCAGCAGCAGCTACAACACCAACAACCAGCCCCCCTCGCTTATCCTGAACCTGCGTTCGACCCCTACGCCCGCTTCCCCGCCGACTCCCTCCTCGTCGGCCCCTCCTCACACGGCTTCCCCTCCCCCGTCGATGAGGAGCCGCCGCTCAAGCCATCTCTCCCACCGCCCCAGTCACCCCCGTCAACAGCCTCCCACGACACCCCCGGGGGCGACAACGATTTCCACATGCGCAGGATACCCCAGTCCGTCCCCCAAACCGCGACTGGCACCGTTTCCTCGCGTGAGGTACACGTATCGCTCCCGCCCACCGCATCGGAGAAGGCGAGCTACCTGGACCGCGATCTCGAAGCCGCCGGAGGCACCAATAAGCAGCGCTATGCCAGCGAAATCAGCGATGCCAGCGGCTTCAGCACCCCCGTCAGCGGTTTCGTGGATGACGACGATGACCTCGGCCCAGAGGGCAGCATCAAGTGCGTTTGCCCCGCTTCGCGACCGCCCCGCGCCAGAAACTGACACCATGACAGGATGGAGTTTGACTTTGACGCGATCGAGGAGGAGGACTCGCCGTACCCAGAAGTACGAGCGTCGGTCTCCAACATCGACGACCCGGACATGCCCGCGCTCACGCTGCGGACATGGTTCATCGGTCTCCTGTTGTCCCTGGTATCTGGCGGGTTGAACACATTCTTCAATTTCCGACAACCTGCGCCCAGCATCATCTCTATAGTCCTGCTTCTAATTGCCTATCCCATCGGCCGCTTCTTCGCCTTTTGCTTGCCAATCACAACTTACCGCATCCCGCTACCCCATCTACCACGGTTCATCGTCCCTTCCTTATCACACACACCGCCGCCCTCGGCCTCAGTCCACTCTCATTCACATACTAAATCCGTCTCCACCGCCGTCGATGAGCCTCAGTCCGAAGGCTCCTGGCTCCGCAAGAAGCTCCACTATACGCTCTCTCGATGGTCACAACCTCGCAGCCTATCCTTCTCCCTCAATCCCGGTCCTTGGAGTATCAAGGAGCACGCATTGGTCTTCATCATGTCCAATGTGTCCATATCGTCGCCGTACGCCTTGAACGTGATCGTCGTGTCCCAGGTATGTTCATTATTGGAGCCCCTTTTTCCAGCCCGCTTACAAGGTGCTGACGCTCCGAAGGTCTATTACGAGCAAAGTTTTGACTACTGGTTTGAGCTGACGCTTGTTCTCGCGACTCAGCTGACTGGATTTGGACTTGCGGGTGCGTCGTCCGGCTTATCGGCGTCGGGGGAGCGCCTGACGAACTCTCACAGGGCTATGTCGGCGGTTCCTTGTATGGCCGGCATCCATGGTCTGGCCCTCAAACCTCGTCGCATGCACTCTGTTGAACACACTCCATGCTGAGGAAGAGGGTCTGATCGCGGACAATGCCAGCATTAACGAGCCACGTCGCAGTGGGATGACGCGGTATCGCTACTTCTGCTGGGTGTGCGCGGGTGCCTTCCTTTTCTTCTTCGTACCCGGTGCGTCATAACTTTCTCCCTGTCTCGCGTTCTTGCTCACGAGTGCCATCTGCCAGGCTTCCTTTTTGTAGGATTGTCGGTGTTCTCGTACGTCTGCTGGGCGGCGCCGAACAACATCCCTGTCAACCAGCTCTTCGGCGTGAGCTCCGGCCTTGGTATGGGCATATTGACGTTCGACTGGACGCAAATATCGTGGATATCCAGTCCGCTTATGGGTATGTCTGCTGTCATATATTCCTCCTGTTCAGTCGCTTACGACCGTGCAGTGCCATGGTGGGCGCAAGTCCACATCTTCACTGGCTTCGTGCTGTTCTTCTGGATATTGACGCCGATATTGTACTACACAAACGTCAGTCTTATCTTCCGTCTGACCAGTGCAGTCTGCTCACCTGTCTTGCAGACGTGGGAGCTGTCATACTTCCCAATCTCCGCCAACGAGCCATATGACCGCTTCGGGCGCCCGTACAACATCTCGCGCGTGCTCACGAAGGACGACACGTTCGACGAGGAGGCGTACAACAACTACTCCCCGTTGTTCTTGCCGGCGACGTACACGATCACGTACTTGCTCGCCTTCGCGCTGTCCACGAGCGTCATCGTGCACACCATCCTCTACCATGGTCGCACGCTGATCAACGGCGCGAAGCGGCTGCGGGTGGAGGCCGACGATATCCACGCGAAGCTCATGCGTAACTACCCTGAGGTGCCGAACTGGTGGTACCTGAGTGCGTTAGTTGTCTTCTTCAGCTTGGCTATCGTCGCGGTGGAGGTCTGGGACACGACTGTGCCGGTGTACGCGCTAGTCGTCGCGGTCATCCTGCCGATCTTGTATGTACTGCCCAGTGGCTTCGTCTATGCGATGACCGGACAAGGCGTAAGTGTTTGCTATATCCAGAGGAGGTTTGACGCTTATCATCTACTTGCAGATTGGGATCAACATCCTGGCGCAGATTGTGCCAGGGACGCTCGTTCCGGGTAACCCGCTCGCGAACATGATCTTCAAGGCGTATTCCGTTCAGACGTTGGCATCGGCGCAGAACTTCGTGCAGGATCTCAAGCTTGGCCACTACGTCAAGGTGCCCCCACGCGCGACCTTCATGGGTAAGGCTGACAATACGATCTGTACTCATACATGCTGAACCATCGTTTAGTCCAACTGGTTGCGACGATTCTGAGCGCGTTCCTGCAAGTCGGTGTTAAGACATGGTTGTTCAGCAACGTGCACGACATCTGCACAGAGGGGCAGAAGAGCCAGCTCACTTGTCCGCACAACCAGGTCTACTACACCGCGAGCGCTGTCTGGTGCGTACACGACAATCCTCCCATGCTCATATCGGACACTCATTTCCTATATAGGGGTCTCATCGGCCCAGTGCGCCAGTTCGGCTCGAACTCGATCTACCACCCGCACCTCTACGCGATGGTCATCGGCGTCTTCCTCCCCTTCCCGTTCTGGTTCTGGCAGCGGCGGCATCCGAACTCATGGATCAAGTACGTCTCGACGCCGGTTATCTTGAACGGTGTCTCGCAGATCCCACCCGCGACGGGCATAAACTACTCGAGCTGGTTCTTGGTGGGCTTCGTCTTCCAGTACCTCATCCGGAAGCGGAACTTCGCGTGGTGGAGCAAGTTCAACTATGTGACGAGCGCGGCGATCGATAGTGGTGAGTGCGACCGCTGCGCGAGGGGAAGGACGGGATACTGATGTATGGTTTGCAGGCACCGTCATATCGCTCATCTTCATCTTCTTGACGCTGCAGTTCCCAAAAGGGGGCGTCAACCTAGATTGGTGGGGTAACACGGTGTTCATGAACAGTGCGTCTTCTACATCGGTTGCCAAGCGCATTCACTGACCCTCTGTTCAGCGGCCGACTTCAAGCGCTCCCCGTTACGGAGCGTTCCCGAGGGCGGGATTCCCTCGGCCTCATAGTACATAGACTGCGGCGCGCCCGGTCGTTAGTGGCGCGCCGGGTCGGTCGTGTGCGTATCCATATACTTGTCTCGCTATCTCTTTCTCCGATCGCTGTGCGGGTGCTGGAGGGCCCCGTTGCCTGTGAAGGACGAGAAATCTGTATTCTATCTATCCTGTCTGTTATCAGCATTCTGTCAGGGAGGGGTGTCCGGGGTCGGAGCGGCGGGAGAGGCGGTGGACGTCGCGGGGAGGTGAAGGAGGTAGTAGTTGCGGATTGAAGAAGAGGGAGGACGTGGATGTGGAGGGAGGTGAAGAGGGGATGGAAAAATACGGTGGCGCGACGTTTCATAGTAGTATCTTCCGGCTCAGGACATCCTTCGTTATGTGTCAGCACTACCAGTATACTAGAATATCCATCTACATATCCCTCAGCAGGAAGTGCATACATACTGAGACGGACGCTAGTAACAGTCAAGGTACTCTGAGGCTCGGGTTGAGGGTTCGGTTGAGGGTCGGTTTGAGGGCGCAGACCAGAGCCAAAGGCTCAAGCTCGATCAAGCCCCGAGGCTCAACTGAAAAGGCTTTCCTACGGAGGTGAGCGTTCGCATCGCGTTGAGCCTCGGTCGAAAGTTTCGTTGAAGGCTTTTGTAAGCTCAAGTTCCCTCAAATGAACCCTCAACCTCGGATCTGAGTACTTTGACTGTTACTAGTGTGATGTATGTATATAGGAGGAAATCTTGAGCAGATCGATATTCAGTGGCGACGACAAAGGCTCGTCGAATAGATATCAGTGCTTGAGGCTAGGGATTCGCGCAATGGCATCTAAGACGGTATAGGGAGATTAAATACTGTCCACCGAAGCCATGGATCATGGGCACAACTTTTTCTCCTTCATAACAACTCTTCCCCACCTCCGACGCTGCCGCCTACATGGTGGTCGTCTCCCTTTCGACTTCGATGATGCCCTCGCTCGATGCAAAGCGGGACTCGTCGCTACGGGTGCCAGCCGGGCCAGGGAGTCTGTGCGCGCGCGAGTTCTGAAACCCGCCGTCGAGGGCGATTCGGATGTTGGAGTCCTCGGGCTGGGAGGAAGTTGTCGTGTCCGCTTCGCGCGCTGCTTCGTGTGCCGCAGGCGGGTCGGCAAAGTGCATGGCTTGCGACACCTGAGCACTGAGCAAGGAGTCCGTTGTGCCTCCCACGGCGGCGAACAGGACACATGTTGGGTATATTCCCTGGACAGAGCAGCATGTCAGATCAGGTGTGCTTGGGACGTGCTCATGGACATACGGCGATGTGGTTAGAGATGTTGGTGAAGATGGCACCGCCGGAGAATCCGTCTTTGTTGGCACTGAAGAACATGCCAAAGTCGACAAGCTGACAAACATAGTGTATAAGTTTGAAGCAAGAATATGGAAGAAATATACCCAGAAAAGGATATATGCAAGACCTGATTCGAGGAGCAGCATCAGGACCGCCTCCGCTTGCGATTTCCACATGAAGAAGCCAAGCAAGCCCTGTATCTCTTGGCGGTGATGTCTAATACGCATCAGGCGGGTATGTTCTGTATGATTTCATGAGGTGCTCACAAAACTTTTTTGCCAATGAGAACCGTCGCGACGATATTGGTCGTCAGAAGCGGAATAAACCTGGTCAGGTACTGGCTGATGCTTTCGCTGATGTATGGGTCATATAGAGATGGCCAGTAAATCCATGTCAACTCTACAATGCCACCCACTGCCTTCAAGATCAGAGCAATGTATGCATGAGTTGATCAGATGCTCACCTACGGTTCCACACATGCACAGTGATAATATACATTTCGCAAGAAACCAATCTGGCCATAAGCACCAGGCTCGCCATACGAGCACAGCATCGCTCAGAGTATACTGCAATGGGGTCGGCAGACTTCTTCAGTACGGATCTTCACGCGTACGTACGCTCAAATCTTGGGATACACCGAGCAGGATGTTTAAACGATATAGCAACACATCGATAGAGCGCTCAGATGTGCCGATGACTACCGGGAACTGAACCAGGAAGAATACCGTATTGTCGACGGCGTATATCGTAGAGGATAGGAGCAGCCCGATTATGGCCACCAGCGTGAAGCGCGATCGTCCGTGTCGACGCCTTGTGAAAGTCAGAATTACGGGCCATGGGCAAGGTTCGTGCTTACGCGAGGATCGTGATTGCTGCGGCAGAAAGCGTGATCTGCACACCTATAGCGCCAACGTGAGATAACTGAAGGGTTGAGGAATATCCCATACTCACCATGGAGAAGAAGGTCGACAGCCACCTGGACGACAATGTACTTGATCGCATGCAAGTCTTCGCTGCCCAGAGGACGATACACTTGGCCGTAGTTGGTCGACATCTAGGGGTAGCTTCAGCGCGGTGAGGTATGCGAAGAGATCATGGCTGCTTCCTATATACCAGGCAAATACGCGCGGTCATAATCGCCGGGAATATCTCCCGCAAGGTCTGAGCTGCCGGGCTCAATTGGGCGTAAGAACTTGTTGAGCGCTCCAAGGCTCCCGTCTTGCGCGAGGCTTACTGAATGAGAACTCGGCGAGCAGCGGCGTGGATGGGCCTTGCTATCGCAGTTTGTGATCGTCGGGGTCGGGAGACACTTCGTTCCGCAAGGTCGACGTATGCTCGAGTCCCGTAGCAGTGCAAAGAGCGCGCATAGCTCAGAAGACTAAGTGATATGTCCTTGATGCCGACTCGCATACTTCGAAGCCGCAGAATCAACATGAGCAAGTCACTTTCCGACGCTGATCTTCCGTGCCCGTGTGCTCTGCATGAGATGAGACCGCCTGAAGTCGCCCAAAGAAATATCAACTCACCGTGACCGCGCTGCATCCTCGATGCAATGCAAGATCGACCCCCAGGCTATGCACATCGCTCGTAACGCATCGCCGGGCAGATACAACGAAGCAAAGCTGATACACCTGGTGTCTCCCGTGTCGTGAGGCTATTAATCCTTGATGTTGTGAACTCAGTCGACATCCCGCCCTGCATTAGCATTATCTTGCAGTACATCCTAAGGAGAGCGCTGCGGAATAAGTGCCAGAACGTCCCGCATACTAAGTATGGGACATCGTCGACATTCCGATCACCGAAGAGAGGCAAAGCAGGAGACGAGATGACATATTGCAAGCGGTCACTTTTCTAGATCGGACGTGCTCTGGCGGATAAACGAGCGCGTAGCCTGATCATCCAACGGGGACGTCCACCGCCTCACCACATCCACCAGCCCCCTCTCCATCAGACGCATCACCGTCGCCTCCCTCTGCCACACCCCCGTCGTCCACACCGCCAGCGGGCCCTTCATCCGCCGCGCCATCACGACGTCCGTTAAAACGCGGTCGCCGACGACCACGAGCTCGTCGTCGCGCACCGGCTTCGGGAGGGCCGCAAAGTACGCGCGGATGTCCTTGATGCAGGAGTAGGACGGCTTGAGGGCGGCGTGGCAGAGGACGGGGACGCCGAGGGCGTGGCCGACGGCTTCGGCCTGGATGGCGCCCGCGTCGAGCTGGCGCGTCCCGGCCGAGTTGGAGACGACGACGACGTGATCGGGGCCGAAGGCGGCGCGGCATTCAGCCCAGGCATCCTGCGAGGTGTTAGGTGGGGAGGGGGGTGAGTGGTCGTCCACGCACCTCGAGCTCGGGGACGAGGTGGTCCTTGTGGGGGATCGTCAGACAGTTATCCTTGTCGAAGACGGCGCCCCGATATCCCGCGCGGCGCAGGGCATGAAAGTCAAGCTGGCGAATGTCTTGCTACGAGGGAGATGCATGTCAGGAAGTAGCCTTCAATTATATTGCATCTCACGCACCTCTGACGACCATGGAGGGAAGCACAAGGCGCGGGTTCACCAGCAGATGAAAGGGCACGAGAAGGCCCGGAATGTTGAGCGGCATGGCGACCGCCCTTCCTTCACTCTTCAGAACACACCGGAGGCGGACTGCGGCCGAGCGGGCGAAACGCGAGAGCGGGTATGCGGACGCGAGTACAGCGGCGCGGTGCAAAGTTTGAAGGATGTGCGCCCACTCAATCAATTCTCCATTTTGGGAAGTTTGTGGCGGTGATCATCCAGATTTTCGCCAGGAACTTGCAGGCACACCTCCTCCTCGATGATCGTCTTCAAAGCCATATCCCTTCTCTTCTACCGACTGGTTTCCGCTGTTCTCTATTCTACAGACTAGAAAATACTAGCTGGGGATGCTCAGCGCTCTCGCGCCGCAAGTGTCGTCGAAAACTCCTTTGTATTCTGTGTGCCTGAATGTCAACCGCGTGCTGGCTAGTGGTTACCCCGGCCGGCACACCCCTTATATCTGAATGGAAGTGCAGATCATTTTCACAGGAGCCCTGACCTCGGACTTTGAAGCGCGCAGCAGGCCTCGGTTGAAGAGCACCTCGACGCGCACACGATCCTTGCCTGAGCCTCTGAGTCTCTGAGGACCCACCCCCACTCACTGCTCACTGTTCATAGCCCGCCTCCCAGCGCCCGCCGCGTGCCGGAGCGTATACAGTGCGTTCGCACCCCGTTTCCCAGCGTTATTCATGCTCACACCCTCGAGCAGCCAGCGCCCTTCCACGTCCCCGCAGCAGGCGTTAGGTCGCCCAGCTTTCCACTCCTTTCCCCGACGCTCCTTTTCCCACCCGGCACACCATGTTTACGCCCCCGCCGTCGCCCCTCCCTGGCCCCGGCCCCGCGAAGCCCTTCGCGCCGTCGGACAAGCTCGCGAGCGCGGCGGACGAGCCGCAGCCGACCTACGCCCCCGATCAGACGCCCCGCAAGCGCCGGATCGGCAGGCGCATGCGATGGGCCGCGCTCGTCGTCCCCTTCGTGCTCATCCTGATCACCGCCTCGACGCGGTATGTCACTCACCCTGCCGCGTTCGACGTCCTCGCCGATGCGTCGCACTCGACATGGTCCGACCTCGCGCACTGGACGCCACATAAACGGCACCCTCAGGAGGAGGTAGCGGGCGAATACTCCAGCGTAGCGAGCGTATCCACCGCGTCCATCACCGATATCGCATCCCTCACCCAGGCGGCATTAGCCATCGAGTCCAGCTCCGCCTCCGCCTCTCCCACGCCCTCTACCACCACCGGCGCCCCCACCGTACCCTCCGATCCCGTACTCCCGACGCCCTTCCCCCAGCCGTTCGACTCGGACCTCACGCAGAACTACTCCTCCGTCTCCTGCTTCAACTTCTTCAACAACATGACGAACACGGAGCCCTTCCGCCGCTGCCGCGCCTTCTCGCTCCTGTGGCAGAGCAGCAGCGCGTTCATCAGCGCGCAGTCGAACGTCACGCTCATGAACACGCTCGTCTGGGGCACGTGCAACACGCCCATCGACGCGGACGCGTGCAGCGTGAACATGGCGTGGTTCGCGGGCGAGTTGCAGACCGCGTGCGCCGCGGATCTCAAGGACGGGAACACGCGCGTCACGGAGACTTTAACGGGTACGTCTGCACACGAGTCTTCGCTCGAGCGACGATGCAGTTGCTGACCCCTCTTCCCCAGCGATCCGCGCGTACGATGTGATGCGCAAGGTCGCCTGCCTCGTCGATGAGAGCACGGGCGCCTACTGCTTCGTCAAAGCCGTCGCGGGGACCGACTCCGCCGACAAGTACACGTACAACCTGCCCCTGGGTCTCCCCATCCCGTCGACCACGGCGCCCTCGTGCAGCTCGTGCGCGCAGGACGTTTTCCAGATCTACGCGGACGCGCTGCAGAACAGCAGTACGACGCTCGACGGGCTGCAGCTGACGTACGAGGACGCGGTGGAGACGACGAACCAGAAGTGCGGGCAGTCGTACGCGACGGCGATCGTGAAGAGTAACGGCGCGCACGCCCGGTGTCCGTGGTCGTGGTCCGCGCCAGTGACACTCGCGGTGGTCGCTGCTGCATTGGTTATCCAATGACCGCGGCACCGATCCCCAATGGTCGCCACTCTCACCACGGTGACCAGCACATACGGTGACGCTCATGGCACCTTCCGCTCTTTACGAACACTCCCTTCCCCTACCCCTATCCCTACGCTTCATCCCCCTACCCCTATGCTCCCTCCCCACGCCCTGCTACGCTCTCCCCTAATCGCTTGTCGCTTCACGCGTGTTGTACTGTGCTTGTGCTTTTGTACTTCTTTCTTTCGTCACACTGAGACGGGCTCTCGCTCTTTGTATGCCGAGAAGGGTTGCCATGGGAGACAGGCTTGCTCCGTCCGCCAGACGCTGCTCCTCTCACAGGAGCCAAGTCTGGCGGATCTCATGCCATCCCCTTCCTCCCTCTCGGCCCCCCGCTTACCGACAATTTTGGCGTTGTAGATACTTGGATGGACCCTGCCGTGTTTAGCTATAGACTATACTTACCTTCAATCGGTCGCTTAACTAGGTTTATGTACCCGGGTTATGGGCGGAGAGGTACTCCTGAATGGACTCGAATACAATAGGAAGTATGTTGTTCGCCCTCTGCTGTGTGCAAGGACCACTCAGGATGTACGAGGTCTCGTCGTGTCCTCGATCTTGAGGAAACAACCCGAGTAGTTAAGCCAGACCGCCGCAAACTTCCTAAAATGGAGATTTGATTTAGTGGGCGGCGATCCTTCGAACTTGTCTGCTTAGTCGCTCTCGCGTTTCGCCCGCTCGGCCGCAGTCCGTCTCCGGTGTGGTCTGAACAGTGAAGGAAGGGCGGTCGCCATGCCATTGAACATCCCGGGCCTTCTCGTGCCCTTTCATCTGCTGGTGAACCCGCGCCTCGTGCTTCCCTCCCTGGTCGTCAGAGGTGCGTGAATGCATCATGGTGATATATGCTTCCTAACATATGTCCCCCTCGTAGCAAGACATTCGCCAGCTCGACTTTCATGCCCTGCGCCGCGCGGGGTATCGGGGCGCGGTCTTCGACAAGGATAACTGTCTGACGATCCCCCACAAGGACCACCTCGTCCCCGAGCTCGAGGTGCGTGGACGACCACTCACCCTCCTCCCCACCTAACACCTCTTAGGACGCCTGGGCGGAGTGCCGCGCCGCCTTTGGCCCCGATCACGTCGTCGTCGTCTCCAACTCCGCCGGGACGCGCCAGCTCGACGCGGGCGCCATCCAGGCCGAAGCGGTTGGCCACGCCCTCGGCGTTCCCGTCCTCTGCCACGCCGCCCTCAAGCCGGCCTACTCCTGCATCGAGGACATCCGCGCGTACTTTGCGGACCTCCCGAAGCCGGTGCGCGACGACGAGCTCGTGGTCGTCGGCGATCGCGTGTTCACGGACGTCGTGATGGCGCGGCGGATGAAGAGCCCGCTGGCGGTGTGGACGACGGGGGTGTGGCAGAGGGAGGCGACGGTGATGCGTCTGATGGAGAGGGGGCTGGTGGATGTGGTGAGGCGGTGGACGGCTCCGTTGGATGGCCAGACTGTGCGATCCTTCGTGCGGCAGACCGTGTCTGATCTAGAAAAATAACCGCATGCAATAAGACATTCCGTCTCCTCATTGACCTTGCCCTGGTGATTGCATGGACGACTTCGCCCCACCCTCGGTACATGTGGTACGTGCTAGCCGGGTAGCCCTTCAAGTGTACAATGCCTTCCTAATGGGGGAGAAGGTAACGTGGAAAATACTTCCGCTGGGCTGGCAATTCACGAGTCACCAGCGCTGTGTTCGCAGCTTCCACCTGAAATTCGACAGACGCCCTCCACTCGCCCGTGCGACCTACTTGAGCGCGGTTACCGCGCCTGCATGCTCGAAGCGCCGACCTTACCGTCGATACAAGTGCTTCCCCGTGTGCGCTATCCTGCCGACTTCGATAATATAGAAAGAAGGACAAATCCATTCACTTCTGCTGTAAGATTGAGAAGACCGCGGCCGGGAGGCTCAAATTCCACGCCGTCGAGAACCTATTTGAAGACGGATGCGCCGGAACGTCCGGCGCGGTGCGGTCTCGGCTTCTTCTGACCCGCCTATCGTCGGTACGACACCTGGAATGCGCAGGCAAGGCGACCCATTCGCGCTATCTGGTCGCGGCGAACTTCATCCCAGATCTACACTGCTCGTATCCATTCAACGAGCCCGCCCTTGATTCGACACAATCAAATCTTTGTATCGACCTGCGTTGCGTTCCAATCAGCTTGACCGAGCTCGGATCAGCACGATGCGAATTAACTCTTTCGCCTCGATACCCATGAATACGTCGAGCGTCTTGCGAATCTCCGGCGATGCAGCAAGGGCGGTATGCCGATCAAGTACATAACATGGTACCACTACCAGTCTCATTCCAGCGGGAGATCCGTACGGGGACCTCAACTTCGCCTCGTCGGTTCTCTGCCCGGTGATGCGACCGACTTGGAGTGTCGCGCACAGCCTGGAGGAGGATGCCGCATGTCTATCAAGGGAGAAGCGTGTCGTGTTCACCGAGGGAGTGGATGACTCTGTGGTCGACTTCGGGTGGTCTCATCTCCTACAGCCCTTGCCGACTCGGGTGATCATCATTGGGAACTGACGTACTCGTACTGAATGTGCGTCCTGGGAGTATGTGAGTCGACATTACACTCGGCCTTCTGAACTAACCGCGCTTTCGTCTCGCGCCCTGTTACGGGACTCGAGCATACATCGACCGTGCGGGACGAAGTCTCTATCAACCACGACGATCACAAGCTGCGATGACAGGGCCCATTCACGCTGCTGCTCGCCGATTTCTGATTCAGTAAGCCTCGCGCGAGACGGGAGTCTTGGGGCGCTTATCAAGTTCTTACGCCTGTGTGGGCACGCCAGCTCAAAACTCGCGGGAGATGTTCCCGGCGATTGTGACCGCGCGTGTTCGGCTGGTATATAGGAAGCGGCTATGGTCCCTTCGCATACCTCATCGCGCTGAAGCTACCTCCAAATGTCGACCAACTACGGCCAAGTGTATCGGCCCCTGGGCAGCGAAGACTTGCATGATATCAAGTACATTGCGCTCGAGGTGGCTGTCGACTTTCTTCTCTGTGGTGAGTATGGGATCTTCCTCAGCACTTCAGTTACCCAACGTTGGCGTTATAGGTGTGCAGATCACACTTTCTGCCGCAGCAATCACGATCCTCGCGTGAGCACGAACCTTGCCCATGGCCCGTAGCTCTCATTTTCACAAGGCGTCGACACGGACGCTCGCGCTTCACGCTGGTGGCCATAATCGGGCTGCTCCTATCCTCTGCGGTATACGCCATTACCAGTACCGTATTTTTCCTGGTCCAGTTTCCGGTGTACATCGGCACATCTGAGCGCTCCATCGATGTGTTGCTGTATCGTCTGAGCATCCTGGAAAGCGTATGCACAAATTTGAGCGTACGTATGCGCAAAGACCCATACTGAAGAAGTCTACTAACCGCGTTGCAGTATGCTCTTAGCGACGCTGTGCTCGTATGGCGAGCTTGGTGGCTATGGCCGGGTTGTTTTCTTACCAAAAGTATATTATCACTATGCATGAGTGGAACCGTAGGTGAGCATCCAAGCAACTCATGCATGCATTGCTCTGATCTTGATGGCAGTGGGAGCCATTGTGGAGATGACATGGTTCTACTGGCCGTCTCTGTATTATACAGGCATCCTTGAGAGCATTGGCCAGTACCTGACCAGGTTTATTCCGCTTTTGACGACCAATATCGTCGCGACGGGCCTCATTGGCAAAAAGGTTCTGTGAGTGCCTCATGCAATCATACACGACATATACACCTGATGTGTACTAGACATCACCGCCGAGAGATACAGGGCTCGCTTGGCTTGTTCGTGCGAAAATCGCAAGCGGAGGCCATCCTGGTGCTGCTCCTCGAATCAGGCCTTGCATATATCCTTTTCTGGGTATGTTTCTTCCATATTCTGAGTTCTGACTTACATAATTGTCAGGTTGTCAACTGTACCGTGGCCCTTGTTTCCAGCAAAGACGGATACTCCAGCGGCGCCATTTTCACCGGTATTTCTCACCACATTGCCGTATGTCCATGAGCATGTCCCAAAAATGCCTGATCTGACATGCTGCTCCGTCCAGGGAATATACCCAACATGTGTCCTGTTTGCCGCTGCGGGAGGCACAACGGATTCCTTGCTCAGTGCCCAGGTGTCGCAAGCCATGCGCTTTGCCGACCCGCCTGCGGCACACGAAGGAGCGCGTGAAGCGGACACGATGACTTCTTCCCAGCCCGAGGATTCCAACGTCGCCCTCTACGGCGGGTCTGAGCCTGAGGAGGAGATGCACGTGGACAGAGTCCCTGGCCCGTCTGGCACTGGCACGCGTAGCGACGAGTCCCGCTTTGCATCGAGCGAAGGCATCATCGAAGTCCAAAGGGAGACGACCACCATGTAGGCGACGGCGTCGGAGGTGAGGAAGAGTTGGTTTTGAAGGAGGAAATGTTGTAACTATGATCCATGGCTTGGGTGCACAGTATTTACTCTCCCTGTACCGTCTTAGATGCCAGTGCGCAGATCCCTGGCTCCTCGCATTGCTATCCATTTTTTGAGCCCTTGTCGTCGCTGCTTGATAACGTTTCGCCGAAGATTCATGCTAATTCAATCCCATTCTATGTACCAGTATGTATTTCGTCAACCACAACGATATATTCTTCCACCTTATAACGGTGGACGCGGAAGGCAGCGCAGGATAAAAGCAAGGATTCTCCGGAAGGAGAAGGGAGGAAAAACTTACCCACTGCCGCCGAAGCGACAATCGGATACACCTATGCAAGTAGCCGTTGAATGAGCCGCTAAAATGACCGTCCGCTGGAGCACTGAAAGTCCAGGTATGACGGCGCACCCAAAGGCGAGGCCGCGATCAGTTCTTGGGAGATGGCCATCAGCCCACAATCAGCCGTGCGAGAGCGTACCAGACTGTTGGTAAATGGCTGTGTAGAGCAGAAAGCCATTAATTCCCACATTCCGTTTCTGAATAGCCTTAGAGACGACGTCAGGACGCGATCGAGAGTCAGACAGTCCATGCGCGCGCACCTAGGTGATTCTGATCTCCGGTTGTCTACAGATCCGATACGTTGCCGTTTGGAGGCGGTTTGGCGCGGACACTCGAGGTGAAAGCGAAACACATTTGTTTCGCAAACTGAGCACGGTTCCTTGACCGAAATAGAGGCCGACGAACTTTGGGGACTCATTGGCCTGCCGACCTCCTTGCGTCGCCGGGCGGAGAAGTTCCATCGGACGGCAGCGGTCCTTGGCCTCTGTATCCGTCGTCGTGCTCTGACAGTCGATGGCGACCGTTGCAGAGGCCTAAAGCAATGTCAGTCCGTACGACAGGGTGGTGGTCGAGTGAACACACCTGTCTGTCTTCGGTGGCGACGAGCTGGCTTTCCCATGGTCTTCAGCTTGACTTGAAGGCGACGCGGTAGCCGGTGAATAAGAAGTTGGCGTGGTATTGATCCAGAGATCTCATTGCCACTCGGCAGCTGGGATTCGAAGAGCTCTACGAGACGATAACGGAGAAGTCTGACAATAGTGGTCAGTCGCAAGTGTAGGCGAAGGCAGCGGGAACGCACGATTGAGCTACCCGATCTTCGCTCCATTGGGCAAACTCCACAAGAGATTCACGCCTTCGCGTGGTTTCGGGGCGTTTTCGAGGTTTGAGGCTGAACGCTGATGATTTCTGGAGATGAAGGTCAGTATAGAGAACGTGCGCAACTGTCAGATCAAGCGCACCATTGGCTGGTCAAGACCCGTTGCATTGCCGACAGAGCATCAGCGCACTTGTGAACCGTCGTCAGATTGCGGAGACAACGTCGGAGTTGTCTGGCGCTGAGGATCAGCCAGTGCAATGAATGAAAGAAATGGTCGCGCAGCGCACCATCGAGCTGCCCGTGTCCGCGGGATTGGGCGAGCTCCACAAATCATCGACCCTCTTGCGTGGCGTAGTAGGTTGGGAAAAACAATGCGGAGGGGATCTTTTGGTAAGGTCAGCGGCGAGAGCGCGGAGAAAAGCCGGCGCGGCGCACCATTGAGGTGCCCGTATGCCGTGGCATTGGGCTGCCTCGGGAGTATTGGCGCTAGAGTGCCCGTAGAGGATCAAAGGTCGTTTACGAGTCAAAAACACTAGAGAAACGGTCAGCAACGAGGTCATACCACGCCACTCGAATAGCTCACCATTGGGCTGCCCGCTCGTGTTGACATTGGGCTAGCCCGGGATACCATTGACGGCACTTGCCAGCCATCGTTGTATCCGTGTCGTCGCCTTGAGTGAGTCAGAGTGAGCGGAAGAGGGAAGGGCGGGTGGGATGGAAGGGTGGGAGATGAGGGCAGGAGACAAGAGAGGATGCCCATCAAACCGCACGCACACGCCGCTTATGCATGGCGAATGTTCGCATGGCAGTCACGTGACATTTCTCAGGCTCATTGTTCGAGTCTCTGTACTGCGCAAATTGCCGTGTAACCCGTTCAGGCGAGCACGAGCAGCACTGCGAGCTCAGCGAAGAAGATCTCTGGCACACCCATTTTTTTGTACACGCCAAACAGTGAAAGAGAAGCCTCGACAGCCGCGAGGTCCCGCTGCTTCTCATCCTGGCTGTGGAATCACCCATTGTATCCAACGTTTCCGCGAGTGCCTCGTATATGATGAAAAGCACCGGGCGAAGCGCAGTTACATACGACACATATCCCATGAAAGCGCATCCATCATAATCGACGCCACCAGTGTCTACACAAAGACAGACGGCCTGAGAAAGCTAAGTAGATACAGGATCCCCAGACACTGTCACAGAAGCAGCAATGGGGTTCAGCCATCGAGATGGCTGTCGGCCAAGCCACCGAAGTGACCGTCCGAAGGAGCACCGAGGTGCCCAGCGCGCGGAGCAGACGAAGGCTGATCCCGTTCGGCTTGTCTGAGGGAAGGAGCATCAGTACGTGAGATGCCGTGCGAGCGCGTACCGGGTTGTGGGCGACGGAAATGGACGCGATAGTCCTCCGCCGCCCGAGGGATTCTTGACGACGACGTGAGGACGCAAGTCCATGTCAGAGAACTCACGGACTCACCTTCAATCGTCCTGCGCATAGTCCACTTCTAGACTCGCTGACTTGACAACGCAGTCGAGGGCTTCCTCATTGCGACTTGGGCGCTGGTCTGATGTCGGGGTATGGACCTCCGAGTTTCGTGGGTGGGGGAAGTCATTGGCCTGCCGACCTCATTGCGTCACCGCGCGATAGGAGTTTATTGGACAGCGCCGGTCCTTGCTTGCGCATCATGACGGCCGACGTTCAGATCGGGAACATTGCCACTCAATGGCTGGGTCTTGAGGTGTTATGCTGCTCGCGGGGCGATGTCGACAAAGTCTAATGAAGGCGGTCAGGGATGAGCGCCGGGGACGACAGTGGCGACGCACCATTGAGCTGCCCGAGCTTCGTGTCTTTCGTGTTCTTGGGCGAGCTCGCGAGAGCATTCGCTATCCTCCGTGGACATTGACGCTCTTGCGTGGCGTTGGGGAGTGGATGAGGATAGAGGCTGACCGTTGACGGCATCTGATGTTAACAGTCAGCGGTGTCAGCATATGGGACGGTCGAGTGGCGCACCATTGGGCTGCCCGGCCACCATATGATTGGGCGAGCCCGCGAAACATTGGCGCACTCAGGACGCGCCGTGAAGGTCTAGGATACGATGTCAAGGGAACTGTCGACGAAGATTAGCAACAAGGTCATACGCGACAGCCGCATAGCGCACCATTGAGCTACCCGGTCTCTGTGGCATTGGGCTGTCTCGAGACGACATTGATGCTCTTGTCAGCATCGAGAGCTTGAGAAGATAACTTGCCAAAGGATTGAGGAGATCTGGTGTCAAAGGTAAGTGGCGAGAATACCCACAAATGTCGAGTGGCGCACCATTGAGGAGCCCGGACACGATGACATTGGGCTGCCTCGGGAGATTGTATGGGCACTTGCGAGCCCACTTGAGCTTGAAGGTATTTCGCCAGCCGAAGATATCTGGCGGTCGAGGTCAACGACGATAACATGTCGCGCCATTCGGATGGCGTACCATTGGGATGTCCGCCCGTCGTGGCATTGGGCCGACCCGGGAGGACATTGACGGCGTTTGCGAGCCATCGGATTGTCGTTGTCGGAGTCATCGAGGTCAGAAGGGAGGAAGGTTGCACGGCGATGGTCGGGGTCAGATGAGGGTAAGAAACAAGAAAGGATGCCATCAAACTCCAAACGTGCGCCGCTTATGTATGTCGCCACGGGGAAAAGCTCGCGTGGCTATCATGTTACCTTCCCCCCTCCATTGTTCGAGTCACTGTGCTGTTGCTGTGCTGCGCAGATAAGAATGGAAGCTGGCCGAAGAAACACGAGTGGCGCCGCGTCGTTGACACAGAGAATTTCTGTCAGAAGATTGTGACTAGTTTGTTCACCGGTATGTATCGCGCCCTTCGTGGAACTGAAGCCCAGCGCACCAATGTGAAGTCGAAGGCGAGCGTGCCTGCAGCATAAAATAAACGTGCTATAAAGAAGGCAAATCATGGGCTGCGCCGAAGGAGGGGACTTCGCGTTCCCCAGCCCGTCGACGGAGATTAACATAGGCTGGCGGCAGAACCGCGGAGTGCTCGCTGGGAAAGTGCCACTACGTGACACGCGCGAGCAATGTTGTCTCGCACGCAAATGCGACTATGCGTTCACTGGGTAGGAAAAGAGAGTCCACCAAGCAGCAGCGAACATGAAGCAGGGCGCCGGCGACGCCACGCGGGACCGCGGGCGCCAGTGACGTCACGGCCCGGTGCCCTGGGCCCTGCTGCAGCGCAGGCGCCAGCTGGCGTGTCGCTGTACGAGACGAAGCGCTGAAGATCTTCAAGAGAAACTTGGCATATCGATAGTACTCACCATTACGAGCACCTACGAGCTTCGAGCGAGCGAAAAGACGAAGGTTCGAGCAGGATATGGGGCACACAAATGACGAGGTACGTTTGGTCAAAACTTGAGCAGGGAACGCGAAACTTCGTACAGAGGTGCGGAATGGTCTGTAGATCATATGTCTTCTAAGTAGCGTATCCAGAAAACCAGCCGCGCACCCCCTACGGGGGCGCCCATTGAAGCCCTTTTCAGGTCACGTGGGCGAGCCTACGGCTCTGCGAAAAGAGGCCCCTACCGAGACACGTGATAGACAACATTGCTCGCTCCGCCTTTCCCCTCCCTCGCAAGCTCGGGGGGGGCCCCTTACAGCTAGTTGCAAAACGATAGACGCCCCTCGCTCCCTCGCCCACTCCGCTCCCCACGCGAGATATGACGCCAGGCGCGCCACGCCGAGCCTCGGCAAGGGGGCAGCAGGCGCTCGCCGACGCGCTGCTCGTATACGGAGACATGAAAGACAGAGGCCTGATCGTCGCACTTGCTCAGGGAAGATTCATGCTGGTTAGTATATACCTTCAGCCTCCCCCGGCCAGCGTAACGCGCCCCTGAAAGGCACTGGCGCCGTGACCCGAGCGTACAGATGATGCGGAGGCGCGCTCGGACCGGCCACGCGGGCCCCACAGCGTCTTTGCAGGGGGCGTCTATCGTTTTGCAACTAGCTGTAGGCGTTCGCGAGCAATAACATGAGGCGTGTCGCAAAGTAAGTTCAGCGCGCACGTGCTTACTGACGTCACGCGTCGAGTTCGAAGTTCGAATCACTCGTATCCGCAGATGAATCGATAGACTGGGCGTAGCCCAGTCACATACAACGCACGTTACATGAACCACGTCCGACACCATCGGCCGAGTAAACTCAGCCTTTCGGCATCTACATATGCGAGAGAAAGTATAGGTGGGAGATATGTATGTAAGTAGAGAATCTCCAGAAGGAAATAAGAGGGGAAAAACAGACCGCCGCCGAAGCAGCATGGGGTCGGGTCGCCGAAGTGACCTGATGTCAAGCCACCGACGCGACCGTACTCTGTAGTACTCAGGTGTCCAGGCATAGGAAGCACCCGAAGGCAAAGCCCGCATCATCACCCTAAGGAGAAAGTCATCAGCTCACGAGCTGCGGTGCAAGCGCGTACCAGGTTGGATCTGAAGGAGATTGGAAGGGTAGTAGGTCTTCGCAAATAGTCTTCCGCCCGAGGTGATCCTGAAGACGATGTCAGAACGCCATCAAATGTCAGATAATCCACATACGCATCTAGGTCGTTCTGAGCTCTCGCTGCTGACCGGATACCTTGCCAATTGGAGGCACATTGGCGCGACGCATCGAGATTACAGGTAAATGCATTGCGACTTGAGCGCGTGTCCTTTGCCAGGATACAATTGGCGAATTTCGCGAGCTCATTGGCTGGCTAGCCTCATTGCGTCGCCGCGCGGAAAAGAACACTATATTGGACAGCGTCGGTCCCCGGACTCTTCGCTCGTCTTCGCGTCGTAAAAGTTGAGGTCGATCATCGAAGCATTAGGCAGAGCCCTGGGACAGCGTCAGTCCGAATGGCTGGAAAATAAGTGAGTGAACGTGCCTGTTTATCCTCGGTAGCGAGAACAAGCCTTCGTTGATCTCCAGGTTGCCAAGAGCTCGCCAGCATAGCATGGGTTCGGGAATGTCATTGCCACTTGGCGGCTAGGAGTCGAGGCGCCGGATTTGCTCGAGAGGATGTAGAAGAAGTCTGTCAAGGACGTTCAGTGGCAAGCTCATGCGAAGACGGCAGCGACGTACGATTGAGCTGCCCGGTCTCCTTGTCATCGGGCGAGCTCGCAAGGTCATCCAGGCGTTTTGCGCGGGCATTGATGCTCTTGCGTGGCATCGGGGCTCGGATGAGAAGAGAGGCTGAGCGCTGACTAGACCTAGTAATTTAGGTCAGTGACAAGAACATACTCGAGGAAGACCGAGTCACGCACCATTGGCCGCCCGAGACCAGCTGTATTGGGCTGAGCCAAGAGAGCATTGACGCACTTGCAACGCGTCTGGAGGTTGAGAAGACGAAATCGAGGTGTTCTGAAGACGAAGGTAAGCAACTACAATGCAGGAATTGGTCGCGCAGCGCACCATTGAGCTTCCCGTGTCCGCGGCATTGGAACGAGCTCCTCGAGTTATTGACGCTCTTGCGTGGCGTCGTGAGGTTGGATTGGATGATTCCGAGAAGACCTGATTGCGAGGGTTAGCGGCGAGAGCACGCAGAGCGGGGCCGCGTGGCGCACCCTCAAGAAGCCCGGGAGCGGTTGCATTGGGCTACCTTGGGAAACATTGCAGCCAGTTGCGGGCTACTTGATTCTTGAAGGTCCTCTGCGTCGAAAAAATCTTTCAATGAAGGTCAGCGACAAGGTCATGCCACGCCGATCGAGTGGCTCACCATTGGGCTGCCCGCTCGTCGTAGCATTGAGCTAGCCCGAGAGCACATTGACGGTACTTGCAGTCCATCGTCGTGTCGGTGCCGAGGCATGGTGTCCGAGTGAGTGAGCAAGCGAAGAGTGGGAATGGGGCCGAGATGAGGGTAAGAGACAAGAAAGGATGCCCATCAAACCGCAAGCACGCGCCGCTTATGTATGAGGCGCGCGGGAACGCTCGCGTGGACATCACGTGACTGTTGCAGTCTTTCAGTTTGTACTGCGCAAACCGCAACGGAAGCTGGGTACGGGCGCCCATGTGTTATCTACGAAAAGGATCTATGGCACGCCTATATGCCAATGGAGTCACCAAGATCTGACATATGGCGTCCTCATCCTTTACACCACCATAGGCTGACAACCCGAAGTTGAGCACGCAGCGAACTCGAACTACCGCAGGAGGCTCGAGGGCATTTTCATACACAGAGCGAGCGCCCGCTACATGGATAACCCACCACATGAAATACATCCGATACCATACACGCATCCTTCGACATCTACAGACGCGAGCGCCAGCGCGGGAAGCAAACATGTACAACGGTAATCTCCAAAAGGAGATGGGTTGGAAAAAATTGCCCACTGCCGCCGAAGCGACGATGGGGTCCGGTCACCGAGACCCGGATGACAAGCCACCGAAGCGACTGCCTACTGGAGCATCGAGATGGTGTCCAGATGTCAGGCGTGCCCGAAGGTACAGCCTGCAGTTTTATGTTCTGTGGAAAGGCACGTCAGCTCACGAGCGGCGCAGCGAGAACACACCCGAGCCGTGAAGGTGCCTAACGGGGCAGAAAGCCGTAGTACATAGACCTCTGCCCTCGATAGTCCTTGGGACGGCCTCAGCACGCGAACGGCTGTCAGTCAGTCCACGCACGCATTCAGGTGATTTTGACCTCTGTCAACCAACTTGACGCATTGCGCAACGGGGCGCATTGGCTGGACGCCGTGAGCTCGATCATTGTCGCATTGCGACTTGGGCGCTGGTCTTCTACCGGGGTACTGACCGTCGTAGACGAGGGAAAACATTGGCCTGCCGACCTCATTGCGTCGCCGCGCAAGTGAAGCCCCATTGGACAGTGCCGGTCCTTCGTCTCACGTCGTGATCGTCGAGGGCGAGCTCGGGAGCATTGCCAGTTGATGGCTGGGACTTGGGGCCTTAGGTTGTTTGGGTGTTGTTGCCGGAGGGGTCTGATCAGGGCAGTGAGCGAGAGAAGGGCACGAGATAGTGGTGGCGACGCACCATTGAGCCGCCCACTTCCCGGGTTATTGGGCGGGCTCACGAAAACATTGACGCTCTTGCGTGGCATCGGGGCGTTGTCGAGGCTGTCGTCCAACATTTACGAGTGCTTTGAAGGCGAAGGTCAACGGTGAGAACACAAATGACAGTGGAATGGCGCACCATGGGGCTACCCGGTCGCCGCGGCATTGGGCCCAGCCGACACTACATTGATGCATTTGCGACGCATCGTGGCGGTGGTATGCGAGGTTAAGGCATTCTGAGAAAGATGATTAGCGAAGGGTTGATGCGCGACAGTTGAGGGGCGCACCATTGAGCTTCCCGTGTCCGCGGCATTGGGCGAGCTCGAGAGGGCATTGACGCTCTTGCATGGCATCGGGGTGCTGGCGAGGGTAAATGCGAGAGCTAGTGACTGGTGAGCGTGATTAACATGGAGAACTATCGGGTGGCGTACCATTGGACGAGCCCGGGACATTGACGCGCTTGCGAGTCGTCGTTATGTTGAGGGACAAGATGTCGGGGTCTGTTGTGGAAGGTCAGCGACGAGACGACGGGTGATCATCGAATGATGCACCGTTGAGGCTCCCGTTCGCAGTGGCATTGGACAGCCTCGAGAGACATTGATGCACTTGCCAGCATCATAGGCTTGAGCGGAGTATGTGTCGAAGACCTCAAAGCTCTGGCGCTGGAGTTGAGCAACGACAGTGAGTATGATTGACAAGTGGCGCACCTTTGAGGGGCGCGAACCCTGTGGCATTGGGCTACCTCGGGAGATAATGTTGGCGCTTGCGAGCCGCTTGAGCGGCTTAGGGTTGTTTGCGTGTTGAGAATACCTGACGCAGAGGTTAAACGGCGAAGTCGTAGCATGCCACTCGATTGGCGTACCATCGGGCTGCCCGCTAGTCGTGGCATTGAGCTGACCCGAGACAACATTGACGGCGCTTGCAAGCCATCGGGACGTCGATGTCGGTCCACATGTCGAGTGTCGGGCATGGCGGTGACAAAAATGGGTTGCTGGGATGAGGGTTAGAAACAAGAGACGATGTCCATCAAATCGCAAACGCGCACCGCTTTTGTAGCGCGCCTTTCGAACTCCGCTGCGCCATCAGTGACCAAAAGGGGAAACCCTCAGCGTGGCTGTCACGTTACCGACCTCGTCTCTGTTCGAGTCACTGATTGTACTGTGTCAACGAGAACGTACATACCAGTGCGTCTAGATGGGATAATCAGCTTGGAGAGAACAGTCGAAGATGGTTCTACGCACTGAGGATAGTTCAAGATAGGTTCAGAGGATGCAACGCGCAACGAGGATATGACGGGAAGCGGCGCTCTATAGCAGTACTTTATACACACAAAACATAGTGATCGACTGACTATTGTCCGAGGTCCATGAGCAAGCAAAAGCAAGGGTTTATAGCAACACACTAAGGATCGAGAGAATCTCCAAGGTTGAGCGCCTTCGAGCGCCTTCATTGTTGTACATCATCTGCCCTCCTTCATGCTGACCTAGTGTAGCGCACCGCTGCATGCGCTGGGCGGTTGAGTTCATTCCCGCGTAAATTCATCGAGTGTCGGTTCGTGCCTCGTCGTTTCATGGGAGTTAGCGTACCATGATCCAAACCACCAAGCAAGGATGCCGCCTCTTGCAAGCGCACCATCGTGCATGGGCACCCATCCATCGACTGAACAACCTTTTCTCCTCGCACACCGTCATGACAATCCCTTCCAGGACGCTACCTCCCCCACACCCCCTGCTCCTCCGGCTGCGCAAGCAGGTCGTCAGCCGACACCCATCGCTCGCGCGGCGGCAGACGACCCGGTTGCCAGTCAGAATCATCCGCCCGCATATCACCAAGCGAGCGGAACTGTTGGTGCTGTAAGCCACGCGGCGGGCTTCCGGGTGGACTGAGGTACTGCGGGTTGGAGTACCGGGGCGGGTCGTGGTTCGCGGTGGGGTTGTGCCGACTCGGCGGACTCCCGGGCGGGCTGAGAAGGTGGGGAGAGGGCGTGGGGAGGGGACGGCGGCTGAGGGAGGCTTCGCGATAGGTGGGGAGGCGCTCGTGACGATCAAGGTCGGCGTTGTATGGGTCGAAGTCCGGCGCGGAAGAGTTCAAGTCGACGCTCGATGTATTGACACCACGGCCGGCGATGCTCGCATCTTGGCCGGAGGGCGAACGTGGCGCTCGTGGTCCGGTCATAGTGGGAGCGGGCGGGATGTCATGACCTCGTGAGCTCAGGTTCTGTACGCCATGAGTATTCTCCGAAGAGGCTTCGGCAGGAGAAATGGTCGCTGTGAGTGGCGAATGCGCATCGTAGTACCGATCGTAAGATGGCGCCGTGCTGGCGGGCGTAATGAGATCGGCACTGGAGCCCGACCCGCTTGCTTGGAATTGCGGCGAAGGATAGAGGAAATGCCCCGCAAAGTCAATGAAGCGCGATCCGTCTTCCATAGGTGAGTCTCGGGCAGGCGAGGTCTTGGGCGACGGTGTCTGTTCTCGTGGTCCAAAAGGTCGGTCTCGCAGGTGGCGACTCTCGTTAGAGAATTGGGTCCGTAGTCGTGGAGGCGGTGAGAGTATTCGAGCCGGGGGAGAAAGCGGTGGACGTGCGCCAGGTGAAGATAGAATTCCGGCGGGTGGAGGCATAGGTGGCGGATAATGTGGTGAGGGCGGTATCACATCCGTCTGTACGACCAAGTCAGCGCATGCCTCAAATAGAATTCGATGAACTCCATCTTACCAACTGAGGCGCCTGTACTGCCTGTCCTTCAGGCGATGGTGAAATTGGCGAAGGCGGAGAGAACGCGTCCCGCCAGCTATTGGGCGATGCCTCTCGCCGGGGGCTGGGGGACGGCGTTTGCCAGTGCTCCGACGAAGATTCTTGCCTCGCAGTCGACGTTGTCCCGTGCCGAGACGGGGGCACGACGACGATCCCGCGGTGTTGGTCATCACTGGAAGACGCTATCGTGAAGTCTTCTCCCGGGAACCGCGAAATAAGAACGACGCTTGTGTCATCCGGGAGAAGCCCACGGTCGCCCTCGGGCTCCGCTGGTACATTACGCAAGCCCCCTGAATCCTGCCGAGTGGGCGGCGACGCAGAAAATGTGGCTGCGCGAGGACTAGTCGTCTGCGCATTCTGGTTGAGCAATACGGGCGGCTGACCCGCGCCGGGGGAAGCCAAGTCCGGCAGAAGCCGTTCCTCCTCGTCAGGTCCATGTTCGACATGACCGTTCACGAGAGCCCTGTCGGTAGCACCGTGCGCCGCTACTGATGCCTGCGCTGTCGTTCTCCGTGAAGGCCCCGGCGTCCCGTCGATCCGCCACCGCTTGTTCGGCTGCGTCGACTTGATCTTCACCGGCCGCTCCGCCCAGGGCATCGCCCACTTCGCGCGCATGTACCACAAGCGCACGCGGCTCCAGGGACCGGACCCAGAGTCGGACCACTCCTCCGTGCGTCGGCTCAGGTTCGTCGCACTGCAGAAAGTACCGACCAAGGGTGTCGCGGACGAGGAGCGCGCATGGCCAGCCCCATTGGCGTGGAGGTAAGGATCGTTCGCGGCGTCAACGTCGATGGTCCAATTAGGGTCGGGCGAGGCTTCGCGGACCTGCGGGAGGGAATTGAAGCTATTGAAGACCGGGAGGTGGCGGGCGCGCTCCAGGGCAGAATGGGGGCGCCGTGGGTAGGCATTGGCGGGCTTGTGACGAGCGCGGTACCAGAGGAAGAGTGCAAAGCAGATGAGAAGGATGCCAAGGCCGACGACAATGGGTGTGACGATTTGAACAGTGGTCCACTGGTTGCTGTCGTCCTCGTCCTCGTTTTCGTCCCTGCCTGGGTTGCCTGATCAGCCTAGGCCCTACCTGTATACGTAGTAGGACTCACCGTATGCCATTATGTGGTGTCTATTGCCTCCTCCAAAATGCACCAAGGGGGGTAGAGGACTGCCAGCAGCGGCCTTGCGGGAACAGGGTGGAGGTACGTTCATCAGGAAAGATCTCGGGGGCAAATTTCCCCATCGTGGTTGGATGTCCGGTCTATCAGAGCAGGCAGAAGTACTGCGTCGCGTTGACATGAGTGGTGGTCTTTCAGTGAATCTCGAGACTCACCAGGCGCAGGAGACCTCATGTTCGTAGTCGGGTATAGCCTCTATACAGTCCCGGGTCAGTCGTGCGCACCCTAACCGAGAGTTCCCCCACGCACCTAATCGTTTGTACCGCGCGCAGGTGAGCGCCCCCTTGCCTTCCCTCAGCTGGTCAACATCTTCAGCCCACCAGCAGCGTACTTGTAGCACCTACGAACCGCGTCAGGTCCCTCGCCCCTGTCCTCCCTCCCGGAAACCTGATCAGTGTCAAATTCCGCGCGATCATGCATTGACGGAAGTAGACCCACCGTCATCGGCGCCGGCACGACGCGTGCGCGGACGACGTCAGCCGCAGCGAACCCGAGCAGGAGGGCGGCTGAGGGGATGCGCATAACATTCGGTGGTGGCGGCGGAGAGCAAGGTGTTCTGCTCGCCCGCCTGAACGCGCCCTCTTTTCCCGTCGGTCATTTGACCCGCCGCCGTCATCTGCGGGAAGTTCAACTTTTCTCAGGCGCGATATCGAGGGTATGAACAAGCGCCCAGGCGCTCAGGTCCATGAACATAAGCGCCCGAAGCCGGAGGGTAGCTCTCGCCGACGCCACGATCGTGTTTCCAAGAGTTCCTCACGGATGAAATTCGCCGATTACTTGTCTTCGATAGGGTCGTTCAAACCTGGCGGAATTTCGCGAAAAGGAAAAATTCGGCTCTTTCGAACAGAACTTTTGGCGCGGGATTCGGCCTTTTCGAGTGATTTTTCGCGAGAAAAGGGAGAATTCGATTATTCTGAACAGAGGTTTGAACACAGAGGAAGGTCATGTGGCTGTGTCGAACAGGATTCTCGCCCGTTTCCCCCGCCAAACGGTACCTTTTTCAGATTTTTCCCTTTGCGCACAGGAAAAATACGAAGACACGAAACGAGCTTTGAGGGACCCTGATTATGACCCTACTCGAGCCATGATTTATCCAAGAGGGGATTCACTAGGGTGCTTCCAGGTAAGGACCTCGACCCGCGAAGAGCGCAGAAGGCAGGTAATGCAGGTGGTAAACGTGGAGGGCTTCGCATCTTCTACTGTCACTTTGGAGCTTCTCTAGGCACCGGTCAGGGCGGAAGGCCTTCCAGAGGCCGCTCCGCCTGATGCTCTCTTGCCTGATGTAGGGAAAGAATATCTGAAGCAGGTTCATTGCTCGCAATCTACCCGAGGCAAACGTCGATGAGCACATTGCGATGGTCTACTTGTACCGCGGAGGTTTACAGGACCGTCAACATGAGGACGTCTTCCCCTGTGCGCGTCATGCCAGAATCTACATCGCACGCGCGAGTAAAGGGTGAGTATTCACCTCAAGAGCCGGTTTGCTCTGCAGCTGGCCTGCACGTGACAAGTTGAACTTGCGCGATCAAGATTCAAAGCTGAGATTGGTGCTGGTGAGCCCCCGGCAAGCGTTGGCAGGATCTCAGCAAAAGTCAGTTCGTTGCTGTGGTAGCCATGGTATGAGGTATGTCCATTTATGTTGGGGAGTAAGTTCAGGTAGGAGGAACCTCACCAGACGCAGTTGCCTTCGGCAGAAAGTCGAGAGTGCCGAATAAAGCAGCCCATGGAGCTGCAACTTTGACATTGGTGTTTTCTGGCAAGGAAACACGCTAGGACTCATCCAACGCACACCCGTATGCCGACTGTGCGACGCCTCGCCACGAATCCTTGCTGACCGCAAACGTCTCCGCGTACGCGACCTCCAAATGATGCAGCCGCTTGCCAACAATGACGAGGCTGTGAAGCGGTTCGCCAAACGTCTCTGCTGGTTGCGCAGCGAGCTCCGCGAGGGTACCCGCCACGATGCGCTCGTTTCCTTCTCCGCCGCCGACGCGGGAGACCGCGATGGCGAGGGTTGTGTCGGCGGCGAGCGTGCCTGTCTGGCGCTTCTCCTCGATTTCGAGCAGCTGCGATACGGCCTGCGGAATTGACATATAGCGTGGTGGTTCGTAGATTTTGCGCCCCCTTCGTTGCCGATAAGCATGTGGCACGACGCACAGAAAGGCAAGAAGCTCACCTAGCAAGGTTCTCTTCGCTCTGCTCCTTGACTTTGATGTCAAGGAGAACGAGAGTGTGTAGGCCAAGGTCAGCGTTGTCCTTGATACGGTCATAGAAGCTATCCGGCTTCCACGTCTCGGTGAAGAACACGAGGGAGACTGTCTGTCCAAAATTGTACAATTGAAGGCCGCAAGCGCCCACCGCGTTCATGATGGACGCATTGTGAACTACCCTCGTGTGTATTCCGAGAGCTCGCGCACGAAGGATTATGTCGGTGTGCGTCGTTGCGCTACAAAGGGGCTCAATATCAGGCTGAACCCTATGCAGAAATTCGCCTACCCGAAGGGGTCTCCAACTACCAGGAGCGATATATCTTCCTTATCTGCATCGCGCAGTATCTCATCGCTTTCAGTCTCGACCATGTCGCGATCGGCAAGGATCAGCTCCTTGCCATAGAAGGCTTCCTTGCGGGACCGCATCAGTCTTGGCGAGCGGGAGGTCGCTAGCAAGTTCTACAGACCAGTCTCTCCTTTTGTACCATCAAAATGCTGGTGTACGCCTCCAGATAGACGCGAGAGGAGGACTTGACGGCCTAGTCATTGAAGTGTTCTCGTTAGACCCTATTTTTCCATGACGATGATACGATGAGACCTACCTCCAATCCACGGACAGTGATGTCCTTTTCATCGCAGAGGCCGAGGCCGATGATGTAGAACATGATGACGAGGAAGGTGGCGGAGCGGAAGAGAAGGGTTCCGACGGAGTTGGAGGTTGATCGTTGATCGGACCTTACCCCGATGGATATTCCGGATTAGGAAGGCTTTCATCTTTGTAAATCGCCATATTGTGGCCTCGGACCTCGGAGTTGGCAAGAAAGGTCGAGGGTGCACTTCTTGAGCATGTGGCGCGACATGATGAGAGACAAACTTACCTGCGAAGCACCCATCACAGGCGACCGAACTACGGGCTAAACAGTCAAGGGTTTGCGCGACCAACGACAATGTTCAAGTTTGTCCCGGAGAGGCTGAACTGTTCATCAGTGCACTTGAGCATGCAAAGGGCCCTGCAGGTCCCAATGTCCCGCAGAGTTCTCATCCTACTGAATTCCGAACCCGGGGAACTGATTGCGTGCAATGAATCGAAGAGGCTTACTCTGCCCTCGATAAGCTCCTCGCAACCCAACTCCGGCAATTGGTCAATGGCAGACCTACCCGGGCACATGACGCGGGCCTAGGTCCCCCACCACGGACACAGCGCGTTCCAATCATCAACACGTTGAAATCAAATATCTGCTTTAAAATCCGTGAGCCTGAGAATGGACGGGAATCGATTATATCCTCCTCCGACGCGGGCTCTCTCCCGAGACCTGACCTCCGCGACGGCCACGACGAAGAGGCGTGCGCTGCACACACGAGAACGCGCGCAGAGAAGACAATTCACGACGCCCCAAACATGGCACCGGACCCCAACTCGCCACGATATCGCGTGGTACTCGCATTCTTCCGTGCGTGCGAGGCGAACGACGCGGACACGGCCGTCTCGCTCTTCGCGGAGCCATTCCAGTTCCGCGTCCTGCCCAAGGCGTCCGGGAGGCCCATCATCACAAACAGGGCTCACTTCCGGACGTTCCTGCAGGGCATCCGCGGGTCCTTCAAGACATACAACGTGCGCCACATTCCCCCGACCCGCGGACAGGCAGGCCGGTCACTGATCATCGCGTGTAGATCGAGATTCTCCGAGCACTGGACTGCGAAGACAACTTCATGTTCTTTCACGTACGTGCTTCCTCGCATCAGGATCTACAATCGATGAGTAATAGGCGTCCACTGCAGGTGATGGTGAAGGGCGTATCACTCCTCGATACCATGCTCAACAACGAGATGATCTTTCTCTTCCACTTCGAACCCATTACAGGCCTTCTACAAGGCATCGACCAGTACTTGGATAGCGCATCAACAGCGCGCTTCTTCGTCGAAGAGAAGGAGAAGAAAGACCAACAGCGCTCACGCAGCTCGTTGGGACCATCATAGAGAGAGCGCCTCCCACAGATCCGGCATGTCTCATGGATTTATATGTAGCAACACAACTTGTATCATTAGCCTGTCCCAGTCGGTGAGCAGCGCTACACGCCTATACCCAGAGCGGGCTTCACCTGAGTACCGCATAGAAGCATGTCCATCATACGACGTATACATCTTCCTTCTCCATGGAATAGTCGGCCATCTCCTTCCAGTAAGCGACGCGGGCCTTACGCTCAGCTTCGAGTTTCTGCCGTTTGTGGTCAGTAAAGCTGTTCGTCACGACGTCTTTTCAACATACCTTCTTCGTACTATTGAAGCCAAAGTCCTCCCCGTCGCTCTCTTCTTTCTCGGCCTTCGTCGCGCGAGCAGAACGAGTACGCGGAGTGGGCTTCTTGCTCTTCAGGGTCTTCTGCGTGGTCGCGCGCCGAGTTGCCCGTTTCTTCGGGGGCTCGTCTTCGTCCTCCCCATCGGATACCTCTTCCTTGGCACGCTTGCGAGTGCTGCGACGCGTGGCCTTCGTCGCTGGCGCGGATTGAGTACGAGGCGCGCGAGCTCGGGTCGCTCTCGCGGGTGGAGCTGGCGCCTCTTCGTCCTCCTCCCCCTCCGCATCTTCCTCCTGCATTTCCTCTTCGTGTTCTTCCTCCTCCTCCTCCTCCTCTTCCTCGTCTGCCGCTGCATTCGACTTGCGATGTAACGGTGCTTTAAGGTGCTCGCCCTCGACGACGTCGAGACCCTCCGTCAAGAGGGCAGCAGCAGCCTCGGCGTCGTCGTCTGATTCGTAATCAGCAGCGACTGGCCGTTTACCGCGCTTCAATGGCGACGGTGAGCTGAATATGGCCGGCACCTCCAAGCTCTCGTCGACTTCGAACGAAGAATCCGCGGGAAGTACGTGTCGCCTGTGTGGCCTCGGAGGGGGCGAGCGACGGACAGGCGTAGGCCTGACCGGAACACGTTGCGGAACCTGGGCACGAGGCTTGTTCGCACGCCCTGCCGCGCGCTCGGCCTTGAGCTGCTGCTCTACCTCAAAGAACCCGAACGGATCCGAGTTCCTGGCCTGAGGATCATTGTCCTGCATTCCTTCCTCCTCGTCTGGGCCTCCGGATGCGAAGTCCTTGCGTAGCTCGGCCTTGACGTCAACGTCAGGCGTCTCGTCACGGGGTCGCCGAGGCTTCTGGTTTTCCTGAGAAGAGGAGTAGTCGGGAGGAGACGAGGGTGGCAACGAAGAAGGAGCAGCGGCAGCATGTCTGGCTTTTATTCTTTCAGCCAATTGGGCAGGCGGGGCCCGAGCAGTACGCCTCTTCTTCGTGGGAGAGTTCTGGTCCGAGCGCAAATCAGCGCGCTGCGCGATATCACGTAGCGGCTCTCTCTTGGTGAAAGCACGAGAGGCAGCGGCAGCACGAGATACGCGCTTTGTAGGTGACGAGGACATAGCGCAGTCGGTTAGCGAGAAACGGCGATAGTACGTGTGCGTGAGATGATGGTGGTTGGAGACAAAGGATGAATGGATGAATCACAACAGGTCCAAACACTGACGTGCCTCGCTGTCATGTGACCGTTTTGGCTCCGACGGCCAATGCCGAGACCCCACGAGGCATCTGATAGGCGCCCGCGTCAACTCCTCGACTGGCGCTCAACTCAGTCTGGGGCCCTCAAGCCGAGCGCGAAATGCTTATCTGAGGTCAGCTCTTACCTGTGAAAGGCAGCGAAGGCCTACCAGACCTGCGGATGGTACAGGCTGAGTGCAGTACGTCACACAGGTCCATGCTCAGTAGATAGGAAGATGATCTTAGATCTATAGAAGCAGCCTCAATGGTCACACCTTCACTTCGGCGTTAGTTGTCTACAGCTTTCATAAAAGCGCGTCCTGCGCGCCAGAAATGACCGTTTCCCCCTTCTCTCCCGGCCCTCCAAGCTCGCTACTCGCCGCCAATGGACCTCTCCTGGTTGAAGGACAAGTCGACGTCCTTCTTCAGCTTCATACATGGCTCGAAATACGACGAACTTCGCGCGTTACCGACCACAGAGCAGATCAGGGCGACCCACTCGCCTATACGACCTGCAACTAAGCAGAGTCCGCCACGAAGGTCGACTATAAGGTCTGCATGTTATGTGGCGATGGCGGCAAGGTGTCACAGAGCGACTGACACCTTCGACAGCTGGACACCCGACCCGCCCATGCACGAGAGGATCCGTATAACGAGCACGTACACCGTATACTCAGCGTTGGATACACACTGACAAGTCATCCCAGTCGTTGAAGCGAACCACCTGCCTCAACGGACCGAATCACCTGGCCGATACATCCTCGTGTACAGCGCGGACCGCGTGAAGTACGTGAACAGCGAAGGTGAAGACGATGAGAAGTTTCCCAATCAGAAAGTGGTTCTGGAGACCACAATTCGGACGAACGAGGCGCCGATCTGGTACGAGAGCTGCGAAGTGTGAGTGCAGCGATATTGGCCGCTTCAAAGACCGTCTGACCTGATGTCCACCACAGGCCCAAGGGCTCTGACACAGTGATAGCCTTCACCGCTTGGAATGTATCAGCCGAAGGCGATGTGAGGATAGCCGAATCGCACTATTACACGGTCCAGGAGTTGCTGAACATGTCCTTGGGCACAAGTGAAGTCTGCATTTCTCGCTGTGGCGATCGGGTACTGACATCTGACACCAGCCGTGAGCATTAATCTTGAAGTCGGCGGCAAAGGGAAGCACCGATCCACCTCCCTATCCATCATCGTCGAGGATATAAGTCCCAGGCCACGGACTCCACGATCTCCAGCTGTAGCTGCTGTCGGTCCTTCAGGCGTCAAGTCGTCAGGAGTGGGGTCGTCGGATGGCGGGCCGAGTAGAAGGGTGTCTATGTAGTATGATCAGTAGAAACGCGCACATCATCGTACCTGTAATCAGTCACGATCATGCCAGGTTCACGACGCAAATGAGCAAAGCTCGAGCGACAATCTGAAGGGGGAGTCAAGCTCGGGTCAACAATCTAGAAGCATGCGATAGCGTCCATTAATGAGTTCCATACGCTGGTATATAAGATAGAGCAGGAAGTGAACGATGTGGTACCGCGAGGGTCGTTAACATTACATTGCAGTTGGTAAACCTGTCCACTGGCATGGATTGTTAGCGCAAGGATCAACGACATCTAGTTAACGGTGCAGCACTCACTATGAATTACGCCTTCGTTGGAGCGTCCGCGGTATGCGACCTCTCCTTCGCATGTTTCTCCTTGGGCAGAAACATGGACAACTTCGACCGCAGCGCACTCTCTGCTCGAGGACGCGTCACCGCGTCATCCTCCGTCTTCGCCCGGGCCTCGTTGTGTTCCCCGTGCGAGGGCCGCCTCCCCTTCACACCCTCGCGCTTCGGATGCTCCTCGTCCTTCGGGTGTTCCTCGCCCTCATGGTTTCGCCCCTCACTCCTCTCCGGCCCCACCGTCAGAAAATTGACAACGACCGACCACAAATTATTCCCGCTCAGCACATGCTCCCTCTGGAACACGCCCTCATCCGCAATCCGCGCCAGCCGCATCGCCTCCTCCGTATCCCGCCTCGCCGCCACACTGCTCGGCGGCGGCCGCTCCCCATCCAGCGCCCAGCCCCACCCCCAGCTCGGCTTGTCCGGCTGCGGCGTTGTAGTGGGCGCGGGCGACGCGGTCTGCTTGCGCGCGCGCTCCAAGAGACGCTTCCGCTCGCGCTCGATGCCCTTCAAGGCGCGCTCGTACTTCTTCCCGTAGCGCGCCTTGCCGTCGATGAAGCGGCGGACAGTGAGCTCGGTGATGCGGCCGACGGCGTCGGGGTCGACTTGGAAGGCGGGTAGCTCGGACTCGGGCTCGAGGGGGCGGACGATCCCGGCGGTAGCGACACGCTCGCGGATCATGTCGCCGTTCCAGGATCCGAGGGTGGGCGAGCCTTGTTCGTTGGTGCTTGTCGAACCGTATACTGAGGGGTTGCCTGCGTAGCGCTCGCCCTGGGCAATGCCGACCGCTGTAGACCGGTGGAAGCGAGCCCCGCCGACGTCCGAGGATGCTGTCGATTTGTCCTTGTACGATGGGCTCTTCGGCGGGGCCGCGCTGAGATTCGTTGTAGAAGGCGACGGCGACGGCAAAGGAGAGGGTACGAGCGGCTTGTCGAGCATCGCCCCCTGCTGCTGCTGCTGCTCTGACGAAGGCGTAGGCAGCAGAGGCGACAAAGGTGGCGCAAAAGCAGACCGAGCCGGCGACGGCGGTATGTCCACAGTACTCCTCCGTACGCGCGACTCTGAGTGCGTCCGTGACAATGACCCTGCCCTCGACAAGGACGCCTTCCGTATAGTGCTCCTCGCCCGGCCGATGATCGAGTTTCTCTTCGCAATCTTCGTCGGCGAGCCCGGCACCTCGCCACCTCCATTCTCGTCCAGAAATTGCGACGAGGAAGGCGAAGGACTGATCTGACCGGCGGAGGCGAGCGGCATCCCGGTCACGTACTTGCAGAACGTCGCGATGGCGCGGAAGCAGAACTTCGCCGGCGTCGTGAACGGGAAGAGGATGGGCAGAATGTGCGCGGTGTCGTCGTAAACCTGCAAGTGCACTGGCGTGCGACCGAACCGTTCTTCAATGCCGTTGAGGGTCGGGTAGAGATCCCGCGCCTCTTGTCGTACGGGAAATCGCTCAGGGTAGGCCGCTTTGTGGGCTCTAAGGGATGATCAGCGTACGTTGAATGAGTGACCAGATGCATGCTTACGTGTAAACATCCTCGTCCCTCAGCACCTCCCTGTCGCTGACGATAAACAAGAGTGGCGGCAGACCGCCCAGATATGAGAGGGCCGGACTGACGAGCGGATGTCCGATCAGGCTATTCTGAGCATAGAGATGCACTTGTCGGTCTAGGGAGAGACCCTCTCCGCTCTTCGTGCGCATCGTCACGACCTCCGTGTCCTGGTCCAAAGGCGGCAACGGCGTCGTCCGCCCCATCTCGACACCGCCAGGAGACAGCGCAGCCGGCCGCTCCTCATCAAAGTACTCGCGCGAGATCCTGCTCTCTGCGCGCCGCACACCGCCGGGGTCCCCGTGAGGATGAAAGACCTGCCGGATCCGACTCTTCAGTCCAGCGTGCACGCGCGACGTTATGTCCGCGGATGGCGGCGGCCACAGCGTGCTCGGCTTCTGGAAGGAGAGGCCGAAGTCGGGGATCACGTCCGTCGCTGTATTGGTGTGGATGCTCGGGAAGGAGTGTGTGAGGTCGCACCAAGGAGAGATGAGGAGGCCGCCGGCGGGGGCAGGCAGGTCTGGGGTGTCGCGGATGACTTGAAGGAGGGCAAGAGTGAGGCCGCCGCCGGCTGAGTCGCCGCCGACGACGATGTGAGCCGGATCGACGGGCTTGTGAATGGCGCCGGTCGGCGGGCGGATGAGGTAGATGTCTAGAGCGAGATGAGAAGATGTTGTGAAGGGCTGTAAACGGCTTACATGCAGCGAGAGCATCTTGGAGGGCACAAGGGAAGGGGTACTGAGGTGCAAGCCGGTAGTTGATGGCTGAGCATGGATGAGCAACGGGTGTAACCGTATGGCATCGCGTACGCACCAAACACTCGGCCGTTGATCTTCCGCGCGAAGCGCTGGATACTGTAGCGCTCTTGATCGACGCTCCCGAAGTAATATCCGCCACCGTGAAGATACAGGATGCAGCGCATCTCGTCCATGTCGCGTTCGTAGACGCCTGAATCGTCCGGCGCGTCCAGGATGACCTCAGGATGGGATTCGCGAGCCTTGTAGCGGCGCTTGGCCTCCTGGTAGTCCTTCTTCGTGCAGATCCATTGACCGTCGACGCTGGAGATGGGTTAGCACGATCCGCGGGAACTTGATGCATCACATACCCCTTCAGGCCGCGCACTTGCCACCACTTGACGCCTCCGACGACGCGCTTGGCCATGTCAACGCCGCCGAGCGCTGCGACGATGTATTCCGCAGCCTTGTCGCATGATTCGAGCGGCACGAGGACGCGCACGACCTTGACCCATGGTGGCGCGGGTGTGCGGGTGTTCGAGAAGCCTTGGATTTCTTCAACAGTATGTCTGCGAGGGGGATTCAGAGATGTAACGAGACGGAGTATGGCAAGCCGTACAAGCTCGCCTCGTTGAGGAATGCCTGGATGGAGCAGTGAGTAGGATGCAGACGGCCCGAACGCTCTGCCGCGCACCTTGATTATAGTGAACGCCTGATCGTACAGCAAGTCCTCCTGGCTGAGCTTGGTCTTCGCCTGCTTCTCTGTGTCGCGCTTCAGCTTCGCAAAGTAGTGCTTGACGAGCGTTTCGAGCACGAGCGGGCCGGCGCGCAGGGCGCTCTCCGCGAGCAAGGTGTTGACGGCGGGCATGAATGGCGTCTAAGGTCTGAAGTCGGGTATCATGAAGGTAGGAAGGGAGTCATCGGCATCCGCTTATGAACCGAGCAGATCTTGGTGGCTTTCCGTAAGTCCAGATGCTCCCGCTTGCGGAGATCGTTCACCGGACCGATGTGCTGATGTCGATGACTTCACGACCTTGGCACTCACACTCGTCCGGGCTCCAGCGAGGGCGAAGAATTGGCTTGTGGGCCATCCATGCAGGTGCAGCCAGTAGGCGAGAAATCAGCCCCATTTTTCTGCGCATTTTCCAAGAGATTAGGGGCACATTCGGCTGGGGAGGAATGATGGCATGCGAGCTTGCCTCATCATGTGAGTGTCACGGAGTTGAACTTGTCTTCTGCCATCACGGCCGCGCGAAAGCGTACGATGCATGGTATCCCTTTGTCCAGTGGCTCACAATCATACGCAGGAAGATCCTCAGCGAGCGTGCGAGGTCGTTCTCTCTGACTCACAGTCATTCATTGCAACATTGACAACAGCGACTCGGACGACCATTGGCCGAGACAGCCAATTGCGTGACCTTACAGATTCGGGGACGAGGAAAGCCTTCATCATCTGGTTCGTTGCCTTGTCCATCTGAGCGTCGCGTTTCTTGCCGCGAATGGCTTGGGACCGAGTATCAATTCAATAACCTGCAGATGTCATTGTCTGTCAATGACAGACGCCTCGTCCCAGTCATCTGCGTACTTCCAAAGTGTCTTTCAGATAGCATACGATCTCGGAGGAACCGAATAATGCAGAGAGGCCAGCCGCCTTGCCAAGGTCTAACAACGACACAGTCCATTGTCCTGCCCCGTGGCATTGATCTCCTTTTGGTAACTGATGGTATGGGCGGAGTTCGAACGGCGCCCTACATAAGCAATGCATGTTTGGATTTTGATGGATTATCTCTCTTGCCTTCTGCCCTCATCCTCCGCGACTCACGTTCCGCCTACCTACCCTCGACACTGGCATCCACCCCCGGCCTTCGATGGCTCGCAAGTGCCGTCAATGTTCCCTCGGGCTCGCTCAATGCCACAACAAATGGGCAGCCCAATGGTGAGCCATTCAAGTGGCGTGGCATGCCTTCGTCGCTGATCTTGACCACCAGATATCCTCGACGCGTACTCCACCTTCAAACTTCAAGTGGCTCGCAAGTACTGCAATATCTCCCGAGGTAGCCCAATGCCACGGTTTCCGGGCTCCTCAGTGGTGCGCCACTCGACTGTTGCGCATGCTCCCTTACCTGATCGCCGTTCTCAGATCCTCTCGTCCTCGCCTTCTCGAATCCACGATGCTTGGCATGTGCATCAATGTAGTATCGGCTGGACCCAATGCCACGGCGACTGGGTAGCCCAATGGTGCGCTAACTCATTGTCATTCATGTTCACCAGTCGACCTCCGACACCAGAAATCGTCGATTTCGCAGTCCGCAACCTCGGCAATCCCCCGATGCCGCACGAGAGCGTCAATGACCGCGCAAGCTTGCCCAATGACGCGAAGACCGGGCTGCTCAATGGTGCGTCGCCACCGTTGTCTCTTGCCCTCTTTGCCAACTGCCTCTATTAGATTTCTCTGAGATCGCCTCGCAAACGATACAACACCTCAAGCCCCAGCCACCAAGTGGTAATGTTGTGAGCTCGACGCCGGCCATCACGACGCGAAACGAAGGATCGGGGCCGATCAATGGAACTCCTCCCGCGCGGCAACGCAATGAGGTCGGCAGGCCAATGTTTTCCCTCTTCTACGACATGCCACGGCCAATACCCCAACGAAGGACCAGCGCCCAACTCGCAATGCGACATGCCTCGACGGCGTCGCGCCACCCTGCCTTCAATCGGCAATGCATCCAGTCAGTCGTTGGAGGTTTTGGCATTACCTAAGTGTGTGCGTGGATTATGGCAGTCTTTCGCGTGCTGATGTCTTCCCCAGAAATAACGAAGGCGAAGAGTTTAATACAATAGCTTCCTATTCTGGTTGACACCCTCACGACTGCGCCGGTATGCTCCTGCATGCGTTCTCGGGAGCTGATGGTTCTCTCCCGTAGAACATATTATATGACGGGCGTTGCGCTCGGCTGCGCTGCCAGTAGACAGTCGCTCCGGACGCTTGTTATACAGTCACCTCGGTGACCGGACCCCACCGTCGCTTCGACGGCAGTGGGTAATTTTTTCCTCCCCATCTCCTTCTGGAGATTACTTCTGTACATGATTTCCTCTGCACCGGCTCTCGCGTCTGTAGATACCAAAGGATGAATGTATGGTGCCGGATGTACCTCGCGTAGGACGTAGCGAAAGCTCACCCAGTTTATTATTCAATTGCGAGCGTCTTGCGATGATTCGAACTCGACGCAAGTTCTACTTGTCAGTCTATGGTGATGTGGAAGACGAGGGCGCTGTGATAGATCTATATAGATCCACTGGGACAAAAGTGTGTCATAGACCTCCTCCTCCTTTGCAATTTGCGCAGTGCGGACTCTCAAACATCAAGTCGGAGCATGTCACGTGACTTGCACGCGAGCGTTCCCGCGGCGCCATACATAAGGCACGCGTGTGTGCGGTTTGATGGGCATCCTCTCTTGTCTTTGACCCTCATCTCACCCCCACTCCCACCACCCGCTTGCTCCCGGGCTCGACGCCATGCACCGACACCGACTCGTACGACGACTTGCAAGTGCCGTCAATGTTCTCTCGGGCTTGCTCAATACCCCGACGAGGGGCAGCCCAATGGTAAGTCACTCGAGTGGCGGAGCCAGACTCTGTCGCTGACCTTCACTAAAAGATATCCTCGATACGCAAAGAACCTTCACGCTCCCAGTGGCTCGCAAATTCGAGCAATGTTAGCCCAATGCCGCTGTGTCCGGGCCCCTCAATGGTACGCCATTCAGAGATTATACACGCCCTCTCCACTGACTCTCATTGTAAGATCTTCTCGGCATCATCTTCTGAATCCCCAAGACGTCATGCAAGAGCGTCAATACTTGGAGAAACTCGCCCAATGCCGCGGACACGGGCAGCTCAATGGTGCGCGACAGTCGATCCTTCGTGTTCTCGTCGCTGACCTGCTTCGCCAGATCCCGTCAATATTCAGCGTCCAGCCTCGTCGACGCCTTAGAGACATGTACAGAGCGGCACTCGTCGCGCATGAGCTTCATTGCTTACACGAGCTCGCCCAATGTCGTGGAGACCGGGCGACTCAATGGTGCGTTGCCGCTGTCTCCGCATGAGCTTGCCACTGACCGTTCTCATCAGACTTCTCCGACAACCTCTCAAGAAGTGGGGAACCTGAAGCTCAGCCGCCCAGTGGCAATGAGATCCCTTGATCAATGTTACGCTCACTTGCCAATCAACGACCGCCGCGTTGCCGCCCAATATGCCAAAGATCAGGGAAAAGTTTGTTCGTGGCCACCGGGGACTGACAGGTGCGCTCGCGCGACTATTTCTCTGCCACACGGACTGAAATTGGCTTCGAGCTCTGTTCGATGTGTCATTGCTCGACATGACCATCAAGACGCGAAGACGAGAAAAGAGGCCCAGGACCAACGCCGTCCAATGCAGTAATCCCGCGCGGCGACGCAATGAGATCGGCCAATCGGCCCTCTAAATGTGCCTGCCGCTATTGCGTTCGAGGACCCGCACCAAGTCGCAATATGCTCTTCGTCAACCTCAGGGCGTCGCGCCAATGTGCCTCCAAGCGGCAATGCATCCAGTGAGTCGACGAATACTAGCCTGTACTACGTCGGAGAATTGGTGCAGAGCGGATGCGCTATGGGATCAAAGGTGTGTAGATGGGATACCTGGCAAACACTCGCGTTTTGACATTGTCTCCGATACTTTCCAAGGCGATGGATAATCGAGACGGGCCCCTAACCCACTTACCCCGCCCATTTCCTTTATGATCAACCAGGTGAGCGCTCGCACGGCAGCTCGTGGGCTGATGATTTTCTCCCCAGGATGATTATGCGGACTTCGCCTTCGGGCGATTCCCATACCTGGACATCAGTGCTCCAGAGGACAGTCACTCCGGTGGCTTGTCATATGGTCACTTGGCTGTCCGTTGCTCATTGTCGGCTCGGCGGCAGTGGGTAAAATTTTTCCCTCCTCATCTTCACCTGGAGATTTCCTGTTTACATATTCTCTGTGGTGGCTCGTCCCACTGTGGATGCTGAGGAGAGGGCATATGTAGTTTGTTGACTGTAGGTTATGTGCTGTGCGCTGTACATAGCAGCGTTACAGCCTGTCGATTTATCTGCGGAGTTCTTGGTGTGAATCGAACTTCGAACTCTACGCGTGACGTCAGTAAACACGTGCGCGTTAAACTGGTTGTGGCACGCCTCATGTACAAGTTGTGATTTCCGTCAATGCGGCGAAGGCTGGGAGGCGCAGCTGACACACCGGGTCCTTGTACAGCGACGAGAGATGGCGAGCCCCTCGCGCAGGGCAGCCGAAGAATTACACGACGGTATTTACTATGTCATGGCCGTCTATAGCGCGTCGAACGCGTGTTCCAGACGCGTACTACATCTTCGAGTCCACACCACCGTCCTCGAGCCCCTCGAATAAGCGCGCGATATATTCAGGTAACTGCCTCGGCGGCAAACCAATCACCGCCTTATGACAGTGATCTTCTCCGCCAACGACGCGCGGCCACCCGCGTTCCTTCAGCCAGCTTCCATTGCGATTTGCGCAGTACAATGACTCGAACAATGGAGAACCTGGTAACGTGACAGACACGCGGGCACCCTGGCGACATACATAAGCGGCACATGTTTGGAGTTTGATGGGCATCCCTTCTTGTCTCTTTCCCTCATCTTGCCCCCACCTCGAACTTCGCTTCTCTCCGCTTCTAACCTCAAGAACTCGCCCGCGCACACCGACAATACGATGGCTCGCAAGCGCCGTCAATGTCCTCCCGGGCTGGCCCAATACCACGACGGACGGGGTAGCCTAATGGTACGCCACTTCAGTGGCGCGGCACGTTGTCGTCGCTCACCTTGACCGCTAGATATCGTCGGCACGCGAACGATCTTCAAACGCTCAATGGGCTCGCAAGTGCCAATGCAATCTTCCGAGGTAGCCCAATGTCACCGTGTTCGGGCTTCTCAATGGTGCGCCACTCGACCATCATGCGTGTTCTCACCGCTTACCTTTGCCGCTAGACCTCCTCAAATCATCGGCAAGCAATATGCTCGATCTCTCGATGCCTGGCAAGACCATCAATATCATCTCGAGCACGCTCAATGCCACGGCGACCGGGTAGCTCAATGGTGTGCTATGCTTCCGGCGCGCGTGATGTCGTCGCTAACTTTCCTCGACAGTTCTCCTCGACATCGTCCCTTCAACCTTCGCGGCGCGCCGCAAGTGCGCCAATGTATCGCGGGCGCGCCCAATCACGTGCTATATTCGGGCAGCCCAATGGTGCGCCACTCGGCAATCCATATTGTTCTCTTCGCTGATCTTCGACGTCAGATCTCATCAAAGTTCAGCCTCTACTACTGCCAACGCCCCGATGCCACGCCAGCGCAGCCAATTAGTCCGGAGCTAGACCAATGGAGCGGACACGGTCAGCTCAATGGTGCGCTGTCCGACTGCTCTTCACATTGCCGTTGCTAATGTTCGTTAACCAGGTCTTGTCAACGATTGTATTCTGGGCCAGATGCCACCCAAGCGCTTCAATGTCCCGGAGAGCTCGCCAATGCCACAGCGAATGAACAGCTCAATATTGCGCTACGACGTCACGGAAGAGCGTCAATACCGGAGGAATAGCGTGGAAGACTCGCGAGCTTGCCCAATGCCATGGAGAACGGGCAGCTCAATGGTACGTCGCCCGCCGTCAGTTCCGGCGCCCTTAGCTGACTCCTTCATCAGACTTTGTCGACGTCGCCTCTCGACCGATGTAGCATCTCAAGCCCCAGCCATCAAATTACAATGTTCGCGAGCCCGACACCGACAATGACGACGCGCAATAAGAACCGGCGCTGTCAAATGGCGCTTCTCCCGCGCGGCGACGCAATGAGGTCGGCAGGCTAATGTTCTACGATATTCGACAGTCAATATTTTGACGAAGGACTAGCACTCAAGTCGCAATGCTTTATTCCCCGACCTCAAAGTGTCGCGCCTGTCAGCCCTCAATTGGCAATGCATCGACTCAGTCTTTAGAAGTCATGGATTACCCAGGTGCGTGCGTGGGTTAATTGACTGTGATTCGCGTGCTGATGTCGTCCTCAGGACTATCGAAGGCAAAAGTCTATGCAATGGCTTCGTGCTCTACTAGGCACCCCCACGATATATCGGTATGCCTCCGCACAAGATCTCGTGAGCTGATGGTTCTCTCCCTCAGGACATGCTACATCGCGGCCGTGGCTTTGGGGTGCGCTCCCAGTAGACGGTCGCTTCGGTGACTTGTCATACGGCCCCTTTGGTGGCCAGACCCTACCGCCGCTCCGGCGGCAGTGGGTAATTTTTTCCTCCCCATCTCCTTCTGGAGATTATCTGCCTATATACTATCATGTCACTGTGCACCTGTAGATGCCGAAGGACGTATGTAGGGTGTTGGATGTACTTCGTGTGAAGGGTGCTGTATGTAGCTGGGTATCGCGTAGTATAACATATTTGGTGGCAAGCCACGTGCTGCTCGCTGAGACCAAGCGAGCAACACTGTACACTCATGTGAAAGTCGAGATGCTGCACCCTGAGTCACGCTTTGAGAATCAAAGCTCATGAGAGAACGAAGGAGAGAGACACTGGTGCTTTCAACTTTGCGGTTCTCTTCCTGAACGAAAGAGGTGCCTGCAATCACGCAGGCGGTCGATGCATTGTCGGCATTGAGCCATCGACGCTGCCAATAAGGATGCTTGCAGCGACCCTGCCTGTGCTATGTGGTGATACCATACCTCAGCTTAAGCATGGGACCGCGGTCATCGTGATCTATAGCACTTCACTGCATGTCTGAGGTGGGTGGGTAGTTATGGGCGCGCGTCACGCCTCGCACGCTGACGCGTGACCGCGTCGCGACGCGCGCGCCTGCTGGCGCCCACGCTATGACATCACTTCCCGCGATAACCACTTGTTGTACTTGTTTGGTCAGGGAGGCAGCCCTATTCTCGTGGGTTAGTCAGTGTTGCTCGCTCCGCCTTTCCCTCCCTCGCAAGCTCGGGGGGTCCCTTAGGCGTCGCTCGCAATGAATCGACCTGCGAGCCTCCCGCGGGTAAACCGGACCCAACTTGTCAAGTCATGATGGCGTGGTGTATGAGAACGCCGGATAATAGAGAGATGGGAGCCTCTATCGGGGAGATAATATGCCATATATCCAGTTGATTGACGCAGCACAGGTCCGTGTGCTCCAAGCAGTTTCCATTGCATCCTGCGCAGCACAAAGACTCGAACGAAGCCGACCACGTGATCGCCATGCGAACATTCCCGCGGGCGCCATACATAAGCGGCGCATGCTCGCGCTTTGATGGGCATCCTCTCTTGTCTTTTACCCTCATCTCACCCCAACTCTCACCTTCTGCTTTCCCCCTAAACTCGCCACCATCCGCCGACGTCGACGCCTACGACGACTTGCAAGTGCCGTCAATGTTCTCTCGGGCTAGCTCAATGCCACGGCGAGGTGCAGCCCAATGGTACGCCACTCGAACGTCATGGCAGAACCTCGTCGCAGACCATCGCCGCCAGATATTTTCTACATGCAGAAGACCTTCAAGCTCCCAATGGCTCGCGAATTTGAGCAATATCGCCCGAGGTAGCCCAGTGCCACGACGTTGGGGCCCCTCAATGATCCGCCACTCGGTTCTCGCGCCTGCTCTTGCCACTGACCTTCCTCGAGATCCCCTCGAAATCTTGACAAGCTCATGATGCCTCTCAGGCGCATCAATGTATCCCGGGCTTGCCAATTGAAGTGCTAGTAGGACAGCAGCCCAATGGTACGCTGATTGACAGTTCTTCATGTTCTTCACGCTGATCCTGTCCTCAGATCTCGACAAAGTGCAGCCTTTTATCATCTTCAACACCCCGATGCCGCGCAAGAGCGTCAATACCCTCCCGAGCTCGCCTAATGCCACGGACACGGGCAACGCAATGGTGCGCCACTCGGCTGTTGCTCATGTTCCCTTCCCTAATCAATCTTCTCAGATCCTCGCGGCGTCGCCTTTCCAAGCTCATGATGCGTGGACATGGCATCAATGTACCCTAGTATCGGCTAAGCCCGATGCTGTAGGGACCAGGTAACCTAATGGTGCACCATCTACTTTCCTTCGTGTTCCCTAATTGACTATCGTCTCCAGAATTCGTAAGCGTTCATCCGACAACTGAACCAACGCCCCGATGCCACGCAAGAGCATCAATTGCCGCGTGAGCTCTCCCAATGACGCGAGGACCGGGAAGCTCAATGGTGCGTTTCGCCACCGTAATGTCTTGCTCTCTTTGCTAACCACCTTCATTAGACTTTTTGACGTCGGCTTTCGAACCTGCAGAATGCCTCAAACCCCACCAATTAAGTGGCAATGATCGTGCGCTCGACGTCGACCATCACGACGCGAAAGCAAGGACCGGCGGTGTCTAATGAAGCTTCTCCCGCGCGGCGACGCAATGAGGTCGACAGGCCAATGACTTTCCCAGTCTACGAAATTTTGCGGTCATCATACAGCGCTCAAGTCGCGATAGGCCCCTCATCCACCTCAAATCACCGTCTCGAACCGCCTCCGATCGGCAATGTATCAGCTCCATCGCAGAATCTCCTAGGTGTGTGTGTGTATCATCTGACGGTCGTTCGCGACCTGACGCTGTCTCCAGAATTATCGAGGGCAGACGTCCATGAAGGGCAACTTCCCATCGCGCTCAACACCTTCACGTTCCGGTATGCTCTCGCTGCGCCTCTCGTGGGCTGACGGTCCTCTCCCCAGATCATAGCATGTGGGCTTCACCTTCGGATGTGCCCTCATACCTGGACAGGTGGACCACTGGACAGTCGCTTCGGTGGCTCTTCCAACGGTCATCTTGATGGCTGTACCCCATCGTCGTTTCGGCGGCGGTGGGTAATTTTTTCCTCCTTATCTCCTTCTGGAGATTTTTCGCCTGTATATTGTCCTTCCGCGCTGGTCCTTATGTTTGTATATAGCTAAGGGACGCGCGGCGTATGGCTTGTCTCGTGTGGTGTGCATTGTATTTGTATGGCATGTTTGGGTCGATACATGGCACCTTTGCAGGTCGGTCTTTCTAGACTCACGAGTTTCAAACTCGATACGTGATGTTGAACTTGGATGAACGACGGCTCCAGCATTCCCGATCTTCTCCTCTTGTGCGCATTGAGCATAACACGCGCACCTTCGGCCGATCCCAGCACGAAATCCAGCCAGCGACAGCGCTATTGTCCACAACTGCGACAGCGCGCTTGCGGAGTTCCCGCATACTCTACGCCGTCGGAGAGACCCTAAGCTGAGGCATTTGGCCCTAAAACGGATTGGCATTCTCGTGATGCCTCTCTAGCCGAGTATACATTCAGTACAACCAAGCATTGTACAGGCTACAGGATACAAAAAACAGATACAAAACGCGTAGCTCGCATGATCAATCAATCCTCGAGCGGAAGCTCCTCGAGAGGCGTGGCCGGCTGGCTCTCGGTAGCACGGCAGGGCATGCGAAGCATTTTGACGGCAACGTTGTTGACGACGAGTTCGACCTTGTAGCCATCGTACGTGACAAAGGATTCGCTCGCAACCTTCGATAGCTGGGGGGCGCCGAAGATGTACTCCTCAGATTTGATCTCTCGTCGAACATTGAGGGTGTCACGGAAGTAGACACGCAGTCCGCGGGGCCGTCTCCTTGGTTGTCGAGTCTTGTTGTCACAAAACTGAAAGGTGATAGAGCGCCCCGCGTCCTGATGCCCCTGCCAGAAGCGCATATGATAGCTCTGGCCGGGGATATCGACGAGCTGCAATGTCGTGTCCTCGGGATCAGGGTTACCCTATATAAGCGTTAGTTCTACGCGTAGCGGTCGCTGTGATGGAGACGCACCCCTCTGATGTCGCTGTTGGCGTATACATCGCGCGCCTGCTCCATCCCAGCTTCCACGCTCCCACACTCCGCTATGAACATCAACCTCATGACTTCCTCGGACAATGGCGAATAGGTGACGGTGGCCTTGAGAGCAGTCGTCATCGGGGTTCCGGCAGGTATGGCCAAGTAAGGAGGCAGATATTGATAAACGTATGCATATTCCGCCGGCTGTTCTCCAGGCGCGAGAGTCCCGTTCAAAGTGGCCACCATGCGCTCGGTTGCGGCGATTAACGGATCGGTCGAGCGCGCGGCGGCACGTCTAGAGGCAGACTGTTGGGAAGCCTGAGTGGCTGATTCCTTTGTGGCTTGCTCCAGTTGGTCGCGGGCAGCGCGCTGCTTGGCGCTACGATTTGGTTGTTTCCTCGACGATCCGTGCTGTTGAGGCGACCTTCGACGTGTTCCAGCCATTGGAGTATACGCTGTATCCAATGAGCGGTTGTCCTAGTATTTGGCGAGCCAATGGACGTACATGCGGGAGAAGATATTGGTTGGTGACAAGTCGCGTTCACTCAGACATCTTGGTCTCGTGATAGCAGTCACATCTGTGACGTTTATGTCGGACTCGGAGCGGGGTTGACAATGAATCTACCTCTGGATCGTGACTAGAGGAAACCTGCGGCTTCGCCGGCTCTAACCTTGCTTTGCGCCTGTGAAAGTGAGCTGGGTTTGCGCACTGGATCCCTGTTGTGCGCGTGTGGCGCGCATGCTTCACATTTGTTGTCGAAGAGCACCCATCCAAATTGACGGGGCCAATCAAGGGCGGAGAGACCTTGCAAGGCAAGGTAGAACTTGAATCTCGAAAAGTGACGCGCTAAAAATACTGCGTTGCTCAAGAATATGCAAGTATTGGTGGCGTCATGCAGCATGGCAAGTTGTGCCGTTTGCGTGCACACGCTTGCGACAGGCTATGGCGTCGCTAGCCATACACAGGTGGCAGCATCTGATAGATCGACACCTATGACACAAACGGGGATCGGAAGACGGGGCACGCACAGGGTATAAGACCACGCAGCGAGGGTACAACTGACCGCTGCCATGCACTGGGATCTGAATGTTCAACGCTTCGAGCAGCAAGCCACCTCTGATAGGCTCCACCCGCGCGTTTCTATTAAGTCCGCCTCGTCATGAACTGCTTGTCCCCCGAAGGCGACGTGGGCGCGCGACTGCCATGCTCAGAAAGCGCCCCTCAACGCTTGCGCTGCGGGCATCATCTCAGCGTCGCGAAGAAAATGTTCGAGCCGCGAGAGCCTATGACAGCAGTGAGATATAGCAGGCAGTGAAGACGCGAACAGCATACCTTTGCACTCGTGGATGGCTAGCTGAGCGTGCGGTGATTCTGCGTCTGTCTGTGCTTTAAGATCACGGAGTGCAGTCCTCCATCAGCAGGTACTTGAAAAACAGCCACAGCATGCCAAGGAGGTGGCCTCCACGGCGGGGGCCCTCCGCGCCGCGGATGCCACCAGGACCACATAATATACGCACAAAGGTCGTCATGAAAGATCGCGCTCCGGCGCTCATTCATTCACCTTTTTCTTGGGTCCTCGAGCCCCAAATTCATCCGTTTGTCGGTACAGTCGCTCGGGATCCCCAGAATCTATCCGTTGTTTCGATACGGCCTTTGAGAATGGCATGAGATTCGGGAAAAATCCAAAGTTTCTCCGTCGGGCCCTACGCGTAGCGTCCGCGATGGAAGCAAGGCGAAAATTAAGCAGTGTAAATGGTATCGTCAATGCAGCAGTTCCTCGTGTACATAGAAATGTCTGTGAAGCAATTGAGGATATGCAAAGGAAATTTCAGAAGCGCGCTCACCGGAAAACCTTCCCTACTTCTCTGCATGCGCCGTAGCCATCCTCTCCCCAGACCACGAGCCAGCGCCCTATCACCTCCCCCTTGTCGTTCAAGGTCTCCGCCACAACCTGCTCGGTCCCCGGGACGACACTGTCCGCTGGTCTCTGAAGGTAGGGCGCAAGCATCCAAGTCGCCAGCGGCCGCTCGGTCTTCACGAGCGCCTCGGTCATGTATACCTGCACGCATCCGATCGTAAGCACCACTTTCCATAGAGCACCATATTGTCCACGCACCCTCGTCGTCCGCTCCCTCAAGAACACACTCCAAGTGCTCATCTCCACCACCTCCCCGCCCGGCCGCGCCGCATCCCTCAACTTCCGCAACCGCGTCACATACGGCCCGCACCCCCACGCTACGAGCCCCGTGCTGATGCCTGAGGTCGCGAGCACGGTACCCGTGAGCGACACGAGCGCGACTGGGCTCAGGCTCGACTGCGTGAGGAACATGACGGGCACCGCGGCGCTCGTCAGCGCGAGCGTCGACATCGTCACGTACTTCAGCTTGCGCATCGTCGGGGCGAGGGGGCCGCTATAGGAGACGACCTCCTCGAGTTTGCCATTGGTTAAAGCGGAAGGAGGGGAGGGGGGCGTGGGCTTCGCTGCTGCGTCTTGATGTCGTGAAAAGGACGCGTGAAAAGAGCGTTGTGATAGTCTAGGGGTGTACGAGAGTCTTGCGTATGATGCAGGCGCCAGCGACGGTCGAGGGAGGATTCGACATGAGTGCGCCAGTGAAGGTAATGAGCGCAACATGAGCGTCGGAGGCAAAGTACAAGCGCGCGCCGCTAATGCCTCGTCCCGATCTGGCAGTCATTGTTCTCGGCTTCCATGACGCGCCCTCCCGGCACGCCAACTTGCTAAGGTCGAATGACACCCCTTATCCGAGGACCCGCAACGTTACTGATTTCAGCTGAGGGCTTCACTCAAGCTCGTACAAAAGAATGCATCCAATGACCCTTGGCAAAAATACATTGACATGCCTAAAGCCATGCATAACAGTTAGCTATGCTCGTGAGGTGGGGTTGGGAAACAAGGGGCGTAACTAAAAGCATGTAGCGACGTAATAGTGTATCCGACAGTAAAGTACAAGTGAATAGGTGTGCAATGTACTTTTAGTAACGACAATGGGGCAGCGCGTCAGTGAGGTGGGCAGGCGAGTCGATCTAGCGGCGGAGTTGGGCCGCGGCGGGACAGCGGGGCGACAGCAAGTGCGACGACAGCGAGGGGGCAACGACGAAGAGAAAGCGAAGGGAGGAAGGCGCTAATCGCTTAGTCCTTCTTCTCCTCACCCTCCTTGGGCGCCTCGGACGACGACTCGGCGTTGCGCTTCTCGTAGACCTTCTGGAAGAGGCCGAGCGACGCGTTCTGGGTCTCGCTGATCTTCTCCCGGATGGTGTCGGCGGTGACGGAGGCGTCACCGGCCTGGCCCTTGACGGCAAGCTCGCGGAGCTCAGCGATGAGCGCGGTGACCTTGTCCTTCTCGGTGGCGTCAACCTGGTCCTTGAACTCGTTGAGGGCTAAAAGGAAAGTCAGTATAAGACAAACAAGCAAGGGTAGTGAACGACGTACCCTTCTCGGTATCAGCGCAGACGGAGTCAGCCTTGTTGGCCTCCTCAATGAGCGCGCGGCGGGCCTTGTCAGCCTCAGCGTACTGCTCGGCGTCGGAGACCATGCGCTCGATGTCGGAGTCGTTGAGACCAGACGACGAGGCGATGGTCATGGACTGGTCCTTGTTCGTCGCCTTGTCCTTCGCCGAGACGTTGACAATACCGTCAGCGTCGATGTCGAAGGTGATCTCGATCTGAGGGACACCCTTCGGCGCGGGCGGAATGCCAACGAGGTTGAAGTTGCCGAGGAGCTTGTTGTCGCGCACGAGCTCACGCTCGCCCTGGTAGACCTTGACCTCGATCGCGGTCTGACCGTCCGCCGCAGTCGAGAAGGTCTGCGACTTCTTGGTGGGGATGGTCGTGTTGCGGTTGATGAGCTTGGTCATGATACCGCCGAGGGTCTCGATACCAAGGGAAAGGGGAGTGACATCGAGGAGGAGAATGTCGGTGACGTTGCCGGCGAGGACACCGCCCTGGATGGAGGCACCGATGGCGACGGCCTCATCGGGGTTGACACCCTTGCTCGGGTCGCGGCCGAAGATCGTCTTCACGGTCTCGACAACGCGAGGCATACGGGTCATACCACCGACAAGGATGACCTCGTCAACCTCCGAAGCCTTGACACCAGCATCCGCGAGCGCACGCTTGCACGGGTCGACCGTGCGCGAAACGAGGGGCGAGACGAGGGACTCGAACTTGGAGCGCGAGAGAGGCACGAACATGTTCTTCGCGCCAGAGGCGTCGGCGGTGATGTAAGGCAAGTTGATGTCGGTCTGGTTGGTCGACGACAGCTCGATCTTCGCCTTCTCCGCGGCCTCACGGATACGCTGGATGGCCATGCGATCACCCGAGAGGTCGATGCCGTGCTCCTTCTTGAACTCGTCGAGGAGGTAGTTGACGAGCGTGATGTCGAAGTCCTCACCACCAAGGTGAGTGTCACCGTTGGTGGACTTCACCTCGAACACACCCTTCTGCATCTCCAGGATGGAGATATCGAAGGTACCACCACCGAGATCGTAGACCGCAATCACGGAGGAGTCGGCACGGTCAACACCATACGCAAGCGCAGCAGCAGTCGGCTCGTTGATCACACGGAGAACGTCCAGGCCAGCGATCTGACCGGCGTCCTTCGTTGCTTGCCGCTGCGCGTCGTTGAAGTAGGCGGGGACGGTAACAACAGCGTGCCTGGGGTAACTGAGTAAGCAGGGGAAACCGCAAGGGATAAAATTTCGACGCACTTGACAGGCTTGCCCATGTACGCGTTCGCGGTCTCCTTCATCTTCGTCAACACCATTGATGACAACTCCTCAGGGGTCTGTGAGTTGGTCAGTAATAGCTCAGGGGGGAAGTATGAACGAACGCACGTATTGGGTCTTCTTGCCGCCGACCTCAACCTCAACAGCCGGGTGCCCGTCAGGCTTCGGCACGACCTTGAACGGCCTACGATACAGTCAGCCGAGTTCAGGAGAGAAGAGCTTGCAAACGCACCAGTGCTTCATGTCGTCCTGCACATCCTTGTCCTTAAACTGGCGGCCAATCAACCGCTTGAAGGCAAAGACCGTGTTCTGAGCGTTGACCACGGCCTGGCGCTTCGCGGGGAGGCCGACAAGGCGCTCACCGTGCTTGGTGAACGCCACCACGGATGGCGTTGTCCGTGCACCCTCAGCGTTCTCAATGACGCGCGGCGTCTTGCCCTCCATGACGGAAACACATGAGTTCGTCGTACCCAAGTCAATACCAATGACCGGGCCTGCAGCGCACAGTAAGCTTTTGCATGAAAACACGCCAGGGGAAGTACGCACCGTTGACTTTGGTGTTCATGCTCCGGGAAATCATGGACCGCGGGATGCCCTGCAAAAGTCTGAGTTCACGAGCGTTTTGAGAGTGAGGAGGATACACACAGCATAGCTGCCGGCGCGGGGAAGGGGGCGCAGAGTGCGGACAGAGGAGAACATGGCGGTCAGGAAGGAAACGCTGAGCGGAATGTGACGCTCGTCCAAATTTTAAGAGGGCGCGTGTACGTAAGCATTCGGAAAGTTCCAGAATCACGTGGCGGCTACCTCCGTTTCCCGCCGACGCGTCACCTCGAGTCCGACGGCGACACGTCGCTCGCCGTCGTACACGTCTTCGGGCTACCCGCGATGACTCTGAGCCAGACCCTGAGCGGCATGCAACCCTTCTGTTTCCCAAGTCACGACACGTTCGGGGTGCCCTGCCCAGCGCTGATGCAGCTTGGGCAGGCGATGAACTTGCATTATCTTTCAAAGGAGCCAGTAAATAGAAATACAGTAGGTGAAAGCAATGAGACTGAGAGACAACAACACGATTCCAGATGAGTATATGCGGTATTTGTGAGTATGCGACGAGAAGGGGAATGCGAGAGATGATGGCAGACATTAGTTGTACAGGCCCGAGAGTACTGTAGCCACAGCGGGGACATTGGACTGGGGAAAGTGATGGAGACTTGGAAGACGATGGAATGGAAGAAGGGAAATCGGATGTATGGAGGCAGGGGCGGGTCGACAAGCTGTTTAATGCCTAAACGCTGCAGCGTTGGCGAGCGGACTGGCGGTTGGTAGGCCGGGCGTAAGGAGCGCCGGCCTTACGCTTCGCGACGCGCTCATGACGAGCGGTCTGCGAGGCTCGACGCTCCCTGCGACGCTCTTCGGCGCTGAGATTGATCCTCTCTTCGTAGCCATTGTCGCCGTAGATGGTGAAGAATCTGCAGATGGCATCAGACGCTGAGCAAGCACAGACGTAGGTCCGGGCCAGCCTTTTTACGCGGCTGAATTCCGGACGAAGCGCGAAAGTGAACACAACTCACTCGTCGTCTTCACGCTCCTGGTTCGTGTACCATTCTGCGTCTCGCAAGAATGGATTGTAGTCGACCTCCTTGTGCGTGGATCCGCCCCACTGGTCATCAAGGTGGAGAATGCCAGAGGTAGCGATGAGGAGGAACATTCGCTGGGCTTCCGGAGACAAGGGATCCTCTGCGCGCCACATTGTCAGTATGACGAACGCAGGCGAGAGGGATGCGCCGGCGCTCACCATAAGGATCCTCTCTCTCGGGCGTGCTTCCGCGAGAGGTGCAGGGAGATCCGACGGGGGAGAACGTCGAGCCCTCGGAATCGGACTCGTCCGATGAGCTATCGAGGGCGTTTGTGTGCTTGTGAACTATCGTGACCATCATCAGCCTCCGCTGACACCCAAGCACACTTGCCACACACCTTTGCGCGCCGGAACGCGGCGGGGGGCCGCGCGGCTGCGGCCGCCAGTGGTGTTGTTGTGGTTGCTCGGACCGTCGTGCAGCTGCTGTGTGGCGTCCTTGACGCCAATGGCGCAGGCGGCCTCGAGCTCGCGCGCGAGCTGCTCCTCCTGCAGGCGCTGCTTGTAGATCTGGTAGTGGACGTTGTCGACGTCGTACGCGAGGCCGGGGTGGATGTAGCTGGTGTCGATGGACGCCAGCAGGTCGTCGTGGCTGATGTCCAGGGTCTCATCGTAGCGTGCCTTCATGATTTCGAAGTTGAGGCGAGCGGAAGCGGACATGATGGGGATGGCTGGGTGATTGTTCTGGGCGTTCGACGGGGGGATGATGGCGGTTTGGGAAGAAGACTTGTGATCCTGTGGTCCGCGCTTATCTGGGCGCGAGCGTGGGAGAAGTGGAAGGACCTGTGCCAGATGAGCAACAAGAGTATCGACCTTTAGACTGGTGGTGGAATGCGAGTAAGTGCCAGTCCGTACTGGTCCCGGTATTGCTAGGGATGGTGGTGGTTGGCAGCAAGGTCGTCATTCACGGTTACCAGCCTGCTCAATGCGTCGGTTCAGCGGCCCGCTATTGGAAATTCATTCTGTGTCACAAGTCGGTCACAACAGCATTGACCAGGACCAACAACCACTTCTGACTCTGAGCCCAATCTCTACTCTGGTGTACCGCGGCGTAGTCGAACTATACGAGTCCTAAAGACTCCAGATCTGAGCTAACTGCTGGGCAGGCATAATCAGATCTACGCAAGTCACATCTTTGTCAGTGGTCTTCTGCTCCTTTCCTGTAAACCTTACAAGATCTGTAGTTTCTTTCATACTCGTTGAGTGCAAGTCCTCGTAATCCAAATGGCTTCGAGCTCCAGTGCCCTCCTGTACCAATTAGATCAAGCCCAGCTCGAACGGTCGCGATATAGGAATGCGCCGGACATCAAGCAACGACTAACAGAATGCGAGAGGGAGCTGCTCGAATGGAAGGAGAGGGCACTGCAAGCGGAGGCAAGGCTGGCCAACATCGAAGCGGCGATTCGACTACCTTCACTACCTCCGAGGCGAGATACGCCCGAGACGCGCGCAGCGACGGCACCAACACCATTCGCGCAGCTCCCTACCCCGATCGAACAGTCCCCACGCGAAGCTGAGGAGCGGGAGTCAGTGGACCGGCCTAAGCCCACAAGAAACAGCCAGTACGAACTCTCTCCCCCTTCTCGCGACGTCGCACTGAGCGCCTAATCCCAGGCTTCGTACACCGCCCGCGGAGGCCCACCCATACGACAGTCGACCGACTCCAGAGACCGTCCAGACACCAACTGCATTCCCCCTCGCGCTTTCCGATCATGCGACGCCCGAATACGAGTGCATTGCGGGACCCAGCCGGGAGACGACGTCCCCTCCCGAAGCCGCTCGTTTATTCGATGTCGAAGAAGAGAAGGCTCAGGCAGAGTCACCCCACCTGCAAGCCGACCCTGGCGACATCAGTTCCCTGACCGAACTCTCAAGTGAGGACGAGGATGCATCACCCACACCCAAGCTCGAGGACGAGGTAGCCCTCCCTCGAAAGCGTAGCGCCAGCATCGCACTTCAAGGCGGCCGCTTCCTCAAGCGACCTCGACAGCAACGTCCACTGCAATTTGATTTTGTCGAGATCCCCCCGCCACCCCCAGCCCTCCGCCGCGCCCTCCTCAACGAACGACGGCTTACCACGTACAAGAACCCCATACCCACCGTCCTCGCCTCCATCGCTGCCTTCCCCTCCCCCACCGATCTTCCGCCCGTTCCCCGTGTCACGCGTCGCTTCCTTTGCGCCCTCTACGGCTCCGCGGAGAATTCCCTCCGTGGGCGCATCACCACCAAGCCCTACACCCATTCGCGCGTGCAGACGGGGCCCGACGGCCAATTCCTCTCCGCGACCTTCGCGAACATTGACATGAACCCGCACATGTGCGCGCGGCCGGGCGCGCCGGGTGTTCTGCTGACTCGGCGGACAGATGTACTGTTCGACGCGCCGACGCCGGTGTTCGTGGGGAGGGTGGCGGGCGAGTGGGAGTATGTGGGGCAGTACGTGTCCGAGGTGGGGAGGGCGCTGAGGGCGGAGGAGTTCTGTGAGATGCCGGAGGAGGTGGGTGGATTGGTGCGAGGCTGGGACGACGGCTAATAGTAACGCGGTTGCAGGTGCAGAGACGATGGGCGACAGGGATCACGACAATGAGTCGTACGAAGTGCTGGAGGGATATGCGGGCGACCGTCTTCGGTGATGAGAAGGACCGCCAGAATGACCCCGAAGCCGAAGAAGTAATGCTGAATGCTCTCAAGACGGGCGTCGTGGTATGCCTGCGCGGCTTGTGTCTCTGTCGATTACTGACCGTGCTATGCAGAACCTCAAAGTCATCGTCTTCACCTGTAAGGGATACAACACCGACATCGCGCGCGACATCCTCGAATGGTGGCCCAGACGAGAAGAACTGGAGGGGCTATACCGAAAGCATCAGAAGGCGGAGGAGCAGGCCAAGGCGACGTCCGCGAACAAGAAGGGCAAGCAGCCATCGGTGAAGAGGAGAAAGCCTACAGCTAAGAATAAGGCTCAAACGCCATTCGACCCGCCCCACACACCGCGCAAGAAACCCCGTTTGGTGAGCCCGGCAAAGGGGCAAGGACCGGACGAGGCTGGCCCGTCATCGTCACGGACAGAGGTCATCACGCCTAGTAGGAGGACGCCTTCGCAGCGGAGACAGAAAACGCCGCCATGGGTGCGGCAAGGATACGGACCTCCCATTGACAACAACGACGATGATTCGGACTACAAGCCTTAACCTCGCTCGGACTCTTCGATTCGTTGCGACTTGCATATGCGTAGCTCCTCTATTATTCCCGACGCCTATTCTATCGCCTCATCCTCCTGCCATAGTGTAATTCTAGATACATCCATACATACTTGCAGTGCAATGCAGTCTACAAGGAAGGGAGACACTCAGTAACCAGTCATCAAAACTGCCATTGATCGGGGTCAATGGTGCCCTCCCGCCAAACCGTGACCATATCCCTTTTCTTCAGATCATCGAGCCACTCCTCCAGGTTGTCCGCGCCTTCGCCGATCACCACGATGTCAGCGCCCTTGAAGTTCTTCAAGAATTTTGTTTTCGCCCCAAGAGTCATGGCGAACGCCCTCCATTTCGGCTCTTGGCTGAGGTCGTTGTCGTCATTCTTGGGTGCCGGCTGGCCCAGATAGTGCAGCTCGGGCGGTGCCGCGAGTGGCAGCGTGAGCTCGACGTAGAGTTCTTCGAGTGGGATGGCGTGCGTCAGGTCCCGGAAGACCTCGCGCAGGACTTCGGGGGCGTAGCGCCGGTCGCGGTGGCGGTCGAACGTGAAGCGCAGGAAGCGCAAGGAGGGCGCAAGCGAGAGAGGGGACCAGCCCATCATCCTCCGGCCGTCGAGCCAGGGGGACGAGATGTTCAGGCTCTCGAGGGTTTTGTGCATCTTGCGCACCAGCGCGGCGGCGACGGCGGGGTTGTGTTCGTTGGGCCCGGGCGCGCCGCGTTGCAGGAGATTGAGCTTGCGCGCTCGGGAGATGTCGACAGCGCAGCGCGGGTCGAGCAGGTACGTCACGGCGGCCTTCATGAGCTCGGGGGTGGAGACGAAGAGCTCGACGCCACCAGTGGGAACGGTGGCACGCGGGTAGCAATCCTTGGGCTCACCATCAGCAAAGACGACGGTGGACTCGGTGAGGTTGAAATCGGAGATCGCAAACACACGAGAGAGCGTGCGGACAAGGTCGCTGTTGCGATAGACGCCGCTAGCCATCTCGACCCAGGGGATGACAGCCTTGTGCTTGCCGATTTCTGGTAAGTCATACTTGACCTTGCGAGTCACGCGTGGCGTAGAGGATGGTGGTTCATTCGAGAGAATTATCGAAGACTGAGGGGATAGGGTGTTGTGGAAGTTGGTTGTGGAAGCAGCAGCAGAAGTGGCGGGATAACCTGAGCGGCGTGCCATGATGGTCAAGGCGCGTTAGGGGGGCAGTAGAGGAGATTGACTGATCATCTCTACGCCTATATAAGTGATGCCGGTGTTTAGACCTGCCTTAATGCCGGGTCATACGCACAGTGCGGGCCGTCACAGCTTTCGCTATGACCGTTGTTTTTGTTGCATGGTATTGTTGCGTTGTGTCGTCTGATCACCTTATGCATGTACAAAGAGCAAGGTTCTGAGGGTCCCTTGCATGTAAAGCCAGTTGTACTTCGAGCGCAACGACATCAAGAAGACTGTGGTCCACGGTGCAGGACAAGATGGCGGAAGTAACGGTCTGTGACAGTGTGCATTCACGTGGTCACGTGCGATCGTTGAACATTCAGTCACGTGCGATTGTTGCACATGCACGTGCACCAGTTGGTCCGCGATTCGAGCCGACTCCTTGTCTGGAATCGCCATCTAATCCTTGTACGAGCATTCTTCGATCAACTTCATCTGCCAAAATTTATTTCTGTCCAAGACGGGGGAGCCGATTATTGAACTAAGTACCCACAGTCATCTCGATACCTTCCACAGGCCCCATCACCGCAGGGACACCAGCGCGATGCTTCGAAACTATAGACGCCGCAAAACAGCTTCATACGCTCGGCTGAAGATAGCCTAGTTTTACAAGGAGGCTGCCACACGATGTATGCAAGGCGCCTGCGCGCCGCAGCCTCGTGGAAGGCATGCTCATTAGAGCCTCCTTGTCCTTACTCTCACTCCCAGCAACATGCGTCACGGCTCTACAGATCACCAAGCGGTCATCAATGACTGGGACATCGCAGGCGACGCTACCCATGTAGGTGTCGCCGACGCCGAGCATGCGAATTGCGCTGGACGCAGGGGCACTCTGCATTTCATGGCCATCGAGTTGAACTGGAGATTTCACGACAACCTTCCTCACCACTACCGCCACGAGCTCGAGGCCCTGCTTTGGGTTCTCGCCTTTGTCTTTCTCGCATACCGGCCCGCCTGCGAGACCGACGTGAAGCCACGGGAGGTCGGTACGAAGTCCTGCGCAGCCGGTGGCAATGCCGAGCTAGTTCAAGGGTTTATGAGGCGGCCCATCCAGAGGCAACCTTCCCAGATACGCCGCTGGCTCGCTGCGGTCGAGTACAAGGACTGTGGGTCGGCGAAGTATACCCTTCTCATCGATATCAGGGGACGCGGGGACCCTCGCGCCGCGCCGCACCCGCACCCTGCCTTCGAGGCTGACTGGTTCTTTGTTCGCGTTCTCATGTCTGGGCTGTACAGAGAATTTCACCTACGAGAGGTCACAGTGAGCACGCTCTTGGAGGAATTATTCATGACCTTCTGGGATGCACGGCGCCCGGGAGAGGAGCTGTGCAAGCTGCTGAGAGCGGAGCCCGATGATGTTGCGGGGCCGTACGGCCGGCATTGGGCGCTCGTCCAGAAATTCGTCTATCTACATGCGCCGGGGGCTGCGTACTTACTGCGTTGCAAGGCAACTGAAAGTCCATTGTAATCACGGTAGGACAGACTATATTGTAGCGCTGACAGGATTCGGCAAGCGGTGCATGCTGTGTTTCTATTTATTGGTACATTCAGTAGTTCGTCTACCCTTTCAAAACATGGGAAAATTCCAAACCTCTTGCACGATACTCTCAGGTTTCGTCCACGTCCTCGCCAACCGCTCGCGCGCGACCGACACCTTTATGACCACCTCCATCCCCACATCGCGCGCCTCCACAAGGCTCAGCGGCTCGCGGCGCTTGCAGAGCGCGCGGAATGCCTCGTACCCCCATTGCGCGTCGACGCTGTATTGGAATTGCATGACGAGCTGCCGCACGGGGTCAGTCCTGAGCTTTGCGAGGCGCTGGATGGCGAGGTTGCGAGCTGAGGGGAAGTTCCACATCGTGGACAGCTTGAGGATGGCGAGCCAGTCATCGACGGTTTGCGGTTTCTCTAGGTCGAGCGCGCTGCCTCAGGCATTAGTGTTGTATGTTTGTGGGGCGCCGATAGCTATACGCACGGAGGATAGAGTATCCAGAGAAATCTCTCGAACTCTTCGGTCGTAACATTGTCTAGGCGAAGCGGGGATGCATCCGATGTCTCTCGATCGGCCGCGAGCGAGAACTGCTTTGCGAACGAGCTCGAGTGCTGTCGGAATGTCGCTGCCCATACATTGTACAGGGTCCTCTCCACCTGATGGGATAGTTGAGCATTGGTCTTTTCACCGATGCTTGTGGCGAGGCCAGAGAACTCACCAATATTGTCAAGTTTCCGTCGGCAAAGTAGTATGCCGCATGTCTTCGCGCACTCGAGGGCTTGTATGGGGGAGGTGAGGACGCCATGGTGGTTTGAGGAAGCTTTGTGGGACTGTACTAGGACCGCGGTCAGGCTTCTATTAGGGTACTGACCAATGGAGAGATAGAGTGGTGCCTTGACGTACACTGGAAAGTGGTACTCGTGATCATTGCATTACCGCGAGGCAGGGAAGTCATACAATGGGCGCGGAGAATCGTCGTACAGGAGCGCAGCAGGTTATAGACACGGTTCGGAAGCATACATCAATGCGATTGATACGAATACACTTGGGTCGTCGATAGTAGATCATCAAAGCTACGATGGAGTTCAGACACGATGGGCAAGTGAAGAGGAACAGGAGACGTACCGGGAGATCTTCATTCGAGGGAATCCATGCCCGGCGGACGATCTTCCCCGGCTTAGTCCACGTCGCCGACAACTTCTCGCGTGTCGACGCGACTTTCGCAAGAACCTCCACACCCAGACGCTCACCCTCGTCGATTTCGAGCGGCTCGGAGCGCCGGCACAGAGCATCGAAAGCCTCTAATGACCATTCTCGCTCAATGTCGTATCTCATCTGTGTCACGATCTTGTGAACGGGGTCCATCTCGAGAGCGCCTAGCTCCTTGATCGCGACTTGGCGAACGTCCATGAATTCCCACATAGTGGACAATTCGAGAACAGCGACCCAATCGTCGACGGTCTGTGCACCTGAGATTACCATCTTCGAAGTAGTACGTCGAGTGCCGGCGAGCGTCGACCTTATTGCTGTAGTAAGCTGGAGGAGGCAGCGCCAAGGTCATGGGTGTAGAAGTCAAGATGCGACGGGAAGGGCCGTAGAGCGGCTGCTTGACACTGAGTGACGTGAGTTCCCGTGATCTCGTCACTCCTTAAGCCATTCAAGGCTGGGATGAACGGTGAGCGTTCAGTGGTCCAATCAAGTCTTCATGTTGCTGGGTTGAAAAGCATCGTGGGTTCGTGGAACACGGAATGATTTGTACACACAACCCGCAGTGCAAAGACCTTTCTCTATCGCCAAACGAACCCAGTATAGATATTCGCGGCAGAGAACGCCACAGACGTGTCGGTACAAATACAGGTGCTCGTATGAGGACTCGAAGCTTAAAGCAGAGTCAGCGCACTACACGCGCAAATCGCGAGTTCAGACGCACCAGGTATCTGCCTACCCTTAGTAAGCCCACGCATCGCGTACAAGTGCCGCCCGGGAGCCTTTACCCCACGTCTCGGCCAGCTTCTCTCGCGTCTGCGCCACCTTCGCTAACACGTCCACCCCGAGGTCACGACCTTCGCGAACCGTAGGCGGGTCGCAGCGTCTGCAGAGCGTATTGAAGGCGTCGAATGCCCACGCCTTCTCGATGTCATACTGCTTATGAACGACAATCTTGCGCACAGGTTCTATTGGGAGAGAACCGAGGCGCTTGATCGCGAGTTTCCGTATCGCTGCAAATTCCCATAAGGTCGAAAGCTTAAGAACGGCGAGCCAGTCATCGATTGTCTCAGCACTGAACTCGCCGATGGTCCTGTTCGCGGCGTCAATAGGCGCCATGGGGGTATCTGTAGTAGTACTTACAGCGGATACAGGACCCAGAGCAATTTCTCGAACTCCCTCGCCGTGATACCCGTGAGCCGTAGCGGTGAGCCGTCGTCTGTGTAGGCCAATGCGGGATACATCTTTTCAAATGCTCTGGAGTGCGGAGCGCGAAAGAGACCGGTCCACAGTCGAAAGAGCGTATCCGATACCTGATAAGCGCCCATGATCACTCGCATTCTCTGGCTCGTAGAGAAAACGAGGCGAGCTGGCGCTCACCAGGATGCTGAGATTCCCGTCCTCAAAGTAGTAGTCCGGATGGCGATGAACGTTGGCCCTTCGACTGTAGGCGGGAGGCGGCGGAACCATGGTCATGGAGGTGAGATGCGACGGGGGAGGTCATAGTGCGGCTCACGAGCCTCGCGCTCGTGCAGTAACGTGAGCCATCATGCTATCGTGCAAGCTAGCCGAGCCCGCTGATCATGAGAGAGATCGCGCGTGTCTCTAGCGTGCGCCTTAGCGCAAAGCAGAGCAATACGATTGTGGCACCAACGGGGGAGAGCTGACTCCTTGGCCCTGTGTTCAGTCTACACGTCGATCTGGCAGAAGCCAAGCTGGTAAGCATCCGGCGTCATTTATGTGCACGGCAAGGGGAGGCTGCCAGGCGTTCGCAAGACGCGAGCGCGAAGGGCATGGAGGAAGACGACAACCTCCGCTTGTACTTGATTATAGTTGCTTGGTTGCGCACGTTAGGCATGTGACGCAATTGTCACGGTTCGACTTCGACAAGACCAGGGCTACATACATACGTATGTAGAGCTCTTGGACTCAGAAGTCAAGGCGAGTAGGATCAAGAATGCTTGGTGAGCCGGGTTCAAGCTCTTGGGCCAAGTTCACAGCTCAGACGGTAGTTTGCTCTGCCCCGATCAGGTATTACAATCGTCAACTAAGATATACTGGTATGTGTTGTGAGTCTATGTATGTACATGAGGGGACATCGCGGCGTCGTGCACATAGCTGAGCATGATGCATAGGGGGTTTAAGCGAGGAATGCGTAAAGCGAGAGCGCGCCGAGGGCGAACAACGACGGGATGGTAGCAGCCGCCGCGCCGTTCTCCCTCGCATTAATCTTGTCCTCGTTCCCGGTCGCCTTCAGCGTGAACACGCGGAACTGCTCGTTCGTCTCGTCCGGCTGGTCGTAGAAGACGGCGTGGCCGGCCTTGTCGACCTCGGTGTGCGTGATGAGGTCGTTCGGCCAGTACGCCTTCATCGTGTTGACGACCGCGCTGCCGTTCAGGCGCTGCGTGTCCTGCGCGCCGTTGATCGCGAGCAGCGGGATCGACGCGTCCTTCACGAGCTCCTTCATCTTGTCTGAGTCCTGCTGCCGGGTGATGACGAGCTTGGTGACCTCGGACGGCTCCGCGGCGGCGACGCCGATGAGCGCGGCCTTGTAGTCGAAGGGCACGGTCTTCGGGTCGTAGAACAGGCTGTCCTCGAATGAGGCCGCGTTCTTCTTCCACTGGTCGGTGTCGTTGGAGACCTGCATGCCGGGGACGATCTGGAGCGTGGACTCGGAGACGACCTCGGTAAGGACGTCGCCAATGTAGGGAATGGCGGCGATGGAAATGTAGCCGGAGATGGCGTCCGTGCCGAGGTTAACGACGATGTCGGTGAGCATCGCGCCGCCGAGGGACCTGGGGGATTGTTAAGTGCAATGCTGGGCAAAGTCGCAGAGGGAGACATACCAGGCGGCGAAGACAGGCTTCTCGACCTTGAAGGCGTCCAGGACGGCCTTGAAGTCGTTCGCGTAAAGCTCAGACTTGTGCCCATCCTCCGTGGCGTTCATCGCGCTCTGGCCGTGCCCGCGGGGGTCCATGCGGATCTGAGGATCCCAAGGTCAGACAAAACAATGACGGTACAAACGAGATTAGCATACCATGTAAAGCTGCTCGCGCATGGTTTGATTCTCGAATTGCTTGTCAAAAGAAATAGTGCTGAGCGTGTAGCCGGGGACGAGAACGATGGGCGGGTTGGACGGGTCGCCGACCGCCTCCGCGTAGATCTGCGCGCCGTCGCTCGACCTGACGAACTTCGCGACGATCTGGTCGGGGCCAACGCCCGCATCGTGCACATCCTTGTCCGCATCGACGAGCGAGGTGGGGACGTTGGCGACGGCGGCGAGCGCCGCGGTGGCGAGGGCGGGGATGACAGCGAACGACAGCATGGTTCGAGGTATAGAAGTGAGTGTCGTGAAAAGAATGGTAGTGAGAAGTTGAAGAGTATGGGCTGGGCTCCAGTCGTCGGTGAGCGGAGAGGGCTGGAGGATGAGGATGACGGCGAGCAAAGGTCGCCTTTTATTTCTTGGCGTGGCGGAAGGGAGGTGGACGTGTGTGAGTAGGTGTGCAAGGTGCGTAGGCTTCTTCTCCACGTTTATGGCGGACGAATTGGTGCGCAGCTTTGCCGCCTCCCGGTGGCGGAGTGTCCGGAGCGAGAGCAGACCAGCGTTTACGCCAGCAACCTGCCAATTCCCTGGTTGTACTTGTCGAAGTTGATGCGTTGGGCGCGCTAACGTGATCCTTTAGGTCCGCAAAAACAAGACCAGTCCCTGGCGTGGTGGACAGCGGAATGGTGTGCGAGGTGAGAAAAACCACTCGTGAAGCGCACGATGCTAAGAAATCAACGAGGCAAAGGTGCGTTACATGCGGCGAGAAACGTCCACAAAGAAGTCTTCCAAAGGGCCAGCACAGGTCTTGCAGTCTTCTTATTCCACCGACGGGTCGGTGCGTCTGAAGCCCTGGTAGGGGGATACCTAGACGTAAGCAGGATCGTCGGGAGTACTCAGGGCACATCAGCGTCTCTTTCCGCTACTTTCCGGGTAACTGTGGCCAAGGGATCAGCGCGAGTGAGCAATTGAATGGATGGCAGGAATAACTCGCCGCTCTCACCACGTTTCGTGAAGTTCAACTTCACGTGCGCCATTCATGTACGCACCGGCGGCAACAACCGCCCACTCCGAACTCCGTTGGCCAACTTGGACAGAGTAAGCCTGGCCGTTGCTGCGTTGAGACCTCGGGTCCGTTCCAATCCATGGACTCCGAGCTTCCGCTTGCTTACTCTTCGTGGGGTGGCTGAATGCGCTTCCTGGGGGTATACGTACTTTGTTGGGAAGCTACCAACAGCTGCTCAACCTTCTAGAGGGGATCAGCCCCTGCAAGCTTGTTATACTGACAGTGAGTCTGCCCTCCGCCGATGACACTGGCTCCACAAGCGATCGGCCACAAGTCCCAGAGCTGCCTGGAGGTGAGCAGGAGGCTCATCTGCCGAACGAGGATCGATTTTCACAGGCCGTGCAGTTTCGTACTGCAACCTGAAAGAAAGCAGAATCCACGGAAAATATGTTCGTCTCGACTCCGAAACGTGCGCGCGGATAAGACCTGGCATACAATGAACATGATGAGAGTTGGTGGCAAGCTGTGGCGTGGGAATCGTCCTTCCCGTTATGGAAAGCCTTGTTCAGGATTGGGTGGCTGTACCGGCGTTCAAATCTTGGTCGCATACTTCTCAAAAACCTTTGTGCACCCCTCGACTGCATCGTGTTGCGATCTGAAAGCCCTTCGATTACTATTGAAGATGCTGAGTACGGTCCTCCAGAGTTCAGAGGTAGGTCAGGCGTCTCCCCGACGTCATCGTCTGCGTCGACGCTGGTGCCCTGGGGAAACCCATGCAGTGGAGTATGCAAGGTACATTGGAGCCAGCATAGAACATGAGTACCGCGATGGCGAACTTCCTTCCTTCTCACTCTCTCCCATCATCCTACTTGAGCCATGGCTGCTACTTTCGACAAATCTCTTCCGACAACTCCTTCACGCGAATGGCCAGGCGACGTTATGACTTCGCCTACGCGAGAGGATCAGACTGCTTCTAAGGAGACACCGCGAACACCACCACCGCCGACTACACCCTCATCTCTTGGTCTCGACATATCGGGATTGTTCTCAGAGAATTTCGGCGCTCACCAACCTGAGTCGTTGTCGAGCATCATACCTTCTCAAGATGAACTCCAGCGGGTACTTGACCTCGTCAAGCAATATTTGCCTGCGCAGGTCTCGACCATCCTTGGTGAGCAGCCCCTCTACATCTACATGAAATGGTAGTGCCAAAGACTGACTGGCAGATCTCCCAGCTACGTCAGACTCTGACTCGCAAGATGCAGAAGTCAATGTCCATGTTGACTCACAACCATCGCATCTGCCTGAGGCTATCACCACGAATGTGAAACAGAAACCTCCGCCCGCCTCCAGCCGCACCCTCAGCGGCCTCAGTACGGCAGCAAGCGATGGCTTCTTGTCCAGTACCCCTGGTCGCAGCGGTTCTTACAGCACCGCAGGCACGCCCGACATCGAGAAAGCAACGGTAAGCCTTTCTTTCCCATTTTCATCTCGCACACAGACTTTGACACCGGAATCTGATCGCGCCTACCCCTAGGTCATCCTCGCCTTTCCCAGTGCCATCGAGCGCCGCTTCACAGATCTGTATGCTTCCGATCGGGCGACGGACGGGCACGGTACATCCTCTGAGCGAGCTACATCGTCGTCCGGGCGAGCTGCAACGGCGGCGACTACGACCACCTCGGGCGGACATACGAACAGCACCTCGGCGGGCCACACTACGTCGACAAACGGCCTCTCGCATCATGCCGACGACGGGCATTCTCCACCCAGTGACGGGCCAATTGCGCAGAACGATGGACACTCCGGCCGCATCCCCCTCTACGACGTCCACCGTCCGGCGAAGAAGGGCACGGCGAGCACCTGGCTCTCGTCGCGGGAGCGCGTCGACTCGCCATTGGCTTCATCTCTGTACGCGGATGCAGGCCATTCGACGTTGAGCGGAGATGATGTTCCTTCTGGCGCCTGGAAGCCGGCCTTTGGCCCTCGTACCTCTAGCATGATGGGCATGCTCTCTAGGTCGACCTCTGAGGACATCGACTCGCCTGCCCAGGGCTCGAGCATCGAAGGGCACGTCGGGCACTCGAGTGCGGGCCCATCTACGCCTGCCGTCCATAGCCTCGACGCGCAAAGCTCTATTCCAATGTCGATCGCGCAGAGCTCGCTGCCCATGTCGACCGCTGCGGACGCGGGGCACTCGAGCTATGGCTTCGACGCCTCGCTGTTAGAACACGGGCACGACGTTCATGCTCACGACTCCCTTCGGGACGATGCGTCGCGGGGGACGCTCGCGGGGTCGGCAGCTGGGCACGCGCAGGGCGATACGCAGGCGTTGAGTGACGGGCTGCTGCACAATACCGATGACAAGGACCACACACCACCCACGGTCAACCACCATCATGAATGTCCCGTCAAGCAGCGATTGGAGGCGAGGCACCATCGCGAGGATGGATTGGGGACGCATCCAAAGGAGCTATCGGCGATGCAGCAGGACGAGGATGCTGAGGAGCATGCGCGAGTCAAGCACGCGAGGGAGCCCACTGCGCAGAAGGACAGCTCCCCGACGGCGCGCGTGAGGTTCTCTGATAGACTGCGCGGCGAGGCGAAGGTTCTGACGGGCAAGCTCGTGCGGAAGGAGGGTAGGGTGGAGGAGGGGAGGCGTATCATGGGGCGGGCGTAGGAGAGGAGGGAGTAGAAGGCACACTGGGATGAAACGGATGGCAGGGCAACGCACAGCAGGAAGAAACAATGTACAATGTATTTGCATGACCTTGACGCACCGGCTGGAGGTCGATGGGATCGTCCGACGCTCGGGAATGCAGCATAAAACATGTCTATAATAAGCATTAAGCACCTCATAGTAGGGTCGGGTATAGGTAGTGCGTTGAGGGTATTGATTATGAACGCCTGTGAGAGGAAGATCAGCGTCTGACGCATGGAAGCTGGAAGCTACGAGGAGAAATCAGGTGCACATTGCTCGTCATGCGCCGAAGCGCTATCAGGGCTTGACTTCTATGCTATTCATCCTTGCAGGCAACAGGTTGCCGCGGTTTGGGGGGAAAGGTGTACACTCACATATGTTACCGCGCACTCTCGGGATACGGCTGGAAGCGTTGGTAAAATTCCTTCGTATAGGATTCGACGAGTTCTTGCGTCGTTTCGGGAAGGTCTTCCAGGAAGTGACCTGTGTAATTCGTATGTTTTAGCTCGATCCTGGAATTCAACGAGCGCACGCACCTGGAGTGCCGCCGAAGAGTGCTAGCGCTGGGATGACGGTGTTTGGTGGTATGATTGTGTTGTCTGCTATCTTCGCGCAGTCCTTGATGATAGTGAATTTGCCCTGCGAGTGCTGTGAGCACCCAGATATGCATAGCAAAGGACAGAGAGACGTACGATCACGCAGTTCTTCCCGATCTCGACGTAGTTCCCTATAGTCGCTGCCTCCACGATCGTGTTGGCGCCAACATGAACGTGGTCCCCGATCTTCATGGGGTAGTAATTGAAGTTGCCGCGATACGTCTTGTACGGTGGTCTGCCGACGCGTCAGTCGTACAAAGCACACGCGCCTCGCGTCGAACGCACCTCATCACGCATCCTTCACCGACCAAGCAGTAGCGTCCCAGGGATATCACGACAGCATGGCCAGGCCCTGTTCGTCTGAGGTCCCCGCGGATTACTGCGTTGCCGGAAATAATGGTCTTGCCGCCGAGGATGATGTTTTGTGGGCCGGCGATGGTCGCGCGGCGCGAGACTTTGTTGCCTGTGTCCTACTGAGCATTCACGATTCGTGTCGTGAAAGGAGGAGAGGCAGAAATGCGCACAGTTTCGATGAATTCGCCCTTGGAATAGTAGATGGGATCCATGTTGATTGAGTCGCAGACCGGAAGGTGATGGTAAGAGGCAAGCGCCGAGTTCCTGACCCACGCTTGTCTCCCACTCTCATCTCGAGCGCGTTCGACAAGCCGTCGCCCTTCGCTGTTGCAGACTAGTTACAGGTGTACCTGCTCTGCAACTGTCGCTCTGTACACGGTAGGCTTGACAGACTGACGGCCGCCCGGAATGGGTCTCCCTCACAGACGACGATTCCTGTCAGCACCATTGCGAATGCCCAAGAAGTATCTTTTCTCATAGCGATAGCAATACAACAAGTGCCATCTTCTGCCACTAATCGAAGGTCAGGCGCCTAAGAAAGGCTCACTGTCGACATGGTCTACATACGAGACCTCCTTTGGTGCGTGCATCTCCCTTTGTGACTTAACTGACTTTATCTTCCCTTTGAGCGGAGATCGCACACCTTTCATCTTATCGTACCTGATGTCTCCAGCATGGACCTCTCCAGATGAACACATAAGAAACGCGTGCCACTGCCACCCTCCTCGGAGCGCTCGTCTCTACCCACTGCGCGACCTTGCTCAAAGGTATCTCGATCTCGCTTGTCCTACGCAGGCCTTCCTTGTTATCCACACTGTTTCTCACTCTATACCCTGCGGCTCCCGTGTAACGCTCCGTCTCTCGTCTCTCGACATGTCGCGCACCCAGCGCGCCACAGATACCCCGACCATGGCTTTTCACGACAACCAGGTGCGTTATCTCTCTGCTATTCATGCCGTACTTTTCTGACATGTGCAAGCAGACGATTGAGCTCCCCGCTTTTTACACGCTCCCTTACAACACACCCTCGTCGCTCGAGCTCCAGGACCGCCTCGACGAGGAGTTCGACACCCTCTCGGCCTTCGGAACTGCCGACTTCGCCATTCTTTACCTACCCCGAAACCAACGCCTCGTCACCTCTCGCCCAACAAAGTTGAAGACGCGCCTCGCACCCACTGTCGAGGAGGCCTTGGAGGAAGCGAGCGGGGACAGCCCCGTTTGCGATGCCCCTCCTGCCTACTGTAAGGTGGAGGCCAGCGATACGCCACCCACCTTTACTTCGCCGTCAGAGAGGACGATCGCTCAGCTTGCTGCCGATGCCGCCATCCGCGAGAAGGACGAGGAGGATGCATTGAGGCCAGTCCCGACGCCGGATGAGATCCTCCAGCGTGCCCGTGAGCAGGAGGCTGCCGAGGAAGCAGCGCTCGAGTCCTTCTACGCCAAGTTCCCCGCACTCGCTGCTCTCCGTCCCTCTCCGCCTCGCATGCCCGCCACTGGGCTGCTTACGCCTCCGCCCACGCCACCCACCTCTCGTATTCCCAAGGGCGCCGCACGTATGCCCTCTTTCATCACGATGGAGAAGAGCGTGTCTAAGGCTTCTTCCGCCGTCTATGTTCCTCCGTCGTCCTCTGCTCTCGACAAGCGCATGTCGACTGCGCCACCCACTCCCGTGTCCGCGCCGCGGAAGCCCGTCTCCAAGATCCCGCGGAAGAAGAACAAGGAGAACACTGTCCAGCCTGCGGGCCGCCAGGGCAAGAGCTTCACCGTGAAGATCGACGTGACTGTCGACTCCAGCAGGGCTGGTGGCTCGAGCAAGGCGAGCGGCCCAGTCAAGGCCCCCACCGCGCTCAAGGTCAAGAAGAGGGAGAACGATGGTATGCCAGCGAAGGGTCGTATGACGGCGACGGCTGGCAAATCAGGCTCCCCTCCGCACGCTCCTTCGAAGTACGGCGCGCAGGCGCCCCTTGATCGCAAGTCTCGCCAGCACTCCGCCGTCGTAGGACGGCCTGCCACTCGTGTTATGTAGGCGTCTTCGCCACCTGGACCTCACTTACTATGCTCGACTGTATGCTCGCCTTCGACTTCCATTATGTACCGATCATGCTCTCCCTACGTATGCCCTGCCCTGTATCTCAGACGCTCAGTATCTTGTATTTATACACACGAGTGTGCCAGTGCTCCTTTGCCGATCGAAGACCAATTATTTGTCCCGGAGGCCTGAAGTTACGCCTGTAATTGTGGTGAATGAAGAGGGATGTATTTGCATGAGTATTGCGTAGAGTTATGCCTAAGGAAAGTCTATGTGCATGCATATGGCTGGAGCAGCAGGTATGTACGAGGGCTTCGGCCGAGATATGTACAATGGGCGTACACACAACAGCGATGTAGGAATAAATGAAGTCAGACGGAACATTATCAACAGACAAGAGACGTGCTACCAGTCCGAAGGTCAATCAACACCACAACCCCGCTGCTGCACTACCTGGATCCGCTTCACCCGCTGCTGGTCGTCGTCTGCCCCTGCACGGCTTCTACGTTCGACACGTCGGCGTCCTTCGCCTCGTTAGCGAGGTCGGTCTGGATAGTCAGGTGCGGGCGCTTCTGGCTATCGTCCGACATGGCACCTGCGTCCTCGGCGTGCGCGTCGACCTCCACGATAGGGTTGGAAGACTCGCCTAGGGTGTCGGCAGGGTTGGTAGTGGAAGAAGTGGGATTGGTGTCGCGAGCACGCTCCTCGGTAGGGACGGAAGACGAGTGGTCGTTTGATTGCTGAGCGCCGACCTGCGCAACGGTCTCGTCGGCCTCCTGGTCGGAAAGTCCTTCGGGAAGTTCCTCCTCAAAGAGGTCCTCGTCCTCGAACCCGCTGTCGACCGCCGCGTCCTCCCAAGCATCGCCCACAGAGCGGTCAGGGGACTGGGGTGTTTGGGGGCCCGTAAAAGGAGCGACCTCACCCCTGGGAGGCGATGCGGGGACGGCAGGGATGACAGGCTCGCGGGTAGCAGGGACAGCAGGCTCGCGCACCTCCCCCGGCGGCGGGCTCCTCACAACTTGCTCTTGTCTGGGTCGGCGCACTCCTTCAGTTGAAACCGGATAGACATCGCTTGTATTCGCGGGCCCGCCGACGGCGCGAGTACGTGTATCTACAGCGTATACACCCGCCCCCGGCCCCGCCGGTCTCGGCTTCGGCACATGATGCCCACCCTCCTTCTCGTCAGCGTCGCGGTCGTGAGGCTCGTGGTGGCGGTCGTCGGGAGGCGTCGTGGGCACCGTGAAGCTGCTCCAGCCCGAGCGCACGGCGGGCCTACTTGTTGAGGCCGCGGCCCGACGTGGGGATGCGACGGCCGGAGGCGCCCATGCCTTTCTGGAGGCCGGTGGGGCTCTCGGAGCGGCCGTACATGCCGCCGCCGTAGCCCTTGACCGCGGGGCCCATGTCGCCGGACTCGGAGAACGTGGAACCGGTCTCGGAGGCGGCGGCGGTGATGGTCGTCGGGTCGATGGACATGCCGTTGATGGTGGAGAGCGTGGGGTCGCCCGGGAGGATGCTGTTCTTGGCCGTGGTACCTACAGACGAGCGGTCAGCCCACTGCGGCATGCGGAGTGCAGACGGCATCACCGATCCACCTGAGAGGCTGTTGTTGAAACCAATGCGCACGTCGTTGATGGGGTCGTCAACGAGGACGATGTTGAACATCTTCTGGATGATGTCCTGCATGTCCTGGCCGTGGACGTTCGACGGCGTGCCAGAGACGCCGGTGCGGGTGCGCGTCAACTCGCGGGCGCGGGCGATGGTCATGGCAGTCTCGATGCCCATGAGCATACCCTCCTCAACCGTGAGAGGCTCCTCGCGCTCCGTAAGGGCAGCGTAGGACGGGATGAGCAGCTGCCGGTTGACCTCGTACTGCTGGTAGGTGACGATGCGGTCGATGTGCGGCAGCTCGAGCTTCTCGAGCTCGCGGACAGCAAGCGCGTGGACTTCACGGAAGCCCCAGCGATGTGCGAGCCCGAGGATCGCCTGCCAATCTTCCGCCGGCGCCTCGTAGATGGAATCTGTGTGTCCTTGTTCAGCGAACAAACAACACGGGTGGGCATGTCACTCACACTTGGGGTTGTAGAACACCCAGTTGAACTTGGCGAAATCCCGTGCAGAAACGTTGTCGATCACGAGGGCGTTCTCGGCCGTCCCCAGTCGCTCTGCGCCTGGGGTGGACGGTGCACCGAGGATCTTGCGGAAGAACTCGGACTCGCGCTCATAAAAATACCTGATCAGTAGTCAGTGCGCTGAAAGGAGGGATTCAGCAAGCGATGCGCACCTATGTACACGGAAGTGGTTGCGATCCACCTAGTGAATAATAGTCAGCCTCCGTCCCACGTGTCTCATCGTTGAGACGCACCAGGAAGTAGAGGTCGCCTCCCGGAAGGTAGTACTCGTCATAGCGTCGTAGCGTTACAAATTTCTCGTTGGACATGATGTCGTCTTCCAGCGACGAACGTGAAGGGGAGGAGACGAGGGGATGGGGAGGGGAGGGGATCGTGAGGTGCTGGTGGTGTGAGGAGACAAACCGCAAACAGGACCCCTTATATTTTCCGCCATGCCCTGATACCAGCCGTGCACACGTGTATGCCTCATGCCGTAGGATGTTGTCCGATGAACTTGAGCGGGGAGGACGTGGTGATTTCGGGTGTCATGTAACTGGATCTCTAGCATGAGGCCTCCTTCCTTTGGCCTAAGCTTTTCATTGTTCATCGGCCACTATGTGCACTTGCAGACACCGTCGTCGGCTGCAGAGGCCTGCCCCTCGCCTGCCACAGCCTGGTTCCCGATAAACACGTTTCTGATGGGAAACTCGCTTGGAAAACATCTGATCATGACACCGCGATCGTCACCTGTGACCTGGCATGCTGCACGGACACCCTTGGACCTATTGTCCATGGCCCATTGTGCAGAGCAATTGTTCACGACGCATTGTTCCTCGCAGATGCTGCAGCAGGGCAGTGGTAAACTGGAGTTGTCAAAGTTCGGAGCAAAAGATGTTCTGTGCACGTGCCACGTTTCGTGGTGATCACGCTGAAATCGTGGAGTTGAACTTCAACTTGACCATCATCGCTACGGTGTGATCTTCAAGATTCCATTCATTCAGTCCGCATAGTCCTATGGCAGCAAGTCGGTAGCTCACAAATAGCACGCTTAGTGGCGCCGCCACCCTCGCGGCGAGCTTCGCTCCAGAACAGCTGCGCAGACCTCCAGAACCCGTTGCATGGGTTGCGAGACGCCGCTTCAACGGCGACTTCCATGCTAGGATTCGTAGGATCAAGCTCTACATATCCATCTACCCTGGTCGGATCGATACTACATTGAAAACCCTATGCCTGCCCTATGCGAATGATCTTCGGGCCATCCACATAGAAGACAGATGACACCAAACTCGTCCCCACCGTGATCCTGAGAATGGCTGCAAATGACCATCGCTTTCCCAAATGCGCTCACGTATCCTCCCGCTCGATTACGAGCCAATCAACGTCTGGGGCGTCCGTACCGTTCCGCCCAGTAGAATCGAACCCCAGCATGCTCTGCGTTTTCATACGTGATCGATGCGCGAGGCGGCCACGCCTGATGGGCGTGCCGCCGGCGATGGTGTACACGATGCACTCTGGTCGGATATATGCCACGCCGCGATACAGCCCTTGCTCCCCACCCTTATCCTTGCGCCCGCCATCTCCCATCTTCATATCTCTATCTCCCTTTCTCTCTTCACGCCAGCATACCCATACCCATTGACGACCCGACACGATGAACACGCCGGTCAAGAACATTCGCCGCAGCTCGACGTACTACCTCGGCGGCGGCGATCTGCACATTCTCGTGAGTGCGCTGGAGGGACGTCGGCAGCGCTAACGCGTCGCGCAGGTCGAGGGCGTCATGTTCCGCGTGCACAAGTCAGTGTTCGGCATCGGCCCTGAACCGGACGCGGCGCTGAAACGCTTCACGCCCAGATACTTTTTCGACCGGGAGTCCAACACGTTCCGCCGCGAGTTCGTCCTTCCGGTGTCGCCTGGTGCGCAACCGAAGGGTTCGTCCGAGTCCACCGCGCTGGTCCTGGAGGACATCACCCTAGAGGAATTCGAGAAGTTCCTCTGGGTTTTCTACAACCCCCGATGTGCGTCGCCAGCCGTGTCGCGCGACCTTGTATGACTGACCACCAATTCCCACCCCCGCTGCAGATTCGATCTACGACGCCGCACCCGAAGACTGGGTCGACATCCTCAAGCTCGCGCACATGTGGAGCTTCCGGGAGGTGTATGAGCTCGCCGTGCGCGAGCTTGAGCACCTCGAGATGCCCGTCGTGGAGCGACTGATTGCGTACCAGGCGTACGGCGTCAAGCGCGAGTACATCATCCCCCTCTACGCGGAGCTCTTCCGCCGCGAGGAGCCGCTCTCCAAGAGCGAGTCGCAGCGCCTCGGCATTGAAACCGTGTACACCATCTGGATGGGCCGCGAGCGCCTGCGCGCGAAGCCCGTCTTCGACGGACGCTCCGGGCGCAGCCCGCTCCCCGCGGGCCTGCAGGAGACGGAGGTCGAGTCTATGGCGCGCGAGCTCCTCGCGGACCGCGCCGCGAATTCATCCCCAGGTCAATCATCGGTGACGTCCGCGCGCGTGAGGCCTCGTGCACGGTTGCTGACCTCTGTTCCCTGTAGACGATGACGCGCCAACGTCTGCGGAGAATGGCGCGCACTTTGCTACGGGAAGCGCAGGTGGAGGCGTTCGCGGAGCTGGCAGCGGAGGCGGATACTCCAACTCCCGGCAGCCTAGCCACAGCCGCGAGTCCTCGGGTGGGGCGGGCCCGGCGTCGTTCGATGGATACCGATTCAACACAAACGGACGAACGTCGCAGCGCGGGATCAACAAGTAACCGCGAACCGTTCGTAGTCGGTGAGTCTTGTGCGAGCAAAGGCGAAGACGTGTTGCTTACTAGGCATGCTAGTACCGGGGCAGAAGAAGAAGCGTCACCTGCGTAAGGGACTGAAGAAGCGAATTCTCCGTCTCCTCCGCGTTACGAGGCTCAGGACGAATCGGAAGCAGCTGTAGGATTGGACGGTCATTGTCATGTCTTGACGACAGGGACACTCAGTGCACGATATTCACGATTGTATTGTAGATACTAAGTTATGTAGCATGCTGGAGATTGGATGGCGAGTCCTACCATGAGTCAAGATAGTCCAGAGGAATGTAGAGCCTGACGGTGTTGTTTTTCTGATAGGTGAGGTCGTTGACCGGAGTGCCAGCGCTTGCTGCCGATAGAAAGGAGACAATGACTAGTATCTTCGGCGTCGTAGCATGCCTCGCATCGGTTGCGAAAGGAGAGACTCAGCTCAACTCAATCCGGGTTGGTGGACATACAACAACATTCGATGTGGACCAATCATACAAGCATGTGAAGATAATGACCACGGGACGAGCCCCAGAGGACCCGCTGCGTGTCAAACAGCGACATTGTATTGGTTGCACACTCCGACAGGAAATGGTACATTTTGGACGATGCGCAGCGCATAAACGCACCATCTACAGACGACGACCGCGGCGACCACCCTATTTCATGCGTTAACTGCGTAGAGTCATGGAACTTAGGTTGACGTACCTTGCGGCGGGTGCTGTCGGTCGGGACGGGGGTGACGTCCTCAATGCGGCCAATGCGCATGCCAGCACGGGCAAGCGCACGGAGCGCGGACTGGGCACCCGGACCCGGGGTCTTGGTGCCGGTACCACCAGTGGCGCGGAGCTTGATGTGGAGGGCAGTAATGCCAACCTCGCGGCAGCGCGCGGCGACGTCCTGGGCAGCCAACATAGCGGCGTACGGGGAGGACTCGTCACGGTCAGCCTTGACCTTCATACCGCCTAATCGCAGGGTCAGATCACCGTAGATCGCAAGGGGACTACGAACGCACCAGTAACGCGGGAGATCGTCTCCTTGCCCGACAGATCGGTGACGTGGACGAAGGTGTCGTTGAAGGACGCGAAGATGTGCGCGACGCCGAAGACGAGCTCGCCCTCAGCGACCTGGGGACCGAGCTGGACGGCAGCGTCCTCCTTGGGGGCCTTAACCTTCTTGGGGGGCTGCGCAAGTCAGCATCTCGATGCACTTGACGCGCCCTATGCGACATCCGTAGCGATCGTTCGCCATCCAGCGATAGACGGCGTAAATCGCCACGGATGTGCACAACGATGGCAGCGTTGAGGACGTCGCTACTCACCATTGTGGTCGGAGAGTCTTGAGGCGGCGAGGGTCAACGGAGGGGCTTGAGGAACGACGGCGACGATGCCCAGCAACTTTCGGTGTACTGCTCTGGATTCCCACGATAGCTTGTTTGTGGCGTCGAGGACCGGAATAATGAATTGCGAATGTGACCGTGTCACAGTTGGCTTCCCTTTGCAGACCGTTGCGCTCTTCCACCCGGCTGCTGATTGCTACTCTGCTCGGTGACGGATCCCGGCGTGCCAGTCACTCCATTGCCACTCTGGCTTGAGCGACCTCGCTAGTTGCCTGCGGACTTAAGCTGGGAGTTGGTCACGTTGAGCAAGCAGGATAGCTGTCGCTGCAGACACTGCTACACAGGAACTCGTGTAACGACATGGAAGGCATACTTACTGTGTCTCTACGACGCCCGCGTACCTCTACACAGCATGCACGCCACATCCCTTATACTAAACAAGGCATGTCGCACAGGTTTCCCGCCCCCAGGTCCAGCACAGCCGCCCAAAGAGGCGCATCACCGTCGTCCTACGTTTCGCGAGGCCCGAATATGACGCATTCCACATGTTATGAATGCCGCCGCCTTCACGACTGATGCGCCCACTTGCGAATGTCCCTGATGATGGGCGCTACTCGTGCACAGCAAGCCTTGTCGCCGCAGGCGACGTAGTCACTGCATATCCCGCCTGTGAGCCTCATAAGGGTGCGTGCAACATTCTGTGCGTTCCTCACTTGTCTGCTACCAACGACCATCATGTCACCGCGCTCACCACCGAAGACCGTTCATTTCGCGACGGCGGATATCGTGATCCCGCCGTCGCCTGCACCATCACCACCGCCATCACCGACGCTCTCTCCCTATTCACCAGTGCTATCATCACCAGCCACTCCCGAGGACGTATTCCTTCCTCTTGACCCGCTGTCACCAAACGCATGCCCCTCGCAGCTGCCGGAGACCGCAGGGGATGAACGCTCCGTTTCGTCCACGTCACCCTCAAATCATCCATGCATCCACTCCCTCATGGGCTTCTGGCCGCAGTCCTCTCTATCCTTCCGCTATGACCTGACTTCCCCTCCTTCAGTGCTCACCTCCGCGCCGCTATACTCCCACCTCCATGAGTCCGCTACGAAACCACCACAGGAGTCACTACGTGTGGCGGTGCCGTGGCCTGTCGCTGGAGAGTGGCAGATTCCCATATCTGCGAGCGTTGGTCAGGTCACTTGCATGGACGTCCTGCGCGGGCTACATCGCGACCTGACTCGACCCATCACGCACGCCGAATACCGCGCGCTGGGCGTAGATACCGACGTACGGCGGCGGGTCGATGCGTCCTACTGGGCACGATGCGGCAGGATAATCGACCCCGTCGTCCGAACAGCGGAGGAGCAGAAGGGTGTCAAGCGCATCGACTTCCTGATGGAGAGGCCGATTTTTGCAGGCTTGTCTGCACGCGAGGACGGTCTCTGGCGCCTACATACGACTTCATGAGAACCTTTGGCTGCTGGACTAATTTATTATCGCATCTTGTATCGGTCTCCCGCTCGACGTGGTATTTATTTCGCACAGTAGTTTTTTGCCATCGCACATAGCCTAGCCTCATTCCATCCACCACTGTAATATACGTAGCTACCTAGATTCAGATTCCTGTCAAGACAATGGTATATCATGTACGTCTACGATCCCTGATATGTCGAAATACGATATGTTGAACACGACCTGGCAGCCTTCTAAAACGGTACGCCTCGCGCAGTAAAGACAAGCTTGAAGTCCTCAATAGTAGGTGTGCCAAGGATCGCAAAGGCAACTCTGTCGAACGAATTTCGGAACCGGGCCGTCTCCTCGAACAACAGATCCACCCAGATCCCCGCGACCATCTGCACATTGTTCTTGAAGACGCCCGTCCCGAAGCTGCCCAGGACGATATCCCGCACACCCTCCTGCTCGAAGAGAAAGAGCAGGCGTCCCATGCGCTCCCGCATCGCCATCCCGATGTCCCCTTCGATGTCATCATCGGATACCCGTCCATTGTTCTTCTGGCGTACGACGCCCGCGTTGACGGCAGGGCTAGTAAGTATGTCCACCTCGTATGGTGGCAGCCATCGCCCGTCATCGGTGCGAAAGACGAGGATGGATGGCGAGTAGATCATGGCGTGAGTGTAGTATCCCTCTGTGTCGCGCTTCTTGTGTAGTCTATAGAATCGCTGCGCCTCTGCCGTCAGGAGGGTCGGGTATAGGGTCGAGGAGCGAGCGATGGATTCCTCTTGTGCCGATGCACCAGAGAGGAAGCCTCCACCAGGTTTAGTAGCAGACGCGAAATTGAGTATGCCGACACGAGCTGCGTGTAGCGCATCAGTTGGCCTGTACTTCCGAAGACACAACGAACATACCGTCGGTCTGAGAGATCAGAAGTCGGGCACCCTCTAGCGTGGATATCTCAGCAAGCGTGACTTCGGTTTGCCTGCCGCTACCAGATGGTGGAGAGGAGATCTCCCACGAAGCAAGCGCGCAGTCAGGTTGATAGTAGCGCGTTCCCTGTTCGGAGCGCTTTACGGCGTCTTTGAGGGCATATGTGCGACCGTCAAGGCTGTAGCACCCAGCTTCAAGAGCCTCGAGTGTATCGTCCGCGATCTCCTTCCTCCTCGAGCGCGCATCGCCATACCTCCTTTGTGGCGGGGGCGGAGATTCCTGGGGAGACGCAGGGGAGGGTGGAGACGAGGAACGGCTGTATGGATGGGATCCACGAAGCTTCTTTGGGTCCCCGTTCTCTTTGGGTTTCGGCTTGAAGTAGTTCTTGATGGAGTTGTTACTCATTGTTCTGTAAGATGTATCGTGGCGAGGAGACAAGCGCTTGACTGGACATCAGTGACATTCGCCTGACCTAGCGGGGACGCGTCCCACATTTTGACACTGTAGAGCTATGTTCCAGCAATCGCCCGACGAAGATAACCAGTTTCTGCTGAGATGAGGGACAAGAAGAAGGCGCGCCGATGCCTCGCGACGCGCCTGACTCTCGTTATTGTCGTCACGGTCACGCACGCCCACACGTGAGCCGCACACAACCGCTTTGACCTCGTGTTTTTCTTGACTTCAACCCCCGGGGACGTTCGGGCAGGGCACCATGTCGCGATGGATGAAGATTGCGCAGGGCTTCAGGCCGTTCTATATGACGACGCCTGCCGACATGCTTCCCGCTGGCCTCGCGGAGCTCAAGACGCCGCCGCTGTATTACCGGAAGCCTCCCACGTGGATGAAGTTCTCGTGGTTTATTGCTGGTGGCGCGGTGGTCTCAGCGTGAGGATGACTTCTTTCAACCGCAATTATTCATATCTGACTATGTTGTATGTAGAATCAACATGTCTGACTTGACATGGGAGCACTGGACCGAGTTCGTCGAAGACGAATCCAGTTTCGAGGCCCGCGCGAAGGACCCGTCCCTCGAGAAGAAGGGCAAATGGGAACTTCGCCCATGGTATCAGCGTCTCGGCATGTGCGGTCTCCAGCTCAGTGCAGCCACTATGCTTTCCGTCATCGTCGTCCTGATGCGATATCGCACCGTCAAACGCCTCGACATCTTCCGCCACAGCGCCCAATTCGACACGGGCGGGCCGACGCTGCTCCTCGCGCAGTGTGCGCACCACACGTCGCCGAGCTGGGGGTACATTCGCCCTATCAAGCAGTGTACTCTGTCTGCTACTGGCGCGACGGACCATACGCTGTACCTCACGCTCGCTGGCGACAAGGCGGACCGCAAAATCGACTTGAGGGGCGCACTGATTCGTGGGAAGGAGCTGCCACCGAAGGAGGCTCGTGCGGCGCTAATTGAGGAATTTGGGGCCGAGGGCAAGCTGAAGGGCGTGGCTCAGGCATTGAAGGAGGAGGCACAGACGGGCGGGAGTGGATGGAAGTCGGGCCCGGTCAAGGAGCGGCAGGACCAGCGGCGGAAGGCGCTTGAGAAGGATCTATGACTTGCTACAGTACTATGATGCTTAATCCCCACTCACGCCCATTTCGTGGATACCACTCGATAACATTGCATACCTTGCGACTATGGAAGTGCTTTCCCTCGTCTGAGGTGCATTTGCCGCTCAAGTTCACTGATACAGATTTTTCACAGCTTCGAAAGTATGTATGCGTGTGCGTTTGTAGACTCCCCAGTGAGACGCGACATTGCACAACCATCTGCCCTACGCCGTGTTCGTACACTCGGCGAACAAGCCAACCGCATTCCCGCTCAACTCCACGTTCTCGCAAACATACTTCGCATCGCCGTCCGGACCCCTGCAATGATCGTCAGCTTTGCCACAAAAGCGCAAGTCTTGGATTTGCTCAAGTCCAATGGCAGCTCCAGCGAAGGGCAGTGAGGAAATTGTACGCACGTCAGGCTGAGATCATTCACGTTGATGTTTGAGCACCGTCCGTCCGGAGAGCAGGCGATGGACGCAACGACATCGTCCGTGCCGGTGCCGGTGATGCTGGGAGGGCGAAGAGTCAAACTGTCAGTCTAGGAGACTGTCGGAAAAACGCACTTGTTGAACCATACATCCTCGATATACGTGTTCGAGGGGTACTCCGCGCACTCGTCCTCGTCGGTGAAGTAGCACTGAGGGTCGCGGTCAGCATAGCGTCGTTAGCGATGACGCGGAGGAAGGAGACGCTGTCGCGGTGAGTAGACGCACCTGGTCAATGACCACCGGGTTATCAACCTCACTCTCCACGAAATTCTGGAAGGTGATATTGCGCACGATGCCGGAGCCAACGTCGGGGCCGGCCCATGCCTTGATGCGCGCACCGTTTTGGGCCTTGGACATCTTGATGTCGCTGGCGGGGTATGAGTGTCACTGGCGAGGGCAAAGCAGACTGCGCGACAGCACTCACATAGCGGTGACATTCTCCACGATATCGTAGTACTCGGGATACTGGCCGAGCGAGCCCACGGAGATGCCGCTGGCAGTCGCAGAGCGTCGATCACCATGGGTAGATCACCAAGACTGCCAAAACTTACTGTGACCCCGTACAATCCAAGTTCGATACCAAGATATTCGTCGAGTTCGGCTTGAAGGACACGCAGTCATCGCCATTGTTGATCACCGAGTTCTGGATAACCACGTTGTCCGAGCGGTAGGTGTCCCAGCCATCGGTATTCTTCGCTTCGTTGTCACTCGTGGACTCGGAGGTGATAGTGATGTTGTCGTAGATCACGTTGTTGGATTCATAGACCTGGAATGTAAGGGTTAGTGGGGTGTGGGCATAGGGAGAGGTGTCAAGGAGTAAGTTGGTGAGGATGACTTACCAGGTTCACCCACATGGGCGCGTTGACCATCGCGATGTCTTTGACTGTGACACCGTCGCCTTGGTAGACCGTGAGGATGATGGGCCGCAGAAGGGATGAGTTCGAGGCGCTGCCTTCTGATCAGGGGAAGACACCTCAAAGGATCGCCTGCCCGACTCACAACTCGTCATACCAGGGCTCAAGGTGCGCGTCAGTTAGAGTTGATGTTTTTTGGTTCAAAGGCAGTACCTGTCCTTTCCCATCTAGCGTTCCTCCCCCGCTCAAGGTGACGTTAGTTCCGCCCAGGAGCCAAGCCGTAATGGAATTTTGGAAGTCGAAGTGAAAGCCGTTCTGCACGTAGTTTGTCAGCTCTAGGAGCAAGCCCAAATGATAGACAAACGTACACCGCTCCAGTACGGGATGTCTGGATTGAAGGCAATCGTCCCTTGCAGGTCCTTGATATGTGTGAGCCATATATACACGCCGACAGGTGGAGCACAGGATGACCAGAATGGGCACTCACAATATGCGTGTTCGAGAGGCCGGTCATGTTCAGCCGAGTGCTGATGTTAAGCGTCGTGTCGGCAGGAATGGTAATCGTGTCGCAGTCCGTAACTGCAGCAAGGAAGGCAGGTGCATCGTCTGCGCCAGTTTGACTGAGCGTGCAGTCCGCTGCTGCGATAGCACGCGCGGCGAGCAACGCGAAGAAGCCTGCCCTGAGGTGGAACCGCATGGTGGGATGAACAGATGCGAGATAGACAGGTGTGCGAGAGTCCTGCCACAGGCGCGCTTTATATACTTACCTACTGGCGAGCGGGCCGTGTCGTAACGGTCCGCTGCGAGAAGCCAGAGCACCTGACGACGCGCGTGAGTTCGTCCGGGCTTTCTCCAATATATGGAGGAAGGTACGCTTCACAGGGCAAAATGACATGGCGTAGCAAAAGGGTCGCAAGTCTGCAAGTCGCAGGACCTCGTAAGTGAGCACGCGGTACAGGATAGCACCGAGGACTCGGGAAAGCTGCTCGTTTAAGAGAGCAGGACCGGGAATCCGCTGACGCTTGATAAAAAAAAGCAGAGGTGTTCGGCTCAGCAAAGGCAGATATCAGGGCAGGCATTCTTCTTTTCGGTCTGCTAGGGTGATATGATACAGATGAGTGTCGAGACCAAGATGGATGAGCTTGCCGCTGTTTGCCGGCGCGAATCCCAGGCGTGTGGCGTGCGTCCGAATTAGGCAGTCCTTGTTTCCTCCTTGATCATGTACGGCCACGGCCCGGGGGCGACAATAGGCGCCCGGACTCTACCCGGATTCTCCGGCCGCGCATAAAAGGCCGCGCGCGCTTCCACAGCCGCAGAACATACCTTGGTCTCGTACCACCACCATCCCATGCGCGGCCCACCACTTCGCGTCCGCCGTCGTCGTTCTCCACGACCACGGCGACGCTCAACTCCCGGAGGCTAGGCGCCATCGCCACATAACTTCACAACGTCACCCGCGCCGCCGTCGCGCTCACTCTCTTCCTCATTGCAGCTCACCAGCATCGTCAACGGCGAAGCCACTCACCTTTGTGGTCTATGAGTCCCCCACGCGCCATGACGGCCCATGTAACCGGGTGCGTGCCTCGACGACGCCCCCGCGCCCCTCAGCTCTCCGTGAATGCGTTGGCTGTGTGGGCTCGTGGGCGGAGGGGTGCGTAGCCGTGGGAGTGACAGGATACCGGCCAGCGGACGCCGCCACGATAAATCATACCTTGAACGGGTGTGTGAGGGCGAGGGGGATTGTCCGCGTAAGCGCCGGCGGGGTTGAAGCACGATCGTCCGGGGCGGTGCTGTTGGGCACTCGAGGAGGGTGTGGGCTGATGGCAAAAGGCGACGCCCTACTCACGAGTAGGGTGGAAGGGTTGCAATGTCTGGCGTCGAAGGAGGTACGTGGTCGCGCTCGCCATATAGTTCATGTCGCTCACTTTATTGCAGGGTCGTTGGCAACGCTACTCGCAAGAATACTCCCACCTCCCGCGATAACATATTATACTCATTGCCACACCAGATCGTCTTTCGCGGACGGCCTATGCGGCCTACATCTGCCAACGATCCCTACCATGCCGGCACATCACGAAGTGTACGACTGGCTACATCCTGCTATGCTCCGCATACTGACTGTACCCTCAGATCCAAGCCACTGGGCAACACTAGCAGTTGTCATGCCACATTGCCTGCCCCAGGTCATTTTGTGGCTTGTAACGATGGTCCCGTTCAACGATCCGTATGTCATACCACAGCGCTTTTCCGAGTCTATGCTGACATCCACAACCCCCTCCGCAGGACTTCCATGAGGTCGTTGTCGCTGGACGTACTCTTGGGCGCGTAGAACATGCAAATGTGGTCTTCGTGGTCTCTGCCTATGTATATGCAGTGCTTTTCATGTTATGCAGTGAATCTGAGCTCTCCCTCCAACTATTCCCTGCTTTATTGCCCTCAGGAAGCTGCAAGCTGTGCGTCTCAAGTACGGTACCACCCGTGGGAAATCTGTCACCATTGTGGTTCCCTGAGTGGACAAGCTATTCCTTCCTATCCACCCCGTTGACTGGCCTTCGTTATTTGCGAGCACGGCTAGTATGTCAGAGCCACCTTCCAAGGCCGCCCGTATGACCTGAGATCGTCGCCCATGGCCACCTGAATCCTCCAATCCACAACCCTCGTCGACCAGGAACTGTCTGGAATCGGTCGAGCCCGGCCCCGAGTGCCATTCGCTCTTATAAGCGTGCCCGCTCGCCATCGCCGGCTATGCGTCTGACAAGCCCCTCCTTCCTCCTCAAGTCTGTAAGTATAGCCGCCATATCGTACTTCGCAGTCCGGTACGCACGACACGCAGCCATGTCGACCTCGCGAACGATCGTTGTGGGCGGCGGTCTCGCCGGTTTGAGTGCGGCGCATACGGCGCTAGAGAATGGCGCCACGGTCGTTTTGCTAGATAAGAAGCCTGCGTGCGTAAACAGTATATGTGAAGGGGGAGGATGGGAAGCTGATCCTGTAATGCAGTCTAGGGGGAAATTCAGTGAAGGCCAGCTCGGGAATCAACGGCGCCGGCACTCCTGCCCAGCAAGCTAACAACATTATCGACACCCCCGAGGCCTTGTGTGTACATGCCCTACTTCCCACATCCTTTCATCCTAACTTCCACCCAGCTACCGCGACACCGAGGCCTCCGCGCGCGACCTCGCTCGCCCCCACCTCATCAAAGCCCTCACCGACCACTCTGCCCCCACCCTCCAATGGCTCGTCGACACCTTCGGCGTTGACCTCTCCCTCGTCACCCGCCTCGGCGGGCACAGCATCCCGCGCACGCACCGTGGAAAGGGCGGCGCGCCCGGCTGGGCGATGACCTCCGCGCTAGTGAAGGCGCTGGAGGCCAAGTCAGACCGTGCGCAAATCGTCAAGGACGCGAAGGTGACGGCGTTGCTGAAGGACGGCGGACGCGTCACGGGCGTCGAGTATGAGGTCGGCGGCGAGAGGCGCACCGAGCATGGGGCTGTGGTGATCGCGACTGGGTGCGTACGCCTGCTTCATTCTCATTCATGTACTAAATCTCTCCCTCAGAGGCTACGCCGCCGACTTCGCCCCCGGCGGCTTTCTCGCGCAGCACCGCGCCGACCTCACCGCGCTCCCCACCACCAACGGCGATCACGCTACCGGCGACGGCCACCGCCTCGCCGCCTCCCTCGGCGGCGCCCTCTGCGACATGGACCAAGTCCAAGTCCACCCCACCGGCTTCGTCGACCCCAAGGACCCCGACGCGAAGACGAAGTTCCTCGCCGCGGAGGCGCTCCGCGGTGTCGGCGGGCTCCTGATCGACAAGAATGGGGCACGCTTCGTCAATGAGCTGGATCGGAGGGACGCGGTGACGGCGGCGATGCAGAAGGCGGAGGCGCCGATTAGGCTGCTGTTGAACCCGCAGGCGGCGGCGGCGTTGGAGGCGCATTGTGAGTGGAGATGATGGGTTAGACGTGGGTGGAAGGCTGATGTATTTGCAGGCAAGTTCTACCAGTCTAAGGGCTTGATGAAGCGGTATGAGAATGCGGCGGAGCTGGCGCAAGACACGGGACTCTCGCTCTCTTCTCTCGAGGCCACATTCAAGTCGCATCAGGCGTATGCCGACGGACGCGAGAAGGACCCCTTCGGGAAGAGTGAGTGCTGCAATCCACCGTCTTGTACTCGAGGTACTGAGCAAGCAACAGGCAACTTCGACAACGCTACCTACACCCTTGACGAGCCGCTGCTGGTAGCGCAGATGACGCCTGTCGTCCACTACGTGCGTGTTCACTTTTGCTTCTCTCCAGCTTTCCAACTAAGCTCATCATCGAAGACCATGGGAGGTATCACCGTTGACGACCAGGCGCGCGTCCTCGACGCATCTGGCGCACCCATTCCTGGCCTCTTCGCCGCTGGCGAGGCGATCGGCGGCGTCCACGGGCGCAATAGGCTCGGCGGCTCGTCGCTGCTTGAGGCAGTAGTGTTCGGCAGGATCGCGGGCAAGAGCTCTACGGCGTAAAAAGATAAGCAACATGATAAAATGTGTATTTGTAAGCTCAATCCGAGAATGAAGTCTCGCAAGGTGTGCATGTCAGGTGCATAGTGTGGCATGGGGGTGTACATGACGGTGGGTACATATAAGAAGGCAGCGGCACCGTGGCACGAAGCCCTGCAAGGTTATCAGCGAAGTGCAAACGAGGATACGAAGTTGGACTTACAGTTGGTGCACAACGTACTTCGCGACGGGAGCAGAGTTGGACGCTTAGATGCATGACTTCGAAGGTGCGGTCGTACGTGCCAGCAGTGCTAGGCCTGTCAGCGAAGGTGAGCATGCGCATTGCGATGTTCACAGTATACTTACGGTTGCATAGTCGCATGACCGCTCAAGTCAGCCTTCGATTAAGCCTTGAGGGCATGGATTCGTGGCAAGTCTGTGTGGTTACAGTGAGCACGCGATAGGGTTGCCAAGGGGACGGGAAGGCTTGCGCTCGAGGATGCTGACAAGACCTGGGGAGTATCCTTGTCAGCGACATGCGATATGTGGCGAGCGCGACCGCGTACCTCCTTCGACGCCAGATACTGCTACCCTTCCGCCCTACTCGTGAGTAGGACGTCGCCTCTTGCCAACGGCCCACACCCTCCTCAAGCGCCCAGCAGCACCGCCCCGGACGATCGTGCTTCAACCCCGCCGGCGCTTACGCAGACATTCCCCCTCGCCCTCACACACCCGTTCAAGGTATGATTTATCGTGGCGGCGTCCGCTGGCCGGTATCCTGTCACTCCCACGGCTACGCACCCCTCCGCCCACGGGCCCACACAGCCAACGCATTCACGGAGAGCTGAGGGGCGCGGGGGCGTCGTCGAGGCACGCACCCGGTTACATGGGCCGTCATGGCGCGTGGGGGACCCATAGACCACAAAGGTGAGTGGCTTCGCCGTTGACGATGCTGGTGAGCTACTTTGAGAAGAGAAGTGAGCGCGACGGCGGCGCGGGTGAGGTTGTGAAGTTATGTGGCGATGGCGCTTAGCCGCCAAGAGTTGAGCGTCGCCGTGGTCGTGTAGAACGACGACGGCGGACGCGAAGTGGTGGGCCGCGCATGGGTCGGTGGTGGTACGAGACCAAGGTATGTTCTGCGGCCGTGGAAGAGCGCTCAGCCTTTTATGCGCGGCCGGAGGCTCCGGGCGCCTATTGTCGGTGTCGGGCCGGAACCGGTGCCCGAGTTGGGCAACAAGGACTGCCATTCTGGGAAATCTTCTCCCCACATGTGTGATCAGCGGGAGTATATTTGCTTCCGCAATTTCCACCCATTTGAGTCCCAGAAGGATTACACAAAGTCATTGCCAACATGCATGCTCAGGAATACATAGTGTAAGTTATACTGATACAAAGGAGAGCTATGATACGACATCAATATGCACGTAGCATCCATCACACAAGCTCGTTTAGTCCAAAGGGAAGAAATCACGAACGAGCTGCTCAACAGCACATGGAAGCCCTTCCTTATACACTGTCGAGGGTACCTTTCTCCTCTCCTCGTAGAGCCACTGACCGTAGATACTCGGCGCAATCCGCTCCCTATTCGACGCGATCCCAAGCGCGATGTCAATGCCGACCAGATCGACGTCCTCCTTTGTCAGAGCCTCGACTCGCTGAACGATATCTTTCAGAACGCCGTGATACCACTGAGAGCTGTTTGTCAGGGCTATCTTCATCTATGACGAGTTGACGCAGGCCGCACGCACCTTGCTTACGCTGTAGGCTCGCCCGAGCCGAAAGCGCTGGTCGCGAGTCATGTCCATCTTCCCCATCTTCAAAACCGCAAGCTGTCGGACGTCGTCAAAGTCCCACATGGTCGCCAGTTTGAGGACAGCCGTCCATTGCTCCTGCGTCAAGTCGTTATCGGGTCGTAAGGCGTTTCTGGGGCGATATCAGACTTGCGTCGTTGACCACGATGATATACACTACGCACCTAGGAAGCAGTATCCGTAGGAATTGTCGGAATTCTTCGTCAGTCGCACCCTCCAGAACCACGGGGTGCTCGTCGCTGCAGCCCTCCGTATCCAGTCCTTGGCCAGGAGGAAGGGTGAACATGGAAGCGAAGACGGCCGAACCGCCCTCGAAAGCATAGCGAGGGACACGGAAAAGGGTATCTGATACCTGGAAACAAGTCAGTACATCGAGGACGTCGTGAAAGCCCTCGACGCACTCGGAAAGTTACGACGTCCAGATAAAACGTGTCATCTCGTCGAGAAGCCGACGCCTCGCCACATTGGAGGACGCTGTTCTGTTCATGGATCGAGGGTTGCGCCATGGGAAGATGGAGGGGGAAGTGATAGAGCGAAGTCAGCGAATCTACCTTCTTGTAAGTGAAGTACACGTTGGTCACGGCAGCCCCCAACGAGGCCTCTATCGCGGGCCGCACAAGGATCGCATGTTCGTAGGCGACGAACGGGTGACGACCCTGTTTGCGGCACCTTGAGCATACATCACTTGTAAGAGGGCACGCACCTTGCTCCCCCTCCATTGTCACTAGAAGGGATGGAGCATGCAGGAGTACAGAAGCGCGAACGAAGTGTGGTTGGCCGTCGCTCGAACCCTCCGTGCGGAGGTTGTGTATCACCGGCCCTGAGATGGGAGGAGGGTAGCCGTTCTCATGCGTACGAGGCGCTCGGGTGCAGGCAGCAGGGAATCGGCCTCCCCTATCACGGCAAACTCGAGAGGGACGCTTGAGGGTTGTTTTCAACGGGGTTGGTGGAGTCAGATTGCTGTTAGGACAGCCCCGACATCAGAGCCGGTACTCAATCAAGCGTTCTGCAGTCTGATTCTCTCGCGCTAGCGCTGAGTAGCAGCGATGCGAATGGGACAGATGAGCTCAGAGGAAACGATCGCTAAGCCCGGCCTTTGCCGTTACCGTTCGGCAGTTGCCGCCACAAATGTACGCTTTACTTCAAATCTACCTTGGCCTGTACTTTCGTCTTTCTTGCGCCTATGTTCCCGGTACTGATCGCAGCTTCGTTCGTTATGAGACATTGTACCTTCAATTTGACGAGCCGCTGCGCCTCCGTTTTCGATACGATTGTCTCAGGGTCTTCGACACGACACGCCATCCCCATTGACACATTTTCCTCATACCCTACAATTGGAGAGAACCCCTTCAAATACCACTTCGCCACCTCAAAGTCATACGGCGATGCGCTTCCTGAAATGTGCACACTGGAGGTGACGCTGCTGCTTGGCATGTACGCCAGATTTCCTTTGATGTACAACTCTGCTTCAAAAGGCTATTCACAGCGTAGCCGCTATGCTGAGGCCGTCCTGAACGCGGGAGAGGAGAGCAGGAACTCGTTCACTCGCTTCAGGGTCGTGCGAGACGGATTGGCCTGAGGACGGCTGGCAATGACCCATTCCAGCCGTCGCCGGATTGTCTTCTTGTCAAGATCGCAATTTGCTATAGGAAGGACTTAGCATTCGAGCTATGACCGTGTCAGCGTACTTACATGATGGCGAATACCGCCCCTCGTCGTCGAAGTTTAGCTGGAGGGCAGCCACGGCGACACCCACGCCCAAGTCCGCTCCTGTGTCGCATGCGATGCATACATTCTTGCCGGCCGACAGCGCCGAGCTGATAAAAGAGGTCGCCTGCGGCAAGACAGCCTTCAGGTATTCCATCTGTGCATTTTTGGAAGTCATGGAGTAGACGCGAGTGTTGGTTGAGACGGGCAATGGCCGGCGGGTTTGTGTGACGAGGACGTAAGCCATATCCTCCTGCCCTTCGTTCGCAGCGACTGAGTCGCCATCTAGAGGCAGGTCGTCAATCGCGCAGACCAAGATGCGCCCGGAGACCTTTTCTACGGGTGACGGTCTTGTGCGTGATGCGCCGGGACGCGCAGGCACGGCAGCGCATAACCTGTCTACGAGGGGCGCCAGCTCGTCTCTTGTTGCAGCGACAATTTCTCGATGGTGCTTCCAAAATATCGCGGGCGTTAAACCCTTGCCTGAGGTCAGCAAAGGGCATATCACATTGTGAATTACAGCGCTCACCTTTCCCCACAGTTCGTGATCGTCTCCAGATCCCTGGACGTAGGCGAAGCCGTCTCCCCGCCTCTCGACTCCATTCTCGACTTGACGAGATGCAGATACGCAGATGATGGGCAGCGCGTCGACTTGAAGGGCATTCAAAGAGGGAAAAGTCGAGGACGCCGGCGTGATCCACACCGGACGTAAGGGCAGAGGAAGATCGGGTAGAGAGAACGAAGATTGCTGAGAGAACATTAGAGAACGAGGAAATTCTTGGGTGAGCAAAATCAGGGCCTACGGCAAGATCGATCGCCCATCGATCTAGTTTCTCCTCAATTTGAGCGTGCTCTTGCCGGCTGACGACCAAAAGCGGCGTATACAGTGCTGTATCCCAAGAGTCTCGACGCTCGTACACTCCAGGACTTCTCTTCAGGACTGCTCGGTTGATGACGCTGCACCAGATCGGCACGGTCTTTGACAGGGCGTCTGGCATGCGCTTGCCCGCGCGAGTCGAGTCAACGAGGACAAGCCTGATTATACGGCTCGTTAGAGAGGGTATTGAGGTAGGAAAGGAGCACGGGTGCTTACCCTCCCTTCTCCACGATCAGGGGAAGCAGATGCAGATTGGCGCGGCGAAGATTGAAGCTCCAGTTATTCGTGTGTCCATCGGTGGACTTGAAATATGCAGGCGTGTCCATTGCCTAATGGATAGATGATTCACGAGAAGGAGTTACCGAACAAACGTCCCTCTACTCACGATAGATGGACTCGTGTACCATGCGCCGCATCGCAAGTTTGCTGGAAAATTTACTGAATTTGGGGCACTTATGATAACTAGTTGTGATTACTCACGTATGAGCGGAAGACTAGGGAGATGTTTGTGTACCTCATCCACGAACCGAGCATCGTGATCGATGGAATGGAGACGATTATACAAGTCAAGATTTTCTTTGCGGATATGCTCTAGGATGCCCCTGCCACCGTCTTGTGAAAAGAGCAGTTCGGGTACCGCAGCCATCCTGCGATGGATGTACGCGGAGATGGTAGATGATATGAAATTCGCCGTGCCCAGTGTGGTGTAGAGGATCTGCTGAAGAAGTGCGACAAATGGCGAAGTTAGCAGCTGAGTTCAGTGACGGTGAAGGAGAAAGAGCAAAAAGAATCCCTTCTGCCTGGTTCGAACAGGCGACATTCAGATCGCGATTTTTATCCAATTACAGTCTGACGCTCTTCCAACTGAGCTAAGAAGGGTTGTCAGTAAGTGGGGGGCACAAGTTTATATGGAAATCTCGTGGTCAATGCATGCAAAACATCTGTTAAATCTTACCAGAAGCACTCGATCTGAGAATCACCGCGCACAGGAAAGCATTGCGAACGCCCATAAATACTATATACGCCATATACGCAGCCTCAGAACCGCTTCGCGTCGCCATAAAGCCCGCCAAACGGCCCGCTCTTGCCCCCCAGCACACCCGGGCCAAAGCCAGAGCCGAAGCCCGTGTACCGCTGCTTGCGCTTGTACTGCTTGTACCCGTACCACGCGCCGACGCAGACGCCCGCAGCGAGGAAGGCCTTGAAGAAGAGGCCCGTCCAGGTGCCCTTCTTGTTGAGGTTCGGCAGGCGCGGCTTGCCAAGGCGGTCGCGCGAGCTGTTCGGGCTGGAGAGGACGGCGGAGTAGGAGGTGACGGAGATGATGTCGTGCGCGTCGGCGACGTCGCCGGTCATGGCGGTGAACCCGATGTAGGGCGCGGTCGGCAGCTTGACGTTCTGCACCTGGAAGCAGTCCGTCCACTCGTCCCCTGCAACTGTAGGTGAGCGGCTGGCGAGTCGGAAAGTTGAAGTCACGCACAGCCCTTGTACTGGATCTTCACGTCGAGCAGTTTCTCCTTCACGTACGTGATCTTGAGCTTGGTAGCGACCTTGGCGCGGCGGTAATTTGCTGAGCAGCCACCGATCGACTGGCTATCACCGTCGTTGGCGTAGTCGTAGGGTGTCTTTCCGTCGAGGATGACGCCCGAGACGCGTGGGAAGGCGTACGAGTGCCGGGAGTTGGCGTACGTGTCGAGCATGACACCCAGTCCTTCGAAGCGGTCCCCGTTGCCAAATATCGGACCCTCCACCGCGCGCTCCTTGGTGACCCAGACACCAATGCCGTCGCCATACAAATGTGACTTGGAGCCACCGATCTGCCGGGTTCATGTGAGTGGGGGATGGGTCGATGCGTATAACGCTTGTATACCTTAAACTCGACCTCAATGACGAAGTTCGAGGCGGTAAGGGGGAGTCGTGACCATAGCCAGCCCATCTCGGAAGGCTCCATGCGCGTTAACCGAACGTGCTTGTTGGTGTTCTGCGACGGAATGAGGGACCGATCAGAGATGTGGTGAAGCGCGGCGTACGATGTATGCATCTCCGCCAAAATCCCACCATCTGAGGGAAGTACGTGTCAGGCCGAGCGCTGAATGCCATCTAGCAGGATAGCGCACCGGTTTTGCAGGTCTTGGTCAATATAAGGAGCGTATAATGAGTGCGTGCGCAATTGCACTGTCTGCAAGCAAACAATCAGCATTCCCGCTCGCATTTACAGCAGACCAGCAACGCACCCTATCAATGGTGGTGTTCCCAATCTTTATCTCTGCTCTCGCAAGACCCAGCAGCAGCCCAAAGAAAGTCAAGCCCAAGACGGCGAGTTTGTTACAACATGCAGACATTGCTGCAAAAAAATGGCCGCGAGATCCAGCGAGTAGGTGAAGTTTAGAAGTCCGCGGTAAGTGGATATGAGGGTTCCGGAGGCGTTGAGCGGTGAAATTGGACGCGGCGGACGCAGAAAGCCAAGGTCGGAGCGTGACACGACATTCGGGGCCACGTGCGCATCTTCGGTACGGCCCGAGCCCAAGTCCATGACTTGCCTCTAACCCTTACTCAAGTTATCCATCTTCTATAGACTATCCCATTTCTAGGCTCGCGTGCACCAACTATGGCCCCCACGCGCACCGTCCTCGCCCTGCACGGTTACTGTCAGAGCGGTGCCATCTTCAGCAAGCGAGTCAGTCCAGTCTGACGAACTCTATTGTAAGCCAACTCACTGATGTAGGAAAGATAGGCGCGCTCCGGAAGCAGTGCAAGGACGTTGAGTTTGGTAAGTGCAACTACCTTGCATTTGTTGGGTATGCGTAAATGAACTCTTTTCGTGGTAGTCTTCGTAGACGCGCCCCTCATATTAGAGCCCGCCGACATTGCAGGGAGCTTCCCGCAGAATACGGCGACGAAGGTGGAAAGTACGGTGCGTGGGCGGGATCTCTACTATACACAATGTCTTCTAGCTATATGAGATTTTCATCACTTCTTCTCGCCAGTGCTTCTCTTCCTCGCCACTAACATTGCTCCTCTTCTCCTATGCTTATCATTCTTCGCAGGAAGCAGCTCTCGCATCCGTTGGCGCAGCGGAGGTGGCTACGGACGCCTCAATGGTACCGCGCGGGTGGTGGAAGAAGGATCCGACGTCTGACAAGGCGGTTGGGATAGAGAACTCCATCGCGGTGATCAAGGAGGTGCTGCAGAAAAGGCGGTTCGATGTGAGTAGTTTATCGCTTTTGTGGCGAAGGTTTGTGGAGTGACTAACATGCAATTGTTTAGGGCGTACTGGGCTTTAGGTAAATTGCGTCTGATCCTTGTTGAGAGTCACTCTCACAACCTCGGCGTTCAGCCAAGGGGCAGCATTCGCGAATCTCATATCTGCGCTGGTAAGTCGACTCGCATGCACTCGCTGTAATTCAAGCGCTTATACAAAACTTTAAGTTGGAAAGACCGGAGACGTATCCTCCCTTCCTCGTCGACGGGAAGCCACCGCACCCGCCATTGTATGTGTCGAACGACTCCTTTGCGCGCCACATTTGTGACTGACGAACGCAGAGAATTCTGCATCAACGTCGCCGGCTTCAAAGTCCGTGATCCTCTGTTCGCAGAAACCTACGGCGCCGGGTACTCGACGCCTACACTGCATGTCATCGGCCGCAACGACGTCGTAGTCATCCCGGAGCGCAGTCAGACGCTAGTGGACGTCGCGCTGAATGGCCGGCTCGAACTCCATGATGGCGGTACGTTACCTTACTTCGATTTTCCTTGCTTTTCTTCTTTCTTGCATAGAAGAAATCGATCGATGTTTCGCAGGTCACTTCGTACCCTCGAAAGGGCCGTGGCGCAAATTTCTGGAGAGCTACATGCGGCTGGGACCAGCTGCAGGATTACCGTCGCCGTCAGGGAGCGCGGACTCTGCGCCCGCGTCCGGCACGGCAACTCCTATATAGACGAGTCGGGCTCGGCGACGACAAGGATCCCATTCAATGTTCAGTGGCGGTGGCGGCCTTTTGTCAGGGATCCTTACGCATGTTTGGGCTTACCAAACGCGAGATTCGTTCGCTCAGAGGTTCGTTCGCTACGAGGTTCGCTATGAAGGGACCCGCCGGATGACCGGGGCATTAATTCGCGTGGCGGGGTGACAAGGGTGCCGTTGTTGCGGGGATTCCGGGGGCTTCGATGAACGAACCAGAAGTTGGCCAGAAGCAGAGCTAGGGTGAAGGCTGGCGTGATCAGGAAGATCAGCTCGCGCTTGCATTCAGTGTGTTGTTCGTCGTCGATCCGTCGGGTGCGTGCCGCCTGCCCACGCACACGCCGTCCGGGCTGTGCACTCGCGGGTTTCTTGTTGTTTTCGAGGTTTTGTGTTGTTTTTGTGAAGTTCTTGTCGTGAAGGGGGTCGTGAACCGAAATTGCGACCTTTCATAGCTGCAAAAGAAGCAGAAAGAATAGAGAGCAAACAGGATCAAATAGTGACCGGCGATGACCGTTGATGAACAAACAAGGAAAAATAGCGGGGGTTTTATGTTTGACGCCGACCATCTCTCCCTCACACCTTTCTGAACGCGTATATCCTCCAAGATGGCGAGCTGGGCACCGGAGCCGGGTGGTCTTCAACAAATCCTGACCACGATCCATGAATCGACGGACATGAACGTCCAGGTCCAGAAAAACATCACCTTCGTACGCCCGCCAGCTTCGGTGGCGGCAAGATGCTTACTTTCATTTCCAGCGCCTCAATGAATTCACGCGTTCTCCAGAGTATATAGCCTATCTGGCCTATATTCTCTCCGCCATGACCCAGGAGGAAGAGAGGATCCGCTCGATTGCGGGCTACCTGCTCAAGAACAATGCGCGCCTGATCCTCATGGCGTCGCCCGAAGTTATGGCCTACGTCAAGTCCGCGGTGCTCACCGCGTTCACGGATGACTCGATCATGGTCCGCAATGCGGCTGGACAGGACGTCGTCGCGTTCCTCGGCGTCCTGGAACCCCGCAACTGGCCGGAGTGTCTCGCCGCGCTTGTTAACCTCCTGGACTCCCCGGACCTCGACAAGCAGGAGGTGCGTGGCAAAGCTGATTTCAATGACCTCTACTAACACCCGTCACAGGCTGCCTTCAACGTGCTCGAGAAGGCCTGCGAAGACTTCCCTCGCAAGCTCGATGTTGACATCTCGGGCCAACGCCCCCTCGACTACATGATCCCCAAGTTCCTCTCCCTCGCCGACCATCCATCAGCCAAGATGCGCTCACACGCGGTCGCCTGCCTCTCCTACTTTGTGCCCACCAACTGCCAATCCCTTTATGTGCACGTCGATCTCTTCATTGCCACGCTGTTCAAGCGCGCGTCTGACGACGACCCCTCCGTCCGCCGCCACGTGTGCCAAGCGCTCGTCCTCCTCCTCGCCGCACGGCCCGAGAAGCTCATGCCGGAGATGGTCAACGTCGCCGAGTACATGCTCTACTCGACAAAGGACCAGAACGAGAACGTGGCGCTCGAGGCGTGCGAATTCTGGCTCACGTTCGCGGAAGACGCGGACCTCTCCGTCTACCTCCAGCCATTATTAGGCAAGGTCGCGCCGGTCCTACTCGATTGTATGGTCTATGGCGAGGACGACCTTCTATGGCTCGAAGGCGATACCGAGGACTCGCATGTGCCGGATAAAGAAACGGACATCAAGCCCCGGTTCTATGGCGGCAAGTCACACGGCTACGAACACGACGGCAGCGATGCGCCCGGCGTGAACGGCGAGCCCAAGCGCATCGGTGCTTACGGGGAGGAGACGCTGGATGACGAGGACGAGGATGACTACGACCTCGATGACGACGACTTCGCCGACGAGATGTCGACGGAGTGGAACCTCCGGAAGTGCGCCGCAGCAGCGCTCGACGTCCTCGCTGTGCGCTTCGGGCCGGAACTGCTGAATGTCCTGCTTGGCCCGCTGAAGGACAAGCTATGGAGCAACGACTGGCTGCAGCGGGAGAGCGGGATCCTCGCGTTAGGCGCCATGGCAGAAGGTGCGCGACAGACAAGCTTTTGACACGATCTGCAGAAGCTCATCACACTTCATACAGGCTGTATCGACGCGATCGAGCCGCATCTGCCAACGCTGATCCCGTACCTCATAGGCATGCTCAACGACCCCAAGGTCAGCTGACCGCGCTCTGTCTGGGTATGCCTGGCTGACGATCTACAGCCCCTCGTGCGGTCGATAACCTGCTGGACCCTTGGGCGGTATGCCAGCTGGGTCACGCAACCCATCTCGCCGGAGCACAAGTCCCAGTACTTTGTTCCGACAATGGAAGGGGTGAGTCCACTGTATCCCGCTTTTCCTTCATCCCGTACTTACGTCGCTCTAAGCTTCTGCGCATGGTGCTCGACAACAACAAGCGAGTGCAAGAGGCGGGTTGCAGCGCATTTGCTACACTCGAGGAGGACGCAGGCATCGAGCTCGTGCCGTATTTGGAACCCATACTACGCAACCTGGTGTTTGCGTTCGACAAGTACCAGCATAAGAACATGCTGATCTTGTACGACGCCATCGGCACCCTTGCGGACGCCGTCGGGCGCGCTCTGCAGAACCCCACATATGTGGAGATCTTGATGCCGCCATTAACTGGCCGCTGGGCGAAGTTACGGGATGATGATGAGGATCTCATCCCTTTGTTGGAGGTAAGTCCTGTGACGAGTTGATCACGGCCGATGTTGATATGTTCGTTAGTGTCTGGCGTCGGTGACCATCGCCATGGGCTCGGGCTTCCTCCCATACGCACCACCAGTCTTCGAGCGATGCAGCAGCATCATCCACCATTCCCTCCTTCAGTACCAGGCCTACCAGCAGAATCCCGACATGGAGGAGCCCGAGAAGGGCTTCCTCGTCGTTGCGCTCGACCTCTTATCCGGCCTCACTCAGGGCCTCGGCATGTCCCTCGAGCCGCTCATCAACGCCGGCAACCCGAACCTGCTCAGCCTGATCACCATCTGCCTCAAGCACCCGCAGGCGTCTGTGCGACAGTCCGCGTACGCGCTCGTCGGCGATATGGCGATGAGCTGCTTCGTGCTGCTCCGGCCGCACATGCCGAATATCATGTCGGAGCTCATCATGCAGCTCGATCCGGAGCCCAAGTTCGAGTTCATCAGCGCGTCGAACAATGCGGCGTGGTCGGTGGGCGAGGTTGCGCTGCGGTATGGGCGGGGTGAGTGCCTACTGACAATATTATATCGGTACATTATCTGACGTTCATGCAGAGGACCCCGAGTTTGCGCAATGGGTCGGACCGCTGATCCAGCGATTGGTGCCCATATTGCTGCACCCGAAGGCGCCGCGCAGCTTGCATGAGAACGCTGCAGTCTCAATAGGGCGCATCGGGTTGATGCACCCGAGCTTGGTTGCGCCGCATTTGGGCGAATTCGCTCAAGCTTGGTGCCAGGCCTTGTACGAGATCCGCGACAACGAGGAGAAGGACTCTGCGTTCCGTGGTCTCTGCACTCTCGTGCAGGCGAACCCTGCGGGCATCTCGAAGGTTTGTCGTCGCCCTCTGTCCCCCCTCCGCCTGTACTCACAATATTATCAGTGCCTCCTCTGGTTCTGCAACGCCATTGTGCGGTGGAATCAGCCATCGGCGGAGCTGAACAGCATGTTCCAGCATCTCCTCCAGAGCTTCAAGGCTCAGGATGAGGCCGCATGGGCTGCCCAGGTTGCCTCCTTCCCGCCCGTCATCCAGGAACGTCTGTCCGCGCGGTATGGTGTTTGAAGTAGTGTGTCCAACCCAATATATTTTGTCTGCTTAGCTATCTACCCGCCCGAGCCCCGCCCTACGCTGTGTTCTCCTTTTGTTTTCATCGTACGTACCTGTCTGTTTACCTACCTACCGTCTGTCTCCCGTCTCCCTCTACCTGGCGTTTGTCTGTCTGTATCCCCGCGGCTCGGTGTCTTGCAACCCTCATCCCGGAATCTCGTTGCATCGTTCCCTTCTTGGCGCGCTCATTCATCCTCTCGTCAACCCAACCAAGCCAATATCCTCGTCTGTAGTAGCTACCGTGTTTGTCCGTCTCGTCATGCGCTTTCGTCAAAGCAATTTTTACGTACCATTATTACTGTACCGTCATTCTTCTGCTTCCGTTACCTACCTACGTACTTACTTACCTACATACATACCTACCTACTAGCTACCTCCTTACCTACCTACATACGTTCCGTAACTTACCAGTAGATACAATTAGCATGGGCATCTGTTTTCATAGCGAAACAAACAAATCACGAATTTTGACGACCACTTTGGGTGACACGGGCATTGGGAAGAGATTAGATTGTCAGGCTCTGGTTTTGGAGGGGAAAGTACATTTGTTCTCTTCTCGTGTTACTGACTATCACTACAGCATCTAGATATCCCTCGCCTCGTCCACGTTCAGAATCAGGGTCGTGAAGAACCTGATGATCTCGAGGAAATCGTCTGCCTCGATATCTGTGGCAGCGGCGTCAGCGCCCTCTCCTGTAATATTTACCATCGCAGACCACTCACTCTCGTTGACGGTGTGCACGCCAGACGCCAGACCCCCTCCGGTGCCCGAGTTCCGGTGGTTGTAGCGGAAGATATGCGGCGTCAGGTCCCAGTAGAACCGCGTATCTGCAAGGCGGAATCAGTCAACAGCTCATACACAAGCCCACACCATCTTCCAATCCAAATCTCAGGATGAGGGCCACACTCACCCGTATTCCCCGACGGCACCCCCGGCGCGACCACGATATCCTCGCCCACCTGCGCCGCGTGCACCGCCTTGATCGTCCCGCCGAGCAGGTTCCACGGATTCGAGTCCGCGGAGAACGGCGTGACGGGCGCGGGGTCGAGGAAGAACTGGTCCTTGGAGCCGATGACCAGTTTCCCGAAGGACGGGTACGCAGAGTCGGAAAGGGTCTCGCCGAAGGCCTCCAGGGTGAGGTTGAACTTCTCGGCGATGGGGCGGGCGCGGGCGATGTCGCCGGCCTGGATGGCAGAGGAGTTGCTGCTGGTCGAGATACGGTGGTTGATGACGACGAAGGCCTGTTCGGGGAGGGCGTTCGACTTGACGCCGCCGCCGACGCTGCGAGCATGTCAGCAAGCCGCCTCATCATCGAATGGGCGGCGCATGATCAAGCGCCCATAATCATAAAGCACCCATAATCATCAAGCGCCCAATTATCGTCGAATGCCCACAGACCCCAAAAACAGCTCACACTCACATATCAACCGCCGTCGTCGTCCCCAGCGACGCCTTGTGGAAATTGTTCGTCTTGAAGACATAATCCTCCAGCTCCTTCAGCGCCTTCTCGTCCGTCGCCGACCTCTTGATCAGGTCCTTGAGCGACGCGTCGAGCTCCTTGCCGTGCTCGGCGTAGCACTGGTAGTCGGCGTAGATGGGGTGGTCGCGGACCTTCAGGGATCGTTAGTACCGTGATTACACGAGTCGTCAGTCAGACCTCTCGGCACAAGGAGACAACGAGATTATTCGGCAGAAGGAGACAACGAGGTTGCTGAGCAGGAGGCAGGGACGGGCGCAGATAGAGAGCAAAGTACACACCAAAGTGGAACCATACGGCTGATCCTCAAAAGCCACGATGAGCTGGGCCAAAATCCCGATCGACGTATGCGGCGGCGGCACCGAACTGTGCCCGCCCGGCGAGTCGACCTCGAAGCGGATGGTGATGCTGCCTGGTCGATCGTTGAGCACAGAGATCATGCTTGTGCGCTTGAGATCGGCGACCCGCGCAAGAACACCTTACCTTTCTCCGCAATCCCCGGCGTAGCAAAGACCGTGCCGAACTGTTCGACGTAGCCACCTGGGGCTTTCTCTTCAGCATGAAGTGTAGATGTAGTTGAGTAGAGCAGGGTACTCACCACCCTCGTCAATGAGCAGCGCAAAGTAGTCCTCGCCGTACTTGTCGAGGAGGTACTTCCCGATTTGCTTCGCGCCCTGGGAGCCTTGTCACTTATTGGAAAGTAGAGGGGCAGGAAATTGCGCACCCTGCGTCCGCCGCACTCTTCGTCGAAGCCGAAGGCTAGGAAAACCGAGCGGGTTGGCTTGAAGCCTTTCTCAATTAGCAGCTCGACGGCAGCCCTGGACGTATGTTCAGACGGACGAGCACGTCGTAAGCGTCATGAAAACATACAAGGTCCCGATGAGCCCGCTCTTATCGTCACTAGCGCCTCTGCCCCAAATCCTCTCGCCTGCGGGGTCTTGGTAAGCATCCAGCTACCTCGATAGCATCTCGCGTACCATCAAAGTGCCCGGAAAAGGGTGGATGCGTCCATTCATCTACACTTTGTGGGTTCACTGGGACGACATCTGGGGCGGTCGATGATCAGATTGGCTGTATAGTGAGCGATGTAGCGCGGAATGGCTTACCCTGATGCGCGAGCAGGATGAAAGGCTTAAGCGAGTCGTCCGTGCCGGGCCACTCGTACAGAAGTCCATAGGTGTTGATCTTTGTAAGTTTGAGGGAGGAGTGTCTGATGGGAGGTTAGACCACGCATACGCGCACCCAAAACGACACATACACAAGAGGGAATGCCTTCAGAAGGTACTCGTGGAACGGCCCGAACTTTTCCCAGCGCGGGTCCTGCCCAACCTCGTCCAGGTCGTCGTACGTCTCGGTACTGGTTAGGGATGATTAGTACATGCGCAAGATTGCGCAAAGCCGGTATACGCACGACACGCGAATCGCCCCTCCAAGCCAGTCGATCGCTCTCTCCTTCAGCTTCGGCGTGCCGAAGGTGCCATCGAGCTCGTCATACAGCGCCGCGTTCTTCGTGGGGTACAGCGCATCTGGCTGCGCGCAGTACGCCTTCGCCGACGCCTCGATCGCCAGCGTCCTCTCCGCCTGGCTCGAGTAGAGCGCGCTCCGCCCAAAGAGAGCCGCGGCGAGTACGAACGCCAGCAAGCGTAGATACGCCTTCCCAGTCCATCCACTCTGTTGCTTTGCCTCCGACACCGCGGTCGGCAGCAGCGGCTGTGTGTCCTTGCTGCTGCGTATATTGTCCTTGCTGCCAGCGACGTGCACCTCCCGCATTTCGTTCGTTCCCATCGCCGTCTGATTCGTGGGAGTGAGGGACAAGAAGCAGGGACCTCAGCCTGCCCGTGCACGGCGCCGATAAGATATAGGGAGGCCGTCGGTATTTGTGCGCGTCGCGCCGTCGCCATCATGGTTCGGATGAAGTGCTCAGTGGCGCGATACGATATCACAGTGTGATTTGGCCGGTCAGACAATCAGGTGATCGCGTTCTTATGGACCTACAGCGTCACCCAGAGCATTTGTGTCGCCCGAGATGGTATACAGGTAGCTGAGATGCATCCTAGTGTATGCAGGCAGATGAGTACACCATAGAGTCCCTTTACAAGTCGTTCTCGTCCGCATTCAGGATGAGCGTCATGAAGAAGCGCAGCTGCTCCATCCAATAGTCAATGACGATCGCTGTAGCGCAGGTCAGTGCCATTTTCCACCTCCAAACACCTCACACATACCTTCATTCACCGTATGCACGCCACGATCCAGCCCACCGCCCGTGCTTACATCCTTCCCACCATTCTGGTGCGCGTAGCGGAAGATATGTGGCGTGAGATCCCAGTAGAAGCGCGTATCTGAAGAACAACGCCTTCAGCATTTGACGCCATATACGAGGCGTACCTGGCCGCCCTAAAGGAGCACAAGCGCCCCGAAGGAACACAAGCGCCCCGAAGGAACACAAGGACGGCCTCGCCGAATCAATCAACGGACAGCCCAACTCACCAGTATTGCCCGTCCCCATCCCCGGCGCCACGATGATGTTATCCGCGCCCTCGATCCCCCTTTGCGCGTTGAACGTCGTCTTGATCGTGCCCGACAGCACGCGCCACGGGGCCGAGTCGAGCGTCGTCGGCGTCACCGGCGCGGGCTCGAGCGGCGTGGTGAAGGCGGCGCTCAGCGTGAGGGTGCCGGAGGAGGGGGCGTCTGCGCTAGACAGGGCGTCTGCGCTGGACACCTGTTTATCGAACGCGGTGTAGGTGAGGTTGAACTCCTCAGCGAGCGCGGCGAGGCGCTTCGTGTCGAAGTCCATGGTTTGAGAGGTTGAGCTGGCAGGGAATCAGGCTCGGTCTTGGACGATACGTTGGAGGTAGATATACACACCTCTGAGTCGAGATACGGTGATTCACGATCCCGTAAGCTTCCTCCGGCAGCGCGTTCGACTTGACACCGCCGTTGATCCTGTCGAGTGCTAGTTAGTTTAGATTCCTTTCTAAAGGGCAGAAAGCGCACATGGTGATCGCCTGCGTCGTCTGGATCATGCTCTTGTAGAACTTGTTCTGGAACAGGATCTTCTCGAGCCCCTTAAGTGCCGCGTTCGACTTTTGCGACGCCTTGATCAGCGCACGCAGCGGCGCTGACACCTGCGCGCCGTGCTGGCCATAGCACTGCCAGGTTTTGTACAGGGTGTCGTCGCGGGTCTGCAGTACCGGTTAGGAGACAACGCTATAACCCTTAGGGTCTAAGAGAGTTCCCACTCACCAACTCCACCCCAAACGGCTCCTCCTCATACCTCCGCAACAGACTCGCCAACACCCCGATACTCGTATGCGCCGGTGGCACACTCGAGTGCCCGCCCGGCGTCCGCACCTCCACCTTCGTGTCCATGTACCCCTTCTCCGCCACGCTCGGCGTCGCGAACGTCGTGCCGTACTCCTCCACGTACCCGCCGCCCTCGTCTACTAGTAGTGCGAAGGAGTTGGGCCCCCACACGGAGTAGAGGTGGTCGAAGATTTTGCCGGCGCCCTCGAGGCCGGAGGATTCCTCGTCGAAGCCGAACGCGAGGACGACGGTGCGCGTGGGGGTGAAGCTGTGCTCGAGGAGGAGCTCGACGATGGACATGAGGCCGATGAGGCCGCTCTTGTCGTCGTTGGAGCCGCGGCCCCAAAGTTTGTAGCCTGTGAAGCTTGATGAGGTTTATCGTATGTAGCAAGGAGGAAGTCAGCTTACCATCATAGTAGCCCGAGAACGGAGGGTGCGTCCACTCGTCTACCGTGCGGCGTTCAACGGGTACAACGTCTGCACTGCGTCAGAATTGGGGGAGACCAGAGGTATGCAGACACACACCTTGATGCGCGGCAAGCAATATCGGTTTCAGTGACGAATCGCTGCCCGTCCACTCGAAGACAAGGCCGTACGTGTTGACCTTCGTCAATTTCAGCTTCGAGTGACTGCGAAGCACAGCCAATTGAGCATTCATAACACAGAAGGGAAGGACTGTGCGCACACTAGAGGATACGCTTCGGCAAGGTAGTCGTGGAAGGGCTGGAATACATCCCATCGCGGGTCGACACCGATCTCGTCCTGCCCGTCGTACACCTCCGTCCTAGGCACATCGTCGAGTCAGCTCTCACAGGCGCCAGAGCACGCAAGGGGGGAGGGGGGCGATACTCACGGGACCCGAACCGCGCCACCCAGCCACTCGATCGCGCGAGCGCGCGTCTCATTCTTCCCAAGCACCTCCCCAAGTTTGGTGTACACCTCCGCGTTCTTGATCGGCGCGAGCGTCCCCGCTTGCGGGCACTGCGCCGGCGCGTCCTGCCATAGATCGACGAAGGGAGTGACAACTGCGGAGCCCTGCGTGAAGGCGAGGAGCGCGAAGGCGCTAGTGGCGAGCAGGATGCGGCCGAGGGTGATCTTGGGGCTCTTGCGCGCAGCGGGTGGCTGCAAAGCGAGGGGAAGCTCGGTCTTCTCCTGCATCGTGCGTGACAGTCGGAAAGGAGGAAGAGCAATGGGCAGGCTGAGCGGCTTTAGCCCTGCTCGACGCCGCGAGTCATCTTATCGACATTGCCGGCGGCGAGATCAACGCATGACCCACAAGAAGATAAGGTTCGTTATTCCGAGGATGTCGAAGTGCTGTGGTGACTGCTCCCACTTCGGCAGTCTGCAGCAGGAGAGCGTCTGAGGACTGCGTCTGCCTGAGGGAATGATGTACGTCCGCGACAATCGTCAAGGGAACAAATATTTGTTCCCTTCGATTGCTGCGTCACAGTCATGTGACCGCGCCTGTACGCGTCTTGTTCCTGACAGTCACACAGTACAGTAACTGGCGTGCGGCGGGACCTACTCTCGCTCTGTGCCCGGCTATAACAAGCGGCTCGCTTGGATTGTTTTCGGAGACACCACTTTTCGGTCATCCTCGAACGGACGAACTTCACTTGCCCCTAATCTCAGGTTCTCTCTCGCTCACTCGGTCTTGAGCTGTGAATTATGGTCCACCTGCGCTTGAACGAACGCGAAACGAATCCGAACCCTCACATCAACTTCATCTCTGCTCTTCATGCTCACAGCGAAGAGGACCGGGAGAGCGCTAGACAGCTGCTACTCGCCCTTGCCGCTCAAGTGCGCCCCGTCATGAAAGATCATGGCTTCGCTGTGAACAGTCTGGAAGAGGTATGGTTGACGATTCTCAGGTCAAGAGAATCTTGAATAATTACGAACTTCAGTACGAGCACAACAAGGTCTTTCTAGGCAGAAATTGGAACGCTGGAGAGACGATAGGTATGCCCAACTTCGCGCACGCAGAGGCCTTGCAGCTGACGCAATCACTGAGAAGAGCTCGTTCTACGAAGACCGGACGGCTCGTTCATGCCAACTCACTTCATCATGAGTACCCTTTGCCATGAAGTAAGTTTTTACCTTCACTTTTTTGACCTCCCTTTGACCCTTTCCAGCTAGCACATATCAAGGCAAGCCTACCTTGGCTCGACGTGTTCGCTCTGTCTAACGTTCAATTAGCACATGAACCACGGGCCCGACTTCCAAAAGCTTTGGAAGCAGCTTCGCATCGAGGTGCGTAGCTTGCAAGACCGGGGCTATTACGGGGATGGTGCGACCTACCTGACGCTGCCACCTTCCGCTCACTCATCAACCGCATGCAGGGTACTGGTCCTCCGGCACCCGCCTCGGCGACTCGGCCCAAATAGAGGGTCAGGGCGTCGCATCGAGCGAGTACATGCCTGAGTATATGGTACGCCCTCCCTCCTTTCTCTACCCCTTCTGAACTTTCATCAACTTCCTTCGTCTCCGTTTATCCTGCTGACCTCCACTCCCCCAGTGCGGCGGCGCCCAATCCCGGACACGGCCAACCGCCATACGGCGTCGCCGCGGTGGGCCCCGCCGCCCTCGAGAAACCGTCGCCTCCCTCCACACCGGCCGGCAGACGGCGAAGAGGCGCAAGGCGGGCGCGCGGGTGACATCGAAGTATGCCTTCGAAGGTGAAGGCGCGACGCTGGGTGAAGCGGGCGGGAAGGGCGCGGGGTTCAGAAAGCAGGCTGCCAGGTGGGTTATAGTTCAGGATAACACACCAAAGTGGGTTATGAGGGGCTGACGAGCACTATAGCAAATCAGCCCGCGAGGAGCGCCTGGCAGCGATCGAGAAGAGACTGCGGGGATTGCAGGGGTCGGCTGGTCAGTCGCACAGCTCTGATGGCGCTAGCACGATATGCTCAACAACCGATATCGCAGCCTCCTCAGCTTCCACCACCCCTCCGGAACCATCCCCAGACGTCCTTGAAATCGACTCCGACTCCGACGAAGAGGACCGCATCGAGGAGACTGATTACGAGCGCCGGCAACGACTCAAAGAGGCTGAAGATGGGGGTGATGGAGTAGAAGGAATCATCTCGTGGGACGACTACGCAGACGACTTCATCTTTGGGAAGCCCGGCGGCTCGGCGACCGATCCCACCGGCCCTTCTCCGCCGGCATCCTCGTCGACGCGGACCCCCACTTCCAAGTCGACGCGGACCCCTACTTCCAAGGCCTCGGGATCCGCTACGAAGGGCAAAGCCCCCGCCTCCATCGGCCTCGGGAAGCTCGTCCAGAGCGAGATTGACCTGCGGGAGAAGGAAGCCGTCGGCTTAGCACCCGTCAAGAACGAGGCGACGCGCAAGCTGGGTGGCAGGCCGCAAGCGAGGAAGGGCGAGCGCGCTGAATCAAGTACGGCCTCCGAGTGCGCTGTATCCAGTGCGGCCACCGAGCGCGTTGTGATGAGTACGGTCTCCGAGCGCGCTGCATCAAGTATAGCCTCGAGATCCCCGCCGGTCGCGTCTTCAGCTTCTACCCCTCCCGCTGAAGCGGATATAGAATGGTCTTGTTTGGCTTGTACTTTGTGAGTGGCTCCTGTATCTGCAATGCTATAGTCGGTTAATCGTACATCATGCATCATGGTACACAGCATTAATGCCCCTGGCCATCTCGCGTGCAGTATTTGCGCAACACCGAGAGGAGGAAGTCTTGCAGCATAGCTGTTTCCGACGTCAGTCATCTGTGCAAAGCGAATCTATGATGCTTTCCCCAGTTGCTAATCTACAATCCATATGGTTGAACCCTTGTAATACAAACACCCTGTACAGTATATGCAGTGGTGTCCGTCGATGTCCAGATGCAGATCCTGATTCTGTGCTATGGGTTGCGCCTTTGGCCTTTTTACGCGGCAACGTCGGGCGCGTTCTTGATGAGCTCCATATGAGCCTCGCTACGGGGCACGAGCATGCACTCGAATGGTGCCGGATGACTGTGAACATGGTCAGCAGCTCGTCTTCACACGACCGCAATCGCCAGCCCTCACCGAATCATGAACCCGCAATAATCGCCCTTGATCGGCACCTCCTTCCCATCGCGCTTCAGCGGCACGACCGTGAAGCACGCCAGCACCGACGCCGCCGCGATCCACATCACCGCCTCGCCCAGATACCTCCCCACGCAGATGCGGCGCCCAAACCCGAACGTGAACGGCTCCTGCTTGAGCAGCTCGGGCTCGAGGTAGCGCTCCGGCTTGAACGCCTCGGGCTCGGGGAACATCTCCGGGTTGTAGCCCATGCACCACGTGTTGGCGACGAGGGAGGTGCCCTTGGGGATGAACTGGCCCTCGTAGATGATGTCCTGCGTGGTGTCGTGCGGCGTGACGAGCGGGATGGCGGGGTGCATGCGCATGACTTCCTTCAGGATCGCGTCGATGAAGGCTGGGCGAGGGGTCAGGGTCAGTGGGAGGCGGAGGGTGCCGAGGGAGGTCTACGGACGGAGGTGCGGGCGGTCATCGTGGGTTGGGAGGCGCTCGCCGATGACGGCGTCGATCTCGGCCTGCGCGCGAGCCTGGACCTCGGGATGCCGCACCATCTCGAGCAAGAAGGAACGCAGGGTGGAGTTGGTCGTGTCGGCCGCGGCTGAGGATGCTCGCTCAGTACTGCGTCTACGCGGGCAGTCAAATGTACGAACCAGAGAAGGCCATCGCGGTGACGCCCTCCGCGTACTTCTCTTCCTCCTCATTCGTTGCAGACTCGATGAGCTCCTTCGCCCACGATGGCGGTGCCGTACCCTCTGCCTGCACAGCGTCAATGGAGTGTAACAGCTTGTTATTGGGCAACGCACTATGCGCTCTTTCACTACGTTGAAGGGCAATTCGCGCATCTCCTTCACCAGCTGCCTAGACTTGGCTGCTGTGCGGTGGAACGTCGCGCCCGGGAACCATTCCGGAAGGTAGCGCACTGCGAGGATAAGCATTAGCTCCCGAATCACCACGTACAGAGTTTCAGGCCGTACATGGAGGAATGAGGTCCAGAAGCTGGGAACCAGGCAAAATGGCGTCGTCGAGAATGCGGATGGCACTGATCGTGGCGTCCATGATCTTGTCGTGGTCCGCCATGATCTCGATCCCGTAGGTCAAGTAAATCGCCGCCGATGCGACATAGCTGGAGAACGGCGTTCAGGATATGTCTTCGTTCAGGCTGCTTACGCCTTCAGTCCGAAGAGTACGCACAACTCAAAGTGCTTGATGACCTCGGTCGGCTCGGCCTGGAGGTTGCGCAGGAGCTCGCGTGACTTGCGCAGGATGACGGGGTGGAGTTTGGGTATGGCGGGGAGGTTGAACTGCTGGTGGAAGATGCGGCGGCTGCGGCGCCAGTCATCGCCGTACGGCTTCAGGCCGACGTTCACGTCCCAGGCCATCCTGATGGGTTGTTAACGCTCTCTAACCCTGTTTCGCAGTCTAGATGCTTACAGCTTGATCATTGTATTCCCAGGCCGATCGGAGGTGATGCGCGACATCTTCTCCAGCAGGTCGTTTGCCGTCCGCACCGAGTTCACGATCACGATGTGCTTGCCGAGCGCGGTCAAGTGGATGAGCTCCCCGTAGGTCTTGGACCACTCCGTGTACGTCTTGAAGGGCTCCTCGTGTGGCAGTTGGTTCATGTTTCCGATGATGGGTGCGCCCTTCGGCCCCGGCGGGTACGGCAGTTGGTCCTTCTTGGTAAGGACAGAGTAGATGGCGACGCCCGTAGCGAGCGTGCCCACGAGCCCAAGAGACCATGCAGACGGAGCCATCTTCGAGCACGAAGTGAAGAAGGGGGAGGCGAGAGACTAGCAGGAAACCCCCCGCGGATCATGGATGGGGTACTTATAGGGCGCGCTCGGAGTGTATGTATGGCGATGATGCTCGATGATGGCGAGGTGCGCGAGTCGTAGCGTTTCCAATGATAACAACGGTGTGCATGCGGGTCAGGCTGATACGCTCTGCAAGGCCCTGATCTGAGGACCGTCTTTGAGAGCCAGGCCGTCGTGAGCGGCACAAAAGAGCTGAGGGAGGTGAGTTTCATCGGGTGGGCCTTCAATTCAAGAGGTTTCTCCTCGTTCGAAGCTGTTTGTACTCGTCAGATTCAACATAAAGCGCGCCTTTTCTGAACTCGGAGCGCTCACGGAACAGTGCTGGGTCCGTGAACCGTCCAGTGCCGGATGTCGCAAGCGGTGGGTGTTTACAAATGACGCGGGCCAATGCCGATGCCTGCATTGAAGTTTGAGGCAAGAATATGGCTGAGAGCGTCGCCTGGGATTGCTCGAAGCCGTAACTCAGTCGGCGGATGCACAGGACTCGACTGAAGATCGTCGGTAGGAAGCTCGTGCTTGGGCTGAGAAGAGAAGAGAAGGAGTAGGAACAAAAAATCAATGATATAAGCTCGTGGGAAGCGGAGTCCAACTTCGCAATGATCCAACATGGTCAGCAATGTCGCAAGGTGATCAGCAGGCACCTTGTCCACAATCCTTCATCTTCACTCACAGGCAGCCCTACCAAACAAGCCGATAAGGGTGCATGCCCCGAGTGAAGTGAGAATGAAGGGCAAGTCGGATATACTCCACGCAGTTCTTGTAGGGATTTATCCGACTACGCGGTCCTCGTGGCGATCGAAAGCTGGGTCAAGACCGTGCAGCAGACAACTCAGGATGGTAGGCGCTCCGTGGTTCCGTTCCATCACACATATGTGCAAGATGGAAAATCGCAGGGTCCACGCCGATGAAAGTAAGTGACCTAGAAGAAATGAGTATCTTTAGAATGCCGGATTACCTGAAACGGTCTTGAATACCTTCCATTTTGGGACTGAGTGGTGTCACGTGTACTCAATGCGCCCAAAGGGCGGTTCATGCTGCCCGTGAACGTTGCTTCCTCCCTTCGCGCACGCAAATAAACCTTCCTATCCCTCTCATCACTCGAACTTGGACGGAGAAGGGACGATGCAGCTATCGAAGTCCAACATCAACAGCTTTCCAGGCACGCCCACGTGCACAGCCACATGTATGAATGCGCCTCGCCGCCAGCATCCAGCCTTGGCGCGGCCGCATTCCTCTTCTCCCACCCATCGCACGGCAGTCTCCGTCACTGAGCTGGCTGTCTGAGTCTCGCATATCGCGCATCGCCGACCCGCCCTACAGCCACCGGACCATTCAATCGAGACACAGCGTGCTCGGCAGCTACAGGACCGGCTCACGATCTTCTCAGGCGCTTATTGTCCACAGCATTGGCCAGGCGGCGTGCGACCGTATATAATCAAGCACGCCTTCCGGGTCTGAACACCACCTTGGCTCCTTCTGTCATCCACCTACTCCACAAACTATACCCTCCACACCCATCAATCCTCCCGCCATGTCCTTCGCTCGCCGCCCGTCGCACAAGCGTAGCATCTCCCTCGACATCGAGCTGCAGGAGATCGAGGACCCGGTGCAGCCCTCAAAGCACATCGATGAGTCCTTCCGGCGCGTACAGATCCACGGTGCGTGCGCCTGCCCCTGCGCTGGTGTCTCAGACTCACCCCGCTCCCTGCAGTCACCGGCGCCACAGGCCTCCCCTCTCCATCCCGGAGCGCCTCAAAGACCCCCGCAGCCTACGTGCGCGTGAAGTCAGCCGAGTTCGACAACACGCCTGTAACGGTGAACTCAAGCGTCGCGTCACGAAGCACGGATCCGACTTGGGGGGAGAACCTCACTGCGTACGCGACGATATCCTGTATCCCGATCGAAACGGTATACTCAGCTGCTCTACAGCTTTCTGACGCGCACGGACAAACAGATCAGCCTGGCGGTGTACCATCGCGCGGCGTGGCCGGGGAAGCATGTCCAGCTGTGCTACTCGGAGCCGTTCACGATCGACGAGCTGCTCAACATGCCCGGGGCTGACTCCCGCGACACTCGTGCGTACTCCGGATTGCACGTTCTTCGTATCAGCTAACATCACTCTAGCCCTGGCGCTTGACATGAACCTCTCCATCCCGCAACCACTCGGCAGCCCCATGCCCAAACTCTTCATCAACGCACGCGAAATTGCCTCCCAGGAGAGCGCCCTCGTCGCCATAAACCGCTCCAAGGCCCGCCGTCTCGCCGCCATGGCCGCAGGCGGCAAAGACCGCACCACCCGCCTCATCGAATCGGAGAACCTACGACGCGGACGTAGTGTCTCAGTCTCCTTCGCCGACGTCGTCAACAAGGCGAACGAAACGACAAGCGAAGAGACTGTCGCCTCCGTCGTTACCCTTCCACAATGACCTCTCCCGCCTTCATGACACTCTATGTACGACCGTTCTGGTATAGGAAACCATCGTCCCGGTAGATACCCATCCATGCATGCGCTCCGTCCTGTAGCCATACTCGACCGACCGACTGACCTTGCTTTCCTTGTTGGATTGTTCATGCTACGATGCTTGCAACTGCTTTGCTATCGAGGTTTAGTCGAGCTCACGCTCATCTTATCGCTTCACTTGACTTCACTAATAGACGCTTCTTTCATCTCCGGGAGCCATGCCGCGGTTCATCGTCCATTAAATAATTAAGACAACACGCTTTCGCGCGTCTACATGCGTACGAGGTACGTATCCGTGTTTGCTCATGCAGGTAGCTCGAACTTCTGCCCGTGCAAGACCCTAGACGCGCATTAGACCAGCTCGTGCAGAGAACGCAGGTCACTCACTTGGTGACATAAACGTAGAAGAAGTCAAGGTACAAGCCCGTCTGCACCAGTCCCGCAACAATGGCGATCGGGTCCACCTGGCCCTCCGAGAAGTACCTGTATATCCAGTTCGGGATATACAACGCGCGGTACGCGCCCAGGGCAGCGAGGTAGTGCGTCGTGATCGTCTCCGCCTCGCCTGTGCGCTGCAGGATGAAGAGCTGGGGGAGGATGGCGACCGCCTCGAGGAAGATGGAGAAGGACCAGAGGATCTCGGACGGGGTGAACGCGTAGTTGAAGATGAGCGCGAGCACGGCGCACGGGCCGACGAGGTATTCGACCCGGAAGGTGTCGAGCGACGGGTCCTGCGTTGGGCTGGGGGTGATGTCAGCGGCGCGTTGGTGACGGCGGGATGCAAAGCGATCGACGCCTCCCGGAAAATGCGCTGTGGAGTCGGCGAGGCCGGTACGAGCGCCCTCAACATGGCCTGTACGCGAGGGGCGCTCAGGTCATTGTTGTCTGGCGAAGCCTTGTGCTCGTACAGCGCACAAGCTATGCACCGTGAACTCTCCCGACGCAGGCACAACAAGCAGTATGTGCTTTCCTTAGCGCTTGCTAGCGAGCAGCGCGCTTGCAAGTTCTCGCCGCGACTCGACGTGGCACGCCTGGCATCATCTCTCGCGTGGGGAGCGGGGGAGCAGGGGTCGTCTCTCGTTCGCAACAAGCTGGGTTAAAGAGGGGAGAGGAACGCACCGGAAGCGGAATTTCATGAGGTAGAGGATGTAGCAGCTGCTGGCAATGAAGAAGATCTTCATGACGGTGTTGTAGAAGGAGATGTAGCGGGTGAACAGGTCGAGGTAGCGCGTCACGAAGACGGTTACATAGAGCGCCTGGGTCTTGAACGAGATTCCTGGTGTGGGGGTTGAGGTGAGGGGAAATCCAGTAATGTTTAGAGTTCTTGACGCACCTCTACATGACCGCGTCGTGTGGATTTTCTGGATGAGGATGAGGATGGAGGCCAAGTGTGAGAGATCGCCTGCGGGGACGCTGTGGTTGAGTACCCAGTCCGTGCCTTCGATACATTCCGCGCACCAAGAAGTCTGAACAGATTCATGGCGGGCGGGCGTTGCACAGATGAAGGGTCGTGGCGAGGTCGCGGTTTAAACCAAGTCGCTCGCTGCGCGCCGCCAGCTTGACGTGGAGGCCACGTGATTTTAGATTGCCTGCGGCATCTCCCGAGCTTGACACTCCTTGTTTTCTACCGCCATCATGGTCTGCGATGCGACACGTCGAGCAGAGGTCATTCACCCAGGCAAGTTCAGACTTCATTTCTCCTCTCGTGATGCCCTAGTAAAAGGTTCGACTCCCTCGCAATGCCTGCCGCTGCGTAGCGGAACCGCTCTCGTACCCCGCGCCCTTGGATTCGAGCCCATAATTGTCAATTCCCCAGCATGCCGTCTAGAGACCTACGCGGCCTGCTGTAAGGCTCGACAGAAATTTTCGCCTATTGCGACGCCACATAGGCTGCTACGGCCCCGAGAACCGCCGGTCTAGCGAGCAAAGGCGGCGTCGCACACGCGAGGATCACCCTCGCGAACATTCGTCCCAGCTGAGCCCGTGCGGGATATCGCGTCCTTGCGATACCTTTCACCCCGCTCGGGTGGTCTCCGGATGTGGTTATCCTGTATACAGACGAGACAATACACGCACCCGCCATAAGCGCGCAGGCTAGAGCCTATGCCTGTGACGTGTGGTTGCGGGTGCACAAGAGTGCTCGAATTAGTTGAGAGGGTGCGGGCGTGTGTGGTGCAGGGGCTTCTACGTTTGGTGGTTATGCAGCGGGGGAGGCATGAGATCACTCTTCTTCCTGATTTTCTTCTGCTGTGTCGTGGCCACCGTTCTCTTGTTCATTGTGCTGATCCCTTTTCTCTTTAGGTGTTGCCAGCGATGCAAGTAGCTACAACAATATGCCACTTGGATCACCGATTTTCTATAGCGTAGCTTCTATTCGGGCCCTGTGCCTTGTACAACACCTTCTTTGCATCAACCACGAAAGTTCCACGCCTACTTCCCATGGAGACTCCTTCGAGCTACCTTCAGACTACAGGCCGAAGACATCCGACTTGGGACTGTATGCTGAATTTGCAGCTCTGACGAAAGCCTGCCAGAGCGGTGTTCAACATAGGACACACATGATAACCACGTGAGAAGTCGTCCCCGGTCGCCAGAGCAACTGCGCCACCGCCCTGCGATAGGCCGTCGCTCATCTGATCGGAGTGCCAAGCTGCGAACGCGACAACGCGCGGGTGCCGCAGAGCATACTCAGAGAGGCAATATGTAAGTATCGTCCCCGACGGTGACGCCAGTTCACCTCCCTTCCCCTCCTCCTCCATCGTCGGGTCGCCTCGTTCTTTGTTTGCCTGACCCTCCCCCGCGCACGCTCCCCACAGCGTGCAATCACCACGGCGCGCCTTCAGCGCGATCTATCGCGTGTTCCTCGGACACCGCGTACCTTCCTCACGCTCGAGCGGACCAGGCTGCGGCGGCATTACCCCGGTGGCCCGCGCACTCCTGCTGCGCATCGTGGCCCGTCGCGAACCTCCGCCCAGCAACCACGGAAGCCGACCCAAATACTGCTGGGCAGTAGGCTATCGAGTGCCTAGTTGCATGCTCTAGGGACCCCTTTACTTCTATCCGTCTTGACCTCACCTCTCGCGCTCTCCCTCCGTTCTAATCCGTGCAAGCACCTCGACCCGCGCTGGGACCGACTCGCTGACCCGCGCCTCTCGCGCCCCTCAAGACTGGCTTCGACACTCCCGCCCCCGCCACGCTCTCTTTAATCCCCTCTCCCTTCATTCATGTATGGCGGCGGGAGCTCCCTTGACCCTGCTTCTCCTCACAATCATCCTCTGTCTCTCCGCGGTCAACGCGCTCTACATTCCTGTTGATGGTTGTCGCCCGCCCCTCGCCCTCGCCCCGCGCAGCGTGCGCGCCAACGTCCTCCTGGCGCACGCCCCTCTTCTCCCAGCGCCCTTCCTCCCCCGCGACTCCCTCGTGCCTCATGCACCGTATCTCGCCCGCGATGCCAAGGTCGTCAACACAACGGCTGGCCTGCAGGTCGTCGACGGCGAGGGGAATACGGTCGCGCAGGGATCCGCGAGCGATGGAGGCGGCTCAGGTCGTGACGTCTCTGCGATCATCTGGATGGGCGGGACGCTCGCTGTCGGTGTACCCCTGCTGCTCGCGGGCATTCGGGGCTGGCGATTGACCACAGGCGCCGGCATCGGCGTCTCAGCGGCTGTTCTGTGTACGTCCCTTCTCACTATTCTGTGTGGCTATAATGCTAACGTTTTGTCCTGCTCGTGCTTTGCTCATCCTTTCCACACTCTCAATCGCACGACCACTTAGCCTGGGCTGCCTTCATCAATACTCTCAACGACGAAGGGCTTCCCGACCTTGTGCTCACCGCCATCGTCGGCGGCTTCTTCCTCCTCGGCTTCATTCTCGGGCTCTTCAACTTCGCCCGCGGCGCCGCCATTGGGCTCATCGGCATGGCCGGTGGCCTCGCGTTCGGCGTGCGCATCGCGATCATCAAGGAGGGCCTGCTGTTTCCGGTCGACAGCCTGTACGCGATCAACTGGGTCGTGGCAGGGATATTTGGCGCAGCGGGTGGCCTGTTAGTGATCTGGAAACAGCGCGCGGGATTGGTGAGTTGCAATGGCACGGTAGAGAAAGTGAGAAGTGTCAGGCTGACCGGAATCTGGCTTCAGTTGCTAGGCTGCGCTTCGATTGGGTCGTTCTTGACGGGCCTAGGTGTTGACCTCATCCTGAACAAACAAGATGGGATTGGAAGAGGACTCATTCTCCTCTTCGACCGAAATTCGGCGCATCTGGTGGTGCGTGCAAATTGTCGGTGTGAACGCGCAGCCTTACCCATCTATCCTCACAGGATCTAGCCGACGGCTACCATCCTACCCTGCGGACCCGCATCATCATCTACGCCTCTCTCGGCGCGACGTGAGTCCGGTTGTCTGCCGTTCTGTGTAGTATAGACTGACTCATACATACAGTCCCGTTCTGGCCTTCGCGCAGCATCGCATATTCCGCCACCCCTTCTCCCGGAAGTCCGTCCCCGACGACTCTGCGCTGCAAGTGGACTATCGCGACTCCGTTGTCGAGAAGTGGCGCATGACGACGGGCTCCTGGCTACACTCCCTCTGGGACGGCTCGGGAAGCAAGACCGCCAATCCGAACCGCTTCACCGTGAACTAAGTAGCTTTTCCCGTCACTCCTCAGACGTTGCTATCGCATACCTGCTTGAATGACCCGACTTCTCCCTGCGCTCAGCCGCACATTCACACCCTCGCGAGGCAAGCCCTCGACCCTTGCTTTCTCTCTCCGCGGTGTTACCGCTCCCAACGATATCAGTCTGGATACCTGTCGCTCTTTTGACCTCACCTTCGCTTGCACTCTTGCACCTGTACTACCACCATCACTAGATTCGTCTACGTTACCTCTGCTTGTTTTGGCGCTACAGAAGTGTGTAGAGAGATCTATGGACTGTAATCTTCACGAAGTACATACCGCATGTTGTACGGATGTACGGTCTATGTCATCGAAAAAAAAAGCCGTACTGCTTGAATTTGCGGCTTACCATGTCCTGCATCATATAGCGTGGTAAGGGTCACAACGAATGTAGTGTCCGAAGACCGTTATGGTTATATTGGGAACAGAGAACAGGGTAGGTAGTACAAGACGTGTCGAGCTCAACGTGATATATGCTACAGATCCGTGCGATGGCGAACGTGAAAGCACAACAACAAAGACGAGGGTGTACTACGATTGTTCGAAGGGCCGGAAGTAACGATAGGCGTGCCGCTGTGGCTGACTGTGTCGGCCACCGGGCTGCGTTATGGCGCAAGCGCGTTAAGGACGAAGGAGTGCAAGTGCCAGCGCCGGTGATGGCGAGGCTGTTCGCTCGCGCGCGAAGGTCCTCTTGGGAGCGGCAGTGGGTGCGTGCTGAACGTCCTGCTTCATTACTTCGTCGAGGTGGCGGTCGCATCGTATACCAGGTTCAACCCCGTGCCCTCCACGAGCATCGCGTTGAGCTCCTTGAGTGCATCGGGGTCCACCTCGGGGTGCACGCTCCGCATCAGCGGCTGGCGCGCCTCGCAGGCAGCGCCGATGAATCCCCCGAGCCATTTGTCTATTCGGTTCGCCATGCCGCCCACAGTGTTGGCGTCCAGGTCCGCCACGGACTTCAGGTAGCACGCAAAGTCCTCCAAGAACTCGCGCCATTCACCGGATCGGAGGCTGACATCGTGGCGCAGGGCGCGGAGGGTGACGACCTCGAGCTTCTTGAACTCGTTGAAGTGACCGTGGGTGATTTGAGCACTGGAAGTATGGCTGGATGAGTACGTGCAACAGCAAAGCAGAGGGACAGAAAGCACTCACACTCTCGGCTTGCAGTCCGCGAGCGCCTTCCAGGCCAGAATCAAGCTCAACTCGAAGAGGCGCTTGACGACGACCGTCACGCTCTCGTGAAGGCACGGCTCAGCGAGGAGCGGGCTAGGGACCAACCTCCCCGCGAAGCGGAGCGCCGCCAGCAGGGTATGGTCCGCGGGGGCGGCCTCTCGAAGGACTTCCCAAACGGCCTGGATAGCGCCCTGAAACAGCGACCCGTTCGTATCGAAGTGAAGTCTGTACTTCTCATCAGCAAGCCGTATAGTCAAAGCTGTAACAAACGAACTTACGGCTCGTTAGGCTTGTCTTGCGCGGGAGCGATGATGCGACGGAGGAGGTACGGGCCCGCCAACTTTGCGAGGACTGGGTAGTGGCCCATCAGTTCGTACGGCTCTCTGTCAGACTGCCCAGTGATCCCCTCGTTGATGTACCGTCGGCCGGGCTCTGTGAGCTCCCACAGCGACTCCGGCGTAGACATCTCGAAGACGCTGCCGGCGAAGTAGAACATCGGCCGCGCTGAAGGTGTTACTGTCGGCGGGTCCCGCAAGGTGACCATAGTAGGGGGACCGCCGTGCGCCATGGGATTCGGCTGCGAGACAGTCCACTGAACCGCACCGTACGGTGCGCTCTGAGCGGCGAAGTGTTCTGTAGCGATCACACCTCCGAAGGGCTGGGTGAACGCGCCTGGCGCGGGCGGCTGGATGGCCTGCAAGACCCGCCTCGCTGGGTGGGTCGTGGATGATGCTGACTGCGTGCGCATCTCGGTATGGAGGGAAGGGGGTATTCTGGGGTCGGTTGCGCGAAAGCGATAGGTCGTCCAGCAGGGTATGCAGTGCGGAAGCTGCTTTCTCGGCGTCGGCTGGGTATGAGCGTGTCAGGCTCGGTGGCACAGGACACAAGGGCAGACTGGTGACGGTCAATAGACAAGAGCTGCGCCGTTATATACCGCGACCAAGCAATGGTCTGCCACCCGGGCACGTGTATATGGCCAAAAAGTCTGCCTGGAAGGGCGATGATGAGCATCGGTAGATGGCCCCAAGCAACGAGGCGTCGATTGACCCTTGTGCAAGCAGCGTAAGCGCAGTCATTTCTGTGGGGAAGGCGTCAGGATTTGCGGGGAATGAGGCCATTCCAGGTCGAGGCGCACCTGTAAGAGCGTCGACGGGTCATTGTCCTCCTTTTAGGGCAGATCTTCGGCTGGGCTATCGTCATGTAGACTGCGAGATACACTGGCCGAAGAATGGAAGTCTCGCGACCCTGCAGGGCGCTAATCACTTTGAGGCCGGCCCGCTGGGGCCACCAAAGAGAAGACCGGAGCGTTAAAGATGCTGGGCACGAGGCAGACTCGGAGATCGATTGAGGAAAATAAGCGAAATTCACAGCGAGGAAGATAGCGGACGAGATAGGGAAAGCAGGAAGTATGAATACATGGAAGTACAGAAGGAACATATCAGGATACAAAGTCCAACGCTGAGAACGCACTACGAGTGTCCGGAATCCAGTAGTTGATCATCACATCGGTGTGACCAAACAACCTTTGACGCCGAAGTGCTGCAGCACCCGGTTGATATTCGTCACCCCGCCCGGGCTTCCAGGCGCTGAGTCAATCCGATAGGCGCCCATGAGCTTCTTCACCGCGTCCGCTAAGATGGTTGTCAGTATAATACAACCATTGTTCCTCGAGGCGAGGCCAGCTCGACTACGTACGCGTCATGCTCCGCAGCTCTTTCACGGTGGCGGGGCAGGTGGCAGGTATGGTCCCGTCGAGAAGCTGGATCTTCTTCAATGGCACGTCTTCATCCTGCTCTCGAAGGAGGGAGTTCTCCCGGCGAGCTTCACTGGGCGAGGCTGAGAGGACGGTGAAGAGAGGGATCGCAGGACATACGTGTTGTGCAGCTGGATCTGCTTCTCCCGCAGAGTATTCCGCAGAGTCGCAACCTCGCGCTGAATCTTGACGCCGGCGAGCTCCTCGAGGTATCGTTCGGTCTCCTTCGCGACGATATCGTCGACAATCGCGTCGAACCTGTCGTCCACTGCACGCCGCATCAGTACAGATCCCCACTCGAGCGATGCTGCTCACGCACCCATCTTCACGAGCGTTTGAGGAATCTCCTTCTCCAGGGCATCTTCCAGAACGACTTGAGCCAAGATACGCGTGGATAAGACCTGTACGAGAAGCAGGTGTAGAGAGCTCACGTTCGACTTCGCGAAGGGCGTGTTGATGATCCTCCTCTTGCTTGCGCATAAGGGCGGCGAGTCTGCAGACGGTGGTCAAGATCCGGCCACCATATGGAGTAGGCTACACACTGAGCAATCTGACCTTGAACAACGGGGCTATTGTCCAGCTCGTTGAAGTGCTCTGCACGCCCAACCAGCTGCTGGAGAAGATTCTACAGACATTCGTTAGTCAAAGCTCTCCTCGCGCAGACCATAGCGCACCTGCACTTCCACCAGCGCCATTCCTGAGTCTTGCAGCCTCGAGTTCGCGCGCGTTAAGTCTTCCTGCGGTATACCGACCGTGTCTGGCGGTCGACTTTGTACTCCTGCTGGTGTGCCCGAAGAATCCCCCGGAGTGGTTTGCGGATCCGGCCTAGGCATGCTGAGCATTTATTGGGACATCGGCGCTTGTCACTCGACGTGGGCGCTGCGGGATTCTAGGGCGGTGCGAGGGAGTCGAGGACGGAGGGAGAGCGGGTCATGGTGCTGTTGCTGTATACCGCGCGACACGAGGACTCAACGTGCAGGACATGAGGTGCGATAACCGCCGCTATCGTGCAAGATCTGGTTCTATTGCCTAGTACCGACGTAAGATACAAGAGGAAGGTCAAGAAGGCATGGTGGGATTTGGAAGGAAAGACAGGTCGGCATTTTCCGACCGCGTGTAGCCTCGGATTGACTCAGGACTCGGGCGGTTGAAGTGCAGGGAAGTAGGAATAGATTTTGGTATCTAAATCAGCCATGGTCCTACAGCGTAGGCTATCACAAAGCCTAAAAGCATCCACAAAACCATCAACCAAGTCGCCGCCGAGGACGCCTGCAACTCCCCCATCTCCACCGCCTCCAACAACGCATCCTCCACCCCCTTCGCCATCGCATCCATCCCAAACAGCGCCTCCACCCTCGCCCGCGCCGCCTCCGCCATCCGCGTCCTCTCCGCCGGACCCATCCTTGCCATCTCCCCCAGCACGCCCGCCCACACCGCCGCGTCGCCCGGTCTCAGCCACCCCGTCACCCCCTCGACCACGGTCTCTGTCGGCCCGCCCGAGTCGCGCGCGAGCACGGGCAGCCCGCAATACATCGCCTCGCACGGGATGATGCCAAAGTGCTCGTTCGCGGGCGTGTACAGCAGCCCGAGGGCGGCGGGCGAGCGCAAGAGCGCGGTGCGCTGGGCGAGCGTGAAGTTGAGGAGGAAGAGGATGTCGGGGTCGGGGACCTGAATGATGGAGGGCGCGGAGGGTGGGATGACGGAGGGAGAGGGGCTGGTGATGGCGTAGGAAAGGCCATGTTTGGTAGCGAGGGTGGTGAGCAAGGTGAGCGTTGCGACGTTGTCCTCGACGCGAGGGTCGTAGCCGCCGGCGAGGACTAGGCGGCATGAGGCGCGACTAGAGGTGAGGAATTGCGCGAAGGCCTCGATGGCGAGGCCAACGTTCTTCTTTGCCTCGAAGCGGTTGAGTGAGATGAACGTAGGGCGGTCACTGGAGAGCTTTAGTTACAGTGCATAGCAGGAAGTATTATGCACTCACGATTGCACGGCAGCAATATCTGGGTTGCCCGGGTCGACTGGCGCGTCATACGCGCTCAGGTTAATGCCCGGGTGAACGACACGCGTATCCTTGTGTATAGACCTGAACTGCGTCTTGAAGACGCGCGCCGTGAAGTTCGAGTTCGCCAAAATCACATCAGCCTGGCCTTGCAGCTCCCATTAGTATCCCCCCTCAGTCACGCCACCCACACCACATACCAGTAGTCCACTCCTCCAACCAGTCCATCGGCAAACGGTATATTCTCTTCAGCAGGCTCCCCCTCTTCCTCCTCCGCGGGTCCTCCACAAATTCCCCATTCGCCAGCAATTGGTCGGGGAAATGGCAGTAGAACACGACGCGCGTGCCGGCGAACTTGCGCAGCAAAGGGACGCAGGTGGAGAGCTGGTCGACGAAGAAGACGTCGTAGTGGGGGGAGTCGGTAGATATGAGCTTGGTAGTAAGGTGTAGCTGGCGGAGGTGGGCGAAGAGAATGTGGAGCTTCCCGGCTATGGCGCGGGGGAAGGGAGGAACGATGTGCTTGACGGAGAGGGTGCCTGCGAGAAGTCGGTATGAGAAGTAGTTTGTGGGACAGACTGTACACGCACCATCGCGGGTCTCCTCAAAGCAGTGGCCAGGATCGTGGTGGGAGGTGTAGATGTCGACGCTATGTCCCAGCTTCTGCAGCCCGAGTGCCGCGTCCACCACGAGTCTCTCCGCGCCACCTGCGGGCTCGACACCGGTAAGCACAGTGTCGGCTTCAATGCGATCAAAGCGCACCTATTCCCAAGTCAGGATGAATGAATGCGACTTTGAGATTTCTTGCCATGGAGGGGGAAAGTACAATGGACGCGGAACGGCTGTCGTGTCTCGACGGCGGGCCGGGGCGGCCCGTTCTCATGTCACCGCTCTATGCCTCCAACCTCAGTTCATTAGGATGATGCTGGATGTAGTACACATCATTTTGCGTCGCGAAACTAAAGCATGTCTATGGGTCACCTTGAGGCTACTATTCGAGGTGTGTGGAGGAAGGAGAATCTTCTGCCTAGTTTCTTGAAGGGCGTATGCACAATGTTATTTCTACAAAGTCCTTGGGTACTCTAGACCATGCTCATGCAATGGCGTTTAGATATGATGATAGATAGGATGTAGATGCAGTTCTGCAAGCAAATCCATCAGTATGAGGAACAGACATCAGACCAAGTTGCAACTCACTGGCTTGTGTCCCGATCTCGGAAGGACGACTTCACGTTGTCGATATCCTCGTCCGCCTGTCCCTCGCTCGCGTAGTTCATGCCCCGTTGTCTTCTCTGCGTGAAGCACTCGACAGCCATATGGCCCACCACGACCGCCTCCACCCCCGCCGCAATATTCGGAATAAACATCGAAAACCGCGCGATCGGGCTCGCCACAGCGGTCCGTCTGGCAATCCCCAAGACGAACACGACGAACCAGAGCAGCGCGAGTGCACCTAGCGCAAGGACGCTGCGTGCCGCGTATGGGGAGACGAACCAGCGGTGGGTGATGACTGCGTGCGCATGGGTGGAGCGGACCTGCCGCGACGCGGAGATGAGGATGAGGGATTGGAAGGCGGCGCATGCGCCCCCCACGAGTAAATTGAGAGTAAGGGCCCTCCCGTACGCGAGGATGTGTATTGCGCTGTAGATGAGGGAGGCAGCAGCGAGCCCGAGGGACATACGGCTGAGCTGGATGATCTGCCTAGAGGGAAGACGCGGAGGCGTGAAGTGCGTGTCGAAGGACGCAATTTCAGGCGCGTCATCACGTAGGGGAGTTTCCTCTGGTGGAGAGGACATCTTGAGGTCGGATAGGTGCGACTACGTGGACAGAACGATTGCTGAATGTAGACCTTTTGAGGGGACTATTTTTACGGACTCATCGCAGTCCGCAGTCGCTCGTCCGTTCCGAGATGGCGCACAGGCAGACGAAAGGAGCAGACCAAGGAGAATGCGCACTCAAGTCAGCAAGGTCACGAACATGGAAGTGCAGAGAAGGAGAGAGGGAGTGATGGAAGGTGGAGTCTGATATACGAATACTGTTGCGAGTGGCCAACACAGTGCCAAAAAATCTAACGATATGCCCGCCTAGCTCAATCGGATAGAGCGTCAGACTCTTATGATCACTAGGCGATCTGAAGGCTGCGAGTTCGACCCTCGCGGTGGGCTAAGATGCTTTTTGTTTTTCCTTTCGACATCGGCAGAAATCAGCGTAGTGGTGCACGATGTCGTGGCTTCCAATCCATCTGAAGCCAAACGTATATTCGAACGGACGCGCTATGCTGGTTTCTTGTAGAGAAAGCAGCTAGTGGAAGACAGTACAAATATGTACACGAGATGGTCACTACTCGACCTCTTTCTTCTTGTGCTTTCGTTTCCGCTTCTTCGCAGATTGACCGTCGCCTGTTGCATCCGCTGGCACCGCGTCCTCCTCGCGCTCGCGCTTGCCCAAGTTCGATGACGCCTCCTCTTCGTAGACCTCCTCCCCATCGCCTCCACCTTCCACCGCAGCGGCCTTCGCCTTCTTGCGCTCGCTCTTCCCCTTCCGCTTCTTTTTCTTCTCCCCATCCTGCCCGCCTTCGCCCCCAGCCGCAAACGGCATCCGCCCGCCCGTCCGCTCCCCGATCTTGTGCCGCAGCTCGCGGATCTTGTCCGGTCGCTTGGGGTCCCACTTGTTGTCGCGCTTGTACGGGGCGTACTTCTTGATGCTCATGTACTCGTTGAGCTCCTTGTCGGTGGCCATGAGGATCTCGGCCGGGGTGAGGGAGAAGTCTTGCTTGGGGACGCTGACGTAGCGGAAGCGAGTGGGCATGCCGCCGACCTGAACAGGGTGTGAGCATACGCGGGGCATATGGATATAGAAGGAACATACCATATCGTTGAAGTCCAGCCCATACAGTTCGTTCATGTACTCGTCGAGCTTGCGTTTTCGCATCTCCTCCGTGCCGTCCCACTCTTCGTCATCAAAATCAGGCGGCGGCGCGTCCGCATCCATGGCGTCAATGTCAACACCGTCGGCCTCCATATCTTCGTCCTCGTCCTTCTTTTTCTTCTTCTTTTTCTTCTTGTCCTTCTTGGAGGCTGGTTGTGCGTCATCGTCAGACATGGGTATGTCGCCAATGTCGATGTCGTCGTCCCAGGTCGGTTTCTCCTCATCTCCTTCGAAGTCGTCACCGTAGAGGCCGGCCATTTGCCTGTCGTGCGCCTCCGGGTCCCAGTCGGCTTCGAGGTCGAGCTCTTGCAGCGCTGCGGCAGCCGTCAGTACGCAAACTAGTACATCTGCATACAGCACATACCCGCATCGCGCTCCAGGTCCTTACCCCCCTCGCGCCCAATCCTATCCAGCTTCGCCCGAATCTCCTTCATCTTCAACGCCTTCAACCGCCGCACCTCCTCCCTCTTCCGCTGCAGCTCCTCCTCCTTCCTCTGCTTCTTCCTCTCCCTCGCCTCCTTCCGCGGGTTCTCCTCCCGCCGCACCGTCGTCTCAATATTGCGCGGGTACGTCTTGATCGTCGCCGCGTCCGGCTCCTCAAAGCGGAAGTTGTACGAGCTCTCGAAGCGGTCGACGATTTCCTCGAAGTCGGACTCGTCGATGTCGGGGTCCGCGGTGGGCTTGGCGTTCTCGTTATCGGAGGCGTCGCTCTCGGAGTCGGACGAGTTGGGCTCGGCGCGGTGTTTGCCCTTTTCCTTTTTCGAAGATGTGACTTCCTTGTAGGTCGGGATGCGCTTGCTCTCGCGGTCCATCCAGCCGCGGTTGAGGATGTAGCTAGCAAAGAGCGTTAGCAGAGCAAGTGATTGGGCGCTTATTGACAAGACGCACTTCATGAGGAACTCATGGTCCTCCTCCTCCTTCGACTTCCTCCCCTTCTCCTGTCCCTTCTCCGCCTTCTTCTTCTCCTTCTTTTTCTTTTTCTTGGGTGACTCTTCCTCAGCCTCCTCCACCGCAGCAGAGGTGCCCGCCGCGGACTCCACGGAGACCAGATGGGATAGGTCCTCCCCGACTTCGCGCTCAAGGAAGGTGCGGTACTCCTCTTCTTCGCGTTCGAGCTCATCCTTGGTCTTCTCTCGAGGTATCAGGAGGTCGTCCTCGTCATCTGCGCTGTCAACGGCGGTGTGGAATGCAGCGATCGTCTCGTCTCGGAGGGCGCGCTGCTCCTCGACGTGGGTGACGGGCTCTGGTGAGGGTGTGCGCGAACCGCGGTCTAGCGCATTCTCCAGAGCAACCTGGCGCATGGTTACGGGCTTGGACTGGAGGGGAATGAGTGACTGAGAGGAAGGGGGTATGCAGACGCACCTTGTCCTTCGTCAGCCGCGTCTTTGGCTTCACGTCCGCCAGCTTCTGCTGCTCCGCTACATGGAATCAGTCAATGTGTACATAGCATCCAGTCCATATGCGCACCTTGAAAGATATTCGTCTTCGAGTCGTAGATCTCTGGGTCCTTGCGCTTGATCCGCGCGAGCGTGCGCAGGATCGCCGCGTCCACAGCCGGTGTCAGCTCCTCCCCATCCTCATCCTCCGACTCATCAGACTCAGAGTCAGACTCAGAGATATCATCCTCCTCATAGTCCGAGCCGTACTTCGCCTTCACTGCGCGCCACCGATCAGCGGGGGAATTACGCCCTGCGATGTTCAGAACGCACACTTCTCGAGCTCCTGCCGCTCCTTTTTGTACTCGAATGCCTTGGCGTAGTGTTCGTTGATAGTGAGGAGGTTCAGGTCATCCTGCTCTCCCTCAGAGTCGGATAGGAGAGACATTCTCAGAGGCAATGGACGGGGAGCAATGTCAGGAAAAGTTCGACACCCAGTCAATAGCAGGGCTGATCGGGCCACGCACGTGGGGTTGACGCGTCCCGGCCCGGATCCCACTGATCCCGCTGATTTGTACCTTCCTCCCAACCTCCATCATCTCTGAACGGCCTGCACCGCATCGTCCTCAGCAAAATGAGTACCGTACGATCTAATGCACTCGTGTATCTTACGGACACTCCGGTAAGTCTTGTCCCTACTTCAGCACAGCGAAAAGAAAACCGCTGACGCGTCGTTTCAAAGTTTCTGTTCCCCTTCGCGGCGTCCGCGTACCAGATGGTTTCCGGTGTGTCTGAGATACTTAAGGCTCTGCTCATCTTTTCGAAGAAGCTGGAGGCTTGCACTGGTGATGCGGACAAGGAGCTGTGGGCTAAGTATAAGGAGGTTGCGCGAGCGCTGCGCCGATGCGGCGTCGAGAATGCTAACCTTCTGAAGACCCTTGTAGAGCTCATGCGTGCCACGTTCGTACTGACCATGGCCGAGCCCTCAGACCTGAAGCGCGTTCCAGAGATTCAAGTCACTTACGGGCGTTTCCTTGGCCGCCTCACCGCGTTCGTCGACAGCTGCAGCACCGCGAGCAGCCTTTTGCTGGATTTGGATCAGCAAGTCTCCCACGCCCTTTGCTATCCGCCGGTCATCCGCAAGCTCGTGCTCGAGGCCTGGCTTCCGATCATCAAGCACTGCAGCCTGTTCACCCCTTCGCACCGCGCCACCATGCTCACCTCTGGCCGCGACGGGCTCCGCAACATCCAGCACCAGCTCGACCAGCTCCTCGACGTCGCCGACGGGCTTAAGGATGCCGCGTTCAAAGCATGCCTGGCCTTTCGCCTCGACAACGCGCTCCTCAAGGATATCCGGAAGCGCTCGATCTACTGGCGGCGGGCCCTGGAGCGTTCGACGACGATCGTCTTGTGCGAACTACAGGACGCCATCGGTAGGATTGTGATCACGTCGAAGAAGATCAACTCCCATGCGTCGAGCATCTACCTGTAGGTCAGTTCTTCCCATGATTTCCATTTGATTTGCGCAGGCCGACGTCCTTCTCTTTACTAACTGCAGCGCATACGCCTGCGAACGCGGACTGTCGCTGTCTGCTGAATGTACCATCATGAAAGGCTGTGGACGCTTGTTTTGTATAATATCAATATAGCATGCCTGGATGGAGGCACCCTGGATCATCGAGTGAACATGAGGCCTGAAAGCTGCGCGAGCGCGTATTCCGAGTCGCTAAGTCCGAGAGCAAAGCGCCGTACGTTAGTGAAGCGCTTACGGCGAATGCGTTGCTATCGTAGTGGTAAATATCGGACAGCCGATAGGCCATGTCATACACAAAGCTCAGACGCCAGTACATGTCCAATATGTATACTTCGACAATAGCCTGAGCACATCCATCTAAGTTGTCGCTTGCAGCTAGTCATGAGCCATCGAGGTTGTAGAACAGTGGACATAGACATATATGGCGATTGGAACTCAATAAGGTGAATCTCATCACTGGAAGATGTGAATCGTCAATTGAACAACCATGTCTGAGCTAGGTCAACCTACGTCAGGACCGAGAAGAAGGATTCCGTAGCCTATCCTCTGTTCTGCAGATTCCATGGCATGAACGCCCCCACGCAAGTCTCTGGTGACCGCATCGAGGGCGGAACTGAGCGCTGTGCGCGTGTCCTTAGGCTGCGCCCGTATACCAACGAGAACATCAAGCCGGAAGTGGGCGCGGGACTCCGAAGCGTAAGTCCTGAGAAGGCGCATGAGGTCGGCGATTTCGAAGACGGTCAGCCGCACGTCGCCCAGGGTGGAGCGTCCGGCGGTCAGCATGATAGCGCGCGGTGAAAGGTCGATTATCCAGTGCCGCGCGATGAAGGGAAAGAGGTATTTTACCAAGACATAATCAACGATAGATGGGTGGTAGGAAAGTGCATGAACCATGACGGCCTCCGCCTTCACCAAAGCGTCATCGCATCGGCTGGTCAAGTTCAGTACATTTTCGAGGCAGTCCAAGAATGCCTCATAGTGTTTAGCGATCTCCACGATTTGTAGATCGAGCTCGGATTCCACATCCTCAAAGAAACTTGAAATTGCCCTCGTGAAGTCGGAGAGAGCGCTCATCGCGTGCGCCACAGCGGTCGCGCAATCACGAAGCTTGTAGATGGCATCTATGAGCGCTCCGTGCACGGACATGTCCGTCGTTGCTTCGGAGAGCTGGCGCGCGACCGTCGGTAGGCAATCCTGAAGCATGAACATCCGGTCGTATATCTGGTGCGTTGGCTCGACGAAGGGGAAGAGGTGCTGATACGCGATGTTGAGTACACAACCAAGGATCAAAAGCCTCTCAGCTCACCTCAACCTCAGAGATGTAGACCATCGAGGAAAATTCAGTCGAGGTGATTACGATGCTGTTGACGGCGCTTGAGAACCAAAGGGCGTGGCATCAAGCGCCGGAATCGAACGTGGGCGCCAATTCGGCCGGCATTCGCCGAGTTCAAGTTGCTTCCGCATTGCGTGGGGACTTTCGCCGTATACCTATGGTCGGAAGCGCACGTCCGACGTGGACGCTTATCTCGTAACGTCTTGCTGCGAATTCAGGGTCTGCGACAGTCATATTGGCGCTCGAAAGGCCGAGAGATAGGTGCTGAACGTCACGGATGTCTGCGAAGCCCTGGATTTAAAGACTAATACATATTCAGGATGAGCTCTACGTGTCCGTACAGGTACAGAACAAAGCTACACGACACGGCCGTATGCAGCCATACCTCGACCTCAGGAGTTATGCAGCGATAGATACATTGGGCTTCTCGAAGATGGATCCCGACCCTGTCAACAAGGATCACAAATAAGCCAACCATAACGCAAACGAGCATGAACGAGGGTGAGACTTGCCAAGTAGGTCATATCATCAGCCATCCACCCGAACCTCTGCGCTGAAGATTCCATCGCATGAACAGCACCACGAAGTTCGTTGTAGACGGCGTCGAGGGCAGAGGCAAGAAGGGAGCGACTGTCTACCGTCTGTGCTCGTATGCCAGCAAGAACTTCAAGGCGGAAGTTCGCACGGGAATCTGCCGCGTAGGTCTTGAGGTGACGCGCCAGGTCGGCGATATCTAGCACATTCAAGCGGGCATTTGCCAGCGTAGTACGCCCGCTCGTTAACATGACGGCGCGTGAGGAAAGGTCCACTAGGTTGTGTCGTATGATGAATGGGAAGAGGTGGTGTACAAAGACATAGTCAACGACAGGGGGATAGGAAAGTGTATGGATCACGATGTCTTCCGACTTCGACCAAGCGTTGTTGCTTTGATCGGCAGAGTCTAGCACGTTTTCTAGGCAATCCAAGAATGCCTCGTATAGGACGCCGATCTCGCGTACGTGAGGATCGAGCTCGCCGTCTACGTCCATGAAGGACTTGGATATCGCCCGCGTGAACTTTGAAAGAGCATCCATTGCGTGCCCCACGTTTGTCGCGCAGTCGCGTGTGGCGTTCAGAGCGTTTATGGCTGCTAAGCGCACAGGCGTATCAGTTGTCGCGGCCGCTATTTGGTCTGCGACTCTCGGAAGACCATCTTGTAGCATGAATATGCGGTCGGTTATCTGGTGCGCTGGCTCGATGAAGGGAAAGAGATGCTGTTACGTAGCTCATTTGAGGGGAGAACTAGAGGAAGGGCTGCTTCAGGCTTACCTCGACCTGGGATATGTAGACCATTTGATGAGCGATTGGGTCGTAGTCGAAATCCTGTTGACGACGGCTAAAGCAATGAAGGCGTGGCATTAAGCGCCGGTAAGTATAGAGCGTGAGCACTGTTCGGAACGGCATCCGCCGAGCCAGAAGAATCAGCTCTTTCTAACTGTAGGAGGCGCGGATGGCACTACGGGTGAATAGGTGACCAGCACAATCTGCTTGCGTCGTTGAAGGTATTGGGGGTCATATCATTGCTCGAATGCGAGAGGCAACAGGCAGGTTCTTAGAAGTGGCACGAACTTAAGCTCGAACCGGGCCTTCATGGATCGTGATCATACCATGCCGTTAGCAGGCGTAAAGTAGTAGCCATGGCCGTACCCTGGCCTTACCTTGACCTGAGAAGTGTAAACCATTTCGACAGTGAGTCCAGGATTGCGAAGCCAGTTTGCTAATGATTAGAATTATGAGGCAAACGCATGTGGAAGGTCTATCGGCATCTGCCGATTCCCCTTCCACCTTCGTCAAGCAAGCAGCCAGGACTCTCTGCATATCCTGTACTGAGATTCAGCCAATTCAATCGATACAAGAGGATACCACATATATCAATATGGCCCCATCGAGGATCATCGATCTTTCCTATCCTCTCGGCTCCTCTCTTCAGATTTACCCAGGAGACCCGCCATTCGTATGCCGTCCCATGTGCACTGTCGCCGCGGACGGCTACAGTGTGTGCGCCCTGTCCTTGGGATCGCACACCGGCACGCATCTGGACGCCCCGGCGCACTTCATCGCTGATGGAGCGACCATCTCTGACCTCCCGCTCGACCGCCTCATCGGGCCCGCCTTGGTCCTTCGCTTCGCCGATCTCCAACCGCGCGAGAAAATCACCTGGGAGCGGCACTTTGCTCAGAGTTCAGAGCTGCTTGCCGAGCATGCTCGATCCATCGGCATCGTGTTGATTCATACTGGCTGGGCGCACCATTGGGGAACGCCAGCGTACTTCGATAGCCCATTTTTAGCGGGCGAGGCAGCGAAGCGGCTCGTGGAACTCGGCGTACGGGTAGTTGGAATCGACACCATGAGCCCCGACGAAGTGCCTGCGCCTGGCGGACCGGAGGAGACAGCGGGCGGGTACGCAGCGCACGAAACGCTCCTAGGCGCAGGCGTGGTCATTGTGGAGAATCTGCGGAATCTGGACGAAGTGGAGAGTGGTATGGTGGTTAGCCTCGCTCCTCTGCACTTGGAGGGATGCGACGGCGCGCCTGTCAGGGCGTACGCCGTAGTGGAAACACCAGTCAGCAAGTAGTCGGTCATTTGGAGGACGACGCGATTTGAATGCACACGATAGACTGAACATTTGGATTGTCTGACCGACACCGTCGGTCGGGAGATATGTACACAAGCGAAGACGAGGTACGACCGAGCGCACGAGTAGCGAGAGTAGGCGATAACGCCGTAGGCACATACAAAGGAATGAAAGCGGGAAACGAGAGGGCATGGGAAACGATTGGCACGAGAAGAGACTCAAAGCAGTAGAGGGAGCACATGTGGAATGATTCTAAGAAGGGTGGGAGGGAGAACGCACGCGAACGCCACTTCATCCATCGCTCTTCAAGGAGCGCAACTTCCGGATGACCTCCGACATGTCGTCCGAGTTCCACTGGCCGACGAAGGCAGGTTGTTGCACGACTGAGCAGCGAGCGGACTTCGACCGACCCTTCAAGGGGCGAGCCACCTTGAACTGCTGCTGACCCTGGCCCAAGGATGACGGACTTTCGTCTTCCTCCTCAGCGACCTCGGCGACAGTATCGGCACCCAGGTTACGAGACACCGAGCGCGAGAGCTGCTCAACGCTAGCTCTGCCCCACGAGCCGTCACCGTACCCATTCGCGTCCTGTTGTGGCTGACTGCCTGACCTTGAGCGCCATTCTCCGGCCACTCGTCCCTCGTCGATGGTCTCCCTGCTCTCGTTCGGGTCCCCGTCGTGCCCGCTAGCACGCCAGCTCCCCGCGCGCCGCAGCTGCGTGATGCTCGAACCGGCCACGTACTTCTCTCTCAACTTCGTGAGAGAGATGCTTCCGCGCTTCAGGAGGCGCGCCCCCTTCGTGGCAGCATCCGGCGTGGCTGAGGGCGGGTGCGATGGCGACGCCTGCCAAGGGGGCGGCTGTTTCGCGTTCGATGTGGACGACGTGCCTGGGGGCAGCCGGAGGGAGGTGAGGGAGGGAGAGGTGGGCTTGGACCGGTTGACGGAAGAGGTATGACTGAAGCCAGTGAAGAGCTCGGTGGCGCGCGCAAGGCGGCTTGCACGCTTCGGACGCGGGAGGGATTCCGGGGCAGGAGCAGGCGCAGGTGTAGCCGGTTGAACCGAAGTGGGTGAGGGCGTGTTGGACGCAGGGGCCTTGGGAATCGACACTCGTAAGGCGGGCTTCGCAGCTGGCTTCGGGAGTGGTGGCGCACCCACGGTGTGCGAGCGCAGGCGCGTGAAGGTGCGCTTCCAGTTGAAGCCCTGCTTGGGCTTGTCCGCCGTGCTGGGTCGGCGCTCGCGGACGTGTGGCGCGGCGATCGTCACGCTCAGGGGCGCGCGAGGCGCGTTCAGGGGCACGGTCGATGAATCCGTGCGTGTCGCGCCGGGCGAGTGCAAATTCGATGAGGATTGCGCTGTAGTAATTAGATCACGACGGTCAGCCTCGCCAGTTCACAGGTCGACGCAAGGGATGGACGCACTAGGAAGTGGTGGCGCAGCATCCTTAGGGTTGTCCTGGAGGTCGCTCGGGCGAACGGTGAAAGTATCCGAATGACGGCGACTAAAGGCGATGGGTTCGCTGTCTTCTAACCTGCGCGCAACCGATCCTGCGTGAGGCAGGGCATCATGCGAGTCTACGAGGCCTTGGGGCATGGGCTCAAGTCGGTGCTGGCGAGAGGGCCGTGCGCAAGATGGACGCGCTGCCAGGTGCCGAGGCAATGGTAGAAGACAAGAGGGCGAGCAGGCGAAAAGGGAGCTCAGGAGGTTGACTGTATGTAAGGAACGTGAACGCGAGGAGCGACGAGTGATTGCCCTGAGCGACGGGGGCTCCGATTTAATTATGGCCTTCACGACCATGCCGTAGAGACCGCAGGTGAGTTCTACGGCATGGCCTGCTGTTGTCGGCTAAAATACGCCCCAGCGCTAGCATTGTGTGGCACGACGAGGGTACGGTATTGCACTAAATCTGTACCTAGGTGTAATCCAGCGCCGTATAATCCTTTCTCTGATCCTGGAGCCTCCTGGGGCCCGCGTTGATGCCGTTCATGGCGCCAAGTCAGAAGGTTGTTCGTGTGTGAAGGTCGTGCGTTACAGGGATGGTGAACCATCATGGAAAGAGGGCGGCCACAAGGTGGTGGAACAAGACAGGGAACCTGGAAGTTCCCCAGTTGAACTTCGGCATCCTCCGGTTGCTTTCCCACAGCTTGTCAATGTCGCGTGGCGCTGTCCAGGTCGCGCGGACGGGGCAAGCACCTTGACGCGACACGACGACGACGACGACGACGACGACAATGTCTGACGACCTCCTCGGCGGCTTTGCTACATCTAAATCCGGCGGTGACGAGATTGACTTCGACGCCGCCGCATCCCAGTTCCCCGACATCTCCCTTGACGGCGAGGGCGACATACCCTCCTTCCCGGACATTTCCTCACCCGTCGCGCCAGCCCCAGCGCACTCCTTCTCCCTCGATGCTCTCGACGGACCGAGCCCCGCCCCCGCGAGGGAAGTGAAGGTCACTGGTGACGACGAGATCGAGCAATTCACCAGCCAATTCCCGGATATTGAGGTCCCGCAGGTGCGCATACGCGTACGCCCTATCATGCTGCAGCTGCTAAGCATATATCAGGCATCTCCTCCCGTACAACAACCCCCTACATTCGGCGCAAGCACGCCGACTATCGCCCCGCGTCCCCAGCCATCTGCGTTTTCGTCAACCCCCATCCTCAACCAGGGTTTACCTGAGGAAGAGCCCGAGGTTATCAAGTGCGCCCTCTCGTTCTCCGCGCCCTGACTGTAGGCTGACCGCTATGCAGAGAATGGCGTGCACGGCGCGCGGAGGAGATTCGCGCGCGTGACGAAGCCTCCAAGGCAAAGCGCGACGAGATCAAGGGTCGCGCCGAGGCTGCCATCGACGAGTTCTACGGCAACTACTCCGAGCTCAAGAAGCGCAACATCCAGGAGAACAAGTACGCCCTTTCCAAACCATGCCCCACTATCCCTCACTGACCACTCCTCATAGGGACGCCGAGGAGGAGTTCCTCGCCAGCCTAACCGCATCGCTCACGGCGGGCACGACCTGGGAGCGCATCTGCGCGACCATCGAGCTCGAGAACTCGCAGAGCAAGACGATCGCCCGCGCGGGCCCGGGCACGACGGACCTCTCGCGCTTCAAGGAGGTGCTGTTGCGGCTCAAGCGGGAGGGCGACCGCGCCCCGGGCGCCGCGGGCTACTAGATGACTTCGCGTCGGACTCTTCTGCAAAAGTTTGTCTATCACTTATAGCTCGTATATTGAGGACCCTGGATTGGTGTATATGTCCCTGCGTCCCCTTCGGGTTAAGCAGGCGCCTTTGAAGCCTCACAAGAGCAAGGTCGGTTGTGCTAGAGTTGCGACTTGACGATGCAGCATGTACGATGCTGCGTTGATAGGGTCGCACTGAAGGGTTATCCATACAAGGCGCATTCTGCGTTGTTTGTCCCTCTTGTCCGGTCGCCTGTGCTCACGTGCACCATTTACATTCGACCTCGGCGCCTATCGCCACGCCCTGTCGTTAGCCGCCGTCAACAGCATACTGACTGTTGAGTGCTTCCGACCTTCCTTCGTTAGGATGGTCCACATCTCGGAGGTTCAGGTATGTCGAGTCAGTCTACGCCGTTTCCCTTGCTCAGCGTGTTGCGCACCAGCATCTTTCCCCCTTCATCGAACCAACGCATCAGATGCTTGAGCGCATTTTCCTCATTCAACATGGCGTGCCAGTGATTGCAAGACCTCTAGCAGAACCAGGAGCCAACACATCTGTGCGCTTAGCATTCGCGGACACCGCTCACGTCCTCCATGTCTGCGCGATGGCCGTGGCTCGTGTCGTACGCGTCCTCGCTCGCTTCACGCAAGCGATGTTGGAGGCCGTCACGGCTGTCGATACCGAGGTCGAACCTCACGGTCTAAAGCTCAGCGGACTCTATGACACTTTCATGGAGCGTTTGGAGAACCTGCTAAAGTCGATCGACCGGAGTAACGAGGCTCTGGTCAGGCTCGACGGCCTCATAACTCAGACGCTCTCTTATCCTCCCGTATTCAACTACGTATTCCTTCGTCATATCATCCCCTTCATCATGCGACACAACGCAATCAGACTTTCCTCCCGCGCTATCATAATGACGGCCGGGCGCCCCACTCTGGCCAACATCCGTTTGACCGTGCTTGAGATCGCCGACATGGCTCACCGTCTCCGGAACCATGCATCGGATGGACGAGCTCATTTTAGCTTGGATGGGCTCGTTGAGATTTGGGGGCTGTCCCAGGACAAACGCTCAAAGCTTTGCGACGCCCTGAACACCATCGTCTTCGACCTCGATGGGAGTGTCAGTGCTATCAAATTTTCCGCACATGGGATACAACGAGCAGCCCAGGGGCTGAGCTACTAGGTATATTCACTTTCCTTGACTAGTGACACCAGCTTGACGGACCTCATCTCCTGCAAGGTTGCAATCTCTTCGCGAGGCGGCAGGAGCAGCTGCGTATGAAGTTTCTGGTATCACGGAAGCTACATGTCGTTGCTTGTAAAATATAACACTAAGTTGAAGTTAGATGCGTCTCTGTTGTCTCACTCTGAACATATCCAGCTCAATCCCTAGCATGGTTGAGAGCTGTTCAACCCATGAGGCAATCACGTGATGACCACGTTCCCGCGATTTGATGTCATGGCATCGAACGCGGCCTTGGACCTGGCTTGACGCGACCACCATCTCGTTCGAGCGAGACGCTCTCCCGCTGCGCTTCAACGCCTACATGCCATATCTTTCTGTCACAGAACGTAACCAGATGGCCATGCAGGAGCTCGAGGCGCGCAGAATGTTCCCCAAACCCGATCATGACCCGCTAACGTTCTTGCAATAGGGTTGCTTCGCCTTCGTGGGCACGGTGGATGAGGCGCTGCGTTTTGCACGCGAATCGAGGGCTTGCATTTTGTTTGCTGCTATGCAGCTGAGTGCACTCACCCGCGACCCCATGTTGCTCATGACCTTCAAAGAGATCGTCAGCTACTCCCACTGCTTCATCCAGAAGTCGGTGATCATCCTGGGTCACCTCGCCGCCTTCATCCGCGCCATACACTGCAGCATCTACAACACTGACACTGACCAGTTCGGCCCCTGCGTCGATCGAGCTAACGACGCGTACGCAGCCCTCCGGTACGAGCTCGCGGACCTCTTCCACGGAGCGCACGCAGCGGAGTCCGTGCAGGCCTTCGACAACTTCCTGCGCAGTCGCCTATCGATCAGCCCCCCGCTCGTCCGCGCCGTCTCCAAGCGGACCGTGTCCCCCGTACTCAAAATCTGCAAGCGCGTCCTCCCCCTGCACCGCACCAAGCTCACCAAGCTGCGCGACACGCTGGCGGAGATGCGGGGGAGCGTGTTCGCGACGGGGAGGCTGATTGCTAACTTACAGGTCGAGGTCCCCGACCTGCTGAGCCCGAAGGGCGGCTTCATTGGGGACCTGGAGCGCAAGCTTGACGCGGGTGATTGGGTATATTTGGTTGGGCTGATGCAGTTTTTCCAGGAAAAGTATCTGGATGTCAAGGACGCCTTGGATGACCTCAAAGATATTGCGGATGAGATCGGGCAGGTCGTGATGGGGTACTAGGTGAGTGCGTGCCCTCGTGATGGTGCTCACCGCGATAGACTTCCGCCTCTTGTTTTGTAAAAGGGCTGCGTAGTTCAAGTTGTTCTGTTCGTTTGTCTTGCGATCGTTGTACTTCTACCTACGGGTCTGGCTGGTGCTGATGAATGTATCTTGGAAATGCCATGGATGTGGCCCTGGAACTTGCTGCGAACCTCAGCGAGCGCGTGCATGGCATACTCTCAAGGACCATGAGCGCATGAGTACCATTGTGGTCACTCGCACACATCACCCAGAAAATTTGCGTGTCACTAAATTCCATTCGCAGAAGACAGCTAGATATACAGACCCTCGAGAGCACTCAAGCTCCCCCGGACATAACATTCCTCTCATCGTCTCAAATACCGCCTCACATAAGCATCCACTACCAACTGCTCAATCCGCCGCTTGACCAAGAACGTCACCCCCTGCCCGAAGAAGCCCTTCAAAATCTGCATCTCGAGACCCTGGTACACCGCCGCCAGCCCAGTAGGCCTTGCTTTCCTTGCATGTAGAGCCCTGCCCTTCCCCTCATGGACGGCCTTCTCCTGCGCCTCATAGACCTCCTCCACCGGCACCTTCTCCTTCACCACATCGCTGAAGCTCGGCGTGTCGTCCGACGCTAGGGGCGCCCCGTACCCATGATGCCGCCGCTCGTTGAACTTGCCACTGTACGCCTCGCGGAGAACGTCGAGGAAGTTGTCGGATAATGTGGAGGAGGCCTGAACGCGGATCTTGGCGAGTATGAGGGGGTAGAGGATGGTTGAGGCTGTAAAGGATGGGAATGGAAAGTCAGTAGGGGGTACGAGGGATGTAGACGAGGGTCGTACCTATCGAGCTAGCGACGGCGCCCCCAATAAATGCTTGTCCGGGTGAGGGATTGATAATCGCCGTCTTGCCTGCAGAGCGAAGACGGCGAGTCTGAGGTAGCAAAATGACACGCATGCATAGCTGGTAGACGGCGAGTGTTAAGGATGGGTTCAGGCAAAGGAGCAGCGTGGTCTTGAAGCCTGATATGCTGTCAGCCGCTAGTTCATGAGTCGTATACGAAAGACTCGACTGACCTCTCCAGAACCCTACCAAGCCCTCCCTCTCGTAGATATCCTTCACGACGCCAGAGAGAGATGACGCGCTACCGTTATCCTCGGCGTCAGACGAGACGTCACTCGACTCGTCAGACGACGTGTCGGACTGGTCCTCGTCCCTCGCGTTCTGCATACGCAGGGTGACGATGTTGAGTGGCGTCGATATCGCGCGAGAGGCGGCGCCGGCGATGAGGCCGAGGGCAAGCTCCTGGACGATTGAAAGTGCGGGCTTGACCTTTTTGCCCGACGACCCTTGCTTGCGTAAGACCAGAGAGCGGAAGAAAGAGTAGAAGTAGTAGTAAAAAAAGCTGAGGGAGAGTCAGCTCTCTCGGAATCGGAAGGAAGGACGAATGCGACTGACTTCGAAAGCAAGGTCGCGATAGTGTCCGGCGACAGACCGGTATACAGTGCAGACAGACCGTGGTGGTCGACTATATCGCGCAGAATATGAATGGGGTTCTGCCTGCGAGGGCTCTTCTCGAGTTGTATCCGTGAGGTGATGAGATCGAGGGGGTAAACGAGGGCATTTGCAGAGGCCGAGCCTATAGCCCCTGAGACAGCTGACGGTTCGGGTAAGTTGCCAGTCACATTGAGACTTATCTCAAGAGCCTCACCTTGTACAATGGGGGGCAGCGTACTGGTCATGGTGGCAGGGGGAAAGGGGAGAGTCGCTGACCGGGCGCGACGTCGACTAGCGGGACCTTTTGAAGCGTTGACATCATCGCGGGAATCAAGTTCGATTGCGGGGAAATCACATGTGCTCGCCATCATCCTCCCCGGTCGCGCCGGTCATCACTTCATTTCGACGACGTTCTCCGGGCGGCGCGTTGGACGACCTCTCTGACCTTGCCCTCATCCTCCTGAACCGACAACGACATGGCAGCTACCGCTCATGGAATCCGGACGCTTGGCGTCCTCGGCGCCGGCCAGATGGGCACCGGCATCGCGTTCGTCGCTGCCCTTCGCGCCAAGGTCCCTGTCCTCCTGCACGATCGCTCGCAGGACCAGATCACGAAGGGGCTCGCGCTCATGGATAAGCTTCTGGATAAGGACGTGAACAAGGGCAAGATCCAAAGTATCGACGCGAAGGAGGCGCGCGAGCGCGTACGCCCTGTCGGCTCCTCCGAGGGCCTGAAGGCGCTGAGGGATGTGGACATGGTGGTCGAGGTGCGTGATAAGTGCAGTGGTGGCGAGGAAGGAGAGCTGAATGTGCGCTTTGCTAGGCCGTCTCCGAGAACCTGTCCTTGAAGGAGAAGATCTTCGCATCGCTTGCGGCAGAGCTTCAGCCAGGCGCGATCCTTGCGTCAAATACGAGCTCGATATCCATCACCAAAATTGCTGCCGCCACGATCCCGCAAGGGTCCAGTGCAGCTTCAGAAGAGGGCAAGCACAGCGCGGGACGCGTTGTAGGTGCGTGCTTTGCGCTCATGCGCCACCGGCCCTAATTCCCCTCCCAGGCCTTCACTTCTTCAACCCGGTGCCCGTCATGGTGGGCATAGAGTTCTATCGTGGTTTGCAAATTAAATCATCTCGCTCAACGGACAGAAACTCGTCGAACTCATCTCCGCCTTGCAAACACATCCCGAAACCCTCGAGCGCGCACGGTCGTTTGCCATCGACTGCGGGAAGACGGTCACGGTATCAAAGGATGTCCCTGGCTTCGTCTCGAACGCGCTTCTCATGCCCTTCATCAACGAGGTAAGTCTATGCATGATCTCGGTTTGGGAGCTATGTTCACAATACCGCGCAGGCCATCATGTGCCTCGAGAAGGGCACCGCAACGCGCGAGGACATCGACACCACGCTCAAGCTGGGCATGAACCATCCTATGGGGCCATTACAGCTCGCAGACTTGTACGTGCATCATCTCATCGATGATCTTTCCCATCTTCTCTATTCCTCACGCATATGCTGACTCTTTCCTTAGCATCGGCCTCGATACCTGTCTCGCCATCCAGCAAACGCTGTACACCGGCACAGGCGACTCGAAGTACCGCCCCTCCATCCTATTGGAGCGCATGGTCGATGCTGGGTGGTACGGCAAGAAGAGTGGGAAGGGATTCTATGACTACTAAGGTTGGAGATTTTGCATGGCCGATGCGCTTGGGTCTTCGTCGATAATTCAGCGGGAGGTCGAGGTAAACATGATTTGAATTGTAAGATTAACAGCTGTACCTTGTTTTCTAGTGACTCTGGTATGAGAGATGAGCGCACAAGTACTCGGCATATGCACTCCTAGCTTGCCAGTCGAAGGGTCACCTCAACATCATGCGAGGTTCGATCACGTGAGTAACATGCGCGCGCTTCGGAGATTGCCGAAATCCCTTAAATGCGCGGGCGCCACTTTCGCTCGCGCTTTGTTCGGCCACCATCGTCTCTCTTTGACGATTTTCGTTCACTGACACGCGAGGATTTTTTTCTCTTCTCCTACTCGCTACTGTAATAGTACACTTAGCGATGACGAAGACCTATAAGATCCCGGTGCGTTCATCATGCCGGCCACCCGCCACCCTACGCGAGTGGCTGTCCCAGATTTTGTTCTGACTATCACGACCAGAACATGAACCTTTTGTCTCTTTTACAACCAGCCCGACGCATGCTCGGCTACATGCACTCTGTCAAAGCTGACCTCCTTGCCTTTGCTCGACAGCTCGCCGCCTCTACCCGCGACTCCAAGGCCGCGAAGACCTTCCACGAAACCGTCCACCTCCTCCGCACGGCGTACTTTGATGCCTCGACCGCAGTGGATACCCTCGCGGATGTCATACAGCCCCTCTCGATGTGCGTGGTTCCCGAGGGCGATGAACTGACCGGGTGGCTTTGGCAGATTAAGGACATGTACCAATATGTGATCAACGCCTGGGGCGACGCGATCGGGGCGTTCAACCGCGCGATCGAGGCGCTGGGCAAGCTGGACCAGGTCATCGCTAGGTCGTTCACCTCTTCGAGCCCCGTCCGACGCGCGCTGTTCAAGGCCTCGCTCCCCGTGCGCTGCAAGCTGGTAAAACCCTCCCCTCGCGTGAGTATGCTGACCACAGGACGCGCGACGGTGGCGGACCTCCGGCTCAACGTGCTTGCGCTCGCGGACGTGGCTCAAGATGTGCAGACCGCCGCCTTCGAGGCGCGATCGAAGTTCCTCTTGGACGTGAAAGATGAGAAGGCGCTCAAGGCTGACACAGACCAGGACGAGCGCTGGACGCGGCTGAACAACGAAATCGACTCCGCCATTCAAGAGCTGGACGGTGTTTCCCAGGATATGAAGGCCACCGCATCCAAAGTAGCGCAGATCGCAGTGGCGGGGCGCAAGCGGCGCTGCAACTAACTGGTGTGTCTACCCACATCCACGTACTTGAGTGGTAAAACTGACACCTTTCTGATTGCAGGACATGCAAACGAATGATAACAAATGTACCACCACCGCTGGGTTTTGCAAACTGTATTTGTATCTTGTGTATCATTCAACGAAGGAGACAAGCCCTGTCAATGGGCTTCAAGGGTTTCATGGATAACGCCTGATAATGGCCGTCGAACGAGGGTTAGTGCTCAGTGCCGCCGGCTGCTCCCGTCAGATTGAGACTCCTTGAGATCGTAGATTAGTGAAGGCCTTGCAATAGGCCGCGCAGTCGAAGGGCAATCGTGAAGCAAGATAAGTTATTGATTGACTAGTATGCGGTCGATAGTATACGCATCTATAAATACAGAAAAGACAGACGTGAGGGCCTGCACTAGGCCCCACAGATAAATAAGCATCACGTCCCAGTTCTGAGGAGGCGCGTTCGTGAATAAAGCGATCGTGTACAGTAGCTCGTTCGTGGTTCATCACTTCGAGTTGGATGGGGAGAGGGGAAGAAGCACTCGCGTGCAGAGCCGAGTCCTTTGGCGCCAAGCGAGGAGCTTAGCACTCCGCTTTGTACTCGCCCTGGGTATCGCTGTCGACCTGCGCGTCAAACTTCATGTAGGTCGAGCGATCCTCCTTCTTGGTGATGATATCCTCGATCTTGAGAGCCCCTGGAATGCGTATTAGTCCTGCTTCTGTGCATGCCATAGTCAAGGGACTCACACTTGTAGTGGTCCTCCGTCTTATCCTCGTACTCGAACCAGACCCACCCCTCCGCCACGAACGGGATCTGGCCCGAGCCCTGCGTCGTACACGTCTTCACCTCGAAGTTGACCTTGCACGACTTGTCCTTTGCCACTGCGATCGCGACCGTCTGCGTCGTCTGCTGGTTCGACTCGGACGAGGTCGACTTGGAGAGTGTGTTGGTGAAGGTGGTCGAGAGGGAGGTGGACGAGGTGACGTCGGCGATCTCGGGGATGCCGACCTTGACTTCAACGGTCTCGCCGATGGCGATGGAGGATTCCTCTTGGGGAGAGTCAGCGGGTGTGGGTGGGACCGAACAGGGGAGAAACTTACGGGAGACGGTCTGTTCGGAAGTGAACTTGGTGCCCGTGGTCTGGCTGACCGTCGCCGTGCCATTGGTGCCCTTGACCTCGGTGTCGAGCGACTGGGTTTGGGTCGTGCACTTGGGGTCGCCGTCGATGGTGATGTCGCCAGCATCCTCAGCGCAGACCTGCGCCGGCTGCGTAGGGAACTATGCGCTGGTGAGTCAAGACATCTTTAACCGTATGGAAAATGCACTCACATCCTCATCGTTGGTCACGATGTTGCGCGAGCCATCGCCCCAGTTGTCGTTCGCCTTGTTCTCGAGCTGGTCCCAGCCGGGCAGCTTTTGAGCGTCGTCGGCGCTGAGCGAGCTGCACGCGCCACCCTCCCGACGTTGCGGGGTGGGATCGCGCTCGACCAGACCGAGATACGTGCCGCGCGCGTCGTACGCGAGCGTGCGCTTCGTGACGGTGTCGAAGGCGAGCTTCGAGGCCTCACGCGGAACGCCGACGAAGGTACGCTCCGGCGCGGGCGACGCGCTGCCAATCATGGCAAAGGCCAGGGTGGCGAAGATGAAGGACAAGCGGGTCATGGCGAACAAAAGAGACGACGTGAAGAACAGGGAAAGTGGACGAGAATGAACGAAGAACCGGGACCGATGTTGAGTATGGTTGAAGATGCTCACCTTTTATACTGAATGCCAAGGAATAAAGGTGAGAGCGTTATGGGGTGCGCTCAGTAAACGAGGTGGAGCAGGTAATGTGGTCGGGGAGTGCATGATCAATGGGTTCAGTGGTTGCTACCTGTCTGAGATCGTGTTTCGGCTGGTAGACGGCCCTCGGGGAACACGATGTGCACAACGGAACAGGACTTTGCGTCACCAACTCGCCTCCGTCAATGGATTGTCCGGTAAATGGAGTGGCAGTCCGGATTGTAGCTGAGGGCAACGACCTTGGCGTTCACGCCATGCTGCGGAAAAGTCATATAGCCTACTTGCTCAGTCTTGCTGGCTATATCCTGGATACCTACATCTGCTAGCCCTCTCAGAAACAATACCGTCCTCGAGACCCTCAACAGAAAGCAATTTTCCAGGGCAGTCCAAAGTCCGAGGCCAGACAGCAGCGACAGAAGCCTCGTAACTGCCACAGGCGAGGGCATCAGCGAGTTATCAAAGCTCCCCGTTTCGCATCCAACAATTGTTCAAGTTGGTGAGGAGCGTTGAGGTCATGGGCGTGGGAAGCAAGAACTTGAACCTCCTTTGATCCCGGTCCGCAAGGACCCACAACTGCTGGGCTGCGTCCTACGACAGTCATCCTCGACCTCAAGACACGCAACGACAGAGACATCGGACGGAAGCGAAAAGATAAGAGATTTGATTGAGCTGAGCATGTGAATGTCCGCTCGAACATGCTAAATACGAGGAAAGAGAACAATATATACCAAACATGGGCGTGAAGGGCGTATGCACAGGCATCGGTGCCGCGTACAGGACTACTAGGTCAAACAAGATATCAGCGAGCCAGGCGCGACAGAGGAATGCGTATGGGCGTATAAACGTATGCACGTATGTGGTGAATAAAATCGTGACAAGAGGAGAAATAAGTACGCGCAATAACGGCTACTTACGGACAGAAGGATAACAAACATGCGTAGGGAAGACATAAGGACGAGCGGCAGCTCGCGGGGTAGGCGAGAGAGGAAGAGGGGGAAAGACAAAATATAAGGAAAGGAACAGTGCAGTGGTGATCATAGGAGAGCGTAACTACTAACGGAGGGCAGAAGGGCCGATCAGTTGCGCATGCGCGGGACGGCGGTCATCGGGCTCATGAACTTGATCATGTGCGGCTTCATGGCCATCGACGGACTAAGCAACGGTGGCGGGAGGGCTGGCGCGTACATGGCCTGCGGAGGCGCATACTGCGGCACAAACAGGGGCTGGGCCGGTGGTTGCGGTGGCATCGGCGCACCGTACATCGGCCCGTACGCCGCCTGTGGCATAAACGCGCCGTAGCCAGGATAGAAGATGGGATGGGAAGTGGGTGGAGGTACGGGCACGGGCTCGGGCGGTGGTGCAGGCGTCGATACCGATACAGACTTGGACCCACTGCGTCGGTGCTTGCGCGACGTCTTGGACGCCGAGCGCGAATGCTTGCCCTTCTGGGAAGACGACGGGGACTGCTGTGAGCTCGCGGACGTAGAGCGCTGATGCTGTTGTGGCTGCTCTTCCTCGGCGGGTTGGGGCGGCGGCGTCGGCGGCTCAAACCTGGCGCGGTTAAGCGCAAGGAAGCGCTCACGTGCAGCCTCCGCATGTTCATGCCTCTGAGTGGTGAGTGATGGACGTTGAGGAGACTGAGGACGCGCCGGTGCAGGTGCAGGTGAAGCCTCGAACCAACCGTCGTCATCCGATAGCGAGCGGCGCTCAGAGCTGCTCCGGCTGCTATCACGGGACGAAGATGATGGAGTGGGTACGTCGAGTGAACCTGCTCCCGAGGATGAGGCGGAGGACGGAGGTGTTGGCAGCTCCAACGGGTCGACCGTACCAGACGTCTTCCGGCCGCTGCGCACCATACCAATCTTGCCGTAGCCCGAGTCGTGCATCGCTGGGTTGCGCAAACTGTCAACGATGGCGCGAGTCTTAGACTGCGGGCGACGGCGGCGCGCGGCAGCGTCGTGCAGGAAGGGTGGAAGTAGGGAATCCGTGGTACCATCATCGACTTGCGAGTAGAAACCCTGGTCGTCTTTGATGATCTTGACGGCCGGAACGTCGAGCGTGGGGAACGTGAACGAGGGGGCGGGAGAAGTAGACGAGGGGATGGGGGATGCTGTTATCGTTCTGCGAGGGCTTGATGACAACGGGTCATGGAGCTCCTGTTCCGGACTTTCGACGACAACGTCCACGGGGGCGACCTTCGGCGTGGCAGGTACCGACCACGAGGAAGTATGGCTGCTGCCTTGCAACTCGCTGAAGTCGAGGCTGGACAGGGTGGACGTGCTCCTATGCAAACTTCCGGAGCTGCTCGTGGCGGGCGATGATTCGTCGAACAAGAGCTCGTCGTCGCCGTCGCTGTTGCCATCGGCCGGGGTCGTGGTTCGAGTCGGGGCGTCGACAAAGGTGAGGGCATCGACGAGCTCGCGCCAGAGGCTGGCGTCCGTAACGTCCGTCCGGAGGGGCTTGTCCCACTTCGGGCCGTCGTCGAAGCCGACGGCGGCCTCGTAATCGGCCAGCACATCGCTTGCGCCGCGCACGCCCGGCAGCTCCGTGCTGAGCCGCATGTCGTCCGCCGAGCGCCTGCTGCTGCTCCCGCAGGGCTCGCCCGCCCGTATGTGCACCAAGGGCCCGCGCGCGCGGGGGGCCGGTGGCCACACCGCCTCCTCGCTGCCGTCGCCTCCCTGTTTGCGCTCCGCGTCTACCCATGTCGCCCCCTCCACGGGCGTCCTCCACCAGTCCCGCGCGATAACATGCCAATCGCCGTCGGTAGCGGCCATGGTGTCGTCGCCTGTAACACGCATACCGTTTGACTCCCTTTGTTCGTCGCACTGCGCACGCTGACTCACTTATCGGTCTCGAACGACTCCGGCGGTGAGAACGGTCGCTGTCGCCAGCAACGCTGCTGCAAGTGTCTATATTGCGGCGTTCGAGCGGAGCTTCGGCGGCGGTGATGGTTGAAGATAAAATGCGTTTTGTTCGCGCAACGCGGTGCACAACACTCGCCCCGTAACGCCACAAAAATACTTACCGGATAAGGCAATTCAATGAGTTTCCCGGCCCTATGTTCGACATTCGAGACGCGTCCAGCTTGGATCGGGATTCGCGGATTCAGAGAATGGTGGCAGCGCTTTGCCCATACCAGAGAGCCTCCTTTAGGAATGTCGATTCATTCATCGCCGAACTTGGTAGTAGATTAAGTAGTACACGTAGGATAGATCGTAGGAGGGGCAGGTGCTATTACGCCTTCTCGCCACGCAGCCTAGGGGGAATACGGTCGAGTAACCCCTTGATGACCGTCTCCTCGTGCGCCAGCGTGGCCGGCGCACGTATCTTCTTAGGCGCCACGACCTTGGTCGGCGAAGACGACCTTACTCGGTGCTTCAGCTTCTCCGCTGCTTCCTCACGCTCGCGCTCCTTCTGCACCATCGCAGCCCACTCCTGGATCCCCTGCACCTTCTCCGAGCTCTGATAGGCCGAGGACTCACTGATCTGGGACGTGGGCCGTTTCTGCGATGTCGCCTGCTTCAGATAGGTCGGCTGGTCGCGATCAGGCGCTATCTCGTCTTCATCACGGGGGTCATCTGCAGTCTGGGATTCCCCTTCATCGTGAGAGCTATCCTCGTCGGCCGACTTGGCCTTGTGACCACGCTTCGGTTCGTAGATCTGCTCAGGTCGAACCCGTGCTGTCGCGGTATTGGCACGGTGAAGGGTGCGGGGACGGCTGGCGTCCCGCGAAGTGACAGTGGCAGGGTCTCGAACAAGAGCCTTGCTCCTAACGTCGTCAAGCTTGTCCCTGATGCTGGAGAGGTCGAACGGAAGAGCGTTTGAGTTCTGTTTCTGCTTCTTGTACTCGTTGAAGACCTTTCGAAAGTCGCTGCGAGGTGTGAGCGGCGTGCTCTTGGTCTGCGCGCCAGCAGAGTCTTTGGAGAAGCGCACGGTGGGTCGGAAGGTGTTGTGAGCGGTGGCGCCACTGTTCGCTCGAGCCCGAGTACGATTGGCAGGTGCAGGCCGAGAGACGCGGTCCGCAAGTCGTTGAGGGCGCTCGTTCCAGTCAACTTCGCGGCCGGGTAGACAGAAGGGTTTCGTGAGCGAGATGTCGCCAAAAGCGGAGAGATCATAGCCCGAGGCGTCCGCAGCGAAGGAAGGCTCATTGCGAGGCGTCTTGGCAGGGGACTCTTGTACGATCTGGTGCACTCTCGAGTGACGATGAGCAGAGGGTGGCATTCCACGAGTAGCGACCTTCTGCTAGAAAATTTGTGTCAGTGGGATGGGGTCTTAGAAGATGATGTGGCACGCACCCGTTCAGCCATGTCTGTGTCGAGGTTCGGGCAACGGTGATGAGAGTGGGGACAGAAAGTGGCAGGTTGAGGAAACAGGATCTTGAATGGCAATCGCCATGCCACCCGATAAATGAACACAAATCATCGCCACAATGGCCACAGACAAAGGTCAATGCGACGTGCATAAAACACTGTGATCTCGCCTGCGGAATAGGTGACTCCCTTACCCTACACAAGCATACGTCGACATAGGGTGCTTCACACTTGGAAGAGTCGATTTCAAGCCTGTGTGCAGCAGTCTGAGATGATGGTCAGAGCATGAGAAACGGGACGAAGATCACGACCTTTCTGATGCTTCACTTGCACTGTGCATATTGGTGCAAGTGATCAAAGTTACAGCGAAAGATCTCCTCTGCTGAGCAGAGCCTCGTTCTCGAGTCTCCTGTCCCTGTGTGCGACCAGAATCCTACCCATGAGATACATGGGCAGAACAGACTCAAAATCCGCGTTTTGATTGGGCGGGCGATCCGGGCCGGCATCCGGGTGTCATCATACCTCATGTTAGCGCCAATTGAGCACCTTGCGACGTCTTGCCTCCTGCGCTCATCCCCTCGACTTGAGGGCGAAACAGTGCTCGAAAACATTGATAAAAGCTTGTCTGACGACACAGAGACGAATCTACGACCTCTCCAGGCGACGTAGCCTCGAGAACGATCTCCAAGCAGTACGCGGAAGTTATCCCAGGTTCACTGCTATCAGCGTCGGCATTAGGCGCTCCGTATAGAGCTCGAGGAGACGCGAAGGGCCCTTATATGCCCAGGATCGACACCTGAGCTTCAACTTTTCTTCCTGTTCCTCTCACTGCCTCGGCGAAGGGAGCCTATCGTCCCTCCCCGTGTATCTAATCCTTCGGCTTCTTTCCGTCAATCTGCTATCGAATTGCGACTGTCGTTCCTTATCCCTTCCCATCATGGACTCCTCACCCCAGCAACGCAAGCGGCCTGCGATGGCCAAGACGCTCTCCACCACCTCGATCATGGGCATAGACAACGTCCCGCCGTACACCTCGCCGGAGGAGTCGCAGGATGAGCAAGCGAGCCTGGCGAGTGGGAGCCGTCCAAACTATGGCACAGTGCCCAGCAAGCTCAGCTCTGTCGTCTGCGAGAAGCGCCTCGTGCGGCGCATCAAGTACTACATCCCCTCGCTTGGCTGGATCCCAGAGTACTCGTGGTCCCTGTGCGTGTCCTATGTTCTCCACTTTCGCCGGCAGCTGACCCTCCCACTACAGATTCGGAGGCGACTTCCTTGCCGGCCTCACGGTCGCATCGATGCTCATCCCTCAGTCGGTCAGCTATGCGACATCCCTCGCTGGTATGAGTCCCCTCGCCGGTCTCTTTTCCGCCTCCGTCCCCGGCCTCGCATACGCCATGCTCGGCACCTCCCGGCAACTGAACGTCGCCCCCGAGGCCGCACTCTCCCTCATCGTCGGCCAGGCGGTGCGCGACATGCAGCACGACTACGACCCGGAAATGAAGCACTCCACCGCGATCGGGCTCGCCGTCAGCACCGTCATCACCTTCCAGGTGCGCGTCATGCACGCACGCTGTCTGTGCTACCTATTGCTGACAGCCGCGAACAGGTCGGGCTGATCACGTTTCTCTTGGGCTTCTTCCGGCTGGGGTTCATTGACGTCGTGCTGAGTCGCGCGCTTCTGCGCGGCTTCATCACGGCTATAGCTATCATTATCTCCATGTGCGCCCAAATGCCTATCACACCCTGACACTCAACTGACATCCTCCTAGCGAGCAGCTCATCCCAATGCTTGGACTGGTCCCTCTCGAGCACACGCTACACCCCTCCACGACTATTGAGAAATTTGTCTTCATTGTCAAGAACCTCGACCACCTGCACTACCTCACTGCGATCATCAGCTTCACGACGTTGCTTGCGCTAATTGCCGTGCGCAATGTCAAAGGACGCTTCCGGAAGTACTGGTTCATCTACCGCATTCCGGAGGTCTTGCTTGTCGTAGTTGCATCGACAGGTCCGTGCATGACTCTAATCACTGTCTGAGGAGCATTTTGAGTTTACTCATTTTCCAGTCTTGTGCTACTTCTGCAAGTGGGACCTTGAGGGCGTCGACATTTTGGGCGAAGTGCCAATCAAGACTGGAAAGCACTTCTTCAGCTTCCCGGTCTCGGTGAAGTCGTGGAAGTTCATGAGGTCGACGACATCGACGGCTGCGTGCGTATCACTCCAACTCTCCTTCTCGGCCTCAATTTATATCCTCATCTAATACTCACGACTTGTCAGTCTGATTTCCGTTGTCGGCTACCTCGACTCGATCGTATCCGCCAAGCAGAATAGTGCACGCTTCGGCTACACCATCTCTCCCAACCGAGAGCTCGTCGCGTTGGGTGCGGCCAACCTTTTGGGTTCCTTCATCCCTGGAACGCTGCCTGCGTATGGTAGCATTACGAGGTGAGTTTGTGCCGCCTTCAGATCACCCTCGAGTGCGATAGCGATTGCACTACTATCCACACGCATGCGTGCTACCGCGGCTCGAGCTCATCTCGACCTAATCTCATCCTGACCTAACCTCACCTCGACTTCACCTCGTCTCGGCAAACGACACAACGAAACTGACACTACTCTGCAGGTCCCGCATCAACGCAGACGTGGGCGGTCGCACGCAGATGGCGTCCATCGTCTGTTCGACCATCATCCTCCTGGTCACCTTCTTCTGCCTTCCGTGGCTCTACTACCTCCCAAAGTGCGTTCTAGCAGCCATCATCGGCCTCGTCGTGTTCTCGCTCCTCAGCGAGACGCCGCATGATGTGAAGTACTACTGGAAGATGCGCTCGTGGGTCGACCTGACAATGTTGTCGCTCACACTTGTCTTCTCGATCATCTGGAACGTCGAGGTCGGGATTGTGGCCAGTGTTGTCATTTCGTTGGTCCTTGTGCTGCAGCGCGCGAGCAAGACGCGGATGACGATCTTGGTGAGTAAACTCCTTGGGGGTCAGATTCAAATCCGGACGTCGGAATGCTGACGGTGGCGCCCACAGGGTCGCGTACCTGGCACGGACCGTTGGAAGCCGATCAACGAGACCCCAGAGGCCGAGGAGGACGTCCCTGGCGTGCTCATCGTGCGCATCAGGGAGTCCAACCTGAACTTTGGTGAGTCAGCGCGACCTGCAATGACTCGCTGTCGCCTGGTGCTCTTTGGCATTATGGGGAAAACATCGCAGTCGACCTTTGCTCTTCATCTCCCGGATGCTAATCACCTTCCCTCGCAGCAAATACGGCGCAGTTGAAGGAGCGTCTGCGCCGGCTGGAGCTTTACGGACCGGACAAGAGCCACCCGTCGGACGACCCGCGGCGCGCTCAGGCTCACGTACTCGTGTTCCATGTCGCGGACGTGGAGGGGATGGATGCGCAGGCGACGCAGATCCTCGAGGAGCTGCTGTCGGAGTACATCGTGAGTCGCCGCCTTTCCTTGCCCCCCCCCTCTATACATCGCTCTCCACCGCCCGTTCGTCACCTCCCGCCTGAATATGGGCTCACACTCAATTTCAGAACCGCGGCGTGAGCCTCTACTTCGCGCACGTTCGCCCTCCGGTTATGCGCGCGTTCAAGAAGGCGGGTATCCGGAGACTGCTGGGCGAGGATGCGTTCCAGGAGAACGTGGCGGACGTGATCTCGCGGCTGCCCGTGCGGTCCTATGCGTCGTCGATCTCGGGTGGCGCGCATACGCCTGTATGAGGAGGGACTGTGTACACCTTCCAGGGACGGTCGAGTGTGAGGCACGGAGGGGAGCGGAGATGATGAGTGCCCGCCACGGGCGGTGTGACTGCTGGATGTGGCGGTGGTAGCGTGGTAGAGGTGGCGATGGTAGAGGGCGAAGCTTTGAGGCTAAGCAGGGCAGGGGCGGAGCGCACCATGGTTTGTAAATTATTTCACGCATGCATCATCTACTTTACACATTCTTGTGAATACCTTACATAGCCCTTTGTACCACTACATCGTCGGGGGAAATATGGACGGACTGAGACTCGGCGTTTTCGCTCGACGTGCTCATATCTCGCACAAGCACGATAATCTGTGTTTGATGAGGCGTCGATGTCTATACGATCAGTCACGTTATGAAGGCGCTATGCCTTGAGCACATCGCCCCACATACCTTTCGCTCACAAGAGGAGCGGCCTTGACTGAAGCAGCAAGGGCTTTTGCGACCGTATGTCACCGGGGGATACTCTTCCGACTCCAGAGGGAACGCAGGTCCCAGCTCACACCCCGAAATAGTCAAACAGGGCACGGTGATTTTCGTATGCCGAAACCAAGTGCGCATAGGCTGGAGGGACCAACATCGCTTTTTCGGGAGATTGACGCGGGTCTAATCCTCCAAGTTCGAAGGGGATCAGTGTGGCTTCGGGGAACGCGGTGACCTCAAGGGGGAACACGGTGACGGCGACTCGGAGGTCAGATGTGAATAACCGGGGGGTTGAAGACACCGGTCAATTGTGCTGGTATCGTTTGGATATCGCGGCGAGATCGTTGGAGTATCGTGGCGAAGTCGTTTGGAAAACGTGTCGAGATCGCAGTCGGGAGGATCGGCCCTGCGCCGTGAGACATGCTTATAGAAATATATACGACGATGCGTATCGGTCTGGCGAGCACATGGACTGAGGCGGCGAGCAGAGGTTCGAACGCAGTCACTCAAGTGACTACAGGCGAGGGCCACGAGCACTGACTGCGTTCGGGCGTGGGAGGAAGAAGGCGAGCGCTGAGGTGACAGGTCGAAACTGAGCCGTGAGACTGGTACGCCCTGTAGGATGACGGATCACGAGAAGCCACGACGGAGGACGAGGGGAGGCGGATCTCACGGGAAGGAGGCGCAGGTGATAATCATCCCAGGCAGTGGAGGTTGTGACTTCTCGCAAGGCGCCCGAGATGCACAATCTGGCCCTCAGCCATTGCTATCAGGGGAGCGTGTGGCCATCAGGTGAGCAGGATGGTGCGACTGCCGATGGCTCACCTCTTGTTAGCGAGCTACTTCGGCTGACAGGAAGGTCGAAGGCGTCCGGATTCAGTAGAGGTGCGCCTGCATCAGAACTTGATGGTCGAAGAATTGGAGTTCGCGGAATATACTTTGCTTCAGGTGCGATGAGTATGTGGCACAAGGCTGGGAGAATATTTGCCAGAGGCGACGGAAGCCCTACCCAATCCTGAAAGGATACCAGATTGTGTTGAGGTTGGACGCACAATATCTGCGGCAGATACCTATGAGACAACAGATACGCCGCGGTCGTCAAAAATATCATTGAGAACCTAAAGTGATGAACAGCGGGAAACGCATCAAGGTCGAGCAGAGCACATAATCAAAGATTCAACATACATTGTCGTCCGGAGCCGGTGTTTATCTGATCATTAACGGAGGGCGATAGCAGAAACAAAAGTCGCAACCTCAAAACCGCAAGAACGGGCTGTCGCAGGCGAGATACGCCTACGTATTCGGATGATGTTCACACAACGTCAGTACCGCAGCTGTTGAGATGGAGATCCGGTCAAGTGCTTGCGCGCCTGAGATGGGTCGTCGTCAGTGCAGATTCAGGGTGGAAGATGAGTATGAGTCACCTCGTCTAAATGCCAGTTCGTGCGGCTTGCGAAGCCCACGACGAGCGACAAGAGATGCCAGCAGCTGTTTGAGGCTGCTGTGGTGCATACAACAGACACCTACGCAGACGGGGTTGACCGACAGCCGCCTCCGCGGTGGATTGGAGGTGATAGAGCAGCTGGTGAAACCGCCAAACGACAAAGTCGCCGTTCGCTGTACTGCCAATAATCTCTACACACCTATAGCGCTCGATGATCCGAGGAGATGCTGTCGATCCATGAACGACGTGCCGTGGAGGTGGCGCACTCCTCAAAAATCGACATTTAGTACGGCCACAATCCGGGCGTTGAGATCTCAACCCCGACGAAATGCTGTTGATAACGCACCTCCCAAACTATGCAGAAATTATTTCCTCTAGAGCGCATGAGTCAGGACGACAGCCTACTGAGGGATTATGGCGAAATTCGGTCGGCGAAGGCATGCGTGCCCGACCCGTCGAGGCTATAGTGCACGGGCTGTTGCCTGCCTGCCGTGGGTATCGCTGCTCGGAGGACGACTCCAGCGGAGTACGCAGAGTCCTGTTCTGCTCGTCTGGTGTCGTTCCTAGGTTCAGTGGCACTTTGGAAGTACCGCGCTTCAGTGTCCACAGCCTTGAAGCAAACCTTTTGCGGAACAAGGTCTGCTCCTGGAATGGAGATACAAGTCAAACGCGCGCTTACGTCCAGCTTAGCTTGCGACCTGAGCGCTCTCAGTCGACGTTACATGTCGCTGTCGGCGGTACGTCCCGTGGAGGCGGTGTGCAGACGAGGGGTACACGTGCGCAGTTCGATTTGGCCGTGTTGATGCTGGTTGCGTAAACTTCGAAAGTCGTCTGAATGGGACTTGTCAAGAACCACCACGACGGCACGGTCCGACGCTTCCATATGTGCTTTTCCGACTCAACTGTCGAAGGGCGCAGCGTCCAGAAGAGACCACATGCTTCCTCTTGTAGCAAGGAGTCATCATCAGCCTGCGCGCTTAGCACAGCTTCCTTCGAATGAGTCAACTTCTCGTGCGCACCCGCCGGCATTCAAGCTGAATTTCGCATCGCGCAAGAAACAGGCGCGCTTTCTGGCCATCTACGCAAAGCTGTAGAAGGAAATCCTGTGTTATGGTGATGCACTGAGCCGTCACCTTGACTCACTCGCCCGCCATCCAACAAAGCCGGCGCCTAAATGGGGATTCAATAACATTTCAGTATGTGGTCAATCCTACTTTGCACACTGATCTCAGATCCAGATGGGCAGCCGTTGCCCTCCCGACATGCTACGGCTTGCACCGATCGCTCATAGCTGTGGCGAGCACGGTCCGCACGCGCGCCTCTGAATGGAGTCATAATTACAGCCTTTTTCTACAGCAAAGTTGTGGGAGCGCCTATAAAAGGTGAGCCACGCTGCAGCAAGAAGTATCTCATCACTCCCATACATCCTCATCAACCAAAGTCAACATGCCTGCCCTCATCGAGCCCTCTGTCACCGTCTACACCCGCCCCTCGGATTTCACCGACGCAGTCTGGCGGGTACTCGACGCGAATGCGGCTGCATCGAACATCATCTACGCAGGCGCACTCAAGACCCTTCGCCAGGAACAGAAGGGTCGCCCCGCAGCGCCAGGCCAGGCGTGGGTAGTCTCCAGTGTGGCGACACGCAACGGCCCCGTCATTGACTTCATCCTATCCTGCTCCGAGGGCATGATGGGTGCCTACCCAGTATTCATCTACTCGACCCATCAGTCATCTTCTCTCACCCGCGACTACCTCTACCAGCGCCTGGTCCCCATGGCTCAGATCCTACTGAGGGCAGTACCCGCTCACCGCGTATACTCAGTATTCGCCCCTGACCTCATCGCCCGCACCTTCGTCGAGGTCTGGCAGAGGCTCACCGGCATCGCTCCCGAGCGCGAGCTCTACTACCATGCCGCCTTCAGCCGCCTTTCAGGCCGTGCCTTCAAGGACCGCGCGCCGACCGCCATTCACGGCATGCAATTCACGCTGCGCCCCGCAGTGCAGGCTGACGAGCGCCGCGTCGCCGAGCTCTGCAAGGGCTTCGCATCGACCTCCGCGCCCTTCACCCTCGACGACGCGGGCGCGCTGCGCGAGGCGCGCCTCCTCATCACCAACAAGCAGGTCTGGGTGCACATCATCCGCGACCACACCGGCCGCGAGGGCATCGCGTCCCTCGTCGCCTTCACGCGCAACACGGACCGCGTGTCCGCGATCACGAAGGTGTACACGAACCCGGACTGGCGCAAGCTCGGGTGCGCGGAGCGGCTCGTGCGCCGCGTGTGCCGGCACCTGCTCGTCGAGATGGGGAAGGACGAGGTGGTGCTGTACGTGGCGCACAACAACCCGGCGGCGGCGGGCGTGTACCGCCGCGTCGGCTTCGAGGGCGTCGACTCCTGGATGGAGATTGGCCTTGACCAGCGCCGGGTGCAGCTCGGGCACTGGTAATGGACCGGCGTCTCCTCCATCATCCGCATCATCATGACCATCAGACTCTTTTCTCATAACTTATCGCCTCTTTCTTCCTCTCCTCATGTTCGATCTTCCTTGGTGCCGACGCACTATTTATTGTAGCATTTATCACTCACATATTCGTCTCTTCTCATCTCCGAACCCTCATCATGCAGCTACGCATCTCATCTCATCATCATGTAGCCTCGAGCTCTCGTCGGACACCAAGTCATGTATCAAGTACTTACTCTCCTCATATATCGGTAGAATACCTTAGGCTCTCCTCTCCTCTCCTCTAGGCACTTTCATGTTCTCGGATCCTTAATGCATGCTTTTGTATGCATTACCCTACCGGTCCCCTTCAGCGACGCGACCAGATCTCGCCGCCGCAACACAAACCGTGAGAAAGGCGCACGTGTCGCGGTTCGGGACGGAATTCCCGCGCCCTCAACTTGTCTTCAACGCCCGCTGGCCACACCCTTTCTTTCTTCTCTTGTGTTCTTCATTCGCGCGAAGCCGTAGCTCGAAGTAGCTACGATAGATCAATACCCGTCATGTCTCGCCTGAATATTCTCGACTACGCCTACCGCACGGTCACTTTTTCGTGTGTGGCTGTTGGCGCATGGGCTATCTATGCCGGGTGGACCGTGCATTCCGACACTCTCAGGAGAGGAAGAGGTAAGACGCGCCACAAATGAATCAATTGACACCCTTACTGACGTGTAATACAGAGGTGCGAATACTCCTGTGATGAGGTTTTTAATTCGCTGATGCCCGTTGCGTCCAGCTCATGGAACGACACGCGAAAGACAAGGACTTCAAGCTAGAAGTCAAGAAGAAGGTAATGTCTACACCGTTTGTATGCGATTAGCTTGCTGATTGCAAATCAGGAGGAGGCGAGGGAAGAGCTGCTTGCGAAGCAGGCTGTTAGCAACGTGTACGGCCTGAATTCCTAGGTTGCCGGGGTCACTGCACAACTGCCGGCGTCGCTTGTACAGCATGACGATCCAGGGCGTGCGCTGTGTATAGATAGGTGTGCGGTCCTTGTCCGTACGCCACGTCCGACCGCCCGCGCCTGTCGCATACTTCGCGGCGGTCATGGTGTAGAACAAAAGCCGAGTATGCGAATACACCTCTGCTCACTGCTCAACTTCTTGCCGCGCCCCGAGGCCTTGAAGGTCGAGTGCAATGGCACGCTTCGTGCTTGCTCACGTTGTTGGCATAAGGGTTTGGTCTGGCGGTGACAGGTTCAGGGCTGTCCATAATTACGGCGTTGATGATTAATTAGCACTGTCCCGCGCCTGATATTCATCATCATATCGCTTGAACAGCCACAGCTAGTCATTGTATTCCGCTAGCTAGTCCTGCTTCCCCCTACCTACTGAGGCCTGCGAAGCTTGCTTCACTCAAGGAAGTCGGAGTTCGAGGGCCCAGGCTGCACGTGTTGGGGTAGGCGCCCACGAGGCCGGCATCCGATGCCCAAAACGGGGATGAATGAGCACTGTTTGGTCCCGCATTCATTTCATATCCCGTCCTTTTGTTGTTTCCTCCTCTTGCTTTCCCCCACCACCACGCCCCCCACCCGCCCTTTCGCGTCCCCTTTGCGTCCCCACCCTCTGGAATGTCCGTTATCAAGCGCATGACGGAGCGCTTCCACATCGGTTCGAGCAAGGGTTACCAGTACCCCGATGTCGACGTCGGCGGTAGCCCGTACTCGACCGCGCCGACGCCGTCGCTCATATCCGCGAATACGACGCTATTTGATCACCGCGGATCCCTCAGCACCCAGCGCACGTCGTTCAGCGAGCTGAGCGGCCATCGGCAGGGGCTCGGCGCGATCCCGGAGCAGGAGGACATGGAAGCGCGCTTGAATCGGCTGCACCTGTTCTCGCGAAACAAGGGCATCTATCGATTGCAGGACTTTCTCATCCAGCGGACGCTGGGCACGGGCAGCTTCGGACGCGTGCTCCTCGGTGCGTTGCTTGCGTTGATCATTCGCGACGCCGGGTGCTTATTGTCTCCGGCCCGCAGTGCGGAGCAAGCACAACCTGCGCTTCTACGCGATCAAGGTGCTCAACAAGGAGAAGGTGCTCCGCATGAAGCAGGTCGAGCACACCAACAACGAGCGGAACATGTTGCACCGCGTCAACCACAACTTCATCATCAACCTCTGGGGCGCGTTCCAGGACGGGAACAACTTGTACATGGTCATGGACTTCGTCCCCGGTGGCGAGCTCTTCAACCTGTTGCGGCGATCGATTGTGCGTAGCGATGCTTTACGTGGAGTCCCCCTCGTGCTGATGCAAGCCACAGAGATTCCCTGAACCCGTCGCGAAGTTCTACGCTGCTGAAGTCTCCCTTGCCCTTCGATACCTCCACTCAAACAACATCATATACCGCGACTTGAAGCCTGAAAACATCCTCCTCAACGCAGACGGCCACATCAAGGTCGCTGACTTCGGCTTCGCCAAGATCGTCGACACAGTGGCCTACACTCTCTGCGGGACACCAGATTATCTGGCACCAGAGGTATGTGTGCGCCCACATTCACTCCATTCCAATCACTGACGGTGTCCCCAGATCATCTGGGGCGGCCGCTACAACAAATCCGTCGATTGGTACGCCCTCGGCGTTCTTTGCTACGAGATGCTCTCCGGCCTCCCGCCCTTCCACACCCCCGACGGCAACCCGCAAACCCTGTACGCCAAGATCCGCGAGGGCCCCAACTCCCTTCCCTGGAACTCGCCCAACTTCACGCTCTACTCCATCGACCTCATCCGGCGGCTCATGGAGGGCGAGCCCTCGAAGCGGTACGGTAACATGCGCCACGGGGCCGGCGACGTGTTCGCGCACCCGTGGTTCGCGGAGGTCGACTGGGAGAAGCTGGAGGACCGGGAAGTGAGCCCGCCGTATATTCCGAATATCGGGGGCGCGGGGGATGCGTCGGCGTATGTGTCTCCTTCTGGCTTGGAGAGGGGAGAGGGGTGTGCTGACAGGGTTCGCAGATTTGACATTTACCACGAGGATGGGATGGAGGAGCTCTTCAGGCCGCCACCACTCGACACGCTCGCGGACCAGTTCCCCGACTTTGACTACACGTACGACGATTCGGTGGCTCCTTGATTTAGCGATTCCCTTTCCTCTTCTCGGTCACGGACACCCCTCTATCTCGCACGGCCGCCTCCCGTGCCTTGTATGGCTGCCTCCCATCATGCGTATGGCGCCTTCATACCTTGCGTTGTATGACTCCACACCTCTACTACCCAAAACATCCTCATCTACGAGTCGAAAGTCGGAACCCTTTTCTCCTCACGATCCGCTACGTTTTCTCTTGTTTGTTCTTCTGTCTGGTTATATCGTTATGCTTGCTATGCTTCGTATGTACTCTGTCGTTCGTGTACGCGCTCGGAGCGCGGGAGGGTGTACTTTGTGTAGTACGCTCAGAAGGCTGTATCTCGATACCTATCGTTATCGTGTATACCTAGCTATGGTTGGAATGGAATATCCCAGGATATGGGTCGAGAAGTCACGTATGCGAGTAGCGAGTCTTTGTTGGTGCATCCACTTGTGGCCCATCCGGTGCGTGCCCACGATGGACAGGGGGGAGAGCAGTCATATACTATAAGCTGGTGTCGACTAGACCATCCGCTTCGACGTACTAGAAGAACCGCTGGCGACTTCGACAGCTCGGGACATCGTCTTCTTCCCGGCCTCACGCGGGTCGGTCAATCATGTCCTATAGAACAGCGTACGGTGCACTGAGTCTTGGCAACACCATTAGTGTGACCCGTGGATCTCAGACTCCCGAAGCAGTAGGGATTCGTGATTGTTTTTCCTCCTTTGCGGCACAGCTAGCGGATGTGCGGATGCGTTGCGTGGCGCACTCTCGGGCTGATGTCCTCGAGCGCAACCGCTCGGCCATGTTCTATCGCTAGTCACTGCGCCAGCTCGTACTCAGGATTTTTCTCGGGGGGTACAGTCCTCTGAGAATGCACGGACGCCCTCACACGGACCAAAGTTTCCGGGGCCACATAGGTGGCATTTTTCGAGTTACATTAAGCAACAACAGACAGTTTAAAAAAAAGTACAGTGACTTGAAACAAACAAACAAGCAAACAAACGAATCGAGGAAAGGCAACGCCAAGACAACCGCAGTTAGCATCCCGGAGGCAGGAGGCGCGCACTCACCTAGCCCTGCCGTCAAGCGACCTGCTCCATCTCAGCCGCCATGTCCTTGAAGTAGTCAGCAGCATCCTTAACATCCAGATACTTTTCCTGCAACAAGTCCATCAGCTCAACCAAATAAACCCAATCACACGCATCGAGCTTGTACGCCAGATACCCCACAAAGCCGGCCTCCCGGTTCAGCAGATCGGGCACCTGGTGCTGCAGATGCGACATCAGCTTCCCCGTCGCGAACACGCTCCACTGCATCTCGTCCAGCGTGTCGCGCAGCTTGGCGAGCTTGGTGCGGTGCCGGCGGCGCGAGGGGAGGACGCGCTTGCAGAGGGAGGCGGCCCGCTTGGAGACGGCGCGGACGAGCGGGGGGCCGGAGAGGCGGCGCTGGAGGAGCTTGTCGAAGGCCTGCACGGCGCCCGCGGCGTGCTCGCTGTGGGGGAGGAGGTCCGCGAGCTCGGTCTGGAAAGCTGCGTACGCGTCGTTGGCCCGATCGACGGAGGCGTTGAGCTGGGTGGTGCCAGTGTGGTAGACGCTGCAGTGGGTCGCGCGGATGAAGGCCGCGAGGGCCTCCATGGTGATCGCCGCCTTCAGGATGAAGCTATGGGTGTGGTTGGCTGTCTCCTTGAAGGCGATCAGCAGACGGGAATCACGAGTACATCCACTCAGCTGCATGGCAGAACTCAGGGTGTTGGCCTTCACATCGTGCGCAAAGCGCAGCGCTTCGTCCACAGTGTCGATGAAAGCGAAGCAGCCCTATTGCAAGCACGTTAGCGGGGTCGCGATCGTGCCGAGAAAAGGTTTGCGCGCCTCAAGCTCCTGCATGGCCGTCTGGGTGCGTTCGGCGACAGAATAGGCTGACATGTCAAAAGTGAGAGCGTTAAGGAGGAACGTATCGTTCGAACGAGATGATGGTCGTTCTGAGAAAAGCGCGATGCTATCAATGTCCATGACATCAACAAATAGCGACCGCGTGGCAGTCATGTGATGGCCTCGAGGCGTGAGCTCAACATCGCCGCTCTTCGCGATGCCTATTCACCCATGGTACCTGTGAGTCGCATCGTCCACTGTATATGAAAGGCAACACAGGACCGCAGCAAAGGCACAGAGTACCCCGCGCGCCAGATTATTATTATTGCCTCTAATCCGGGCTTTGGTACAGTAAGGTAGATGATATCCGAGACCGACACGACACGGGAGCTAGGGAGACACATCAGTATGCATGGGGTTTGTTGTGGTAAGAGCACAGGAGATACGAGATGGGAGGCATAGGTGTACGGGAGACGCAGAAAACCGGAAGACAGAAGGCTACATTGTGAGTTATTCGATATATGTGACGAGGAGACGAGAGACGAGAGGAAGAAGAAATACAATGAGCTTGCTCGACATGGGCGTCGAGTGGCGAGTCCATTTGCAGTACTTGGCTGCACCTTGCATAGCGGTAGCCGCTGTAGTCGTAACTTGTGCGCTTCAGATGCGCACGTCCTTCATTTCGTCCAGCGCTTAGAAGGCCCAGAGGCGGTCCTCAGGCGTCACCGCCCACGCGTTGCCCTGTGCGCCCCACGAGTAGAGGCCGCCAGCGACGACCTTTGGCTGCTTGGCCTTCTGGACCGCACCGCCAAACTGCATCCGCTCGCCCAAGCCCATGCCCCATACCGCGTCCGCGTACAACCCCGGCGCGTACGACACGCCCTCCAAGCGCGGCGTCGGCGCCCACGTCTTCGCCAGCCCCTCGTACGCGTCGCACACCGAGGACGCGACGATCCTGTTCGGCGCGGCACGGAACATGACCGCCGGGTCTGCGATCTTGTTCGCGAGGCGCGTGTCGACACGGAGAGCATCGGCGGGGATCGGGGACGCAGGCAGGTTCGCGTTGGGGATGGAGTGGAAGAGGGACTTGAGGTCGGGCTCCGGGATGGAGAAGGAGGGCGTGGGCGATGCGGGGGTGTCGAGCGAGGAGAGCGAGGCGCACGTGCTGGCGGGCGAGAGCGAAGGTGTGACGTCATCGTCCGCTTGGACCGACGCGTTCTCCCCATTGTTCTCGGGAGTGGCGTGCGCGCCCTCATCGGCGGCGGGCGCTGGCTCGATGGCGGCGGCGGCCTCCTCAGCAGCGGCAGGGGTATTGTCGATGGTGGCAACGGACGCCTCCGGCGTGATCGCGCGCGCCTGGGGGATGGCGATGGTGAGAGGGCTCGGGGTCCTGAAGTACGGCACTGCGTAGACATCAGGCACGTCCGACGTCTCGAGTTCGTCCGTGAGAGCGGCAGCCAGCGCGTTCGCGAGCGCCTCCTCCTTGTTTCCAACGTGCTCGCCATCGGCGTCCTCGACATCGCCGGCATTGTAGCCGGGGGCGTAGACAGGTACGGGGGCCACGGCGCTAACGATCGTCTTGTCCTGCGCGTCCGCCTCAAGGTCGGCCGCGCCACCGGACGGGGAGGAAGGAGCGGAGGACGTATCCGAAGACGAGGACGAGGACGCCGCCGACGAGTAATCGGACTGGTCCGAGTCCTGCTCCTTTGTGGCGGACTCCGCCGCATGGGCGTACGGGGTCAGGTCGATCGTGGCGCGCGACGCGGGGCGCGCGTAGGGCGTGAGGTCGATGGTCGCGCGAGACGCGGGACGGGAGGGCGGGGTGGTCGCGACCGCCGGCTCCATTGTCGCGGGCGTGATCAGGCTGACCACCGCGCGCTTAAGGGAGCTGAAGAGACCGCCGCGGGCGCCAGGGGCAGCGCCCTTGTCGGCAGTCTTGCGGGAGAGCAGAAACATTCTTCTAGTTATTCTGAGCGGGAGATTGGTGCTAGATGCCACGAACTGCGATGAAAGGTAAGCGACGCTTTCCTGGCAAAGGGCCTTGCCACGCACCTGGGGAAGGAAGAAAGGAAGCCGGATAAGATAGTCGAGTCGATAGACGAGTTCAGAACGTTCACAAGTCGATAACTCCCAAGCAGGCGGTGCTCAAGAGTAGTGGCAGATGAGGGTTGGGTGCAAGAAAGAGGGCTGCCGCGCGCGCTTCTTATCTATGAAAGGTCTATGTTGTGTCCCACGGACCTGTGGGAGCCGTCGGCAGGGGCGAGCACCGACAAAGAGCACCTAAAGGGGCATGTAGGGCCCAGTGCGCCGCTCGGACCAGCGTCATACACTGAGCTTCTATGGTTCCAGCACACGTTCCATGCCTAATCCCTGCTTGTGATCAGTCCAGGTCGATAGGAGACATGCGCCTCGAGTTCTCAGCGTGGACGTTGGATTTCAGGAAGGGACGAGACTGGCGCGATGGGGAGAAAGGTTCGGCGAAGATTGATTGACGGAGGTGGACCGGCTCGCCGCCGGATCTATTGTCCTCTATTGAAAACATTGATTCCATTGATGAGGAGGCCGTAAGCAGGTCTGAGCTGGTCCTCCAGGCTCCGCACAGCCCGTTGGCAGGAAGATCGGTGTCAAGTGACGACGAACGTAACGCGGCGAGCAAGGAGTAGAAAGGCAAGGAGCATTGAAGACGACGCGTGTATTTTGTCTTGTTTGACCGTCGGCACCCATATGGACCTTCAAGCACCCATACCGAGCAAGGGCGTGCGGTCACAGCATTCGTACATCCTCGTCTCCGACGTCGTAGCTCGTATGTACATCGTCCACTGGACTAGTCCGACTGTGCTACATAGGCATTGAAGTTGTACACCTCAGGCGCCGCCTCGAAGCGGAACTCGGCCGGTGCGCATCTCGCCACGACTTCATCGTCGCGCTCCATCACGGCCCGCATCCCATGCCCAGGGCGCAGCGGATGGGAGAGCTTCGTCAGACCAGCTTGAACGTGATGTAAAGCCTCGTCGGTCGAGGATCCCTCGACGCCGTGGCCCCGTCCTCCAAAGGCAACTTTCAAGCGGGCTGTGAAACGTGCTGACTTGCGCTCTTCGGCTCGCACTGCGTCTTCTCCATCCGCGATTGTACTCAGCCTAATCGTCGCAGGAGACATAGCGAGCACGACGACCCAGAACTTGTCGTCCGTCTACGCATTGATCAGTCCCTATGCCGGCAAGTACGAACCTCGAGGAAGTGCTCACCAACTCCCAGTTACCCGGCCTTGGTACAGCATCGTTCCGCGCCTCCGCGTCCTTCGGATGCGGCCTCGCCCACATGAATATCTGATCTTTCTCGACGGGCGGATGGCGCCCCTCACGGAAGGCGCGCGCGAGGTAGGCCGTGAGCGCCATCCACGGCTCGTGCGGGAATCCGTCGACCCACGCCTGCGAATTGGGCTGCGCGCCGCGGACTGGCGCGATGTAGTGGCATTCTCCGTAGTCTGAAGGGACGCATCAGATTCTTTGCTGCCATTGTATAAAAGGCAGAGGTATAGAGATGCGGAGGGAGATGCACCATTCCAAGAGATCACTTGTACGATGTCAACCCGGTCGCGCATAGCGAGCAGTTTTTCCCATCTGCGGACGTAAAGCCAGTCATCGCCGCGATAGATCCACTGTTGGGCGTTAGCTCCTCAATCGTTCACCATTCATCGCACACGCGCGTTCTTATTCCACGAGTCCTTCCCATAGTGCTTGATTTACTTGTCAGCGACCGTTCTACTAGTATTCTTCCAACAGACGCCACTTACCGTAAAAAACCACGGAGACACCGCAGCCATATACGGCCGGCCCTCCAGATGGCGCAGATGGTGCACATCGGAATCAAGAGCTGGCTTCTCTATCTCCCTGCGATGAGAGTTGGGCGATAGGTGCAGAGGCCATCCGCCGTTCCACTGTAATTGCCACGTCAAGTTTCCTTTACCAATGCATACCAACGCCCTACGTACGTGGAAGTACCCATCCATCGACGCTATCGTCGGATACCGGCTGGGATCGATGAAGAATGCGGGTATTAGGGTTATGGGACCCTGCGCGAGAATATGAGCGAAGTCAGAACTTCACAGATTAGCAGATCTCGCATTCCAGAGCTTGGCGAGGCACTAATTCCACCCAATGCAAACCGGTACTCACCGGCGAGTGCGTTTCCAACCTCTGCTTCACCATAGCCCACGCCTCGTCGAGGTGCGAGCAGCCGAATGTCGCGTCTTGACCGGCGAAGGTCGAGATGACCACCCGCTCTTCGTCCGGATAGCGGAACATGTTGGGGTGGTGGGCGAGGCGGGCCACGTACTCGGCGAGGTGGTCGACGTCGGCGGGTGTGGCAGAGGGGATGGAGCTACGAGAGGGGCATACGCGTAAGTGTGGGAAGCGTAAGTGGGGCAAGCGCGAGTGTGGCATCGGAAGAAAGAGTGCGCTCGCCTCATGTCAAAGCTCAGGAAGAGTTTGAGAGGAGACTGGATGGCCGCCGCGGTGGCGAAGCAGTCCAGCACTCGGTCTCGCTGCCATTCCTCGCGGCCGACGTTGAGCACGAAGCCATCGCTATCAATGGGGATGGGTCAAGCGAGAGAAAGATCTGAAATAAGAAGCACCCACAGCCCCGCTCGTTCCCTGCAGTCGATAAGGTCTTGCTCCCAAACATTGGTCGTGTACGGATAGGTATTGCCCACCATGAAGCTGAGCGATGTTAGGTTCCCTGCTGCTTCGTTGGAGATTGACGCACTCACTGGGCGAAGACATACTTGGGCCGCTCGGTCATCGTCGAGAGCAGGAGGTTAGGCGCAAGAGCGGGCGCGGTAAGCTAACTTGAACTTGGCCCGTACGTACAAGTCGGCAATCACCGACAAGGCGCCCACACCCGCAGACAACTATCCCACGAGACGGAGCGCACGAAGCGAAATCCCACAGCAGGGCGTACGAAACGAGACTCTACAGCATGGTACATTTCATACACACAGCAGTGCAAGCGACAAACAAACAACAGGTAGATCGTACAACAGATTATCGGGACCCCGCCCTGATTGGGCCTCTGTCCTCATTGAGCCTCCGCACCTCATTGGGCCTCCGCCACCTGCAAGAACTTCGCCCACTCCTCCTCAGGAACGTCTGGGTAGCTCTCCTCGATGCTGGGGAACGACCGCGCCTTCACGGCCTCCGTGTACTTTTGGACGCCCGCGTCCCGCTCGCTTTGGCAATCTGCAAACCTGCGCGCAAACCTCGCCTTATGCCCAGACCACGTCCCCATGATGTCGTCCCACACTAGAGCCTGCACACGCATGTCAGTACCCTTTACGACACACGTAAAGATCAGCTGCAGCCACTCGCCTGCCCGCTCGTCTGGTTGCCCGCGCCCACACCGATGGTGGGGATGCGGAGCCGGTTGGTCAGATACGCGCCCAGGTTGCGCGGGATCGCCTCGAGCACGAGCGCGAAGGCGCCCGCCTGCTGCAAGGCGAGCGCGTCGCGCAGCACGCGCTGCGCGCCTGCCGCCGTGCGGCCCTGCACCCTGAAGCCCGAGAGCATGAACCGCTGCGGCATGAGCCCGATGTGGCCCATGACGGGGATCCCGATGTGCGCGAGGCGCCTGACGGCGTCCGCGAGCTCGGCGCCGCCCTCCATCTTGATGGCGTCCGCCTTGCTGGCCTGCGTGAGGCGGACGGCGTTCCGGAGCGTCTCTTCGGTGGAGACGCCGAAGGAGCCAAAGGGCATGTCGGCGACGATGAAGGGATGGGTCGCCCCCCGCGAGACAGCGCGCGCGTGGTGGATCATCTCGTCGAGCGTGAGCTGCGAGGTGGAGTCGTAGCCGAGGCAGACCTGCGCGAGCGAGTCGCCGACGAGGATGATGTCGGTGTTGGGATTGGCGGAGGCGGCTTTCGCGGTAGGGTAGTCGTAAGCAGTGAGCATAGCAATTGGCTCGCGGTTCTTGTGCATCTTCTGCAGATCGGCGACAGTGACCTTTGGTCGTGCAGCTTGGGGGAAGGGTAAGTCAAAGGCTACACGCGTTATAGGGGGTGGAGGAACACACCTTCAGTCGTCTCGCGCACTTCAGGGCGCACGCTCATCCATCGGCGCCACTGAATAGCAGCAGTTCCCCTCCCCGCGCGAAGGGGAAGTCGTGTAGCATTGTAGGCGCAGACGCTGAGCATTATGGTACAGGAAGGAGGGAAGGGGGGAAAGGAGATGCAGTCGATAAGACCTTGGCGAGGGCTTGTAGGCGCAGATTTATAAAGGATAGGCAGCACGCGCTAGAAGGCAGAGCACGTAGCGAGGCGTCTTGATGATCATCGCAGAATAAAACGACAGGTCAAAATGGGATCATCTTGTCATCTCCGGCAACATGAGCCGGGAGGCATAAGCGGCACGGCGCCCCTTGGCCCCCAGGGCGTGCATCCGTTGCACTCGGGGGTGCCTCGAACCCGGATAAGGGCGCTTCGGGTTGTGTACCAGGCGATGATGACGGGGGAATCAACGAGCATCAACCGGACTTCGGGATCGACGCGAAGGTGCTCATCTCACGGACGGGCCTCGGTCCGGTCCAGGCGCACGTGAAGGGGGGAACAATGGCTTCCCAAAAAGCAACAATCAACTCGGGCGGTCATGAAGGCAAGCCAAACGGTATATTTTCAGGCGAATAATGTTACATGATGAACGTGCGTAGTGGTACAAGATGCAAGAGGTCCATGAGCCGCGCTCCCATCACTCCGAATAGTTGTCGTCCTCGTACAGAGCCGGCTTGAGGGCCTCCATGATGCCCGAGACCTTCTCGTAAACGGCAAACACGACCGCCTGCCCGGGCGCAACACGCAGGACGCGAGGCGTGATACCCTTATAGAAAGAGCGGACACCCTCCTGCTTCCACATGTCCGACGCGATCACCATGATACGCTGCAAGGCGCTAATGTTCGGCGTTGCAGGCGCTTTCTGTAACCCTGCACGATGGGTGAGCATGCACGTAAGCGAAGGACGAGGGTAACCACGTACGCGTCTTGATAGTGTCGATGGGCGCGTTGGAGAACGGGCCCATCGCTCCTGATATCAGGCCGATAATCATATGTTGGTACGAGGGCAGGTCCTTGAGGTCGGGCTGGTACTGATGTGCTAGCTTCTTAATCTCCTGGTATGCGGTAAAGTTTGCGCCTAGAAGACTCTCTGTAAGCCTCATGCCGAGGGACCAGGGGAGAAATTACCCGCTCACCCTGGTTCGTGGCCTGCCGCAAAGCGGTGAGGGAGACCCCGCGGTATAGCGCGCTGAAACCTTCTTCTCGGACGATGGTATACACCGCATGGCCTGCATTGCGGTAGCGAGGCTGCTCAAGAGGGTCCGCAAGCGAATGCATTTGCGCCTGTAGCCGAATCTTGACTACTTCCATTGGCGTGACGACGGCAACGGCCTCAGTCGTCCCTGCGGCGAGACCAGCTAGAAGACGCCATTAGTCAAAAGCGTAGGGAATGAGATGACGACACGCACCAAGGAAAATATTCCGAGTGGCGGTCTTTCCTGTCTCCTTGTCCGCCAGCCACCCCTTGTACGTCTCAAAACTTGCAAATCGGATGGCCATCTTGGGGACGATGCCGGATAGGACCGCACCCAGACCCTTGTACAGGGCGAGTGGGGTTTCCCGCTTGACTATCCATGCGCCAGTCGCGAAGAACCCTCTGGGTTTAGTCTGAAGAAGTTCATTAGCAGGGAGATCGTCCATCTAGACGTGGCTACGTACGCCTGGTGCGCGTCCTGAACGCGAAAGCTGCATTCGGACTTTGATGGTGTCCAAGGGCTGGCATGCGAGCTGCGTATTCTCGTCAGGAAGGAGAGTAATGCATACGCTAGGCAACGTACTGCTTCGCAAGCACCCGCGATGCCCCCTGCCGTGATGTGCACGGCGAAGGTGACGGGCTTCTTGCTATCGGACCTCGACATTGCGCCTTGACGAGCAGAGAGAGCGGACTGGTAGGAGCGGCCTGAAGAGAGCCAGAGCGAAGGAATGCAGAGCAGGGGCGACGAGCAGCAGACCGCCCCGCCAAGCGAGACATCCTATAAGTACGGGAGCCAGGTGATCGCGCGCGCCTCTCCCATGGTCTGACATGTGAATACAATACAGAAGGCGGGCGAACGAGTCACTGCGCCCCTGCATGACATCGCGGGCGGGCTGGCGTATACACGCAAGTTCGCGAGCACGGGACAAGACCGGGCAGCCGCCCGGCGACGATAGAGCGGAGGTCGCGTCTGATTCCGGCCGGAAGACCGTAGGTGGAGGTATTCACGGGCGAGCGCGGAGGCGCCGCAGCCAAGAGCGGGGCGGGGGTCACGAGTACGGTGAGGAGAACGAGAACGATCATCCGCGCGCGGTGGCGCTCGACAGGCATCATCGTGCCGAGCGTTGAGGAGGCGGAATATCTTGGGCGCTGCCCGGCAGACTTGGGGGGACGAGGAGGGCTGGTCGGCAACGCCAGAACCTGGAACCTGAAGTACTGTGTCCCCACAGCGACTCCGGGGATCGAAGCGGGGCAGCGGGGCTCCGCAAAACCCACGGACATAGATGCGGACACAAGCGAGAGTGTAACCTGCCGACGCTGCGACCGCCTCCCATGTCGGTATGCTTATCCTTGTCAATCGAACACCATCCTGTTGGAGTAAAGACTGCCTTTGGGCAACCCTTTGCTCGAGGAATTGGGGACCTGGCCATTCAGAACAAGTTCGAGAGCGCACGTGGTAGGAATTGCGTGACGGGGGCCATAGTCACGCTCGCCGGAAAAGGAAGGCTTTGTCTTCCCACTCTCATCTGTCTCCGCCAACTCTCATCGGAGTTGCTTGCAATTCACCTCCTTAAACATGAGCGCAGAGCCTTCGTCCGCCCAACTACCGAACAAGAAGAAGCTGAAGCGTACTATCGCGCAAAATGGCACGAATTATCTAAAAGGCATGCCATAATGAATAGCACACAGGGTCATTGTTACTGACAGCAGTGTCATGATAGAAATCTACAAGACGAACCCAAATCCATCACGTACGGAAATGCTGGAAATTCTGGAACAACTGCACGTATGTGGCTTACCTGTTGGCGTTAGCTGATTTAGTTACCCTGCTGCTCAGGGAATGGTAGGCAACGAAGAATGCACCATAGAAAGCGTCAAGCAATGGTTCAAGCGCCAAAAATATGCGCACGCGGCGAACGAACGAGGACTCGGCGACTTGCAAACGTCGTTGTGTAAGTCCCTTCCCCAAGCGCCCATGCGTACCGGCCTAACTCGCCAACAGCCTACCCAACCCTGACCGCAGACCACATCCGCACGCTGACCGCGCTCTACTCCGCCCAGAAGGACGCGCCCGACTCCGTCATCGCGTCCTGGGCGCTCGTCTGCGCGGGCTCCGACCTCAGCGACGTGCAGCGCTGGATACGCGACCAGCGGCGCCTCGAGCTGGGCACGCCGGAGATCTCCCCTGTAGAGAGCACGCTGGGGACATCTCCCGTGGAAAGCACGCTGGGGGTATCTCCCATAGAGGTCCCACCCCCTGTGAAGGGCCCGCCGGAGCCCGCGCCGCAGAGGCTATCCATACGCCTCCCCCCGCTGATGCTGAACGCGCAACAGCGGCCGACCGAGCAGAGGATACCGGTGCGTATTTCACGGACGACAACGATGATGATAATCTCACCCCCTGACGCTTTCGCAGCCACCACTGCCGAACTATCGTGATATCCTGTCCAAGGCGTTGTCCTCGAAAGGAGACGCCCCTCCGGAGCAACCTCCCCGCACCATCGAGGAATGGAATCAGCAGTTCGCGCCCTATGACAGGATGCTCGACCGGTTTGAGGAGCGCCTCAGGTCGGCACGCTTCGCAGATAGCCCTCGTTAAGGATCCTAGAGTATGAAGCTCTGTCTGTCTTTCGTTCTCCGAAGTCTTCATATTCAGCTGTCTCACCATTTTGTTCTACCGTTGCTTTCCTGTATCGTCGTTGTCGATGTTTTCTCCCAAGCTCAGCATGAGTCGTCCCGCCGATATCCCCAAATAACGAGACTATCATTTTAGGAAGAGCGGCGATGGGCAAGCCAGCTCTAAAAGCAAGAATATAGGTAAGTAGACAGCAAGAACGTTAACACATGGTGGAAGCATATAAGCAAGAAGAGTCTACGACACAATGCAAGAGAAACATGGAGTGGAATACAAGAACAACAGCCGCCAGGATCTACGTGCGCCACTCGGCGAAGTGCTCGTAGTCCTGCACGACCAAGCTGATCATGTAATCAGAAACCGAACCACCTTCCCCCTCATCCCCTTCAGCATCTCCATGAACCGCCGCCTCCCCTCCTTTCCCCGCCTTCTCATCCTCAAAGTCCGCCTGGTCCGCATCGTCCATATCGTTCGCCTCCCGCATCGCCACCGCCGCCGCATGCGCATCGTCCCGGTCCTCCACCTCCGCCAGCGCGGCCGTGACCGCCTGCTCGTTATCCAGAAACCGCCGCCAGTCATACTCCCCGCGCTGGATGACGAGGCTGTCGAGCGAGCGCTTCTGGTTGGCCTTCCGAAGCATGGCCTCCTCGACGGTGTGCTGGGACACGAAGCGGTAGATGTGCACGTCGCGGATCTGGCCGATGCGGTGCGCTCTGGGAGGGCGTCAGGAGGGCTCAATGCATGCGCGCGCGGGAAGTAGGCGGGTGAGGGCAACGTACCTATCCTCGCACTGCCGGTCCATCTGCGGGTTGAAATCGCTGTCGTAGAACACGACCGTGTCGGCGCCGGTCAGACTGTCGCAGGTCGTCAGCCCCTCCCGATCCCATCATCACCCTTGAGACTGCTCACTTGATCCCAACCCCGCCCGACCTCGACGACGCGATGAAGCAGAACACCCGATCGTCCGCATTGAATCTCTCCGTCACATACTGCCGGTCCTCAATCTTCGTCGCTCCGTCAAGCCTTAGATACAGATAGCCGTGGAAGTTGAGGAAGACCTCGAGGATATCGAGGATGCGCGTCATCTGCGTGAAGATCAGCACCCGGTGGCCGCCCGCCTTCTTCTCCCGCAGGAGGTCGGCGAGGTACTGCAGCTTGCCGCAGTCGAACTGTAGGAGGAAGGGGTCGGGGAAGGCGATTTGGAGCTTGACGGCCGCGCGGTGGAGGGAGGAGTCAAAATCTGGGGGAAGGCGGAGGATCGCGCCCTCGTGGCTGGCGAGAGCGATGGAGGGGATGTCGCGCGCAACAACGGGCGGCGTAGCGAAGGCGAAGCGGTCTATCACGTCTCTCATCTGCTCCGCGCGGTCTTCGAAAGACGCGACGGCCGTGTGCACGGCCTTCGTCCGATGCCAGTGTTCGAGGCGCAGATCGAGCGCCGACCACGGACGCAGCGTGAACGTGCATGCCCGAGCGACACGGAGGAGCTCGGAGCCGATGATAGGCGTGTCGCTAGAGCATCGTAGATGGTGTACATAGCCCAGGTGCCGACGACGTTCCACTGCAACGGCTTGCTCCTGATATGCCTTCCACGCTCGAAAGCCAGCAATTGTGCGTAGGTCCTTTGGTGGCGGCTCGCCCGGCGCGTCCGACGTGTATTTCAATTGCGGGGAGTAGTCCAACCGTCGGCCTTCCAGTGCAGAAATCAGGGGTTTCCCCTGATTCTGTATAAATCGTAGTCCGAGAAGATCGAGGTCGACATGCTCATCCTTCTCGATACAGAACCGCCGTCGTACAAGCAGTTCCTTGATCTCGTAGTCCGCGATCGCCGAACGCGACATGGCGAACGAAGTGACGATGGGCCGCACCTCGAAGAGATCAGGATGGTTACAGACCTTGCGCAACTGCATGAGGATGTTCGCAATCTTCTGGTAGACGCCCGACTGCAGCTCCGCCTGAGTTTGCGCGCGCGACATAAACTCGTCGTACAGGAATCGCTGGCGTTTAGACAAGGGGCAAAGGACGTCGTGTTCGTGCTTCTTGGGAAGCTGCTTTTCGACCTGGCTTTTGAGTCGACGCAGCATGACGCTTCGTAGGATCTTGCGCAACTTTTCCACGCGTTTCTGCGTCTCCTCGTCGTCCTGATTGCCCATCTCGATAGCCTTCTCCAAAGGGTCTACGCGCACATAATACTTAGAGATCGTAACGCCGGAAAAGTACAGACACGCACTGGAGAACCAGTCGCCAAATTCCTTCTGCGACGCAAACTCAGACCCCGCCTTCAGAAACTGCAACAACGCCCACAGCTCGGTGAGGTTGTTCTGCAACGGCGTGCCGGTGAGCAGCAGCCGACGAAAGCTCTTGAACATCAGGAGCAGATTCCACCGCTGCGACTTGAAGTTCTTGATCATGTGAGCCTCGTCGAGGATCATGTAGTACCATGACCGCCGCTTGAAGATGGCGACATCCCGGGTGGCGAGGGCGTACGAGGTAATGCAGACATTGAAGGAGTACTTGTCATTCCAGCCCTTGCGCAGGTCGCGCCGCTTGGTCGTGTTGCCGTGGTACGCCAACACCTTGAAGCCAGGAAGGAACTTCTTGAACTCCATCTCCCAGTTGAGGATGACGCTGGTAGGGACGATCTGGTGACCGTAAGCATCGGCGTCGTCGACTCGCTGACGTCCACCTACAATGAGATGCGGACCCCAAATACCGCGGTCGCATGCCAAATGGGCCAGCAAAGCGATGGTCTGAATGGTCTTCCTGAGGGGGGCTTCATCAGCACACGTCGACACCTTGACAAACTCCACATACCCGAGGCCCATCTCATCTGCCAGAATACCATTCTGATTCGTCGTATGCAAGTTCGCCAACCACTCAAGACCATGCTGCTGGTACTCACGCAACTCACCCCGCAGCAGAAGCGGCTTCTGTACCTTCTGCTTCGGGTGCCACTGCACAGGCGCGACAGCATACGGCGTTAGGTAGTCTGGCACTGTGAGCTCTACGCTCTTCGACCGTACGACAGGATCGTCGTCAGACGCAAGGGAATGGTGATCGGACTGGGGAACGAGGTCGTGGAACGGTATGTCTACGTCCGCGGGCCCCGCGGCCAGGTCGTCCTCCCAGCTGATTTTACTAGGCTGGGGGTACACGATATCGATCGATTTGCGAGGCGATGAGTTCTCGAATTCGTCGACTTCCATCGTGGTGCCTTCCGTATCCCAGGGATGCATATCGACGGAGGCTGAAGAGGATGCTGCTACGTTGAAGTCGGCCGGGGTAGTGGGCTCTACAGACGACTCGGAAACTTGCGAGCTCGTGTGCTCCTGAGATTGCGAAAGAGGGATGTCGACCGACGAAGAACGATGTGACTCTGTGGCAAAGTCGTTTGGAGGAGATGTCGGGCGAGATGAAGCACTCCCTTCGTCGCCATTATGCACTGACGGAACCTCTTCTTGCTCGGTAGGAACGTCGCTTTGCATCACAGAGACGGAGTCGTTGTCTTCGCCGTCCCCGACGTCCTCATCGTCGCTGTCCTCCGGTTGACCATCACTCTCATCGTCCGAGTCCGCCTGAGACGATGCACTGAACCGCGTCGACCGTCCTCCCAGGGCACCTTGCTGCAGCTCCAGCAACTCCTCCGACTTGTCAAGAAGAGCATCCAGTCGCTTATGACCCAGTCGGATCTCCTCCGCCTCCTGCCTGCGACGCTCTTGCTCCCGAACGTACTACGGCAGATCAGCAACGCACATCCTAGAAAACCACGCCCAGCACTCACTTTGACAGCCTCAACCCATTGCCGGACAATCAGCTTCATGGTCTCCTTCGCCAGCCGCTCCACGCGCCGCTGCTCATCCTCTTGCCGCTTCGCCTCCCGCGCCCGGTACTCGACCATGACCTGCGCAGAAGACTTCGCAGCGCGCTTCCCTGCGCGCTTGCCGGCCTCGTACCGCTCCTCAACCTCCCGAACGACATGAGCCCATACGTCGGTCGACCTTGGCCCGAGAGGATTCGAAGAGGCAGCCGCTATGGCCGCTTTCGCTTGCTCATATTTCTCTAGAGGTAATATCTCTCCCTCAGCGCATAGCCGGTGGTATCTCTCCAAAATCTGTGCATCGTGCCGTGCGCGCTCGTTCACTTCGTCGGCTGTCAGAGACCTGTCGCCGTCCAGGATGTATGAGTCCAGAAGTGCGGGGAGCGAGTGCCCATGTCGAGCAGGATCGGGGACTTGGAAAGGGTTGGTAACTACCGGTGGCGGCCGTCGTACGATGAGGTTGACGCTCTTGATGGTAGAACGCGGTCTGATCTTGGTTGAGGGGTTCGCATCCACTGCAGGTACGTCATTCGATTGTCCGTTCACTGGCCTTTTGGGTCTACCGGCCGCGCGCTTCGGCGTAGCGAATGCAGAAGGTGTGGGTTCTCCTTGCTTTCGTCGACGTGCTGGGACTCGCTTGCGCATCGGAGTTTCTGGCAGAGGACGTTGCTCAGACGGGCGAGCTCGCGTCCGAGCAGGTGCAGTCGCCGGCTGTGGAGGCGCCGCAATCATATCATTTTGAGCCGTCTTGCTCAAATCACTCTTCGCCGCCTTGCTTGGACTACTCTCTGCCACCTTGCGAACGTCCCCTTTCTTCGCCGCCTTCCGGGGACTTCGAGGGACAGCCGGGCCATCATCGCTGCTTATACCCGTGTCGCTATCGCTGGCTCTCCGCCGCTTCTGTGGCAGCACGGGCTTCACCGGTCTCGACAGCTTCACCGTGCTAGGGTCTGGTGGTTCGGTAGGAGGCGGAGGTGGGGGCATAAGGCGTGTATCTTGCAGGGAAGACGTTGATACACCATCCGAGGAAGATGACAGGTCCGTGAGCGGACTAGAGGGTGGCTCGGCACGCTGTTTGCCCTTGCTGCGTGCGGATATGGTGACGGTCAATTCTTCTTCATCCGACTCCGATGGGGCTTCCCGGGTTCCATGTCGCGGTATGCTGAGCTGTGGACGCACGGGGGTCGTGGGGTTGGCGCGCGCTTTGCCCTTGCCTTTGGTCCGCGCGAACAGCGTAGGAGGAGAATTGAAGATCTCGCTGGAGGATCGTGGCGGCGGCGGTGCTTCCCTGGGCTCGGTAGGAGGCCGAGGTGGTGGCTTCGGAAGTAACAGCGCTCGCTGCGTCTGCGAGGTTCGGGTTCGCCTTGACGGTCCCGCGCCTTCGGTTTGCAGTAGAAGATCGTACTCGGCTTGATGCTTATGGATGTTGAGCATTTGCAAGAGAAAGGAATACATAGTAAACTCACCCTGAGGAACACATTACTCTGGTCATTCTTGACTTCCTGTGCATGCCGTTAGAGTCTTCGTTATCCAGCAGGTAAGGGGACGTACGGCAGGGTCATAGCGCGTCATGATGCGGAACTTCTTCATGTGGAATATTTCCCTAACCTACAGGATGTCAGCTGCAAGCTCGCGAGCAACGGACAAGCACGCACCAGGTCATCGTGCCGATCATATATCTGCGAGAGCTCTGTGCGCTTCTCCAGAACAAGGGCATCCCGTCTCTCTTCAATGCTTGCTGTGTCATCCTTTACAGGTTCCGCCAAGGCTCGTGTAACACCGTCTTTCGTCGGGGAAGATGTGCGGCGGGGCATCGTGGCGCGCGCACGGCTCGGCCAAGTTCATGCGATCAGTGTCCCCTCCGGTAAGAGGATATGGGGAACACGTTTGTGGGGGTAATTGAAGGTAGGTTGCTGAGTCCGGTATACGTGCAGTCGGCGCCTTGGTCCTGTCAGAGTCCGGAATGAGGTCGATCTCCGTCGGTACTGGACGGTTTGTTCTGTTTTATGGGCTCAGAGATAGACTGGAAAGGGAAGCATAGAGTTCTAGCATGTGCGCTCGCGCAGCGAGGTGAGCGCGAGAGGCAAGGAGCAAAGTGTCCATCCGACAGTTGTGAGGAATGATGAAGTTGGCTGCCACGTGGTCGTCGGCGCGGACCCAAATCCCAAAACTGGCAAAAGGGGCGTTGGAACTCATCTAGTTCTCCTCGTCGGTCACAACAGCGCTTGCAGGCGTGCAGTTCATGTAATGACTTACTCTATGCCACAAGAGCTCAACGTTCAGCGCCCTAGCATTTGGATCCCTCTTCGACCGAGCCTGACTCAAGGTCAACAGGAAACTTCGGTCCTCCTTACGACTCATGACCACTGCTTGGAGATGTTGTTCCTCCTGCTCGCAATTCCAGGTCTAAATGCTGAGATATGATTGCTAGTAGTACAAGGTCGGAGGCGAGGTATGAAGAGATCGTGAGGTCGTACAAATGTAGCGTAGCACTAGATGGTGTAGATAGTTGGTACGCCCCTCACAAGAGGTGCATGCCTATTAACCTCGAATGCTACCGACTGCAGATGCAAGCCATTCCGTTCGAATCCCAAATCCAGGGGCGCACTCCTGAGAGCAGCCAACTCCTAAGAGCGACCCGGCTCCATCCGCCACAGCCCACATCTCCCTTACGCCGAGGTGGCGTTGTTGAAGATGAGCAGGTTGGGGGTACCCGACGGGAGGTCATCCAAGACACCCTGGGTGGAGAGGTCGAGGAGAGCCTGCTTCAGCTGCGCCGGAGTGAGGGTCTTCGGTTCCTTGGGGATGGGCGCGAAGAGCTCAGCGGACGGGGCGATGGGGAGGAAGTTGGAAAGGATGTTGCGCGCGACCGAGAAGAACGTCTTCTGGGCCTGGGCGAGCGGCGCGTCGCTGAACAGCACCTTGTCCTCGACGTTCGGGTTGAACGACGCGGACGGGTAGATGGAGAGCAGGTACGCGAGGAGACCGGCGACGTGCGGGGACGCCATGGAGGTGCCGGAGAGGGTGGCGATGGCGTTGTTCGAGCCGATGTAGGTCGACTTGATGTTCAGGCCAGGACCAAAGACGTCAACGCACTTGCCGTGGTTGGAGAAGTACGCGCGCTCATCCGAGAAGGTCGAAGCACCGACGGTGACGGCCTTCTCCGCAGCAGCAGGGGAGTACGAGCACGCGTCACGGTTGTCGTTGCCAGCAGCAACAGCGAAGTGCAGGCCAGCGTCGACAGCACGGTTGACGGCATCGTCGAGGGCACGCGACTTGCCACCGCCAAGGGACATGTTGGCGACGGAGCCCTTGTGCGAAGTGCGGCCGGTCGCGGCGTACTCGGCAGCAGCCTTAGCAGCCTTCTCGGATGCCTGGGTAGCGGCCCAAACGACACCGCCAACGACGTCCGACATCGAACCACTGCCGTTTGAGCCAAGGACCTTCACGGCAATGACATTCGCGGCCTTGGAGACACCGTACGAGCGGGAGGCGATGGTGCCGGCGCAGTGCGAGCCGTGGCCGTTGCCGTCCTCATCAACGTCGTTCTGGGGAATGGTCTTGCCCCAGGAAGCACGGCCGCCAAACTCCACGTGGTTCACGTTAATGCCGGTATCGATGACGTACACGTCGACGCCCTCGCCCGCCGTGGGGTCGTACTCGTACTTGGTGAAGGTGCTCAACCGGAGGCGGTCGCGGTGGGAGATACGCGCGAGACCCTGCGATGCGAGTCAGTTGCGGTGTGAGTCAGGAGAACGGTCGCCACGCACCCAGGTGGCGTTCTTCTGAAGGTCGAACTCCTGAAGGTCATACTCGCCAACGTCGATGTCCATGGTGTGGACGAGCTGGTCCTGCTCAACGTAGTCGACCTCGGGCATCGTGCGGAGCTGCTGGACGAGGCGGTCCGTGAACCGACCCGAGTAGCCCTTGACGTGGCCGTCGTACACCTGCTGGACACCGGAGAGGTCCTCCAACAGGGGGTCCTCGTTGTGGGCCGCCTGGAGGAAGTTGAGGTGGTTCTCGAGCAGCGCGGGATGGAGGTCCGGCTTGAGCATGATGATGTACGAGTTGTCGATGGGCTTCTGCTCCGCGACGTGGAACGGCGCGACCTGCAGCGACGAGCGCTCTAGGCGCTCAGTCGAGTGACTCGTCGACAACGGCGAGGCATAGGCAACGGCGGCCAGCGTCGCCGCGCATAATGAGGAGCGTATAAAGGAGGGCATGCTGAACGCTCAAGATATGACTGATGGGCGTCCAGGAGAAGGAGCTGCGCCGCGCAACCCTCCCGATAAGTACTACGAGTCACGTGGCGTATCACGTTAATCAACTCCATAAAGCGAACTGGGGCTACGGTGCCACCCCCGCGTTATCACAGCCGTTTGAGGGCATCAGAAGGGTATAAGACTACTGCGGTACACTCGGAGGCCTCTCAGAGGCGGGTGGCCGCAAGTTAACAGCTCTCAACCCGCGCCACTGCACTGCACACGCCTTATCAACCCGCTGACGCGTTCTATGGGTCCGTATGGATCCGAGTCGTTCGACCTCGCATGATTCGGACATGATGGTGTTAGACGGTGGCGCAAAGGGGTGTCGATATAGTGCAATCCGCGCAACTGAACGGAATTCCCTGGGGTAGATAGCTCAAAGCCCAACGCTTCACCCACGTAACCCCCCAAACCAGTCCTCTTCCAGCCACTCAACACGCCTACTCAATGAGGTAGGGTGCCCACGAGCCAGAGAGTCGTGCATTTCATATCCCTGTCTTCGCTCCGTTGAATTGTCCTTTCTATACATGGGTCAAAGTCGTCAAGTTACTTCCACATTACAAGCTACAGGGTGATCACAATCTCCCAATCCTTCGCAATCGGCGTCTTCGGGTCCTTAATCGTCAGCACACTCGCCGTCTCCTCCTTCTTATCCCCCGCCTTCACGCCCGGCACGTACTCCCACACCAGCTCCCGGCCGTCCACCGTCACCGACCTCGGCTTCGCGGCGCCCAGCACGATCACCCGCTCGACCCGCACCGCCGCGATCTCCTGCGCATACGCGTTCCCCGGGCGGTACGCGTCCAGCGCGACCTCCCGGCCCACGGCCTCAACGCCGGCCGGCTGCGCAGCGAGGTCGCGCGACGTGAGGCGGAGGGTCTTGCCCTTGGTCTCCGCGCCCAGCGCGCGCCAGACGAAGTCGCCCTGCTCGAAGGCGTAGGACTCGCCGTCGTCGAGGTAGAGCGTGCCGTGGGCGGCGCCGGACTTGTCGAGCGCGACGCGCAGGGTGAAGGGGTCGTGCTTCATGAGCGGGGCGGAGCGGCGGGGGCGCTCGCGCGTGGGGACGATGGAGCCGCCGCGGATGAGGAGGGGGATCTCCGAGAGCTCGGCGGGGACGGTGACCGTCTTGCCCTTCTTGGAAGAGCGGTAGGCCTTGTGGGTAAAGTAGTTGTAGTACACCTGGATGAACATGGTGAATTGGGGCATATGAATCAACCGTGAAAGACCGTACGTTGTCCTCGGCGGGCAGGTAGACCTCGGCTTCGGTGGCGCCTTCGGTCGTGATCGGCTTCACCAGGAGCCCAGAGTCGCCAATGAAGTACTGGTCGTCAAGCGCGAACCCATTTGAGTCATGCGGAAATTGCACCCAGTGAGGCCTGTATACTCGTCAGCACCTGTCGAACAATTACAGACGTTGTTCTCATACCTAAGGATCGGGATACCCGTAACAGCCGAATGGTGGAATGCAGTGTACCATACAGGCAGCTGCGCGTACCGCAGGCGCAAGATATCCTTGAGCATCCCGCGGTACGGCTCATCCAGAAGGTACGGCTCGCGCCTCTTCGTATCAATGTGCGCGTGTGCGCGGAAGAACGGGTTGAACGCGCCGACCTGGTACCACCGCACCAGCATCTCCGGCTCGGGGTTGCCGAAGAAGCCACCGACGTCGGCTGGGAGCACGTCCGCGTCAGTAACCCAGCTGCGCTGTAGTAGGGGAAGAGTCGAGCACGCCATCACTCACAGCCAGCAAAAGTCATCCCCGCGATCCCGTTGGCCAAGCACATCTTGATGCCCACGGCCATATGCTCCCAAGTACCCAGGTTGTCGCCCGTCCACATCGCGCCCCAGCGCTGGGAGCCGGCGTAGAAGGAGCGGGTGAGGACGAAGGGGCGCTTCGCGGGCGTCTGGCGCGCCTTGAGGGCTTGCCAGGTTTGGTTGGTCTGGTGGAAAGGGTGTGTTAAATGTGAGCGTGGTAAGGAAGGGTGCAGAAGAGACGTACGAAGAGCATGCCATTGATATTGTGCACGTCCCGGTGCTCCCATCCGCCATAGTGAATCATGTCCTTCGGCATGGTGATCTCGGGGCCGTTGAAGATGGCGGGCTGTAGAAGGTTCAGTCAGACATGCTCAGTTCCACTTGCCGTCGTCCACTGACCTCGTTCATGTCATTCCAGATGTGGATGTCCCCAGTGCTCTCCGTCCATTGCCAGCCGCCGGACTCAGGTTTGCCGTCGAGCAGGTAGAGGTCCTGATACCATTTCCAGCTGTTCGGGTTGAAGCAGTCGAGCCAAGAGCTGCTGCCCGCCCAGCAGTGACCCTCGTACTCGTCCACGCCGTTCTGCTTCCGGACGGTCAGGCCGCGCTCGGTGGCCTCCTGATACACAGGGTAGCTGGAAGTACGCTTGAGATGGGGGTCGATAATGACGACCATCTACAGAGAAGCGTGCATCAGTGGGAGCGCTGACGGGAGAGGCTGCAATACTCACCTTTCTACCGACAGAAGCAACGTCATTTGTCATTTCAACGGGGTCGGGGAATGTTTTGTGATCCCAGATGAAATACTTGTGCTCCTCGGCGTATTCGATGTCGAGCCAGAGAACGTCCATCGGCATGTCGTGCTCTGTCATGCGCTGTGACACGGTCCGCACATCGTCCGAGCTCACGTAGTTCCACCGACATTGGTGATATCCCAAGCTCCATTGCGCTGGCATCGCTGCCGTCCCCGTCAACCTGGCATACTGAGCGAATATGTCCTTCGGCGTAGGTCCAGGCAGCAGGAACACGTCCAAGATGCCTGACTCGGACATCCAATGCGTGTCTGATGATTGCGGCTTCGAGTGCCAGACGTCGACCCACGTCTCCGAACCAACCGCGTTGAAGACGCCGACCGTTGATTCGGCCGAGTGTGCGTACATGACGGGGATGGAGCCGTACAGCGACATGGGCGAGTCCGCGAGATACTCGAACACGTCGGCGTTGTGGAGGCGGAAGGGATCGCTATACTTGGCGTCCTCGCCAACGGTGGCGGCGAGCGCAAGGGCCGTGGCGTGCTGAGGGATACCGTATACGGTGGGATGGTGGGGGAAGCTGATGTCGAGCGAGATGGATTCCGGTCCTGCAGGGGTTGAGTACATGTCTATAACAGCAGCCATATGTGCTCACCCTTCGGCTTTGAGTCTGTGTGCCCACCGAACCGCTCGTCCCACCAGCCGTCCTCGTCCGTGCCCTCAAACCACGCGCGCGGGTTCGTCGCGTCAAGCACGACCTGCTCCCCCACCTCCTGCGAGGTCTCCTCGGTCTTGCTGTCCTCCTTCGTGCGGAAGTGCTCCATGTGCAATAGCCCGTGTCCGTTCAGTTGCACCTGCGCCTTGCCGTTGCGAAGCAGCGCGACGCGGAGGGGCTCGTAGGACACGGCGACCTCGAGCTCCTTCTTCGGGCCGTGAATCGCGCGCAGGTAGTCCTTGCCCGCCTGCCACTGCACGGTCTTGCTGACGGTAGGCTCCGCGATGAGTGCCCAGGATGCCGCCTCGTCGTACCGTTTTCGCAGGCCGTCCACTTCGTCCATCCGCACGCGCACCACGCCATCGTCGTGCACGCGAAGTTCAAGCTGGAATTTGACGTCTGGGTAGAGTGAAGATTTGACTCCGGCGGTCACAGACGCCGAGTCCGACGCGATAGAGATGCTCGAAGCATCGACGGAGTAAGGGGAGTTCCAGGTGTCAGCCTCTCTGGCGCGCGAAGCGAGTGCGCGACCGCGGCGACAGAAGCCGGACTGGGAGCAGGTCTTGAAGTCCTTTTCCTTGACTGCGAGTGTTTGTGGGACGAGTGCCAGCGAGGCTACTATCCCAAGGAGCCCCAAGGCCCGCATGATGTAGTCTTGGTCGTGGGGGAGTCCTTGAACTTGGAATAAGCGCGCATGTCGTGGCAGGCCACACCGGGCCGCCCTATGCAGTAACTCCGGATGGGAAACGCACCCCTATCCAAGAATACGCCTCGATGTGCCTTCGCTCCACCCGTCATCTTCTGCAGATTTATGTATGCAGAGTCGAGGATAACGACGATGGCGGACCTCTCCAAACTCCCCCAGGATATCATCTATCATCTTCTATCCTTCCTCTCAGTGGAACAATCCCTAGCCCTCAGTCAAGTACGTGCTTTACCGCGCGTCTCGCCATCGCATACCTATTTCTTCGGTCTAGACATGCCGCACGTTGCATCATCTCGCAAGATCTGACCAGAGCTACTGGTTCACGGCTCTCCACTCGTCAAAGTACCAAGGACATACCACTGCCTATCTCTCCGCTGTCGATCTCTCCTCGGACTCGGATCTCGCCTCCTTACAACGTCACGTTCAGAACTGTATCAAGTTCGAGCGGCTCTGGGAGAAGCCGAAGCTCACTCCCACTCGCACGACTAAAGGACGCTTGCCAGACGTGCTGTACTGCCTCTTCGGCGTTCACAGAACGAACTTCGTCGTCATGCACTCGCCACATAGTGGCTTTGTATACTGCTGGGACAACATGGCCGGCGAGGAGCGTGAATCGATATACTTGGGAACACAAATCACGGACACCTCCCCCTTGAATGAGTTCTCCGATCGGGTGACCATCGCACTCTTGATCCAGCAGGATGCCCATCAGCAGTGAGTGGAGAAGCCTGGCCGAGGCCGGATCTCCCGTATTTTGCGCACTCTAATGGAGATGATTCACTAGCATCAAGCTTCTGAGCGTCAGCACAGAACCGAACGCCGCCCAGGTTATGGAACTCCGCCACGTCGTCGACCTTGGCATCGGCACACGCAGCTTCAACATTTTCCTTAGTGAGCAGATGGTCGGCGTCACCGGCAACGAGAACGATCACATCACCATACATGCTATCAATATCCATACCTATGCCAGTTCGACGATTCGTACAGACGTGCAGCTCACAGTACGTTGCCCGATCGCCATCTGCCACTCATTGCCACAAATTCCATGGACTTATTTGTTTACAGCCCACCAGCTATATGGTGGCCATGACCTTTAACGACTCAGTCTACCTCGTAGACATGAACCCTCCACGAACGCGTGTATTCTGCTGCGCCCCCGAATTTCTGCCATTCGGCAACGCCCCATCGCGCACGATGCATCTCAGCCTACTCGACACGCGGAGAGACTTCGTATGCGATGATTTGGATCGGGAATCGAGTGTGTGGCTTGGAAGCCTTTTGCTCGATATGTTTGTCACAATACTGATGGCCTATTCAGACGACTACTACTGTGCTCTCGTGTCCGGCTCCGGGCGCGGAGTCGCGTTCACCACACTCACCCAGCTCGTCGGCCGCCATGCCTTGCATATCGTCCTCTGGGATCCGCGCTCGAGGGCAGGTGGCGATGTGCCCATCGAGCCGACGAAGTCCGCCCTGCAGCTTGACTTTGATCCGGAAAGTAATGCTGCCACAGAGTCGTCTATCTCGCCCGCCACCCCATCCACTCTTCCCTATCCGCCGCGCGACGGCGACCGCCCCTTCCCCAGCCCCGCGCAGCACATCAGCATCCCTGGATCCATGCTCGTGCCGCTCGGACCCTGGTACCTCGTCCACTTCCCGAATTCGGGCAGGCATCTGCTGCTCGCCGTGGGGAGGGAGGAGGACGAGGCAGCAGAGATCGAGGTCGATGAGGAGGGGGAGAGCAGTGACGACTACGATGACGGCGAGGACGACGAGACCGTCAGTAGCGATGGGGAGGGCGGCGATGACGACGCGATGGACGCGAGCAGCGAGGGCGAGACGACGGAGGGGCTGGTCGCGGCTTTCTATGCCGCAGCAGACATGGGCTACCCGCCCATAGGTGCCCATGAAACCGAACCGCAAGCAACACCGGATGCCCAGGATCCCGCGCCCGCCGGCCCTTCCAACCCTGCCAACCCTGCCGACCCAGCTAACACCGCCCATCCCGCCAACCCCGTCCCAGCAGCCGACACCGAGCTCCCCCTCGCCAACGCCACCGCGAACGGCGACACCTCCCACAACGCCGTCCTCTACCTCGTCCACTACGTCCCCGAGACCGCGTCGCACTCCGTGCACGAGGTGCCCTTCCCGGAGGGCGTGGACCCGCGGAGCGTCACGTCGCTGAGTTTTGACGATTATAATGCGGTCGTGACGCTGACGACGCTGGAGGATGTGGCGTACTGCATGCATCTGATATGATGGGTGCGGGGAAGCAGGGACGAGGGAGATGGGGCATTGTCCCAATAAACATGAATGCGGGAGTAGCATCATGGACTTCTTTGAATACTTACCTGTATGATGCCACCCTGCAGGACAGGGAGGGGACGGAGGCCGTTACACGATGATACCTCTATGCATTCGCTTACGAGTTCAATCGTCATAGGACTCGAGTACGACGCGCAGGCTTTCACAACAACAACCATAGCATTCCAACTCGACTACGTATATATGGGCAAACCAAAGCATGAGATGTGAGTGCGCGGAGATACAAGTACAATGCATAATCCAGAACAAGTCAATTTTCGTTAGTCAACATCCAATCATGAGTTTGTTCGTTCCATGTTCGACCGATCCATCCATTATCACAGTTCATTCCTTCAGCACGCCCTCGACGACACCCGCCAGCTTCTCCCCGTCCACCAGCGCGCCGAGGTTCTCCATCAGCGCGTACTTCATCTCGTTGATCCGCACCACCGCGTCCACGCCAAGCCTGCGGCCTTCCTCCTTCGACAGCGGGGCGCGGCGCAGGCATAGGTCCTTGTAGGCTTCCTTCGCCCAGCCCTCGATCCCGTATTTCTCTCCCAGGACGAGCTTGTCGACGGAGGAGGCGAGGGGCGCGAGCTTATCGATTACTAGCTTGCGCAGGACGTCGATCTTCCACTGCATGACGAGCTCGAGGACGCCGGTCCACTGCTTGGCCGTTGTTGGACCGGAGCTCACGAAGTCGCTGGATCGGGTAAGTGAAAGTTCCGAGGCGAAGCAGAAGGAAACTTACGGATAGACAAGGCTAAGCAATTGGTCAAAGTCATCCGCTTTGACGTCGTTCAGGATAAGAGGCTCGCTCTCTGTACGACCTACGCGGTGACCGCGCAGCATATCCTTCCAAACGGGAGACGACTTCTGGAAGAAGTGCTTATAAATGCGGTACATGACCGTCTCTACCTTCAAAGCTTGTCAGTGACCGATAAAAATCAGGCACTGTGTGAAACATACCTTGACATACAGCGTCCCGTCCGTAAAGTAGAAGTCGGGCGAATGATGAACATCGACGCTACGCGGCGAGTGGGCGCGAGGGGCATCCAGCCCAGAACGCGTCGAGCGCGAAGGGCTGGGCGAGATGCGGCGACGATGGTAGATAGGCGAACGGGAACGCGAGCGCGAGCACGATGATCGGGTCACCACAACCGGTCTCCTAGGTATATACGGGTTATGAGGATTCCACCTATCATGGACCGAAGGCGAGCGCGCCCGACGACTATGCGCATGCGAAGGCGGACTGTCGCGGCCCACGTCGTCTTCCGCAGGACCATGCGCCTGGCGCCCACGGTAAGCCGAGCGCGAGCAAGACCGAGGGCGGCTGCTCTCCGTGTTGGTGACAGAATGCGGGACAACGCAGTGTCGTGGCACATATACGGTCGTCTGCTGTGGACTAGTTGCCCTGCTGGATTCCCTACTTTGAACGAAGATGAGTGGTGGCCGCTGAGGCGAGGTAGGACACGGCTCGGGAGCGAAAACGCTGACTGGATGAGCAGACGGCGTAGATACGCTCGACACCGTGCCCATGTTGCAGCTCGTGGGCGCATACACTGGGTCCCTCGTACTGCAACGCGAGGACCTGTTGCTGGAGGAGCTCGAGATCGACACCCCGGACATGATGACCGGTCTGGAAGGCGCACTTCCAGGGGCGATAGTGGACTTCTGTTCCCCAGCATGATTCGACGGCGCCCGATGCATGATAGGCACGGTAATGCGCAGAGGGGACGCAGGCGCCTTCGCCGCTGGGCTTCCAAGGTAGCACGGCGACATCGGAGGAGTGTAGCGCACATCGGGAGCCAGCTGCCCCCGCTGCATCTCTGGAACGGCCCCCAGTCGCGGGGAAGGTAAGGAGATGGCCGTCACGGGCTCCGCGGTCATGGCTGCTGCGATATCGGCGTGAGCAATCGTTTGCGCGTGCGTGGGTAGGTGCGTACGCGCGATGGCTTCGGCATGAGCAGCGGCGTTTGCTCGCACGGCAGCCTCTGCAACAGCTCTTGCGGATGGGATATCGACCCGCGGCGGCTCGGCCCTACTCGTCGTGGAGTGGCGGGAACTCTTGCCACCCAGAGAACGTGCGCTGTCGCCCTTCGTGCTGCGTCTGTCGCCCTGCGCACTGTGATCGCCGTTCTGCGAACGTACGCTGCCGGCCTTCGCACTACGCCTGTCGTCCTGAATATTACACCTATCACTCCTCGTGCTGTGCTGGTCGTCCCTCGTGCTGTGTCTATCGCTACGCCTCGTGCTGGCGGAAGACCTCACTGAACGATCCTGCGGAACGAGCACAGGGGATGGGGGATACTCAGACGAACGATGCCCAGAAGGCAGACGTGTGGAATGACGCCCGGGAGAAGGCGATCGGGCGCGAGCAGGGCTATAATCCAAGCAACGATGAGGGGAGCTGATGATAGTGGAAGGAACTCCGTGAGACGAAGGATGGGTGGAAGAACGACGTGAAGGAGGCGAACGAGAGCGCGGCGCGTCGTGTGGCTGGTCTCGAGGAGAGCTACGATGCGACTCCGCCCGCCTTTCGTCGATATCGTGTACACCAGGATACTCCACCGCGACACTAGACCTTGGCGACTGCTGTACGTGTTCGGGCGAAAACGCGTGGTGAGTCATCGTGTTCGAAAGACTACGAACCGACGAATGCGAAGACGGGCTCATAGGAATCACCACCCCAGGACCAGGAGCATCGCATGGTTGCGTAGCCTTTCGCCAAGCTTCCAAGTACGAGGACCCGGAATGCGCGACCGACGCTGGAGTCGAGCCCTTCGACCTGCCAGCGAACCCGAAAGGCGCAAGGAAGTCATCATCGTCGCGTTCCCTTGGCCTCCCCAGTGGTAGATGGTTCGAGCGCGCAGGAGAAGGCGAGCGTGTCCTGTGTGCGGTGGACCGAGAGCGAGCGGATGGCGACGGAGAGCGCGTACTTTGCGCTGTCATAGGCGACGGCTCCTGCGAGTAATGCGAGGGCGACGTGGCCACAGACAATGAATGCGTCGACGGCAGGGGAGGTATCGGCGGTACAGGCAGATTCCTTGACGGCACGTCCTGGGGGTGCACCCCCGACGATCGGTGGGCCCTGGCTGGTGTGGCCTGCATGTTTGCCAAGACAGGCGCTGGCAGCGGGGGCATCGACGATGACACTGAGTTGGGTGTCGACACTGCCGGGAACTCCACTGGACCCCTCGACGGCGTCACCGAATCATGGCTGTATCTCGACTGGGACTGGGCATCAAACTCGAAGTCCCTCTGCACTCCGTCACCGATGTCGGACCACGACCCGCGGTCTGAATGCGAGTCTCGGCTTGAGCTGGAGCCTCGGTGCGAGTCGACGTGGCTGTATGGCGAGTAGCCCAGCGAGCTCGAGTGCGCCGACGAATAGCGCGACACTGAGCCTGGGCTCGCAAGGGCAGAAGCGGGAAGCGCGACACGGCTTGGCGTGGGTTGCTGAGACTCAGGTAGCGATGGCGGCAGCTCGACATGCGCCGGCGAGGGCAAGGTATCGCGCTCGCGATGGGGGGACGTCTGCTGCGACTCGGGCAGAGGCACGCGCACTGCGATATCGCTCCCGAGCATCGACAAGGGCTGCTGAGGGTGCCTGGGCGATGGCTGCAGCGATGCCGGAAGCGGTACCTTGGCCGCCATAAAAGGGCTGCGAGGACCTCGAGGAGACAAGCGATGAAAGTCTTGTACCTCGGATAAGGCTGACAGTGTACTCCTCGACGCCGTGCTGCCCTCGCGCGATGACTTCGTGGCCTGACGGCGCAGAAGCGTAGAAGGCGACCAGCTGTGGTCCTCAGACATAGACGGCGTGGGCAGCGCCACCTGGGCGGGCGACAGGGGAGGTCGGTCGTACATCGACAAGTCCCCGGACAGAGGTACAATCACCCGCGGCGCAGACGGTGGCGATGTGGGGGACCAGATGGGGGAGGGTGGCAGCTGCGGGTACGTATCCATAGGATGCATGATGGGCGATGGGTCCGCGCTCGGTGGCCCGCCACCTAGGTACGCATAGCCTGGGGGATATCCTGCGACGTGGTTCAGCGGTCGTGGGGAGCGGCTACGCCCTCGTCGCGGGGAGGGCGCCTCTGATTCGGACCCGAGGATGATGCATCGAGGGCGATGAGAGGCAGACGAGCGAGAATGGCTGGAGCAGCTACGAATGCGCGTAAGAGTAATGGGAGAGTTCTGCGGCGGAATAGTCATGGGATGAGGCTGGGGGGACTCGACGAAACTATCCGGCGAACAGCCGCGCGTAGACGCTTCTCCCTTCGAGTGGTGGGGGGCGAGGAAGTCAGGGCGGCGGTGAGAACCATGGAAACGAGGCTCGAAGTCCTCATACGGGACAAGCGCCTGGGAATGCGGGCGTTCCGTGGGGGAGAAGGTGATGGTCGACTGGTCATCGAATGTGCTGTCCATCGCGGTCGAGCTAGCGGTATCTAGCGCGCTGGGGAGCGTCGAGTTCGCCACGGACGGTACTCCACCGTCCTGTGGAGCGCTGGTGTCGATAGGCGCCAGCCTCATGTCGCCTCCTGGGGCTGACACCGTGGACCAGGAATTCGCACTTCCGCTGGACGGGCTCTTCGTCGTCTTCGAGGAAGCCACTGGGGGAGGATATAAGCGCATGCAAAGCATCTAGCCTGCCGCCACGTACCAGACCTGGGACTCCCGCATGGCGTGACGTCGCCGACGTTCCTCGCATGAAGCTGGGGGGTTTGCTCGGCCGCAGACATGGCTCGCGCTTGGTGGACGATAGCGGGGACAAGTCTTGGAGATTGTCGGTTGCGCTCGAGAAGATAAGATGCAGAGACAAGAGACAAGTGGCCCTCAGACGTGGGGAAAGGGCGTGGACATGTAATCAAACCTTGGGCAGCGTGCCCAAGGCGTGTCCGCTAGAGCGTCAATGAAAACGTGCATCTCCGCGAATATGCACGGATCAACCGGGAGATCGCTGCTCATTACCTCGACGGAGCTGGGGGAGATACGAGTGCAGCTGGATCGCAGTCGTACGGTGTTCTTCCTGGGCTACTTGAATAATCATTGAACTCATCATGACTGTAGGAAGAGAGGGACATGCTCTTCAGTTCACTTCTGATCAGCAACTTATCAGATACCCACGGAACTCATCAATCGCACGCTCTGGCGGCGACGGTCATGGGACGTGCTGAAGATGCGTTATGCGCAGACGAGGCATCATAAGACGACGATCGCAACGACACCAGGACGCCATGAAGCAGCCCGGGTACCTCCAGGCTGGCCCGAATGGTCACGAATGTCGCCTCAGGGTTTCTCCTGCGCTCTGGAATCCATCACCCAACTTGTACGACCCCAGGTGCATATCCTAACACGGGGGGACTGGTATACAGTCTACCGCTCGTCGAAGGCTAGCAGACGTGCTGCGGCTACCCAGAGCTGGGTGCCTGTCCCAAAGCCGACACCTTTGGACCGTACATGGTTCACCTGCGCCCTCCTGATGTGCCCCCCCCTGCGTCAATACACCGCCCTCTGGTCATTGTTTTACGCCCCTTCTTCGCCGGGGCACTCTACGCGTGCGACGTCCACCGCGCCTTCCGTCGTCATCGCATATTCCCTCCGTGAAACAGACACCTCGAACATCCGTGGCTCCACCGCAACGCCCTCCTTTGATTGAATAAAGGGATCGCCATGTGAACCCCGCAGCGAGGTATAAGTGAGAGCTCTCGTCGACCGGAGTTGTTCTCGTCTCCAGTTACCCTCTCTTCCTTCCCCTCTCTCTTTCACGGATCCTTAGCCTGCTCACGATGTCGTTCCTTGCACTCACTTCCCTCGTTCTCGTCGCGATCCAAGCGCGCGCGTCCGTGATGCCGATCCGTGCCCCTGCCGCTGCTGCGAAGTGCCAGAAGTATGTCGACAGCGCGAGCAAGGCTGCTGCCGCGCTTCAGAGCGAATACTTCAAGGACGGGACGTATGGCGACCAGGCTATCTGGATTGGTGCGGTCGACGCGTTCTACCTCAACCGATGTGAGTACATCCCATCCCGCGATCGAGGAGGTATACTCATGCGCGCAGTGGACGATGTCGCCGGTACCTCGGACTACAAGGACGTAATCACCACGGTCTTTAATGGGCAGGAGGAGTGCGTTTCTATACTTCGCGTGCTGAAGACCTGACTGACGATATCCCCCAGCTACCTCACCAACGGCGGCTCCTACGACGACGTGCAATGGGTCTCCATCGCCTACCTCGCGTACGGCGACCAGGAGAACGCGAAGAAGTACTACGACATCGCCAGCAGCGCGCGCGACTCCGCGACGTGCGGCGGTGGCCTGTTCTGGAGCAGTGCGCGCGACTACAAGAACTCGATCACGAACGAGCTGTACCTCGCGCTCTCCGGGTACATGTACGATGTGACGAAGGACCAGCAGTACCTTGACAACCTGAAAGATCGTACGTGGAGTTACGCCAGCGCCAAGGCGGAGAGCTGACCCCGAATATGCAGTCTACGCGTGGTTCAAGGACTCGAAGTTGCTTGGTGACAAGGGCTGTGAGTACTCCGGTATCTCCTGCTGATATTCGCTCACATGGATCGCAGTGTACAACGATGGCTTGACCAAGGACGGCTCCTGCGCGAACAACGGCGAGAACCCGTGGACGTACAACCAGGGCGTCGTGCTCGTCGGTCTCGGTTACCTTTACAAGAGTACGTTCAGCGTTTAATCCATTGGTCTATGGCGACTTACGACGATTCCAGACGACAACCAGGACCAGGCCTACATCGACGCGGCGTACAAGCTCGTCGACGCCGTCATTGACAACCTCACAATTGACGGCGGCCTCCGCGAGAACTGCGAGACCACCTCCCAGAACTTGTGCAATGCGGATCAGACCTCGTTCAAGGGCATCTTCACTTACTACCTGTGCGTTTCCGCAACCTCGTTTCCCCATCAGCCTCATTGCTCACTATCTCTCCAGCGCCTGGTTCCTCGAGATCACTGGCAAGGACAACGGCACGAAGTACTCCGACTTCATCAAGGCGCAGGCGGACGCCGTCCTCAAGAACGCCGAGCAAGATGGCGACAAGTACACTAACCTCTGGTACGGCGCCGACGAGGGCGCTGCCAAGCACTCCTCTCAGAGCCAGGGCTCCGCCCTTGGCGCCCTCCTCGCCGCGAGCAAGCAGAGCTGCTAAACGTGTTACGTGACACGCTACTGTGTCACAGTTCATTTACGACCACGTGTAGCTCCCGGGTTATGACGCGCACTGGCAGATGTACTACTCGGTAACGGCTTGCTTTTGTACTCCCACCATCGCTGTCTTTTACGCACCGTCGGACCTACCCTCATACTTTACGACCATTGGTGACGCAGGCTATATTTATTGCAATGTAACTTATCGAACTCACAAGCTCTGAAGACTGACCATGGAGAGGCCTTCTGCTGCCGATGTGCCATACCTGGCGGCCATATTGATCCATACGCGTGAGGCCATCGATTGGACCAGTGCGTTCGATAGTAAATATCGGGCAAATGGATTGTTGATGCAGTCGCAGGCGCACCATCTCTGTCTGCACCTGAGGGCGAAGCCGGGTCTGAACTTCCCTGCATCCTGTACCGGGACTCGGAAAAGGCGCCCGAAGGAGAACAGCTCTACGTCGTCATCATGTGGACGGTAGTGCATCCCGAAGAGTTGGTGCAGGGCGCGGTGCTCGTCATGACGCTCGCCGCCGACGTCGCGCGCATCGAGTGCCGGGTTTACGAGCCTCTGAACGAGAGCGCGTCGCCGGAAGCGCTAAAGGGGGCGAAGTATCTCACCTTCCGCGCTATAACGCCGGCTGAGGGTGCAGAAGAGGAGTTCAACAAGTGGTACGACGAGGAGCATATAGGTATGATGAGCAAGGCGCCGACGTGGCAGTCGTCGGCGCGCTTCCGGTTGCACTGCACCTCTACGCCGGAGAGGGAGGCGCCCAAGTACCTTGCGATACACGAGTGGGAGGATGCGAAAGCAGCGATGGCTTCGGATGAGTACAAGGAAGCTCTGTCGACACCATGGAGGGAAAAGGTGCGGTCAGCAGGGGTGAAGCAAGAGGAAATGTTACGACTGGAGTTTGTGCGGAATCTATGATTCTTGCGAAGTCAAAGCTGCATTTCCACGAAAGCGACCGGTCGGCTATAACCGATGTATGCTATTAGCAATACATACATGATATAAGATAGACAAAGGAATGGGGTATAGAGAACGTGAAGCGGCGTAAGGAACTGTATAGTAAACCGAGGGTTGCAACTTGAGTGCCCCAGGAACGGGCCTTTTCGTTTGTGATGTCGGCAAAGGCTTCGTTTGCTTCAACAGTCCGCAAAGTATTTTGCCCGGGGATCGGAGTAGATGACCTGAATAGTCAGGGGGCGAGTTTTCTTCGTCTCGGAAGCGAGTTCGATGGGTGGCGCAGGCACTTCATCATCGTCCAGCATGATGGACCTGCCCACCTCGAAGCAGTTAAGCCGACGCAGAGCAGTGGCGATAGCAGCTAGATCAGGGCGCGGCGGCACACAAGACGCGAGGAAAGCGCGGAGCCTGCGAAGGAACCTTGATGTCGAGGGCTGGGAATCTTCATCGAGCAGGTCCTCTTCAGACACTGCAGAAGCGCCCGCAGGGTCGAACGAGCTCGTAGACGCGCCGGAGAAAACGAGAAGCCATCCGTCATTCCGGGGCCGAGTGAGTGGTACACGCGCTATAGCGCGCTCAACGCGACTTGACGCGATCGACCATGCTGCGGAGCCGGTGGGGGAAGAACTCTCGCTTGACGAATAAGGAGAGCGCGGCTGCTTGAGGCGCGTCAGAAACTCAGTCTGCCAATCTCTGCTGGACGGCGCGCAGATGAAACGACTCACCTCCTGGGACCAATCGAAACAATGTTGCACGTCTATAAACGCGAGGTTATCGAAGGAGAGGCGGTAATCCATGTCGAATAGATAGATAGATAGATAGCGGGGCTTGGCCTGGAGAGGGGAAGAGCGACCAAAATTGCTCTTATATATAAGCAGAGCTTTGCCTTGGCCTGCATTCTGTTGAAGGGCGACGCGAACATTCCTATTTGGGGTATGTCTTTGTGTTGCCTGAGTTTGGACCTGCGACGCTTGCATGCCGGCGGCCGGCAAATAACAACATGATGGGGGTGAATGAATCCCCCTAATCCCCCTCAACGTATCGCAATCGAAGGTGATACAATAACTCGCGTCAGCGTTGCTCCCACGGCACTGAGTATATAACTCTGGGCGGGGACGGAAAGATACGCGCGCCAACCTTACGATGTCAACGTCCTTTGCAAGCCGTCAGCGGGTATGTCGCTGTTGTCGAGTATGAAGGCGGTCCCTGCTGACAGGTAGCATAGGCCAGGATTACGGTGACGATCCCAAAGGTGTACGAGGAGGTCTTCTCGCCCATAGACATGGAGGACCGAGCGATGCTCGGCACGCCGCTCGACGAAGTGTACCTCGTTCAGAACGTCGTGCAACGCGTCAAGATTGTCAGCGCGAAGGCGCAGGTCTTCGTCGTCAACAGAGACGTTTCAGAGGTGAGTGCATATTGCCGCGGCGAGATCGGGATATGGGCTCACCCGCTCAGACAGCCTCCTACGCCGCCCCATGCGCCTCATAACGCCTGCCCATCAGCTTCTTTCACCCGCGCAACCCATTGAACTACCTACCACCCACAGTCGCTCTTTTGATGATAACTTATATAGCCATATTTATTGGGCCAAGCAATGGGATAGGACGTTGATGTCGAAAGAGGACTCAGAGGACGCAGGTAAACGCAGAAAATGCATGCACGCCGGCCCGCATATGGTAAGAGGCCACGTGAAGGCGGCGCTTGCCGGCGACCGGGGGGTGCATCAATTGTTGAACTCAACGTCCATCATCGTGACGGCAGGCAAGCTGGCGCTGACCACTCTTCTCGGTCTCGATGCCTCCTGGTCAATGCTTGAGTCTCCCGAAGACATTCAAGAGCTTGTATAGGCTCACCCTCAGGACCGCATCTGCTGCAGTCCTACATCATCCTCACGCGACGCGGTACCTGCGGCAACTCTATAGACCGACGTTCGACGATGCTGTCGCTGCTATGACAAGGCTTCGAAACGCCTCTAGTGGCGCTGATAAGAAAGCAGATATAGCTCAACTGCGAACGTGGTATTCAGAATGGGGTCAACGCGGTAAGCGAGACTGATGACAACGATGTGGACCTAGAGCTTACTGGGCATAGTCGACAATGCGTTGTCGTTGATGTACCATTCAAGCACTTCGAGAGGTCTACCTCACCGACTTACGCGTAATTTGGGGCTTCTCTCCTTCAGCGAACGCGAACGCCTCAACCAACGCCTCTTCCCCGTCTGGCGATCCGACCAGCCGGAGAAAGCCCTCGGAAAAGCCCTGCGCAAGACCGAGAAGGATCAGGCGTACGCGAGGACGGACCACGGGGCATGGAGCGCAGTTGAGCAGGTAGCGAGGATGGCAGAAGGTCGGCACGGCATGAGTTTGGGGAGGATACAGGTCAAGCGCAGCGTCTGGCGTTCCGCATAACCCTCGGATGCAGCTATAAGCTGGGAACCCGCACGGGGTGGCTGCCGCAGTCTCGAACGTCGCCTACCGTTCTCGGTCGGCCCGTTTGTGCGGCTTCACGCAGCGTCCTCGTCCCATCGCTCGATGTCCCTGTTCGTAACCAAGGGACGGGCTGCGTGCCGTGACCTCGGGGCTTGGCTCTTCGACATGTCGATAATACGGATGCGCAGTCCAGACGTCCGTCGGCTCAACTGGAGTGCAAGACGCGGCCTTTGTCGGACGCCGATGGCTGCCGTTACTCGTGGTTCGTGCAGGGTCTGCGCCAGGACAGCAGAGAGTCGAAAAGAGACCAGGAATATACGAGCTTTGGAAGGATATCCGTGCGTCCGAACTATTGTCTCAAATAGCCTTCACGGCTGTTGCCCCCAGCACCAAGTCCGATGCTGTCACTTCGCAGCAGGAATACTCAAAGTCCTTGGAGACGCCGCAGGCATGACCATGCATGCATTCACTCGTCCCTTCTGAGCCTTGCAAAATCCGCCCGAACCCATTGACGTCCGCTCCGTCGCCCTTTCCCGAGCTTTCCCAGTCCCTTCCCCTTCATCATGCTGACGCCCCTCGTCGTCGTGATGCGCATAATCCAGATTCGCCACCTGATACCGCAGCGAAGATGGTGGCGAATATATATATGGCGATGCCTAGACCACGTCCTACCAAGTTCCTCGCCAGCTCGAGACTGTACTTAAAGCGCTAGCGCTACTTCTGCCTCCTCCAGATCTGTCTTTGCCCCCACCTCCGCTGCCCCTCGTTGCGTCGCCAGTCGACAGTATTACCTTCGCCCACATCATGCACGCCTCCTCATCCACTTCACCCGCTGTTCGCGGAGTCAAGCGCGCGTTCAGGAAGCCATCTCTCTCAATCGAGGTCAAGCGCGTATGTAGCCCTTCCCCCTTCCCAACTTCACCTCACCTTCCAACATACCCTCTCTCGCCCTTGCCCTTTTACTAACCTCCACCCAGGCCCCAACCCACTCCTACATCGAAGACGCCTCATACGCCTCGGGCTCCCAGTACATCATCATCCCCGCCGAGAGCGAGTTCTTCACCCCCTCCGACGAGGAGCGTCACTTCAACACCCCCTTCGACGTCGGGCACCGCCCTATGTGCCTCGCGTGCGATGATGGGGTGTGCGTCGTCGAGAACGGGTGCGCCGGCGACATGGAAGATGGTCCACGGGCGAGCGCCTGTATGGTGGACGCCCGTGTCCGCGCAGCCAAGGATGCCCGTGCGCGAAGGGATCCACGCATCACGAGTTGCCATCCGCTCATCGACGTCGGCGACTGCGAGGTGCGTATTGGCTGAAGGAGGGATTAGGCGGGTTGCCTGATGACCAGCACAGTACGCCAACTCCTGCGAGCTGCGGTCTCCAGCGTCGCCGTCGCTCGTCGCGCACCTCCGTGTGTTTATCGGCGCGTATTGAAGGCTGAAAATGTTAGGGCGTGCGGTCAGGGGACGCCTTACGGGGAATGGGAGGAGTTTCATGGGTCTTACTTGCATAGGTTGCTTTCGGGATGGTTCTTCGCTCAGTTATTACTCTTCGTTCTTCCGAGTCGCCCTAGTGGCGGCACGCGGGTGTTCGCTTATACCCTTGGTTGTGCTCTCTTGGTTTATACCCGCATGTAAATAGTTCATGCATCTCGATTTATCGCCTTGAAGGCACTCCAGCGCACGGATGTTCTATTCGCGTGGAAACTCGCGAAAGGAGTATCTTGAGCAACACATCGAATGACGCCCACATATATCGGCAGTACAGTATACAAGACGAGCAAAGTGATCGGAACCTGTGAGTCCTTGCATGAGCTAATGAAGTTCGCTGAGGGCATGCACTTACCAAAGTCCTCAATCCTCATCCTCCTCATCGTCATCATCATCCTCCCCATCGCTATCATTCCCGAAAAACTCGTCCTCCGCCGCCGTCTGAAACGATGGTTGTGCTGAAGCCGTCTTCCCCTTCGCCACCTTGGACTTCGAGGGCGCAGTCTTCGACGCGTCCCGCTTTTCCGTCACGCGCGGTCTGCTGTCGATGTCGACTTCAGGCTCTGCAGGGAGCTCCCCAGCCTGCATTCGTTGCCGTACAGAGTCCCTCAGCTCTGCTCGTGCGGCATCGGTTTCGCTAGTATCGACCGGTGGTTGGGGGGCTGCGTCGTCGGACTTTTGTGGAGGGTATAGGGAGATGTATTTCTTGAGTTTGGGGTAGTGCTGAAGGGGAGAGAGGGAAGTATCAGCAAAGGAAAGGAGACGATGGAGAGACAACCACGTACCAATACATAGTTCAGATCCACTCTGCGCTCGAACAATCGTGATTGCAGGTCTTCGTCCTCTGGCTTGTGTGCCAGCTCACGCTTCAACTGCTGCACTTTGCGCAGGGCCTTTTGGCGTTCTGGGGCGGAACATTAGTCGCAGGGCCTGCACGCAAGATTGCGGACGTACCAAAGAACTTGACTTTGTGGTATTTCGCTGCCAAGGTGCGTTCCTTCCGCGCAAGTTCTGCCTTCTCGAGCTCTTCCTCCAAGGCCTTGATGCGCCGTTCCGTGTTGTTGCGCACATCTGCGGTGATCTTGTCCTAGTGGACGGTCAGTATAGAGCGCTCTCTCCTTATTTGTGATACACACCTTCAGCAATAACCTCCTTGCCTGCCGTAGGGAAGATTTTATCTTCTGTACACCGGGTATCTTCTCCTGACCATCTTGTGCGCGCTGGGGTGCCTTTCCCTTCCCTTTCCCCTTGTACGGTTTTCCCTTCCCCTCGTTGCCTTTACTCGACTTCGTGCGCTCGGCTGGCATGATGGTGGGGGGAGATGATCGAGGTCGTGAGCAAGAAGCGCCCGGCAGCCCGGCCCGTCACAAATACTTCCAAATCCGGCGTCCATTATTTTCTGCACTTGTTCTTTGCCACCGTCCCCCCGCGCCGTTCCGACATCCAACATGAGGAACCTGGTGCTTTCCTCGGTCTCTGACATCCGGATACGGAATCAGGGTGCTGTAACCGCGACGTGTGTAGACCTTGACGAAGATGTACTTTATGCGACGACGGAGACGGTTACCCCAGACGGGGAAGTACAGGTCGAGGTGGTCCGCGTCGGCGATGCAGATACAGTGCGTGAACTACAAACTATATCGCATATATGCTGGCTTAACCATGCTTGAGCACTCCTCCGTAACGATGTTCACCGCGACTGCAGCGGCTTCGGGCCCTCAGGTCGTCTCACTGCACGTCCTGCCCGACTCCCATTCGATCGTGGCCATAATGCGCAATGGGGACATTACAAACATACCACTTGACGAAGAGGCGCCTATGGTACACCCCATCTTACCCATCCTCACCTTCTGGGCTCATGATCATAGTAGGCCGAAGTCGAAGGCACGGTCGAACCTGGAATATGCGCTGCGTCCTGGAACCCCGACGAAACCCTTGTCGCGCTCATCACTGGTATGTCGTCCCCCTGCTTTCTATACTCTCCGATCTTGCAAGCTGATGCATATACCGTGGTGTAGACGAAGACAAGCTTATCCTGATGACCTCTACTTTCGACGTGATTTCCGAGGGCAAGATCCAAACCGAAGACTTCGGTGAGGACGCACCCATAAACGTCGGCTGGGGCTCCAAGCAGACCCAATTCCACGGCTCCCTCGGCAAATCCGCCGCCCAAGCCGGCCCCGCCACCGTCGTCTCAACCAGCACGGACGATGATCTTCGTCCACGGATAAGTTGGCGCGGTGACGGATCACTCTTCGCTATCTCGTCTCTCTCTATCACACAGTCCCCACCCGACTCCCCTCCCATCCGCCGCCGCACTCTCCGCGTCTACAACCGCCAAGGCGCCCTCCAATCTACCTCCGAAGCCGTACCCGGACTTGAGCATCCCCTCTCCTGGAGGCCTTCGGGCAATCTCATCGCCAGCACTCAGCGCTTCGGCTTTGAGGGCGGTGGCGCGGGCAGACCCGAGCGACATGATATAGTGTTTTTTGAGCGCAATGGATTGCGACACGGAGAGTTTGGGCTTACACTTGGTGGTCCGCCGGATTCGCGGGTGGGACAGGGGCCTCCGAAGGACACCGGCGAGCGGCGATGGGGACATAAGGTTCGGGAGCTTTGCTGGAGCCCAGATTCTAATGTGCTAGCGGTGTGGATTGAGCGAGATGAGTACGACTCAGGTGAATATCCTACCATGAAAGGGTGAACATGGTTACTCAGCATATATGCAGTACAGCTCTGGACGACTGGAAACTACCACTGGTACCTCAAGCAAGAGATACAGACGCCGAAGGACGTTCGCCTGACGTCCGTCCAATGGCATCCCGAAAGCCCTCTCAACCTGGTCCTGACCACTCCGAGTAAGCGAGCTTATCCTCCATCAGAGTGATCACAGTGCTCATGAGCTCGCAGACCTCATCATGCGCCGCGTGTACGCTTGGGACACCTTCACAAGTTTGACAGGTCCTCCGGACGACACGGGCACAGTTGCGGTTATCGATGGCTGTAAGACATCCTCCGCCAATCCTCATCTCATTCGCTACTGACCGCCATCATCCCAGCCCAACTCCTCCTCACCCCCTTCCGCATCCAAAACGTTCCTCCGCCCATGTCCTCGCACAAGCTCGCCCTGCAACCCGCCCTCGGCCCACCGGTTCATGTCGCATTCGGCCATATTGGCGACGTCATGGGTGTTCTGTACGCGAGTGGCCTCGTTGAATTGTGGGATTTGCACACGCGTACGACCGTTGGTCGGGGAAAGCCTATGGCGCCCGAGAAGATCGCGTCTGGTGAGCTCAGTGGTGGCCGTGACTGGAGGCAGATTGTTGTTGTGCAGGGTGGGGCGCCGACGACGGTTTACTGTTTGGGTACGGTAGACGATGGGAGGGATATCACCATCACCACGGACTTGAAGGCGGAGACACGCAGCGCTGTCGCACCTGGGCGACACGGACGACTTCTGTCGTCGGGCAGTGCGGCGACATGGCAAGCAGCGGATGGCAAGCTATACGATGGTGTGCAACAAACGCTTTGCCTTCTTCCATCAGCGCTCACATCCCACGTTGCAGTCCCAAAGACCGGCGACACCTTCACACCCATCGGCTCCTTCCCCGAGTTCTGTTTCGTTGCTTCCAGGTCGCAAGACCCATCCATTCACATTGGCCTCGCTCGTTCAGGAAAGCTTTATGCGAGCAACTCAGAGTCCCCAGGCCCTCAGACCGTTGCCACAAACGCCACCTCTTTTGCCGTTGCCTCCGGCTTTCTCGTCTTCACCACTACCGCGCATGAGGCTGTTTTTGCGCCGTTGGCCGATCTAGTCACCGACGCCACGTCTGATGACCTGACGAAAAAGTCGACCGAATGGGAGAAGCGGCGCGTCGAGCGTGGCTCACGGATTGTCGTTGCGGTTCCGAGTGCGATGAACTTGGTGCTGCAGATGCCGAGGGGGAATCTGGAGACAATCTCGCCGAGACCATTTGTTATGGCTGTGGTGAGGCAGGATCTGGATAGGTGAGGCAGCGTTTGTGAGGCTGCGTATATGGAAGCTTACGGGTTTCCTGACAGAGGTGAATATCGCAAGGCGTTCTTCTCCTGTCGGCGGAACCGTATCGACCTCAACGTTCTCGTCACGCACAATTTCGAGCGGTTCCTCAACGACGTGCCGGCCTTTTTGGACCAGATCCCCGAGGTCGATCACATCAACTTGTTCTTGACCGCCATCGGACGAGGCTCGCTCGATAAGGATGTCGTGACGCGTATCTGCGACGCCGTCCGGGTAGAGCTGGAGAAGCGGGGTCTGGCACGCTACGTGAATAGTATCCTTACTGCGCACATTATGCGCTCGCCGCCGGATCACGAGGCTGCGTTGGGGCTTCTGCTTCGCCTGAAGGAGTCCGACCCCGCCCTCGTCGAGGACGCTGTGAAGTACATCATCTTCCTCGTTGATGCCGACAGCCTTTTCGACACGGCGCTCGGGATGTACGATTTTTCACTGGTCTTGGTGATTGCTCAGCATGCCCAGAAGGTACGCTTTACAGTTCTCATGACAATCGAAGTATGCTCATATTGACCTAGGATCCACGCGAATATCTGCCATTCCTCCGCGAGCTCCGCGCGCTCGATACATACTACCAGCGCTTCCGCATCGACGACCACCTACGTCGTTACTCAAGCGCACTCAAGAACCTCAGCTTGGCTGGGACGGAGCGCTTCGACGAGGCGATAGCATACGTAGAGCGGTACCAGCTCTACGACGATGCTCTGCGGATATGGAAGGGGACGGACCGATATAACGTGCGTAGTCCTTTTCGCACGGAATGCGCGTCAATGCTGACGGATACGCAGACGATCCTCACTGTATATGGCGATTGGTTGTTCGAGCGACGCGAGCTTCGCGATGCAGCTGCAGGTGGGCGCTCTCGGTGAATTTTGGAAGTAGCAAGCTCACAAGTACATCGCAGCCTTCCTGGAGGCCGGTGGAGACGCGAAGGCTATGCAAGCCATGGAGAAGGCGCTTGACTGGGAGAACCTCTTCGACCTGGCCTTGCGCAACAAGCTTGAGGATACGGTGCTGGTAGACATGGCGTATCGCGTGGCAGAGGGTCTGGTCGCGAAGAAGAAATACGCCGATGCGGGGCGCGTCCTCCTCGATTATGCCCACGACGTGCGCGAGGCGGTCATCGCTCTCGTCCAAGGCAACTTGTTCTCGGCCGCTAGGCGCATCGTGAGTCGTCCCCACACCTTCAATGTCCAGGCAGTCGCTCACCCACTCGCCAGATCGCGCTCCACTCACGCCCCGAGCTTCTAGAGGACATCGTCCATCCGGGCGCCCTCGAGAGCCGCGCGCAGATTGAAGATGACATTGGCGAGATGCGCGAGCAGATCCGCAAGCAGGTCAATCGCGTGCGCGAGCTGCGCGTGAAGAAGGTGGAGGAGCCGGGTGCGTTCTGTCGTCCTTTGTATCTGCCATCGTTCGCCAAGCTTGACACTGACGCCCTGCCAGACGCATTCTACGGCGAAGAGGCCAACCTGCACAACGTCGACGTCATGACGGACGTGTCGATGCCCGCGACGGCGTTCACCCGGTACACGGTCGCACCGTCGATGAGCTCAAAGGCGTCAAAGAAGACCTCCCGCTCCCGACGCAAAGCCGAGCGCAAAGCAGGGCGCAAGGGCACGGTCGAGGAAGAAGAGTACCTCCTCACCTCGGTGGGCAAGCTGGTCGCGCGCTTCAATGCTACGCTAGGTAAGCCGAAGTCACCACCCGGTCCTATCCCCTCGTCTCCCCTACATCTTCGCCTATACCCTTGTCTTCCTTATCCACTCGTCCTCCCTATCCACTGGTCCTCCCTACACCCTCGTCTTCTTCCCCATAACGCCTGTCCTCTACCGTCTTCCGTCTTTCCCAAAAAGTCTCTCCCTGCCCCAAACCCCTCCCTAAACTCACCCTCCCCTACACTAATCTCACCCACCCCTACACTAAACTTACACTCCCCTACACTTACCTCACCCTCCCCTACACCAACCTTACACTCACCCTACACTAAACTCACCCTCCCCTCCAGACGAAACCCGCGCCCTCCTCCCCCACCTCTACCAACTCTCCCCCGAGCACCGCGCCGAGGGCGCCGAGCTCCAGGCCGACGTCGCCGCATTTGAAGTCGAGCTCAAGAGCGCGGTGGAGGAGATCTGGACGAAGCCGGCGGAAGGGGAGGGGGTGGGGATCGGGGTGGGGGTAGAGGAAAACTTTGGCCACTGGCAGGGGAACACGGAGTTTGGCCAGAGGAACACGGAGTTTGGCCAGGGGAACACGGAGCGCTCGGTGTTGGAACAAATGCAGATGCATCAAAAGCCGAATCCGGTCGACAAGGTCCCGAAGCCAGAGTTCTCGCGCGAGGAGTGGCGGTTGAAGTTGTATGACTTACTGTAGATGATGCCTGTGCCTGTATCATCATCAATGTATATCTACGAACGTTCACTCGTACTTTCCGGCGTTTCAACAGAAATCACTCGCAAAAGAGGCAGAGAAAACAGTGGTTCAATTCGCAAGCAAAAATTCTAAGCAAGGCCGTGCACCAGTTGAGTGGCAGGCATTCGTCCAGCGGCCGGTTGTACGACGCGCTACAGTAGCTGGGCTTCCACATCGCCCTCACACATCTCCTTCGCCCTCTCCAGGAGCCGCCTACCGAATCACACGTCTAGATCGACAGCACTTGCGCCCAACCGCCTACCAGATGCGAGTCTGCAAGAGCAGGTCGCTGCTGCCCTCGAGCCCGACGCACGCCTTGAGGAAGGCCTCGAGCGCGTTGCGCTGGCGGCCAAGGCTGTTGACGACCTCGGTGCCTGCAGAGTTGGTTAGCATCGATTCACGCCAATCATGGGAGGGAGACTGAGGCGGTGGTACTCACCAGGCTTAACGAGCGGGGCCTTGAGCATGTACGACAGAAGCGAGAGCACCGAGTAGAGGGGCTGGAAGTCGCCGCCCGCGGCCGCCTTGCGGTACTTGACGCGAGTCAGGAGCTCGGTGAGGATCGTCAGGTCGAGGATGAGGGGCGTCGCGAGGAGCGAGTCCTGGGCAGGGGGTCAGCGCGAGTTGACATGACAAACGAACGAAGGCGGCTCACCTCGCACTCGTTGAAGATGTTGATGGTCTGCCGCCCGCCGCAGAAGATCTCCGAGTAGTACTCGTCGATCGCGCGCTTCGAGTCGCCCACCGCGGGCACGTACTTGATCACGACGATGTGGTCCGGGTGCTCGCCCTTCCCGACCGCCTGGCCCTTCGCGTCTACCGGCGGCGCCTTGTACAGCAGCCGGTTCGCATCGACCATGTCGTCGACGACGCTGCTCTTGCTGATCTCCTTGCTGCGGAACTGGCGCTCGGCGGACAGGTTGTGCCCGTCGTTGTTCCCGAGGTGGTTGTAGGACGCGATGGAGAGCGGCTTGATGCCCGCGTTGACAAGGAACTCGGCGAGGACGGACTTGAGCTTCGTCTGGCCCGACTTGAGGTCGTCGCCGCCGATGAAAGCCTTCTCGCGCTCGGCGAGCTCGATGACGCCCGGCACGAAAGTGTTCTGCGGCGCGCCGTTCACGAAGGGCTCGCCCTCGAGGATGGCCGCGACGGCAAAGATCGTTGACGGCGCGACCTCCTCGTGCGAGGCCTTGATGGCGGAGAGCAACGCGTCCGCGGAGTCGTTGACGCCGGGGATGATGTCGCTGTAGCGCTCGGTGTTGGCGGTCCAGAAGACGACGACGCGGTCGAGGCCGTGCTGCTGCTTGAACGCGCGGATGTCAGCGCGGATCTGCTCGAGGTGCGCCTGCTTGTCCGCTCCGGGGATGACGTTGTCCGCGCGCGCCTCCTGGTTGGCGGCGATGTAGTCGGGGTAGTAGATGGAGGGGAGCGGTTTGCCAAGCTCAGCCATGTACGGCTCGACCTGGCGCTGGAGATCGTAGTCGAGCACCTGGGCGCGCTTCATGGCCTTGTCGAGGGGCAGGCCGGAGATGTCCCAGCCTCCGAGGACGAGGTCGTTGGGGTGGACCATCGGGAGGACGTCGGAGATGGGGACGTGAACGTCGCGGCCCGTGGCGGGATCGACGCCGATGGAGACGGTGGAGGCGCGGAGCATGGAGCCGATGTAGTTGGGCTGCTGCATGCCGCTCTTGGTGCCCCAGGCGATGTTGTGGCGGTTGGCGAGGATGGTCGCGCAAAGGGTCGTTCCGTTGTTGCCGCCGAGGCCAACCATCATGAGGCTGCGGGTGCATGAGCTGGCTGACGAGCAGAAAATGATTGTGTGCGACTCACCCAGTCTTGCCAACGGCGCGCTTGGTCTGGAACTGGAACTCATCGGCAGTTGGCTTGACGAGGTACTGGCCGTTGACGACGTTCACCTCCGCGCCGCGGTTGACGTACGTGGAGGTAATGAACTCGTCGCTGTAGGCGGTCTTGTCCGACTGCACGATGATCGAGGCGTCGCGACGCGCCGCCGTCGGATGTACAGGAAGCACTGAATCGATGGGCGACTCGGGGGTAGCGCTCCCGGAGGAAGAGGTGTTGTTGGGAGCCATGATAGATATTGAGAGTAGAGTGGATAGACGGGGTGGGAGTCGGTCGATTCAGTAAATTCTGACAAACGCGGCGGTCGTGTGCTTAACGCCTCGGTGAGAGTTGTGAGTGCTGCACAGCTGGTTCGCGAACATGCACGAGGAGGGGGGAGAGGGTTGGAAAAGGTGGTGTCTGCAGACAGAGACGGCGGCGACGATGGGGGCAAGAGGCAAGAAGCTGGGGAAAAGATGGGACGACGCGGGGATTTTATACGGCTGGGCAGAGGGTTATTTGTAAAGGCTGAAGGAAAGGGGGCGAGGAGGATGGGGTTCCGTAAAAATCCGCGCGTGTTGGGGACGCGCATCGATACGCGTGACACATTTCTAAATGACTGTCACGGCGCGCGCCCACGTTCCCGCCGTCCCTGTCCCGGCCCGCCCAACTTGCCTTCTTCCGCCACCGTGTATCGGACGTTTACTAGCTACATAGCCTTCGTGTTCATGGTACCTACTCCGCATCTCGATTGACAAGTCCATCTGCTAAGCTCCACGCCCGTCAGCCCGCCAACGACCGCTACAGTCCTCTCCCCTCTGACGAGCACGACGATACCGCCTCCTCTCCCGCTGAGCCCACCCCGCATGCGCCCCTCCTTCCGGGGCGCCAGAAGGCCGCCTCGCGCATCAAGTCGCGATGCGTGCTCGAGGTTTCTCCGGACGGCACGTATCACTATGCATACGGCCCAAGCGGGCTTGCTGGCCTCTTCCACAACCGCTATGCTCTACTCTGCGCCATGGTTGCCTCAATTGGCGGCCTCAGCTTCGGATACGACCAAGGGGTGGTACGTCCAGAACTAGCCCAAGTATCGCTCTCGCCGTTTGCCGACGTCTGATCCCAGATTGCCAATATTCTCGTGATGCGGGACTTTGTCCAGGAATTTCCCGTCACGCCCCTCCAGAAGGGCATACTCAGTGCGCCAACCTGCGAGCTGTCCTGCGGTCTACTGAATTAGCTTATCTCTCTCTAGCCGCCGTCCTCGAGCTGGGCGCCCTGATTGGCGCGCTAGGCGCTGGCGTTCTCGCCGACCGCTACTCACGGCGACACTCCATATTCATCGCGTGCCGTACGTGCTGTGTCCCATTTGTATACCACTTTCCATTCTTCCACTCATCCCCGCAGTGATCTTTCTCATCGGCTCGCTCTTCCAATGCCTCGCGCACTCCCTCTTTGATCTCTTTGTGGGGCGTGCGGTTGGCGGCGTCGCCGTCGGTGCGTTGAGGTGCGCTTTCCTGACTAGCTGTGTCGTTATGTCTCACTAGCTCCCGATTTGCCGCGTTCACACAGCATGCTGTCGCCCCTCTATATCTCGGAAGTGTCCCCGCCCGAGCTGCGTGGCTCGCTCATGGCCCTCGAGCAATTCTCCATCGTGCTCGGGTGCGTCCTTGGCTTTTGGACAGGGTTCGCAACGAGGAACAGTGCGTGTTTGAGTCCGCGTCGACTGCACCTTCATCTTTTCCCTGACTTCTTCTTCTTCCCTGACTTCATCTTCATCTTCCCTGACTTCACCCTCTCCTTGACCTGGTCTACTCCACTGCACTTCATCTGACTGATACCTAATACCTCGCCCAGTCCCCGGCTCCCCCGCTTGGCGCATCCCCCTCGGCGTGCAGATCATCCCCGGCATCTTCCTCGGCGCCGGCTGCATGCTCCTCCCGCCCTCGCCGCGGCTGCTGGTCCTGCTCGGCGAGCACGACAAGGCGCTGGCCAGTTTGCGCAAGCTGAGGGGGGCAGGGGTGGAGGGGTGCGATGCGCTGGTCGAGGTGGGTGGTTTCAGTCGGTCTCCCGAGGAGATGCGATGCATATCCTCGAGGCATCATATCTCCTCAAGGATATACATCGCATCTTCTCGAGGCGCGCGTGGTCAGCAGCTGACGGGATTTTGTTTGATACGCCCTTTACGCACTGCCTGGCGCTCCTGCCCCTCGGCTACCGCTCCTGCCCCTCGGCTACCGCTCCTGCCCCTCGGTGACCGCCTTCGGTGACCGCTTCTGCCCCTCGGTGACCGCGTTTGCCCCTCGGTGACCGCTTCTGCCCCTCGGCGACGCTTGCTGGTTCCCCCGCTGCTCATCGACTTTCTCATGATAACTCGCGACGGCTGTCTCGCGATCCATACTCTCGCCCCATTGATCTCTCGGTTTCGGCCGACGCGTCATGCCTCTGCATATCTGAATCATCCCCCGCAATGACCCTCCCCGTCCCAGATCGAGTTCATGGAAATGCGCGTGGAGGCCGCCCTGCTGCAGCGCACCGCGCCCGAGCGCTCCATCGACGCGCGCGGTGCCGATACCGTCCCCAAAGGCCACGGCTCCATCTTCCGGGGCTACAACACGCTTTTCGAGAAGAAGTACCGCGAGCGGACGATGATTGGGATCATGACGATGTTCTTCCAGCGTGAGTGGGCTTCCCTTCACCTTGACCTGTCCTCGTCCTGGCCCTCTAGACTTCTCGCAATTCCTGATGCCGGAATTCCTCTCTACTGTTTCTCGATAATTTCGCGCCCTTGAACCAATAGTTTCCCCTTGCCGTTGGCGCCTTCGGCATATACAGATTCATATCTCCTAGCATTCGTCCTCTTTGCCTTTCTCCACCCCCTCGTGCCCGAGGCCCTGACTTTTGGAGCGCGCATGTCAACCAGGGCATGCGCTATCCTCATCGCTCATCGCCTCGTGTAGGCTCGCTGCTATTGCGTTGTACGGCTGAACTGGCACTAGTACGACGTGCTGGGATACTGGCGCTCGTGCGTGCAGGATGACCCTGCTAGCGCGCACTGGCTTGACGCCTGGCGCGAGATGGATCTACGCTGCTGACGGCCGCTCTTTCATCACTCCTCCTTTACGCGCACGCTACCTTATCGCACCTTCCCCTTACGTTCCGAGCCCTGCATTCTGCCACAATTGCCCATCCTAGTACGCTGTGTATATCGGGTGTCCTTGTCTCTCCCTTGGCGCGAGGTCCATCGCTGACCCAACCCTTTCATCTGTCGCATACCCATTCGCTTCCTCCTGCATCTTCACCCCTTCATCTCTCCATGGCCACCCACTCGTTCCCCTCGCATACCGATTCGTTCCACTCTCACCTCGCCTCTTTCCTACAATCTCCCCTTTGCTTACAATCGCCGCCGTCTGTTTCTCGCATACTCACCTTCCAACCACAGAATGGGTCGGCATCAACGCCCTGCTCTACTACGGCCCGACGCTCGTTGCGTCCATCGGGCTGCAGGGCGAGGAGATGAGCCTGCTCGTGTCGGGCGGGATCGGCGTCGCGCAGTTCGTCGCGGTGCTGCCGGCGATTGCGTATATCGATCGGTGGGGTGAGTGCCGAATTCATCTGTGTCTTTTGAGCGCCGAGTCCGTCCTTGTCCTTTCCGAGTATAGCCTCGCAAGGGAGAATCTGAGTTACTCGAGCCATATGCTGACCAACACCTTTCAGGACGCAGGCCGCTCCTGAGGGGTATGTGCACGCCACAAGAACGTAGGGGATCGATGTTCACTGAATGACCGTACAGGCGGCGCGGTGGTGATGGGCTGCTCGCACCTCCTCATCGCTATGCTGGTGAGCGCCATTCTCTTGCTCTGAATCTCATCGACTCGGACTCGATGCTCACTTCACCTCTCACAGGTCAAGGAGTTCTCCGCGGACTGGGAGGACCACAAAGGAGCCGCGTGGCTGGCCGTCGGGTGAGTTCTCTCGCCGCCTGCCGTTCCTTGCCTGCATCTTCCGTTCGCCCCCATCATCTTGATGTGTGCGGATCGTCCCGCCGTCAGGATAGTGATCCCCCTCTATCCACGGCTGTCTCTGCCCCGGTCCTCTGTGGCCGTCCTGTTCATCTGTGGCTGTCTCCGCCCGTCTTCATCATGGCTGTCTCCCCCTGTCTTCATCCTGGCTGACGCCCCGCTAGCGCGATCTACGTCTTCACCATGGCATACGGGATCTCGATAGGCCCCATCGGGTGGGTCCTGCCGTCGGAGGTGTTCCCGCTGTCGGTGAGGAGCAAGGGAGTGGCCATCTCGACCGCGTCGGTATGGTTGAACAACTGTGCGGTGAATTCCGTCTCCCTCGTATGTTCGATCCTGATGTACACCCTCGCAGTCCTCATCGGTCTCATCACGCCAGAGCTCATGGATATCTCGCCTGCGTGCGTCCGAGGCGCGCTTATCCCTGTCCGGCATTGGCTGATACATAAATTATCCCTTGTCCCAGCTCGACCTTCGCCCTCTTCGCCACCGCGAGCTTCGCCGCGTACATGTGGGCGACGTACCGCGTCCCGGAGACATCGGGCGTCGCGCTCGAGGAGATTGGCGCCATGTTCAGTCATGGTGGTAACCTGGAGCTGGAAGAGGCGGCGCTGCGCCAGCAGATTGAGGCGGTTATGGGGCTGCCGGATGTGGTGAGGAGGGCCGCGGCGGGGTTGAATGAGAGCTGAGTGGGAGAAGAGCTAAGATGGATGAGAGGAGAGGTCGGTGGGGCCTCGCGGAACGTTGTCTTTCGAGCCTTGCCTGGACGGACGGATTTTATCATAGCTTTCGATAGTATTTACTGTACATCACCACTGCACTACTAATCTATACTCAATCGACCTTCCCAAGTTAGAGGCCCGGCCATAAACACATGTGGGAGTTTGTGGGTCCCGGCACTGCACTCTGGGCGCATCAGATGACGCAGTCAGGGCGCTCGCGGTGTCATTGCCAAGCTCCGTTCTCGCATTCTACTCTCATCTTCCCTTTCTCTTGAACCATCCACGAACGTTACGAACGAATACCCCATCATGTCTATGCTCGACAAGTTCCGCCAGGGCGCGCAGAAGGCCGGGCTGCAGGCGACCGCGTTCATGCACACCAGCGGGAATCGGCTGGCGTCTGAGGGGCGCGAATTCGTGCAGGGCTTCAGCCTCCCGGGCGAGGCTGAGAAGGCGGCGAAGATCCTGGACAGCTTCCTTGGTGCGTCCTGCAATACATCTTCATTGCTTGTCATTGACCAGGACGCGCAGCCGACCCCGAGAGACCAGAATCTGCCCTCAACTCCATACCGAAAGCTGTCTTGCAAAACGCTCGTGGTGCGTACTACTTCGCTACCTCCCCTTCCTGTTACTCACCTCCATCCCCCCCTCTAGGCCTCGCCATCTTCCAGGTCATCAAGGCCGGCTTCGTCTTCTCTGGCAAGGCCGGCTCCGGCCTCGTCATTGCGCGCCTCCCCGACGGATCCTGGTCCGCGCCCTCCTGCATCGCGACCGGCGGCCTCGGCTGGGGCCTCCAGATCGGCGCGGACATCACCGATTTCGTCATTGTGCTCAACAGCGAGGACGCCGTCCGCGCGTTCTCCATGGGCGGCAACGTGACCATCGGCGGGAACATCAGCGCCGCCGCGGGGCCCATCGGCACGGGCGGCAGCGTCCAGGCCTCGCTCGCGCATCCCGCGCCGATGTTCTCGTATTCGAAGTCGAAGGGTGAGTGCGCTTTGTCGGGATGAGTGGTGTCAGCGGCGCGAGACTGACCGGATGCGTGCAGGACTGTTCGCGGGGCTGAGCCTGGAGGGGACGGTCCTCATTGAGCGCAAGGACGCAAACCGGGACTTCTATGGCTCGCCAGTGCCTGCGCGTGATATCCTTGGTGGCCGTGTACCCCCGCCTGAAGTTGCTTCGCGGCTGTACGAGATCATAGAGGCCGCAGAGGGCTTGGACGAGACCGGTGTACCCGAGTCTGCCTACGTCCCAACGGCGACCGGCGAACACATGAACCTCGGCAGACCTGGAGAAAACCACACGGTGTTTGACGCAGGTCTGCATTGATCCACTGACGGAGATCCGATGGAAGGAGCAGTAGTTTTGAATTGTGAGTGTTCGCAGCCTTGATGAACGCGACATGCCCATTGATTTGCAACTAGCGTTTTGTACGATAATACACCTGGACTATAGGAATGTACCGCTTTCGCCTCACCAGTCCTTGCGCTATATATTATTTGATGCTTCTCCTGACTATCGTTGCATCCGTCTACGCGGACATGTGGGGCGTCGTTGAAGACGATTCCGCATCCACTCAATGGCTACAAGCATTTTGGTAGCTCCCAATGCTCCGCTTGCCTCCTGACCTGCAACCAGTTGATATAGCATCGTGGGGTAGCCTGCATATTCTCAGTATCGCAAGCCAGTGCGAGGAAGTACAGTGGTATTGACATACAATGCGAATGTCCTTGTCAAGATGGGCAGTAGTGCAGTGGTAATGCAAAGATATGTGGACAAGTATATAGAGGAGATGCCTTTCAAGGACCTGGGTGGATAGTATGTATAATATGCAGGTAATGCCAGGGACAAGACGAACATGGATGAAGTCGCAAATCATGGAGTAAGGTCAAGGCGAGGAGGCGGAGAGCGAAGTGCAGAACTTGTGGAGGTACATCATCCCCTTCGCAGACTACTGAATTCAAAGTTTCAGGTAGGACATGTACAGGTGCGCACGCCCCTCACAGCCCAAAATAAAACAACGGCATAATAAACGGCATCCACCTCGTCGCCCTTAAATTCCCCAACCTTAAGCACACCTCGACCATCACCACGCCCGGTACGCTCGCAGGCTTGGCCTGGACGTTGATCTGGTGTGTGGGCAGCGGCGGGATGAGGTCGGTGAGGTCGACGTGGAGGACGGCCTGCTTGGGCTGGCCGCCGCGGTACTTGGGGAGGAGGTTGAGTTTGGATAGTTGCGCGCCGATCTCGTCCTTGTGGTCGGAGATGTACCAGCTGACGATGTCGCCGGTGAAGACGACGTCGGAGATGGATATTTCGCCTAAATAATACGTTAGTTCATAGCACGAGAGAAAATAAGTACGAGAAGGGGCTTTGCCAGTGGTGATGACGAAAGCGAGCCGAAGGGGCCACATACCGTTCAGATCCCAAGGACCGTTATTTTCCAGGCATTCCTCTCGATGCTCATGCCAATGCATGCGCTGGCAGCTGCCGGAGCAGTAGTATGCCATTCCGCAGGCGCAGATACGCACCATTTGGTCGTGTGGGCCCTAGTCCATATGTCAGAATACAGAAACTACTTAGAGACTTCCGTCAGCTTACTATAGTATTCGTGCACTGCATCGCTCGCCGCCAGCCCCTCTGATTCTTGCTTATCGTATAGAGGTCATTATACTTGTCATACACCTCAAACACATCGACCCATGTCGGTTTTGGTCGTGGAGGTCGACCGGCGGTGCTGGGCGGATAGGGGTAGAGCCGCCGGAATGTGCGTATGAGCCTCGGCTGACAGAACCCCGCGCATATGTGGCGCACGAAGTCGGAGAGATCGTACTCTCTAGAATCTGGCGACTCCTCCAACTTCTGCACGATGTCGAAGACGCCCTCGCTGACGGACTGCACGAGCGGGCGATTGCTGCCCGTGAGACAGCAGAGGCCCGCGACGAGGCGGACGGCGCTGTAGGCGCTGTCCTGCATGTCTTCCCTCATGCAGTACAGGCCCGCAGAGACGACGGCGGTGATGGCCTTGCGGAATATCTTCTTCGGCCAGAGCTCGGTGAGGCAGACCAGGCGGAGGAGCAGGCGAAAGTGCTCCTTCCATACTTTCGCGCGGAGGGCCTTCGATATGGTGATGCCACGCAGGAACTTGGTTTGCAGGTGGATAGTCCGCTGCAGCACCTTCGGGTCGCCGTCTATCGCGAGCCTGAGTTCGTCGACGAAGAGGGCGCGATCGTCCGGGGCTGCCTGCTTGTCATCACTATCGATGAGCAGCTCGTAGAACTTCCCGACTGCCAGCGTCAGGGAGTGGGCCCATTGAGAGGCGGATTTATCGGATGGCGAGATGTGGTCGTGGAAGCGGAGCCAGAGCTCAAACGCCTGCGCAAGTCCATCCGGGTTGGCGTGCAGAAAGGGCTTGATGTGCTTCGGTTCCGCGTCCGAAAGGTTCAGGTACACCTGCACGACGGAGCTGACGACGACGGTGCGCCCTCTATCGCGTTCAGCGTCCGAGGCGAAGGTGAGACGTCCGCGCGCTGGATGGAGGGCCGCCGCCCATTTGATGGTGTGGGGCCAGAGGGCGCGGACAGATGGTTCCATGACGCTATTTCGTGGGTCCTCGGATGCCATGTGCAGGATGGCAAAGACGCTGAAGGACATTACGACGAGCCCGACGACATCGCTTCCGTACTCGAGCTTCCCCGGAGGCGGCTCAGAAAGGAGCGCAGCGAAGGGAGGCTGATTTTTGTTGCTGAGTATGTTAGAGATCTCTTCCAGCGCAGACTGACGCGTTCTCCCTGGGGAGAAAGGCGTATCGCCTGCTAGTTCCTGCGCGATTTCTCTGATTTCATTGAGGGCGCGGAATTCCCGATTCGCGACCGGGTTTGCGAATCCGTCTGAGAGACCCATCGAGATTAGTCTGCTTGGCTCCGACAAGCCATAGAGTCGAAGACAAGAGTAGGTTGAGGTGGTTCAAGACTACCTTCGCCATAACGTGAAGATGCGCCACTCAATTGATGCACTTTCTCACGGGCACCAGACATTCGAACTTCAGTGTACTGTAAGGATGTGCTGACCCACTTTACCACCAGGCGCAACTGTACATGGAGACAGACTGATATAGAGCGGGGATAGAATACAAGATAGCAAATACACAAGAGCAGCTTAGAGTCTGCAAAGTCCCTCTAGAACCAGCGGGGCCGCTCGGAATCTCCATTATCTACAAAATCCTGGTGCCCATCGGAGGGCGAAAACATTGGGTGCTGCAAGCTCTGTTGAAGTGATGGCAGGTCAGGTGCAGGATTGGATGGCCACGCTTGTACCAGGCTCCTACACAAAGGGTCAGAAAAGTGGAAACGCACAGACATCTAGTGGACGTACTCGTTGACGAAGTTCGCCGGAAACGCGTCCGCCCAGCGCTCCATCATGGCCTCGTCCATCTGCGTCGCATCCATCTCCGCCGCCTGCGCCCCAAGCATACTCTCCAGCTGGCTTGTCGACAGCTGCTTAAACCACCCCTCCGCCGTGGAGAAGTCGCCCGTATCGGTACCCAGGCTCACACTTGAAGGCGTCGCCACGGGCGCGGGGGTCGGCAAAGTCGCGGGAGACGATGTCGATGGCGCATTGGAGAATGGTGCGTTGAAGGGATCAATGCCGATATCCGCGCCAGCAAGGCTCATCCAGTCCGCGTAGCTCGGCGTGGGAGCTGAGTTGGATGAGGACGAGGATGGTGTGTTGGGGTTGAACAGATCTTGACTGGGTACCATCAAGTTCATGAAGTCCCAGGAGTGGTTTGACGCGACGACATCGGTGCGAGGCGGTGGCTGCGCTGTTCGTGCCGACTCCTCGACGTCTTCGCGGACCCGCTTGCCGAGTTGCTGGTGGACGTGACAGAGCCCATTCAGGATATCCCTGAGCCGAAATTGGTCAGTAACTGTCACTTGCGGAAGGAGGTGACGCATACCAGAATCGACCAGCGGTAACCCATCTGAAGACGGTACCCTTAAGTTCACGATGAGGAAGTGTAGCGGGATGCATACCTTTCCTCTAGCGCCTTCAGATACTCGCGACACATGTTGATCTCCTTGAACTCCTTCAGTTTGTCGATGTTATTGGTGTTCGTCGACTTCTCCCTCGCCCACAGGCTTAGCACGAGCACGACGCCGGACGACGATATAGTCGACTACACGCAGTAGAAAGTCAGCCGACGCCATGTCTGACAGCCCGATAGTGCACCCACCATGATATACGGCATAGGGTGATTCGGCCGTCGCCGTCTATGAACATCGATTGCATGCGCGCAAGCCCGCGCCGCACTCGTGCAGATCTCAAGTGACGGGAGTCCAACTGGCCGCGAGTTCTCAAGTGGCGTGATGAACGGCTTGTGTATGAGGATCTGCGCCTGCGCAAAGAAAGTATGCAGGAAGACTTGACAGTCGAGGAATACATCGCTTGGCTCGTCCGGGTTCAACCGCACTGCAAGTCGTGCGTATCAACAACTGAAGAAGAGCACGCAACGATACACGTACGATGCTCAGGTAGAGCGCCTTGCCACTTGTTTAAGGCAGAGTCGAGCTCGGCAATTACCTGCCGCTCCCAGCCCTCCTCGATGACGCCGGCAAACAGTTGCGTGCGATTGATAGTATACTGTATACCGATCAGTTTCTCGAATTGGATTGCGTATAGATACCCACAATGGTGCGCAAGGTCATCTCCATGATCCGGGTGAGTTTGATCCATGCGACAAAGGTTGACGAAACGGCGGGCTTCCCGGGCGGCTGCTTCCAAGCCAGCGCCGGGTCTGGTGGGTCCCAGTAATCGTCGTCGACCTCCATCGGATAACGGATGCTAAACCTAGAAGATAGTCAGAACTCCGTTCCAAGACAGTAAGCATGCGCCTCACTCCTCATCCTGTATGGCGCAAGCGCGCCCGAGTATGGCGCTGAATATCCTATCGAAGCCAACTAGCGTCCTGCACATAGACCATGAGTAGATATTCCAGTGCAATATCAGGGAGACGCACCAGAAACATCGGTTCCATAGTTCATCCTCGATGGTTATCTTCTTTCGTGTCCGCCGCCTGTGCGCGCCGGCGTCTTGCGCGAAACGAATGGCGACACCTATGCGGGTCCAAACATGCAACCCGACGACCATCGACGCTGCATACATGAAGAAGATAGATAGCTAACGATGGTCAGTCAACCAATACTATTCGAGAGAACTCGTACTCACGCAGTGAATCTGAATGTCGTGCAGCTTCGGGGGTATGATCATGGGCTTGCGGACCATTTCGACCTGGCTGAAGTAGTGCCACCCTGCGCTCGCGTCAGGTCCGATGTCGGACAAGTCAGGAGGGCTTCACTTACCAGCCGAGTGCTTCGACGCGTGTGGGTCTGCCTTCACTCTAGGGTCGTCAGAGTACCGCGAGCCTATCGCGCAGACAAGGAGGACGATGCAGGCAAAGCCCGTATCCCGCGCATGATCCATTGAGTACAGCTGCTTGTCAAATGTGGGCCGATGCAGCATCGGGAAGAACATGTTGACGTTGTCAAAGTACAGGTTCACCAGCTGGTGCAAAAGCACTCGATCTGGGAACGTGAACTTCGGGCGCGGCGGCGCCGAGATCTCCATCTCCCATGGTCTCGGAAGCCAAAAGTCGAGCCTGCGCGTGAAGTAAAAGCGATCTGCGAGGTTCTTGTCCTCCGCCGTGCGCAGATGGATCGCTTGCCATACCAGCTATACGATTGGACCACAAGAAAGAGCAGAGTTGAGCATTCACACGCCGGGCGCTATAACGTACACTTACATACGCTGCAGGTGCCGTGGGCCGTCAATAGGTGCACATTGGACTGATGGATGGGTGGTGCACTCACCCGTGCTAGAGCGGCCCATGTGCCGGACATAGTCCCGTCCGATATCGAGGTTCTTCAACGATTGAATGAACCCGGCGCTGTCGGGGTCGAACTCCTCAGATGGTGGGAAGGTCTTCTCCCAGGTCTCTGCTTGATGGTCCTGGGGAGGGGAAGCCTGTCGCCGATCGTCGGAGCCTAACGCTTTGGCGACGAAATCTTTAGGCGTGATGGAGTTGGTGTTCGAGTCGTTGCTAGAAGCTGGACTGGCATGATTGCTGTCCTGTTGCTGCTCGTCGGGTCAATCTCTTGGGTGAAGGAAGTAAAGCTCTACAACGCACCAGCTTTAGCTGCATCTCAAGCTCCGTAACGCGGTTCTGCAGCTCTGCGATCCGCGTCTCGAGAGCTTCGATGTAACTGGGAAAGGGGTCCGGGTCAGACACTTCTCAGCTCGCAAGGGGTGATGGTCGTTGCATACTTCCGATTCATGGTTTGTTTCTACGAGCAGGTGAGTGTTATCCATAGCGAAACGACAGACGCACGCGCCTTCATCGTATCATCGAATGTGCACTCGACCTGGTTTAGGGTGCAGTTCATGCACGTCCGCCCCGACAACGGATCGGCGTCGCCTACAGTCCGTTCAGCGCCAATTTACGCATCCAAGTGGGTCTACGCACATCTCGCCTTCCGCTTCCTGCAATAATCGCACGCCCTATCCGCCTTCTTCCTCCTCAGGAGCACATCCTGATTGCCCGCCGACGTCGACGCCTGCGGCTGCGGCGCGCTATTGTTGTTCGGCATCCAACCTCGCGCAGATGATGGGGGGAAGCAAGCTCAGTATGTGCGTGCTCTCGCAAAGATCTTTAGCCTTCTTGAGTCGCAAGTGGGGGATCGAAACAGAGTGGCATGCTGCTAGAGTGCTTCATGACGAGGGAGGGGTTATTTCAAATCTCCCGACACCGCCGCATCCCTTCGCATCCCGGCGATCCTCGGCGATCATGTTGCGAACGGCGACGGCAGGGGCACGCGCGCACGGAAGATTCAAAGTCTCCCATTCCGAGACCGGGAACCTCCTCAGCTTCGAGTCGAGGTGAGTCAAGGCTAGGTACGCAGCCAGCTTGCGACGCGTGACGTCCAAGTTTAGAGCCAAGAATGAAGATCCAGAGAATTCGATTTTGGTAAGTACATGGGCGCCGAGGTCCAACAGACAGTAGAGACAGCAGAAACAGAGGTCCATAGCATAGACAGCGATGGGAACGGATGCCCATACAATGGTGAATAATACGTACAGTAGGCTACGGTGGTAAGGAGCGGAGAGCGAGAGCGCAGCAGAGGGGACGCTGGAGGCAGCAAGCAATGCGAGTATGAGGTGAGCGGGGTATTAGGAGTTGTGCGGAAAGAACAGGTAGATGGCAGTAGATATACATACATATCCGATAACATACCCATGAGAAACAAGGACCTATTAGTACATCAGGACGAACAAGGGGGAATCTTCGCGGACGGGGGAAAGAGCCCGAGGAAGGCGAGAGGCGAAACGATATTGACTGCACTCATCAGTCAGGCGTGCGCCCCCGAGTGTGCGTGCGACGACGGCGATGATGGCGATGAATACAGGTCAGGCAGGTCGATAGGGGACGTGAAGGCCATGACCTAGGACGCCGCGTCAATACGCGACCTTTGACTTGACAAGACAGCGAACAACTCACATAGGGATGCATTTGTGGCGCTTCATCCCCTGTATCCCCCAGCTCCATACCCGACGTCTGCGCACGCTGTTGGGCAGGCGAAGGCACCCCCTTTCCGGGCACCCTCGTCTCCGAGCTCCGCCACGTCAGGCGGTCGCTGCCTCGCCCGTGCACGTCGGCTGGTGGCGCTAGCACGTCCTGTCCCTCCTGCTCCCGCACGTACGCAGTCTCGTTTTCTCCGAGCGCCTCCTCCCTCCACGATGCCATCGAGCGCACGTCCGACTCCGAGCTCGTGCTTGTACTTGGCCGATGCGAGCTCGTCGTCGAGGTCGTATATGACGGCGCGCGGTAGGGATACTCGAACGCGGCCATCTGCAAGTGCGCGCTACCCGCGTCAGGCGAGTACACGACGTCAGGCGGAGCGTGTACGGTCGACTTCGGCGATTTGGGAGTCGAAGGGTGATGAATGTGGCTGTAGTGCGGGTATGCTGGAGGCGCTGCGGCCGAGCGACGTTTCCGACTAGGCGGCGGGGAAACCTTGACGACGTAGCCCATCTCTTGCGTAAAGGAGCGGGGGAAGAAGATCAGCAGCGTGAGGGCTGACGACGAGAAGCATCCAATGCCGCCGATGAGGAGGAGGAAGTCCGCCCAGAACCTACGTGAGATTAGCACATAGCACCATATTGCAAACAGTGAACACGTACGGATCGTGCACAATGGGATGCGTGCCCATAGCCAAAGCATCCGCGGCCAGAACAAGCAGGGGCACCGTGAAAAAGAACCGCAGCACAACACGGAACGTCTGCAAACGAATTGAGCAGCCACCCCCGCACCGGAACCCATCCCCACTCACATGCAGCTGGTAGAACCTGAAGAGCCTAACCACGACAGCCGGCTCCGCGCCGCCCGCCTTCACCTGCGTTATGAACGTCGGAAACTTGCCAATCACGTACAGGAACCAGACGGTGGTCACCGTCCCCGCGACGGCTCCCACGAGGAAGATCCACGCAGCGCACTAAGTGGAGGTCTGGTGAGCAGGCTATTTCTGCGGGCATGAATAAGTGACAAGCGCACTAAATCGAGGTCCCTGCGCGCGGCGAGGGTGGTCATAGGCAGGCCGACGATCGCTGCGGTGCTTCCTGAGGAGGAAGGTGAGGGGAATGATAATGTTGGGGAGGGCAGGGGGCGTACCGAACGACCAGGTGCGAAACTCCCAGCTGTGGAACCAGTCGCGCTTGCGGGGGCCTTGGTGGAGGAGAAAGAGCCAGAACATGAGTTCCTCGAGGTGGGTAACACTGGGAGGGGTGAGCGAGGGGGCTACCGGTATGGAAGGGGGACGCACATTTCGAATGCCCATGCGATGCTGAAGACAAAGAGTAGGGGGAGTAACTGATCCTTGCTTTCTTGACTCCATGCAGGCACTGGTCTGGGTACGGCTGAAGGCGGGAGTGAGACGTAGTGCGAACGAGCCTGATGGCTGCGCACCTTGACCAGAGGGGAGTACGACGTGCCCTGCACTCGATCTCAGCACATCACTTTGCAACTAGAGCCGGATCACGTACCTTCCCTGTACTTCAATCGCGTCACGCTCGCGCTGAACGCCAAAAGCAGCGGCACAGTGAGGATGTAGGTATATCTGCAGCCCCCGATCAGCTCGTTGCCCCCGTCGCGCCCATTCCGCTCACGTCATGAGCCTGTTGAACGCGCCGGGCTGCTTGCCCGCATTCCACTTGAGGCACTTGAAGCGATCATAACTCCATAGGTGAACAAGGAGGAAGCAGAGGAACTAGAAGAGGACCATGTGGATGAGCATGCGGGTCGTCCGGGGCACGGCTGTTTCTAGCCTATGGTTTGTTCTCACCAAACAGGCCAAGACGGTCCATAGGAGGAAGACTGTTGGCGATCCGGGAGTCATGCTTTGTGGAAGGGCAAGGTATAAGGTGGTGGTGGGATGGCGCGAGCGAAGAAGGGATCGAGAGCGGCGGGAGTGGCCTCGAGGCGGGTGACCGACGACCGTCGGGTGACGCGACAATGTGACCCGCCGGCTGACGCACGTGGGCCGCCTTACTGGGGTGACGACGGGCGTGGAATGTTGAACTACCCGTTCGAGGATGAGGTCTGAGGCCTTGGCCTGAGTGCTAGGGCAGCCCGATGAATCGGATGATGAAGTTCGACGACGGTGATAGACGGTGCAGAGCGAGGCGTCACTGCAGTGAAATCCTGATAGGAGGCCTACTCCAGCGCCGTCAGATCACTGCCAGCGGAGACGGAAACTCGATCGCGTGGCCCGGAACACGACGAGGCATTGAGGAGAGGGGATGAGACGTTTGACCTAAGACCGTCAGCGACTGAAAGGAAAGGAAGATCAGTGAATAAACCCAGCCACTCGGCTAGAAATGCTGAAAGAAAGGAAGGAAGGAAGTTGGATCGTCGGTGCCATTGGGCCGCTTGCGGACAGGGCTGCATTTGGCGATGCTACATTCAAGTTGAATATTGAACATCGGACCTCGAGTGCCAATGCCCAAAGGCTCCGGAAGGTAGTTGAATTCTCAGTGGCGTCGTCATTCTGTGTACCATTGGCTACTATATTCGGCCTCGCCCGGTGCCTACGGCCCTTCATAGTGTCGACAAGGCGCAATGAGTCAGGCGAACATTCATAATCCTGGAAGTGTTGTTTGGAGAGGCATTGTGGCCGATGGCGAGAGTGTAGCCGACGCTTTCAAGCAATCGTTGGGCATTGTCAAGGCCAGGGTGATGGTAGGAAGCGAGGGGGGCTCTTGAGGAGCAGGAAATTCGTAGTTGGACATCGAAGACTGAAGGGGGGATGCAGACGTCGTGACCGAAGTAAGATAAATGCCAAGGCCGAATGCAGCAAGGGTGCCGTCCCGGGAAAATTTGGTCATAGCCAGCGTGGTCCGGCTCCGGAGGAGCCGGGCATACTTCCCAAAAAGGTGGCCAGCGAGTTCCTGCGACGCGCGCCACAGGCGCGCCTTTCGTCGTCCCCGAGAGGCCCAAACTTGGTGGAGATCGCCCGAGATCACGCTGGGCACCCTGAGGGAACTCCTGCCATCAGATGGGCAGCAGCGATGTTGACTTGGTGGGATTTTCGCTCGCAGGGGTGGCGGTGAGCAGCGCGCTGTCGCGCGCCTTCCTTTCTTGCCTTCCGCTTGTCCCAGCTGTTCATGAGCATACATGAGGAACACGAATGTCTATATTGAACACTATCTACTGTGCATACTTACTGGTATAAATGTGCATATATGTTTTGAAGGAGGCGAAGGATAATGTAAGTGGGGAATAGCTGAGGTCAAGGGCCAGACCGGTATGGGGAGGAGACGAGGGGAGGGGGCATAAAGGTGATGAGGTTGATCGAGGAGGGGAAGGGAAGGGGAAGAGAAGGGAAGGGAAGGGGAGGAGAGGGGAAGGGGGCGATGGCGGCGGGCCCTTTCACTGCGTGTTGTAGTATTCATTGAGGAGATGCTGTGGCGCTGATCGTAGTTCTCTTCGCGCGACGTTCACACTCCCCTCCTCGCTCGCAACCTGCCCTGTGCTGCTGGCTGTCCGCGACGTCGCCCCTATATCGCAAGGTCAGAAAAGCGGAGGTCTTAGTCGCATTATTACGCACCTTCCGAATGTCCTAAGCCCCTCCAGTGAGCCCTGTACTTCGCTTGTTGTGTTATATGGCCTGCGCGTGGGGCTGGTTTTGCGCTCGCCGTTGTGATGGTGGTGGCGGACAGGAATTGACGCTGGGGCTGGCGCGTGATGGGCGCTTCGGCATTTGCCGCGGAATCGGTGAAAATCGGTCGTTGACCGATTTTGTCGGATTAAATCGGTCTGCAGACCGATTTCCGATCACGCTGCCCACCCCGCCCTTTCCCGTCCCGGTCTTATCGTCGAGGCCGTGTGGCAAGTACGAGCGAGGGCGGAGGAGCGCGACGTGAGGTTCATTCTGAGTGGACTTCCCCATCTCCATCTTCGTGAGCTTGGAATCTATATGGCGAGCTTCGTATGTAGCAAGTAGGTGACGCTGGACGAGGAGGAACGAAGGGCATAGCGGAGGGTATGGCACTTCAGGGTTTCCTCCAGAGCGTAGGCGTAGACTTGTTTTGATAGCGGGGCAGACGTCGGCAAGAGCTACGAGATAGTTCTTGCAGTTAGTCGCGAGCAAGCTGCTGGCTCGAAGCCAAATCTACTGGCTGGTACACGGAGATTGTGGCGTTCTTGCATCGTCACCGTGTAGCCTCGATTTGGGGGACATATAGCAAAGGAGATGCCAGTGACTCCCTGAGGAATGCGGCAGGTGAGTTGCAACGTCGGTGACGGTGCGTGGCACGTCTTGACTTGAGGGTAATCTCTCATGGCCTCGAAGCTGAGTATATGCGCATCGAACGTCGTCAGAGAAGCTCCAAAAGGCTGGAGAGTTCGTCTCGAAGTCTTGGGCGACGATTGAGCGCAGAATGAAGTTCCAGTGAGATATGCTGCCCGAGAACTTCGATGCGCGATGATGGTAGGAGCAGGGAAGCGATACCAGGCTGACGCGTTTGCCGCTCGTGTGATTGGGGCGCGATCGAGCACGTGGCTTATGGCCGGGCACCGGCACGAATTCCCGGTCTGAACTCTGCTTGACTCCCGCAAAAGTCTATCTGATAGAATTTTTGAGCAGCCTGCTGTGCTCATACTATACAGTCCCAAAGAAAAACAAAATCACATCCGGTACTGCATCCCAGGGATCTCCCAATCGGTGAGGTCCTCGTACGCCTCCTTCCCCATCGTGCCGTCCGTCTCCCCCGCTCGTCTCCGGTTCGCGTACATCAGGTACGCGCGCAGGAGGAGCGCCTCTGCGACGGCGAGTGCGTAGCAAACCATGATCGTGCGGAAGGCGGTCTGATACACAGGCGCTTCCGACGTCTTGAAGAAGTGCGGGCCGGCGCTGTCATCGAGGGGTCAGCCTAGTGGACGAACGTGATGAAAGAGATAGCTGGGACGCACATATTCCCCGTGCAGTACGCAACGAACATGAGCGCCGTCATGGTCATCTTCTTCGTCATTCCACGGTAGTTCGTGTTCATGACGGACATGGCGAGCGGGAGCGCGCCCGGGCCGAAGGAGATGAGGTAGTAGCCGAAGAGCTGCACGCCGAGGCTGACGGTGCCGGAGTAGATCAGTGCACTACCAACGACGGGCGGGATGACGACAAAGATGATGAGGAAGCAGTAGGCGTTCTTGAAGCGCCCCGCAATCCATCCACTGCGGCGTGTTAGCACACCGTCTTCCTGGGTTCAGATGGTACGCACGTTATGAGGATCGTAAAGAAGGCAACGAAGGAGGAAGGGATGCCGACCAGCGTCGTCTCCAGGCTGGTGAAGCCAAAGCCCTGCATACCAGTCAGAAACTACATCACAACTCACCGCCATACAACGCACCTTCAGCACCAAGTTGGCAAAATTTTGCGTCCCCGAGTTCGGGATCTGCGTGCAGATGCTGATCGAGGCGAGCAGCCACGTCTTAGGGTCCTTGAAGCACTCGATGATCTGGTACGTCTTCAACTTCTTGGTCTCAGCCGTCGCATTGCCGGTCCCCGCGAGCGCGACGCGGTCTTTTGCGCACGCCTTCTCTTCTTCGGTGAGAAACCTGCAGGAGCTGATGCCATCGGGGAGCACGTAGTAAAGGATGAAGCCCCAGAGGCCAGTGGCCGTGCCGAAGATCTACGAAGCGATGAGCAGGTGGCCAATGAAGCAACAGGAAATACTCACGATAAACAAGAACTGCCACGGCTGAATCTGGTTGTCGATCCTGCCAATCGCATACGCGAGCAAGCTCGCCACCAGTCCGCCGAACGAGTTGCCCGCGAACCACGTCCCCGTCCGGAACGGGATCTCATCGCGCGTGTAGTACGTGCCCGTGATGAACACAAACGCGGGCGTGATCGTCGACTCGACGACGCCGAGGAGGAACCGCAGCGCCGCGAGCCCACCAAAGTTCGTGCACACGGCCGTGAGCGCGACGACGAGGCCCCAGATGACGGTGTTGATGGAGACGTATTTGCCGACGGGGAGCTTAGGGATGAGGAAGGAGGTCGGGTAGGCCCAGAAGAGGTAGCCGAAGTAGAAGATGCTGGATACCCAGCTGTATTGCTCGCCGACGAGGTGCTAAGGGGGTGATCGGTTAGGTTAGATGGTATTTGCGGGAAGGGAGTGGGGCTGAAGACGCACTGTGCCTTCCTTCAACCCGAACACGGACGCGCTCGACAGGATCGTCTTGTCGATGAAGTTGAAGTTGTACGTGACGAACATGATCGGCATGAGCCGCCAGTCGAGCTTGCGCACCACCCGCTTCGCGAGCGCCGTATCCACCGTCGCCGGCAGCTCATCGACCGCGTTTTTCGAGTCCTTGAACGAGCTGGCATCTGCGTCCATGATCGCGGTCGTGCTGGTCGTGATGGGAGAGGGCAACCCTGCTCTTGCCCTGCTCCGAGGCGACCATAAGCAGCAAGCACCCTCCCCGCGGCGCAGTAGTATTCGGGATAGATATGGCGATAGGCAACCCGCGCCTATCGTCCCGGTGACCTCCTGCGCTGGATAAGGGGCACACGACGGTCGGGCTCGGCGCTGGGGTCGCTGCTGGGAGCCTGGGCGGGGATCAAGGCACGAATACCGACGGGGAGGGGGCGGAGAGGTGATCTGCAGCGATCGAGCGGGACGGAGGCAGAACGGATCCCAAGCCTCATCGCCGCGGCGCGGACACAGAAAAATGCCGATAAGATAGCATTAAGCGCCGGGTCCTGGTGCTGTCACCGCAGAGGGAGGGTTGAGTAGAAGACCACTGCACTCATCCAACGATGACCGATCCCAACGTCCCACGCGCCGTCTCAGCCTTCGTCGCCGCCCTTCCTAAGGTCGAACTCCATGTCCATATCGAGGGCACTCTGACTCCCGCCCTCCGCTGGCGCCTCGCGCAAAAGAATGGCATCGCGCTCTCCTACAAGACGTACGAGGCCCTCCTCGCCTCGTATGCGACCATGTACAACCACCGGCGCGAGCTGCACGGCGACAATGGCCTCCCGACGTTCCTCGAGGCGTACTATGGGGGGATGGAGGTGCTGAGAACGGAGGACGACTTCTACGAGCTGGCGATGGAGTACTTCGCAAAGGCGGCGGAGATGAATGTGCGTTACGCGGACCCGTTCTTCGACCCGCAGGCGCATACGCGAAGAGGGGTGCCGCTCGGGGACGTGATGCGTGGCTTCGAGCGCGCGGGCAGGGATGCGAAGGAGAAATATGGCGTCAATGTGGGCTGGACGATGTGTTTCCTGCGCGATATGCCTCCGGAGGATGCGCTAGCGACGTATGAGGCGGCGGTGCGGGACTTTGGGGGCGTATTTCACGCGATCGGGTTGGACAGCAACGAGTACAACCGGCCTCCGCGGCTGTTCGCAGAGGTCTTCCAACGCGCGAGGGCGGATGGGTACAAGATCACCGCACACTGTGACGTCGGGCAGAAAGACACGCACGAGCACATCCGGGAGGTCGCGACTAGCTGCATGGGAGGAGTCGAGGGCGCCGATCGTATCGACCACGGGCTGAACGTTGCGGATCAGCCTGAGCTCCTCGTGCTAGTCAAGGAGCGAGGGCTGGGACTGACGCTGTGCCCACACGCGTACCACCGCCGGCTGCCCACGGACTGGGTGTTCGGGAGCATAAAGAAAGTCTGGCAAGCCGGAATTCCATTTAGCGTCGCGAGCGACGACCCGACGTACATGCATCAGCAGTGGGTGACGGAGAATCTGGGCAAGGTGATGCATTACTGCGGCTTCCAGGAGAAGGACATGGTGAAGATTCAGCGCGATGGGGTCGCTATGTCATGGGCGTCGGAGGAGGTGAAGGAGGCCATATTTCGAGAGTTAGATAGGTTCGAGAAGCAGTGTAGCAGCTAGACCGTATACACAGAGCAGCTTTTAGGCGTTCGAAAGAGTTGCAGCTACCGATGGCGATGGCGGTAGGAAGGAAGAACGATGCAAATATTCGCGCGCCCGTCCCACCCTGGGATGCGCCTGCTTGACATCCGTCACTTGTTCCTGACTTTCAACATGTTCCCTCGCCGTCCTCCCTCCTCCTCCTCCTCTCTCTCTGCCTCACAGAACATCGCCTGGGCATCTCATGAAGTGCCACACGCCCACCCACTATCATCACTAGCGACCTAGTCAAGTGTGCCCACGCAAATTGGCTCAAGCTAGCCATCGCTCTTTCTATTGAGCGCGCACCGCATCCCGGAACTACTGCTCTCGCGGGAACTCACCTGGGCGTATGGATCTCCCTACTTGCAAGCTCGCGAATGTATCTGCACGATAGGCTCCTCGCCAATGAACGCAACTCCCCCGCATATTCGCTCCTGCCTGAATACAAGTATCCATTCCAGAATCACCAGGTTATGTCGCCATTTGTATCTCGTATCGGGTGTTTGACAGCGGTGGGAATGAGGGCCCGCTCATGGCCCTCACTGCGCTTGGAAGGATGGTTGCGACCTGGCGTAACTGTGTAGGCGGCGCAGTGGAGGACTTCGTATCCGGTGCGTAGGCGCGCGCGCTCGTCCTGCCGTTCCTTCTCACTCACGGCCGTTAGTGAACCCCTGTCCCTCATGACTTTACCAAGCACTCGCGATCATCGCAACGATATCAAGCGTGTTGGCTCGGTGCCGTGAGCGGTTCTGTCAAACGATGTAGCGCGCAGCACACGAACAGTAGAGATGGTCGTCACTGCGTACACCCCTCCCCCCTTCATGCACGATGCTGCTCATGTACTCGGGCTTCTGTTCACATGTCTCGTAAAGGGGCGTACTGTTGGGCTCACAGGCTTTCTGACCGTGTTCGTCGAGCACTCCTCCATCGCTTTGCCGTTCTTTGTGCTCCGTCTCGCCTGCGCCAACCTCTGAAGTATAATTCTATTTTTCATCTACCACGGCCTGTTCCTGTATCCTGCTCGCTTCCTTCTCCTACGAGCCTGGTCATCGAGCACTGAATAGACAATTCAATGCCTTACTAGGACTAGTGATTAGCTGCTGCTCCATCCCGCGTGTTACCCGGTCTCCGACGTTTGTCATATTCGAGGCTTCTCAGCGTCCCCTCACCCCTTCCCACCCGCTGTCAAGAGCTAATGTGGTTGATGAGCGATGAATGACATGCTGTGGGGGCGCACAGCGGCCTAGGCGTAAGCTTGGCTGCTTGTGATCGGAGCCGCCTTGGGCAATAAAAGGAGCGCTGGCTCCTTATGCTCCTCCAACATAATCGGCCCTCTAGCGCCATCATCATGGTCACCGACGAACTCCCATCCGACGGCGCCAACGGCGCTCCGCACGCAGCCAGTAATGGGAATGGCATGGCACACAAGATTCAGGAGCTGCAGGACATCATACGCGGTCAGGTGCATTTGCGAGGCGACCCAAGGTGCGCCCCCGGTTGCCCCCGTTGCGAAGAAGGCTGACGAGGAGAGTGCAGATTCAACGATTATGCCACTGTCTTCAACGGCAATGTGACCACCTCATCGCGCGCGGTTACCCTCCCCCTAGACGCGGAGGATGTGAGCAAGTGGGTGGCCCGGCCCCGAAGCGAGTTAATGTGCTCAGCAGCGACCCCCAGGATCATACGATTTTGCGCGCACCACGGGCTCTCACCCTCTGTCAAGGCCGGCGGGTACAGCACTGCGGGTTGGGGCATCGGCGGCGACATCGTGATCGACCTCTGCAGAATCGGCGAATGCGACATCGAGCCCCCGCACCCTGATGGGTCGTACACGAGTATCCGCGACATGGCGCCGCCGAACAGCAAGGGCAAGGGCAAGAAGGCGGTCAAGCCGCCCCTGACGCCGTCCGAGGAGACACCGTACACGGGAAAGCGCAGGCGGGAGCACGATCACGACGACGACCACAGCGCGGCCTCTCATGCTGTCGCAGGCTTTCTCTCTGGCGCCCCCTTTGAGCCAGGTCCCGACTCTCGTACCCCACCTACCCATCGCCGCAGGTTGGATAGACAGGGCAACTCGTCCTCCCCCGCTGTGTCGCCGTCCGGGACGTCCATGCACTCCCCGCCATCTACGCTCCCTATCACCTCGAGCCCGTCCACCAATGGCAATGGCAGCAACGGCACCTCGAACGGCCGGCCGAGCGCCGCTCGTACGACATCTGACAGCAGTCCCTTTGGCTATCTTGACGAGCCCATGACCACAAGCCCCCTACCTCCTCACGTCGTCCAGTCCAACTTCAATCCGCACGGGCGCAGCTTCGAAGCCTGGGACGCGCACCCCACTGTCAACACCGTCTTCGCAAACCCCGCTCTCCCGCCCACGCCGCTCGCCATGCTCGCGCAGGCGGTGCCCGCGCATGACCGCGCTTTCGTCACGTTCGGCGCGGGGCTGCGGCAGAAGGAGGTCGATGTGTACACGGCGGAGCACCCGCTGCCGGCGAGGGCGATGGGCGGGAGCGGGATGGGCTTCGGAAAGATACCGTACCATGTTCCGTTGTGCGTAGAGGGCCTGTTTTTCTGCTGCGCTACGAGCTGATTAGACCGCCTAGTGCAGCCCATCCTTCGGGGTCCGCGATTATGATCTCCGCGGGCTTTGGCTTCCAGGGACGTCTGCGCGGCCTCAGCATCGACGCGCTTGTCGAGGCGGAGGTGGTTCTGGCGGACGGGAGCATAGCCGTGATTAACAAGCAAAGTCATCCCGGTGAGTGGGACCACTTCGTCTATATCACCTGCTGATTGTATCCGCAGACCTATGGTGGGCAATACGCGGAGCTGGGTCTGCCTTCGGCGTAGTTACGCGCTACAAGGCAGTTGCCTACCCGATACCCCTTGTCTACGCTGGCAATCTCATATAGTAAGTCTATCCCGATACGGTTTTGCCCACTCAAGCTGATTCCGCGCATCAGTCGCTTCCATCGCGCGACAGCACCGTCATTGATCAAGCACTACCGCGACTGCGTCAAGGGCGCACCGCGGGAGCTATACGTGAATTTGCTGTTGACCGCCGGTCCTGCGGACAAGGACTCGCTGGTCGTCATCCAGTTATGCTATCTTGGACCCAGGGAACGCGGTCAAGAGTTTATGCTAGCGATCAGCTCATGGGACGGCGAGAAGTGCCTCCTGAACGAGGTTGACGAGAAGAGCTTCTTGCACCAACAAGATAGCGTAGCTCAAGTCCTGCGAGCGAAAGGTAGGCCGTCCCCTTGAACACCGCATTCATCGACTGATCGTCCCCGCAGCCGGCCGCCAGTGGTACATCCGCTCGACAGTCGTGACGAGCCTGCCCGACGAGGTCATCCACCACACCGTCCTCCAGTTCGCGGACACACCAGTTGGCTGTAGTGCGTGCAAATCCCCCGCTCTCCCTAGCGCCGGAGGCTAACCCACACGCTAGCCTGGCTCTTCGAGCTCGCAGGCGGCGCCATCGGCGACTTTGATGACACCTGCGTGCCCAAATCGCAGCGGGAGACGGCGTTCACGCTCGCCGCGCTCCACCAGTGGGAGATGGACGTGGACGACGATCGATGTTTCGACTCCGCGGAAAGGGTAGGGCCTTTGGTTTTTGCAATGCGATTTTGTGGGGGCTGACGCACTTCGTAGTGGATCTACGACACCCTCAGGCCGGTGAGCACGGGAGGGCCGTTCCCGAGTGTGAGTTCATTCGTCTACGTGACCATCGATGACTGACGAACAGGCGTGCAGTTCCTCGGCCGTCACGAGCCTATTCCTCGCATCAAGGCATGCTACGGTGCCAACTGGGATCGCCTGTGCGAGCTCAAGAGGCGATACGACCCGACGAACATGTTCAGGCATTCCTTCTGGCCGATGAACGAGCGATGGGAGGAGGTCGAGTCGAGGGACAAGGAGCCCCCGACGCCGAAGATGCCGTTCCAGCACCTGTGAAGTGGTCTTGCATTGATGTATTTGGCCCAATGAGGCCGCAGTGAATTCACGGTTGTTATCTCTCGCTACATACGGGTATATTGGTTGTGCTCTGTAACCCTACTGCTTTCTTGATGCTGTGTTGCTTCTGACCTGATTCATTCTCCTCGCATACGGCCTTGATTGGGCAGTTAACGAATTCCGTTCGGTGACCGCCATGATAGAGCATCTGGAGCTGCCGCCGCCGTTGACCAGGCGATCTTTCCAAGGCTAAGAACTTGTGCATATAACTGCCGAGCCTAAAACTGGTGATGCTTCTTCTTGTCGTATTACAGCTCCTCCATATCTATTGTTACCATATTCGGTAAGTCCTGTTCATTGTGGGCGCCTTAGATATTGCCTTTTTCGGCTAGAAGCCGAGGCCGGGACTCACCTTGTCTACCTTCGCGATCACTTCTCGACGCCCGTTCAACCGAGATTCTCACAAGAATCCTGCCTCAGGTATTTCTCGAAGGTACTGCTAGCGCCCGCCTCACCTGACAAAATAGATGTGGCACGAAGGCTGCACAGACGCCCGTGTTGATCAGGCTTGACTCCTCCAGTTGTATAGCAAGCTCCCCGACTTTCGTTTCAGCGCTCCTGAATATGTATAGGTCCCTATGCTCACGGGAAGACCATGCGTGTCCTGACAGGCGGCGCTATCTCTGCAACTCGGAGAAGTACAACCTCCGCGGCGGTGCAGTGATGGATTGGCATCGCTCTGTGGCATCCGCCGACGCCGGGGATCAACTGCTCGAACCGGTCCAACGCGCCGCCCTGTATATAACTCCTCGTGTTTCCCGACTTTCCTTCCGCCCATGACTTGACACTCTACGACGCAAGATCCTAACGACGCGCTCAAAAGCGAACGGCCAGGTCTTCAAGATCTGTCACCGTCCTCAAGCACTCGACGACGCCCTTACATTTCGACGATCCATCACCGCGACAGATATAGCTGCACGGCCGCCCTCTACGTTATCCTACGCCTTCTACACGCCCATTATACTACTATGATGAACGGCCACTCTATTCCTCATCTTCATTCTACTTCTGCGCCTCGGGTCTGCCCGTTCGCTGCGAAGCATGGCTACTGTGCCCCGCAGAAGGGGGACAGCAGGAGTGTATGCCCTGCGCTCAACACAATGGCGAACCACGGCTATCTGTAAGCGCGTCTTACCCCATACTTTACAACGCGCTGACATCGTCCTTCTTCCCTCTCTTTCCATGCGCTAATATATCCGCCTTATCCCCTCGATCCGCGCAGCCCGCGGAACGGCGATGATGTCTCCCTCCTGGACGTCATCTGCGCGCTGCAGGAATGCTACGGCCTGACCTGGTTTCTCGCGGCCTTTCTCGCGATCGGAGGCTACGTCCTGCTGCACTGGTGGCCGTGGCGCGTCTTCCGCCTCGAGGAGATCGGCAAGCACGGCGCCGTCGAGCATGACGCGAGTCTCGTACACGAGGACGCGCGCGGGCGGCCATTGGCCCCCACTCGCATTCACCCACATCTCGTGACTGCACTAGCGGATGAGACCCTGGCCGCGTACGCGGAGGACTCTCACGAGAGCAGGGATGCCGTTGTGTGGACGTCGTATCACGCAGCACGCGCTCGCGTTCGTCGGGAGAAGGAGTCGCCTCCGCTCGACGCCGTTCATGCCGAGATCGCCCGAGGCGAAATCGCCATCATGCTCTGCGTTTGGGAGTACGCGCTTGGGGAGGTCGATACGGCCGCCCAGGCTTCGCTCAGCGACGAGAAGGGTAAGCGTGTTGATCACCTTGCCACGACTGGAGCATTCGCTGACAGGCTTATCCCAGACCCCAACGACATCCCGGGTGATTTGACGCGGGCTCTCGAAGCGCATCAAAGGAAGACTACCTTCGTTCGCTCTCCTGCCTCTGCACCTGCCTTGGCACTGCATCCTTCGCAATCCTCCACGGACGACGACTTCACCAGCAACGGTGCTTCCCCCGTCCACATGTCCTTCGCCGATGCCATCAACGCGAAAGGACATGCTCGCATATGCAGCGTCGGGAATGGATCCATCCTGACCACGGGCAGTTCCCCCTCGCGCAGCCGAGAGGGCTCTGCCGAGCCCGAGCCAGCGAATCAGCCTGCATCCGCGAAGGCGAACGACAAGACCCTGAAGAACCTCTCCGTCACGCCCATCGGGAGCTTCCGCATCTCTACGCACCAGCAGCCGTGCGATGAGCTGCGCGGGATCCCGCTGGCGTGGTGGCTGAAGTTCTTGGCTGAAGAGCGTCTGCCGGAGGGCGTGGTTGGGCATGGTGTGAGGCGCAGGGTTGGCATACTCGATGTCGTTCGCAAGTCTGGAGAGATAAGGTCTGGCATGGAGTATATCCGCCAGGTCCGTTCGTAGTACCGTTCATCCTCCACTCTAGCTACTTTCCCATTATTCCGAACATCTAATTTTGTGGCACATAGGGACAACAATCTAACATGAATGCCTCTTCGGTTTGTACAGTACTTCTTGGCCAGGGGTCTTGGCGACGACTGGCTGCCAGCGCATCTGCTTCGTTAACAATATTGACCGTTGGTTTGCTTTGTGGGTCCCTCCCGGCAGTTGCCGAAATGTTTTGCTTCCATCCGTCGACCGTGATCGATCTCAGCTCACTCCGTCATGCTCATGACCCTCAGAATCTCAACGCTCGTGGATATTCACTCCTGAAATCATATATTGTGACTGTTTTCTTTCAGATGTGTTCCCATCCGGCTCAGGTGTCTACAACACTGGCCTGAAGGCCAGATATCGCTCACGCGCGGCGTCACGGTTAAGAGACCTTCAATAAAGTCGGACGCAGCCGAGAGGATCCTGCTTCTATTAGGGTCTGTACTTGTGTGGCCCTGCTTACCAGTGCCTGCGCGGCTTTTGGTAATGTGAAGCACCTACGCGCCTAACTCTCGTGTCCTCCTTCAACTACCGCATCATCTGTCCTGGCCTTAGACACTCATCTGGTATGCATGACCGAGACTGCTCTCCTTCTGTGCAGTCGTTTGCCAGTGTAGACAGTATTTCCATGCACACGTCCTCCACCCCGACATCGCCCGTCGCACAAGGATACGTGGACGTCCGCGATGGCAAGAACAGCCTGCAGTCCCAAGCCGACTCGACCTCGAAGAGAGAGAGCCCTCGGTTCTACCTGGAGGATGGAAACCTGGAGCTCGAGGTGCGCTTACCACTCGATCGATGGACATCGTGTACTGCATCTGATCTTATGCTATAGCTCGACGACGGCACATTATATAACGTCCATCGCTATTTCTTCAAGAAGTACGCGCCAGCTTTCGTAGAGCTGTACCTGGACGGAGCGACAGAGAAGCCTGTCACACTTCCGAAGGTCGCATCCCTCGACCTCGACCGCTACTTGTCCTTTTTCTAGCCAAGGTGCGCTCTTAGTGCGGGCACGTGTAACCCGCGGTTCTGAATCGCACACAGCGAGCCCGGCAAGTGTGATGTCTGCACCGTCGAAGAGTGGACCTCGATCCTTCGCCTCGCCACGGCCTGGTCTGTCCCTAGTCTGCGCCAGCTGGCTATTTGTGAGGTCGAGCCCAAGGCTACACCTGTGGATAAGATCGTCATCGCCCGCGAGTTCGACCTCGGAGAGACGTGGCTTTTGCCCGCGTTCGCGGACATCTGCAGTGCACCTCAGTGGCTTGATTACGAGGACGCCCAGCGTCTTGATATGCGCACGATCGTGGAGCTAGCTCGTGTCAGGGAAGGGGTGCGCTCTGGTGCGCGAGGCGCGTTCGACGTGGCAATGGCTGTCCGTGCCAGTCCTATTCTCTTCCCTGATGGGGACTTTCTCCCTCAAGCTGACGACACCATCTCTTCGACCACTGCAAGCCTCAGGTCATCTCCCGGCCCGAGTCCTGATCCGTCCGTTGATGCGAACGCGGTCGCATCCCCGTTCCAAGCTAGCGAACCTATCGTCCCCGGCAACTCGACACTGCTTCCGGCACAAGGACCATGGCCCCCCTTGCCAGACGAACCCCAGGCCCCCCCTCCACCGCAGCCTCTAGGACTTATGGAGCTACTCGCGCTGCTTACACTGCAGAGCGCCGAGCTCGCTGAAGAAGCAAAAGCCTGGGATTCTCCGCTCGATCGTGTGCAGTTCGCTCTGCGATTGAAGGATCGTATTGCCATCGAAACTTCATCGGTCGCCCTTCACCACCGCGCCTGGCGCCAGTGTCGTGTGAATCAGATTTTCAGCGGTCTTGCGATGTGCACGGCCGAAACAGTGAAAGATACGTTGCACGCGGAAGATTATGGCGATGATTATTCCAGCGCCATACTCGCCATACTTACTCACCTGGCTCGGAAGGTCGTAGCGAATCACCTAGCGCGTATGCAATCGCAAGACTCTAGCAGTGCTATGGATGCTCGCAAACGCACTCGCGTTATAACTAATTCCAGAATCTACAATACTGTGAGCAGGAGGTTGATGCAGTGAGCGGATGATCACCTTCGTCCGTGAGCACAATGGACTGACAGGTACCTAACAGTATAGGTCTGGACGTCACGGCGAACGACGCGACCCTACGCAGCATGTTGATCACAATCCCCTGTTTTCATACCAAGGATTGAAAGTCTCCACATACAAGTTGTTCCATACTTATGCTGTCATTCTGTCGAAAAAATGAGATTGACCCGAACCTACCTAGTAAGCGAGTGTTCTACCTCCAGTGCAGTATCCTCCTGGAGTGCGTACTCCGAGAGCTGGTCGGCTGTCACCGGCAGCGACCTCTTCCCCCCGGAGAACTTCTTGAGTGTCGTCCGAGCAGTTGAAAGTCTTCAATGTTGGTCCCTGCTTCATCTTGTGGGTCGAACCCGGCAAATTCCGACTCGCTTTGCTTCCGTCCTTCTCAACTTGGTAGTCTTTGTTCAGTGCATCGTACTCACCTATACTGCGCTTTCCATCATACACGGAGTAAAGGGAGGGAGTCTGCTGCTGCTTGAAAATACCGATATGGGACCTTCTATATGACAACGTCGCCACCTGGTTGACCCCGCCGTAGGTGTTTGAAGACCAGTCTACCTATTAGGTCTGTCGGTTGCAAGTGTGCAAAACCTACCAATCTCTATCAACGCAACGCCGCCGCACAAATAGGACATTGCGAGGCTCAGCGCACGTAATTAGCCGAACGCCGTGGTAGACCGTGTTAATGCCGTCGACGAGCCGTCGTGAAACGCAAGAGCGGCAGAGAACCAGCCATACCTAGTAAAGATCGGCGACGTGCGTGGGGCAAAGCAGAATTCACATCCTCCGACTATCAACGACCTAAATTTCATGAGCGGACTGCAGACTCGTATCTCTATCATCGGCGCCGGTCCTGGTGGACTTATGCTCGCGCGCCTCCTTCGAGTGCAGGGCATCCGCCCGAGGGTATACGAGCGCGACGTGTCCGCGACCGCTCGTCCCCAAGGCGGTTCGCTTGATTTGCGCCCAGAAGATGGCCTCCTCGCAGTCAAGAGGGCAGGCCTTTTCGACCGCTTCCGCCAACACGCCCGCTACGAGGGCCAGCAGACGCGCATCTTCGACAAGACGGGAAAGCTGTGGCTCGACGTGGGCGCGGAGGGTGATCGCGCGCCTAGCGAAGAGCAAGCTCGCCCGGAGATTGATAGGTGAGTGTACCGATTGGCGGCTAGATGCATTGAGTGATGACAAGAGTTTAGACAGGACTTGCGCAACATGCTCCTCGAGTCACTCGAGCCAGACACCATCAGATGGGACCACACCCTCGACAGTGTCGCACCTGCACCGAATGGAGGTTACACTCTCGCCTTCCGTAACGGTCGCAGCGCGACCGCCGACCTCGTCATCGGCGCCGATGGCGCCTGGTCCAAAGTGCGCTCGACCGCCCTCACGAAGGCCCTCCCCACATACACTGGTGTGTACTTCATCGACGCCGCCATGCCCGACATCGACGTGGTGCACCCATCTATCGCCACGCTCGTCGGGCAGGGCCTCGCGTTCTTCCTCGGAGACCGCAAGGCGATCATACCGCAGCGCAACGGCGGCGGTGTCCTACGCGTGTACTTCGCGCTGAAGGCGCCAGAGGAGCAGGCGGATGCGTTCAGCGACGATGTCCTGCCGAGGGGGCCCGCCGCGATCCGCGATGCGCTGCTCGAGAATTACAAGGGGTGGGCGCCGGAGGTGCTCGATATCGTGCGCGCGAGCGAGGGTGTTGAGATCACCGTCCGCAAGATCTTCTCCTTCCCGCCAGAGCACGAATGGAAGTCGGTAGAGGGCGTCACCCTTTTAGGAGACGCAGCACACGTCATGTCGCCCTTCACTGGTGTCGGTGTCAATCTCGCCCTCGCAGACGCACTTGATCTAGCGGACGCGATCAAAGAAGGCGTCGCAGGGAAGGCTGGCGTACAGGATGATGCCAAGGCGCGTATGCGGAAGGCTGTCCATGAGTTCGAGAAGCGGATGATGGCGCGCGCGAAGGAGAACCTGGTATGGTCCAACCAGAGCTTGGGTGTCATCTTTTCGGACAATGCGGCAGAGACAGTGACGAACGTTCTACGCTCGCATCACGAGCATTAGACTAGCGCAGAGAGTATTGAATGCCTTACCTACATGAGTATTACAGAAACACTCATGCAAGAGGGCGAGATGGAAGGCGCAAGCAAGGAGTGGCGAATTGGGATCCAACTAAGCACGTGGATCCTCGGACATTGCCGAGGCGTGGCGCAGAGTTCGGCGCCTATCCTAACTGACTTCTTTCCAACGTCCATGGCCGACAAAAGTCGTTCACCATCCATTCAGTCTTTTACGAGCGCCGACAGCGTGTCGATGCTTGCGAGTCCGACGCCGGAGTCTCCAGCCACTCCGTCTACCGCCCCACATGAGGACGATGTGCCTCGTGGCACAACGCCAGAACTTCGTGAAGAGCCGGTGGCGGAAACGGCTCATCAATCTCACCGCTTCTATCTAAAGGACGGGAATGTCAAGTTCAGGGTGAGCTGTCTACTTACGTAGGGCTCCCGCGTCGCATCACTCAACTGCAACTTAGCTTGACGATGGCACGTTGTACAACGTGCACCGCTACTTTTTCGACAAGCACGCGCCACTGTTCTCCCAACAATATCTCTGCGACGCAGGCGAGGGCATTGTCGCACTGCAGGGCGTATCTAGTACCGACTTAAATCGCTTCCTGGCCATGGTCTACCCTTCGTGAGCTCGAATTGCAGATATTCCCGGCCATTACGATGACAACAATCATTTTTAGCGACATCGGCGACTGCGACATTCACACCGTCGACGAATGGACCTCTGTTCTGCGCCTTGCAGTCAAGTGGTCGATCCCCAACCTCCGCGCGCGCGCCCTTCGCGAGATCGAGCCACGGGCGTCGCCTGTGGAAAAAGTGGTCATTGGGCGCGAGTTCGCGCTCGGAGAGGCGTGGTTGCTCCCTGCCTTCGTCGCCATCTGCGGCGCCCGTGAGTGCCTTGGGTACGTGGACGCGGCGAGGTTGGGTTTGCGGACCGTCGTTGAGATCGGGCGCATTCGGGAGGACTACCTAATCCACGGGACGGTCACCGATCTAGCGGAGGCCGTGCGCGCGAGAGATGTGCTATCGTTCCCATCGCCAGAGTTCCATCCTTCAGCAGGGCTCGATGATGGCGTTCCTATTGCTACTGTGCCCTCAGGAGCTGCCGCCACAAGCAGCGCCCCTGTTGTCCCCCACCAGGCGCTCGCTGCGATTGACGACAGTAGCGTAAACTCCGCGCAGGCCAACGCTGTGCCGCGGCCTCCCGCCATCAACTCGGGCGTGACCGCTGCAGGAGACCCTCCGCACCCTACGAGTACAGAAGCCTGCCTTGAGCAGATTAAGGACCATCTGGAATACCTGGCCTTACGCGCAGCGGAAAATCCCGAGATGGCCGACGTCTGCAACACCGACCTGGATTGCGCGCTTTACGCCGTCAGACTTCATGATCGGCTCGCCAACGAGAAGTCCCCTGCTGCTCTTCGTCACCGGGAGTGGCGCCGAGAACGTCTGAACCGCATCTATAGAGACTTCCTCCAAAACGTTTCCGCTCTACGTTATGAAGTGGACCTGAGAGATAATTCGCAGTCTGCGGCGAACAGTTTCGCCTACATCGAACGTGTTCTTGCGCCGAACATTGTTCATCAGCGTCTACCAGTTCCGCATGAACTTGTCGACGACGATAAAGAAAATAATCGCGAGGACCATCTTACCGTTGTTTTCTCTCCCAACCAATTCGCCCTCAAACAGCAAATTAAAGATCGGTTGGAAGAGTGAGTTTGCAGATTTGTATGCACACGAACTCACCACTGACATTCGTGTAGGCGAGGGCTCGTCGTGATAGATGATAAACGCCGGGAAGCGCTACTCATAGAGCTATCTATTCCTGACCACATAGATCCAGAGGAGGATTTCTAGGCGATATCTTTTCTTCTACAATCGAACGGCCCTGTGAATGACCATACCGACGTCGTCTTCCCCCTTTTTTGAGCCTCATGGTTGCTATTTACTCCTCAAGTGTCTATCATCGCTTTTTACTTACCTCCGCACATCTGTTCGGTCTTTGTCGTGCTTGCACGATGATTGCAGCCTATAATGCGTGATCAGCGCACTTCAACCGTGACAATTGATCCCACTTGGCCCCGTATCTGTCACATCCTTCCGCCTTGCCTTCCGCCATCACACGAGCTCGAAGCGCGGCTGTCGTCTCTGTTCCCTTCTGCAATCCGCGTGGCTCCATAATTTTCTCACCTCAGTTCAGAGACCGTGGACCCGGCTTTTACTAGGCTTGACCATCTTAACTTTGGACGCGCCGTGCCCTGAGCTGGAACTGGAAGCTTCACTGGCCATACTCACTTGGATCTCCAGTCGGAATCACTGCCCTTCGTGGTCGAACACTATCGTATCCTATCCTTCGCTTCTTTGGAGCGCATGCCGTATTCCGGAGTACACGCTGTATCCCCGTGTCCCGCTAGTGCGGAAAGAGCGCGGGCTTGCTTGGATATATGCAAACTGGGGTTCGCTTCTACCTGTTGCCCTCTTCCATGACCCAGTCAAGCCGTTGCTCATCTGTGCAGTCGTTTGCCAGCGCTGATAGTATGTCCATATCTGACTCATCCTCGCCTGAGGGAGCGCCTGCCTTCTTACCGGCGTACACGGAGATGAATGGCTCGTCCCGCTCGGAACACGAGGACGACACGAGTAGTCTGCAAAGCCATCGATTCTTTTTGGAGGACGGGAACGTACGGTTCCAGGCGCGTTGCTCCTCTTGTACTGATTTCCGCCGTCTAATGCACAAGCGACCAGCTCGAGGACGGGACCTTGTTCAACGTCCATCGCTACTTCTTCAAGAAACATGCGCCCTCTTTCGCAGCCGAATATCTTCGGGATGTAGCAGAGGAGGCGATCAAGCTTCCCGGCGTTACAACAGTCGACTTCGAACGCTTTCTCACCATGATTTATCCGTCGTACGCACTGCCATCCCCGCGCGGTGCAAGCTGGCACTGACCTTCGCCCCATCTTCCGAAGTGAGATCGGCGAGCGCGATATCGAAACCGTCGACGAGTGGACATCGGTCCTCCGCCTCGCGACGAAGTGGTGCGTCCCTCGCTTGCGCGCCCTCGCCATTCGCGAGATAGAGCCCAAGGCGACGCCCATCGAGAAGATCGTCATCGCGCGGGAGTTCGACCTCGGCAAGGACTGGCTTCTCCCGTCGTTCACGGCCATCTGCACCTCGTCGAAGCCGCTCGATTATGACGAGGCGGAGCGCCTCGGGCTGCGCACCGTTGTGGACATCGCACGCATCAGGGAGGCGCGATGCAGGTCTAGCGATCGCGAGTCGACGGAGAGCGAATACGACGTGGCGTCCGCTGTGCTGGCGAGTAGCGTGCTTGTGCCTACGCATGCAGGAGATTCCTCACCGCCGGGCAACGATGACACGGTCGTCGTGGACGATCTCATGCTGAGTACTCCTCAGGAGTTGGCTCTTACCGCGAATTCTTCATCATTGCCTACGAGCACCCAAGGCAAGTCGATTGTCTGTATAGCCGATTGTCATAGCTCACCCCGTCCAGACGCAAATTCGAGCGATAGCTCGACGCCGACGCAGTCAGAACCAGATACTCCCCTCGCGGACGAGGAAAATACGCCACAACAAGCGGACGAAGTAAGCGGCGACGAGACGGCTATACCGGAGTCATTATGGGAGCGCGCTTTGTACGCTCTGAAGCTTGAGCGACCGGCCGAGAACGAGCAACCAGAAACTACGCAACGGCGCCGGGAGCGCCTATCGGAGATCGTCAATGGTATACTCGAAGGCAATCCAAGAACTTCTGTTCCGACGCAAATCGAGATTACTGCTGATTTATCACAAGACAACGCCCTCCGGTGTACCCAGCGCGGGCTCGGAAGGGTGATCGCCCAGCAGATCTTCCTGCGATTGGAGGAAATGGGTGGTAGTGCGAAGGGTAGCAGTACGGATGGCACGTCATTGACCGTCGTTGTTCCCAAAAAGAGCGCATCCACAGCCTCTATTAGGAGCACGCTGACCAGTAATCTTACACAGTACGTGTCCCTTGCAGCGCCAAGATGATGATCATGCTAATGGTTGCCTCAGGGGTGGTCTGATCGCTATTCCCTGCTCACATAATCAGAGGCTCCTTCATGTGGCGGCTCCGCAAAAACAAATTAATTGATGTTGTTCGAGAGGAGTATATGGCAGTGTCCTTCATACATCGGACTGTACTTTATGGCAGAACCCATAGTGATTTGCATTCTACTAGTACCGCCCCGAGAATCCGTGCTCCCGATTGTTCGATATAGACGACGATTGTCTCCTCATTTTGTATCTTCCTCACTGGACCTGATCTTGCATTTCGTTCATTCGTGACTTGTTGTCCGAATGTTTGGTCCTCCTATGTCAGTGAGCTGTCGCTCTTCCCCGTCTCTGAAGAGAGCAGGTACGCCGATGATCAGACGCGTTCGAACTCGAAGTTGTGACGGATTTGATGGACACGCGATCCCCTGTATTGTGGCGTTCAGAGACGGCACGACTTGTCCCGCCATCATCCGCTCGGCGCTCAGTGCACAGAATCCAACCAGCGCTGACTTTGCGGACGGAAACCCTGACCTGTCTTTTGTCCTTGAGATATTGCCCAGAGCCCAGTACTTCTCCACAAGTCCTACCGACATGACCCAAAAAGACAGCGGCGCAAGTCATGACTTGCCCGACAAGCGCGAACCAGAAATGTGCGGTCGCAATTCCTGCCATCGTTTCTGCTTTGAGGATGGCAATTGCAGATACAGGCGCGTCTTCTGCACCTTTTGTCAGACAGGAAACTGAGTGCGATGCAGTTAGATGACGGTGCATTGTACAGGATTCATCGTTCCCTCTTTCAACAGCACTGTCCTCAATTCGTCGCAAAGAACCTCCAGGAATTGTCAGAGAAAGTTATGCTTCTTCGCGACGTGGCAAGTCGCGACTTTCAGCGGTTCCTATCCATGGTCTATCCCTCGTACGTTCGGGTTTTGCCCATCTGTTCGCCTTGCTCACACATCCCAGCGAGATTGGTGGGTGCGACATACGCTCGGTGGACGAATGGACTTCCATTTTGCGTATTGCTACGAGGCTCTCTATTCCTCCTCTTTACGCGCGTGCTATTCGCGAGATCGAATCGACGGCCACACCCATCGACAAGGCCGTCATCGCACGCGAATTCTATCTCGGCGAATCCTGGCTCCTACCCGCATTCACCGAGATCTGTGAGGCAGATCGGTGGCTGGACTACGAGGATGCCAAGCGCCTGGGTCTGCGCACCGTCGTCGAGATAGGACGTATCAGAGAAGAGCAACGTAGCGCTCGCGATTTCGCCGCTGCCGTGCGCGCAAGTCCAGTCCTCGGGTCTTTGGAGTACATTCCGTCACCTTCTCTGCCTTCAACCGACACGTTGCCCGGATACTCCGTGGCGAGCCCTCAGGGACTTACCTCGACGGACAACACAGTTACGGACCAGACTCCCTTGTCTTCGGTTGTACGTGATGTCGAAGGCCCCGAGACGGATCGCATACCTTCGCGCCAGAACGATCTTGGCATCATTCACGCCGGAATAATGGACATTAGCAACCGGCTAGCGCATTCCACTCTCCGGCAACTCGAGATGGCTGAAGCAGCCAACGTGCGCGACTACTTCTATCCCACTATCTGCGCCCTCGAACTGGCCCATCGCATCGAGACCGACAAGTCACCGGCCTCCGTAATGCAGCTCGGATGGCGTCAGGCTCGCTTGGAACAATTCATACATGCTGAACTACGTCACCATCCGGGCCAAGAAAAGGACGTGGTCGCATCCAACTACTCAGAGTCCAATAGCAGCGCATGCATTCAGGCCGCGGAGCACCCTCTCGCTAGGATAGCGGCAAGACAGCTCCTGCAGCGTGGGTACTGTACCTGCGGTACTTTCGATGCAACCCCTCCGCTGACCCCCGAGCGCCTCGTTATCCGTAATTTTCCGTCGGCGAAGGTGAAGGAGCAAGCGGAGATGGAGTTGCGAAAGTAAGGAAAAAACGATCGCGAGCAGCATATTCGCTGACTTTGATGTTAGGTATGGCCTTGTCGTGTCCGATATCGAGGGCGCAAACACGATGTCGATATGCGTGGAAGTACCTGCCCGTCTAGCGTACTATCTTTTGACAGCGTGAGGTTCATGTTAGGCTATATCATTTGGCAAGGAATACGCAATGAACCATTCGTGCCTTCGGCGGCATCTTCTATGGGTCACGTTGAATCGGTATCGAAGCCACGTGACGGCAAATACAGACAAACTTCGAATTCATAATCGAACCGTGCCATTCCCACGCTTCTTGCTTTCGAACTCCATGACCCAAGCAGACAGTGGGTGGTTCGACTTCGTGTACGTGACCTGATGTGCACGCATGGAAGACCTTCGCCGTGGCGTGCAGCGAGCGACAATTCTGGCGCGAGAAATCGCTACCTGAGGTACCTCATTCGTCGACCACAGCGATCAATGACTGCATCCAGTCAAGCCGACCCGAATGCTAAGCAGGATGTACTCGCCAATGACCAAGTTCTTGTCACCTTCGCTCTTCTGTAGGAATGCTTCTTGTGCGACAGTCACCACCACGCTTTAGTCGCGTGTCGGCGCGCTGTTTAGACGGCGCTTATCTGCATCCGCCCTTTCCTTCCAACGCCCATCACCTTCATGGATCGCTCGCCCTCTGTTCGGTCCTTCTCCAGCGCTGACAGCATGTCGATGCCAGCTGCATCTATACCGGGATCGCCGATTATCTCTTCTACGCATGCAATTACGCACGAGGATGAGCCTCGTGTCGTAGCGGCAGAGCATGATGGATCCGATGCGCCTGAGCATGTCGGACCAGATGCAGCCGGGCCTCCGCAGACTCATCGCTTCTACCTCAAGGACGGGAACATCAAGTTCAAGGCGAGTGCCCGTGACTACCTCGTTCTCACCGCTGACAAGTCGATGTTTAGCTGGACGACGGAACGTTGTACAACGTCCACCGCTACTTTTTCGAGACGTACGCGCCGAATTTCTCATACGAGTACCTACACAATGAGGGGCTCGCGCCCATCAAGCTCCCCGGCGTGTCCAGCGTCGACTTCCAGCGATTCTTGACCATCATCTACCCGACGTACGTCCTCTCTTACCCCTAAGTGCTGCCCTTTCTCAATCGCATCACAGAAAGCTCGGCAAATGCGACATAAAGACTGTCGACGAGTGGACCTCTGTCCTTCGCCTTGCTACTAAGTGGTCTATCGAAAGCCTGCGCAACCTCGCCGTGGAAGAGATCGTGCCTCAGGCCTCTCCTTTCGACAAAGTCTCCGTCGCTCGCGAGTTCGAGCTGGGATGGGACTGGATTGTCCCTGCGTTCGTGGATATCTGCAGCAGACCGGCGTCCCTTACTCGTGCAGAGGCGGAGCAGTTGGGCTTGCCCACGGTGGTCGAGATCAGCAGGATTAGGGAGGATGTGAAAGCATCCGGCACGACCCAACCTGTGCTCGCTGCCGTCCGCACGAGTGAGGTCCTTATGCCTCACGGGCTACACGATGCGCAGCAGGCTGCTCACATACAGGATCAGGCGACCCTTTCGGGTTTCGTCGACGCCGACCCGGCGGCGGACGCATCCAGCACGTCTGACGCTGAAGTGTCCCCATCCCGCGTGCCTGCCTCGTCCGAAGCCTCTCTCGATGATTCCCTCCAGCAATGCACTCTGGCCGATATCAACAAGCGGCTGGCTCACCTGACGCTCCAAGGCGCCGAAATCGCTGAACAAGCCAGACACACCGATACACCTCTCAATCGTGCCCTATTCGCCCTCAACCTGGTTCGTCGCATGTCTAAGGAGACATCAGTGGCCGCACAGCGACACCGTGCGTGGCGCCAGGAACGCGTGGACAGCATCCTCAGCGAGCTGGGCAGCGAGGGATGTCTGCCTAGTACTAACGCCGACGAGATATCAGGCGCGTGCGGGTTATACGACCTGGGACACATACGTGGGCGTCTCTCAAAGCTTCTCTGCGTGCGGCTCCGCGAAGGCGAGGTCGAGGATGAAGACGAACTCAGTTGCCCACGGCACGACACGGATTTCCTGATCGTTCGCTTGGGTGCGGCGGAACACGCTGACAAGCGAGAGGATTTGAAGTATGCCCTCCAAATGTACGTGGCTGGAACATGTGTATTCTCATATGTGCGATATCTGATGCTCTTCAGCTATGGCTGGAAGGTCGAGGACGTAGATGACTATGATCTGCAGGTGTCAGTTCCTGATAAGGCCTGCAACGACGAAGACGTGCCCAAGTATACGCAATAGGATTGCTAGACTTCCCAGTACTCGAATGTAGCTCAGATAAATCAGTCTACCCGTTCGCACATCGTATGAGACTTGAGACGGTACCCAAAACCTGTCAGAATAGCAACGCTGGCAAACAATTTGAGGGCACAAGCACGTATCTCTCGATGTTCATCCTCGCATTCAGTGGTTCACGCTTGCTTCGTGAATCCCCTCACTCCTTATAAGTCGGTCAGTGTTTCAAACACTGCCCCGTGTGTTCCATGAATGACAACAGGCTCGTCACAGTCAAGGAGCAAGTCGAGCTCGTTCATCGCGTCCGCGCTTAAGGGAGGCGCCGGAGTTCAGAGCAGGCAGCCTTTATAGATCATGAATTATTCTATTATACATATGTTGGGTACTACGTACATGCATCTATACAAATGAAGCAAAGACGTTGCCATAAATGAGGTGTAGTGAGTGGTATACTAGCGTTAGCGCAGTTAGATCCAAAACAATCAGCAAGTAAATCAGTAGAGATAACCTAGAGATCAAAAACCAAGAAGAGCACCTAACTCAGAACGCGTCCGAACGAGCGCACCCACCAGCCTTATTACGACACTTCACCTGGGTCCACAAGGTTCAGGAAACTCGCCAACGCCCATCCTATCTTCTCCTTGTGAGGCTTGTCCCCCTCTCGCTGGTCCGCTGGAAGACGACACAAAAGCAAGCAATCCTCACCACCGTCACACCAGACCGGGTAGTCTGGATGCTCGCTTGGGGGTCCCGCCTCCTGCAGAACTCGCAAAATCTGGCCCGGGACGAGCGAGAGTAGGGGGTATCCACGATACACAAGGTCTGGCCGTCCGAGCAGAGATCCCGTCCGCCTGTGATGCTTTGGCGAGGGCGTGTACGCTTGCAAGACGCGGACGAGGTATGTCTTGTCCTCTGGCAGCCAGTCCGCACCCGTCTCCTCCTTTGGACGCGACGATCTTGCGCTGCGGGAGCGGAAGAGGCTCGCCGTGCGCGACTTGTGGTCCTTCACCTCAAGCGTGCTGCGAGATCGCTGTGGTGCGCCGTCCGTCGGCCACAGAGAATCGCGCCCAGGGTATGTGCTGCTCGAAGGCGACGGTCGTGTTGACGAAGGGGAGGCATCTGCGAATGATGCAGCGGACGGCGACGGACTGCTCTCGAAACCACCGTACGAGGTACGCGGTCTTTCTCGCCTCCGACTTGGTGCGCGGCGCAAGTTCGACATCGACTTCGCGGTCGCGAGTGGCGGGAGCTCGTCCTCCTCAAGGGGAGGTATGTCTGCGCTCGAGATGCCAAGCATCAGAGGGCTCGCCAATCCCCGCCGACTTGCACTGCTCGGTCGACGCGAAGGAGAGTGCAGGAACGAGCGTGTGAACTTGCGGAAGCGACCTTCATGGTGCCCTTCGGGGAGACTGCCATCCGCGTCCGCATCCTCGGCCGGCTTGTTCTCCTCCGCGCGCAGGTCCGGTGTATGCGGTCGAGAGAACAAGTCAGGGGTATAGCTCCGCAGCGACGGTGGTTTGGACCTGAGGGCGGCACGCGCCTCAGTAATGAGTCTCTCCTTGCGCTCCCGCTCGCTCTTCTTCTCCTCTTCCTTCTTCGCCCGCTCTTCCTCCTTCCGGGCCTTGTCATCCTCCTTGCGCGCCTTCTCCTCTTCTCTCTGCCGCCGCTTCTCCTGCACGGTGTTGTTCCACTCCAGCACGCGCCTCGCCTTCTCATCCAGCTCATCTTCCGCGGGTTTCGCCTCCTGCAGGTCGCCAGTATTCTTCCTCTCAGGCGCGGCGCGTTCTTTCGCTTTCTCCGGAGCCTTCTTCCCTTTCTTGCTCTCCAGCCGAGGCGGCGCAACGTGCATGCCCAAGGACATCCCGCCCAGCATCACATTGCGCAGTTCATCGTCACGCAAGGTGTTGCCAGATGACGCTGCCGATGCTTTGCTCTGCGGACTCGAGTCAGTACGACGGCCGAGCAGGACTACAGTGATCCCTACCTTGACAGACGATGCTCTAGGCGGGCTCGCTGCTACCGACCCTACGGTTGTCCATGACGAGCCCGTCATACTACTGTTCCACGACTCCGTGCTCATCTCGCGCTCCCGATCGCGCGCGCGCACATAGTGTGGCCCAGGAGTCGACTTAGTAGATGCGGGTGACTTCGACTTCAACGATAGCGGCGACTTTGCCGATGGGGACGTCGACAGCGTAGCGAGGCCGGCGATGGCAAGATTGACCTGACAGCAAACATCAACATGACGCTCCCGTATATGCACCATACAGAACTCACCTTACTGGCACTTCTGCTGAGCTCCGAGCTGACCGCGCTGGCCTTTGACGACGCGGACAACTTCCGCTCCTCGATACCCTCCTTCCTCCGTACAGGCTCTAGTGATATGCGGCGAAGCGGCTCCAACGGTGAGTTCGGGTCGAGCAAGGTCTCCGACCCGCTTTCCCGCCACGCAAGGGGACTCGTACTCCTTCCGAGAATAGGACTGCTTCTGCGCTTGAGCGCCCTCGGGCTTGGCGGGCTCTCGGACCTGAAGGTGCTGCTATCTGGGACGAGGAGCCTGCTGGAGTTGGGGCTGTCCATCGCCATGGTGTGCCTGGGCGACGGAGGCATAGCGTACAGTCTGCCGACTTCGGAAATATCATCGGTAAGAACGTCTCCAGAGAACTCGGATATATTCGTGTTGGAGACGTTCCCAGCGGACGCGGCGTAAGGGTGGCCAGCGAACAGATAGTTGCCGTTCACGGCGTCCTGCTGCCGGCTGAACGCGCCATCGTCGCGAGGTGTGCGCGGCGAGTCTTCCCATCCTGACATATCCGCCGGATCGCGACCGGGGTCAAAGCGGGAATATGACTGGAAAGATTCGTCCTCTGGGCCGGGCGAAGGGGGCCATGCAGCGGCGCCGTAGGGGTGCGCTATGCGTGGCGTGGTATAGGTTTGGGTAGGTGTGGTATATGATTGGCTTGGGGAAGTGTATAGGTCGGGCGGTGGAGGCGGTGGCGTACCCGATCGGCGGGGCGCAGAGTGCGACGGGCGTGACGGCGTGTACGACTGGGTGAACGTCTCGTGAATCGGCGTCACGAACGATTCTGCAGGGGCGTTAGCTTGGGTCGCACAGGGAGCAATGATAGCGCACCCTCCACCTGTGGCGCACTCCGCCCACCGCTCTTCCGACGCTTCTTGTCTGGGAGCGGCGCGCATATACGCAATGCCTGTATGCGGGACAATGGCCCACTAACACGCTCCTCATAGAGCGCCATGACATCCGCGTCTGGCGCCTCATTCTCGTGCAGTTTGTCCCACAGGTCGTGCCACATCTCCGACGAACTATGGTAGTACTCCGCCTGCAGCTCCGTAAGCTTGCCAATACAGAGCGTCAGCGCCTTCTCCGTGAGGCGGACGAGCTCCGGTAGCTCCTGCGCGAGGGTAGTCCGGAGCGCGACGTACGTCTGGCTGGCGCGGATGGCGGCTGCAGACGTACTCCCGCCGGCTGCGGTGACAGGCGTGTTAAGCAGCGCGTGGTGAGCGCCCGAAAGCTTGAACATCTCCGCGCACAAGTAGGTGCCCTTCTTGACGGGTTTGAGCGTCTGGAAGAGTGGCCCGAGGATGGTCTCCGTCTCGAGCTCGGTGTCGCGAAGAATGGCGACAAGCGAGAGGTACGCCTGGACGCCACCGGACCCAGTCGCATCGAGTGCACGGGCGAAAGACTGGGAGAACTGGTCGAGTGCGGAGTGTGCGTCGTGTAGGGCACTTGCATACGCGATAATCGCGCGCGCGAACTGCGTGATATGCTGGCAAAGAGCGAAGAGGCGTTTGCTTAGGCAGCAGACGAGCCTATAGTCATAATGGTCCTCCTCAACGCGCTTGCGCTGCGGACCGGGCTTGCCATTGAGCACTGCGAGCACGAGCTCCTTCCTCCTACGCTGCTCGTTGATGCGCCCGGCGATTTCTTCGAGCGCGCATTTGGCCTCGTACAGCGCAGGACGATCGGGGTGGGATTCGGGTGTAGCCTCATACAGGGCACCGAGCAGAAGAGGGTACTTGAGCAGACGTTGGACGGGCTTGATCAGGAGGGAGGCAAGGTCCCACGCGGTAGTGTATCGCGCCGCGAGTGCCTGAGTGGTGGCGATGTATTGCTCGTACGCGGGGGTGCGGGGTACAGCTGCCAGCCGTTCGGCGGCGTAGTCATGTCGGGTGATGTAGCGTGCGTACGGTGCTTCGAGCGTCGGGGTGACTTGTAAGAAGAGTGTCCCGACATCCTCCTCGCCCAGCTCGAGGCGCTGCGCAAGCTGTGCGGCGATCCCGGCGAGTTCAGCGACGTTCCCGAAGATGACGTCCACGTCCTCGGGAGGCATAGGCAGCCCATCGACACTGTTGTCGGACGAGGTCGACGCGCGGGAGGCGGGAGGCGTCGGGAGGGCTAGGGCCTCGCCCCGCGCAAGAGGGACATAGATCTGGTTGATGAGTGCGAGGTCGGATGCATAGGCCCGCTCGCTGGAGAGCAGCTCTTGGAGCGCATGAGCGCGCTTCGTCTGTGCCTGGGCCGAGGGTGGGGACGGTGGCGGGGTGGGCATGGACGTCGGCGACGTCGACAACGACGACGGCTCGCGGCAAGGCGTGGTCATCGCGTGCTCCCTCCGGGCCGCGATATTGATCGGCGTATTCGAACCGAATGCGAGTTCAACTTGAGGTCCAGCACAAGGCCAGCGCTCTATCTGGAGAGTTATGTGTGGTGATGAAGGGGGACGCAACGAAGCTGTGGCGGTAGATGAGAGCGGGACGAAGGAATGGCGACCGCTCTATTGAAGCTGGGTGGCGTGATCACGGCAGCATTTATCTTCGCCGCAAATGATCCATTTGCTATCGGCTCTGACTCTTGCCGTCATAAACACCTCTAGCCATGTATCTTCAGCATAGGCACTCAACACACCATATTCATGTTTTGCAGTCGAAGGAACTTGCAAGGATACTGTCGATACCAATATCCAACATATGAACCAAGTTCGTCCGGAGAGTGCCGAAAGGGACCAATGACCTTCGCACACCTATACCCACCCTCCAAGTCCATGACCGAAGAGCGTACATTCCATTCATATGGGTAATTTTCTAGCTTCTTTCTTGGCCATTGACCTCGCCAGGACCCGTGGACCTTTCGTGTAGAATATAAGTTGACGCGTTAGCGAAACTCGTGACCGTGACAGCATGTGGCTACCCGAGAAGAGCAGTTTGATTTTCTTCTCCCTGGACCTTATTACCGTTTCTCCGTCGAAGGGAGATCGTTGTCTCGGTCCATCTGCTCTCTCTAATGCAGAACGTCTTCTCTACATACCACGAGCGTGTTTCTATCTGCGCGACCTGCAATCACCATTTCACCTTCCAAATCAACGCCCCCCTCGATGCATCTGGGTATGACCTCCACCCGATCGCAGTACGTGCTGTCGAGGCGTCCATAGCGGATACGCAAGAATCTATCGCGAAGGCTCGCTTTGAGATACGAGCTGTTGAGCAAACACTGGACTCCCTCCGCGCGGCAGAGGCCAAGCTGCAACACGCCCTCGCCGTGCAGCGCGCTCACCTCGCGCCCATCCGCCGATTACCCTTCGAACTTCTGGAGAACATCCTTGAGTGGAGCTGTACGGACGCGATACTCGGTCCTTCCGGGTGCACCCCTCTGGAACTTAACGCAGTGTGCAAGCAATGGCGTGGTGTGTCATATGCCTTTGGACGCGGCTTACCAGCTAACGATGCCCTTAGAGATCATGCTCCAGACCCCGCGCATATGGGCGAACCTGCAGCTCACGAATCTGCGCTTCAGGTCCTGGTCCCAGCGCCAAGCGGCTCTCAAGCGCCTCAAGTATTGCCTCGGCATGACGCGGGGCCTTCCGCTCTCGCAGCCCATACACGTCAACCTGGACACCAGCAGTGCCGGCCTGAATCTGGCCAAGATCTTGCTAAGGCATGCGGCTCAGTGGCAGCATCTCGAAGCCGAATACCTTCCAGACGATCTCTGCCGCTTGTTCAATGGACAGTTGTACCCCCATCTGCACACCCTGGACATCAGCCTGCTTGCCTTCGAAGACCCACTAGCGTCGGGCGTCTTCTTCAACGCGCCAGCTCTGCGCAGCGTCACGCTGAGGAATCCGCTACATCAGCTCGACCTGTCCGTTCCCGATCTCCCCTGGACCCAACTGCACGAGCTGCACACGGCGTCCACCTTCCTTTTTGCCATCGACCTACTGGCCCGGTGTTCGAACCTGACTTCCTGGACGCACGAGAACATCTCCCTAATCCCGCCGGAGCATCCCACCGCGACCGTGACACTCGAACACCTGCACACGCTCGACATCCACTACGACATGGTCGGCAGGTCCTCGGACTTGGATTTCGTCTTTGCGCCCAGATTGAGAACTTTACGTATGTCGTACAAGGAGGAACACAAGTTCTTGCAACCCTCGTCGACCTACGCGGAGAACTTCTTCGACATCTCGGGAGGGAACGTTGAAGACATTACGCTGCATCATCCGTCCATGGCGCTCCTCGACCGCGTCATGGCCTTGCCCAACGTCCGCTCTCTGTCCATTCACGCATCAAAGGTCACTCCAATACTTGACATTACTTTCGAAAGGTTGTCCCTTAGGGCCCCAGGCGTAGAGCACCTACCACTGCCGAAGCTGGAAGAGCTATCCCTTGGAGGGTTTGGTGACTACTATTGGGATTCGGCCGTCGCCATGGCGCAAGCGCGTCGAGAGTGCGGGTGCCCTCTGCGAGCGTTGGACTTGGATCTCTTCAGCGTCGACCTGAGGTTCCTCCCTCAAGAGCCTGGTTCTCTTAAACGGCTTCGCGAGTTGGTCCCCGAATTTGTCGCCTCGGGTTAGATGGCTGCGTCGCCGTTCCGCGTTTGAAAGCCGTAAGTGTAGTCTTTCATCAATGGAAGTGGCCCTGCTGAAGCGACTTTGCTCATCGCCAGCGACCTGCCATGGTATGGGAAGTTGTCCCTTCAGCATCGCCGTGACGCCCTCAATCTCTGACCGCGCGCCCCAATGTGTACATACTATTACATCGACTGAAATTATACCCATGCATCATGTACTGCTATCCGACTTGGGGATGTGCAGAAATCCTGACTGCGAATTCATCAACGCGTGACGGTTCGCGGTACGAGACTGACTTCGAAGTCGACGCGCTTGCCATATGACCGCGATTTACTCCACGTGGCCAGATCGACGGCCACTGCGAACTGCTTGTCCCTCCCAACCATAACATCGATCCCGACAGGGCACAATCCTAGTCCTTGAAGTGCACTCTTCACGATGGATAATGCGTTCGCTGCACAGCAAGAGACTATCTCTATTTGCGCGACCTGCAAGCACGAAGTCAGCTGCCCGATCACCGACGTCCCCCTCGCGTCCGACCATGTTCCCTCCCCATCCGAAGCCCAGGCTATGGAAACATGCATCGAAGAGATAAGAACACAGCTAGCCAAGCTACAACATGTGAAGCGCACCGTCGAGCAAACGCTAAACTCTCTCAGCGCAATGGAATCGAAGCTGGAGAACGCGCTCGCCACGCAGCGCGCCTACGTCGCACCCGTCCGTCGGATGCCCGTCGAACTGCTGGAAATTGTATTTGAGCTAAGCTGTGCGGGCGCGACACTCAGCCCTCCCGACTGCACTCCGCTGGCGCTTAGCGCGGTCTGCAGACATTGGCGTCGTGCGTGTCCAAAAGCCTGCCTGCCTGCGATCGCTAACTTTGCCTGTAGAACTCGCGCTCTGTATGCCTCGCATATGGGCTGACGTGCAGCTGACAAACGTGCCCCTCAATGACTGGAGCACCCGTCACGCGGTCATCAGGCGCATGAAGCACTGTCTACGCCTGACGAACGGCTTCCCGCTCACGCAACCCATACATCCACGTTCGGGCACAGGGGGCGCGGGCCTGAACGTGCTTGTGAAGTACACAAACCAGTGGCAACACCTCCGCATCGATGGACCACACGAAGAGCTCGACCCTCGTGTCCAGGCTTCCTTGAGCGTGTTCGGCAGCAAATCGTACACACGACTGCACACCCTTGACCTCGACATGATCGCTCTGTTCGCGTCGTTCTCTCTGCGTGTTTTCTCAGACCTGCCCGCCCTGCGAACTCTCGTCGTGCGCAATCCGAAGCACGTCGCGGAGCCTGCCATCCCTACGCACAATGGGCTTCTGCCATTGGGTCAACTCCAAGAGCTGCGCACGGTCACAACGACGCGCTTCGCTTTCCAGTTGCTGTCCCGCTGTCTACATCTACTCAGTTGGACGCACACCGACGATTCGGCCAGTCATCGATTTCCGACTGCGGGTGTTGTGATGCTCCCGCGTCTTCGAAGCCTGCGCGCGGACTACAAGAACGCCAGGTGCAGCATAGATCTTAACTTCCTCCTCGCGCCGTCGCTCGAATCCCTCAAACTCTCCTGGAGAGACAATCGCCTGTCAGACAGCGCGCCAGCGTTCATCTTGCTGCAGAGCTCTCAGCATACGCTGCGAGAGCTCGAGCTCGACAACCCGCCCTCGAACTTGCGCCACGATCTGGTCATGCTCAATCACGTCCATTCGCTGGCCCTGCATTTTCCCAGCGCCGATCCGCTCACGGATAACATACTCGCCGCCTTCATGGCGAGGAATGAGAATGGGGCACTGTCCTTCCTCCCGCTCCTCGAAGACCTCGAGCTTGGCGGTCATGGTCGCTATCGCGGCCAGGCGGTCGTGGATATGGTCAATGCGCGCCACGCGGCGGGTCGGCCTTTCAAAATGTTAGACCTGGATCTCTTCAACGTCGATATGGATCATTTTGGGGATCTTGACGCCCTTGCGCGGCTTCGTCAGCTAGTGCCGGAGTTCGTGGGCTCAGAGTAGATGGTGGTCAACAGGATGCCGTAACAGGACACCGTGAACTTCGGTGATGTGCGCCATCTCGTATGCTGGTGTAAGCCCCGCTGATCGCTGTGCTGTAGCTACGGGCGCGTACAATTTATTGTGTATGTATGTAGACTCAGGCGCCATACCATGCGCTTTCTTGTGCCGTCGATGCGCTCATTTCTGCGATAGGGTGACTCGTCCAAAAGTTTGTGCGTGACTTCCGTCGGACGCTCGTGCTTGGCTTGTCGATCGAGTTGTCGTGTTGCATGTATGTCAGGCGAAGGCATTGCAGCAAGTTGATGCTTTCACCCGCCGTACGCACGACACATGCGTTGTCATCGTCGGCTCTGTCGAGATTTCGGACCCTCGGTAAGTTCGACAGCGTGTCGTGACAGTGAAGACTGACCTTTCACAAGTAGGACTTTACGTGCGGTCCCGGACAGTGATCCTCTGATGACTACCTTGAAGGCAGCCCAGCACGCACCTTGAACCACATATCCCTATGTTCGCTGCGATGATTGAACTGCTCAACCTCAGGCCGCGTCTCGCCGAACCTCGCGGATACACGTTCTACTTCGTTAGCGCGCTGCTTGACATGAAAGCGCGATTCCAGCCCAAATTCCGATCAGTACGGCGTCCAAGTTCGATGTACTGGCATAGGAGTTGTACAGTTTGGGGTGGATATAAGCCCGCACCGCCTGGCTGTCTTGACTGCGCCTTTACCCGCACGATTTGCTCATGTCGTCGGCCATTTCGGATTGACTTCTGACCTTCAATCTCCGAGGCCATGCCTTCGCCAACTACAGTTGAATTTCCTTTATGGAATCACCTCCTATGGAATATCCCCGCTACGGAATAGGGTTGGGCGATTCCCCAGCTCGGGAGGCGAGCATATTCCAAAAACCCCGCTATCTCATACGGAATAGGGTTGTGAAACTTCGCCCCAGCCAAAATATTCCATACCGGTCATGTGAGTTCGCAGGATGCCACCTATTTATGCACTGTGAGTGGCTTGAGAGAGGCTATAGTACGCTTAGTACACTATCTCTACGTATCCCGTATCCAAAACGCCATTTAGGCGCACGGCGTGGCACAAAAAGGGTCGAAAATCGCCCCCGAAAGGCGGAATAAAATATTCGAATTTTCCGAGCAATTATTGGCTGTTTTCCGCACGGAATATCCCCCCTACGGAATAGGAAAAATCGTCTCCCGACCGTATTCCTTAAAGGAAATTCAACTGTATGCCGAATTCTCTACCTCCTAACAACGTATTGCAGCTCAAGTATGGTCTACAACAAATTTGTGTCAGCTCCGTCTTGTACGGTTAATCAAGCTCGTTTTTTGGTTGCCTTCTTGTGTTGATTTACTCACTGCAGGTGTCCAGACTGCCCTGTTTATGGCAGCCATTCCCGTGCTAGCGTAAGTCGACTCTCAACATACAAGCATCTCCCGTTGACGCTAACTCTCCTATTAGCCGACGCGCAAGTGCGCGATGGTTGATGGCAGCTATAATCGCGCTGAACCTAACTTCGACAATTGGGGTCGTGGCTCTATTCGCCAACCACCTTATCCTCACGCCTACCATGGGACCTCATCCTCCCGATGTCAAGCAGAAGTCATACATCATATATCTGATATTTACCACCGGTGACCGCCTAAACGTGAGTGGCGCGTTAGCGCAGAAAGCCCTCTCTATAATAACCGTACATACTGGTTCCTTCTGAGCGATGGTCTCGTCGTCTGGCGAGCCTGGGTGATGTGGCCCCACAATCGGGCTGTACGAGGCACTGTTCTGGCCTGCATGCTGGGGAGTGTGGGTGAGTGGGCTTGCGGCTACCGTTCGTTGCTTTCACTCATCCGGCATGCACTCCCTCTGCAGTCGGGGTAACTCTCGACGGTGTTTGGTATATGTAGTACATCTGGAGCACCGAGCCGTCGAACCTCACCCTCACATTTTCCATTCCGGTTCTTGTAACGAACCTGATCTCGACGTCTCTCGTGGGTGTACAAGTATGGTACGGGGCTTTCATTCTTCCTGTCAAGTCCTTGCGCATTCTTACAAATATCACAGGCGTCACCGCAGAGACATCAAGGCTTCGTTGGGGCCGTTTTCTACAAAGAGTAGAGTAGGCGGCGCTCTTATGTTCCTACTCGAATCAGGACTGGCTTACATCACCCTCTGTGTACGTGCCTCGCTGTAGTGTAGATCAAAGAAGACTGACTAAGCCCCCTGCAGACGACCATACTCATCTTCGACATGCTCACTCAAAACGCCATGACGCGGATCGACTCAGTCGTTGTCTTCCGCACCGCTATACCCCTTCTTGCGGTAAGTGGACATTCTACGACTGCATTGACGATGATACTGAGACCTGCGCAGAGCCTGTATCCTCTGATAGTCGTCCTCATCATCTCGGTACAGCAGCAGGCTATCGGAAACGGGCTGGAGAATGCGGGTCCGAGCTATTGGGAGTCTATACAGCTCAGAGTCCGATCCAGAAGGGACGTGGAAGAGGAGATATCAACAGAGTTGCCGCCTTTGTGACCAGTTGCTACTCTACCACGGCGCTGAGGCACTCGAAGACGACTGTATATACGACGAAGGCTCACTTTCACCAGTCACGAGACCGACCGAGCGAGGATCGAAGGTCGATCCCTCTTCTGCAGAAGCAGTAGATCTTCCGTCCTTATCCGCCGTCGTCGCAAAATGTATAGGCTGTGACTCGACGGCAGTGATTACTGGATGAGCGTCGGAACGCTGTGCGGCGACGCCAAGAACAACCGCGGTGGGGTAAATTCCCTAAAAGAAGATGAGTATGGATATTGCCTATGCCAGACGAGTACACACCGCAAGACGAGGATATGTAGCGCTGACGATACCGTACGCGGAGTCCGTCGTCAGACCTGCACCGAGGATCTGAAGTACCATAGCTATGGCCTGTCGACTCGAGATCAATATGGCAGTTTGTACATAAACAAAGGCCTCGTTGCGATTGCGAGATCGTGAACGCACCCAAATGAGACAATATACGAAGCCGGACTCGACCAGAAGGACGAGGACCTTCTCCACTTGACTGCGCTTCGTCAACAGCCCGAGATTACCCTTGATTTGCGTGCGATATTGCCTGACAGACAGTGGTCAGTACTTGCGCTGCTGGCATAGATAGCGCCGGCAGTCGAGTAACCGTGTGGTCGAGCACCCACCAAGCCCTTATGCCCACGAGACCCGTGGCAACGAGGTTCGTTACGAGGAGCGGTAGCGTCCTCGTTAGCGTGCGCTGCGCCATTGGAATTGCCCCGACTTCCAGTAGGACCCAAACGCAGTCGAGGGTTACACCGACTATGGGTTTGTAGGCGGTGAGACGCAGGAATCGCACCAATAGATCACGAGCTCACCTGTGCTTCCGCAAGCGCAGAGTAGTAGCAGCCCTTTGACCAAGCGGCTGTCCGGCCAAAGGACCCAGGCTCGCCAGACGACGATGATGTCGCTGATCAAATACTGTAAAGGCGTGTCGGATCATCTTCGCGTCGACCCGAGTGAGGCGTTAGGATATATTGTAGAGGGACACGTACGCTCACTCGCGCGTTCACGCTCTGCACGATTCTGGACTGCTCAAGTTGATGCACAATGGCGTGGTTCCACATCGAGTGGGGCCCGTACTCGGCGGGTAGCTGGAGGAGGTAGAAGAGGATGTCCAGCGTGATTGAAATGGTGGCGAGCAGAAAGAGAAGCGTCGTCGCGACGATGACGGGGCTTGAATTCCGGTCCCGACGACTGAGTGGATCGTAGAGATGAATGAACTACTTCTGGCCCGTGAAATCAATTCGGGAAGACTTACGCTAGAACACTGCAAAGAGCAACAAACAGTGCCGCTAGCACACCTGTGAATCGCATTCAGCGAGGTGCGGTGCACACTACTTGAAACTCACCATAGAGCACAAAGTCGACGGCAGTCCACATCACCATAATTTGAAAGTGAAAAACCTCGTCTGGTGGCCGGCGCGAGCCCACAGGTGCCGAGCCACCGATGCGAAAGTGAGATCGGCTCGTCATCTTCACGGCTCTGTTCTACGCCTTTGCGAAAGTTTGTTCAGGAGGAACCTGAATCGCGGGCGCGCAAGCGCAGGGGCACTTTTCCTCGTCGCATATATATGTACGGCAGAAGCCTCGTGCTGAGCGATATCGGCGCAACGCGCGCAGCGGGCTCCGATACGGAAGAGGAAAGGCCGCCCGCGTGTATGTTGGTCTGCAGATCACTGAATACTCGAAGAGCGCGTCGATCAGTGATACAGATGATAGAGGGAGCGCCGGCTCCTGATAGGTGGATGAGAAAAGTCGGCGAAGGAAACAATGCGCCATCAATTTGAGCCTCATGCCGAGGCTTCAGCAACTGCCTGGGACCACAGGCTGCAGCGTAAGCTACGGTGGAGTGATGATGGACGAGAGCAGATGGATGGGATCGGAAACAAGCGTTGCTTCCGACATCGGTGATTCCCGTTGGCAGCGTGACTCTCACGTGACTCAATGTTGAACTTCAATTCACAGTGAAAATGAGAAAAAGTAAGCGACAATCATATGGACGCATGCGACGTCAAACAAAGGGAATGTGCTGTCAAAAGGAGCGACTGCATCTCATCCCGTTGTAGGGCGACTGCGAGAACTGTGGCTGTCGCATAAATGCCCTAAGATCAATGTGAACAGTCGCCCTTTTAAACTCGACAAGGAACTTTCTTACCGAGATACAATGATAGGTCTCCCCAATTACGTCGTATACGGTCACCATGTCGCCGCTTCTGGCGAGCACTTGAGTGACAAGGCCGATGATCTGACAAATGCGAGGCCAAATTCAGAATAAAGCAAAAGGACCCCAGGCGAAGACGAAAGCGCACCCAAATAAGGCAGTAAATCGAGCCCGACTCCATCAGCAGAACGAGGATCTTCTCTAGTCTTGTCTTCCGTGTCAGTGGCTCAAGCGCTCCCTTTATGGTGCGGTAGTACTGCCTGGAAAGTTTGTTAATCAGATATGCAGCTGCAGCTACGATGCAAAGGGAAGCGTCTTTGACACCACATACCAAACCCGAATACACAGCATGATCGTGGTAATCGCATTTGTCGCGACAAGCGGAACAGTTCTCACGAGCGTCTCCAAAGCTGGACGATCTGGCGAATACTGCACCAATATGAAATCGGTGATGGACCCGACTGAACGTTGCCCCTCAGCACAGATGCTGTCTGCGAGAGCGCGGAGGGGAATAGTCAACTCACCTGCGCTGCTGGTGATGCAAGTGAGGAGCACGCCCTTCGCCATCTTGCTATCAGGCCAAAGGGCCCATGAGCGATAAACAACGACAATATCGCTGATAAAGTGCTGGAATTAACCGGTCAGCGTGCTGCGTCGCGCGACAAGGGACAGTAAAGAATTAGTATGCGGGCAAACCCGCACCTCCAAGCGAATTAGTATCGCCGAAATCAGCGACCACCGCTTGCTCTCGGCCGTCATGTATGGGTACTCCATCGGGCAGAGCGGGTCATGAGGTATGCGCGGCTGAGCAACGCGAAGCACGACGCCTACCGGGATGGCTACGGCGCTTAAGGCCAAGAGTAAGATGACGGCGATCATCATGAAGCAAGGCCTGCGTCGGCGACGGCTGAATGACGCCTCGGTGTCATTGACCTCACAATTAAGCACAGGGATGGACGTACATGAAGACGGCCCACAAAGCCATAAACAGGGTTAGATGCACGCCTATACTCGACGTGAGTAGACGGCACGAGGGCAAACACGTGAAAGTACTGAGCGCTGACCAAATAACATCAGGTCTACGCCCGTTTGCAGTATGGTTGTTCGGAATTTTAGGATGTCCGCAACAGGCTGAGAAGCAGGCCTCGCGATCGATGAGAGGTTAGACATGGGGTGTCGGCGTCGCCAACCGCGTTGGGCAAGACTCAAAAACGCCTTCTAGGACTACTTCTGTACATCCTTATATGATCGCCAAGCTGATGGTGAAGGCGAGTGCGCGATGAAGAGCTTCGATGGACTACGAGGCGTTCGGGAGTGAGAGCATATCGGAGTTCTGTGAGCGGCTCAGTACCTTGTAGGAGTGGAATATGGCGCCGATACCTGTGTAAAGGCGCTACTCGGTAGACCGAAACGAGGTCGTGCTTGTTGAGTTGGGCAATCCAGCAGTCGGTGGCCCCCACCAGCTTACGACGTGTCCCCTCGCCGCATATCGCGGCTACACGGTAGTCTATATCCTTGAAAGGCATGAGTAGGCTTTTAAGGCCGAGTCCGACGGCGTACGCACAAGAAGTCAGTTTCAGCCTATTATACCGAAATGCTGTGCTTACCTGCATTGTACGCTCCCGCGCTATCAAGTTCGAAATATGGAGGGCTAGGATTGTAGCCGCTATAGAAACGTTTCGGAAAAGCACGTGCAGGCATACTAGTAAAGACAGAGTGCCGCTTGTAGACCCGGAGCGTCTACAGTCTGATTGATGTATAGGCTGTCAAATCGGTCCAGCTCAACGCAAACAGCATGCAGATTGTGCTCCGAAAGCATCGCCGGCGGAGGAACGTGGCCAAAAGACACTTGAAATAGCCTGTCTAATATCTGGTAGAAATTTTGAGGGATTGGAAGCGTCCCCTCGAAGGCCGATCTAAGAATGCTGCTTGTGCACGGTCGGCAGAGGCCACTTGCACGCTTGTGATGTGACCCCGTCACGCTTGTTGACGCTTGCTTGTTTGAAAAGCCCTCGTGGATTCGATGTTCGATTCCTCCACTCATCACTTGAAAATCATTCCTGCATTGCTGCGTTCTCAACAGCGAGTGAGCACTGAGCATTGTCATTCGGAGGAGCTCGGACGACCTACGATTTGATCAGCGCGGCAGAGTCTGTGCAGGGCTCGTCTGATATGGCTGGTCATCCACTGGCACCCTCATACATCACGATGTGCAATCTCGGCATGACGGATGGGATCTCTCTAACATTCATTGTCGCAGCTTCCAAAGGTAATATGACACGAGGTTCCATTGAGTCACCCTGGTTCTCTCAGGACATCATCAGAGATCTGGCTCTGTGCACTGCCTTGATATCATCGCTCTCCTGGATACTTATAGCTGGATTACTCCTTTGAAGGTTACTTATAGCCGGATTCGGGGATCGCGCGTCCTCAGTTCTTCGCCAGCATGCCCATCGATGGCCGACCCTCGCCTGGCTCCTCATTCGACCCGCAGTCCGCGGACGTGATCATACTCTTGCAAGTGAGCCTCATGCAGACCGCTGTCGATTGCCTGTTCTTTGGTGAGTCTTGAAACGGGGTCCGAAAACCGGTCTAGCGTCGCCTGCCTTGACGCCACGGGAACTGATTAGATTCTTAGGTATGCAAGCCGCCCTCTCATTCGCTGCCTGGAGCGCGCTCGCGTAAGCCTGTCTCTTGAGATCTGCGGCCGAATCCAATCGTCTCTCACCACTGTCAGACGTCGCGACTCGCGCTCTCTTGTCATCAAAGCCGCCGTAGCTGTACTTCTCGGCATATCTACCGTCGCCGTTGTTTTGGCCATGGAGAATACTGTCGGAGGTCTGGATCCGGCCTATACGAAGAACGATCAGTACAACATCGTTTTGTCGGCGGTAGTCCGCGTCAGTGTACGTGCGCTTTTCCTCATCACATCTTCCTCCAACGTCGAGACGCCCCTTTGGCTGACGATTCACTGATCCCAGTACTTGCTGAGCGACGTGATCGTCGTCTGGCGCGCGTGGATTCTTTCAGCAGGAAATCGCTTCTCACAAGCTGCACTTTTGCTGTGTCTCTGTGGGACTACAGGTGCGTCTCTTGCACCGCGGCTTCCACGCCTTCACGCGCGCGAAACTCGGATGTCATTGCTTACCTTGCACAATCAGCCGGTATCATCGTCGACTTCGTCTGGGCGTACGAGAACCCCGCAATGGTTCCGCCGGCGGCGCGCACGCTCATCAAGACCATTCCGCTCCTGGTCACAAATATCGTCGCGACGATGGTAGTCAGCTGGCGAGTATGGTACGCTCATCCCACCTTTGCCTTATCTGCCCATGCCGAGTCAGACGCTGATCCACTCTCTTCAGGCACTACCGCCGCGACATTAAGTTCAACCTCGACCCATTGGGAAGGAAGACGAGGTTGGAGAAGATCCTCGTCTTGCTCGTCGAGTCCGGCTTCATATATTGCTTCCTTTGGGTGAGTTGGCAGACTGAGCTTCGCCGCTGCATCTATGTCCTCGATATGCACGCGTCATTCACCTCGTCGAGTTCCCGTTTCCGACCCATCCTCTCCCTCAGTTTCTACGATACTGCATCGATCTGAGGTTTTGAATCGAACTCCCGCTCAACGTAATCTCAGGCCTTTGCTCTCGCCGTACAGTACATCGGCGGCGACGGCGCTTTCTTCGCGCTCTATAGCATCGTTGGCCGGGCGTATCACAGCATCTCGGTGAGTCCGTGGTGTTCGTCTTCGCTGGGCTCGCTGTGTGCGGCTGACCACATTGCTCATCACAGGGCATCTATCCGACCATCATCATCCTCGCTGTCGCGATGCAGCGGTCGGAAGAGTCGCTATTCACCGCGCGGCAGGAGGCGTCAGAGCCGATACGTTCTTTACGTTTTGAGAGGTCTACGACGGGCACGGGTGCCGGCGCGACTACGACTCTGAGCATGGACAATGACCTGACGCGCAGCGAAGTCCTTGACGGTGGCGCGGAGTTCCAAAGTACGACCTCGACGTCAGTTCGGGATATTCACACGGCGTCCGTTGACTGTCCCGAGGTCGAGAGCGGCGGGTCTACGAGCTGAGGATCAGATGAAGGTGCATTGTAGATCGTATCTATATCGTGTAAATTATTGCTTTCGTATGGTATCTATATATCAATGTACTACCAAAAATCGCCTGAACTGAAGGAAGCCCAGCCTACGTCACGACAAGATGCTGCGGGGGGAACCCGTCCCGAAGACTATCGCTGTCAAATACTTGCGGCGCCTCTGGATGGAACTCCTCTGACAGGTTGGAAGCAAATCTCAGCGAATGCGTGCTGAAGAGCACCGAGTGCATCTCTTCGCGTTGCGTGATGGTCGCGAGGACGACTGCAGTCGGGTATATGCCCTATGACCGAAGTACGAGTGAGCAGGCGGTGTGGTCCATACCTAGGTAGAGACCCACAGAGATGCAGTGGTAGGCCTGTCCGACGATACCATACGTGGAGACTGTAACGTCCCCTCCGTTGAGAACTTGTATAACGAGGCCGGCAATCTGTGTAGGCGAGACGAGACTTCAGAGTCGATCATTGCTAGGAAGAAAAACCTGACGCACCCAAACAAGGCAATAGGCGAAGCCTGATTCCATGAAGAGAACGAGGACCTTCTCCACCTTCGTCCGCTGCGTCAGGGGCCCAAGATATCGCCTAATATTGTGCTGGTACTGCCTACGAGAAATATCCTGCGGTCGAATCGCCGGGCCTCCTACGAGCATGACTAGATATACGCACCAAAATCGGATTCCAACGAGGAATGTGGTGGCGAGATTTGTTACGAGCAGAGGGACGGTCTTCGCTAGGGTCTCTGCTGCCGGGGGAGCAAGACCGCTGTCCCTGCCATACCGTATGACTAGTATACAGTCAATGATGACGCCCACTGCAAGCACGGATGAGTGAACATGATTGCGAGGCAAGGTAGCGAAGGACGCACGTAAGCTTGCGCTCAGATACGATGCAAGGACGCCCTTGGCAAGCCGGTTATTAGGCCATAGTACCCAAGCGCGGTGAACAACAACGATATCGCTAGCAAAGTACTGTCTTTTGGCGATCAGCATACAAATCGTTGGATCTCGTCCATGCGCATAGATGATAAGACGCACGTTCACGCGGTAGAATACCGAGAACACTACGCTCAGACTGATGGTCCGAGCGACCCGCTCTTGGCGCTGGAACGTCGTGGAGGAGCTATCTATTGCGAACTGGGTTTGGCGGAAGACGACAGCGAGCACGGCAGAGAGGGTGGACATCAGAAACAGGAGCATGACTGTCAGCACCGGTGGTCCCAGCTTTCGCCTCCGGCGTCTGTACGAGTTGTCAGCATTGTCAGCAGAGAATCTCGGTGTGAACATGATACACGCACGCGTATACACAGGCAACAGGTATGAACAATGCAGCCTGTACGCCTTGACGAGTCTTGGATGGATGGACACGGTCTTGGACGAATTGCGGACGTACCGTAAAAAGCAAGATCCAGGCCGACCTGCAGCATAAATGCCTTGTACTTGAGTATATCGTCCATGGAACTGGGTGAGAGCCGGGCATGTGCAGGTTTCCCCAGCATGATAGTTCGTAGCGCTGTCGGTGGTCAGAGAAGGTAGCAGTCGGGTTGTCTTCTATGCCGGTATATGAATGAGTTTATGCACAGCCAGGTTACCTAGGCCTCCCGGCGCCTATTTGAGAGATGTCGTCAGTCAGTGAACGCGCGCTCGCCAGCGAGACATAGAGACGATGTCCGAGGGAAGACACACATGATACTCGTTGAATAAAGAAGCCACGATAACATACGGTTGCACGTCGGAAGCGGGCTCGAGACATCTTCGACGAAGTTGGGGAGAGGTTACAGGCCTTGTACGCATTGAGCCCGACTTGGGATTCGTTTGTTTGCTTCCCGGTAGTGCTGTGTCCTTAGCCTCCGGCGCAAGTTGTGAGACCGTAAAGAAGGGCCTCGTTATTGAGTAACAGTAGTGACGGAGGAAGCGGGGACGGGTACTTTGGGCGGTAAGGACTCAGGTGCTCTTGTCCCGCTGTTGCACGCATTTCCGAAGTGACAAGCCGCCGCAGAATTAGGGATCAGTGCATCCGACGGCGGAAGGGAAGGTGTTCCCAAGGTATGTAATGCGACGACAACGCTATGCGATATCAGAACACAGAGGCTAGCGCCGTCGTGATGGTCAGGCAGGAGAGACGAAACTAAACCGGGCCTTCATCCCGCAAGTTCCGACTTCGGCAACGCCCGGCTGTAATGATCACGCACAAAGCACGTGCCTCCCAGTTGAATTTCACGCCGCTCGATAATCAGGTCGATGGCCGAAGGTCACGCTGCTCAGTTCAGTCTTCAGTAGATTCTAAGAGAGGTTTATGCAGTTTTAGCACTTTACGTAACGTGTTGTCTCTTCAAATGCGTCTGTCCCTTCCCTGGGCGCCCTATCATCACTGTTGCGCGTTCCTTCCTTCATTCGCACGCGCTTTAGGAGTCGCGACAAACCAAATCACCATCTTAATGAGAGCTTGAAATCGTACGCCGGAATCTTCTCGTCCGAATCCAGCTGCGGAATGGACACGAGAAGGTTCGTTTCTTCTATATTTTTGGCAATCCAGCCCATCCTACATATTGGTCAGCAAAGTCGTTGATACAGGATCTAATTTGCTCACCCATGCAACCGGCACCTCGTCCAATCTCTGTGTTGCACATTCATCAGGCATATCTTCAAGTCACCCGTTATATCGCCCATCCCCACATTCAGTTCGCATAAGCCAGTTTCCGATAAATGCATGCCGATGAGACCCGCGAGGCGATCTTGTACTCGTTCAAGCTCTTTACAGTAGTCCTCATTGTTGCAGAATATCTCATCCGCGTCTTCGGAGGGTAGATAGGAGGGCATTTCTTGCGCGAAGCGCCGCACGCGTATCTGACGCCATTCGCGATGGCGTCGAGCGGCCGGCGACGTTTCCTCTGCAATACGGTGCGCTAGACGCAAGGCGAAGAGTGCACGGTTAAGTGGCGTGCCCGTATACTTAGCCTCCTCGGCGGTCTCGGCGCTTTGTAGGGTGAGGTAGGCCAGCTGGTCGCTGATCTCGGTCAGGCTGGAGTTCTGCGAGGGAGCATCGAGCACCATAGGAGGGGAAGGCGCTGTCTGCGAGAGCGACAACGGAGACGACGGAGTAGGATCGACGGAATGTGGCGTATGATTCATCAGGGACGTCGAAGCGCTGCCTAGCCCAACGGGATTGACAGAAGACGGCGAGCTCGACTTGGTAGATTGACCAGCATCACGAGCCTCACCCTGGTCTCCAGCCATCAGAGCCTCGCTCGCGCGCACAGCACTAAGCACGTCGAAAAGCGGGTCGTCCCCCGCACGCTTCGCGAGCTCCTCTCTGATCCAGCCGACCTCGAGCACGCTGTGCAGTCCCAGCCGCTCTGCCTCCGCACGCGTCAGCCTACTCGGCCTCGTGCTTATCTCGGCAAAGGCTGGCGCGAGCCACGTAGGTCCCAGCCTGAACTCGCGCGCGATGGCGATCTTGTCGACGGGGTCCAATGCCTTGGACTTGAGCTCCTCGATGGCGAGGTCGCGCAGGCTGGCGGCGCCCCATCTCGTGGCGAGCCGGAGGACGGAGGTCCATTCGGGGACCGAGGCGATGTCGCATTTGCCAAGGTTGCTGTGGGTAGTTCTGGTGCGTGAGGATGACGGACACGGAGAGGGAGGGACAAATGCGTACGTAGGGTAGATGATAGACAAGAAGCGCTCGAAATCGACGTAGGACACGTTGGGGAGCCTGATGACGGGCGAGTCGTCAGAAAGCGCCGAGCCTCGAAGATATTCCTTGGCGAATTTGGGCGCGTGGGTCTCGAAGAAGTAGCGGTGCACGTTGTATAGGGCTCCATCCTCGAGCTAAGCAGAGAGTCAATGCCGTGGATCTCTCATAGGATGCACACATACTTGGATTTCGATGTTCCCATCTTTCAAGTAGAACCGATGGGCTTGGGGTGCGTTGAATATGGGTTCTTCGTTCGCTACCGAAGTGCCCAGTGTGGACAAGTCGTCGTCGCTCGCAAAGGAGTGCACGGACGAGGAGCCAGTCGGGTTGGGCATCGTCGCTGGAAGGAACATGGCCAAGCGCCGTCTTACGTATAGTGCTTCTATATGGAAGGGAGGCGTGGTCAAAACGGTCGCGTGAGCAGCGACTTTTTGATCTCAATTCTGCTGGAATCTTGGCGCTTTCGCGCATGGTCTTATAGTGCAGCGGTTATCACGGTGGATTCTAATTATCTTGTTCGCAGCCAGTTGAACACAGGACGGGTGCATGAAACTCTGGGCAATCGGATAGTGTTTTGACGCGGAGCATAGAATTCGAGGCGCAGCGACCAGATGGGAAGTAGAGCGACATATAAGTGACCGAGCCCGCTGACATTGGTTCAAGGTCCATCCCGCGAGATGGTGCTGAAACTTCAAAGAGGCGACGGCAAAGGCAATATGTCCATCCTGCCTGGTTGGAACGGTAAGGCCATTCATTGATCAAATGCGAGAAGTAGCTAGTGGTCATTGAGAAGAGGGCATTGAAGACGATCAACAGGAAGGGGTGAGGAAAGGTACAAAGGGCAGACGAATAGGAAGGGTAGCGAGGATTGACACTCACTCACTCATTCACTCGCTCATGCAGATACGCGCAGCGTGGACGACAGGGAGGCAGCAAAGTTTCCTACGCAGACGAGAATATATCTCGAGTCAAGTAGCGCCGCAAGAATGAAGAGACGTCGAGATCAGAAAGAGATGCATTGCACATGCAGCAAACTCCACGAAGGGCACTGCATTATCGGGTCGTTCGATGAGTGCGCAAGCTTCGATCTGAGCAATCAACTTTGATGAGGCCTGGACGGCAGCACGTAGGAGGACAGTGGGATCCAGAGCCACTCGAGAGTTCGTCCTTCCGGAAGTGAGTATGCTGGAAAGGGAGCAAGGAGTAGGCATCCTGGTGGTTGCGGACAAAGTTCAAGTTGATGTCCGGCGGCTGTGCAGGGGCGGTCCAGGTGACGTCACATGATACGGCTCCCCGCCCGCCTCATAAGCAGAGCCCGCCGATCGCGTCGTCTCCCATCATCACCCCCGCCGCGCGCACAGGATACGAGAGCTGTTGACGACGCGCAGAACGACGTGCAGAGCATAGACGACGACTAAATCGAGCGCATATAGCCACCTCATCACGACGATCACGATCTCCGCCTTGAACGCGACCACCTACTACCACTAACCATCCCGATTCCCGACCGCATACATCCAGCACCCACCTCCTCCCCTCTACTGGCAGACAAGCATGGACTACTCTAGCGACCCCCGTACGCGCACAGCGTCCAACTCCACCCTCACCGACGCCGCCGTTGCCGACGCCTTCCACTCCTACCTCAAATCCTCCCTCGCCCAGGCCCGTGCCGAGCGACTCATTGACGCTGACATGCTCGCAACGGCGGAAGCGGACCAGCTCATGATTACTGGGCCCGCGCTCTGCCTCTACTTTGCCGCGCTCCGCTGCACGACAAGCCCGCCGAGCGTTCCGCTGCCGCGACCTCGCAAGGCGCAGCGCGATGATGGTGGTCCTCCCCGCGCGCCTGTCGATCTATCATTCGAGAACTGCCCGCCTCAGTTCACGTCCTTCTTGCGCGTTTGGGCCGGCACGGTGCCCGCCATCCAATCCCTCGCACCCGAAGCCCAGCACGATCTCGCCAGGATCATCTGTGGATTGCAACCCATAAGTGCGTACCTTGCCCTTCTTTACTTGCGCGCCACTAACCGCTTCCGTCAAGATCACACTGCCTCAGACACTGTCCGCGGCCTCGCAGAGGACATGCGCGCGGTCGCCATCGAGATCTCGCAGAGGCGCTCCTTCCAAGACCGCTACGCCGAAGACCTCCAGGCGGCCATCGACGCGGCGAACGGCATCAGCGGAAGTAGTGAGAATGGAGGGAAGCCGAGGGTGCAACATACATCGTTTGTGCCGCCGCCCGCGTACGACTCCGCTGTTGGAGGGCCATCCGGCGCGGGACCCTCTAGCGCTGGTCCGAGCGGAACGCAGCAGCTCTCCCCACCGGCTACGCCTACGACCTCGAGCCCTCAGCACCTCTCTCCGCCGACTACCACGCAGCACCTTCCCCCGACCACTTCTCAGCACCTCTCTCCGCCCGTCACGCCCACCGCGTCAACGTCCGCTACCGGGCGCAGGTCCCGCACACCTTCACCTTCAATGTTGATCCCCGAGGCGACGGCCACGCTCATGGCGATCCGAGAGACGCTATATGCGTGCATTTTGGACGTCCTTAGCCCATCAAACGGCCCGGATGGTTCGAATAAGGCATTCCTGGACAAGCTTCGTACGACATTCCGCGAAGACCCCGCGAAGGCGTACTATACGACCGTTGCGCTCGCGATCCTGCACTTTGCAAGGTTCGGCGTTGTAGCGGAGAGCGGGAGGATTACGGGAGTATTGGGTGAGTGTTACCTACTGCATTCTTCCAAACAACTGTTGACCCTCCTCTCCATTAGGCACCGAAATCACCCTCGACACCTGCCCGCGCGCTCTGCGACCCCTCATGACCGCCCTCGTCCACATCGCGCGCACTGCGAAGGCCTTCGAGGAGGAGGATGACGAGCGAATGGCCCTCGCGCTGTCCGAAGGACGAGAAGAGGCAGAAGCCAACGACGGCGAGACGATCAAGCTCGGCGCGACAAGATTGGAGCGCGTCAGAAAGATGCTGGAGGGCGGCGTGGGGTGGGCGTACGAGGAGGAAGAGGGCGCGGCCCGTGACGATGCGCCCCGAGGGCGGGCACGGGCACCGCCGACGCCGCCAAAGGACGCGCCGCCACTACCTCCGCGACACTCGCAAGACGATGCTTCGTCCCCTTATCCGACCGCCTCAGGCACTCCACCGACGCCGCCGAAAGACAAGACGTCGTTCTCTCGCCGCGACGCCTCGGGCCGCGGAATCGGGTCGTCGTTCACGGCGCTCTTCAAGCCCGAAACGGCGAAGGAGGCCGCGAAGGATATGATGCGGAGCAGTTTGGGGAGGAGCGGCACGGCCGGGAGCGGGCGCGCATCCCTCGAAGGGCGCTCTTCCCTCGAGAGTCGTCATTCGACGGAGTCAGCAAACAACCGTTACTCGTCCTACGTGCCGCAATCATCCTACGCCCCGCAACCCATGTCTGGCCGCTCGACCTCGGACTCCCCTCGCAACTCGGCAGACGGACATCAGTCGACGACCGCCGCGTACGCCGCGCTGCGCAATACGCAGGCATTCCCGTCGACGGAACCGCTACACATTGCCAAGAACACGCAAGGCGCGCGCGGCGGCTCCCCCACCGGGCGCACGCTCGCGCTGGCGAATGCGATCAACGAGCTCGCTTTACGCCTCACGAGCCTAGGACCGTTCAGGGAGCGCGCGCGGGCGGTGTTTGGCGTGCTGGCGGGCTTGTAGGGAGGTAAACGAGGGTTGAGTCGAACGTTGACGATCTAAGATATGTATGTTCTTGTATACCTGAATTGTTTCCGCTGCTACGATATACTGTACAGATCCCGAATGTAATGATGAAAATGATTTGAGCACAAATAGCGGCAGTAAGTAATGCCTATATAGTGTACTTGGGGATGTCCTCATCGCGGTTTGGAATTGCTATGTAGATGCGGCCGTGCCCATTTTTGCCTAAAGCACCCCCAACGATCCACCCTTCCCTATCGAATTTTTCTCTTCAAGATGACGATGCGCCAAATACGACGTCTACGTACCTCCGAAGCTCGAATGTAATATGATCATACGCCTTCCACGACATAGAAGACACGGTCAATTTGTCTTCGCGAACGGGCCTGGGGGCCGAGCCCCGCACAGGCAGCTTTGCGGCGAGAAGATAGCTAAGGCGTTCTTGCACCGTGCTCAGTGCCCGATAGGCGTCAGGGCTTGTGACGTTCAAATAGTGGGGCTCTTCAGGAGGGCGTACCGATCCAATCACCTCGCGAGCGATCTCGTCCACGCGTGATTGCCGCCACTCCCCGTGGCGTAGGGCAGACGGTGACTTTTGATCCGTCAGTCTACGTGCCAGATGTGAGGCAAAGAGAGCACGGTTGAGCGGCATATCATCAAAGCTATCCTCCTCTGCGACTTCTGCGATGCGGAGAGCATCGTAGGCGAGCTGGTCGGCAGGGCTCAATGACTCGGACGGTACGGAGTCGAGCGAAGAGGGCGGCGGCGAAGATACTGGAGACGGTACATGAGCGGCAAGAGAGATGTTGGGCGCAGAAACTGAGACTTTGGATGTAGAAGAAGCGGTCGTCGAGGTTACTTGTGGAATATCACCGATGCTCTGCGCCTCTTCACGCCCTCCGGGAGCCAGGATCTCGCTCGCGCGGATGGCGGCATGAACGTCAAAGGTGGGCCCTGACGTGCGCACCTCTTCTCTGATCCTACCAATCTCGACGACCGTGGGTAGTCCCAGGCGCTCCGCCTCCGCACAGTTCAGCCACTGCGGCCTCGCGCAGATGTCGACGAAGGCTGGGACAAGCCAGTCCCGTCCCAGCTCGAACTCGCGAGCGACGGAGACTTTGTCGAAAGGAGATGCCTGAGGCACGATCTCCTCCGCGGCGAGGGTGCGCAGGCTTTCGATAGACCACTTAGTAGCAAGGCGAAGGACAGAGGTCCACTCGTCGACAGTCTTTATGTCGTATTTGCCGAGCTTTCTGTGATGCAATTAAGAAAGGGCAGCGCTTGGTGGTAAGAGAGGACGTACGTGGGGTAGATGATGGTCAAGAATCGCTGGAAGTCGACGCTGGACACGCCGGGGAGCTTGATGGGTGCGAACCCCTCATTGTATAGGTACTCGTATGGGAAATTCGGCGCGTACGTCTCGAAAAAGTAGCGGTGGACGTTGTACAACGTTCCGTCATCCAGCTAAACATCGGCTTGTCAGCGGTGAGAACGAAGAAGTTACGAGCACTCGCCTTGAACTTCATGTTCCCGTCCTTGAGGTAGAAGCGATGAGTCTGAGGAGGCTCGGCCGCATCTGGTTCGACATGCTCAGGCGCATCGAACCCATGATGCTCTGCCGCTACGACACGAGGCTCATCCTCGTGCGTAATCGTATGGGTGGAAAAGACAATCGGCGATCCCGCTACAGATGTAGCTGGCATCGACATACTGTCAGCGCTCGCGAAAGACTGGACGGACGGTGAGCGAATCGGGTTGGCCATGAAGGTTGAGAGGAAAAAGAACATGCGCGGATAGACGCCGACCTAGCTGCGCGCCTCCATGAGGTAATGGCGTGCTTGGGACGGCGCGTGAGCGGGCCTTGGCTCGAGAAGGACCCTTCGTGAAAGTCGGGTGGAAACGGGCGAGGATGCAACGTTTCTTTGATATGCAGAAGCCATTATCAGGATGTGCAGACTCAGATGAGAATACACTGTAGAACAGCAAGACCTTCAAACAATGAGGCCCTACATCATATACTTTGGGATGTCTTCGTCCCAATTAGGGATTGCAACATAAAACTTCCCAAGACTCGACTTGGAATTTATACCTGGAGGAAAGTTCCCAACGACCCATCCTCTCCTAATCGTGCATCTCAGTCAAGACGGATATCATTGATGAGTAGACAGACTGCATACCTGGCCAGGTCGAAGCTCAAGGAGTGGTATGACGATGTCGACACAGTCAATTTATCCCCGCAGCCGGCGTGGGGCCAAGGAATAGAGCCGCACGTAGCCAGCTTCGCACAAAGAAGATAGGCGAGACGACTGTGCAGCATTCCCAGCGGGTCATCATCTATCCTTGATATTTTCATTTCATCCGGCGTCGCAACAGGACCTTGTGCGTCAGCCACCTCGCGAATGATGTTATCAACGCGGGCCTGCCTCCACTCGCGGTGGCGCTGGGCACCCGGGGACGACTCGTGCGCCATGCGACGCGCCAGATGCGAGGCGAAGAGAGCACGATTGAGCGGCGTGCTAGGGAAGCTAGCCTCCTCTGCAAATTCTGCGCTGCGGAGGGCGTCGTAGGCGAGCTGGTCGGCGGGGCTCAGATTCTCGGACGGCAGGGAGTCGGGCGTAGGTTCTTGCGGCGTCTGAGGCGCGGAAGAAGCGGGTGGCGAGGATACGAGAGACGCTACGTCCGAGAGCGCGAGAGCATCTGTCGCGGAAGCAGCGCCTGCGAGTGTGGAAGACGCCGTCGTCGAGGTTGCCTGTGGAACATCATCAATGTGCTGCGCCCCTTCACGCCCTCTGGGAACCAAGATCTCGGTCGCTCGAACGGCGGCGTGGACGTCAAAGGTGGGCCCAGAGATGCGCGCGTCTTCTCTGATCCTACCGATCTCAACGACCGTCGGCAGCCCGAGCCTTTCCGCCTCCACACGATTCAGCCACTGCGGCCTCTCGCAGATGTCAACGAATGCCGGGAGGAGCCAGTCCTGACCGAGCTCGAACTCGCGAGCGATAACAACTTTGTCGAAGGGGGTGGCCTTGGGCTTGATCTCCTCGATAGCGAGGTCGCGTAGGCCGACTACTGCCCATCGTGTGGCTAGGCGGAGAATGGAGGTCCACTCATCGACGGTGGTGATATCGAACTTCCCGAGCGTGCTGTGATGAAGGTCAATCAAAGCAGGGAGACGGGGCGAGCGAAGCAAACGAACGTGGGGTAGATCATCGACAGAAAGCGCTCGAAGTCGACATTGCACACGCCGGAGAGCTTGATAGGCCCGAGAGCTTCGCCATCGAGGTACTCTTCCGCGAACTTGAGCGCGTGCGTCTCGAAGAAGTATCGGTGAACGTTGTAAATACTTCCATCGTCAAGCTGAGAACATATTTGGGACAAGAGGTGACGGATATTATAAGAGCGGCTTACCTCGAACTTGGTGTTTCCGTCTTTCAGGCAGAACCGGTGGTTTTGAGGAAACTCATGATCCGCGCTATCAGGCATCGCCGTGATGACACGAGGCATGTCCTCATGGTGCAAGATCGTCGAGGAAGCTACCGGAGACGCAGGTACTGATGTCGCAGGAACTGACATGCTGTCTGCGCTGGCAAAAGACTGAACCGAGGGGGAGCGATCAGAGTCAGCCATAGATGTCGACATGGGCGTTGGAGGGAAAGGCAACATGTGCAGACAGGCGCCGTACAAGTAGCGCGCTGCCATGCGGCAAAGACGTGTTGGGGGATATTGCCGCTCAAGAAGCGCATTCGCAGAAGGAGCCGAGACGGCTACAAGCGCTTCGTCATCGGCAAATTCCGTTTGCAGGAATTGCGAGGTCGGGTAGTTTTCCATTGCGATGCGCAGTCAGCGTAGTGTGCAGCGAAGGCATAATTTGATCGTCGAGCGCCAGAGATGAGGGTAATGAAAAGATAATGAAGGTGGGAGACAGGAGGCGTGAGAATTCCCTAATTTGCTTGCACGTGGATTTGGCTTTGGCATCACATGACCTTTGTTTGGTCCATCAACAGAAAGTTCAACACGGGAAGCGACTTTTGACTCTTGGGGCGGGTAATGTCTCTCAAGTCTTGAGAACCAAGACAGTTTATAAAGGTGTCTCGAAAATCAAAGGAATGGTGACGCGTAATCGTATGCCGAGACCCATCTGCACACCAATCCCGGCCTGGAGATGATATGGCAACTCGCAGACACCCTGCATCATTCTCATCTTGGCTGCATGAGATACCTTCCCTGAAAGGCTAGTGATTGACTACTGATAGGGGCAACTCAGGTCTTCCTCACCCGGCCAACAACCTTTTCATAGCATTTACGCAGTCTGATAGTACTAAGGTGTGCCCTCAACTCGTACTATACACACGTTCTCAATTTTCTGTCTCCTTTCGCGGGATCCTTGCATATTTTGGCCTAGCGGTGCGAGTAGGCGTTTGGCAGTGGCCTTGCACAAGGTGCTGAGGGTATCAAACTCCGCACAGCGCATTCAACCTTCAGATCCCCGCACGTGCCCCAGCCCGCCGCACATCTCGCATTCTTCAGCCACATACGGCGCCAATGACGATGTCGAGCCGCAGCTTTTGACGTGTGGGTGACAAGGCGATATGCAATCCTGAGAGCAACGAGATGTTGGTAGATTGGGGTGTTGTACGAGTCTTTCGCGTCGAGGAGCATGCGCTCTTTCAGCCTGCCCTGCCGTTAGCATGGTCAGGTATGCCACATTATCGTTGACATCGTATAGCGATGGATTGTGTAAGTAGAAGTCATGGCCTTTGGCAAGCTTCCCTAGGCGGCTGTGCTCATTGTCCATGACGGGCGCTAGCGAATTCGCAGGCGGGGGCGGGTTATCAAGAAAAGGGTCGGTGGTGGGGCCAGCAGACGCCGAGCGAGATGTGCTGTGCGAAATCAAGACGTGGCTTGCGCGGAGCGCAGCTTTTACATCGTACCCTTCGCCAGAGCGAGAGTGCATATCCTCCTTGTTGATGCGCCTAATCTCGACGACGGTGCGTAGGCAGAGCCACTCAACGTCCTCATATCTCAGCGTCTCGAATTTTCTGCACAGAGCAACGATAGCGGGCATGAGCTCGCGCGCGATGACGACTCTCAGGCTGTCAACAGGCGAGGAGCGATGATCACAATGACTCACTTCATTGCGCTTTTGACCCTCACAGCCGCCATTTTGCATGACTTGTCGCACCTCACTTACTTTGGCTTGTCTGCCAGCTGAAGATGTGTTGGCCAGCATGACAAACCTGATGAGACGACATTCACTGGCGCAGTATCATAACCGATGTAGAGAGTGCGGCGGCCGAGTGTCTAATCACGTCCAGTGTTATTTTAACAATCCTTTCTCAAGAGCACGGTTTTACATCAAGCAAATATCACATTTAGGCCTTCTGGACTTCAACCTTCGGTTTTTCAGGTGCTATGTAAGTGAACATTGATCATTCTTATTGACCCATAGTTTCTGAGTCACTCACCTTCCTCGCTTTTGGTTGGAGATACCACCATTGGACTTATGCCCCATCCAGTAGGCGACTGTTCGGAGATATTGCCGCCCCATCGACCCCAGGTCGACTTGGAAAGGGGCTTCGTAGAAGAACCCGCACACTCCTTAGGCGTGATAGGCGAGGTTGGACATGGACACGGCGGCACCGGATGCTCAGACGTGGATGAAGAAGGAGCTGGAGGGAAGGATGGCACCGCAATCGGTGACGACGTAGCAGCTACCCTCGTCTTGGTGTTCACGCTCCCTCCCTTTTTGACTGCCAGTTTGTCCGGAATTGACACGGCCGCCTTGCGCAGCTTCTCTCGCGCGCGGCCGATCTCGAAGACGGTGCGCAACCCTAGCCTTTCCGCCTCCTCGTACTCGAGCCAGCCCGGAGCCGCGCAGAGGGTCTTGAGCGCCGGCTCGATCCACGCGTCGCCAAAGCCAAATTCGCGCGCCAGCACGATCTTGTCGACGGCAGTGGCAATGGCCCCGACCTCGCGGAGAGCGAGGGTGCGCAGGCGGTCGAAGGACCATCTTGTGGCGAGGCGGAGGACAGAGGACCATTCGGCGACCGTCTGGACGTCGAACTCGCCGATGGCGCTGACGGATAATCAGCAAGCATTCGTATTGAAGTCTGGCGGTGACGCACGTAGGGTAAATCATCGACAGAAAGCACTCGAAGTCCACGCTGGATATCTCGGGGAGCCGGACGACCTCGGCATGGGAGTTGCAAAGATACTCGGCCGCGAACTGCGGAGAATGGGCCTCGAAGAAGGAGCGATGCACGTTGTATACGTTGCCGTCGTCGAGCTGCAGCTCAAGTCAGGACTGGGATACAGCTGCAGGCAGATGAAAGCTAACCTTGAACTTGATATTTCCATCGGACAGATTGAAGCGGGGGTTGCCTGGGGACGGTATCATAGTCGGTGCCGTTGAAGCCATCGAAGGTGGCAGGGAAATGCTCTCGTTGCTTGCGAACGACTGGACGGAGGGTGGCCTAGCGATGCTTGCCATGAGCGGAAGAGTGGGCGCGATAGGAAGAAAAGATAATGGGTGACGTACCCTTTATCTGGGCTTCGAGTCCTTTTCCTAGGATGAGGTAAAGCAGCGTGCCCATCCGCGACAGTCCCGGGGCTTCCCTCAGCCTAACCTGACAGGCGCGTGGTCGATGATTGCGTAAAACTTGGGCTTCAGGCTCCGGATCTCCAGATAGAAACGACTGTCTGCGCGGGGACAGTGTAATTATCGTGTGTTTGCGCCAGCCGCAGCATCTTCGACGACTAGCGACATAGCTTGAGACCCAGGCGTTGAGGTGAATGCGACAGGGACGGCGTCTGCGCTGGCAAGCAAATACACCGATGGTGAGTGCGGCGTTTGTATATGGTCCATTACTGAGGGTCAAGAGCAAGGAGGATAGGCCGTTCGGAAGCGCCGTGTTGACCACGCATTGAGCTCAAAGATTGGCGCGTGCATAGGAGCTGCATCATGGCGCTCATGGATGCTGACGTTCAGATCGTCATTCCCAGTACTCACACTCTATTCGCAGCGCGACTTATGCAAGCCGCGAGGGTCGAGGCAAAGGCGGAAGGAAGAGCTGCCCGCAAGTTTGATGACGACCCCCAGACCACATCACATCCCTCGGAGAATGCCGAAGTTTCAACTGCGGCTCGTGCAAAGTGATCAGCTACAGTACACATAGTGCTTATCGGGGAAGGCGCTCTTGATAGGGTTCTCGAGACTTGAATCTTCCGTACATTATGAACTTCTCGCACATCTTTGTCTACGTACCGGCCGCGGCGGAGAGAAAGCAGAGAGCAAGTTGCATTCGACCTATCAAGCACTACTTTTTTCCTGGTATTGTGAGAAGTCAGTGGCGAGCAGACTTAGATAGAAAGCGCCACTCACCCTTCATAAGCTTCCCGCCTGACTTGCCTTTCTTCACCGGCAATTTCCGTGTCACGTCGGCCGGTTTGGCGACCGAGGGATCCGCGACAGCGGCTACGCACTCTACATTGGCAGGGCAGGCGTATCTGTCTGAATTGGGTTAGCATACACCGATATTTAAAGGCAGGGATTATTAGCCTCTCGCTCGCCGGCATGAGATGACGACCCGCGCAGTGGAGCTGTTGTAGTAGACTTGCCTGAGTCGCCCTTTGTCTCAGCGGTATTCGGGTCTTGCGCATATGGGCCTGGAGATTCAGACATCACGGGAAAGGAATTTTGGTGCGCCGAAGTATTGTCGGCCCAGAGACAGTCGAATGGGCCCAAAAGCGAAGCCAGTCGCGGAGACGATGTTGGAGAGGGTTCGCCGAGGCTCTCATTTGCCTCATGCGCGAACGGAGGCTGAGAAGTAGCCGACACACTGGCAGGGACCTTGGTGGACCTGGATAAAGGCGATAAAGTCGTGCCGCGCAGCTTCTCGCGAGCGCGCCCAATCTCCACTACGGTACGAAGCCCGAGCCTTTGCGCGTCCTCGTACTCGAGCCAGTCTGGCGCCGCACAGATCTCCTTGAGCGCGGGCACGATCCACGCATCGCCAAGGTCGAACTCGCGAGCAAGCACGATCTTGTCAACGGCGTCAGCAAGGGGTTCGATCTCGCGCATGGCGAGGGCACGCAGGCGGTTGAACGACCATTTCGTGGCGAGGCGGAGGACGGAGGACCATTCAGCGACCGTCTCTATATCGTATTCGCCGATGGCGCTGCGAAAAGCTCCGTCAGCAGTTAATCGCGATGATACACAGGCTGAAGACGCACGCAGGGTACATCAAGGATAGGAAACGCTCGAAGTCGGTGCAGGAAACCCCAGGAAGCCTGACGACCTCTGCATGAGAGTTGCAAAGGTACTTGGCGGCGAACTTCGGCGAATGGGTCTCGAAGAACGAACGGTGCACATTGTATACGCTGCTATCATCGAGCTGGAAGTATCGGTCAAGTCGGCACAGCAGCGAACCTGCGAGAGGACTGACCTTGAACTTGATGTTTCCATCGGACAAATAAAAGCGGGTGCTTGCGGGTGAATCCGACACCGTAGACGGCGATGCAGTGGTCATCCAGGACGATAATCCTGAGGGTATACTCTCGTTGCTGGCGAAGGACTGCACGGAATGAGGGCGGGTCAGGTCAGCCATGAGCGGGAAAAAGGAGCCGTGGTCGGAGGTCCTAGTGCAGTTCCCTTTAGCTACACGCTTCCTGGCATAGCCTAAGGACGAGATCAAGGTTTATTCAACATCCGCGACAGGTCATGAACTTCTGGCGGCTCGGATTAGATGCACAGACGTCAGTTCTGGCAAGCCTGAGACGTACACGCGCAGCCAGAAAGCCTGACAGTAACTATACTGCATCTTCATAAGGGATCATGCGAGGAACAGATGACCGTCAGCGCTCATCATACTCATTTTGCCGCCGCTCACCTTACGTCGGCTGATCCCTCTAACTGCGCGAGTAGGATTCCAAACAGGCAAAGATAGGATCGCGATGGCGAACCCCCGCTGAGTATCAACCCTAAGTCCCCGCTCATTCCAAACCTCGGTCCATTCAGACTAGGTAAGGCGAGTAAGGCGATGGCATGCCAACCCCTTCGTCTCACTTTGGACATTCTCGGAAAGTTCCGACGAGAGCATAGATAAATCGTGAAGTACCTAAGGTTACAACTCGCAATCAGAGTAAGTCGCGTATCCATAAGCATGTCCATCCGGCAATTACATCACCGGAATACTCGCAGACGGACCAGCGTCGCCTGCATAAGGAGTATATGTAGCCTGACCCGACACGCGTGTGAATCGAGTGGTGTCCTGCTCTTCGACTTGCTGGGCAAGGACAAGGCCTGCGCGGATGACGAGATCCTCGACCATCAGACGGGCGCTTAGCTCCGTTGCGTTCTCGATCTCCGCGCGGATCCCGCGTACGGCGTGTGCCGCCACCGAGCCAAGCGCCTCCGCCTCGTCCACACTCAGGCAGCGCGTGCGCGTGCAGACGTTCGCATAGGCATCCAGAGGCCATTGCGGGACGTGGCATTCGCGCGCGAGCGCGATCTTCTCGACAGGACTGGCGATGGTCTCGAGCTCCTGGATGGCGAGCTCGCGGAGATCGGGAAATGACCAGCGACTGGCTAGGCGAAGGATAGAGCCCCATTCTTCGGCAGACTGTACGTCGCACTTTCCGACGCGACTATGGTGATATCAGTGAATGAGGGCTTGCACGACAGAGCGCGACGTACGTGGGGTAGAATAGGGATAGGAAGTGATCGAAATCAACGCCAGACACGTCGTGGAGGGGGACGACCTCATCTTGGCTGCCGGAAAGATACTGTGCAGCAAATGTGGGAGAGTGCTGCTGGAAAAAGTGACGGTGAACGCAGTAAAGGGTTCCATCGTCCAACTGAGGAACAGTGAGGGGAAATTTCGAATGCCATGAGTTCGGCACGCACCTGGAACCGCACGGTTCCATCGGCCAGCATAAATCGAGGGCTAGTGCGAGGCACAGTAGAGGAAGATGCGTTGGAGGAGGCCATAGTCAGATGAGCGTCGTGACGAGAAAAAGGTGGGGCAGCGGCCGGTTTACGGACATACCACGCCAGCGAATGCTTTGCTTATAAGTATCAGGCAGACATCACGTACGTGTTCGGGAGGCAAACAGGCATCATCACAACTTGAGTGTGCCAGATCACTACTCTGGCCCGCCATCGGTCTCATGCGGGGCGGAGGTATCAATGGTGGCCCTCGTACAGAGCCAAGTCGTCGACGACGGACGCAAAGCAGTCGTCATTGGATCGCAGACGACTTGTCAGTCCTTGGATCGTCGGTTCCCCGAGAATCGGTGAGCAGTCGAAGATCCGTGAAGCCAGACTAAAAGCAAGACATCCCTTATGAAGAGCACGATGTGACCCACGCTGCAATCTAGGCGTCGCAAATGTTCCCCGAATGGTATGTAACAAGGGAGTTAGTCGCTGGTAGCGCCTCGCGTTGTGATAGTCCACTGGAGATCCGGCCGGTCATAGATACGTGGGCGTCGCTATTCCCATCGAGATTCAAAGGCTTTGTTCACGCAAGACACCCGTCGAAGTGGAGAAAGCAACAGACAGGTCGACGGGAGTCAGATGATGGTTGAGGACAAGCAGTGTGACAAAGTGTGACGTCTCGCGTCCGCCCCTTTCGTGCACACGTGGTGGACCTACAACGCCAGGTCAGCATGGGTCTTGCGATGCGACGGTGTCGCGAGGACGATTTATGATAAGCAAAAGACGAGACAGAGCCTCGCAATAAGCTGAATGAGTATGATACACTATACAAATCTCTGGACAGTACATTTACGCTTACCACCGCCTGGACGTCCCCATTCCCGTTATCCCTCGTCTATACCGTCAGCCCTCCTCTACAGGCTTGAGAGCATCGGACGTGCACCGATTCTCCTTCCCCTCCTCCATCTGTTTCGCCCGCGCCGCCACCTCCAGCTCACCCTTTGTCACCACGCCATCCAGCCACGGATGCCGTGCGAGCTCGCCAGCGGACGCGCGCCGATCGGGGTAGAGGTTGAGCATGCCCTGCAGGAAGTCCGCCAGCTTGTCTGCTTCCGCGCGCGGGAACAGGTACTTCTCGTGCAGCACGCTTGGCAGTGGCCAGTAGCGCAGCTTCGAGATGTGGCGCAATTGCCCGCGGCGGTTGAAGAATTCGCTAGAATAGCGGCCTGCGAGGGCGAGGGACTTGGGCATGTCGCCCATGAGCTCCATAATTTGCGCGAGGTGATCGTCGTCCTTGGAGTACTTGTTCCCTGATGATGGATCGAACAAGTAGTCGCCGCCGGTGATGAGCTCGAAAATCTACGCAAACGTAAGCGATACAGTCGCAAGGAATGTAAACGGACTCACCAAGCACGCTACGCTCCAGACGTCGGCGCTTGGTCCCCATTTTGCACCGATGATCACTTCCGGACAACGATATTGGCGTGTTTGTATATCGTCCGTGAAGTGATGGTCCACCCATGTCGCTGCAGCATCCGTCAGTCAACGCAAGCGAGAACAAAGGGATCAGCGCACCATTCCCCAAGTCCGCGATCTTGACGGTAATGGTCTCCGGTATTGCTAGCGTAGCAGAAGGGGTTGGGCTGCCCATCGTCGCATCGCCAGGCGCGTGTGTTGGGGAATGCGGATGTGCATGAGCATGTTCTGATCGTGAGGTCGACGAGTCGCCGTTCAACGAGACGCTGGACATCATGTCCTTCATCTCGTCGCTCCGCTGCTTGACTACCCGTTCTTCATCCTCCTTAGATATTCTCGTCATGCCGAAGCCCAGTTTGTCGATCGTTGCAGGGTCCCACATGCTGTTGAGACTGCTGGAAGACCCTGGCGACGCAAGCGGTTGCGACCCCGTGATGTACGCTGATTGAACTCGTGGGGTCTGGTTCCCGCCGCGGCCTTTGGATGGAGGGACGCCCACGAGCTTGCTGCGTGGAGTGTCTGAGGAAGATGACGCGGATTCGGGTGGTGGGGCTGACTCTGCTTCAATGACCGCCTCGACGTCGTCGATCGCGACGAGCACATTCTCCGGCTTGATGTCTGTGGCGCGCGGGGCGTGAGTGGTGAGGGGATCAACGCAGGACGCAACACGTCGCACGCACCAGTATGGATGACGCCGCAGTATTTGTGCATGTAGTCGAGCCCGAGCAGTACCTGCTTCGCGATCTGCTTGACGAGGTGCATAGGGACACCTTTGTTTTCGTAGCGACGGATCAAACCGAGAAGGTTCTCGCCTAGGACCTCGAAGACCATGCAAACGTGCGTGCCATTGGGTCCTTCGTGGCGAAAATGATCGAGGAAGCCAATGACATGGGATCTTCCGGGATGGGTGTCGGCGGGGGAGGGGTGGCCGGGTTCAGGCGGAGTTTTGGAGGAGATGATGCGCTGCAGCAGACGGATTTCGTCGAGCGCGGTCTCGGTGTAGCGATTCGCAGACTTGACGATCTTGAGGGCAACGTGGCGATTTGTTCTGGGAGGGGACCGTCAGACAAGTTGCACGCCATCGAGCGTCATGTTCACGCACTGTGTGTCCTTTGCCAACCAGACCGTCGAGAAGTGGCCCCAGCCGAGTTTGCGGACAACGATGTAGCGTCCATTGGAGAACGTGTCGCCGATGTATACCGGGTGGTAACCTCCTTGACAATAATCGGAGAGCTCCTCTTCATCTTCAGAAACGATCGAGGCGGACGAGGAGTACGACTCGGTGTCAGACATTGAACCTTTCAGAGATGATTGCACTGCCAAGGGTGTGGCGTCTAGTACTGTGTTCTCAGCTTCAGCGAACGAATTCACCCTAGGAGAATGCGGCTTCGGTACTGACCTGTGGGGATGCAGGATGCGGGGTAGTCGCGGCGCTAGTTCAAGAAAGAGCGCTGTTCTGGAGATTTGCGCGAGATATTCGAAGTAGACTCGGGTATCGATGTGAAGCGCGAATAGGGTATTCAAGGGACAAGGGGGAGGCCTGGTACAATCGGGGATGGATGTGGTTGAAGAGCAAGTTGCGCGTGGCGAATAGGTAAACGAGGCATCGATATTGATATCCCCGAAAAGAGCCGACAGACGCCGACGGCGCCGTCGCTCCGGGGCTCCTTGCAAGCTCCTTGACCACTCCGTCGACGTGCTGTGCCCCAGGGGAACTGCTCTTACCTTGAAGAATCTAAGACAAGGTGCAGTAATTCCAACAATGCGGGTAGGAACAGAACCAGGCTCAAGATACACAGCAAAGAGGTATATATATACGACACCCTTTGATCGGGGCCACTGCGGGCCGATCCGTCCGTGCGGTCAATGCTCTGACCGTTGAGCGTTGTTTTTCTACATCTTCCATGACTTGCGAGTGTCGCCAATGCGGGGCAACATGTTTACTAGGTTGCTGGGCCTGGCTCCATCTAAAGTATGAGCAGGCTCAATCGGCAAGTTGTACGTCGTGTTCCTGCCTTGTTTCCACTTAGGTTCTCGCATACCAGCGGCTTCACAGTTTGAAGATTCTTCATCGCTGAATTCCACGGCCTCTTGCCTAGTTCTGACTATCTGATTCTGCACCATCAGACTTGCGAAAGAACTTTCGGTCGTGCGTTGACCATAGGACGCTACTTTCCGTAGGGTGATGAGAATATACATCGACTATTCAGTGAGCCATGTTACCGCGAAGGACGGCCTACAATCTTCCCAGCGCGCACACGCCGCACGGGGCGTCATTGTGAATGCTTCTGCAATACTGCAGATGAGCAAAGGGCGCTCTCGCTCGGACGCATGCTGCTGCATAGTGGCCTGCGCGGCGCGCAGGCGCCACGACTAACATTCACCTCCTGATGCACCCCTGGCCTTAACGGAAGATGTTGTTCTATCCTGTGCTATGAGCTGAGGAAAGGCACGTTAAACCCCGCCCAGCGAACTCTGACTATGGCTTCTCGGGTACTAGGTTCCTCACATGCGGCTTCCATTGCCAACACGCGTCGACCCTCTGGCGGAGCCAGGGCGGCGGCTCTAGCGGTCTTGCTCTCCTTGTTCCTGCCCCTCATCGATGGATAACGTAGAGACCCCGCGCTCGCCGTCTGTGCAGTCCTTTGCCAGTGCTGACACCGTCTCCGTCGCTTTCACCTCGACGCCTGGATCTCCGACCATGTCGTCTGCTTCCGATACTGCTGCGACTCGTGCAATGCACGAGGCGAACTCTGTCCCCGCACAGGCCCATCCATTCTACCTGCAGGATGGGAACACGAAGCTCAAGGTGCGCTGATCATATCAGTGTCTAACCTCTGCTCATTCCGCTACCTCCAGCTTGACGATGACACGTTTTACAACGTACATCGCTACTTCTTCGAACGCCACGCGCCTCGGTTTGCAGAGCTGTACCTCCGTGATGGTCAGCCGGACATCATCGAAATCCATGACGTCTCAAGCATCGACTTCCAGCGCTTCCTGTCCATTATATACCCCAAGTGCGTACTCGTACGCGTCAGATTGCTTCTCATCTGACCTCTACGCAGCGAACTCGGCGTATGCGACATCCACACCGTTGAAGAATGGACTTCCGTCCTTCGACTCGCCTCTGCGTGGTCCGTGGCCAGTCTTCGCCAGGTCGCTATCCGCGAGATCGAACCGAAGGCCACGCCCGTCGACAAAATCGTCCTCGCACGCAAGTTCGGGCTCGGCGAGACCTGGCTCCTCCCCGCCTTCGTCGCTCTCTGCAGGTCTTCGGAACCGCTTGAGTACGAGGACGCAGAGCGACTTGGCCTTCGCTCTGTCCTCGAGATTGTGCGCATCAACAGGGAGGTGTCGCGCTCCGGCGAGTCCTACGATGTGGAGGCAGCCGTGCGCGCCAGCGCCGTCTTCCTCTCGCCCGGCACGGATGTCATGGAACCGCGCGTTGCCGTCTCTGAGCCGTCTATTCACAGCCCATCTTTGTCCCCGTCTTCTACGCCAGTCGTGGAGCACGGTCCGCGCCTGCCACTCATCGACACTCGTGAAATCACGTCAAGACGCACAGGTCAGCTCGATACAAGTGACGACTTGTCCTATATGGCTCTGTTGGCATCCGAGCGTGCGGAGGAAGAAGCACTCAAGTCGTCGACTCGCTCTTCTTGCTATTTCTCATATGATTATGCCCTGGGCTTATTGAGAATTGCTTATCGTCTCATCTCCGAGACGTCCATAGCTGCAGTCCGTCATCGGGGATGGCGCGAACTCTGCTTGAGGCGAAATGGCTATACTCTAGGCGGACCAGTGACGGCTGATCGGACAGAGGCGGACGTTAGCTGGGAGGTACGCCCCTCGAACCAAGATAATGCTCTATCTAGCATCTGCCGGCGCATTGTACAATACATCTGTGATCGACTTTCTTGGGCGATGGCAAGTCGCTGGGAGGACGGACACGAACTTTGGAATACACTTACCGTCCAAGTCCCCCAAGCTTCGAGCCAGTACACTGTGGCAAGTTGTGTTCTTGACGTCAAGGTCCTATTGAAGAGGTGAGTTCATATTTTCCTCATGGTCCATTTCTCACTAACGGGTTACGCAGGGAAGGTATTCCATTCGCCCAAGACGCCGGGCATGCGGACTGCGTACGCGTCGTCATCCCGAGCCCATCTCGGGATTGGTTTATTCCTGACGACCTCTGAGAAAATTACATATTATATGGTGTCGGCGAATGATTGCTGTATGTGGCTGCTTCAACTCTTGCATTCGAACACTAACGAGTTTTCAGGACAGCACGTCTTCATAGTATTCCTCCTGCGCGAGACTACCTAGTTGATTGTATACAAAACCTAAAGCTCTACAGTCCGAGTACACGATGGGATGTATGTTTTGTGTGTAGCTCGAGCTTCAAACAATGTATTTAGAAGGCCGGCCATAAACTTCTCGTTCTTCGTGCGGCTGGCATTGAACCACATGGGCCGGCAATGTCCGAACGCGCCACGATATCCCACTTGACACTGACACTGGCATCTATGATCACCATCGCCAGTTGCATAACGAGTCAACGAAGGCGCGCGTCTCCCTTTCTACACGGGGAAGATTGGGCATGTACTCAGCTGGGGCCCAATGTATGGCTGTATTCGCGGCTAGGCGCTCAAATGAACGTGATCGCGAGCTATCGACACGCGCCAGGAAGGCCTCGTGTTCACCTTGCTCCCGACTATCATGGTAGGCATCCTCGAGTCGTTCGACACCATGAACGTGTCACCATCCAGCCCCGATCCCGCGGTCTCTGCCCGTCCGACCGTAAACCATGAACGTTTCTCTGATATGGACACCAGGAGCGTGAAGTTTAAGGTGAGATCCTGAAGCACCCATTCAAGTCTATCCTAATATCTTCATAGTTGGACGATGGGACGATGTACAACGTTCTCCGCCACTTCTTCGAGCAATCGGCCTCTTTTGTGGAGGAGTATCTGTCGGCTGGCGATGTTGACGTCGTCGAACTGAAGGGCGTATCGCGGGCCGATTTCGATCGGTTCCTTTCTTATATGTTTCCCTCGTATGTGGCTCTTGCTCCCTCTAAAACGATGACTAATGAATTTGACAGGTCTCTCGGGAAGTGCGACATCACCACGTCCGAAGAATGGCTCTCCATCCTGCGTCTCGCCGACAAATGGAGGTTCACCGACCTGCGCGCCCATGCCCTCGGGATGCTCAAATCCACCGCTTCCCCCATCGACCGCATCCTCATCGCCCGCGAGTTCGACGTGCCCGATTGGCTCCTCCCCGCCTTCATCGATATCTGCATGGCGCCGGATCCACCATCTGAGGCGGAGGCGGAGCAGCTCGGACTTTCTGCGCTCGTAAAGATCGGACGCGTTAGGGAGCAGTACGTGCGCATCGGAGGAGGGCTGCACCCCGAGCATGATCTTGTAATCATACGGCAGACCGTCATTGATGAGGGGTTGGTTTCGAAGCCCATCAAGCCGAAGAAGGACCCACGTCAGCAACCGCTCCGCAGCGCGATGAAAGCGCCTGGAAGGAGACTGGGTGGATTGGGCTCAATCGGCGGCGGTACACAGCTGCCATACGAGGATTCGAGTGTGTCTTCGACCGAGAGCTCTAGCGATGAGTCCGAGCAGGACTTCCGCCCGCGATGGGGCAATGGAACGAGTAAGCTATTGGGTTTCCTGCCAGCGATGTCACGCTTTGTTTTGCTGACGCATTGCTCACAGAGGCCTCTCTTGATGGTCTTGGAAGTGTAAAGGTCTCCAAGGCCATGCGCGACGACGATGATATGCTCCCTCCAATCCCCTTCGCCCCTCTCTCTGAGTCGGTTCAAGCTCTTGCGGCGTCGCGATGGACGCACCGGCCCGGTCCTAAGGAAGGAGGATACTACGAAATCATACACGAATCAACATGCTAGCGCCGGTGCTGCAGTGTGCGGACAGAGGAAGCCTGTGACTGTTGGTATATACTTATAAACAACTTGTACATGGTCGAAATCTCAATTCTTCTTCGGCAGAAATTCCTGGGCGAATCATGCACCGTCTTTGCGACTTCTCCGTGGCGTGAGACTGGCTGTCGGAAGTTTGGTGTTCGAAGTCCACATGAGGCTAGCACCCAAGGAACGGGGACGTAAACAGACTCGCGAGGAGGACCGGTCAATGTTAACGTGGAGAATCCCGAGAACATGGGCAGACCAAAACGGGTGCGCGTCATCGTCGCGAGCGAGAACATGGATGCCGGAGTGGAAGGACAGCTTGATAAGGTCCTGGTCACGTCGAATATCGTAAGTTGTACAGTTGATTCCGAGGCGCTTGTGAATGTAAAGTCGGTCCTTGGTAATGTCGAGCGCGCCGATTGTCATTGACTGGCGAACATATCATATATTTCTCTTCATTTCGGGTACATCTAGGCGCGTACACGAGCGCTCGAATGTCTTCGCAGAAAGCACGATGTACACTGTGCAGATTTACGCGTGCCCACGGACCACCCTCGGCTTGTACCTGAGGAACGAGTCAGCACACGTGCAATATCCTCGCTGTAAACGGCTCACGGTTCCTCCAGGTATTTGACCTCTTCATCCGTAAGTACACCGTCCACGACGCTGTCGTCGACGCGGTTGATGGAATTGATGCCCACAATTGGGCTCGTGACTCTGCGCTGAACCCACGCAATGGCAACCTACATGGCAGTTATGGATGTAGGATCTCAAGCTTGCCGAGCTTTACTCACCTGAGCCATCTTCCAGCCGCGCTTCTTCGCGACCTCCTCCACGCGCTTGATGATTTCGTGTTCAGCCGCATCTGTCTGCGCAAAGGCCGAATTCAGCTTGGCACGTGCGGTCTCAGCAGAGTTCAGCGGGCGGGCGAGAGTGCCTCCGCCTAGAGGCGACCACGGGATGACACCAATGCCATGGTACTCGCAGTAAGCAAGCATTTCGCGCTCCTATGATGAAACATTAGTCCAGTGAATCTCTGAACGACGAAGGGAACTCACCTCCTCGCGGTAGAGCAAGTTGTACTCATCCTGCATGCTCACGAATTTCGTCCACCCATTCTTCTCCGCGACCTCGTTCAGGAGGGCGAAATGTCAAGTGCGCATCGAGCTCGCGCCTATGTAGCGAACCTTCCCGGACTGGACGAGGTCGTGGAGCGCCTTCATCGTCTCCTCGGGCGGCGTAGAGGGGTCGGCGCGGTGAATCTGGTAGAGGTCGACGTACGACGTGTTGAGGCGCTTGAGCGAGCCCTCGACCGCATTGAAGATCGCCGCACGCGAGAGGCCGTTCTGGTTGACGTACTGCTTCAAGCCAGGGAGATTGGGCACCGCCCATTCGCCGATGTTCGCATATTCGCCTTTCAAGACGGTACCGTGGCACTTGGTAGCGATGATAATCTCCTCGCGGGGGATGTTGTACTATAGGACAGTAAGCAAGGTGCAGCACCTCGCTATATGAGGCACTTACGGTCTCAATGAATTGGGCGAGAACCCTCTCGGACTCGCCGTTGGAGTATACGTTGGCGGTGTCAAAGGTGCTGAGAGCGGCGTAAATGGCAACCACATGTCGTTCCTGGTCTGGCTTACTTGATGCCACGGTCCCAGGCAGCCTTGAGGATAGGGAGAGATTCCTCCGCGCTCTTCACCCATGCGCCTGCCTCGGGATCTGCCTATGATGGAAGCCCGGGTCAGTGAGGACGATGAGCCTCAAAATCGGCGACTCACGCCCCACTTCGGGTTGCCGTAGCTCATCGCACCTCCCTGTATGGATCGTCAGGACGCCGCTGGAGGTACAAGTGCATCGAGTACTCACAATGGGAACGGAGACACGCAGTCCGCTCTTTCCGAGCTGAACGTACTTTACAGGTGTAGCAGACATGGTGAGGTGGACAGAAATCAGGAAGAAGAGATTCTTAGAACCGTGGTTAGAGTACAGTGTCTCCGCTCTCCTCTTATATACCTACCTGTCTGCGATGTACAGGAGTAGGTTCCTGACCTCTCGGCCGGAAGGAGAGCGAGGAGCCTGCGACAGTGATCCTCATGACGCCGGTCGCGGCAGGACGGACGGCATCCGCAACCGATTTTGAAGGGACTGTATCGTGATACAACCCGAGAACCGACGTGAATCAATAGATTCACAGAATATAATGGCCTTAGCAATTTTTCAGTGAGCACTTGAGCATCGAAGGTTGGCGTGACGGTGATCAGCGGGCCCAACAGAGAGGACAGATACATACGACATGAGTGAGATCAAGACACTTGCGCATTGTCCCAGAGGACAATGGTGGCTGAAGCCTAAGCGATGGTCGCCTGCTAAATAAGGACCAACGTCGAGCTCAAGTCCAGCGTCTGCGAAAGCCATCAGGAATATCGAAGGTCTGTAGATAGGATAGCACCCGACAGCTGAAAGACCCCGAAGATGCTTCACACCGGCGCGCGCCCTCCTTCGACCTGGAGACAACAGTCCAAGATGTCGATGCGGTTTTCTATGCCAGCCTGACGGCGACCGTGACCGGGCCAGTGACAGACATCGTCGGCGGCGTCGTGAGAGGTGCGGCAGCCTCGGCGACGCAGAGCACCACGTATCAGCAGAGGGGCGAGAGGAGCAAGCGAGGAGAGGGAGAGGCGGGAGAGAAAAAAGGACCGCGTGCGATGCCGCATACGCACGAGTATCGAAATTGAAGTGAAATGGCTGCTAACGTACGATATGTAGACAATCGGAAGCATTCGACGAAAAGGATGATTTTCCAGGCGCGTGGTCTTGATACTCAACCAAAGTACAGTGCTTGTAGCCCGATGGTGTTGGCCGTCCAGTCCGTCTAAGTGCACATGAGCCAGCGTTACTTTAGCTCCACCGCATGGAATCACTCACCGACAATCCAATGACGCGCTCGTCATCCATGATCACCGCGTCTATAGCGAACCATGGTTTTGAGGTGGTCCTGACGAACGGCAAACCAGGCTCAAGGGCCCTCGCATCCTCGAAGAGCCTTTCCATATACTGCACCTCCGGCGGACCCCCCCTGAACGCCTCCTCAGGCAAATATACTTAGGGGCTCTCCAGATTCGTCGGCCGCCTCCCTGCCCAAGGCTGACCTGGCTCATGCTTGGTGGGCAGTCCGATGGTCGCTGTTGGCGTGTCGATCGTGAATATCCGTGCGCGGTCATCTTCGGCCGCCTCTCCCGCCTGCGCGAGCAGCTGCGCCTCCACCCGCCGCACGGTATGCGGGTTGAAGTCCAATATGTGTATCGGTTGCTCGGGCGCATTCAGCATGATCGACGGTTTCTGAACGTATCGCTGGCCACTGGTCGTCGTGATATAGCTATACGCCATCTTGGACATGCAAAGCCAGCGCGCACCCTCCGGTCCCCAGTCCTTCCAATGGACCACGGGCTCACCGCGGCTCGCGTGCCGCAGGATGGTCGAACGATGGACCACGAGGGAGAGGGCTTCCTCATCGGCTTCCTCGTCCTCACCGCGGTCAAGGCGCCACGTCATGAGGACAAGAACGACAGAATCTTCGACTCGAGTGCGGAAGGGATGCGCAGCGGCGCCCGGCTAGTGGACATGGCCGAGGGATGGATTTGGGTCCCCTCGGCATATCGTGCTATAAATTTCCGCGTCAGGGTGGAAGTCAGGGTAGAAAAGCTCGCAGACGAGCTCGAGGCCCGGACCAGATGGTTCTGTGGGCACGCAGAAAATCTCAAGAGACAGGGATTGCTTGTTGGGGTGCAGGAAGAGATCGGGCGTTAGAAGCAGAGACCTAGGTTTGTCGCAGGCTGGCCTCCGGGATTGAGCGTCGCGCCCGTTCTCCAGGAGAAGAGGAACAGGCGATTGGCTGCGGAGTCCAAGGCGTAGTAGGTGATAACCGCTAACGTGTCACCGACAATCTCGACGCTAACTCTCGGTGGCCCCCACCCCTCTGCCACCCGCAAAAGGTGAATTCGCGGACGCTGCGCTTCGAGGTGGGGCTGGCCCGAGAGTTGATACAAAGCAACGTCGATATCGCACGAAAGACCATCGGGTGTCGGCGAGCTTCTCTCGTTGATCAGTGTACCGTAGGTAATAAGCCGATAAGACAATACCTGATCACAAATGCTATGAGGTCGTGTTCCTCTGCAGCGGTGCCGAAGTCGCAGATGGACTGCCCGACAAAGATCTCTGACCAGGTAATTCGCTGGCCAGCCTCCGTAGGAAGCTTCGCAGATTTGACGCCTATGGATCTACCTTCATTTCCCATGAAGAACCTCCCTGAGGACAGACCGTAAATGCTTGGGTATCCGTCCGACGCTGCATTCTCCTCGAAGCGATACTTGAAGTTCAGATACGCGTCTTCGCGGAGAAGAAGGGCTTCTAAGGGCCGACATCTTCTCGTTGATATCCGCGATGCATTCCGCGTTGTCGTCAAGTCCGTACAGATCAAGCAATGCATGGAATCGCAAGCGCGCGGATCCTTGTATGATGACGGCGGTTCGTTTGCTGACCCGGATACAGCGATACAGATCATCAACAGTGCACGTAGATTGAGAAAGATTGAGATGAGAAGTTCTTCAGGGAGCTCCGTGAGCGGCATTATCTGAGTGCTGGCGTGAGGGGCGCGGAAGGCAAGCCAAGTGGGCGAAGCGGCAGTCGGGCCGACGGCCGCGAACGTGTCCCCGCTGGTCACGTTGTTCAACCGTGACCACGCTCGTGGGCGCCTCAACACATGCGTGCGCGTCGCAAAGTGGTCAAGCACTGAAGGAACTCAGGGAGCTTGATATCTACACATTTACAGCGATACATCACAGCTATAGCCCTTCTTGATTACCTGGATTGGACGGCGCGCGACTATCAGACCTGCCTCTTCCCTTCCCGCGAAGGCACAAGCGTGGAAGTATTTACACTCGATGACACGCATCGGTAAGTACCACCTTACCTCCAACCGTTTGCAAGTTGCTACTCTACGTTGAACAGTTTGAACCTTGTTTGCAGTCCTCCATCGTTTGTCACGTGCAAAAGTAATCGAAATATGGAACTCCCAAACTATCCACGGAACTCCAGCGATATGAGTTCTATCGGCGTCTTTTTGGGCGTTTTGTTGTGCTATGTAGCTTGTTGTGGGCGCCGGGAGGTCAAATTCTTATCGCCAAGGCCGGCCGAAAGTTCGGCTGTTGTTATCGGCACGGCATTTGCAATGGAGGCTTGCCAAATATGGTATAGGCCGGCCGGCGCAAGGAACAGAGAATAAGGATATTTTCTGCATCCTTTCGTCCCTCCCAGCGAAGTCGTCCCGCATTTCTTCAGACACAGTCGGGTTTCCTGGCTGCTGTTGCCTTTTCTGAGCGTTCTTCTCGTCTGGATACCGCAGGCAGAGGCAACGGAGAAGATTTTCGATATTCGAATTCGGATACGAGTATATTAGAGCTCCGTCGAATATCCCTTTCGTCGCGCGCTTTTCGTTCTTGCTTCAACTTTTGTTGTGCGCCCTACACTCTTTACCTCCCCGCCAGTCCTTTACTTATTCCGCTCCTTTCGCCCGCTCTCCTCTTCTTCCATCATGGACGACACCCAGTTTGCGACCCAATACCCCTCCTCCTACTCGACGTTTGACCTCGACATGATGAAGGTGCGCGGCCAGGAGGGAGCGGGTGGCCGACGGTTACTGACCACTCCCGCAGCGCTCCATGGACGCCGTCGGTGGTCCTGACGCGAAAAAGGCGCGCTGGTCCCCCACGTCGTTCGCCAACGGCAACCCGGTAACCCCGTCGACGCAGGATGCGTTCGCCAACTACGGGTACGGGCCGCAGGCGAGCATCTCGCAGCAGCAGCAACATCCCCTCAGCTACCCGTCCGGGGGCTCGCCCGGCAACACCTACAGCGGGAACCACCTCTACACGACGCCGACGCTCACGATCAACACGCAGTCGAACGGGGTGAACATGGCGTCGCAGCTGAGCCCGAACACGGCCGCCTTCGGGCAGCCGCAGACGCCCAACCCGGGCGGCCAGCCGAGCCCGAACGGGAACTACAACTTTGGGATGTACAACATGCTTGGGATGGGGATGCCCGGGATGCTTGGTGGCTTTTATGGCTCGCAAATGGCGAGTTTCCCCCAGGTGCGCTCCCCGCTCCCTGCCACTTGTGCTTTTTCTCACTTTTCTGCTAGTCGCCATACTCTCCTGTCGCGTTGTCAGCGGCCCTCGCCGGCGGCGGAAACCAGCCGATCCAACGCACCGTCTACATTGGCAACCTCCCCTCCTCCGCCTCCGTCGACGAGCTCCTCAACCTTGTCCACTTCGGGCCACTCGAGTCCATCCGCGTCCTCCCCGACAAGTCCTGCGTCTTCCTCTCCTTCCTCGACCAGCAGACTGCCAGCCTCTTCCACGCCGACGCTACGGTCAAGAAGCTCACGCTCCACGGCCAGGAGCTCAAGATTGGCTGGGGCAAGCCCAGCACGGTGCCGCAGCAGGTGACGCTCGCGATCCAGCAGAGCAACGCCAGCCGTAATGTGTACCTGGGTGGCCTCGACGAGGGGTTGACGGAGGAGTTGCTGCGTAAGGACCTGCAGCGCTTCGGCCTCATCGACCAGGTCAAGATTGTCCGCGACAAGAACATTGGGTTCGTCCACTTCCTTAGCATCAGCACCGCGACGAAGGTATGTCTGCTGTCTTCCCTTGAGTCGCTCCCCCTCTAAACTCCTCGTGCCAGGTCGTCAACACCCTCCCGACGGAGCCCGCATGGGCCGGCAAGCGCGTCAACTACGGCAAGGACCGCTGCGCGTACGTGCCCAAGTCGCAGCAGGCCGCCGCCCAGAACGCGCAGGCGTTCGCCGCGCAGACGATCGTCGCGAACCAGGCGATGAACTCGCCCGCGAGCGCCGGCTTCTACGGCGGCTTCAACGCGCCCGACCAGGGCAACCGCACCGTGTACATCGGCAACATCCACCCGGAGACGACGACGGAGGAGCTGTGCAACGCGATCCGCGGCGGCATGCTGCAGACGATTCGGTATATGCAGGACAAGCATATCGCGGTGAGTGAAGTTCAGTGGGTGGTTTTGGGCGTTATCTTATCTGGAATGTAGTTCGTGACCTTCGTGGACACGACCGCGGCGTACACGTTCTACAACGTGTCGACGTACCAGGGCCTCACGCTCAACAACCGCCGCCTCAAGATTGGCTGGGGCAAGAACAGCGGGCCGCTGTCGCCCTCGCTCGCCGTCGCCGTGCACTCGGGCGCCACGCGCAACGTGTACATCGGCAACATCGAGGACTTCGAGACCTTCACCGAGGAGCGCCTCAAGCGCGACTTTGGCGAGTACGGCGATATCGAGCTGGTGAACTTCTTGAAGGAGAAGTACGTGTTGCCATCCTTCCGCAATCTCACCTCCTTAAATCAACCACCCATTCACAGGAACTGCGCCTTCGTCAACTTTACGAACATCGCGAACGCCATCAAGGCGATCGAGGGCATCAAGAACAAGCCCGAGTACGCGAACCTGCGCATCGCGCACGGGAAGGACCGCTGCGCCAACCCGCCGCGCTCGGGCCCGCAGGGCGGCGCGGGCAAGCACCACAACCGCCACGGGCACGGCCACGGGAACAACCACCAGGGCGAGGGCCTTCCGCCACCCGAGATCACCGTCAAGGAGGAGTTCACCACCATCAAGGAGGACACGCTGAAGGAGGAGCCGGCCGCCGCGGGCGTCGTCGCCGCTGCATAAGTGGCGCGCGCTCTACCCCCGTGCGCGCCTACCACGCTTGCGCTGTCCCGACTCCCCTTCTCTCGTCGATACCCCCAACGTGTGCTATAATCCGGCTCCCGTCTCCCGTGTGTTTACTCAAAAGCCCGCTCGCCTGGCCGATGCCATACTGTACTGGACATGGATGTCATTAGTCTCCCTCGCCTCGTTCGTGTGTTCATCCGCCCAACGCGCCGTGTACCGCCTAGCCTATATCCCGCCCGGTCCCGATGATGGAAGAAGATGTGATTAGTAGGCCACAGAGTCCCACCGTCGCGGCTCGGTGGCGACGCTGACTCTTGGGCTATTGGTTGTACCATCTTTATTCATTTGGCTTTCTCTCCGCTCGTGTCCGTTTCGTTCTCCCTTACTTACCCCCTTCTTTTGTGCCTCGTTTGTGGTTCGTCGCCAGCGTCTTGATACTTCTCCTTGCGCTACGCTACGCTTCCCCTTGTCAATTACTTTTGGCCTCCCCCCGTTCTTGACACATACCATACTATGCGTACCGTTCTCTTTGTGTTCCATTCGCTTCTCTGTTTTAGTGCCTCTGCCTGTTGTGGTTCCCATCTGGGGCCGCCAGGCGAATTCCTTTCTTTACCCAGATGTTTTACTAATTATACATCCTTTATTCCACAACTGAACTGAACTGAAGAACCGTCTCTGAACGCGAGTGGTGTGAGGTTGAAGGCGGTCGTGCGCGAGATGGAACCTTCTCCAGAGTTCTCTGTCGGCTGCAAAGGAATGCTGTCTTATTCACCTTCCTTTGACTTCCTTGATGTCTTTCTGAGCGCTGAATCTGAGCCCTGTCTAGCGGGTGGAGGCTGCCAACGCTTAGGTGCTAGTCGCCATTGTGACTCCGCTTTAGGACAATGTGCACGTGCCTCGATCTCAATCATTCCGTCTTGTCTTTGACCTCGCTGTTGGGTGCGCTAATCATCGCCTTCGCCAGCCCGCAATAATTAATCACAACCACGGACAGTATACTCTGGGACTGTGGACTCGCGTCGGTTTTCGGGTCGTATCACGATATGCACTCCTCGAAATCTGTTGCGGATGCCATCCGTCTCGCTCTGACGACGCGCGTCGTGAATCACTCTCGCCGACTCCACGCACTCTTTCGGCTGAGAAATCAGGGGCATACTCCTCCAGATGGCAGACAATTGCTTTCTAATGTGAACGCGCGTCCCCTCAGGACACCGTGGAGGTATCGACGTGCTTCATGATTGACTAAGGCTCTCTGAGACCTGCACTTGGCGACGCAGAGTAGGTATATAAGAGGGGAAGGAGAGACATTGTACTCTAACCACGGTTCTACATCTCTCTCCTCTCTTCTCTGTTCACTTTAACATGTCTGCTGCACCTGTGAAGTACGTCCAGCTCGGAAAGAGCGGGCTGCGCGTCTCCGTACCCATCGTGAGTTCTTGGCGTACTTGCACCTCTCACGGCGTCCTGACGATTCATATAGGGAGGTGCGATGAGCTACGGTAACCCCAAGTGGGGCGTAAGTGGCTGGCGTTGAGGCTTACTATCCCTTACTCACCTGAGCGTCGTTCACAGGCCGATCCCCAGGCGGGCGCATGGGTGAAGAGCGCGGAGGAATCTCTGCCTATCCTCAAGGCTGCGTGGGACCGTGGAATCAAGTGAGCCATACTCGGAGTGGGACTCCGAATAGCGTGATTGACGTTCATGCCTCCCAGCACCTTTGACACGGCCAACGTGTACTCCAACGGCGACTCCGAGCGGGTCCTTGCCAAGTTCATCGAGACCGTAAGTGCCTCACAGAGCGAGGTGCTGCGGCTGCTTATCTGTCCTCCAGTACAACATTCCTCGAGAGGAGATTATCATCGCCACCAAGTGCCACGGTACCGTCCTGAAGGGCGAACATGAGGATATCGTCGCATGGGCGGCGCCTCAACTCGCTGGCTCGAAACAGTACATCAACCAGAATGGCTTGTCGCGTGCTGCGATCTTTAACGCGGTTGAGGGCTCGCTCAAGCGCCTGAACACGTCGTACATCGACCTCTACCAGATCCACCGCGCCGACCCCTCGACGCCGCCCGAGGAGACGATGAAGGCGCTCCACGACCTCGTCCAGTCTGGGAAGGTCCGCTACATAGGCGCGAGCTCGATGCGCACTTGGCAGTTCGCCCTGCTGAACGAGGTCGCGGAGAAGAATGGGTGGACGAAGTTCGTGAGCATGCAGGACGAGTACCACTTGCTCTACCGCGAGGAGGTGAGCCCCATCTGTCAATCACACAGACATCAGTGAACTCACGTTCAATCGCAGGAGCGTGAGATGCTCGCCTACTGCGAGTACCACGGCATTGGTGTTATTCCGTGGTCGCCTCTCGCCGGAGGTGCCCTTGCCCGCCCGCTGAACTCTGCTGAGACCGCGCGCTCCAAGATGAACTCGGCGTTTGCGAAGACGGACGCGGCCGACCACGAAATCATCAAGCGCGTGGAGGAGGTCGCGAAGAAGCGCGGCTGGAAGATGGCCGAGGTGAGTGATACTCTGCCAAGCTGATACGCTGCATTGTTAACCATCATGTAGGTTGCCATTGCTTGGGTCCAGCGCAGAGTCACAAGCCCCATTATTGGCATTAACTCCATCAACCGCGTCGACGACAGCATTGTGGACGGCGTGCTCACGGACGAAGAGGCCAAGTATCTGGAGGAACCGTGAGTCATCTACAACTTGGATACTGCGTCCGTACTCACCCTCTCCATAGGTACCAGCCGAAGGTGGTGCGCGGACATGCATAAACTATATAAACCAGAGAGCACTTGTACGGTAGAAATGTAACAACCTCTGTGTGTTTGCGATATACCATGTCTGCATCATGTCCTGTCGACCAGACCGCCTCTAGAGCCTATGGGTGGCCTCTCGTCGTATAACCACATGGTTGCAGTCCTACAGTGGAGGAAGGCAGTAACAATTGGTTTTCAAGCTGACCCCACCAGATTTGAACGTGGCATGTGACCGTGGGTTCAGAGTCTAGATTCCATTCGGCAGTTGCCGGTGGCTTGTCCGTGACCATCGCCCTTCTCACCCAAATGTCCCTCGGGCGCTGGGTGCGTTTCTCTATTGTGCTTGAAGAACCTCCGAGACGCTAGCATCTGTCCCACATCTTTGAGGTCCTTGGGCTTCAGGCGCTCAGCTTGGACTGCCTCAATTTAGTCGGATTTGAACCGCAACCTTGATGCGCTTCCGAAACGGAGGTCGCTACAGAACCGTCCTGTACTAGGCTCCTGGACTCTTTCGACCGACTTGAGTGGTAAGCAGAAGCCAACGCTTCCCATAAGGAATGAATAGCACCGACCCCATAGGCCAATGCGACGCGGTCGACGCTCAACTTATGATGAGCTCGGTCTCTCGCGGGTCTCTCGTATATGCTCGGGTATCTTCCAGCGCAGCTATTTTGCTACCAGATGATCTCGTCTAGACCTCATAATGTGGCGGCATTGGCTCCCTCTTGCGCGTCGTATATATGGCCTGCGCTACCTGACGATCTTACCAGCTTGTTACCTTCCCGACGCATAGCGAAGCGCAATACACAGAATGTCCACTACGTCCGTGAAGTATGTTCAGCTCGGAAGAAGCGGCCTTCGCGTCTCAGTGCCTATTGTACGCCTGGCTTGTCTTGTTATCTTAAGTAGCCTTACTGAAGGCACTACCAGCTAGGAGCGATGGGATTCGGTAACCCGAAGTGCGGGGTACATGCGCCATAAAGCTTCTTAAATCACCTACCAATCTCTCTTCAGGCAACGGACGAGTCGACACAATGGATCCTCGGAGAAGAGGCCGCATTACCAATCCTGAAAGCTGCTTGGGACCGCGGTATCAAGTAAGGGCGTTCCAAGAGACCACAGCCGCAGACTAATCAAGCTATCCACAGTACGATTGACACTAGCAATAACTACTCGAATGGTGATTCCGAACGTATCATCGGGAAGTTCATGAAGAAGGTCTGCGCTCCGCCGACCTCACCCATTACGCCTGACTGACAGTCGCCTAGTATCAAATCCCTCGCGAGGAAATCATCATCGCCACCAAGTGCTGGGGTCTTGTCGGCAAGGGCGCCGACCATGACGTCCTCACCTACGCCTTATACCCGGAGATCAACCAGCGCAAGCAGTACATCAACCAGTCCGGCCTCTCGCGAGCGGCTATCTTCAACGCCGTCGAGGGCTCGCTGGCGCGCCTGGACACGCCTTACATCGACCTCTACCAGATTCACCGCTTCGACTTTGACGTACCGCCCGAGGAGACCATGAAGGCGCTTCACGACCTCGTGGAAGCGGGCAAGGTGCGCTATATCGGCGCGAGCTCGATGCGGGCGTGGCAGTTTGCGCTGTTAAATGAGGTGGCGGAGAGAAATGGGTGGACGAAGTTTGTGAGCATGCAGGACGAGTACTCGTTGCTGTATCGCGAGGAGGTGAGTGATTTCGTATTCGACGTCAGATGCAGTATGCTGATCCCTTTTACAGGAGCGCGAGATGCATGCATACTGCCAGTACCATGGTATCGGTGTCATTCCGTGGTCGCCTCTTGCTGGTGGACTTCTTGCTCGCCCGCTGAACTCTGAGAAGACCCCTCGTTCGAAAGTATTTTCGGTTTCAGGCTCGTCGTTGAGTAAAGCAGATATGGAGATTGTCAGGCGCGTGGAAGAGATCGCGGCGAAGCGAGAGTGGAAGATGTCTCAGGTGCGCATGCGTCCACCAAAGCACGCTTTTTCAATGGCGCGTGGCTTGTACGAGCTCAACACGACATCGGACCTAGGTCGCTCTCGCGTGGGTTCAACGCAAGATTACAAGTCCTATCGTCGGCTTTAACACGATCAGCCGCGTCGACGAAGGCGTTGTGGATAGTGAGCTGACGGAAGATGAGATCGATTACCTCGAGGAGCCGTGAGCCCTTTTTTCAGTCTCAGTGCGTCGTGCAGCACTCTTGACACATCTCCCAGGTATCAGGCTAAAGCCGTGCGGGGTCATGCTTAGATCCAGGCTCCTGTACTCGCAACGGGGTCAAAAGTCGAAGAGTCGAGTATATGTCCGTCTCTGTATTGTTGCTGCTCTTTCAAGGCATCCAGTGCGATTGTTTCATGACCGTCCATGCTTCTCCCTCGCTGCGCTCTTCAGGAATCGATACAAGTCTATCTTGTTTCGGTGATCTCATGGCGTATCTACTGAGAGGCAAGGTCGATAGCTCTTGGTGGCGCTTTTATGCATGCACCGTGTTTCGAACTTGGGTTCGTGAGCGTGGGAAAGCGGAATCGAACTGACGATCAAATCGGAAGAAGCTTGCCTTCTCTGACCATGGTGTTCTCTGAATCTCTCCGTCAAGAGTCCCTCTCCTGCGACGTACATTTGGTACACAAGCAATACCTTGGTTCTTGGGGAAGAACCTACTCGCAAGCTGGTGTACGATATTGTGATAGTAGACGGCCTCCGATGAGGTTCTCAGCGCTGTCCGAAACGGAGGCCGCGGGCTTTCGGTCGCGTCATATCCTCCTCAACTCGTTCCATCCTGTTCTTCAGGGGGTGATGCGCATCTTCTTTGCTCTGTGCCACCTGACTAGCATCAGCTCCAGCTGGCCGAAGGGCTTCGTGTGTCCTTTGCAGCCGATCGACCTCTCCTGCGATTGAACGCGCGCATGCCCGATTCGGTGCTGAGTCAACTGGTTCGCGCGCCGGTTTCGCTTCGTATCCGCGTGAATCGATACCCCTCTGGTGTATAAGAGGGGGGAAGAGATGGTCTGCAACGATACCTACCTTTCTCGTCTACCGCCCTTCCTCTTACAATGTCTACCTCATCTGTGAAGTATGTTCAGCTCGGTAAGAGCGGTCTTCGGATCTCAGTTCCCATCGTGCGTTCTACGGCTCCCTTTGACTGCGCTGTCACTAATTAGCCGTCTCGATCTCCAGGTTGGCGCTATGAGCTACGGAAACCCGAAGTGGGCGGTAAGCATGATTGACCCAGAGCTGCTAGCAAGACCTGACGTTATCCTCAGGCGACTGACGAGTCTACACAATGGGTTCTCGGCGAAGAAGATGCATTGCCCATCCTCAAGGCTGCCTGGGACCGCGGTATCAAGTAAGGCTTCGAGAAGCAGCTCGTGGACGCGTGGCTAACGATTTCCTAGCACTATCGATACCAGCAACAACTACTCCAACGGCGACTCCGAACGCATCGTGGCGAAGTTCATCGAGAAGGTGAACCGATTGTCTCATTGACACTCTACCAACGCTCACGCCCATCACAGTACCAAATCCCTCGCGAGGAGATAATCATCGCCACCAAATGCTGGGGCCTCGTCGGCAAGGGCGCCGACCGTGACCTCCTCACCTACGCGCACTTTCCAGCCATCAACCAACGCAAGGAGTACCTCAACCAGTCCGGCCTCTCGCGCGCGGCTATCTTCAACGCCGTCGAGGGCTCGCTGGCGCGCCTGAACACCTCATACATCGACCTCTACCAGATCCACCGCTTCGACTTCTCGACGCCACCGGAGGAGACGATGAAGGCCCTTCACGATCTTGTCGAGTCGGGCAAGGTTCGCTATATTGGCGCGAGCTCGATGCGGGCGTGGCAATTTGCGCTGTTGAACGAGGTGGCGGAGAAGCACGGATGGACGAAGTTTGTCAGCATGCAGGACGAATACTCGTTGCTGTATCGCGAGGAGGTGAGCAGTCTCTCTCTCGTGCAGTCCCAAGTCTGTTGGCTGATTTGCCACAGGAGCGCGAGATGCTCGCGTACTGCAAGTACCACGGCATCGGCGTCATCCCGTGGTCGCCTCTCGCTGGCGGCCGTCTCGCGCGCCCCTTGGCCGAGAACGAGACTCCACGTGCGAAGGCCTTCGCCTCGTTTGGCATTGGCAATGGGAACGAAGTCGAGGCCGATATCATCAAGCGTGTCGAGGAGGTCGCGAAGAAGCGGGGCTGGACGATGGCGCAGGTGCGCATTCCTTGTATCCCTGACCGCCACGGAACTAATGCCTTTCAGGTATCGCTTGCATGGACGCAGCGCAACGTCTCCAGCCCCATCGTCGGCTTCAACTCCCTCAAGCGCGTCGACCAGAACCTTCTGCCAGAAGGCGAGCTCACGGACGAGGAGGCCAAGTACCTGGAGGAGCCGTGAGTGTGCATCAGAGCTGTGTATCTCCCTTGACTAACACCGTCACTTAGGTACCAGCCGAGGCCCGTTCGCGGCCACCCTTAAGGGAATGCTATCGAGCGGACTTCCATTGTACTTGTAGCAACCTCGTGAACATGAACGTTTTGACGACATCGCCAGGTGCACTGAGTTGGACAGAACTCAACGTCAATTGTAAGTTCTCATTCAAAGTATCTAGGATGTGAACAGCCATCCGTCACCTGGGCGTTCCTGATCAGCGTCTATTTTCCCTTCTGTGAGCAAGCGCAACCTCTCCCAGCACTTACTTGGGCTTCGCTCGAGTCTACCAAAGTCGCAGCACGCGGGAGGTAGCCGCAGACATGTCTAAGCGCGTGCACGGATAGCTCCCGTAACCGAAGTCCCTAGACATATCGATGACCACATACTTATCGGAAGGCTTCCTGCACAAGGGTTGTTATAAGAGCGACCATCGTTTTTCGTGCTAACCTTGCATCTACGTACCTATCTGACGCTAGCGAACCAACATGTCTACTACACCCGTGAAGTACGTTCAGCTCGGCAAGAGCGGGTTGCGCGTCTCGGTTCCCATCGTATGTGGTACACCTTCAGTCATGTTGAAGGACTGGTTTGATGCTTCTCTTATAGATCGGCGCACTCAGCTACGGGAATCCCAAATGGGGGGTGCGCATGCCCGCTTTTGCTGGTCTTGCGCTCAATGTGAATAACGCACCTGCAGGCCAGCGATGAGTCGACTCAATGGGTACTCGGCGAGGACCAGGCGCTACCTATCCTCAAAGCTGCCTGGGATCGCGGCATCAAGTAAGTTGAAAGTGTCTCATGCTGTAGCCCTCTATCTCACTACGTTGCCAGCACCATCGACACGAGCAACAATTACTCGAACGGAGATTCCGAGCGCGTCATCGCAAAGTTCATCAAGACGGTGAGCTTAATCTATCGGATGCGTCTAGACACGAATTCTAACCGCCTGTGCAGTACCAAATCCCGCGTGAAGAGATCATCATCGCGAGCAAGTGCTACGCGCTCGCTGGCAAGGGTCCTGACCACAACGTTATGGCCTTCCGCTTCCCCGAGATGAAGAATCGCAAGGAGTATATCAATCAACACGGCCTCTCCCGCGCAGCCATCTTAAACTCCATCGAGGGTTCCCTCGCGCGTCTAGAGACGCCATACATCGACCTCTACCAGATCCACCGCTTCGACCCGGACACGCCGCCGGAGGAGACGATGAAAGCGCTACACGATCTCGTCGAGTCGGGCAAAGTGAGATATATTGGAGCGAGCTCCATGGCCTGTTGGCAGTTTGCGCTTCTGAATGAGGTTGCGGAGAGACATGGCTGGACGAAGTTTGTAAGCATGCAAGACGAGTATTCGCTTCTTTATCGTGAGGAGGTCGGTGTTCTCTCGTTCCCTTTCTAACGGTTTCCTGATCGAACTACACCAGGAGCGCGAGATGCTGGCGTATTGCAAGTATCATGGGATTGGAGTAATTCCGTGGTCTCCTCTTGCTGGAGGCAAGCTAGCGCGTCCCATTGGTGTCGATACTGCTCGTTCGAGGTTGGTTGCATCCTTTGGCGTTAAGGAGAACCCGGTCGCTACGGAAATTATCGGGAGAGTTGAGGAGATTTCCAAGAAGCGCGGGTGGAAAATGTCGCAGGTACGCCTCCTTGGAGCTGCTAAGCATCTCGGTGGCTGATTCCATCAGGTCGCCCTTGCATGGGCGCAGCGCTCGGTGACCAGCCCCATCGTTGGAATGAACTCCGTACAGAGAGTGGATGAGAGTATTGTCGGAGATGAACTGACTGACGCAGAAGCAAAGTACTTGGAGGAGCCGTAAGCTTTTCTACCTCCTCGCGAGGGTATCGCTGACTGACGAAACACCAGATATCAACCCAAGGCGATCCGTGGGTTTGGTGGCTGAAGCGATCATGCTGCAACCGCCGTCTATGAGTCCTCTACTCGAAACGTAGCATTACTCTGGATTTGAACTTACAAGCCTCCTTCCCTGTAATAATAAGTAATCTAAGGAGATTGTCGAACTGAAGCGTGAGCAATGATTGTTCGTAGTCACGGACATGGTTGAGAAACGTGACCGGCGCGTGCTTGCGGCCGTCGGCCCGACTCATCCACGCCTTTCCTCCCGCGTCCATCAGGTCATCTCCCGAACGATGTCGCTCGCCGATCTCCCCGACGAACTCATCATCTCAGTACTTCTCCATCTCCGTGCCGAAGATCTCTATCGCTGCATGCGACTCAGCAAGCGAATCGCCGGCATCATCCAAGGAACCGCGCGCTTGCGATATCATGCCTTGCTCGATCTATATGGGCTCGAGGACAACGAGGAGTGCCGCGCGGACGTCAATGAGAAAATAGAGTCCCTTCTTCTCCGCGAGGACGCGTATCTGAACTTCAGGTATCGCTTCGAGGAGAGCACAACGTCGGACGGATACCCAAGCATCTACGATCTGTCCTCAGGGAGGTTCGTTATGGGAAATGAAAATGGATCCATGAGCGTCAGGTCTGCGAAGCTTCCAACGGAGGCGGGTCAGCGAATTACCTGGTCAGAGATCATTGTAGGGCAGTTCATCTGCGACTTCGGCACCGCTGTAGAAGAACACGACCTCATAGCATTTGTTGTTAGGTATGGTCGTTCAGTCTATTTCCTACAATAAACTGATGAATAGTAACAGCTCCCCAACACCTAATGGCCTCTGGCGCGATATCGATGTTGCCCTTTATAAACTCTCCGGCCAGCCACATCCTGAAGCGCAGCATCCGCAAATACATCTTCTGCGAGTGGATGAGACGTGGGGTCTGCCGAGCGTCAGCATCGAGATTGTGGGCGACACGTTGGCGGTGATCACCTACTACGCCTTCGACTTCGAGAACGCAGGCAGTCGTCTGCTACTCTTCTCCTGGAGGACCGGAGTGGCGCTCAATCCCGGAGGCCAGCCTGCGACAAACCTAGGTCTCTGCTTTTTGACGCCGGATCTCCTCATGCATCCCAGCGAGGAGACGCGGGCTCTCGAAGTCTTCCGCGTGCCCACAGAACCATCTGGTCCGGACCTCGAGCTCGTCTGCGAGCTTGTCTACCCTGATTTCCACCCCGACGCGGAAATTTATAACACGGTATGCCGAGGGGACCCAAATCCATCTCTCAGCCATGTTCACCGATCGGGCGCCGCTGCGCATCCCTTCCGCACTCGAGTCGAAGATTCTGTCGTTCTTGTCCTCATGACGTGGCGCCTTGACCGCGGTGAGGACGAGGAAGCCGATGAGGAAGCCCTCTCCCTCGTGGTCCATCGTTCGACCATCCTGCGGCACGCGAATCGCGGTGTGCCCGTGGTCCATTGGAAGGACTGGGGACCGGAGGGTGCGCGCTGGCTTTGCATGTCCAAGATGTCGTACAGCTATATCACGACGACTAGCGGGCAGCGATACGTTCAGAAACCGTCGATCATGCTGAATGCGCCCGATCAACCGATACACATATTGGACTTCAACCCGCATACCGTGCGGCGTGTGGAGGCGCAGCTGCTCGCGCAGGCGGAAGAGGCGGCCGGAGATGACCGCGCACGGATATTCACGATCGACACGCCAACAGCGACCATCGGACTGCCCGCCAAGCATGAGTTAGGTCAACTTTGGGCAGGAAGTCAGCCGACGAACCGGGAGAGCCCCTGGGTATATTGGCCAGAGGAGACGTTCAGGGGGAGTCCGCCGGAGATACAGTATATGGAAAGGCTCTTCGAGGATGCGAGGGTCCTCGAGCCTGGTTTGCCGTTCGTCAGGACAATCTCAAAACAAAGGTTCGCTATAGACGCGGTGATCATGGATGACGAGCGCGTCATTGGATTGTCAGTGAGTGATTCCATGTGGTAGTGCTAGAGCAATGTTGGCTCATAAGCACTTAGACGGACTGGACGGCCAACACCATCGGGCTACATACACTGTACTTTGGTTAAGTATCAAGTCCACGCGCCTGTAAACTCATCCTTTTCGTCGAATGCTTTCCATCGTTTAAACCATCTTGTTCCAGCATCGATACTCGTGGCGTATGCGGCATCGTCCGCGGTCTTTTTGCCCTTTCCCGCGGCTCTCTATCCTTTGCCTGCCTCTGCTGTCGTCTCTCTGCTAATTCGTGATGCTCTGCCTCGCCGAAGCCGACATACCTCTCACGACGCCGCTGACCATGTCTGTCACTGGCTCGACCGCGATCGCCGTCAGCCTGGCATAGAAAACCGCATTGTGCTGCCCGTCCTACACCTCGGACTGTTTCCTTTAGGTCGAAGGAGGGCGCGCGCCAGTGTGATGCATCCTCGGGGTCTTGTTGTCGGGTGCTTTGGAATTCTGTCCTATCTACGATCCTTTGACATTTCTGATGACTTTTGTAGACGCTATATCTGACATCGACATTGATCCTTATTCAGCAGGCGACTGTCGCTTACGCTTCAACCACCATTGCCCTCTTTGGACAATGCGCAAGTGTCTTGATCTCAATCGTTCAGTATCCGCCTTTGACCTCGCTCTTGAGCTCGCTGATTATCGTTACGCCGACCTACAATGCTCAACCCAATGCTCAATTGCTGATCTCGATATATTCTACGAATCAATCGATCCACGTCGGTTCTCCGAGTCGGGGTCGTATTACGATACAATCCCCTCGAAATCTGTTGTGGATGCCGTCTATCCTGCCGCGAGCCGGATCATGGGAATCACTGTCGCAAGCTCCTCTAGGTATAAAAGGGGGGAGCGGAGACACTGAGCTCTGACCGTGGCTCTAAGAGTCCCTTCACCTCACCATGTCTGCTACACCTGTAAAGTACGTTCAGCTCGGAAAGAGCGGACTGCGTGTCTCCGTTCCCATCGTGAGTATTCGATGTACTTACACGTCCAGCGGCATCCTGACGATTAGTTTAGGCTGGTGCGATGAGCTACGGCAACCCGAAGTGGGGCGTGAGTCGCCGTTTTCGAGGCTCATCGTCCTCTCTGACCCGTGCGTTCATCACAGGCAGATCCCGAGGCAGGCGCATGGGTCAAGGGCGCTGAGGAAGCTCTGCCTATTCTCAAGACTGCTTGGGACCGTGGCATCAAGTAAGCCAGACCAGGAACGACGTGTCATCGAAATTCACGCCGCTCTCAGCACCTTTGACACCGCTAATGTATACTCCAATGGCGAGTCCGAACGGGTTCTCGCCCAATTCATTGAGACTGTAAGTATCTCACATAGCGAGGCGCTGCGCCTTGCTTACCGTCCTATAGTACAACATCCCCCGCGAGGAGATCATCATCGCGACCAAGTGCCATGGTACTGTTTTGAAGGGCGAGCACAAGGACGCGGTCCCTTGGGCGGCGCCCCAACTCGCTCGTTCAAAGCAGTACGTCAACCAGAACGGGCTCTCGCGCGCGGCGATCTTCAACGCGGTCGAGGGCTCGCTCGAGCGCCTTAACACGTCGTATATCGACCTCTATCAGATTCACCGCGCCGACCCCTCGACGCCGCCCGAGGAGACGATGAAGGCGCTCCACGACCTCGTCCAGTCTGGGAAGGTTCGCTACATTGGCGCGAGCTCGATGCGCACTTGGCAGTTCGCCCTGCTGAACGAGGTTGCGGAGAAGAACGGGTGGACGAAGTTCGTGAGCATGCAGGACGAGTACCACTTGCTCTACCGCGAGGAGGTGAGTCCACATTCTGTCATTCAGAGTCGTCACTCAACTATTGCAGGAGCGTGAGATGTTCGCTTACTGTGACTATCATGGCATCGGTGTGATCCCATGGTCGCCTCTCGGGGGAGGCGCCCTCGCCCGCCCACTGAACTCTGCCGAGACCGTACGCTCTAAGCTAAGATCAGCGTTCATGAAGCCAGACGCAGTCGACCCCGAAATAATCAAGCGCGTGGAGGAAGTCGCGAAGAAGCGCGGCTGGAAGATGGCTCAGGCGAGTATAATCCTGCGAAACCGAGATGTTGCATCCTCAGTCATCGTGTAGGTTGCTATCGCGTGGGTCCAGCGCAGAGTCACTAGCCCTATCGTCGGCATCAACTCGATCGACCGCGTCGACGACAGCATCGTGACCGGCGAGCTCACGGACGAAGAAGTCAAATATCTTGAGGAACCGTGAGTGAATGTTTGAACCACCATCAATATTTTCGTCCGTACTCAAACAATCCTCAGGTACCAACCGAAGGCGGTGCGTGGGCATGCCTAAACGTGTATCGATAACAAAGTCCATGCGATGGAATTGTTGCTGTTCCGCGTATAGTGCGTATGTATTTCGTGTCGAAATGTCTCTGTACGCGATACCCGGTATGATGCTTCCGCCATCAAAGCCTGATTCCACCTCGTTCTCCTGATTGTCCTGAATGTCCAGTCCAGCGCCGCCGAAGTTGGACATTGGACAACAGGCGTCATGGCGCTGAACCTCGACGCGCTGCAGGCGGCGAGCCTGGGTCTCTGCTTCCTCGCACCATATCCTTCCTTGTATCCGAGCTAGGAGAGACAGACTCTCTAGGAATTCCGAGGGCCTCTCAATCTCCCTACCATTGCTGAAAAGCTGACCTGAAAGAGCAGTTTCAGGCAGGCGCAGCGCGAGACACGACCATCCCGTCTTCTACCCAAAGCAGAGGCCTTTGTGAGTTCACAACACAGCCAAACTCTCCTTTTGTACAGGAGAGCATTATTGTAGTGCGTGGAGTAGACTCCTTTGACCGAAGAGCAACGTGGGCCGCAAGACGACGACTCGCCCACGATGAAGCTGGTTGCAAGCAATTATTACATTGGTATAGATCCATAGAGTCCATAGAGTCCATTGGGCACCCATACCATCATCTCACTCATGCTCGTGCGTATGTGGCATAACCCGCGGCCCACTCGCTTTCTCCCGCTCCTCCTTCTCTTTCTTCGCCTGCTCCTGCTGCCTTCTCGCCGCCTCATGCTGCCGGTTCGTGATGCTCTGCGTCACCGAGCCCGTCGTACCGCCCGCGACGCCACCGACGATGCCTGCCACCGGCCCAAGGACAGCGCCGCCTACTATCGTCGCAGCCAACCCGGCGAGGAACCCCGCGTTGTGCTGTCCGTCCCGCATGTCGGGCTTCTTCTTCGGGCGCGGTGCGGGCTTTGCGGTGTGGTTGGTGCTGACGGAGGCTGGCCGGGCGTGCTTTCGAGGTCGGCGGGCGTGGTTGGCGCGGCGGCCTGGGGGCGGAGTGTCGCGGGTATGAGTACTGTTGGTTCTGGAGGACATGGATGTGGGTATCCTCTCGCGAGATGGAAGTTAGGAAGAAGGAGCAGGTTAGCGGTTGCGAAGCTTGGCTGATGGTCCGCAGTGACGACATGGGATCAACATGAGCGATGACATACAGTAGACGCTTGTGGGCGCCTCTTTTTATGGCCGTCCATCAGTTGATTGAGGCCATCCAGTCTTCCATATCGCTGCGTATACTTGCGTAGAAGCCAGTTCGATACAGCCGCAAACACTAATTCACGTAACAATTCGTAGTATGAACCCCTTACTGCCTCAACACCGTCCACCCGCTTCGAAATACTTTGAGCGCAACAAATCGCTCGAAGTCCGTCGCTGAGCACCTGGGAGCACCCCTATCACCTAGTGAATGTTTCTCGGGGAAGAAGGAGGCGAAGGAGAGCTGGACTCCGAGGGTGGTATGAATTCCCTAGGCCTGGGCGAATGGACGCGCGCTGCAAAGATCGTGTCAGCTAGATCGTGCGTAGTACAGAAACAAAACTTACGCATCGGGTTGGCCATCACCGGCGCAGGGGGATAAATGACAGTGGGCTGCGACGTGGGCCGCCAGGAGACGGGCGAGGACCGCCTGCTTGAACACGAACTGTCTGTTTGTATAAATGTCCCTAGCGGCGGCCGCGAAGTTCCGTAGATATGTGGCATGTAACATTGCCCTATCCGAGTCGGAGTCGTTGAGTACGGCATCTGGATTATTTGTGGGCCAGCGGGTCCCTTCGCCAGTTTCGCATCTACGACTGCCTGCTCCAGGACAAAAGGCCCCATGTTTCGCGCACCGCCGGCGCGTATGACCTTTTCCCTGATGCGTCCGATATTGACGACCGCGGGGAGCCCGAGGTGCTCGGCGGCCTCTAAGGTAGGCGGCTCAGGTGCCGTGCAGAGATCAACGAAGGCAGGGAGGAGCCACTTGGGCAGGTCGAACTCGCGGGCGATGAGGATGCGGTCGATGGGCGCTGCGGTGGATTCGAGCTTCTCGAGGGAGTGGGCACGGAGGTCGGTGAAGCCCCATTTGCTCGCAAGACGCAGGACGGAGGTCCATTCCTCGGAGGTGTTGACGTCGCACTTGCCGAGCGACCTGCGGAGAGCATAAGTTACATATCTAAGCGAGGCGATTGAGGGCGCAGCAGCGACATACTTGGGATACATATAAGAGAGGAAGCGGTCAAAGTCGACGCGGGATACGTCCTTCAGGTAGATGACCTCGACGTCGTCTTGAGACAGATACTCCTCCACGAAGGTGGGAGACTGCTCGAAGAAGTAGCGGAACACATTGTAGAGCGTCCCATCGTCAAGCTGTGAAGCTGTTAGGGTCTAGATGTACGGGCGCTTAACCACCTCACCTTGAACTTGACGCTCCTGGTGTCCATATAGAAACGTTCATGGTTCACTGTTGGAGGAGCAGTGGCTGTCAGAGGCGCAGCAACCGCGGGCTCAGGACTAGAGAACGTCGTGTTCATAGTATCAAAAGAGTCGAGGGAGGACGACCGCTCCATGGAGGTCGGGAGCAAGAAGGATTTCGTGAACACGAGGGCTTAATAGCGCATGCAGATAGCCCACGGTCACGTCCTCTTTGTGGGCGCCATGACGCTGCGCTGCCGTACCCCCCACCCGCCAGTTCCAGATAGACATGGTGCTCTCTGAGTAGACCGTCCGCACAGTAAAAAATCTGCGTATTCTGTCAGAAAGGAAGAACGCCGGAGATCGCTGTTGAAGTCAAGAAAGACAAGTTCAACTTCAGCTTGCCACGGTCCGATGGGGCCCGGCGGGCCGTGAAAGCCGCCCCACGGAGAATGCCGAAGGCTTCTCACACGCTTGGCCGTGATCCAACCATGGCCATTCCCTCAAGCTGCTTCGCAACGAGAATATATCATGATAAAGATACAGTGCAGATGTTACAGTCTTCTATACAATCTTCGCTCACCCCTCAGGCGATCTTCACCTTGTGCGTCGCCGGCGCCTCCTCCGGCTCGCCGAAGATGTTGATGTCCCAGTGCGGCTCGTAGCGGTACGGGATGTTGAACCGCGTGTGATTGTTCTCGCCGACCTTCGTAATTGCCTGGTAGTCCTCCTCCGACAGCTCGACCTGCTTGAAGTTGCTGTGGATGCGCTCGGCCTGGACGGACTTGGGGATCACGGAGTACCCGCGGTGCACGCCCCAAGCGACGAGTACTTGTGCGGGCGTCGCACCGAGCTTCTTCGCGATGTCCTGCACGACGGGGTAGTCCGTGAGCTTGGGCTTGCCGATGACTGCGAAAGTTATCCGTTAGCGGACGAGCCGAGGGGCGTAGGTGAGGCCGACGCACGGTTGTTGCCCAATGGGCTGTACGCAGTGATGTGGATGCCCTTCTCCTTCGCGTACGCGACGAGGTCATCCTGGGGCAGCAGCGGGTGCGCCTCGATCTGGAGCGCGGCGGGGACGACGCCAGTCGCCTTAATGATCCCCTCGATCTGCTCGATCGTGAAGTTGGACACGCCGATGGCGCGGACCTTCGACTTGGGCAGCGCGATCAGGGCTTTCCAGGTGTCAACGAGGGAAGTCTCGAGGTCGAGCGCGACGTAGTTCTTGGGGTCCTTGGGGTCGGGCGGGAAGAGGCCGTTACCCGGCTGGAAGGCGACGGGCCAGTGAATGACTGTCGGAGGTATTTCAACGGGATGATGGAAGGACGGTGCAGGATGCACTCACGGTAAAGGTCAAGGTAGTCCGTGCCAATCTGGGCAAGGGTCTCGTCGAGCTCCTTCTCGACGTTCTGCGGCTGGTGGCCGCTGTTCCATAGCTACATGAGATGTCAGTACGCTGTCTAGATATCCTGTCGTCACACACGCACCTTCGAGGTGATGAAGAGGTCCTCACGCTTGACCACGGAGGGGATAACCTTCTTCAAGGCCGCGCCAACCTCGTCCTGGTTCTCGTAGACCCTTGCGAGGTCGAGGTGGCGGTAGCCGTGGCGCACGGCAATCTCGACCTATACGGAGACTTGATGAGCACGATGATCTCTCTCCTCCAGATGTCCACTACTACGCACCGCGTTCTCAACCTCCTTCGGCTTCGAGAGCCAGGTGCCAAGCCCGATCTGCGGGATCGTCGCGCTGGTGTTCAGCGACAGGGTCTTTCCAAAAGACATGGTGCTGGTTGTTGTATACGGTCGAAAGAAGGGTTGGGAACAGGGGCGCAAGGGAAGAGAAGTCGTCCGAACATCGATTCCATCGCACCTTTTATACGGCGGGTGAGGTCAGTCGTAGCGTCACCGGACCGCGGGGTCCCCATTGTCGAATTTCATCCGCCCAGCACCGGACCGGTCCGCGTTCCACGCAGGGGCGCCTGTGCAGGTCGCGACTGTACAGTGGCGGGCTAACAATCCAGATACGCCAAAGAAGCACCTATTCGCAGCCCGCGATGCGAGACCGCGATGGTCTTAGGCGCGGGATCGTCGACGTTGGGCGCTCGAAGCTGACAGGGGGGCCTTCATCTTCCACCCCAATGGCGCGAGATGGAGCGCTGGGAAGGCAAGGTCACGAATGGACTCGAAAGAAGCAGATGCGAGTCACTCCGTCGCGAGACCGTTGAGGTCGAACAATGCACGCAAGGGGAACGCGAGACGCGCGCCATCGAGCGCGATCAGTGCGAGCCCAGGCGGAGTGGCGGGCCGGTTATCGGCGGAGGCATTCGACATCGATGGCATCGAGCACCTCCTTGTGCGCGACGAGCTCGAGCCTGCATGCAATCCCCGCCTGTGCTTGCGAGACGCGGACTATGGCCGGCTGAGCTCTGGCATGTATCAGCGACAATATTCCATTTTCCCGAACTACACCTCTAGGAATGCATCTGGCGCCAACGTTGTCGCCAACATGACCGCATTGATGTTTTCATGCCCGGTCCAGCTCTTTGCCATCCTATTCTCTTCCTTCATCCAGAACGCCTCGATGCGGTTGGCCAGATGCTCGTACGACTTCAGCTTCTCCCCCTCTTGTAACAAACGCTCCCGGTTCTTGAATGTCGTCTGACCAATCCCGTCTACCTGCCGACCTATCAGCCCGACAGCGTGCAGCCCCGTCGCCATTCCCAGTTCGCGGAACGCCAGGCGCGCACGGGCCGGGCACGACAGCTCATCCACGTCGTAGAAGCCCAGGCTGGCGCCAGCAGCGTCGGCTCAGACTCTGCGTCTCCACGAGCGACCAGCTGCGCAAGGCGCGATGCGTCGAGCAGAAGCCCACCGATCCCTAGCGAGTCCTCGGTCGCCGACACACCTTTGGCGCACATCCTTGCTGCATCCGCCAGCTCCGGACTGAGATCGAGCGCGGGATCGGCCAGTGCGGCCTCTCGAGCCGCGACGCGGAGAGCCGAATACGTGACGAGAGCGTCCAGCGCATCGTGCTGACCCGTCGACGAGACAAGTGGTCTGGAAAGATCGACGCTCATCTTCCAGTACATGCGCGTACCCCCGGAGTGCGTGAAGCGCGGGTGAACGGCCTTTGCGAGCTCGATGGCCCAGACGAGGTATTGAGTTTCACCCGTCGCGCGGGCCATGGATGCGAGCGCATGCATCCATTTGGTCAGGTAGTGGAAGTATTGACCTGGGTGGACGTTGGTGAGTGTGTCGTACTGAAGGTCATTGAACGGTATGCGTACCGTCTTGGTCCCACTCGAGCTCGCGATCGGGCGGCTCGCCTGCCTGACGCTCAGAGAGAGGCTTGCCGATACGCATACCCCCGCGCGTAGGATGCGCCGCGCCCTCCTCTTCGGATAGCCCGCTAAGCCATCCCCTCCGAGCATCGTCCGGACGGTGTCTTCCTAGTGTATGGTGCACTTGATCGACGAGCTTGCGAGCGAGTGTCAGATATTCCCCGTTCTCTCCTCGACCTTGTTGGTGCAGTGTGATGAGGTTGCAGACGGCGAACGCGTCCGTCCAGAGGTAGCGGCGAGGCGTGGCGGACGGCGGCTCGAGACCCGTGCGTGCGACGAGGGCGCGCATGAACTGCTCAGCTTGCTGATACTTTGACATGACAGGTAAAACGTTGGGCGGCTATGCGTAGCAGGACGGTGGCGAGAACTGAGTGCGGACGTCCTGGTTGTCGCCTTCTGGAGCGAAGACGCAAAGGTGAAGTCATGGCAAAGACACGTGTGCAAGTCAGTCCCTTCATGGGTCGATCCATAAGAGATTGAGAGGGAGAGCACGGGACACTTCGAAGGAACAATACACCTTCCATATAGACCTGCGTGTCGCAGGTGATCATGAGAGCAAGTCTGTTCATTGAGAGAGGTCTGAGAACTTTTTGGAAAAACCGTATATTGTGACTGACAAGAGGAAATGGAGAGGAGGGATGAGGGTCTCGTTGCGAGAATCGAGCGGGAACATGAACGTTGGGAGGAAGAAGGAAGAAATGATGGCTTGTCGCGTGCGCGCCATGTTGTTGATGTGCGGACACGTGCCACGCTGATTTCATTTGTTTGTTCCTTCCTTGATGGCGACGCGCTCTCTAGTCAAGTATAAGCTCGTGTTCTTCTCTCCATCCGCGTATACGCAAGGCGTGCTTCACCAGCTATTCGCGCGATTTCCTGACACAGTCGGGAAGGAAGGCTTGTACCGCGGGTGCGCCTTTGTTAGTCGAGGGACAGGTATTTCCCAACGTTTGTCTCCATTACGACAGGTCTTCTGACCTTGGTTACTTCCAAAAGGTCAATTCGTCCCTCAGGAAGGCGCGTCGCCCGCCATAGGCGCGGTTGGTCAGGCAGAGACTGTCGAGGAGGACCGCGTCGAGATCAGCGTGCGCGTCCCGGAGCCCGCCGCGATGGCAGAGGTTCTGGACACTCTCAAGTCAGCTCACCCTTATGAGGAGGTCGTGTACGACATATACAAGACAGAAGCATTCTGATCAATTCATGTCTATCTGCACGAGTCCGTCACCAGGTCGGGACTTGTCGCGCTCCTCGATGTTTGTTGACGTATAGAAACAGGCTTCTGGATCGACGTTTTAGCCTTAGCATGAGAAAGACATCGACACTTCGGCAGTGTTATCCTCTGTTCAGGCGTCAGCAGGTTTCGCCGCTCGTCCGGGGGACTAAGGGAACTACGGGTAACACTGTAACTTTGCCTTGTCTTGTCTGTACAGGCGGATCATCGCTAACAAGGAGGGATGGCGAAAACAACGAGGAACAATTGCATAGTGCGTGGTCGATAAATTACGAGGATACAACATGAGGCTAACACAAGGAAGATCACGATACAGTACATGTGATAAATGCGAGTACAGCAGGTCCCATCGATGACAACGAGGGAGGTCTGCGCCCTGCCCTGGGGTGGCAGGGAGTAATATGCCCACGTCGCCCATAGCGAACGTGGCGCTAGCTTCGGAGTGGGAATGGCGAAGCCGAGCCAGACGGAGCTGACGGCCTGCGACGAGAACATCAGCGAGCTCCGGCAGAGGCGGGCTAGAGAATCCTGCAGACGGTTTGTCAGACGCTCATCAACATCGGAGGGGTAGGCCCGGATGGCGCGGATGTATACCACTCCTCACCTCTGCAGTTGCGCGCCAAGGCTCGTAAACCTGGTGAGGACGTAGTACGCAGACGCGGCGGCGGCCGTGATCGCGAGCGCGCTCGTCGTCCAGAGCGTGCCAGTCGCCTTCTTGCGGTCTACCGAACCGGGCAGGCCCCAGACGTCAGAGTCCGTGAGGTCCGGGTGCGTGTAGATCCTGCTGCAGCCGCGCATAGTGACGGGTCGTGGATGTGGTCGTAGGTTGAGGATGGCGAGGGTGTCGCGGGAGAACTGGACTCAGATCTACAAAGGGGCGGCGCCTTTATGCAGAGGTCGAGGTGCGTAATGGGGATATCTGCACGACTAGTGTCAACTGATACCAATCCACCAGTCCGGATCCAGCTCGCTGCCGAGGCTCACAGCAATGTCCGACAGGGAGACAGGAAGGGGTACGACGGCGGCGAAGGAGGAGGCGGGGGCGCGTCTATTACTGCAAGTAGCAGTCGCAGCGGCCGCTATTATATGGAGTCCTGTCGGTTCAGCCGCGCCGCCATACAGAAGCCGGCGAGCTTGGGCGGCGTGCTGATCGGAGCGTGTCGGTGCGGGGGCGTGCTCAGGCTGAGACTTCCATTTGATTGGCAGACAGGTCTCTCTGGCGCTCGTGCAGGCCCTTAGCCGCGCAAGGGAAAGCGCGCTAGTAGGTTTATCATGCGCGCATTCCGCTAATCAGCGGTGGGATCAGTACCCATCAGCGAGATCGCGTACTAGCGACGCGCAGGGTGTACGTACGATGGCTAGCAAGCTAAGCTATCCGTATATTCATGGCCATCGGTGTTTCGCTCGCGGGACGCTTGACTCCGATCCCGGTCTCGAAGGTTAGTTGAACGCATAACGCTCAAGGAACACAGACGGAATTGTATGACCCCGCTACGGCAAGTATCTGCGCAGCTCAGTGGGTAGGAAGTTTGTATCGCTGCGTGCCGTTGATTGCGTTAGAACCAGACAGCAAGACGAGTGCTTGCATTAGATTTCTGGATATCCGCAATTGCAGCAATCACCCGTCGGCCGGTTAGCTCAGTTGGTTAGAGCGTGGTGCTAATAACGCCAAGGTCGCGGGTTCGACCCCCGTACGGGCCATTATTGCTTTCAAGCGGTATGTTTTTTGCCTGGTGGTTCGGTCGCACTCTGGCAGTATACCGCTTTCGTATGTCCGTCGCCTGCACCTTCCTTGACTTTTGACACCTTTAATTTCAGCTTCCTGGCGGGATCCTGAGTGTAGGTAGGCAATGGTATCGCGCGTAAGTCTTAAACAATGCAGTGTATATTGTGTGTATGTATGCTGATGGTGTCTCGAACCAAACGAGAGACAATGCGGAGTGTACTAAGTGTGCCATTATACGCAACAATGTGACGAAACAATTAGTTACGGTGTGAACATAGTATCATACTTATATGCAAGCAAGCGCGCGAGGGAGCGTCCGCACCAGGGGGGCCGCTCGACGCGCAGGTCAGCGCAGCTGTCGGGCGTAGTCCAGCCGACTCTCGTCCTCGAGCTTGCGCTTCTCGCCGGACGTTCGCGGGAAGACCAGCCAGAACCGCAACGTCTGGTCCCGCCCTCCCGCGCCCGTCACAATCGACTGTCCGTCCGGGGACATCGACAAGTAAAGCGGTCTGGCGGAAGGACGTCAACAAGGTTGCAAAGGTATAACGCATGTAAGGATACCCACCGTTCGATATGCCCGGGCAAATTCGCGATCATCTCCAAGCTCGGGTACTTCCACACGCAGATCGGGTTCGGGCCTCCGCGGTACGCGCAGCGATGCGTAGACACGATTTCCCGCGTCGTAGGCGAGTAGACGAGGCCGCAGACTTGACAGCCGGTGTCGACGGTCTGAAGGAGATCGCCCGTGGTGCAATTCCACCACCGGATGCTCTGGTCATTCGAGCCGCCGCCTGAGGCGAGAATACCGCGCTCGTGGGGGTCCCAGGCAAGAGCCTTCACCGCTGCGGTGTGTGAGTGGAACTTGAAGAGGTAGTCCGAGGAAGCGGCTGGTACTGTCTGTCAGAGCAGCAACACAACATACCCATAGTTCAACGTACCGTCACTGATGCTCGACGTGCTGGAACCAAAAGTAGTCAGATCTTCCAAGCTCCTGTCAACGATGCCCCTCGCCACGTTTCCGATAGTGACATCGTTGTCACCTATCGAGCGAACCCGAGTCCGTGGACGCTGAGACCCTCGCAGATCCCAGATGATGACCTTATTGTCATTCCCTCCACTGGCCAGCAAGCCGTCAACGCCACCGAGGTTGCCCAAGGCTAAATCAGCCGACGTCGACGCCCCGTTGCTCCACTGAATACCGCAAACCTCTTGCTTGTGACCGGTCGAGATGTGTACGGGTCCCCGATTGTCCTGACGCACGTCCCGATGATGAATCTGACGATCGCGCGAGCCAGACGACAGCAGGTCCCCATTCCATGCAAGGCAGCCAATCTTGTATTCGTGCGCGCCCGTGTACATGCGTATCATGGTGAGCTTCACAGCGTCGAAGAGGTACAGCCGCCCGGACTCGGTTCCGACGCTTAGCGTCGTGCCACGTTGATCCCAGCGCAGGCTGGTCACCAAGTCGTGCGGCTTGTGCGTATGGGCGTCGAAGACGCGCTTCGCCTCGAACGAGTTGCCGCTGCATACGTAGACCGTGCTGCCGAGCGCCACGGCGATTATATTTCGCGCGCTCCAGTCGAGGAGGTTCAAGTAGAAATCGTCCTCCAGATCGGGTGCGCTGAGTACGCGGTACGGCGCCTTGCTGATCTGGCGGACGTTGGGATGGGGGGCTTGCAGGATGGCATGCGTGGCGGCGCCGATCGGGGAGGCAAAGTACGAATCTGGGACATCAAGCGCGTTCTCCCCTTCCGGTCGTCTATGCACGGAGTCCCGTGAGGGTGTGGCGTACGCGAGCAGATTCGTCCGCCGTCTTGCCGTCGCGGGGGAGTAGCTCTTCGGACTTGAGGTCGATGGGGATAGTTCGGCGAGCGCCTCCGTGTGCAACACGGAGTCAAATATCGATCGGGCTTGTTCTGTGCTTGATATCAGCGGCCCACTCCCTGTGGCATAACTTCACCACGCACCTTTCCTGGCGTCCGAGTCCGCTGGGATAAAGCTGTGGCGCTTCTTCAACTTCGGTTTCGGCTTCCTGTTCTCCTCGTCCTCCATGAGGTTGTAGAATAGCCCGAAGTCGTCCGCCTCGCGGGATGAGATGAATCGGTCGCCATAGTCCTTGGACGTGCTCGGACCTGGGGTCTTGGGTGTCTCCGGTTGGAATGCTGGCTCGAGGGCCGGGGTAGAAAAGCTGTCTTTCTTCGGGGTGTTAGTGGCTGAAGCGGTCGAGTTCCCTAGCGGCGCGCGTTCGGAGGCGTCCGAGCGCGATAACTTAAGGCGTTTCGCAAATGTTGTGTTGGAGAAGTTTGACATAGAGCGCAAATGGCGGCGGGATTCAGCAATTCGCCCAACAGCAAGTTGAGGTGACGGTTGAGGACAAGCGCCGCCACGGCCGCCCAGCAGCACTTTCGGCGACGTGTCACGTGGCCGCAAATTATGGCGTCACGCTTCTGTGGCGTGTGACACATTGTTCTCTTTTTCAACCTTCACTCTCCCGTCCGCTCTGGACCGCTACCGGTCTATTTCAAGTGCTGAAGGACTGGGTACCTACTGTGTCATCTCACAAATTTCATCGGAGGCTATGAAACGCTTCCAAAGGAGACGTAAAGCTCACGAAGATTAACAAAGGCTCACAAACGTGGTCCTGCCTTCTACAGGACTGACTTGTCTAGCTCTCTTCCCTACCAGTCCATGACCTGCACCTCGTCTTCGTTCCTTTCTACGACTTGCTCTTGGCGTGTCACTAGTTTGGTCCCTCGAAAATGTCTCTATGAATAATCAGCTGCGTCCTGGCTCGCGCTGTCTCGGATGCCCTTCTCCTTTTGCAACACCAGATTTACTCCCGCTCCCGAGAATACCGATGCTGCGCTAGAGACTTTTTTCGCAAGACTATCTCAAATAGCAGGGAGAATAACTAGGGATCTCGAACGCTGCCTCTCTCCTTACACGCTGCTTCTCTCTTCACACCATGTACGCGTCTTCTCCTTTGTTTATGGCGACCAGCAAGACATCTTCGAGCGTTGGGACGAGCGGGCATGGAGACGAGGGCTTCGGGCTGCCTCAGAGGCGGAAGACTTTCTCTGTCAGGGTTAGTATGATAGGCGTAGCTGTCACCCCTTAGCTCATTGCACCTGCAGAAGACACGCCTTTTGAACGGTGATCGCATGAATCGCGCATTTACTACGGACGATGTACGTGTTCCACTCTCCTCGTCGCATTTACGCGTCATAACATCCCTTCAGGTTCAAAGCTACCCATCTTCGTCCAAGACGTTCTATCCCGAGCCCACGATGAAGCGTCAGAAGAGCGACCTGCGTTCAGTGGGACATGCGCTGCGCAACCTCCTACCTATACGACGTGCAGCCTCCGAGGCGCAAACCCAGCAAACGACAAAGCCATGCACGCGCTCCGCCTCTGACTCGCGCTGGCAAACGCGGAAACAGCATACTCGCAAGATTTCCCTCGCGTCGCTGGCATCCACCTTCCTTCCTTCTAAGGACGTATCGCTCCCCTTACGATACTCCCCAGAGACCTACGAGCCAGAATCGCCTCCGGCCGACCGAGAATCTCCGCGCATCCGCCTCCGAAGCGGCTCTTTCTTTGGGCGCATGTCATCTGGCAACACCTCGAGAAGGAGAAATAGGCTGTCCATGCTCAGCAATTCGACCAACTCAAGCGGGAAGAAGAGTGATCAGGACGATTCGGACAGCTGGCGACGGAGCTCGTTTGTTGTTCACGACGAAGACGACGATGATGATCCTTTCCGTCCGCCCACGCCTTCGTATCTTCGTGACCCTGCATCTGCGCCTGCTTCAATACGAGGTTCGGTGAGTTCAGTCTTATTCAAGATGCTGGTGCATCAGCTCATCCTTCTTGCAGGCTGTCCAAATATCTGGCCCTAAACCATCGTCCATACACAGACACTATAGCACAGGGACGTGTTGATACTTCTTGCCAGCCTATATTCCTCTCCGCGTCGCTGTATACTACTATAGAGACATGATAAAGACATGATGTGTGCGATCCCTCCACAATATCGATTATTCTTCCCGAGCACTCAGGCTAGGTGGCGTGGGAATTCGCCTTCTCCCGTCTTATCGCCCGCACTCATCTCGCAAGTCCGGATGTCACGTCGGTGCAAGTCCTCGGGCGCTCGTACTTCATGTGTCCGACCTTGCCCATTTCCCTCTGTATCCTGTTTACGAAGTCGGACACAAACACCTCCCGAACCTCCCGAAATACACTGAGGTCGGTTCAGGCCTCTCCCCGACAACTCCACCCATGCAACCCATGCTCCTCTCCACCTTCGATCTAGCTTCTCCCTTCGTTCCGCGTCGCCCTCACCTTCGCGCAAGGTACCACCTGCCAAAGCCTACGATCCGAGGACGCACGTTATCCTCCGAGGAGAGCATGCGGTCACCTGCGCGATAAGGTGCTAATCATCCACCAAACGCGTCGCGCATCGCGTCCGCCTTATGACCTCGCGGGGCATATATATAAGGACCTGTATGGGGTGGAGGGTCGCTGCTTCCCCTGCCCGACATGGTCTCTGCGTGGCTAGCTCTCACAGTCGCGGTGTTTGCCCGGGGCGCGCTGGGGTGCGGCGAGGGGCATGACCATGAACACACACGGCGCGCGTACCCGACGACGAAGCTGCGGCCTCCGTCGCGTCCTCTGGAATGGGGCGACTTCAACGTCCTGCACACGACGGACACGCACGGATGGCTCCTGGGCCACCAGAAGGAGAGCTGGCCTGAACCGAACTACAGGTGCGTACGCACTGCTAGCGCGATCGAGGGGGGGAACTCATGACGCGACGCGTCTACGTAGTGGAGACCTGGGCGACTTCGCGAGCTTCGTGGCGCACATGAAGAAGATTGCGGAGGAGAAGGATGTGGATCTGCTGCTCGTGGACTCGGGGGATCTTCACGATGGAACGGGCCTCAGCGACGGATACCCACCAGGCAGCGTGGATGCTCACGACGTACGTGCTCCCCTTCTTTGCGGTGATCATGGCCTAACCCCACGCGTCGCAGACCAATGAGTTCCTCAAGAAAATTCCTTACGACGTCATGGCGATTGGGAAGTACGTAGCGGCAAGCTATCCCAGAGTTCCCTGCGACTAACGTCCCCACCTTTAGTCACGAACTGTACATCTATGAGAACACTCTCGACATGTACAACAACTTCGCCCCCGACCTCAACGGCCGCTACTTGTCCAGCAATGCGAACATCACGGTCCTTGGCGAGAACAACGAGACCATCAACGTCCCAGTCGGAGGTGCATATGAACCGACCCTTGGCGTAGCTGCTGCCTATGCTCATGCTCCCGTCAGAGCGCTTTACGAAGTTCACGACCCGCAAAGGGCGGAAGGTCACCTCTTTCGGTGTCCTTTTCGATTTCACCGGCAACGACGACAACACGACCGTGCAAAAGGTCGAGGACATGGTCAAGGAGAGCTGGGTAAGCTCCCGAACTTGTACCACGTACGGCTCCTGAACTGACACATTGCCAGTTCCTCGACGCCATTCAGGAGGAGCCCGACGTGTTCTTGCTTGTCGGTCACATGCCCGTGAGGGAGGACAACTGTCAGTCGTGACTTCAACCGCTGTGTCCGTGTTGCTCATTCTTCTTCAGGGCCCCTCGTATTCGACGCTATCCGTAAGGTCCATCCCACCACGCCTGTCCTCATCTTTGGTGGGCATACGCACATTCGCGATTGTGTTCAGCTCGATGGCCGGTCAATGGCTCTGGAGAGCGGTCGCTACATGGAAACGCTTGGCTGGATGTCTGCGAACCTGAATGGGAGCGACGACGGCAACATCACCTTCAGCCGGCGCTACCTCGACCCCAACCGCGTCACGTACCAATTCCACACCCTCACCTCGAACCACACCTTCGACACCGAGGATGGCACGAACATCACGCAAGGCCTGCTCGATCTCGCTCAGCGTTTTGACCTCGACTACCTCTTCGGCACCGCGCCCATGGACTACACCATCAACCGCGTCCCCTACCCCTCCAACAACTCCTTCCCCTACCTCTATATCGCCGAAGCCACCCCAGCCGTCCTTAGCGCGAACAACACCGCGAACAGCTCCCGCCCCGCGCTCTTCCTCACGAACTCCGGCTCGCAGCGCTTTGACCTCTACAAGGGCCCCTTCACCAAGAACGACCAGCTGACGTCGAGCCCGTTTGTGGACAAGTGGCTGTATATGCCCGAGGTTGAGTACGGGGTGGCGAAGCAGGTGCTGGATGCGATGAATAATGAGGGGGCGGATAATAAGAGGCGGGGGTTGGACGAGAGGGAGTACGACCGCGCAACCTTTGGGCTGGGGAGGGATACGGAGGTGGACAAGCGCTACAGGGCGTGGGTGCGGGAGATGGAGGCACTGGTGCGGGAGGAGAGGGAGCGCGAGATGCGGAGGGAGGTCGAGCATCATGGGCATCATGGTCATGGTCATGGTCACGCTGAGAAAAGCATTGGCTATGTGACGCGCGATGTAAGTTCGCTGCTCTTGCGTACCTTACATTTACTAACCGCTCCTCTGCAGAACTGCCCCGGCACTGGCGACGACACCGAGCACGAGCCACTCGAGAGCTACGAGCTCCCGGACTTCATCCAGTCCAATGTCACCGTCAACGGCACCGCGTTCGATGGCATCTCCGACGACACACTCATCGACTTCGTCTTCGTCGACTTCATCGACGACCAGATTGTGGACACGCTCAATAGCATCTCGGGCGAGGAGAAGTTCACCGTGGACGATTTGGCGGTGTACAGCCCGGTGTTGACGAACGAGCTGCTGGGGATTTACGCGCAGTTGGCGTGGAATTAGGGTAGCCAAGTGCTTTGAACATTGCATGTGTCTGCGTTCCTTGTGACTTTATAACTTCTGTTTCACGAGATATGAATCTTCACGAGTCTGGACAGTCGACTGAAGGAAAGGGCAGGGCGTTATTCGTCTTTTTTTTTTTTTCGTCTCTGCACTTTATTCACGCAGCAGGTATCTACATAGTACCAAGACGCGCTAGCCCACCGGTGGGCACCTCCGCTTTATGCTCCATAGAGGGCGTTATTCGTCGCATGTCACAAACAATTCGACTTTTGTGCACGTGATCCGGCAAACCGGCCCGCCTCTTCGGCGCTTATTCTCAGTGTCGCGTTTGCTGTCTTTTCATTTCCCCACCACGATGTCCAAGAGACGGGTGACCTACTACTACGATCGTGCGCTCAACACCATGTCTCCTAAGGGCTTTAACTCACTGCGCCACAGCCGATGTTGGGGCATACACGTACGGCCTGGGCCACCCTATGAAGCCCCACAGGATACGGGTCGCGCACGAGCTGATATCTGCGTATGGGATGCTGGATAAGATGCATGTGCTGGTGCGTGATCGAGCTCTTTGAAGGGGAAACGAGATAGCTAACTTTGAGGCAGAAAGCGAAGCGCGCCACTCCCGAACGGATGACCGCGTTCCATACCGACGAATACGTCGACTTCCTCAACAAGGTGTCGCCAGAGACAGTGCGGGAGCTCACGTATAACGGGTCTAGATGTGCGTTCTCGTATGCCCTTCCGCAGATTATACCCCCTAACCTCTACTCCCCCAGTCCTTGTCGGTGACGACAACCCCGCCTTCGAGGGCGTCTTCGAGTACTGCCAGACATCAGCGGGGGGCTCAATAGGTGCGTCCCCACAGCCATCCTTCCTCCCTTGCACGGCTCACTCTACCCTGCTAGCCGCCGCGAACCGCATCGCGTCCGGCGCGACCGACATCGCGATCAACTGGGCCGGCGGCCTGCACCACGCCAAGAAGCGCGAGGCGTCCGGCTTCTGCTACATCAACGACATCGTCCTCGGAATCATCGAGCTCCTGCGCACCTACCCACGCGTCCTCTACGTCGACATCGACTGCCACCACGGAGATGGCGTCGAGGAGGCGTTCTACACGACGGATCGCGTCATGACGTGCAGCTTCCACAAGTATGGGGAGTACTTTCCGGGGACGGGCACGCAGGAGGACACGGGTGTGGGGCGGGGGACGGGCTACGCGGTGAATGTGCCGTTCAAGGACGGGTTGACGGACGAGTCGCTGGCGAGCGTGTTCGAGCCGGTGCGTGGTGACGAAGTGTGTTGTCGAGGCTTGCTTCTTACCGTGACGTCTCCCAGATCATCGACAAGATCCTCGAAGTCTTCCAGCCGTCCGCAGTGGTCCTGCAATGCGGTTCCGACTCCCTTTCTGGCGACAAGCTCGGTTGCTTCAACCTCACCATGCAGGGTCACGCGCACTGCGTGCAGTTCCTCCGCTCGAAGAACATCCCCCTCATCCTTCTCGGCGGCGGCGGTTACACCGTGAAGAATGTCGGTCGAACATGGGCCTACGAGACTGCCTGCGCGCTGGGTATCGAGGACACCATCGACCCGAACTTGCCATGGAACGAGTACTTCGAGTGGTTCGGGCCGCGGTACCGGTTGGAGGTAGTGGCGAGCAATATGGAGGACCTGAATGTCAAGGAGGGGTCGCTGGAGACCGTCAAGAATATCGCGCTGAAGAACTTGAATGCCATCAAGGGGCCACCGTCGGTTCAAATGCAGGACGTGCCGCGGCAACCTTTGGGAGACCACCTAAAGACCAAACGAACTGAAGACGAAGAAGACGACGAGCGGGACAACCTGGACAGGAGGCTAGCGCGTACGTACCTTCGCTCCCTTGTTATTCCGCTCACCTTCTTATCACCATCTGTTGCAGAACACGCCCGCTACGTCTACGACCTCCAGCAGTCCTCCATGGCATCCTCCTCCCAATCCGACTCCTCCTACGACTCAGACGACTCCGAGCAGCCGATCTCAACCTCCGTCCACCGCCGCGCCGCCGCGCAGAAGACCAAGCAGCGCATGTCCATCCGCACGAACCGTTACTTTGACGTGCCCGCCGAGCCCGAATATGCGCACTACGATTGCGGCGCGTTGCCGGGGAACAAAGCCAAGCGGCGGTTCTTCCGGATGGGCTCGCGGATGGAGGACGACATGGGGATGGGGGAGCGGATGCGGCCGAACGGGACGGTGAAGCTGTTTGATGTGCATTCGACGATGACGAACGGGGGGAGGACGCCGGAACGGGAGTGGGATAGGCATGAGGACGAGGATGAGTCGGATATGGATGTGGATGGGCCGTAGCTGCTTTTTCTGTGGGATGATATGCCAGTTGGTGCTGCTATTTTCCTGTACGTGTACTTTTATGTGCTATGGACTGGGATTTGTTTTCCGTGCACGGACACCGCGTGGAGACGCAAGCAGTGAGCGCAGGGAACATGGATATCGTCATGATTGTCGAAACAGCCTTGGGTTAAAAAGCACGAGGGGGACACGTTATGCCCATCGCCGTCACCCTTCCTCCTTCCGGCGTCCCTGTACAAAAGTATGGCCGCCTACCTGTCCATCTCATCTGGAGGACAGCAAGTCTCATAAAATCTCTCTGAACCCCACGATAACCCATCCAAAGCAGACCTTCAGGCTTTCCTTCCCGACCGTCAGCGAGCTTCCGATGGACGCCTTGGGCGAAGTCAGTCGGGAAGAAAATGCAAGCCATGAGGAAAAGCGCCTCGTCATCGAGGAAGAAACGAGCAAACAAAGGTGACAAACAAACAAGAGAAGTTCCGTCACTGGCAGTGGCGCACGTGTTGACACGATCACGAGCTTTCGGACAGCGCCGATCATCTTGACCAGCGCGTCCATGATGACCTTCTCCTCATGGTACGGACGCATACGTCCTCCACATCTCAAGAGGCTCTAATCCCTCGAAAAACCACGAAGACTGTCCGATGTCCTTCGGCAAGTCGGACGGCATCGGCTGCAATGAAGTGGCACACGAGGGAGAGGAGCAGGCTGCGTGCGTCCCCTCTTCAGATTCTATCATCCAGCAATTTCTCACCTATATATATCACAAAGGCTCTTTATCGATGGTCCAAACGGCAGAAAAACCAACGAGATGCTCATTTTCGCACATTTGTGGCGCATATACCCACCTCGACCCTTCCCCGATCCATTCTGGAGTACTCCCTCCTTTTATATGTCATCTTGTGTTATTCTAACGAGAGCTACCGTCCTTGCGGCTCATGATCAAGGCTCTTCAAGCCTGTCTCACAGGAGCGGAAACACCGTTTGCCACCTCACTTGTCGAGGGCGCGTATGTCACCGTCCCAACAAATTCTACGACGGCTGGAGGCCTCCCCTAAGTCGGTCAGCCGTTGTTGATGAGCGTCATTCTACCCTTTATATCTGCACGCCGTGATAGCGTGCTGCTCCGATACCTCTTCTCCTACGCTGCGCTTTTTGTCGGGCTCATGAATTTGATACGGACGTCGTGACGCTCTTTGCCCCTCCTCAGTCCTAGCTCTCTCTCTTTCCATCGATTGCCTCGACGACGGCGCTCTCCAACAATGTTCACATTGTGTGGCAGACGATCGGCCTGTACAAATATCAGGTGCGCCTGGCTCTGTCCTTTCGCTACTTACTACATCATTATTCCCTGGGGTCTGCCTTAGCTGACTTGCCCATCCAAGTAGTGTGTGGAGATCTATTGATCCAGTAACTTTATGAAGCAACGAGCAATAACAGTGTCAATCAATTGGTCGAATACGAAGCTCTCGCGCTACTGGGTCGCTGCGCTTGTCAATCAAAGGTTGCGTCATCTGAATTCATTCTTGAATTGCGCTGCTTTATGGTGCATGCTGATTCTGTTCGCAGGATACATTACACACCATCAGGACGTTTCCAGTGTCCTAAGGGCTATGATTATGGCGACCATTCATTGAGCTGACCAGGTGAGTCAGCTCCCTGCACCAGTTCTCCTACATTCCTCTTCATATATCCTCCCTCCCTTCGGTCGTCGGCGTGGTGCCCTTGTTCGACTTTGAAAGGACAAGTCAAACATGTTAGTCACCGTGACTCACGCCGAGGAGTCCCGACACGGCGGGCAGCGATCGCCGGGTCGGCGCTAGTCTCGGGACCCGACTCTAGTTTTACAGAAGAGTGACCGGCGCCACATGGACAATAGATCGGCCCGAGGCCTTTTCCTGACCACTTGCCGAGGTCGCTGCCGGGGGCTGTCCTACACGAGCCTCCATTCTGTTCTTGACCTTGAAGGCCACAAACACCAACTCTTCCCTGACCTCATCCACCACATCGCAACCTCCGCGTTGACAGAACGATTACCGCCTTCCAAGCGCATCTAGAACCCCTGGCGGAGAATTCAATTACAGTTTCCAGGTCCCGTTGACGGTTGCTCCCGGCACTAAATGTCTACGACCGCATGTGCGTGGCTGTGTTTCTCTTTCTTTCCCTCGATCTTTCACGCTGAGCACCGTCTTCAGCGCCAAGCGAAACTAGCACAGGCGAACCCGACGCCAGCACTTCCCCCACCATGTCGGATTCTGGTTCTGCGAGCACGGCTGCTCCTGATACGACGACCACCGATGCAGTGACCACGTCGGAGGAGACGACGACGCAGGAGCCGACGACCACGCAGGAGACCACGACGGAGGAGCCGCCGACGACCACGCAGGAGACCACGACGGAGCAGCCACCGACGACGACCCAGGAGACCACTACTCAGGGGCAGGACACGACGACGCAGCCGCCGATCAGCCAGCCGACGTCTCAGGCCACAACAGACAATACAGGGGGCGGCGACTCGACGAGCGCAGGAACCCCGGCGACGTCAGGCGGGAGTAGTGCGAGCAGCGACGCTTCCTCGTCTTCGTTCACCTCGACGCGGACGTCCGTGTTCCAAACCACGCTCGTCCAGACCTCCAACGGCCAGACCATCACCACCGTCTTCGAGACCACATCGTACGAGACGACGGCCCTGCCCACCTCTGGAGCGAGCGATGGGGACAACAGCGGCGGCAGCAAGTCGCACACGGGGGCGATCGTCGGAGGCGTCGTTGGCGGTGTCGCCGGTCTTGTGATCATCGCCGCGGCCATCTTCTTCCTCCTCCGATGGCGCCGCCGTCGCCAGGCCCTCGACGACTACTTTGACGGGAACTTCGACCCCGATCGCGTCGCTCGCCCATCCGGCACATTGCCTGACGTTCCCCTGGACGATGACGATGCTCCTGGGGGCGCGCGTGTGGGCGGGGCGACTATGATGGACAATGGAGCCGGCGTTGTTACGCCGTTCCTCTACAATCCCGCCGGACAACAACAACAACAGCAGCCCTACCACTCCCCTCCCCACAGCCCGCAACCCCCCTCGTCCGGTAGCCCCCCTCCCATGTCCATGTACGGCGGCACGTCGGAGGGCTATCACCCGAGTGTATACGCCGGCTCGCAGGCACCTATGATGCCGGGTGGTGCGTGGCCCGTTTCGCCCCCCTCACGTGCTCGAGCTTGACTGACCCCCGTTTTCAGCGGCGCCTGCGAACTACACACCGCCTCCGCCTTCCTCGACGTCTGGCCGGTCTTCTTACCCGTCGCAACCATCCGGTGTGCCCGGGGGCCCGGGCTATATCCCGAGTGCCAAGGAGCGTGAGGCGTACCCGCAGCGCTTTGAACTGGCGAACCCGGATCAGGGTGACGTCGGCGCGGGCATGGGCTTCACGGACCAAGATAGGCAACAGTACCTTGCGTCTGGGCCTTCTGGACGTGCGTTGAGTTCTTTGTCGTGTGCATTGCGTGAGGCTGACTGTCCCTGTCCTGCAGCTGCTCATCCTTCAGGCTCGGACGTTTTCGTGCACCGGGATGGCGGCCGTCTCGAACAAAACGAGATCCCGCCGACATACGATAGCGTCCCGCGAGACGAGCGCTAGAAGCACGCTGAAGGCGCACTCTGGACTTCATCTTGATCGTGCGCCGCTCTTCTGCGTGCTTCTCACCCTCATCTCGTACTCTCGCTCCCGCCATATTTAAAGAGCATGGCAGTGTTTCCTTGTGTACCTCTGTCCCTGTCTCTATCCACCTCCTCTGTCTATCCATCTCCTGTCCGTCTACCTCATCCACCTCCTCGCACCTCGCAACGGACTTCGGACACTAACAAATCCGCTGTGTGTACTTACTTACGACCTCGCTATGCATCCCATCCCCTTTCGAACCTTCGTGGTATCTACGCTCTTTGGACTTGTCGCCACCCTACAAGTTAGACTACTAATATCCTTATCATCTTCATGTTAGCCGGCACACCTGCCGTCGTACCGTCTCTCCCTCCTCCAGGTGTCTTGACCAATGTGAGATACAGCCGAATGTTGTCGAGTTTTGACTGCAAAAAAGCTTGCTGCGAGTGTTGAAGTAAAATACGGTAAGTAGCGTTCTTCCCATTTACAATGCGGGCATTCACAACTTTTCTACCAGCCCAGGCCAAAAGGAGGACTTGGAGAGAAATGCATTAAGGGGGAATCGAACCCCCGGCGGGTCGAGCTCGCTGCTCGAGTGGCAACGACCCAGGTTACCACTACCCCATTAATGCTTGAACAGTGGCAGGCTTCTTTCAATATCAGTAGACTGTGCCTTCTGGTATCGCCCATTGCTCGGAAAGTAACGTTCTTCGACCCATTTCTGTCAATATGTACCAGCTGTGGATAAAGGCCTAAGAGGGTTTACCACACGCTGTCGCTGACTGCCAAATGACTGCTGTGTTCGGCAACTACCGGCCCAGTGTCACGCTCGGGTTCGGAGTGACATGTTGGCGTCCTCCTTGTCGCTGCACCTGTTGATTCATCGGCATCCATGTTGCAGAGCCAACGATAGCGATGCAGAACTCCGAGATGTTCTACGTCTGGAAGGCATCGTTAAGAGCTCGGTCAGAAGGATCTGTTTTCACCTTCCCGAACGCTGCATCCAATCATCGAGCGCAGTCGCTGGCTGCTCGAACACCTCGCACATATGCCTACACGTCATCTTGGGGGCGACAGAACGGGAGATGAGTCCGTATATGTAGGACTACGCGAAGGAAGGAGAAAGATACTTACCATCCCGGACTCGCGTCTCGCCCGCTAAAAACATGAGCACTCATATCTCTTCTACCGTCTACCTCGTCTCCGGCGCGACTCGTGGGATAGGTCAGCAGCTTCAACATCTCCAAGGGTGCTAGCTCGCTGATTCATCTCACTTCACTAGGCCTCGCGTTTGTGACCTTGCTAGCAGAGCGCCCGGACACGATCGTCTTCGCCGGAGCTCGTGACCCCGCCACCGCATCAAACCTGCAAGCACTCGCCAAGAAGCACCCTAACAATGTCTTCATTGTAGAGCTCAAGGCGAGCGACGTGGAGGGGAACACTCGCGCCATCGAGCAGATCCGCCAAAATGCCGGTCGGTTGGACGTCGTGATCGCTAATGCTGGTAAGTTCGCGGCGCCGGCGAGTGGAAGGAATGAGCTGTCTGACGCCGAACTCGCATAGCTATCCAACAAAACATGGAACCTCTCGTGAACGTGACGCTCGACACGATGCGCGAGCACTACGACGTGAGTTCGCCCAATCCTCTCCACCTCTTTCCCTTCGCCTTTTCCTCTCCCTCTCCCTCGCCTCCTCACCTCTCCCTCTCTCTACCCTCTCTCCCACTCACCTCCCCCTAGACGAACGTCATCGGCACCCTCGTCCTCTTCCAAGCCGCCTACCCGCTCCTGAAGACCTCCCCCACCCACAAATTCATCGTCATGGGCGCGAAAGGCGGCAGCATCACCAACGGGCCCGAGTACGGGATCCTGGTCGGCGCGTATGGCTGCACGAAGGCCGCGGTGCACTATTTGGCGAAGAAGCTGCAGTTTGAGAATGAGGATTTTGGTGAGTTTGGCGTGTTGGGTTTTCTTAATGCGATTCGAGGTTCTTGATTCGATTCGAGGAGGTGGACGTCGTACGGAAACAAAGCTGTTACTGACGCACCTGCAGTGATATTCCCCATCTGCCCGGGCGCGGTGGATACGGATATGTGTAAGCCCTGTGGTAGCGCTTGAAGGGAGGCGGATGCGATGCTGACTACTTGTCAACAGTCCGCTACGCCCAGGAGCGCGACTCCCGATTCGCGCAAGTGAAGGGCGCCGCGCCTGAGGAGGCCGCTGCCAGCATTTTGAAGATCGTCGACAACGCAACGAGAGAGAACGCGGGAGGGAAGTTCATGGACGTGTCTGGAGGAATTAATGATTGGTAGAGGAAGATGGTGTATTATAATGCCCGAAGGTGCGAGACGATGTACAACTACTTGCAGAGCAAGATGATACAGTTCGGCGAGTCGAGGCTTCTGACAAAGATGAGTTCCAAGACGTGAGCACTCGCGCTTGTCTCGGTCTCCATACGACTGAGGATCCCGTTCGGACTTCGCCATCCGCGCCCAGTCACTAAGCTTCGACCTTGATCAACGATCGTGCCTCGATAAGGCGCGTTCGAAGGCGCAGCGCATGGAAATCCACAATTTGTCACGCAGGTGAAAGCTCGCCGAGAGCGACACCCCCATCAGTGTCGAGTCCTCGAGCTCATCCGGCCATGTCGCATCTGTGCCTCCTGCTCCGCGTATACATGAAGGGGCACAGGTCGTGCGCTTGGGATCTCAGAAGAAGCGGTAGGACAGGTCAGCCGCGTTCACTTCGCAGATCGAAGCAGAGAGGTTTGGGGATATAAGACGGCGTGCAGTAAGCTCCCGCCTACCAACCTTTCCACCATGACCACCTCGTCGACTACCTCGTCTCGAGCTCCACTCGAGGTTTCGGTAAGGGCACTAGGCTTTTTTTAGGCATCAGTACACCGAACCTGCTGCACATCGCTCAGAAAGTACCATTCGTCGGCCCATGCCCGTCGATATATTCCAGCCTCGAATGATACCCAAGCTCACCATACGTTGTCGCCGACTGCCTACTGACTGCTTCAAGTGTTTTCGGTAACTAAATACCGGTGAGCCTCACCCAGTGTCACGCTCCGATTCGGGTGTGACATGTTGGCGTCCTCCCTCGTCGCCGCACCTGCAGCGTGTGGAACCATGCTAACCTAGGGGATGGGCGAGCCCGAAAGTGACGCGTACAGTCGGCATTGCTGGTAGCTCGGTCGAAAAGGTTTGGCGACGCTGGTTGACCAAACGCAGCGTCCAATCACGAAGCACAGTCTGGCGCTGCTCGACTGCTTCGCATATGTGCGTACGCGTCATCTTGGAGGTGACAACCCGAAAGATGATCCTATATAAGTAGTAAGATCAAGCGAAGGAAGAAGCAGGGCACCTGGTATCTCAAACTCGCGCTTCCCACCTAATCATCATGAGCACTCAAACCTCCTCAATCGTCTACCTCGTCTCTGGCGCGACTCGTGGGATAGGTTAGCAATCTCAACTTCTACAAGTATGCTACCTCGCTTATCCCTCTCACTCTGCCAGGCCTCGCTTTCGTATCCTTGTTGGCTGAACGCCCGAACACGATCGTTTTCGCCGGCGCTCGCGATCCCGCCACGGCGTCCGACCTGCAGGCAGTCGCCGCAAAGCATCCCGACAATGTCTTCGTAGTCGAACTGAAGGCGTGTGACCAAGCAGGGAACACCCGCGCCGTCGAGCAGATCCGCCAGAAGACTGGCCGCCTGGACGTCGTTATCGCGAACGCTGGTAAGCCCGTGCTTTCAAGGCGTGCTGACGACGCTTGCTTACGACTACCTACGATTTCCCCAGCCATCGCCAACAGCCTGAAGCTCCTTGTAGACGAGACACCAGAGGCTATGCGCGAGCACTTTGATGTGGGTGTCAATTGCTTTCATGCAGACGGCCGTTATGCTCACCGCCGTCCCAGGTCAACGTCGTCGGCACCCTCGTCCTCTTCCAAGCCGCATACCCACTCATGAAGGCCTCCCCAACTCGGAAATTCGTCGTCATGGGCGCGAAGGGCGGCAGCATCACCAACGGCCCCGAGTTCGGTGTCCTCGTCAACGCGTACTGCTGCTCGAAGGCAGCAGTGCACTACATGACGAAGAAACTGCAGCTCGAGAACGAGGACTTTGGTCAGTGATGCGCGCAGGGTGGTGCGAGCTGACGCGACGAGGTCCGCCAGTGATATTCCCCATATGCCCAGGTGCCGTGGATACCGATATGCGTGAGTGCTATAGCAGGAAATGGCAGAGATTGTGAGCAACTGACAGGTTATGACAGTCCGCTATGCTCAAGAGCGCGATCCGCGGTTCGGCAACGCAAAGGGAGCAGCGCCGGAAGAGGTCGCTGCAAGCATCCTACAAATTGTCGACAACGCAACGAGAGAGAACGCGGGAGGGAAGTTCATGGACGTGTCCGGAGCCGTCAATGCTTGGTAGAGGGAAAGATGATGTATCATAACGCCTGAAGGTACGAGACCATGTACATCTACTCTCAGACCGTGGTCTTATAGTGCATCGGCTGAAGATGATCCTGCTGAGAGCTTTCGACCACCTCAGGTCGCGGTCACTCGCGCTTAACTTCGTTCGGTAAAATTGGAGTTCCCCCTCGAGCGTCGACGCCGCCTGGGCCCAGACACTTGATGCCAGCTTGGTTCAGCATCGTGTCTCGAGAAGATGCAGTGCATGCAGGAAGAGACCTTCTGGGTGCGCCCCTCACAAGCGCCAAGTCCCCGAGCTCATCGGGCGATGGCGCATCAGTGCCTCCTGCTTCTCATATTCAGGAAGAAGTCCGTACAAGTAGTGTGGCAGCTATGAAACCAGCGATGTATAAATCTCATCAAGCTCGCGCCTAGGAGTCTCGACCACAGCCATCGTCTACCTCGTCTCGGGCCCCCGCCGAGGTAATGGTGAGTGCCTCGCTGGCCGCATTGACACAGTCGCGCTCACCAGACGTCTCGCCCGTTCTCGTCAAACGCTTGCCGCCTCCGGGGTGGCCTTTCCCTCACCCTCGTTTATTGCTTCCTCTCCCCTTTCAGGCCTCTCCCTCGTACCCTTTCCCGGCAACTTGGAGATGTTCAGCTTTCCGTGGGTAGAATATTTTCTGCGTGCATTCGTAGGCAGTCAAGAGGGGTAGAAAAATTTATTGGAAGCTACATATGAGGTACATTACAAGCGGTAGACTCTACACAACTGGGTTACTACGGCGAACGGAAGCCAATTCACATGGTCGAGCGGGGTCGGCATCGCCGACGTACACAAGGCCGTCATCGTGGAGTGCGAAGCAGGGCTTAGTGGTGCCTACGCAGTAGCGCTTCGGGCGGGCGAGTGTGGTGCGGAGGAGGCCCGAACACGAGATGGAATGGACAATCGGGGCCGGGGCGATTGGCGGGAACATGGCGGACACGCTCGCTCGAGGACGACGCGGTAGCCGATGCCAACGACACAGTGCTGTCAGCCGGGTGGTCCTGCATAGCATCATCAGTATCGGCGAGAAGGACGATTTGAGGGAATCAGAGGACCGCATACCTTTTCACTTCACTCCTCGCCGAAAATTTCGCGCTCCCACGTAGACAGTGCCTCCTTGTACCTCAGGCTGGTCAGACTGGAGACGTCAAGCAAAAGAGGTGAGGTAGGAAAGCGGGGTTAGGCTATGCGGCAGGATAGCAGCGCTGGCGCGGCGAGATGCCTCGGTGGACGAGATGGTGTTGCCGACTTCGAGCGTGTCTCTGGATTGAGTAAACGTTCGGAGCAGTGAAATGAACGGTTGTATACTCATCTTGCCCTCTAGCCACAAAGACCCGCGTCGCGCCTTGGCATATGTTGCTCTTCCCACGGGAACCGGTCTCAGTAAGCAAGAAGCGCATATATACGCGGGAAAGCACATCTCCGACGGATAATTGAGCCGACGTTGATTCGACGGTGGTTCGTGAGTCCGGAGATTACATTGTGCCTCAGCATATGAATCGCGGTGTTAAGAACATGAGGGAGGACGGAGAAGAAGGTTGGCGCAACATGACAGGATTCACAGCAGCGGAAACGGCGGGAGCTTGCTCATCTATTGACTTCTTAAAAATCAGACCAATCGGTTACCCCGGGACCTGGTCAAGTTCATCGAGTCAGCGTTCTCGTAATCAGGTCTCCTCTCTACCCTGTGTATACTTTCTGACACGGAAGATAGGATAATCGCAAAGCCAGTGTCGTCTGTTCGGGTATCATGTGACCGGTTCGACTTTCGGAGCCGAGATCACCTGCCTGCCCTGCGTCACTCAGGCTGTCGTCAACCTCGGATGATTGCCGAGAAAATAACTTTATTGTTCGAGAAGAAGGCATATGTTCTTCCAAATGTAACCAAAAGCCGTATATAGCCTTCAAGTTGACCCAAAATCTTGGACCGACCTTCCGAGCGGCCTCGGATCCTTGCACCCTTCTTGAACCTGACTCGGAGTCTTTTGAGCTCCCGGGAAGGTACGCGAAGGATTCGTGCGAACTTCGGTCGCGCGCCCGCCTTTCTCAGCGCCCCAACACTCACCGAAGTTCTTGGCCAAAAGTACGTTCTGACGGCCGGAGCAGTGTCACGCTCCGATTCGGGTGTGACATGTTGGCTTCCTCTCTTCTCACCACACCTTCTGCTTAACCGGACCCCACGGTCCAAGGCTAATCATAGGTGTGGGCAGGCCCGAGAGTGATGCGTATTACAAGCAGCATCACTGCTAGCTCGGCCGGGGAGATTTGTTGACCAGACGCAACGTACAATGTATAAGCAGAGTCTGGCGCTGCTCGTATACTCGCCCACGTCATTCGGGTCGGGCTTCATGGGACATTGTTTCGTATAAAGCGAGCACAGAACCGTGGTGAGAAGGGCATCCCACCTCCTCGAGCATCATTCCACAGTCAACATGAACACCACTTCCACCGTCTATCTCGTCTCTGGTGCGAATCGTGGACTAGGTTAGCACAATCTCATGAATAGGTTCAACTCGCTCATACGATTTTGCTGCGCCAGGCCTTGCATTTGTGGCCCTGCTAGCAGAGCGCCCGGACACCATCGTCTTCGCAGGTGTTCGCAACCCCAAGTCGGCGTCGGACCTGCAGGCAATCGCCGCGAAACACCCCGACAACGTCTTCATCGTCGAACTAAAGGCGTGCGACCAAGAGGGGAACACCCGCGCCATCGAGGAGATCCGCCAGAAAACGGGCCGCCTGGACGTCGTCATCGCGAACGCTGGTAAGCCTATGCTGTGGAAGCGTGCGGGCGACGCTGCTAATGGTGGTCTTCGAATTGGCCAGCCATCGCCAACAGCATGAACCTCCTTGTGGACGAGAAGCCAGAGGCTATGCGCGAGCACTTCGACGTGGGTGTCAATTACTTTCACGCAGACGGCCGCTATGCTCACCGCCGTCCCAGGTCAACGTCGTCGGCACCCTCGTCCTCTTTCAAGCCGCGTACTCGCTCATGCAGGCCTCCCCGACCCGGAAATTCATCGTCATGGGCGCGAAGGGCGGCAGCATCACCAAGGGGCCCGAGTACAGGTTCCTGATCAACGCGTACTGCTGCTCGAAGGCGGCGGTGCACTACATGACGAAGAAGCTGCATCTCGAGCACGAGGACTTTGGTCAGTGACGCGCGCCGTGGAGTGCTCAAGTCCGTCGTCCGCTGACACGCCGCCAGTGATATTCCCCATATGCCCCGGCGCCGTGGTCACCGATATGCGTGAGTGCTATAGCGGAGGACAGGGATTGTGGGCGGCTGACAGGTTATCACAGTCCGCAACGCTCAGGAGCACGATCCGCAGTTCGGGCACGCGAAGCCAATAACGGCGGAAGAGGCTGCGGAAAGGGTCCTGAAAATTGTCGACAATGCGACGAGGGAGAATGAGGGAGGCAAGTTCCTAGACGTATCCGGAGACGTTAATGCGTGGTGAAAGGAAATATTGCATTTTCGTGTGTTGTGTTTGTAGAATCTAGATGCGATGTACTCATAATTTCAGTATGCATGCGCGGTACTGAACCGTCGTTCCGTTCAGTCGTGGCCAGCAAGACGAAGGACATGCCATGGTCTTCCAATCAATGGAAGATACGCGCTTTCTCGATCCGGTTCGGCTGCAAACCCTCTTCGGACTTCGCTGCCTACGCCCAGTCGCTTGAAGTTGACCTTGATTGTTCCCCGTGCCTAGGGAAGGCGCATTCGGTCGCACAGCACATAGACGTTCACCGTGCGTCATCGCAGGTGGGTGTTCGCCAAGCTAGAGTCCCCCACTGCAGGCATCAGGGCTCCGAGCTCATCGGGCGATGGCGCATCTGTGCCCCTGCTTCTCGCATTCAAGAAACAGAAGATGGCACTCACGAGATCAGCCAAAAGTAGCACGAGTTCCACCTTCGAGAGGCCGGGTCAGTCGTATTCACCTCGCGCATTGGATCGAAGAGGTATAAGGGCGAGATGCAGTCCTTCAAGATCTTGCGCCCATCGACCTCTCCCCAATGGCCACCTCGTCGACCGTCTACCTCGTCTCGGGCTCCAACCGAGGGATCGGTGAGTACATCGCTGGCCGCATTGACACGGTCGCGCTCACCTGACATATCGCGCGTTCTCTTTCAACGCCTGTCTCCCCCCTCTCACCCTCGTCTATCGCTCCCTCTTCACTTTCAGGCCTCGCCCTCGTCACCCACCTCGCCTCCCGCCCCAACACGATCGTCTTCGCCGGCGCGCGCAACCCAGACGCCGCCTCCGCCCTTCACGCCCTGGTCGAAAAACATCCGAACCGAGTGCATGTCGTCGAGCTGAAGGCGGGCGATGTGGAGGGTAATGAGCGCGCGGTGGAGGAGATTAAACGGAAGGCCGGCCAACTAGATGTGGTGATCGCGAATGCGGGTGAGTGGCTGGAGGTGGGCGACGGGGGGATATTGGACTGGGGAGCTGATGAGATTGTGAGGACAGCGATCTGCAAGGACATGCAGCCGCTCACGGGCGTGTCGCCGGAGTCGATGCAGGAGCATTACGACGTGAGCCTCATAGACTCTGCGAGTAGGCCCAGATAAACCGATACTCGCTAGGTCAATGTCATCGGCACCCTTGTCCTTTTCCAAGCCGTCTACCCCCTCATGAAGACCTCGCCGGCGCGCAAGTTCATCGTCATCGGCGCGCACGGCGGCGCGATCACGACGGGGCCGGAGTACGGGGTTCTGCTCGGGCCGTATGCAATCACGAAGGCGGCGGTGCATTATTTGGCCAAGAAGCTGCAGTTTGAGAACGAGGATTTCGGTGAGCAGTGGAAGAACATACAACATACCACGATCGCTAAACGTGTACTGCCAGTGATCTTCCCAATCTTGCCAGGCCTCGTGGATACGGATATGTGTGAGTACTATGATTGCCCGCGCGTCGAATCTTGCTGCGTGCCGCCTTACTAAACCAGGTTCCCAGACCACTACGCCCAAAGCAACAGCGACTATTTAGCCAAAAGACCAGGCGTGACAACCGCCGAGTGCGCTGCCGGAATCATGCGCGTCGTGGACGGAGCGACCAGGGAGACCGCGGGAGGAAAGTTCATGGATGCTGAGGGCGGTGTCAACGAGTGGTAGGAAGGCCCCTGGATGCAACAGGAATTTAGATGAACTGTACTTGTATGCCGCACCTTCGGTGGAGTTAATTCTCAATCAGATATCTTGTTATGCCGAGCGCTGATGATCGCACTGGCTCTTACCGAGCACAAATGTAGGGGTGGAACCGTGTGATGTTGCGAGGGAGAAATGGAACTTTGCAAGAAAAAAGTACCCGACATCGCAGGAATGATCACATGTCCACAGCCAGGATCGAACTGGCGATCTCCGGATTGCACCTCGCAGTAGAAGCTCATACGAACGTATGAGACCGGCGCTCTAACCAACTGAGCCATGCAGACGCTACAAGAGGGGGTTTGGCATGGCCACAGCCGCCGGGGAGACTACAGACGTCGGACAGATCAGTTGTTCATCGAAGGGAGCAAGCATGAGCTGTACGTGCGAGGCAAGGGAGGCCATGGACCAAAAGCTGTGGAGGAAGAGCCAAGCACTGAGCAAGAAGGCGAAGAAGATTGACGTCCGCGATGCGTTTGTGGCTAACGATGGCATGCCGAGTTGCTGCGTAGGGTGTTTGCAAAGGGCAATGATTATGAAGCCGAACGGCGGAGAACGATTCAGACCTTGCAGTGGTGTATATACTTCGGACTGAGGCATCGTGGCGGGGGCGTTTTGGGAAGCGGTCGCTAGTGCTTTAGGGAGATCCGTGCGTCGAGGAGGGTCGATACACCACTGGCATCTTGGGTTGTCAGATATCTATAGGGCGCGCAGTGGTGTCGTCCATCCTCACCCGTTCCCTGGGACGACAGCGAAGGGTCGAGGATCTTGACGTGCGTTCCATAGTCGAGATGAATATAACAAGGCTGGCTCTCGAATTTCAAGGTGGACTGATGCGCGATATGTTCATGGTAGTCGCAGTCGAGGCAGGAATCAGTAGGACGATGCATCATGGAAGAGATGGAAATAAGGATACAGTGCGAGCAATGGTCATGAAATACAATGATGCGGTCTGCATAAAGATCGTCAAGAACAGCGCGCGAGGATCAGACGCACACGCACCTCTATGGCCTTGTTGGCCGCGGTGCCTCTGCACCATGGCGCAACTTTTGATCTACGTCCTCAGGCAGCTGTCGCGGCCGGCTCGTCGATCGGCGACTCCTTCTTGCCCGCCCCCGACCCAGTCGCCATACGCGCAACGCCGCCCTCCGCATCCTGTATCTCCACGTCGATGTCCCGCCCACTGACCGTCTCATCTTCCTCCGCCTCCCCCTCTTCCGCCGCCGCATCCGAGATATCCATCCGCTCGACCATCCACCTTGCCCCCTCGTCCCATCCGCTCTGCTCAGCAACACCCAAAGGTGATCGCCCCGACCCATCCCTCACATCAATCAACCTCGCGCCCCCGGCCTTAAACAGCGCCTCCACCGCGCCCAGTTGCGCATTCAGCGCCGCCCAATGCATCGGCGTCGCCCCCGCCGCGTTCGCAGCCGCAGGATCCGCCCCTGCAGCAATCAGCACGTTCAAGACCTCTACGTGCCCGTTCGCGGCGGCCATGTGCGCGGCAGTGTTGCCCGCGTCGTCGGCGGCGCGCGCGGCGGTGGGGAAGCGCGCGAGGAAGGTGGTAACGTCGTCGAGGTCGCCGTAGCGGCAGGATAGGCGGAAGTCGTCAAGGTCCTCTAGGGTGGGGGAGGTAGATTTGACGTCAACGGGGTCGGGGACGGCGCTGGGTGGTGGTGCGCTCATCGCGGTGTGCAGGAAAAGTTGATCGCTGGCGATTAGGCGCCGTCGGGTACCGGGCCGGCGTGCCCAATCCCTGTGACACAGCTCTGTGACGAAGTTCAACATCGCAAGCGTCTTTGGGTGCACCAAAGACACATTGGAATATAGCCCGCACCGCGTTTCGAAGCAGATAGCATTAGCGATAAGTAGAGGGACGAGATCCCGCGTGTTGAGGTAGGAAATAGCTATAGGACCGTCGGTCTGTCCGAGTGTATAGCTCGATCGTGGATTCGAAGCGCCTCGGCTTGGGGTAGCACAGAGACTCGGTTATACCATGCTGATGTTTGAGAGTGCTAACAATTCAATGAGATATGCCCGCAACAGTTACTCGCCATACCGTACAGCACGAGCAATAAGTAGGCGGACCAAGGCCCGAATGTTCAGGTGGCACCGTCGGTCCGCGCATGACGAGCTCTTGGTCGTTTCCCCTCTCTATATAGTGTTCAGGTCACGCGTAGGAATGCTGAGATTATGATGGGTAATCTGAGTATGCGAAGCGAACCCGACGAAGACAAGTCACCGCGAAGTGCTGTGAAGGCAGAGTGATGACGAGGAGGAATTTGCAATGCCATTGAGCCGCATTGGGAAGGAGGCGGGCGCGCGCCCACAGTGCACCAGCTCTGCGCCAATGTCCCTCTGCTAAGGCTTTATCTCGAACAGAGGGGTATTGCCAAAGCAAAATACACCTATATAGGCAAGCATCGCTATAATGGGGCTTTTTATGTGGGCCTAGGACTCGAGCGCGATGGCGAACGCGATGCTGTGGCGCGAACATCGTTTGCTTCCGTCCGGGCCAATACACGCGCCCGGCCGTTCAACAAACAAGCAAGCAGGAGCAAACATCGTACAGCCACATCTCGCCCGTATATAGGCCAGCGTCCCTCTTCCTCTTCCCTCGTGGAATTCTCTCGTCGACAAGGTCCCCGTGGATGGCCGTCGCTCGCCACGAGCCGGCGGCCTGATACTGTTGTCGGATGTGCTGGGGCCTGGTTGAGTGGTCATTCTGCGCGTTCGGTGGGGGTTGGGGCTCCGCCTCAACCCACCGGGTCGTGGGACCCATTACCTCCTGCTGCTGGCAGACCGGCGCGCGCTTAGCCCGCAAGCCTGGGCGGCGTGTGGGATTAGTGGCCCTGTGACTCGCCGCGGGCAGTCCTGGTCGCGTTTGTGGCGGTCTTTTCTGAAAGGTTTCGGTTAGTTGGTTGGTTAGATGGATGGGTGGTCGGCCGCCTGGGGGCGAAGGTGGTGGAATCCTGTGTCTTCTTGCAATGTTTGCTTACGCTGGTACGTGTCCTCGCCCTTCGTCTTCCGACGCTCGTTGACATCTTCCTCGCCCTCCCCCCATCAGCATCGATCTCGCATCCCTCTTGGCCGACGCCGCCTCTCGCCGTGGCCTCTCCGCTCATCGGCGGGCCCCACGCCCAGCGCCTCATACACCTTACTGACATCTGTCTGCAGCACGCCGCATGCTCGCGCCGCCAGTCCATCGTCCAGTACTGGCTTCCCCGCTTGTTCTGTACTTCTCCGTCGCGTCAGTAGATGCACAATAATATACGTTGCTCTCTACATTCTTTCGTCGATGTTTTGTCCGCTTTGATCAGAGCTGGCCCCCTTGAGTATACATCATCGAGCGATCAATGAGTCTTAAGGCGGCGCGAAAGAAGAGCCAGGTCACGGCGAGCAAGGACAGCAAACGGAGTTGGACATGTTGCACGCGAATATGGACAAGCAAACGGCAGGCGAAGAGGAAGGTAGCGGACGAAGCTTAGGAGCAGATCAACGGCACAGAGGTGTTGACGAGGCCGGCGGAAAGAAGGGAAGAACGGCGAGGAGGCGGTGGAAGAAAGATTTGCGAGGAGATGACGCCTGCAGCATTCAGCACATTCGACAACTTGGCTTGTGCTCGTCGCGATTGCTTTCGACGGCGTCGTCCAGATAAGCTTATCACCGGATTAACTCTCACCTATTTTCGCATGTAAACCGGCGATCTGAGGAGGTCAAGCAAGTCATTGTCAACGCCGATGCGCCCTGGGATACTTAACTGTCGAGTCGCGGGTGCAGGCCTGGAGCCATTTGTGGCGTTATCCCCACGTGTTGTCCCTTGTTTTCCCCCACGACGTGTCTGAACGCGCCTCGCGTCCTGTCCTTCTCATATCCCCGACGCGCCGTACTCCCCGTCATCTTCATCTTCTTGTCCGTCCCACTCAACTGACTCGCCATGAATCTCACGCTCTACACGATCTCCGCCTTCATCATCATGGACAGCGAGGGGCATCGCGTCCTCGCCAAGTACTATAGACCAAAGAGCGCGGAGGCGCTGGCACCGTTGGGGGCGAAAGGTATGCGGTTCATCTCGACAAGAACACTATATGTGACTGAGCCCATACTTCCCCTTCCATCGCCTTGCGTCCCTCTCAAGCTAGCAGCCTGACAACACTGAAGGACCAAAAGGCGTTTGAGAAGGGCTTGTGGGGGAAGACGAAGAAGGCTGGAGGTGCGTGGTACATCCTTCCCTAAAGATCAACGCTGATCTTCCGCTGCGCACGCAGGCGATATCATCTTGTACCAAGACCACCTCGCAGTCTACCGCCATTCCCTCGACCTCATCATCTACTTTGTCGCGTCTCCGGCGGAAAATGAGGTGCGGTGTGAGGTTACGATGCATGCGCCTATATGCTGACACCTTCCCCTCGTCTAGTTGATGCTGTCAACAGCACTCAACTCCCTCGTCGACGCGTTCAACCTCTTGTTACGGGGGCAGCTTGAGAAACGCGCCGTGCTCGAGAACCTCGATCTGATCTTGCTATGCCTCGACGAGGCCGTCGACGATGGGTGCGTCCCACTATCGCCATTGGCGCTATATGCATGCCTGACCATGCCACCGCTCAGTATCATCCTCGACACCGACTCCACCGCACTTGCGTCCCGCGTATCACGATCAAAGGCGGACACGACGGAGATCGTCATCAACGAGCAAACGGTCATGAACGCGTTGCAAATCATGGGCGAGCGCGTCCGCGGGCAAATTGCGCGTGGCCTCTAGAAGACCACGTCGCGGCGTCTAGGAGCTCGCTCGTAGCATTCCACTGTGTATCCTCATTGTCCATATTGCATTCTTGACCCTCCCAGCCTCGTCTACAACTTTGCCAGTGCTCGCGACGACGAGAATATCGTAGCGCCCAAGGACGAAGGAGGGGGGAGGACACGGAGAGGGGCGCTGAGGGGAGGACACGGAGAGGGCCGCTGGGAGCGGGGGAGGAAGGCCCTCGAGAAGGGCGGGGAGACGGAGAAAAAGAAGAAGAGCAAGAAGGGGGACGAGAAGGGGCCGCGGCACTTGTTGGCGGGCAGCTTCGAGGCGGGCGGGCGGCTTCGAGGCGGGCGAGAGGGTGGGGAGGGGGCACGTGCGCGCGAAGAGGAGGTGGCACGAAGATGTGGCGACGTTCGCGCGCGCCGAAGGGCGACGGGCGTGCACCAGAAGGAAGGGGGGGAGGCGGGGGAGAGCTCAGAGGGATGTGGGAGGGACGAAGGAGAGGTGGGAGGACGAAGGGGAGGCGGGGGAGGATGAAGGTGAGGCGGGGGAGGGACGAAGGGAAGACGAAGGAGAGGCGGGGGAGGGACGAAGGGGAGGTGGGGAAGACGAAGGAGAGGCGGGGGAGGACGTGTCGGGCGCGTCGTCGTAGACAGAACACTTTGTATCATGTAGTTCTGCTATACATTTTCGTTTCCCTACCCTACGAGCCAGCGAGGCGGCGTGAAAGGGGGAGGGGGGTGCTGCGACGCGGCGCGAAAGGGAGCTAGGGAGGAGGTCGCGCGAAGGGGGAGGAAGTCGCGCGAAGGGAGGGGGGGGAGAAGTCGCGCGAAGGCGAAGAGGGTGCGAGTCAGAAGGCCGATGGACGAGACGTCGATGCACACGGAGAGGACGGAAATGAGAACACGAGCACGACGAGAAGGGGAAGGAGGACGAGAAAGGGGGGAAGGACTCGGCGAGAAAGCGATGGAGGTGATGGGGGAGGGCAGTTGCGCGCAACGACGCACGAAGGGGGGTGAGTAGGCGAAGAGTCAGTGGGGAGAACTAAGAGGATTCAACAGGAAGGGAGAGGAAGGAGGCGAGGCAAGCGCGAACCAAAGGGGAGGGGAGGGGTGGGTAGGACAAGACACGGGTAGAGAAGGTGAGGGGGACGCGCACGAAGGGGGGGAGGGAACAAAGGTAAGGGCAGCTTAGCCTGGTGACCAGCCCCTCTTTGCCTCGTTTTCCTCGTCAGAGGGCCTGGTAAAATCCTCGGAAAAGTTGGCGTGGATGAACGATGTCGTCATTGCCGTTCCCAAAAGGCGAGTTTCCTTTTCCAGCGCTCTCGGAAGGCGGTCCGCCAGTTCCGACCACCCGGCCGACTGCCTCAGTTCTGAGCGAAGACACCAAGGTTGGGGCATCTCTTGTATGCAGAGCTCGGGGGACATAACCAAATGATGGAGTACACATTGCTTTGTATTGATGGTGCTCCAACTCAAGTGTACGGGCTTGTAGAGCGCCTTCGGCGTGCCAAAGCAGTGACCAGCAGTCTGACATGCGGCAACTCACGCCCAGGAGGCGAAGGTGTAAGTGTTGTCAGCCATGGATGGGTCATATATTCCCCCTGAGAAGTGCTTTCCAATGTAAATGGATGCAATACACGGGCCAAGTCGTCGACGAAGGGCCAAAAGCTCAAACGCTCGAAAAGGCAACTTCGCCATTTCGGGAAGAAAAGCGTGACCATTATGACGACATCGTTCATCCACGCCAACTTTTCCGAGGATTTTACCGGTCCCTCTGACGAGGAAAGCGAGGTAAGAGGGACCGTGTTACCGGTCTAAGGGCAGCTCTACCTACCTATCGCACAAAACGGCCAATCGCACGCCCTCGCGCGGGCCCGGGGGTCGCTCTGCTGAGGTCTTCGTGCGCGACACAAATTCGTCGAGGCGGGAAGTTGTTCACAAGCGAAAATCGTTATATTGAAGGCAGGCAAGGTAGAACTACACCTTGTGATAGAGTAGCGAACCCCTCAAGCCCAGTTGGCGCCCGTCGCTTGTTACCCCCGCGCCCTTCGTTAGGGTGGACATCGCACCCCATCCCGATTCAGACCCCCCTCGCGATGCCGTCCCACCCATAACTTGACCACCCGGCATACCTCCACCGCCGCGCGCACCCTCCTACCAACCCGCGCGTACCGCGCCGCAGGGCGAAGGGACCCCCTGTTCGTGCTCGCACCCTTTCCTGTCGAGTCCCGCACCCCCGCGACAGGATAAGGTGCACCTTTCTTTGGTGCGCTCACTCGCACAACATTTCTCCCCTCGCGCTCAATCCACTGGTAAGGGATTCGGGTCAGCCTACCCCCTCTCTATATCGGTACGCACCCCGGGCACCCCCACCCCTCCCTCCATCGCGCTCTACCCGCGGCCTCATCCGCCCTCGTCGCGCACCTCCCTCTCGCACTCTCTTCACTCCGCACCCCCTCGTCGACCGAGCAAGGCCCCTCCGCGAAGACGACGGCGCAGTGGCGAACCTTTTCCGGGCGTATGCACTCGCATAAACGTCGGGGGGCGATGCCAATTTCGACGGCGCGCGCACAATTTCTGATAATTCGTGAGCAAACTCCGCTCCTCGCGCTCGTACCGAGCACCCTACCCACTCGGAGCACCCCTCACCCTCTGGCGCACCTTCCTCGACCGGTGCCTGACCCCCTACCTGCCTCTCCCGACCCGTCTCGTCGACTCGAGAGGCCCCCTACCCCTCCCTCCCCCTATTGATCCAGCGTGGTGCCCTCCCCTCCCGTGCCCCCCTCGCCGAATTCAGACTCGCACCTTTTCCCAAGGCGCAAGTACCCACACCCCTCCCACCCCTTCTCGCCGAAATCGGAGGTGCCGTCGATGTTGACGACGCGTGCGCAGGATCTGCGTGTTCGTCAGCGCGTCTACGAAGGACCCCTCCCGTGGTATGAGGCACCAAAGGGCCCCTCCGCCCCTCCCCCACCCCCTTGCGGATATGTTTTTCATCGCAGTTGCACCCCCGTCGCCCGCGTGCGGAAAGGCGTCGATAGAAATGTTTCTGGAAGGGGGGTCAGCATCGCGTAGATAGGTCAGCGAAGGTGCAGTCGACGAAGGGGGAAGGGGTAGGGGGGTGAGGGGTAAGGGGGAGACAAAAGTAACCTGAATAGGTCGGACATAAGCCACAAAATCATGGCGAGGGGATAAAAAGATAAGTACAAGGAGGGAGGGGGGGGGGCGGGTAGGAAGGGAATGGGGCCGACGAGCGAAAAGGTATCAGTAGAATGATCAGTAAAGCGACAAAATCGTAGGTAGGGGGACAAGGCTCAGCGGAGGGAGGGATACACGAAACCAGCAAGGTGGGAGAAGCCAAGGAAGGGGGAGGGATAGGTCATGGAAGGGAGCGCTAAGCGATGAGATAAGGTGGGAGCAGGTGAATAGTGATGGGTCAGTAGATAATTAGTGATGGGTCAGTGACACAATAGTGATGGGGGTCAGTAGATGGTTGAAGTAGTAGTGCAACAAATAGTGATGGGGGGAGGGGGAGGGGAAGGGGGACGAGGTGCTCACTTACCTGAATCGCGTTACGCCTTGAGCTCGCCGCCGTCGGCGTTGACGAGCGCGCGTAATCATCGCATATGCGCGTCGGGTGACGGTGAGCGGGGAGTCGCCCGAAAGCCGTCAAGACGACTCGATCTTCGCGCTCAGCATCGCGCTCGATGCCGTCGTCGAGCTCATGGGGCGCGGAAACCGCTGGTCGTCGTCGGTGCCGCTGCGCACGATGAGCAGGTGAAGGGCAGGGAATGACTGGACTCACTCTCGTCGACTTCAATGCGGCGCGCTCGTCGTCCGCTGCCCGCCGTCTCCTCTACGCGAGCAGGCCATGCCCGACGCTCTTCCTCGCTGCCGCCGCCGTCGTGGTCGTCGTCGCCGTCGTGGACGAGCGCAAGCAAGCTCTGCGGGGAAGGAGCGGCGCGGAAGAAGCACGGGGAAGAAGTCGTTAGAGGCTGACATTGACAGGCGCCCACAAGTACCTACTCACGTCATATGTGAGTGCAGATGGGCGCGAATGTAAGCCCGACGGTGTTCGTGAGCGCGCAGATGGCGCACGAGAACCAAGGCAATTTGGAACATACTCTGCACGAGGTATTAGCACGACGTCGAATGAGATTGGTGAAGGGATAGAAAGGCAGAGAGATGCCTATAAGCCCGCCAAGGATGCGGTATCGCGAAGAGACACTCACCGTCGTTAGGGCCAAATCAGTAGGGCGAGTGACCGCGCTAGCAAAGAGCGCGTCGCCGCAAGGTTGGGAGGCCAGCGTGCCTATAGACCTGAATTCAAAGTAGAATCAGTCAATAAATCAAACGCATCACTTGAGCTAGACTTACAGGAATCAGAGGTGCGCTTGCGGCGTCCACAGTAGGTGTCGAGAGCGCTAGGCAAATCGAATCAGCGAAAGCAATGGGGCCTTTAAAAGGCTCACCATTGCAGAGAGTAGCGGAGGCGGCAGACAAGTCTGAAAGGCGTGGTCAGCATAGGTATCGAGGGTAATAGCAAGCGAGAGGACGTACAAGCATGCGAAGGGTGGACAAGCGATGGGTCACAGAAGGCGCTGTAGATAGGCGGAGAGGGAAAAAGGTCAGGCTGGCTGATGTCGCTACCAACCTCCCCGCCCGCCCTTTATACACAATCTGCCTGCCGCCCTCCGTCTTCCCCCGACCTGGGCTCCTCGGCGAGCGCTCCCATCGCCCATTCCCTGCGTCCAACGCGTAGCCTAAATCCATTCAAATGTACGTGAGCGGCGACCGTTTAGCTCACCGCAGTCGAGACCGAAGTTTGCGAGCGCCAGGGCGGAAGATTGGGGTGCAGTCCTCCCCGGGGCGGCATACGTTCTGCCAGTCTTGCGTTGCGATGAGCGCCCGCATCGCGTCGAATACACGTACCGGACGACCTCCGCAGTCAGGGGGTGGCGTTAGTGAGCAGCGGAGTCGGGGATGCAGGAGCTGCCCGCTGAGCTTTGCCGGCCGCGTTCTCTAGCGCAAAGGGTGTCTCCTTCGACGCCTGTTCAGCCCAGCGTTCGCAAGAGAGCAGCAAAGCAACAAGAAAACATAAGTAAAGTGACCGGTGACGCGTCACAAAGCCGGGGTGCCCGCGAAAAAGCGCCAGGAAATTCGAGGTGGTGGTTGAGTTGTGCGCGATCAGGCTGTTGCTCCATTGGGAAGGCCTTGAAGTGCTGGAAAGTGCGCGCGCCAGAGGCGCGCCTCGTTCAGCGTTGTCTTCGTCGTTTTCGACCTTGCCGACCCTCGGGAACTTTACCGACGATACTTCCGCCCCTGAACACACATTCTGCCAGAGAGTCTATGCAGAATACAATGCAATTACCTGATATGAGCAGTTCAGCTCGCAGGATATCATCTTCGAGAGCGCGCGCATCGCGCCCGCTGTCACCGCATCCTGTCAAAATTAGGCTTCGAGTATCAGGGTACATTCCTCGGAAGAGTTCCGAGCACGGAAACGTACGAGGCAGAGTGGAAGATACGCTCGGGAGCTGGGGCGAGAGCGCCGAGAGGTTGCCTGCCCGCGATTGCGCGCTACGAGCGTACGGAGTCATGTCGTGAGTCACTTACCTCGAGGCTGAGACCGGAGATGAATCCAAAATTTCAATACGCCCAGGCGAAGAGACCGATAGGTGGCAGACTAGGTGTGAGGAGCAGAGGGTATGCATATCGAAGCCTGTAGTGAGCGCAGGCCAGTCTCGCGTCCGGGGCGTGCTGATACACACTCACAGACAATTATTGTGTACTTTTCGCGCCGCACGCCCTCGCTAGGACAATGCAGGAGGTCCGCCGAAATCGACGCCACATATTCAAACCACCACCTCTTGCGCCGTGCATAGCGTTCGCATGCGCGGGAGGCAATTCTGAGTGCAGAAAACGCGTCAATAGCATCAATAGAATCGATCTTAGAGATAATAATTTTCACCGAATATATTTTTGTGTAGGGTGACCGTTTGAGGTGGTGAAGAGGTCGAGTTGCGCATGCAAACCTCTTCGACCTTCAGAAACGATAAGACAGAACGCTGATCCCGCCCATCGAGGACTTGGCGTCGTTTTCTGAAGCGAGGGGGATGGCCGTTGTAGTGTGTGTGACCCATCGTACCTACTCGTTCGGCGGCGGACGACGTCCGAATGCTTCTCAAGCCTCCCTGCGCGCCACCGAGTGAGGATTTCGAGTACTGTGAGTGCGATTTTGAGTGGAACAGGCCGTGTCGCTCAGGATGGGTATAAATGGAGTGCAAGTTTGGTTTCGCGGTCTTCCCGGGGGCACCCGGGCATGCGATAGGTGAGAACGTGAGGTGGCGGCGCGCGACAAGGGAGCTCGGCAAAAGCCGCGGAGGTTCGTCCCGGTTTGCCGGCGTGCCGGGCCTTTGTATTTCTTCGACTTGAACCATCACTATGACTGTCTGGCGTGCCTTACGTGCTTTCTGTAGCCCTCTGTGGCGTGTATAGACTCTCTCCAAGGTCCCGCGTGCATGTCCTCAAGACTTGTGCTCGCCCTCACCCTCAAAGACATTGCGCTCAGTCGAAATTCTGCGACCCATGCTCCTGAGGCGGACCTGGATAGATATGTGTTCCCCCACGCAACGTCGCAAAATTTGGATATCCCACAGTACGCGGCCTACACGGGCAGTGCCTTTTCATTCGAGGGTTTCGGCGAGCGCCCGAAGGGGTAACATCTCAGATACTGATAGGCTCACGCCCGCACGGGATCACTCGCCGGTGAGTTTGTGCATGCTTGCTTGTTGATACGTCTGTCGCGCGGCGTTTCCTTCATATACACGTACCCTCGGCCTGTTTCGTACCTTCACCATCCCCCGCGCGCCCTCTCGTCGTCCTGCCTTCCCGTGTCCTCCCCGCCTCCCCGCCTCCCCGCCTCCCCGCCTCACCCGTGCTCTCGATGCCTGGCTGTCGACCGGGCGCTGACTAGCGCGTCGACAAGCCGGCTTGTCTAGGTGAGCAAGTCTTCTCAGCTCTTCTTCCTTCCGATTGTTCTGTGTTGTCCTGGGCTCGAGGCCGTTCATGTCCACTCCATGTTTGTTCTCTGCAGTCGCCTTCGGCCGGCTGAAGATTTCCTCGTCCATCGGTCATCGCGTCAGGCGCTGCGTGGGTTTGACCTTGGCGCCTGGCAGGCGATCCACTTCCCCTCCATGTTCTCCTTCATCCTCTTCGCCTTCCACTCCAAATATTGCTCCATTCCTGTCTTTTCATAGGAACCGCTTCTTCTTCTTTCTTGCTTGTCTGCCATGGACAGCTTTCAGCTCGCATCTGATTTTCCCTGTGCTTCCAACATGCACTGATGTTGTTGCAGAGCACCCTGGACGGTGGATTGCTGGGATTCTCGCGCAGAACGGGAGCCAGCAGGGCTTATCGGTGAGTCTCGGATTCACATTTGATCGCCAACGTATTCACCCGACGCTTGTAGTTATGCTAAGGGAGCTCCGCGCGCTGCAAGAACGACCGCGTCGGAGGCCCGCGAAGAGTATAGTCTTCTTCGCCCATGTCCACAGTGTCGAAGGCATTCTCGGCGACGACTTTTGTGTACACGGACGACGATTCGACTATGGCCAACCCGTTCCTCGGATGACGAACGCGAGACGATTGCACCTCAAACCTGGCGAGGTAGTGGTGGTAGTCACCCGGAGGATGGAGTGTAACGTTGGCGCTATACTAGCATGCTCGGTGAGTCTCCATTCATTCTATTGTTTCATGCAACACTCATTCGACTCTCGCAGCGCCCTTCCCGCGATGTCGCCCTCGTCACCCAAGTCCTCATTCAACCGCAAGTTCTCGTTTAGTTCGCAAGCCATCGGCGCCTCTTATCGACAAGCAACCCAACCCGCGAGCAAGTCCTGAAGCAACGCATCGCCTCCCGTCGAACAAGGACCGTACCGCCAGGTGAGTTGAATGTGCTCGCACATAGTGCTAGGCGCTTACTTCCATTCATAGAGGGCTACAATCAACAACGCGCCGCCGCTGCTGCACACCCGCGAGACGAGAGCGAGTTCAGTTCGTGGAGCAAGTGACTGTTAGCCATCCCACGAGCGAGGCGGTAGCTGGGTTCACGCGGGTCGTAGGTGAGTTCCAAGCTGTGGAGATTTGACTGAGGCCCTAACTTGCTGTCGTAGATTGCACTCTGCTTGATGGACTCGCGAAGCAATGGATCGCCGTCCGGTGAGCGGCGTGATCGCGTCTACAAGATACGACTAGGCCGTCGAGTGTTGGCTTGTAACCAGGTAAGCGCGTCACTCGTCTTTCTCTCTCGATCTGAGACTGATCACGGCGTAGTCTCTTCTCCTATGCACTCCACTCTACGAGGCTCGCCTTCGACATTGTTCACTCGACTCTGCAAGGCTGGGTTCTCGGTCTGAAGAGCTTTCGCACGTCGGGCACCCTTGACCTGTGCTCTTGGCGCGGTCCATTCGGCCGCTCTCGACGCGGCCAAGTCTGGTGATCCCGATACGGTCAACCTTCGCACCGAAGCGATGGATCGTCGCCCGCCGAGCGGCGTTGTGCGCTTCTGAGGTGTGCTCCTTGTGTCGTACTATTCCCTAAGCGTCCGAGCTGACCTTGCTCGTAGATGATTTTGCGCACGTCCTTTGCCTTTCTCTGTCGACCTACAACTTACGCCACAAAGTCGCGTCGCCGGACGTGACTTCATCTGTCCGGTGCAAGATCATGTCCTCGTCAGGTCTCTGTCGGTTCTCGTGTTCTCGTCCCTGTCGGAGGAGCTCCGCGGCAAGTACAACGTGCGTCGCAAACGGATTTTTTTCTCTCGTCAACAGCTTTGCTGATTTATGTTCGTCAGGCGTGTTCCCCTCGCATCCTTTGCTCGAGGGCGATTACCATCGCATCGGGCGCGGCAAGTACAAGAGTCGGGATGGCAAGGTCACCCAAGTCTACAGGAAGAAATGGGTCACTAGCCGCTCGCTTGTTTCAATTACGCGCTGCCCGCCCGCTGTCAGCAAGCACTACGATACCAAATTCACTCATGAAGCCCGAATCAACTCGTGAAGCAACATATCGCCGTCCGGCGGGCGAGGTACTGGACTTCTAAGTCTGTTTCTAGCTGTCTTTTCAGGTGAGTCCTATCTTCTCTCCTCATCTCTCACGCGTCGCTCACAACTCCCTAGGTCGTAGATTACTTTGTACATTGTAGAGTACTCTATAGCAACTTTGTACTGATCACGCAGGCCCGTCGTCCCCCGCCTACCCCTGCGCCCTTACCCGACCTTTCGGCGACCTCGACATCTGAATCTGACGTTTCTCAGCCTCCCGCCACCTTCGCCACCGCTACCACCCACCCTCGCTCGCCCTCCTGCTCAGTGCCGACCGCGGCTCCGAAAGTTCAACATGTCACGTGCCCCCATCCAGGCGCTGAGGCAACGTATCGACGTCCGGCGAGCGGCGCCATGAGAGTCCGACGAGCGAGGGAATCCGTCGCCGAGCGTGCTCGTCGAAGGAATAGGTACCGTTGAGTTGGTAGGGTGCGGTTGAGGTTGGCGGCACGGGAGAGCGCACGGTTGGACTTGGGAGTGTGCAAATGGGCTGCCGACAGGTGATTTCGGTAGTTGAAGGTCTAGTTGGTTGCAGAGGTATTGGTGGGGTACAGCTACATTGGTGTACAAATACACAGGAGTCAGTAAATACACTTCCGTCTAGCATATGCACAGTTCGGTCTTGTGATTGCCAGTTCGAGCTTCGTTCATACTCGAAGCAATGGACATTATGTCAACAAGTAAGGAGGTAGCCCTGAAAATGTAGGGAACCTCAAAGAGGGTCCTCGAGTCCATTGTCAATCAAGAGTGCAAGCTTAAAGGATTTGCTCACCGGCATGTACGGAAGTGTGACAGTCCAGGAAGGGATGTCCGGAGGAGGTTAGATGGTTGGGAAGGAGCGAGAAGAGGTATGGGCTAGCGGGGAGAGATGCTGGCCGGTATGAGTGCAAGGAACGAGACTGTGCAGTCACTAACGGTTAGCTGCCACAGTTGCCGAGCACTCGTCGGATACACCCCTCGGCGATAAGGTCACAGCGTCGGTGAGCTGAGACGTAAGACGGAGAGCGGAAGAGGAGGACGGCGAGAGGACAGTGGGTGAGGAGAGCAGAGGACGAGGAGAGTGTATAAACAGAAAGTATTACATTCACTTGGTACGACTAACCAGTCTTCATCCGAAGTCAGCAGCAAGATCCCGACGCCGCCCTGAGCACACCAAAAAGATGAAGTTGGCGAACACCTCCCAAACAACCATCCCTCCGTCACGCGTCGAAACAGGAAGGTAGCCGGGCAGCGAGCGCGGTGACGTGCGATCCGTCTATTTCGGGAGCACGCCACCAAGCGTTCGCAGGGGGAGCCGGATCCGAGCCTGGGCGGAGGGCACGGGACAGGGCGTGGATGCCAGTGCGAGTGAGAGCGAAGCAAGCCATTGTCAACGCCGATGCGCCCTGGGATAACTGTCGAGTCGCGGGTGCCAGCCGCGCGCCATTTGTGGCGCTATCCACGTGTTGTCCCTTGTTTTCCCCCACGACGTGTCTACGCGCCTCGCGTCCCGTCCTCCTCATACCGTATCCCCCGACGCGCCGTACTCCCCGCCATCTTCATCGTCCTCCAACTATCATGAATCTTACGCTCTACACGATCTCCGCCTTCATCATCATGGACAGCGAAGGGCATCGCGTCCTCGCGAAGTACTATAGACCAAAGAGCGCGGAGGCGCTGGCGCCGCTGGGGGCGAAAGGTATGCAGTTCATCTCGACACGAACAATATATGTCACTGACCCTGTACTTCCCCGTCCATCGCCCTGCGTCCCCCTCAAGCTAGCAGCTTGACAACACTGAAGGACCAAAAGGCGTTCGAGAAGGGCTTGTGGGGGAAGACGAAGAAGGCTGGAGGTGCGTCGTACACACTTCCCTAAAGACCAACGCTGATCTTTTGCTGCGCACACACAGGCGATATCATCTTGTACCAGGACCACCTCGCAGTCTACCGGCACTCCCTCGACCTCATCATCTACTTTGTCGCGTCTCCGGCGGAGAATGAGGTGCGGTGCGAGGTTACGATGCATACGCATATACTGACCCCACGCCCCTCGTCTAGTTGATGCTGTCAACAGCACTGAACTCCCTCGTCGACGCGTTCAACCTCTTGCTACGGGGGCAGCTCGAGAAGCGCGCCGTGCTCGAGAACCTCGATCTCATCTTGCTATGCCTCGATGAGGCGGTCGATGATGGGTACGTCCTCGATCTCGTCTTTGGCGTCTGCACTCCCGTCTTCGACGTCTGCACTCCTTCCTTCGGTGTCTGCACTCTGCTCTTCCGCGCACTCTTGGCTGACGATGAACTCGCTTCCAGCATCATCCTCGACACCGACTCCACCGCACTTGCGTCCCGCGTATCACGATCAAAGGCGGACACGACGGAGATCGTCATCAACGAGCAAACGGTCATGAACGCGTTGCAAATCATGGGCGAGCGCGTCCGCGGGCAAATCGCGCGTGGCCTCTAGAAGACCACGTCGCGGCGTCTAGGAGCTCGCTCGTAGCATGCCATTGTGTATCCTCATTGTCCATATTGCATTCTTGACCCTCCCAGCCTCGTCTACAACTTTGCCAGTGCTCATCGCAGCACTCATGCAAGACGGTCCGTCTTAATCGTCAACTATCTCCAGCCTCCCCCTTCAGCCTTCGCACATGTCCTGCCTTCGTCGCTCGACGGACTCGCGACTGACCTAGGTCTTCGACGCGCGGGGCAAGCCATGGCAAGCAAGACGAGTAGGTCTGCATGGCTCAGTTGGTTAGAGCGCCGGTCTCATACGCTTGTATGAACCTCCTCTGTGAGGTGTAATCCGGAGATCGCCAGTTCGATCCTGGCTGCGGACATTCAAAGCATATAACCTGGCTTTTTTCCTCTCCAAAAAGATGAGCATTGATGCGGACGAGGAGCCTGGGGGAAGCGTATATCATTGTGCATCGACTGACGCGTCAGAGAGGTATAGAACGAACGGGGAAGCCAGTGCTGGACGACGAACTGGCGATGCGAGCATGCGGTGTGCTGCAGACAAATGTCAGTAAGGCGTATTAGGCGCTGGGCGTTGGGCTCACCGATGGCACGCGTTCTGCGCGCGGAGAGACCACGGCGAGAGGCGGCGTCGGCCAGGAGGGAGGCGAGATCGACGCTCAGCGAGTGGGAGGGCGAGGAAGATGTCAGCGAGCGTCGGAAGACGAGGGGCGAGGGCACGTACCAGGTTGAGCGAAGATCGCAAGAAGACACAGAATCCTTCGCCCCAAAGCGACCGATAGGGTGACCCAACCATCCAACCCGAGACCTTTCAGAAAAGACCGCCACAAACGCGACCAGGACTGCCCGCGGCGAGTCCCACTGGTCCCACACGCCGCCCAGGCTTGCAGGCTAAGCGCGCGCCAGTCCGCCAGCAGCAGGAGGTAATGGGTCCCACGACCCGGTGGGTTGAGGCGGAGCCCCAACCCCCACCGAACCCGCAGAATGACCACTCAAACGACTTGGTCTACTTGATCTCTCAACGCCTAAGAGCGTCCTCCGGCTCATCGCCTGCATCCCTCCTGCATATGCGGTCACAAGCCCCGATAACCAACTCCCTCGTTATCCGCCTTCCAAAGCCGAGCACACCATGCACCACCCCATCCGGACCCCGAGACCGCTCACGACCCTTTGTTCCCCGTTCCTGGGACGAACGATCAGAACTTCTACCCGTCGAAGCGTGCGGGGCTTCACCGTGTACTTATGGCTTCTGCCCGCCTATCCGAGCACATGCACACCGGGGCTGGCGGCGCGGGCTCGAGGACCGTCATATAAGTGGAAGGCAGTGGAAGAACCGCGGCGCGCGCTTATCGTTCGCCTGCGTGCATCGCGTCGACCATGAAGGTATCAATGTCTGCGTTATCACTCGCTACTGCAATGCAGGCTGCACTCGGTGCCCGCGCCGCCACAGTCGCGTCCGAGGCCTCTATGACCTTGCTAGGCTTTGGTGGATCGGGTGCGTTCTCCCTTCTACTCTCTTCCGCATCCTCTCCAGTACCCTCCTGTACTCCTTCTCTCTCGTCTTCCGCTTTTCCACCCCTCCCCGTTCCTTTACTTGCAACCAATCCCCCCATCTCACGTCCCACCCCACCAGGCGCCTGGTGGCCCTACGACCTCTACAACTTCCCCGACCCCGTCCGCGCCAACCTCTCCGCGCTCCTCTTTTCCGACACCGGCCTCGGCCTCACCTCCTACCGCTACAACATCGGCGGCGGCGGCGTCAACGTGTCGAACCCCGTGCGCGCGCCAGAAACATTCTATGTCGACAACAATACATATGACTGGGACGCGGATGCCCCCGGTCGGTACTTTTTGTACCAGGCGCAGGAGGTAGGCGGGGACGACCTGAAGATCACGATGTTTGTGAACAGCGCGCCGGCGGCGATGACGCTGGAGCATGCGTCGTGCGGGACGAGCTTTGCGAACGGTGAGTGCGGGTAGGTGCATGGGTACGTGAGTGAAGGGGAGAGGCGGAAAGGACAGTGAAAGGATAATCGGGCTTTAGCTAAGGATGGGGATGTCGGCGAAGGAAGAGGATATCAAGGGCTAAGACCTCTCAGGAACGGGCGACTGGTACGGCGGGTACGTCGCGGACGTGCTCGAGCACTTCCTAGTCGATGAAGGTCTGTCGAAGATCGCGTACGTCTCGCCCATGAACGAGCCGGATAACAATTTCGGACCGTCGCCGTGTGGGCAGGAGGGGATGGAGGTCACGCAGTATCAGTACGCGTTCGGCTGACCGCATCGTCGAGGCGTTCACCCAAGGGATACAGGCGCGCAGAGATGATCACCGGCCTTTACAACGCCCTCGTGGATCGCGGTCTGCAGGACAAGGTCGGCATCCTCGCGGACGAGTCCAGCTCTCTCAGTCGCGCGACGGGGGAGTACGCGGACTGGTTGCCTGAAGTCATTGACATGGTGCGTTCAGGCAAATTGCCTCCAAGCGCGAATCAAGAAACTCACCGGACCAAATGCATAGGTCGCCTACCTCGTCCACCACACCTACGACTTTCCGTCCGACGCGAGTTATGCGGCGTATGCTGCGGACGTCGCAGACCGTTTCCCGGGAAAGGCGACGTGGATGAGCGTACGTGATTCTCCGCCAATTTCTTCGCTCGCACCATCCTGATCTTCCGATCCATACGGCAGGAGATCTGCTGCTCCCTCGGCGAGGCAGACGGTACCGGCCGCGGCTGGTCGGGAGGATACGACCCGACGATCGCTAACGCTCTGATGTGGTCTGGCATGGTCTATCAGAGCATCCTCGTCGCTGGCGAGGCGCACTATGACTTTTGGACGCTCGTGTCTGGTGGTATAGGGTGTGATCCGCTTGGCGATGCTTCGTGCGTGACGACGCCAAATGCGGATGGGTGGACGGTGAGCACAGGCTTATGCGGCGAGATATACCGATGTTCATGCTATCATCAGGACGGCGTGATCTATTATGACGACGACTACGCGACGAACGGTAACTACGAGCTTTGTGAGTTCCTTACGTCGGGGACACAGCTCCTCTTGCTAACCCGTTTTCTTTCAGACTTGACGAAGCACTTCTGGACGTACAAGCACTTCGGCAACTTCGTGAAGCGTGCGTCGCCTTCCCTCCTCTTTCCCTCTTCCCACTATATCAATCACTCCTATAGCTGGCGCCTCCCTCTACCCCATCACCAACACCGACTCCACGCTCCTGAACTCCACCATCGTCGTCGGTACACCCTCTGGCGACGCCTTCAACGTCATCTCCATGAACCCGACCACGGAGGATGCACAGCTTGAACTTTCGTTCTCTGCATGCGTCGAGCCGACCACTGCATACCGCACGTCCGCCGAGGAGGATTTTGCGGAGCTTGAGGGGGCGGATGTGGTGGTGTCGGGCGAGGAGGGCTGGGTCTTGACTGTGAGCGCGACAAGCCAAGAGACGTTTGTGTTTGGGGTGGTCGATTGTTGAGAGGTTAGAGGTTGGGGATGGTGAACAATAGGAAAGCTTGTCTTAGGAATGTACAATCCACTAACCTTTTGGAATGAACGGCCGAACAAGGGGTGGCAAAGCTCAGTATATAGAACCACAATAGCTGCATAGCGTCTGCATGGCTCAGTTGGTTAGAGCGCCGGTCTCATACGAATGTATGAACCTCCCTGTGAGGTGTAATCCGGAGATCGCCAGTTCGATCCTGGCTGCGGACATAATGTTGCCAAATATTTTTTCTCGTCGCCTTCGTCGTATCACTACAAATGCAGTTGCTTTGTAAGAAGCGGTGGCCGCCTCCCAGAGAGGCGGCCTTTGTGGGTGTATAGGCTTGTGTACATGTGCTAACGTACCTCATGCATGGATTTGTTAGCTTCTTCTTCCTTTCAAGACTTCAAGACGCAGCTCGCCTCAAGATGCAATATGCCGATCCTCGTCGGGCAGGACGGTGGCTGGGAGGAGAGTAAGAACCAAGAAGCGACGTGCGCGCCTCAAAGGTTCGTCGGCTCACCGCCTGCAATTTCATAACGACCTTTACTGGTCTCCGCTCGAGGGAGACCGCTCCGTCCCATTGAAACTAGTTATCGTCCGCGAGAATTGCGCGCTACAAGACTGCCCTAAATAGGTTCAACAATTGGCAAATCCTCCATGAATATACAGCAATGCACCTAAAGCAGCCTATACGAGCACCTGAAGCAGCTCTGGACAGTTTGAGAGACTAGCTATCTGCCCCCACGAATCATCCCCGCGCCAGTCACGTCGTCCTTCGTAGGATCGCGTTCGAGGTCCATGGGGTCTGCAGGTGCCCCTGGGATATCTTCCTTCCCTATTCTATCAGCCTCTCCGGGCACGCCTGCTGCAATTACGGCGTCCGCCCCCGCCACACCCCTGGCATCCGCCCCCGCCACACCCCTGGCATCCGCCCCCGCCATACCCCTGGCATCCGCCTTCACCGGATCCGTGGGCGTCACCGGGTCGTCCCCGCACCCGCAGTCGTACGTCTCGTCGAGGTGGGCGCAGTCGAATTCGGGTTTGCGGAGGCGCTTGTTGACGGTGTTGTGCACGTCGCAGAGCCTTGGGAAGGATGGGTCAGTTGGAAGGAATGGGGAGGGGGAGGGGGGGAGGAGGAGGGAGGAAGGGGCGTCGTGGAGGAAGGGAAGAGTTGATTATGCATACCATAGCGATGCAGATCGCCGAGAGGATGTCTGCAGGCGAGTACAGTCAGTATTGTGAGGAGTGTAGACGATGGGCGGAAAGACCAATGCACCTGTGGCGGGAACTTCTTCAGCAACTGCTGGAACTCCGTCGCGCACTCCCCACATGGGTAAAGGCGCGAGAATATGTGGAAATAGGATCTGAGCGCTTCTTGCTCGTCTGGTGTTGGATTCTGGGCATGGTGAATCTATGAGCTACAAAGCACACGAACGCGACGCTCGACACGCACCTCAGGGAACCGGAGCGTGATGGTATGCCTATCCCATCATCAGCGCACGAGCGAGGCGAGTCGCGGGCGGACGCACAGTAGCTTCCAGGTCGCGCGGCCGAGTTCAGCTCTACCATACCCATGTAAGTCAGTACATGCACCAACGAGGGATATGGTCCACGCACTTGGCCGTCGCATTTCCCAGCTTCGGCATGATCACGCCACCAGCACCGTTCACGGGTAGCTTCGCGAGGTCCTGGCGGAGCGAGCCCTCAACGCCGCCGTCTCCAAAAATATCTCCTGAGGTAGGATCGAAGTACGTTCGTGTTGGGGGGTGGAAGAAGCCGAGCATGGCGAGGAGGAGCTGGGGCATACGTGTAAGCGCCCGTCGCTGGCTAGCGGTCGACTCGTTCCCCGCCCACCCGATCGCGCTACCGCACTCACCATGGCGGTTATTATGACGATAAACGCCCTGGCAAAGCGGGATAACATGGTAAGGGTGATTCGCTGGCCAGCAGCCTTCTCCAAAGATGGAAACGAAAGTCAAGTGCGAGCAGGCGTCTAGAGCGCCGATGGTAAGGTGCGGAACTCCGGTCCGGGATCCCCTCTTGCACGAACAAATATTTGCTCCCATTCCGGCGCGTCGATGGCACATGCTCGATCTTCATCGACTCGCACCGCGAAAACCTCGACAATATCCAAGGAAAGAAGGACTTAGCAATTGGATCTTGACGAGACAGTGTGGTAGACGATAAAGCACAATTTCGGTGCTAGTCGTCCCCACGCATCGAACGGTCACTCTAGAGGGCATCCATCCACGCTGCCTTTCCTACCAAAAGCAACGGCTCACAACCTTAGATATCCCGCGCATCGCTGATCCCCTTCTTCTGCGCCTTCTTGTCTCCCAATTCACACTTTCTGGCCTCCCCATCCTCCCCCTCTCGCTCCACCGTCGAAGCCGGCCATCGATGGCGCGGCTGCAGCATCCCGCGCAATCGCCGACGGTCTGCCAGTATTTGCCCACCCTCAAGCGATTCTGTATATAAGAGCGCCAGCTTCGCTTCCTCCTTCCCTCCGGCTCTCACTGAACCCCCTCGCTCAGCGTTGTACGTCTCCGCGCCGTCCAGAGTGGCGACGCGACTCTTCTGTTGCCCTTCGTGGCTTCACAAGACGAACTGAACCTTGATCAAGGTCGGTGGGTGAGTCTTGTTTCTCATTGCTCTGCTCCTCGCGCACGATCGTTGACCCATCGCCTCACGCCGCAGCTGCCTGCTACGGCTGCTCACCAAATTTGACGACGGGCTAGTGTGCTGGCTCGTCCGATACCATTCTCCTGTACGTGTTTTCGCTCCTCGTATCGACATCGTGCTCACGCCCAGTGGTCCCAGGCCCACTCATGTCGGCGGGAGTCATCTGAAGTCTGCGTCGCTCTAGCGATGCGGGTTTTCTTCCACCAAACAAGTACCCCAGGCCATCGAGGGCGGTTGCTCTGCTATGTAGAGTAGCTACGCACGGTTTCTTGGTCAATATGAAGCTGTGCACCCTCGATTTCTGAGCGACGGCTGGCATTATGAGCACCGTCAGCAACTGCTCAACGACAATCTCGCACTGGACGAAGCTGCTGTCGGTGCAGATGCGTCCGCTACCTCTTCCTCCTCCACTCTCCTTTCGAAAATCCTATTTTCAACCCTCGAAAAAGCCACGGAATTCTTCAATGGACACTGTGGGATTTGAACCCACGACCTCACGCAATCGGAAGATGCGAAGCGTGCGCGCTACCCCTGTGCCAAGCGCCCGATGGGGATGCATGAGGAATTGGGCGCTGTTGTCGTAGGGAGTTATAAGAGCGAGAGAGGCTTTGGTGGTCGCGGAAAGGTTAGGAGTACCTGCTGAAATTGAATGAAGGGAGAGCCATACGTAAGCCCGGTAGCGGGCGCAAGACGAGGTAACTGTTATTAGTTGTAGGTTTGCTCGTGTTTGTCTCCGCGGTGGTGGCTTTATGGCCAGCATCCGAGTCATTCACTTTCCAGTTAAAGGAAGCATAGCGACATCATAATAACTATTCTGAAGCTCTATGAGTGAATACTGATAAGAAAGCTATGCTTTGGGCTTCAGGCTCTTTGTGTCCTTGATACGATACACGAGCTTCTCGCCGTGGACCTTCTTATCCAAGAGGAGCGCAAGGCCTTCCGCCACATCGTCGAGCCCGTTGGGCATGATCCTGACGCGATTGGGAATGAAGGGCTCCTTCTCGTCTGCCAGCCATCTCGAGATCTGGCGGTAGAAAGGCGCGGCGACTAAGCAGAGAAAATGGACTAGTCAGTATAACCCTTCCCTCACTGCGAAAATCCCATGACCACTCACAGCTCTCGTCCTCCGTGTATGAGGTACCCACGTATGTCAGCACGTCCGTGACGGTCGCGGGGAACTGTGTCTTCTCCGCCTCGGGTGTCGGCATGAGGACGGTGACTTTGGCCGGGTTCTCCTTGTTGAGCTCGGCGAGTGCGCGGGCGAGCATGAGCGCGGAGCCGCCCTCGCTGATAGCGTCGTAGGCCCAGGGTGTCGGGCGGCCGCCAGTGGCAGCGACGATGGCGCGGACCTATCACACGGGGCAGCGTTAGACGACACGACGATGGGAATTTGGAACGGTGCACAAACCAGGCTGGCTTCGTCCTTGCGTTCGCGGTAGTCGACGACAATATCGGCGCCGAGCTCGAGGGCAAGGGCTTTGGAGGCACCGGCGATGCCGACGACGTACAAGCCGGCGCGCTTGGCGAGCTGGACAGTGAACGCGCCAACGGAGGTTGATGCGCCGTTGAGGACGAGCGCTTTGCCCTCGTTGGAGGCTATGGAGAAGGATTGTGAGCAACGACGCATGTTTATCATGGGTAGAGTAACTCACCAACGTCAGCGCTGCCCGGAGCGGGAATCCCCAGCATGACGAACAGACCCAGCGCCCCAGTCATACCAGCGAGCGGGATGGTCGACGCTTCCTCGAACGACGTCTTGTCCGGGATGGGGAATGTCGTCGCCTCGGGCGCGACCGTATACTCTTGGTACGCGCCCCACTGTTCATCCAAGTTAGCTCGTATCCCTCTCAGCCTTGACCTGTGCTACGATACCTTATTCTCGAGCGCCAGCATCTTCGGGAACGCCGCGACGCGCTGGCCGATAGCGAACTCCGTCACGCCCTCGCCCACGGCGGCGACGGTGCCCGCGACATCGCTGCCCTCGACGTACGCCTCGTCCGGCGCGTAGCTCCAGTGCGGGACCTTCCAGTCTTTGGGGTTCGCCGCGACGGCGGCGTTGGCGATGAGGACTTCGCCGGGGCCGGGAGTGGGGATGGGGAGCTTGGTGCGGATGGTCACGGAGGCGCTGGTAAGGTAGGAAATTTGGTAGACGGGGAGGGAGGACATGATGTTAGAAGAAGTAGCGAAGTGCTGTTTGGGAGTCTGTAGAGGACTGGGAGATGGGGAAATATGAGGATTGCTCGTCTGTTATATATTCAGCGGCACCACCAGCCGTACATCTTGAAGCACGCAAGACACCTCTCGAACCTGTCGAGAGACGGTTCATTGTCAGTCAAAGTTCCATCGCTGTCGACGGATTTGTAAGGCTGGTCGACAGTGATTGCAACGAAGACTTACCCGCAACATTCGTTGAGAGTACGCATCCTGGATGTTCTCATCTCTGACATACAGAGCTCGACTCTACGACACGAGTTGGTAATCGCCTCGCTTCTCTCGCCCAGCGTCATTAATCAGCGCTGACCGAAGCGTTTCGGAAGGCGAGTGGGGTATTCGGCGAGCTGAATATGCCTCTTGAGTCCATCGGTTCGCCAGCCGATGCAGTATTTTCTCAAGAGTCGCACTAAGGAGATTCCTTGTTGACGATACAGCCCATCTTCACGGCAGGTATCATCATGGTGCAGGACTCTGGGCTGGCTTTGGATTGGCGATGCCAGCTGAAAAGAAGGTCTGCGATCTTTTTCTCGCTGTAAGACGCGCGCTTCAGCTGCAAATGAGCGTACATAGAAACAGTCCGAAAACAGTCGATGCAAGCTGCGGACAGGTTGTAAAATTACCATTCTCGGACGCCATTGTTCTCCTTTTCCCTTTTCAGTCGTGCGCCAAACAAGAGCAACCTTCGCTCTAACTTCCGAATATATTCATTCTTTGACCGGTCACGGTCATTGCGCGTACGCATACACCAGAGCGTACTCCCGGCGTACGCCTTGACTTATACACCTGCTACCTAGCCGCATGAACCCCGAAGAACGGCGCACGCGCGTGACGCGCGCAACGAGGCCGCCGACCGCGACGCGACCGACCATCGCGTCCCAGGCGCGTACGCCCGGGTCGGCCTCAACCCGGCCTGCGCTGCGCTCAGTAGCCGCATCAACACTTGCGAGCACACCCGTGCAGAGACCCATAACGTCTACGAAACGGGATTCCTTGCAAGCAGAGCTAGAGAAAGGTGCGCCACCTGCACGTTTAGCACAGTATGTATGCTGAAGAACGTAGTAGATCCCCAATTGTCCTCTGCGAAACGCCAGCAGCGCACGCAGGCATTCTCTTCCTCGATCGCCCAGTCCTCGCTCGAGCGGCAGGTCGTCTCGCTGCAGGCCACCAAGAATGAGCTCGAGAACAAGCTGCGAGACAAAGACGCCGAGATCGAGCGGCTCGAGACGGAGCGGCGGTTCCTGTCTGACCGTGAAGCGGAGGAGAAGGGCGCGCGGCAGAGCTCGCACACACAATGGGAGGTGGAGAAGGTGCGTCCGCGTCCGATCGTCGCGCCCGCCTCAGCGGACTAACTCCCCACCCAGCGTAACCTCCACAACACTCTCAAGACACTCCGCGCTGCGTATGAGACGCTGCAGGAGGAGCATACCGATCTCACCGACGAGCATGATCGGATGCGCCGCAAGGGCGCGTCCGAGCAAGACGCGCTACGCCTGGAGGTCTCCCGCCTCGCCAAACACCTCGAACACCTCTCCCAGGAGCTCGAGGAGTACAAGACCGTCTCCGACGATCGTGCACGCCGCATCGCCGAGCTCGAGGCTGCCGCCGCCTCCGCTCCCGCCGACGCGCGCCCGGATCTGGCGGACCGCTCAAGCGACGACATTATCACCGCCGAGCTCGCAAGGCAGACTACGTACATCTCGACCCTCGAGCGGAGGAACGAGCGCCTGTCCTCCGAGGTCGACGCGCTCCGGGCGCGGCATGCGAGCGTGGAAGTGCTGAGGGAGGAGAACCGGTCGCTGCAGAAGAAGGTCAAGGCCGTTGACGAGCTGCGCGAGGCGCTCGGGCAAGCGGAGGCGGAGCGGGACCACTGGCAGCAGCAGGCGAGCGCAAAGTCCGGGGATTCGACGCAGGCGGCGGAGCTGGCTGCGGAGGTGTCGAAGCTGCGAGGAGCGCAGGCTCAGCTCGCGGATGACCTCGGAAACAAGAGCGCAGCGCTGAGGGTGAAGCAGACGGAGTTGATGGTACGTGTGCGAATGCATTTGTGAAAGTCAACCATCTGACTTGGACTAGGTCATGGCTGGGGAACTCGACGCGGCAAAGCGAGAGCTCGACGCGGCGAAGAGCGAAATCGACGAACTGAAGGACAAGGAGCGTCGTCTCAATGACCGTGTCACTCTTGGGGAGCGCGAGATCGGCTTCCTCAAGTCCATGGTGGTAAGTTACTTTGTATATAGCCATCTACTGATTACTGACGGGCACTCGCAGAGCACTTACGAGCGCGAACAGGACAATGCCCCTGGCGGTGACGAATCCATGTCCGTGGACGGCGATTCATCAACCGCCATCAGCCCCGCCGCCACGCTCCGCATCCAAAGCCTCGAGGAGCTTCTCGCCGAGTACAAGTCCACGAACGAGAAGCTCGCCGCCGAGGTCGCCCGCGCGGGCGAGCACCCGAGCGACCTCTTCCAGCAGACCGAGCATCTGCGCGCCGAGCTCAAGGCCTCCGAGGAGAAGCACGCGGAGACGCTGGAGCAGCTCGACCAGCTCGAGCAGACGCTCTTCGAGCTCGGCGGCGAGATCGCCGGCGGGCGCTACGTGCCGCCGAACACGCGCATCCTCGCCGCGACGGACAGCCCGGAGGCGCACTGGTTCGCGGCGCGCACCGAGGCGCTCGAGGCGCTCAAGAAGGAGAACGAGGCGCTGCGGCAGCAGATCTCGGAGGGCGCGAACGCGAACGCGGCGCTCCCGCAGGCGAGCGCGGACGCGTGGCAGCACGAGAAGGCCGCGCTCACGCAGGAGCTCGCGCAGGCGCACAAGCGGTGGCAGCGCCTGAAGCAGGTGTTCAACGCGAAGGCGGAGGAGTTCACGGAGACGGTGCGGAACGTGCTCGGCGTGAAGGTCGCGTTCTTCGGGAACGGGAGCGTGCGGGTGACGAGCGTGTACGACCTGGAGGCGCAGTTTGCGTTCGAGCCGATCAAGGATGGGAATGCGGGCGAGGCGCGGAAGATGCGGATGGTGGGGAAGGGGAGGGGTGGTGGGGAGGATGTGGACGAGCAGATGGAGTATTGGATACGGAAGGAGGGGTCGATTCCGTGTTTCCTGGCGACGATGACGCTGGTCAGCTTTGAGAAGTGGAAACAGGAGCAGATCGAGAAGGGGGCGTTGTGATCATAGCGGGCGTCTGGCGTGTACATCTGTATCAGTATATCTATGCGTTGCTTTCTTGCTGTAAGTATCATGTCCATTCTGGCGACGGCCTTCAGCTCGCTCTCGATACCAGCATGTGTGCTCTTAAGAATGGGTAAGGATGGGCCCACCGCGGTGGCAAACACGATCAAACATGACGCACGGTCCTGGGCCCAATATCTTGTGCCTCCGTGTGCTTTCCGTCCTGATCTTTCTCTATTCAAGCTCGACAAGCCTGTCCTAATCTCTCTACAACGACCAATGCCCCTCCTACACTCGGGATTCTCCTCGACGGCAAGACCGACGGAAAGCCCGCTCCCCATCGATTGCCATCGGGCGCTTGGCACAGGGGTAGCGCGCACGCTTCGCATCTTCCGATTGCGTGAGGTCGTGGGTTCAAATCCCACAGTGTCCATTGAAGAATTCCATCGCTTTTTTGGCATTTCGCGCCAGATTTATGGAAGGAGCAAGGGGCGGCAGATGTGTCCACACCATGCAAAAGCAGATGTACTGATGAGCTAGATGCTGACAGGGCTCAGGGCCAATTACCGCGGGCTAGGGGTTGGAGGGTGTATAGCATCATATTGACCTAGAATCTGTACGTAGCTACTCTACACAGCAGAGCAACTGCCCTCCATGGCCTGGGGTACTTATTTTTTTTGAGAGATAAACCACATCGCGATGATGATGCGGATTTCGATGGATCCCGCCGACATGAGTAGGCCTGGGTCAGTAGGCGTGAGCATGGTGTTGATGCGAGGAGCATGTGCCACGTACGTGAAGATGATTTGGGACGAGCCAGCATAGTACTAGCCCGACGTGAGATTGAATGGACGGCCGCGTGGGCAGCTAAGGGGGAGACGATGGGTGAGCGATGGCACACGACATATTGAAAGAAGAAATACGCACCCGTCTTGGTTTGTTTGCGATCTGGTAACGAAACGCAGTTCAGATAATTCCCGTCGACATGAGTGAGCCTGATATCAGTGGGCGTGAGCGTGAATTGGACGCGAGGAGTGCGCTGACGTACGGGCAGATGATATAGGACGAGCCAGAATACTAGCCCGACTTGTAATTTGGGGGACAGCCGTGTCGGTAGCTGAGGGGAGTCGGCGACGGTCAGCGATCGTGTGCGAGGAGGGGATCAGGAAACCAGAACGCAGAAGACAGCCCTTACCCTCCGAGATTGTTGAGGTTCCCTGCAAGAAGCGGGTCCCATTGATGTCTGCTGAAACCCCGTGGGGCAACAGGATAATCGCACCGCCCTCTGGGCAGCACGTAGAGTCTGACCGCCGCTCCGGACGGCAGGGAAAGTCGCGTCGTCACTCTGGACGGCGCGGAGTTATACAACGCTACAGCGAGGGGGTTCAGTGAGAGCCAGAGGAAAGAGGGAAGCTAGGCTAGCGCTCTTATATACACTGTCACTCGAGGGTGGGCCGATACTAGTAGACCTTCGGCGATTGCGCGGGATGCCGTAGCGTTCGATCGATGGTCAGCTCCGACGGTGGAGCGAGAAGGTGTGGACCGGCAGGCGAGAAGGCGCGGACTGCGAGGCGAAAAAGGGCGGAGGCGGACGCAGTACTTCACCCCAAACTCACCCTGGAAGCTGAGCGGTTCACGAGCCCGGATAAACGCGCTTGAGGCCGTACGACATCATATCAGACAAGACATCGTACAGAACTACCATGCCCGAAAGCAGAGCAGCGGCCTCGCGATGGCCTGGGGTAATCAATTTTTTGTCGACGACCGCGACGATACGATGTACCGAAGCGGATTGCATGCGCTCATCGACGTCGGCGGGCGTGAGCCTGCGCGGGGTGCTCGGTGAGTCCGTTCACGTTTTGGATGAGAGTGAAATACCACGTACACACGTCTCAAGAATACGCTATAGGCCCGAAGCTTTCGCGTATCCCTTTGCGGTGGGATGTCGAAGACAGCTAGGAGGGTCCGTGAGATGGACTACGCTTCGTACTCATCAGGTCCATGCACTCACCCACCAAGATGAGGATTTCTCCCCGCTACCCTGAGTCCCCAGCGGGAAACAGGACATCGCAGGCCGCGTGAGGTCCTGCGACGGGGATCGTCAAGGCCCCTTGTGACCAGGACGAGCGCCGAGAGGAAACGACAAACAAAGGCGCGGCCTTATATACTCCTTCGCCACTTGAGGGCAGGCGAAACGAAGGAGGCCGGCGATTGCGCGGAATACAAGCGTATCGATAGCTGCGCGTATTCTGAATCCTGGTACCGCAGCAGCATCCCGACATCGCTATGCGTTGTTGCGCGCGACGAGGGAGGGGATAAGTGCCTGCGAGGGGGAACATCTTGCGAGATGAAGAGTTTGGCTGGAAGCGAGCGGGCGGACGAAGATCACACGCAAGACGAGCAAGTACGACATCGCGTTGACAAAGGTGCTGTACATGCTACATGGCCTGGGATAATTCATTTTGAAAGACGCGAAACTCGCGTAGGCTCTCATGGAGCGGGTGACCCAATGAGTCGGACGCGCGCTGGAAAAGGTCGTCAGCGCTCAGTATAAACCGGTCGTCATCGGGCACGGAGACGCACAATCGCGCTGATAGGGAGTGAATGCAAGCCGATGCTGTGTACGATAGTCAGCGGCATATCGTGCGCTCATCGATGTAGCCTACGCACCGTGGATCGACCCGAACGCTCCCGTGTGAGCTCGGAGGGACTTACTAGGTCCTCCCGGGCCCATCCAAGCACCCCGTACCACTATGGTGCGGAGGGCTCGACGCCGGGGAGAGGCTCGAGGTGAGTCCTTCGACCGGCGGGACATGGTGGTCGAAGAAGGGTCGCCAGCGTGGGATACTCATGTTCATATAGTCTCGGGAAGGCACGTGGACAGAAACTCCCCGGTGCCGTGGACTTGACCAACTCCCGAAATCACCGATACAGCTGGCAGCCTGCGAGCTGCGTGTGTTGAAAAGGCGTCAGTGTGCTGCACATGTATCACGAGGGGTTTATACATACACCAAGTGGCAAAGAACGCTAAGGAACACCGACCAAGATGTAGAGTATACTTACGTCGCAGACAGCCTCTCGGCGTCAGATGAGAGAAAGGTTGAGCGATTAACATCATATTGACAGAGATGTACTAGCTCGAGATGGCCTGGGGTAGTTGTTTTACGCAGCGCTGTTACAAGAGCTACTGGAATGCCTATGTGCACGTATCCTCTCATCACGGGGTGGAAGATCGGCGCCGGAGGACATCCCTGAGCATAGAGAACTCGCGCGATCATGTACCGGAGCGCCGGCACTGTAGAATATCGTCAGCGAAAGGGGCTCTCGCGCGCAACCGAACACGTACGCATGATAGTATTGAGGGCCAGGATGTACGGATCGGCCTTGAGCATACCGCTGAAAACCTCTGGAGAAGAGGGAAAATGGGGTCAGCTAGCCATCCGGGCGAGATCGATGGGTACACGCACGTTTCCGATTCCCGACCCTCTCGTGGTGAACGGCGGATTATCCGACCGATCACAACTCCCTCCCAAAGTGCATGGTAAATGCGACTACGGAGACTTGACACCGTGCACGCAGCAAGCGGACCTGCGGGGGTCTCTGCAAGGGGCACGGCGGGACGTCGAAACGACTGTCGAAGGAAAGCCGGACGCGCGGACGAATCGGGATTATGTAGCCGCCCGGCGCCACGCGAGCGACTTGAGGGCAAGCTTTTTGCCGCAGATGATGCTCCGAACAGGTTGCCACAAACGATTGAGCCATTCAGCTAGACGTTATCTATCTCCCAGCAGTCGGCAATGAGAAAGCCCCAATACGCAACGAGAAGGCGACCCGGACATCAGTACTGTAGCGAATTATGTGTTGGCTTTCCGTTCAGCAGGTTCGGACCATGTACAGACACGAAGCAAGGTGGTCTTCAAGCAGCCTCATGCGAAGAAGCGTGTCGATAGGCAAGGGGATCCTCCGCTTTTTCAGCCAGACACTCCATCGTCAACCCGGCCAGGGTAGACTAGATGCGCACGAGGGTCCTCGAGCTAATCAGTGCACCTGTGGGCTAGTCATTGTTCGCAGCCCTACCCAAATCTGGCCACAATAGGTTGGACGCCACACAACGTGCGTACTCGGGCCATGACGACGCGCAGCACTAACATGGACCAGCTCATTGTCCTCCAATCGCCATATATGGTATCCCTTGTCCCGCCTCGTGCACGACAAAGGTCCGACCCTTATTTGGATGTTTGGCCACCCCGAGCGCATTCTTATACTACGACTGGCCACTCAAGACCTTACACTGATTACCCACCTGCCAGTGCTCGTACTACGACGCCCAAAGCTTGCATCGCTACGCTCAGACCGTGCACCCCGACACGCGGATCCTTGCTCTTGTCTCTTGTGTGTGACCATCGTGCCTGGACCGCTGGTCATAGCGCTGCACCTGCTCTTGTCTTATACCGCGACGACGACGCCACTCGCAACACACATTCCTGCACCCGCTTTCGCACTCGCGCGCTGTGCCCACGCCCGCCCAACGCCACTCACAGACTCACATCGCAAGACCCACAGCACTCTCACCATGGCCATCATCCAAGAGATCCCCGATGACCGCCCACCCACTCGCGCCGAGGAGCCTCGCATGCCACGGCGGCGCGTCGAGCCTGTGGCAGACGTCCCGGGGGGCAGTCGCGATCCTTGGCCTCCGCGGACGCAGATTATGCCACTACTGCTGCACGACTACGGCGGGGCGCCATCGCCATTTGGGCCCCCATTACCCCTACCACCATCCCACCACCCCCAGCCACTCGCCCGTCCAGGCGAAGCTCTACCCCTCCACGACCCGCGGCCTCCAGAATGGCACATGCAATCAATGCCACACCATTGCGCCGGACCTCCCGACGAGCCCTCGTCCCCGCCAGGTCTGTCGCGTGGCCCGTCGCGGGTCCCGCGCTCGCGAACTCACAACGCGCCGCGCGCGTCGACTTCGCGCAAGTCGCGCAAGGCGTCGACGAGCCCCCGTGCTGTGATGGCGCGCAGGCAGGCGGAGCTGGCGGGGAGAACACACGCTGCGCCGACGGCTGGTCCGTCGGGCAAGCGCACGCGCGCGCCGGACGAGGGCGAGGGGAGCCCGCAGAAGAGGGCGAGGAAGACGAACGCTGATGGAGGAATCATCACTTTTAAACACGACCGGCCGGTGAGGAGGAGCGGTGCGTGGGCCTTGTCATCTTGACGCGAGGCCGGGGGCTGACAATTAGCTGCAGACGTCTTCGACGAGGGCTCGTCATTTATCGTCGAGGAAATGCTGGCGCCGGCTGACGACGACGACGGCGAAGCAGTGGGCTGGGACGCCGACTCGGACGCCCCGGCTGTGGGCTCGCCGGCCAGGTTCGAGGAGACCTGGTCGCCCCAGTCCTTGGGGCATGCGTCGGCAGGGCTCGTGGAAGGCAGTTCGTCGCCCGTGGTCACGGCAGAGAGGCTGCTGCAGCGTGCACAAGGCCTGGAGGATGATGAGGTTGAGTGGGCTGATGAGAACGAGGTGCCGCGACCCATGTTGGAGCGCATCCCGGGTCCGCCGCTGATTATGCCCTGGGAGGCTGTCTCTCGTGAGTTTTGTGGGTTTTTTGGGAGAGATTGCACGTACTGACCGTCATGCTACGCAGCTGTCGTATCTGCGGGTGACCTCGATGATGAGGAGCGCTCGGTTGGATGGCCGAACGGGACGCAGAGGCCCGGTGAAGAACACGTCATACGCCAGATGGAGGGCGTCCACGACGAAGGCGACGGCCCTTTCGACGACATATATGCAGAGGAGTACGGTGCGACAAATGCTGCACCCGAGGAAGACGAGGGAGAATATTTCGAGTATGACAAGGAGCCGTTTGAGCAAGAGGACGATGTCGAGGCTGGACGGGGTGAGCATTCTTCATCAACAGTTCGGCCGAACGAAGACTCACCCTTCACCCGAGCACGCCCAAGCAATCGTGACAAGCCTCGGGACAGTGAAGCACGCTTCCTTCTCTCACCCCTTGTCGCTCCCGCCAGCCTCCCGCCTCCGGTCGTCTTCGAGGAGCATCTCGCACAGGCTATCCCGACGCCCCTCAAGACCGACAACCCCCGCAAATTCCACGCCTTATTCCCCGACCAGGAGCCCACCTCGCCTGACGGGCTCCTCCGCCAGCTCCGCTTGACGCAGGCCGAGGTCGGGCGCCTCGAGTTGATCGAGGTCCGGTGGGAGCACGCGTTCCACGAGGCGCTCAGGGAGATGGGCCGGCAGAACGTGCAGCTGCGGGAGCAGGAGGAGAGGTTGCGGAAGCAGGAGGAGACGATGGCGGAGAACGAGATGGTCGTGCAGGGCGCGCAGGTGGTGCAGCAGCAGATGGCGGAGGAGCGGGCGGAACTGCAGCGGATGGTGGATGTGCTGGAGGGTCTCTTAAGCAAGGTGGAGAGGGAGAGAGACGCGGCGCTGAGGAAGCAGGCGGATGAGTTGGAGGAGATGCGGGCGCTTCTGGAGGAGACGAGGAGGGAGAGGGACGAGGCGCGTCAGCAGATTGCGACGATGACATCGGGGAGCATGAAGCGGAAAGGGTCACCTTGCGAAGACGAGGCTAGGGATCCGTCTGAGCAGGAGACACGCCGGTCCCCGAAGAAAATGAGGGGCAGTCCGCAAGCGAGGTTGGTCTACCATGGATCTTTGCTTGCTACGGAGGCGTAATGAGCATTTGCAGCGTCTCTCTGTCAATGTAAATAATTCTAATTACCATCAATACCCGAGCTTCTCTGAACCATCGCGAGTATACACACCGAACGTCGTTTGAGGTGAATGCGGGCAACGATGAGTGAATGAAGGAAATAACGCATTTTCTCGACGACTTCATGAGCGTACTATAAATCATGCATACTGGGCATAAACAGCCTTATGTGAATCACCCCCCGTGAAGGTCGATAGCAACGGCCGTCTGTGTCGCCGTGACACGTGCCGCGCTCTCCGGTACGACACGTGACCGCGCATCACCGCGTCGGACCGAAAGACAAAAGCGCGCCATGTTCTTGACAATAGCCCATCACCTTGATCACCCGAGACAATCGCATACGCCTCCGACGAAGCATACATGCACCGGACTCAATCACCAAGGCAGACAACCATGCATCTCGAAGCGCGTGTGCTGGGAGTGGTGACTATAAGAGCGATGGGAGGGTGATCTGGCAGTCAGTCTGCTTGTCCGCTTCCCTCAAACCTCACTGTCCATCGTCGCGGTCTCGCGAGCTTTGACGCCTTGCATACCCTATATCATACGGAAGAGATATCCCATAGCCTCTCTACTACATCCACGATGGCTCCCACCGCCTTTGACGCGCTCATGTACGTGGCGATGTCCTCGCGGGTCGTCCGCATTGCTCACCAATCCCTTAGGAACATCGCCAGCTCCTCAAACATACAGAACTCTGTGGGAGGCCCCCACGATGCCCTCCTCGCTGACGGGCGCCTGAACCCCGCCGCCATCCCTGACGCAGCCACCCTCGCCTCGATCGACGCTGCCCAGCGATCCGGCGTCCTTACCACTATCGGCGTCGCCGCCATCATTCTCACCGTCTTCCTCCTCTACGGTCTCGGCGTGATGTACGCACGCATATATCAGCAGCGCCGCGCGTGGCACGAGATTCTGTCGACGCCGTACCCTGCGATCCGCAAGGATCTGAACCGCGTCTCGACACCGCTGCCTACCCTGAGCCCGGTCAGTTTGGCCCAGCCTGCTGCGGGGATGCCGAGCTATGCTGGATACGCTGTAGCGCGAGACGACAAGAATAGCGTGCGGGTGACGCCTCATGCGCCGCGGGGGTCGTCGAGGATGGTATATGCGGGGAATGAGTCGGTGATCTCGGAGGCCTCGGGGAACACGCCTCCTGGCTTGTCAGTCTTGAACGCACGATCGGAGACGACGCTGGTCGACCTGTCAAGCGGCAGGACCGCATGATGGGTCGTTGTGAACCGAGTATGTTGATACCTGGTGGATGACTACCGTATCCTTATTGCCTCGTTCTATGGCTCTTATATATACTCACTCTTTTCGTTCTGTAATGTCATTCTCTTTTGCAATGTATACGCGAGACCATCGAGGTTGGAAATTAGCACGACTTAAGAAACTCGCACCGTGACGAACGCGACCGAATTTTCATCGCCGCGGAGTCCGCGGCCGATCAATAATGGACGCGACGCGTCGTGACGCATCTTGCCTCCTGCCCTCATCATCCCCGTGTCCCTCTCCCTTTCCCCCCATCCTCCCTTCTTCCTCTATACCCCCTCGCCAAGCCTCTAATGTGGTCAGACTCTCCTCCTCTTCCCTTCCCCCACCCTTCTCACCGCGCCCCACGTACAGCAAGCACATCCTCAACGCGCAGGTCTCGATCCGCGCGCCCTGCTGCCGACAGTGGTTCGACTGCGCCGAGTGCCACGCGGAGACGCAGGACCACAGATTGGCGAAGACGAATGAGATGACGTTCCTGTGCAAGAAGTGCAAGAAGGCGTTCAGGAAGGATATGTCGGTGTATGAGGAGAGCGATGAGTACTGCCCGCATTGTGATAATCATTATGTGAGTGCTTGTTTGGATGGTGGAGCAGGATGGCGCGGCTGTGATTCTTGGAATGGTTCTTGAGAATGAGGCGATGGGTGCTAACGCGAGCCTGCAGGTGATCGAGGCTAAGACGGCGAAACCGGTGGTCGGTGTCGAGGGCGAGGACGCAAGGGTGGATAACCGGTGCGTGGTATACTCCTCGCTATGCTCTTACTGAACATCTACCCCCGCCACAGCATGCTTCGAGACGAACGCATGAAAGACGGCAAGATTCGAAGTGCGGAACTTGAAGACGACCTGGACGAGTTCCTGAAGGAGCTCGATTCATAGCACCCGTGATCTTCGCATCTGCATGCGAAAGAATCCTGCATTGCAAATCGAATGCATCCTGCCTCTCTATCTGAATACATCCGTGACTCTCCGTCTTTACCTGCTTCATTTCCACACCTGACACTCCAGTACGCATCACTATCGCACAAGCAATGAAATTCTTTCTGCAATACAAGACGATCCATCTTCAAGCGACTGTCGTGCGCGTCCAACACACCGTCAGTTATCGGGACCGCAACGCGATGGTCCAAGGATTCATCCACACGCAAGAGTCGTGCGCTACTGACGATCGCGGACAGGTAGACAAGTCTACATGCAATCAGTATAAAATGTACATCGAACATTGTAGGTAAATGGCATGCAGGACTCATCCAGTCATAGGTTGTTTATTGTTACAATTGCCAAACCTGGTTCATGGCTGATGCATCTACGCAGGACCGTCCAGTTGCTGGCGCTCAAGCCTGACGCGAACCGCCTCCACCTCTCAGTCTGCTGCTCCTGCAGCCGACGCGGCCTTCTCCGCGCTCATCTCCCTGAGCTGAGCAGCCAAAGCGGCATTCCATGCTTCCAGTCTCTTGATCCTTGTAGCCCAAGCGGCGGATCGTTCTCCCGTAATCCTATCTTCTTCAGCCCGTAATCTCAACTGTTCAGCCCGAGATTTTTGCCTCTCAGCAATAATTCTCTCCATCTCGGCGATTTTACTCTTCAGTTCATTCTCCCCCTCCGCAAGGATTCTCTTCTGCTCATCCAGGTCCGCGAGGATCCTCTTCTGCTCGGCGCGTCGCCGTTGCACCTCGTAGAGCTCAGCACGGTACCGCGGTTCCTCCTCCTGCATGATCCGGAGCACAGCGTCGTTGGCGTCCTTTTTCGCCCGCACTTCCGCCATGCCCTGCTCCATCTCGTCATGATTCACGAAGATATGGAGAACCCCACAGGGACAGATTGAAGAGGCAGTGCGGGAGTATGGCTCGTCCGAGCCCTGGCGGAGAGCAGTGGCGAGCTGCTGAAGCAGCTGTGGATGCTCGTCCGGCGGCGCCATCTGCGCCAGGTCACGCAAGAGGTTCGTCGACATCGCGTCCACAAATGCCAAGATCGAGCGCTTCCGGCGGTCGGGTATGGAGCACCATCCGTACAAAAAATAGCCGCGGTGCCGCAGCCGCGTTTCAAGTAGCGCGTTTGCTTATACCTAAGTTCTGAGCGCCGGAAAGCATACCTAGGTTACTTTCTCATATGTTGTGGCACCCACAAAGACAGAACAGCGTTGTCGTGCCCGTGAACGGCAAGAACAATCCTGCCGAAGACGTTCGGCATTTGCCGAGCAAGGGCCGCCACGGTGGACTTGACTTCTGCTTCGACTCCATAGAGTCCATCCGGTTCTCGCCCAACAAAACGGACTCGGTGCCGTCTCTTGAAGCCTGAAGGAGACCCTTGAGAACATTTTTGAACCAAGGTAGGTGCTACCCCCAGTATAGTTTGTGAATTGTTGGGCCTTGTAGCGAGAAATCGCAACGGGAGGCAGATGATGATGTTTTACGATCTATGTGAGGGTGTAGAAATATTTTGGACATGTTCGTATGTTCCGGCGGCGATGAAGGTCAGTGGGAAATCGGGGAACGCGCTCGGGACTTCGGAGCGAAGTCCGGAGTCACGCCGGAGGCGTCTCCGGCATATGCCGAACAGCTTAGAACGCCCTTTACGCTGACTTCCTACCTCTGTCCGCCTATTTTATACCTAGAGCATATGCGGATTCATTCGATATATATTCCCCGATGCTCAGAACTGAGATATAAGCAAACGCGCTTCTCAAAACGCGGCTGCGGCACCGCGGCTATTTTTTGTCCGGTTGGTGCTCCATAGTCGGGGTTGAATGTCGCGTTTTCTTCGTAACCGTATTGGAGCGCGAGCGCCGTCCAGTAGTCTGTATGTGCCCAAAAGTTTCGTATGCGCTCTTGTAGTTGGTGGTAGTGAGCGTTGCGAGCATTGTCTCCCAGGTGTTTGGCCACCTGCGTGTTGTACGATAACGCAGGGAGGAGTCCGCGGGCGAAGCGTTCCCAGACGCGCAGTTCCCAGACCGTGTTTTGGGATAGAGGCAGGCCCTGCGTTGGGGAGGACATGGTCGGCGGATGAGCTCGCTTGCGCGGGAGACAGTGGCGTGTGGATGGCGGTGATCAAGATGAACTCCCAAGTTCAAGATCTACTAGTACTAGAGTGGGCTGCGGTGGGTCATGTGATGCATGTTCGACTTCTCTACCGATTGTTCACCAGAGACAAACAACGATTTGCTTAACAAGTGGTTCAAGTTTATTCCTGCATGCGGTTTGAAGGTGGCGAGCAGAGACTGGCAATTGCACTAGCTAACAGGCTAAAGATGCAGGGGATTCGTCGTTTTTTATCGGTACGTGCACAGAGTGTATGTGGATGATCTACGATAACACCAGAGCAGATCGAATGCCTGCTAGCTACGGACCCAAGGCTCGAGCAGTTGGGTGGCTCTCTAGCAAGCACGATGTCGCCAAGCGATCCAAGTCAACTTTCGACGAACGACCAATCTCCACATCTTTCTCCTGCTCGCTTTCAGCTTCTTGTGTTCTGCGACTAAGGCGGCATTGCGGAGGATACATAATCCTAAGTATATGAGTACACGGTATGCTACAGTAAGACGCGCTTCTTGCTAATGCGGTGAGTAGGTCACGGTGAGTAAAGGAGACATAAGTGAAAAAAATAAGATGGCGGAACTCGGAGTCGGGACATGGGTATAGTAGACTTTGAATTCATACCGAGAGATTCAAGCGGACCGGCTGTTAGACCGAGCGCGAGAGTGGAGGACGGGCGTCGTTGCTTCTTTCCTGACGAGGTCGGCGAGGTCATCATCTTCCGCGCTCGCCTCCTCGTTCCGGTCCTTCTCGCTGTCGGAGACCTCTTCACCATCGAAGGTCGCAACTGCATCCTCCTCGACGTCCTGCCTCGTCAGTCGACTGCTGTACACGACCACAGGGTTGCCGCTCTGGTAGGCCGAACGTACGCTCACGCGCAAGCGAGGGCGAGAGGACGATGACGGCGCGGGGGTAGGCGAAGATTGACCTGGCGAAGACGGAGGCATCACGCGCGAAGGATTGCGAGTGCGCCTCGGGCGAACACGAGCAGGGATAGGCGAGCGCTGTCTTGGGGTAGTGGCTTCGACCGGCGTTGTTGGCACCAACCCGTCGTCGGGAGATGAAGACAATTCTCCGGGTCGAAAGGTGCGATCCCGGGAGGTGTTCAGGTTGGCATGGGGACGGCGATAGTCGGCAGCGAGACGTAGGTTGGCGGTTTGATAGTCTTCCTCTCGGAGTCGTCCTGCTGCAATCTCTTCTCGGGCCTCGCCCAGGTCACGCAGCGCTTGTTGCGCTGCGTGTTCGTGCTCTTCTGCTGCCAGCCGCGCCTCAAGCATTGCTCGATGTGCTTCTTGCTCGTGCCGCTGTGCGTCCGCGAGCTGAGCCTTGAGAGCATCGATCTGCGCCCTAAGCTCTGCGTTTCTGCGATCGCATAGTTCCCGAATGTCGCTCTTGTCCCTTTCAAGCTCCTCGATATGTCTCCACTGCTCTCGGCACCGCTCTTTCAGATAGCGGACCTGGTCCGACAGTAGATCTTTAGTTCTGTGTCGATCCTGCCAGCCAACCAATCCGTCCTGATACCCCCTGGGGTCGGAGAGTCCGTGTCTAAATCCCCGTGCGGTGTGTGAGGCCGAGGCCGCACGTTGAGGTTGTTGTGCAGTGGATGGGGGGAGGCGAGAGCCAGACGCAACATGCTGCTGAGAAGTCGGTGCGACAGGTCGACGTGCAGTTGATTCGAAGTCAAGCGAGGCGATAGGCGGCAGCGGGAGTGCAGATTCTCCAGGACGGAGCGACTGAGACGGCTCGTTCGGCGAGCCAGGAGCGGACATGTGATCTGAGCCACCGTGGCCACGAGATGCTGGATATGCCAGTGGCAGAGCTGCTGGCTGCGACCGCACGCCTGGCGCAGGGGACCGCGAAGAGGATGAATTTGCACTTGATGTGTTCGCTGCAGCGCCGCCCAGCGATCCTTCAGAGTAATTTGGGTAGTCTGCAGGGTCCGGCCACAGCCAGGGACGAGGCTGAGCCTGAGGAATTTCCTCTGATGAGGTGGAGCTGCGCTGTGAAGTGGGGCCTCGTTGGCATGAGCTGTTTGATGACGGCGAGCGGGACGGGCGCTGGTGCTGAGGATCTGTGGTGAACTGCGTTGAGTTTGGCACTGTGGCGAGCCCAAATCTATCCGATGGATCTTGAGTTGCGTTCGGGGCACGGACAGACAGTGAGGATGGACCAGACTTCAGAGCGGGAAAATGGGTGGACAAGTCTAAACTGGAGACTACGGCCATATAAGCAACACTCGCAAGCAAGAGATCGCCTCTACTCACTCGGGTAAGGGGGTTTCGGGGTAAGCAAGGGCGGACAGGGGTTGGAAGGTGGTGGCTGCCGCTGTGAACGACGAGAAGAGCCTGCGAAGATCTAAGACATTGGAGGCAACGAAGAACATGGTACCGCGTACGTCGAGGGGGAAGACGAGTGAAGTCAGTGGCCCATCGATCACGACTAGCGTCTGCGCTGTCCGGCGGCGTGAGTGAGCGTCGCTTGTTCCCTGGAGCGTCCGGAGAGTGCTCGCTGGCCGGCGACCTCGAGCGCTTCCTCGAGGGCGATCCCGATCCTTCACGACCATTGTGCGAGTGCACCATTATGGCGAGCAAGAGGGTGGGCGGTGATGTGTATTGATGAGGCGATTACGATTCAGTAGATGGCTTCAATGAAATCTTGGGAAGATGAGGCGGAGATTGAGGGGAGTTGGCGTAACAACCCAACATGGGGAGCTCATTTAACGCACGCATGAGGGTCAGAGCGTCAATCAGCCATTGTTCCGATTGCGGCGCATCGAACAATTGGGCGCCGTGGGCTTCCTTTGTCTGGATCACGCGAAAGACGGTACAGGCGAAAGTGACATCCGAGTTAGGCAGTGCTTGTCGGCCCTATTGTCTTTTTTCTCTTTCACACCACTCTGCTGATTACCGCTGCCGCGGGGTGGCGTACCGCCCGGTCTTACCACCCGAAGGTCACTGCAGTGATAGGTCAATAAAGACCGAAGCGGTATGGCATTGAACCGAATGAAGCTGATGTATCAGGTCATCTTGCATTTACCATCCTCTATCCTTTCTAAACAGAGAGCAGTGGGTGGAAAACATCTCGATCTAATCCAAGGCCCTTCGCCACAGCAACATCTACCAGATTATATCCACCTGACACCCCGGCGCAGAAGCTCTCATCGCGTCTAAACCACCGACCCCACCGCCTTTTGATCCCACTCAAAGTCCTCCGCCGCCCACTCGGGCATCTCCGTCTCGAACGTCCCGAGGCTCGTCGTGTAGCGCAGCGCGTGCAGGAATATGTAGAGCGCCTCCGGCTTCGGGTCGGGGTGCAGGGGCAGGTAGCACTCGGCGCAATAGAGCGAGTCGTCGAGCATGACTTTGGCGCCCGGAGCGAGGGGAGGGTTGATGGCGGTCACGTCGGTCGTGGAGAGCTGGTCCGCGGGGAGTGGGGGTTCGGAAGATTCGGGCGTAGGCTCCTGCGTGTGAGAGTCGGCTAAATGGGTAGTGGGCTGAACGGTAGCAGGCGCGCCGACAGCCTCGGCATGGGCGCCTGCTGTGTCTGGCATGTTTGCGTGGCCCGTGCTTGTCGACGCTGCCGCCGCTGTAGACTCCGCTTTTGCTAGGCTCGTTCCATCCGGCGCAGGCGGTGCCGGTGCTTGCTTGTTCTTCTTCTTCCCCCCTCTCTCCTTCCGATGCGGCGGCGGCTTCTGGTCCAACTCCGGCACATAGCCCGGCACCAGCTTCCCCTTCGCACGAAACACGACGTCGCGCCAGCGGCCCCAGTCCTCGTCCTCGTCCTAGTGGCAAAATGATGTCGTCAGAACGCGAATTAGCGAACGGCAACGACCCAGCGACGCGCCTTCATGTTCCGCAGGTTCGTGATCACTGCGATCGCCTCGCGCGACAACGGCACGGGCGAGCCCATCCCGATGTCCTCGCCGGTCTCGCGGGGGAGGAGCTTGCGCGCGGCCTCTGCGCCCGCGCCCGGGTGCCCTTCGGACGCGGCGGCGTGCTCTTCGGCGCGCGCGGCGCTCATCGTGTCGGGGAACGTCGCCGGCCCATGCGCTTTCTCGCCCCCAGGCGCGCCCGCCAAGCTCTCCGGACTCCCGATACTCTCCGTGAACGCCTTGAGATGCTCCGGCGGCGCGGGCGCCGCGCGCTCGTCGCTCGGCGTCGTGTCGATCCCGCCCTCGCCGAGCTTCCTGCCCCAGACCTTCTCGGAGGAGTAGACCGGGTCGTTGGCGATGGGGTAGCCGAGGTATTGGAGGTGGACGCGGAGTTGGTGGGCTGTGAGGGGGTGAGTGTCGGGGGAACGGGCAAGAAGTTGAGGGTGCGGAGAATTAGGGTGAGATACTTACAGCGCCCGGTGTATGGTTTGCCTGTGGGGATGATTGGATTGAGATGAGGGCTGGGATGGAGCAACGAATGGGAGCTCACAATGTATCACGCTGCTATTCGTGTGCGGGTCGTAGCGTATTTTGTTGAACACAGTTTTTGCAGGCTATAAGGGAATGCCATTAGTTGAATGTGCGGAGTGACAGGACATAAGCCTTACTCGTCCTTCGGGGTGGACGATGTTGAGGCCCATTTGACGATCGACCGTGAGTAGCGGCTCCTCGCAGATGACTTCTCCGCTGGGAGATGATGAGAAAAGGCACGGGACGAAGAAAACGGACGCACTCTGGGAATTTGCCCTTCACCCGCGCGACGTATTCCTTGCGCACGCTGCCCTCGATGAACTCCTTCGTGAGACTGCGTGCCAAGTCCGCGTTCAATGGGATGATCATGAGCCCAGAGGTCAACCGGTCTAGTCTGTTCACCGCTGCCAGGGCGTCAGCACCATTTACATCCACCGAGTATTCATGCTACTCACTATAGACCTTCTTGAAACCCATCTCGTGCATGAGGATGTGGATGAGCGAGTTGCGGTTGTATCTACCCGCCGCGTGCACGGGCTGCGGATGGGGATTGAGTGAGGGAGCGGTAGGGGGCAGGAGTGCGACGGACGAACGATGCTGCCAGGCTTGTTGACGACGATGAAGCCGCGCTCGGTGTCGTGTAAGAGCACGCGGACGGGCGTGGAGGTGACGGGGGGCTCGTGCCGATGCACAACGTTCCTTCGAGGGGTGAGAGGGCATAAGGAGGTCCAGAAGCGCATACGCACTCTATGCGATCGCCGTTCCGTATGATGGTGTCCGGGCGCGCCACCTTGCCGTTGATAGTCGTGACGCCGCTCTCGAGGGCGTACCTCTGCGATCTCGGTGTCACTTCGACGCACAAGCTCAATGTGATTAGCACGCACATAAAACTCCATGCTCCTATCCCTGAATTCCGTCGACACGACCTCCAAAATCTCGCGCCCGATCCACCTCTCCTTCGCCATCGTGCAGAACGGGTACCAGTACGGCTTGATCTTCTTCAGCCCGGGCGTAGTGCTGATGTTGCGCGTGTTGACCGCGCCTTCGGTGCCGGCCATCGCGCTGACGACGAGGCTAGTGACGTTCTGGCGGAAGACGCGGTGTGGGGACAGCCGGATGGGGGGGAGGACGACCCGGCGGGAGGCGATCAGCTTGGGGAGGCTCTGGTCGGCGGCTTTCAGCTGTCGGAGTTTCTCCTCGTTGCTCATGCGCGGGGCGCAGAGCTTGGGCGGACGGAAGAATGCGCGAATGGTGGCGCGCAAATTGTCGAAGGGGCTCGAGGACGATCACTGCGGATATCCAAGGTCACGGAGAGCGGCGGTAAAGCAGGTAGCAGCAGTCAGAAGAGGTCAGAAGGATAGACGAGACAGCTAGACTACGCTTGCGCCCTTGGAAGTCAAGAACCAGCCGCGTATAGCGCTCAGCATTGCTTGAGCGAGCGAGAAATCAAGCACCGGCGTTTGCCGAGTCGCATCTGGAGGACGCCACACGAACATCTGGCTGCCCTTGCTTTCCGCGCTCACCTCCTGCCGTCCGCTCATTTACTCCCTCGTAGAGGCCTCTTCATACAACAACAACCCAACCCTGCCCTTTCAGATTACATAGTCCACCATGTCCACCGCTCATAGGCCGACATGGGATCCCGCGCAGGCAAAGGATGTGAAGGGAGTTTCGCGGCAGTTCTCCGTGCGCGACATGGCGTCGCATACGAAGCTGAAGTTCCGGTAAGTAGAGCCGGCGAAGTCATACTCTGACGCCCGTCCCTCAGCGTATGACGCGCCATGTCGCTGCGCCTTCGTCCCCGGGCATCCCTCACGTGCTGATCACATACTCCCAGACAAGCTGGCCAGACATCCCAGGACGAAGTGAAGAAGCGCGACCTGCGCGCGGAACTCTTCGCCGCGGAGCTCGAGGCGAAGAACAAGAAGCGCAAGGCGGAGGGGAAGCCACCGCTGGCGATCGAGAGCGGCACGAGCGAGACCGGGCAAGACGAGGAGTCGAACAAGCGGCGAAAGCTGCTGCAGGAGGCGCTGGAGGCGGACAAGGACAGCGACGAGGAGGAAGAAGGCGAGGAGGGGGAGAAGAAGTCGAAGGCGGGCGACGCGGAGGATGAGGATGAGGAGGATGACAGGTGCGCGGGGCTATATATGTTCAGGAGGAGGGACCGAAGTGCTGACCGGTGGGCAGCGACGAGGACGAAGACGAGGATGACACGGACGAGCTGCTGCGCGAGCTGGAGAAGATCAAGCGGGAGCGCGCGGAGGAGAAGGCGCGGCAGGAGCGCGAGCAGAGCGCGACGGACGCGGTCGCGCGCGAGGCGGAGATCGCGACCGCGAACCCGCTGCTCAACCTCGCGGCCGCGCTCGGCCAGCAGCAGCCGCAAGGCCTCAACACGACCGCGCCGGGCTCGTTCGCGGTCAAGCGGCGGTGGGACGATGGTGCGTCGCAGCCACTGGCTAGCGAGCAGATGGCCGAACTGACTGTGCTTGCAGACTTGATATTCAAGAACCAGGCTATGGACACTAGGGATAAGAACGACAGGGGATTCGTGAACGACCTTTTGCGGACAGAGTTCCACAAGTGCGTGCCCGAGATGGTTCGCCTGCGTCCCGTAACTCATTGCCTTACAGGAAGTTCATGGCCAAGTTCATCAAGTAGACTGTATCCTCCACTTGTATTCTATGTCTTCACATCTTCATGCGTCATATCATCCTCGTTGTCTCTCGCCGTACGGCGAATCATCTTCGCCTCGAGTGACCACAACCCGACGGTGCGTTTGAGGGACTGCTTACATTGCATAATCATTCAGCAGATATAACGCCCCAAGTCACTTCTCTAAGGCTCCGAGTCCAACACGCTACCTGAAAGGAGGCTCAAACGCACCTATAGCTCAGACAACGTGTGGAAGGAGCACGTCCTGTATCCTGTACGTGCGCACAGCTCAAGCATAATTGTCTTCTGGGCTAACCGTAATTTCATCCCTCTCAAAGAGATGCGTACGCTTCGATCAAGCCTAATAACACGCGTACGCTGCGAGGACCTGGTTTCGTGAGCCACGACCTGGTTTCGTGAGCCACGACCTAGGTTCGTGAGCCACGACCTCGGTTCGTGAAAGGACCAGCGCCACGCTTCGACGCTTCCATGCAAGCCGTGCGAATGGCTTGCCTTTTTGGGACACAACAGCGACTTGCCATCTGGCGAACAAAGAGATTGGCGGTGTGCGTGGACCCGCGCCCCGCGTGCATAGGCCAGTGCCCCGGCGTACATAGGCCAGTGCCCTGGCGTGCGGTGGTCATTATCGGCCCCGCGTGATCCGCGACGGCGGGCTACAAAGCGCACCTGGGTGCACGGTCCTGCTTCAGCAGTTGTCTCTTACCGCCACTTCTTCCCTGCGCACATTCTACATAGCCTGACCGCTCTCAGAGCTACCCAGCCCCAAACAAGCTGGGCGTGGAAATTCGGCATCACTACAGACGCTAGTCATGACTTCTCAGGATGACCGCCGCCCGAGCCTCAAGCGCCGCGCCGACGACGACCTGCCGGGGCCGTCGATCAAGCGCCCGCGCTCGCAGTCGCCGCCGACGCGCGCGCCTCCACCGTCTGGTCACGGTCGGGGGTGCCGTGGCAAGGCGCCTGCGAGCGTGCTCAGGCGCAGCCCAGAGAGCCCGCCCCTACCCGGCCCGTCCCATGGTACGTTGTGGCATTCGACCATGGTCAGAGTGCCGACTGGCAATGCAGAACCCCACGGCTCTCGGGGCGCCAACGCACACTACATCGACCCCCACGTCATGCCCATGGACTACCATAAACCACGTGCGTCGCGTCGACCTGTCTGTGCCGAGCCTCGCATACTGACTGTCGTATTGGATGCAGTATACCCTAGCACTGGACACGCGTACGCTTCCGCTGATTATGGGGCACTGGCGTCCTTCTATCCTCCACCGCCCTTCGCCGGGCCTGGTAGTGGTGCGTGTCTCGTGCGATTTGTGTGGCACGACCGTTGGCTGATGCAGGGTGCTGACTAGGGACCCTCGACGCGGTGGTTGCATCTTTTGAAGCGGCCCTGATGGGCGGCTGCTATCCTCCTGTTCCAGGGGGATACCCTGCTGCTCCAACGGGATGCTCTGCTGCTCCGGGGGGATACCCTGCTGCCATAGGGGGATATCCTGCCGCGCCTCCAGCTCCTGGCCTTCTTCCGCCAGCTCCTTTCGCCTACCCAGCTCTCGCTCCCGGGTACTCGATTGCTGCTGGCTATGCGCCCCCTCCTCCCAGCGCCCCTGCTCCTTTTCCAGTCTTCTATCCTCCTTACCCTATTTACGCTTATCCTCCTCCTCCTGCCGCCCGCCAGCCACACGCGCCCGCCTTTCAACCTCCCCAGCCCGCGCCAGCGCAGGACCACACACCCCAGTACTACGACGCCTTCGCCGCGACGCCCACGCCCACGGAGCGGCTCGACGCCGAGGCGTGGAGGGACGCGTACCCCGGGGAGTACCCCGCGATCCCGCCTGTGTACCCGATCCGCGTCTCGTCGCCGCCCGCGCGGCTGCCGGAGCTGATGCCGGATGCGGTGCGGGTGGTGGGGGAAGATGGGGTGTCGAGAGACGAGTCTTGCGCGGGGCGAGGGGAGTCCTGCGCGCTTCGAGGGGAGTCCTGCGCGCCACGAGACGAACCCTGCGCGCGCTCCAGAACGTCTTCCCCGGACCCCTTCGCCCCGCTCACGCCCGCGGAGGTCGTTCAGCACACGCTGCGTGCGAGGGAGGAGGCCGCGCCGTGGTACGAGTGCATCTCCCGCTGGCGGGAGACGGTGCGGGGGGGCGAGGGGGAGGATCCGAGGGCGAGGTATCTGCCCAGGACGTGCGTGGATTATGCTCGCAAGTCGCCTGCGAGGTGTCTATCCAGGACGCCTGCGAGGTATGCGAAGGATCCTCGCGCCGGGTATCCGAAGGACCAACACGCCAAAGATTTCAGGATGACACGCCTCCCGACGCCGCAGCCGCCCTACATGGGCCCCTTCAACCCGCCGTACGATGTCGATGAGGGCGCGTGTCGGTTACCGGCGGCGCGGGTGCCGTTCTCGAAGGATCCGAAGATGAGGGATTGGAGGAGGCCGGTGGGGGCGGGAGAGGGGATGGGGGTGGGAGAGGGAGTGGGAGAGGGGGCGGGAGAGGGAATGGGGGTGGGAGTGGGAGTGGGAGATGGGATGGGGGCGAGCGAGCCTATCAGCGTGGACCCGCCTGTTAGTGTGGACCCGCCGGAGGGGGAGCTTGGGGAGGAGAGGTTCGGCGAGGGGGGGCTCGGGGAGAGGTCTGGCGAGGGGCAGCTCGGGGAGAGGTCTGGCGAGGGGGAGCTCGGGGAGAGGTTCGGCGAGCGAGAGCTCAGGGAGAGGTCTGGCGAGAGGGAGCCTCACGAGGAAGCGGGCGTGACTCGACTTATTGACGGGATGGCGGGCGCCTTCGCGGCCCAGCTGGACCGAGTCGCAGACGAGCTGATCGGGGGGCACGCAGCCCATGGCCAGTTTGTCGAAGGTCGTAAAGAGGAACCGCTCGTGCCCCGATCCTACGCGCAGCAGTTGGAGAGGGAAGTAGCGCAGCTAGAGAAGAACGTGGCCGAACTGGAAACGGACGCGGCCCAATTCAGGACCGTCCTCGCCGCCGCAGAACACGATGTCGCGGACCTGGGCGAGGAGCTGCTCTTCGCGCGGCGGCTGGCGGCGGGGGCGAGGGCCGCGCTGGCGGGGTGTCGGTATCAGCTTAAGCGGATGAGGATGCAGTTTGAGGACGCGGAGGGGGAGAGGGGTGCTGCAGTTTGAAGGGGTCTGCCTGGTGCGCTCACGGAAGTTGGAACTTGGAACCGTCTTTTTCCTCTCATCTTATCCCACAATCTAGTGCATACTGACTGACACTCAACACCGTGACCGCGCTTGCATCATCTTTATCGCCTGTATCTCTATCTTCAGTAGTGTAGCGTTTCGTAAATGTCGATTTCTCGGATATCCCTGGCTGTAGTGCTTTGGTTTCACTCGCTCGCTGCTTTACAGCCTTCGATTTACACTTTCAACGCATTTTGAAGCGGAACCAATTTCGTATCACATCCTCGTTCTGACCTGTCGGCGCCACACAACGACAAGTACAACGACGCCACCCGGAAGGTGATGTCGAAAAACAATAAGCTATTTGGCCGTATTAGGGCACAAGCACTTCCTAATCGGGACGCCTACCGCGCCACACTTATTGTTCGCCCGATCCGGACAATGGCCGCCTCCGCCGCTCATTGTTATTTCGGAGGAACAATGGATGGTCGTTGCCGAGGAGATCGTGGGCATATAAAATGAATTCCTCGTGCTGGTCTGCTACGTCAACTTCCCCTCTTCCCCCGCCCCCGTCTGCCTCGGACTTCATTGAGTTCATTCAGTGAACCGGTGTTGGGTTCATTTAGCACATCGCCTGCCCTTCGCACGTCAACTACATCTCTTGAATCTCTTCCACAACCACCGGTCTAAACGCGATGTCGCACTCGCATGACAGCCGCGAATCATCGGGATCGCCCTCGAGGAAGCGCTCGAGGTCGCCGGCCAGCGATCACGCCGCGGACTCCCCGTCCCCCAAGCGACGCTCCCCCTCACCTCGTCAGGACAGCGCAGGCGCTAGTCCTTCCAACAGCCCTGCCCTGCCTCCCCGGCTCATCTCTCGTCGTACGTGATGATCGGCGCTCATGAACCTGTCAGCTAAGACCCTTGCAGGCGTTACTCGCAGTCCACGCCGCACCCCACCTTCCACCCGTCGCCATCGTCATGTTCCTCTGCCTTCCTTGTCTCCGGACAACGCGCTAGGCCTCGATACCCCTCACCACAGCCTCGGCGCCTCTGCCCAGGGTGAGTACCTTGACCGTTCTTTGGCTGTCTGTCGCTCATGATCATATCCTTAGCTGGTCTTCCGTCCCCACCCTCGCACGAGCCCACCTATGGGGCCGACCCCGAGCACGACGAGCCCAACATCTTGCGCTACCCCAACGAAGAGCCCCAGGCTTATCCCCCTGATGAGCCCGCCACATATCCTGAGGACGAAGATCCCTTCTATCCACCGGCACCTCGCAGCCCTTCGTCGACCTCTGCTCGGTTTGCCTTCCGCAACCCCTCTGCGGCGCCCCGCGACCCCTCTCCAGCGCCTCGCGAACCTTCTCCGGCGCCCCGCGTCCCTCCTCAGGGTCCTTTTATTGCTCCTCCATTGCCTGGCAGCCCTCGATTCGCTCTCGATGCGTACACGTTCGGGGAACCGTCTCGCGGCCCCATCCTCCCGGATCCTGTCTCTCCGCGCTCGCGCACGCCACCTGTGCCATCGAGCGCGCGGCGTGGAGGCTCGTCGGACGGGCGGCGTGTTGTCCCGTCCCAGGACCCACGGCGCGGCATCGTCCCGTCGAACGCACTCTATACACCCTTCTACCCTTCGCCTTCGTCGCGAGCTCCAGAGCCCTATACGCGAGCCCCAGAGCCCTATACGCGATCTCCGGAGCCCTACTTGTACTCCCTCGCCGGACACAACGCGCCGACCGTGCCGTCGCAGCGAGGAGCTCCGACATCACATCATTCTCAGTGGCCGGAGGACTCAGGGTACGATGCGCCGCCGCATGCCTCGACGTCCTACGCCGCACGTGCTTCGACGTCGTACGCGCCGGACGTGGGCCCGTCGCATCACGCCCCGCAAAGTCCATCGCGCTACGAGCCGCGGCAGGCTTCGACGTCTTACGACCTGCCTCAAGCCTCGACGTCATACGCGCCAGCTTCCACGTCGCGGGTGCCGCCCCTGGCTCCCGCCCAGTGGATCCCTCGCCCTCCTCGTTCACCGTACCCTCAGCACCCGCAGCGGCCCGCCGAGGACTACATCCTGCCCCCGCTCAGGCTCCCGACGGAGCATCGTGCACCCGCCGCGTCTACTCCGCAGCAGCCTGCCGCACCCGCCGCCCGGCACCCCGTCGCCTCTACCTCCTACGCCGCTTATCCTGCTCATTCCTACCCTGCTCATGCCTATCCCGCGACATACCCCGATGAACCATCGACGATCGGCCACCACGTCCCCCGGGATACGGTCGCGTTCATCACCGAGTACTTCGGGAGCGATCGGCAAACGCTCGTTTGGGGGGCTGCCGATCAGTTTTGGCGGCAGCGGGCGGAGGCCAGGCAGAGCCGCCACGACGCGGACGGGTCAGAGTTGCAGATCATGAGGGAGGCGCTGGAGAGCATGGGGCGGCGGCTGGCTGAAGCCGAGGCGCTCTCTGAGTCCAGGCGGGTGGAGCTCGAAGAGGAGAGGGAAGAGACGCGAGCACTCCGGGAGACTAACCGCGAGCTCCGACAGAGAGTGCAGGACGTGGAGGAAATGGCAGCCAATCTCGCAACGGGTTCCCAGGAGAGGGAGCAGGACCTCCTGCGCGCCAACCGCTCCATGGCACGACAGCTTCATGCCCATGGGATTGTGCCGGAGATCGACCAGGTCGAAGAGTCGGTGTCCGAGGACGAGGTCGTCACTCCTGGCGGGCCTAACTCCCAGGCTGAGGACGTCACTATCGTCGAGCCCAACACCGTTGTCGATGGCTTCACCCCAGTCGCGGAGTTTGACCCCGTCGACGAAGCCTTGGAAGCCGAAGATGACCTTGAGTACGCTGATGACTTGGACGCCGACGATGAGTTCGAGGTCACTACCCCCGTTCAGGCCACCACCACCGTCCAGGTTTCTACCCCAGTCGAAGCCACTGCCCCGGTCGAAGCCACTATCCCGGATGAAGTCACTACCCCGATGCAGCGTTGGCCCGCTCTCGCGCCCTCACACTCGACTCTCAGTCTCCCTCCTGCTTCGTACCCCTCACCCGCCGAGGGTCCCGCCCCACGCACATCCGAGACGCCAGTCCCTGGTCCCTCGCGCTCGACTCAGGCTTCCGCTTCCCCGCGCGCATCGCCCAAGCCCGCCTCTCAGCGCTCCTCACCCCGCCTGGCCTCCCGGCGCTCCTCGCCTCGACACGCCTCTCCGCGCCCATCGCCTCGCCTCGCCTCCCCGTACGCGCGGCCCGCATCCGCATCCTCGCAGCGCTCGCCCTCCCCCGCGCAACCATCGTCGCCTGCCTTCCGCCCCTTTGCATCCTCCATGATGTCTGTCGCCCCCCATGCCATGAGGAGCCGACGTGGGGCGCCGCTCATGATCCAGGCATACGCCGCTGAATCGCTGGAAGAAGAGCAGGACGAGGACGAACCTGCCATCAAAGTTGAGCCAGAGGAGGAGGACGAACTTGTCGTCAAACTCGAACCAGAGGAAGAAACCCTCCCCTCCCGCCGCTCGTCGGTCGCTTCCAGCTCTCGCGCCGCATAGAGCCATCGATTCGGAAGCCATGCAAGTACTATATACCCCTTCCCAGTGTCCCATTTCCCTGTCTTCTCGTTATCCTGCCTTCACATTGCTCTCCTGTTCTCCTGACTTGTTCTGATTCACTCATCGCAACGGATTCGTCGCATTGTAGCATATTTACCTGTTGTTGTTTTTTTACCTTGCTTTCTCGTAGTACTAATGTTGTGTGTTGTTCTTCGCTAACGCTGTCATAAAGGCATCCCCCCTTGCATATCTTTTGTAGCAGTAGATTTTTAGTAGAAGTAGTCATTTTCCCTTGTATCTCTTTCTCGTGTATCGCTCTCAATGCATTGGCTGGTCTTCTGCATCCTCTGAACTGCGCGCCGTCCGAACTGAAGAATCAGACTGACAACTGGCTTTGGAGAATGGGTTATGACAGAGAAGTGGTATCTTCAAATTGTTATATCCAGGCAGCAAAGTGAAATACGAAGCTGTCTCTTGTTCCGTGTAACGGCGGCGGTCTGGAGACTCGTCAAGTTCTGTTGCACTCACCGCCGCCTAATGTTCTGCCCATGGACCCGTGGACGAAATGCTGAGCATGGCCTCGAGTCTTGCATAATCCAGTTGCGTGGGAGGCGCGTCGGCATCTCCCGTGGTTGACTTGTCTGTTTAGTTTCCTGTGGCGTTCACCAGACCACCATCCATCGCGTCTTTGTCGACACACCCGGGACCACCGTTCCTCGTAGTCGCATACATCGATTTACGACCGATCATACATCAGCAGCCACACTCGCCACACCTTAAAGAAAGCGCTCGCCACTCCGCAAAAAATATAGCCATGGCCACTCCTACGAACATCATCAACGTCTCGATGGCCGATTTTTACAATATCTACCTCAAGGGCTGGGGGCGCATTGGGGAGGAGAGTATGCAATGCCTCATGCAGCACCTGATCGAGGAGGAAATTTACCAGCAAGACCACTGGCGCGACTTCCCCGGCGCCAAAGCCTATGCGAGCGACGTCCATCGCGCGCACATCTGGAACCCCATGCAGCGCGTCTTCGCTGACGTCGTACAGGCCGCTGCAACCGTGCTCGGCGCGAGCTCGAGCATGGAAAAAAGATGCGCGACGTTCGAGTGCGCGCATGGGAGCGAGACGTTCGCCGAAAACCTGGAGATCGAGCAGAGCTTTGCGGTCGATGGCTGGACCGAGCTCGCGATCCCAAGCAAAAGGGGGAAGAAGCCGGGGTGTGCGTACGAGATGCACATCGGCGACCCCCATGACAGGAAGGCGCTCTGGGTGCGCGCTGCGGACGTGGGCATCACGGCGCGCTGGGAGCGGCGGGGCTCGAAGAAGACGAGGATGCAGGTGCGTGGGCTGCGATGGGTTTGGTTGCCTGGGGAAGGAAGTGATTGACGCGGCATTGCAGAACGAGTACAATACCATCGGCGCCGCCAGCCACATCCTCTCCACAGACCGCCGCCGTGCCTTCCACGTTTCCATCACCATGGAGGATACCATCGCGCGCCTCTGGTACCACTCGCGCTCCTTCTCTGTAGTCTCTGAGCCCTTCGACGTCAACAAGGTGTGTGTCATGGAACATCGCACCGACATCCGCTCACTGATGATCGTCTGGCAGTGCCCCGCCGAGCTCATCCAGTTCATCCTCTTCTCCACCTACGCTAAGGACGCGCAGCTCGGCCTGGACGAACACATCGCCCGCGTCCTCGATCGCGAGGACCGACTTCAGTACCAATACGTCGTTAGGCCCAACCCCAACGACCACCGGTGTATCATCTACCAAACGGTCGATGTGCTCGCGCCTGAATCCCCACACGATGCATCCCCTGCCCTCCACGATAGCGGTGTAGTGGTCTGGTGTGTGCAGCCTGCGAAGCACTGGAAGGACGGCCGATCCGTCCCCGAGGGCGCGCCGTTCCACGCCCTCAAGGACTTCGCGCAGCTGGAGGACCGGCCGAGGGAGTGGGAGCTCCAGGCGAAAGTGCGCAGGGCGATGAGGAAGGTAGCGCAGAGCCCGGAGGAATTGCGGGCGATGAGGATGTCGCTTGTGACGATCATGGCGGACGGGCCGATGGCGCTGACGGAGCAGAACGAGGTGCCGGAGGGCGTGGACGTGTACTTCAAGCGGCGCCGGCGGAGCGTAACGGTGTACAAGGAGGTCTGCGTGGACCTGTACAAGCTGGAGGACCCGAGCGTGCAGTTCTTCGCGCTGTCGAAGGTCGCAGAGAGTGCGTTGGCTGTCGGTGCGATGTGTGGATCGAGCTGATGTTTGCCATAGTCTTGTCATGGTGGAAGCGCATCGGAGTTGTCCACCGTGATCCCAGCCCGGGCAACTTTTTGGTCCAGCTGCCTGACCATGAAGACGCAGGCATTCACGAATGCATCGTGAAGATCACCGACCTGGAGTCAATGCAATTCTACGACGATCTTGGTCCCTGGGATTGCTATACGGTAAGCACCACTCAAGACGCGACCTGCCATCTCGCTCACCGTCACCCACAGGGCACGGACTACTACATGGCCATCGAGGCGCAGGCCGGTCGGCACCTGTTCTGTCCACCCGACGTGCCCCCTTCGCTCCTCGCCCTGAACCACTACAACCACAGCCCCTACAACGACCTTGAACCCATCCTCTGGATGGCCCTCGACTACGTCACGAAGCGCGCCGACGGACACCTCATCGGCGACAGCCCCAGCGCATCTCTTCTCGCCTCGCTCCGCTATCAGCTCGCGTACCGCGACCTCATCTTCACCACGTATACAGGCTCGGAGACGCGCACGCGCCTGATGCAGGGCGACCCCACGGAGTGCGAGATGCTGCGCGCGACGCTCGTGCGCACGTACGGGGCGCGCTCGCCCGTCCCGCACCTCGTCGACCTAATCTACGCGATGGCGAAGGCTTACAGGCACGCGCAGAGGTCGGCGATCGACGAGGAGCTCGAGGCGGGCGTGCCGAGGGAGGGCGTCGCGCATAAGCGCCTGCCGTTGAAGTGCTTCCGCTCGTGGATCTATCAGGAGATTGAGAAGGGGCTGGCGGCGATTAGCAGGTATTACGAGACGCTGGGCAGCTCGTTGATGCGGCTGGAGGACCTGGATCTCGATGCGCTGAGCAGGAAGTGTGCGGCTACGATTCAGGTGCCGGAACTAGCACCCGCGCTGACCACGGAGGGAGAGTTGGCGGCGGCAGTGGTAGAGACGCCCGCCGACACCACCGGCCAGGCCACGATCTACGCCAACGAAAAAGACTGCCAGTCCGCCGTGCATAGCAGTGTCGCCCGTGAAGTGCTGGAAACCGATCGGACCGTGCACGCAAGCCATTCCGCCTCGTCGGCAATGAAGCGCAAGGCTGGCGATGAGGTAGAGGACTCAATCGAAGCGAAACGTCCCTGCTCGGTGTTGTCAACGATCAAAATTTATGCCGCGCCGGGGGAGAATGAGAAGGAGCTGTCGGATGGGTCGAAGTTGGAGATGGTGTCGACGTCGCGCGTCCAGGTCAACACACGGCCTGCCTGGCGCTGAAGAAGGAGATGTACGAGCTGTAGACGTGTTAATCGCTGGAGTCATCGCTTTCAATGTAGCACGCACCTCAACTTGAACTTGAGCTTCAAACCTCTCTCGACTTCGTGCGCCCAAAAATTCTGCGCATGTCCATGGGTGCAGTGACATTGCTCTCCAGATAGAATCACCGATGCACGTATCTTCCCCAGCGCGCCTTATTGAGCGGTGCGAAAGGCGTATGGGCGACAGTGAGTCAACGTCGGGAACACGAGTTTGATGCGCCTCCGGCGTCGGTGACGGCGGCCGTCCTACCCGTGTGAAAATGCCGCATTGGCCGTACGGTGCCGTACAAGCCGTACATTATCTATGTTCTTGTGGCCTACACACGTATTATCGCACTGCAGTACCATAGTCATACTAAAAGTGGCTTTAGAGCCTACTGAAGACGGTGTCTAGTGGCCTCCCGTTGTCGCCTTAAACCTTTAGATGGACGTCCGGAGGTCCGGTCCGGATACGACGGGGCAGCTTGGAGGTCGCGTCTGGGGCCGTCCACTCATTTCTGGATATCGCTAGAGATCCATGGGCAGTCTCAGATGGTATATGTGCATGACATGTCTGTATAAGAGCTTGATATTCGGTCGAAAGAACTACTGACTCCGCCGTGACCGTTCAAGTGCCGTACGACAGTGCACGGCACTGTGACATCGCTGTGACAGCGCCGTACAAAGCCGTACACGAGCCGTACACGAGCCGTACAGCGCCGTACGGCTCCGTTATAGTCACCATCCTCGAGGCAATCATTGAGGCGAGTATAGAGGGCCTTAAAAGTACATTGCACTGTCTTTAGCTGGAACATGACCGCAAGAGACTATTGCAGCTGAATTTCTCACAAATGAACTCAAAAGTTACACAAAATGGAAGTTTGCCCCTGTATGTTATCCCACCTTTTGCTTCAACCGTTATAAGTCACGAAGGAATGCCTCTATAGCCATCGGAGCTCCGATGATGACAATAGCACCAGTATTTCTACCTTGTTCACCTAAAAAACTGACCCTCAATTTTCCAAGCCCGACCGACTCCGACTTTGGCCCTGACACTTCCTACGACCTGGTGGACACACTCATTGCACCTGAGAAAGGCTTGCGTATCAGCAGCATACAATACAGTGGCAGTGGCAGGCTGGAAAACTCCGAATGCTGAGTAGAGACCATGAACACTTTCACTTGTGAGGTGCACGCTGGTGTACGGCTCGCACGGTCCGCACGGCATGGGTACGGCACTGTACGGCCCAATGCGGCATTTTATCTAGGCCCCGTCCTACCCTCAAGCGCCCGTACTTCCTTGGCTCCCACCACCATCCCCGCCCATTTGCACTCATCGCGACGCCTTCAGAGCATATACTCAGCTCGGTTTGTTTAGATATTCTCCCAGATGTTGACGTCGAGCAATGCCTACACCGCACACATGAATCTTCCTTTCCTCCTCAATCATGCATCTCAAGATACGGCTACCAAATGACGGTCATTCGTGCGCTCTGGCCCCCACTGCTTTAAGTGCAAGTAGCCTCTCGAGCTCTCATAGGTCTGTAAGTAAGGGTGTATAGCGAAGCCGGTGGTGCCTTGGAGTGCCGCGTTCTGGCGTCATCGACGAGTCGACGTCCGCGTCGGCAGCATCCTGCTCATCCAACATGCGCTTCTTTTCCTCCCCCACCATGTCCAGAAGAGTCGCCACGCCCTCGACAGTCTACCTCGTCACCGGCGCGAACTGCAGACTCGGTGCGTTTGAATGATCCACTCGACTCTCGTTCGCCCCTCCCGTTGGCATGAGAACCGTATCTGACTAGCATTGCTCCCCTTAGGCATCGTCCTGACTCGCATTCTCGCTCTGCGCGATGATACCATCGTATTCGCCGGCGCGCGCAACCCCTCTGAGTCCACCGATCTCCTTACACTCGCCGGTCGCTTCCCCAAGAAAGTACAGCTCATAACTTTCATCCCTGGGGACCGCGAGTCCAACATCAAGACCGTCAATGATATCCGGAGGTCCGCCGGGAGGCTGGATGTGGTCATCGCGAATGCAGGTGCGTCGTACTACTCCCGGAGGTCATGGACGCATCGCTAAGCCTCCTCCATCAGAAGCACCTAAAGGACGAGAAAATGCACCTTATGAAGTTCGACTACAACGTCCCCTCTCTGAATCAATGCTTACAACCCCTATCAGCTCGATGCCGTCGAACCAATCGTCCTCCTCCGCGAAGCGTATGACCTCCTCAAATGGACACCTCCCGCGAAGCCCAAGTTTGTCATAGTTGCCAATTACGACGAGACTGCCCTCGGGACGAGGATATACAACTTCCTTGACGCGGACGTCGTAGAGATGCCCGATGTCGTGTTGAACTGGCGTGCCGTGCATGACGACTATCCGGACTTGGGTGAGCGCGAACGAGTAAGAACACAGGGCATCGGGCGCTAACCTCCTTTGCAGTCTTCTTCCCTGTGTGCGGCGACGTTGTCAACACTGCTGGCAGTATGTCATTCCCAGACTTCGCTCGGACCCGCGCTGACACGCCGTCCAGCCTCCTTCATACCCAACGAAGAAGGCATACGTCACCTCCCGCACATTACCGCCGAGGAGAGCGCGACAGGCATCCTGAAGCTCGTCGACAAGGCGACGCGCGAGACGCATAATGGATACTTCTGGAGCTTCAACGGGAGTAAGCTGCCTTGGTGAAGGGCAAAGCCTCGCAGTGTAGCATAGTACAGGTAAGTACCCAGTGAAGCGCATAGGAGCGGCTGAATGAACTAAGTATAGATTAGGACTCAGCGAACACTACTACTGTATCGTAATGGATTCTGTATGCACGCTTGTAGTCAAGCGATGTTGGCCTCGACGATGAAAACCGTGCAATTCCAGATCTCCGTCGCGCGTGTGCAACGTGGTTCGGATGAAGGAACGTTGGCTCAATCGTGCAGTGCGCGTCGATTCACGCATCGTCGCAGGCAATGTCATTCTCGAGTGTCATCGTCGCCATGGTTTCTTATTCTGCGCGAACACCAGTAGGCCCGAGCGTGGACATCCCCAGCCTCGTTCGGTCTTTCTCGAACCGCCTGTGACTACATCGCCCCAAGCTCATCAAGCCAAGGCCCGCGCACCATGCGGTGGCTACACTTCTCGAGGGCGTGCGCGATGACGAACGGCGGCGGCGAAGAGCTCAGAGAGTCATCCCGAACGTCCAAGGCGGTTGAACCTCTGCCGCCGGTGAGTAAGCGACGGTCGATTTATGTCTCCTCATAAGACGATGTTCTGCGCGATACGCTTCTCATTCTGTTCGCTCCGAAGATTTCCCTCCCGAGGATTATGTCGACGCCAACTGTGTACCTTGTCACTGGCACGAATCGTGGTGTGGGTGCGTAAGGGTGTTCTCTCAGTACCCAGACAGCTCGCGAAGGGGTCGCCCATTTACCTCTCTTCTCGCAGGCCTTGCATTCGTCCGCCTTCTCTCGACCCGCCCGGATGTTATAGTCTACGCCACTGCGCGTAAGCTCGAAGGCGCGGCGGAGTTGCGAGTACTAGCGGATGAGTCTGCTGGAAAGATTCGCTTGCTCGAGTTGTCGTATGGAGATGAGCAGAGCAACGCGGCCGCGGCGGAACGCGTTAAGAGCGAGGTCGGCCGGTTGGATGTGGTGATTGCGAATGCAGGTGAGGCTTCAAACTTTGTTAATCTGCTTGCCGGTGATACTGACGTCCACCTTTCGCAGGCCTCCTCAATCATCTTGGTCCGTTGGTCGACATGCCTGTACAAGCCCTTCGAGAGCACCTGGAGGTACTTCTCTATATCGTCCGCTTGTTGATCACTTCGTTGACTTTCGGTCACAGGTCAACACCATCGGCCCCCTCGTCCTCTTTCAAGCAGTCTACAGCTTGCTCAATGCCAGTCGCGGCAAGTTCATCGTCATCTCCTCCTCCCTTGGCGCAGAGTTCGGCGCCAACACGCCCATTGGCTTCACCGCGTACGGTACGTCGAAGGCGGCAGTGAACTTCCTGGTCAGGCGGATTCACACTGAGTGCCAGGATATCAGTACGTGTGCCACGCGTCGGGAAGATTGGATGTTGGATGTGCTGACGTGACCTGGAAACAGCGGCCTTTTTGTTGCATCCCGGGCTTGTCGATACTGGGATGGGTACGTGACTTCGGGCGACTGAGTGCTGATAGCTTGGCGGTATGCTGACTCGCTGCAACAGGCGACTTCGCGAGCAACTCCGACAGTCGGGTCGCCAGTGCCCGCAAGCTTTCCCCCGCGGAGAGCGCGCGCGGAATGATAGAGGATGTCATAGATTCGGCGACGAGGGAGGTGCATGGAGGCAAACTCTGGGGCAAAGACACCGGGAAATGGGCTGTGATCCCGTGGTGAGGTGCCGCCACCGTATTTCTTGTTGCATGTATAATCTGGCTGAATAACATGAAACTCTAGACGAACGCATAGTTGTGGGATAGCTTTCACAGGGTCATTCAGCGGAAAAGTCCCTAGTACGTGCTCTGACCATACTTAGGATGTATTTTCCAAGTTTGCAAGCGGCTGTGGGTGGCTGACCAGGCGATGACTGCCCGGGTTCTCCCATTTCATTGTCGCAGCATCGAGGGCGACTGCTACCTAGCGTTGAACGTCAGCACAATGTAGCAAGCTCTGTTGCTGGTTGGTAAGCGCTCTTGGGCTCCTGCATACTTTAGGGCCACCCCCTCATCCCACAGACCTCAGCAGAACTCCATCCTCGCAATGTCAACTTCCACCGTATATCTCGTCACTGGTACAAACCGCGGACTAGGTGAGCGCCTCATTGACGGACGCCGTCTTGTCTTACAAGCTGATTCTGACGCCGTCCCTGTACATAGGCTTGGCCCTCGTCCGCATCCTCACCGCTCGCCCCAACGTCGTGATCTACGCCACTGCGCGTAAGCTCCACGATGCGACGGACCTGCAAGCCCTGACGGACGAGTCCGCCGGCAAACTTCGCCTCGTCGAGCTCCAGTCCGGGGATGGGCAGGCCCACGAAGCTGTGATTGCCCGAATCAAGGCTGAAGTCGGCCGGCTAGATGTGGTTATCGCGAATGCGGGTGCGCTACTGGATCATCCGTGTGCGGGCGCGTAGTGGCTTTAGCGAACCTCGCCAGGGATGGTCTCTCACATCGGCCCCATGCTTGAGATGCCCGTTCAGGCGCTGCGGGATCATCTTGAGGTAAGTCAAACAAATCCTCGAATTTCTCGCCCGTCAGTCGTGAGAAGTGTCTCTCATCGCGCCTTTCAACAGGTTAACACCATCGGCCCCTTCGTCCTCTTCAAAGCCGCCTACCCCTTACTCGAAACCTCCCACGGGAAATTTGCTGTCATCTCCTCCTGGCTAGGTGGCGAACGCGGGGCCAAGAGCCCCTTCGGCTTCACCGCCTATGCAACGTCGAAGGCGGCGGTGAACTTTTTGGTGAGGAGGATGCATACCGAATGTCCCGATATCAGTATGTGCTACCACACGCCGGTCGAGGCTGATCGTTGACTGCATATCAGCTGCGCTCGCGTTGCACCCAGGGTCTGTTGATACGGGGATGAGTAAGATCTTACCTTCCAGTCTCGTTGATCGATGTCCATTGAGCTGATCGCCACGAGCAGGCGACTACACACGGAAGCAAGACAGCCGCCTCGCCAAGGCCCCCAGGATCTCGCCCGAGGAGAGTGCGCGAGGAATGTTAGAGGGCGTCATAGACTCGGCGACGAGGGAGATGCATGGAGGGAAGCTTTGGGCGAAGCAGGAGGGGGAGTGGGGAGTTGTGGGCTGGTAGAGTGTGAACGCGGTGCAGCTATGAACTCGCGGTGACCTTCCGAGGTGATGATGATAGCCCAATTCAAACCGACCTAATACCTGGAAGAACGAAGGATACAGCATTTATTTCCGTTACCTGACCTCGCAAATTTCGTTGGCGTTTACGCCGGCACCAGCAGCGCTTTCTTCAACGCTTTAATCTCCTCGTCCGTTATCCCAGCTCCTCGAAGATATCCCTCCGCGCCGCCATAATCCTCGCGTATCATGGCGAGAGTGGTGCGCATCGTCTCCGGTCTGGATCCGTATCAGTCAGAGGATGCGAAGAGGACGATGCGAATATCGAGGACGGGGAAATCAAGGGCGGATTGCTCAGGAAATCAGCAGGTAGTCCTCGCTCCAGATATTTGCGCGAAAGGGAAGATATACGCACTTCGAACCTCCCATCTTCAGCAATCCGTCCCAGTTCTCCCTATACACCGCAATATCCTGGAATTTCTTGAACAAGAGGGGGAACAAGGGTGCGATGCCGGCGCTTGTCAAAGCGTAGTCGTTGACGATGTCGTCGTCGGGGACGCCCAGGATCTGTGGAGGGATGTTAGTAGTTGAGAGAATTGGAAGTGAGGCGAGGAAGAGGAGGGTGGAAGGGAGACTTACCATCTCGACAAGAGCGCAGAAGAGGCCGGTGCGATCCTTGCCCGCTTGGGTTTGGAAAGGGGAAGAGGGCACGGTGGGGGGAATGGGAGGGAGCGGAGCGGAGAATTGTTAGCTTGGCGGTGCAATTATGGCTAATACGGCTTACCGGTACAGTGAACCAGACACGGCTCGTTCGGACGGGCAATGATATCCCGGATTATTCTCGAGTACGCAGGCCCTGCAGATTCGAGCATGTCCTTGTACATCTTGCGGAAGCCCTGCCAGACAATTGAGTACATCTCTGATTGATTGGGAACTCAAGCTTACCGAGACCTCGTCCTCGTTGAATTGCTGCAGACTATAACGATCATCGTCAATGGTGACCAAACTTGACTTGACTCCGACAAGACAAAAAAAGCTCACCGCATAGCTAGCCCGACCGGATCGTACGCTTCCGTCTCGCTAACAGGGACGTGCACGAACTCCACACCAGGAATCGTTGGGTCAGAAGTCCCATAGCTCTCGCCCTCTGACGCCTTCCGGAGGTCGAAGATGCGCGTTACGCCCAGGGCGACGAGCTGTTGTTTTCCGGCGTCGGTTATGCGGGAGATGTCGCCAGAGCGGTAGAAGGCGGCGGGCTTGACGCGGGAAGAGCCGTGTGACGTGGCAAAGCCGCCAACGCTGCGGAAGTTGACAATACCTGGAACGTTGACGAAGGGTGGTGGGAGGTCGGGGACGTTCATGTTCTGTCGTAAAAGACGTAAGGAGGAGTAGAGACGTGCTTCTACGGGAGGCCTCGTATGAAGATAGATTGAACCGGAAGGTGACACTCAGAAGACAAGCCGGCAGCGACCTGATGCCGGGCTGACGACACGATTCCTGACGGCGCCGTGGGAAATCTGGGAAACCTGATCTGCGCATCAGCAACTGCTGAATGGCAAGAGCACGACCACTTCATTCAGACCTTGTTATGACAGGACGCGGGTAGTTGGTAGACGGAAAAGTTACCGTTGCCGCAGCAATTGAACCGTGTGAACATGGTACACCATCAAGTAGTACGGCAACTTCCGGGCCTCTCCTTATCCTTATCCACCGAGAACACCGACAGTATGGGGGTGATACCACCGGAGTAACCCCTATCACACTCCGGTTGTTTGATTTGTCATTGATGGCATGCGTTACCTAGCATCACGCTGATGCAAATACCGAAAACCAAAGTATTTTCTGGGTTTCCTTCTTATTTCGCGTGCTCATTGCCGTTTTGGGTTGCCCAGAGCTAGTTGCTCAGCCCTTTCTCAGTAAGTAGAGCCACAAAGCATACGTATAGCAAGATGACTTGTACAAAGCCTGCAATGAGCTGAGGTCAGAACGCATACGGGATCTTAACTCCAGTGCTATCGCATGAGCTAGGACCCCCGCCAGACTGCCTGCACCCGCCACGCATGCAATCTCGCAATGGGCGAAGCGCGCGCCGTTCGCTGCGCGCCACTCTCGCGTGTTTCGCGTTTTTTGCGCGTCTCGCCCTTGTCTCGCGCTCCTCGCGCCCTTCGCGGCCACCGCACTTCTCACGCTGGCGCCCCTTGCGCGCATCGCTCTTCCCGCGCTCATCTCGCTGGTGAGGGCGTCCATCGCGCCCATCGCAAATCTCTATATCTGCGCTCCGCGTGCTCACCGGGCCTCGTCGAGTCGTTCACACGTGCTCAGCCGGGCAGACAAATTTTCTGTGTGTACTTTGCTTCTGCCACCCTCCCTCATGACCTGCTATTTGCCACTTTCCTCCCCTTCGTTCCACGCGCCCTGAGCACCCACATACTCTTCCAGGTTGACGCCTCTGCGCAGTGATCCGTACGTAACATGACCACAATCCCATGCAAGAACAATGGACAGACTGAACAGCGGCGCGATGAAGGCAGTACGGAGGCAGGGCAGCTGCAGGTGCGTAACACAAAAACATCGCGCTCTCGATAAATACTGACGGACACTTAGGGAGTGACAGAGGAGGGGTGAACGCACACTCATCTACTGTCCCTTCGCCTTCTCGCGCTACGGACACTGCGGTAATCACTATAGGGGCGCGACACGGCTTACCGAGCCAACTGATATTGCATTCGCATGCTCGGTCCCGCCGTGGAGTCGACGGTTGATGCGCAAATGCGCTCGTCCCACTTCTCCTGTCTCTCCCATCTCTTGGATGGTGGTAGGTAAGATTGCTGTACACCCACCCTATTCACAGTTCGGATTTTTGCTGACCTCCTGACGCATCCATCGCCACAACACAGTACACTCGCAACTTCAGAGCTGGCGGGACCCTTGGACCTTAGGGACCTCGAATTGGATGGGACGCGCAAATTGCGCAGATTGCGCAGAAGGCACGCAGAGCGCGAAAAGCGCGAGCTGCGCGGATGGAGCGAGGGGGGCGGATGGAGCGCGGTGCGCGCGGTAGGCGCGGTAGGCGCGGTAGGTGCGGTAGGTGCGGTAGGTGCGGTAGGCGCGGTAGGCGCGGTAAGCGCGAGATGTGCGAGATGCGCGAGACGCGCGAGACGCGCGAGATGCGCAGAAGGAGTGAATGGCCCAGGTTTGCGCAGGGCTCGTACAACCCTGGAAAACGAGCGGCCCGCCGGCCGCGCTGGCAAGCGCTGGCAAGAAGCGCAGCTTATTCCCGACTAACGTGCTCCACAAAGTCTACACAAGAAAGTCGGCACCAATATCGGAAGACAGCCGCTCGAGCTGACTAGTGACAATATTTGAGACCGTCTCCTGGGATGGTGGCAGGTAAGAGTGTCGGGAAAGTTAGTATTGATTTATCTACGAACTATGTACCCTTCTAGGTAGCTTACTAGATAGCCTGATAGTGTACATTTGGCAGAGATAGTACGTTACCCCGCCCATCGACGCCCTTTCGCGACGACTTGGATCGAAAATTCGACGTGAGGGCGAATTTGTGGCAAAGGTCGACTTGCCCGTCGTTGCGCCCCCTTCCCCTTCTCGTTATTGATCCGAGGTGAGCAGACACACTTCTACCACTTATTTACCACTTGTTGAAATGCCGTTGATGTTCACTTACAGAGTCCCTCGCGCTCGGGCTCCTCGACATCTCGCCAAAGTCCCCTCGGAGGTGAGTGCCGTTGTTATCTCACCCACATGTCTCCTTCCTCTTCGTGCCTCTCCCCCTCCTCCCCTTGTCTCAAGGGTCTCGCCATAGGGCCAGAAGCATGCTTACATCGCATACTATCTACTACATCGACGAACACTACACACCCAATCTCCCTTTGTCTCCCCCTCTTTCCCATCACCAATCCCCCCTCCCCCTTCGATGAACTCCCATCCACTTTCCCCTCCCTCTCCGCCATCTCAGCTCTCGTGGGTCATCATATTGCGTCCACCTCACTCATTTCCGCCCGAATTGCAGAATCTGATGAATTATTAGTGAAAATCTCGCCCGCCTACCTTCACGACGACGAGGAACTCGACCCCCGTTCCTACCCTCCCCACCTTCGCCCTTCGACAACGACGCGCAGCGTCGACCGTGCGAATGACATTCGAAGTCAGTGAGAGCTGCGACCCGCACTTCGCGCGTAGGCCCGCTCGGCATGGGGGAAGATAGGGATGGGGGGAAGGAGGTAAGGGTGGGGGTGGGGGAGGGCACTTGCACCGCCCCCATGTTCATCGAGGTGCGCGAGGCTTGGCGTCGGCCAAGTATAGTCGACGCGCTCGCGCGCTCGTCGGCTTCCCTCGAGCCCTCGCGGAAGGCGAGGGGTGGTAGCTAGGGGTAGAAGGGTGGAAGGGGTGCCGGCGGCGGCCTCTGTCTTCGCGCGGTAGCACGTGTGGTGCGTAGGTGTCGGCAAGGCCGGAGCGAGTTGGCAGACCCGCGATAGGTATCGTCTCGGTGGCGGCGGACCTGGGGAGGGAGTGGGGAGAAGGGCGAAGGTGGGGAGGTGTCCTCCACCTTCGCAAGCGCTCTCGATAACGTGCGTGAGGTACGTCGCGTCCATCGGCGTGTTTGCGCGCGCGACTCGTCTGTGTCTTCTACGACTCGGCATCAGCAGGAAGGGGAGCGGCAGCGTGGGGGGAGGAGGTGGGGGAGGTACTTCCCACCTTCGCGAGCACCGTCGACGGCGTGCGCAAGGTGCGTGGTCTTCGTCGCAGTCTCGCTCACAGGTCGCCGGCGCTTTTCGTGCCCCCGCGTCGGCACGGAGTGAGTCGGCGCGGGGGAGACGGTGGGGGCCTTGCTCACCACTTTCCCTAACGCGCTTGGAGAGGTGAGTAGTGCGCCAGTTTCGTCTCAGTGTCTCGCGCAAGTCGCCGACGCACTCTCCGGTGTCATGTCTGCAGGGAGGGGGTGATGGGAGGGCGACGTGAAGGGTGCGGATGGGGGGGGGGGAGAGGGTGGCGCGCGGGGGAGGTGGCGGCGACCTTCCTATCGTCGCGTACGGGCCACGTATCGTCAACGATGGACGCGGCGATGTTGACTTCGCCTTCGCAGATCATTCCCCCCACTCCCTCTCCTTCCCGCCAAGCGCGGGCGGCGCGCCCTCTCTCCCGTCACCCAGACCTACCTCAACTGCTTTCGGGCTCTCGTTGGTCTTCCTAGCCGCATTCACGCCACCGGTCGCATGCATGCACCAAAAGGTCATGAGCTCGAATCCTCAGAACTGCCCACCCCCCATCCTTCGCGCGAGATTCGCGGCGCACGCTGGTCCGAAATATGCAGCGTTTACTGCTAGCGCAGACTGCGCGAGCGGCACACCGTCGTCCTCTCGGTCCTTTTGCGCAGCCCCGGCCTTTCGCGCCTTTCGCGCCTTTCGCGCCTTTCGCGCCTTTCGCGCCTTTCGTGCGTCTCGCGCTGATCTCGGCTTATCGCGCCCACCGCGCTCCTGGCGCGCTTCGCGCTCCTTGCGCCTGATGGGATCGTACGCTCACGAAAGACGCGAAGTACAGTCTAGCTAGACGATCCACACAACCAAACACCAACAACCACGATAGCAATGAACACGCTAGACTGGAGGCGCTACGAGAGCGGGCGAGTCCGAGTATTTATATTACTAGGGGATAGATTGCGTTGTTTATGCCAGTTCCAGACGAGCTGGACTGAAGCGAGGAGTCGAGTGGGGCAATCGGACGTCTCGGCGTTCTTACGAGCGCTTTCGGGTTTGATTGAAGTTCACAAGGCGGTTTAATGCGCTCGGAAGTTCAGGCTTTTATGATGTGTAAAGTGCGGGTTAACGCGGTTGTGTTTATTTGGTGTGGTGTGTCGGTACTAGGGCTTCTCTGCGCGGGGCGGGAAAAGTCCCCGAATCGTATGTAGGTCTCGGTATATAACTTGAACGCGTCGTCTCGGCCGTCCAGACCGCGCGGTAACACACAATGCCTATCTCTGAGTCAAAATCCAACTATAACGCCTATCCGCGCGTTCTCCTGTCCGAATAATCGCGCAATGACTGCGGTTCCTGGCGGTAGAGCGGTTGACTGGTCGGGTATCCTCCTGCGCCGCGATGCCGGGCGCGATTCCACACTTGTTGATGTTTACCAAGGCAAGGCCGGCCTGGTTTCCACCCGTTCCCTTGTGCGCGACGCGGCTCAGAGGCCTGCGCGGCGGGGAGCGTACAGCCTAGACTGTCGATACGCGGGGAGTGAAGCCCTTGCCGGGGCGGACAGCGCTTGGCGGCGCCGACGCTCGGTTCGGAGTTCAACTCGGCGATGTCCGAGATCACGAGCTCGGACCCGAAGTTCCGGTCTCGGACCCGAAGTCACGTGTAGTCACGTTGATGGTTCGAGTTCCGCTTGCGCGGTGCTCTGCGTGTCTCCGCATGACGGCGAGCAGCAGGAAGGCTTGTCCGAGCCCCAACAATAATCTAGATTCTCTTGACACAGCGGGGCAAGAGGACTGAAGGCTTGAAGCGCGTATAGCGCGGCTACTTGATTAAGTAGGGCCCGCCAAAGGACTCGCAGGATGTCATCGACGACGCGCAGACTCGTGATCAGGCGCCGAAGAGCTCGCTGCTATCCTTGGTCAGTCATTGCAGACGGATAATGCTGCGGACTAGTTGTATTGAAGGTTAGGAAGCGTGGCGCTCCTGGTTTTCTATGTCATAAAATACCCCCGACGCGCCCGTTGTACAGTCGCGACGTCGGTGCAGTATATACGGATCCGCCCATACAATCTAGACCAAGTCGACTATATATCGCTTGTTTATGTATGTTTTTCCGCGTTTTTCAGCCGCAGGGCGTATCATCTCCCCCACACCAATAATCTGGACCGTCCTCGGTCAGTTAAGGTGGATGGGTGACTCGGTGTTGTTACTGGGTCGTCGGGCGACTCGCAGTCGACTGCTGCCGCAGTCTCTTGGTAGGTAGTTGTCGGAGGGCGGCAGGGCGCTAATTAAGCTTTTGGCTCACGCCGCATGTTCCGGACATGCATGGTCGTTTAAAAGCCGGCCGTGCGCATCTCCCACGGTTTTCCAACTTGTCTTGAACCACGACGGTACGTCGCTAGTACGCGCGTCCTGACGCGCCGCCCCTACTGACGACGATCTAGAGATGGCCGCCGGCAACGAAGGCCCACACGCGACGGTGCGCAAGGAGCACCAAGCTTTCGCCCGGAAGCTCTATCAGATCGAGAAGGATGCGCGCGCGCTACTCAAGGGCCAGGAGCCCACAGTGCTGAACTTGGTGCGGGGGATCCAGCGCGATAAGACGCGCGCGACGATCCTCAAGAAGAAGCTGGTAAGCCCCATCGTGCGGATCGTTTTCGGCGCTAGCTAACGCTCGTTTGTAGATCTCTTTGTCCGACGCCATCGCGCAGGCGCGCAAAATGAGAGAGACTGGCCCCTGGGCGCCGACCGCGGCGATCCAAGGGGCAATGTTTTTCTTGTTCGACTGCCTCAAGGCATCGGACCCCGAGTCGAAGTGGTACGCGTTGCAGGAAATCGCGCGCCCTCGGTAGGTCTCGGACATAGTTGAGTGAAGCCTACTGACATTTTCACAATCTAGGTATGTGATCAACATCGTGGGGCTCGACATCCCGACGCACGACGCGACACTGCGCGCCGCTGACCGCGATCGGGTGCCGCGAAGGGCAAACGAGGACTTGGTAAGTCCTCGGCGTTCTTTATGAGTTCACAGCTTGACTAAGCGCCCGCAGGACGTGCTGCTCTTGCAGCAGCCGCAGCTGCCCGCCGACTATGTCGCGGTCGAGGCAAAGCGGTGCGGCCTCGGCGAGGTCAAGCTGAGTGGGTGCGCGCCCGCGACGCCAGCCCAACGGAGTCATCCGGGGCAAAAGGCGCACAGGAACGACAAGAACAAGGGCGCGACGAAGCGCAAGCGCGCCGCCAAGGTGCGTTCTCGTTTTATTTGATTATATTAGAGGTTCTACAGCTAACACTTCAACAGGAGAAGGTCGCCAGTGATTCCGACGACGACGAGGTCGAGGTCGAAGAGCCGGAGCCCGCGCGCAAGCGCACGCGTTCCCAGACGAAGGCCGCCGCCTCCACCTCGAAGGGCAAGGGTCGGGCGAAGGCGGGTCCGAGCTCGGCGCGCGGTCGGCGCGGCAGGAAGGCCGCTACGCCTTCGGACGTCGAGGAGGAGGAGGAGGCGGAAGAGCGCTCTCAGCCCGAGTCCGAGGAGCGCGACGTCGTGCCGCCCGTCCGTTTCCGCGTAGACTGGGACCGTCGCCCGCGTGATGCGGACGGTGAGCTCCTGCCCTACGTCGAGACGGAGGACGAGGCCAGCGAACGACGCCATCGCGAGTTTATTGCGAGGGGGCCGGCGCCCATCTACGGGCTGAATGGTGACCTGCTCGGGCTCACCTCGCCGCCTTCCGAGGACGACGCGCAGATGCTCGAGGAGCAGGCCGAGGAGCAGGAGCGCCTCGCCGACGAGGAGGAGCAGATGCTCCGCATCAAGGAGGAGATCCGCGCCCATAACGAGCAGCGCATGCTCGCGGGGTTGGGCGACGACGACGCGCCTGAGTGGCCGACGGCGGGTAGCTCGGGGCTTCAGCCTGGCTGGACCCACCTCCCGGACGCCGAGGACGAAGAGGACGGCAACGCGGGGCATCCGGGCGCCGAGGAGGAGGAAGAGGAGCTTGAGGACGACAACGTCGAGCCTCCTGCTCTTCCCTCTCCCAAGCCCGCAGCGCCTTCGCGCTTCCCGACGCCGGAGTGGATGAGGGAGGGACCCTCGGGCGACCGTCCAGCGGAGTTGCTCTGAGCGCTCGGCCGAGGTAAGTCCCGCTTTAGTCCTTTTTGTTGTTTGTGAATCTTCGCTGACCCGAGTTGTTCCGTCATCTCTCTTCAGGTGAAAGGTGCGGTATCTAGCTCTGGATTGGCGAGGACAATGCGCGCGACACGTGCTTGATAGGTGGTTTCTTGGGACTCTGTACATTATATTTTTCTTGTATTTTCTTGTGTAAGGTCTCCCATGAAATGTACTTCTTGTTTCTTGGACAATTTAGGGTGATGCCAAGTGACATAAGAAGCGATAAATTGTGCTGCGCGACCGCCTTAGAGGTCGGCCAGTTGAACGCTGCTTGGCGGCGTGCTCGCGTGGGTTGCACGTGACCGTCGGCCACTGCCGGTTGTGGTTCGACTTAGCGAGTCGTGCTTGCTCGCGATAGCGGCGCAAAAATCTCCGTCGTGGAACGAGCTGGATCGGCAGCCTATCTCCCCCACACCAAAAATGTCGGCGACCTCGCCGGTGTGGAGTTCAGGAGCAGGTAGAAATTTATGAAATTGCGGCAGAGGGCGCGGATATCGCGTCCCTGACCGGCCGAGCGGTCGTGATATAAGATCGGAGCGCGCTGGACGGATGAGTCCAACCCACTACAACGATTCGTTCCTTCATCTCCCTCAATGGCCAACAAGTACCAGCGCGATCTCTTCGATCAGTTTCTTGCGCTTCTGCCTTCAGCTTCGGCGGTGCTCAAGACCGCGCTCCGCGAGGTCGCGCACTGCGACCTTCCCGCTGCCAGGAAGATCGTCAAGTATCTCAAGAC